AACACCCTAACACCCTAACACCCTAACACCCTAACACCCTAACACCCTAACACCCTAACACCCTAACCCTAACACCCTAACACCCTAACACCCTAACACCCTAACACCCTAACACCCTAACACCCTAACACCCTAACACCCTAACACCCAACACCCTAACACCCTAACACCCTAACACCCTAACACCCTAACACCCTAACACCCTAACACCCAAACACCCTAACACCCTAACACCCTAACACCCTAACACCCTAACACCCTAACACCCTAACACCCTAACACCCTAACACCCTAACACCCTAACACCCTAACACCCTAACACCCTAACACCCTAACACCCTAACACCCTAACACCCTAACACCCTAACACCCTAACACCCTAACACCCTAACACCCTAACACCCTAACACCCTAACACCCTAACACCCTAACACCCTAACACCCTAACACCCTAACACCCTAACACCCTAACACCCTAACACCCTAACACCCTAACACCCTAACACCCTAACACCCTAACACCCTAACACCCTAACACCCTAACACCCTAACACCCTAACACCCTAACACCCTAACACCCTAACACCCTAACACCCTAACACCCTAACACCCTAACACCCTAACACCCTAACACCCTAACACCCTAACACCCTAACACCCTAACACCCTAACACCCTAACACCCTAACACCCTAACACCCTAACACCCTAACACCCTAACACCCTAACACCCTAACACCCTAACACCCTAACACCCTAACACCCTAACACCCTAACACCCTAACACCCTAACACCCTAACACCCTAACACCCTAACACCCTAACACCCTAACACCCTAACACCCTAACACCCTAACACCCTAACACCCTAACACCCTAACACCCTAACACCCTAACACCCTAACACCCTAACACCCTAACACCCTAACACCCTAACACCCTAACACCCTAACACCCTAACACCCTAACACCCTAACACCCTAACACCCTAACACCCTAACACCCTAACACCCTAACACCCTAACACCCTAACACCCTAACACCCTAACACCCTAACACCCTAACACCCTAACACCCTAACACCCTAACACCCTAACACCCTAACACCCTAACACCCTAACACCCTAACACCCTAACACCCTAACACCCTAACACCCTAACACCCTAACACCCTAACACCCTAACACCCTAACACCCTAACACCCTAACACCCTAACACCCTAACACCCTAACACCCTAACACCCTAACACCCTAACACCCTAACACCCTAACACCCTAACACCCTAACACCCTAACACCCTAACACCCTAACACCCTAACACCCTAACACCCTAACACCCTAACACCCTAACACCCTAACACCCTAACACCCTAACACCCTAACACCCTAACACCCTAACACCCTAACACCCTAACACCCTAACACCCTAACACCCTAACACCCTAACACCCTAACACCCTAACACCCTAACACCCTAACACCCTAACACCCTAACACCCTAACACCCTAACACCCTAACACCCTAACACCCTAACACCCTAACACCCTAACACCCTAACACCCTAACACCCTAACACCCTAACACCCTAACACCCTAACACCCTAACACCCTAACACCCTAACACCCTAACACCCTAACACCCTAACACCCTAACACCCTAACACCCTAACACCCTAACACCTAACACCCTAACACCCTAACACCCTAACACCCTAACACCCTAACACCCTAACACCCTAACACCTACACCCTAACACCCTAACACCCTAACACCCTAACACCCTAACACCCTAACACCCTAACACCCTAACACCCTAACACCCTAACACCCTAACACCCTAACACCCTAACACCCTAACACCCTAACACCCTAACACCCTAACACCCTAACACCCTAACACCCTAACACCCTAACACCCTAACACCCTAACACCCTAACACCCTAACACCCTAACCCTAACACCCTAACACCCTAACACCCTAACACCCTAACACCCTAACACCCTAACACCCTAACACCCTAACACCCTTAAAGAGGCTTGGCTTAGATTTGAGTGAATTCGACCTGAATTCCAATTGGGAGATCGCCTTCTTGAATATTAGGAGCATAAATTTTGCACTGTTTCAAGCCTGCTACGCAGCCAGTTAAAGTCCATTCGCTTGTTGAGATATCTGTATTTGAGTTTGAAGTAGCTTTAATTGAACTTTTCGACAGTCCAGCCAAAAGTGGATGAGCAAAGTCAAGCACGATATTCGTACCATCGAGGCTGAGCTGGTAGCCAACAGAATCGACTATGCAAATAGTTCCTGTTTGAGTTATTGTATTAGCACATTTATAGCAATTGGGACCTGGCTTGCAACTTGTGCAGGAGTCGGTACAAGCTAAATAACACTTACAAATGCAAGACGTTGAAGTCGCACTATCTTTATTAAGGAAGTATCCAGTCGGACATAAATCACATTGAGTGCTTTTTGTCGAGCATTCAGCACAATTGTTGGCTTTGGCACAACCTAAGTAGAAATTACAGTGATAATTTTTAAGTTCATTAGTAGTGGTATCCTTGCAGGTTTGGCAAAAATTTCCCTCAGCTCTAGCTGAATCAGGATCGCACTTAGTGCATGAGTTTTGAGTGCAAGTGGTGCAATATTCCAGTAATGATATACAATTGCTCCCATAATAGCATATACTATCAATGCAAGCTCCAGGAGTACAAGGCACAGCTATATCAAACCTATATATGCCATCATTTACTGTTATTTTATTATAGTCTTGATTTATGGTGGCACTCTTTGTAAGCATAGCCCTATAAATTTTACCCTTAATTCCACCTCCAAAAAAAATACCTTGCTAGGTATAACAAAAGCAACGTTTGAGCTCCCTGAAGTTTTGGAAATTACGGGTTGGCCAGGCAAGATAATCTTCAAAGTAGGAGTGCCTGAGACATTAGTAAAGTGAAACACAATAAAGAACCACTTGTCTATATATAAATTACTTAAAGGGACGGTTATGGACAAATCATTAGCTGGATCATTTGTTGTAGTGCTTGAAAAGAAGGAAACTTTTAAGGTGCCATTCTCAGTTGATGAGACAATAAAACGTGGGCCAGTGTTAGCTCCAAATTGAAAAACTTTTGGGCTAATTGTTGATTCAAAGTTTACCCAAAATCCAAATGCGTATTCTGAACCACTGATTAAGTTTGATGCATCTGCTGTTAAACTCCAGCTTTCACCGTTCTTGCTTAATGAAAAGCAGCTAAGATATTGGTTGATATCAACCGACTCATCTGGAGATAGAGCAGGGGTACCGGAATTTAACTGATTGATAATGCCATTGCTTAGAGTTACTCCTGTTGGTTTTCTAAGAATCCAATCACCTACTGATCATCCTTGGACAAATGATAAGAGGACGACGAGGACGAGAATAATTAGTGGCTTTGAATAAACCATTTTTATTTATAAACAAATTCATTTCACTTTAAAAATGGATGCTAAGCGATTTTAATTGTAAATTTTATCAAGAATGCTTTGATTGTTTTTCAAATTTATGAATTGGATGGCCAGAATAAAATTTAAAATTACTATAATGAAGCCTTAGGCTTGCTTAAAATCCCACTTTAAATATCTGTAATATTGCCTATCGTTAAAATTACCAAGTTGGCCTATATTTAAAACTAATTTTTTGTTTAAACATAGTGGTAAAGGATTTGGGATATTCAAAATCGCTAGTACCTTTTGAGCGAATATAACCCTTAATTATAGTCAACTTCAGTCATTTATTTATTCTAATGAAGAAATGGTTTCTATGCAAATTTTTAGCCCTAAGTGATATTTATAAATTTTAAGTTGATATACTTTTAGCAAGGATAATTTGTTTTTGAGAAGAAGCTATGTGGACAAATTTATTTTGTTTTCCATTATAAATTCTTAATTTTTTAATACTTCAGCCTAATACGCCAAAAGAATCAGCATTCCATCTTCTAGCGCTATCAAAATTAAAGATAAAACTTATTATGATTTAAGGATATTTTACTCTGCTAGCTATAGGATATAATAAGCTTGCTGCTTTTTAGATTAAAAAATTATATAATATTTAGCTTTGAATAGAAGAAAAACCCCTAAGAACTTTTAAAAATACTTAAACATAATAAAAACACCATTCTTATTAATCCATATAAATGCATTTAAACTTAAAAAAGCCTTTAATTCTTTGAGTCAAATATGTTCAAAAAGTACCCGAAAATCTGTATTTATCATCATCTTTGACCTTTCTCGCCACAAAATAGTGCCCAGAATATTTAATTATGTTTATAATAGGCGTATTGCTTAGCTTGACACACTATATTCCTTATTAACAATTTTAGAAATCAAAATTATGTAAACAATCATATTGAAAATGATTTTTCTTGTTATATAGATAATCACTTTCTCGAAGTTATAATCTTTATTGGCTTCATTAACAAAATAGTCGAGAGTAGTAAGGTTTTGGAATACATTTTATCTCAACAAATTTACTAGATAAAAATGGTAAAAGCGATTTATTATTAGAAGGCTATATCCTTGATAAACTCATTATAAAATTAATGAAACTTTCTTAGTACCTTTATCTCAAATTTAATTTCCTTAATTTGAATGAGCTCAAACTTATGTTCTTCCAACTTAATTCCTAATATCTGTCCATAAATTAAGTTTAAGTCAGTTTTCTTAGGACAGTTCTCTTCATTGTTATTCTATTATAACTAGAAGTAAAATCAAATGCTAACAGCGATTTCAGAAAGTGATGCAGAAATTAAAACTTGAAAATCTACAACATATCCAGCACTTTGAGAAGCTCCTAGACATCCACATTTAGCAGGCATGATATAGCTATGATGGGAATAAAAAGAAGGACTGTTATTTGAAATCAGCTATTTTCCACTCGATAAATTATTTTGAGTAAAAATATAGTGAGTTTATGGAGAAAATGTTGCATTTCCTAATTGAAGACAAAAAATCAAAAAAGAGCTCTCAGCTAGTTTGCCTTGCCATTTAGTTTATATTGGCCGTTCTAATATGAAATTAATAGAAATTCTAATGCTGCATGCATATTTTTCCTATGTTAAGAAAATATTGTTATCAGGTAAGCGAAATATTTTGACTTTTTTGTTTTTAAGGCTGAAGCAAGAAAGACTCGAAAGAAATCAAATAACTTTGAGTGACTACTAAAAAGCAATTGCTCTAAGCCTAGCTTTTCATTATTGAAAAGCTTTAAGTCATTTTGATTTTAGTTATTTTGTGCAATACTCCTTTCAATTCTAAATGCTTCCGTAAGAAATCCCCATCCTATTTCTGAAAAGAAAATTCTGATGGTCCCAGATGGGAATAAGGCAATCCATCATTCAGCACAAAAAATTGATTAGCTCCATAGTTTCAGGACCTAAATTAAGAAGTTGCTATATAGAATATATGGCTGCAACCCTCCAGCCAAAATGCAAAGAACCGAGCTTGTAGATAGACAAGGATGATCATATAATAAAAAAATTAAATTTTTGGATGCAAAAGCCAATGCATGATCTAAAGCGAAGCCAAATAAAATTGATATCACTCAAATAGCGATTATAAAATTCCTTTATTACATGTACAAAGGATATTGTGATAAAATTAAAGAATCACTTAAATCCAAATAGAGTTTTAAGACTCGAAAATGAATGAAGAATTAAATTAAATTATTTTTCTCCTAAATAATTGTTATCACAAAATAAAAGTACTTTTTATATATGCTAGATAAGCCTTAAATAAATTATTAATTTAACTACTTAATTTGTTAAAAATCAAGCATTCGATTAAAAATTTGAATAAATAAATTTTCAAATACTTATAATAGGAGATATAAGAAGCGATTTAAATTTTATAAAAATTTTCTTGGGAATTATAACTAAAAATAATTAATCAACCAATTTTTAGCGAAGCTTGTTTAATACACAGCTGCAGTGCTATAATGAATTTAATAAGAGGATTAGCTGCTCCTAAAGTTAGACTTGATTGAATTCTAGTTACGAGTCACTGGAAGCTCATTTTACCAAGATCGTCACATCAATTTGCTTATAAAGGTGTCGTCTGAACAGCCAGAATGAAGTTTATCTTAATAGCCAGATAATTTGAGAACCAGTTTTCATATTTACTTTACAGATTTCTTCCGTCTTGAGCGACTGCAGAAGCATATAAAAGCACGAGGCCTTGCTCCAAGAACTGTAGGAACCAATAAAGGCTAAATAAATTTATATATGCAGATGCTGTGGCTGCTTCATCATTGTAGAGGAAATTGCCTTCATCACATAAAGCGCAGAGCTTAACGAAGGTTAACAGACAAGAAACAATATATAGAAATTGCCCGAGGATGGCGCTATTTTGCGCCATCCTCGGGCAATTTCTATAAGAGGATTAAAGCAGCCTAAAGTAAAAAATACAGTATGTTTCGAGTTGCCAGCTAATCTTAATATTGATCTTTATGAGTAATTAATGTAAATTTTTGTAGATCTTAGCTTTATAATGATTGTGGACTTTAAATTTGAACTCATTTAATGCTTGTAATTAAATTTCATATTAAGATATTTATTAAGACCATTATCTTGAAGTTTAAAATTTAATAATTAAGCCAATTTAAAATGTGCATTTGCTCGTCAACTTTATTCACATTTGCAACCATTTTTTGGCATGCCACTATTTAATCCTTCTTAGCATAGAGATCGAGTCCATCCATTTGATAGAGGCTGTGTTCATCATTCAGCTTTCATTAAATTTTGTGCAATAAAGATATCTATATAGTGGTATAGGCTATATTGCTTTTGAAAAAATTTCTATAATGCTTATATTATGATCTTGCCATAAATTAATTGAAATAAAGAGATTTATTGATTTTTGAGAAAAGGCTATTTACCCTTAAAGAGACTTGGCTTAGACTTGAGCGAATTCGACCTGAATTCCAATTGGGAGATCGCTTTCTTGAATATTAGGGGCATAAATTTTGCACTGCTTCAAGCCTGCTACGCAGCCATTTAAAGTCCATTCACTTGTTGAGATATCTGCATTTGAGTTTGAAGTAGCTTTAATTGAACTTTTCGAAAGCCTAGTCAAAAGTGGATGAGCAAAGTCAAGCACGATATTTGTATCATCGAGGCTGATCTGGTATCCAACAGAATCGACTCTGCAAGTAGTTCCTGCTTGAGTTATTGTTTTAGCGCATTTATAGCATTCGGGACCTGGCTAGCAACTTGTGCAGGAGTCGGTGCAAGCTAAATAAAATCTTACAAAGGCAAGGTGTTGAAGTGGCACTATCTTCATTAAGGAAGTATTCAGCCTCATGTAAATCGCATTGGGTGCTTTTTACAGAGCATCCAGCACAATTGTTTTCTTTGGCGCAACCTAGGTACATACAAATAGAACTGGAAAACTTGGTGGTGGATGCTTATGGTCCAGTTGAATCTGCGGGAAGACAAGTTTTTTGATAACCTACTAGAAGAGATCGCGGGTATAAGCCTTAAAGATAGGAATTACTGATTTAGGGAGCATAAATGCTGATATTGCTGGATTCATGTCTGACAGGACCAATAACAATGATCAATCCCTTTGGCTTAAATAATATTTACTTGCGCTTTTCCATATAATTGGTTAAAAAACTTATTTTATAAAATTATCTATTTCGACAACAGCGTCTATTGTTTTGGAGGAAAGAATAAAATAGATTTAACTCTATCTCTTAGATTTGATTTGGATCAAAATCGGTGAATTCAATTAATTCCTATGCCACAAGCTGATTGTTATTTCAGTAGTATAATATTTAATAGAAATATTTTGATTTCTGATATGATAGCAGAAATCTTTTGTTATACTCAATTGATATTGACTCTTTCTCAATAATTCCTTATAAATTTGAAGATAAGAAAAGAAAGATCCTGATAAATGCAGAGAGACTATATTTGATTGAATGGGACAAGGGATCAATCTATGAAAGCGAAATTGGAAGTTATTTGAATTGGAGACGTATAGCATACTCAAAACTGAATTGCAATCCTGATCAAGTGTATATTATAGAGCATTGAGGGGTCACGCTCTAAATAGCTATCCAGATCAATATTATATTGATATATTTTGTTCTTTTTGCCTCCTGCAATCAGAATTGAGTGCTTATAAAAGACGCATGAGCATTCATCTACATTAGCTGGGGGAGCAGCCAGCGCCTTTCATCGACTTTTTGTTAAACTTAGCTTCTTAGCTACCGAATTTTGGTTTCTATTAATTTTAGAGAGACCAAAAACATAAACATTTTGCTCAAAATAAGCTACCCAAAAACCAAAGAAATCATCTTCAAATGGGAAGGGGAAAAACATTGCAATCTCATATCTTGTAAAGTCAATTATTCCAGCTGCACCTCAATTAGAATATGCTTTCGGCCCTGCAAAAAGCAATTCTTTATTTGAAATCTGTATTGCATTTCCTCACATTTGCTTTCTATAAGCAGGGAGATTGGTTGCGAACTAAAAATGGTACGAAACTCTTTAACTGGTCTTTGCAGAAGGGCCAACTGAAAATTAGTTTGCAGCATTAGGAGCACAAGCTAACCCCCAATTAGCTAATTTCTCTCTCATAAGAATTATATGCAGAGATGCTATACAAAACTTGTTGAATCATCTAAACTGACTGGCAATAAGCTGACATCATATATTTCCTTTTTCGTGCTAATGTTATAAACTTGGAAATAAGTGGGTAATTCTTTATTCTGATAAAATTCGCTTAATCTATCGTAAGTAGTAACTCTTTCTTTATATTGGGTAATTTTGCATAGATTCTCTCAAGAATTTTCGCTGAATTTAAGTGCTCTTTGTGGAATTGTCATATTAATTAATTTACCTGGGAACTTTAAATATTATAATTAAGACTATAGCTCTTTAACGTGGAGCAGCCTCTTTTTTTTGAGATTGAATTCTACTAGCATAGGCAGGTCCGATCCTTGATTCCTAACGAAATAGAAGTTTTCAGCGAATTTCATAGCATGAGAGATAATAGCAAAATTGGAGGCTGTATTTCCTGCAACCTTTTCCCATGCAGTAGCATCGTTTATCGCGCTTTGATAAGTGCTCCCTAGGAACTCACATATATAAACTCTATTTTCATATGAAAAAATCTCCTTGCGAAGGAGACCGCTCAAATTAAGGTCTGAGATTTCTTGGAAGCAATTCTGCCTTATATCGTAGCTTAGCAGCTTAGAAAAGTATCAAGCGACCATTAGAACGCTATCTCGAAATACAGCAGTGCAAGCATCAGTATATTCTCCTCCTCTTGGGAGAATCTCACATGGTTCCCATCTATTAGCTAATAAATTGTATTTAGCTGATACTATTTGATTATGACATCCAAATGCATATACAAAATTTCTATGATAGGCTAAACCAACCCCATGAGTGCTTGCACCTGAAGAGAGTTCAATATAATTTTTGTCCTTATCAACTATGAATGCTATACCTGTAGTTCTACCATTGGTGTATCCTCCATAGAAAAATGTCGATTGGCTATCAGGGATGTATGCGGATCCATAGGAAAATAAATCAATAGATAAATCAAACAATTTTGTGCATTCTCTTGAATTCAAACTTACCGCAAAGAGCTGATTGGTATACAATTTTATAAATAAAAGCTCACTGCAATCACTTGCAGAGCTAGCTTTGCTATAGGAAATGCTTTTTTCCTCTTCAAAGCTACTCCTATTGCTTCTCATGAGACGTTCTACAATAGAAAGCGAAGGAATTTTGATCCCCAAAGTATTTACTTTTTCAATCACAAAATTTTGGCTTAAAATATCATTTATAGAGGGTCTTTCACTCATTTCTTTTTTCATGCACCAATCAACTATATACTTAAGCTCATTCGAGTAATAATCTCTAATAGGTCGGTGTCTTTCATTCTGAACTTTATAAGCATTTCCTTCAAATGGATGCTCAAACTGGCAAAGGAAATATAAAACGTTCCCAAGAGCCCATATGTCGCTTTCTTTGGATGGGAGAACTCCTCTTCACATTTCTGGAGAATAGTAAAAAGGCGTCCCTCCACAGATGAGGTAGTTAGATACCTGGAAAGCCCGAAATCTCCAATCTTAACATTGTTGTTTTTGTCTAGTAAAATATTTTCTGGCTTTATGTCTCTATGGATATAGCCGTTTGAGTGCATGCATTCTAAGCCAAAGCAGATTTGAATAAAATATTTTCAAATTTCACTTTCCGCAAAGGGTTGGCCAATTTGAATCTGGTCAACTATTAGTTTAAGCAGATCATGGTTTTCACAGTAATCTATAATCATGTAAACTTTATTGTCTTGGTCAATTCTCCTTTCTAAGTGGAGAAGATATGGGTTATTCAACTCAGAAAGAATTTTAATTTCTGTTTCCACATCTTTTCAGCTCTTTACATCTCCATACTGTTTTACAACAGTTTTCATTGCATAGATCTTATTGTCAGCTAAATAGCGATTACCAATTCTTCTAACTTTGTAGACAACTCCGAAGAATCCAAAGTTAATGTCATCGACAACTTCAAATTCGTTTGTGATTTCTGCTGGGAAGTGTGGCATAATTAATAAATCTTTATGCAATTTTATTTCAACAAATCGAAAATATTAATTTAATAATTATCAGTTTCTAAAATTCTGAAACCCAAGCAGTTTATTTATGAAAAATGTGACAAAAATTTACTTTAATGCAAGCTGTTTTACTACTTTTTAAACTAAGCCTTATCAGCGATAAGTAATAATTGATAGACTAATGAATTGGTTAGCATAATTAAAGAACTCAAAGTATTTATTACACTTAAAAATATTGAGCTCATCTAATGTAGTTTCTCCCATAAAGTGGCAAACGAGATTAATTTTATTAAATGTCTTCGGTTCATTTAAAACCGCTTTATGCTTGACTGTTCATATAAATTTAGTGTAGTACTATTGTGAGCAATTGGATTGCTCTTATTAATAAAAAAGCTCTAATGCCAAATGTAAAATTTAATAGATATCTTGACTATATAACTGGATAAAGTAAAGTTACCACTAATTATACAGTGTTATAAGGTTTCAATTATTATGGATTCTTATTTATATGCCTACAGACCTAGCTTGGTCAACGAAATTAGGATCGAACAATGAATAAATTATGAATGACGAATATAAACCACCTATCAAGTTAAAAGACTATCTGCAAAAATATTAAAACTTAGTCTCAATTATAACTGAAATTATGGAGGAAGACAAAAATTCAGAGAGCTGCACGTATCTGATAAGCAATGGTATTTATTCTAATGCGCATAAACCTTCTACCTTTGACTTTCCTTGAAGTCCCAGAAAATGATTTGTTAATCTTTTAAAGTATTATAGAACAGATAATCAACCTGTTAAAATTTTAGAAAATCTCTATTTGGGAAGTATTGGAGCTTCTGTTTTTAAGCAAAACCTTCAAAATATAGGGATAACTCATATTCTGATAGTTGCTGGTCAGCTATCTCCTGTATTCCCAAACGATTTTATCTATAAAAAACTCAAAATTTTCGATTTGCCCGGATCGAACATCTTTAGTGCTTTTGATGAAGCTTTTCAATTTATTGACGAAGGCAGAGCTCATGGAAAAGTGCTTGTTCATTGGTAATTATAACACAGTTATGCAGGAAGAAGTCGATCCGGAGCAGTTTGTGTTGGTTATGTTATGAGAGAAAAGCATTTATCTTTGACTGATGCTTTATCATATGTTCAAGAAAAAAGACCAAAATGTTTACCAAATAAAGGATTTATGAGCCAGCTGAAGCTGTATGAAAACACTCTTGCTAGAGGATATTAAGTGACAATATTTTTTTAACAATCTTTTTACTTAACATTAAACAATTCTTGGAAGCTTGACAAATATTGAAGCTTTTGCAGGAGTTCCTGCTAATGAAATAATTGATATATTATATTAAATACATTATGGAGCCTATTTTATTTTTAATCTTATTATAATGAACTCAATTGTATTGAATTGTTCTGAAGAAGATTTTGAACTGATAGTTGAAAAAGCTAAAGAATATGGGAATATCAAGCAAATTAATTGACCTTATCAGGCATTTGATTTCGCTATAGATAATCAAATAAAAATTGTGTATGAATCTAATGAAGATGCAATTAATGCTTTACAAATGTTTGAAGATAAATCTGAAATTGGGTTTTATATAAACTTAGATGAAGTTTCTATTATGGAAGCAGGATTGTCTAGTAACCAATTGTCAAAATTATCAATTGAAAATTTATACATAGCATTTGGATCTTTATCGCCTGAGAAGCTGGATGTATTAGACTTCTTTTTAGGATTCCCAAACTTTTTGGCTGAATGCGATTTCCGTTTTTTTGTCAGAAATAGATTTACGGACATTTTTTAAGATTTAAACATATTTTAGCAAAAGCAGCTAAATTTCAACCAAATAGGATAAAAAAAATAGACCAAACAATCGGCTGGATATTAAAAGGTGCAAAAATCATACACCGAACTTTTCATATACACAAACATTTTACGATATTTTAGATGAGAATGCTGATTTAGTTCTTTCAGATTTGCATGAGCACTTGGCAAGAATTAAAATAAATGGATCCATTTGTATCAATTGCCGTTCAGATATCACATTTGATTTCTTTAAAAATATTGATGCAATCCCAAATGAAAATTGATCCATTTGTAGTAAATCTACAAATTTCAGCCAGAAAATTACTCAAAATATTTTTGAATGCATCTTAAAACTAGCAGGAAAAAGAATAAACATTGTTTTTCGAGATCTAAACTTTGCATATTGGCCAGGATTTTCAATAGTGGTAAAATTTTTCAATTTCAATAATTCCCCAAAATTGATCAAACAACCCACATTGCCAATCAAATGATGGGGTTAATGAAAAAAAAATTATATAACTCCTCCTACCACATTTAAATTGAAATAAAAAATACTGATCCAATTTAAAGGGGGATATAATTGATATAAATTTTATAATTTTAAAAAAAAAGACTCTTAAATAAATGCAATATTTTTGAATTTTAATTAGAACTCATTCAAGAAATTAATCGATTGAGTATCTAAAATATTTATATATCATTCTACTTGAACTAGTTCATTAAATAAGGTCAAAACTATTTATATTAAAAAATAAGCTTTTTCACTTATTAAAATTTCCATCGAAAAATTAAAAATTTTTTTCCCAATTTAAGGGAAATTTATCGATATTTTGTTCCAATTTAAAAGGGGAGGGGAATAAGTTTTTCTATTAATATAATATAGATTGAAAATTTTTTAATATAAAAAATTGTTTTTATCCACAAGAGACAGAGTATGAAATATATTAGAAAATGTGCTAAAAATCGTATTTTATTTTTGAGAGGCAGTTATACTTAAATATCTCTAATATTCATTATTATAAAATATAGGTATATAAAATTGAGATGGTTACATTTGTTGGGAATTTTAATAAAATCGTTTAATCAAGCATGGGAAAGATTAACTCCCCCCCCCCCTCCGTGAGCGAACAAAACCATTAGAAAAATCGCCATTTTTTGACCAAAAACCCACCCTCCGTGAGTGAACAAAAATTTTTTTAATAGAAAAAATTTTAATGGAAAAAAATTTTGATATATAAGTGATAATTAGTATAATGAAATCTAGAGCTAATTCTGTTTAATTTTAAACAAATTGCGTTTTAAAACATAAATTTTGCAAATTAAATTAATATTTGCTTCCCAATTTTTGCAAATTAGGATTTTTTTAAATTTCGAAAAAAATATTTTTTATAAAATTTATATATAAATTTTTTTTTAAAAAAAAAAATTAACCCCCCTCCGTGAGCGAACAAAATTTTTTTGTTCGCTCACGGAGGGGGGGGGGAGTAAGCAATTTTTTATATATGCTTTATATGCAGCTAGGATATTGAAGATTGAGCACTGATGATTTCATTTTGAGAAAGCAGTTGATCTAGCTGATTTAACAAAAGTTATTCCCCAAAGTTCTTGTGTAGCATGCAATATCATGATTAAAGAATTTTTTGTTATTGATGAAGGATCAAATGATGGAAAAGACTCAGTCATGGCAGTGCTAAAAAAAAGAACAGAAATAGCAAAATCTTTAAAGTTTAAAATAGACACGGGCGATATCATTGAGTTTGTAGTCTCATGCAAGAAAAAAGAATTTGGAAGCATAATATCAGAAATTTTAATTTGTGGAGGGAAGCCTAATGAAGTTTCGAGTGTTACTTTTTCTTTTAAATTTAGGGGTTATAAGAGTTACAATATAATGTAAACGATTTATTGAACAAATTTAATTAGGCTTTCAAAAATTTGCTCTTATATACTGATAAACTCCTTATTTTTAAAGAAAACTTAGTTTTATCCGAAATCCAATAAGGCGAGATTAGAACTTTTCCATCTATTTATAGCTGAGACCATGCTAATGAAACTTATGCAAAACAGCCAAAATTTAATTAGTTAATTACTGTTTAATAACTGTCTCTAACAACAAAACTTCAAGTATAAATGGAAACATTAGATCTCATAGACACAGCCCCAGTTTTTTACGAACCAGCTCAAATTTTTTCAACCCTGATTTTTCTCACAGAAACCCGCCACCTTTTGCTCAAAAAAGGCAAAATCCTCGGTAGGAGGGTATTTCGATACTTTGTATTTCATAATGAAAGCTTAATTTACTACTTAACCCGAAAATCAATTGCCTCGCGAGGCTCAATAGATCTCCGCAAATGTATAGCAATTCCGCTTAAATCTACGCTCTCAGGTTACTCAAATTCAATAAAAGTTCTGACAGCGAATTTCAATTCTGAATTTTTTTTATTCGCAAAAAGTGAATTTGAATGCTCGCAGATGATGCTTTATTTAAGGCTTGCTTCTAACGATCAAATCAAAAACATTTTGGACATTTATTGCTCAAATCAGTCAGAAGACGAGCTTAAGCCTTTAAAAGAGTCAGATTCATATAAATCAACGCAGATTGAGCCGGTTATAACAACTAGTAGAAGAACTTTTGCGGGGATTCTGTCACCGACTTCAGAAGGAGAATTCGACGCTCCAGAGGAAAATGCAGCGTTTTCGATACCTACGTCTAAGGTGGGATGTGGAAGCCATAATGTATCGATGAATGAAAATTTGAGCATGATTGAAGAAGATGCCGAAGAAAGCTATATGAAATCTACGCACGAGAAATCATTGGAATTTAAAATACCAAGCAGAGGCAAAAATGGATATGAACTCCCAGAAATCCAAAGCCCAGAAAATATAAGAGAAGCTGGGCTGAAATACATGTGAAATTTCCAATTAGAAAATGCGAAAAACTGCTTTTCACTAATGAAAAACTGTGATTTAAGATGTAGCCTACATTATGCAGAAGTAAATTTATTCCGTGTACTAGTTACAGGCCGAAAATCTGATGTCCTACGAAGTAGCGACGCTCTAGCTGAGGTAGAGAGAATGTATACAACACTAGCAGACAGCTATTCAGAAATTATTGTAGCAGAAACCAATTTATTCAAAAGTATTCTATTATTCGTAAGTGGGCAAAAATTAAAAGCCTTCATTTGTATGAGAAGTGCTTGGAAATTGTTCAGAAAATATGAAAATTCTTTATCAACTATTAAAGACGAAGATCTCAAGGGCAGGGTGATTTTTGGACTGGGGCTATTTATGCTAATAGTTTCGCTTGTCCCTTCTTCTATCTCAACCATTCTAAAGCTTGCTGGATTTACGAGTAATAAAGAGCGTGGATTGGAGCTTTTATATAAGTGCAGAGAAATGAAAATTTCCCGTTCTCCATTTGCAGCACTAATTTTAGGGCTATTTTATATTGATATGGAGCCAGATATAGACAAATCCAAAGCTATTTTGGATCAAGGTCTCGCTGAGTTCCCTGGCTGCGTGCTGTTTCATTGGGTGAATTCCATTGTAGCTTGGAAATTAAATAAAGTAGACGTCGCTGTTCGGGTACTGCAAGATGCGCTGCACTGCTGTGGGAAAGATTTAGAGCCGCTTGCAGCTTTTATTAAATATGAACTAGGGTGGTTTCATTTTTTACGCATGGACTGATATAGAGCTCGCGAACAATTTGAGTCTATTTTGTGTGATACTTTATCATTAAGTTCTGAACTTGATTCCTTTGTAAAAGAAGCTTTGACTTATGGCGATATTAATGAAGCAAGAAAACCAGCTTTTGAAGAACTTTTTTTCAGAAGAGTCAGCACAAAGAAAAAAACGAAAACAGGGTGGCTTGAAGGTCCACAAACGCCGTCTCATAAAGATAGAGTTTATATTCCACACAAGGCTTGCTTAATTGCTCAGCTTGCTGGCTGTTTAGCTGCTTTAAAAGATACTAGAGTTACATTCTGGCTTAAAGTTACCAAGATTTCTGCATGCACGCCTTCAGCATCTCGAACCAAACTTGATGAAGAATTTGGCGGACTGGCTCAGGTATTTTTATATCGCCAATTCACTGATTTGTTGCCCTTTGAAGTAATTTACTTTTTAAAGCAGCACACAAAGTTACTTCCTGATATGCTGAATACAATTTTCGTTACCGCTGAGCACATTATCCAAAAATTGCCCAAAGAGCCAACTGGGTCGTTTTTAGTTGAGTTCTGCTCAGCCAAAATGCTGCAAATTATGGCTCTCTGCTTGAACGGGGACACTGAAGAAGCCTCAGAAATTTCTGATGACTTAGTCTTGAAGATATCTGGGCTGCCTCCATGGGGAGTTTATCTAGCTCCACATTCATTGTATTGGATATCTCGGGCTTATAACGCAGAATTGAGATATGAGGACGCTGTGAACTCGCTGGAAAAGGCAAGGAAAATAAAGAAGTACCATTTCAACATCCGAGGCAAAATCAGCAGAGTGATGTATGATATAAAAAATAAAATTAGAAATTAAAAGGTGTATGATTTTATCGGTTTTGCTGGGCAAATGTCTGATTATTAAAATCTTTCTGATAATTGCTTATGCTTGCTATCGCCAAAATTTGCAGCCAAATTAAGCATTGTGCGTCAATGCAAAATTTTTGAAAAATGTTTTTTTAAGTGAAGCATCATTTTGCTCTATTGGCAAGCAAAATGACACTGAACTCTCTGCTGCAGGTCTAGTGAAATCTTCTGTTACAACCTTCCCGTGGCTTATTCCTTTATATATTCTTCGTCGTTCACCATCTATCACTTTATCTCTTCTCAAAAGTTTTGTTTGTCTCTTTTTTGGTGTTTTTCTTGCTACTTTTGTGAACCATATAGTTTTATTCAACTGGCTTTGCTTCCCAAAATCTCGTTTTTGGATATTAAAGCACTCCCTGATTTTATTTCAGGAATTTTTATCAAAATAATAAGCTTCACATTCGTTTACCCCATTTTTGTGTTCTAGAGAAAAGTACCTTTCCTGCAAGCCTAGCGCCTTGATTTTTTCGTCGTGCTTGATTTTACTTCAAAATTCATTTGCTTTTCGCTTTTCATCCTGGTAAACAATTGTCGAGTTAAATTCTACCCTTTTAAAAATTGGGTTTGACAATCAGTCATTAGTGTACTTAGATTTTCTTTTGATGAAATCTTGGACTTTTTCTCTTTTGCTTCTTAAGGAATCTCGAAGAATCAAAATGTTCTCAGTTAATTTATCGATTTTTTTTAGATCTATAGGGAGACTGCGATCTCTTTTATGCATTATTATTTATATTAAAGATGTCATGGTTTCATCATATAAATTAAATGGCGGCGCTTATAAACAGCTGATGGGGCACACCATCTGGCTAGACTGCTTGATGCGCGACATAAAAATTAGCATTTGAGTCTCATATGAGAGGAGCATAGTAAGTCCAGCAAGACAAGTTAGATATAAAGGCAACTTCTCGATGATCTAACTAAAGATAGGCTGCTAATGACGCTAAATGAATTACTTAGCCTTCGGACATTTGGGGATTTTGAGCCTTTCTTAACAAGTGGAGGTAATTTTGCTCTGCCTGGACTTCTTGCTATTGCTGACATTTGGCCAAATCACCCCTTCAATTAAGACCCAAAAAATCTGCTACATTTAATTATTTTTTTAAAAAAATATATGAAATGTTATAACTCCCCTCTCCATGAGCGAACAAAATATTGTTTGCTTAAGGAGAGAGGTTAACTTTTTTTTTCATCATAAATTTTATAGTAAATTTTTTTTCAAAAAATTTCTATTCAAAATAATTTTAAAGCAAATATTTAAATTTAAAATGCAAGCTGTTTAAAATTAAACAAGAATTAGCTAGAGATTTCATTATAATAATATCACATATATATCAAAATATTTTCACAACAAATTTTTATATTAAAAAATTCACGGATAGTAGGTTTTAACCAAATAATAGGGATTTTTCGAATGGTTTTGTTCTCTAACGGAGAGGAGGCGATTAAGTATAAAATATTATCTATTCTTAGTTTTTCATGAAAAATGAGTAATAAGAGTTTTGAAATAATATCCTGGCTACGTTCTTAAAATAGGAAAAATATAATTTTGGTGACAAAACCCATAAAACTGTTTTTATTATATTTTACATAGAAACTGTTAGTTCAACCTATAAAATGTGGGGATATAAGCTCTTTAATTTGATTTTCCAACATTTCGATGCCTTTGAAAATAGAGTCTATTTTATCATTGAGGTCATTAATATTTATATCTTCCAGACTAGGCTTCTTGGGGTCTAAGTTGACTCTTTTTTTCAAGTCTTTGTATTTCATTCTTGTCATGAACTTATCAACTTCTTTTTTATACTTTACCATATTGATTGAAGTTAGCTCTCCTTTTTTTTTCATGGCGTTTAGCACTTCAATTTCTGCAATGGTTCTCTGATTGATATTATCTCTTTCTGCAGCTACAAGAACGATTTCATCTCATATATGAGGATATTCTTCCATGGTTATATTTATTAGTGCTTTTCCCATGATCAATAATTCAGAATCTCTAACTGCTAAATCCCCGCCTCTATTAGCGAGCTCATTTTCTTCTAGAAAGTTTCTAAAAATCTAATTTTTCAATGAAAGCATAATTTAATTTCTAAAGTTATGTTTTGACTCCAAGCTGTTTGAAATGTAATAAAATTAGCTAGATATTTGCTATAATAATTGCCCGTTGACACAGGAAGAGTAAGGCAGCATATTTTCTTGTGATTCTGCTCACAACTTCAATGTCCCCAAAATATCCTCCTCTTTGTGTAGACCTTATTATTTTATTCTCCTTGCCAAAAACATAACTGATATTTCCTTTCACAACAAAATAAATTTCATCAGAAAACTCGTCTTTATCATAAACCAGCTCAGTTCCTTTGGCGAACATTGGCTGCAAGAAAGGGACAATAGAGGCAACGACAACCTGGTCTTTGTCTGCAAAAAAGGTTAAATCTTTAGCTGCTCCTCTATGCATTGCCATAGCAACTTCGTAACGGAAATTCTTAGGCAGCTCATTGAATATATTTTGTTTGTCTGCCCAAGAAAAGCCAGTTTTTTCAGTAGAGTAACGAAGGGCAATTCTGAGTCTATGTTTTAAGCCTTTTTCCAAGTTCGCTTCTTTAGCGAATTCATCTATAATTGCAAGTTTACTAATCAGAACATTTTCTTTTGAATCAGCCCCTGAAAGCATGTACCCGCTAACAGTGATTTAAAACTTCTTTACTAGTGAGTTTTTTTTTTCATAAAAATAGTTGGCTATTAGAGAGAAGTTTTGAATCACTATGAACGGGGATATTTGATAAGCTGCCAATAACAAATGAAAAAACATAAACAGTGAAAATCATCCATATAATTGCAAATATTTTTTCCAATATAGTCCGTGCATAGATGTCACCATAGCCTACAGTTGATAAGGTTGCTATTGCTCAATAAAGTGAAGTCAAGTATAAAGTTCCAGTATTTTCATCCATTAATCCATTTCTAAATATCCAGGTATCATAATAAAATCCATTAATTTTGGCAGAAAAATATCAAAGACATGCTGCTATATGTATGCAAATGGCTAAAGTAATAACAGTAGTCAAGAGTCTGACTCTGTTTGTTTTTAAATTGAAGAAATCTTGAAGCTTTTCTATAAATTCGCTATTTTTGTACTTTTTCAATAACTTTACCACTCTGGAGATTCTGAATAATCTATATAGCCTAGGCAGCCTCAATAAAGACATACTGCCGTTATAATTTCCACCAGAAGATGTTGCATCGCTAGGAAGCAGGCTGTATGGGACTGACGATACTAAATCAATCAATAATCACGATTTAAAATATTTCAGAAAAATGCGCCACCTACTTTTAACTAGCTTTCCTTCAGAATCAACGTATGCACACATTAAATTAACAACTATATCCACAATAAAGAAGCAATTGACAATTAAATCAAGCATAAATCACGTGTCTCACATTGTCGAATTCACAAAAGCCATGCTGTATGGCATTACTGTGGCTGTATATATCAAAATTAGTGCCATCACCAAGTCTCAGAATGTTCGAAATTTATGGTCTGGGTGGATAATTCCCCAAGGAACTGGCTCCCGAATTTTTTCAAGGCCTTCATTAAAAGCTTCGACAACTCTTAGAGAGCTCCTTGAGCGACGAACTTCATTAAATTCGTTGACTGTGATAAAATTTTGGTTGACTGTTTTGATATTCTTTTTGAGCAAAATCAAAGCAAGAAGTCTTGAGCGGGCTCTTTTCCAAACATCTTGATATTTCGATCTAAAGCCAAATGAAGAATCGTTGAACGTGCTTTGCTCTATTTTGGAGTTATCTGGTTTGATTTTATTTTTTCAAGGTTTGTTGGAATCTTCCAATGGAGATGGAGTTATATGTGTAAGCCTTCTATTGGCCAGGAGAGATCTTTTTGGTTTTTCTTGGAAATGAATTCCTAATAAATTAGAATTTGACGAGAGAATTTTAATAATGGTTGCAAAAATTGAGTTTTATTATAAATCAGCTTGTAAGATTATTAAAGCTAACCAGTAACCTTAGAAAGGCACAGAGATATTAAAATATAGCAGTCGTAATATAAAATATCAAAGAGATCAAAGCTGCATTTTGATTAAAAAATATGATAAAATTGTGTAACAAAATATTAATGTAGATGCTAATTAAAATGCTCTTCCTTAAATTCTTTTTTTAAATTAAGCTATTTATTTAAAAAATCATCTCATAAAACCAATATTTTTAAAATGTAATGGAGAAAATCACAATTTTAAAGCTAGAAAATAATGTGATATTTAGGGATTTATTTAATTGATAACCATTTTAATTTGCATACTAATTTACTCAGCTTTAAAATAATGAAATATTTTTGCTGATTTAACTAGGCATAACTTATCATTCATTCATTGATCAGGGAATTTATGACCTTAAGGATTTATTTTAGAAATACTCTATACCAGCCTGCCTTAGCCCATTCATATTCCCAGCTTCTTTTCTTTTTGCTGCTTATACTTCATGCTGGGTCAGTCTCTTCTTTTGCTCCATCTCTCATTGGTATCTTCTTTCTCTCATAGGATCACTTTATGAAATTCTTTGATTGCGTCCGTTTTTTTATTTATTATTCTAAAAATTAAAACCGTTTCTATTTTTTCTTTCTCCATTCTACGATTTCTTTTTCAATTCCTTCTCCAGTTTCTCCATCAATTTCTCAAAGTTTTAATTCTAATAAAATATTATTATCAATTAATACGCTAATGCTAAAAACCGAATAAATTGTTGGTAGTAAAATTGCTAATTAATTATTTTGCATGATGGCTTCATTTCTATTTCTTATAGTATCAGCAGCAGTTTAAAGCACAAAACTTGAAGATTATATTGGGCTGGATGAAATGAATTTTGTATGGCTGCCTATATTCAATGTCTAAAATTAGTTTATAGCATTAAATCAACATAAGTTTGAGCATTCCAAAGCTATATTTGAATTATTATTTATTTTTATAGATTCAAATACAAGCAAACTACATTAGCTGTTTATATAAAAAATATTATCATCAGCAGTTAATAATACAAGAAGCACTTCTAAGCTTAAAGATGCTTATAATTGCGAATATTTGTATCCTTCTCAATACTTCTAAAAAGTAGTTTATGGGATTTTAAAGCTTTGATGAAATTTAATAATTTTCATAAATAGTTGCAGTTATATATGGAGGTCAAAGGAGAATCATATGATGAACTTAAAAAAAAGCTTTCGAGACTCTCTATAGAAGATCTAAAGCATAGATTAGAACTCGTAGCTGCTGACATAAAAAACTTAGAAGATGAGCTTAAGCAGAGAGAAGATCTATTGAAGTTTATTGATGATCTTATAAAACAAAAGAGGAGGAAACTTTGCAATAAATAATGTACAATTCCTTTCAATTTGAAAGCTGTGATTGATTAGATTTTTATATTAAAGTAAATATATTGCTATAGAGCACAATTTTGAAATGAAGAATCTGTCAAAAAACTCAAGCCATCATGAGAAACAAAAAAGGGTTAGACCTTTATAGTAGCTTCCTAAGACAAAGCTTTCATTGTGAAGCTACATAAGTATCAAATCTCTTTTAAATTGCATTCATTATTATGACTAGCTAATTACTTATTATTATTGAGATTTAATCGTCATTTCTAATGATTATATAAACATTAAGATTCAATTTTTATAGCAAACAATGCTTCTAAACAAAACCAGATAAATAGCTCTTCAAAATATGAACAAGATCTCTAAAATAATCTTATTAACTTACAAATGTTTAGGCTATAAAGGGCATTTATTGGCTGAATTGTTTAATAATTTTGAATCTTAGCCTCTACAGCAACTTGTCTCAGACTATTTCAACGACCTCTATTATATGAATAAAAAATTCTAAAGATTGATTGCATCATAATCATAATTAAAATATGGCGTCTTCGTCTGGGCATGGCCTCCCGGCCATGCAGCCTCGACTCATATTTTAATTATATCCGGCAAGGTTTTACCATTTCAGAGATGGACAGCAATGCTAGGTAAGCAATTCTGGTAGCTTTCAGAGCCTAGCCCTAGTCTGATCTCAGGGGTGGATTTTTCCTCGTGGGGAAGGAGGGTACAAGGTTGGAAAGGGGAAGCTCAGCAAAGTCCTCTGGACCATCCGGGCAACTCCCTAGCGTGAAACTGGGCGTTACGTCCCAGGCTTTGTATTTTTCCTTTTTGCCGATAGCTGACCAGAAAAATCCATTTTTTGGGTTTTTTCGGAAAAGCAACCCATGTACAAGCAAGTAGCTCATTCATGAGCCGTCGAAGACGTGGACATTTGCCCTAGAAGCACCTTGGAGATCGAAGCGAGTCTGTCCCCAGCGGACTGGTGGGCCCGATGCGACGAAAGGCGAGTGATAAACCTGGGGTCGTAACCCCGTAGTGGACGTTAAGCGATATAAATTCCATAAGATAAGATAAGATTGCATCATAATCTCTTATTATTCTTTATTAAACCTAGAGAAAAAGCTGTTGATGTATTCCGAATGGTTAAAAGTTTCTGGATCTGAGTTGAACTTATATATATGAGCATGATAAAGATGATCAAGAAGGTAATAGTCTAAGTAGCTCTTTAATAGCATTTCACATTCAGGCTTACTAACTCATCCTCTCCGAGAGCAAGCATTTTATTTTTCTTGCTCACAGATGATATTTTATTTAGTCAATTTCAAAATCTTATGAATGTTTATCTAAAAATGATGATGATTCTAATTTGAGATCTAGAAGTCATCAATTCAATTATAGAAGTTAAATTTCATCAATGACGATCGATAACGGCGGATGAGCTAAGAGATTTAATTATAATAATTATCACTTATATATCCGCATATTTATTCTAAAAGATTTTGCTCACTCATCGATTTTTTAGAATTTTCCAATGGTTTACTAACTACAGGGAGTAAGATAATCATCCATCATATCTCCTTTCACAGGAACAATACCTTTCGATTTTTCCAGCTCATCAAAAAAAGTTATCATCAGATTTGACTTGCATTCTTCAGGGTTTTTTTCAAATTCATCAAAATTTGAGAACACAGCCAATCTCTGCACAGATTGCGAAATCATCAAGAAGTGCTCATTTTTCCGTCTTATTGGGAAAAGGAAGATTGAGCTTTCAGTGACTCTGGAGTTAAGTTTTTCAAGATCGCCTGAAGAAATCACAGCAGAAACCATGTCAGGTGCTTTTTGATGGTAGTTATTTCAGAGTGAAGTAATTGATTCTGGGGTTTCTTTTTCGAGAGCTGAGAGATTAACTACTTCTTCTAGTTTTAATATCGAAGGTACTGAAGAAAATAATCTTTTCAGCATTTATGTATTATTTATATTATAATCCCTCTCTTTTCAAATAGATTGAGATTATATATCACTTACATTTACTCATTTTCAGGTTTTTCTTTTGAGTAGAGAAACTAGACAGATTTTTAATTCAGCTTGATGCTAATTTCAATTGCAATTTAAGTTTTAATTAGAATAAATTATGCTGAGGGCTGAGGAGCTTGGGATTTTTGAACAATGCGTGCTACGATTTGTCTGAATGGCTCATGCACTTCTCTTACAGCTTGAATTGCACCTAGCTCATCTCTCCATCTATTAAGGGCTGGATAAGCACTGAATCAAACGAAGCCTTACACTTACACTTAATTAATATATAGAAAACTTCGCTGTACTGCCTCCACCCTTAGCGCTTCTCTCGGTTACTCACCACCATTCGTATCGCGACCTTCAAAGAGTTTCTCCTGCAGGACGAGGATGTGCACTCGCTACCCGTAGTCTGGATGAGTTGCGCCAGCTTGCAGTACGTCAACAGAGTTGCCGATTTCGAAAATTCAAAAAGTGAATGTTCTGGTAGGACTGTCGGCCAAAATGAAATCCAAAGCCTGGGACGTAGCGCCCAGTTTCACGCTAGGGAGTTGCCCGCTGGACCAAGTGGAGTGTTTGGCTTTGCTGAGCTTCCCCTTCCCAACCTTGAACACCATCTTGTTCTGAGGTAAAAAACCTGGTACCAGAATGAGCTGTGGTAGGCCTATTTCGACGTTGCGCTAGACTGCGCCAAGTAAAAAACTAGCCGGATATACTTCACCGAGCGCCAATTTCCCTTCCACAAGGTCCCCGCTGCCTTTCGGGCTTGCGGCTACAGGTGTTAAGAAAAAGGGTTGGTTCGCCATCGCCATTTTAATGTATATGAAATCAAACGAAACCAATTCCAAGTGACTGACAAAGCAATACAATAGAGCATCTGCGTAAGTTGGGTGAGCGGTTCTTGCAATGTAAACCCCAGTCGCGAATAAATCGTCAAGGGATTTAAGGAATGTGCGTGCATTTGCAATAAGCTCAGCTTCAAACTCAGGAGTAACTGGAGGTTTTCCCAAAAACATAGGAGCAATGACCTTATTGTAGGTATAAGGGATAATATTTTTCACAGTATTGGTATGATGCCAATGGAGTGATGAGTTGATTTTAGCTTTCTGTTGGAGGTCTGCAGGGAACCATTGGCTGTCTATGTGAAAAGCTTCAGCTAAATATAGAGGTTTCCTCTATATAGCGCTGAAAGCGCAGACATTTTTCCAGGAGCTTTCCAAGTTCGTCGGACCAAATCGCTTTTTGGTCCGACCAAGGCATTGATTTGGTGCAACCAACCGATAAATTCCGATCAGAATTTATCGGCCTTACAGCGCCAAACATAGGAAACTTCTATAGTAGACAATTGCTCCACTCTCACCCAAATGGAAGTCTCCATGAGTAATGGCAGGAACCAAGCCGTAAGGATTAATTGCTAACCCAAAGATTTAGTAATGAGCAAATCCTATAAATTATACTCAATTACCTTTTATAGCTCTGAAATTATATTAAATTTAGCCTTATAATAAATTCTTAAAAAAGAAAAACTTTCAAATAGGAAAAAATAAAATCGAATTAATCGAGGGAGTAAATATTCTGGAGACTTATGAGCACCGTGGGCCATATCAACATCAAGGAATTCGATAGGAATGCTATGAAGTTGACAAAATATGAGGACAGCCCTAACAGGAGGCGAAAGAATGACTCCGTGAACTTTTACAGTGTTGTCTGCCATTATTTTTATAGTTAAAATTTCTTCAACATTTTATGAATAAAAACGGCATCAGCTCTCTTCAGTACAGAAATAGATAAATTTTGTTTTATAATATCATTTCCAAGTTTAGATTGCTTTAATCGCATTCTGAAACAATTAGAGCACTAATTCAAAAATTTAACCTAATTATTTAAACACTTTTATCCTTAATCTTATAGCCAAATATTTTTGAGATCAATTCATTTTTCTCCTCAATTGTTGTTGAAACCATAGGGACTTTCATAAAGTCAGCCATTGTTGCTCTAACACTCTCAGCAAATTCTTTTATTGTTATATCTTCTCTTGGTAGAGCTACTGGTAGCCTATTGACAATTAGCTGATTCCTAATTTGGCAAAGAGAAATAAAATGATGATGCTGATGGGGATGGACTCTAACGACACTAACTATGGAACAAGTAGGATCAATCCCAATGAGTGCCTCTGCCATTTTTTGAAGTAGGCCTTCGGTTTGTGGATGCCTTGCCGAACAGGGAAGCTTTGTTACTCCCCCAAGTGCCTTCCTATTCCTGCCGGATGAGAGAGACAGATTTGCCTACCACACAGTCTTTCCTTATAGGGACCCCTAGATGGTGCCTCTACCCTATGGAGCTAATCTCTTTGATAAATAGTTCAAATTGGAAATCCAAAAGGGCAGCTTTTCATTTTCCTCATTTGAACAACGAAGGCTGACTTTTGGAGCTAAGGTAAGGCTTATGGCTGCATAATCTTAACTTAATTAATTTGGCAAATCAACAAAATTGCACTAATTCATATAGGAATCACAATTATCTATATTATCTATTACGCTTAATATCCACATTAGGTGCCCCGTCCTTCAGCCACCACTAACACTGATCTAGTTTTCGTGTCATTTTCTCACAGCTTGCTAAATTTGTGAAAAATTTGATAGATAGGAGTTTAGGCTTTGACAACCTTCTTTGAGCTCAGAAAACTCAATTAGGTCTTCAAGGGCCTTAACTCTAGCCTTCACGATCTTGAACTGTAGCTCTTTACTTCCTACATAACTGAGATAAAATCACCAGGCGAAATTAAACCCACTTTAAATTTTCAAAACTGGGCACAAGCCATTTGCCGTGAAATTTCCGGAAGCCAACCAAGGTAAATTTTAATTTAAATATGTCGTAACTAACTTAGCAGAGCTTCATGCCAATTATTAGAATTCTTTTATTGTTATTTAAGAATAATTATATAAAATTAGATTAAAATAGTTTAAAATTAATGATATTTTATTTGTTTCTCTAAACAGCGAGAGATCTGCATAAGAAGTACAAAATATGGAGTCCATTAGAATGGCTACATTTTCAATGATAGCAATTCATATTGGCTGGTGAGCTAATTAAATATGAGTAATAAATTTTCGGTCAGGAAATCAGAAAATTGGAAGAAAGCCATATTTTAATTATAGGAGCCACATCTATAGCGGCTGAGAAATTTCCTTCTGGATATCTCAACACAATTGGCTGCACAGGCAATTTAGCAATAAAAGGTCCCCTTTTAAAATATAGCAGTCCAGTTCCATTTGTAGTGGTCCCTTCCGGGAATAGCACCAGCTTGGGGTACCCGACCTTCTTAGCTATCTCAATTTCTCTTTTTTCTATCAATTTTAGCGCTTCTTCTCTGCCTTCAAATCTATCAATAAACAAGCATTGCATTGCCGTCGCTATTGTCCCAATAAATGGAAATCCTTTAACCCCATTTTTGGAAACAAGTGAAGGAACGTCTTCATCACAAAGAAAGTATAAAATATCAAAAAATAAATAAATAAATTAATTCATAATAATAATCGTGTATTTACAGGTCAACTTTTTCTCTCCTCAAATAAAATATCAATAAAAGATGTATGATTTGAAACAAGCACACAAACTTTGTCAATAGCCTGCCCATGATTAGTTATTTTCCAATATCCCAAAGCTAGTAGTAACGTCCTGCTCCAAAACCTTGAAGAAAGCTTGAAAAATGCTCGTCTTTTAGAAGTTAGTGGCTGTGACTCTATAGGGAATTTATACATCACAATTTTAGCTGAAACCCAATGCATAAATACACATGTAAAAAGGAGGAGCAGTCTGAGATAGAGGAATATGATTGCCCCAAGGTAAAATTTTAGCCTATTTCATTTTGGTATATCTCACCTACGAAATATGTCGACTCCTGAATTTGGGAGATTTCTTGTATATTTGATTAAAGGTCTAAGCTTATAAAGGCAAAGCTCGATGATCATTATTGGTGATATCACGAATACACATATAGATATTAAGCAGATCCACATTTATTATTACTCATATTCCAATTATTTATATTATACTGTGACTTCTATCATCTTCCCTTCAGGCTGCTTAGGAATGGCGGACTGAGTTTCAACCGATTTTGTAAGGCATCTTATGAGGAATGGATATGATATTGCCAAGATAGGCATTATTATTGCCAAGGCCAGAGCAATAGTAGGGCCAGTAAGAGCGCAAAGTTTAGGAGGTGATTTTCCATCACTTTCCTTGTTGCAGTCTCCACTGAAATTTGCACGAGACAGAACCATCCACGTGATGAATCCGGCTACATGCAAAACCCATGCTCCATTGGCCGAGCATATGCCAGGGACTCGCCTTAATTTGTTGGTCTTTAAAGCAAGTCTCAGGGAAATGGTCCAACTGACCATTAATAGCATCGCCACAACTTCGAATAGGACGTAAACAATTTCGCTTACCCAAAGGGACGCAAACATTTTGCACCAAGTTGACTCGTTGATTTGGATGTCTTGGGACAAATCACTTCTGCTGCAGTACGCCTTAAATAAGTCAGAGTATGAAGTGCCTTTAAGACCTCCTAGGCCCTTGTGAACTGAGTTCAAAGAGCCTGTCCATCTCAAATCATAATATTGGCCAGAAAACCCGAGTTTCAGCCAATCTTCTGATAAGAGAGACCAAGTCATGAGCCCGATGATTGAGATCTGAATAGCCTGGAATAAAGTCCAAACTCAATCAGAACACTTTATGTGTATTTTCTCTGTTTTCAAGTTAATCATCGCTAATTTATTATTATTATCGTCATGTCTGTTACAAAAAAAAGCCTAAAAATGTCCAGCAAATAAAAATGGGAGTTGGGTGGGTTCAAAAATTAAACAATTATTAGATCGTTTTAAAGATTGGAGCCAGTCATCTGTGGAATTGTTTAGAAATTTATCAAAATTATACTTTTTCGAGTAGTGCAAGCTTGGCTTTGATAGAGCTCACCAACATGTCGTTTAAGTCATTAGCCGCCTTGATTCCTTCTCCATTATATGGATCAAGGAACTCGAGCTTGACTTCTTGCTGCTGTACATATCTTTCTAATTTGGCTGCTTTTGCTTTGATTTTTATCCTGTCTCGATCTGTGAGATTTGTGTCAGCCAGACCTTCGACTCATTGTTTCGCATTTCTTCCAAAGACTGGGGAGTCTGAGTTTTCTCTTTCTTTCCTTTTTTCTGCTAAATAGTCAATAAATATTGGCTCTCTTGGAGGCTTAAGCTTCGGGACCATAGGGTTTTCTTTTCATTTTCTTGAATGAATCGATTGATTCCCTTCAGAGACTCTTCGCTCGCTTCAGCTGTTTATAGACTTTTTGTGTCGAGCTGAAAAAGGGTCATGCTTTAGCTTTTCTATTAATAATTTCATTTCTTTTTGCTTTGCTGGGTCATAATTAAAATAAGACGTCTTCATCTAGGCATGGCCTCCGGCCATGCAGCCTCGACACATATTTTAATTATATCTGGCAAGGTTTTTACCATTACAAAGATGGACATGCTAGGTAAGCAATTCTGGTGGTGAGCAGAATCTAGCCCAAGTCTAATTTCAGTGGTGGATTTTTTTCCTCATGGGGAAGGAAGGCATGGCAGTTGGAAAGGGGAGCCCAGCGAAGTCATTAGGACCAATCGGGCAACTCTCTAGCGTGAAACTGGGCGTTAGATCCCAGGCTACATGTTTTTCCTTTTTGCCGATAGTCAGCTAGAAAATCCATTTTTTAGGTTTTTTTGTGCGGACAGCTTGTGTCACAAGAAAGTAGTTCATTCATGAGCCGACGAAGCTGGCAACACTGCTCCAAGCGCGTCTTGGTAAACGAAGCAGGTTGTCTCAGCGGCCTGTGGGCCCGATGCGCTGAAGAGATGACAGAAAGGTCTGGGGTGCCTACCCCGTAAGGGACGTAAAGCATTATAAATCTTAAGTAAGTAAGCTTTGCTGGGTCTATTATTGGTGAATATGCCTCTTTAATTATTTCTGAATATAAAAGCTGCTTTTCGAGTTTTATAGAAATTGCCCGAGGATGGCGCTATATTGCGCCATCCTCGGGCAATTGGAGACACGGCTCCACACGGGAATTGTGTTCCACGTGTGGAGCCATTTTTCCCACGTGGGAAAATGTGGATTCCACACGTGGAAAAATGGCTCCACACGTGGAATACGGTTCCCGTGTGGAGCCAATTTTCGCTTGCCCTAGGATGGCGCCATATAGCGCCATCCTAGGGCAAATCCTATAGCTTTTTCTGTAAAAATTCTTTTTCTTTTTCTTCTTTCAGCTTTTTTTCTTCTTCTAGGATGTTGTCGTAGAATTTTGACTTTAAGTCAAGAGAAGCAGAGTTCGCTATGTGATCAATAGATCTCTGTTTGGCTCTTTCTCTGCGTCTTTCTTCGCACTCTCTTAGCATCTCGTCATGCCTTTTTTCGTACTCAGCTAATTCATTATGATCTAATGGCTTAAAGAGCATTCTCTTTTTGGCGAGTTCAGCTTTTTTTCTTTCAAGCTCTGGCATAAGTATTTCATTTGTATAAAGCTCGTCTAATTTTTGATATAGAGGCTTTTCAGATAAAATTTTTTTGGTTTCTTTTTCTTGAATTTCTTTCATCAACGCGATTTCCTTTTTTCTTGAGCGTGATTTTTCTTGAAGCTCTTTTAGTTGCTGCCTTTTCAATTCGTCTTTTTCAAGCAGCATTTCCTCCTTCAATTTTTCTTCAAGTAAAACTTCTTCTTGTATTTTCCTTACTCCCCCCCTCCGTGAGTGAACAAAACCATTAGAAAAATCGCTATTTTTTGCCCAAAAAACCCACCCTCCGTGAGTGAACAAAAATTTTTTTTAATAGAAAAATTTTTTATGGAAAAAGTTTTAATATATAAATGATAATTAGTATAATGAAATATAGAGCGAATTTTGTTTAATTTTAAACAAATTGCTTTTTAAAACATAAATTTTGCAAATTGAATTAATATTTGCTTTCCAATTTTTGCGAATTAGGATTTTTTTAAATTTCGAAAAAAAAATATTTTTTTAATAAAATTTATATATAAATTTTTTTTAAAAAAAAAAATTAACCCCCCTCCGTGAGTGAACAAAATTTTTTTGTTCACTCACGGAGGGGGGGTGGAGTTAGCATTTCATTTTCCCGTTCTTTTAATCTTTCTTCGCGTTCTTTCATTTCTTTATTTAGCTTTTTAGTTAGCTTTAAAGCTGCGATTGCTTTTTCTTCCTCTTCTTTTTGACGTCGTTCCAGCAATGCTTGCTGAGTTTCTTTGTCAGTTTCTTCAGAATTTCTATCATCAATTAGTTGTTTTAGCTTGATTTTCTGGGTTTGCCCATCATTTATTCACTTGATCCTGATTCTTTTCAGTACTTTGTCAAGTGTTGACCCTGTAAGATTGGTTATTTCAGATAAAGTTTTATTCGAAATGCCTAAAGAGTCAATTTTTCTTTTTAGTTGCTCAGCCATTTATCGTGAGAAGATTTTCAACTCAATTTTTTTACTTTATCAATAATTAACTTCTCACTATTTCATATGCACGAAAGCCAACATATTTTTTAAGTTTTTGAGGCTCATTTTGTGCTAATGGTTTTAAATCATTAATGACCTTAAAGAGTTTAAGAGACAATCTACAAAATAAATCAAAATTTTCTCAATTTTTTTTCTTTCCATATTGCTTTAATGTATATAAATTTATAGCAATCTTTTATAATTAAATTCATTGATTAAAAAATCAAAAATCTTCTACTCTTTGCTAAGCCCTCATAGGATTTCTTCAATTTCCTTACCGAATATTACTTCAGCAAGCATCTGCAAATCCTGTTCACGCTGATTTTCTATTAAATCAAAAGGCAAATTAAATTCCCATATTTTATTATGTCAAGTGGGTATTCACATAAAGAGAATAACCTTTCAAATATCGAACGAAAAATCCTCAAAAACACCTTTTACCACAACGCAAACGATCTCCACTACAAAGAAGAATCAATGAGCAACCGCTCTCAGTTCAGTTGCTCAGGGAAATTTCAAACCTCGATATCTCGTCCTAGCATGGAGATTTCAAGAGCGATATCTCAAGATTCATTTCGAACAATCGAGCAACTTTTTTCAATTGGGCTCCAAGAAATTGACTTAAGTCGTTTAAGCTTTCAGGACGAAAACGACGTCGCTTTAAGACTTCAAGAAGTTATAAGGAAAGCGGCTCCTGGAGCAATAATCACTTTGCCTCCCCAAAACATCACCTTAAATGGACTTTTGATTACATCCCCGATAACCATCAAAGGAACGCCTGGCTGCACCTTGGAAATAGCGAACGGGTCAATTGTAGTTGATTTCAGCAGTCACTCGAAAGAGAGCATGATTGGATCAATATCAGAATCAGCGCTGATGTGTGAGCTTTCTATTATTTTTAACCTCACTGGGGGTGCTGCTAAGTCCAGCACGTCTCCGCCAGCACTCTTTATTATGGACTCACCAAATACAAGTATAGAAGTACGCGACTGTGATATTCGAAGCATCAATCATGAAGAAAAAGAGATGGTTTCTACAGTAGAGGACTCTTCAGAAGAGCTGCAAGATGTTTGCTTTTGAGCAAATGGAATTTCTTTCAAGAGACACGCAACAAGGATTGATTTGAGATATAACAGTTCTCTTGTCATAAAATCGTGCAATATCAGCAACTTCCATGAGATTATCAAAGGAGGTATAAACTCCTCAATTCATATTGAAAAAACTCATATAAACAACTGTATTGGAAATGGAGTCAGTATATTAAACCCTACCAATTTTCAACTATTAGAAAGCGTCATTCAAAATTGTCAAAAAACCTCAGTCGAAATTAGGATAATTCCAAATTCAAGTTTTGGAAAACCCAGCTCACGGTCTGGCTCTTTGACGAATTCAAGAGAAATCCAATCAAGGACGATTAGAATTGAAGGAAATGACATAAAAAACTCTGGAGCTTATGGAGTCAGCATTTGAAGCGAGCATGTCTGCCATTTTCCATCTATTGTGAATATAATAAAAAATAAAATCGAGCAGTCTGCTAAAGAAGCTTTAGCTGTGCGCCATTTAGCGCTCCAAGACCTCTATGTTTTGTCTAATGATTTTAATTGAAGCCAAGGAAGCGGCTTGTGGCTGCAAAAAGTATACAAATTGACCCCAGATTCCCGAATCATGGTTACACTTAATCGATGCTATGATTCCTGTGGAGGCTATGGAGTATATTTGTATGACGCTGGAGGAGTTTTCGATAACAATGAACTGTATAGAAACAGCTTAGGAGGGGTAATGGTGGTAGGTAGCTCCAATAAAGAAGCAGAAATTGAAACAAGCCTTGAAATAAAAAAATGCAAAATATACAGCAATGGGGAAAATGGAGTCACTGTCCTCGATTTCTACCAGGGAAGCATCACAATTGACCAATGCAAGATTACAGAAAATTATCATAACGGAGTATATTTAATGCAGTCAAGAGAGCCCACTTCTTATGTGAAAGGAAAAGATCAAATAGCTCCAGAAAACCTTAGAGGGACAGTCATTCTTTCTAATAGTGATATCTCTATCAATAAAGCATATGGAATCACCGTTGCGAAATTCAGAGTGGTCATAGAGAAAACTCTCATCGTTGATAACACACAGGGAGCTATGCTAATAGGCGAAGGATCTAGAGACCTGGTTACCTTCTTAGATGACCCTGAAGAAATGAAACATAATATCAGCGGAAATGTAGAAGGTCCTACTAAGGTCTTTATCCAAGGAGGAAGAAATATTTGTGGGAAAGGAAACCTGAAATGCATGATTTATTAAATATATATAATGTTTTAAATAAAAATAAAATGGACTCTGAAGTTTCCTCGATGAAGTCGAAGTCAATGAGAATGATTGACCCAGAGTGTGGGTACGACAACCCAGAAGAAGGGCTCAAAGCAGAAGAGACTGCACAAAGAATTAACAATAAATTGAATCCTAAAATAATGCCAACTAGGACTTACTTGAACTCAACTGTTTCAGAGATCGTGCTGAAAGCGCTATCAGAGCTTGACCAATGTCGACCAAGCAACCCAGTCGAATTTTTTGCTTATTATTTGTTGAAGCACAACCAATAAGATATTTAAAAGAAGCTTTCTAATCAGTCACATTAAAATTAAATTTTAATAAAAGTCTAATCTAGCCTATTCATTATCTGGAATTCTTGGTCCCTAGAAAGCTGATTTTGCATGATCTGCTGAATCGTGCTGTGGTACCCATTTTCAATCCTATTTAACTCTCTCCTAAACTCTTTTGAATTCTGCGAAAATTGCTTAATGGCATTATGGATGATACAGCTTGGTGAATCTTCATAATGCATTAATCGGTATTTTTCAAAAATCTCCCGCTTTTCAAGCTCTATTTTTGTCTCAATTTCTTGAGTCACTTCAATGAAGCGCTGGTCTTTAAAATTGATTAAAATTCCTTTAGTTTCTGCTTCTCTAATCATTATAAGTGTAGCCTTTGTATTTTTGTTATAAATTTCTCTCATAATACTTAACACAAAATCAGACGTCATGAAATCTGGTAAAGGACTTCCTATGACTGGGAGTATCCCTTTAAACGCGTTTTCGACGATTTTTCTAGCCTTTAAACAGAGGTCTTGGATATCACTGTTTAGGGTTTACGGATCATCATGAAAATCCTTTTTAAATGCTTTTTCGACGACCTTTTTATTTGTATTAAATCTTTCATAAACTCTTTTTTCTAGCGATTCCATTTGCTTTGGAAAGGAAGCTAGATATTACTTACTGCTGGACTCTATCATTTGTAGGATTATCTTTTCAGGATAATTTGGGCTCATTTGTTCTCGGATTTGAGCTGCAGTTGTTGCGAGGGAGATGGCGAGCGCGATCATTTCTCTGTTTATTTCTTTTAGTATAGCAAGGAGAAGGGTTTTTGAAACATAAGTCTCGTGGGTGTGGGCTTTGGGCTTTTTGTGGAAGAGGAAGTTGAATCCTGCATATCCAATTCCGAGTCCGATAGTTAGCCCGAAAAGGGATTTGGTTGATAGCCAGCTTAGACTCATTATTATTTATGGCCAAAGAATAGATTTAGATGAAGATATTTTAATTCAAAACTTGAAATAAAATATAGATAAATAGAATTGATGAGAATAGATAAAACAATTAATAAAGCCATAATAAATTAATTAGTGAAAGTCTTATTGAATAAAGTCAAAGCTTAGTCTTATTATTTATTTAATGAATTAGTTAATTATTCATATGGTATTCCAAATTTCTTAAAAAGTTTCGCTACTTTCCCTCGATTATCTGAATTCTGAATCCTCCCTAAATGGATGGTCTGCACATTTCTTTTTTTTTGTTGAACCTCCATAACAACCCCCATCAAGCTTATCAATATATCATTATCATCCTTTTCCTCCACATTTTCAATCTTCAGCCTATTTAGCATGTTATCCCTATCATCCAATTCAATTTGCAGTGTGTCTATTTGCTTTTTATAAGCGTCCATTGCTTCATTCTGGTCCAGCAGCTGCTGCTCTCTTTTATTCAATTCATTAGAAATTTCATTTTTCTCATCAATGACTCTTTTGATTTGTTCTTCTCTTTCAGAGTTTGTACTCTCTATATCAATGGCCAAGTTATCAATATTCAAGTTTAAATCTAATTTTTGTTTTTCCAGGACCTCTGCAAGCTCTTTCGCAATTGCTTCTTTTTCAGCCCTAAGCTGGCCTAGCTTTTCTTCATACTCGTCTATAAGCTTGTTCCTGTTTTCTTGTTCCTGCAGTTTGAATTGATTAAGTTCGCTTTGGAGGCTTGAAACTCTTTCAAGCTGAGACAAATATTTAGCGTTGCCATTCTGCTCTTTTGAAAATTTATTGAAAATGTCTTCTAAATAGTCTCTGAAAGACCTGAGAATCGAAGAGTCTTGGCGAGTGCTTGGGGCTTCTGACTGTGTTTCCATAAGTTTAATCCTTCTTGACAGATCATTGATTTGTTCATTTTTATCTGAAATTATTTTTTCTTGTTCTTCTCTGAGCTCGTCAAGCGACTTTTCATACTTCCCATTTTCCAATTGTAATTTATAAAGTTTGCTTTCCATGTCGCTGATCTTTTTTTCGTACATGTCTCTTTCTGCTTCAATCACCATTTCTCTTTCTTTTTGGGCTTGTTCAAGTTCCAGCTTCAATCCTTGGATTTCTCTGGCTTGGAGTCTGGCTTTGCTTTCAGCTGCGTGTATTCTTGAATTGACATTGGCTTGAAGTTCAGCAATTTGTTTTTCTCTCTGCTCTAATTGCTTTTCGTAGTTTTTATTGGTCTCTTCTAACAAATCCCTCAGTCTTTTTTCTCCAGCCCTCGCCTCATCTCTGTGCCTCGTTAAATTTTTGATTTCTCGTTCCAAATCCTCTTTATCAGTATCTGAATGGCTGTGCATATCTCTTAATAAGCTACACATATGAGGTACCAAAAACGCAATCTCTTCTGCAAAAACAGTCTCAGCCATCGGTCCTTCAGCGTTATCTTGATACTTATTTATAGCATTTAAAATACTTTGCTCCAGTTCCGTCACATTTGCACTACCATCCTCATTATATTTCAGCGCTTCTGCCTTAATTGGGTCAAAGGCTGATTTAAAGGCATCTCTGCATTTGGCATCACTAGCTTTATTATTAGCTGCTTTTAAGTCTTCATAATAAGAGTCAATTCTTTCAATAAGACTATTTCTTTCTTCTTGGACTTCTTCCTGCTCGATTACTCCTAGCATCATCCCATCAAATTCTTTTAGTAGCTCTTTTAGCACAGATTGGTGCTCTTTCCATAGATGTTCTTCATCACAGGGCATGTCATTTTCAATTAGTCCCATTTTGTCTAGGTAGCATTTATATTAATATTAATATAGATAAGGGCTCTTCGGAGACGATTCTTCGTAGAAGACTAGTTCAGCTGCTAGTGACCTCCTGGATATGTCAGCTTTTCCACAAGAGATAGCTCTTCTCTAGCTTTCGGACTGGCTTTTAATGCTGTCTCGGATTCTTGGAGTATACAGGCTTGGGACAAACGGCTGCTGCATGAGTGACTAGAATTCCAGTTAGGGATAAACTCCATATCTAATATCAGTACTAGCTTTGCTGTCGTCGGCACTAGTGATCTATAGGAGTAAAAAGCCCTTTTTTAAATATCCATAGAAAAGACAAAAATCTTTATTGCTGGATGAGGGAGGCAAAACCCAACCGAAACAAAAATGCCTAGTACCTGTAGACTCCGTTTCCTCCTCAGTATGACTTCAGGCCGCAGCAAAGCCCCCCCAAATTCGAAGCAGGTCTGAGAGAGAATGGGTCGGTGATGTCGCCATTTTTTTGTCTAGGTACCTGATAAATAGCTTTTCTTTGTGGCGGCGCGACTCTGAAGCTACAGCTCTTTCAAAAGCATTTAGGATGACGGCAGGAGCTTTCTTATGAAACCTATGCACAAAGGCCTGGGCCATGTTAGAAAGGACAGCTCCGCTTATGAGCTTCCCATTGAACCTTTTATTTTCAGTGCTTGACCTTATATATTCAACAAACGGAGCAATTGAAGCTTGATATGCTGATTTTTGCTGGGGATTTTTGTCGTCAATTAAAGGAGGAATGCTAAAACACGCCCGCTTTTTGAAGAAATTTTTGATGTTGGTTTTTATATTTGTGATTGCTGCAGGCTCTCCAGCTTGCTTTGATAAGCATTTTTCCAAATATTTCCTATGTAGCCTTTACGTCGCAGACTGTCCTCCTAGCTTGATGTCAGGCCCAGAAATAACCCAAGAGAGGCTTGGAAGATAATTCCCCAGATAGTTCCTTGAGTCTTGTTTTTTTCTATATAAAGCTTACCTGACCAAAATAGCTGTTGGCAATTCATTTAGGATTTCAAGATCTTGCAAGTACTGATTATTGATTGCTTGGCTTGTGCAGAGCACAAGATGAGAGCTTAATAAAGAAGCCAATGCGAGAATTTGGAGTCCTAACTGGATGTTTTGGTCTGGCCGAGATGTAAAGGCTTCACAATCAAGAACAAGAAGCTCGCCTTCTTTTTCAATTCCAGTATCGTCTTTTTGGATTACTTTTATAGACTGGTTCCAAATCCAAATACCCCTTGTTAGCATTTCTCGACCGTTGCCAACTTCAAAACCTTGAGGCCGATCGAGGATTTTGTTTGCAAGAGTGGATTTTCCTACACATGGAGAACCAATTACACATACTAGACCAACTGAATTTGTGTAGCTTTGAAGATGGGCGATTCCTTCTGTTGTGACTTCCATCTCGCCATTGTCCTTTATATCAATAAGTTTCAAAGGCCTTCCAATATCCATTATAATTATTTGAACAAAAGAAATTAAATAAAATTGTTCTTTAATAACGGGTTGAAAATTTTAAGTGAAATTCTTATAAAACTTTTCTTTATATAACCCTGAACTAGTTAATTTATCAGAATTTAGTGTCTTAAACTAATTAAAATCAGTTCAAATAATTTAGGATATTTGCATATATGCTCGAATTTAATAATAGAGTTATTAAAGTAATCCTAGTAACTATTATTTAATTGTTCATAGGCTAATGGAAATTAAAATTAATGGTATCCAAAAATTTATAAAAAAATTACGTTATGAATCTATATACGTGTGTTGCTCGGTCTATGTCTTTACATTATATGTCAAGAGCTTATGAAGTACATCCTGCGTTATATATGAATTATTTGGTGCGAACATCATTATGAACCCTTGAAGATCAATACCTTTATCTGTGCGATACTGATCATATAATTTGTGTAGATTTTCTTCTTGAAACTTGTCTCCAAGTACTTTTTTCAACGCTTTAAATCCGATGAACCCGTCTTTATCCTTCTCAAATTTATCAAAAAGCTGTGGATAAATCTTTGCTGTCCTAAATGACAGTCTTTTCCTATACTCTTGATTATTTTCCAGAATCGGTGTCTCAGGCTCTAAATTGGCTAAATATTTCTTACGGTCAATAATTCTGACAAGTCTTCGGATTTCGGCCGGTGTAGCATTCCTATAGATCATTGAAAGCATTTGTGTGAAATTCATGATTTCGCTGGTCTGAGAAATGAGATACAGTAAAATAGCATGGCGAGCCAGCCCAACCTCATAATATTTGTTAAGGGAAACCAAGGGACCTTGCGAAAGGGAGGAAGGCTTTGGAAATGTGGCCAGGCTTTTCTTGTTTGGTGGAGCACAACGTGGGATTTAGGCTGCCGCAAGCTCATTACAGGTTAAGGCTCTGCCTCTGTGGATGATAATGCTTGGTTTTGGAAAGGGAAAGCCTAGCAAATTCCTTAGGACCAATCGGACAATTTACTAGGCTCAGGACAGCAAGTTTCATCTTGACCTGAAAATCAATTTCACATTTTTTGAAAGAGCCCAATCTGGAATACGGCATATGACCCCAGCCCGATACACTTCAGTTAGTGTGTGAGTGCATTACTGGAGGAGCATAACCGATAGACGCGAATCAAGATAGAGATAAATACCATGAAGATATATCCGGGAGCTTTTCGATAATGTTAATTAAGATTATGATTAGGTCTGAGGAATGAGGTCTGCGTCGTATACAAGGTCTCTTTCTTGCAGCATTAAATTGTGGATTAAAAATGAAATTGCTACGTTTTGTCCTTTGGCTGCTGCTTTGAAGACCTCGTAAAATCTATTGGCTTCGCATCTGGAAATTAACTCATTTCCAATGGAAACACTGAAGTTATCAGTTCGTTTTTTTCTGAAAGATGATCTTCTTACTTTTGAAGTGGCTGATGTGTCTCTTTGTCGGCTTGTGGCTCGGGCTTTAATTGTGAAAGGTGAAGCTCCGATAGTTTCAACCCGACGGTGTCCTCTTTTTATTAAGGGTGTTTTATTCCGGGGCGAATTTTCTGTAGCGAAAATTTTAAGCTCTTTCATTTTGATATTTTTATTGAGAAGCTCAGTTAAAGTTTGATTCAGAAATACTAAATTTTTGAGGCTGAATAATAAATTACTCATCCAAGCTAATTTTTCCATTTGTGTTTTTATTAAGTACAGAGAAAAAAGTGTCACAAAGAACCAAAATGCTAGGCTCTTCAATTTCAGGGCCTCTTGTCATATTTCCAATAGCCCTGATGAACGATCTGCACAACAGTAAGACCTCATCCTTTGTCAAGTATTTACTGCCGTCCAGATCGAAAATGTACATTGCAAGTTTCAATTTTTCATTTAACTCCATGTCACTGTATGTGATGGCTGCCGCAAAGATTTCAAGGATGTTCAACTTCTGAGAGCTAAACATATGAAAAGCATTGAAAATCACATCTTCCATGCCGCCCATTGGAGAAACTCTTGCTAATCTTTTCACCTCAGCTCTGGACAGGAGAAAGCCTTTTCCTGTGTGCAGACGAATGAATCTTTTATAAAGAAACATTATGTCAGAGAGAATTCCTGCTTAAAGCTTACATTTTGTGAGAATTTGCATGGAAAAGTCGACTGGTTTTAAGAGATAGCTGGCAAGTGATGTGCTTTGGTTGCCTTGTATCAAATAATTCCCCATTTTGAGTATAATTTAATTTTTACTACAAATCAATGATTAAGTATTTACTAATTAAAATGCTTTTAATGGGATTCATTGCCATTAATGAAGATGGCACGATACATTTTGTCTTTGATTGCTATAGAATTGAGATATTTTATCCATTTCTTTACTAAAGAATAATATAAGATAATTATTTTTCTTTTTCTAAATGATTTTAATTTTTAACTACCCATCAAAATTAAATGATATTCCTAAACTCATTTAAGTATCTTGCTTTATTAATATTACTCTTGCAAAGTGCTTCTTGCAATTTTAAATTTTTTTGAAAATGCCAAATAATTAGATCAGATTTCTTTCTTTTACATTATTTACTATATTGTATATGAAACTGTTGAACTTCTTCGTAAAAATAAAAAAATAATATAAGAAATTCATTTCCATGGAAAATCAAACTTATTCATGACTTCTTTCGTTAGTTAACACAAGAAAAACCCCTTTAAGAATTCTTGAAGCTGGCTTATGCAGAGGTGACCTACTGCAAGAATGATATGCCAACGATAAAAGTGGGATTGTAATTACAAAAACAACAAAGACCCTAAACAAAACTTCGCAACTATTAACTCACTTTTTAAACATAAGGTGTCCAATCTTAGAGGACTATTCCCCAGAAAAAATAATTGCTTATTTATATCATCAAAAAGGAAGGAAAGTGCTAACTCCCCACTCCGTGAGTAAAAATTGATAAGTAAAAATTAATTTAATTTTTAAAATTAATGTTTTTAAAATGCAAGCTGTTTAAAATTCAACAGAATTAGATAGAGATTTCATTATAATAATGATCACTTATATATGAAATAATTTTTCATAAAAAATTTTTTTATATTCGCTCACGAAGGGTTGGTTTTTGGGCGAAAAATAGGGATTTTTCCAATGGTTTTGTTCGCTCACGAAGGAGGGGAGAGTAAGAGCAAAAGAGGCAATCAATTTTTCCAAAAACCTCATGTACGGTTTACAAATGAGAAGCATCCATATGGCTCTTCCTGAGACTTATTCCAACGTGATGATAAAAGTGAAAGCCAAGAATGAAAATGGAGAGTTCAAGAATGAGCTCTCATATAAATCATTTGAAAAAGAAAACGGCGACGCTGTCAAAGATGAGTCCCTATGCGAAAGAGCCCACGAAATGACTCTGTTTATTGCAGAATATATATACCGATTTCAAAGTGAAATTGTTGACCAGCTGAGATATGATTTGTGTGTCGATGGGTATGGATATTATTATTTAATTAGGCTTGAAAACCCTGTTTTTGCCAAAGAGCTTAGCAACATTCCCAGGGTCAGGAATAAAAACAGGACTAATACCATTTTTCTTGACCAGCCTCCAGACCCTGACGAAGATGCTAGAAATTTAGAATCTGCAGTGCCAGAGTTTATTCCCATAGGAAAAGTTTCTGATAGGAGAAAATCTAGGGAATCTCTGAAATTCCGCTTTGATTTTAAATTCCACAGAGCACCTAACAGTCCAGTTTTTGTAAAAATGATTGCAAAAACAATAGAAAAATCTCACCAAAAAGCAATTATGAGAGAAAAACTAGAACAAAAGCGGAAAATGCTATACTCAGCAGATGTCAGCAGAGTGGTTTCTCCAAATAACGAGAGTAACCAGAAATTTGAATTTACCGACACTCCAAGGAACTTAAATGAGCTAATTGACGTGCTGGGTTCTGGACACCGCAAAAGTACTTCTGATGTGCATTTAGAGGAGTCAAAAATAATCAAAATATATCATTTTGTCGAAGCTCTGCTAATTGTTTCTCTTTCGGCAATAGTTGATTATGAGGTTCAGTTTTCAAGGAGAATCCTATCCTGTCTATACAAAGCCCGAAAATAAGCGGATTCTGGTCCTAGGGAACGGAAGGAATCGTATTTTTACTGCTCTCCAACCCGAGGAGGGTTGACCTTTAGCTGGAAACAGTCAAGTCGAGTATAGTAGCACTAAGTCAGGGCGACCTGTCGAAGCGGAATGTTGGCGTTGGCATCTTTCCAGTGGCTCCTTTTGAGGCCTCCTTCAAAAGTCCTTCCTGGCGAAACTATGGAAACCCCAGAGCGGAGGCAGCGGTAGCAGGAGGCTTGCAACCACATAGGAGACGTTAAACCATAAGATTTAATAAGATAGAGGAGTCAAACAACGAAGAGTACAAGACAAAACAAAGCTATAAGGATCACATAAACTTCGAAAGAAGACCATCTGAGCTTCACTTCGCAACAGCTTTAGCAACAAGGTTTTTTCAATATGAAAGAAAAACAATGACGAAAAGCATGGGGCACACAGCTAGCAATAGCAAGAGGAAACCTCACAAAAATCGATTGTTTCAGATTTATATGGGAGAAAGAGAGCAGGCACTGAGTACTAAATATTCATCAGTCCCCAATTCTCCAAAATCTTGCGGCAATAAAGCACACAACTTTGTGAGTTTTGCTTGATAATTTTAATCTTGTTACATAATGGGCATTAATTTTAAAGAGTTAAAGCCTTAGTTTCCTTATAATAATTGCCCAGCTCTAATTTAATATTCATATAATTATAATTTAGCATGAGTCTATTCATCGGCAATATCTCAAGAAATGTGACTGCAAAAGACCTTCATGCGATTTTTGACAAATTTGGAAAATGCGCTGTAGACGTCAAAGGAAACTTTGCTTTTATTGATTTTGAACAAGCCAGAGCTGCAGATCAAGCCAAGGGAGCAATGCATGGCAAAGAAATCATGGGAAACGTGATAAACATTGAATGAAGCAAGAAAGGGCCCAAAAATAAGCTTCCACAAGCGTCTAATACCTCAAAAAATGCTGCAAAAGCTGATATTGAATGCTATGTGTGTGGAGAATTAGGACATATGGCGAAAGAGTGCAAGCACCAGGAGAAAAACGAAAATGGGCATAAATTGGAGATTGACAGAGCTGGGATCCTGGAAAACCTACGAAAAGAAAAAAGCAGAACGAGGGCAAGACTTAAAAGTCCAGACCGCTACAGCAAAATGATGCTGATGAATTTTAATATTCTTAGACCCTTGTAGAGAATTTATTAATTATTAGATCTTGTTAAATTAGAAAATAAAACATTACAAATCTTCTTCGCTTTTTCTTTGCCTATGCCTTTTACATTCAGCATATCCTGCTCACTTTGTTTACTAATTTTGCTTAATCCCTCTTCCTATATCGTGCTTCCTGCTATTTTTCGATCAAGGGTAGGATAAAAATAATAAAATAAGATGTTTTATTTATTGATTTATTATTATTATAAATAGGCTAATTTTCTAAAAAAAATTATGTAGAATTGTCCGATTAAGGACTTGGGGAGCTAGAGTCCCCCATCTCTCCAATAGTTTCTTAATATCGCTTTTATTGACGCCTTTTATTTGTTTTAGAAAATCCCCTGCATCCTTATAAACCGGTTGTGGCTTAGGTCTTGATGCAAACCCTTCAATGTATTTTTGAAGATCCATGGCAGTGGCCGCTACAAGCAGTAAGCAATTGTACTCAAAGCATTTTATATTAATAAATTCCAAACATTGTAGATCTTCTAAGTCTAAAACCAAAAGCAGCACCCCTTGATTCTGTGAAAATGATCTCAAATTTCTGAGCTTCGCTTCCAAGTATTCAGGATTCTGTTGCACAGTGCTAATCCTACAGAAATTAGCTGAGCAGCTCGGAAATTGGATGTCAGTCGGAATATCTCTAACAGTTTTCGGGAAATGAATAGTCGCTATAATAGGATCTTTTAAGAAATTTGAAATAATCATAATTTATCCTTTTTTCAGGCTGAATCTCAATTGCTCTGCACTTATGACAGCCAGACAATTCTCTGCGACGATTTACTGAAAATTTTAATTGCCTGGCATTGCTCTTCAAAAGAATTGAATTTAAATATGCAGCAAAAATTTTCACCAAAAATTTAGAGCAGAATCATGAACCATTTTTTCAAGCCCTATTATCATAATTTACAAAAATAACCTATTAATAATTTACTAGCTGCTCGAAAATTTTTTTTTTTGTTTTACGTCTTACACCATTTATAGCACGACTTTTAGATATATTTTCTAGATATAACCGAGAAATCGTAATAAAAAACCATGGAAGATAGAGTGTTCAGATGCTATTATGAGCTCTGCAATAAAGTTTATAAAACAAAGTACACATTGGCAAGGCACATTAATTCAGAACATTTAAAAATCGGTACAGTAAATAACAAGTCTACTTCGATAGAAAGAGAAGAAGCAGATAGTATTGAAGCTAGAATTAATGAAACACAACATAAGCAAGTCGACTTATTCTTGCTTTCTCGGCGCATCATATGGCTTATCAGCTATTTTAGACAGCTATTGGCTTTATATTAATTAGCCAAAATAGAATGGTTTCTTTTTGACTTTTTTAAAAAAATGGAGTTATTTTTACAAGGAGATAGGTACTTACAGTTATCTAAGCTGGGTTGAGTGATATAGATACACCTAATGTTAATTTAAATTTTCAAACAACACAAGGCACTTTGCCAATCTTACCGCTTGTTGATAACAGTAGAAAAGTCTGTCCAACTGAAATTAAGCTTCCTGTAATGCTGCATCTCTTAAACTCTGTTGGGTAATTTCAAGTGCTTGCCAATGCAGATAATTGCTTTAAAATTATCTCTTATTTAGAATCAATTATTCTTTATGAGTTTTGATATTTGATATTTAGTAAGTGGGTTAAACCACAATAAAATGCAGAAAATTCTAGATAAAAAATCTTTATTTTCAAAAGGGTTGGGAATCCCTCTATTAAAATGGCCATATTCGAGTGCTTATTATGATCAGTAATTATTTTTCCTTGATATTTGGAAGGAAGCATTAGTGCTTATTAATCCTTTTTTGATGGGTCAAGATAGTGAAGGTTTATCGGACTTTTATTTACTCCCCTATCCTCCCGTCCTTGATCGAACGAATCCAGTCATTCGATCAAGGATTGGGATTTAAAAAATTTTTGGAAATAAAATATATATATATTATTTTTATTGCTTTAGTGAAATAAGAGGGTAAGATAGTAAATATTAAAACTACTAAAATAAAATTGTGTTAATTTAAAATTTTAGTTAGCCCCTTCAGCTTCCTTATTGATTATAGAATTTTCCCATAGATGGCGCTGTTTGCCCTTGATTTGCCCACTGAGAAAATTTTTTGGTTTGACTAAACCATATGATACTAGTCGAACCAAAAAATTTTCCCAGTGGCCAAATCAAGGGCAAACAGCGCCAAAATTTGGGAAAATTCTATATTTTTTATTTATAATAATTATAAACTTTTTAGATTATTAAGTTTTTGAGACCAGATGATGATGGCTAAAGCACTTCGAATGATTAATTCCGTGCAGGTTATTAAGAAAAACGTAAATTACTATAATTTGTCAATGCAATATTAATTTTCGTAAATTATAAAAAAATATAACTAATCTATTGATTTATGGCATATAAAATTTTGCAATACCTGAAAATCGCTCGATGAGGATGGGCGCTAATTTTCCAAAATTTTTTTGAAATTTATTCAAGGGAATCGTTCGATGGGGAGGAATTAGGTAAAATCTTTGAAAATTTGGAAAATAAAAAATCGCAGCCACTAGAAAATTTTCTCGTCAGTTATGCATTTTTTTAAGCATAATGACGCAATTAGATTCTACAGTAGAATCTTTTACTGGCATAACTTGTTTTTGGTTAATTTAAGCTTAAACATAAATTAAAATATTTTTATTGAAAGAAATAGAAAATGACTAAACTTTAAATAAAATTATTATAAAGTTTAATAAACATCATAAGAATCCTTATAACTAAGAAGTCGGTATTATAGTTTTACTTGGATTATTTTGAAAAGTTTGGTTGAATATGGAAGCGAAATCAAACTTTTTATTTCTCCCCAGTATTTCTTCAGCAAGAAGCCGCTCTAAGCCACGCGCTGCACCACAGTCTTTCAGAAACCTTACTCCAAGCCCTAAAAAAGCGCTTTCAAGTTTGTTACCATATTCTCCTACAGAATCGGTTCCAAAGCCAATCCATCTTATTCCTCCTTATATATCTGCAAAAGCATGAGGAATATTTCAGCCTAATACTGGAGAAATGCTATATGGCTCCAAGTTTGATGAAAAAAGAGAAATAGCAAGTCTTACCAAAATAATGACATGCATTTATAGCATTAAATTAGCTGGAGAACTCAATATAAGCTATTCCAATAAAATCACAATAAGCAAAAAATCAGCGGAAACAACAGGGACAACTGCCAAGTTAAAACAAAAAGACGAGATTATGCTTAAAGATCTATTTTATGGACTTATGCTTCCTTCAGGAAATGACGCTGCTGTAGCATTAGCTGAATATTTTGGTGGACTTAAAAATGGGTAGTTAATTAAAAAAAATGAAAAATTGCAAACTTTATTCCTATAAAGTGGCTGTAATTATTTTCTGGAGAAATCTGGAAAAAAATAATTTGCTTTTTATTGATATCCGTAAAAATGAAGGACCTCCAATATCGCAGTTCGTGAAAGGAATGAATGAATTCGCCCAAGAGCTAAACCTGGAAAATACTTATTTTAAAAATCCACATGGATTGTCAATAAAGCCCAACTTCTCTACGGTGAGGGATGTATGCAAACTAGCTTCTTATGCATTGAAAAATGACTTTTTCTGCTCACTTCTTCGCTTAAATTGAAACAAATATTGGCAATATTTTCTATAACCCTTTTTATATTGAACTGTTATTGTTAAAAATAATAATTCTATTATATCCAATTTAATATGGTAGAAATAAATAAGTTCTTCTATTCTGAACTGGGAGTATAAATAGAATGATATTAAAAAGTTAGCACTTTAAATTGATAAATTCACTTTATATAAATATTTTCCATTATAACAACCCATTTAAATGGAAAAGATCTTTTTATTCAATATAAGGGTGAGTCAGTTGTAAATACCAAAAGCTATTCTTGTTTGATTGAAAATACTGATTCTGGAGACAGAAAAGTTACATGAAAAAGTACAAATAAATTATTAGGAAAAGGTTTTGATGGTATAAAAACTGGGCATACCTATAAAGCAGGACCCTGCCTATGTGTAAGAACTAAAACTTCAGAGCCGCAATTAATTGTTACAGTCCTAGGCTGCAAATCCTATGAAAGCCGCTGGAGTGAAGTGCCAAAACTAGCAACCTGGGCTAAAAAGAAACTTGTGTAAATACAAATCAAATAAAATTTAAATTAATAATTCATAAATGGCGAGGGCAGAACTCGTAGAAGCGCGTTCATTTGGGGCGAAACTGATGTTCTTTTATTTCCTTTTGCTCTGTGATGTGATTACAAATGCATATACTTATTATGGAGAGTGCGCAATACCTGGTCAAGAAGACTACACAAGTGGGACTGAGAATATTATAGTTTTGATTTTCTTTGGAATCCAAGGAGGGATCCAAGTGCTCATTATTTGCTGGTTGTTTTTCTTGGTTTGGCAGACCTTTCTTTTTAGATTTGGCCTTATTGGGATACTTTGCAGGGAATTTCTTTCAATTTTTTTGGCTTTTCCTGTGCATTTGATACTTTTTGGGCTGGAAAAAGGGCTGAGGCTTGAAATCGTGATGAATGAGACTACTGTAATCAATTTATGGAGTCATCCTGGATATGAAATTGTATATTGGGTAAGAAGCATTTTTATGGTATTTTTTTATGTCCTGCTCATAGAAAAAACTCTTACTTTAGGAAGCCCTCAATATTATAAGCCTCATAAATGGCTTGTAATGTAAAAACATAATTTATTAACGCTTTATTCTTTAATCTAATCTAATCTATCTTCTGGAATCATCCTTCACTTTAAGACCACTTAGGTCTGAGTTCAATAAAATTCGTGCACTGAGGATAGACTGCATCTGAATTAGCATACTCTTTGCGGTATGAAGGATGCCTCTAGCTTAAGACTTGAAGCTTGCCAATAAAATTGTAATTAACAATAAAAATTTAAGTGTTAGTTTTAACCCTGATTATATTATTTGATAATCATGCCAATGATATTTAATTCTATAAGAGCTAAATCCCATTTTTAATTTAACTGACTAGCCAAAGCAATAAAAAATTTAAATTTGAATTATTAGTTGTGTTTTTAAATTCTTCACCAGACAAAATGGTTTGTTTTAGTTGTAAAAAAATTGACTCAATAGGCAGCAACTGTTGGTAACCATGCTTGCTTTTGTAAAATTTAAACTCTGCCCCTTAGCTTCATCTATGATATACCATAACGATTAAGTTTATATGTCTATAGAATAATAAACACAATTAATTTTTTATAAGAAATTCGCAGAAGGGAAGAAGTCATATATCAATGATAATTAAATCGTTGAATAAAAAATATGGGTTGCTGTATAAGTCAGCAAGTAAAGTCAGCAAAGAGAGCAAAAATAATCAAATCAAAAACTAAAAGGAGAAATTTGAGCATAAAGCAAGGTAATTTTGTAAAATTGTTAGAATGCGATGTAACTAAAAATTATGACCTTGGAGAAATTTGATTTGAAGATGGAAACTATGAATTTAGAACAGGAATAGAAAAAAAGACCGGCATCCAGCGAGCGATCAAATCTATCTTAGTTGGAGCAAATAGCAGTTATAAAATTGATCATATATTAAGTGAAGTAGAAGTATTGAGAAAATTAGACCACCCAAGTATTATTAAAGTGTACGAAGTTTATCATCATAATTTGCACTTACACATAATTACAGAGCTTTGCACTGGAGGAGAATTATTCGAAAAAATGGGCCAAATGGAAAGTTTTTCAGAAAACCAAGCGGCTAAGTTTATGAGAGAAATTATATTTGGAATTAAGCATTGCCACTCTGTTGGCGTGGTGCATGGCGATTTAAGGCCTGAGAACGTTTTATTTGAAAACGAGTCAGCTGATGCAAAACTGAAAATTGTTGGATTTGAAAGGGCGCAATTCATAAAGCCAAACGGAAAATTAACGAAATTTACTGGAACTTCATATTTCGCAGCTCCTGAAATGATTTTAGGAAGCTATGATAATAAGTGTGATATATGAAGTTTAGGGATTATCCTTTACATAATGCTGTCAGGCCTAGCTCCATATAAAGCTAAATCTGAACAATCACTTTATAGAAAAATCCAAGAAAAGCCAGTTTCTTTTGAATTTTCTGCATGAAACGGGATTTCCAAAGAAGCTAAAGATTTGATAAAATGGATGCTAAAGAAAAAACCATCAAATCGTCCTACAATAGATGAGGTTTCTGAGCATAAATGAATAAGGCAGAGAGCTAATAACTCAATAAAAGACAATCCAATAGTATCCAAATCCTTAGCAAATTTAGCCTGTTTCAATATATGTAACAAGCTTCAAAAAGCCACTCTAACTTTCATAACATCTTATCTCTCTACTAATACAGAAATAGCGCATCTTAGTGAGATTTTTCAAGCTCTTGATGAAAATGGCGATGGAAAATTAAGTGAAGAAGAGCTAACAAAAGGCTTCGAAAATAATCATCAGTTAATGAAAATTGATGTGCATGAATTGATGAAAAATTGTGACTCTGATAATAATGGATACATTGATTACTCAGAATTTTTAGCTGCGGCTATGAATTGGAGAAAAACTTTAAGCAAGGAAAAATTATATCAAGTTTTTAAGGTGTATGATATTGACGGAAGTGGGAAAATCTCTCTTGAAGAGTTAAAGCAGTCTTTGGGAGGCAATGATAGTAACCATCTTGAGTTATTGGATATATTGAAGGAAGCAGATACAAATGGAGATGGAGAAATCGATTTTGATGAATTCTCAGAAATCATGCTCAGCAAGCTGGCTAAGCATGATAATGCGAATGAAATAGAATATAAAAAGCATATTACTTCCGAAATATTCTTTAATAAAAAAGAAATAATTAGTTAAAACAATCTTCCTCTTTTTAGATTATAGCCAATTTTATTTTTAAATATGCCCTGTAACTTATTAATTTATGGAGTCATTTGATTAATAATATTTAGATTGAAATAAAGATGATAAAGAAAGCTTTATTAACTTCTAGATTATAATAATTTAGATTTGGTAAGAAACATATTTATGGTTTGCTTTTATAATGCTTGGGAGAAGAAACTTGCAAAATATATAAATATTAAGATCTCATAAATGATTTGAAGGTATAAAATGTCATTCTGCCTATCCTCGCCCTATTAAAAAGCCTTTTATAAATGGGAGATGAAAATATTTACTTTTCCTTTTTAATTGAGCTATGAAATTATTATTGCAGAATCAAGTCTTAAATTGGGCTGTCTTATTTATGTATAAGGAACCAAGCATCAAAATGTTAATACTATTAATCATATTTAAATTTACATAAATTTCAATATCAAGCATAGCTTTTGACCAAATTTTTATCAATATAAAAATAAATCATGCAAAAAAGTCCATTTGGAGAAAATAAAAAAAATCTGAAATGATGGCTGAATAAAAAATATGGGTTGCTGCACAAGTCAGCAAGATCAAGAAGTGAAAAAGACAAAAACACTCAAGCCAAAGCCTCATTCAAGAAAGATGAGTATTAAGCAAGGCAATTTTGTAAAATTTTTTGAGTGTAAAGTAACTAAAAATTATGAGCTTGGAGATACTTGATTAGAAGATGGGTATTATGAAGTCAAAATAGGCACTGAAAAAAAGACTGGCTTACAACGAGCAATAAAATCTATTTTAGTTGATGCAAATGATCGCTATAAAAATGATAAAGTATTAGATGAAGTAGAAGTATTGAGAAAATTAGATCACCCAAATATTATTAAAGTTTATGAAGTTTACGACGATAAAATATACTTGCACATAGTCACAGAGCTATGCTTAAACTTAATTAAGATTAAAAAAAGGCTCCGGTATGACCTTCCAGCCCACATTCACTTCCATACGGCTCCACCGCTTGCTTACTAGTCCGAGCACGGCCTTTCACTATGTTGCTCCTCACGGACGAGGGCTTGTGAATCAGAACTGCTGGGCACCATGCCTTACGCCCATGGGGTTTGGTCTCTGGAAATTCGAAAAAACGAATTTTCACCTGTCAGCCAAAATGAAAATTCGCAAGGCCTGGTATCGCGCTAGGAATCGTTCCCGATTGATCAGGAGGAACCTCGCTGATATTGCTGTGACATCCTTTCCAACTCCGAACTCCATCTTCCTCCGAGGTAAAACCTTGATCTGGAATGAACTGCAGCGGGCCTAATCCGATGCTGTGCTCCATCAAATCAAGAAACCCAGCAGGATACACATTCCCGAACGCCATCTCCCTTCCACAAGATCCCTGGCCTTCAATATTACAAGTGTTAAGAGGTGGGTTGGTTCGCCATACCATTTTAATGTATATATCATAGAGCTATGGAGGAGAATTATTCGAAAGAATGGGCCAAATGGAAAGTTTTTCAGAAAATCAGGCAGCTAAGTTTATGAGGGAAATTATATTTGGAATTAAGCATTGCCACTCTGTTGGCGTGGTGCATGGAGATTTAAGGCCTGAGAACATTTTATTTGAAAACGAGTCAGCTGATGCAAAACTGAAAATTGTTGGGTTTAAGCACTCACAGTTCATAAAACCAAACGGAAAACTTACTAAATTTACTGGGACTTCTTATTTCGCAGCTCCTGAGATGATTTCAGGAAGCTATGATAATAAATGTGACATATGGAGCCTTGGGATTATTCTTTACATAATGCTATCAGGCCTTGTTCCATACAAAGCAAAATCCGAGCAATCACTTTATAAAAAAATCCAAGAAAAGCCAGTTTCTTTTGATTTTTCTGTATGGGATGGGATTTCAAAAGAAGCAAAAGATCTGATTAAATGAATGCTTAAAAAGAATCCATCAAATCGTCCTACAATAGATGAAGTTTTTGAAAATAATTGAATAAAACAGCGAGCCAACAACTCAATAAAAGATAACCCAATCGTATCTACATCTTTAAAAAACTTAATTGCCTTCAATATAAGTAACAAACTTCAAAAGGCCACTTTAACTTTTATAGTGTCTCATCTTTCCACAAATGTCGAAATCGCTTATCTCACTCCCCCCCCCCCGTGAGCGAACAAAACCATTAGAAAAATCACCATTTTTTGACCAAAAACCCACCCTCCGTGAGCGAACAAAAATTTTTTTTTAATAGAAAAAATTTTAATGGAAAAAAATTTTTGATATATAAGTGATAATTAGTATAATGAAATCTAGAGCTAATTCTGTTTAATTTTAAACAAATTGCGTTTTAAAACATAAATTTTGCAAATTAAATTAATATTTGCTTCCCAATTTTTGCAAATTAGGATTTTTTTAAATTTCGAAAAAAATATTTTTTATAAAATTTATATATAAATTTTTTTTTAAAAAAAAAAATTAACCCCCCTCCGTGAGTGAACAAAATTTTTTTGTTCGCTCACGGAGGGGGGGGGGGGAGTCAGGGAAATTTTTCATGCCCTTGATGAAAATGGGGATGGAAAATTAAGCGAAGAAGAACTAACTAAAGGCATCAAAAAGGTGCATCAGGCAGTTAAAATGGATGTTCATGAATTAATGACAAATTGTGACTTAGATAATAATGGGTATATTGATTACTCAGAGTTTTTGACTACCGCTATGAATTGGAGAAAAGCTTTAAGCAAGGAAAAATTATACCAAGTTTTTAAGGTATATGATATTGATGGAAGTGGAAAAATTTCTCTTGACGAGTTAAAGCAATCTCTAGGAGGTAATGACCGCAATCATTTTGATTTCTTAGATATATTGAGGGAAGCAGATACAAATGGAGACGGAGAAATCGATTTTGACGAGTTCACAGAAATCATGCTTAGCAAACTGTCCGAGCATGATAAAAATGAGTCAAATAGAATATAGCACGAAATCTCCTCAGAAATCTTCTTGGATAAATTAACTATTAATAGTCATTTAAGCAGCTGAATTTCCCATGTTTGCAGTTATCATTTATTTTCTCCTCTAATATTTCTAATAACTTAGCAAGATGGTAAGATCAACATAGTCAAATATCTTCAATTTCCACGGTGGCTCAGTCCTCGCAATCAAAGGCAAAAACTGTGTCGCAGTTGCAATGGATCGTCGTCTCGGCGCCCAATACAAAACAGTCAGCACAACTTTCCAGCGTGTCTTCAAGATGACTGACAAGTGTGTAGCAGGCTTTATCGGCTTAGGAGGAGACGTCCAGACAATCGGTGCCGACTTGAAGTACAAGCTTAATCTCTATACTTTGAAAGAAAACCGACAGATCCAGCCCAAAACTTTGTCATGGCTGATCTCCAATATGCTATATGGCAGAAGATTTGGCCCATATTTCATAGAGCCAATAGTGGCTGGCTTAGACGAAAATAATGAGCCTTATATTTCGACTAGTGACTCGATCGGGTGTATGACAGATGGAGATAATTTCTTTTGCATTGGAACTGCTTCTGAATTGATGCTGGGGGCATGTGAAAGCTTTGTTAAGCCTGATTTAGAGCCAGAAGAACTTTTTGAAGTGGCGTCGCAGTGCATGTTGTCAGCCTTAGATAGGGACGCGTTTTCAGGGTGGGGTGCAGTAGTTTATATCATTACGCCGGCTGGAATTACTGCGAGGACATTAAAAGCTAGGATGGATTAAATTTACGTTTTTAGTGAAATTTCTCAATTTTTAGTGGGTTTTATTTAAGTTTTAGTAATTTCTAATAGAGAAATTCAATTGTACACTGCATTAAAATGTCAAATAAATAAAATTTATTTATATATTATATGGAGCTAGGCACGAAGTGTCTAGATCATTGAAATATGGATGCAGCATTGCAGCTTTAGCTGAAATTCTTTTGGCTGGATCATAGCATACCATTTTTGATAGCAAATCAATGCCATTCTCATCAAGATTTGAAGCAAATCTTGCTATATTCTGCGCTCTCCATTTCGGAAAAGTAGGTTTAAAGTCAGGAAACCCTGTAACCCCAGGAAACGTTTCTTCACATGGCGTCCCAAGCACCCTGAAAATCTTAAAAAGCTGATCAATCTCTGAGTCTCCCATAAACAGCGCCCTTTTTTGAGCCATTTCTGCAAAAATGCATCCGACTGACCAAATATCTACAGGTGTTGAATATTGCCTAGCTCCTAATAGGATTTCTGGGGCACGATACCAAAGTGTAACCACTTCATGGGTATATGTTTTAATAGGCAGACCAAAAGCTCTTGCCAAACCAAAATCGGCAAGTCTGACACTTCCTTGTAGATCAATAAGGATGTTTTGAGGTTTTAAATCCCGATGCAGGACTCTATGAGTGTGGCAGTAGGCTAATGAAGAAAGGATTTGGTATAGGAAACTTTTTACTGTCATAGGAGGTAATGGTGAGCCTAAGACGTTCATATGCTTTTTTAGGTCATGGTCAAGGAACTCAAATATCAAGTATAGACATATCCCTAAGATAGCCCGATATGGACGAGAGATAGAGCAAAAACTTCTCACTTGGTCCGCCAACTCGAATTGGCCGAACCAAGTGAAAGGAGGTTCATTCGCCACTTACCACTTGGCTCGGCCAACTTGAGTTGGCCGGACAAGTAGGAAGTTTTGGCCTCTTTCCCTCGCCCATATTGGGATATCTTAGGGATATGCCTATATAACTTTTGATCTGTGTGAACCACGTCATGAAGCTTCACCACATTTGGGTGTCTTAAGGTTTTGAGCAATGAGATCTCACGAATTGCTGTAGATGGGACCCCTTCATCTTCTGACTCGAGTCGGATCTTCTTCAATGCAACTATTTCTCCTGTGTTTCGGTCTCGGGACTTGTAAACGACACCATAGGTGCCTTCTCCGATTTTCTCTATCTTTTGATATCGCTCGATTCTTTCCATTTCAAATTATGAAAAATTGTTAAAAATGGCTGGAAAGTGCATAATCATTTTCTCAGGAAATTATTTTGATGAAAATCATATACATAAAATGGCGTATGACGTCCGACCCGTCCCCCAGTGACGGCAACTCATGTATATCCGGGCATGGTTTTTAGAAAAAGCGACTTAGCCCAGCAATATCTGGACCCTGGTGGCGACCAGGGGAGAACACAGACCCTCTGATCGTGGCCAGATCCCAGGGCAGTTAGGAGCATCTTCTTTTTCCAGCAGCGCCCAAGCCAGTGGGTGCCCGATATGGAGCAGGGCGACTTACCTACTCAGGCTGCTACTGTGGTCTGCCTCGAATCGCGGAAGCGATTGAGATTTTCTCAAGCGGATAAGCTGGGAAAAATGGAGGCAGATTAGACAACAAGGCGGTCTCTCCAGTTTTAAAAGGGTCCTTAAAAGAAAGGACGGCTTGGCCAACCGGAGACAAAGACTGGCGTAACTCGGGGCGGAAGGCTGAGTTGAAAATGGTGGTGCTCGGCGACGGTCGGCTGACGACCCAATAGGGCAACTCACTACCGAGAAGCCAGGGATTTCGGCCTGGGCTCAGAGAACCAGTGATGGAAGTCCATCCTTTTCGCTCGTGCCAGCACGGCTCCTCACGGAGCGCGGAGGAATGTCACGCATGGAAGTAGGGACCTTAAATACACATCGTTAATTTACTTATTTATTTATTTTGATGAAAATCTAAATATCGCTATAATGTTAGATTATTATTTTCTCACTATAAATTTGGCTTATTGATTCATAAATTGCTAAATATTTAGTTGATGAATCCTTGATTTATGACTATCATAAGTTTATCTGAAACAATGAATTGTAATGGGTCATCAAATTTGGATTAGTTTAATAAAAATCATATAAATTCTCATAATTTTACTTCAAGCATAACAATTATAAATAAAATGTCACACTTCGCTCTTATTGGCCTTGGCTTAATATTTGCTGCAGCCTCAAGCAAAGTGGTTATTCGTGCAATCAGACAGTCAAAAGCAGCAAAAGCAGGAGGCTTAAGCTTGGATTCATCAAGAGCTAAGCTATATATGGGCCCATTTGAAAATCCGATGACAAGAAGGGAGGCATCTTTAATCCTTGGCGTCAGAGAGTCAGCTCCAGAGGACAAGATTCTTTCTGCTCACAAAAGGCTGATGCTTTTAAACCATCCTGATAATGGAGGATCAACTTATCTTGCAACAAAAGTGAATGAAGCCAAAGGAGTTTTGATACAAAAATAATAAAATTTATCTGCTTAGTCCCCCCCCAACATGAGAAAACAAAATATAAAAAATTTTATAAAAAAATTTCGATATATAAGTAATTACTATTATTATGAGATCTCGAGGTAACTTGGTTGAATTTTAAACGGCTTGCTTTTTAAAATATAATTTTCCTCCCTTAAATTTAAAAAAAAATTACTATAATATTAATATATAAATTTTTAAAAAGCATTAACCACACTTTAGCGAGCAAAATTTTTTTGTTTCACTCACAGAAGGGGAGTTAGTTTTTATCATTTACTGTTATTTATAATCTAATTTCTAATGATTTTCGCCCCATTTTTATATTTTATAAACTTTTGTATTTTCTGACACACAACATTTTTTTGTATTTTTAGATTATTTCGATTCAATAATCAATACTTGCCTATAAAAAGAATATCTTCAGATAAAAAGCATATTAAAAAGTATTAGCTGCCCCATTGTTGCTTATTCAATTAATTTATAGCAGGATACTTTATTAATACATTTACCCATTTATTAAATATTCTTTCTACAGATTTTTTGCATAAAACTTGACTCCTAATCTAAGAATTTGCTCAATTTAAGCTTAAGTTTAGTTTGCTTTTATTTTATATTCTTCCATCTTACATTAATTTTATAAACCAATATAAAAGCCATTCTAATTAGTTAAATATATCATGAAGGCTGATGCAAGCTAATTAATCGACATAGAGCGCGCTTGCCCATACTTTTCCTTCGTCAAGCATAAAAGAAGGGGTATTTTCGTTAATCTTGATTTGGCGGGGTTGCTCACATGGGAATACTGCAGGAGTGAATTTTGAGTTAAAAGGGCTAGAGTAATTGCTGGGGAATAAAAAAGACGTAAAGCCTTGTCTTACTGTAGTGTTGCCCATTTTCTTAATTATATGTGAGGGAATTTTTTTGTAGGCAATATGGTAAAATAAAATAATATTTTCAAAATAATTAATAGAATCTATACTTTTAGTAAAACTATAAGTAAATATACTTATAAATTAAAGCTAGATTTATTTTATATCCAAAATAAATAATTAAATTTTTAACAGGGCGCATTTTCGTGCCAAAAGTTTGAAGGAGTTTTGTGAGAGTTTGAGGAAATTTGATGAAGCTTATGGAGTTTGTGGGAACTGGAGGACTTGGTGTGGCAGAGTCTGCATTGTTTGGTGGCTCACATCGGAGGATCGAGTGGGTGGTTCATCATTGATGCTTCAACTAATGTTGCTGGCGCTGTTTCTGAAATTCTATTAAGGTTTATCACAGAAGTTAGAGTTTTGTTGTTTTTGAAGTGTTTGAAGTTTTAGATTTTTTGATTTTAAACGAGAGAAGTGCGGAATCTTCCGCTTTAAACATAAAGATAAGATAAGATATCCAAAATAAAAAAATTAATTATAAAACACAATGAGAAACTGCCAATTTAATAAATCTATTTTTCGTATTTATTTTTTTATACTTAAAATCTATTAACTTTATTATGATAAAGCGTTGATATCAAGGTAGGGGTTATAATTATAACTCAGCTCAGCTTCATCATTCTGCAACTGGCAGGCTTCCGTTACATTAGCAATGATTTTTTCCTGCATCATTTCTTTAAATGTTGCATAAGGGCACGGATCTACGCACCCATCAAGTAGAATTGAGGCACCATTATAAGAAATGTGGACAGCATAGGCATTATTATTGTTATGAAGCTCAAAAATCAAAGTGGACGCATAAATAGGGTTATTCCCATCAAAAACTCCAAGGAAATTTAAAAATGCTATAAGTGTTGTATCATGGGCTGAATAAAATCCAAATTTCCTTGTGGATGTACCGCTGATAGTCCCATCAAACTGGTCTAAAATGGCTTGGAAAAATTGAGACCCAGCCAAGCTTGAGGCTTCAGGTGTATAAAAATAGCTGTTTGTATAGTTCTGATTTCCATACATTTGATAATACATTTCGTCAGTAACTCCTGGAGGCCAGTCAAACTTATGAAACTTGTCAGTAGTCAATGTGTCGGCCATATATCCTGCGACTTCATAGGAAACAGTTATCCCAAAAACTTGAGATAACCATTTATAATGAATTCTTTTTATATGATAAATAAATCCTTATTATCTTATGTGCTGTAAATGGTTATATATTTTTGTTTTTGTAGCCCTTGGGTATAAGCTGCAACTTTTTGTTTGTAAATATCAGTTTGTTGCTGCGCCTGCAGAATTTCTGCCATTCTAGGACACGCTGCAATTGAGCTTCCGACCAGCATGTTATCATAACTTGCTGAGACAACATGAACTGGAACTGGCTGGTAACCATTAGGAAGTGCATGTTCTCCTAATGCTGTAATAGCTTGCTGCTGGTTTTGAACATTGAGGAGTGGAGGAACTGCTTTTTGATTGAATGCTGTCTGTGCGAGTTGAGGACCATTTGAGAACATTCCATATAGTTGGCTTTGCACACTCATTACAGTTCGATTCAAATCAGTTGATCGAATGTAAATCTCAGAAACGCTAAACTTTGGGCTTATCAGCTGAGCTTGCTCTATATACCTATAAGCCATTTCCTTCCCATTCAAATAATGTTGCCTATACCCTTCAGGAGTTAATTCGCCATATCCTTGAGGCCACACTCCTAAGTCCCATGATGATTTATCTATAGGCGATCTTGCCCCATGTCGAAAAGTCGACACCACGCTTACAATTGTATCCCCTGAAATAATTCCAAGCAGTAAAGCCAACGTGAAGAGAATAAAAATTGGCTTTGACATAGAGAAATATGGAGAAGCATTTACACTTTTTAATGAAAAATTTAACCTTTAAGCTTTTTCCACTCTTCGTATGACCCTGTATAGACCCGAACGTTATCATTTCCCGCGTATTTTTGCAATACATATGCTAATGAAGCGAAATTTCCTTTAAAACAGGAAGTTATAACTCCATTGGACAAGCCATTTTGGGAATGAAGGGAACGGACTTCATCTTGGGATTTGACTGTTTTATCGTCGTTAAAAAAATTTGAGGCTGAGAAATTTATTGCGCCAGGGACGCTGCCATTTTGGAATGTATTAGGAGGTCGAGCGTCCCAAATGGTAGTGCTTAAATCTCCGTTTTTTAGCTGATTTACAACTTGTTCAACGGTGTTTATGAGGGCTCTCATTTCGTGATGTTCAGAGGTTATATAGTGAAATGGGTTTACTGGCAGTGAGTGGGTTATTAGATATTCTCCAGTATCAGTGGGTCTTCTTTCTGATAGCCATTTAGGAAGTCCGCCGTCAAGAATGAAAACATTTGGATAGCCAAAATATTTTAGCATTACCCATGCTCTGGAAGCAGTTCCAATTCCGGTTTGATCATAAACAATGACACTTTTCCCATTATTCGGGATCTCAATTTTTACCATTGCTTCAGCAAATTGAGCTGCTGTAGGCCAAGCTAATGATATTGAAGCAGTTGTATCTCTGATTTCTGTAATGTTAAAATATTTAGCACCTCTTATTCGGCATTGGATAAATTTGCGTCTTGAGTCTTCATTATTTAGGAGAGTTGAATCAATAATGTATGCTGAGTCGCTATTTAGCATGTCATTTGCAGATTGCGTATTTATTATGATTAATTAAAGTGCGTAAGGTAACTAAAGGCTCTGAGCCAAATGGTAACGTCAGAGCATTTCTGATCCAAATGTCGACCATTCCAAATAAATAATTGCAACCCTGATCAGTATCAAACTCGGAGCAGTGCCCTAGCCCTATGCTAATAGAAGTTCAACTGCTGTGCTGTGCAGACATTTTCGAGATAAAATCAAACCCTATAAATAAAATTTTCATGAGAGAGAGAAAATTAGAGAGCTAATTTCTTTTGAATCGAATGCATTTATTTATTGCAGATTGCGTATCAACAAAAATTCTACCTTCCATTATTTTTTATAGCATATTGGCAATTTTAATTGTCAGCTGCACAGCTAAAAGCTGAATAACGACATATAATTTTTTTCGAAATCAATTTGATATGAATCTGCTGAGAAAAAAGTAAAATACTATATTTAATTTTTCAGTAAACTTTTTTACTTGTTTGCGAATAATTAGAATAACGAATTTTTCCTAACTCTTCCTTATGTAGGTATTTAATTAATTTTTTATTAACATTTTTGTATAAGTTTTATTTGCGAAACTTTTTAAATATCCCTAATCTATAAAGTTGTGTTTAGGATGTAATCTGTCTAAATTTTACTAGAATGGGTTATAAATTCTGCTATAATATTAGATATCACATAATTTTTACAAATAATTTTTTGCATAAAAAACAGATTTTTTCTAAAAATTTGTTACGAAGACAATTAAATAATTTTTCAAATTCAGAGCTCATTTATATTTATTCTAGAAATTTTATGGTTTAAGACAGGCCATTTTAAGAGTGAAAAATAGATATTTTGTTAAACATAAATCCCAAGTAGTCCTGCCCATCCACCTACACTCTTCCTAAATTTCAATTATTATCCGCTTGCATTTCTCTGGCTACCTCCTTTAAATTGGAACAAAATATTAAATGGAAATCTTTTATTAGTAAAAATAATAATTATTAATTTGAGTAGTTTTATATCCAATGTGGTGGATATATTCATCGAATATTAATTTAAAATCAAAAGATTGTATTATTTAATTTTAAAAATAATTTTATAGTAATTTTTTTACAAAAAATTAGCCTGCCATAAAGTGGAAGAATTTTGGTTCTAATTTAAGAGGGTGGGGTAAGGGTCAGCTCTGGTAGCCTATATGTATGATTTATTCAAATAAAGCTTAAGTTAATGTATAACCTCTAATAATTTTAAAGAAGTTTCTAGGGCACTTTAAGCATAAGAATTTTATAATTTTAAATCTTAAAATAAAATATATTAATCTAGGCATTATTTATAACTAAATGTTAGATTAAACGTTGTAATCTGCTTTAACTTCTTCCATTCTTTGTACTAGTGCATCTATTGTGGTTCCCGACATGGCCTTATGATAATACTCCTGAATTGTCCTAAAGACTGTTTGGCTTTCTGCATTTGTCACCAAGTTTACAGCGACTCCTCTTCTTCCATATCTTCCTGTTCTCCCAACCCTATATGCGCTTATTAATTATTTAGTTTACAGCACGGCACCTTTCCTTCTCAGAGCGAGCTAGACTACATTTTTAACTCCATAGAGTCACGCGCTGCCTTTATAACTCACGGTTATGAGGTAATCCATTTAAGCGCTGCTGCCTGGCCCACCAAAAGCATTGCAGGTCATGCAGAATCCACTTGTTTGTGCGACTTCTGCATATATCCTGCCTAAGGGTCTCCCTCTTCGAAATTGCCAAGCAGTGAAAGCCCATGCCTCCTATAATCCAAGAGAAAGCTTACAGCTTATGTAGTCAGCCTTTCTGGCATAACTGGATAAGAGGTCACATGAATGCTGATCCCATAATTGCCTGAGGACAGAAAATTTCTTGGAAGAACTTATTTTGATGATGCCATTTTCATTATTATTTTCCAACCCTATGCAAATAAGTAACTGGGTCTGGCAAAAATACTTCCCCTTCCTTATAAGTTGGTGGGTCCATGTTAATAACCAAGCTTACCAGTCTGAAATCGACACCTCGGCTGAGGACATTTGTTGATAGCAAAATGCTGACATCTCCTCCTTGGATTTTCTTAATAACTTCATCTCTGACAGACTCGTCTACAATTCCAGCTGCAATGACGTGAGCTCTGAATCCTTGTGCTCCTAAATGTTGATGTAATCTATGAATATATCCCTTATAAACTCTATAATTACCTATCAAATTTATATATAAATTTCCTTTATTTCTACTTTCAAGCATAATCTTTTGTATTACAAAAGATAATACACATCCTAAATGGGACCCTCCTGACAATGTCTACGACAGTATTGAACTTTTGTTGGTGCTCGCATTGAATCACGTATTGGTCTACATTTTCCAAAGTCAAGTCTTCAACATTTTCAATCCTGATGGTAACTGGATTATGCTATAAGGCCATAAGTGGATAGACCACTAGCCTGCTATCTGGCATGAACCCACTTAGCATAAGGACAAGCTCTTTAGGTTATAGCCACCTCTTGTGGATACCCATTAATCTCAATTAGCTATGAACAAGCGGGAGGCAAAATCTGTCTAGTCCGTTTGGCAGGGATAAGGAAAAACTTTTGGGAAGAAAAAAACTTCCCTAAACCTAAAGGCCTAATTCAAAAAGTGACAGTAGCACTATTTTCAACTTCATCAGGATGGTCCTTCCTGCTTCAAATGGAGCATGTCTCGGAATCCATCTTTCGTCAACGTCACCATTTTTATTTCTTAACAGGATTAGGAATTTGCTCATTGATAAATTTCATCACTTTCTCATCAAAAGTCGCTGAAAAAAGGACTTGTTGGGTGTCTCTCAGTCTTTTACGAACTTCTCGTATAATTCTGATGTTGTCTTCGTGCTGGAACATCATATCTGCTTCGTCGTACACAATTACCTTTACGTTGTCGAACACTCTTGGCTCTTTTTCCTTGAGAAGCTTCAGCAAGCTTCCTTGTGTGGTGCACAATACATGACATCGAGGAATGTCTCTGTCACCTTTCTGGATAATTCCGACTGAGATGCCAGTTTCATTGGCAATGGATAAATAGACGTTGTAGTTCTGCTGATTGAGTTCACGAGTATGGGAAATGCAGATTGCTTGAAGAGGTGGGAAATCCTTATCAATCATTGATAATGAGATTATTAATAGTAATAGGGTGGAAAAATAAATGGACAGCATAAATATAAAATAAAATGGAGAAGATTTGGTCCAAAAATGCTTGGTAAAGCTTAAAAACAGTTAAAATTCAAAAAACTAATTAATTAAGGATTTGATAATGAGCCTATCACAAATGCACCTGTTTTGCCTGTGCCATTTTTGGACTGCGCAACGATGTTTCGGCCTTTCATGATGGTGGGGATGGCTGCACCTTGAATGAATGTAGGCTTCAGCCAAGATTTTAGATGCAAATTCCTAATGATGGACTCTTCAATGAGCAGATCAGTCCAGGACTTATCGGATGCGTAAACGTTTTCACCATCTTCAGAGGTTGTGACTACAACATCAGTCTTAGTCTCTTCTAGGTTTCCAGGTTGCGCATCCATTTTATTACAGCCTTTTAATAGAATCTGGATTTATTAGCAAATTAGTAGGAATTTTTAAGAAAAAACACTAAATAAGATAAGAAATATTTATTTATTCTTGTTTATGAGTATTAAACTAAAATAGATAAGTGTTAGGGAATTCTATGGCAAGATTTACTAATGGAATTATCAACTATGAAGCAATTTATTTTGTCTAAATCATTTTAATCAATAAATTCATTTTCTGATAATATAATAATTATATAAATAAAATGGCATTCGGTTCGAGAGAAATTGGCTCTGCCAATTTTCTCTCCCTTATGGAATTTTATTTATGGGGTTGGTTTTTCTCTTGAGAACTTCTGCACAGCAACAGCCGTTTAACTTTGGGGATAACCAAAGGCAGGCTCCTCAGTGCATTCAAGACTCTCAGAGTTTTACCTCTCAGCACGTCCCCACGGGAGGATGACCCTTAGGCGGAACACGCACAGGAGCTGTGTCGGAGCGAGCGACGGCAACGCGCCGGGTGAGATGTGCGGCGATTTATCTGGCGACTAGCCTTATAGAAGGCTTGGGTGTGGGCTGACCACATATTCCAAGATGGCTTGGTGACGTCACTAGTTGTCGCTTTGACCCTTTTTATTAAGGGGTGTGGGCACTAGACACCTTAAAGACTATGTAAGTAAGTAAGTAAGTAAGTAAGTAAGCAAGATAATATAATAATTATAACTTAAAACTGCAAATCATAAATCTCCTTAAATATTAGCACCTTGATTAAGGATTTTTCAAAAGAAAATCCACTTAAATAATCCAATATTTAAGCAGCTTATCTATTTCCATTTTACTATCAATTAATCCTGCCAAATAATTTCATAACCTTCTGCATCGATAAACTAACCCTCAATTAAATCTGTTAATCTTCCAAATAAAATTAATAAAATTCTAATGTCTTCAAAGGTCCTTGATATGAATTTCGCCGAGAATCCAATATCAAAACAAAGCAATTCTCCAGTTTATAGTATTTTGCAGCACGAGGAGCGCGAGGTATCTTATCTTCCAGTCAGTCCCAATTTATTAAATTTCGCTGACAAAGCTTTAAACCAGAAATACATCCAAACCTTGTACACATGCAAAGATGAAATTTCAAAGCCTTCTGCAGAGTTTAAAAGCAATTTATTGATGTTTTACCTATTTTTGTCAATATATATAGTCATACTGATTACAACTGCTTTATTACTACATTCAGAAGGAAATCTGTCAGATATTCAGCTGGTTTTCCACCTAATTTGCTTAGGTGGGATAACTTTGGTTTCGTATATCTGGCTGATCTGTATATATAAAAAACAATGGTTTCTTATGAAAAACAGAGTATTTTTTTTGATGCTGGGCTTGGCTTTTTTGAGTTATTTGATAGTGGGAGATCACCGAGTTTTATCAGAAATTACAGATTCTAATCATACTAGCAGCCGCCTGCCGACATCGATAGGTATTGTGTGTTTTTTGGTTTTGATGAGGCTAGTTCTATTTGAATGCTTTTACTATTTAGTAATCTTAGCAACTTATGCTTTAATTTTATTTTTAGGACTAGAAGTTGGCTATTCCCGACTATCAACATACTCCACTCTAAGTGAATTTTCACTTATCGCATTATTTTTTGTGCTCCAAATCCTCGACTCTCAAAAAATTGATTTCAGAACTCGGCAGCTGTTCTGAAGAAAAGAAAAAGAAGAAGAAGGCATCGAGCACGATCTAAAAGTTGATGAAAACACCAATAAACCTGACATTAAATCAGAAACTGAAATCCTTATAAGTTCATGCGACAAAATAAAGCAAGAGCTTAAATATGCCTACCATGTCATCATATTTAAAGACGTCAAAAAAAGACTAAAACAGACCATGGGATTAATAGAAAAAGTCAAAAGGAGAATCGCTCACGGATCATTTTTTGACGATGTAAAAATAGAAACCCATATGAATATTGATGAGCAGGATAAAGCATTTATCAGAGAAAATTACATGAATGTCACTATTGAAAGCACAAGAGACCGCAATAATGAACGAAAAGTAACAATGAGCGATATAACAGAAAAGGAAACCGATTTTCCTTTTCATAGCTACGGAGTCGCTGAGCTGGAAAGCGTGCTTTTTTCTGTTGGAAAAAACTGGAATTTTGATATCTGGTTTGTATATAATACAACTGGACATAGCATTTTTATTATAGCAAAATATTTTTTTAAAAAGTGAAATTTAATTGAGGCTTTTAACATACCAGAAGACGTATGTGACAAGTATTTCCAGACATTGGAAAAAGTAATAGCTATTTAGGGGTATAACCATAATCCATATCACAATGCGTGCCATGCTGCTGATGTGCTGCACACATTCCTACATATAAACATTAATTAATAAGATTTAACCTTCGTTTAATGTCAAATACCGCATCACCTGCACGGGCTTCCATCCCTGCTTCGGGGTTCCCTGCTCCACCACATCGTGTGGCCGCCTGGCTTCACTACTGAATGGCCCCTAGACTTTGGGCGTTCGGATTCTGAATGCTATCCATCCAGCTCCCAGGCTTCGACGCAGGCTGCCTGCACAAAAATTCCCAAAAATGGAATTTCTAGCCGACTATCGGCAAAAGGTCCAACTTAAAGCCCAAGGTGTGATTCTTGATTTCGCGCTAGGAAGTTGCCCGAAGGATCAAAAGACGCTGCTGCTGGCTTCCTCTTTCCAATACTAGTCCTTTCCTTTCCCACGAGGTAAATCCACTCCTGAAAAGGGACTTTGATAAGGTTGCCGGAAGCTTACCTGATATTGCTGTCCATTTCTTGATTTGCAAAACCTTGCAAGATATAATTAAATATGTGCTCGAGGCTGCGTGATCGTGAGGCAATGCCCGGGCCAAGACACCGTATTTAATTATAGTCAGTGAAACTGACTGGCACGGGGTGCTTTTGGCTCGAAACTGAGCCAAAAGCACCCCGTGCCAGTCATCACTAACTATATAAAGTGCTGCACACTCTTTTATTTTTTTATTTTAATGGAGAATTCCTCAGAAATTTGAGCCCGCTTGACACAATTTCTTCTTTAGTTGCATCATTAGGCCACGATGTAGGGGTTTCGGCGAACAAAAAACCTCATAGTTTTTATCTTGCTGCCTTTTTACAGTCAAAAATGACGAGGTTTTTTTCAGGAAAAAATCTCAGGGTTTTTCCTGATACCCCAGATGTAGGTCATCCAGGACTGACAAATAGATTCTTAGTAAACAATAGAGACGAAATAGCAATCCAATATAATGACATAAGTGTATTAGAAAACATGCATTGTTTTAAGATTTTTAGTATTATGGGAAAAACAGGCTGCAATATTTTTGAAAAATTATCTAGTGATGACTGGGTTAAATCGAGAAAATTAATAATTGAAATGGTCCTTGAAACTGACATGTCAAGACATTTTGAGATTCTGGGGAGGTTCAGAACTAGAGCTTTAAGTCTTTCTGATCTAAATTTGGACAATCAAGATGACAAAACACTAATTTTGGCGATGGGGCTGAAATGTGCAGATATAGGGCACAGTGCAAAAATTAAAGAATTGCATGAAAAATGGACAGATTTAGTATGCGAAGAATTTTATAAACAAGGAGATATTGAAAGGTCAAGAAGGCAGCCGATTTCTATGTACTGTGACAGAGAAAACGCTGATATCCCTAAAAGCCAAGCTGGATTTTTGAAAAATATTTGTATTCCGCTGTTTGATGTATGATGCCAGTTTTTAAGGTCAGATACAATTACAAGGTCATGCTTGGACCAAATGAAAGCGAATTATAATCATTGGGAGGATAAAGGAAAAGCTAGAAGATCGACAGTTGGATACAGCAGTGCAGTGTCTAAATCTTTTGAAGTCGAAAAGCGGCAAATTCTAGGGACTTCTGATATTGCAATTAAAAGAAAGCAGTCAGACGCTAGCAACAGTTAAATATTAAATTTTTTTCGATATAATAATAAATTTCTCATTGATGCCTAGGCAAAAGAAGACAATGATGTTTGAATGTAAAATAATTAGCATTTAAATAGATTAGTTAGCGTGAGAAAAAGTTATGCTTTTCGTAATGGAAAACAGCTCCAGTCAGCAATAGCTTGTAAATAAACAGCAAACTTGACATCGCCAGCACAAATCCATGAACTCCTCGCTCCACATCTCTGTCTGAGCTCCACTTTGGGCCCCAAAAGATAAGCCAGACCAAGTCAATAATCAAGGTTATCAATAAAAGTCCGAAAATTTTTATGCGCTCGCCTTTATCTTTCCATATAAGCCATGCGAATAAAAATAGAGGAAAATTCACGTCTGGTCTCGAGAAGGAGCATAGTGCTGAGATCCCGGCACCACAGAGGAAGGCTTTTGGTAAAAAATAATCTGGATCCATTTTAGATTATTAAATAAAAGTTCAAAATTTTGAGAAAAACAATTTAACTGGTAACAAAAGGCTTATTTTATAGGTAGATTACCTCTAACTTGATCCTTATGGTTTAGAGAAATAAAAAATCAATCTGAGGTATTTGGGTATTTAGGATATATAAAGGATAATAATATATATTGGTTTATATTAGTAGCAGATTTTTGCATACTAAATTAAATCTGGCCTGCTAGCTCAGAGGAAATTGGCTTCCAAATGGAATTAATGTGCAGGCTAATAAGCAATAAATTAGATTTTGGTATAAAATAAAATATAATTTATGAGTCGCGAATTTAAAAATTAGATATTGAGAAGAGGTATTTAAGGATCTGAAAAGATAATTTCTCGTTGTCGGCCATACTATGCCTAACGCACCAGATCCCATCCGAACTCTGAAGTTAAGCGGCATAAGGCGAGGTTAGTACTTGGGTGGGGGACCGCCAGGGAAGCCCTCGTGCTGACAGCTAAACTTTTTTGGGATATTAACTATGCTTCATCAGGCTATTACGCTCTATTTTAGTCAATTATGCAAGCATTTCTTTGAAAAAGTGAGCTTTCTTGAATAAATTAATTAATGTTCATCTTTTCAACTGAATTTTAAAGTTCATTAAATATTGATTAAATTGGCTATTTTGACTAAATTAGTAGAGAAGTTTATAATAAATTCGATTTTTATATTATTTTGCTTTGCAAGTATTTTATTTTAATATAAAATTTTTCAGAGTTATTTTATATTTGAAATTTTATTTATTGATTTTTATTAAACTTCAATAATTGCTGTACAATCCCTAGGTCCAGCTTTGGATTGAACTTGGAAGGCAGAAGTCCTTATAAATAGCCTAATTCTCTTTAGCCACATATGAATTAAAATGGCGTGGTGAGCTAGCCTACCTATTAATCCCTGTAGACGGGAATGTTTGGGAAGCTTTGAATGCAGCTGCTCAATGTCGGGATAAGCCGACCGCATCTCAATCCAGATTAACTTTTACGCCGCGGGAAGATGAATTGTCGAAGTTGGAAAGGGATGATAAGCAATTCCAGTCTTATTGCTTTGCCTATTAAGCAAATTTTCCAGAACAATGCCAGCTATTGATTCCTGGACTTCAAGCTCAATTTTGGTTAGCACTCAACCGGAAAATTCGTTTTTGGAAGGTAGCCTGTTAACGTGCGGTATGATGACCCATCGAATCTAACCCTCGAGTAGCGAGTGCAAACCCTTATCCGTAAAGAGTAGCGCAGTGAAAAGCTACCTTGGCTGATAATCAATAATTAGAGCATTGTGGAGGCGATTAGTAGTCTCCAGAAACTTCTAAACAATTAATTAAGTAAGTCAGGCCCATTTTAACCACTGCTGGGTTATGCTAAAAATTATGCCTTCCAACCAACTCAAAACTTATGCTATAATACATAAATATATTAACAAAAAATGACAAACCTTCCTCTATCAATAAAAACTCATACTTGGAAGCGGGATTCTCACGGTTTATTTGACTATGAATCTAAGAACACTCAATCAAGCGCTTTTAAAACACTTGTATCAGGCTCAGTTGTACAAATAGGAGAAGAATGCAAATTTCTTCCTCCTTCACTATCTCCTCAAGAAGGAATTTTAGCTCAAATAACCGAATCCAATAAGGAATTTATTATTCATCCTTCAAACCAAGAGCGGTTTTGGCTTGTTGTAAAAGAATTATATACAGATCTTGGAAATCCTGGCTACAAGTTGAGTGAAGGCTAGGCTAAGTTACTAAAAGTCAGGCATTAGCCATATTGGTGATGAAATTACTATAGATCTCCACACAATCCTTTTTATCATACAGCCCATCTTCGCCTTGCCTTGAGGATTCAGTTTTGAGTAGCTTATATCTTTCTGCAGGCGATGCTAGTAGTTTGTTTCCAAGGATTAAGTACCCAGAGTCTATCGGGTGACAAAGTGTCTTATTCTGCAACTATAAGAAAAAGACTGCTACCTATGGTCAGGGCTTATCCCCCGATTTCTAAGTAGAGAATGCGCAGGGGTCCAAAGTAAAATTGCTGGGTAATTTTCAACCCCTGGAAAGCAGCTAAAACCTATTATGATGCACATCTGCTGATGCTATACTTAGTTTTCGGCTTGGAATAAGTTCCAGATGCTTTGACATTAAGGTCTAGACTATTACTCGCAAGGGCAGATTGTAACTGTAGCCATTTTAATCAATAGCTGACTCCCCAATTAAATTGGAACAAAAAGTTCTGTTTAATTTAAAGGGGTTTAATTGTGTTTTTTTAAAAAATTATTAATTTTTCTCTATAAAATTTTCAAAATAAAAAAATATAAATTGAGCGCAATATTTTGAATTTAGTTTATTTTATGAAGAACTAATTAAATAAATTAATCGATTCTGTATGGAAATCGCTTTCATAGAATTCTACTTGCACTTTTTCCATTAAATTAGGTCAAAACTAATTTATAAAAATTATTATCTTCATCTTTAATGTTTTTGAAAAGATTTTTAAAAATAGAAAATTTGAACATAATACTTTAAATTTTAATTTATGTTTATAAAAAATAATGAAAAAACTAATCAATTCAGTGAGAAAACTGTTTAAGTAGCATTCTACTTTCATTTGTCTATTAAATTAGGTTAAAAAACTAATTTTATAATTATTATTATTATTATCATCGATAAAATTTTACTATTGGAAACAAAAATTTCAATTTTAAAAGGAGCTTAAAGATCTTAAAAATTGCAAATTTTACCGATGCTTTGTTCCAATCTAAGAGAGAGGGGATTGAGTAAAGGTGATATGATTAAATTTGGTAGAATCCGTATGAAAGTAAAGGAAATTAATAGCATAGAAAACTCTTGTTCCAAAGAAGAAACCAAAGCAACGATTAATGAAAAATCATCTGAAGGCTCTGTGTGTAGATTTTGTTTAAGCGAAATGTATACTGACGAAAACCCATTAATTTCACCTTGCAGCTGTTCTGGATCGATGAAGTGGATTCATTATAAGTGTCTTCAAACGTGGCTAAAAGGAAAAGTCAATGTATAATTTAAGTTAAAAATATGGCGAAGGGCTGCTTTATAAATAGATTTTATCTATAAAATATATAAATGGGCTTAATATATATGAAAGCTCTAAATAATCATTTGTAGTATCTGAACACAACAACTCAGTTTGCTACAAATGGCATCAGCTTCATTGTGAGATCTGTAAAGACAGCTACCCATCAAGCCTAAAAGTAAACAGCAAGCAGTACAATATAATTGAGGTCAACAAGCCATTAGGTCCTTATATAATCCTATTAGATCTAAAGGGAGAAAAAAACAATGATTATTGTTTGTGGGTAATTTCTGCATTTGACAATTTATGCTTGACTATTGGGAGAAGCCATGATAATGATATAAGTTTTGCTGATATTTCAGTATCAAGGTGCCATTCCTCTATAAGATTTATAGGAAAAAGCTTCTATTTAGAAGATAACGCTTCTAAATTCGGGACACTTATTTTAGCCAAAAAATCGATACATTTAGCACGTAATTCTATGCTTGCTGTGCAATGTAGAAGGACTGTTATTTATTTTAGCTTAAAAGAACACCACAGCTTTATTTCTGCTTGCTTGTGCTGTGGGAGCGATAATAAAGTAGCGCCAGAGCCTGTGCAAATTGAAGAACAGCGAGAAAGCCAAGAAGAGGAAGAAAAAATAGATCATGAAGAAATTTCTGGGTCACTGTAGATTATAGTAAACTATAAATTAGCCCACTTATCAATTATAAACTGAAATCGATATTACTAATTAAGGTAAAATTTTCATAACTTCTTGCTTGATTAGATAATATATTAAAAACCTTCATCCCAGTTTTCAGGAATACTTTTTTTATATGCTTCCAGTTCTGTATCAGAAATATCAGGCAGCGACTCTTCCTCCTCACTTTCATTATCCAGTGGCGCATCCCACATATACACATGCCCAGCATTATTCTGCAAATCTTCAGTTTTTTCGCCTAAATTTGGTGTATATGGAGGTATTACAGCTTCATTAATTAAGTTATCTCAGTCATACCCAGTGAACCACTCATGCTTTTTTAAATTATCAATAGACCCTCCAGCTCGGGATTCTGCATATTTACTTAAAAGCTGCTCTATAAAATTTTTGGCTGTTTCGCTGACAGGGTCTATATCATCAGGCCAGTCTATTTCTTTTTCAAGTACTTCTTCATAGACTCTATAACAGTCAGTTTCTTCATTTCCAAATGGAACACGGCCGCATAAGCACTCATACATGCACACACCAAGACTTCATAAGTCAGCATTTTTATTGTAGCCTTTCCCAACAATCACTTCTGGGGCCATATAATGAGGAGTGCCCACAAGTGTATAAGTACGGGATGGGATGATTTTGGCAGTGCCAAAATCAATTAGTTTGATAAAGCCTGTATCGTTAATCATGATGTTTTCAGGCTTTAAATCGCGATATATGATGTCTCGCTCATGAAGATATTGAAGGGCCAAGATTAGAGATCCCAAGTAAAACTGTGTGTCGCTATTTGTAAAAAGCCCGATTTTCATTAAAATTTCGCTGAGCTGCATGCCATGAACATACTCAAGCAAGAAGTATATTCTTTTATAATCTTTATAAGTCCTTATAAGTTTCTTACTTACTTACTTACTTAATTATCTGGTGTTTAAGGTGTCTAGTGCCACAGCCCAAAAGGGGCCTATAGCAAAACTGATGACGTAGGCGAGCCATCTTGGCACGGGTCAGCCCCGTCCAAGCCTTCTAACAACTCCTGCTTCACCAGCCCTGCTGCACGTCTCACCCGGCGCGTTGCCGTCGCCCTTGTCGCTCGACTCAGCTCCTGCGCGTGTTCCGCCTAAGGGTCATCCTCCCGTGGGGATGTGCTGAGAGGTAAAAGCCCGAAATCTTGAGTGGACTGAGGAGTGGTTCCTCTGGTTATCCCCAGAGTTAAACCGCTATTGCTGTCCAGAAGTTCTCGAGTGAAAACCTAACCCTATAAATAAAATTCCATGAGGGAGAGAAAATTAGCAAAGCTAATTTCTCTCGAACCGAATGCCATTTTATTTATCCCTTATAAGTTTCACTATAAAAGGATGGTCACACAAGTTCAAAATATGTTTTTCCAGCTACATAAAGAATACCAACAACTGTTCTTGTATTGCGAATTTCTCAATCACTCTTCTTTCCACAACCTTCAGCGCATATAAATTTTTTGAGTCTCTGGGATGCACTAAATACACTTTTGCGAACATTCCTCTGCCAATTTGCCTTATAATCGCTAGGTCTTCAAGCTCTGCTCTTTCATCCTCCATACGAATTCTATGAAGCAGCTGCTTTCTCATGTTTTCGTTCAAAATATTGATAAAGTCGTTATTATTGATAACCCAAAGCGTGACGTTTCCATTGGCTCGACAAGTAGCACTAGCAGCACTTTCAAATAGAATTCCGCGCTCCCCAAAGTAATCGTGCTTTGTGACTGTTCTTATGATAACGTCTCCTCTCATAATGTCAACTTTTCCTCTTTTCACTATAAAAATGTGCTGGCTTTGACTTTTTTCTTGCAAAATTACTTCGCCGTCAGAGAATTTTTCAGTGTTGATGATGCTGAATAGTTCTTTCATCTGTGAGCTGTCAAGAGTTTTAAATAGGAAAACTTTTCGCAAAATATTTGTGGCTGCATTTTCTTTTACAACATCTTCATATTTCCCACCAATACTTACTTCAAATTTATATTTGGTGAGTTCTCCCACCTTCATGTCAGAAGCAGCGATCATATCGTCTTCGTATTTTACATCTTCAGGGTTAACCTGAGTGATATATTGATCACCCACACAAGTCCCTTTATCTGCAAAGGTATGAGAAGTTCTTGCATATTGAAGTCTGCCTGATATAACGATATATAGTTTTAGCTTGCAGAGGGTGCTTTGGGGGATAACGACGTCTCCTCCTTTGTAGACTCTGTGGTCAATATCTTTACAGATAAGCTCTTTTTGATGTTTGTTTAGCAAGGATAAGGTTTCTGACTTATTTATATAGCGATTTTAATGAATTTGTAAGGGGATAGTAAAAACATAGTTTAATTTTGTATGAAAATAGAAAAAAAAGCTAAAATTTATTAGTCTATAGAGATATTAAAAAATAGCTTCCATAATTGTATTTTTTTCGATAATATCTTGTAGCTGATTTGACAAGTTTTTCTGAAGAGTTTCTCTACTTAAAACTAGGCACTTAACAGGCCCATCAACTGCAACACATGTAGCAGATCTCGGTGCATTATTCAGCAGCGCCATTTCTCCAAAATACCCCCCTGAGTGTAGTCTTGCAATTTCCTGGCTGCCTCTTTGTACACTCACAATCCCTTCTTTAATAATAAACAATTGCTGCCCCGTTTCTCCTTCTGTAATGATTTTTTGGCCACTATAGTATTTATAAATAACTAGCGACGCTGCCAATGAGTCCTTTTGCCGAGGATTCAAAGGCTGCAGCAATGTGACTTTTTCTATGAATTCTCGGTTTTGTTCATAGATTTGTGTATTCATTTCTTCAATGACTTTTCTGAAGGTTTGTCGTTCGACACCTCAGAGCCCTGAAGGCGCTGAACATTTTACAGTGGCGCTTCTAGGGTTATCATGCAATAATGCAAGCTCTCCAAACCCTTCCCCAGGCTTGATTTTATTGACTGATTTTCCATTCACAAACACTTCCAATAGCCCAGTCCTTAAAACATAATATGATCGTGCAGGCATTTCTTGTTCAAAAACTATAGCCCCAGTCTCAAATAAATAGAGCTGCATTGATTCAGCGACCATTTCTTTGTCTTCTTCAGTTAAACTTGTGAAAATAAAGTGACTATTCAGAGCAGTCAAAATCATATCTTTGTCTTCTGATGTTTTTGTGGCATAAGGGTCGATTTCAGCTGCAGAAGCTTCTATATAAGAGGAAAAATCTTTGTCTTTGCTCATACTTTTTTTCTTTTTAAAAGAGGTAGTCCGAGATTTGGCATAGTCTGCCTGAGGAAGAGACCGAGAATTGTTTGGGGTGTTAGTCCTGTCATTAGGTTGTAGGTTTGGGTTAGATACTTCAACTAAGTGTTTGTAATTTAGTTTTGTGCATCCAGTTCCCATATATAATTTTTAATTTGACATAGGAATTATTACTCGTAATAATGTATTTCTTATTATATAAGAAAAAATATATTTTGCTTATGAAAAGACTATTTTTAATAGGAAATAAAGAACTTTTTTGGCATAGAAAAAATAGGTTTTATAAAAAAAAGAATATTAGGTTATTATATCGCTTGATATACGACTTAATTTGGATCGACTTTTTGATAGAGGAGGACATATGCATTTAAATTCAGCACTTCTTTTAAAGACACTTTTGTGCACTTCGCGTCGTCAAAAAGGTACCAGGAATGGCTTCGTTTGCAATATGCCAAATAATGTCCATTGTCGATTGACCCATTGTGTACGGCAACTCCTAAGAGTTCATATTCATTTTTTTCCGTTGCAAAATTTTCAATGCTCATTCGTTTTTTGTACCTGCAGGAGGTTGACACTTTGTGTGGAAGGATTTAAGTTATGCTGACCATAAGTGAGAAAACCGCCTTATGGATTTCAGGTTAACCATCTGCCCAGGGGATTAACTCCATTAGGCTGAGCCAGCGTCTGTAGGGTGCCCTAATGGTCCCCGGTAAGACGAGATCATGTGGTAGGTAAACCTATCTAGTCCATCTGGCAGGACAGGAAAACTTTTGAGGGGGAGCAAAACTTCCCTGTTCGGCAAGGGTTTCCAAGCCTGAAAGCCTATTAGGCACTATTTCAGCTTCATCAGGATGGTCCTACCTGATCCCATAGGGGAGCGAGTCTCAGAGTGCAATTTCCATAACGTCAGCATTTTATTTCTTGTGTGGATAAGGCATTTGTCGGAACCTCTTAACTTGGATTAATATTTCAGCTCAGAACCAATGCGAATACTACATTATATAGGCTATTTATTCATTTATTTTATTAAAACAGTATAAATATGAAGGAGCCTTGGAAATTTTAAATTGCTTGGAAACTTCGGATTTTTCATTGCATGAATCACAGTCATAATTTGCTGTGAGACGCTCTTCTTTTGTAAATAAAAGAAAGCTTTTTTCTACTGACGAGCTCAGCTCGAACTGGAGATCGATAAACCGCTCATATTTTTTAGAAACCTGAAAGCAGTTATCGCATGTAATTTTGCTACAAGTGCTCCCATTAAAAATTTGTGTAAAGACTGGGAGCTCTTGTTCCAGTTTATTTATCATAAACCTCAAAAACTCTGGCAAATCATGCTGCCTGCTTAAAGGAAAATAGGTGCTTATATAGTCCCAAAAGCTTTCAGGCCTGATTTTTTTTGATTTTCCAATAAAAATTTGTCTTGCCAGCTCACTCATGATTTTCAATAAATTTTTTTCTTGAAAATCTATATTTTGCTGTAATAAATTTTCTTTAATTTCTGGAATCGTAAAAAGCAACTGCAGCCCTGCATTCATATAGCAAAGCAGCCCTGGGTTCTCCAGCCCGACTCTTCCAGATTTTACTTTAAAAGGTCCTGAGCACAAGAAGCTGAGCTCCGATTCATTCATAGTATTAGCTGTGCTCCTTGTCGCTGACTCATTATTTGATTTAATTTCAATTTCTTCTGCTTCAGTAAGCGGAGTGTTTACGTCCCCTTCCACGCTCGGAATTTCGAAACTTTCTTTTCTTATTGAAAATAATGGATTGGCTTCTAATAATTCAGCCTCAAAAAATGAATTTTTAAGGCTAGGATTTCCTTCAATACAGGAATTCGACCTGAAATGATCAGATCTGATGCTTGGAGGCAATTTTAAATTTGTAGCATCAAAACGAGGGGTTAAAGCATCCTCAGGCTCAATTTCTTCACTGTTTGGCTCTAAATATATAGGGGAAGCTGAAATTATGGGTGACTCAGCTCCGTATTTGTGTGATAAAAAGAGCCATTGCTGCTTGTTAAGAGCTCGGTAATCGGTACCAATTTTTAAATCCTTCTTAACGGCACCTTTGGCATCCCTCAATTTTGAAGTTCTCAGCTTGCCAGGAGCTTTATCTCCATGGATATACCCAGCCCAGTCTTTTACCCATTGGGCTTCTATCCAATAGTACTCAGTGCAATCTTTGGCCTTGTCAAGCTTTCTGATGATTTGTTCTTCCTCTTCACAAGAAAGATCCTTAGGGATGTTTATTGGTAATTCCTTACTTCCCCCCCCCATCCTTGATCGAACGACTCGCCATCGTTCGATCAAGGATGGGGGGTTAAAAAAAAAAAATTCTCGGGAAAAAAAAATTTATATATATATATATTTTTATTTACTTTTAAATAAGAGGGTTAAGAGTATTTAATAATTATTTTTTACAGCAAAAAATTGAATTAATTTCATAAAATATTAATTTTTTAATATTTTGGTTTATTAGTTACCCTTTTTAAACTGTATAAATTTGAATTTGTTACTTACAGAATCAAAATTTTTTTTTTTTTTTTAAATTTTAAAGAATCTCTATTTTTTAGATTATTGAGTTTTCAAGCCTAGATTGATGGCTAAATCACTTCGGATGGTTGATTCCGCAACTTTCTGTGTCTCAAAGCTCTGACAACAACTTCATTAGGTACATCTTCCCAAGCTTTTGATAACTAATATATTTTTATATATATATAAAAATTTGGATGATATGAAAATCGTTCGATCAAAGGATGGGAGTTAATTTCCTCAATTTTTTAGGAATTTTTACAGCCAATCGTTCGATCAAGGATGGGGGGGGAGTTAGTTAATAAAACAGAAGGCCTTTTCTGCTGTAATGCAAGCTTTGAGGATTTTTGGTTGCTCTTAAAAATATTATTCTGTTGAGCTGAGGATAATTCTGATCTGTCTTTGTCTAGGAGAACTGCTTTGATTTGTTTAAGAATGTTCATAAATTTAAAGAATTTATTGGAGAATAATAGAACGCTTTACTGAACTCCTATAGCGATTAATTATAAGAAAAATAAGTTTATTTTATTAGCTTATTTAGTTCCAAACGGTGAGTGATTTGTGGGAAGTTGGTTAAAAGGAGCCAATTTTCCTTATAAAACATTAATGGTGAGCTATTTTCAATATGATAATAAATTCTTCCACATAATGGTCTTATAGTTAAAAGTAAAAAGTGTTGAATCGATGTGGCTCTTTTCTAGAAAAATCATAGGAGCTTATTTATCCTAAAAGAAATTATTTAAAGTAAAACTTCATTCTTGTTTTTATTAAAAAATAGCCTGATTTTTAGATCAAAAATATCTGATTGTGAGAGTTACAATTATTATTTGACAGCACATAGATATATTTATTTGAAACGCTGGAGGAATATTTTGACAAATTATTTTCGATTTAAAGATAAAAATATATGCCATTTAGACTGAAAATTCAGTAATAAAATTTAATCAAAACAAATGCAAGCTAGATTAAAACTCTCCAAAATTAAGTGTAAGATATCTTAAAACTTATTCTTTGTTATTGTTAAAGATAAAATTTTCTATTCAACAGAAATAATTTCCCTCCGAAAATTCATAATAGTTAGGTTTATTATTAGATAGCTTTAAAAATAAGGTTTTCGATATAATTAAGAAATTCTTTCTTTCATATTTTTTGAATTTCCTAACTCCCCCTTCCAGAGCGAACAAAACCCTATATTTGCACAAGCCCCTTCTGCGAGCGAACAAAAATTTTTTATGGAAAAATATTTTGCTATATAAGTGATAATTATTATAACGAAATCTCTAGCTAATTCTGTTTATTTTTTGCTTACTCCCCCCCTCCGTGAGTGAACAAAAAAATTTTGTTTACTCACGGAGGGGGGTTAATTTTTTTTTTAAAAAAAATTTATATATAAATTTTATAGAAAAATTTTTTTCCGAAATTTTAAAAAAATACTAATTTGCAAAAATTGGAAAGCAAATATTAATTTAATTTATAAAAATTTATATTTTAAAACTCAATTTGTTTAAAATTAAACAGAATTAGCTCGAAATTTCATTATACTAATTATCACTTATATATCAATTTTTTTTTCATAATAAATTTCTATTAAAAAAATTTTTGTTCACTCACGGAGGGTGAGTTTTTGGGCAAAAAATAGGGATTTTTCCAATGATTTTGTTCACTCACGGAAGGGGGGAGTTACATTTTAAAACATAAATCTGACAAATTAAATTAGTTTTTACGAATTTTAAAAAAATATTTTACTATAAAATCTATATAAATTTTAAAAAAAAATAACCCCTTCCGTGAGGGATAATAAAATTATTCAAACCATCTCCAATCCTTAGAAGAATTACTTTCCTATTCTGCCTATGCATATCTAAATCATTTTTCTAACTCCCCCCCCCCCCTCCGTGAGCGAACAAAACCATTAGAAAAATCACCATTTTTTGACCAAAAACCCACCCTCCGTGAGCGAACAAAAATTTTTTTAATAGAAAAAATTTTAATGGAAAAAAAATTTTGATATATAAGTGATAATTAGTATAATGAAATCTAGAGCTAATTCTGTTTAATTTTAAACAAATTGCGTTTTAAAACATAAATTTTGCAAATTAAATTAATATTTGCTTCCCAATTTTTGCAAATTAGGATTTTTTTAAAATTTCGAAAAAAAATATTTTTTATAAAATTTATATATAAATTTTTTTTTAAAAAAAAAAAAATTAACCCCCCTCCGTGAGTGAACAAAATTTTTTTGTTCGCTCACGGAGGGGGGGGGGGGAGTAAACTCTTTTATTTCTACTGATAAAGTATTCAAATGGCACTCAAATCCATATAAATGGCTCATAAAAATTTTTTCAAAATCCCAATTTCCTATTCCCTTGTGATAATTAATATTATGGAGGCGAAAAATTTGTCCTTGATGATGACGCACCACATTGGGCGCTAAAAGTCACTTTATAGCCTAAATCAAGGCTTTGGACCCTTTAATCTTAACCCCATAGCTTGCCTAGAGCGACAGTATCGGGTGGGTAAACCTTGGGAGTTAGTTAATGGCGGATCCTGTCCAGGTATTAGTAATAGTTATTCGCAAGATTTTTGGGCCACGGGTTCTTTCCCTGCCAATTCCATAGGGCTGTGGTTTTTTTTTCCTTTCCCCACTCAAGGTTGCTAGCATAAGGTATCGGGCTAACTTTTGCCTAGAGAAGTTATTATAACCCGCTGAGACCCAGGGACATCAGTGCAAGCTCCAGTTTCGGGAGTAGACCTCTATTGAGATAGGCTCAGGTGTCTGAATTCCTCCGGCAAGTAGATTTCGGCGGTCGCAAGAGTGCGGATGCAACAATTTTAAGACTTTAAGCCCTTTAAGTTAAGTAATTCCCTTATAAAGGCACCAAATACTTCCTCACTTCTAACTTTAAACATAAATCATATTTTCCTTTAAAGTATTTAATTTCTCTTTTTTCTTTATTAAAAAGTTGATTTAAATTATCTATAATAACATGAATTGTGAGGAATGCTCTAACATTCAGGCAAAAGTTATCTGCTCAGAATGTGACGAAGCCCTTTGCCCTCGTTGTGACGACGCCATCCATCGTGGTGGCAAGCGAAAAACCCACACACGTCAAACACTATGCCAAAACTGTAGGTCTCCGGCTATCCAATTATGCAACACTTGCCAAATCAGCATATGCAGCAATTGCAAGCAGGCTCATATGAAGCACAGTATTACAACGCTTTCCCCACCAAGCCGCGTCGCTGTTTTTTGGGACCTTAACACGTGTAGACCGTTGCGCCCAGAAGATGTGCAAACTGCCATAACAAGTATAAAAGAAAAATTCCAAAAAGTCGAATGTGATCTGCAGTGGGTCAATAATTATTGGAAAATATTCTATTGCAAGGAATAAATACATTGAAAAAATCTAATTTTTAGCTTTTTTTTTTAGGAAAAATAGCATTTTTATTAATAAATATTTATAAAGTCTATTAAATGGGCATAACTGTGGAGGATAAAAAATATTTATAGTAAATTTTTATAATAAAAAGCATATAAAAGCGTATGGCGACTGATTCATTAAATGAAAGGACATCTTTGAAGCAGCTGGTGTTAAGCTTGTTATTTGTGAAGGTCTAACTCCCAACCTCCGTGAGTGAATAAAACCATTGGAAAAATCCCTATTTTTTGGATAAAAAACCCCTTCCATAAGCGAACAAAAAATTTTCTATGAAAAATTATTTTGATATATAAGTCATAATGATTATAATGAAATCTCTAGATAATTCTGTTTAATTTAAACAGCTTGCATTTTAAAATATAAATTTCGCAAATTAAAATTAATTTCACTTTTCGATTCTGAAGAAAAAAAAAATCCATAGGGGGGTTAAGGGAAACTGAAGCTTTGCTTATCGACATTTCGTCTGAAGGCTCGAAAGGGCTGACTGAAATTTTGGTGCTCTGCAGCCAAGCCATACAAATAAGGCATCATCTCGCTCAAATTCAAGCGAATTTGCCCAGTGTGAAACTTCTAATTTCGTCAACTTACTATCCCATAAACCCATTCCCTGTCGAAATGCTGCCGAAAGAAATGGACGGGCCAACAAAAATCCCTGTGCCTTCTTCGAAACCTTCAGTCCAAGGGCGAAATTCATTTTCTGAGTTCCGATCGGGACTATTCTCTATTTAATAAATTTATTTCTAATAATTATACTTAAAAATAATGGCTAACTAATAAAAAAAGCATAAAACCAGGCGAAAAAGTAGTGATCCTTGAGGCTTGCCCAGTTATGCAAAGATTCGTCAGAAAAGCTGAACAAGACGCTTCCCACGACCAACTCCTGTCCGCTCTCAAAGAGCTTGCTGAAAAAGGCCAAATAATGCACGAAACCAAAGAATTCGTCCAATACTTCTCCCAAAAGTTCAGAATATCCTCTGATAGGACAATGGATTTTATAAATTCTGCAAGTAGGCTTGACATAGTCCATTTGACTGAGAGACAGTTCGGGAACATAAAATCAATGTCTTTTATTAGCATGAAACTGAGTAGTCTCAGCCTGGAAAGTTTGCTATGGACTTTACGATCTTTAAGAGTAGACGAAATGATGCCAACTGAGAGAGCCATAATGTCCCGTATGAAAGAAGCTTTTGAATTCAAGCCATCACCTGTACAGTGGGACAACCTCCTAGACGCTTGCAAAGGGTTCTACCAAGAAAAGCACCACCATACCAAAAGTGCCCCAGCAGAAAAGCAAGGCATCGATTTTTCAATTTTTATGCACCAACAAGGTGACTCTGAGCCGCTATTTACCACAGACCAAATCCCTGAATTTATAATCAGAGACATCAATGACCCAGTCACAGGCCAAGACACCCACGTCATCTTTCCTAAAGGCGAAGAATGGGAGTCAGTAGACCAGCTTATCAAGGTAGGCGACGTCCTCCACATAAAGCAGACAAGAGAATGGCAAAACTTTGTGGAGTTTTTAGAGCGCTATTTTTCCTCAGCTGGGCCAAAAATAGATGAATCTACAGCTATACCTGGAGGGAGATATGGCTGTGCGCAATTTTTGAAGCTTTGTGCGCCTACTTTGCAGAGCTCTTCTTTAGGCAAGCTTAGCTATATGGTCCAGCTAGCTATAGACGAAGATCTGTTAAGATACCAAAGGACTTTATTAGTATGAACACCTGTGACGACCAAAAAAAACTACGAAGAAGATAACGCTAACAAGCTTAGAGCTGTCCAATTCGCAGTCGTAGAAGTCCTCAAAGAGAATCGAAGCGGGATTTCTCTAGCCCAGCTTCCTTTGTACCTTAAGAGAAAACTTAGTTTCCATTTAGATCTACAAGAACTAGGATTTTCTAAGCTAAAAGACTTATTATTGACGATCCCGAATGTAGAAATTGTGCTTAAAGGGACAAATCATCCTTTTGCGATATGGAAGCCAAGCAAGAAAAAGACAATTTCAGACACAGAAGAGGTCTCAAAAAGCATGGACGAAATCTTGCATGACTGCAAACAAGGACTCCCAGGATCCCGCGTTGAGATGATGCTCCATGCTAAGTTTGGACATCCAATCAATTGAAGTGACTATAAGTGCAGCAATATTTATGACTTTGTACAGAGAAGGGCTGCCAGCATGTTTTCTATCACCGGACAAGGCGATTTCAGAAATATCGTCAAAGCAGGGGTTAGGTCGTCAGTTTTTAACAAGGAAACATACGAAGACGACTCCCAATACACAAGAGGTTCATATAGCTCTATTTTTTCCAACTCAGGAGATTTATTATACGTCAACGAGCCCCAACAGAAAGTTGTGAATGTATCAAATCTCCCACCAGAGCTCCAAAACAACCCAAATACCCATTTTTCCCCTTTATATAATTTTGAGGGCCATGAAGAACAACAGCGGAAATTCATTGAGACGTTGCTGGGTGAAGAAGATATGTCGAATACCTTACAAGGCGCTGACCCACCCCACTATAGGACGGATAGCGTTGAGTATCATCATTTACCTGCTCGTGGGCCTTATTTGGTTAGTGTAGAAGGCCATAAGAACGCGCTCAGTGAAGATTTCCAGGAATTCGTGCCAGATCGTAATAGAAAATACCACTCTTCTTTTGGGGGATTTTCTATTAGTCCTCCACCTGGGTTCGGCCCTTAATTGTACAGGATAACAATTTTTATTAGTTAAGTAATGTAAAGGTTTCTAAAATAGACTATTATAGCATCAAAAATAAGCAGAAATCAATTAAACTTTTAATACCAATGCAGTTGCTCCTCCCCCGCCGTTACATATCCCGGCAACTCCTATTCTTTTCCCTTCTTGTCTTAGTGCTGATAGTAAAGTTATCACAATTCTAGCTCCAGAGCATCCAAGTGGGTGTCCAAGCGCAACAGCCCCTCCATAAATATTCACTTTTTCTTCCCCAATACCAAGCAGCCTTGTATTAACAATCCCAACAACTGCAAATGCTTCATTTAATTCAAAAAGCTCGATATCACCTAAGCTTAGCCCAGCTTTTTCTACAGCTTTTCTAACAGCTAAATTTGGCGATGTTGTAAATTCAACGTTATTTTGCTCTGCGTGGGCAAAACTCATAATAGTTCCTAAGACTTCCCACCCCATTTCTTGTGCTTTTGCCCTTGAACATAGCACGACCATAGCAGCTCCATCATTTAATGATGAGGCATTCCCTGCTGTAACTTTGCCGTTTTCCTTTCTAAATGCAGGTCTTAGTTTTCCGAAATTTAGCTCGCCTTGTTTTAATGCATCTTTTTCAATGAAGTTTCCTTTTTTCTTTAAATTTGGCACTGGGATGACTTCATTATTGAATTTTCCATTTTCCCAAGCCTTTCTAGCTTTTTCATGGGTATTTTTAGAAAAATTATCCATTTCTTCTCTCGTCACATTATATTTTTCTGCACATCTTTCAGCACATTCTCCCATATGAATGTTATACCTGGCATCCATTAGTCCATCTTTTAGCAGCCCATCCACAAGCACAGAGTCTCCTCTATTCAAGCTTCCTCTTTGTTGATAATAAGGGACATTTGACATAATTTCAACCCCACCAGCCACTATAACATCTTCTAATCCTTGTCTGATCGTCATTACAGCCGAACTAATTGCAAACATCCCACTGCTGCAGACTTTATTGACATTTGTGCATATACAAGACTCAGAAAGGCCAGCTTTAATAGCTACTTGTTTAGCTGGTGACTGGCCAAGACCAGCTGGATACACATTTCCTAGATAAAGTTCTTGGACTAGGCTGGGATTTATGTGGAACTTTTTCAAGGTTTCTTTGAGAGTGTAAGCTGCTAAATCAGTGGCAAAATAAGCTGATAGGTCACCTTTGTATGATCCTATTGGCGATCTTCCAGCAGCAACTATACAGACTTCAGGTTGTTGAGATAAATGATTGCTGATAAGAGAAAGTCTATGCATATTTATTTATTTAATTATACCTTGGCTCCTGGGCCTTTCTTTTTAGTCCATGCCTCGTTCATCATGTTTTTGACCTTCATCATTTCTTCTCTGTAGATTACAATTCTATCACGCTTCAGGCCGTGCTCTTTGGAAAAACCAACAAATTCAGGGTGAAGCTCGGGGAAAAATTTTCGGTCTTTAAGCTCTCGGCGTTTAGATCATTCTGTACGGAAGGCATTGGTAGAGTTGACGACGTAGTTGGCAAGCTCAGAGTCTTGCCGAGGGTTTATTAGAGAAAAGCGCTCACTGTGGGTTTCAGGGAATTTTTGAAATGGAACGCTTCGTGTGGGGAAGATATTATGAAGTGTGAAGCGGTTAGAAGCTTTATATTATAAGGATGTTAATGTGATTATATACAAAATAGGCTATTTTGCTTAAAGAGAAGTTTATGGTATATAAAAACAGTATATTTCATGTTTGCCCAGCTGTGCCCGGCTTGGCTGAAAATCTGGCTCATATTTTTTTCAAAAGAATTTTTTTTAAAATATTTTATCTATAAGAATTCTGACCTTCAAATAATTATTTATATCCCAAATATTTTAAGACAAAAAGCCATAAAAATTAATCTGCACCAGAAAATCTAGTTGACCCCCTGGTATCAAGCAAATTCAAATCTTCATTATCATTAAATCAATTTGAGCCTGTATTAAGTCCTTTTAAAGCTTTAATTAAAGCTAGTCTTGGGAGCTTATAAAGTCTCTGAGACTCTGAAGAAAAAGTTGAATAAAAATTTGTCTCAGTTGACCGTTTTTTGCTTGACACAAAAGTTCCAGTAATTTGATTAATTTCTTCACGAGAAGGGACACGCACCAAAGAGCGGCTGCTGGGGAGACCAGCCATTAGGGATTTAGAAAAGGCTGAGCGAGGGGCTGCTGACTGCTGAGTATTCAGGTGGATTCCAACTGTTTTAGGCCTTTCATTTGACTTGTCAATAGACAATTCATTACTGTTGGTTGTGGACATTATATCAATCTTTTTTATACAACTTTATATTCTTAAAATTATTTTATAGTAAAACTTCTATTTTTTATATATTTTTTTGGATATAAAATAATAAGATAAAAATTCTATTAAAAAAAGCCTCCTAAACTATACAATACTAAAAGTTTGAGCTAAGCAGATACTAAAAAAGCCTTTTATAAATGGAAACCAGGAAAACAAAAATCATTATGACTATTGGTAAAGCTTCTTCCTCAAAAGACTGCCTACGAGAGCTAATAAAAGCAGGCGTCGATGGGATCCGAATAAGCACAAGATTTATCAGACCTGAAGATTAATTGTCTGAAATAACCCTCAGGTTTTTTCCTGGTGCCTTTTTTCTAATCAAAATGAAGGTAAATTAAAATTCATGGTTTTTCCAACAACAAAAAATAATAGCACGTTTTTCTGAAATTTTCTACTACGCTATTCTTTTACTCATTAAGCATTGCTTATTAAAACTTTAAGTTTGCTATTTATCTATTAATTTCTGCAGATTTAGCCTCATTTATGATGATTAGATTCTGATAAAATATTTTCAAAGCATAGTTTTTTTCAGATAAATTTGCTATTGAGTTTTTTCCTGGAAAAAGCCAGGAAGATTAATTTATCTTCATTTTGATTAGAAAAAAAGTACCATGAAAAAACCTCTGGGGTTTTTATTCTAGACTACCCCTGAAGACAAAGATATAATCATGAGAAATCTCCGAGAAGCCGAAATTGAAGCCGAACGAGAAGTATGTGTGATTTTAAGCTTAAGGGAAAGTGATATCAGAATAGGAAGTGTAGACCCTAAAGTTCCTATTGTTTTAAATGTAGGAGATGTCCTGAAAATCGTTAATGATGCTTCTTTAGCTGATGATTTAAACGTAGCAGTCTGCAATAACAGAGAATTCCCTAATCTTGTCCACCCTGGAGATAAGCTTCTACTGGAATTTGGAAAAATCGTTTTAACTGTGCTCAACGTAGGAGTTTGTATGTCAAGATCACAATCACCAGATACTTCATATAAGGAAGGGACAAATCAGCCTGCAACACATTCTGCTATAGGGCCGAGACATAACTCGGCAAGTTTTCATCGGTATCAGCGATCCAAGCCAAAATCCGCGAAAAATTCAAAGGTGGTGTTTTGTAAGGTAGAAAATCGATGTGTAATTGATGACCAAATCCCTGTGAATTTTTCAAATACAAATATTTTAGACCCTGACATCACAAATGATATGGAAGATATAAGACTTCTGGAATGGGCAGGGCAAGCTGATATTGATGTTATTGTTTATAAACAAGTTAGAGGAGAAGATGATTTAGAAAGTCTATGAAGTATAAGGATTCCTCATAAGACAAAAAGGTTTGTTGGGATCCAGACAAAAGAAAGCGTAAGCTATCTTGATAATTTTATTGATTTATCTGATGGAGCTTCTATAGGCAGAGGCATTTTAGGGGTCGAAACTGGGCTATCTAATGCTTGCAGACTCCAGAAATCAATTATCAAAAAATGCAATGATAAAGGAAAGCCAGTTGTGCTCTCAACTCAAGTCCTCGAATCCATGGTAAGCCGCACGAAACCCTCCAGATCTGAAGTGACTGACGTCACCAATATGGTTTTTGACGGAGTTGACGGAATTTTGCTTACAGGTGAAACAGCGTATGGCAGAAACCCTCTTTTGGCTGTAAAATCCTTAGAGTCCATCATTTTAGAATCAGAAGGCCACATTCATTATGAAGAAGAACAAGAATTGATATTCAGAGATTTGACTTTGCCTATGAGTATTGCTGAAAATGTCTGTTATTCTGCAGTCAGGTCGGTGTCTAGCACTATGGCTTCTTTAATAATTTGTATCACAAAAACTGGAAAAACAGCACAGAAAATCGTAAGGTATAAGCCAGCTTGTATGGTTTTAGGGATTACTGATTGCTTGAAGACTTTGAGGTTTTTGAGGATCGTGAGAGGGGTTTATCCGGTTCTTTTGAGTAATAATCTGGAAGAAGGGCATTTAGTGGAAAACGCGCTTCATATAGCGAAGGAGCATCATTTGGCGCTGGAAGGACAGACAGTGATATATGTAGGAGGTAGCAAGGACTCGTTTATAGAAGGTGATACCTCTTTACTGAGGTTTTGCACAATTCCTTAGTATTAATTAATTATTATGCTAGATTTACAAACTGCAAATAGGATATTCTAATAGAAGAAATTATATATAACTAAAATATTAAAATAATATCAATTGTATTTTTAAAACTTCATTAGTTATCTATATAAATGCTGTGTCGAAATAATTATTTAATACAATAATTTCCAGCCTCCATAAATCGAAACCCCACAAGTGCCAAGCCCCGTAAGCAGTCACATTACTCGATCAATCTCATCTAATTGTGAAAGATAAGAAAACACCATATAATCTGACACCAACGCCAAAGGCAGCAATACCACTACTACATATTTAATTCTATGATTCGACACAACAAAATACCAAGCAAGCAAAAGAGTTCCCACACAAGATGCTATCATTATTGCCGAAATAAAGAAAATTTCTAGTTGACTCATTAAATAATTGAAAATATGGAAATATACTTCAGATGAATAAAATATTTTTAGTAGCAAAAACACGATAATCCACGTCCAATAAATCCCTCTATACGCAAAGCGGTACTCACATTTCCCATAATTATGTCTATTATAATCCCCTAAGCAATTTCAGCAAAATTCATGATTGCAGTTTTGGCAAATTATATGAGGACAACCCCCAGCTTTTTCTATTGGAAAACCACACATTGGGCATAATTTTGTCCACAGTTCTTTTCATAGCAAACTTCATAGCTCAATTTCGCCTGAATAAACTGCTTTTATTGTGTCATAAGACCGATAGGTCCATGGCTGTAAAGATGGGTCAATTCATCCATTTTTACATGCATTACATATCAAAGGTTTAGTGCATGACGTATTTCTGTCAATTCAGCCTATAGCGTTGCACTCTTTTGAGGAACAAATTTTGTATTCCTCATCGTGAATCAAACTTCTTTTAAGCAAAATAAATTGATATTTAGTGTATTCTTCGTCTGAAAGGCAAATCTTGATGTCGTCTTCGTTCATATAATGACCACGTTCACCTTTTGGGCATAATATAAAAAAGTCCTCGACGTAATATTTCATGAGTTGTGATGTCACCCAACCTCGTACTACGTCTTTGCAGAAGCGGCAGCCGCAAGATAAGGAAATAAAATCAGTCTGAGGATGTTCTATGTAGCAGACTAGACAAGATTCCATTTAATTATAATTTTTCTAGTCAGATTTATTAAGTGTCAAAAATGTTGGGAGTGGGATATTTTTCTATTAAGGCTTATGGTAAATTTAGATATTTAAGGTTTATTGTAAAAAATATAACCTTGATAATTATATTTCAATTAATCCCTATCGACGTCATCAATTAAAAAGAAGGAGTTAGACTTTTTAAATTTATTTCAAGTTATTTTTTTCAATGTATCATAACTCTTCCCATTTTATCTATTTCATGACGTTATCAACTAAAATAGGCGTTTTCCATAAAAATACCTTATTTTTCCATATTCAAAATAACCGCGAAAATATTTTACAAATATGTTGCCTCTACTAGTAGATATACCATCAATTGACGAGTTAATTGCAGAAATGAAAAGAGAGCTCAGAGAAAGTGCAGCTGTGAAGTCAAATCAGTATAATTTTGATTTTTTACTTGATTTGCCTACCAGTGAAGGGAGAAGATTTTCATGGACGACTGATCACGAAGGGATAATATATATTTTTATAATAAATTTTTCACTGGCTATTAGAAAAAATAAATGTATCAATTTATTTAATTAAAATATACTTGGAGAAGAGAAATTAAGAAGAAGGAAAAATTGTTTTGTCGAGATAGGAGATGGCGGCGTATTTGGTATAGCCACATACAACAATTAAGCATCCCTACTAATAGAGATAACTATTTGTTAAGTTTTATAGTTAAAGGAATTAATCTTTAGATATTTATTTATAGGGTTTCCTTTGTAGATTATTTGAAATGGTTGCTTAAGGATAGTATTTATGATATCAAAATAGGCTTTATTATTCAATATCAGGTGAAACATCTTTGAATATTGTGTTGGTTTATTAACTCCCTACTCCAATAATAAAAATTTTTTTTTTCTTACGAAGGGAGTTAATGTTTTTATTTTAAAACATTTATATATAAATATTATAGAAAATTTTTTAAAAAAATCCTAAATGCAAAAATTAGAAAGCAATTTGTAAAAATTTATGTTTCAAAATGCAATAGGTTTAAATTCAAAGAATTAGCTAGAGATTTCATTATACTTATTATCACCTGTATATCAAAATTTTTCTTTTGCTCACTGAATGGTTTAGGCCAAAAAATAGAGATTTTTTCAATGGTTTTGTTCGCCCACGGAGGGTGATTAAGGATAATTTTTTAAATTTAAGTTTTAAGCTAATTTTTACGAGATAGATTGTGGCTTCTTATTACCTATTCTATTGTTCATTTTTATTATTTAAATAAAATTTCTTTAAAAATGGATATTTTCCTAGTGCTATTTTACTTCTAATCACCTCCATGAACTTTAAACAATCATTTTGAAAATAAAATATTTGATATATAGAATTTAGCACCAAAAAAATTTTATTATGTAAGGATTAAGAGATTTTAGTCGTGTTAAAACTTTCTCTAAAATATTTGCTAGCGTTTTCCTATCCGCAATATGCTTTTAGCTCTTAGCAATAGTTTTAAAAATATTAAATACTTTTTAATCTATGCATCAACACCAATAAATTCCTTAAATTAATATTAAAAATGCTTATTGAATCTAATGCAGCGAGATTACAATTTTATGATTATCTTTGCATAATATTTATTAGACAAACTAATATGTATTTGGCTAGCTTATAAACTGATTTAATGAATTTAATTCTCAATTTAGCACTTTTAAATGGCAAAAGATAAATTTAATTTTACGTTTTAAATTAGTCGAAAGCTGAAAGAGTCTTAAAAAAATTGAGGCATGCTATTCATTTTTTACTATTTAAAACAAGAGATAATTAATTAAATTGCGTGCTATAGAAGTTTCCTATGTTTGGCGCTGTAAGGCCGATAAATTCTGATCGGAATTTATCGGTTGGTTGCACCAAATCAATGCCTTGGTCGGACCAAAAAGCGATTTGGTCCGACGAACTTGGAAAGCTCCTGGGAAAATGTCTGCGCTTTCAGCGCTATATAGAGGAAACCTCTATATCTATCACACTTGAAGTGCTATAAATTATTATCCCTCATAACTATTTTGTTGATTTTTAATTTCAATTATTCGACCTTTCTTTAGTTTCATCTCACTCTTTATCTTTTCGTATTTAGATGAAATGAAACCATTAATTAATTAAACTTGCAAGAGATAATAATTATATTTAATAGAGATATCAACTTTAGGAGCTGAAATCGCTATTTTAGATAATTCACATTGGCATCTCTATTTCAGATAATCCATGCTGCACCTCTATTTCAGATAACTCTTGTGGCATTCTGCAATGTCAATGTCAACATAGTCTTTTGATCACTTCTATAAGGGTAGCTATAGCCTATATAGGCAATCAATGCGCCATCAACCCATTTAAAATTGGAAAGCTCTAATTGTACAAAACTGAATTCATGAAAATTAATCCAGCACTAGTTTTGTCAATTAATTCACTATGGAGATAAAAAGTTTGAAAGAATTTTCCAAACAATAATAGTTGGCATACTGGTATAGTAGTTAAGATCCAATTATCAGAATTACTGAGCCAAAAGATCATAGAAAATTCATAATTTTAATGGCTAAGGAAACTAAAAAATGAAATGAAATAATTATATAAAGGTTTGCAAATAGCGTGCATTGACTTTTTCATATGAATCAATAATATTAGTGAATGAGATTGCAACTTTTGATTCACTTTTGATTCTTAATTGAAATTATTTCTCTAGCTTCGCTAGGAAAATTGAAAAAATTCTAAAAGCAAGGTAAAGTATTTATGGAAAAAACTTCGAAGATGTTTGACTTAAAGATGAAGCAGCAAAGCTATTAATGATTAATTAAATAAACTTGCCTTACTCAATAATTTTCATTAACATTAAGCATTTGCTTTTCTCCTTGGATTCGCTAATGGCTCCCTCAGCATTTTAAGTGCAGCAATTTCTTCCTCAAATCTTTTCTTTTCTTTATTAAATTGCTCCTTCATTTCTTCTTTTTCTATGTTAAGATTTTTGATAAAATCGCTCTTTGATTTATCGTATCTGTGCGTTAAATCTTTCATTTCGTCAACAATATGTGCATTTCTTTCCTTTAATTGCTTAATTGCAGCTTCACTTTCTTGGAGCTTTACTTTTAGTTCCTCATTTTCTTTTTTGTAGTTTTGCAGCTCGCCCTTATAGTTTTTCAATTTATCTTTAGCATCCACTTTGAATTTTTGCACTTCATCTTTAATTTCAGCTTTCAGCGCGTCATATTTCCCTTGCAGCTCTATATGTTCTTTTTCCAATTTAGAGTGCTCGCTCGCTAATTCCTCTTTATCTTTGATTTTCTGCTGATACTCTTTAAGAAATTCTGTATGATTTGTGTGGATTTTTTGCAGCCTCAGCCTTAAAGCATATTCTTTTGCAGCAGCATTTTTTACTCTGACGTCCATCAATGTCCTCAAATTCTCTATTATTGTCATTAATTCTTTTTGTACAGCCTCTGTAAAGCTTCATGCTCCTTTTACTAAATTATAGTACTCCATATCTTTGCTGTTTTCTATAGGATTCTCAGCTTTTTCTAACTGCTGAATTTTTTCATTAGAAATCCTCAGCTCAACTTTGACAGAATCCAATTCACTCTGCACCTGTGCGAGCTGCTCCTGCAAATTCATCTGGTTTTCTTTATTGTCTGTATCTTTAAAAGGGGAAATTGCTATATCATTCATTTCTCTATTAATATTTTTCGGGACTGTAATGTGGCTTGGCAATGACTCAATAAAGCTTTTTTGGACCTTTACCATAGCTTCAGCTTCATGCAACTTGCCATTTATCAAATTAACATTTTTGCTTAAATCTTCATATTTTCGGTCTTTTTCTTCTCTATAATATTTTTCAATTTCCAGCTCTTTTTCAAATCCCCGGGTTTTTTCTTTTTCTTCTTGAAGCATTTTTTCTAAATCCTGGCATTTTTGTTTTAGCTCATAAATTTCTGTTTTCTTAATCAAATCTACCTCTCTGAGTGAGTTTAGCTGCTGTGTTAAGTTGACGATTTCTTGTTCGTCCCTCGGCATCATTTGTTTTTGCTGCAAATCTAGCAGCATTGTTTGGTACATTTTTATATCTTCATCTGCTTTGCTTTTTTCTTCTTTTATTATATTTATCTGTGTGCCTAATTCTTCATGGTTTCTAGCTACTACTGTATTGTTTCTTTGCAGCCTTTCTATTTGTCTTACTCCTCCTTTAAATCGGAACAAAAAAACCTGTTTCAATTTTCGGGGGGTTATTTTTTTCAACAAAAAAAAATATAATTTGAACGCAATCTTTTTGGATTTTAATTTATTATGAAAAATTAATTCAAAAAATTAACTGATTCAATGTGAAAAACTGTTTAAATTGCTTTCTACTTGCACTTTTTCCAATTAGTTAGGTCAAACTAATTTATAAAAATCATGATTTTTTTACTTATAAATTTTTCTATTGAAAAAAAATTTAAAAAGGGGGAGTTAATAACAGCTGCGTATAAAGAGTTTTACTTTTGTGGCGATTTTTGTAAATATTGTCGAGGAATGATAAAGTGTTTTTTGTTTGGGAATAATAAGGAATGGTAGGGTTGATATTGCCGATTACCACAACTTTGCCAGCTGAGCAGATTGATTTGGAGAGGACTTGTACAAGTTTGTCTTTGGCTGGGATTTCTGTAAATTCCTCGCTGTTCGTTAAAACGAGTCCAAGGTTTTCAACTGATTTATTGAATTGAGAAATGTCAGCGAATTGCAAAAATGATTTTTCTCCTTGTTTTTCTAAAATATGCTATTTTAAAAAAAATTCAAATTAATTATTTTAAAATTGCTAAAACTGCTATTTTACATAAGACAGCATAATTGTAGTCACAACTAAAGGCTCTTTAGATTTCCTTGGATTAAAATAATCAAGACTATAAAAAATCCCTACACCTTCTTCAAAGCGCTTTATATCTTTATTCCCTTCTATAAGTGGCTGGACCTTATTCCCAATTACAGCGCATGATATCTGTACTTGAAATCCTTCATCGAAAGCCCTCTTAAGAAGTCCAATTATCATCCCGCCTTTTACAGTTAATGCTTCGCTTCTGCCTACACTGATAATGCAGTTATGCTTTTTTAAATCTAAAGCTAAATTTTGCACTATAAGCTCAGCAGGCTCGTTTTCTAAATAAACATAGTCAACGCTAATTAATTGGGATTTTTCCTTTTGCAGCATTTCAGGGAGATCTTTAGGCTTTCTTTGAGGGGATGAAGGCTCTTGTGATAATTGTTCAGAAAATTGAAGCTGGTCACCTTTTTGAGGACTGTGGGCTAACTTATCTTTGCGAATGAAGCCTTCAATATCATTGAAATCTTGAAAGTCTGGAGTTTCTGAGAGCTGGATTATGTCACGGTTGATAGTGCTGACGCAACGTTGGTATTGATTAATTGTTTCATCTCCAAAGAGTCGAATTAGAACTGATACCCGTTCTTCTTTTTTAATTAGATCCATATTCCCGCTTTTATTTGAAATTTACAAAAATAATGAAATTTAAAAGAAATAGCATTTTTTTGAAGGGTAATGAGAAGGCAAATTAAATAAAACTTATTTAGCTTGAAGTGAAATTTTACACTTTTATCAATTTTCTAAGGGATTTTGATAAAAAAATAAGAGGAAATAATGCTCTTATTGATGCTTTGGATTTAAAGAAATTTTTATAATTCGTTTGAGCTTTATATAGATTTTTTTGGCTATTTACTCATAGCGATTGTTGACATATTTATAAATAATAAGAACAAATGATTTTTAGTAAGGAGCAGCTTATTTTATTAATTTTCTCAAAGATATAAACTCTATAGCATTTTAATTGTAAAAATCAATATTAATCATTCGTAAAATGCATAACTTTCGTATCTTAAGTATCCGTAATAAAATTTTTCTTAAGAAGAAGTCCTGAAAACATGAAAATTCAAACTGACGAAGACGGATTCCGTACAGGGAAATGGTCCAAAGAAGAGCACAAGCTGTTTGGAGAAGGCTTGGCAGTTTTTGGGCACAATTGGAAAAAAGTGGCTGGGGTTGTGAGGTCAAGATCCCAAAACCAAATAAGGAGCCACGCTCAGAAATATTTAATAAAGCAAAAATTCAAGCAGCGGGTCATGCTGTGTAAAAAAATCGAAAATGAAATCGTCACGACGGTTGATGAGCTGTCAACTACTTCTAATAAAGTTGATCGAGCAACTCAATACGGTGAAGGCGTAAAATTCGGTAGAGTTTGCCTATTCGAAGATTACGATTTTCAACTTATAAAATAGATTTAATTTATCACCTCTAAATTTCCTCATAAACTGTCAACAACCCATTAACAGTTGAATTTATTTCATTTTTAAAATTTTAATTTAGGTAATTGTATTGATGCAGATAAGCTTTCAGTAAAGCTCCCTTCGTACAATATTTTGCCTGCTAGAAGATCATTGTTTTCTTCATGCAAATAGCTGTGGAATTCATGTTGGTCTTTAACGTATTTTTCTATATCTTTTAAATATTCACTAGCTCTGAAGGTTGATCTTTCTGTTAGGGAGCCTCGTGATTTTCTTGGAGATACAGGTCTTGATAAAACCCCAGTATCAATCGGTTCGAGCTTTGGGATTTCTATTGTTCTGGTGCTAGAAAACCTGATATTTTCAAAGCTTCTCATTCTGGTTAACAGCTCTTTTGTTTTTTGTTCGGTTTTAAGTTTTTCCATTTTGGAGGTCGAGAGGAAATTTAAGGCTTCCTGCTTTTTTCGGTTTAATTCGAGCTTTACGTTGCTTAATTCCTCTCTCATAAATACAATATTTTCAGTCTGCCTTCCTATTTCAATAGAAAGCTCATGCACTTTTTGTGCTTCTACATTAAATTCTTCCTTATTTCTCTCCAGCTCCTCTTTTTGTTTCCTATTATAATTAACTTCAAAATCCAAATCTTTTTCTTTTTCTTCACAAATTTTGGACCTGTAATTCAAGTCTAAATTTAAATTGGAAATATTTTTCACAAAATTATCAATCGAAGACAGCTGAACTTGGATTGAGCTTTTTTCTTGCTGAATTTCAGAAATGGCTTGGTTTTTTTCATTTTCAACTTCAAGCTCTTTTTCATATAAAGATTTTTCTTGAAGTTCGACTTCTTCTCACATCATTTTTTCTTCCCTCTCATGTTCTTCCCTTGCTAAATTTATGATTTGTTAATATGAATTTTTTAAATAATTTTTTAAAGTATATTTATTTTTAAACAACAGTAAATTCTATTATAATTTAACTAAAATAGTATACTTTATGCTGCTCTAGTGATAAATTTTTCTTTTGTTCTCTTTCGAATTCTTTCATTTCTTCTTGGAACCTTTCCAGCTTTTCTAGCTCGCTTTTCAGGTGCTCTTTCTCTTGCCATATCATATTTCTCCTTTGCTCTTCTGCTTCTTCAGCATTTTTTTTCCTATTTAAAAATTTTTGTTTTTCTTGCTCTATTTGGTCAGCTATTAAATTTATTTTATTTTGTCTTTGATCGAGACTTTTTTCTTTTACAACGAATTCTTGTTCTTTTATATTTTCACTATAATTTTTATCCCTTGTGAATTGTTGTGCTAAATCTGTAATTGTTTGGGTATTTTTAGATATTATTTGTGATAAAGAAAGAAGCTTTTCTTGCTGCCTTCTTGAAGTTTCAAGCGTTTTTTGTTTAGCGTCAAATCAGTCTTTAAGCTGCTGCAAATTATTTTGATGCTCAGTCTCTAATAATTTGCATTCTTGTTTAAATTGATTTTCAAATCTTATCCTTTGATCTAATATAAGTCTTTCTTTTTGTGCTAATAAATTAGTTAACTGGGCTTCTAATAGCTTAATTTGCATTTTTTCAGAGGAATCTTCTTCAGAAAATTTTGGGATTTTGGCTTCTTCATGGATATTTGATGTGAATGGACGCTGCTCGAAACCAACTGAGGACGCGATTTGAGGTTTTGGCTCTATAGAGGTTTGCTTTATGAGAGGCTTGACAGGGCCTGGAGCTGTGCCAGGCCTCGAATTATCGCCCCCGAATGTTCGTTTACGGCGAGATCCTCGAGATGCCAAAGTCCCAATTCCACTCTCATCAGCATGAGGAATGCTTGAAACTGGTGATGGGATGCTTTTCGGAGGATTATTATAAGAAGTTGATGATTGGGATACTTCTACTTGTGCAAGTCCTTCAGAGCCCTGCTCTTCTTGGGTTAACCTTTCTATATTTGCACGAGCTTCACGTTCAAGTTTTAAATCATACTCTGTTTCAAAGTGGACACTTGTAACACCCCTGAGATAGTTTGCAAATTCTGTATCGATGTATTTTTTATCATCATAAACAGTTTTGGATTTTGGGAAGCTCATTTTTATTATTTAAAAAATTACAATAGTAAGATTTAGGTTGCTGTAAGGTAAAAATTGAAGATCCTATCTAAAAACTATAAATTTCAAGGTTATTTATTTTGGCATATAAAAAAATAATTATTTTAACTAAAAAATAACTAACAAGGGAATTTAATAATAAATTATATTCTACGAATTCAAAAATAGTTTAAAATCCATATAGAACCTATAGTAGAAATAGAGCGGCATTATTAAGATAGCTTATTATAGTTTATATCCTATGGGATCCATCAGTATTCCACTTCTTTAACCCTTCAATCGTTCTAATTAAAATCGGGAATTTTTTCCCATCTGCTTCTATAGCAAGAGAATATAATTGTTTATACCCACAAGTGCTGCAGATTTTCGCTAAAACCATTCCAATTCAGGGTGGTAAAACTTCTGTATCAAAAATAAATTTCTCCTGTTCTATTTGTGCAAGTGTATCTATTATACACAAAACTGCAGATTTAGGATTCCCAGCTTTTACATATAATTTCATGAGTCTGTAAAGCCCATAAAGAGAAAATCCAGCATTAACTGAATGTCTATAAGCTTTTTCAGCTAGTCTTGACCTTCGTAGTCTTTCGGCTAAGGCACCTCTTCTTAGCCAGATTTCTCCTTTATCTGTGAGAGTTGTCGCTGCTTATAAATTACGCTTATTAAGATTTTGCAGAGAATCAGACTCTGCAGCTTGTTTTTGTCATTCATATAATGCTTTAAGGTCATAATGCATATAATTAAATAATTCAGATAATTTTTTATTCATAACTCTCATTGAAGGATGCATTAAACGGGTTAATCGGTTATCAGTTGGAGGAAGAATAAAATAATCACGAGGGGTTATTGCGGATCCATGAAAATTTTGACCATATAGCCCTTCAGTTGGCATTTCACTTTCCTTTGGAGCAGTTTCGAAATTTATCGTTGTTAACGATATATTTCTTCTTATTAACTCTTGACTATTTTGATCAACTGTTGTGAATGAATCTCTTTCATGAGTTGTGCTGTTATTTTGTGTAAAAAGTCTTTTCTTTAGTTTTAATAGATTTTCTCATTCAACGTGTTTTTCTAATTGCACTAAAATTTTGTACATTTTTCTTTCACAATTATTCAATCTAGAAGACTTTAAAGATTTCAATCAATCCAATGAAATTTCTTCATTTCTTGTCCAAAAAGCATTTTTCTGGTAAGATTTAAAATCAAATTTTGATGGCTTTTTCCAAATATTTCAAGAGCAGCTTACAGGAATTTTTTTCGGGATATACATTTGTTCTTCAGGAGGGTTTTCGTAATTATTTTTCTTCAGGGATTCATATATAGGAAAGCAATTCAAGCAGAGAAAAACTGCTTCATATTTTTTTTCTTTTAAATAGCATTTTGCCATTAGTTCTCAGAAGCAAAAAACTTCCAAATTCAGCTCAATAAGGTATTGTAGTATTATTCTGGCTTCTTTATACTCTTTTAGCCTATATAAAGCATAAGCTTTTAAAAAATATAAAGGAAATGCAAAAGGTGTTGTATTAATTTGGCATGATGTTATTTCAATAATTTCTTCAAATTTTTTCAGCTTGATATAAGATTTGCATAAATAAAAGACCATCATAGGGTCTATTGTAATAAGATTCTTGAAAATAAGACTATGCTGATTATATCTCTTATATTTCAGCCAATAGTCACTGAGTTTGGCAAAAAGCAAATTTTCTCCATATCTGTAGATATCATTTATGTCACCAAGCACAAATCCTATTCGATCCCAAAATTGGCTGGACGTTTCTATGAAATTTTCTATTTCAGCGATACTTGTAGGGCCATCTAAAAGTCTTGAGCCAGGAATTGGATCAGCATATAAAAATCTTAGCATTGAGCTAATATATGCGCCTTGTCAATGAATATTTCCAGCTTGAATCCTTTGGGATTGAGAATTAACTAAATAATAATCCACGCTCGCCTCATTGTTAATTTCTATTCTCAAGTCAAACTTAGAAAAAAAATCGTAAATGCAAAAATAAGTTGCATTAATTTTTACTTTTGAATTTTTCAATGATTTCGTAAAGGATTTTATATAATTTTGGATAAAGGTTATTGATGATGTATTAACACCATAAACAAAATGATAATAAGCTTTCAAGCTAGATTTTTTTAAGTACTTAAAAACTCCAGATCTAGTAGCTTCGCACACAAAGTAGCATAAGTCAGGCTCACCCAGTCCTTGGAAATTCCCAAGCTGAGAAGTCCTGTAGTCTAAAAAAAATCCAATTCCATGAGATTCCTCAAACTCAACTAAATTTATTGGCGAATCCATAATAGTTCTTGGTTTTTTATTTAAATATTATTTGTGACCTATCTCTAGCTTTTTTTTATTAAACTCATATAAGTCAATCTGAAAAGCACCTTCATTTAATTCTAAAAAATTGTTTGATATAAATGGAGGCATAAGAGGTAAAAAATTAAGTTGTTAATAGGCTTTGTTACTAAGAATGGGGTTGGAGTAAGAAATAATTGAAAAATATAAAATATAAAGTGGTAAAGATTAAGGATTTATGAGCAATTCTTAAAATCAGTGATTATAGTATTGTCTATATTCCGATATTTTAAATATTTGATATAAGTACAAAGTGGAGCAACATTATTTATTTGTAGTGATTTTACTTTGCTCAATTAACCATAATTGCTTAGTTTTTATAATTATCAAAAGAAACAGCTGTCATCTTTTCATGATTTGAGCTCCTCTGATGCCCAATTTTAAGACTATCCTATTAAAATCCTGCCATTCCATAATAACTAAGTGCTGCCCTTGATTCTTTTAAGCTCCATTTAATTGAAAACGCTTGCTATTCAAATATTAAATGGTCAATACTTCGAATATTCCAGAATACAGAATTATTAATTTCCTAATGCCTATCAAAAAAAAGCTAGTAGCTTTTTATTTGAATATTATAGAAATAACAATAGACCAAGTGCTAAAGATTAAATCTATTCTAAGATTCTTAATTCTCATAGTTAAAACTTTTCTAAATTTATTTAATAAACTTTTCTATATATTCTATCTTTAAATTTTTATTATCTCCCTCTAAAACTTATTAAATTTCATTAATTTCATCTGCTTTTCTATTTACTGCATAATTCCATAATTTTATTTTATGATGTTTATTTAGAGAATTTGGCACTTTTTAAATCGCATTATTTCTATTTAGCTGATTTTGATGCTGTGATATCATATGTGCAATTTTTATATGAATTCCAGATTTTCGACTCAACATAGCATTATATACATAATTTGGATTCATTCTATACTGATATTGTATTGGATAATTAAGATTTCGTCAATCACCTGTAGACATAAATGCATTTGACTGCATGCTCATCATCTGCAAATACTGCTGCATTTGGGCTAACTGGAGTGCTCTGAGGTCATATCTTTGCTGTGGTGGCGGCGCTTTTACCTCTTCTTTGGGCACCTGAGCTGGCTTTCCTTCCTTTTTCGTTTCAGTTTGTTCGGGTACTATAGGTTTTTTAGTCTTATTTTTTACTAAAATTAATGCAGAAAGACCATCAATAGCATCATTTTCTTCTTGATCCTCGTCAATAATAGGCAGCCGAGGTCTTTTGCGAGGCTTCGGTAAGTTATCATTGGGGAAAGTTTCAACTGGGCAAGTTAAATCAATGCCGATAAGCTTAAGATCGTCGCTTATTTCTTTATTTGAGGCCTGATAATATGGAATTTGGCTTCTCAATCGTTTTGAGAAGCCCTGAGTTGTAAAATTACTCATTACTTAATATAATGTAAACCCTTTGGGCTTATTAATAGTAAAGTTGTAAGAGGGCTGAACGAGGAGAATTTTTAGGGTAATTGGGGATATGATAATATTAGAACTTAATTGGTGTTAAAACCATAGGAAAATTATTGTTTAATTAATAATCCATTGGAATAAGAGGATTTCTGATTATGAAAAAGCTGATTAAGAGATAATCATGATAATTGGTGGGGTTTATTATGGAGAAGAAATGAAGCAGTTATTTGGTTCACTATTAAAGAAGACTTGAGCAAAGGATCTTTGAGAAGGAAATTCATAGACCAGGCTGAAAATCGTTTAAAAATTTGATGCTGAAGCTTCGTTTTTCTATATCCATATTTTTTAAGAAACAGCCAAACAAATCTTGCTTATCTCTATTTTGAGCTCTGCTTGATAAATATAAAAATAAGCTAAATAATTAAAGATAAAGGGCAATTTCAAAGTCAATTATTAGCAAGATTAAACATTTTTTATTGCTGAAAAACTAAATTCATAGATAGCTTAACTATTGTTAACTTGGCGAAAAGTAAAAACTTGCCGAATAATCATAAAAATTCGCTTTTATTTAGTAGGTTCTAAGCTCATTATTTAAGATTTCAACTTATGAGTAATTTTCTTTTATTTCTTTAATGCTTAGAAATACTTTTAATTTTAATATTAAATTATTAAATATTTTGAAATCATTATTTCAAGCCCTTTTAATCAGCCTTATAATCTTTATAAATTTCAGTTTTAAGAGATAATATAAAAATAAGAGCTTAAATCTATCAATAAATTTTAAAATTGCACTCATATCCATGCTAATTCTATTTTTCATATCTTAGACCTTATGCTTCTCTATTGGATCAAAACAAATGAATTTTTGCTAAAAACCTAAAACCATGAATTTCTTATATTAAGACCTTAATTTTTATTTATAAATACTTTTACTATTCAAATAATAATTATTTTTATAGGTAAACATCTTTACTGGTTTCTCTTTCCATTTACTCAAGCAGAAACCTGATTTAATTTTAATTGTTTTCAGCCCAAAACAAAACAGCCCTTCCAAATTATGCTACCTCAGGAATATTATCATGCTTATAATAATCCCAATAATTTAAACAAATGGAAGAGAGAGCACTTATTTACAGCTTTATGGGAAGTTATCTCATCTTCGGAGCAGGCAGCACAATTATTTTGAAAAGTATGGATGAATCTGATTATATTCATCCGTATTTTCAATGTGCAACTTTATTTTTAGGAGAACTCACATGTTTGGCAATATATTACCTTATAAAATTCCACAAGAATACACAGTCACGAAAAAATTCATATAAAGTATTACAGACAAATGATCCAGATTCTCCAAGGACAGGTGCTTATAAAAAGTACGGATTATTTCTCTTTGCGATTCCTGCATTTTTTTATTGAATTGCTGCAAGTTTGATGTTTCTTGGGCTTATTTTATCAGCAGCATCAGTCTATCAGATGGTTCGAGGTATTATATCTATATTTGTGACGGCATATTCTGTGTTAATTTTAAAGGTTACCTTATTTAAACACCAAATAGTGGGCATTTGTTTCCTATTACTTGGAATTATTTTAGTCAGCATCTCTAGCTTGGTCTGGACTGCTCTTTCTGCTAAATATCCGCTAATTGGGATAATTCTACTAATTTGTGGACAATTTTTCGCTGCAGGAGTGCTACTATGCGAAGAAATCTATTTAAAACAACTAGACGTAGAGCCACTACAAGCAATAGGACTAGAAGGAGCTTTTGGAGTGGGTTTTTCCTTAATTTTTATCCCGATTTTGTATTTCATCCCTTGCAACTATGAGAATCTTTGCTCTCACGGAAGCTTAGAAAATGGCTATTACGCCTTTACTGAGCTTTGGGACACAAAATTGCTTTTATTTTGACTAGGATCACTCTTTAGCTTTGCTATAGTCTATTTTACAGGGATTTCTACCACAAAATACACAAATGCTTTAGCAAGGTCTACTATAGACACTTGCAAAACTTTATTTGTCTGGATTTTTAGCATGGTATCTGAGTGAGAAGAATTTGTGATCCTTCAGTGTGTAGGTTTTTTATGTATAGTCTTTGGGACTGCAATTTATAATGAAATTTTGGTGATACCGTGGTTTGGTCTCAAACAGTCAGTTGAAGCAAGAAGAAATACTCGAAATACAGCGAATCGGTCTTCTAGTACTTCTAAAGTAAGCTCAATAGAAAAAGAGAAAAAAGAACAGTCTGATTTATAATTCATATTAATGATAAATTAAGCGTATCTTTGTAATCTTTTTAGTATGATATCTAAGCTTTTATTAGACGCCCAGTCTGCAAACCTCAATCTGCGTAGCCAAGCTTTGAGCAAAATCGAAGCTTGTGAAGCCTCAGACCCTCAGAACTTTTTGCTAGAAGTCTCAAATGTATTAGCTGGAGATCAATTTCCTCGTGAAGCTCGACAACTTGCAGCGATTTTGATAAAAAACACTGTGCTGAATATCAAAATGAAAGAACAAGCTTTGCCTTGGCATTCATTTGAGGAAGAGATAACTAGACAAATCAAAGAAAACTGCTTAGCGAGCCTAGCAAGTCAGGATCGAGATGTCAGAAAAGCGACCTCTCAAGCAGTCTCAGCTATAGCAAAGCAAGATATTCCGAAAGGAAAATGAAATGAAGTCATCAGCATCATGGTAAATAATGCAAGCCACACTAATTCTTGCTATAAACAAGCTGCGTTGGACACTCTTGGATACATCTGCGAAGAGCTTGATCCTAGCGCTGTATCTGTTCAACAAGCTGATTCTATTCTAACCGCCATTGCTGCTAATCTAGCTGGAGAAGAGCTCTCAGTAAGATGTGTAGCGCTCCAAGCTTTGACTTCTTCTTTGACATTTTATAAATCAAATATAAAAAATGACCATGAAAGGCAGATATTGTTAAGACTGATTTTTTTAAACGCTACACATACAAGTGAAAATGTGAAAATACTGGCATTGAGGGTGCTATGTGAGATTGCAATAAATTTCTATGAATGCTTGGAACCTAATTTAATGGAATTAGGAACTGTTACATATCAAGCTATTCAATCAGAAATCCCGAATATAAGCATCTTAGGGATCGAATTTTGGAATTTAATTGCAGACTGCGAAAAAGAAAAATTGGAAAATGATGAAAATCCATTAGGATTTATAACAACCGCTGCACAAAGTCTAGCTAATTTGTTGATTCCTAAACTCCTTGAAATTGAAGAAGACTCAGATGAATGATACCCAGCTAAAGGCGCGTATAACACCTTATGTGTAATTTCTCAAATATGTGGAGATCTTATTATTGACCAAATGGTTCCTTTTATAAGGAAAAACATTTCAACTAATAATTTAAAACAAATTGTTGGGGCTTTATTGGGACTTTCTGCAATTTGTGAAGGAGAGCCTAATGGAAAATTATTATATGAAATAAAAGATTTCACTGAACAAACTATTTTGTGCTTAAAATCACGAGAAAAAATTTTGAGGGAAAATTCAGCATGATGCTTAGGCAGAATCTGTAAAATGTTAAAAGAAAAAATGACAAGATCTCTTGCAGAAAAAACAATTTCTGCCTTAATGGAAAAATTTAATGATATCCCTAAAGTAGCTTCTTGCTGTGCAGCAGCTTTGGCAAATATCATTGAAAGTCATATAGATATAATTGACTACAATATGTCCCAAAATATCCTTTCAACCGCAATTAAAACCTTATATAGAGAAGATTCTTACCAAGAAAACTTAAATATTTCAGCTTTTTCAGTGATTGATACTTTGCTGGAAAATATACCTGATAGCCAAATTGCTTTATTAGATAAAAATTTTTCAATTTTTATTGATATTTTAAGAGATAGTGCCAGAAAACCTTTAAGCGACAATTCATATATCTTCGCTTCATCCATAATCCACGTTACGTGTGGAAGAATGGCGCAAGATAAAATCCCAGACCGTGACGCTTTAACAATAATTGAATACATTACATCAATTTTCAACGCAAGATCAACAATTTATGAAGAAGGTATTGAAGCTCTAGGATCTCTTGCTATGAATATTGGTAGCAGATTTTTGAAATATTTCCAAGAAACTGGCCCATTTTTTTTATATGCTCTGAAAATGACTGATTCTATAGCTGTATTGAAATCTGGAGTTTTGACTATAGGAGATATAGCGACAGCGTTGGGGACGTCAATGTCTCCATATCTTAATGAAATTTTTCCGCTTTTGATAATCATATTAGAAAGCCCAAAACTTACGCTTGATATTAAAATTCTATGTATTTCTTCAATTGGAGATATATTGCGTGCTGTAGGTGTTGATATAATTCCTTATCTTCCCCAAGTTCTTACATATTTAGACTCAGCTGCTGGAGCTAGCTTACAAATTACAGGGAATGAGGACGTTGACTACTATCTTGACCAGCTTCGCGAATCTATATTGCAATTTTATATTGGGCTTTTTCAAGGTCTCTATAAGACCCCTTATATTTCTTCTATTGAAGACCGCCTAAGAAAAATAATCAGCTATGTTTCTATTATAATTGACCCTCAGTTCTCTCCAAATAACTCTATTCATGCTGCAGCTTTAGGGCTAATTGGTGATATTTTGCTATCATTTCCTGATCCTTCACTTATAAGCTCACTACAAAATTATATTGAATCTTTCTCAACCCATGAGGAAAAATCATTATCAGGAACATCAAGATGGGTTTTATCGTTAATCCCATAATTTTGTTAATCAAATTAAGAATTAATCTTACTCTTTCAGACTATTAATTAAAAATATCAGGGTGTTAGGGTGTTAAGGTGTTAAAAATAAAAAATTAATTATTTAAGAGTTAGTCAAGTCTCCAAGCTGTTTTCATAAGTTGCACAAAATGGTCGTCGTTGTCAATTGATGAGCTAACTGCTGCGTAATACTCATCCCATTCATCTTTCGTAATTCTTCCATCTCTATTTCTGTCATTGAAGCTGCTTAAAAACTCAGTCAATGCTTGATCTTCAGTCATTTGCCCTCTTTGGACTTTAGGATGGAACTGGCAGTTGTAAACTCCTCTTAAATCGGCCGCATCAATGTAACCGTTGCCATCACGATCGAATTTTAGAAAGGCTTTATCAATAAGTGCTTGCCTTCTGCCGTTAGGACTGCCTCTTATCCCGACCAGAAATTCATCGAAGTTAACGCTTCCGTCTCCATCTTTGTCAAAATATCTGAAAAGGATTGAGGCTTCTTGTGAGGATAAAACTACCCCATTTTCACGAAGTCCAACTGCAAATTCTTGAGGGTCAACCTTTTTGTTGCCATCGAAAGAATCTAAGGCTCTAAAAGTACGGCCTAATTCACGGATTCCACGAGCTCCACGTTTTTCTAGTTGTTGTCTGACTGATGCTAGTACTTCTACTACGCCACGCTGCTGAGATTGCATAAATATGGATTATAGATAGAATACCAAAGGTATTTTTTTTAAGTTAAGCAAGAGTCACAATATAAATAACCAAGGAAAAATGATATAAAGTTATATAATTATTAGAGATTTATTTAAAAGATTTTTAACATTATCCTTATATAGTAATAAAAAGAGACTCCATGAGAGTAAAATAACTGCATTATTTTTATTTCAAATATATATTTAATATTAAGTTTACCATAAAATAAAAATCATCATCTTTTATATGAATTTGAAATCTAATAATATTTAACGTTATGAGTCGAGAAACTATTTTTTCATCAGAGCCGGCCAAACACTTTGAAAGCGAAGACCTTCCAGCACGATCAAAGCATGCAACTCATTTAGTGACTTACCCAAACTTCTTATCATCCGACATAGACCATTCTCAAGACAGACCGTTTACGAACATGTCGCCAGACAGCAAGCGTCGAGCTATCCCAAGAGGCGATTTTCATCTTGATAGAGAAAGCCTCCCTCATGAATTTGATAAAAGGCCTGCAGGGAAGAAGCGGAGCGTGAATACAAATGCAACGACATGCGACCCTTTAAAATTCAATCCTGTATATCATGACCCAGCAGAAAAAGTGTCTATCAAAAGAATGCCATTGAAGCAGAATTCATCACTTATAGGCTCGACTGCCCAGCCAATGAAGGTAGAAGAAAAACGGTCTTATAAGAAAAAAGAATCATTTAAATACCAAGACAGTTCTCAAGTCAAATCATCTTTAACATTTATATAAATTTCTGTTAAATAGATTATTTTCTTTATAAATTAAGAATTAAAAGCTTGATAAAATAATTTATTGTGTAAAAGGAACTTTATAAAGGCTGTTTTACATATAAATATTAATTAATAACTACTCTAAGAAGACCAGAAGTCAGATAAACACTCAGTCTTTGATTTGGCAGAGATTTGACTATTTAAATATTCATCTTGGCTTGACGAATAAAGCTCATTCGAAGCTTCATTGCAGCTTAAGTCTTCTTCTTTATTAATTTTTTCATATCTTTCGTTAGAAATCACTTGTATCGAAATTTCCCCATTATTTGAATGTAAATAAATCTGATGTCTTTCTTTTTCTTCCATAGGAAGCGAATTAGGGTCAGGGACTTCTAGCGCGGTCCCTGCTGGGACTTTGATTGCTAAAATCGTTTCTTGGCTTGCATTCATTAATTTTGGTAAATTTTTTATGTCATCATGCGTAACGTATGCATATTCATTATAGCTTGGGTCTTTATTCAGCTGATTTAAATTATCTTGGATTTGATTAATCCAATAATCAAGCTTTTGCTCTTCAACAGAAACTGTGTATGAGTCTTGCATGTTAAATTCGATTTCTTGATTCTGATCAGTAATTAAATTTCCTCCTACCCACTGAATTTTATTTTTATGTCTTTTTTGAACTAATCCAATTCCTTCTAATACATTTGTAATATCATAAATTCTTCGTTTTTGAACTTTAAGGTCTTTTACTGCATCATTCAAATCTATGCATTGGTTCTCAGATTGTTTAAGCAGTGTAATGAACTTTTTTGTTAAAACCCCAAGTGAGTTATCACATCTCCCAACTTTAAAAGTTTCTTCAGTTTTGATTTCTCTGGCGGATCTACCATGTCTGCGCTTAGGTTGAGGAGTTGCGAAAGCTTCGAAGTCGTCATCGCTTGACTCTTCAGTCTTGATTTTTTTGCGGCTCATGATATTTAATACACGCTATTTATGAAATTATTAAAAATAGGAGCATTCTTATGTGAAATGTTTAATTCAGTTAAAATTTTTAATTAGCTTTGAAAGTATCAATTTTAGCTTGAAATTTAAGTTTTGCTTTAGTTTCTATAAAGCTGAATTTTTGCTGTGCTGTTGCGTTTCCCATAAAGATGAAGAAATAGCTTTTACTATTAAATAAAGATCAATTTTGTTATATAGGCATAAGGAATTGGATTTTAATAAATTATTGATAATTTATACAATTGATTAACCCTATTTCACAAAGCTTTAATACATTCCTAGATATTTACAACTAATAATAATTTAAATTTCTCATAAAATGGGTTAAACAATTATCAATTGCCTTATCAGTGCAATAATAATTTCAAAAGCAAAAATTGATAATTTTTATATTATAAATATATCAGAAAAAATAGATCTAATAAATTGCCATTGGACAATTTCATTATATATTTGCCAAATTGGTTAATTTGCAATAAATTTCAGACAGCCTCAGAAACTATGGCAAACTTATGTAATGATCTAAAAGTCTGTGCAGAACACTTACAACAAGGAAACTTAGTAGCTTTTCCAACTGAGACCGTATACGGTCTAGGCGCAAATGCTTTAAACGAAGAAGCAGTAAGAAAAATTTTCCAAGCTAAGAGACGACCTCTTAATGACCCAGTAATTGTCCATGTCAATTCAATCCAAGAAGCTTTAAACCTAATAGACGAAAATGACCAAGAAATTCTTAATACTTACCAATACCTCGCTTCTCAGTTTTGGCCAGGTCCTTTAACTATAATTTGCAAAGCAGGACCTCTGATTTCTCCAGTCCTAACAGCAAACACAGGTTTTGTAGGAATTCGATCACCAAGACACCCTTTAGCCCAGCAATTAATCGCAACCGCTGGAGTCCCAATCGCAGCACCTAGCGCTAATTTATTTTCCCATGTTTCCCCTACATCAGCTGGCCATGTAATGCAAGATTTCCATGACTCTGATTTTGATATAAAAGTTCTTGATGGAGGAAAATGCACGTTTGGGATAGAATCAACAGTAGCCAAGCTTTATAGAGAAGAAGACGAGCTAAAATTGTTAGTATTGAGGAAAGGAGGGGTTTCAGAAAGAAATTTAAGCGAAGCTTTGGAGGGGAGAAATGTAAGAGTATCATCAAGACAAAATTATTTGGAGCACCAGACTAATTCTGAAGCTCCAGGACAGCTTATTAAGCATTATTCTCCAAATATTGATACTTATTTGGTAGTCAATAATAGCCAAAATGAAGGGCAGGAGCTGCATAATCTTTCAGAAGCTATAGTTATTGATTACCATGGACTACTTTCACATATAAATTGTAAAGCCAGAAGAGAATTATCTGAAGAAGGGAAAATTGATGAAGCTATCAATAATTTGTATGAGTTATTGAGATGAAGCGAAGACCAAAATGGCAGCTATGTGTTAATTCCAGATTTAAGCCATATCACAGATCAACATACAGCTGCTTTATTTGATAGGATTTTCAGAGCCACATCTGGAAGAAAAGTCGTCATAAGAGACCAAAATATTTATTCTTTATAAATAATCTGAATATTTACACAATTATTATTTCCACTATATTTTATTTAAAATTTTCATTATTTGTAGCATTTTTCCTATTTATATTGTTCAACCTCATTAAAAACCATTTAAAAAATCATTTTTCTACCATCTCCTTATTAAGAATATGGAGAACACTGACGAAGAGACTTTTGATGTCATTATAAAGGAGGGTTGAATTAATAAGCGCAGCCGCTTTCTCAAAATATGGAGACGTAGATGACTGGTTTTGACCCCCCATTTTCTCATTACATTTAAACGGCAACAAGCATATCTTGACAAGCCCACAGAAAAAATAAAAATAGAATGTTGCTCTACTATGAAATCAGCAGAAGAAGAAACCAAAAAAGTTTTCACATTTAGAATTAATTTTTTAGACCGAGTATTCTTTTTCAGTGCCCAGGATGCAAATGATAAAGAAACTTGGATTGAATCAATTAGAGGAGCTATGATGCCTAAGAAAACTGAAGAAAGATGCTTTGAGGGGCTTTATGATGATGTGTTAAATCTCAAATAATAAATTTATGAAGCATATCTGAATATTTACACAATTATTCTTCCCATTATATTTTATTTAAAATTTTCATTATCTGATGCATTTTTCCAATTTTATATTTTATTAAAACCCATTTAAAACATTATTTCTCTACCATCTCCTTAATAAGAATATGGAGAACACTGACGAAGAGAGTTTTGATACCATTATAAAGGAGGGCAGAATTAATAAGTGCAGCCGCTTTTTCAAAGTATGGAGACGTAGATGAATGGTTTTGACCCCCCATTTTCTCGTTTTATTTAAACGGCAACAAGCATATCGTGATAAGCCCACAGAAAAAATAAAACTAAGAGACTGCTCTACCGTGAAATCAGCAGAAGAAGAAACCAAAAAAGATTTCGCATTTAGAATCGATTCTAAAGATCGAGTATTCTTTTTCAGTGCCCAGGATGCAAATGATAAAGAAGCTTGGATTGGATCAATTGGAAGAGTTATGGTAAGGTTTGAAGTGGTGCGTAGCAAAAATGAAGAAGATGCTTTGAGGGGCTTTATGGTAAAATGTTAAATCTCATATAATACAATTATTAGAGCATATATCCGATATTCTTTTCACTATATTTTATTTATAATTTTCATTATCTGATGCATTTTCCAATTTCATGTTGTTAATCCTTATTAAAACCCATATAAAAAATTATTTCTCTACCATCTCCTTATAAAGAATATGGAGACCACTGACTGAGAGAGTTTTGATGTCATCATAAAGGAGGGTTGAATAGAAAAGCGCAGTCGCTTCCTCAAAGAATGGAGACGTAGATGAATGGTTTTGACCCCCAATTTCCTCGTTTCATTTAAACAACAACAAGCATATCGCGATAAGCCCACAGAAAAAATAAGACTAAGAGACTGCTCTACCGTGAAATCAGCAGAAGAAGAAACCAAAAAAGATTTCGCATTTAGAATCGATTCTAAAGACCGAGTATTCTTTTTCAGTGCCCAGGATGCAAATGATAAAGAAGCTTGGATTGGATCAATTGGAAGAGCTATGGTTAGACCTACTGTCATGCGAAGCAAAAGTGAAGAAGATGCTTTGAATGGATAGCTTTATATTTAAATGATAAATTTCATATAATACATTTATTAAAGCATATAAGTTTGTTCACTTGAGTTCCAGGGCTCGAGCTCGTCATTAATGAATTTGTTAGTATATTCAAAAATTTTATAAGAAGTCTATAAACTTTTATTTTTTTTTTAAAAAAAAAATCATATCTTTATTAAACATTAAGAAAAAAAATTTTAAAAAAATCTGCAGCCTATTCAAAATAATCTCGATATTTCCCACTTGAAAATTCAGAAACTTTCATAGCGTCTAAACTTTTTCGCTTTATGATGATTTTCTTGATAGGCTCTATAATTTCAGCTTTAGAGCTGACTGACTGATTTCGCTTCTTATCATGCTTTATAGCTGGCAATGTAGGGGATTTAGGAAATATATCGTTTATACTCTTTGAGGAAGTTTTTTCAAATGATAAATGATGACGCTCTTCTAGGTCTGATTTCACGCCTTTTAAATTGATTTTATTACTTATATGTGATATCAGCTCATCTCTAATAACATTGATTTTACTTTTTAAGACAATTGGGCGAGTTTTAGTAAAAGTTCTTGATTTGTTTATTTTATAATAATATTCCTTGATATTTTTAGGCCTATTTCTAACTGCGCTGTAATTTTTTAGCGTCGGTGTTACAAATGGATATATTGATGATGTCGATTCTTTACAGTCATCTGCAGACTTAATGATGAAAGGCAAATATTTACTTTTAGCTTCTGGGATCTCAGATTCTGAATGCTGATTTTTTAAAGGTTTATGAGTTAGTCTTCTTTTTTTGATGAAGTTATTAATCCTATGTGCTTTCTTGATATAAATTTCCATTTATATGGTATCAATTGCAAAATTTTTTTGTTAGTAAATTAATTAAACAGAAATTTTATTAATGGATATTGGAGTAAATACAGAGAGTTTTGAGCTGCCTTGCCTTCAAACTGCAAACATTTCATTGCCAAATTTCAAGAAAAATAAGGTAAGATTGGTATCTATGAACAAGACATCAAAAAATATTAACTTAAATCTTTTAAGTCCTCCATATAGGAAAAAAGAAATGGGAAAAAATTTGGATTTTGAGACAAAATTGTGCTTGGCTAATAAAAATTATGCAATAAATTCAGTAAAAAATAAGGATTTAGAAGCAAAATTGAAAAAATTTCAAATAAAACAATTTTTTGAAAAAACTTTATCAGGCTCACTGAAAAAAATCAGAAGAAAAGGGAATATTGACAGTGCTTGCTTAAGTCCTACGAATAATAAGCTATGCAAGTATTTAGATATTTTAACAAGAAAAAAATTGGGAAAATCAACATCTTCAGGAGCATTACCGAGTTTGGTGGGAAGTAAAAAATTCTTGAAGCATTTGGAGCCGACTCAAGCAAAAGGTAGAGTAGAAAAATCTGATACATGCGCCCTTGAGCTAACTTATGATACTTACATATCACACAAATTTGTTTAAAGAGTGCTTATTATATTATTAATTTTCATTTTTGCTGTTCATTACTACATAAGAATTATTAAATTAATAAAGAAAATCAAATATTGTTGATCTTCATATAGAAGCGATCAGGATTAAACTTTTTTTACTTCACGACATTGCTCCGAATGTTTAAGCTGTTGAAATTTCTTCTGGGATAGTCAGGAGGAAAAGGAGTCAGCCTTGACGAGCCTCTTAAGTGTGCGAGACTTTTTAACCTATAAGGTCCCAAAATGGGGCAATTTAGAATGCATTAAGCATGATCAGGTTGGTCTGACACTTGGGTTGGTAATGGAGATTCCATTTTAGTTCATATGACTCTGATTAGAAAGAAAGAAATCCTCTACTGAGAAGCCAGGAGTTTTCTCTGCTCAAATAGCCTTAAGGAGTTCACCCCACAGCTCGCACATAAGGGCGCATGCTATTAATACTAATCTTTAATATACCCAAACTTTTCATTTGATTTCTCATTAGTCTTGGATCTAAAAATCTCGTTTAAAAAATATCTGTTTCACGCTAAATAGAGTTCATTTTAAGCTTTTCAATTTATTTCACCAAAAAATTTTGGTATATAAATTCACATCATTTTTGGCTAACTCAATAAATAAGTTTTCTTTATTAACATCATTAAACTTATCACAAGGAATCCTAATTGAATATTATTAATGCTATTGCCTTATTTACAGAGTTATAATTTTTTTATAATGCTATTCTATGGCATATACTGAATAGGTCCTGAAAAATAATCAATTTCTATGATTGTTTATAGTAAGTTGAAAATAATTTGCTTTTTTCATGCTTTCAGAAATGGGTTATAGCCTGAGAAATTAAATATTCGGTGGTGTCTGAGGCCTCAGACCAGTTCGTTTTGCAACTTTTTGAGACGGCCAGCTCTTTGAGCGGAGTCTTGCTTGTCAACTTATGAATCGTTACATCAAATAATATAAAAGCAACGCAACTATGCTATTAAAATATCAGACTATTTTCATGATGTAAATATGGATATTTGGCCATGCAAATTTTCAGTCTGTAAGGAGCATGTCGAGTTTATATGTTCTACCTGCTCGCCTGTAATTTACCTATGCCCAAGACATATAAGTACTCATCAGCAAGAAACTGGTCATGCATCTTTACCTATGTACACTGAACCAAACCAACTTTGTCGTACTGAAGTCCTGAATTTTTTGAATAAAAGACTAGAAGCCTTGACATCATTAATCCTCCTATTACTATTTTTTTTAATTTTAAATAAAAATATAATAAAAATAAGAAATAATAATAGTTAATAAAGAGAGTTAGAAACACTTATTGAAGAAAAGATATTTTTTGAAATGAAAAAAATTCATGAAAGCTTTGATACAACTCTCAAAAACCTGAGGATTGTGCAAGATGAATATCGTAGACTTGCACATAAAGTGAATCGTATAAATAAAATCCCATGTGTTGGGTCAACTAAAATCCAAGATTTCCTAACTCCCCCCTCCGTGAACGAACAAAACCATTAGAAAAATCGCTATTTTTGACCAAAAACCCACCCCTGTGAGCTAACAAAACATTTTTTAATAGAAAATTTTTTTATGGAAAAAATTTTTGATATAAGTGATAATTTAGTATTACGAAATCTATAGCTAATTCTGTTTAATTTTAAACAAATTGCTTTTTAAAAACCATAAATTGTATAAATTAAATTAATATTGATGTCCAATTTTGCGAATTAGGTTTCTTTTAAATTTCGAAAAATAATTTTTCTAAAAAAAAATTAACTCTCAGTAAGCGAACAAGATGTTTTTGTTCGCTCAAGGAGGAGGGAGTAAGGTACCCACCTGGGCTAACACTGCAAAATTTTGAAAACATATTTATAGAAGAAGCTCCTCATGGCAACGAAATAAAAGGAGATTTGTATTCTTTATCTTGCAAGCTTTGCTTGATGTCAATTGATTTTAATGCTAAATTATTTACAGTGCTGGGAGCAGATCCAGAAATGAATATTGAAAGAGAAAATAAAATAAAATCTCACTTTTTGGAATTAAATAATCTTATTGAGGTATTTAAAGGTAACTTCAAAAAAAAGATATTCTAAATAAATAAATTAATTTTTTTTTAATAATTATTATAGATTATTTTTTTTATTATTAATAATAAAAAATGCCTTAAAGCCATAATTATTGGTCTTTTAAATGAGGATGCCGAAATACGAAGTTCATATCTCAGCACTTCAGACAGCAGAAGTCCATAGCTCTTCTGAAGCCCATAGCCCCTCTGATGTTACACCATTAAGAAAAACTTATAAAGAAGACTTAAAAGCAGTTTTGGCAAGAAGCACAAATTCGGCACCTAACTTGTCAAACACAGGGTCAACAGCTTCAAGCGTTCCTTCTTTAGGAACTTCTTCAGAAGCTCAAAGTACAATATCTGATGCTACAACAGAGTCAGCATATTCCCCGTATACAACATTATCAGCATCTCCATACTCAACAATATCTGATCACAAATAATTAATTATTTTTTATTATTTCTTACTTACTTTCCTCATTTGAAGCGAGCAAAACTATTGGGAAAATCTTTGAGAAAATAGAAAGAGCAATTATTTCATATAATATTTTTTGATATAAAATATATTTAATAATTAGGTGCATGCTTTTTCCTCTGGACTTTTTGGTAGTAAATCTGGGATATTTGGTCGAATTTTTTCTCAAAACATTTGATCGAAATTTACGGTTTTTCCAAGCAAATGTGAGGAAAAAATTTCGACCAAATTTCTTGAGGAACGTCTCACGTCTCACTCGCAGAAAGTCCCAATAAAATAGCATGAGCCTAATCATTAATATAGCAAGATCTACTAAATTTAGCATAAATAGCACCTTAAGCAAATTTTTTTTTCAGATTTTTCAAATTTAAAAATATTTTATATAAATTTTTTACCTTTAAAAATAAAAAAAACCTTACTCGCTCTAAAAGGGGAAGCTAATAACCGACTCATCAGTAAAACGAATATTCGGAGCTAGTTGTAAAAAGTACTGATAAGAAGAATATATAAGATCTATTGGACCCACATCTAATACTGACGAAAAAAAATATTCCAAGATATTATGAGTCAAGCTTCCTCCATCAAATTCTTCAAACTGATACCCATTTCCACAATACCTCAGTAGTCCATAGTCACTTTCATTAAACGCTTTCTGTATCATTAAATAAAAAACTCCTAAAGCAGCTTCACTTGGCTTGAATTTTAACATTTCACAATCCAAAGCTGCAAAATCCAAAAATTGGTTCACTTCGCATAGCCTTCTTATCGATGCTTGATTATTTTGTTTATACGTAATTAATATAAGGTTAAAAAAATCGCTTTGATTTTGTCTTTCGTTTTCATCTTTTGATAAAACAATTGAATTTTCGATACTCCCGTATGTAGATATAATGAATTTGTCTCATTCTGACAGTAAAAAGTTTAGGCAGCTAAAAGCAGTTGGAGGATATATTTTTCATTTAAGGGTTTTGAGAATAGTTTTCTCCATATTGCTTAGCTCTGAGGCGTTATAGGCATTATCAGTCGTTTTCAGAAGCTCAGAAAACTGAGGGACCATGATCTCTTCAGCCTTCATTGCAATCAGCACTGTAGATAGCCCGACGAGCTGAAAAATCCCAGTCTCGATATCAGGATACGCCGAAATAAACCTATCTAAGTGAGAAATCGCCATATAAAGAGTTTCCTTATGTACTGAAAAAGTCGCTGCCACTTCCATCATCCAGCCTATTAAAATTGTCCTCATTTTTGGACTTATATACCCTTGGATCGTTTTTAAAGCCTCTGGGTCTGGTAAATACAATAGTTCTTTTTCTCTAACCTCTTTAAAGTATAATGATGGTGAAATAATTTGAGGTTTTACGAAGGTTTTTTCTTCAAGAGTATGGTCATTGTTTAGCTCTTCACATGAATTCATGTCTTCATCACAGTAAAGATCTGAGATAATATCTGAATTTGAATCTTGATCGTTTGAAATATAAGATTTCTCATTCGTATTATGGGTTAGGTAGTTATTGCATAGGGCTGCGGGCTCGTAAATTTCTAAGTGCTCTTCACAGATTAATTGGGATAAAAAATCTTTATCATATTTATAATCTGTAGAAGACGTATCTAAATCACTTGTCTTGATTATAAATTTGTCCATGAGGATTAATAATCATATAACTAGAATCCAATGAATAATTACATAAATAATAAAGTCCGTAACATTTTACATAAATTCATACTGGCTATTCCATCATGCATTATACTTATTATTTGAAATATAAAATAATGCAAAAAAATTATAAGAAAAAGTGGTAAAAATTAAAGAGAATATAAGTATATGGACAATGAATTTATTACAATTAATGATATCATTCATCTATTTACTTCTCAGAAGGGGATTTGAGACGTTTTTGTGGGGAGAAGTCTTTTTAGGGATAATTGAAGAAAACAAAGTAGTGCTGCTTGAAAATGGGGAAGCTTGGAATAAATTTGTAGGAGGCTTGGCTTGTGAAGAAAACAAACTTTGTGGCTGGCTTCCAAATAATGACTTGGAGCTTGATTGGGTATTAGAGCTATGACCTTGAGCACTAGGAAAAGCCTGAGTTATTATTCCCGTTTTGCTAAAAATTGAGCTGTTTTTATTATTGTTGTTATTCACTTTCATAGGATCGCAGTTTTCATCATGAATTATTTTTCCATCTTCATTCATATAATCAGGACTATATTCATCAGCTGTACTCTGAGTGCTTGATGACACAAAGCTATTCCCTGAAGCACAATTATTAAGATTATTGAAATTTGCTGATGCAGACTTCGAAATTTCTAAAAGATTTTGGCTAAAAAGTGGCATGGAATTGGAAACTGGCTGAGAATTATTTTTAATTTCTTGCATCGGATTAGAAAAGAATTTGTTAGGATTTTGGAGGACTTGGCCTAGGTATTCACTTTGAGGATTTTGCTGGGGGTTTGGTAAGGCCGAGGTTTGGAGAGAATTTCTTTGCATTCGCTTTTGGAAGAAATCAGCAGAGTTATTTTCAGGCTGAGGATTAGATAGAATTGTGGGCTGTTGGGCAGGCTGCAAGGGGACGAATAAAGATAGGTTATTCTGTGATGTATTGCTTATTGTATTTATAGTAGATGTTGTTTCTTGAGAAACTGGCTGATTTGGTGTTGGCTTATTTTTAGAGCCTCCACTTTGTGGCTTTTGGTTTGGATTATTTGCTGATTGATTAGGGTTCTTATTAGGGCTCTGAGGTTTAGGCTTCACAATACAATAGTTATCTTGATTTATAATAGGGATTCGCAAAGGTGTTATAGGAGGGGACGGATAAATCTGTGTGCAGCCAAAATTTTCTGGAGTAATGACAGTTTCTTTCTTTTTAGCGGGAGAAGACTTTTTATTATTTTTGGCAGGGCTTGCTTTCGGCTTAACATTTTTAGATTCTTCTAAAATCGGTGGCATTGTTTTGTAGGCTTCTTTTGTTTTAGCCTTTTTTGTGTTTTTATTATCATTTTTTGGGGTATTTGCTACGCTATCATAAAATGCGTCTCTTTGCCTTTTACATAAATTTACATTATAAAATGATGCTTTTTTCTTCAAGGCAGGTAAAAATTCTGACATAACTTTTCTTCGTTTTTCTTCTGCATCTATATGTGTCACCTTTGGAATAATTTTTTTAGGGCTGAATTCGTGTTTTACTATTTCTTGGAATTTTGGTGTGTTGGTGCTTATTTCAAATTTCAAAGGAATTTTTATGATTTTTTCTGGCTGTTTAGGGCAGGTTTTGACGAATTCTCCAAACATGGATTCGTGGCCTTGGTATACAGGAGTCCCTTCGCTTAATTTTTGTTTTTTTAAGGGAATTTCAGAATAAGATGGCGTTGAAGTGAGAATCGGCTCAGTTTCTTCTTGTCAGTAGCTGTCAAGGTATTTTCTAAGTAGAAATTACAGTTTTTGATTATAATTGTAGGCTTCATGGATAGGGGTTAGCTTCGTCTTTAGTGAGTTTAGTAAGCAGATGAATTTGTTTAACCAAATTTTCAATTTTGACATTTTAAATTTAAATTACAACTTAATTATTTTTGTAAAATTTAACCAACTCTTGTCTATAACTCCTCTATAGACAAATCTTTCAGAGACAGAAGTGCATTAATCAATATATATAAAGAGATATTATGATTTATTTAAAATAAATAATTATTCAGAGTCTTTTCTTGGCTTTTCTAAACGTAATCTTCCATGATCGATGAGTTCTTTGCTATCTAAGTTAAACTCAAATAAACTTTGGATAGGAGTATCTGACAAGAAAAAGAACATTGAAGGCCCATACAACACTCGATGGCTGATTAGTGTAAAGCTATCTGGTATATGGGACCTAACAAGAGTATGCCACTTTCTTGCATCTCGGAAATCACTTTCATAAATATTTGACCCAAACTCAATGACATATGCTCTTTCTTTGCCCACAAACACAACTTTATTAGTGTCCTTCTTCAAGCTCAATCCAAGCGGCATGTAAATTTTATTTATAATCTCATATCTGTATAGTGTCGAATGGTTATAGCCACATAGTAAAATGGATTTTTGGAACATTGCTGAAGAAACTCTTCTTGAAGGCTCAGGCATTTCACAGAGATCTAGCCATCTGTTTTGCTCTAACTCCCCCCTCGAAGTTCGACCAAGATATAGGGAAAATTCCTATTTTTTTGGAAAATTAACCCCCTCAAAATTCGACCAAGACCTATATAAATTTACTAGGAAAATAAGCAATTTTTCAAAAATTTTAATCTACGTGGGGTGAGCTTGCGATTTTTGTATTCAAGTTCTAAAAAAGCGTTACAAAACCATCTTGCACTATTTTTTCTAACCCTTACACCCTCTCAACCATACAGAAGAATATGATAAATATTTTTTGTTTTTAACTACTAAATTATATCTATATAATTTTTTTTTAAAAAAAATTTTTCTTAACCCCGAAGTTCGACCAAAAAAATCTTGGTCGAACTTCGAGGGGGGGGGAGTAAGTTATATTTTCTTGCAATCGTTAAACTTTGCCCATTAAAGCCTCCGAAAGCATAAACTTTATTATTATAATAAATGCAGTTAGATTCATAGCAATCAAATCCTTTTTCCAGCATTTCGAGCTGGTTTGAAGATAAATCTAATATAAAAGTAATCCCTGAATACACTTTTGAGCTTTTTATAAACCCTTTCTTTTCCCAATAATTTCCATAAAAAAATATTTTCATGTCAGGAAGTTGGCACATGCTGATGTGATCGCCTAAGGTTTCTTCTATATCTAACTCTAAAATATAGTTTTTCATATCTGACAGCTTTGTGATAATAACATTTTGAGAATTTTTTAAAGGAGATATTATCTGTAAAGCTTCAATATTAAAAGCTTCTATTGTAAACTGTCCTTTTATCCTATTTTCTTTTAGCTCAGCTTCAACTTTAGATAATTCTTCTGCAGAAACAACTTAAACTTAAATCTGCTTTAAAGTCTTCCAGTTTGATATCTCCGCACGCTTTCGAGGATCCCAAAACCTGTTTGCCAATCTTGGGCCTCTTCTACCACGGCCAAGGCTTGCACGCTCCGCTGAGTTTCGACGGGTTAGGAGAGACTCCACCTTGCATATGCTTCACGTCATGTCGGGTGCGATGAAGGCAAAGGTTAGCCCGATGCCTCCTGACGGCCGCCTGTAGGTACAGCGACACTTAGGAAAAAAGAGCTGTGACCCTCCGGAACCGGTAGGGAAAGAAATCACGGCCCAAAAACCATCCGGATAATTAAAACTTTTGACTGGAGTGACCACCAGCTGACTCCCAAAGTTTATCCACCCCATAAGGCAGCTCTAGGCATGCTAAGGGTTAGAGTTAAAGGGCCTGAACCTTTGGTTTAGGCTATAAAGCCACTTTTGCGCCAAAATGGTGGGACGTCGTCGAGGACCTATTTTGCCACCACCACCATTTTAATTCTCTGCAGAAACAAGGGTTTTCATATTGTTTTTAAGTTTTTCATTTTCTTGGATTATCTCCTCCATTTGTTTAGCATTTTCCTCTATTGCTTTATTTTTTTCTTCAATTTCTTTTTTCAGCTTCGAAATTTCCCATAACTGGATTTTTACTTTTTCAAGCACACTTTCTGCTAGTGCATTTTTATTTATAAATGGGTTTATATTTATTTCAGGTTGTTCATCATTTTTCTGAGAAAATGGCTCATTGTCTTTTATTGCTTCGATATTTGATATAGATAGCCTGCCCACTACTTCTTCGATTTTTTCAGCTAAATCTTTGCTAGAGAACTTAAGGATTTCAATTACTGGCTCAGTATTTTCTACTGGAATGTCTTTAATTTGAAGGATTTTTAGTGCATAGTTATTTAGGTTTTCAATTTCATCAGTAATCAAATTTAATTTTCTTTCTAAATCATTCCGAGTGTCTTCTATTTTTTTATGAGCATTTTCAATTATTTCGAATTTATAAGCCTCAAGATCAGCGATTTTATTCATGATATGATCTATAACTTTTCCTTTAGTTTCATAATTAGCTTGCTCATACAATTTTGTAAATTTATGACTAATTGAAGAATCAGTCAACGAAATATGCTCCCCAAAATGGAAAGTGCAAATATACACCTCGGGATCTGCGCAGCTGCATTTAAAATCGGCTCTCCTATTACAATCCTGCCTATAGCAAAGAATAGCCTCCATATTACTAACTCTCCCCCTCCGTGAGTGAACAAAACCATTAGAAAAATCGCTATTTTTTGCCTAAAAACCCACCCTCTGTGAGTGAACAAAAATGTTTTTAATAGAAAACTTTTTTATGGAAAAAAATTTTGATATATAAATGATAATTAGTATAATGAAATCTAGAGCTAATTCTATTCAATTTTAAACGAATTGCTTTTTAAAACATAAATTTTGCAAATTGAATTAATATTTGCTTTCCAATTTTTGCGAATTAGGATTTTTTTAAATTTCGAAAAAAAATATTTTTATATAAAATTTATAACGATGACCCCCCCTCAATCTTCATGTCTATTGCACAAAAATGCAATTTTTTAATATAAAATTTTATAAAAAAAAAATATTAATTTTCATGTCTCTTGCAACAAATTATACACATTAAAATGATGACACGTGACAACCTGCCCTCTTGGCGCAGCAGTCCAGACCTTATGGCTAAGACGAACTGGGACGGACTCCGAGCCGAGAATCAGATGCAGGCTCAAGAAGTGTGTATCCGGTAGGTTTTGGCTGCATTTCTGTGGTTGGAAATAGATGCGCTCAACAACATCCTTTGGATCCGAGGACCAAAGGGCATTCCTTTCCCGAGAAACTGGGGGTTTCGGCCCAGGTCACAGGGGAACAGTCTTTTTGCTGTAGCTGTCGAAGGAAGGCACTTTGACACCCGATAGACTCAAAGGAGCTGATCCTTGGAATCAAGCTACTCCTATCGCCCGTAGCAGGATCGCAGAAAATCCATAAGTCGCCCACTCAAGACTGAAGCCGCAAGGCAAGGAGGAGATAGAAGGTACCGGAAAGCACTCGCAAGAGGGATAGACCCTCTGGGCTGGAGTCGAAAAGCGGTAGAACCTTCTGCACTGGAGGTCTTTGGTGGCTGCGTCACCAATATGGCTAGCGCCTGTCTGTAATAATCCTAACCCTAATCCTCTTGCGGCAAATTTTCGATGCGCATCTTAAATTTTCCGTACTTTTTAACTATAGAATTTTCCCATAGATGGCACTGTTTGCCCTTGATTTGCCCACTGAAAAAATTTTTTGGTTCGACCAGTACCATATGGTTTGGTCAAACCAAAAAAAAATTTCAGTGGGCAAATCAAGGGCAAACAGTGCCATCTATGGGAAAATTCTATAGATAAGTTTAATAAAATGGCGAGCGATGACAATAGCCGTCTAAATCTCGATGAGAAGGTCATTGAAACGCCTACAGCAGCGCCGTTTTATGGTTTTTTTGAGAAACTCATCTAGAGAAAAATGCATTAATTTTTTTTATAAAAAAATGTTGTGTTGCAGTAGGCATGAAAATTTTTCGAAAAATTTTTGTTGCAATAGACATGAAGATTGAGGGTGGGGTCATCGTTTATATAAATTTTTTAAAAAAAAAATTAACCCCCCACCGTGAGTGAACAAAATTTTTTTGTTCACTCATGGAGGGGGGGAGTAAGAATAATTTGGTACTAATTAAATAGACTACTTAACGTGCATCCAATGCTTAAGCTGCTCATTCGTAGCAAATACAATCGCCATGGATGGGATAACTTTTACAAAGCTAGGAACCATTCCTCTATAAAAGCCATAATATCCTTCAGTATTCCATATATGTCTGCAGCATTGCGCAATAGTTCTATACGGAATATCTTTAGAAGGGAAAAATGCCTATATAAAATGTACACATAATTGGATTTTTCTTCTAATTAAATCAGTCGGATACGTCAAAACCATCGCAATGCCTCCTGCCAGGCCTCCTAATATTAAATTCATTATCATAAAATTGCTGTTTTTAGGGTCTGGTAAATATCTGGCTTTAAGAACATCAAAAGTTGCCATTTTGAAACCAATAAAAGGAGCGATTCCCTATGTGAAATTTACCAATAATGACATATTTAAACCTGTATATAAGCCTGTAAACCCTTTATTTTGGTAAACTTTTTTAAGTTCAGGGAAAATTTTATGGCCTTGGTCAGTTTTTATTGATAAGATTGTCCTTACGAGATCTAAAGGATAGGTAGCGATCTGAGCAACTATCCCAGAGAGTGAGCCACTGAAGAGAAGCCAGCCTTTGTGACGTGGCTTATCATGAGGGACAATATGAGTTTTCGCCATTTCGAATGTATAAAACTCCAATGCTGAAAATGGGACGATTTTTAATACATTTGACCCATTTCCTTTAAAATAGCCTCTAAAGCCTTCGAGCTTATGAAATTTTATCATAGCTCGAAAGAAATTAAGGCCTTCGTACTCTGGAGTAGAGCACTGCCTTAGAATTTTTAATCTTTCTAATGGGGATGTCGCTGTACGGGAGACTGCACCAGAGATGCCCTAAATTAAGATTACTCCTGTAAGAAGATGCCAGAATTTTTCATCGTCTGAAGTAATAGGTATTGGAATAGGCACTGTATGAATGTGCTTTGGGGTATCGAGAGGCACTTCCTGAGATGGTTTTGAAGAATTCGCAGCCATTTCTTATATATCAGCTTTTTAGATATGCAAACGTAATAGGGTATTTTTGATGATGGGAGTTATTGCATAAGAAAGCTTGAAAAATAAGCGAAATTAAAGAAAAAGGTAGATTTTTCGTTTTGAAGGATGCTTGTAGGCTTGTGGATGGCTTTTTATAATTTTCAGCATTATAGAAATCAGATAAAGTAGGACTTTATTAAGTACCTATTTAGCAATGAGCAGCTATAAAGCCAAAATAAGTCGAAATAATAAGATTTATATAATTTTAAACATCTAAGATTACTAACTGTTCAGCTAAAACTGCCCTCAAAGAAATGAAGAAGATATGGTTTACTTAAACCATATTTTTGACATTGATTAACATATTTTCCATTAAAATGTTTGGTAAACGACAATATTGCAATAATATAAAAACTCTCTTTTTTCTTTGTCTATTACTTTAAAACCTTCTCGAAATCAAATTTCCTATTTAATGTCTATTTAAATCTCTCATATAAATTTTTTTATTCACTTATCCTAATTTTCTCAATATTTTTAGCAATTAAAATTATAAATTATATATTTCAATTTTAACACCTAATACAAAAATATCAATTTATACATTTAATAGATAATTATTGCCAAAATGGACCCTGAAGTTGAATCAGAAAAGTCTGAAGAAGTGACTGATCAAGAAGTCGATGAAAGTTCTAGTGCAGAAGAAGAGGAAGAAGACAACTCAAAACAGTTTGAAATTAAAGACATTGAGCCAAAACCATATGAAAGTAAAACCATCCAAGAAACCGAAGACGAGGTAAAAAGTCTTACTGTCCCAGCAACGCGGCCTTTGCTCAGCTTAAAAATAGCTAAGAAAAGAAGGTACTATGGCCAAATCATGACCAAGTTTTCGACCACAGAATCAGCCCAGCCTCTAGAGATCATGCATATGCGCGATCCTAACTTCAAAAAAGAAAACTAAGCTGTATTAAACTGAAATTGCTAAAGGCTAAATATTTTAAATTTAATATAAATTATCAGCATCAAATAGCCATTATAAAGTATACAAATTAACACTTGAAATCGGGCTACAAGCAGGCTGTGGTATCAAGCTGCTTCCTCAGCCAAAGGGGAGAGGTTTCCAAAGCAATTACTTCATTTCTTCACAGAAGACGTCAATTTACAGTAAAGAAGACTTCTATGACGAACACATGACTTTGATAGACAAAATCGAAGATGTCACTGAAGCCCCAAAACTTGAACATTTTATTAGAAATGTCGAGGTATATATAGCAATATTTAAATTGAAAATTTAAAATTTATATATAAAAATAGGGATAGTTTATATAAAAATAGGATAAAAATTGAAGAAGCTTTGCAGTCTAATGAAACCATTGATGTTTTTCATGATGAATTCGAAATTTTAGGAGACAAAGAAGGAGAATCAGGCGGGTCAGGAGGAAATTTAGCAAATTTAATGACTGAGACTAGAACTTTTTATAATTTAGATTTCACAAGAGAAAAAACTATCACTGATATACAGTGGGAGCCTGGAAAAGATAATGTGATTGCAGCTTGCTGTGTAGAAAATTTCGATTTTTCTGAAAGGGTTGAGAAGTCAGGCAGCAATATTATTGGGACTGTTATGATATGGAGCTTTGCAGAGTTTAATAGTATCATTATGGTACTAAAAGCACCTTTAGAAATCACTTGTTTTAGGTTTAATCCTAATAAGACAAATATTATTGTAGGTGGGACTATATCAGGGACTGTGGTAATATGGGATACTAAATTATATTAATTAAAGTTATATGAAATTTTAGATTTTAAAAATATGCCTTAATTTATATAAAAATAAAAAAAAAAAAAATATGACTGATAATTGATTTTTATTAAGGAAACAGTATAGTAAATGATAAAAGCAGAAGAGATATGCTCCCCAAGCAGCATGAAGCACCTGAACTAAACCTATTGACGTCCTCAGGTATTTTTGATTCCCACAAAGGCCCAGTCCGAAGCTTATGCTGGCTCCCCACCCAAGTAAAAATTGAAAGGAAAAATCATTTCCTCCTCCTTCCAGACCCCCAAGATGTCACTCAAATTGCAACTCTTTCAGAAGATGGGCTGATTTTATTCTGGGAAACAAATTTTCCATTAGATAAAAACCCTTTAAAAAACGCTGATTACCAATGGCAGCCACTATTAAAAGTCCAGTTAACTCGTCCAGATAACCGAAACGACATAGGAGGCTCAGGGATTTGGATTTCCCCAAGTCAAAAAGACACCCAGTTTTGGGCTACAAGTGACTCTGGAGATTTATTAAGAGTAGATTGGCTTGCCAGAGCTATTGATGAAGGCCGTCCAGAATACGTCAAAAAAATCTATTTCGGAGATGTTTCGTATAGACCTGCTCTATCCCTACAAGTTTCCCCATTTTTCTCTGATATTGTACTTACAGTCCATGATTTTCATTTTACTATTTGGAAAGACTCTTGTGATATCCCTATTTTCCAATCTTATTACCATGCTACTTATTTAACCTGCGGAGCATGGTCACCTATGCGTCCAGCTATGCTTTTTATTGGCAGAGCTGATGGAAGAATTGATGTCTGGGACTTTTTAGACCAATCTCATAAGTTAAGTTAAATTCTATAAGGCCATAAGCGGGTAGACCGATAGCCTGCATATCAGACGTAAACCCACCTAACTAAAGATTAACTCCTAGGTTAGAGTCACCTCTTTCATGCCCGGCTAGTCCCGATAAGCAAAGACTAATTGGATTCAAAACCTGTCTAGCCCATTTGGGAGAGGGAAAATTTTCGATGGACAAACAAAACCTTCCTCTTCGACAGGCATCCCCAAACCCAAAGGCTTACTTCAAAAAGTGACAGAGAGCCTATTTTAAGTTTTATTGGGGACGGTCCTACATGCTCCATAGTGAGTGTGTCTTGGAGTCCATCTTCCATCTCATCACCATTATATTTCCCCAATTTCATAAGGAGTCCTTATATCACAATATTTCCGGGCAAAGAATTTCGACTATGACGTTTTTGAATTTAAAGAAAACCCATAACCAAATATTGGCGACTGGGGATATTAAAGGAAATGTCCACATTATTGAGATACATAGACATGCTTCAAAAGATGTGGAAAGAGAAAAGAAAACAATTTATGAGTTTTGGTGCAAAGAAGAAGAAAGGGTTAGCTATTTTGCAGAAAGATTTGAGGTAAGAAGTGAAGAGTTTAGACAGCAGGAAATATTGAGAAGACAACAGCAGCATAACCAAGCTCAGAGTAGTTAAAATTAGATATAATTATTTATAATGAATGCTTATCAAAGCGGCTATCAGTGGCAATACTATTGCAAATGGGGATATAAAAATAAAAAATTATTAAAAGAATTTTTATGTAAATTTTCAAGAATAATACCATTTTGAGTTTATAATAAATGCATACAGAGGGAAAAAGAAGAGGGAGCTGGATCGAAAGAAAAGCTATGGCTGTGATTTTTACAATATTTGCGATTTTTATTGTGAGCTTTATTGTCTTTACTTATGGAAATTTTGATGATAATAAAGCTGAATTTAGTTTTCAGAAGTATGTTTTGACCAAAAACTGGACTTATATACAAGAACAGAAAGAAAAAGCTGATGAAATACTTGAAAATAATAAAAATGCAATAAAAAAAGATAATCCTATTGAACCATCATACCCTCTTAATTTAATAGAAAATGATTCACCAGATCCTACGCAAAAATTCCTTATGAAAACTCCACCTTTTTCTCAAAAAATAAGCGTAAATTCCAAAAACCTCAAATGCTGGCCTGAGAAATTCGGATTTTCCAAATCCCAAGCCGACGCCGTCTATGACCCCAGCATTTCTTTCAGCCCATGCCCAGAATCAACACCTTTTATATATATAAATGAAAATAAGTAAAAAATATATAGCCAGCTTGTTATGAACTGCTCAGATAGCCCTAAATATGCATTAGGAAGCTACCCTTTTGAAGAAGAATTAGGGAGGCACAGTATTTTCTTTTTGTGGTTTGATTATTTTAATCCTGTAAAGCTAGAAGATATTGAATATGCATTTGGGAAATGTGGCTCAAAAACACAAACAATTCTTGCTAATAGGCCAAAAGATGAATTCAAAAATAGGGCAAATAATAGAAAAAAAGAAATTTTAACACAAAAAAATTTGAGTGATACTAGGGCGATAACTGTTATAGCCGAGGTCTCATTATAGATCGTCCTGGGCTATGACTTGATGTTTCAACTCATAGTTGATTTTGCTCCAAAATAATTAAATATGGCGTCTCAACTTGGGTCTGGCCTCTCGGCCAGACAGTTTCGAGCCCGATTTAATTATATCCGGCAAGGTTTTGCCTAGCTAGAGATGGACAGCAATATCAGGTAAGCAATTCTGGCAGTGTACAGAGCCTGATCCCAGTCCGTTCTCGGGTTAGGATTTTACCTCGAGGGAAGAGGAGGCTTGGAGTTGGAAAGGAGAAGCCCAGCAGCGCCTGCAGGTAATCCCTAGGCCATTCGGGCAAATCTCTAGCGAGAAACCGGGAGTTTCGCCCCGGGCTACAAGTTTTCCTCTTTTGCCGAAAGTCGGCCAGAAATACCATTTTTTGGAATTTCCCAGCAGACAACCCTCGTTACAGAGAGAAAGTAGCTCATTCATGAGCCGTCGAAGCCGGAACATCGCGCAGGAGGCGCGCGTTGGAGATCAAAGCTAGCTGTCCCAGCAACTAGTGGGCCCCGAGCGACGAGAGCGTGGTGGTAGTCCTGGAAGAGCAACCCCGTAGGAGACGTTTAAACGTGATGGTTAATAAGTTAAGTTAAGATTTTGCTCCAAAAGTTGCCAAGCTAATCTAAGAGTTAACAAATGCCAAATATAGGCGAACTTGCCAACTTGTGGAGTAGTCTGGCAACTTCTGGAGCAAACATACTCCACAAGCTATAGCGCCAAGTTATAGCCAGAACGATCTATGATGCATCTTAGGCTATATTATGCTCATTATGGACTCTGTGTCACGTGAACATTTTTATAGGAATTTTCCTCTTACAGTAAAATTTCTAAATGAAAATTTATATTTATCCAAAGTGAATTAACCTTTAATTAAAAAAACAATTAATAATAAAAATATATTTTTTTATATTAATTTAAAGGTATAGTTAATGGAAAATATAGCGAGGATTTTATAGGCTATGATTTCAAATTTAATCATGCCCATGGAAATACTACAATTTCTAATATCGTCCCAATAATGTATGGACACAATTTAACTACACATGAAAAATTAACTGAAGGATGAAGCTACAAACGAAACGAAGATTCCACAATTTACGGGCAGCTGCAAGAAAGCCACGCATTATGGACTTTTTTCAGAAACCAAGGCTTTGTGACGTTTTTTGGTTTTGACACAATTTACGATTTCCTCTCCAAAGTGACAAGCCGGTCTGTCCTTACTGATCACATTTTAACGAATTTTTGGCTTTTTGCTGAAAGAGTATTTTATTACAAAGACTGGTCTACAAAGCAGCAATGTTTTGATAATCATAACGCCCATTATTACATGATGGATTATTTATTACAATTCGTAAAAAATTATGAAAAAACAAATAAATTTGCATATGCTCATATTTCCCCTGGTCATGAAGACACAGGAACTGTTATTAGGACTGTAGACCCTGATTTAAAAGAATTTTTAGAAAAAATGTTTAATTTACATAAAAATAATGGAGAAGATTTAGCTTTATTTGTATTAGGCGACCATGGAAAATCAGCAAAATTAACTGATGTAGAGGAAAAAAGATATGAATTCATTCATTCATAAGATTACTCTTAATTAAATTCTTGTTCTTTCAAGGGACCATCAAGCCCACTTCTAAAGCCTTTATGATGAGAAAGCCTTCCATTCTGAACAACGAGTCGGCAGTTACACGACCGTTAGAATTTATTCACGCCTCCAGCTTCGAGAACACTCTTTTCTGCTACCCCGCATCACTGAGTAGCACCTCTGTCGACCCCAAACCCTCAGAGAACCGAAATCCCCTTCACTGAGCCGCAGTAAGGGAACTACCCCTTACCAGGTTTCCACCATTTTAATTTGTAGATATGAATTATTTTTACCTATGCATTTATTATTTGCAAATAAAAGGCTAATAGAAAGGCTCAAGGCTGATGAAATATTAAAGCATAATAGTGATAGGATTACCTCAAGAATTGACTGGTATTTGACGATGAAGCATTTAGCTGTATCACAATATGAGGATATTAGTAAAGATAGTAGCCTTTATATTGAATGGAAATCAAAATTACCGTCAAGCTCACACAGTCTTTTATTAGAAAAAACTCCAGATAGCACAACTTGTGATGATTTAGGAATAAGCCCTGAATTTTGCTTATGCAGTGTGTATACTGATATATACCCAGAAGACTTTAAAAAGCAGAATTACTTGTCTATGCTTGCAGGATTTGCCATAAAATATCTAAATAAGCATACAGAGCACCAGCCAGCCAGAGAATTTTGTAATTAAGCGATTTACTAGCCATTTTCGGCAGCTCACTAGTCTCAGCTGTCTCCATAAGCTTCGAGTTCGAATGAGGAAAATAGAAGGCCACCATCTTGAATTTTAAAATCAGAATCACCTGTCCAAGAGATCAGCTCCTGGAGCAGAGCCACCGTTTGTAGAGTGCCCAGATGGTACCAACAAGAGAAGACCATGTAGTAGGGCAAAGTCTGTCTAGCCTATTTGGCAGGCACAGAAAAGCCTTTACTCCCCCCCTCCGTGAGTGAACAAAAAAATTTTGTTCACTCACGGAGGGGGGGTTAATTTTAAAAAATTTCTATATAAATTTTATAAATTTTTTTTTTCAAATTTAAAAAAATCCTAATTCGCAAAAATTGGAAAGCAAGTATTAATTTAATTTATAAAATTTATGTCTTAAAAAGCAATTCGTTTAAAATTAAATAGAATTAGCTCTAGATTTCATTATAATAATTATCATTTATATATCAAATTTTTTTTCCATAAAAAATTTTTCTACTAAAAAAAAATTTTTTGTTCACTTACGGAGGGTGGGTTTTTGGGCAAAAAATAGGGATTTTTCTAATGGTTTTGTTCACTCACGGAGGGGGGGAGTTAGGGAGAAATAAAACTTCCCTCTTCGGAAAGGCTTCCCTGAAAGCCTAATTCAAAAGACAGAGGCTCTATTTTCAGCATCATCAGGATGGGTCCGACCTCCTTTATAAGGAGTGCGCCTCAAAAACCAATTTCCATCAACGTCACCATTTATTTCTGAATTTTGTAAAGAGTTAAATTTTTATAAAATTTGGCACGGAAAAGAATTGACTATTTCTCCACAAAAAATCCAATATAAATTCGACATGAATCTAAAACAAGACCCTGACACAGTTTTCGAAATAATAGGAATTATTGAGAAAATTGAAAGACTTCCATTCGATTTTGACGACAAACCCACAAAATTTTTCGACAAAGACGAGTTAACTTCACAAAAATATATCATAGAATTAATAAGTGTGATAAGAAAAAACGCTCCCTTATCATTTTGTGTAGAAATCGCGAAGGAAATAGAAATTAATGCTGAAAATTGTATTTGTAAAATCCCTGATATGTTTAATAAAAGACTATTTAATCAACCGATGCTACAGATGTATGATAGGCTTAGGGAAAGGCTGACATTGGCTGTTTCTGAATATGGAGTTTCATGTGCTGATACTTGTAAAGAAATTAAAAAAAATTGCCAGCTTTGGGGGCTGCAAATGCTGAATTCTATTGATATGTGGAATGAACCGTGATATGAAGACAATTCTTATTATTTATATAAAAATGGGGCAAGGACAGTATTTAAAGATTTGCAAATTGAGCAGTATTCTTCTGGGAATGTGCTAGGATTTGATCAAGAACGAATTTTTTATTATGTAGAACCGAAAATGTTGTCTTGTGAAGTATCAGATGATTTGGTTATGGGATTATGCCCTTGCGAGTAATTAAAAATCTTATTTTACTTGTTAGTGTTAGCTAGAATATCGAAAGTAAATTATTTTCTCTAGTAGTTACAATTAAATCCTGATTTTTAGACAATTTTTATAGAGTCTAATATTTTTAAGAGATAATTAACTAGAAGTTTCTAATTGAATTCTATAAAATTTCAACCGAGGGGTGTCTTAATTAGCTGCTAAGATGCCGAGTTCCTTTCCCTCCCTTTTTATTATTTGCTTTTTGTTTTTGCACAATTTCTAATTAAAGTTTATTATTTTTTAGAGATATTTTAACTAAAACAACCTGATCAAATTATCTAATTTTTCACCGAGCAGTTTCTTGATTAGCTCTTAGATGTAGAACTCCTTTTTTGTAAATTATATCCTCCCTTTTTGGGTATTGGGAATTTATTTGATTTCTATAAGTGCCTAATAAAGTTTGATAATTTTCAGATAAATTCTAACTGAAACTACTAATCAAATTCTCTAACTTTTCACTGAGGGGCGTTTCAATTAACTGCTTGCTCCCCCCTCCGTGAGCGAACAAAACCATTGGAAAATCCCTATTTTTTGCCCAAAAACCCACCCTACATAAGCGAGCAAAAATTTTTTAATATAAATTTTTATTTATAAGGGATAATTAATATAATGAAATCTCGAACTAATTCTGTTTAAATTTAAACAGCTTGCGTTTTAAAGCATAAATTTCACAAATTAAATAAATATTTGCTTTCCAATCATTGCGACGTGGGATTATTTTAGATTTAGAAAAAAAAATTACCATAAATTTATATATAAATGTTTGGCTTGAAGATTTCCTCGAATGTAGTCAATATAAGCATTCCGCTTTGGCTTTCAAAATTCAGAATCCGTGTCACTGTGCCAGTTCTGAGAGTGCATTTATTCATTAAATATTGAGTATTTGATGATGTACCGATTGATGTGATATAACTCCATTTCGCATTCCACTTTTGAATATAATATGATGATCGATTAAATTTTATTGTTGCATTTAAATTAAAACTATAAAATTTAATTCAAAGAGTTATTTGGATCTAAGAGAAAAAAATTTAATCCTGAGCCTAGTATCGCCGGGACTTAGCTAAACCTACATCTTTTGGTAAATCAAACTAAATGGTAAAGCTCTATCTGGGGAGTTGCTTTATCCCAAAATGCTAGGCTACCAAGTCCATCTAATAAATATTTTTAAAACAACATAATTTGAAATAAGCAGAAAATTACTTTACTTTCCTATTATTTTCGTGAAAATGGAGTGCCCTGTATGTCTTAACAATTGGAGCTTAGAAGCTACAATTCCTAAAATCCTTAAATGCGGCCACAGTTTCTGTCAAGCCTGTATCCATCAACTGTGCCGTAATTCTCAGATTTCCTGCCCAAGTTGTACAAATCCTCATATTTTTACTATATCTAAGCATCCAAATGAGAGCGACTTAGAATTTAATCTCCGATGTATCGAGTCCCTTCCTCAGAATTTTACCCTTCTAAGCCTCCTCAATTCTAATCATACACCTATAGTCCGAAGAACCAAAAAATTGGGGTCAAATAGAGAATTCCGATACGGAATGAAATGTCAGGAGCATGGGCTCTTGATCCACTCATATACAGCCAAACCATTTAGCTTGCTTTGCGATACATGTATAGAAGAAATTTCCTCCTATAAGCTGCTAGTTCATCCTTTTCCACAAGTTGTCGAAAAGGCGAGGGAAGATTTGAAAAAAACAAAAGAAGTGCTACAGAAAAAGAAAGAAAAATTTTTTGGGCAAAAATTTGAAAATTTCACTAACTGGGCTGCAATAAATAAACCAGAAAATTAGTAAATAAGTGTCCTATTTTATATATAAATAAGAAATTAATATATATATAATTAATAAATGCAAGCAAATAAAGTATAATAAATCACAAGGATTAATGCAACAGTTTGAAGAACATTTTCAAGCATTAAAAATCAATCTAAATCAAATTGCAGTTTCATCAAAAATTAAATTACAAAATTTTATATCTAGAAATGAGCAAGAAAATAAAGTCACTGTAGATTTAATCAGCAAAAGCTCTGAAACCATTGAGAAACTAACAGAAAATCTAACTTCACTTATGGAGAAAAATGATGGAGAGTTAGTTAAGTCTTATAAAGAAGTACTAAAACTTGTAGAAGGTTCAGAATCCCCATTGCCTGAGCTTTCTTCCCAATTTGTAAACACCAGTATCCACTTCGACCCTGCTTCGCTTCGAACTTTTGAAGAAATTATTCAAAACTCTTTTTCCTTCAAATTCAAACAAGAACAAAAATTCACCTGAAATTGTCCAAAATGCTCACTCCCCCCCTCCGTGAGTGAACAAAACCATTAGAAAAATCCCTATTTTTTGCCCAAAAACCCACCTCCGTGAGTGAACAAAAATTTTTTTAATAGAAAAATTTTTTATGGAAAAAAAATTTGATATATAAATGATAATTAGTATAATGAAATCTAGAGCTAATTCTGTTTAATTTTAAACGAATTGCTATTTAAAACATAAATTTTATAAATTAAATTAATATTTGCTTTCCAATTTTTGTGAATTAGGATTTTTTTAAATTTCTATGTAAATGTTTTTTTAAAACAAAAAACTAATCCCCCTCCGTGAGTGAACAAAATTTTTTTGTTCACTCACGGAGGGGGGGGCCAGGAAAAATCCCAGACGGCGAAATTCTGTGCACAAATTGTGAATTTTTCCGCCCAATAGAAAGTTACCCTAATATTATTAATAACCCAAATAATGCCACTCAGCAAGAAATCATTGAAATTCAGAAACGGAGAGAAGTTGAGCTAGAAATGATAAGCGGCCTTGATGTCCAAGCAGAAGACCAAGGAATTTGGTATATAATAAACGCTGACTGGGTCGCAGATTGGAAAAATTTTATATTTAATAAGCCAACACGAAGCTCCAGATATGTTTCTCTAAATGACAAACTTGGAGTCCTCCCACCTGGTCCTATTACAAATAATAAGTTATTTGTAAATCCTGAAAATCCGGCTGATATTAAGGCGAAATTGAAGCCAGTTGCCCATTATAGAGGAGTTAATGAAAATGTGTGGAAGTTGTATATAAAAATATATGGAGGAGGTCCTGAAATTGTGAGGAAAAAATTGAATATTTATGAGGAAACTGCGCCTTCTTCGTCTGTTTAATATTTAATATGCATAGATAGCAAGAAAGATTTAATGTGATTAAGATTAAATAAGCTGTTGAGGGAATAATAAAAGAATGGTATTTATGATTAAAATCTTATAGTTTGCTATAAAAATAGCTATTCTCATAGTAAAATAAGGCCAATTTATCCATATTTTTATAAATAACTCACCCAATTTCAGTTGAAAAATAAATTCATAACAATCTTAGAAGTTCTTTCTAGCTATTATTTGGAAATTGTATTGGGATTGCAATTTATTAACAATTCTTAATCCACATGCTTTTCATACTGGAGAACATAAATATAAAATGGAAGGCTTCCTCTCTTCCTCAAAGCGTGAAAATCCGACTTTTAAGCGAAATCTTGCAATAATTGCAGCTATTGGAGTCATTGGATATCATTTCTACATTAAAAACTCCCTATAAATCCTTATTCCAAGATTCCATTTTTAGTAAAAAATAGCTTTATGCTTAAATTCATATAAATTTCCTTTATTTATTCAGAATAATTGGAACTTTTGCTTATTTGCAATCTTCAAGGGCTTCTCCATCACTTCTTGACCAATATCAATCTGAAGAAAGTGAATTCCAAGAATTCATCCAAAAATACAACAAGGAATACACCCCAGAAGAATACGAAATCCGTTTCCAAATCTTCCAAGACAACCTTGCCTTCATAAGAGTCCAAAACTCCTTAAATCGCGACTGGGTACTTGGAGTCAATGAATTTGCTGATTTGACTATGGAAGAATTCAGAAAATATTACCTTAGCCCTATGCAATTTTCTATAGCATGATTTTTGGTCGATTTTTTTTGTTTTATGCTAGCTAGTATTTAGTCTAGGAAATATATAGCAGTTTTTAGTGACAAAATTCGAGGAAATCTTTAATGAAATTTATCCTATTTTACCAAGATAAATCCTTTAGCCTCAATTTTCGGATCACCCAGAATATTCCAATTCTGAAAGCTTAAAACTCCCATCCTCTGTAGATTGGAGACAATCAGGTGCTGTAACTGTAGTCCAAAACCAAGGAAGATGTAGCTGCGCCTATGCCTTCGCCACAACAGGAGCTGTAGAAGGTGCTTGGAAAATTTTTAATGGGACTCTAGTCCAGCTTTCTGAACAAGAAATCATTGACTGCTCCAGGAATTTCGGCAACAGAGGATGTGAAGGTGGCTCAACTGACAGTGCTTATAAATACATGATAAAGAACGGAATCACCTCAGAGACAAAATATCCATTTATGGCTCAAAACGGGCTCTGCAAAATCAGTTTAGTCTCAGAAAGTGTTGCTGAAATAAGCAATTTTACTGATATTTATCCAAATGATACAGTTGGAGTCGAAACTGCAGTGGCTCAGCAGCCAGTTTCTGCGAATGTGCAAGCTGATGAAGCAATTTGGAAGTATTATAAAGGAGGAGTTATTACTTCAAATTGTGGAACCAATTTGGATCATTCTGTGCTGATTGTGGGGTATAATCTTACTAGTTCTCCTAATTATTGGATTGTTAAGAACTCATGGGGGCCAAGCTGGGGTGAGCAAGGATATATTAGAATCGCTATTAAGGCTGGGCCAGGTGTTTGTGGCATCCAAATGCATGCTTCTTATCCTACAGCAGTGAATAGGCTTTAAATTAATCTTATTGGATAAAAGGACTTATTAGTTAAAAATGAATGATAAGCTGCTCTATAATAATATTACTGCCGAATTCCTCGTCAAGAAAATCTCTAGAAACATAGTTTTGCTTTAGCAGCTTTTGATATATTACTATCAAAGCTTTTTTAACATTGGGAAAAGTTTGTATTATATGGTAATATATAGAGTAAATCCATTGGAATTATTTTTCCTTTTTTCTAGTTTTTGATTTTAAGTTATGGTTTGATCTCCATTGGGCAGAATATACTTTATTTCGCCAATGAAGCTCTTAAATCATATTATGAAGTTTTTAGTTATCCAAAGTTTAAAAAAATAAATATTACTCTATTAACTGAAGTTTAAGAAGTCTTCAACATCATCTCTTCCTGTAAAATCACATTCACCGATGCTATCTGATGAATAAAAATGAAAAGGATCCATTGCACATGGGAAGAGCTTGTCACTCTCATCTTCTGTAGAAGGCAAAGTTGACTCTTCTTCAAAGATTTCCATATTCGCGTCTTGGTCTTGAATTAGGTAATCCCATTTTTCATCTTGCAAAGCGTTGGTATTCTTTTTTAAATAAAAAAATATTTTTATTAAGCACCAATTTATTGAGGAGAATATATACCACAATAAAAAGATACAGAATAGGCTGCTATTTGTTGGCAAATCTTCTAGGGCTACTTTTTGGCTTTCTCTAATGTTTTCCTCATCTGGAATTTCATTAATTAAAGCCATTAAGTCTTTATTGTTTCTTTGAGCCTTTTCAATTCCAACTTGTGCGAGATGATCTTTAATTAGTCCAACCCATAACTTTTTCTTGACGTCAGCGGCAAACTCACCAATGCATTGATATTTGAAAAGCTTTTCAAGCTCTTTTTCAGAACAACTCGTTAGTATGTTACTATATACGATCACGGCGTCTGAAAAAGTCTTGAAGGCTTTTCTGATAAGTTTGCAGCTTTTGATAGAAAATTGGGATTTCTTCAAGCCTGAATAAAGGGCTTGCTCTGATTTGTGGATGAACTTTTTAGGTCAAAGTTTGGATTGGACTATCAACTGGAGCTCTGTGGACATAATCTTCTTGATTTCCAAGAACTGAGGGTTGGTGTTGGTGCCATCAGCCAAGGACCTACAAATGTTGTAGAAACGTCTGTAGAAGATGTTGATGAGCTTTTCGTTTTTCTTTCGCTTCGATTTAGTGCTTGTTTTGGAGTTTTCAAACTGATCCAGCAGTTTAGTGGTATGGTCTGTCGGCCGGCCTTTCGTCATGTAAATGTGGCTATTATTTATTATTAACATCTATATAAGTCCATTTTATATGTCAAATAGAAATTAGATTAGGTGAATAATCAACATTTGGAGTTAATCGGGGTTTATATATGGGAATTTGAAATAATTACTTATAATAATCAGTTTTAATATTTAAAATTAAACTCTTTAAGCTCTCTAATTAGCTTAAAATATACTTGCAATGATATTTATATTTAAATCATCGCGGTTTCAGCTGAAGGACATGATTCTTTTAATTACTCCTATTTAATTTTAGTCTTAAAGTCTATTGATAAGTTTTAGTAAAATACATTTTTTTTATAAAAAATTAAGGATACTTAAGATACTTTTATTGTAAAATCTGATTAATTATATTTTATGATTAACTTTGTTGAAATAATCAACAAAATTGCCTTTAATTCAAAATTTAAATTATGAAGATGGATTCATCTTTCATGTAAATTTATAGCGGTTCAAAATGGAATAATCTTCAGTGATTATAATTTATGAGGTCTTTATTATATGTTCCCACTCAAATTATATTAAAATAATCCTAAAATAATCAAAAGCTCTATGCTTAATTGTTATATAATTTTATTATTATCACTACAATCCTGCGCATTATTGTGTAGCACAAGAATGATTTCCACATTGTTCAGCATGAAAATCAGCAATAATTGTCCTTATTTGATTCAGCGACGATTTAATATTCGAAATATCCTGATTAATTTGCTGCACTGTAGACTGTTTGCTCGCCTCTCTTTCTTCTAGTCCCAAAATCACTTTTAAGCTAACCTGTTTTCCTTCCTTTAAAGTTTCCAGTACAACTAGAACTTGTCCTAAATCTTTTTTTATTTTTTGTACATCATTTGCAAAATAAATCATTCCTAAATGGTTTGAATCAGAATTTAAAATTTTTAGCTCTTGCTTTAAATTGTCGTTTTCCATAATAAGTCGATTTTGCATATCTTCTAATTCTTGAAACTGTTTTTCTAATTGTTCATATTCTAATCTCCCTAATATTTTCGAATTTATTTCTTTGGCGTCTTCTTTTAGCTTTTGGTTTTCTTCTTGGAATTTTTTTGCAATTTGGTAGATTTCGTGTGAGTTTGGTATGACTTTTAATTTTTGTAATTCAAGCTCTAGTTGTTGGATTTTTTGGTCTTTTTCGCTGATGATTTTTTTTAAACTTACTATTTCATTTCCAAGCTTAAGCTTTAAGTTTTCTTCTTGTGCTCTCATTTCTTTTTCTATTTTTTTTAATTCTTCACTTGGATGATATTTTTCCTTTTCTCACCTTTCAGAGCTCCCAGAAATGGTGGACGATTCAGTACTTGGATATTTCAAAATATCTTCTTTAAGCTTACTATTTTCCTTTTCCAAATTTTTAGATTTCATTCGATAGTAATCCATTTTACTTCGAATTTGTTTTATATTTCATATAAGTGAATGACTCAATTTATTTTTTAGAAATTTTTCAAAGAGAAAAACAATTAATTGGCATTCAATAGAGCCATTTATGCAGATAAAATATAGATAATCTTGCAATTGGGGATTATTGTCTTTTTGTTGTGGCTCATCTTTTATATCTAATAAAGCTTTGGTGGCAGAGTTGATCATTTCTTCGTTAAATTCGTATTTTTTGTTAGGAGAAGGCGAGCCATTGTAACTGTGGTTCGCAGACGATTCAGGGGATTTATATCGATTTTTTTTTGGTACTCCCAAGTATGAAGGAATATGGAATGAGCTTGATGGAGGCTTTGAGTTTGATCGCTGTGGAGAAGAAAAAGATGAGTTTGCTTGTGACGGTGAGTTATGGACACTTAAATGTGAGTGTGGTTTTTCTAAATGCCTTATAGGTTTTGACATTATGCAATAAAAAATTTATTTTATATATAAAAATTAATTAGTAAATAAATTATGCAAACTTTCTCATAAATTTGTTCAGTCTTCCTTTATTCTTTTTACTCGGCTGAGTAGTCGGAATATGAAAATATTCTTCAGGAACACTAATAAAATTTTTCCCAGCATTCCCCGGATTTACATCAATTTGTGCATTTATTAAAAAACTTCCTAATGGAATCAATAAGTCTTCAAAAATATCAAAATTATTATGATCCATTTCCGAGGGCAGATGCAAGTATGTAAGTCCATTGCATAGTTCATGCATTTTTTGGGAATGAGAATAAGGTATTAATTTATCTTTTAAACCATGCAAAAAGAAAGTAGGGCATAGTATCTCTGGCATACAGTCAATATTTTTAAATCTCTCAGCGACTAAGTATTGTGCTAACCTCCCAGCGACATTTTTTACGACTGCTCTAATTGATGTATAAGCTGACATTAAAATCAAGCATCCTGGATTTTGGTTCCTTGCTAGCCAAGTTGCAGGGCCAGAACCAATTGACCTTCCGAAAATTAAAATATTTTTTGTGTCTATTTTCAGTGTATTTTCAACAAATTTAAATACAGTTTCAGCGTCTTCTATTATTTGCAATGCATTTGCTTTGCCAGGATACAGACCATATCCAGGGTACTCTGCTGCTAAAATGTGAATACCAAGCATATTTCTTAGAAAATCAATTAAATTATACGTAAGTCCTATATCTTCAGCATTTCCATGGAAATATAGCATAAGTTTGCTAGACCCTTTTTTAGATTGTAATAAAAGGCAAGGAATAGAAGTTTTAGGGTTTTTTTCTTGGGGAATTCAAATAAGCTCGTTTGGATAATCTGTTACTATATAAGAAGGTGGAGGAGCTGGAAATAAAATGCTATTTAATTCCATTATAAACTATTTCAAATTATTTGAATTTGGCAAAAGAATAAAATAAAAAAATGATTGCGTTATTATCTGATGCGAAAATAAATAAAACTTAATTCGACTGCTTATAATTTTGAAATTATATGTAAATCTATTTTTTAACTTTACTGATTTATAATTAAATCGATTTTCACATCATTTTTACTTTAAAAATTGACTTAACCATCGAAATCCTTCAGCATATCCAGTTCTTCGTGCAACAGAACACATGAATAGTTCAATCGGTCTTACTCCAGGCTGTGATTTCAAGTCTTTTCCATAATAGCCATAAGTGTCAAGTCCAAGCGCATTTCTAAGCTCTTCTTCACTTGCTGCATCTGTTAGATCAATTTTGTTGCCTAAAATAATAAAAGGAACGTTTTGCAGCTCTTCCATAGATAAAAGTTCATTGAGCTCGTTTCTTGATAATTCGAACCTTTCTCTATCAGAGGAATCGACCATAAAGACTATTCCGTCAACACTGCCTAAATAGTCTTTCCATATCTTCCTTGCAATTTCGTGACCACCTAGGTCAAATGTAAAGTAATGGATATAAATTTTTTTTTTCTAAAACTGGCTTTAAATTTATTTATTTAAAAAAATTAAATTAAAAATATTATAAGGATTACCTTACGGAAACGTATGCTACCCATTACAAGCTCTTCTGACTGTGGATGCACTGTAGGTTCTAATTGGGCCATTCTGTCGTCTTTAAGCATCTGAAGCAGAGTGGATTTTCCAGCGTTATCGAGACCAAGAAATACAAGTTTTGCATTCTTTTGGTAAAGTCCAAGATAACCTAGAGCACCATAAAACCAATTGACCAAAAACATTACACGTAAGAAATTATTATAAAAATGAAAATTTAGTAAAACTATCAGGGTTTTTTTGGAAATATTTTACCTTAAATTTGATTAGATTTTGGTATTAAATATGTATAAAGTAATATAAAGAATATAGCAACCATTTAAGTTGAATTAAATTAATACAAAAAATTTATGCTTAAGCTACCTTAATAATATCCCAAATAACTTGCATAAATCTAGGCAGCGATTTTATAATAAAAGCACATCAATTTTTAAAATTAAGAGCTATTTATATAAAACTTATAGAAATATAATGTCTAGCTAACTAGAATTCACTGAAAATTTATATTGCAATTATTTAATGGGAGACCGTTTCCTGACGATGAATGACACTCAAATATTAAATGAATTGTGCTGATTGGTATGGAGATTTTCTAATTCAAAAGAAAACAATAACATAAGAGTCAGAAAACCTACAAAAAGAAGAACAAATCACCGTAAGTCTTTAAGCTTTACAACCCCTCTTTATTTAATGCAACAGCAAACTGACTCTTCAGAAACCTTAGATTTTCCCCTCAAAACTTCTCATAAAAAGTTATTTTCTATCAGTTTAACTGACATTCATATACAAAAGCAGCCAAAACATACTCATATATAAGTAAATTTGCTTTATTTTGATGCTTATCAGATCATTTTATGTATTGAGAATAAGATCTAGATGCTATCATTACTTTTTAAAGCCAATATAAATAGCTATATTATTTATACACCTCAGCAGTACTCGTGCATAAAGTCCACGTTTATATCCCTACTGGAAAAATATCAAGGAACAACGTGAGTCAAATATAATGAATTTCAAAGTTTAATTCACAGTGTATTAGTAAAACAATTTTTCCTTGATTGTTTTATAATTAATATGGTTGAAGCGATGAAATATGTCCTTGCCGACGTCGCATCACTGTGGGCGCAAAATTGGCTTCATATCCTAAACCAAGGCTCAGGACCTTTGATTCTAGCCCTAAGCATGCTGTAAAGCTGCCATATGGAGTGGGTGGCTTTGGAAGTCTGATGGTAGCCATTTCAGTCCAAGTATTAATTATCGGATGGTTTTTAAGCAACGGGCTCTTTTCCCCTGCCGGTTAGGGAGGGCCATCTTCTTTTTGCATGGGTGTCACCCTTTTCAGGCAGCCGAAAGGAGTTATTGGGCTCATCTTTAGCTCTATAGTACCTACAAGATATTCAGTAGCAAGGAGGTCTTTCTACCCTCGAAACTCAGGGATCTAGTGCAAGCCCTTCGTCCAGGAAAAGACTACTGTTGATGGGGCTCGGGTAGCAATGCTACTCCTCTCAAGCAAGGATCCAGTGGCATCAAATCTGGAAGACCTTGAGACTCTTTCAATTAATTAATTGATTGTTTTACCTTTGATCACTCTTTCTGGGCTTTATTAATTGAACCCATCAGCAGTAAGCAATGAATTGATGCAGAATTATTCAAAAGCTGCTTGCGCCACTCCATGGGAAGACAAAACATTGGAAAAATTCAACCTTTTTAAATAAACCTTAAAAAATTTTTGATATCTAAAAAATTAATATAGAAGCAATTGTCATGAGATCTCTAGATAATTCTATTAAATTTAAAATTATAAGCCTTGAGATTTTTTAAAATTTCAAGAGAAAATTAACTCTTCTATTTTATGAGCAAAAAAGTTAGCTCACTCAAGGAGGAAGGAGTTAGAAAATGTCCAGGAATCTCATAATTGAAATTTATTTTCTCCCAGAAAAAGCAGTAAAAAAAAGAAAACATTGTTGCAGACCCAAAAATATTTGTGTAAATATTATTTAGTCTTCTTTTCATTTATAGAAAAAACTGCAGGTAATGAATTAAATAAAGAAAATCTAATGGAAGCATTGACTATGGCTAATAAAGAAGCAAAATATCAAACTGACCTATTATTGGATCTTATTTTTCACAAATTAAATGAGTCTCAAAATTATCACATTAAATTTGTAAATTTTGAGCAATATAAAGAGTTTATTTCAGGAAAAAACGAGTTCGAATTCTAATTGCTATCATTATAAGAAATAAAATCATACGTAAATTAATGGATATAATATAACTCCTGATTTTTTCATTAGTAACCAATTTATTATCTTATAAAACCTAAATATTTAATCATTCAGAGCCAAAAATTATCGTAATATTTACATTATTTTAATGCACTTATTCACTATTGCTATTCACATTTATATTTGATGTCTTCAATGCTTGCAAATGTTCCTTCATCTTTTTTTTTCTTTTGTCTCGAAAATGTTGATGTAAATTTCGACGTCTTTCCTGATAGTTTCGATATCTTCAAATCTGGAGTAGTTAAAGACATAGTCCTATATTTTTTGATTTTTTTAATTTCTGGCAGTGAAATTTTTGTGTGTAGGTTTGTTATTTTTGAATGAAGTGAAATTTTTGGAATTAATCCTTTTAAATGTAATTTACGATCCAAAACTTGGATTTTTTTAGTAGAAAATTCTCTTGATGTAATTGTCAGAGGAGTTACAATCGTCCCTGGAAAAGAAGTTATAGCCAAATGGTCAATATAAAACTCCTTCCCCATTTTGCACCACGATTTCGTTCTTAAAGGATGCTTAAACGTCAAAGGATGCAGTTTAACTTGCTCTTGCATAATTTTTTCTTGCATTTCAATTCTAAATTACCTTTCTGTAATTATTCCATTCTTTATTATTTTTTCAATAATAAAAAAATTAGTCTATAATTCACCATAAATAATTATAATTATTTTATAATTAAAATTATGATTTCAAGTCAAGAATCAAGAATTAAGCTTAAAGATTATTCGCTCTCAACTTTCTCTGGTCTTAATCCTTCAAAGGAATCAACAGGCAAATATCTGACTAAGGTATAAAGCTCCTCTCCTGCAGTTTCTTCTTCTGTGCGCTTTCTTTCCATTCTTACTCTGACTCTGAAAGGAACATGCTTGATTCCTCTGGACCATAAGAAATTGTTGAGGTGATAATCAATTCTCACATCTTTCGTTTTCATGACTCTTTGTGCGAAGTCCTTTATTATTCTAATAGACTTAGGAGCACGCTTCTTCAGATTGGTGTGGTGAAGACGCTTGTGGAGGTGAATGGTATAGTCACGTGTCACAGGCTCCAATTCCTTAGTCTCTTTGACCATATTTATGACATAGATTTAATTTAGAGACTAAGGAGAGGTTGTTTCTTTGAGGATTTTCAGGTTAGGAGATTAATGTTAAATTTGTGATTATTTGAAAGATTTTCAATAACAAAAATAATAAAAACTTTTTTTTAAAAAAATGATTTTAAATAAAAAAAATCTTAATTTTTAAAAAACCTACAAAAACTATAAGAAAGTAATATGGACAACGAATATCGTTCATACTCATCTACTTCCTATATAAAACCAGATGATCGTGAATCCAAATACAAATACCAAGCTACTGAACCTTCAAAAGGAAAGCCTCCAAGATTTATAGCAGGAGAAACTTTAGAGCATTCAGCGCATACAAGCCTTTTTCAATTTTTATTTTCTGTCGATTCAGTACTGAAATCACTGATGGAACGTGAGTTTCCAGCCTCTTCATTCCTAGAAAAGCTTAAAGTAACTTTTATTTAGCAACTGGCATTAAGTTTCAATTATTCAAATGACGCTGCAGCTATTTTAAATTTAAGTTCTTTGCTTCCTTACATGTCAGCGTCGTTGAAATCATTAAAGACGAGCCCAGCGGAGATTTTTTTGTTTCTTATTGAAGAATTCATGACGCTAACTCCCCCCCCCCCTCCGTGAGCGAACAAAAAAATTTTGTTCGCTCACGGAGGGGGGTTAATTTTTTTTTTTAAAAAAAATTTATATATAAATTTTATAAAAAATATTTTTTTCGAAATTTTAAAAAAATCCTAATTTGCAAAAATTGGGAAGCAAATATTAATTTAATTTGCAAAATTTATGTTTTAAAAACGCAATTTGTTTAAAAATTAAACAGAATTAGCTCTAGATTTCATTATACTAATTATCACTTATATATCAAAATTTTTTTCCATTAAAATTTTTTCTATTAAAAAAATTTTTGTTCACTCACGGAGGGTGGGTTTTTGGTCAAAAAAATAGCGATTTTTCTAATGGTTTTGTTCGCTCACGGAGGGGGGGGGGGAGTAAGAGGTTTTGCAGAGCATCGAAAGCCTGACTCATTTTTTATGCTAAATTAGATATTATCAAATTATTTTTTTATATTTTTTAATAATGAAAATACAATAAATATAGTATACATTGTCTAATGAAGATTCCCCATTTATAGTGGCTTCTTCATTAAGTTTAAGAGAAAGTGATAGCTGGAAATCAGCTATAGAAGATGCAATTGGTAAAAGGATGATGCCAGCTGCATTTGTAGTAGAAATGAAGTGGGAAAATGAGCCAAATAGTGAAGAAATCGCAAGGAATTTTAAAGGTATGCCTCAGATCACCCAGGGAAGGGATGAATTTGAAGTATCAAGCTGAATTGGGTTCAATGGACATTTCTATAATCCTGCGTGCCTATATTCTGATAAGTGGACGCTATATGAAGAATTTGGCACAAATGATAATTTATCGTGGCTTCAGCTAGCATGGGTTGCAGTCAGCAGAAATATAAGGCCAGTTATGCTATTTTTTAGACAAAAACGAGAATATAAGCCAACATCTCAATATATCGCTTCTACGGATTTTGATAAGCTCCTTACTCTCACCTATCCTTGATTATCCGAGAAATAGACTGATGAAGGATGGGGTTAAAAAAATAGGATAAAAAAATATATAATTTTATTTAAAATTTTATTTTTTTATGCATTAGTCATCATAAATACAGTATTCAATATATAAGGAAATATGCTATAATTCTATTGGAAATGTGGAGAACCTATTATACTGTATAATTTTCAAGATTCATAACTAACGAAATAGGTAATTATATTTGAGGATGGGCGCTTACTATATAGAAATTGTTCGATTAAGGATTAGGGAGCTAGGTTCGCCCAAAAAAAAGATGAAATAAATCGTTCTTATGAACAAAATTTCCAAAAAAGAGAAGAAATCGAAAGAACACCTGAGCAATATTATCAAAAAAGAGAAGAAATAAATAAAGAATCCTACCAAAAGCGCGAAGAAGCCGCCAGACCTGCAAATCCCTTATTCCAAAAAAGAGAAGAATTAAACAGAACAGCTGACCCTTATTACCAAAAAAAAGAAGATTACATTCCTTATACCCAAGAAATCCCTCCTAAGCGAGACGAGCTTAATAAGTCAGCTGAGATTATTTCTCAAAAGCGAGAAGAGTACAATTTGCCTTATAAACAATATACTCCCAATCGTCTTGAACAAAGCAAAGTCCCAGAATATTATTCAACCAGACCTTCAGAAAGCTATAAAAAATATGATTATCCTCCAGAGCCCAAAAGAGATGAATATTCAAGACAGCCAGATTCTTTTAGAAAAGAGCCCCCACAAGATTATACAGCCCAGCCTGAATCTTATAGGCAAGAAAATAAATACCCTAAAAGTATGAGCATAGACCAATCTAGAGATAGACAAAAAATTTTTGAAAAAAATATTTCAACACTGGAAAGTCCTAGACTTAGCTACCAAGAAAGCCCAAGATCATATAATCAAGAGAGTTCTCCAAAAAGAGAGGCAGCTGAATCTACATGGACTTGTAAAAAATGCTCAAAAGAAGGAAATTCTGATACTTTTGAATGCGCAGGGTGCAGGACAATAAATTGGGACAAATTTTATGAAATAAAATCCAAAGCAGCCCCAAAGCCTACATCACCACAAAAAACTGAGGACAAAGGAAGGTACACCATAAGGGACAAAAAAGATGACCTATTAAGCCAGAGCCAGTTTGAAAGCCGAGAAAATTTATATAACAAGCCAGCGTTTCCAACTAATGAAAACTCATTCAGCAGAACTTTTTATGGGGACGTCAGAGAAAATATGTACTCAACAGATTCTTTCGATAGGAAATACAATAAAGAAGAATTAAGAAATAAGCAGGATGTAGACTTAAGGGCGAGTTTCCAAAGAAAAAGTGATAATACCTCTTATAACCGCAATGCCAGTCCAAAATCTTTATCTGCATTATTAGAAGGAGGCGACCCAAATCCTGATACCGAATATAGAGGCAGAGAAAGATATAAAGAAGACCAAGATTCATCAAGAAAAAGAAATATGAGCTCCAATGGTTTTGAAGACCGCTTATCTTATACCTCAATTATAAAAAAGCCTGAGTCTAGCTATAATACTTCGACAGCTAGAGATGAAGATATTTATTCAAGCAGAGATGCAGGAAAAATGAGAGGAGTAAGCTCAGCTGCCAAAATTTCGACTGAAAGAGTAAAAAATACAGAAACTCTTGACAGGTCTTATGGAAGGACTGTTACTTTTGGACCAGATCCTGACAGACCTGTATTAAAAGATTCAGTTTCTAGCAAAGATTTAGCGAAAGAGTATTCGTATAAGCCGAGTGAGCTAAGGTCGAAACCTATGGAAAAAAATGATGCAAAGTGGAGCTGCCAGGAATGCAGGACTCAAAATTCGTCAATGTTTTATTTGTGTAGCAATTGTAGAAAGCCAAGACCAAAAGAATTTGATTTTCCAAGCCAAAAGAGTGAGGAGTCTTTAAATAGATGGACTTGTATTGGGTGTAAATCCACAAATTCTATGTACTCAGAATCATGCTGGAAATGCAAAAGGCCGCAACTAAAACAAAATTTAGGGAACGAAATAAAAGTCCAAGAAGACTACGTTGAAGAGCCCAGATACACTTTTCCAGAAAGAGGGAGGGAATTTAATTATCAATCTAAGTTAAGATAATTTAATAATTATTTGTATCTAAGTAATAACGTTAGCTAAATAGATAAGCCGTATAGAAATAGAAAGCCCAAATACTCTTAGAGGCCATGTAGAGCAAAATAAAGCAGTAATAAGCGAAAATGGTATTAGATTGTATTGCAAAAATTCATATTTGTTTAATACAGACCATATTGCAGCATGCAAAATTAAATAAAATAGAAATTCATATAAAAAAGTCGATAAGGAATAATCATAATTTTCTTGAAAATTGAAATATAAAAATATTATATTTCAAGCTGTACGTTTAGAGTAAAAGTAAGATAGAAAAGAATGAAGACTTCAGCACATTGGAGACTATATATAATTTACAAGAATTGGTAAAATAATTATAGATCTAAATGTGTAATAGCTTTGTGAAGCAAAAATTGTTTTTCAATATAAATCTGAATTTTCATCAAAAATAGAAAAAATATAAAAATTCTCAATTGCTGGAGCTGGGTATAAAAAGATTGGGAGCGATGAGATAAAACTGAATAATGGGTTATAAGTTGTTAAATTTAGATGAAGCAAAATAGTCATCAAAATTGAATTTGTTTTCAAAATAAATTCCAGTTCTTTAAGCAAAAATCCATCAGGTGAAACGAAGGTGTAAATGCTTTTCTTTTGGGAAAGTTGGCTTAGATAGAAATGAATAAATATGCTGTGAATGCCTAATATAGCTACGATAATTCATGTAGTAATTTGAAGCTCAATTTCAAGAATTTCTATTTACTTCTCACCTTTTCTTTCGCTGATGTCTTTATTTTCTATTTCAAAAATAAAGAAATAACTCAAGCTAATTGATAAAATATTCACATAAAGTATGCATTTTTGGATGAATTAGCCAATATGGCTAGCCTGCTTAAAATAAATAAGATTTAAACAATAATATTGATATATAAAGCCAAAAATAATAGATATCGCAATCCTTCATATTTAGAATAAGTCAAAGCACTTGGCTTGTATATGATCAAAAAGATACTAATAAAGGTAATTGATAATAAATTCGTCAAGCATATCTTGAATACTCATGAATTTAATGAGACTATAAATCCTAAAATAGTAAAAAATAGAATTCCAAAAGACCCATTTATCTTTGCTTGCAATTCCATATATGTGCTATTTAATTATTATCTTTTTAATATCAAATTATACCGCATCTAGATTAAATTCATGATATTTTTATTAACATTAAATTAGCTTAACTAGAACGAGAAAGATTTTACCAGGAAAACAGCTTAAATTTTCTAACTCCCCACTCTCCGTGAGTGAACAAAAAAATCTTGTTCGCTCACGGAGGGGGTTAATTTTTTTTAAAAAAATTATATATAAAATTTTATAGAAAAACATTTTTATTTTGGAATTTAAAAAAATCCCACTTCGCAAAAATTGGAAAGCAAATATTAATTTAATTTGTAAAATTTTATATTTTAAAACACAATTTGTTTAAAATTAAAAAGAATTAGCTCGAGATTCCATTATAATAAGTATCATTTATATATCAAAATTTTTCTATTAAAAAAATTTTTGTTCGCTCGAGGAGGGTGGGCTTTTGGTCAAAAAAATAGCGATTTTTAACGGTTTTGTTTCGCTCATGGAGGGGGAGTAAGAAATTTATTTGTTAAATTAAATTTATATACTCCATAATAAAGGATGCCAGTATAATTGATTTTTCTGATCCAAAAACCTAAATAAAAAAAACTAAAAATTTACCTGCCAAAAACTTTCTTTTCCTAATAATTAAGAAGGATACCTATGCGTTTTTTTATATTTTATTTGCGAATTGACTATGAATTCATATAAAAATTAAAACGAAATGGGGTGCGCATCTAGTCGAGAAAAACTAAGTGTAGAAGAAATTGCCATCATCCAGATGGAAGAACAGCTTGAGTTCTTTAAAAACACTGTCAGAGACGTTGATATGTGTTTTAAAAAAAATTCTGATTTAGAGCATGCTTCACCAGCACAATGGGAAAGTATCTCAATTATCCTTGGGATCAAGATAAAAAATACCTATCAATGCCCTAAAGCAGAAACTCTATACCAGCACTATACATTAGAAGACGGAAGAATTATAGTTAGACCTTTGCTTATTTTAGGAATAATGCTCAGCAGCGGCACCGCAAGGAGGAAAGCAAGACTTATATTCGAGCTATATGACAGAAATAACACAAAAGTCTTGCCAAAGTCAGAAATTCATGAAATTATCCGTCTTATACTTGATCTTTCTCTTATCCGTTTGCCTGAGTTAGTTTCTAATAAAACTAGACCATGCGCCTCAGAAGCCAGAATAAAAGCCTATGTCCAGTCCATTTTGACCTGTAGAGAAGCTGCTGAGCAAGGTATGTTTGAAAAATTCATGGGCTTAGAAAACCTTGCAAACGAAACTATCGATAAAGATGAATTTATAAAGCATTTTGCAGACGAAGAAACTGCAAGGCTGACAGCCCCTTACGCAGTCAGACTTTTTGCGTTACGTTATAATGAACTCAATAGTAATCGCGATAAGAATTAAAACTCTTTTAAAGTAGCAATTTATTATTAATTAACTATTTTCTTCAATTTGATTGTTAATTTGAGGGCTGGGCTTTGAAGCAGGTGTTTCAGCTTTCATTGAACAAAATAGCAGCAAATTTTTGCAGCAGCCATACTTAAACGGATTATCATTTCCAAAAATTCTTCTTCGGTGCTCATGTGTAGTTTTATTTAAAAAAATCAAATAAAGCTGGTATAAAAGTAGCCCTCCAACAGACCAAAACATAATAGCTCCATACACAATTAAAATAATTTCTCCAGCATAACGCCCTGGAGGGTCATCAGTAATAATAGCTACACACAGCTCGGCTACAATTAAATAAGCCGACTCAAGAGTAGAAAACAGCAAAAGCATCACAAATTCTCGATGATTTTTTCTCCCTATACAATTGGCAACTCAAGGGCAATGATGATCTTGCCTGTCTACACAAAAATCGCAGACTTTGCAATGATGGACTCTTGGAGGTTTCAAAATATTGCAGGTATTGCATAGTTTTAGCCTGACTGTAATTCCATTGATTTCTATAACACCAGTGGTTTCTTCTGGTAAGGATGAATTTTTAGACAAATATCCGGGATTTGAGCATGAGGTTTTGAATAATAAGAAAATATTTAGGCAGAAAAAAGAACAAGTAATAATGAGATATGGGATCGCAAAAGAGTCTTCTAGTAGAGCTGATAGGATGATGTGAGCAATATTTGGGGCTGTAATAAAGAGTATTGCAATCCCTAAATAAATCGATTCATTTGTAATTCGGAATGGCATTTTTATTTAAATTAAAATTGTATGCGCTGGAATTGAGATAAATAAAGAACAATAGCAATTTTTATGCTTTAAGCAGTTTATAATAAATTAAAACATTTTTAAAACCTAATTGCATATATTCAATAAGGTAATGGCTAATCAGTAGGAATATTTTTATTTCATTGTAATTAGGCATATAAGAGACTGCTTTAATATAATCAATAATAGAATATCTCCTAGCCATTATTTATGCTTTTTTATTGCAGACAGCTTGCAATAAATGCTATAGCAAATTTCTTAAATATTTGAATATTTATTGAAAATAAATTTCGCATCAATTCAGCCTCTTTTACTATTAATAAATAGTAATTATTCTGTTATTAGATAAAATTAATGCAGCCTTTATTTTTCCTATTAATTTATTGAAAAAATGCACTCACTGTAAGATTTGTAAAAATGTCAAATAAATCATCTGGATGCCTAGTATCATTTTTTGGATGCTGCAGAAGGCCAAAGCGAAATGCTATAAGTGTTGATAGCCGAGGAACGTTACATAATTACCGAGAAATGATGGTTCAAAGTGTATGTACCCAAACAAGTGAAAATCATGCTTTAAACCATACAAGTTTTAATCAAGATAAAATAGTGATAAGCACTCCTGCATCATTCAAGCCTGTTATTGTAGTAAAAAAAGGGAAAACTTTTGAACCACAGTCACCGACAGCTGAGTCAAAATCAAATATTCTTTATTAGACTTGGCAGGATATTTAAAAAGTTGATTTTTAAAAAATAAGAATTTTCTATAAAAATTAGACTAATAGAGCATATACAAAAATCTGGGGATTTCGGCTCATCAATTGTATCAGCTTTTCAAAATGATGCAGGAGACACAATACCTATCGACAGCAGCCAAGAAGCTTTATTATCTCCACGTACATTTAGACAAATTTTTAAGGACGGAAATAATAATATTTCGTGAAGCAAGTCTTTTTCGAGATTAAATCCACTACCAAATCCTTTTGTGTATGATACTATGCCAATTGGTAAAAAGTGAAAACTTGGTGTGTGCCTTTTAAGCAGAAAATAATTTCTGTGCCAAAAACTAAAAATTATCAATATAAAAAACCTTATTTATATATATAAAGCATCCAATATTTCTGAAATTGGTATAAAATTTTAAGACCCAAGCTAGTTCCTATCACTCCAGATGCTTTTTCAAAAAGAATGCCTGGAACCCATAGGGAATCCAGGAGAAAAGAGCAATTTGATTACCTTGACAAAAACAGGCTGCCTTTTAAGAAGAGTGTAGAAGAATTACCGAAAATAAATACGAGATACTTCCAAGGAAGAGAACAAGGACAAGTGGAAGCATAAACTCGTAATTTTGTTAATATATGTAATAGATATAATCTCAAGTAGTCTTGCAATGAGCTTGGGGATCTTGGGTTTGGATTTATTGCTGTAAGATTATTCAAAGAAAAAAGTGTTTATATTTGCTGAAAGTAAAATAAAGTTAATATAAATAATATTTCTATTATTATTTCCAAAATAATATGAGTGTTAACTACTATATTTTGGCTATTTATAATAGTTTCATGCTTTATAATCCCCAAGGAATAATTTTTTTACTAATAATCAATAATAAATGATATTTTAATTAAACCTTACTCTCCCGCTCCGCAAGCGAATGTTTTTGTGCACTTATGCAGGAAATAATTTATTTTTATTTTATATATAAATTTTATATTTTTTTTCGAGATTGCAGTAATAAAGCCATTTATGATTTATCAATGAGCTATATTATAATTATCACAAATATATTAACTTAGACTGCTGTAGAGTAGCTTCAGATCAGCCATGTCAGATTTTTTACGTCTCTTGTTCCGCTTCATCCTTCTCTTGCTTGTCAGTCCGATTACACGACCTGAAGATATGTTTCGCTACTCTCGGATGAGGGTTTTAACCCAGAGTAAAGACATTGGATCACCGTGCTATACATCAACGAGGCTACCTTTATGCATCTCCCTTGAGTTAAAACCTTGCCTGGATCTGTCAGCCCAAGATTGCGCTCCATCTGACCAAGTAAAATCAGCTGGACACTCTTACAGCTCGCTGTTATCCCTTCCAAAAGGTTCCAAGACTCTCATCTGACTACAGGTGCTAAGAGGGCAAGTTGGTTTCACACGCCATTTTTCAGTGTATCACTCACATATCAAACATATTTTATGTAAAAAATTATATATAAAAAATCTGCTCATTCATTCATATAGGTAAAAATGTAGCTTTGCCAATCATTTGATAAGAACTTTTTCCCTCATATTGGTAGCATTTTCTCAGAAAAAAGTTAAAATTCTAGCAATTTTTTAAAAAGGAAAAAAAAATTAGACCAAAAATACCTCAAGAAATATAACACCCAAAGTGTTCCGATTAAATGACGCAAAGCCAAAACGTAGAAATTTCCCAGTTGTTTGTTTTCTCGAGAAGGCTAGCAAATTATGAGCTTATTGTTTTAATCTGCAGTTGAAGGCGGATTAAAAACTCTTTATTCACTTTCGGTTTTACTCTTATCATAGCTGGTTTCAGAGCTTCAAGCCTGTGCTTGAACTCTTCAATTTCATTATCCAGGTCAGAAGAAATGCTAATCTTTGACTTGGGAGACATCGATGTTTCTGCAGTAGAAATCCTCGATTTTCTTGGTCTATTTCTTCTTTCATGGGCTTCACCATTAATATGGCAAAGCACACCAGAATTATTTTTAGTCATAGAATCAGATAGTAAATTTTTGAATCCTTCTGCTGGGTTTGAGCAGCAAAAAATGTCAAAAATTTGCAGTGGCTTGGTTTTTTCTGCAAGGTCACTGAGCTCTTTTTCAAGTTTGTTAACTGTTTTGAGAATTGTATTGTGAGAGTCCTCTTTTTTGCAATGGCTTATCAGATTTTCGTAAAACACAAAACATTTATCCTATTTTATCTGAATTTTTATATATTTAATATAAAAAATAGATAAATAATATTCGATTTAAAAAAATATAATATAAAATAGTGATTTTAGGATATTTTCATATGAAAAACTTGTATAGTAATGCAAGCTTTTCGTAATCAGTCCTATTTCTGTTGCCAAAATTTCAATGGTCTGATAAGATTTATATAGTCCAATAATTCTCTGCATATAATTCTTTCCGTTCAAAAGCTTTAGCTGCTTATGAAGGGATTCCATAAAGGCCGCAAAGAGTTTGCATAAATAAAGATGCATGTCTTCAGCGAGTCCTAGAGCTAAGAGTTCAGTAACTTTTTGAATCAGTTCATTTCTTAAGCTAATATCAACATCAATCATCTGATCCTGAGTGCATGCATACACACATTAAATTAATCAAGGGTCTTACAACGTTTAATGTCCAATACCACATCACCTAGATGGGCTTCCGTCCCTGCTTCGGGGTCCTCAGCCAACCAAGCGTCATCCATTAATCTGAATGGTCCCTCGGCTTTGACGGCAGTCCTATTGGCTCTCGGGCATACCAACTCGTACCCGTTTGGGCAAGCTAAAGGTCCCAGTATCAACTGTCTAGGGTTGTTGGCACACTTTCAGGAATTCTATGTCCCTCGGGGATGATTGCCGAGGTCACGCGCCCTTGTGCATAACGCACCATCATTGCCAGGATAAATTCACTAGGTGAAGCAATCTCATAATCAAAATTGGTCAAAGGGAGAATTTCTATGCGGAAAAACAGAATATTCGAGTGTCGCCATATTTTGATTATGATCCTGACTCAGCACAATGTCAGATTTCAACGTCAAGACTTTCAATTTAAATTGACTGAAGTACTGGATAAAATCCTGAGAAATATATGAAATCGAAACAAGAAATTCTTTGAGAAAAGGTGAAATCTGTTCAGGAATCAGGTCCTGAATTTTAATGTCATCAGAAAAATAATCCGACAAGGACAATCGTGAATTGCTATTTTTCTCGATATTTAGCTTTAATAAATAGTGTTTTCTTTCATGAGAAGTTACTAGCTTCTCTTTCTTGCTAGATTTGGAATGATGCTTATTTCGCTTTCCCATGTGAATTATCAGTTTACAAGTAATTATTAGTTATGGTAATTTATAGATTAAAACTCAATAGTTTTGGCTATTTAAGAAATTTTAAGGATAGAGCTGTATACGTATTATTAATAAAAATAATAAAATAATGGCCATGCAAACGAAAATGAAATTGTTGATTTAAGAAAAATGAAAATTTATTGGAAATCAGAATTTTAGATAAAAATTCAAATTTGAATTTATAGGGGTTTCCCTTAGATAGCCCTGTAAGGGCTTTGGATTCTGGGCGGAATCCTTTGGTGGAGGGTTATCTAGGGGAAAATCCTATATTGATTTTTGCCATAAAAATCAGCTTGGGATATAAGTAGATTTTAGAAAAGCAAAATTGTCAATCAATTAAATAGTTAATCAATGTAATAAATTAAGAAAGGTTAAATAGCTTATTGAAAATGCTCAAGTGGTGCTGTCGGCTGAAACTCCTGTAGCTGCTCCTCATTTCCAGCTGTCACCATATCAAGATACTCCACATGGTTTTCAAATTTCGACACCCTTTGTTCTAGCAGTACTATTGTCCTTGTCAGCACATCTAATCTTGTATTAATCCTGTCAAGCACAGACGTAAGCTCCTCTGGAATTCTGCTTGCTCGTTTAGATTCATTTGACCTTCCAGTTTCCTGCAGATTTTGGCTTTTATTTCCTAATTGAAGTGGCTTAATTTCTGGCTCATTTTCATTTTCTGTATTTTTTTGCATTAAAGGTGTTTTGTTTATAGAATTTCTTACTTCAACCTGAAGGTCTCCACTTCTGTCCATTGCTGAAGGCCTTTCTCCTCTTCCTTGTAGCTGATTTTCAAGATTTGCCCTCCAGACCATTACCATACTGTCTCCTCCTCCAGATGCAAAATATTCTCCATTATTAGAAAAATTGACAGCAGTTGCAGCTCTTTCATGGCCGTATAGTGTATATAATACTTGTCCTTGCCTTAAGTCCCAGATTTTTAAGGTTGCATCTTTAGAAGAACTAAGTAAGTACATTCCAGAAGGATGGAATGAAATAGACGTAACTGCATCTGCATGAGCATCATAATGCTGCAAAATTTTGACTATAAATTTTTGACTAAAAATAAATTTTAATTTTTCAAAAAAAAAAATTATAGGCCATTTAAAAGAAAAGCAATTCAGATAATTCTTTTTAAGACTTTTAAATAATGTAGAGCTGCAAAATCCTTTGTGACCTAACATCCCAGATCTTGATTTTTTTATCCGCACTTCCTGCAGCTACACATGTCCCATCTGGGTGAAACCTTACAGCATGAATGACTGCAGAATGGTCTGAAAAAGAATGAATATTGGCTTTAGACCCCAAATCCCATAGTCTAACTGTTTTATCATCACTACCTGATACTACCATTCGAGCATCTGGGCTGAATTTTGCATCTCTTACCCAATTTGCATGGCCGAGTAATGAGTATTGGAATTTTCTATCAGAAACGGTCCAGATTTTGATAGTCTTGTCGTCAGAGGCTGTTAATAATAAAGCACCATCACAGGAAAAACAGACGCTTCGGACAGCTGCTGAATGAGCGCGAAGAGTTACTGAGCGCCCTTCAATGCTGTTTTGCCACAGGCGGACGGTCTCATCTTTAGAAGATGAAGCTATTAAATCGCCGCTTGGAGAAAATGCGGCGTCTGTTATAGCACTTTTGTGACCTATAAAGCGATATGGCCTTGTTTCAGGCTTAAAGTGCCAAACTTGAAGTGTAGCGTCTTCAGATCCGGATAAAGCTTGCTTTAAATTAGGGCTTATGTCGACAGCTGTGACTGTCCCACGGTGACCACGGAATGTTCGCTTGAGCTGTGGGTCGCTTTCAGCTTCGCTTAAGTTTAGAGGCTCCATTCTTGGTAGCTTTGACATTTAAAAATTCAATTATAAATTTATTCGAAAATTGACTTAAGAAAAATTTCTTCTTCAATTTTTATTTTATTTTACACAGCATATTGCCCCAGCTCTTCTTCTCTAAACACCTCTTTCGCCCACTTAATATCTTCTAGGTCCTTTTTCTCTTCTTCCGCCTTTTTAATCGAAATCTGCCGATAATACTTTTTAAACTCAAACTTTGTTTTATTTTCTTCAAATTTTTTTATTTCTTTCATCTCAGATTCTTTTCTTTCGTATTCTTCTTCAGTCTTTGAAGTAAGTACTTCAACACTCCCTCTAGGGGTTTCTGGGGCGGTTTTAGGTGGGATTAAGAAAGTTAAGCAGTTTCCCATTTTATTGCAAATTACTAAAACTAATGATAATGGATTTTGTGAGGAAAATGAATTTTTTATAGCAATGATGACGTGGCTAAACTTAATATGACATCATATATTCTATAATAATAACCCAAAAATCACCTTTAGAAGCATTATTTAGAGGGAATATTAGCTTTTCAACCTGTGTTGATGAAATTCTGAAAGATCGAATAAAATCAAATGGTTTCTAACGCAAAGAAGCCAAAGATGGCAAACTCATTGAAATAATAAATAATGTTTGCGATCTTTCTAGTAGCTTCAATATGGTATTGCTACTCGCTACCTCAACAAGAAATCGGCATTAGCATCCCTGTTTACAAAAAGAGTTCATCGACTGATGTCGACAACTATAAAAATGTATAAGACATATAGAATCAATACTCAGTAGAAATAAACATTGGAAACTTCTGATTTTTTCTATATAATCCATTTATTTTTTTTAAAAAAATTATTATTTTTAATTGGGAAACCCTCCTCAATCTTTCAATGTCCTTTTGGACACTGCTGAATCTGTAAGTTTTATACAGTGACTTTGGGTGGTTTCAGACGAGTGCCTCAATTGTGAGCCTATTCAGAGATCATTTGTCCCAGGGAAGTCTAAGACTTATGTAAGCACCGCTCTGTCAACAATAATTGATGTAAATTTTATTTAGGTTTTAAATATTACTGCAAGCGGGACAATAGGCATGGATTCTGTATTTCTCTCAGAAGCACTTGGAGTCAGCCAATTTTTTGTGCTGGTAAATGAAAATTTTATAGACACTGAAACCTTATTCTTAGCTGACGGTGTTTTAGGGCTTGGTTTCAGCCAGCTAAGCGGCGGCTATGCAAATTTCGTGCAAAACTTGAAGCTTCAAGGCATGACTAATAGCTCAATGTTTTCGTTATATTTAAGCTCAGAAGGAGATGACGACGCTGATGCTATTCCATCCAATCTTATGCTTGGAGGATGTGACTTAGAGACTTATTCATATGATGATAAATTTACTTATTTGAACGTTACGAATTCTTCTGGATATTGGGAAGTCCCATTAGCAGCTGTTCATTTAGAAGCAGGACTTGCAATCGAATCCAAAAGTGTGATTTTTGACATTGGCACCTCTATGATTTTAGCCTCAATTTTGGATCATTCAACAATAAAAGATGCTTTTCGGTTCCACCAAGGCTGTGAAGAAGACCAAAATAATGGCTATATTTACTGTGAATGTCCATATGAAAACTCAACAGAAAATTACCCACCTCTCTCGTTTTATTTAGGGAATGGGCAAGAATTTCAAGTTTCAGCGTTTCATTATTTTCATTGGAATGCGACAACAGGGCTCTGTTCTCTTTTATTAGGAGAAAATGCTGGAGAAAGCTGAGTTTTAGGGGACGTTTTCTTACGAGCCTACTATTCAGTGTGAAATATGGATGATGGGACTATTGGGCTTGCCCAAGCAAAGTCAAATTATGTACCTGATAAAAGCAGCTCAAAAAGCGGGGTTTCTTTAACGTCAATTATTATTATAGCGTCAGGGGCTGCAGTATTAGGGATCATTATAGCTGCTTTGATATATAAATTTACAAGGAATCGGTTAAATAAAAAGAAAATGCAGTGTACAATAGCCAGTATTTCTTCTGAAGAGTGCCATTATAATGATCAGTCCTCATCAAGTCTTTCTGGCAGTGTAAACGAATTTTCTTCGGATTCAATTTTAAATGAACCTTTAGTTGAAATAAAGCCAGACTACATTGTGGTTCCTGCAAACTTATCACAATATGCTAAACATTAGTTAAAAGAATATATAATTTAGCATATATTCATTAAAATCTTATAGTCAGGTAAACTAGTTTTGTTATAATTAAAGGACATTAGCTAAGTCATTTTTACAGTCCCAAAACCAAAGCCCTACTAATGTTGGAACCAGCCAATATCCGACCTTAAATACAGATTGGTAAGCAGGCAGGTCTTTCCAGGGCTTTTGCATCAGTCCATAAGCCATCAAGCTAATAATTGCTAAATAAGGGTAATTAAGCCACGTCTCATAAGGCCAAGCGATTAGTAAAGCATGCCATGTGATGGGCGCCATAAGGAACCAAGGATAATAAGGGAGTTTATAGCATGCTGGAACTCCAGATAAAGTGACCAAATGGTGTGATAAGAATGACAAGTTGCACCCATCCATACGGTAATACTGCATTATAATGTAGATTGAGTCTAGAATATAATACGCTATCATTGGAATCAATAGAAATCTGAATATTTTGTCTAACGTAAAAGTCTTCAATGCTTTTTCCTTCAAGCCGAAAGAACTTTCTTGATTTCTGAGACGATAAAGAGTTATGAATACGAAGGGGAAAAGCGAGTACCAGCTCCACCAATACCAAATTGTTGAATACCAGTTCATATTGATTCTATATGGAATCCCTTTTGAATAAGCCTAAAAATGTCTAAGGAAAATCTTTTTAAGTTATATAGGAATAAAGCATCAAAGAAAATTTATTATAATGATAAAAACCTCTTAGGATAAATTATTACTAATTAGTTATCCATAATAATTATTTTTAAAATGAATATTGCTCGTTACGATAATTCATTTTAATAGAAAATACACCGTCTTAGTAAAACGATATTTCTTGACTTGAATCCACATTTTCTTCTGCTATATCTTTTGAGCAATGGCTCATAATAGGTGATCCAAATGGGTCATCTATAGGAAGAGAAATCTATATTAAATTTACTCCTGACTCCTCAGCACTTGAATCCCTTCTTCCTGCCCAGAAAACATATAAACAATAAACATTGAATATATCTTGGCTCATAAATCTTATTAAAAGGAATAAAAAGATATTGATCCCTAAGCTTGCACTTGAAAATAGAACTACACAGTTATTATGAGGTGTTAAAACTTGTATCATAGTTTGCACCATAGCAACAATATTGCCAAAAAGCACAATTAAAATCAAAAACCTGATGGAAAAATTACCATAGTTCTTTTTCTCTGCTTGTGTTGATCATTAAGCTGTTTTGCTTTAAAATCTTTAGTTCATAAGCCATTCTCACTCCTAAAATAAAGAAAAGTACTGTAAGAACCAACCCACTTGCACGCAGATATATCCAAATACCATTTGTACAGTCATAAATATCTTCGTTTGAGCCACTAGCAATCCCTATATAAATCATGTATCCAGTTAAATAGCTTATATTTGCGATAAGCAAAGAAATGCCCATAATGTTATACATTTTCCCCTTTTTCATTTTTGAGGCTTCCCCTGCAAAATAATAAAACACCAAAGTATTTTCTACGAACTGCAAATAAATCATAATTAAAAACAAAATATCAAAAGCTGAGTCAATAATCATATAATGAACAAACATAAATATTGTCTGCAATAACTGGATATACAGAATTGCTAATACTTTATTCATGAAAATCCTAAATAATTTTATATGCATTGCGACTTGGTAACCCTGATTTTATAATACTGTAGCAAGTAATTCAAGGAATGAGAGACCAGCCAGAACATAAGCGATACTGCATCATGTTACTCCAAGTGTTGAAATGCAGGTCGTATTAACCATTTTAATACAACTTTATTACAAAGAGATAATAAATTATAATGAGATGAGGAGGAGATTTGGTTAATTGTGAAGGCTAAGCCCTATTTATTTAATTTTTTCAACATATTGATTTTATGACTGCGCCATAATGAAATCTATGTTTGGGTTTTTTGAATAAAAATGCCAATGAGCTGGCAATAAATGTATTTATTAAGGTGGTTGGTGAAAAATTATGATCAAATTATCCTTTGATTTTTTTAACGAAATTAGATCATTAAGTATTGTTATGAAAATATCGATAATTTATCTTTAATCCAATCTCTTTGAAGCAAAAGAATTACTTTCTAACCAAAAAAATTATTTAAATGTGAAATTATTATGGAAACAGAAGGCTCTGAAAAGCCTGAAGACCAAAAGATAGATCCTCTTCTAGAAATAAAAGACTCTATTTCTGAGCTTAAAAAATCCTACAACGAAATTCGTGGAACAGTTTTGGACCTTCTCCCTATCCTAAAAGATTTTCGAGATCTTATTCAAGGAAAATCGTTATTTGAAAAAGGTTTTTTTTTCTTAAATTCACTCGCAAAAGAAATAAAAAGCAACATACTCACTGAAATCAACAACAAACTATCAGAGCCTTATGATATTTTAAGAGAACTTCGGGCAGAATTTGATAACTTCAAAGATTCCAATTATGATCAACATTATATAAATAAAATATGGCGTCTTCGTCTGGGCATAGCCGGAAGGCCATGCATACTCGACTTATATTTTATTTATATCCGGCAAGGTTTTACTACTTCAGAAATGGACAGCAATGCTAGGTAAGCAATTCTGGTTGTGTTCAGAGCCTAGCCCAAGTCTAAATTCAGGGGTGATTTTTTCCTCATGGGGAAGGAGGGCACGGAAGTTGGAAAGGGGAAGCCCAGCAAAGTCCTTTGGACCCAATCGGGCAACTCCCTAGCGTGAAACTGGGCGTTACGTCCCAGGCTACGTGCTTTTCCTTTTTGCCGAGAGTCGACCAGAAAATCCATTTTTTATGGATTTTCGGAAAGGCAACCCATGTCGTGCGAATCCCTTGTTTGAGGCAACAAGGAGGGCTTCCGCCGAGGCCTCACCATGGGCGATGGAGCGTGCAGGGGTGCAAATCCCCGGCCCTGCAAGTGCGAAATGGCTAATCTTAATCTTAATCTTAATGATCAACATTATGAAATTAAAGACAGTTTAGACATCTTCAAATCCCAGCTAGAAGTTATGTTTAGGAATCAAGCCGCAATGACCGAAAGAGAAGATTTTTTTGAAAATAAAATCAGCGATTTAAAAGAAGATTTAGCATTAAAAGCCCCGTTCGGATTATTTAATAAATTATCTGATACAGTAACTACGAAAGCTAGTATTGGAGATATTAAAGATATCGAAGATAAAATAATTAAATTAGTAAGTTTGCAAGAATTTAGGGCACTAAATGATCAGGTAGAGTGACTGAACCAAAAAATGAATTCTTATGCATCTAGGGATATGATTTCGAATTTAGAAAAAACGATTATTGATAATGTTATGGGACAAGTAGGGGATTATTGTAAAAAAACAGATTTTGCTGAAGAAGTTGAAAAGATAAGCCACTTGATATTAAATAATATATAAAATAGTCCCTAAAATACGATAAAATATTCATATCATTATCATATACAAGAAAAAATTAATCTGACTAAAAAAGAAATTGATACAAATAAAGAAACGCATTTTAGAATAGCAGATAAGCTTAAATCAGAAATCAGTAAAGTAAATAATTCGCTTCATTCAAAACCTTGAAACCCTGATATTGAATTTGTTATAAGCGCAATCAATAAAAAAACTGACGAAAAAGATTTCAATGACTTCAAAATAGAAACTGAGCCACAAATAAGAAATTTTGACATAAAAGTAAACATTTTTTCCAAAAAAACAGAACTTTTTGAAAAAATAATCGAAAGATACGACGAGCTCCTTCTAGATAAAGCATCAAAAGACGATCTTTCAAAAATCCAGCAAGTTCTCCCGACTTTTTGCAAAGAAAATGATTTTATTTCGTTTAAAATTAACACAGAATCTCATTTTACTACAATAGACAACCGGCAGATAGCTCATATAGATAATATTCATTATGTGAACTCTCGGCTTGACACATTTGATTTTAATTTCAAAATTTTTAAAAAAGACATGAAGCTATTTTTAAATCTGTATAATCATTTTGAAGAATTCAAACAAAAAATTGAAAACAAAGCAGATAAAGAAGATCTTTATTCAATGAATGATTTATTAACTCTTTTATGAAAATAATTGTTTTTTTAGATATAGAAGTTTCTTTTCGGTGGCGCGATAAGGTGCATTCCTAGGTTTTACCGGATGATCTTAAACATATGAAAACTTGCTATTCTTTATTCATGGGGGAGAAAAACAGCCTAAATAAAGAATCCTGCCTGATCAATCTCGAGAACTTGAAGAGAGGCTGTGTGAAAAATTTACATTTTGGTTCGTCAAATGAATCTGACGAGCCAATTCTGGCCAGTACTTGAAATGAAAAATGGTAGTTGCCAAAGTTTTATTAATTTTTTGATGGTGAGTATGATCAGAATTTTAATAAATGGCACAGGATCAGACAACTTATTCCTTTCAAACCGATCTAATAATTCCTTTGGTAATAATTATAACTGCTTTATAAAAGCCAAAGTTTGTGCTAAGCGCTTGTTGTTCTTTATGAAATTACTAATGACTAACTTGGTTTTCGTTAGAAAATTAAAAATGAGTTAATAATTAAAAACTTGTTGATTGAGTTGTGTTTTTGCGGAAGGATAGATTTCTAAATAAATGATGCCAATTTAATTATGATTAAAAGCTTTATAAAAGCCAAAGTTTGTGTGCTAAGCGCTTGTTCTTCTTTACGAACTTACTAACGACTCATATGGTTTTCGTTAGAAAATTAAAATGGAGTTAATAATTAAAAACTTGTTTATCAAGTTGTGTTTTTGCGGAAGGATAGATTTCTAAATAAATGATGTCAATTTAATTATGACTAACTGCTTCATAAAAGCCAACGTTTGTGCTAAGCGCTTGCTGCTCTTTACGAACTTTACTAATGATATTAAAAATTTTCTTCTTATAATATTTTTAAATTTCTAAAAAATAAAATTTTAAAATAATTATATCAATATAAATAAATTTTTTATAAAAATATTTTTAAAATAAAATAATAATTTTTTAAAATTTATTATATCTTTATAAGATGGGACTTTAATTTTAACAATATTTTTTAAGTGGGTTGTCTTATCCTGTGCCATTTATTAAAATTCTGATCATACTTGCCATCAGAAAATAATAAAATTCTGGCAACTATCATTTATAATTTCAAGTACCGGTCAGAATTGGCTCGCCAGATCCATTTGACGAACCAAAAGTGTAAATTTGCAAATAGCCTTTCTTTAAGTTCTCGAGATTGATCACCCAGAGCTCTTTATTTTCACTGTATGACTCTCTTACAAAGAAGGAACATCAGATTTTCATGGTCCAAAGACCTTTTAGTCAAACTAGGAAGCACGCCTTATCGCGCTATTGAAGAGAAAGTTCTATAATTTTTCGAAAAACATTTTTTAAATAAAACTCGAATGTAAGTAAACAAGAAGATATGGTGGCTGCTGCACAAGCAATTGACGATTTACACAAGCAGCTAGAAATGCAAGCTATTCTTCATCATGCTACCATTAAAACCCTTCTTGATTCTACCGATACTGCAGGCACAAAAAACCGCAAAAGGCTTGAAATTTATAGAAATTCTTCATCCCTACTAAACTGAATTTCAAACTCAATCGCACCTGAGATGGACAAACTTGTAGGGACCGCAAGAAATCTTATAAACTCTTCATTTAATAAATCCATGCTGCCAGACCATGATTCACCTGATATAATTTTACCATTACTTCCCAGTCATGATAAAAAGCGATCAAAATTAGTAACACCTATCCCTGTACCCAATACGTAGATGCTAAATATTTTTTATAGATTAATAAAATAATAAATACGATGGATCCTTCTGTCATTAAAATTGCAATGTATATAAGGCAGCTTAATGAAATCATGGACTCAAAACAGTACTCCAAAGCGAAATGCAAAGAAGTTCTCGACAAAATTGGACCTTTATTGAAAAACTCTCAATATCAGTGCATACCGAAAATCATTTTTAACTTTGATTGTGCAAACTGCCACACAAAAGATCTGAAAAAGCGAATAAAACTAACTTGCAATCATTTTATCTGTAGCCCTGACTGTTTAAAGAATTTATCATAAGCGATAATAAGCTTTACTTTAAAAAAAAAATGCCTTAATTTATATAAATTTTATTGATTTTTTTTAAAAATTTAACCTACCACAGTATAATAGAAAAAATAACAAATGGGAATATCAAAGAATGGAGGACTTCGGGGTGTCCAGTTGAAGGCTGTGCCAAGGAAATTCCTAAAGAAATTATTGCTTTAGGATACGGCGGACCAGATGAACTCGACAAACTTCTAGAACCATTACTACAGTGTGGTATCTGCACCATGTCAAAGAGGGCTAGCGAATTTATCACCTTAGACTGTGACCACAGATACTGCGAAGAATGCTTCAGAGGATATTTCGCTGATCTTATAACCCAAGGAAAAACATCCCGAGAGCATTTTGTATGCCCTGAATGCAGCGATGAAATTGACATGCAAATTATAACAAGCAGACTGTCCGTAGAAGAAAGAGAAAAATTAGAAACTTATTTGCTTAAGAATTGACAGCCAAGTGAAGAAGACAAGCTAAACTCAATCTATTTTAAATGCCCAACCCCTAATTGCACCTACAGTTGCTTACTCCTTCCCCTCCGTGAGCGAACAAACAAATTTTGTTCACTCACAAAGGGGTTTTAACTTTTTAAAAAAATTTATTATAGAATTTTTTTTCTTCAAATTTAATAAAATTCCAATCGTAAAAATTAATTCAATTTGTAAAATTTATGTTTTAAAATGCAATCTGTTTAAAATTAAAAGAATTAGCTAGAAATTTCATTATAATAATTATCACTTATAAATCATAAAAAATTTTTGTTAGCTCATAGAGGTGGGTCTTAGGCAAAAAACAGGGGATTTTTCTAATGGTTTTGTTCGCTTACTGATGGGGGAGATAGATAGTTCCGTGCAATTATGAAGAAGTTGAATGTTTGGCATGTGCCCAGAAATGATGTCCAAGATGCCAAAACCCTCCACATCCTCAGATGACCTGCGAAGCTTATAAAGAAAGGCTTAATATGAACGACGACATAAAAGCTTTAATGGAAAATGAAAATTTCACCGTCTGTCCTTGATGCCAAGTTCTCATCGAGAAAAACAAAGGGTGCAAATATATGGCTTGCACATCAGAAAAATGCAAAGGGAAGCGATATTTTTGTTTTGACTGCAGGACAAAGCTGCTAGAAAGGCATCAGAAGCATGAATGCCCAACTCCTGATATTTTGAGAAACAGGTGTAGCGTGTTTTAGGATTCAAAATTAATAGAAAATCCCAAACCTTAATTTCTTTAATAAATGCTTATTGAATTATAAAGCCTGGTTAACAACAACCCCTGGGCTGCATGCTCCTTCTATTTTTTTGCTATCAATTAGCAGTGAATTCGGGTCGACCACTTTTATATTTCAATATTCAATGTTCTATATATTTTTTACAATTTCTCCAAAAGTAAGCTGGACTTTTGATAGTAAAGGATCTCCTATAAAAAGGACTGACTCAAAGGTAAAAAGCTGATGGATTTGGGAATTTATATTGTAAACACTTAAACAAAAAAAGATGCCTTGAGAGTCACAAGCGATAAAAACGGCAGGAGTCGCTTCTGGGCCGCTAGCAGCAGTTCCTAAGACTTTACAGATGAGGATTTTTGATTGATTTTTGCCAGCTTCAAGCAGTCCTAAGTGGGCAGGGCTGTAGTTTTCTCCAAATGGCTTGCTTTTTATAGTGATAGGCATTGTTTTTACCATTGCAGATAGCGTTTTTTTCTTGATCCCACAGCTTGTTCGGATTTTTTGGTTAATCAAGCTGACTAGTTCCATGATTTGGCTGATTTGTCCTTGAGCATTTAACGCTGGGTCTAATTCATGGGCTTTTTGGAACTCTATTATTGCTTCTTGGTACCTTTCTAGGTACTTATAAGCTTCTCCTCTATTATAGCATAAATCTGGATTCGGCGCGTCCAAAAAGTTTTCAGCTTGTCCATATGCCTTCAGAGCTCTGTTTAATTCTTCAGATGATGGCCTATTAATAAAAAAATTGGTCAAATGAGCATTTGCAAGGACATACCAAGAATTCCCATCCTTAATATCAATAGCTAAAGCTTGTTTAGCTAGTCCTACACTATTAGCCACATTATTTTTTCTTTCCTCATCATTTCCCACAAATCTTGAAATCATTGATAATTTTCTTAAAATTTCTTTATTAGGGCCTGTGTGTTCTAAAGCGCCTTCAAAGCAACGTTTGCTTTGGGCGTAGTCTTAATATTAATTAATCTATACAAGTTTAACGTCCACTTATAGGTTGCTTGATGCAGCTACCTCTAGCACCGCTCTGGGGCGAATTTTGTGCCCGCCAAAGGTATGGCCATCTCCAACTTTGACCACCAAAAGAAGACGCGAATCTTAGAGTTAAGGCTTTGATGACTCTTCTTTGAGCTCAGACACTTACTTAGGTCCGAACGGAACCCTAAAGATTCCAGTCTCCACCTCTGGGTAAGTGGTACCCTTCTGGAAAATTCATTCTCTAAGGTCAGGAGTCCGTAGGAAACAGCACCCAGCTCTTGCTTCCCTGATATAGCTGGGGATAATTTCATAAGTGGATGCCAAACCTCATAAATTAAAATATATGCAAGAGATAAATTTTGGGTCAGGAGACCATAAATTGGAGCGACGCCATATTTTAATTATGCTTTGGGCGTAGTCGCCTTTTAGATATAACATTTCGCCCATCCAATTCCATGCATCTCCATTTGTGGGGTCAAGCTTGACACTTCTGGTAAGGTTGTCTTCAGCTGACTTGTCATAGGTATCTTTTGTAGCTAAGGCGCGGCCTTTGTAATACAGGAGTTTGGCTCTGGCAAGCTTGGGGAGGCCATTAAGTGGCGGAGCAGTATCAACTAAATTGATAATTTCTCTCGAAAGGACAGCAGATTGTGAGGAGTTTTGCTGGGATTGAAGAGTATTAAGCTCTTCAGTTTTAGATTGAAGTAAAGCTAGAAGCTGTGTAGTTGGGTCTTCTTCCATTTAATATGAGTCCTTATAAAAATAATCTGATTTATTATAATCCCTATATTTATCATTATAAAAAAATAAATATAATTTATAATAGAATAATTGAAATTTTATGAAAATTGAAATGAATTTAAATGAAGCAATTTTTATTAATTTATCTTCATAAATACAAAGATAATGGATACCAGCAAAACTTCTATCAAAACCACGCTAAAAAAAAGCCTTTTCTCCTATGTGAGAACTCCTCAAAAAAGTCAGTCGTTAACCCACTTCAATTTCAAAACTCCTACACGAAGAATGAGCACTTTGCAGACAACAGACCAATCCAGTACTCAGAGTCCTTATAAATCGGTTTCCAAGCTTCCTAGTCTTGATCATTCAAAATTTAATGAACACGATTGAGCAAATATCAGAAAGAAAATAGAGCTTCCTGCCACATATGTTACACCATTAAAACTTAAGATTACAGACCATAGCATAGATCGAGAAATTTTATCCCCTCCAGGATTTAAACAAAAAGACGTAAAATCCTCCCAAAACCCTATGCATGACCGAAGAAAACTGCTATCTATGAACGAACTGTTATTACCTTCAGTAAAAACAAGGGCTGCAGAGCCTTTTTCTGATTCCCAAATTTTATCTTTGCAATCTTGCCAATTTATTATTGAAGAAATGAAAAAGCCTGTCCGAGATATAGAAAAAATCTATAATTTGACTAGACATTTAAAGTTTTTTCTGCAGTACAAAGCGGATATTGTTAAACAAATGCTGAGGGCTGGGAAATATGAATTTTTTAATAAAGGGGAAATTATTCTATAATAATTAATTCTAAAAAAATAGGTTTTAGTTAGCAAAGAATTCTTATTTAATTAAAAAAATATATCTTCAGAGAAGGAGATATAGGGAAACATTTATATGTCATTTTAAGAGGGTCTATAGGGGTCCAAAAAGAGTCAAAAAAACCAGGAGAGCTTTCGTGGATCATTAATTCAAGGTATGATGGAGAAGTGATAGGGGAATATGCAATAGTCAGAGGAAACGTAAATAATGAAGCAGCTCAACGAAGCGCTACATGTTTTGCGGCAGAAGCATGCCATTTAATTAAAATTTCGTCTGAAGATTACACATTGGCAGTAAGGGCGAATATTGATATTGAAAGCAAAATTCTTCATTTTTTAAATAGCTTGAGCCCCTTTGAACATATTGCACCAATAGATTTAGCGTTATTGGCAAATACGCTAAACAAGGAGTATTTTTGCCTTGACGAGGTCGTTTTGGCAGCTGGAATAATTCCAAAAGGAATGTATTTTAGTTAAAATAAATAAAGCTCTTATAGCCATTTCAAAATATAGTTTTTTTAATAGAGATTATTAGCTTAATGGTAATAGACAGCATATATAATTTATTCTGGAAGAGTAAGAATAACTTATCCTTTCAAAACTCCACGATATTCCAAAAAAACTAACAGAATCACTTACAAAAAGAGCAAAAAAGATTTTTATCTTCCAAGAGGAAGCTATTTTGGACAAAGAATTTTACTAGGAAAGCATGAGCCTGCCAAATACTCTGTGATTTCTGACTCAGCCCAAACATCAGTTTTAGTGATAACTACACATGAGTTTAACTTGCTTTATAATCCCAATAAAGAAGACACCATAAATTTATTGTCAAAATCCCATCAATTTGATATTGACGTGCCTATGCTATATCAGTATTTTACCACATAACTATTAGGCTACTTATCCTATTTTTTTATAAAAAATAGCTATTATTTATTTAAAAAAATGTTTTACAGTCCTAATTGGCATAGTTTATTTTAATCTTAATTAAGCTGCCATTTCCTAATAAATATAATGATCTGGTGCATTTTGGGTTTCCTAATAGAAATTCTTGGAGGAGTTGTCTACCCAGCCTTCAAAACATTAAGTTTTGTGAACGAAACCAAGCAAGACTATGACAAAGATTTCATGACCTGGACTTTCTATTGGTTTGCTTTTGCAGTACTTCAGACATTGGGATGGTATTTGGATTCGACCTTATATATCCTAATTCACAATAATTAATAAAAAATGCCTTATTATTAATGGTAAATTATTATTATTATTATTATTATTAATAAATAGTATGCAATTTTTAAGATTTTAGTAATCATCCTATTGGTTGCTCCAAAAGTAGGTGGATCAATACTCGTATATAACACTTTAAAGCAGTTTGGAGGCTCATATGTCGAAGTCGTCAGCGCAAAGATCAGAGAATTCACTCAGAAGAAACAAGATTAATAAGTGATTAAATCTCTAATTTGGATTAAAAACAATCTATAATTATATAAAAAGAGTCCTGATGTGTAGAATTGTGGGGTTTTAAAAAGATGATAAAAGAAGGGCATGAGTTTGTATATTTCAGAAGAAATCTTTCCATTTTTGGCAGTGATTGTCCGAATGAGTTCTTTATAGTCAGATATTTCATTAATTTTTGTGTATGATTATTTTAATTTCTAGTAAAAGTTTATGAAGAAATATAATTTGTGTCAATCAGCTCCCTGGTATAGAATAGCAAGTTGAGTATTAGAGTCAAAATTATTATAGTCAGATAAGCTGTAAGGTTCATTATAAATAATTTGTATTTTTAAATTTAAATATGACAACTAGGAGCATATTGATTTTATTTAAACAATTAATTATTTAGCCTTTCAAGTATTCTTGTTACGCTAGTGGTATTCTGGAGCCTATCAATGAGCTTAAACTCTTGGGCTTTTGATAATTTTTTAGGCTTTTTTGACCGCTGCTTAAAACTTGGACTTTCATTTTTAAATTTTAAATCTTCGATTTTTAAATGCTGGGCTTTTAAAATGTCAATTTTAGTATCATATGGAGATAAGGGAGGATTTTTTAAGTCTTGGCTCGTATTGAGCTTATCTTTTATTTTTGTATCTATAACCCTAGTTGATTTGTTAGCTAGAGTTAGCTTATTTCTACTTTTTGGAGGCTTTTGAGGATTCAAAACTAATTTTTGATTCGGAGATTTATTTATTGGCATTTGTTTATTTTTTGCATTTTCTTTTATAGATTTTTCATCATAGCTTGTGTTTTCAAGTCCATTTTTATATCATTTGTATGAGTTGTTACAATTAATTTTATGTTCATAGCCTTCTTTTTCAATCTTGTCTAGACTGACATTATTAGACTGTGTTTCTGTTTCTTTTTTTTTATTTTCTAATCTCCCAATATTTAATAATACACAGATTTCCTTAAATTCAAAAAAAAATCCCAAAAAAATAATTTACTTATACAGCAAGAGGGTAAGAATTTTATTGTAGAAAGTGCTTTTTGCGTGGCTAGAGCAATATTACAAAGAAATTGTGTATTGGTTGGGCCCAGTTCTCTTCTTCTACTTTTACTCAATGGTAATTTAAGTTTATGTGAAGAATCATCATTTCTTGAAGTATTTGCCATAGATTCTTTTAAATCTGTTCAGCTATTTTCTAATTCAAATATATCGGAAGAGCTTTGGATTTTTGATAACAATTGATCTTTTTTATCTAAAGATTTTATGCGTAATCGTTCTTCATTTAAATTTCTGAGTCTGAGAGACTGGAAACTTCTATTCGGTGTTTGTTTAGGTGAATGGAATTCTTGGGAATTTAAATCTAAATGCTTCATTATTCTAATTAAATCTAACAATATTGAAATAAAGGGAATATTTGTTTAAATTTTATGCGAAATGGCATAAATATTTTAAAAACGCATTTTTTATTATTTTAATAAAATTTAAGGAAAATAATTATTTTTTCACTATTTAATCAATAAAATTAAGCTGAATTCTAGCTTAAAACAATAATGCATGTTTTTACATCTAAACGAGTAATACTTTATTTCCAAGATGTCCGGGAATACAATTGAAGAAGCCTTGCTAAATCAAAAGAACGAGTTTCTTAGACTTGAACTAGAAGAAACCAAAACCCGTGAATCCAATCTAAAAAAGCTTAATGATTCCCTTATGCAAGCAATACAACACAATCTCCCTCTAAGAGTAACCATAATTTAGGACAATCTTCTTGAAGAACTAAAAAAATCAAACGACCAGTTAACAAGAGATATTGATAACCTAAAACTAAGATTAGATGAGTTTAAGCTTGTCGTCTTCGGCAGGCTGGAGATTGCCACCCCTAAATGCTCATCCCCGAGGGATCCCGATAACCCTTCCTTGCTACTGCAGGCAAAGGATTTGCATGGCCGATCTTGACTTCCATGACTCCTGAACCTATGGCCTGCCACCTGAGTCGAAACTCCCGGTTTCTTGTTAGGCAGATGTCACCTCTTTAGCCCTGCTCGAGGGATTTATCACCAACTCGGGGCTTTTGCTGGTCCTGCCCTTTCCAATCATGGTCTCAGAGGCAAAAATTCAAAGTCCCCCTAAGGTCTGAGAAAAACCTAGCCCAAAATACACAAAGGATTAGGCCTCTTTCTGCCCTTCCATCTCACAATGACCGTTACCCGCAGGTATTGAAGAAAAAGGGTCAAAGGTTTGGTGGCCTGCCGTCACCATTTTTGTGTATATTTAAAACAAAGATACTCCGAAAAATCCTCCTCCCTTGAAAAAGTAAACTACGATTTACTAATTTCTAACAAAGAATTAAAAATAGAATTAAAACAAGAGAAAATTAAATTTGAAAGCGAAAAATGTGAGCTCCATGCCAAAATAAAAACATTGGAAAATGAGAAATTTAGCTTACTTCTTCCCTCCTAGCAGTCAAAATTTTTTGCTTGCGAACAAAGGGATTTATTTTTTTAAAATTTTTTTAATATAAAAAATTTTTTTTTCGATAATTTAAAGCTGCTTATAAATTAATATTTTAGGATAGAAGCAGTTAATTTTTATAGAATTAGCAGAAGATCTCATTAATTACAATTATTCAGCATATATAAAAAATTTTATACACTAAAAATGCTATATTTAAAAATATTTTTTGAATTCTAGCCAAGGGGTAATTTGGATTTTTCTAACGGTTCTGCTTGGCAAGGTGGAGTTAGAAAAACAAATGAGAGAGCTGAGTGGAAATAATGATGAAGCTTGAAATAAAATAAAATTTCAAATGGAGCTGAAGCTGCATGAAGCTAACAGAGAGATGGAAATACATAGAGATGAGTCTAGAAACGAGGTGAATAAAGTAAGACAAGAAGCTGATGCAGCAATATTTCATTTGAAATCTATGTTTAACAAAGAAACAGACACGTTAAAATCTGAAATTAAATCGCTCCAAATAAAAATTCACCACCAAAAGGACAAAATCGAAAAATTAAAACAAGCTGATAACATTGCTGTTTATCAAAAAAGAATTGAAAACTTGAATTCCCAATTAGAGTCATATAGATATATGATAGAAAAAAATTTGAGAAGTCCGAAAGCGTCTACTTTACCAATAGAAAATCAAGCTGAGTCTCCCCAAAATAATTCTTTTTATGAAGATAGACCGTTACAAATGGAGAGTCGTAACCGAATTCTTAGCTCACAAAAAAACTCTCTGAGCTTATGTGAAAATTGTGAAGCCTTGAAAGGAGAACTAAAGGTAAAAGATGAAGAACTGCAAGACGCTTTAATTAAACTTGAGTGTTCTCTACTTCAAAAAGAAAAAACAGAATTAGAAATAGGGAGACTTAAAATAGAAACCCAAGAAAATAATCTTCAGCACCAACTTTCAGCTAAAAATTGAAAGGAGACTGAAATTGCTCTGAAAAATGAAATAAAATATCTAATTGGGAAACTATTGAAGGCTAAGAGTAAGCTTGCAGTGGGAGATGTGACTTCTACAGTAAGGAAAGATCCTTCGTTAACGTCTTTTCACAGCTTGTCAGTCCGAAGAGAAAGAAATAGCAATTATCAATCCCCACTATATACATAAAAATTTGACGACATACCACCCGACCTCTCGACCCTATTTCCTCAGCAGCAGGTAACAGCCCAGTGTTGGGGATTTAGATAAAAAGGGTCGGTAATCCTTTATGTATGTCGGGCTGGGTTTTTTCTCCGGCCTCAGGGATCTAATCCTCGGGACTTGGGTTTTTTTTCCAGACAACCATTGGAAAGGCAAGGTCGGCATTGTCTGTGTGGCAAATATGACCCACAGACCCTGAAGACGATATTTGTCTAATGAGAAACTGGGAGTTTCGACCCAGGCTGGCCCTCAGACTCCAGGAGCTATGGAAGTAAAGACTGGTGTATGCGAATCCCTTGTTTGCGGCAACAAGGAAGAGTGTCCACCGAGGCCTTACCATAGGCGATGAGCGTGTAGGGGTGCAAATCCCCAGCCCTACTAGTGCGAACGGCTTAACTTAATCAATCCCCGCTAAGGCAATCAAATTCTCCTTTGAATTTCTCTGAAATCGTAAGATGTGATAGTCCGTTGACTTCTGATATAAGCTTAAACCGCTGTTTATAATGTAAAAAAATGCGTTATAATTTATTATTAAATGCTAAAGTATTTTAAGAATATGCATTAATTTTTAACCAAAATTGAATTTTTATAAAATATCATCAATTTCTGCATGTTTTATTTTCCCCTAATTTAAATTTAAATAATATTTAAGATATTAATATATCAGACATGATAGGATACGTCATCATGAAATGTGTCGAATAAAAATTTTATATATAAATTATGCAGCCTCCAGAAGTAATTAACCAAGTTTTCAACAACCTGCGACAAGACCCTGAAAACAACTACTGTTTTGACTGTGGCGCACCAAGTGCAGATCATGCTTCCACAAATCATGGAGTACTCATATGTGCCCAATGTGCTGGAATGCACATAGTTCTTGGCCCATCTATCACCAACGTTAAATCTTGGACTGCAGAACCGTGGACGATTGGTCAAGCATAGGTCGCAACCCTGCACCCCCACCCCCCTAAAAAAGTGGTACCCCACCCCCCCTAAAACATGGTACCCCCACTCCCCCCACCCCCCCCCTAAAAAAATGGCACCCCCCCACCCCCCTTTTCACAGATGGCGCCCCCACCCCCCCTAATATAGCATAAATATATGACAAATGCCAATTTAGAGCAGACGTAATAAATAAATTATTATTTTAAATATTCAAAATTACTGATTTATACAATATTCACATAGCGTAGCACAATCGATTAAGGTTGGGTGGAATGAGGTGAGAATTTCCTATAACTACTAAGCACACTACATATGAAAAAATTTGTTAGCAAGCATAATAATGATCTTTGGTATTAATTAGCAGTATATCCTGCATATATTTATGAACTTTGTGGAACAATGGCTAAAAATCGAATTAGAGATCCAAAAGTAAAACTGGCAATAGCAAATACTATTTTTATTAGCACTATTGAATCCTGTTACCAAATTCAGTCCTGCAATCCTTGTACAATAGGCATCAGATTAGCTTTAATTTATGAATCAATAAATTTAATGCAACTTATTGTATTGTGCTTGGCTAATTTAATAATTAATGCCATTATCTATATCTTTGGAATTATATTTATAAATATAAAAAACAAATTTAATATATTTTCTAATTAATTGTTAATTAATTTAAATTTATTAATTAATCTTAAATATAAAGTAATTTGTGGACTTAATTTAGCAATATAGTGTTTTAAATTGGGTTATGTTTAATTTATTCTGCTTATTTCCTATCAATTACTTCTATAGGATAAACCCGAGAGGGGGGGTGGGGTGCCATCTGTGAAAGGTGGGTGGGGGTACCCTTTTTAGGGGGGTAGGGGGTTCCCTTATTGGGGGGCGGGGTGTTTGGTTGCGACCTATGCTTGACCAGACGATTAAGCAGCTAAAACTTATGGCAGCCGGTGGGAATTCAGCATTTCGGGAATTTCTAACTCAATACAACATTACTAGAGAAACACCTATTGCTTTTAAATATAGGACTAAGGCTGCAGCTTATTATAGAGGAATGCTAGATGTTGTGTCAGAAAATGAGCCTTATGACGTAGATTTCCCTTCAGCAGATATAGGGATCCAATTAATTGATGAAAATAATCCAGCATACCCGAATTTAGCACCTGCAGGTCCTCAACAGTATCCAGTTTTGCCTCACTCCCCCCTCCATCAGCGAGCAAAAAAATCTTGTTCGCTCACGGAGGGGGTTAATTTTTTTTTTAAAATTTATATATAAACTTTATAGATTTTTTTTTCCCCAAATTTAAAAAAATCACACACTACGCAAATATTTGAAAGCAAATATTAATTTAATTTGTAAAATTTATGTTTTAAAATGCAATTTGTTTAAAATTAAACAGAATTAGCTCGAGATTTCATTATACTAATTATCACTTATATATCAAAATTTTTTTTCATAAAAATTTTTGTTCGCTCACGGAGGGTGGGATTTTGGGCAAAAATAGGGATTTTTCTAATGATTTAGTTCGCTCACGGAGGGGGGGAGTCAGCAAAATCTTCAATATGCTCAGCCTAATACAGGCAATCAATATGCCCCGCTTCCTGATGGGAATTCTCAAAACATCAATGCACCTCCAGAGCCGCAGCCTACAGGCTGGAAGGCATGGGCTAAAAGCGCCTATCCTTATTTATAGAAATTGAAAACAATCAAATATTTATTATAATAATAAACAATCCTTAAAATTTTATTAGAAAATCATTTTTTAAAAGAAATTCAAGTAGAAAGTTATACAATAAAACAGTCGAGGCTGGGAATAAAGCCGCTACTGCACTTAATAGCTATGCAGCTACTAACCCAACTCTTCAAAAAATCAACGAACAAGGCACAGAAGCCATCAATAAAGTCTCAGAAGAGGTAAAAAAGTTATCACAGCATCCTCGTGCTCAATATGTGGCAAATGTAGCTAAAACAACTGCAAATCAGCTTGTAGAAGGTGCGACAATATCATATAACTATTTCAATACCAATCCGACAGTGCAACAAGTAAAGCAGGATACGATGAAATTTTTAGGAGAAGTGGGGAGGGAAACGAAAAACGCATCAAGTGCTGCAATGAATTATATAAAGAATAAGAGGAATCAAGGACAGAGAAGTGAGCCAGAATTGCAGCAGCCACTGCTTCAAAATCCAAATCCTAGTAGCTAATTGAAATAAGAGTTAGTTTCTTTTCTAATCTTGAGTTTTTAATGGTATATATTTTATTTATTACCTAACTACTCTCCTCTAAATTGGAACAAAAAATCCTGCTCCAATTTAAAGAGGATTTAATTTAATGGGTTGCTTTTTGGGAAAAAAATAGGAATTTTTCTAATGGTTTTGTTCACTTACTGAGGGTTAGCGGTATTGGGAAAGCAAGTGCCAAGGGTGTATAGTCTATGTATTCTAATATTTATTTCCAATCATATAAGCTAAGTTAATAAAACGGTAAGTATTTAAATATATTTCAACAAAAATGTTTTTCATTATAAAAATTCACTCTTATTATACTTCCAATAATATTTCCCAAGCTTCTAAAATTTATAAAATATCCCCATTTCTTCCTGAAAGCCTATACACCATAATTTATTTTCTATTTTTCCTATTTTTGATCTTCAGAGTTTCTGATTCATATCTCTTATCTTAAAATATGGATTTCGCGCATCTCAGCCTGAGGTTATATTAATAAAATATGGACAGCCCTGACTATCCACTTGACAACAAGTATGATGCTGATATAGCGATGCCAATCGCGATCAAGCCGGTTACTCATTTTCTTCTGATCCCTGCTTCACAATTTCTGATGAACCCTGACAACTCTTATCTCGGCAGCTTAACCAAATCAGAAAGAGCCAACAAGGTAAAACGCTACCTTGAAAAGAAACATTCCCGAGTCTATGATAAAAAGGTACATTTTTTATAGTAAATTAATAGTTTTTGGGTAACTAGGCCTTATTACGCTGATTTAATATAAATAGGAATAAAGGTATCAAAGCCGAAAAGACTCTGCCGATAAAAGGACGCGGGTTTGTGGAAGATTCGTGAAACAAGAGACCCCTTCTCGAAGCAGCACGGAGGACGAAATAAGCATGGCTTGCTTTAAAATAGATAGCGACTCAGCTGTTGACGAAAATTCAATGGCGGCGCTTTAACTGTAAATAGCTCACCCTGGTCAAGGGTGGCTCATAACTTCTTATAAATTAAAGCTAGAGACTTCTTTTAGCTAGCTCAAATTTGTCTGTTTAACTCTCCAATTGCAGCTTATATAATAGATTTACCAAATTAAAGGATAATCAGCATCCTAATCCAAGCTATAAGCAGCTTTTGACAATAGACTTAATCGAAATATAGCATTTTCCTTAAATTTCCCATAAAAAACTTCCTTTAATCTATCTACCAGTCAATCCAATAGAAATCATGATAAATATGGTTTCAGATTTCAGTAGATACCAGTTTAATTCATGTACAGTATATAAAACATTTTAAAAATCAACATCCCAATCTGTAGGGAACTCAAGGTTTCTTGGAAAATCTTCACATTGTTCTTCATTCAAAATGAACTCTCGTAAACTCCTAGGATTCTTTTTGGCGTTAGATAAATCAGAGGTAAGCGACCTGAGCTTCGGAATATAAGGAGCTTTATGCTGCTTTGTAATTAGTCGCTCCTATATAAAAATTACCCATGAAAGCCCCACGAATCACTTGTGCTCTTTTAAGTTTGTGGTAACTCCTCCCATTCTCATAGCAGGATTCTTGTTTAAAAGCTGCTGCACAAAGTTTTTAGAGCTGGCAGCAGGGTCAAGGTCAATTGGCCACGTAAGTCGATACTCCAAGACTTTTTCATAAATTTCATGAGGGTCGTTAAAATCTTCTCCAAATGGGACTCTCCCAAATAGAAATTCGTAAATCAGGATCCCTAGGCTTCATAAGTCAGCTTGAACCGAATATCCTTACTTACTTAATTAGGAGGTTAGTGGAGGTCTAATTTCCTAACTCGGTTACCAAGCATCTTCCAGAGGATTCATCCGCTTTGTGGGACATCTACTTCCGATCGCCAGAAAGGTGGGCTGTTTGGTTGTCACCTCCTTGCCATTTAGCGATGACTCCAATCTTGAGTGGGCAGACAATGGGCTCCGGGGCCTTGCTTCAGGCTGCAGCGAGGGGGTTGTACAGAAAATCCAAAAATGGATTTTCTGGCCGACTGTCCGCAAAAGGAAAACTTGTAGCCCTGGTTTCACGGTGGTGCAGTGCCCGATAGGTCAAAAGGACTTTGCTGTCCACCCCTTTCCAACTTCCAAGTCTCCTTTATCCTCGAGATAAACCCCAAACTAGAAAAGGACAAGGACTAGGCTTCTTACACCGCATGAGTTGTTTACCTAGCATAGCTAACTCTATTCAGCTTAGCAAAACCTTGCCGAATATAATGTGCTCGAAGGTAGTCGGCGTAGCCGACCGCAGAGTGCTAAGACACCATATTTTAATTGAAGTGAATACCCAGATCCTAAAATTACCTCAGGGGCCATATAATGAGGTGTCCCTAAAGTCGTAAAAGACCGTCCATGAATCACTTTGGCAGCCCCAAAATCAATAAGTTTTGGATACCCTTCTTCGTCAATCATAACATTTTCTGGCTTGAGATCACGATAAATTATATCTCTTTCATGTAAATATTGAAACATTAATACAAAACACCCAGCGTAAAACTTTGCGTCGTTTTCTTTTAAACTTCCTAAATCAGCAAGAACGTCAAATAGGTCTTGTCCATGTACATACTCCATAAGAAAATAAAATCTGGACTCGTCTTTGAAGGTTTTTACAAGCTTTACAATCATATTGTGGTCTAATTGGAGCATAATATTTCTTTCAAGCAAAATGTTGTGATAAATATTCTATTTAATATGAATATTTAAAACAATTATTTTTTTTTAATTAATTTTATTTTTTTTAAAAAACGAATATCATATTTGAAGACTTTGGATTTTAAAACTGATTTTAAAGCATAAAAAATCGTTGCTTTTTTATGAGCTGTTAAATAAACAGTGCCAAAAGCACCTTTACCTACTATTTTGATTGGTAAGATGTCATCAAAACTAATAATATCATCCTGCAATTCAATTCTTTTTAATAGCTGTGCTCTAATCCCATCATCAATAATATTCAAAAAATCTTTTTTTTCAACGATTCAGCAATCTACCTCTCCATTTGCCACAACAGTTGCACTTCTTTTAAAGTCATTAAATAACACTGATCTTTCTCCAAAATAATCATGCTTTGTTATATTTCGGATATTAGCCCCATCTTTTTGTACACTGACTTTGCCAGATTTTACAATAAAAAATGAATCTCCAGAGCTGTTTTGTTCGACAATAACTTGTCCATTTGAGTAATGTATTTCTCTTAATGCAGCTATTAGAAGCTTAAATCTTTCTTGAGATAGTCCTTTTAGTAATTGGACACTTTTTAATATTCCAATGATTTCGTTCATAGCTTGGATTTCATTAGCTCCACTCTTTGTTAGTGAGCGAAATCATTAGAAAATTTATATTGTAGGAAAAATTGATAGCTCTAGGCTATTGAAAAAAAAAAATAATATATCAATTTTTAACGAAATAATAAATAATTGCAATAATAATCTTTAGCAAACTATATTAAATTTTAAAAAATTTTTATTCTAAAGCATAACGTTATATTTCAAATATTTACAAATTTATAAATTGATAGATAATAGAAATATTATAAAAATATTTCTCTTTTTTTGCTGGCTAAGAAAGGGGATTAAGCGTCCCTTCTATACATTTTTCGATTTCTTCTTTAGTTATGTGAGCTATAATTGATTCATTTTCTGAAACAAAATCTACAGAATAATTTTCTCGAGGATCTTCAAGTAATTCAGCGTCACCTATGCAAGAAAAAGTCTCTATGTCACCAACTGGGCCTCTTAATCTACCCTTGGTAATTATTCAGAGATTGCGGCCTTTTGGGGTTCCTCTTGATATTACAAGTTCTCCTGCCTTATAAATAGACACTCTCATCGTATTAAAAATTGCTTCCTTTTGGTCAGTTGAAAGGATTTTTAATACCTCACTTTTTTCGACTGCTATTCTCTGGGAATTTCTATTTAAAATTTGTTCTAAGTTATTCCCAAGAACTTCTATCAGTGATTTCCTTCCAATTGAAACCAGCTTTACCTCTCCGATTGCTGTAATCGTAGCTGTTCTTTTAGAATCATAAAGAAGTGCTAATTCTCCAAAGTAGTCGCCTTTAACCATTTGCCTCATTTCTCTGTCATTTTCAGAGCAAGATACGATCCCATCTTTAATAATGTAAAATAAATCTCCAGTGTCTCCTTCTTTTACAATCCTCTCACAATTGGAAAATTTTTGTGTGACAAGCGAAGACAATAAAGCGTCTTTTTGCGCATTGGTAAAGGTTTGAAAAAGTGGGACGCTTTCGATAAAAGTCTTGTTTTCTTCATAGTTTAAAGCAGTTACTTTTTTAACAGCTTCTTTAAATGTTTGGCGATCTACCCCTCACAGGGAGCAGCGCTCAATGGTTCGGACTGTTGCGGAGCGAGGTCTGTCGTCAAGTAAAGCTAGTTCTCCAAATCCGGAACCTGCTTTAAGGATCGCTTTTCTTTCATTGTCTACTCTCAGCTCTACCCTCCCTGAAAATAGCACATAAAAGCAAAACCCAGGCTGTCCCTGCTCAAAAATCATCTCCCTCGGCCCTATTTCATAGAATTTCATATTTTTGACAAGTGCGATTTTACTATCCTCGTCGAGATTTTGCAAGATAGAATGCTTATTGATGACTTCCAGTATTAATCTCACGTCTTCTTTGCCTTTTTCTCTATCATTCACGGTTGCTGAGCTTGCTTCAGAATTAGCGTACATCAATCTCCTTAGATCAATTATAGGCTTCTTATGTCTTTGCTTAGGCCCTGTCGATCCTGGGTACGGGAATCTTGTCGATATTTTGCTGAAATCTCGCTTGTTTGGGTCTTGAAACAGGTTTTCTGGTACTATATAGCCTGAGCCTTTTCCTAAATCTGGTTTAATGCAGCTGCAGCCCATTCACTGTAATTTTCTAATTTAATAATTTAATATAATCAAATCAGTTACTCAATTTTCATGATCATAACTGCACCCTCTTCTATATCTATATTTTGAGCTATTTATGAATAATAATTACTCTGATTTTGAAATTAATTCCAAAATGGTACCTTATTTTGCATTTTTAAGGAATTTTTTTTTCTATAAAGCATTTCTTGTCAAAATTAAAGGGTTTTAGGCATCAGGAAAAATTTTCTATAAATTTCCTGGACAGATGCTGCCAAAAAATTAGATCAAAAGATTTGTAGGCTTCCAAAATGCTTAATATTTTTAAAAATGCTTATTTCTCCCATTATCTTCCCCATAATAACCATTATTATGTTTAAATATTGTTAAGTTAGCCATAAATCTTCTTGGTCATAACTGTATAGAAATCATCAAAAGTCATTGATGTCTTATCAGCTGACACCTTAGCCAAGGCTTCTTGGAGTTCTTCTTCAGTCATGCTTTCTCCTAGCTCTCTGGCAACTCTGGCAAGATTTTTGACGTTAATTGTTTCTGAGCCATCTGCGTCAAATAGGTCGAAAATTCTTTTGATTCCGTCCTTAGTGTTTCTGTGGCCAAGCCTTTCGCTGATATGGCCTAAGAAGTCATCGAAGGTAATGGCAGCGCCGAGTTCTTCAATGCCAGCAAGCAGTCTGAAGATGGTTGGGGTACTCATAAATAACTACAAAAGGCATTTACAAATAAAAATTATTATTGGCTTTATAAGAAAAAATGCATAATTTTACAGAAAAAATACCAAAATTAGCCTTGAAGGTTTTTTAATGAGAACTGGTTGGGGTTTTATCTTGTCCTAAGGATGCAAGTGCAGCGTTGATTTCTTTTGGATCAATGGTGCCTGAATTATCGGAATCAAAGAGATCGAAGGCTTCCTTGATTTCATTGATTTCGTCTTGGGTCAAGTTTGAGGTGTCTGGAGCCTCAGCTTGTTTGCCTCTGCCAGGGGATTTTCCTCTTGATCCACCTCTTTTGGCGTCTCTGGTAGCGCTTTCAGACACATACTTGGCTTTCTTGGACATTTTTTATAACACCAATAATTTAAGAGAATGTGAAATAAAAACGAATACTAGAGTGACTGTTTTTGGGATAAAATTAATAGTGTTTTGGAGTAATAAAAAGTTTGGATATTTTTTAAGTGGCTGGTTGGCAATTTAGGAAGTAAATTAGGGTTTATTTTGGAAAGGGAAAATCTGGGATTAATTAGGTTGGTTATTTTTTATTAGATTAACTATAATTCAAAATCTTTTGCGAGATTACTATTAGTGATGATTGTAAAGCTCTGAAAGAGAAATCTGATCATAAAAAAGTATTTAGCTACAATTTATTGGGTGAACCTAAGCTCTTTCCTTTAATTTTTCCATTTATTTTTCCATTTTGATTGTAATTAATCAAGGATTTTTACTTATAAGATTTAATAAATTATTTAATTCTCATAATAGAATGTATATTGCAATATAACATTCTTGTGAAGAAAATAGCTTAGTTAGCAGTTATATTTCTTAGCATTATATATATAAATGGCCGATGATGAGCAGCCCGTGCTACCCTGGTGGGTGCCCTTATGTATATTCGGACTGGATTTTGGTGTAAGAGCCATCCAAGGGTTGGGCAGAGGGCCAAAACCACTTTACTGATTAGTGGTCTGGCTTGAGAGGCACTCTATTGCATCTTTTTTGTCAGCAGCTCCCAGGCCCAGAATGGATGCCGATAGAGGTAGGACTACTGACCTAAGCTGCTTTTATGGCCTTTGCAAGCACATTGAGTTTTTTGCTTCGGAGATGATCCAGAGAAAAAGGTGAAGGCAGGCTATACGAAGATCTCAGGGCTAGTCTCACCAGTCTAAAAGGGTCCCTCAATGGGACGATCTGGCCTAAGCTGGACAGGGTTGGGCAATTTTGACACTTGGGTTGGATATAGAGATTCCCGGAAAAATCTGGCTTGAACCAGATCAGGAGGAAAAAAACATCTACCGGAAACTGGGAGTTATGGGGCTCAAGCTGCCTTGCGCAAGCCCACCCTGCAGGCATTCGCTTGAGAAATGCACGGCGCTTCAGGAAGCTTGACTATAAATACCTATCATAATCTATCTAATCTAATTTCTTAGCATTAATTTTACTATATATTTAATAATCTCTTTCTAAATATTGGCTCTATAATAAAAACCATACAAATTTTAATTTTCACCAAAAATTAACTTGAATTAAGTAATTTTCCATTTTAATACTTAACGATGTTCAGATCAATTCCAGTCTGCAACAAACACCTCTCTAAGAGATGGGACGAACATACAATGCAAATCCACTATAACAAGCTTCGTAGAATAAAATCCGCAATCGATAAAAGCTGTCCTGTAACTTTTGGCCAATTAAAGCACAAGCCTAAAAAAGATCAACTAACAGAAGAGCGATTCACCGAAATTGAACGTGAAAATCGGCTTTTACTTGAAAAAATGTCCCACATCATGAATACCCGAGGAAATCGGTCTTTTTCCCAGACCCATAAAAAAAGTTTAAATCTCGCTGTGAGGAAACGTAAACTTGTTCAAATCACTGAAGAAAACCAAGCTTTATTAAAAAGACTCCAAGACAAACTTCCACATTATAACGTAAATAAGTGAGAAGAAGAAAGACGAGAATCAGAAAAAAGGCTTCATTATATGTGCGAATATCCATATACATTAGGAGGAAGAAGATTATATAAGAAAAATAATTTAGATCGAAAAATCGTCAGCATTGTCCCAAGAAGTCCTGCAAGTGGAAAAGGAAGGCTGTCACCATTAGGCTCAAAAATAGATATACTGATTAAAATTATTTATGATAGGAATATTTATATAACGGGAAATCGCTATGCTCTAATAAATAAGTATAAAAATATATGCTTCAAAAAAAGAATGAATATAGGTGGGAGGAATTTTTTGATAGAAGTCAGCAAAGGAAAAAGGTAAAAAATAGACAGAAAATTGAAAATTTTGGTATATGAGGTTGATACAACAGATAGTTTTAGTCTTATGCTAACAAAGGCAGAATTTAATGATTTATGTGGCGGAGAGGATTATGAAAAACTTGTAAATATGCTTGAAATCGAAGATGGAGAATTGGTATTAGTTGATCCGCGAAGTGCTTCATTTAATAAAGAAAATAACGAAAAAGAAGATTCATAATGCTAAGACAATCTTCAATCAAGATTCTTGCGGTCCTAGCTTTGAGTGAGCTCTAAAAGGTAGGTAAGGCCAACCTAAACGCCAAACTGTCCATGTTTCCAAGTCTCTTAAGACTTCTCTACTCACACCAGCCTGAGTATGGACCACTTCTCTTGATGCCAAAGCCCTCAAGAAGCCATAAACTTTCTTTCAGCTGTAGGATCGTGGACTGTCATTTTAAACAGCGAAGATTCATTAATAATCGAAAGCAAATCTGAATCAGTAACACCTTCTCATATAATTGGTAATGTAAAAGGATCATTCACACCTCAAGCTGGTGTGGAAATCCATAGTCGAAAACTTGACATTGAATTGTATTCAAAAGAAGCTCAAGAAGATTTGGAAAACCAAGAAGAAGTCCGCTTCAATGAAAAATCTTAATTTTGACATAAACCATATTATATTATAAATTTGCCTATTTTTTAAATACTCTCTAATTTAGCACGTGAAGATTTGAAGAGATTAGGACGCTCCAAAATAGCAAAGTGGCTGATATAAAAAATACAATAGATTATAAATAATTCTGGAAAATGGTCGAACCACCAGTCAAATGCACAAACCTCGGCTGCAATCAATCATATCTGGCAAGCGAAAATAATGACACAGCTTGCCACTATCATTTAGGCCCAGTTATTTTCCACGATATAAAAAAAGGCTATTCATGCTGCAATAGAGTTGTTTATGACTGGGACGAATTTCAACAAATTAGAGGTTGCCAAGTCGGAGCGCACTCAGACCAGAAAAAAGACACAAATTTCTATAAATCAAATACGGTAAGCAATGCAGAGCGAGCAATTCAAAAGAGAAGAAGCTGTTTAAGTTATTAGACTTATAGAGGAGTTCATTGTAAACACGACTTACAAAGGATACTCCTACCGGCAAGGGGCTTACACTTGCTCCCCTGGTAGATGGTGAGTTTTGCCACCGTGCCGCACGTCAAAAAAGGTTGTCTTATATGAAAAAAATTCAAAAATGTCGAATTTTCTGGTTAAATCTTGGCCAAAATGGAAAGCCAAAGCCAGGGAAACAGCCCTCATTGGTCATGAGGAATATCACTGGCAAGGCTTGGAGGTCTCTTTCTAGCTCTCAGCTTTATTCTCCTCTGAAGCAAAAAACTTGGCATTAGAGTAAAGCACGCGGTCAGCTAACCCGACATTGCGCTTCATCAAACCAAGAAAAATCTGGCCAAATATACATTTCCGAACTCCATTGTTCCTTCCTCAAGGTCCCTGCGCACCTTGTGGGATGCCAACTACAGAATTTAAGAGTGTGGTTCGCCATGCCATTTTAATGTATAGAAATTGCCCGATGATGGTGCTCAATGCGCCATCATCGGGCAATGTCTTTTCAGGGTCCACGCTGGAAACGGGTTCCACGTGTGGAGCCCTTTTTAACATGTGGAGAATCCTCACTTCCACGCGTCAAAAAGGGTTCCACACGTGGAATCCATTTCATGTGTGGACCCTTAAAAGGCGATGCCCGATGATGGCGCATTAAGCGCCATCATCGGGCAATCAGTATATATCAAAGAGAAGAAACCAATAAAGTAAGATCAATTGAAGATTTTGAAAAAGAAATGGAAGAAAAAAGGAGAAAAGAAGCGGAAAATAAGAAAACACAAGAAAAAATGCCTGTTATGAAAGATGGGCTTTACGTCTGTGCCAATTTTGGGTGCAATAAAAATTTTAGCTTACTTCCAATCAAAGCCTAAATATTTTTCAAAAACATAAAAAAAATTATTTTTTAAAAATAAATTATAAATAATGATGATAATAATAATAATAAATCAGTTTAATCACGCCCGAGGCGTCTTAATTTTTTTCTTTTACTAATTATCTTGATAAATTTTTTAATATGGAGATCAATTTCATCTATTTGACATCTACTTAATTTTTGTTTTCATTTTTCCTATAAATAATGATAAAGCATTAGGAGGTTAGAAGAAAATATTGAAGGAAGCTGCCATTATCATTCAAGTGGCCCTGGATTTCACGATGTAAAAAAGTTTTGGACTTGCTGCAACGCGGAAGCATGGGACTGGGACGATTTTATGAAGCTTCCAACTTGCTCAATTGGAGTTCACAAAGTTAAGTATAAGTAAAAATGATTAAAATAGCAATTATTTATCCTTAATCCCACCATCCTTAATCGAAGGTTCTATTGGAGATTTCCAGAAAATTAGAAAAATTAATTTCCATTTTTGATCGAACGATTTTTATAGGTTAAGCATGAAACACTTGCCAAATTTAACTCCCTATCTTTTATAATAATGAATCTTAGATATATTATATTATAATTGATACTACGAATTCTAATGCGATTTCTAGTATATTTTGATAATATAAATACTCTATTAGCGCATAAAACTTTTTATATTTAAAAAATTTAATATAAAATATTTCAATAATAAAAAATTATATACTTTCTTACCACTCATCCTTGATCGAAAGATGGCGTCCGTTTTCTCAAGCATATTAGGTGTTGTATTTAAATTCAGTAAATTTAATTGGTCTTTAAATACATTTGGCTTTGGGCTAGATTTCTCATAAGGGCAATTTTGGTTTTCATAGTCATTTCTATAATAATCCACATTATTTCTTGGCTTCTTATACAGTAAAACAATAATTAAGCCTGACAATAAAATCAGTCAAATATTAATTGAAATAATTTGTTTACTGCTCGGATAAGATTTACCAGTTCTTCTATAATCATAATCATAGTCCTTATTATAATTTTGTTGCTCTTCATATCTTTTTTGGTTTTTTCTTTCTTTATAGTAGTTTTTTCTATTCTGAAAGGTCTGTTTTTTGTATCAATCCCCTGAAAATGTTTGCCCTTTATCTTTGTCTCAATCTTGATTATAAAATACTTTTTAAAAATGATGAGTTGAGTTAGATCCGAGTGATTTGTGAGTTATCCCAGTCTCAGATAAGTGAATCAAATTTTTTAGGAAGTTTGGAGTTAGTTTTTAGTTTTTGCCTGGCCAGGACTCAATGATACGCTTTTTTCAAGAGATTGTTGATGTCACCATTTTTTGGCGGCGTCTACATGAAAAAGGTGTAGTGCGATGCTAGATGGCTAAGGCCGCTTGAGCGTGAAGCCTCCAGTGGGCAGGGTAGGGGCTGAAATAATCCCTCAAGACCTGCGAGAATCTAATCTAATCATAATAAAATCCTTCATTTGATCTCCATGAGTTTTGGCTTTTACTAGAAGAATACCAATAATACTGATAATTCTGCTGATCTGAGCTATTGCTTCAGTTATATGAGCTTTGCTTTCTATATTGTGATTTTGTGTCTGAATATTGAGAATATTCTGTTGATTTTTTTGGGCCAGCATCATATTGCTTCCTTGTGTTTTCGTCACTTAAAACTTCATACGCTTCTCCGATCTGCTTGAATTTTTCTTCATTTCCAGTTGCTGTATCTGGGTGATGTGTTTTGGCAAGATTTAAATAAGCCTTTCTTATTTCTGCTTTACTAGCAGTTTTAGGTATCCCAAGAACTTTGTAATAATCTTTTGAAAAGTTGATATCTGAAAAAAGTCTTCAGAGTCTGCTTTTTAATATCACTTTATGTAAGAACATTTATAATGATGAGATTTGTATATTTTTTAATATAAAAATCTCCATTATTTATAAAGAACTGATATAAAGCTAGTAAAAGATACTACAAATGAATATTATTAATTCATTTCTCTCCCAAAAAAAGCTGAAGTGTCTTGGGAATTTCTCTCTTTAAAAGACATAGAAATCGATTCCATGCTCATTTCAACGGCTTCTTGCATTCTTTCATTTAGCTCTTCTACTTCTCGATAATGTGTCTTTAAAGGATCAGGATGAATTAGACAAGGCTTAATATATTTTTCATCAATTATTTTCCAATGTCTATGTATTCAATTTTTAGGCAAAACTTCTTCTTTTGTGATATAAAGGCTTTTCCTTTTGCCAAAAACTGACATACTTAAGGACTCATCCCTAATTTCATTAGCCACAGAAACAATATCTAAGCCATCTGGCTTTATTTTCGCGACTCATAATGGCAATAAAGACCCAAAGATAACAGCAGTTGTAATAACAACACCTAAAACAGTAATTGTGATCATTTTTTTATCTTTATAGTCTAGATCCAATGCAAGAGCATATGCGACAGCTCCTCGAATAAGCCCTCCCATCCATACAATAGAAATAGCTCGCTTTGTCATGTGAAATTTGCTTTTTGTAACTATTCTAGCTGCCCACAATAGCAAAACAGTGCTTAGTAGCCTTGCTATCAATATTGAGCAGATTATAGTAAAAATATATATAAAGTCAATATGATCATTTTTATATGAAAATGCTGTCAAGCCTAAATACGAAAAAATCAAAGCTTCTGCAGCATCCCCAATAAAAGAAATTCCATTTGACGCTACAATTTTCGAAGTTTTGCCTAAATTATGGGTGACCCGGAAAAAACCCCTGATGGGTTTTTTCCGGGTATACTTTTAAATGGTGAATTTAATGGAAAAAACCCCAATGGTTTTTTTTTCCAAGCATATCTGAAAAAACCCAAGTGGTTTTTTGGTACCTATTTTCCCTGAAAAAAAACCCTTATTTTTAAAAATGATATATCAAAAGTTATCGATAATAAATAAAGAGATATCTGCAGAAATCTATAAATAAATAGTACTGGCAATGTTGAATTTAATGTATTATAGCCAAAACAAAATATAGTAAATTAATAACGTAGTATCCGATCAAATGCGTAAAAAGTACGATGTTTTTTTTGTTGTTGTAAAAACGACCTGAAAAAAAAACCCTAATAATTTTTTTAAAACTTATATGTTTGTACCGAACTCAGCATTCAAATTGTTCTAAATATACACATAAAATGTTTCTAGCCAACATTAAAATGATATTTTCTAGTTCAAAGACTTAAAACTCATAACGAGACATATTGCTTATGTAAGTCTAAAAACTAAAAAAAATGCCGGAAAAACCCTTTGACTAAAATTTTGGGTTTTTTTTTTTATGGAAAAACCCCGAAGAAATTTTTTTTAAAAAAAATTCCAGTAAAAAAACCCCCAATTGTTAATTTTCCATAGCTTTTTCCAGGAAAAAAAAACCCTAACTCCCCCCCCCCCTCCGTGAGCGAACAAAAAAATTTTGTTCGCTCACGGAGGGGGGTTAATTTTTTTTTTTTAAAAAAAAATTTATATATAAATTTTATAAAAAATATTTTTTTCGAAATTTAAAAAAATCCTAATTTGCAAAAATTGGGAAGCAAATATTAATTTAATTTGCAAAATTTATGTTTTTAAAACGCAATTTGTTTAAAATTAAACAGAATTAGCTCTAGATTTCATTATACTAATTATCACTTATATATATCAAAATTTTTTTCCATTAAAATTTTTTCTATTAAAAAAATTTTTGTTCGCTCACGGAGGGTGGGTTTTTTGGTCAAAAAATGGCGATTTTTCTAATGGTTTTGTTCGCTCACGGAGGGGGGGGGGGGGGAGTAAGTAATTTTCATGGAAGACCTAAGTAAAAATGCTATGACAGTATACAATTATGTAGCATGATTAATAATCCTGTAGCGTGATAGCTCATCCTGCAGCATGGCTGCACATCCTGTAGTGTTCCTGCTAATCCTGTATACTTATTTACTGAATAGCCCAGTAATAATTAAGCCTAGGTTGATCCAATTACTTCTTAATATATGAAAAATAAAATTGATCTCTTGATGAATGAGATAAATATAAAAATGTAAATAATAATCTTTGAATAAGAAAGCTGTGCTAATTTAAATTAGTTTCATAGTTTACCTGAGAAGTTGTGGAAGCTTAACTCCTTGAGTACATATTTATTTCCACCATAATGTATGTCAAAAATGACTTGGAAGCCATTTCTGGCTAGCGCATGAAATAAACATATTCAATTTTTATGGTTAGTATAGAAAATTCTGGTCAAAATGAAGTAAGGCGACTAGTATCAGCTAAACGCTTTATTATGGGTATTGAACTATCCATAATTGTAGCGTGATATATATGCATATGACATCGAATCGACTGCTCGAAATAAAATAAAGTAAAATTTCTGTTTAAATGTACTTAGATAAAATCTAAGTGTCTGTTGGTTTAATTTTTCCAGTCCATGTGCTCCATTTTTAATTTCGATTAATTATGAAGCTATCTGTACATGGGTATCAATCAATAATTGTAGCTTGACATGTTGCATATGACATCGCATTGACAATTGGAATCAAATTTATTAAAATTTTATGCAAATTATACTTAAATAAAAGCTAGTGTTAGTCCAGTCATTTTTTGCAGTTCGTCTGGTTCCATTTTTAATTTCGATTAATAATTAAATGCGATTAACTAACAATTATATTGCATCATGGTATTAAAATATTCATAATTGTAGCGTGATATATTGCATATGGCATCGAATCGACAGCTGGAAATCAAATTTATTAATTTTTTTTAAAATGTGCTTGATGGAACTAGTATCAGTCTGACCAAATTTAGCAGTTCATCTGGTTCCATATTTAATTTCGATTAAGTATGAAGCTGTCTGTGCATGGATATCAATCAATAATTGTAGTTTGATATATTGCATATGGCATCGCATCGACAATTGGAAATCAAATTTATTAAATTTTTTTTTTAAAATGTGTTTAGATAAAAACTAGGTGCCAGTCCGACCGAATTTTGTAGTTCGTCTGGTTCCATCTTTAATTTCGATTAAGTATGAAACTCACTGCGAATAGTTATCAACCAATAATTATAGCTTAATGCGTTACACATGACATCGCATCGACAGCTAGAAATGAAATGCATTAAAATTTTTGTTGAAATGTGCTTACTCCCCCCCCCCCCCTCCGTGAGCGAACAAAACCATTAGAAAAATCGCCATTTTTTGACCAAAAACCCACCCTCCGTGAGTGAACAAAAATTTTTTTAATAGAAAAAATTTTAATGGAAAAAAATTTTGATATATAAGTGATAATTAGTATAATGAAATCTAGAGCTAATTCTGTTTAATTTTAAACAAATTGCGTTTTTAAAACATAAATTTTGCAAATTAAAATTAATATTTGCTTCCCAATTTTTGCAAATTAGGATTTTTTTAAATTTCGAAAAAAATATTTTTTTATATAAAATTTATATATAAATTTTTTTTAAAAAAAAAATTAACCCCCCTCCGTGAGCGAACAAAATTTTTTTGTTCGCTCACGGAGGGGGGGGGGGGAGTTTAGAGGAAAACTAGGTGTCAGTCAGGTCAACTGTTGCACTTCGTCTGGTTCCATCTTTAATTTCGATTATATATGAGAATAATGAAATTAAAGATGTAACGCAATTACAGACAATGATTAATATAAATAGCCTAACGAATCTTTCTTAAGAATAAATTTCTAATATAGCTGAATAACATGTAAAGAAAAATTGAGAAGAGTTTAGCTTTGATCATTTAATAGAAAATGAGCAAAATTCAATGAATTCTATAATAGAGTATAGCAAAGACAGAAGCTCCTATTTCATTACAGAAATATCATAAATAAGCATTTGAAAACATAAGGAAAAATTTTGTTGGCCTCTTTAAAAGAAAAAAAAGGTGAACCTCAACTGCCCATCAAAGTATTTAGAATAATGGCTTAGCCATCGATTTTATTAAATTAGTTAGAATTAGTAAGAAATATTTTTATCTTATTAGATACCTTCATATTGCACATAAAGATATGTGTTAGGTTGTAAAAGCGCTACAGAAGATTCAGTTAGACCATACGATTAGTATTTGTGCTTTTATGATGCCGAATGTGCTACAGGGCGAGCGATTATGATGTTGGATGAGCTAGAGGATTAGCAGGAGCACAACAGGATGTGCTGCCATGCTGCAGAATGAGCTATAGGATTAGCAGGAACACTACAGGATGTGCAGCCATGCTGCAGGATGAGCTATCACGCTACAGGATTATTAATCATGCTACATAATTGTATACTGTCATTGCATTTTTACTCAAGTCTTCCATGAAAATTACTTAGGGTTTTTTCCTGGAAAAAAACTATAGAAAATTTATCATTTGGGTTTTTTCCTGGAATTTTTTTTTAAAAAAAAATTTCTTCGGGGTTTTTTCCATAAAAAAAAAACCCAAAATTTGGCCAAAGAGTTTTTTCCGGCATTTTTTTTTAGTTTTTAGACTTACATAAGCAATATGTCTCGTTATGAGTTTTAAGTCTTTGAACTAGAAATATCATTTTAATGTTGGCTAGAAACATTTTATGTGTATATTTAGAACAATTTGAATGCTGAGTTCGGTACAAACATATAAGTTTAAAAAAATTATTAGGGTTTTTTTTCAGGTCGTTTTTACAACAACAAAAAAAAGCATCGTACTTTTTACGCATTTGATCGGATACTACGTTATTAATTTACTTATTTTGTTTTGGCTATAATACATTAAATTCAACATTGCCAGTACTATTTATTTATAGATTTCTGCAGATATCTCTTTATTTATTATCGATAACTTTTGATATATCATTTTTAAAAATAAGGGGTTTTTTCAGGGAAAATAGGTACCAAAAAACCATTTGGGTTTTTTCAGGTATGCTTGGAAAAAAAAACCCATTGGGTTTTTTTCCAGGATTTTTCCGGGAAAAAAAAACTTTTCCATTAAATTCACCATTTAAAAGTATACCCGGAAAAAACCCATCAGGGGTTTTTTTTCGGGTCACCCCTAAATTATGCCAGGCATAATGTCCTGAGATAATTCCGCATACCATTAAAGTGACGTTTTCAGCCAATCCTAATGCCTGTGCACACATATAGCTCATAAGTGATACATATAGCTGCAGGGCTATAGACTTGCTTGGATCTTCCCTTAATATTTCAAAATTCCTTGTTAAAATGGCAGAAACTACTCCAAAAAATATTCCCAATAGAATACTAGTCACAGCGTAATATAAGAAAACCCCTAAAAACACAAAAACTTCTGACGCAGAAACACTTGTTAAACTAACCATAGGAAGTGTATGGATAAGTAAAATAGACATTGCATCGTTCATAATTGATTCTCCAAAAATAATTGAGTGTAATTTAGGTGCTTTTGATTCATTTACTAATGCCAATACACAAGCACTATCAGAAGACGCCAAAAGTGCTCCTATAGCTATAGCTTCTTTCGGCGAAAAATGATAGGTTTGGCCTTCTAAGTCTTTTAAAGCTCCTCCTAAACTAAATAAGTAAGCAGATAAACTTACAAGGATAAATTGAAATAAAGTCCCGATAATTCCAAGCAATAATATAATACCAATGTTTGCAAAAAAACGACGCCTTTTCATGTTATAGCCACTTGATAGAATTAAAAAAGGAAGCATAAAATCAAAGAAAATTTGGCTGTTAAATTTGGCTAAAGGATCGCCTATCTGTATAATAGTTACTCCGTCCATAAATAAACCAATGCAAATGCCTATAATAATGATAATGCCAGATTCATGGAAATAGTTTATCTGAATAAAAATTACTTTTCATGTTGGGATGTAAACGCTTACTCCCATTATTTTTTTTTAAAAAAATTATATTGGAATTTTGTTTTGGATTATGAAAAAATTCCATTTTTTTAGATATTGGAAATGGAAACCTATAAAATTTAAGTTCAAGAATGAAAGCTCTCTAAAATTTAATATAATTAAGAAGATATCTTGCTTTAACATTATTACTCATAAATAAAAATAATTTTTACAAATAAATGCTTATATTAAAATTGTTTTACTCTTATTTTGGATTTTTTTCAATGTTTTGCTTGCTCTTAAAGAGTAAGGGTTAGTACCATAAAAATACTTACAAGAATAGTGCAAAGGATTGATTCTACTACTAGTGCAGCCATATTTTATTAAATTAATGATTTCATAAGAAGAAAAATCTTTATTTATACCTTACACGCTATGAATTGACTTTTTTAATTATATTTTAGTAAAAATTTATGAGGTATCTATCAATAAGATATTAATAAAATTAAGTTTTTGAATTTTCTACTCTTCCGATCAAAAAAATAGTCTGGCTTTTTTTGATTCTGAGGCAAGGTTTTATCCAGTGATTTTATCAGCTATATGATAAATGAGCAAGAGCTTCAGTTTGAAGACTGTGAATTTGCTTTAAGATGAATAAATTTTTTTGTGAAAGGTCTCAACGCCAACTGCTATAAACTGAACTTTAGGTGCCTAAGCCCTAAGAATCTTAACTAATGCTCTGATTGATTGCTTGAAACACATATAGATTCCAATTTTGGAAAACTTGCATGCCAATTTTTAAAAATGCATATTCTGCCATAAGCAATTTATGCACCAGATTATAAAAACACTATACAGCCCAGAGCATCTGAAACTTAAGGATCATTCATAATAAGCCAGATAGTCACCAATGATCAATTGGCAGGAATCAAAGCTGGAAGAGATGTGGTATTTGACGCTAAAGACAGATTATCTAATCAACTAATATATGCTTATCTATATCTATTTTGGATTTTAATGAACTCTTTATTTTTCTCCACTTCTTTCGCCTCCCTTATTTTCGCTTTTTCTTTTTCAAGCTAATTTTCTCTTACTTTTTGACTCTGTTTCTTTTCAATCTCAGACTTGGCTTTCTCAAATAAAGCTTCATAGAATGGTTTTCTTGTAGAGCTGAATTTATCTTTTAGTTCTTGAAATTGGCTATTTTTTGTAGAGAAATCATTTTTCATCTATATTATGCATACACTCTGTAAGACTGACGATTTCCGTTGGATTTCTGACTCAATGCATGGGATATTTTCTTCTATTTTAAAAATTTCTGACAGTTGGTCTTCAATTTCCATTTTTCGTGTTTCATATTGAGATTTCATCAGTTCCAGCTGCTTTTCTTTGGTTTCTAGCTCGTTTTTTAGTTTATTAGTGTCACATTTAATGCTTAAGCCAAGACTTAAAGCGGTATCAAATGCTTTGTAGAGATCATTAGCATCTTGTTGCAATTTATTGGTTGCGCCACTTATAGAAATATATGAGGTTTTCTATTTTAAAATTACAAGGTTAGAAATTTCTTTTTCTTTGAAATGGATTTGCTCTTCAAGCTGGACAATTTTATTTTCCCTATTTTTTAAACACGCTTCAATTTTTTCGATTTTTTCTATATAAATTTCTGTATTTGGCTCTATCATTTTATCCTCAACATGATTTTCTATTTCTTTTAATCTTAATTCCAACCTGCTTTTTTCCCTTTTTAACTCATTTAATTTTTCTCTATTTTCATATTCCAAAGGTGCTAAATCCATGATTTTTCTTTTAGACTCTAATTCGTTCTCTTTTAGTTTGTTGATTTCTCTTTCAATTTTCGATATTTGACTCTGAATCAGTTCCACACTAAAAAATGCTTCATTAGAAATCCTATGCTGCGAGCACTATATTGGCTTGCTATGCCCCGAAATCTCCTGAGAGGCTTGAGGGATATATTTAGCCAACAAATGTCGGCGATACCAACTCCAGAAATGACAAATCTACCAGATATGATAGACTTGTCATTACCAGAGTTGGCTTTACCAATATTTGTAGGCAAAGCCAATCCCCCGACAATTCAAGATATGTGAGAAGTACAGTGAGCCAGCAGCGTGCTCACGCTATATCAATTTCTCTAGTATTTTCAAGAATTTGCTTTGAATTCTCTAGTTTTGCTTGGATTTCTTCAACCAAAGAGTCATAGTTTGGTATATTTGTGTTATTTCTCTCTGATTTTGGATTGGAAATGATTTCTTGTGCTAAAGACACACACTCTTCATATATGAAATTTAAAGTTGTCAAGTTAGATTGATACTGAAGAGCCTCATACTTGCGTCTCAATGAAGCCAAAGTCGTCTGTGAAACTGCTTGGATTCCCTGCATTTTGATTTTTGCCAATGACTGCTCAAGCTCTGATATGTTTTGATATCTGTCACTAAGTGATCTCTTCATTAAACACGCCCTTTTTATTAAATTTAATATTAAATATCCCATTTTACCCTTTTCCCCTCTTTCCACTCTCCCTCTCTCGCGACTCCTTGTGCAGTCCAATACTTACCCCTTCCATGTTGTTTGCCGTTAAACCAATATCCTTCATATTTTCTTCCATCAGGCCAATTAAAAACTCCAAACCCTTGCTTTTTGTCTTCAATATACTCCCCATCATATTTCCTCCCATCCGGCCAGGTAAAAACTCCTCTTCCATGCATTTTATTATCCTTTCACTCCCCACTATACTTCCTATCATCACTTCATTTATAAGCTCCTTTTCCATGTATATTATTATTATAAAATTCTCCTTCATAGATACTCCCATCTCCCCATCGAAATTTTCCATATCCTTGTTTTTTTCCGTAAAAATAATCTCCTTCATATTTCGCTCCATCTGGTCAAGTTTCTACCCCTTTTCCATGCTGTTTATCATTTTCTCACTTCCCGGCATATCTTGTAAGGTCAGTATGTGTATAAAGCCCGAATCCATGGGCTTTATCATTTTTTCATTCTCCTTCATACACGTCACCATCAGCGTGTATTAGCCTTCCTTTTCCATTTGCCATGTCATTTTTTCATAATCCTTCATATTTAGAACCATCATTTCATATCTGCATGCCAAAGCCATACCGTTGGTTTTTGTCGTTCCATTCACCTGTATAAATGGCTTTATTTTCAATTTCAATTGGACCTCGCTCAATCCGAGGTGTGGGGTCATCAAAAATTTCCCCTGTTGTGTAGGTGCCTAGATTTCGCTCTGCGGTCTCTACAAATTTATTATAATATTCACGAGTTTTGGATTCTGGAGCTGGCTTTAATTCTGTTCTAATAGGAGGCTTGTAAGGGATGTCTTGGAATTTTGAAAGATTGTCTGGAGATGGTTCTTTTGAATGTTCTGATTGAGATGGAAATTGGACTTGGGTTATTTGGCTGCCTTTAACAGATTTTATTTGACGTCGGGCAATGTACCCTCTGGCGATATTTTGCAATTTAATTAGGTCGGAAAGGTTCATCTTTATAGGAGATTGGGGCTTAGTTTCAGGTGTGGAAGGATGAATGTAGTCGTAGCTTGTGTCTTTTACTCCGCCAATTGGCTTTTCGATAGTAATTTGGCTTTCTTTAAACGATTCTTGTTTATAACATGAGCACTTAGCTCCCATTTTTATTTTATTGAGATTTTTATGTTAATTGCATACCGCCAAATTGGGCATATAAATATGATTATATATTTTGATAGTAAATTTGAATTAATATATTTTATAAATGAAAAACAATTTTAATATTTTAAAAAATTATTAAAAACTTTATTTAAGCATGGAAAATATTTTGGTAATTTCAAATCAAATTTAACAAAGCATGAGTATTACTATAAAGTTGCTTGCTACTATTATTCGTAATCTTAACACTTTCATTGTCTTACACTAAGATTAATAAATTTAAAAAATCATAATTATTAAGTTAGTTTTAGAATAAAAAGATACATAAATACTTTCTTCCGTCCATGAGTTAACAAAAAACTATGTTTGCTCATATATAGTAATTTTTTTATCGTAACTTAAAAATATCCCATTTCAGAATATTTTTAAAAGCAAATATTAATTTAATTTGTAAAATATATGTTAAAATTTGAGCTGTTTAAAATTAAACAAAATTAGGTCGAGATTTCATTATAATAATTACTGTTAATATCAACATATTTTTTATTAAAAAATTTTTTGTTCAGAGGGTGAAAAATAGAGTCCTTTTCCAATGGTTTTATTCGTTTGCGGGAGATTTAGCATTTACAGCCCATTATTGGGTCAATATTTTCTCAAAAGATACACTATCCTTACTAATTCCTCTAATAAATCTCCGAGAGTCTCCATTTATTATCTCAACTTGATTCCGATGCTTCTCCAAAACTATTCTTTCAAGTTCGAGCCAGCTCTCACTCCCCCCCCTTTAAATTGAAACAAAAAATTTTGTTTCAATTTAAAGGGGGGTTAAGAAAATTTTTTTATAAAAAAATTTATATATAAAAAATTTTTTCAGAGATAAAATTTTATGGTTCATTCTGTGTTTGATTTTTAATTTTAATTTCATGAAAAATTAATTCATAAATTTCTCAATCTCAAAGTGTAAACTTGCTGAAATGGTATTCTTCTAACTCTCCCATAATAATTGGACAAAATAGAGTTTAATTTCTAAATCTTATATGTTTGAAGCATATTAAATAGGGTATTAACGTATTTACATATAAAATAATGATTTTTACCTATAAAATTTTCTATTATAATAAAATTTTGTTTCAATTTAAAGGGGGGGTAATTTCCCAAAAAAAGTAGGAATTTTACCTATATTTTGTTTCAATTTAAAGGGGGGGAGTCAGTCAAAAATATGCCATAGCTTTAGAGTTTCCCCGACATTCCAAAGATATAACGGTGATCCCACTCTTACCCCTTTCTCCCCGTTTTTTTTCAGTTTTAGTTGAGATTTTATCACTTTAATACGCCTAAAACCGAATCGGTTTAGTTGAAACAAGTTCTATGAATAAAAAGATAATTGCCCAATTTTTTGATATTTTTTAAAATTGTCATTTTCTGGAATTTTGTTATATAAACATTTTTATATTGAAAACAAGATTTAAATTTTTTGTTTATATCATTGCCTTCCTTATTAAACTACTAAAATAAACATAAAATGAATTAATTTATCGAGACATTAATGCAATAAAAAGCTGGTTATTTTATACTAGTAATTATTGTACGAATATAAAATATAAGTTGGCAAACTGGTGAAATTTTGTGCATTTCCTATCGTTGGAAGTGCAGGTATTTCATTTCCTTCTAGCTGCTTTATATCATCTATATTGCATTGCTCAGTTTTTTCCACAAAATTTGCTAGTCAATTTTTTGGTCTTTCTTTTTGTATCGCTGATGAATTTTCTCCAATCTTTGATGAATATTTCTGGACCGCAATATGGATCCTCTTATGAGCGGACAGCTGACTTCCTTGTCTAAACTTCATCCCACAGCCAGATTCTAGACATTGATAAGGCTTGTCACCGGAATGGGTGAAAACATGCTCCTTTAAATTTTGCTTCGAAGACAAAACTTTATGACAAGTTGGGCACTCGTACTTTTTATCACCTTTGTGAAAAGCATCTATATGCCTGGATAAATTGAACTTGTCTAACTCCTACTTATTAACGAACTTAGGTCAAAATCCTTTAATTATGATAAAAAGTTTTAGATTTAAGATTTAAGATTTAAGATTACGATAACACTCAGTCGACCCCCACTTAGCTTAGGATCTGACACGCAAGCCCGTCCTTCCTGAATTCCATCACTGGCTAACAGCTCTGAACAACGGTAGGTGGAATTGGCCTAACCGTCAAACCGTTACAGTAGCCTATGACCTAGACAAGTCTCTCTTTCTTTCTTGACGTTGATTCAAGTTCTGTAAGAACTGCCGAAGCAGTTCCAGCGCCTATATCCTTCAGAAAGTCTGAACTTCCCTCACTAGGATGACCTTAGGGAACAAGGACCCTAATTCATGCGCTCCATTTTTAATTGTAATGATAAAAAGTAATTAATTGAATTAAATAATTATATTGAATTTAAGTCAATTACTATAGTATTAAATTGATTAATATTATTCGTTTTATGTCCACTGCTAGGTTGCCTGCTACTACAGCTACTCTAGAGAGAACTCGTGCTATCTTCCCCCAGCCCGCCAAAGAGATTACCTTGACTTTATTTCAAGGCGAAGACATCAGTCTTGAAGTTTAGGCTTCATGAATCTTCTTTGAGCTCAAGCTACCTACTTGGGTCTTTCAGGCATCCTAAAGGTCCCTGTTTTCACCGCCTAGGATAGGTGGTACTTTCTAAGGTCAGGGAAAACAATCCGGTACTTGCATTCCTGACATAGCTGGAATAAATTTACCTTGGAAATCAAACCTGATAATTAAATATACAGAGCATAAATTTTAGATCGACTAGAAAATTAGAATGACGCATATTTTAATTATATTGAATTTAAATCTCTTTATAATATAGAAATTTTAACATCTAGTTATTTAATTTTTTTTATAAAAAAATTCTAAATAAAAATAATTTCATAAATACGAATTAATAAAAATGAGCTCCTTATTAAATGAAGGGGTTGAATATTTTCTTGTGCAGCCCTCTATGGTACAAAAATAAAACAGCTTCATTTTATGATTAAAAAATATAAAGCTGGCTTGACTGAACAATTTATGCAAAGAAAATGGTAGAATAAAGGAACAAATTTATTAAGAAACAGCTGAGCAAGCAAGCTATAATTACTTATTCCCTCCTCTCTGAGTGAACAAAACCATTGGAAAATCCATATGTTTGCCCAAAAACCCAGCCTCCACAAAAATGTTTTATGAAAAAAAATTGATATATAAATGATAATTATTATAACGAAATCTCTAGCTAATTCTGTTTAATTTTAAGCAGCTTGCTTTTTAAAACATAAATTTATAAATAAAATAAATATTTGTTTTCCAATTTTTGCGAAGTGGAATTTTTTTAAATTTTCGAAAAAAATTGAACAAAATATTTTTGTTCGCTCACGAAAGGGGAGTTAGAATCTTTTCATATTTAGATGTTTAGATACCTTATAATTAGCATTTCTTATGGGAGGCGTATTTAGAAGTAAATACCATAAAAAATAAAAAATCAAAGACATAATAAGACAAAATTTATTGTTTTTTACATTAGTTAAATATCTAATACAATTAATTAATATTAATTTTGAAATTTGAAGGATTTTAATACACTCAGTTAATAGTTAAACTGGAAGAATAAAAAAAAATGTCGATACAATTAAATGCAATTTATTAGCATCCCAATCCATAAACGAGCAAAAACCACTATTTTTGGGAAAAATGCTGCGAAAAATTATTATTAAAAATATTTTATAAAACAATGCATATATTTAACTTGGCTATATAAGTGTAAATGATTTATAATAAAGCTATTAATTTTTAAACAACTTGCATTCTAAAGCATAAATTATATATATATTAAATTATTTATTTTCAATTTTTGGATTTCAAGTTTTTGGGAAAAAAAATGTACTATAATAATTAAAAAAAAAATTAATCCTACGAGCTATTTTTTTCTCTCACTGAGGAAGGTGGGTGAGGTAAGAAGTCCATTTACATAATTTTTTATAAGCATTTAGAACACCAAATTATTTAACAATTTTAACACAAATTAATTATTCTCGAATAATTTAAAAATAATTATTCATAATTATAATATTAGTGAAAATTTATAGTTTAGTAATTTTAATTTTTTTATAAATTTTTGAATCATTGCTAATCATCATTAGAAATTTAATAGATTGTTAAAAGAATCAAAAAATAGTTATTGACCTGAAGCAATATCTTTTGGCATTTCGCTCTCCTTTACTTCATCTCCTAGAGTATTTTCTGAATAATTAATTATTCTAGTTTACGATTTTCCGAATCAAGCACTTCCCCATGCTTTTTATCAACTATCCACAATAAGCTTGCAATGAGAAGCCCTATAACTCCCATGAAATAAATAAAATTGAGAATCGCATATAGTCATGCTAGCTGCTTGGCTGTCATGAATTTCTCCAACTACCATTAGTCAAAAACTCAGGCCTGCATTTTTCATTGATGCAAATACCACAAATCCTGTTCCTATTGATTTTGGTTCAACTATATATGGAATAGAAGGACAAATCACAGATACATATATAGAATACCCAAATCCTAGTAAAAAAGCCGAGCCCACCCCAAATGCACTTATCACAAGCAAGCAACGATACAAAATTATATGGACAATTATCATCAGGCATGCACAAATAAAATTAGCACAGCTCTATTTCCTATTTTATCTATTAGCCGACCTAAAATTGGGCAGAAAAGTGCAGCAATTTCTTACGTTACGCTTATTCAATATCCAGGTTCTGCTAATGACCTATTAAATCTTGTTTAAAAATAATCAATGGCAATATTATTAAAGTCAGAACTATAAAATAAATGAGTCCATTTTTCTTATTTTGTTGATTCTATTAGAATTATATAAGGCTTCAAAAACTTTATTATTTATAAATATTTTTTATTCGATTTTTGACAATTTTATTATTGCACTTTCGAATTTCTCAAAACACAGTTTATCTGTTTCTCTATTTGGATTCCTGTTAAAAAGTAATTTACAGCCAGGGTCAAATTTCTCAATAATTGGTACGCTGAGGACTCTTTTATGCAATTTTTTCTTTTTCGAGCTCAGTTTAAAATTTTCCATCGAGCTTCTCCTTTGCAACCCTAACCCTGTATCCACCCTTTGGGGAGAAAAATCAATAATTTTTCTCGCAAGTTTAGAATTCAGCAATAAAAAATTCGGGTTCATCAATTTCTTTTTTTTAGAATGATAAAAATCCTCCCTATCCAGCATTTTTTTAAAGTTCACTGTAGAAGACACCATAGTCGACTTTGGGTTATAGCTAAACCTACTAGGATGTGGAGGCCCTTTTCCGCTTGCAAACGGCGGCCGACTCAGCTGTAAATCAAATTTAATCCCACATTTTACTTTATCTTTAGGTCTTTCAGTAAGCTCATAGTTGTCACTAGTCTCATTTTGACTGTTTCTTTCAGTTAGGCTTCCTGATTGATGGTCAAGCATTGACGATTTTAATGATTCTCATTTATTTCTTGAACGATTTTTCCTTGTCTTAAATTTAGGGACTGATAATACATGTGAAGATGTAAGCTCATATGAAGGATTATACCATCCAGGATCAGGGACTACTCTAGCTCGGCTTCCTATTGACGAATATGTTTCTCTTGATACTGATGTAAACGCTGAGCTCGGCTTTGGCTGGGATTGTCTTTTTCTTCTTGTGTCTGCTTCTTGTTTTTCGGAAATTTTTTTTAAGACATCATCAAGATTTTGATTTTCGTTTGTGGAGTCTGAGCTGCGGGTATTATAAATTTTGGTGAAAAGAGAGGTGTATTGGTGAAGAGAAGCCTTCCCGATTCGGGAGTATCTTGTTTTTATTGAGCTAGATGATAATAAGCAAATTTAATATTTTTAATATAAATAAATACTGATTATACCCTTGAGATGTAGAGACATAATTAGTTTGGCGTCTTATACATTTTAAGCATTGGGGATTTTTCCAATGGTTCAATCATTATGTTTGTCATATTTTTGATATTTGCTATCACGAATTATAAAGTAACTGTTGTTTACTACAAATTAGATTTTATTCAATAATAAAAAACCCTTCATTTAAACTCAGCTACTATTTATTTTAAATAATTCTGCCTAAAATATCAAAATTTATTAATTTTAGAAGTTTATTTTTCCCTTACATAATAATTTCGCAAAAAATCAGTATTTAAATACAGTAAATTTATTGATACAGCGCTATTCCTTTAATTACCATCATCATAAATATGCTTGGTAGACTAACTAGGCGTGCTTTTGCAAGCTTCGATTATGATTTAGCAGTCATTGGCGGCGGTCCTGGTGGCTATGTTGCAGCTATAAAAGCAGCTCAGCTCGGTCTTAAAACAGCCTGCATTGAAAAAAGAGGCACTTTAGGAGGAACTTGTTTAAATGTCGGCTGCATCCCAGCAAAAGCGCTATTGAACTCTTCCCACAAATTCTACGAAGCCCAGAAACATTTCAAAGACCACGGGATTTCATTTGACAACATAAAGCTTGATTTTCCCCAAATGATGAAAAATAAAGAACAAGCAGTCTCTGGATTAACACGAGGAGTTGAAGGATTATTTAAGAAAAATGGCGTCACTTATCTTAAAGGTGCAGGAGCTTTCCAAGACCCGAATACTTTGACCATTGATAATGCAAGCCCGATAAGAGCGAAAAATATTCTTATTGCTACTGGATCTGAGCCAAGCCAAGTCCCAGGTGGAATTTTGCCAATTGACGAAAATAGAGTCCTTTCAAGTACAGGCGCTATGGCTTTGAAAGAGATACCTAAACGTATGGTTGTGATTGGAGCTGGAGTTATTGGCCTCGAATTAGGAAGCGTTTACAGCAGACTTGGTACTGAAGGGGTCAGAAAAATTAGAAAACTGTTACTTTTATAGGAAAAATCACTATAATTTTTTTAATTTTATTGGCCCACACTGAAGTCATTGTGGTAGAATTTTTAAATAGACTTGCCCCAGCGCTTGATTTAGAAGTCGCCCAAAGCTTGCAAAAAATTCTTGTGAAGCAAGGCATTAAGTTCCATTTAGGTGCAAAAGTAGTAGGAGGAGAAGCTAAACCTGATTCTGTTCATGTAAAAATTGAGCCTGCATCTCCTGATAGTAAAAACGTTCCTGACAGTATTGATTGTGACTACGTGCTTGTAGCTGTAGGAAGAAAGCCATACACTCAAGGTTTACATTTAGACTATATTGATGTATCAAGAGACAAGCAAGGCCGTGTTAATGTAAATGATCATTTACAAACTTTAAGGCATGCTCATATATACGCAATTGGAGACACTATCAGAGGGCCAATGCTTGCTCATAAAGCTGAAGAAGAAGGCGTTTTTGTGGCTGAACATATATAACTGCATTAATGTATATTTAATAAATATTTATATTATTATAAAATATTTTACTAATATAGTTAAGAATAGCTGGCCAAGGTGGCCACGTAAATTATGACGCAATCCCTGGTGTCGTATACACACACCCTGAAGTAGCTCAAGTCGGCAAAACTGAAGAAGAATTAAAAGCTAGCAATGTTCCTTATACTAAAGGAACTTTTCCATTCATGGCTAATTCAAGAGCAAGAGCTAACCAAGAGATGGACGGATTTGTTAAAGCTTTAGCCATAAATAAAATGGCATTCGGTTCGAGAGAAATTGGCTCTGCCAATTTTCTCTCTCCCTCATGGAATTTTATTTATGGGGTTGGGTTTTCTCTCGAGAACTTCTGCACAGCAATAGTCGTTTAACTTTGGGGATAACCAAAGGCACGACTCCTCAGTGCACTCAAGATTTCGGAGTTTTACCTCTCAGCACGTCCCCACGGGAGGATGACCCTTAGGCGGAACACGCGCAGGAGCTGAGTCTGGACGAGCGACGGCAACGCGCCGGGTGAGATGTGCGGCGATTTATCTGGCGACTAGCCTCATAGAAGGCTTGGGTGTGGGCTGACCACATATTCCAAGATGGCTTGGTGACGTCACTAGTTGTCGCTTTGACCCTTTTTCATTAAGGGGTGTGGGCACTAGACACCTTAAAAACTATGTAACTAAGTAAGTAAGTTAAAGCTTTAGCCCATAAAGAAACCAACCAGCTATTAGGACTCCATATCATTGGGCCAGACGCTGGAGAAATCATCATGGAAGGAGTTGTTGGGATCGAATACGGAGCAGCTGCAGAAGACATTGCAAGGACCTGTCATGGACATCCTGGGTTTTCAGAAGCAATTAAAGAAGCTTGTTTAGCAACTTTTTCTAAAACTATAAACTTTTAACCAGTAGATTTATGTTAAATATGAAAATCTTGAGCAAATTTCTAATGAATTTAACAGTTAGAATTAACGTTAAATTGGAAAAAATACTCTGGTGAACTCATTGAAAAATAAAAAAATGTAAAAGAGATAGTTTTCGACGAGCTAGAGCTTAATAGGGCTGATAAGTAAATTTATGGTGGTTAAATAGATAATGTCAGTTATTCGGAATATTTGAATAGCGAAATAATAAAATTAACGATGAAAGATCCAAGTTTCTCTCTTTCACAGGAGCATTCTGACAATGAAGAGCTGGTTTACCTAATTCCCCCCTCCGTGAGTCCATTAGAAAATCCCTATGTTTTCAAAAAAAGCAACCTTCTGAGTGAACAAAAATTTTTTATGAAAAAAATTTGATATATAAGTGATAACTAATATAATGAAATATCTAGCTAATTGAATAAATTGCATTTTAAAACATAAACTTTGCAAATTAAATTAATATTTAATTAAATCTCGAAAAAAAAAATTACTATAAATTTATATAAATTTAAAACAAAATTAAAACCTCTCCATAAATGAACAAAGATTTTCTGTTCGCTTACAGAAGGGGGAGTAAGAAAAATCATAGGTTTGCGCTTGGTACATGTTCTATTTGTGTTTGGTGAAGCCTGCCTCTTTTTCTTTATAGACGAAGTCTATGAGTTCTCAGAATCAAAACTTTACTTAGCATTGCTTTTTAAAGCTTCACTTGTCCCGATCGCAATTATTCTCTTTAAAGTTGAAGCTATCGGCAAAAGCTTAATTTTGTCTGCTATATTTGGAATTCTTTTTACACTTGGGCTAGGAGCAATGCTGGGGTCACTTTTTTCATTGTTTTTTGAACAATGGACAGGATTTATAGTGTTAACCTCATATGTGACCGTTAATTTTGCAGTTTTTTTATCTGTGACAGTAGAAAGAAAAACATATAAAGTGCCTAAAGCCCTTTTTTGGATATTAGGGATAACAATTGTCAACATAACTGCTCAGATATTTATATTCCATGCAGAGCATTTAGCCTTACTAATCGTTGCAGTTATGTTTGCAGGGTTTGGCGTTTTCTCAGTTGTCCATTCAAAGATGATTGCACAAGGAAAATTTAGGGTGATTCCGAGAGAAAGATATGTATTAGGAGCATTATGTGTTTACGTTGACTTTTTCATGTTGAAATTCGTAATTATACAGAAATGCTGTAACAAAAGAAAAGAGGAGGACGAAGCGAAATTAGTAAAAGATTAATCAACTATAATCAATTTTTATTAACTCCCCGCCCATCCTTGATCGAACGATTGACTGTAAAAATTACTAAAATTGGGAAAATTAACCCCCATCCTTGATCGAACGATTTTCATATCATGCAAATTTTATATATATATAAAAAATATATTAATAATCAAAAGCTTGGGAAGATGTACATAATGAAGTTGTTTTCAGAGACTTTGAAACGACAGAAAGCTACGGAATCAACCATCCGAAGTGATTTTTAGTCATCTTAAATACTCAATAATCTAAAAAATAGAGATTCTTTAAAATTTAAAATTTTTAATTCAATAAGGAACAAATTAAAATTTATACAGTTTAAAGGGTAACTAATAAATCAAAATATTAAAAATTGGTATTTTATGAAATTAAATCAATTTTTTGCTGTGAAAATAATTATTAAATACTCTTAACCCTCTTATTTAAAAGTAAATAAAAAAAAATACATATATATTTTTTATTTTATATATAAAATTTTTTTTTAAACCCATCGATGGCGAGCAGTTCGATCAAGAATGGGGGGAATAAGATAATTAATTTAAATAAGCATTAAGATCGATTTCACAGAAATATTAAAGGAATCATCATAAGCATATGTAATAAACATAATTAGTTTATTATAAACTGCGAATTTTCAATCATTCTCAAAAATCCCAATCATTAATTTAAATATCAAAACTAATGTGTATTCGTCTGTCAAAATTCTTATTCTTAAGTCAAATAAAGCAGCTATATTAAAGAATCCACTTTTCTCATATAATGATAAACTAATGATGTTTGTCTATAAGTGTTAGTTACTTATTATTTCTTTTTCTTTTCCTCGATTATGAAAGTCTTGCATCTCTTGATAACTTTTAGCCTTCTGACTTTTGATTTGGTGCACTCAAGTCTGAGAACGACTTTCTTTGTAGTTTTGGCTTTCTTTCTGAAAATAGGCTTGGTCTGACCACCGTAACCTTTTTGCTTGGCATCGTATCTTCTTCTGCCTTGAGCTAAGCTGGATTCTTTCCCTTTCTTGTATTGGGTGACTTTGTGGACTGTGTGGGTCTTCAGCTTAGGACAATATGTCCTAATGGTTTTCGGCATCTTCACCATTTTCGCCACTAATTATTATGTTCCTAACATCTTTTGATCTAGCTATGAGATTTGAGCTCTTGGGTTTTATTTTATTTTTAAAACTTATTTTAATAGAACAAAAGAGGCCGGGCTTTTAAATTTATTATTTTTGAAAAAATTAATACTTTAATTATATAACGATAATTCTAAAAAGGCACTTTATTCAAATTTTTATATCAAATGAAAATAATTATCTTTAGTCAACGCATTAATTTTATTTCTGTGTTTTAACTCCCCCCCATTTAATAGCAAAACCGTCATTTTTTTCCTAAAAATTTTTTCTTAGGCCCCATTTAATAACGAACAAAATTTACTATAAAATTATATAAGCTAATTTAATCTCTATAGCTTACTAATTTTAAGTAGTTAGAGTAAGATAAGGACAAGTATAATCGAGCAAAGAATAATAAATAAGAGCTAATAAGCTATTAGTGGCTTAATCTTAAGCTGGCTCTTACTCCCCCTCTCCGTGAGCGAATAAAAAAATTTTCGTTCGCTCACGGAGGGGGTTTATTTTTTTTTATAAAACAATTTATATATAAAATTTTATAGAAATTTTTTTTTTTCGAAATTTTAAAAAGAATCCTAATTCGCAGAAATCGGGAAGCAAATATTAATTTAATTTATAAAATTTATGTTTTAAAAACGCAGTTTATTTAAAATTTAAACAGAATTAGCCAGAGATTTCATTATAATAATTTACCGTTTATATATCAAAATCTTTTCCATAAAAAATTTTTCGAAGTTTTAAAAACAAAACACTAATTTGCAAAAATTGGGAAGCAAATATTAATTTAATTTATAAAATTTCTGTTTTAAAACGCAATTTGTTTAAAATTAAACAGAATTAGCCAGAGATTTCATTATAATAATTATCGCTTATATATCAGAATTTTTTTCCATAAAAAATTTTTTGCTCGCTCATAGAAGGTGAGGGATTTTTTTAATGATTTTATTAGCTCACGGAGGAGGGGGGAGTTAGCAATTTCTATATCTTTTCGCCTGCATTTAGGCGATTTCTCTTTCTGTTGTCATCATTTGACTCCTTTTATTATTAACCCTTTTATTGAAATTTTTATATAAAAATCATAGATATTTAATATAAATTTTATATATTTTTTTTCCCAAAATTTTTATAAGTTAGACCCCATTTAATAACGAACAAAAAAAATGTTCGTTATTAAATGGGGGGGGGAGAGTAAGTTAATTTTTACAATTTTTTCCTTTAAATTTATTATATCATTAACACTTAAATTATAAACACAATAAAAATATTGTATAGCTGAGCCATCAGGAGGCTCAGACTATATGAGTCTTTCATATATAAATTCTAATATGAACTATTATTGGCAGATAGCATAATAATTAGAAGACATCATATCCCCTTATATGTTAATAGCAAAATGGAGATAATGGAAATCTCACCCTTTATATTTGTCCCAACAACTTCTTCAAACCTCCAAACAGAAATTATTTCTGATGTCACTCTTGACAATTTTCACAGTAATCCTTACCTAGTTCTCTACCCTCAGCCTAGCAGTTTCCTCACAGCTCTTATTCAGCAAGTAATCCAAATGGACCCCTCCCTTCAATCCTCCTCATTTATGCCTCTTTCCTACCTAACCAGCAAAGAGCATCTTTCAAACTACTCTACCTCTCAATTAATTTCAGCCTGCCTTGATATCCCTTTTCTGTCTCCTCTATATACCAATAATGGCTTAATCTTCAAATTTTACGTCCAAAAATCGCCTCGCACAACCCCAGTCAAACTAGCTGAGCTTTTTGAAGAAGAAATGGGCTACGTTGTTGGAGAAGTCATTGATTTTGTCAGAAATTCTTCAGGAAAAAAGAAAAAAAATGATAGGATAGGCGAAGATTTGTATGTTAAAAGGAAAGATGGGTTTGAAAAAGTTTATAAAAATAATTCCGATTACTATATGCAAAAAGTGCAAGAAAGGCAAATTCACTATAAAAGATGTGAAAGATTAAAAATGGGTTATCATAAAAAAATACCTAATTATTGTAATTTTTCATATAAAAGTAACTGTAATTTGCCATTTGACAGCAGCCATTAAAAAACACAAAGCGATAATTACTACACACCAATATCTAGAAAAACAAAAGTCAATGAGTATTTTAAATTCTCAGCCAAAAGCCAAAACTCAGACGAGCGAAAAATCTCCTCTGACAAGTCTGCAAAATCTGAAGGCAAAACGCCTCAAGATTCCACCCCAAGTCCAGTGCAAAATTTATCCAAGAAATTTTCCAACATAATTTTACAAGAAATTACAAATATTCCATTAGGTACACAAAAAATCGGTAGAAGGTTAATTAACTAGTGCATTTTTGATGTAATTATAAGTTATACTCTTTTATATAATCCTCGTAAAAAGTGCGAAGATGAAACACGTGCCTATTTACAGCTCTGACATCTTCTACCTTAGATAATGCTTCTAAATAGTCAATTAAATTGAAAAGTTCTTTATCATGCTTATTGTTGTGTCAAGAAATTATAGGGATTCCATTATCAAGCTGATACCCAAAAGCGTAGACTGAGTTGTCAACTATGACTGTGTCTTTTAATTTCCTATTAAAAATCCTAACTCCCCCCCTCCGTGAGTGAACAAAACCATTAGAAAAATCCCTATTTTTTTGCCCAAAAACCCACCCTCCGAGAGTGAACAAAAATTTTTTAAGGAAAAAAAAATTGATATATAAGTGATAATTAGTATAATGAAATCTCGAGCTAATTCTGTTTAATTTTAAACGAATTGCTTTTTAAAACATAAATTTTATAAATAAATTAATATTTGATTTCCAATTTTTGCGAATTAAGATTTTTTTAAATTTCGAAAAAAATATTTTCTATAAATTTATATATAAATTGTTTTAAAAAAAAAAAAATTAACCCCCCTAGTGAGTGAACAAAATTTTTTTGTTCACTCACGGAGGGGGGGAGTAAGGTCTTTTATTAGTGCTTTTCCGACCTCAAGACAATTTTCTCTGTAAAATCGGTGGTGAATTAGTTCGTTATTGGGGTCTAAAAAGTCTAAAACGACATCAGCATAGCAGCGATGTGAGGCAGTAAACACAAATATTTCTGAGTGCTTATTAGCAGCTTTTAAACATTCTATAGCATAAGGTCGAATATTAATGCCGATATCTATAGACTCGCCAGACGGCAAAGTAATAGGCAAAATAGCATCAGAATTTTCAAAATTGTCACTACAGTGGACTAAGGTCTCGTCTAAGTCAAAAATGACTGTTTTTGTGGTTTCATAGCCTTTTCTTCGAGGGATTATCAGTTGTTTTTCTTTAATCATCTTTAAATCTGCAGGAGGGAACATTTGAACTAAATGGAGGCCTTGAAATGTATTGAATAAGTGCTCTTTGTATCATAATTCATTGGTTATTTGGTCAAGCAGAGGTCGAAACCAGACACCCCCCCACCCCTAAAAATGGTACCCCCACCCCCTCTTTCACAGATGGCACCCCACCCCCCTCAAAAAATAAAGGTATTATCCTATAGAAGTAATTGATAGGAAACAAGCAAAATAATTTAAATATAATCCAATTAAAACACTATATTGATAAATTAAGTCCATAAATTACTTTAATATTTATGATTAATTAATAAATTTAAATTAATTAACAATTAATTAGAAAATATATTAAATTTGTGTGTTTTATATTTATAAATATAATGCCAAAGATATAGATAATGGCATTAATTATTAAATTAGCCAAGCACAATACAATAAGTTGCATTAAATTTATTGATTCATAATCTGATGCCCATTGTACAAGGATTGCAGGACTGAATTGGCAACAGGATTCAATAGTGCTATAAAAATAGTATTTTCAATTGTCAGTTTTACTTTTGGATCTCTAATTCGACTCTTTACCCATTGCTACATAAAGTTCATAAATATATGCAGGATATACTGCTAATTAATACCAAAGATCTTTATTATGCTTGCTAACAAATTTTTTCATATGTAGTGTGCTTACTCCCCCCCCCCCCCTCCGTGAGCGAACAAAACCATTAGAAAAAATCGCTATTTTTTGACCAAAAACCCACCCTCCGTGAGTGAACAAAAATTTTTTTAATAGAAAAAATTTTAATGGAAAAAAATTTTGATATATAAGTGATAATTAGTATAATGAAATCTAGAGCTAATTCTGTTTAATTTTAAACAAATTGCGTTTTAAAACATAAATTTTGCAAATTAAATTAATATTTGCTTCCCAATTTTTTGCAAATTAGGATTTTTTTAAATTTCGAAAAAAATATTTTTTATAAAATTTTATATATAAATTGTTTTTAAAAAAAAAAATTAACCCCCCTCCGTGAGCGAACAAAATTTTTTTTGTTCGCTCACGGAGGGGGGGGGGAGTTAGTAGTTATAGGAAGTTCTCATCGATTCTGCTACGCTATGTGGATATTGTATAAATCAGTAATTTTGAATATTTAAAATAATAATTCATTTATCACGCTGATCTAAATTTGCATTTGCCATATATTTATGCTATGTTAAGGGGGGTGGGGTGCCATTAAAAGGGGGGGTGGGGGGGGTACCACTTTTAGGGGGTAGGGGTGTCTGGTTGCGACCTGTGCTTGACTAGTTATTTCAATTTCGTCTTCATCGGATTGGTTAGCTTCATATGGCTGGCTTGATTTAAGTTGTGTGATAACGCTGCTTAAATTTGGAGACGAGCCTGTTTCAGGGACTTTTTCAGTTTTCTGAGTTTTGTTGAGACCTTGAGACATTTTTTTAAATGTCGAGCTGCTGATAAGTCGGGGCTTTAGTTTCTTTTTTATTAAGTTGATTCTGGGTTTCAGCAAATTTTTAGCTGATACGGACTTTATTGGAAGAGGGGTTTTGTTGAGATCGGCATTTCTTGTTGTTGCTGGGAATCGAAATGATTTTAATGTACCTATAGGTGTACTGCTTGTAGAATGGCTAATTTTTGCCTTACTTCCCCCCTGTGAGCGAATAAAAATGTTTTAAATATAAAATTTTTTATGAAAAATAATTATTATAACGAAAATCTCTAGCAAATTCTGATTAATTTTTAGGCAGCTTGAGCTTTAAAATATAAATTTCGCAAATTAAATTAATTTTTACTTCTCAATTTTTACAAATTTTTTTAAAATTTTGAAGAAAAAAAATTAACCCCTTCCTTGAGTGTTGACGGGGGAGGGGAGTTAGCAGAGGGAGGATGAGAACTTTTTGGTGTTTTGCTCATGGCTTTAGGCCTTGAAAAGCCAATAAGTCTATGAGAAGGGGATCTCTTGGACACTTTGCAGCTTTGAACTTTTGGAGATTCGGGCAAAGAATCGTCTGTTTCAGGTAATTCAATTGTAAGCTTAGATAATTTTTGTGGTTTGTTTTTGAGGCCTAAAGAAAAGTATTTTGGAGTGTTATGAACTTGCATATTACTGATTTAGGATTTATTATAATAAAAAATGGCATTCGGTTCGAGTGAAATTAGCTCTGCTAATTTTCTCTCCCTCAAGCAATTTTATTTATGGAATTAGGTTTTCTTCTGAGAACTTCTGTACAGCAATAGGAATTTAACTCTGGCAGATAAGCCGAGGCACTGCTCCAAGTGCATCAAGAGGCTCGAAGTTTTACCTCTCAGCACACCCGAGGAAGGTGACCTTAGGCGGAACACGCGCAGGAGCTGAGTCTAGGAGCGCGAGGCGAACGCAGCCCATCGAAGCCGGAACATCGTATTTACCCGTGCCTTGTGTGTAACGAAGTGGATCAGTCCAGAGGTCTATGGGCCTGACACGTGGATAAATATGGTGGCAGCCCTGGAGTAACGGCTACCCCGTAGTGGACGTTAAACGATATAGATAATAATGTAATGTAATGATTTAGGATTTATTAAAACTCTTTTTATCTCTGACATGCTTGATTTCTCCTCCATTCTGGTGTATGAAGTCAAAAAGCTAAAAAATAAATAATATTGAGATTTAATGCTAAAAAATTAAAATTATATTTATTGAGGAGATATCCCGATATTTAAAATCAGGTTTTTATAAGAAATATATAAAATAAAACAATAAAGCTTAAGGCTGATATAGTTTGATCTTGATGCTTATCTTTCGATCACAGCATAAATAGCCATAGATATTGTAAAAACAGATTAAAACATTTCTGATATTTAAGCTGACTTCTTATTTTTAATTGTTTTTGTATATAAATTTTTGAGCAAATATTAGGGGAATTTTTTGATATTAAACTCAATGTATTTTATTAACAATTTATATAAGCGCACCAATTCTAATAGGAATTTTCTAGTATGTGCGGGATTTCTATGAAAATGTTTCTTTCTGTTATAAATTTTTTAATTAAAAAGCAGAATTTAGTAAATCAGAAATAAAAGTAAATTAATTTGTGTGCATATATTCATATGATAAAAACTCTCACAGTCACAATCCTAATAGATTAATTGTTCTATGAACGCAAATTATATTTTTTGAATTAATAATTAATCTTATTTTATACTTAAAATAAATTTATCATGATTATTAGTTATAACTTAAATAATGACGATATCATCACAAATAACCCAATAACTAAATTTACTAGCCCTAAATTCTTTTTATATATGATACCGATCTACATTTCTTTTTCTATAATTAAAGTTCACGCCCATCTTCCTATAACTATTTTTGAGACCTTTTCTAAATCCTGCCTATTTTATAACCATTTCCCTCCATATAATTTCCTTTTTGCAAATCGTTTCCCCAAAAGTCTCTTTTTTTGCTTAGTCCTCCCCATCCTTGATCGAACGGCTCAAGGATGGGGTTAAAAAAAATTGTTTTGGGAAAAAAATTTATATATATAAAATAAAAAATATATATATATGCATTTTTTTATTTAATTTTAAATAAGAGGATTAAGAGTTTTAATAATTATTTTTACAGCAAAAGATTGAATTAATTTCATAAAAATATAATTTTTAATATTTTAATTTATTAGTACCCCTATAAATTTTAATTTGTTTCTTATTGAATTAAAATTTTGTTTTTTAAATTTTAAAGAATCTCTATTTTATTAGATTATTGAGTTTTAGCCTAGGTTGATGACTAAATCACTTCGGATGGTTGATTCCGTAGCTTTCTGTCGTCTCAAAGTCTCTGAAAACAACTTCATTATGTACATCTTCCCAAGCTTTTGATAACTAATATATTTTTTATATATATAAAAATTTGCATGATATGAAAATCGTTCGATCAAGGATGGGGGTTAATTTTCCCAATTTTTAATAATTTTTGCAGTCAATCGTTCGATCAAGGATGGGGGGAGTTAGTTTTTTCTTTTACCCCTTTGTATTAAAACTACAATTTATTTCTTTTGTTTTTCTTCTTCGCAATCTGGAGTATTCTTTCAGTCCAATAAAAAATGGATTCCGACTCACTCACTTCAACAAGCTCTTCTCTTTGTGATGCGCTCTCTTCTCTAGCTTTATCTCAAAATGATCAGAGCAAAGATTTCGCATCAATTCCAAGCGATCTTGATGATACCTTACTTTCAAAAGGGAAGATAGAAAAGGGTACCTTGCTCAACAATGGGCGATATGAAGTTATATGCTCAATTGGCAAAGGCGCATTCGGAAAAGTCGTCAAAGCACTCGATTATTCTACCAAACAAGCAGTCGCCATCAAAATTATCCGAAATGAGCCTCTATTCCAGTCCCAAGCCAAAAGTGAAATTGAAATTCTTGGTTTTTTAAGAGAAGTAGACCAAGAAGAAGGTTTTTTTGTAAAAATGCTGGACACTTTTATTTGAAGAGGTGTCACATGTATCGTGTTTGAGTATTTAGCCAAAGACTTCTACCAGCTTTTAAAAGAAACTAATTTCCAAGGCTTCCCTCTTGAGACAATTAGAATTTTCGCGTGGCAGCTGCTATAGGGGTTTTCCTTATATGGCCCGATAAGGGCCGTGGGTTCTCCGTGGAATCCCTCTGTTGGTCAGACCAACTCAGTGCGTTGGTTTGACCAATTCACTAGTTGGTTCAGCCAGCAGAGGGATTCCAAGGAGAACCCACGGCCCTTATCGGGCTATATAGGGAAAACACCTATAACTGGCTTAAGCTTGCTAGCACTTCCGAATATGCGAGTTATACATAGTGATTTAAAACCAGAAAATATTATGCTGAAAACAGTTGACAAGGCTGGAATAAAAATTATTGACTTTGGAAGTTCTTATAAAGGCGCAGAAGCTCAGTTTAAATGTGCACAAAGCAGGTATTACAGAGCCCCTGAGGTGCTATTGGGACTCCCTTATAATAATCAAATTGACATGTGGAGCTTAGGCTGCATTTTGATAGAAATGCATACTGGAAGACCATTATTCCCGGGCTGTAATAGTTATGACCAAATGCAGAGGATTGTGAATTTGAGGGGATTCCCTAATAAAAATATGATCAGAAACAGCCAAAAGGCAGCCCAGTATTTTAATATCGGGGAAAAAATTACAATGCTGGAGCCTTATAAGCCGAAAAGTTCGAAACCAAAGTCAATTGGAGAGTTTATAGAAAAATACGGGATATGACAGGAGGACTATATAAGTAATCAATATTTCATTGACTTAATTGATAAAATGCTGCAACTTGAGCCGAATAAACGAATCACAGCACAAGAAGCGCTGAGACATCCATTCTTTTTTACTATGTACCCGACTTTAGTAAAGACTGTAATATTATCACCTAAAAATTCCTCGAAGTCAGTATTCCCAGACTCTGAGTTTTCTTCACCTTTTTCCAAGAAATCAACTGCACCATCTTCAAATTATTCACAGGATGAGGGCATGATGTAAATTATGGCTAATGTATTAACTTCCTATACCTAAGCAAGTGAAACCATTGGTAAATCCTACATTTTGGAAAAATACTGTTAATGAGCAAAATTTATTAGCAATGAAATAAATCTCTAGGAAATTCTTATTGAATTTTGATTCTAGATAAATTTGATTAATTGTTTTCTAAACTTTGACAATTAGGAGTAAGTAATTTTCTGAATATAATTTTAATTAACTATTTTTAATAAATATTTAAATAGCCATTTTCGATAACTTTAAATTAAAAATGCAAATTAATCTATTTTAAATTCAAATAATGGAAGTGATACAAACTGAAATCTCACGTCGCCACAACTCTCCTGTGACAGATTTAAAAGTAAATAAGCAGCTTGACGAAAATAAAGAAAACTCAGACTCTTCTCTGACTGTATCAAGAAGCCTAAGCCAGTCTTTATACATAACGAGCGATTGCCAAAAATCAAGCTTTATAGACCTAATGCCTTCTGCTTCTACGTGCAGTTCTTCTTTGAAACCTGAGAACATAAATAAACAAAAATTAAGCCAAGACCTCTCTAGTGCAAAAAAATCAAGAAAATCATCAAGCCAAACATTATTTAAATCTCAGTTTTGAAAGCTCCCTGATAGTGCTCAAAAGCAAAATATTCACCCAAAAAGCTCGTTATCGACTATAGCTGAATCTCCCCTGCAAGAATTATCAGAAAATTCGCTTGAAATTATCAACACACCAGCCAAGGTTGAGCTGCATTTTGGGGAATATTCCACAATATCACAGAAATCTATATATATCACGCCATCACAGACTCCTCAAATTAATGATTTGGCTAATTCTCAATGAAATTCTAAAGATCTGTCTATTATTAATGAAGTAGAAAATTCGTCGTCTGAGCTAAACCGTGGATTTATATTATCGTCTCAGCAATCAATATGGTCTCATTCTGAGAAAAAGAGATGCTTGACAAGGACAAAGTATAATGATAGAGATATGGAGCTATTGAAGATAAATCTTTCTGACAAAATCAATAAAACAGAAGAGTTTTCTCAATCAGTCGAAGTTTCGAGAAATTTGGCAAATGCAATTGAGGTTGTGTTTTCTCAAGATTCTTTGCCATTTCAAAGCCAAAATTTGAAAAGAAAGGTTGCTACAGACTCACAACTTGAGAGTCCTTGCAAGAGATTTAAGGAATAAAAATAATTAGTATATAATCAATGGATAATAAATTTTAGCATACTTAAAAAAAGGCCGATTTCGGGGAGACAAAATTGGCAAAAGTGGAAGTCAAAAACGGCAAAATTTTCAAAAAATCTAAAAATTACAAGCACAATTAAAAATAGCAAAAATTGTAAATTTGCGGAAATAATTGTCAAGATCGCAAAATTTTACAACTTTTTAACCGCTTTTTTGAAAATTTTGCCGTTTTTTGAATTACTTCACAACTTTTTGCGATCCCCAAAATAGGTGTCCAAAAAAAACCTAAAACAGGTTATTTTAAAAAGGCGAATATTTGTCAAAAATCGCCTAATATAACAATGCATCTCTTAAATCCAAGAAAAATCCATCTTAAATTTGATTTTTTTAAATGTCAAAACGAATCTCCCATAAAGGTCCAGAACCTCTCACACCACGCACTTCTTATTCAAACAAACTCGAAATCGAGGAAGAGCTTTTGCTAGACCTGACTATGAATTTTGATCCTTTTACTATAAGTTCTTTAAAAATAGAATTTGAGAGCAGAAATGGAGAGCTGAAACTAGAAGAGTTCGTTGTTATAATAAGAAACTATTTAAAACACTGAAAACCGACTTTACAAAACAGAGATAAAGTTATAGTAAAGCTACTATTGCAACTTTCAAGAGATATTGATATGAATGGAAACGGTAGATTAGATTGGGATGAATTTATGGGTCTATAAATTAGTCAAAATTGAATTCTTTATTTCCTGCCTAATAGCACAATTTTTTTTATAGACATAGCATTTTTAAAAAAACTATTAAAGTTTTTTTAAAACTGAGAAAATTGATAATTAAATTTACGAATTACATAATAGAAAAAGCTACAACACTGAATGCAATGAAAAAAACAAGGGTCGATTCCATAAAAAACTACTCTTTAAGTTCTGTAAAGCCTGCTTACAACTCTGAAGGAATTATTGAAAAGTTAATAAACCTAGAAGCTTTAGACAGAATTGGAGTAATTGAAGATTATTCAAATATCGTGAAATTTTACCACCCAGAGACAGGACAAGTAATGGGCAGAGATTTACAGGTAAAAAATGAAGAATCACAATATATAGGTGGAGAAAAGGACGGTATACCATATAGAGGACCTAAAAAAGCTATAGTCCATAACGCCATTTTTTTACCTGAGCCAGAATACCAATTTTTACTTACAAGCTGCAATGATGGAACCATCAGGACTTGGTGTTCAAATGGGTCCAATTTTCATTCCCTCAACTATAAGGGCGGATACCCAATTCTTTATGCAAAAAGTCCCCAAAGAAGCATGGCCTGAAACAGCAGCCACGGAATTTTATATTCCGGAGACAATACCGGGGCTATAAACATATGAAATTTTGAAGAAAAAAAGAGAAATGAGCCTATAAAAGTGTTAAAAGAAGGCCATGAAGATATGGTCACAGACTTAATAGCAGTCCCCAAGCTTGAATTTTTGTTTTCTTGCTCACAAGACCGCAGAGTGATTCTTTGAGATATGATTTCTGCAACACCTCGAAGGATTTATGGGAGCCATACAAAAGGTGTGCTAAATCTTGCATTTAATTCTGAATATCGACTATTGTTTTCAGCTGGTTTTGATCATGATATTTATGTATGAAATCCATATATAGACACTGTTGCATTTAAAATAGAAGGCCACAATTCTTCATTAGTAGGAGTTAAAGTTTTGCCAGACAGTCCACAGGTGATATCTGCTGATATAGATGGCTGGGTAAAGGTATGGGATATTCGAAACCTCAGCTGTGTACAAACTTTTAATTTAGAAGAAAAACAGTCAGGCACCCGTTTTTCTTTATCCTATTTTTAATGAATTATTTTTTATTATATAAGCTATATAAATATTCAATGGAAATTTAGATATCAGATTTTACCTTCCTAAAAAAACAAGAAAGGATCGTTTTCGGTGGGAAAGGACTCGCTTTTTATGACTATGATAAAAATCTAAACCCAAATTTCGTGGACGACGGTATGCCTCTAGCTTCATTTTACACCCCAAACTACTACAAATTTATTACCCCTATCACAAATAAAGTCAAAGTTTGGAACGCCTTCACAGGAAAGCCTGAAAACATGTACGCAGCATCAGCCGAAAGCGAAATCTCTTGTGTAGAAATTGATGGGTGAGAAAAAAGAGTTTTTATTGGGGATATAAAAGGCCACACAAGTGTATACAATATAAAAAACGGTGCATTAATGAAGCAGCTCACAGACCACAAAGGAGAAGTCAACTGTATAGCGAGCTCAGAAAAAGCTCAATATATAGCGACTGGATCATTAGATATGACAATTGTGATACATGAAGACAAATCATTAAGCGACTCAGTTGTGCTGCAAACTATTGATAACTTAGGGTGCGTAATACCAGTTATCAAGTTTGCGTATTATTTAGAAATTTTAATTATTGGGACTAGTGAAGGGGTAATTCATATTTGGGATACTGAAGACGCAACTTATGCAGGCCAGCCAATGGTGCATCAAGGAGAGCTCACAGTAATACAAGTTATTGATAGAATGCCGCTTATTATTGCTTGTGATTCTCTTGGAGAAGTTATCTTGTGGGCACTACACCCTCTACCGTATAAATATTTCAAAATATTTTCCTATACAAATAGAGATCTTGATGGAATTACTTCTGTGGTCCAATTAAACTTAAACGATTAAATTGGCATAAGTGGGCAAGCCCACTAGCCTTTGCTTAGTGTTGGCTCCAAAATAACAGCCTTCATCACAAAGGTCACCATTTAGATTTTCAAATCTGAACCACCAGTCCAAGGGATCACCTCCTCAGGATAGAGTCACCGCCTGTAGAGTGCTCCGATGATCCCGACAAGGAAAGACTATATGGTAGACAAAATTGGTCTAGCCTACATGGCATGGACAGGAAAACCTTCGGAGAGCAACAAAACTTCCTAAAGGCAAGGCATCCCTAAGCCTGAAGGCCTACTTCAAAAAGGACAGAACCCTATTTTCAGCTTCATCAGGATGAACCCTGCCTGTTCCGTAGGAGTGCGCCTCAGAGACCAATTTCCATCAAAATCACACCATTTTATTTCTCCTGTGGTCCAAGGGATTTCTTATTTATTGCCTAAACATATACTATTTACAGGTGATGACCGAGGAAATTTTCAAGCCCTCTCATTTAAAGGAATAATTGATATCCTTGATATCGAGCCATTATCTACTGATGGAAGGGAAAACAAAATGATGTCATTGGTAAATAAATCTATATTGGCAGCCCCAGATATCCCTAATGATACGCTTGTAGTCTTATTTTCAATAAAACTTCATACAGAGTGTATTAGACATGTATTTTTAATCAGAGAAAATGAGACCATTATTACTACAAGCTATGATAAAACTGCGAAAATTATTTCAGCTGAAGATGGAAGGGTAGTTGGGTGCTTGCAACAAGGAATGGGGACTATTAAAAACAAAGTCCTTTCTAAAAAAGAGCTGGAACACCACGTCCCTTGGCATTTTTATTTAGATGTTAATAAATTTATTAAAAGAGATGAAGAAGAATTCAAAGAAATTTATGAAAAGTTACAAAAAAAAGAAAAAGTGGTAGGACAAGTAACTTTTGAAGATCCGAGGGTTTATGAAGAAGCGAGGAACTTCATAACTCCACAAAATGCAGTGAAACTTAGCAGCGATTTTGACTATGATCATGGGAATCATCAATTTAGCATAACAAGCCCAAGAGTAGCTGCACTAGCAACAAAGAAAAAAGAAGATATATGCCAATCTATAGTAAATAATGACTAATTTATTATATTCACTATGGACCAATACTAATAAACAAGAGAAATATTTATTCATTAAAACTGGGTATAACCAAACAATATACTGTAAAAAATGCAAAAAATGGGCTCATGACTTTTGACTTGTTGCTTCATAAAGTCAGTAAGGTAGAAAAGCAGAAAGAGCTTGCAAAAATGCAAAGACAAGGAACTCTAGCTAGAAGAAAAAAGCAAAAAAACAGCAGCGTGGATTGGACTGAAGCTCCTACAATAAGTAGCAAAGGAAGAATCCCTTCACTGCCTTCTCTTTCCCGCATGTATCGGGAAAATGACGTCCCATTCAAAAAGAAAATTAACCACGCAGCTTTAAAGTCAGCTGCAGACCTCGCCAAAGCGCTAGGTGAGCCTTTCTTTTAGCTTGTTAATATAAATTAAGAGTTAATGTCATATCGCCGCAATATCGATTTGCATATGCCTTTTCAAACTGACGATCTAATAGAATCGTCTTATAGCTATACCGATAGAAAATACGATTCTTCCAAAAGTCACGAAAGCTCAAAATTTGAGTTAATGAAACAAGACTTATCAAAAGCAACTGAAGCAATATCATCACTTCGAAAAGAAAGAGACGCACTCAGAGAAGCCTTAAAAACCAGTTTTTCAGAAAAAGACTACATAGAAAAACATCTGCGTGAAAGATTGCAAAGCTTTGAAGCAGAAATTATTAATGGGCGAAAAGCAATTAGACTAACTGAAGAATTAAAAGTCAAAAGTGAGGCTTTACAAGAAGAACTTAAAAAATTGAAAAAAATGAATCATGAGAAAAGCAAGATACTAAATGAACAGGAAAGCAGGATCAGAGAGCTGACAGAAGCTTTAAAAATGCAGGTAAATGGATGGGAGCAGTTGCAAGCTGCTAATCAAGCATTGAGAAAAGAATTAGTGAGCAGTAATTATGTAAAAGAAGCTGAAAGGAAATTTGAAGATGAATCATTAGGGGTGTTAGGTAAAATTATGCAGTACGTAAATTATATAATTGAAAAAGTGCATCATTCTCCAAGTGTGTACACTATGTTTAAATCAAGAGTAACTTGTTCTAAAAAATTACGAGAGGCAATAGAAAAACAAGAATTCCCTGATGTGCTGCTAAAAATGATGAAATTTATTGTGGATTTGATAAATTATTATGGGATAAGAAAAAATTCCCCTTTAAGGAATTTTCATCATGCAAAGATTTCTAAGATAGAAAGATCGAAAGAAGAAGCCACGAATACTCTTTATGACTGTGATTCTTATTATATAAATTCTCCTCGAGCAAGAGCTGCATCTTTAGATCAGAATAAACAAATATCAGATAAATTTATTCAGACCCAAACTGACAGAACTTTTAATACCTTAATAAGCAGCCACTACCCTTCTTTAGCTGAAAAATATGAACCTTCTTTTAAAGATGAAGATGAATATTCAAAACTTATTGGGGAAAGCCAACAATTATTATCAGTTTTAGACAAACAAAACTCAAGGCTTGCTTTATTGAACCAGCAAATTTCGACTGCAGTGACTCATAGTCCGAAAGAAACTATTGAGACTGAAGATTTCTCATATGATCCTCCTTTGTCAAGCAGAGGAAAATGGGATAAAAATAAGCCTGCAATAAAAGAGGATAGACTGAAGAGAAGAAAAAATAATGAGTAATGATATAGCGTCTGTGTACCGCTATAGATTGCCTTTGAGGGGGCTCTCCGCAGCAACTTGGAGCTCTGACAAGCCCCTCCTTTTGCAAGGATTTGTCAACTTGGAGCTGACTCGTCACCTTTAGGTGGCTCGTCAGAACTCCAAGCTGCTGAGAGAACCCTCGCAAAGGCAATCTATAGCGGTACAAACGCCATAATACAGCAAAAGTTTAAGCCGCAGCAAATCTCCAGAATCACAACGTCTGCCAAGTAGATTTGAAGAATATGTGATACCTAATTTAAAGAAAACTGAGCGATGGGATGGGGTCGCTGATTTCTTTTCTTCTTATTCTGACCCGAAAAGTCCTCGAAATCTTACAAGTCCAGGGTCACCTAACTCCCCCCCCCCTCCGTGAGTGAACAAAAAAAATTTTTGTTCACTCACGGAGGGGGGTTAATTTTTTTTTTTTAAAAAATTTTTATATATAAATTTTATAAAACATTTTTTTTTTTCGAAATTTTAAAAAATCCTAAATTCGCAAAAATTGAAAGCAAATATTAATTTAATTTATAAAATTTATGTTTTAAAACGCAATTTGTTTAAAATTAAACAGAATTAGCTCTAGATTTCATTATGCTAATTATCACTTATATATCAAAATTTTTTCCCATAAAAAATTTTTCTATTATAAACATTTTTGTTCACTCACGGAGGGTGGGTTTTTGGGCAAAAAATGCCGATTTTTCTAATGGTTTTGTTCACTCACGGAGGGGGGGGGAGTAAATAATAATTTAATTAGATATAATTACAAGAAAAATCATTTAAGCTTCTGAATCTTCTTGAATATCAAGGATAAATTCTCCATATTTTTTCATCTCTTTTTCGCAAAAATCTTGATAACTATTAGGAATTTTCCCCTCTTTATATTTAAGCCTTTTTACCCAATTTTTCAAAAACATATTATAATCCTCAATAAATTCATCATGAAGCTCGTTCATGTCAAGGTATTTTGAGTCATCTGGGCTTTTATTTTCTGGGTAATAAGATAGATGTCTTCCTGGAGAGTCAGTTTCTTTTGACAAGCTTGAATTCGTGATACTCAGCTCTTTCTGTGTATTTGTTTTTCTTTTTGTTTTACTTCTTCTATACCCTTTTTGCATTCATGGATAATTTTTTACTGCTTCTGCTGATATTCTTGTCAATAAATTAGTACTCAGCAGCTGTTCGATTATATATCTAGCTTGAAGAGATAAAGTGCTGTATTTTTCTAATTCTTTTAAATAGCTTGCTATATCTTTTATCTCTTTGATTTCTTCTTCATTTTTATCTTTAAATGGAGATTCTCCAGTTAAAAGCATATACATTACAACTCCACAGTTCCATTCATCACTTTTTTCATGATATCCGCTACTTTTGAAATCAGGAGCAATAAAAGGCAGCTCTCCAGAAAATTCAAGAGGAGGTTCTTGGCCTTTTATATAGGCGTCTTCAAAATTGCATAGTTTTACTGATAAATTATCACTATTGATATAAATATTTTTCAAATTTATATTCCTATGGACCACTTTTTTAGCGTGAATATAAGCTACAGAAGAAAATAGCTGTCTCATGATATAGGAGGTTTCTAGCTCGCTGTAAATCTTATTCTGTGATTGTAAAGACTCCATGTCTTTAAGATATTCATAAACGATGCCAACACGGGTGTTATCTTCTATAACTCCTAGGCATTTTTGGATATTAGGGTGAGATAGCATGTTTAATATTTTTGACTCCCTCAGCTCTTTAGAAGTATTTTTAAATAAAAATTTTTCGGTAAGTTTTTCTTTTGGGATCATCTTAATAAGCCTACTTTGATCACTAGAGATATGCCGAGCCTTAAGAATCTGATAATCTTGGTAATTTTCAATTACTTGGAATTTTTCATAATCAGATGTAACTGTCCCAAATTTTGTGTCCTCAGAAGAAACTGCATTTTTATTCTTTTTCTTTTCAGGAATTGGGTTTTTGGTAATTTCGTTTTCAAGAGAAGCTGATGCACGTATGCTATCAACTGTTTTTGCAGGTTTTCCGCATCCCATTGATTATAATTTATTTATTCTGGTCCCATACTTACACAATTCCATTTTTATCAGGTTAAAAGCTTGAAGAAATTTTTATACGTAGCCTTTTCTTCTCATTAAAATCGAAGGAATGCTCTGTGTGTCTTATCTAATAGTAAATTTATTTTATAAGGAATAATTAGTCCTACCACTTTAATGGCAAATTCTAAATTGTATATTTTTGGTATTGTTTCTTAATAGAAAAAAGAATTTAAATAAATAACTATTTTCTTTTTTTACACGATTATATAAAGTAGTTTTTAATAACTTGAATGGGACATGAAGATAATGAAGAAATCTATAAGCCAGCTACGCTGCCGATTTATTGATTCTTAGCTTTAAGTTTATAAAATATGTCAGCACATATAAAAGAAGCAATCTTAATTGCTGGAGGATTCGGAAGTTTATATTCTCTCTTTAGATACGCTAAGAAAACGTTTCAGGGCTTCGACAGTGTGATAGATTTCGAATGTAGAAGAGAATTCAATGATTTCATACAAGAAAGGTCTGTATTAAGTTTGGTTCATATTAAAGCATGCATTGAAAATGAAAGAGCTGAAGGTGCCTTTTACTCTCCATATTTACCAAGCCCAGTCAAGCGTTTAAGATAAACGAATTGAGCTTAATATTTTTATTGATTATTCTTCACGAATTTAATTTACTTATAAAAACAATCCCATAGGCTTGATTAGTTCTTTTTAGGACTCTAAGGTAACAATAAGCTCCAGATTTACGATTTATTAATTTTATCAATTTAACTAGAAGCAATTAACTTGGAAAATCTTAGAAATAATCGTCTTTTCCTAAAAAATTAAATGGAACCTGAAGTTTCTTTCATTATAAACCCAGAACGAGAAACACTAGATGATATTGGAGTCGGTCGAAACGAGCTTGTTTTAAAATGCACAGATGGGCTATATAAAGGACGATTTTTTTATGTAAATACTTCAGTAATTTTTATTCAGTCAAGAGGCGAAATCATTGGTTCAGGCAAACCAGAGCAGCATGATGTCACAACTTATATAGAAAATGCCAATTTATCATTAAGACACGCTAAAATCCAGTTTTTAAAAGAATCTTCTCTATATTTACTTTCTGACTTGCACTCAGATACCGGCACCTGAATTAAAGTGCGAGAAACCTTGCTACCCGGAGAGCCAATAAGCATAGACTCCCTCTATAAAATTGGAAATATAATTTTCAGCATCCGTGAAGGCGAAGAAGTTTCTTTACAAAGCTGCATTATTTCTCTATTAAAGCTAGAAAACACAACTATTCCTCCATACAACTCAATAGAAGAGCTATTTGAGATAAATATAGAGTCGCTTCAAATTTCTCCAGAACAAAAAATCCAGTTAACCACTAGTTTATATGAAGCTAAAAAACTTCCCCGATTTTTAAAATCCTTGGTTTTTCATTGTGATAGTTTTGAATTTCAAGCCCATTATTTAGATGTGACTATAGGTAGCGATAAAAATTGTGATGTTGTTATACCAAATTTAGCCCCGCTACAAGCTAGAATTTCATATAGAAAACCATGGCATTTTTTGATAAATGAAAATGAAGGGACTCATGAAGTATACAGAAAACTAGAAGATGACGAAGAACTGCCATTATTTTCAGGGTATTTTATAAAAATTGGGTCATTAGAATTTGAAGCTTCAAGATTTAATGTAGGACGATGATCGGCACAAGGAAATCGGCCACAAATGGAAGATACAGACGTGATTTGCCATAATTTGTTTATATTTGAAGAGTTGCCATTAGCGTATTATGCAGTTTATGATGGGCATGGCGGACATTTATGCTCAGAATTTTTAAAGGAGCATCTTCATTATGAAATAAGGCAGAGACTAATAGATAGACATGAAAGGACTAGAGATGTGATGAATACGCTTACTCCCTCAGCAAAAAATATTGGAAAATCATATTTTTTAACAGTGAGCTAAACTTTTTTATATGAAATTTGATAAATTTTATACTCTAAATAAATTTTTATTCTTAATTAGGATTTTTCAAATTCACTCAAAATAAGTGCACCTCGATAGGCAAGGAAAAATTTTGCTCCCACTGAGAGTTAGAGATACCATAATTGAGTCATTTTCTATTGTAGATCAAAAATTTTATGAAAAATACCCCGAAACTTCTCATAGTGTTGGCTCTGCATGCGTAGCTTGCGTCATCATGGGTGATCGTATAATTACTATAAACTTACTCCCCCCCCTCCGTGAGTGAACAAAAAAATTTTGTTCGCTCACTTAATTTGTTTTTTTTAAAAAATTTTATATATAAATTTTATTAAAATTTTTTTTTCTCGAAATTTAAAAAAAATCCTAATTCGAAAAAATTTGAAAGCAAATATTAAATTAATTTATAAAATTTTTTTTAAAAAAGCAATTCGTTTAAAATTAAACAGAATCAGCTCTAGATTTCACTTATATATCAAATTTTTTTTCCATAAAAAATTTTTCTATTAAAAAAATTTTTGTTTCACTCACGGAGGGTGGGTTTTTTGGGGCAAAAAATAGCGATTTTCTAATGGTTTTGCTCACTCACGGAGGGGGGGGAGTTAGGAGATTCCAGAGCTGTTTTGTGTAGAAATGGTAGAGCAATTAATCTATCAAATGACCACAAGCCTGATAACCCAATAGAGCACGAAAGAATTAAAAAATTTGGAGGAAAAGTAACACTTGGCCGCCTTCAATCTCGGCTAGCAGTTTCTCGAGCTTTTGGCGATTTTGAATATAAATTAATTACTACAGATGGCGACCCAGATCAATTGCACGGCCCACTTGTTTCGATTGAGCCTGATATTTCTCAAATCTTTATTAATCCTCAAGAAGACGAATTTTTATTAATTGCTTGTGACGGGCTATTTGATGCTTATACAAGCCAAGTAGCTGTTAATATAATAAGAGAAAAACTGATTGAGATGCCAGTGACTGAGCAAGATCCTAACAGAGTTGTAAGAGAGCTTGTAAATGAAGCAATTTTCCAAAACCGAACAAATGATAATGTGACAGCAATTTTGGTGAATCTTAACTGTGGTATACTCTATACAAAATTTTTAGCATTTCAGACTATTTTGTTTTAAAAAAATAAATATTTTCTTGGCTTTAGCATGCTAAAACTATTTTAATATGGCTTCACATTTAGCAATATGCCTCAGATATCATATAAGCTCAAGATAATTTAATAATAATTCATTTGAAAATAAATTTAAGTATAAATATGCAAGAAGCAGTTTATAGGATAGGAGAGGATTATAAGGTACCATAAACATAGTGCAGAAGTATATGCCCAGTTAAATATAATACAGAACTCAATCAATTTTTAGTCGGAACGCAAAGCTTGAAAGCTATTAATAAGGTAATTTTGCTGACCTATGATGATGATAGAACTGCAGTAGAGCAAACAGTAGCTTATGAGCATCCAAGTGAAATTTGGATCATCAATACAAATCATCAACATCCTAATAAAGCAGCTATAGCAAACGGGAATAATGAGCTTGAACTTGTTCAATTTGCAGAGTCAAACTTAGAAGTCCTACAAGAAGTCAAAATGAATTCAAGAATAAACTCTCTGAACTGGACAGACACTGGGATTATTGTGTCAACCTCCACATCTATGGTTTCTTATGATCTCTCTTCATTTTCAACAAATTTTTCTTATGATCTTCCATCAATTACTACAAGTCGCAATGATCCTCACCATTCTTCTTTATTTGCGATCGCTACATATCCAGCTTGCTTACATATATATGATAATAGAGAAAAGAACATAAAATACTATACTTTATTATTTTGATTAAAAATTCGCTGGCAAGACATTTTTGTATTAAGATAATAGGACAAAGCACACCCAAAGGTTTAGGCACTTATATTAGGTATACATTCCTAATGCACACGGAGACAAAATTCTTGACATCGATTTCAACCCAAATAATCCATATCACCTGGCAACTTGTTCAAAAGACACCACTGTTCGGCTTTGGGACATGAGAAAACAAGAAAACTGTTTGAAAATCTTACAAGAGCATTCCCATTGGGTTTGGCAAGTAAAATTCAATAATTATCATGACCAGCTACTCCTTACTTCTAGCTCTGATAATACAGTAGGACTTCACAGAATTGTGTCAGGAAGCTCAGCTCCAGTAGACGAAAGTTTTTTTGAAAGAGAAAACGACGAAATGTTAAGCAAAATTGAAGAATTCGACGACTCTGTGTATAGCATATGCTGGAGTGCCGCCGAAGCATGGTTTTTCGCTAGTGCTAGCTATGATGGGAAAATCTGTGTAAACGCAGTCCCTAATGAAGAAAAATATAAAATATTACTATAATTAGTCTATCAAAGTAGCTTGAAAAAGGGTTTTCCCAGCCTTAAACACCATTTTATCATGGATCTCAAAATCTTCTTCCACAAAAATCCAGGTCCCATTTGTGGAATTTTTCCCTCCATCTCCATCCATCAGCATCCACCCTTTTTCATTATCATGCTGTATTTTGCACTGGTACCTTGACATATTAAAATCGTCAAATCTTATCCTGCAGTCTACCATTCTTCCTATTAATACAGCTGGGTCTTCTTTACTAAAAGTATAAGTTTCTCCTTGCTTTGGCCCTTCTAAAAATTTAAGGACAATACTATCCTCTGTGGGGTCTAAAAATTGGATTGCCATATGGGATTCCCCAAAAGAGATTATGTAATTTTCTTTCAGCTTCAAAGGATTGTCAATTCTTACAAAAGTTCCGGTGCCTTGTCCAAGATCTTTGATGCTGTATTTTTTAACTGTAGGGTTAAATGTAATTACTAGATGCATTTTCCCCATTCCTTTTTCTTCTTCAAGGATTGCAAGATCGTTTAAAACGCCTGTGGAATCTTCTAAAGCAGATCCTATATAGGTATGAGAGTCTTGCTTTTTGCGCAGAGAATTAATACAACCTCCAGCATTGATATTGATGACGGTTCCTGGAGTTGACCCAAGACTTTCGAGAATTTGTATGTTAAATTTATTTATTTTTTTTTTTAATTTAAAATGGTAATTTTTGTTTGTTTTTAAAAATTTTTTTATGTTTAATTTAGGAGAATCTGCAATTTCTTTTTCGGATAAAACGAGGTTGGCAGAGTTTTCGTCACCTGAAAAAGAGCCATTGAGGTTTTGAAGACTTTGATCAAAACTTCGAAGGTGTTTATTTTGGCTATCTGTAGGAATTGCATGCTGGAGAGATGGCTCTTCTTGGTCTTTGGAATCTTGGCAGCAACACTGTGTGAAAATTACCAATAAAAATTTGAAATGCATTATTTTTGGTTTTAAATAGGATTGTGATATCAGATAATAAGAAAATGGAAAATAAAAGCTAGTGAAAACTATGCTAATATATTTATAGTAAATTTATAGTTATTTTATTAAATTAGAGCTAGTTTAGCTATATTAAAGATTTTATTATTATAAGTGGAAAAGCATATGGCTATAAGGTAACTTATTTTTATTGTTCAATTGAAAATGCTTATTAATCGGAGATTGAAGCATTTTTTTATTGTGGCATTTCCTCTGGGATCTGTGGTCTTGAGGAAAATATTAAAATTCAATATTTTTCACGAGGACAAAAATTTCGACCAAAATGTCTCTATATGAAAATATTCCGATAAAAAAATTTTTTCAACCTCATTAATAGAATAGATTTCTACTAAAAATGTAGCATAAATCGTTTAATATAATAAATGTGCTATTATTTCTTATTTATCTTACTAATATCTAGGGTGATTCAGTGTTAAATAATGGATCAGGATGTGTGCTTTGACTTATTACATGCAAAATATTGGTTTCCGCATGAAATAGGGCACTATCAGAAATTTCATATTTTTTCGTTACTGGCTGATGAGAAATCTGTGATGCGTTTACCTGTGAAGAAAACTCGAATTTGAATAGTATACCAATATCATATCCACTTTTAGAAAATAAAAGGCTAGGATAATATATTAACTGTATATAAAATGCAATTACAATAATCAATATTCATCCTACAATTAATAGACAAATTCATAAAATGTCGCTGATATTTGGGAAAATCCAATACAATGTTGAAATGACTGCGCTGAAAACTACACAAATTAGAGAGGCCTGATTCCAGAGATTTGCCCTGGAGTAGTTATAAGATTTGAATATAAATGAATAAGCTATATAAATGCTTAAAAGGGATATGTATAAAGCACTATGCAAAGCATTGTATTTTCTACAAGTAGAATTAAATGCGATTGCTAAAATCTGGATAATGCTTTCGGCTATCAAAAAATGCTTATTACAGTAAATATTTTTCTCACGAATGAAAGATTCATGATAAGGTCTTAAAATTGGCTCTGGAAATTTGTAGTGCGGCATCACATAGGGGAAATATATTCGAATCATTTTTGATGGTGAGACATTTGACCGAAAAAAACCGTTAAATTTTAGCCAAATAGGTACACTATTTAAAAATTTTCGAACAAAAGTACTTCAGTGAAATGCGCACTATCAAAAATGCACTATAGTTGGACCTTCACCCCTTAAAAATTATAGTCATTGGGATAAAAATGGTCAGCGCTATTCCTGAAATAAATACAAACGCTAAATGCCAATCTTGTCAGCAAAAAGATTTGCAATCTCCGTATAAAAACGTATCATATAAGTTAGAGCCAATGCCCTTTTGGCATTCATACAGCCAAAAAAGTGAATTAATGACAGGGATAAAACATATAGTGTTAATATATGCCAATGATTCTCTTCCAAATTGGCAAATTAATGAAGTATAGCAAGATTTAATTTTTAAATCAATTTCATATCCGGATAATAAATTTAGAGACAGAGTAGCTAAACAAGAACGACTTATTACGAATATGTGCAAACAGACTTTTAGGAAAATTTGTGGAAACAATTCATGATTTAATTTTCAATCTATTTTAAATATTTTTTCAAGGAAAATATAATTAAAAATTTTTTGAGAATTAAAATATAGGTAATAAAATGGGTTAAGATCAGCTTAAAAAAATAGGTAAAAAATATGTCGATAAAATGCTAAAAAGGCGGAAATAAATATCAATATATATCTTTTGTAGTCAATCAAGCAAAGTAACCCTAAACAAGTTGCCAATGCTAAATATATCACTGGCCAAAACATTTCACTTTGATAAATCTCAGTTTCTGATAGACTTCCTGATATAAAATTAAACCCATATGAGATTTTCCAATAAAACCAGGTTAAATCAGGGCCTAAAGCTAATAACTGAAAGCTTTGGGCTATAATTGAAACATATGTAAGCCAATCTCTAATATTTATTTCTCTTCTCCCATTGATATCAGGAAACGACTGCTTTCAAAATTTCTTTAAATAAATAGCAGAAATTATCAAAGCAAAAATGGTCCAAAAATAAACAAACAAGTAATAAAGTATTTCTCCCGTTTGAAAATTTTGAATTAATCTGCTATTAAATGGACAATCCAATGGGTCAATTCTTATATCACTAGGAGCTTGGATTTGATTATTAGGTCAAATAATGTTTTCCTGGAAATAAAATGGGGGGTTTCTAGACACAGAGTAAGAACCAACTAGAAAGTCTTCCCAAATCCCTGTAGTGGCGTTATATAAAAAGTTATAAATTCCTATTATCATTTCGTCAGGCTCATTCATTTCAGGAGACATTGGAAGTTTTCCAGTGCAAGCAGTAATTTTTTGTTTTCTGATTGATTTAAGAAGAGTATCCCTGTCTGTGTAATCCCCTCCAAACTGGATTAAATAATTTATGGCATTAACTGCAAGTCATCCAGAGTTGAATGAGTGACATTGATAAGTCACAGGGGGTGCATGCCATTGGTCCACAACTTGGTTATAGGCGATTTTTCCTAAATCTCCTAATCATTCAGCTTGAAAAAATGAAAGAGAGCCATAAAATAACTCTAACCCTGTGATTAGCAAAAATCTTTGGCTCGCTCATGGAGGGAGACTTGTTTTTATTTTAGAAAAAATAATATGAAAATATTTTGATATCTAAATATAGTTTTATTAATTTTTTGACAAATTGCTTTTTACTATAATGTATTTGTAAACTGGATTTTCAATAAAAAACAATTAATATGATATTTTCCAATGATTTTGCTTGCTCATGAGGAGAGGGTAGTAAGCATTTTGTTATAACAGATTGTTCTAAACCAGTAGCATACTTAGTAAATCACGCAGTTGTTTGATAAAATAAAAATATAGCATCTCCAGCTCTTAATCCTAAATCATAAAAATGAGAAGCCAAATCCCCCACTTTTAAAGTGGAACAAAACTCCATTTCTCTTAAAATTTAGCCTCTTTAAATTGAAAAAAAAAAATTATAGAAATTTCCCATAGATGGCACTGTTTGCCCTTGATTTGCCCACTGAAAATTTTTTTTGGGTTTGACCAAACCATATGGTACTGGTCGAACCAAAAAATTTTTTCAGTGAGCAAATCAAGGGCAAACTGCGCCATTTAAGGGAAATTTCTATATATTTAAAGGTAAAATAATCATTATATATCAATTTAATTGTTCAAAAATTAAAAGTTGTTTTATTTTAAATAGGAATGTAAAAAAATACTGTTTATGTAAAATGCACTTTGAAACAATAAATTTCATAATTTAATGATCGAGCAAAAATGCAATATAATGTTTTTATCAAAAATAAATAAACTCCTTTCAACCGAATTTTTTGTTCAAATTTTTAAATGGGGAAGGGTTAAATAAAAAATGGCTTAAAAGATCTTCCTGCACAAAAAGAGCTATTATTTGGAGCGTTTTTTAGACAGCAAAAATTTTTGCATGAAAATAGGAAAAATTTGTAAAAATTTTTTGCAAAAATTTTTGCTATTAAGATTCATACTCCCTATTATCCTACCTTTGGTATTTATTGCATGAGCTATATTGTCTTTGTACTCTTCAAAGTCCTCATTGGAATAACTTGCTTTTACCATTCTTTTATTTTCATCATTTAATACTTTTACTCCAGTCTTATTCGCTACACCCATAAAGGTCTTATAAAGAGTTTTCCCTAATGTGGTATTTTCATACATCACAACCACATGTTTCCACCTAAAAATCCCCATCATATGCGCCATAGTGCTAGTATGCACTTCAAATCCTTTGACAACTCGTGTGAAGTGAGGATACTTTTCTTTATCATTTAATTCTGAAGAAGTACAAAAGTCTGCAATTAATGGTATTTGTAGTCCCATTTCTTGGAAATCATTCATTGTTCCTATACATACATCATCATGTATTGACGGGATAAAAAGTACTCCAAATTCATGTTTTTGCTTTAAAAAGCAATTGAATGAAAAATCATAATTATAATATTCAGCACTACAGTCCGTATGATGAAGGACTAAATCAAAGTTTTTTATAAAATTTGTTTGGCTTGCATATTTAAGTGCGCTTAAAGTTCCTACACGGACTACATCTGTACCATGATGTATTGACCCATCAAAGTTTCGAGATCCATCAGAAATGGAAATTTTTATCCTAATCTTGACGCTATAAAATTTAAAAAAATAGAATTAATAAGTCCATTAAGATATATAATGCATTGCCTAAATTTCTTATTTAGGCTAGCATTTTAAATTTTCTCCAACATTTGGGAAAATTTTCACATGTAGAAATTTTTTCAAACGTTGGAGAAAATTTTCACATGTGAATTCTCTGTGTTTTCACATGTGAAAATTTTCTCCAAATTTTGGAAAAAATTTAAAATGCTAGCCTAAGTAAGAAATTTAGACTACGCATTATAATATTATAAGATGAGAGTTAGAATTAGCAGAATCAGGAATTCGAAGAGTGTGACCTGGAAAAATTGGTTGAGTAAACATTTCAACTTTTCCATTATGAATTGCACCAATGATGATTCTTTGCCCATCTTGAATGTTCACAATTGAGAAATTAAACTTTGGAATGCTTTCTTTTTTATCCTTAAAATTTGCACTTTCAGAAAGAAGATTTTGAAGCATGTTTAAGACCGAATTAGCTTCATATTCATCATAGCTTTCAACATACTCTAAGCCTTCTTGTACAATGACAATCAGCCCATCTTGATTAGACCCTCATATTCCTTTACTTCACACTATTACCCCTGAATTTTCTCCATATATTTTATTTCTGACTAATGAGTTCACTAGTTTATTAGCCCCAAATCCTTCATTTAAAACAACAAAATTATTTATTCCTGTTGGTTTTACTTCTCTTCCAATAAAATAATCAGTCACATTAGCACTATTATCATTGGAGAAGCAAAATTCATATTTTTTATCTGGGTCTTCTGACAAAAATTTTTTGGTTTTTATTGACTGCTTGGACTCGCTGTATATTAAAATATACCTTTGCAAGTCCAAATATGCTAAAAAACTATTTAAAGCTTCATAATGAGCATATTCTGGTAGGAGAGAAAAATTAGTTAGCTTGTCTGCCCTTTTAGATGACTCTCCTATGATTATGTGAATAAATTCAAATACTTTTGCTGCTTTAATTAGTTTAGTCTGCAGCAAAAGATTATAAGTAGCATCAACTATGATATCAGAATTATTCACAAAATCTTCGATAGAGATTTCATTGTTTAGTTGCATCATATTGACCTCTAAAGATTCATTATAATAATGTTTTAGAGTTCTGGATAATGATAAGAGTAGAGATTGGCTGGTTTCTTGGCTGAATGCTATGTCTAATCTTGAAAAAGCTAGAATTATTTGAATTAAAAGCAGCAGAATAAGCATAATACAATTATTTTAAAATGTGAAAATAGTGATGAATAAATTGCCATAATTTTTTTGGCACTGGACAGATTTTGGATAAAATATAACTTGCTCTAGATATTGGAACAAAATATAGGCAAAATTTTATTTTTAAGTAATCAATCCCCTTTAAATTAGAGCAAATTTTTTTTCAAGAAATTTTATAGGGAAAAATAGGTTTGACTGAATTTAATCGAAAATGTGCAAGTAAATGCTGACACGCTAAATTAATTAATATGTTATATTAATTCTTAATAAAAAATATATTAAAATTCAATAATATTGTGTCAATTTATATTTTTTTAATTTTTTAAAAATAGGCTCTTGTGGAAAATTTTTTTAACAAAGAAATTAGCTCCCTTTAAATTCAGACATACAGATTAAATGGCAAAACATGTCAGGCTGCTCTCCCGGCACAATAATCCCGCGGCGAACTGAGACGGACTCCAAGCCATGAATCAAGCGCAGGCTCAAAAAATGTCTATCAGAGAATGCTTTGGCTGCTTTTCTCTAGTTGAAAATTGAGGCTCCCAGCAAAGTCCTTTGAATCCGAGGGCCTATAGGTATTCTTCTAATGAGAAACTGGAATGCCGGCCTTGCCATAGTCTTGTATAGAGGTTTCTCTATATAGCGCTGAAAGCGCAGACATTTTCCCAGGAGCTTTCCAAGTTCGTCGGACCAAATCGCTTTTTGGTCCGACCAAGGCATTGATTTGGTGCAGCCAACCAATAAATTCCGATCAGAATTTATCGGCCTTACAGCGCCAAACATAGGAAACTTCTATAGCTGTCGAAGAAAAGCACTTAGACACCTGACAGACTTCAAGGATTCTTGGGATCAAGCTGCTCAATCGCCCGGAGCAGGGCTGCAGAAATCTATAAGCCGCAGACTCAAGGCTGAAGTCATAAGGCGAGGAGGAGACAGAAGGAACTTAAAAAACAGCATCCATTATTGGTGATAAGCCCTCTGGGCTGGAGTCGAAAAGCGGTTAACCTCCTATATGGGATGTCTTTGGTGACTGTGCCACCAATATAGCTCGCGCATGACTTTTAATAGCCTACCATAACGCTTTAAATTAAGACATTTTTTTTCACTTTAAAGTGGGAGTGTAATACTAATATAAAATATTCTTAATTATAATTTATCCAATAATTTAAAATTATATATTTAATTTTTTTGATGAATCTTAAAAAATATGCGCCTATTATTGGGAGGTTTTTTTTTCTAGCTAAACAAGCGTGTTTAATATTTTTATTATAATTTAATAGAATTAATTAATTAAAAAAATAATAATAAGATAATACTCCAAAAAACCTCAAAAACAATCCAAAAAAAAGTAACCACTAAAAAAGCAATAACCTTGCTAATTTCTGTAAATTAAAAATATTGATCTAGACATACTAAACCCTCCATTTCTCCTATTAGATTTTTCTAGCATGTTTTAGATCTTATTTTTTAGACTTCCAAATGCCAGACTACAGACATACTAAAAATTCAGCCATTATAAAAATCCTATAAATCCAATTCATGTATTTAATAAACAATTAAATAAAAGAATTTTCAGAATTAAGTATAAATTGCTTTAGGAGAAGTGCATGTGCTTCGGATCCTTTTGATGTCCTTTTCCCTTTTATTGATTCTTAGATAAGATCCAGTCTTAAAGTCACATACAGTTTTATATAAATCCAGCTTCTTCAACTCATGCCTCAGCTTGTGAGCTTTAGCCTTGTAAATTTGGCAGTCTTTCTGCAAATGTAAAACTTGTTCTTGCAATTGAAGAACAGTTTGCCTTAATTCAATTGTTTCGAAATCGTCATTAGTAGCTTGCACTGTGACTATACTTAGGTTCTCACTTGGCAACCTCAAAACGTTGCTTTGATTTTTGGAGTTGCTTGACGAACCTTCAGATTTTCTGGATGGTTTATAGATGGGTTGGCCTCTGGGCATTTTGAATTATTTATATAGCACGATTGTACAAATTAAATAAAGTGGAAAAAATTATGAGGTTAAGTATAACTCGAAAGCAAGGATTTTAGTAAGATAACAAAAATTTTGTGATTATAGTAAAATTTTGATCTCGGTTTTATTTGATAGTCAAAGAAAGCAGTTTCTTGTCGATATTTTATTTGGCGAGGATTAATTTTATCAAGGCCTTTATAAAAATTGTTGAGTTAGATAGGTTAAATTGATAGATTTGTTGCCTTAATAAATATTTATAAAACTTCCATGTAAAAGCTTATTTTATATCTTTTTATTTTAAACTTTATGTTTTATTAATTTAAATGCTTCTCTCTATGATATCAAGCTCTCCAACATTTGGCAATTGGGATCTGACTAAGCAATTCATGGCTGCCCAATTTTATTTATCCCAAGAAAAGCCTCTATCTCTAACTCCCTGAATAATTACTTAAATTTTGCTTATTTGTTTTTTTATCATAAACCAATAAAAATTTCTTATAAGTAGATTGAATTTGCTTATTATATAATGGCAAATGTATTTTTGGCATTTAGGATTAATCCTCTGATGATAAGCCAACTTCAATTTATAAAAATTTATTGTTTATCTTCTTGCAATAAGTAAAATTTTACTATTATTGTTGGAGAGTAAGTGAAACTCAAAGAATGACCCTTGGAGCTCTACACATGCAAGCGACATATGGTCCATGCATACCAGGAATTTTGCAGCCAGATATGCAAAATTATAACACATCATATAAGAGAAAATGAGAAGAAGAATGAAAAAAACTTGGGTGCATGCCCCGAGTAACTGCAATGAGAAAATTTTTAGATTTCATGCATAATATTTTTCCAAATTGATGGAAACACCCATCACTTTATACAAATTTTGAGCTTGAATGAACGAGAAATGAAATAAGTTATTCATCTATATCAGCTTCAATTATAATTAATCATTTCAATTCATAATATTTTGACTATTAATTAGTATTTTAATATACAAACTTAGCTTTGCAACAGTAAAAATATTTATTTTTGATATAAAATAATATAAAAATATAAAAGACATTTCTAGAGAAGTCATGAAAACTCATTCCAGTTTATCTTCTTTTGAGCCATCCTCAAAACAAAATTATACTGCACGAGAAGGCTCCCGAATCCATAAAAGATTTTCTGGATATGCGCACCCTATGTTCCGAATTAGCGACCCAAGCATTAGTAAATCTTCTATTGGAGATATCCAAGATACCATCAGCAGCCTCCGACACAATACAGTTTCCCAAATGTCAAATTTGTCATCAAATAATAATTTATTATCAATACCCACCTTAGAAGTAAAAGAACAGTTAAAACCTCGACAAGCTTCCCCAGTGTTAAAAGGACTTTTTGAAAAATTCCAATCAAAAGATAATAAAAGCAATGTAAAAAAAAAATTTAATTTCCAAGGCCAAGAAAATAGCAGTTTAACAGAAAATAAATCAGGCTTAGACGCCTGTATAGACAGTATAGAAAAATATTTAAACTCATTGGAAGAAAAAACATATGATAAAAACGAAGGGACTATTCAAACCGTTATTGGCAAAGCTTTTAATAATTTAGAAACAGAAGTAATTGAGTGCTTACTCAGACCAAAGCTGGAATTAGTTGGAGGAATACTAGAAGAGCTGGAATCTAAGTATAGAGAAGAGTTGAACCCAAAATCTGAAGTAATTGCTAAAATTAGGGAAAAGTACTCACTCTTCCCCTTTAAATTGGAACAAATTTTTTTAGGTGAAAATGCTAAATTTTATAAAATTATTTTTGATATAAAATTTATAAAATTTGTTTTTATAGAGAAAATTTATTATAATTTTTTTTAAATCATATATTCACCACTTTAAATTGGAGCAGGATTTTTTTTTCCAATTTAAATGGGAGAGTCAGAAACTGTAAATTATATTTTTGACTATATTGAAAAATTGGACTGAGCAAAAACAGAGATGAAAGAGCATAGTAAAAAAACAGAGCAGCAGTGGAATTTGCTGAGGCAAGGAATCAATTCTATAAAAGAGCTTAAAGACCCAGCGAACTATAAATTCAATTTATTTGGAAAATCTAAACAGTCAGTCGGATATTACACAGACTGCCTCTATACAAGCAGACAAGGCTTACCTCAAGAAGACATCGACATTTTAGGAGAAATCGAGCACATTATAGAGCAGCACGAGTCCAAAGAGTCATCTTACGTTAAAGAAATCGAACAGCGCGACCTCGAAATTTCCCATTTAAAACAAATTTTCAAAGAAACTCAGCAGAAATCTTACAAAGATAACATCGACCTTTCCAACCAATGCAGAATAATGAAAGAAAGCATCGAACTAATCCAAGGCAAACGGGAAACTGATAACGCTACTGAAGGCATTTTAAAGCGGCAGATTATCGAGCTTAAACTAGAAAACGAGCGCTTAAAGCACGAAAAACTCGAGCTATTTGAGTTGTCACGTAAATAAACCAGTAAATAATGATTAATTAGTTCTTTTTCATCAGCCTGTCAACTAAAACTTCGGCGCAGTGGGCAACTGATGAGCCTGGTCCAAAAATAAAGTGAGCTCCAGCTGAATAGAGAGCGTCATAATCCTTTGGAGGGATAACTCCTCCAACTACAACTAGCACGTCATTCATCCCTTTTTCTTTTAAGCATTTAATAAGGTCAGGGACCAAAGTTAAATGTCCAGCAGCCAGAGAGCTGACTCCAATTATGTGGACATCAGAGTCCAAAGCTTGCAAAGCGATTTCTTCAGGTGTTGAGAAAAGTGGGCCTATATCGACATCGTAGCCCATATCAGAAAATCCTGACGCAATGACGTTTGCACCTCTGTCGTGGCCGTCTTGTCCCATTTTTGCGATGAGCATTCTAGGTCTTCTGCCTTCTTTTTTCTCGAACTCTACCACTTTGTTTTGGACTCTTTTGAACTCGTCAGTCAGAATTGAAGAATAAGCGCCTTGGACAATGCGCTCATCTAATGCATATCTTCCATATACGTCTTCTAGCACTTTAGAAATTTCTCCAAGGGTAGCTCTAGCTCTTACAGCGTGTACAGTGAACTCTAGCAAGTTTCCTTTCTCTGTTTTAGCAGCATTTCTTAAGTCTTCTAATGCTTGATTTACTTTAGCAGTGTCTCTGGTAGCCTTCAGTGTGTTGATTTTCTTGATCTGTTCATTTCTGACTTGTGCGTTGTCCACAGCTCTGACTTCAATTTTGTCTTCATGCTTAACTTTGTACTTGTTGACACCTACAATGACTTCTTCTCCTGAGTCGATTTTTGCTTGTCTCTTGGCTGCTGATTCTAAGATTCTTCGTTTTGGCATACCTTGTTCAATAGCTTTTGCCATGCCTCCTAAAGCTTCAACTTCATTAATAACTTCTAAAGCGGCGTCTGCAAGCTGTTGGGTCAAATTTTCCATAAAATAAGACCCGCCCCATGGGTCAACCACTCTGGTGATCCCAGTTTCTTCTTGTAGGATAATTTGGGTGTTTCTGGCGACTCTTGCAGAAGTTTCTGTAGGGAGTCCGACAGCTTCATCAAAAGAGTTAGTATGTAGAGATTGGGTGCCTCCTAGGACTGATGCGGTAGCTTCTATAGCAGTTCTCACAATGTTATTTAATGGATCTTGTTCTGTAAGACTCCATCCAGAAGTTTGACAATGGGTCCTTAAGATTAAAGACTTTGTGTTTTGAGGGTTGAATTTTTCTTTCAATAATTTCGCCCATAACAGCCTGGCTGCTCTAAGCTTGGCAATTTCCATATAAAAGTCCATCCCAATTCCAAAGAAGAAAGAAAAACGAGGAGCAATTTGGTCCACAGTCAGCCCAGCACTGCAGGCAGACCTGATGTACTCTAACCCATCTGCAAGGGTAAAAGCCAGCTCTAGTTTCTTATCAGCCCCAGCTTCTTGCATATGGTAGCCAGATATAGAAATAGAATTGAATTTAGGCATATGTGCAGCAGTGTAGCCAATGATGTCAGACACAATTTTCATTGAAGGTTTTGGTGGGTAAATAAAGGTGTTTCTGACCATGAATTCTTTAAGAATATCATTTTGGATGGTCCCTTGCAGTTGTTTTTGGTTTACGCCTTGTTCTTCAGCTGCAACAATGTACATGGCCATAATAGGGAGAACTGCACCGTTCATTGTCATACTTACACTGATATTGCCGAGTGGGATTCCTTCAAATAGTCTTTTCATGTCTTCTACAGTGTCAATAGCCACTCCAGCCATACCGACGTCACCTTTAACTCTAGGATGATCTGAATCATACCCTCTGTGTGTAGCCAAATCAAAGGCAACACTGAGACCTTGTTGACCTGCTGCAAGATTGGCTCTGTAAAATGCATTGCTTTCTTCAACTGTGCTGAAACCTGCATACTGACGGATCGTCCAGGGCCTATGGGTGTACATAGTCGTATATGGACCTCTCATATATGGGTATTCGCCTGGAACATCTGGAATTTGGATTGCATCTTCGGCAAAGTAAATAGGTTTGACTTCGATGCCTTCGTTGGTATGCCAAGTTAGCTTCTTCCAGGAATCCTTCATCTTCAGCTCAGCGTCGGCTGCTTTTTTCCATTGCTCGAACTTACTGAATGATCTACTTAAAATACGTCGTAGCATATTTTATAAATCCAATCAATGGATATTAGGAGATAAAAAATCAAGGATGGGTTAATCAAAGATTTAAATATTGATGGAATTTAAGGTAAAAGTCGTATTATTTGGTTGAGAGATAGATAAAATTATTCATTTTTATTAGATTAGTTGGAGTATCAATGAAATTTCTGGATATTTATGGAAAATTATATATTATAAAATTGACATAATATCAGAAATTGTATTAGTCATGCGCGAGGGAATTAATTTAAATTTTGAAGATATTATAATATTTATCACGCTAACACTTAGAAATATAAGAATACTTGGAAAGGAAAGAGCCAAAAAAAGCATATTTCCAGATAATTATGGATTTTTTTTAATATTTAAAGATTCTCATGAGAAGCTCGTATATCTACAATTTATTGATAGTTTTTTATTGCAATTTGATTATGTGTAAGAGATTATTTGAAAGCTAAATCGAAAATATAGCTCAGAAGATTTAGATGTAAATAAAGATGCTAAGATATGGAAAATTGAAACATGCAATTAGTTAACGATAATAGGTGGAATATTTAGTTGACTCTATACTCTGTATTGGAATTCTCCTAATGTCTTTATTTTTAGCGTCTCTTATTAAAATACTTGGTTTAAGTATGGAATCTTTGCTTAGAGAAGGTATAATTAGTGAAGAGTACTTTTGATTTGTTTTTAATTCTGATTGAAGAATTGGCTTAGTGTAATTTTTTCTTAAATTTTCTCCTACTTTGTGTTCAAGACTTGTTGAATATGATTTATTTCTAATAAAATTTTCCTTGCCTCTTATCTCAGATACAAAGCTTTTTTGCCTCAATACCTTTTCATTACTATTCAATATTCTTTTTGATTTTATTTCACAGCTCAAATTTTCTAACTTACTATTTATATCTTCATCATAATTTTTTTCTTCTTTTTCAACATCTTCAGCTATCTCATTTTTCATATTTTGAAATTTTTCTGAGACTTTTTGCTTCAAAATATTTACTTTTTGTATATAATTTGTATGCAGTTTTGATGCACTTTTAGTGAAGTTTTTATTCTTTTCTTCCGTAATTTCATTTGATTTAAAATCAGTCTGGAGATTTTCTTGGCCGATTTTTTCTATATACTTGTCTGCTAATTTTGATGTAAAAATATTATTGGATTGAAATTCATTTTGAGTATCATTTGGATTTTGTGCTTCTACTAGTGTTTTTGGGTAAGCTTTCTTGATATTTTGAATAAGTGAATCACAGATCTCTTGGTGTCTGATTTCTGCTGGTCGAAGTTTTGCATTGGCCTCGGACTTTTTGTTAATTGGAGCTCTGTATAAAGCATTTAGTCTATCTAAAGCAAAGGTATCAGCCAAGCGTCTCGGGGAGTACATGAAGATATTATTTTAATATTTTAATTTAAACAATAATTAATTAAAGTGGTATTTAATTAGTAGATTAAAGGCATAAATAGAACATTTCCCTACTCATATTGATTAAGAATCTTCAATTTTGATAAGGGAATTCTCTTATGAGATCTAATCGCTATGCAAATTTAATAGATTAAAAACAATTATTGATTGCCTATAATTATTCTGCCTTTAATTAATATTAAATAGAAAGAAATATTATATAAATTAAGGTCATTCTAGTTTATTTAATTAATTTGAAATTTTAATAGTCTTTAATCAATAAAAAACCATTTTGCTATTTATTAAATGTTCACAGTTTGGAGAGATTTTTCACAATTAAGAATTCAATTAAATAACGAATTATAACAAATAATTTAAAATATTTTACAATTTTCTGAATACAATTTGAAATTGCGTTTTTCTCTGAATTCGCTTAAAATAATAAATGTTCCATAATTGTCATATCAAAGATAAAGATAGCATCCCATTCGAGCACAACTACAATTTGAATATATGTCCTCCAGAACTCCCAAAAGATTTTGGATTAGAAGTTTTAAACAAAGAATTTTTGATAGAAAAATCTTTAAGTGTGAAAACAGTCCAGGAACTTGTAGACTTATATACAAAAGCAATTGAGCACTACAGCTACAAACAAAATCCTTTATCGCATTACTTTCAAAGCAAGCTAAAACAACTGTTAAGCAGATTTGATGTGATACAGATCATGAATAACCATTCAGAAAACATCTCTCGGCAGTTCAAAAAACCTATTCCAAAGAAAAAGCACGATACCCCCAAGAAGTGCATAGTAGAAAAAGTCCCTGAAGTTGTAATCCAACCCCCCACAAAGCTTGAGAGAACCTCTACAAGAATAATTTCTCAATCAGACAATCGAATCAAAGACACTGTTCCAAAAATCCTCAAAAACTGTCGTTCTCAAGAAGACGACTTGAATTTCCGACTCCTAAACCGAAAAAGACAAAAAATCAGTCAAGGCTTGAAAAAACTGCAGTTATCCTCTTCTTTCACAAATGAAACCTGCTCTTCAGAGCATCTTTCTATTTCTTTTGACTATGGAAGATTCACAGATAGGCTTGAACAAACATTAGAAGAAATCATGGAACGCAACTGGTACTTAATTAAAAAAACTGATAGGCATTTTATCCATTTTTTATTATAAATTCCATTTTTATTTAATAAAAAATATTAAAAAAAAAAACTTTTTCGCTAGCCTGTGCAACTGTTCAGCCAAAATCTCAAGAATTACAGAAATCCAAGTCAATTATAACAGCCTCATCAGAGAAATTGAAGATTCTGACTTCCCAGACCACCAAAAAATAGCAGATTTAAAAGAAAAAATGCAAAATGAGATCTCTCGTGCTGAAAAATCTTTTAAAACCTCCCTCAAAGAAGAGCTAAATTTTTATAAGCAGACCTTCCTATAAATAATTAAAACCAATATTTTCATAATAAAATGGTTGATAAGCTGACTCCAGACCAAATTGATCAATGCCGAAGGCTATTCGATATTTTCGACATCAATAAAGATAGAAGCATATCCGCAAAAGAAGTAGGAAAAGTAATGAGGTCTTTAAATTTGAACCCTTCAAACGCTGAAGTAGACGCTATGATCCGTCGAGCTGATTCTAGAGGAACTGGCAGGATTGAATTTAATGAGTTCTTGCATATGTATGCTGAAAAAATAAGGGAGCCTATTACTAGAGAAGATGTGATCAGATATTTCCAAATGTTCGATAGAAATGGTGATGGGAGAATTGACCCAAAAGAATTCAAACAAGTGATGACGACCATGGGAGAACCGTTAACTAACGACGAAATTGATTTTATTATTTCAGAAGCTGATAAAGATCTCAATGGGTATATCGATTACAAAGAATTCTCTGAAATGCTTTTAGAAAAAATTATTTAAAATCTGCTTTTAAATATTAATTTAATAGAAGTCTAAAATGATTTAAAATGTTTGATAATAATATGACAGCTCAAAATTCATTATTTAAGGATTTATTAGTGCTAATTTAGAGTTTCTTAAAAATTGCTAATTCATCATATTTATTTAAATTTGGCCGCCTGGCAGTTCATAATAAAAATTCAAATCATATGAATCTTCAATTACCGAACACATCCCTAGGCAAAGGCCCATTGAAGCCAATCAGCAAGACTATTGACTCCTGTACATCATATAGATCCTTTGGCACTAATATTACAAATCTAAGCCAGCCAAAATTTTTCGTAGAAGAAAAAACGCCAGAATCTTCACTGAATACATATACGAACGAAACTTATAGTTGTATGCACTGTATTGAGCCTCATTTAATTCCTCAATATGGCTATATGAAATCTCAGCTAGATATCAATGAAAAGATGCGTGCAATGCTTATAGATTGGCTTGTCGAGGTCCATCTTAAATTCAAGCTTTTCCCAGAAACCCTTTATTTAACTATCAACCTGATTGACCGGTTTCTTGAGAAAGAGCCAGTTAAACGTCAAAAACTTCAATTAGTAGGGATAACAGCTATGTTTATAGCTTGTAAATACGAAGAATCATGCCCACCGTTAGTAAAAGACTTTGCACATATAACAGACAGAGCTTATTCAGCTGAAGAAATTTTGCTTATGGAAAGGATGATCCTAAGAGTTCTTGATTTCAGAATAACTCTGCCCAGCCCTTTTAGGTTTGTAGAAATTTACAGCCAAGATTTCGATTTATCTAGCCAAAATGTGCACTTGATACGCTATCTTATTGAACTTTCCTTTATTGAATACAAGATGATTAGATATCAGCCATCATTACTAGCAGCATCTGCTATATATTTATCAAGAAAAATATTGCAGAGAGGAATGGAGCTGAGTTTTGACACTTCTCCTTATAAAGAAGATAGCTTGAAACTGTGTGCCAAAGATATGTGCATTTTGCTGCAAGGCGCCAGGAGGTTTCCTTTGCAAGCTGTGAGGAAAAAATATTTGCATGTGAATTACTGTAGTGTTGCAGATATTGATATGTCTAGGGTCTAGAAAATAAAATTAATTAGGAATTATGGAGAAATTTCTTGAATTTGTAATAAAGCTGGGTTTGATAAAGAAGTAAGAGCTACTAATTCAAAGTTAGGATCTAAAGTATCACTTGGAGATTTCACATGTAGAGGTTTTCCAGACTTATTTAGCACAAATTCATTGCATAAATCTTCTTGGCTAGCTTTATACAAAATATTTCTCATATTTTCTTTTGATCTTTTTAAACATACTCCTTCTCTTCTTAGAAAGCCATAACAATTCATGCAATCAATATTCATTCCACAATTCCTAATCAGCTGCCCTAGGTCATCATTTACAATTAAATTGCCTTTGCCTATCAAATGAAGTGCTTCTTCAGGAAACAAATAAAATTTTCCATTCATTATATACCCATATTGTCCTCTTAACCCTGCTTTATCTTCAATTACTTCTACAGCTTCAAAATTTCCGATTACAGTCCCAATTGCTTTTTTGCATTTTTTTTCTCTCTTAAGAAACTCTTCTAATTTTTCAATTCCTTTTCTTTCTAATTCTTCATCATAATAATTTCCTTTTTGTCCAAACCTAGGCAGTCTCTGCATATTTTAATAAAATAATTATTTTTATTAAGCTTCTTGTCTAGGTGCTTCTCTTCCTCCACGCTTTTTGCAGACGTAAATATAATGAACATTAGGCTGATCTCTATCATCTGTAGCTAACGCAGCAGTACTCGCAATAGTCGGCTTTTGGACTTGATGAACCGTTATTTCCCAATTAAATTCTGGCTTATCTAAATAAGGATATCTATGTGGAGGCTGTCCATAAGAGATTACCACATAAGCTCCAGTCGGTGACAAAACTCTATACACTTCTGAAATCATTTTATTTGCATGAGCCGTAGAATTTTCCCCACAGAGAATAGCATCAAGTGTCCCTTTATCAATAACAGCATCAAAAGTCGCATCATCAAATTCCATATTTCTCCCATCCATATGCAAAAATCTCATAGTCTGCTTGTCTCTGTACTTTTCTTGCATTGCTTTAATAACGACTTGGCTGATATCAATATTAATAGAGTTAATAAAGCCTTCATCATACATTTCTTCACTTAGCCGGGAGTTTCCACATCCTAAATGCAGTATTTGGTGGGTAGGAAACACATATTGAGTTACCACGTCTTTAACACCACTCCAGCGCTGATACCAGTCAAATGGCTCAGCGTCCCTTGTGTACCTTTCTTCCCAGTACTCAGCTTTCCCATATTGTGCCATGATTTAAATATTAAATGGAGATTGGAAAGATGGAAGCTCTGCCATATACCTTGGCAGTTATTAAACCTGATACTGCAAGTTCTAGAGAAAAGGTGGAAAATATAATTAAAAGAATTGAAGACTCTGGGCTTAATATTTATGAAAGAGAATCAAGAGTGCTTGATAAAGAAGACGCACAGAATCTATTCGCAAAGTTTAAAAATCGAGATTTTTATCAGGATTTGATTGATTATATACAGAGCGGGCCGTGTGAAATTTTGTTATTGACTATGATCAGTGGAGATCCTATAAGAGTTTGGAAAGAATTAATTGGTCCTTCAGATCCAGCAGAAGCCAAGGTTAAAGCTCCTACAAGTTTAAGGGCACAGTATGGAACTTCTTTATTAAGAAATGAATTCCATGGAAGTGACGACTATTTGCAAGCAAACAGAGAAAGGGATATTTTTGATTTCCCAGTCCCTGTGAAAGAGCCTGATTTTTCATTTGACCCGTATAAGATCACAATAGAATCTTTAATGAAATTTATTTTTCCCCCACATTTAGAGCACTCTAATGTGACAGGACGTCTTGATATTTTTGCTTATTATGGGCCGATTGTGAATTATCACTCAGTTGACTTAGGCTGCTTCTGCGTCAACTGTTCTAGGCTTGGAAAAGAGAAACTTGGTCCTGAGTGCAAAGCAAAGCCTTTTAAACGAGGAGCTTTAGAAGAGCCAGCAAGAAGGCTGCTTCATGAGCAAGAAATACTAGATATCTGAAGTGAACTATGTGAAGCCTGCAAATACCATTGTGACAATTATTCTCATCTTCCCAGTGGCAGAAATGCTCAGCATTTATTGACTGATATTGAAATTACCCAGCTTATAAGAGAAATGAATAAAAACGAAATTGAACAAACGCTTATGAATAAAATGGCATTTGGCTATAAAGAAATTATATTATCTATATCATGGAATTTTATTTATGGGATGGTTTTTCATAGAGCTTCTGCAAGCAATAGCGATTTTAATTTTAGTCGCATAGGACTCAAAAAAATTGTTGCAAGGGTAAGCAGAAGCTTAAGGTTTTCCACTCAGCACCCCCAAGAAAGTGATCCTTAAGCGAAGCAAGCACAGGAACTGAGCTGGCAAGGCATTTAGTCTTGGACAGCTGGTTCGGTTGATTGTGATATTTGTTTAGGCGGATCCAGATTGTGCTTAGGCAATTTTGGACTTGGAATGCCATTAGTTTAGCGCAAAGCGTATAAAGCTTGGCGATGGCCGGAGACTTTAAAATTAACTAAGGAAGCAAGTAAGAACAAATGCTCACCGCAGTAAAAGGAAGTGCTGCTAAGACTATAATTTTGACTATAGATTTAGTAGAGCCTGATGAAATTATTTATACAGCAAGCCATGTAAGGAGCTTGTTTGAGGATTTAGATACAGATTATTTTAAGAGGATGGATTTTTATGATATGCAAAAAAGGGTTTTTGACGATAGAAATGCAAGGATGGCGTTTTGGATGTCGAAAATTACAGGAGCACCAGTTACAAATATTAAAAAGAAGAAGCCGACTGATAGAAAGCCTGAAGATATATCAGTGACTAGGAAGCCAATGAGCTTAACCCAGGTTGAAAAACCGCTCACTCAGGTTGGGACTGAATGGGATACCAGTATCGCAGACCAGCCTAAACTAGGCCCAAATGCTCAAAAAGTAGCATTACTAATAAAAATGCACAGAGAAGGATTTTTAATCGGCAACGGAAAAGACTTAAACCAAGTCGACACCGCAAACAACGTCAGACTCCTAAGAAACTACGCTCAAGGCAGAAATGGCAGCTGGAACAACTATTTCGCAATAAAGCACCCAGAATCCGGAACAACAATTTTTAAGCGAAAACATAAAAAATAATTTTTAAAATGGTCGAAAAGTTTAGTGAAGACGAAATCGAAAACTACCGAAAAATCTTCCAGTCCATGGATAAGGACGCCAGTGGCAATATTTCAAGCAAAGAGCTGTCTTTTGCATTGAGAAAGGTAGGGGTTTCAGTTAATTCTGAACAAATTGATGATATTATGAAAGATGTAGACGTAGATAGTGATGGGAATTTGCAATTTGAAGAATTCTTACAAATTGCAGCGAAAAGTACAAAAGATGTGGACGCTGAGGAAGAGCTGAAAGAAATTTTTATGATTTTTGACAGAGAAAACACAGGGTTTATAGCGCCTGGACAGATCAAGCATGTAATGAAAAGTTTGGGGCAGCCTATGAATGATGAAGAACTATATGAGATTATGGGAGAAGGTGATAGAGACCAAGATGGGCTTTTAAGCTTTGAAGAGTTCACAGCGCTAATGCTTGCAAAGGAAGCACCAAAACAGCAAACTTAATATAATGCTACCCTTATTTTTTACTAATACCCTATTTATTCTAAAATCCCGCACTTTTGGTAAAGATTCATTTCTTCCATATTTTAGTCACAGCATGTCAAATCTAGTTCAGGTCCTGCTCTCCGCACAAAAAGGTGACGCCAACTCTCAAGCAGCCAATGAAATACTCACCACTCAGACCCACCAAAACCCTGCCCATTTCATGCTGGAGCTCTCTGCAATTCTGGCAGACGAAAATTCCTTAATCTTAGCACGCCAAATTGCAGGAATTGTCCTAAAAAACACAATCAACAATGCTAACAACGACCCATATCTTGAAGAAATTTGGTATAAAATTGACCCTGAAACCAAGCCACAAATAAGAAACAACGTTTTAGGGACTTTGGCATGCCCAGATCGAAATGTTCGTCTGAGCGCTGCACAAGCAGTTGCCTGCATTGCAAAAAAAGATATACCAAGAGGGGAGTGGCTGGAAATTTTGACGATTTTGATTGCAAATGCTATGAATGTGAATCCTATGTTTAAACAAGCCAGCTTGATGACGCTTGGGTATATTTGTGAAGACCTGCCACCAGAGTGCATAGAAAAATCTTTATCAGACCAAATTTTGACTGCGATTGCAGCCAGTCTGACACCAGAGCAGCCAGATGCAGATGTAAAACAGATTGCATTGCAAGCTTTAAGGAATTCTTTGCCTTTCACAAAGTCGAATTTTATGCATGAGACTGAAAAACAAGTGATTATTGATTTAATCTGTAATGCGTGTCAGGCAAATGTGGAGCAGATAAGGCTAGAGGCTTTTCAGGCACTGTGTGATATTGCTTTTATGTACTATGAGTATTTAAGCTCAGCGCTATTTCAGCTGGGAAATGTGACTTATACTGCAATTCAGCATGATGAACAGTCTATAGCTGTGCTTGGGATTGAGTTTTGGAATGTAATAGCTGATATAGAAGTACTCAGACTCCAAAATAATCAGCCTATTAATGGTTTTATCAAGGGCTCCATGTCAAATGACTGTGGATTTTTGATAGTGCGACATTTCCTAGGGTAAAATTTGTTCGAATCATTTTGATAGTGAGACATTTGACTGAAAAACCGTTTAAATTTCGGCCAAATGAGTACACTATTTAAAAAATTTTTCGAACAAAAGTACTTCACTCCCCCCCCATCCTTAATCGAACGATCGACTGTAAAAATTCCTAAAAATTGGGGAAATTTAACCCCCATCCTTGATCGAACGATTTTCATATCATTCAAATTTTTATATATATAAAAATATATTAGTTATCAAAAGCTTGGGTAGATGTACCTAATGAAGTTTTTTTTTGTTCAGAGCTTTGAGACGACAGAAAGCTGCGGAATCAACCATCCGAAGTGATTTAGTCATCAGCCTAGGCTTAAAAACTCAATAATCTAAAAAATAGAGATTCTTTAAAATTTAAAAAAAAAAAATTTTAATTCAATAAGGAACAAATTAAAATTTATACAGTTTAAATAGGGTAACTAATAAATCAAAATATTAAAAATTGATATTTTATGAAATTAATACAATTTTTTGCTGTAAAAATAATTATTAAATACTCTTAACCCACTTATTTAAAAGTAAATAAAAAATATATATATATATATTTTTTATTTTTATATATAAATTTTTTTTCCCAAAACATTTTTTTTTTAACCCCCATCCTTGATCGAACGACTCGCCATCGTTCGATCAAGGATGGGGGGGAGTCAGTGAAATGCACACTATCAAAAAAGCACTATAATTGGACTTGCACCCTTTATCAATACAGCTGCCAATACTCTGGTCCCTATTTTACTAACAAAAATAGTCATATATGAAGATGAAGACGATGACTGGAATTTGCATAAAGCTTCTTCTAGCTGCATCAGTGCAATTGCACAAATAATAAAGGACCCTGTTGTGGATCTGCTGCACAATTTTATTAGTAAAGAAATTAGGTCACCTAATTGGAAAAATAGAGATTCAGCTGCACTTTTATTAGGGTCAATAGTTGATGGGCCTAGTGAAAATAAGTTATCGCCATTACTTACGTCTGGGGTGGAAGCTTTAAAAAACTTGATGAATGACCAAAGCTTGGCTGTAAGGCAAACTTCTGCATGGAGCTTATCCAAAATTTGTGAAATCCAGTATAGAATAATGTCACAGCCTGGGCTGTTTAACCCTACCGTACCAAAACTTATAGAATCCTTAAAAGACCACCCAAAAGTTGCTTGTCATTGCTGCTGGGCTTTGATTAACTTAGTAGATCGTTGCTCTGAAGTATCTTTGTTTAGAAGAGACATAGTAAACTTGTTATTGACATCTTTATTAGAAGCAGCATACAGACAAGACTCATTTAACACAGAGCACAACTTACAGCTTTCTGCTTATAGTGCTGTAAATACAGTCATAGAAAAAGCACCTAATGAATGTGTTCCAATTTTTGAGCAAAGAATTCCTAGCTTTATTGAGCAGCTGAGGCAGTCAATTTCAATGCCTAAAAGCGAACAAGTCCAAGCCTTTATATGTTCAGCTTTACAAGCTTGCTTTGCGAGGGCAAGCCAAGCTTCAATTACTGATGAGACTGCAAAAGTCTTTATGGAGACGCTAATACAGATTTTTAACTTAAGAGGTAGTATTATTGAGGATGGGATGCAGGCAGCAGGAGCTCTTGCTATGAATATAGAAGGGAGGTTTATTGTGTTTATGGACCAGTTTAGCCCATTTGTAGGATGGGCACTCAATAAAAATGACTCAATGAGTATATGCAGAGCAGGAACAATGTGTGTAGGAGATCTAGCAAGAGCTTTGAAAGAGAAAATTGGCCCTTATATTTTCAATTTTGTCCCACCTCTACTTAGAAATTTAGAAAGTGATGTAGTTAGCACTGATGTCAAAGTATTAAGCATTGAAAGTCTAGGTGACTTTGCAGCACATACTAAAAAGCTGTTTATGGAATACTTGGGGAATACGATTGCAATCATAGAAGGAGCAGCTAATGCAAGTGTCCAGCAAGTAAGGGAAGCTGAAAACCCAGACTTGTTTGATTACCTTAGTGATTTAAGAGAAGTCATATTGGAATTTTATGTAAGCTTGCTTCAAGGACTTGTAGAGTGCGGCCAAACTGATTTATTATTAGGAAACATGCAAAGTATTGTGAATTATACAATGATGGCTATCAGTGACGCTTTTAAACCAAACAAAAATCACCACGCAAATGCAGTAGGACTTCTTGGAGATATTGCTGGAGCATATGGTAAAAATGTCGTGCATATCTTGAGGACACCTATCATCAACACGTATTTGCAACAACATAAAACTGGTAATGACCCTATGCTGAGGGAAATGGCAAACTATGCTATCCAAGCCATTAGCAGCAATTAATTAATGACGATAATCTTTATAATTAAAAATGGTACCAATCTCTCTGCTTTTAGGATTTCTAGCTTTGAGTATAACTCACAGCCATGAGGATTTTTATTATAAAGGAGATGTCAAATTGATTTTAGGCGTAAATGACATGAAATCACTGGTCCAAAGTGGAGAACTCACGATTAGCAAAGCAATGGAAATCTGGGAATCTCTAGTGAAAAGAGCTGAAGAAGCAGATATTGCAATTTACTCTGGGATGGCGCTGTTTTGGCATTGATTTTCCCACTGGAAAAATTTTTTTGGTTCGACTAGTACCATATGGTTTGGTCAAACCAAAAAATTTTTCAGTGGGAAAATCAAGTCCAAAATAGTGCCATCCATGGGAAAATCCCATACTATTTATAACCCAGAAACCCAAGGAGATGATACTTACTATTTGTTTGGAATCATACCTGTTTTATCAATTTTTTATGGAATTGGCTCATATGCTATTTTAGGTCTTTTTGCAGGAACCATGTCTACTTGCTATTCTAACAGATCGGCAGTCAGTTTATGCTTAAGCAGCTTATTTTTCGCGTTTTTGTTATATATGGGAGGGACTATTTTATATGAAAACACAGGCTCTGGGCTGATAAGCAGCATTTTATTAATTGCATGCTGCTTGTCTTGGGCGATGTTCTTACACAGTATTTTAATATTTTTGAAATATTCTGACATGGAGCCAGAAATAGAGACTTTTAATATAGAGCATAATATAGGAGTAAAAGCCTTTACAGCAATTTTTATATCATGGGTTTCATATATCCTCAGTTTTTGCTGCCCTTTTCCTCTTGTTCAGTTGCCATTTTATATTGGAATTGCTTATATAGGCTATCTTATTGGTCTTAAGCTGCACCCAAAAATGCCTTTACGTTTGCAGCCATTTTGGTGTGTTTTTGTTTTACTTTATTCAGGGATAATCCTTGCATACCTATATTTAGCAGGTGACAGAGCGTTTCTATATAAAGATGATTATGAGTCAATGGATAGAAAAGTTGACTTTAGGCTAGTAGGCTATATTTTTAATGGAGCATTAATATCAGTTTTATTACCAGTTTTAGTATATGTGAATTATTTTGGCGAGTATGAAGAATTTAAAAGAGATTATTTAAATTTTGTGCTAATAAATGACAAAATAGCCCAAAATCCTGGTGGATATAGAAATTGGTGCACAAAAGATATGCTTGTTTTAGGATTGATGATATTTTATATATTTTTATCATTTTTCGGTTTTAAACAGAGAGTTTGGTGCTTAGTTATATATGGATATGCAGGAATATCAATTGGGACATCATTTTTGCCTCGTACAAACTCATTTTTTCCTGATAGGGCTTTATATACAGCTATACTCCTTTTCCAAGTCATAGTGTCTTCATTTTTGAATAATATTGAAGATACATTTTCTCCACAAATAATTTCATTTTTTCCTGATACTATCGTATGGCCCTTTTTAAGCACAATTGTAAGGACCTTGCTAGCAGTTGTGGCAGTTTTCAATTTATATTCATCTAACTTATTCCCTTTAAGCAATCCTTTAGCGAAAGATGAAAACAGCCCTTCACAAACGTGAATTGAGTATGTTTTAAGCTTTTTTACAAGGTATCTGCTGAATATTATTTTGATTTTATTGGTTGAAGACGAAAGTTCGTGACTGGTTAGCTTGGTTTATAATCTGGCAATAGTGTATTGTAATCATATACCTTTAGATTATTCAGGATCAGAAAGCACAACTGATAAAATTATGAGAAACTCAATTGTATTTTTATTTGGATTGAGGCTATCGATAATGGCTCAAAGCGTCTATCTTGCGTTTTATATAGGGATCTTGCTATATTATACTATTATGATAGGTATTTAAAGTCCTTCTTCCTGGATCCCCCGTTATACAGGTGTGCTATGTGGTAAATCATATATGCAAAATGCCTTGTCATACCCCAGGTTTTCTATAGAGCTCGCCCTTTTGGTCTAATATTGATTTTTTCTATTATCTGCTTTTTTGCAGTCACCTGGCAAAGAATCAACCAATAGCAACTTAGGCAAGTAAATTGCCCTTCATATTGGTACCCACTGCGCTGGGAGCTAAAGGCAAAAAGAGAAAAATATAAAATAAAGTATTAAATATATTTATAATAAGCATGTTATAAATCGTGCTTTAATAGCTTAAAATAAAAAGTAATACAATATCTCTTATATTTCTTATTATCATGACTAGATAGTTTGGTATTGATTGAAGAGGGGGTCGGATTGCGCTTGATCATAAAGACCTATCACTAACTAGACGATGGCTCGTCTTCAGCCATTCTATGAATATATATAGAGATTTTGGATGATGGGTGTGTCTTTTTATAGATATATTATGGAAGAGAAAATGAATTTCGAGTTCTATTCTGCATTATTTTGCTATTGCGGGATATTGATAGTATATAGCGTTTGCATTAAAAGCTATATAGCATGTTTTGTTGGGCTAGGATTTTTTTATATCGCAATTACAAAGGCTTTGAAAATAGAAAGATGGGAAATTATCGGAGGTGCTGCTTTAATTATTACTATCCTGCTATTTGGAATTTGCGCAATATGGGTTGAGCCACTATTTATTACAATAGAAGGATTTTTTACACAATATCAATTAGGCAAAAGCTTATACTATTCTCTCTCAAATGCAGAGATTTTTGTGCCAGAAAAAGGTCTGATTTCTGAAGTCTTGCTTCACCTACGGCTATTTATTTCTTTATAATCAATAAAATTCATTATTCCTAAATTCATACCAAAAATATTTAATTTCACTTTTAACTCCATATCTAGCGGTAAAGGCTAATAAAATTAGTTAAACCTATGTCAATTTATATTAACAGTGAAGACATAAACCTTTTAATCCTCCACTATCTCCGAGAACGTGGTCTAAATCATGCTGCCTTCATCTTAGAACAAGAATCCAAGCTTAAAGATTGTCAAGTCCCTCCTGGCGCTCTGATTAATTATCTGCAGAAAGCGTTGCTTATGGAAGAACTGGACTCACATATACTTGAAGAAGTAAAATTTATATAAGGTCGCTCTCCATCAAGGCTTCCAGCGCTGTCGGGGCGAATTTCGGCTCTTACATTCACATACATGTGGGTACCAAACAACGCCACGATCAATAGTTGATAACTCCAATGGATTCGCAGACGACGAAGACCCTGATGTAGTAACACTTGAAGGTCACTCTGGAAAAGTTGCTTATATTTCGTATGAGAAATCGTGGATTTTGTCAGGGTAATTTGTATTCAGATCTTATGATGGAACAGCTCGTTTGTGGAGAATTGGCTTGGAGCTGTCGGATTGAGAAACAATTAGCATTCTTCCACACATTTCTGGGTCTGCTCAGATGTTTGAGGTCACTGCCATTGCAATAAACAGACATAAGGGTATTGCATCACTGGCAAAGGATGGGTATGTAAGAATGTGGGGAAATAGATGGGAACTGATAGGAACTTTATTCCACGAGTCCGAAATTGTAGGCTTAGAGTGGGATCCAAGCGGGTATCATTTATTGACGTTTTCTAAAGATTCGATTAGGCTGTGGGATACCCAAGGGTCGCTTAAACAAATTTTTGACCATAGAAATACAGAAGTTTCTGATGTCAAGTGAAAAGGAGATGATGAATTTATAGTAGCAACTTCTGAAGGGATTTTTATATGGAAGATTGGTGAAAATGTTGCGAGAACTTTGTGCAATTTTCTTATTCTGCTCAGTGATAAATAAATTTTTAATAAAATTATTTTATGATATAAAAATTTTATATAGGACAAGAAGTTAGCGTGAAGAAAATTAGGATGGACTCAGAAGGGAGGCTACTAGCAATGATCACTGATGAAAACTTAGGGTTCTATGACCAAGACGGGCCTTGGTGGATGAAAAAAAGTGTGTCTGCCTTTGAATGAAATCCTTGCCAGCCTTTATTTATTGCAGGAACCTCACAAGGAGAGCTGGAATTTTGGAATCCAGTTAAAAAATCTTCAGGGCCTTCGTTTAAAGCTCACAGTAGCCAAATTACCAAGATTTCTCATAGAAGCGATGGCGATTATTTTGCGAGTGGCAGCGAAGATGGAGTTGTTTTTATATGATCTGTGGATCCTCCTTCTAAAATGAGGTCACTTCATTTTCAAGCTTCGATCTGCGATATGTAAATTCTATTTAGGTCATGGAGTGAAGACGGAACTAGGCTTGCAATTAGTTATTCAAACAAGATATCAATATATTCATTTTGTTAATTCTAATTGTAGGATAAAGTTAAATAATAGGGAAAATTATTTAAAATATAGGCTTAATGCAAGTTATTTTTCAATTTGTGTCTGCAGACTTGCTTGGGGATAAAGTTTTTTATTATCTATCATAATATTAAAATAAATGAAGGCAAGTTATATTAGAAAAAAAAATATATTGTTGGTGTTGATTAGGCCAAATCATATATGAATATATCCGAAAAGTATTACGATTGTTCAAAGGCAAACTGCGCAGCATTTTCAGATGTGAAAAATTATATTATCGAGCTTGCTAGGTTGAATGTGAAGAAATTAAGAAAATAATCACTTTTCCTAGAAATCAATGAATACCATTGCTCATAATAAACCCTTTTATTATTTTTCTTTCTTAATTGGAATTATAAAACTTTAAAAAATTGGATGCGTAAAAAACAGGAAGCGGCTTGTTTTTCGCCATGTGAAAAATATTTAGCAAGCTTTTCTAGCTCACAGATAATTTTATAAGATATAAAAAAAGAATTCATTGCCGCTAAAACATATAGATACTATTTTTTGCTGAGCTATATTGCTTATTCTCCTTTGGGATAATATATAGCGCTTTCAATTTATAGGAGATTCTACAATTTGAGCATCTTAATGAATCGCTTAAGCCTCCAACTCCACTTGGTAAAAGGAAAGCTTGCTTAGCTATTTCCTGTTGAAGAACTGCCTCTCAATTTGGCAAATCTACAAGATATCGCAGATTTGCTGAGTCTTCACTTGCCAAGTGAGATGGAGGCTTAAGTGATCCATAAAAATGCTCCAGGTGTATAATGATACATAATCATAAAAAATGTTTAAAGGAATATTAAGAAAAAGATCAGATGATTAAAACTGTGATTTTGAACTTGAAATATCAAATAAGAGCTTGCAATGGTAGTTTCCTAATAGTTTATATTTAAAATAATATTTATTATTATATATTTAATTAAAGAAAATTTGCTTGAATATGAATAATAAATAAAGATTATTTCAATCGATTAGATTTTTTGTTATTAAAATTGTTCCTAGTATAGTTTTAAGATTTTTAATATTTTAATCTTAATAAATGAATATTGAAAGTATAAGTTTAGATCAGGAAAATCCCGAAAAAGACTTAGAAGCAATAAAATTTTTAGGCCGTAAAATCCCACCAATAGGATTTTACATTGCAGGGCTAATCCAATGCAAGACAAAGCTATCACTTAATGTCATCATTAAATTTTTAGACGAATTTTATGAATCTATAAACCTCAAAAGCATAAATGAAGAATTACAAAAAAAAATCGAATTAAAACTATATGAAGGACTACTAGGAGAAGCATATATCCTTCTCAAGGGCGAATTGAAAAAAAATGAGATAAAAGATCCAATAAGTCCTCCTATTTTTGAGCTCCCAATAGAAGAGAAGATTGAAGAAATTGAATTAACTTGCTCGATTTGCAGTCATAAAATAAATGGAGAGCAGCTGAAATTGCTAGAAAAGTGTGATCATATGTTTCATTCGGTATGCTTAGAAGGACACCTGCAAAATTGTATATCGAGCAAAATGTTTCCAATAAAATGCCCATTAGAATCCTGTGAATCTGAAATTCAAATGATTGATATGGAATTTTTATCTCCTGAACTTAAAAGACACTTTGAAGAATACTCAACTCAACAACTGATTTCAAGTGGAATTTATGGACAATTTGTTCCATGCCCAAAATGCGGCGAACTTTATGGGGTTTCTAATCGTGACAGAGTTAACTGCACAAAATGCAAACTTGAATTTTGTATAAATTGTGAGAGAAAAATCATAATTAAATATGATATCTTGGTTAGGGTATGGATTCCGGTAGTGCAGCCTCAAGCACATATTTAATTATATCGGCAATGTATGACAAACCAGTATGGACAGAAATCTAGGTAAGCAATTCTGCAAGCATATGGAGCCTAGCCCGAGTCCTTTTTCAGATTAAATTTTACCTTGTGTGGGGAAGGAGAGGCTTGGAGTTGGAAAGGGGAAGCCCTGCAATGCCTTCTAGGCCATTCGATTATTCTCCAGCGTAAAACAGGAGTTACGCCCTGGTCCTCAAGCTTTTCCTTTTTGCGGAGAATCTGCTTTAAATTTCATATTTTGGAAATTTTGTGCAGGCAACCAATCTCAGACCCGAGAGCTCTAATGACAGGAGTCGAAATCTGAACACCCGAAGCCGAGGGGCTATTCAGTGGTGAAGCTGAGGTGTTGCACGATGCAGCGATGGAGGAGGAACCCGAAGCAAGGAGGGAAGCCAGTGGACCTCAAACAAAACCCTAAATTAATCAAGTTTCTGTGAAAGAAAAATTAATGAATGCAGATGCTTTAGAAACGCTCCCATGTTTAACAGCAGAAATGGCAAATGATGCCCATTTTGTGCATTGGAGTTCAAAACTATCAAAGGTAAGCTTGCAAAGTGTGACGGGTGTGGGAACATGTATTGTATCGACTGTCTTCAAATAGCAAGTCTGTGCACTTGTAATTATGAGCATTGGTAATAATTAACAAAAAATCTTCACAATAGTCCAACTCTATATAGCCAATTTTAATTTTCTATAATTAATCAGTTTCATCTTAATTTAAAACAAAAATGTTTTCTTCTAAAGACAAGCCAAGATCAATAAGCAGAGAAATCCAAGAAGCCTCTGCCAGAGCCAAAGAAAAAACACGTACAGATAAATCCGGCTATATGAAAGTTGGAGATGTAATAGTGCTTATGTTCAAATCTAACAACAATGGAGTCTACAGTGGATTTCTGTCTGCTGATGGAGTCATTTCACAAACCCTCGTTGTGATCCCACGAGACTCAGAAAGCGAAAAAAATGCAAATTCATTAGCAAGATCATGCTTATTTCGTGTAGAAAATGCACGAAGAGTAAATGAAGTGACTACTGAAAAAGCAGATTCTGAGCTTAAAATGACGCTTGGGAAAGCCTTGACTTATGGTGAAAGAATTCAGCTTCGGCATCTGCACAGCATGGGTTTTATTAACGTGAATGCCAAAAGTATTGCTTTGGAGCCAGGCTGTTTACAAGTAACAATTGAAAATGAAGGAAGCGAGCATACATGATTTGAAATTGTCCCAGTTAATAAGCTAAGGCGAGATGGAGAAATGGATAATTAAAATATGGCGTCTTCGTCTAGGTATGGCCTCACGGCCATACATCCTCGACTCATATTTTAATTATATCCGGCAAGGTTTTTCTAGCCCAAAATGGACAGCAATGCTATGGTAACCAATTCTGCAGGTAGCAGAGCCTAGCCCAAGTCCGATTTTGAGGCTGGTTTTTACCTCGAAGGAAAGGAGGGTTCAGATTTGGAAAAGGCAAGACCAGCAAGGTCTACAGGTAATACCTAGACCAATCGGGCAACTGCCTAGCGTGAAACTGGGCGTTACGTCCCAGGATCTGGACTTTACCCTTTTGCCGATAGGCTACCAGAAATTCCATTTTTTGGAATTTCGGAATGCTAACTTCGTATTCTTTCAGCCTCAGGAGGCCGCACAAACCCGTAGACTGCCCACTCAACACTGGAGTCTTTTACAAGAGACAAGGAGGAGGCCCGACGGAAGGAAGGTCGCAAAGCGGTAGAATCCCACAAGGGATCTTCGGTAATTGCGTTAAAATTAAAGGCACGTGCCTGTCTTACTAATGTAATGTAATGAGATGGAGAAATGATTTCTTATGGGGATTCTATATGATCAGTTGCTTAAATTTCTGATCGGCTCCCACGAGCCAAAGATGGATTTCACGCGTGAAAATCCAGAAATTCCACGTGGAAACGATTTTTGGCTCGTGGGAGCCGGTCAGAAATAACGCCAAAGGACTATATCATTTCAATCATTATCAGAAAAATCTCAGTATTTCTTGCATTGCTATGAAAGTGCATCTGCGCTTTCAGACAGGAAATTAGAAGTAAATGCAAGCGGGAAACAGACTGAGTGAAAGCCTAGAAGATACATGGCGTTTAATTTGTCAAGTGAAGCATCTAATTTTGTGACGACTGGAGATTCGTTTAGAATTTACCATAGAATTTCACAAGGATATTTATCAGTTAACGAAACACAAATCATAGGAGATGCAGGAGTCCCTGAAGCTTATTTAGAAAAGAAAAATAAATCCAGTAATTCTTTATGAGAGCTGCAAAGAGTATCCAGTTTTGTTGGGGGAACTGCAAAATGAGAAGAACAGTTTAGAATAAAGCATTTAGCGACTGGCTTTTTCTTAAAAGAGTCAGCTGACTGTGCAGAGCTTACTTCTAATGCTTATGCACAAGGGACATTATTTAGGCTAATTCCTGATTCAGAAACTGCAGAAACTGAAATAAGGTTTGGTACAATTTTATCTTTGCAGACTGAAAAATACAAATTTATCCAAGTTAGGGATGAGATGATTGAAGAACAATATTTGAGGAAAAAGAAAAGTATTAAATATAAACTAGGATTAGCAACTGGGAAAAAAGATTATGCGACCATTGCGTTTTTAATAGAAGATGTCCCGGAGCATCAGACAGCACATGTTTATAAGCTCTCTTTGATGATTCCTCACTTGTGTGATTTTTATTACTATATGGACGATAATACAATAACCACTGATTATTTATTAGAAAATCCAGAAAGAGAAAATTTTTTAAAAGCAAATTGTAGTAATATGACCACAATGCTCAAAAATTTATCAAAACATATTATACACCAAAATGACTCAGAAGTAGATATTCATAAAAGGCAAAATTCCATGAGAGAAATGGGCGTCATTGATGGACTAATGGCAATTGCAGAGCTGATTCAGAATAAGCTAGACACTACTGGAACAAGAGCAGGAAGCCGTCCAGGACATCAAGACGATAATAATATTGCATCAAAATATCTAATTCATGTACAAAATGGAATTTACAGACTTGTTTATGAATCTATTAAAGGAAATTCAAGGAATTGTCAAAATTTTGATAAATACGAGCATCATCTAGTAGCTATGCTGTCTAAACATATCAATAAAGACATTGGGAATATTCTCACTCCCCCCCCTTTAAATTGGAACTAAAAATTTTGTTCCAATTTAAAGGGGGGGTTAAGAAAATGTTTTTAAAAAAAAAAATCATTATAAAATTTAAAAACAAAAAATTTATATAAAATTTAAAAAAAAAAAAATTTCAAAAATTTATCGAATTAGATTAATAAATTTGTTTAATAAAATGCTATTTACTCTTCATCCTTTAAAACAAAGCAATATATAACTAAAATTTTATTATTAATTACTATTAATTGGTATCAAAACTATTTACACAAAAATTATTATTTTTATTGATAATAAAAAAAATTAAAAAAAACAATTTTAGAAAATTTATTAATCAAAGTGGTAATTTTAATTAAATAAGATGTTTATTTATACTATATTCTTTAAAATAAAGTAAGAGATAAGTAAATTTTGAATTTTTGTAAAGAATTCGTATTGAATTTATATCAAAGCTCTTTAAACAAAAAATATCATTTTTATCAAAAAAAATAAAATTTTTTAAAACAAAAAAAATTAAATGTTTTTAAAAATTTACAATTAAGGATAATAAATTTATTTAAATAGATGTTTCTTTATACTATATTCTTTAAACAAGAGCAGGATATAACTAAATTTTTTAATTTTAGTTAAGAAGAAACATTTAAATTATATCAAAACTTTTTACATAAAAATTATGATTTATATATATAAAATTTTTTATTATAAAATTAAATTTTGTTCCAATTTAAAGGGGGGTTAATTAACCAAAAAAGTGGAAATTTTACCTATATTTTGTTCCAATTTAAAGGGGGGGGAGTCAGAGAAATATTTTGCTATACTTCAGAATTTTCTTTATTAGACGAAAAGAAGTTCAGCAGGTGGTTTAATTATCTAGAACCAATCAGTGAAACCCCTAATAATATTCAAGAACAGACCTTATATTTAACAATCTTAAAGTACTTATGTGAAAATAAAGGCGCTGGAGTTTTAAAATTTCAAGTTTTAGCTAGAAAATGCCTGCTTGATCCAGAAACTCATTTTTCTCTTATAAGATTCCATATAGTAAATAAAAGACCTTGTGTTGAGTTTGATTTTCCTATAAAAACTCATACAGTTCAAGATATATTAAAAGCTAATCCAAGACTAAGTGCTTTTGGGACAGCCAAAGATGAACAAAGCTTGCTTATTGACGAAGAAATTACTAGTGCTATTTTTTACCTAGAAGATATTTGTAAACTTGATGAATACGCTAGCTATCTTGCCGCAACCATAGACTTGATTGCAAGCATCTGCTTAGGTAGATATAAAATGGCTATCCAGCATACAGGAACTACCATTAATGCTTCCCTTTCTCATATCCAGCTAGCTCTCAAAAATGCTGATATAAACGACAAGGTGCGAGCAGCCTATGCAAACTTATGTAGGGTTCTTTATATTGATGTCGACCCTTATATACCTTGTACATCACAAAAAACCCGCTGCTTTAGCTGAGATGACAAAATTGAAAGGGTTGACGAAACTACCTTTGAGCACCGTCACGAAAATTTGAACCAAGTCAAAGCAATTATCCAGAACTTCTGAAGCTATGAAGGAGATGTAAAAATAAATAAAGAGCAGCTTGGGCGAAAATTAAAACTAGTGGTTTCCTTTATAAAAGTCACTAGATCTATGATTGATTTAGAAATCGAAGACTATGAGTTCATTGAATTTGTAATGCAACCTATCTGCTTTTTAATTACTGAAAAATCAGGAGATGAAAGCCACTGATGTACACAGTTGACAAGAGAAGTAAGGGAATCTTTATCTAATGACTATAACCCATCACTAGAGAAAAAACATATACAAGTCATCGAAGAAGTTTTGAGCATGCTACAAGTGCTTGTGGTTAGAAGGGAAAATCTGCAGTTATATAATTTATTGAGGCTGTTTTGGGAATATAATGAAAAAAAGAATACTAATGAGGAATTAACAGATGAGGATTTAAAGGTGAGATTTGAAGATACATTGAAACTGCTGGATTGGGATGTAGAAGACCGCAGCAAAGAGCAAGAAATAGAAATTATCAATAAAATGGATGAAAAGTTCATACAGAGCTTCTCATATCAGCCAATTACTAATATCAGCAAATCTGTGCATTATTTAGACATTTATCTATTGGAGCTGCTTTTTGATGTAAGTAAATCAAAAAATAAAGAAATCAGGAAAAGGGCACTTGAGCTGATTCTAAATGGCTTGAATAGCAGAAAATTACTGAAAAAAGAAATGATTAAAGTTGAGTTTTTAACTGATGAAAATACAAAAGATTTTTATTTAAAACTGCTACAGCGAAAAAGAAGGCTTAATGAGACTATTAAGACACTAACACAAGGCCAAGAGGAATCTCACGAAGCAAGTGATATTCCTATGCTTATATCCTATGGATAGCCCGATAAGCGCAGGAGATTTGAGAGGAAAACTCTCCAGTTGTCAGACTAGCTTAGGTTGCTAAAACCATTTGGAAATAGATTTACTTGCTAGCTCTCTAGCTGGATTTATCAACCAATTGAGGAGTTTTCCTATCAAATCTTCTGCCCTTATTGGCCCATCCATAGGAAAAGAATATATGTATAATGAAGCTTTAAAAGACTCCACAGTAATAACTTTAGAATTTTCTCAGCTATTTAAAAATGATACTATGCATGACTATAAAAGAGTAAAATACCAAAATTTACTGATGCAAAGTGGCGTTTATAATATCTTGATCGATATTCTTTATCTTAAGCATGATGAATCTCAAAGATATTTATTAAGACATGCCCTTACAACTCTTTATCATTTCTGCTGGGACAATAAGCGCAACCAAAAAGTTCTTTTTCCACATATTCATAAACTGCTTGATTTAATTGGGATTTCTTTTAATGTAACCAAGCTGATAGCACAAGTTTTAAGTGGTCATACAAGGTCAGAAATCGCAGGAAAAGTGATTGTGCATATATTTGAATTAATAGAAACCCATGATAATGAATTCCACTTATTGCAGCTTTTGAGAACTTTTATTATTGATGAGCATAGGAAAATTATTCCTCGTGTCCAAATTGATAAGTGTTCTGCAGTCCCGATAAAAAGACTCTGATTATAAAAGCCTATCTACTTAATCAGAAACAGGAAAACCCTTCTGAGGGAGATATAAAACTCCCTCTTCGATAGGGAGCCCTAAACTGAAGGCCTACAATGGTTTCTGAACTCAGCACGATCGAATCATAGGTATTGCGCCTCGGATTCCGTCTTCTCTTAAGCCACATATCATTTTCTTGGCGTTTTAAAAGGAATTTTTAATAGCAAAGCAATCAGACAAATGCACATGCAGACTGGAAATATTCAAGATTTTTTATCCCCTCATTTAGGACTTGATAAAGATCCAGTAAAAGGAAAACTTCGGCTGAGGTACCATTTAGAAGTAATTAATTGCATTATTGCTTGTACAACAGATAATAGGTTCGGCATATTTCAAGGCAGAAAACTAATCCCGCTTATTCAATTGAAAAACATATTCAAAAAAGAAAATTTAAATTTATATTGTAAAAAGGCTTATTTGAGATATTTATATCAAGTTTATATGGTTGGAATTGAAGGCGGAGTCGAGCCAGCAGTTTCTTTAAATGGCCTTGAAGATGTTTTCAGAGATATTTTTCTACACGATTTATCTCTTTATAGAGAAACTGCTGATGATCTCATAAGATTATCTTTATTAGGAGAATTTGATTCAATTCCATGCAAATTTTCAAAACTAAACAAATGAGACACTTTCAAAAAACTCGTAGCTGATAGTAAAGCTGAAGAACTTATAGGGCTTGATTCTGAATTTTCTAATAGAAGACTCTCCCCAGAAGTCATTGAACCCGAACAAAACCCTGAACAGGAGCGTATAAAAGACTATTGAAATTATTTGTCAGGCAATAAATCATGGCACTCAGAAAAAGATGGTTTGGTCCATATATTGCGAGATATGATGCTTTCTAATTCTTTGCCATTAAGCGAGACTTTAATTATAGTTTTACAAGACATTCGTGAGCTTCTTCACGATATGAGTGACTATTTCCAAAACCAAGAAGTGAAGTTCCCTGAATTAGATTTTTCTAATATCATAATGACTATAAATCTGTGCAGAGAATGTCTTCCTATGTCAGGGATTGAAAAAATGCAAGAAAATCCTGAAGGTAATGAGCTTGACCAAATAGTCGCTAGAATGAGAGAATATATTATAGAAGAAAAACTGTCTTTAGAAGAAGCTTTTTCAGTATTTGACGTGGATAGAAATGGAAATATTGAATATGAAGAGTTTAGAAAAGCGATTAAAAATACATTAGGAAATGTTAGGTCGGCTGATATTGAAAAAGCTTTTTTTTATTTACTCCCCCCCCCCCTCCGTGAGCGAACAAAACATTAGAAAAATCGCCATTTTTTGACCAAAAACCCACCCTCCGTGAGTGAACAAAAATTTTTTTAATAGAAAAAATTTTAATGGAAAAAAATTTTGATATATAAGTGATAATTAGTATAATGAAATCTAGAGCTAATTCTGTTTAATTTTAAACAAATTGCGTTTTAAAACATAAATTTTGCAAATTAAATTAATATTTGCTTCCCAATTTTTGCAAATTAGGATTTTTTTAAATTTCGAAAAAAATATTTTTTTTATAAAATTTATATATAAATTTTTTTTAAAAAAAAAAATTAACCCCCCTCCGTGAGCGAACAAAATTTTTTTGTTCGCTCACGGAGGGGGGGGGGGGAGTTAGATGCTGATCATGATGGATATTTACGATTTAAAGAATTTGCTAATAAGCTCAGAAAATATTTTTCAAAAGTTCCTCATCTAGTTAAAATAAATAAGCAAAGACAGTTTGCAAGTGGGGGAGCATCAAGCCCTGTGCAAGCTCCAAATCAAGAATTAATTTTTGATCAAGAAGTCAAAAATGGCCTTGAAAGCTTTTCTGGACTTTTTTCAAATTTGTGTAAAGATCAAGATGTTGGAGTTTTGGTTAGAAAAATTAAAGATAGGTTTGTAGACCCTGCAATTCAAACTAAAAATTTGTCAATTTTGAAAGAGTTTATATCAAAATTGGGAACTGCTTTTAGGAAAAAGAAGCATAAAATTAGCTTATTGAAAATGCTAAGAATGCTGGTTCCAGAAAGCAAGAAGAAAGAAATAATTTTTGATAGTGAAGAAAATGAGATGATTAATAATTACGAGTATTTACAAAATGTACAAAGCACTCTAAGTGAAGCTGGGGTACTTGAGCTTGCATTAGGAATAATCAATGATGGAAATGAATTTGATTTAATTAATGAAGCAGTAAAACTTCTATTATGTCTACTTAGATTTGGGAATTCATCAGTCCAGAGAAAACTACTCAAAATTATGACAGCTTCTGACAACTCAAATTTATTTTCTTATATCCGATCTCAACTACGTTCAGCAAGAGACCGAATTGTAGAGAAAGCTAAAGGTGCATTTTTAAAAAATCCTGAAAGAGCAGCAGGAATTATTATTGAAGGCTCGCAGGACCCTGCTGAAATTCCCCACGATCTCAAAGACAAAATTTCCCATGTAAAAAATCTTATAAGGCTTTTACAGTTATTCTGCGAAAACTGCTTTACAAAATTTCAACATTATATTCGGTCTCAAGAAGACGATTCTGCCAGAAAAATGCATCTTTCTATAAATATGATAGATGAGTTAGCTCAATTTCTTATTAATATAAGAGAAGCTGGGCCTTATATATCAGACGACTATGAAGCAAGAAAGCTGATTCCACAGTGCTTAGAAACATTAATTGATGCGTGTAGAGGACCTTGTGTGGAAAATCAATTATTGGTAGGAAAAAGACGAAAGTTTTATAAGTTCATCAATATGGCTTTAAGCTTGAAAATAGAAAATAGACTGTTCGAAGATTATTTTCAGAGCAGTATAAGATTATTGTCAACACTTTTAGAAGGAGAACTTGATATAGGTATCGCCACAATGATGATAGATTAGATTGAAATTATAGCGAGTCTTCAAGGATTATTTTAGTCCCTTACAATTCATGGATAGCTTCGCGTTGTTGCTAAGCGCAATCCTCACACCTACCCTTTTGCCTCTGACTTCACCAAAAAATGATGACGTAAGAAGTCTCTCGGGGAGATCGCCCTCCACTTTTTCTGAATCACACCAAACGACCAAGACTCCCTGACCATTGGTAAACCACCTTTGCCTCCTCCATGAGCTGTATCACAGGCTTAGTAATGCTCCAATGGAGTGCTGAAGGACATTTCACTATAGGCACCTCTTAGAGCCAGGAAAAACCCACCCCGAAAACTATTGTCATGCAGATCCTCTTCCCTGATCCGGATCAACTCTCAAACACCAGAGTCCGCGATTTTACTAATTATTATGATAGAAGAAATTGGATAATTAAAATATGGCGTCTTCGTCTGGGCATGGCCTCTCGGCCATGCAGCCTCGACACATATTTTAATTATATCCGGCAAGGTTTTACAAATCCAGAAATGGACAGCAATGCTAGGTAAGCAATTCTGGTAATGCACAGAGCCTAGCCCTCAGTCCGAATTCAAGATTGGGTTTTACCTCAAGGGTAAGGAGGGTTTGGATTTGGAAAGGGCAAGCCCAGCGAAGTCTGCAGGTAATACCCAGACCAATCGGGCAACTGCCTAGCGTGAAACCGGGCGTTACGTCCCGGGATCCAGATTTTTCCTTTTGCCGAAAGGCCGAACAGAAATTCCATTTTTTTGGGAATTTTTGGATGGTCAACCTTGTGACACATGCAGCAGCCGCAGAAGTCCATAGTCCGCCCACTCAACACTGGACCCGAAAGGGAAGGAGGAGACGTCCGAAGCAGAACTACACTTCAGAAGTGCCATGGCATCAGGCGCTGAAGAAGAAGAAAGGTGGTGTCAGAGCTGAACACTTGCCCAGCAAATCATTGCCCCAATTCGATCAAGGCGAAGCTGAAGACGACGCAAAGCGGATGAACCACCCGTATGGGTAGGTCCTTGGTGACTGCGTAACCAATATGGCAGACGCCTCCCTATAAGTTTAAGTTTAAGTTTAAGTTAAGATAGAAGAAATTGATTTTAAAGAGCTGGCTGATATAGCATTTATTATATATAAAGAACATATATACCCTAAAATGAGTATCCTAATACAGGACCGTGTAGATGATGGCTCTGATAATACTTTAATGAGAGACACTCTGAGATCTTTTATAAAGTGTTCTGAAACCCCTCCTGAAAAAATTCCTATAAATGAATGGCGGGTTATAGATATCGGCTTCCAAATTGTTATTATGACTATCAGACTCAGAGAAAGATTTCCTCATTTAGAAGAACTGAATTGGATTGCATTTAGTGATAAAGTTCCTATAGCTACAAAAACCACAAATTTAAACTCTATTATTTTGCAAACAAAATATCTAGAAGGAAGAAACGAAGATTTATTCAAAACTGTTTATTCTTGAATAAGGAAATATTTTGGAAGCAAAAAAGATACATTTTATGACTTAACAATGGACAAGGCTTATGAATTTTATTCTTCTTTAATCGGTACTGTTGAAATCGATAGAGACAATAAGTTGGAAATCTGCCATTTTAGAATTCCTTCATCTATGGTATTTTTGAGCTCACAATTTAGAAATGATGTGATTTATAAGATAAATAGAAACAGCCATGAAGAAAAAATAAAGTCGTTGTTTCATAATAGTGAAAAATATCAAATTTATATGACGCATATACAAAAACTGTCAGAATTCAAAAAAATAGCTTGGTGGGCTAGCAAAAATCCATCGCTAGCGAGAATGTGTTTTTGGCTTGTTGTGATTATAAATGCATTATTGCTGGCTGATGTAAAAAATTCAAATGAGCCTCTGCAAGAAGATGATAATACATCAATAAAAGGTGGGGTAATTTTTCTAGGTGTAATATTGATATTTTTATCATTATTTGTGTACATTTTTTATATGCTTGAAAACTACCCTATTGATCTTTATAAATATATGCACAGAGAAAGAGAATCAGATATTTACTATGTTCCTGTTTTAAATAAATTAAAAGGCACTGTTCTAATGGATTATTATATAGAAAGTGTCAAAAAACACAATAAATCTAACTCCCAAAAAGTTTTGTCCGCTCACGTAAAGGGTTAATTTTTTTAAATTTAGAAAAACCAATTCACAATATTATAAAATTTATGTTGTTTAAAAATTCATTATATAATTATCACTTATATATCAAAATATTTTTATCACGGAAGGGTGGGTAATTACCCATAAAATAGGATTTTTCTTTAAACTTTTTGTTCGCTTACGGAGGTTTGGAGTAAGCATTTGAGTATAAAATTCAAAATCCTGATAGTCCTTATAAGCCGCCAAAATCTTTTTAATTTTCTTTATTTGCTTTCAGCCTGTTTTGCTATGAAATATCAGCTTCTTTATGCTATTTTACTTTTGGACTGTATAAGATGGAGCAAAGATTTAGATAATGTTCTCAGATCAATCACTCAAAACAGAAAGCAACTTATTTTGACACTAGTTCTAGGACTTATTTCTATATATTTATTCGGAGTTGCAGGATTCATGTGGCTTGGGCAGTACTATCTAACACAAGATGAAGGTGCCAACTATAGCACATATTGCAATACATTAGTAGAATGTGCCACCTCAACCTTAAACTATGGTATAAGAAATGGTGGAGGAATTGGTGATGCCTTAATGATGCCTAAATATACAGATAGAGACTATTTTCTATCCCAGCTATTTTTTATTTTATTTTTCATTGTGATTAACATTATCCTGATGAATATTATTTTTGGTATAATTATTGACACTTTTTCTGAGCTGAGAGATGAAAGACAATTAATTGAACATGATATGAACAATATTTGTTTTATTTGTGGAAGAGAAAAGTTTGAATTTGAATTAAGGGGCTCTGGGTGGACTGAACATGTACAGCTAGAACATAATGTATATGCATATTTGGCTTATATTATTTATATAAGAAAGAAACCTCTGAATGAATGTAATGGGATTGAGAAATATGTGAAAAATAAAATGAGGCAAAATGATGTGTCATTTTTCCCGAAAAATGCAAGATGCTTGCTTTATACCGAAGAAAAAAGTGAGGAGGAAAAACATTTTGAAATTATTGAGGAGGAAATTGTGGATTTGGAAAGGAGTTTGATAAGTAGTAAAACAATTAGTGGCAAGGAGACTTCAAAAGAAAGGTAATAAGCATGGATAATTAAATCAATATAAATTAAAACATTGTTTCAAAATTTTAATTAAATTGATTACTTTTAATAATCAAAATATATGCTTTTATTTCATCTATATAATTATTCTGCTAACTCCTCCTTCGTGAACGAGCAAAACTTTGGAAAAATCCCTATTTTTCGCCTAAAAACCCACCATGTGATCGAGCAAAAATATTTTTAATTTAAAAAATTTTTTATGAAAAAATTTTTGAGATATAAGTGATAATTATTATAACTAAATTTCTAGCTAATTTTGTGTAATTTTAAACAGCATATATTTTAAAACATAAATTTTATAAAATCAAAACCAATATTTGCTTTCTAAAGTTTGCGAATTGGGATTTTTTTAAATTAAAAAAAAATTTAATATATAAAAATTTATATGTATAAATTTTTTTTAATAAAAAAATTGACCCCCTCCGTGAGCGAACAAATTTTTTTTCTTGCTCATGGAGAGGGAGTAAGAATGTTTATTAATATATACTAAATTATATACCATAATTATAACTCCCCCCCCCCCCTCCGTGAGCGAACAAAAAAATTTTGTTCGCTCACGGAGGGGGGTTAATTTTTTTTTTAAAAAAAAATTTATATATAAATTTTATAAAAAATATTTTTTCGAAATTTAAAAAAATCCTAATTTGCAAAAATTGGGAAGCAAATATTAATTTAATTTGCAAAATTTATGTTTTAAAACGCAATTTGTTTAAAATTAAACAGAATTAGCTCTAGATTTCATTATACTAATTATCACTTATATATCCCAATTTTTTTTTCCATTAAAATTTTTTCTATTAAAACAATTTTTGTTCACTCACGGAGGGTGGGTTTTTGGTCAAAAAATGGCGATTTTTCTAATGGTTTTGTTCGCTCACGGAGGGGGGGGGGAGTAAGTTATTTATATATGAAAGTATAAGCAATTGCTATGATACTTTATAATATGTTTAAATCTTTTGTTTAATTCTAATCAAAATGGAAGTCCAAGCAGCCTACACAGCCTTTTCTGAACTTCTTACCCAAGCACTTGAAAAGATAAGAAAATACTTAAATTCCAAAAAATTCAAAAATCTACGTGAGAACTGTAACCAGGCCTTAGAAACAGATCATAGTCTTAATTTTGATTACAAGCCGGCTTCTGTCTATTGGTTACGCAGCCATCAATGACCCTTTCTAGGATTCATCCCTTTTGTGACACTGTTTACCAAGCTGAGCCGGATAGAAATGATTCCCCCAGAGAGAAAAGGATCTGCACCGCCTTGCTCCTACTTCGGCCCCTGATGACATTGAAAATTTGATGTATTTGCTCCTCCTTGCCTTACGACTCCAGTGTTGAATAGGCGGACTATGGACTTCTGCGGCTGCTGCTTGAACGCACGAAGATTGTCCACATAATATCCTAAAATGGAATTTCTGGTCGACTTTCAACAAAAGGGAAAAGCTAAGGGTCTCCCCTTATCAACTTCAATCCCTCCCTATCCTTCTGGTATAATCCAACTCTGAAATCGGACTAGGAATAGGCTTCACACAATTACTGTAATTGCTTAATAAGCATTGCTATCAATTTTTGGGTTGATAAAACCTTGTGGACATAATTAAATATGTGCACAATGCTGCATGACCAGGAGGCCATATCCAGACCGAGGCATTATATTTAATTTAGCCTTAGATCAGATAAAAGTTGATCAAACATTAGATGCGAACAAATATTTCCCAATTTTCAAGCTTGCATTAGATTCCAAAAACACCAAAGTCTTAGAGCATACTCTCTACTATACCCAAAAACTTATTTCTCACGGGTTTTTGACTGGAAATTGTGATGATAATTGCCAATATTCTGAGCCGCCTCAATTGATTTCCCAGAGATATCCGCGCAAATTAATTGATGCTATTGTTGAATCTGTTTGCAGCTGTGTTCATGAAAGAGATGACAATGTGCAGCTTCAGGTGATAAAAACCATTCTAACTATTATCACAAGTTTTAACACAGAAGTCCATGACAGAACTTTGCTAGAAGCTTTTAGGGCTTGTTATCATATTCATATTACAAGTAAAAATCTAAATTATTTCGGCATAATTTAACATTTTTTTATTAAAATATTTTTAAATGCATATATATATAAATGAGTATAGTAAATCAGACTACAGCGAAGGCAACACTAACACAGATGCTTCACTTTGTATTCCAAAGGATGGAAAGCTCCTCTGTAGGATTAAATGAAGAATCTTTGAATATTGTAATTAAAGGCATCGTCAGGACAATGATAGACGATGTAGTACTTTATGATAAGAAAAATGATAAGAATATTCCTATTAGGTCAGTTCCATATATGCTCGACCCTGATGATCCTTCTTATAAAGCCATTGTGCAGGTTGAAGAAATCAATGAAGATGGAATTCCTGCAGGAAAATTTGGCTGATGTGTGGTGTGCAGAAAGGCTGCTAACTTTTATTGCAAAGATATGAGAGAACCTGTGTGCTCAGAAGCTTGCAAAAAGAGCAATCTAAGGAATTATGAAAAAGCTGAATTGTCACTTGTCGGTGATGAAGATAATGATTATTTATTTGATGCTATTATTACATTTCGATCAATCTGCAAATTAAGCTTAAAAGAACTGCCTACGTAATTGCTAATTAGATCTATGTCAAGCGTTACATTTAGATCCAAAGTATTATCACTTGAATTGATTCTCGCTGTGCTTGATAACCCAGGCCCTGTTTTTTGTACACGAAAACAATTTGTAGAAATAATCCGTGGAAGCTTGTGTGAAAGTCTTATGAATAATTCCATTTCTACTGATAAAACTATTTTTGCTTTAAGTTTATCTATATTTGTAGCGTTAGTCAACAATTTTAAAGACACTTTGAAAACGGAAATAGGGATTTTTATGGATAATATCTTTATTAAGCTGCTGGAAAGTGAAAATGCAAGTTATAATCAAAAATTGTTGGTGATTGAGGTGTTTTATAGGATAACACAGAACCCTAAAACCACATTGGAATTGTTTTTAAATTATGACTGTGATGTATAGCGTTTATCTTGAAATAGATTATTATTAGCCATCACTTAATTTTCAAAATGATATCGGGAAAACTCTAAAGCTAAAAAGATAAATGTCTTTTTTTTGATTCAAGAACCATTCAGAATTAGATAATATAAAAGCAATAACTAATTTTTTCTAGCTAATGCAGGGTTCATTGTGATCTATTGGAGGCATGAACTATAGAAGAAAAAGATATTTTTGGAAGAATGATCGATATTCTAGGAAAAATTGCAGTTGGAAGATATAGGAATTGCCCGAGGATGGCGCTATCTTGCGCCATCCTCGGGCAATCCAAAAAATGGCCCCACACTGGGAATCGAACCCACGTGTGGGGCCATTTTTGGTGCGTGTAAGTCGATGTTGGCCACACACAAAAAATGGCCCCACACGTGGGGTTCGATTCCCGGTGTGGGGCCATTTTTGAATTGCCTGAGGATGGCGCATAATAGCGCTATCCTTGGGCAATTGCTATATAAAAGTTCTAGCAATTTACAGCCACAGCAAGAGTTATCGCTACGATCGATTGCTCTAGAGACTGTTACCAATATTATGACTGTTCAAGTTGTGTGGCTTGAAAAAGAAAATGGGTATCAAAATAAGAATACTGAGCATATGAACTCTGAAGAACTGTCTGATACTGTGAGTGATTCTGGATCTGAAGCTACTAATAACTTTTCTATTGCTTCAGATCAATTTGAAAAGAATAAGCAGCTTAAATCATGTCTTTCCAGAGCTGTATCAAAATTTAACATAAATCCAGCCCAAGGAATAAAATTTTTAGATGATAATGGCTACCTTAATTCTAATTCTCCTCAAGAAATCGCCACATTTTTAAAACTCACGCCAGGAATCGATAAAACAATGTTGGGAGACTATCTTGGCCGAGACAAAGATTTAAATTCGCAGGTTTTATATGAGTTTATCCATTTACATTCATTCCAAGGGATCGACCTTGTAGAAGCAATCAGAATATTTTTAACTTCTTTTAGAATTCCTGGCGAAGGGCAAAAAATTGATAAAATTATGCAAACTTTTGCAGAAAAATACTATAAAGATAACCCTGAAAAATTCAGTACAGCTGATTCTGTATATGTTTTGTCTTTTGCTATTATGATGGTTACTTCACACGACAACTATTTCATAACGACTATTTTTTTTTGGCCTATTTTTTTTGGCCTATTTTTTTTAGCTATTATTTTTTTTCACCTATTTTTTTTTGGCTTATTTTTTTTGGGCCTATTTTTTTTGGCCTATTTTTTTTAACCCTATTTTTTTTTGGCCTATTTTTTTGGACTTTTTTTTTGACCATTTTTTAGCTATTTTTTTACTATTATTTGGGCCTAATTTCATACTAATGATTTTAATATATTTTTTAATGTATTTTAAACAATTTTATCAGCATAAAATGCACCTTTAACAGATCTCTTACTCCATGAATGCTAATTCCTTGCTTTTTAAATTTCGAGAATTTTAGATTTAATTAGAAGTTTTCCACTTAATTCACTCAATATTAATAGTGTAAGGAAATATGTCCGTTACTCAATAATTATTTAGTTCTCTCAGCAGCTTCATGAATGATCCTCGAAAGAAAAAATAGGAAAAAAAATTAAGCCAAAAAAAAATAAATAGGCCAAAAATATAGGCCAAAAAAAAATAGGCTAAAAAAATAGGCCAAAAAAAATAAGCCAAAAAATAGGCCAAAAAAAAATAGTCGTTATGAAATAGTTGTCGTGTGAAGACACGATTATGATGCTGCAGACAGATTTACATAACCCAGCAAATAAAAATAAAATGACTCTTTCAGGATTTATTATGATTAATACAGGGATTGACCAAGGAAAAGACTTAGATCATAAATATTTAGAAGAAATTTATAATAATGTCAAAGACCATCCATTTACTTTAGAAGAAGATGAAGAAGCCAGAGATAAATTAGAAATGGCAGGATTAAAAAAGCAAGAGCTTTATGCAAAAGAAAGCGAAAAAATGTTAAATAAAGGGCACAATATGATTAAAAAAGCCAGAAAATCAACTGTTTATCATGAAGCTACAGATATTGACTACCTCAAAACTATGTTTAACGCATTATGGCACCCACTATTAGCAACTTTTTCAATTATTTTAGAAGAATCTGATGACCCAAAATTTTGGCGACTCTGTATGCAAGGCTATTTAGCCTGCATAAAAATTTCCTGCAGGTTTGGCATGACCCTTGAAATTGAAATTTTTTTATCATCCCTTGCCAAATTTACATCCCTTATATACTTAAACAATCTTATTACAGAAAAAAACATAGAATGTGTCAAACTTCTGCTAGAAATTGCAAAACTAGAAGCAAATTGCCTAAAAGGCTCATGGGTGCATGTAATTAAATGTCTTTCTAAACTAGACCATCTGCATTTGTTGAATTCAGGGGCTGAGTATGATGGGCCAGCAACAGAACTCGAAATTCATGTCTCTGAAAGTATCTCTGCACAGATAAGTCCTGATGAAATTGATTATATTTTTAATATGTCAGCTGGGCTAGATGACGATAACATTGTGGAATTTGTGTCAAAGTTAGTAGAAGTTTCTAAAGAAGAACTGTGGAATGAACACCCACAAACTTTTTGTTTGCAAGCACTGGTTAATGTTGCTGATGTAAATATGAACAGAATCCGCTATGTGTGGAGCAGACTTTGGACTGTTTTAAAAGAGCATTTTTACAAGTCGGGACTACATCATAATCAATTTATTGCAATTTTTGCAGTTGACTCATTAAAACAGCTTGCTATAAAGTTTTTGCAAAAAGAAGAGTCTACTAATTTCCACTTCCAAAAAGAATTTTTATATCCGTTTGACTTGATTTTTAAACAAAGCCAAAATGCCCAAGTAAAAGAGCTATACCTTAATTGGATAATTATAAAGCGAAACATTTTCGAGTTTATTATAAATAAATAGGACATACTAGCTATTAATTAGGTCTCAATTATTGTAATTATATATAGTTGTAGCCTGCATGTGCACTTTTGTGTTTACTCTGGTTCATAACATACACTCAGGCTGGCATAATATTTTTGAAGTATTTCAAACAGCAGCAAAATACACATCAGGGTCAATTCCTGAGCAAGCATTCCAGGCAATTTCAATGATCATTGAAAAACATTTAGGATTAGTCTCCGAAAATATTCAAGAATTAGTTAACTGTTTATGCCTTTTCACAGGAAATTCAAATGAGATTATTTGTATTAAAAGCTTTGATTTAATGAGTAAGTGCATAGAAGAAATTTTAAATGAAAAAATTCAGCCTGGATTTTTATATACGCTGATTTCAGCTATTGCAGGAAGAGTTTCTGATCCTAGAGAACAGATTAGGTTAAAAGCTTTAGAAAACTTGTTTGGGTCATTGAAAAGAATTGATGGAAAATATAATGAAGAACAGTGGAAAGTGATTTATTCTGGGATTCTTTTGCCGATATTTGATGATTTTCAGTATGGGTCAAGCTCAGATAAAGAGTGGGTGCATACTACTTGTCAACAGACTTTTAAACTGGTTGTTCAACTGCTTACAGAGAGCTATAACCATTTAAGCTTTTTAATACCTGATTTTTTAGAAATGCTAGGAAGAGGAGTTTCAAGCCTTCATGAGCAGCTAGCAAAGATCAGTATTTTGACGATAAAAAGCCTAGCTGAAGCATCAGGAGCAAATTTTAATGAAATAATTTGGGTTTGTTTTTTATCAAAATTCGAAGAATTGCTGAAAATTACAACTCCATATGAGCTTAGAGATGATTTAATTGAAGGAAAACTAACATTTGATATTGCTTTATGCTTACTCCCCCCCCCCCCTCCGTGAGCGAACAAAACCATTAGAAAAATCGCCATTTTTTGACCAAAAAAACCCACCCTCCGTGAGTGAACAAAAATTTTTTTAATAGAAAAAATTTTAATGGAAAAAAATTTTGATATATAAGTGATAATTAGTATAATGAAATCTAGAGCTAATTCTGTTTAATTTTAAACAAATTGCGTTTTTAAAACATAAATTTTGCAAATTAAATTAATATTTGCTTCCCAATTTTTGCAAATTAGGATTTTTTTAAATTTCGAAAAAAATATTTTTTATAAAATTTATATATAAATTTTTTTTAAAAAAAAAATTAACCCCCCTCCGTGAGCGAACAAAATTTTTTTGTTCGCTCACGGAGGGGGGGGGGGGGAGTTAGAAAAATGCATTATTCAGCGCCAATTAATTGAAGCTTGTAACGATATCGGGAAAAAATTCGTTTCAAAATTCCCGTTAGAACCATCTGTAAAATTTATATCAATTTTGGAAGAAGTCTATAATTACTCAAGAAATTATGATAATAACATTAGCCACAGGACAACCTTATGACAAGCAGGCTTTTTAGGCGACATAAACACCCTTCCTGGCCTCTTCAATATAGAAAAAGAATCTTTATCTTGCATTTTAAATTATTTATTTGAATTTTCTACCAAAGATCTTACAATTTCTGAAAAAATTTACACGCTATCAAAAATTTTATTGACTGATATAATCAATAAAGACCAACTAGGAGCAGAAAGAAAACAAGAAATTACCAACCTTGAGCCTATTATAGCTAATCAGTTATTGCCTGGATTAAGCAAAAATATTAAAGAAGCAGCCTCCAAAATCGGCGCCCAAATAGTAGACCTAATTGTAGTTGACGATTTAAGAATCAGAGAAGAGGTTCGGAAATTTTTTAAAGAATATTTGCTTATAACACGATAATTATAGAAATTTCCCATAGATGGCGCTGTTTGCCCTTGATTTGCCCACTGAGGAAATTTCTTGGTTCGACCAGTATCATATGGTTTGGTTAAACCAAAAAATTTTCCTCATGGGCAAATCAAGGGCAAACAGCGCCATCTATGGGAAATTTCTATAACTAACATATATTTATAGTGAAAAATACGAATTCGCTAATTTGCTATTTTCTTTGTGAATCAGATCATTTAATTTTTTAAGTTTTCGTTCTAATATATGTGGGGTATCTTTTTGGCGTAAGTATTTTTGTAGCCTTATGCTTTGCTCGTACAGTTTTGATAGGATGTTTTCGGTTCCCAGCTGAATTGCGTCGTCTTGATTCTTTGCTTTTCCTTGAGGAAATTTGATAGGAGATCCTCGAGCTAAAGGGGAATTTTGATTTATTTCAAACTTCATAGTACCTTTAGGAGATTTCGAGCTTCTTAATAGTGTTGTTGATCTTAGTTTTCTAACAGAAAAATATTGAGAAGTTGGCCTAAGCCTTTGATTAATTTGTGCGAGGGGACTTAATATATCAGTTTTGTTTCTATGATGGCGATTATTAGTTTCTTTTTTAGGAGACTCAACTCTTTTGATTGGCATGTTTTTTCATTCTTTTTCAATTAGGTCGTTAAGTATTAAAGTCATGTGTTTGCTTTTTTTCCTTCTTTGGGGTATTTCGTCGAAATTTAATTTGATTTGTTTGGCTGTCTCTTTTTGAGTTGTATAGTTTTCTAAATGAGATGTGGAGTCATTAGAAGAAAATTGGTTTGTTAATGTGTGACCTTTAGGACTTGTACAAAGGAGGGAGTTATTGTGTGATTTTGCACGTTTTGATTCTGAGAGAGTATACATTAAAATGGTGTGGTGAGCCAGCCCCCTCTTAGCTTCTGTAGCTGGTATCCTGCAGGGTGTGCAGGGACCTTGTGGAAGGGAGATGGCGTTCAGGAATGTGTATCTGCAGGATTTTTCTAGTTTGGTGAGGCCAATGTTGGGTTAGCCGGCAGCAAACTTTACTCCGAATCAAGGTTTTTGTCTCAGAGGAAAATGGCTTGAGAGCTGGAAAAGAGTCTCCCAGCAGAAAAATGGTGTTTATCCTAGCCAATCGGGACTATTCTCTTTTGTGAAATCAGGAGTTACGCCCTGGGCTTAGGATTTCCTCTTTTAGCTAAGAGTCTACTAGAAAATTCAACCATTTTGAATTTTCCATTGTGTGACATACAGCACGTTGACGCGACTCACCCAAGTATAGGGTAGTGAGTGCAGGCCCTCTTCCAGCAGAAGCAACCTTTGCGATGTCGTGAAACGCAAGCTGCTGAGCAGGCGGGGAAGTGTTACTGGTAAAGATATTCAATTAGAATTACAGCAATCTTCACTATAGTATAATAAGAAATAAGATTCTGAGAGAGGTCTAGTTGGTTTCATCTTTATAGGAAATAATAGATTTGGCGATTAATATGAATAAAAATTCTTCAAGAAATAGCTACACAGATGATCCTCTTATATCTGACAAAGAAAAGAATCTAATTAAAGCCAATATTGCTTTATCTCTTTCTAAAGGGACAGAAGCAAATCCAAAAAACTTTCCAAAGCTTAATCCAATTAAAACAAACTGATTAAAAGCAGTTGAAGAAAGCAAAAGGCTTGAAGAGAAGCACAGAAACTTATTTTCATCTAATTTAAAGAAAACCTATAAAAAATCTTCACCTATCAGATTACCATCAGTCAACTATGACCATTCCTCAACGATTACGTCTAGATCATCTCCATTTAAAACTGAAATAAAAGTCCCAAAAGTATATGAAATTTTTATACCAAAAACAGAGGAAACAGAAACCCCTAAAATGGCAAAAAAGAATAAAAAAAATAAGAAAAGGATCCTTGAGACACAAACAATTGATTTTGTATTTAATCAGTGACCTGAAACTTCAGTTATTGATAAAGATTATGATGCTTTAGGAAGTCTAATTAATGAAACAAATATTGTTAATGATGAAGGAAATAAGGAAGATATTTTAGCGAAATCTGCAATTTTATACGAAGAAAGCAAGGAAGATATTTTTCCGAAAAATGCAACTGCATATAAAGATAATAAGGAAGAAATTATAACAAAATATGTAGCTGTATATAAAGGAAAAAGTGCATCTCCTTATATAAGAGTAAAAGCTGACTCATTGAATGCAGAGTATAAGTATCTTTGCTTTAAGAAACGAATGGAGAAAAGACTGAATACTGCACTTAAGAAAGAAAAAGAGAAAAACAGGCGAAATTTTTATAGTTTTCAGCCAAATGTAACGCAGGATATTTGGTCATTTACTGGAGCAAAAAATGTGTTCCTTTAATTCTATTATCTCAAAATTTATATTTAATTTTATATTGAGCAGGCTTAAAGAAATTAGGTTCCATTATTATAATCATAAATACTTAAATGAGTGTAAATAAACTGACTCAAAGCTTAATCAAGCTCCAAAACCAAGAAATGATTAAGCTTCTTACTGAGAAATCTATTGAAATTCGCAAGCTTCAAGATGACAAAAATAAGCTCCAGCAAAGAATCAGTGAATTAACCAATCATGTAAAAGTTTTGAAAAGCTTAGTAAAAGAAAAAGACCTGCAAATAGAGACACCCTTTTATTTTCTTAATCCTTGACCAGCGATTAACTACTGCCTAACGCCAGCAGGGCTTGACGTATTGCTGCATCACCTAAAATCTCCTTCTTGGCGTGTCTAAATCATATTGCAGACTAAAGATTGCCTCCCAAGAAATTCGGAAGGGACATTACTTCTCGATCTGTCGTCTGTGGGTTGAGGAAAGAAGGTTTAGCACCAAAAACCTACTATGGAGAACTATTGCAATTTGGAACGACCTTTCTCGACCTGGATCAGCTCGGAGGACACCGATGACCTAACTCCGCTCGCCATTTTAATAATTTCTCTGCAAATAGAAGATTTAGAAAAGTTTATTGCAAGTAAAGACAATACTATTACTTCAACAAAACCAAAAATCAGAAATTCCTCATCACAGCCAAGCTTAAACTTAACTGATAGGATTTCATCTGCCAAAAGTTCTAATGAAACTCCAAAAAGTAGAAGAACCCCTAGAATCACAATTGAGGAGTCTTTATCTTCACTACTTGACGAATTTATGCAAAATCGTCCAGTAACTACTCTAAGTCGAACAACTTCACAAGTTCAAATATTAAAAAATGCCTTAGCGAGCCCTTATTTTATGCCTGTGAGCCATCTGAAGAAAAAAAGGCAAGTTAGTGTCAGCAAGCCTAGGCACATAGGAAATTTGACAGAAGAAATGGAAAATATGCTGAAAAGACTTGAATTGGTCTTGGAAGGGTGGAAAGCAGCTACATATTCAACGTAATTTCATATTTAACAAAAAAATAATCACTAAATGGAAAGCAGCTTTCTCAAACGCTTTAAAATAAAGCTCAGCAAGCACAACGGAAACTTCGATATCCCCGTTTCAATTCCAATAGACAAATCAATAAAAGATTCTCAAGTCTATGGCTATTTTGCAGCCCAAGCAAACCAAGATTCATCTTCTTTACTATTAAAAAACCCGAAAAACTCAAGTGAAGCCTCCCCAATTTTACCAAAAATAAAAACAAGCGAAAAAATCACAATGATTTCTAGTGCTTCACAAAAAAACGCCTGTATTGTTGACGATAAAAAATTAAAAAGGAATAGAAGACAGCATTCAGATTATATCCAAAGCAATACAAATAAGCTCTCACGTCGAAATATAAAAGTTAGCCAATCAGTTGATTTAAAAGATAAAGAAGACTTAGACATCTCTCAAGAAAAAACGGCAGATGAAGAAAAATATAAAGCAACCCCAACGCCACCTAAAAGTATTTCTCCAATTCCTAATAATAACTCAGGGAAATTTTCTTATGCGTCAAGAAATTCCACTGCAGATTCTATTAAGAGGTATAAGCCGTATACAATGAAAGATTATATAAGAATAAGGCCAAGCAAATATATTATGCTAGGTGGACTAGGCCCAAATATTGGTAGCGAGAATTGGAAAAGAGCTTCAGAAATAAAAGAAAGAATGTCAAAATACTATAAGCTAATCCAAGATAGCTATCGAAGTGTATAACTAATATTTTTCTCATAAACGTATTTATTATCCATAATGAAAAAATAATCATGCACAGAAACCATAGTGTTGAATTTTCACCTCTAAAAGTCGATGCCTTAGAATTGCCTGCAGTATTAAGAAACACTAATAGAAGACCATCAAAATCCGGCTCAGGCAAATTTTTATCGAATATATGTACAGAAGAAATCAAAGATTTTCTTAAAAAAGAAAAAGAAAAATCAAAATCGAAAAAATATATAACTAAAAATTCACGTGATATTTCTTATATAAAGGACAAGCTAAGGCCACTCGATCTACCTGTAATCCCACCTCTTCCGACTGATATTAATCACTTAAAAAAACTAATGGAATCTTCCAACTGAAACGGAGTCCCAATTTCATTTTCCCCACAAGGCAAACCTCAGCATATATCATGTAGAAAAGAAACTTGTGTAGAATACGCGCTTGAAAAACACCCACGATCTGGGTGCTTTTCTAGCTTGGATTTTTATGAGATTCAAAACCCACAAACTATAGAAAATATTGAAAGAGGATATTTAGGCAACCCAAGCGGCCGACAAGAAATTGACCATTTAAGGAAATGATTTTTCCATATGACTCATAGTCATGGCTCCTTTGAAGATTTAAATGCAATTTATTCAATGTGCGGAAAAGAGCTAATAAGACAAATTTCAGTTCACTGTATTGAAAGAGGAGAACTGTTAAAAGAACTTTTAATGAAGTTTCCTGAATTGTTTAGCCTACAAGATAAAGAGTGAGAAAGCAAAATAAAGGCAAAAGAAGAAAAATTATTGAATGAAATAAAAGAAATAAAAGAAAAATATGATAAAGAAATAAAAAAGAGGAACGAAAAAATCGAAGAATTGCAAAGCTTGATTGAGAAAAGTGAAGACAAAACTTTAAAGCTTTCAGTGGATGCACTTTTGATGAAAAAGAGATGAAAAGAAGCTTTGAAAAAACTGATGCAAGAAAGAGAAGAATGAAAAAAGAAAACTAGCAGCACTGAAGTCGTTATTAAACAGCCAAACTTAAAAAAAGTGATTAAAGAGCCTCAAAGGATAGAAGTGTCAACGGTTAATTGAAAAAATGAAGAAATCAAGCTAGAGCAAAGCCAAAATACTATCCAGTTTACAGAACTGTCTGGATTTTTGCATGAAAGTGCAGAAAACATAAAAGATGTACTACAAACTCAAGATGTGCTACAAACTCAAGATGAAAGCCAAAGGATTATTGATGAAGAAATTGCTCAAGAAATTGATATAGAAAATAATGAACAATTTCAAGAGGAAAATAACAGCCAGCCTGAGCTAGAAGGAGATAACAAAAGTCAGCACGAGATAGAGGAGGAACCAAATAATAATCAGCAAGATTTAGAAGGGGTTGAAGACTTTAATGGGGTAGAAGCTGAAGAAAAAATCAGTAATAAAGATAGTGATTATAAAGAAATAAGTGAAACTGCGTGGGAAATACAAAAGCAGTTATCAATCGAAATTCTATGCAAATCATTAAAAATAGCATTAATTATAGATTAGGGCTCTTCCTCCTTTAACGTCTCACCGAGACGAGTCTTCGTAGAAGACTCGCTCAGCCGCTAGCGAACTCCTTGGGCATGTCAGCATTTCCACCAGTTCTCCTCCAGCTTTCGGCCTAGTTCTTAATGCTGCTCCGGAACTTTGGAGTATGTAGATTTGGACTTGACAGCTGCTGCTTGAGTTACTAGAGTTCTACTAACTCCTTCCCTCCGTGAGCGAACAAAACCATTGGAAAAATCCTTATTTTTTGACCAAAAACCCACCTTCCGTGAGCGAACAAAAATTTTTTACGAAAAAAATTTTTGATATATAAATGATAATTATTATAATGAAATCTCTAGCTAACTCAGTTTTATTTTAAACAGCTTGCATTTTAAAACATAAATTTCGCAAATTAAATTAATTTTTGCTTCTCAATTTTTACAAATGGAATTTTTTTAAATTTTGAAAAAAAAATTTTTAAATATAATTTTTTTTAAAAAAAAAATTCACCCCCCTCCGTGAGCGAGCAAGATTTTTTGTTCGCTCACGGAGGGGGGGTAAGGATACACACCCTAACTAATATCAGTACCAACTATGCCTTTGTCATCGGCACTAGTGGTCTCTAGGGGTAAAAGCCTTTTTCCAAATGTCCATCGGGAAGACACAAATCTTCATTGCAGTATGAGAAGGCAAAACCAAGCCGGAGCACAAATCCCCAGTACCCGTAGACTCCGTTTCCTGCTCGTTTTGGCTTCGGGCTAAAGCAAGGTCCCCAAACTCGAAGCAGGTCTGGGAGAGAACGTGCCGCTGACATCACCATTTTATTTGTGCAATTCTATGCATACCAAAAAATGAAAAATCAATCGAAAATAACCAGCCTAGTACTACGACTGAAATAAGTAACGCACATATTGGAATTCAAACTGATTACGAAGAACCAAATGATATTATAAACACTTCAAATACCAGAACTTCGCAAGCACCTCTATTAAACTTGCCCATTCAGCAAGACCTTTCCCGTCCATCTTCAAAAGTTTCCAAAAAAAACTTAAAAAGTCAAGAAACCCATCAAAAATCTTCCCAAAATTCAAAAAAATTGAAAAAAACTCCAATCAAAAACCGAGCTGAAGAATCAAACAGCTTCGAAGGCAAAATATTTATAACCTCAGACAAAAGAGACTCCGAAGAGTTCAAAACAATCAAAGAAGTTGATGCCGTAGAAGAAATCGAATCACGAGGGACTAATTCTAACAACTGCTCCCCCACAAAGCAACTTAAAGATACAGAAAACACACAAAATAGCTGAAATCTTACAGAAACAATTGAAAATCAACTAACATCGAGGTCACAAGAAGAATTAGATGACCCCAAGCGAACAAAATACCGTACTAATAAAAGAAGGAAAACTGCAGTAGTAAAAGATGAATCATCCCCAATAAAAATTAAAGGAAAAAGATCAAGTAAATTAAAAGGAGCAAGTGCAAGGTCTTCGAACGCCCCTGATATTGACATAGAAATCCTAAAAAAATTGCAAATTTTACAGAAATTAAATGAGGAAATCCAGAAAAAAGAAAAAGAAATTGAAAGAGATACGTCAAGCGGCAGAAATACTCAGGCGGATTCTAGAAGAAGAGGAAAATTAAGTGCTCAACGCAGCAATGAAGAATTGGTGGTGGATGACGATGAAATTAGTAAATTAATCCCTGGAGATCTTGATAAGCCTTCATGAATTATAGGCTATCATGTAGGCTATGAAAAAGGAAAAACAGTCGGGTTTATTGAAGGAGAAAATTTTGGGTTAGAAGAAGGCCAGCTTGAAGGATATTTGCAAGCTATAAGAGAAAATAAAATTTCTTACTCAAATGCTCCTAGTGAAAATGTATAATTAGTTGATTAAATTTCTGATCGGCTTCCACAAGCTAAAGATGGATTTCACGCAGAAACCCATTTTTGGCTCGTGGGAGCCGATCAGAAATTAAGCCAAAATATTATATCATCAGATGAAGAAGTAGATGAAGAAGAGCTTAAAGATGAATATTATTCTGATTCTGATAGTTCTAAAACTGATATTAAACAAGATAATTCCCCTTCAAGACGGCAGTCAGGATTTGCTGCACTTGCTCAAAAAGTTATAAAGAAAAGAAGAGAACTTACCAAAGTAATGGAATTCCAATTTCATAAGAGAGCAATAAACTTAGCTCACTCCCCCCCCCCCCTCCGTGAGCGAACAAAACCATAGAAAAATCGCCATTTTTTGACCAAAAACCCACCCTCCGTGAGTGAACAAAAATTTTTTTAATAGAAAAAATTTTAATGGAAAAAAATTTTGATATATAAGTGATAATTAGTATAATGAAATCTAGAGCTAATTCTGTTTAATTTTAAACAAATTGCGTTTTAAAACATAAATTTTGCAAATTAAATTAATATTTGCTTCCCAATTTTTGCAAATTAGGATTTTTTTAAATTTCGAAAAAAATATTTTTTATAAAATTTATATATAAATTTTTTTTAAAAAAAAAAAAATTAACCCCCCTCCGTAAGCGAACAAAATTTTTTTGTTCGCTCACGGAGGGGGGGGGGAGTCAGAAAAAAACAAATCCTGCGTTAACTATATTATACAAGTTTATGGCCAAAAAAATAGAGTATATGAAGAAAAAGTCTACTATGAGCAGAAAAATGGTGAATCGGCTGATTGCTTCTATATATGAATCAGCCATACAAAAATTAAGAGATGATGAAATTATTGAAAATTTAGCTGAGCTGGCTTATGACCAATTTTTTTCAAAATATGGGATAAAAGCTCCTAGCTATAAAAAATTTATTGATTTTATAGCCTCATTGATATGCACGAAAGAATCGAGAAGGTCTTATATTTTCTTAAAGTTTTTACAGTGCGGTCATAAAATTGGTACAACTAATTACTCAAAACCGAGCCTGTTTCTTTATCTCAGCTGCTTAGAATACATGCTAAACTCTAAACTAGGCATCATTTCAGGGTATCAAGATACAAGTGATGTAAATATGTTTCCTGCACTGAGAGCGACTGAATGCCTAAAAGAAAATTTTGAATATATTGATAAATCAGTGTATACAAGCATTTTATCTCGAATGGATAAAATAATTTCAACTGACCCAAAGAGAATCAATGGGGCAGGTCTAATAGAATTAGAAACTTTTCTTGAAATTGTAGTAGAAGAGTACGAAAATTATCAAAAGCAAATCCATGACGGAATTTCTCTCATTTTAAGGGCACTCAAATGTAATGTTAGAAAACAACTATCAAAATCGCTATTGTTTATTGTTATAAGACAAATGGTAGGAAATAAAATAAATATTCCTGCAAAAGATGAAGATTTCTCAATAGATGATTTTTCAGTCAAAAATAGGTTTAGAAGCATTATCAGCCTTCTGCAAAGCGAAAGCATAGATGTAGAAGATCTGAAGATAGCTTCAATTGAAAGCAATATTTTCAAAATTAATGAAGTCAAAGAAAAATATAGCCTAAATCAAGAAATTTCTGTCGAAAAAGCTAAAGAAATAATTGATAAAGAAAAAGAGGAGTTATTGATTATTATTGAAAAGATGAAAAATGCAAGGGAAAAGAAGTGGAAAAGCTTGGATGTAGAAGAGTGGTCATGGAGAATCACAGACTGCGAATCGGGAGCTGAAACTTCAAAAGATATACCTACTTATAGAGAATGTAAGCATTCATTATGATTGCCGTTACCCTATCTTCATATAGTATATAGGAAAACAGCTAAACAGTAGGAATGGTTTTATTATTATAATAAGATATACTCAAACTCTGATGCTGGCTTGGAAAATATATTGATTAGAATTGGAAAGAATCAATGAAAATTATTTAAGTCAGATATAATAAATGGTATAAATATATTATTAGTCTGGAATTTTATTTTGATCTTAAAAAAATAAGCAGTCCAACTTTCAAAGTTTATAAATTTAGAGAATTATGAATATTCCTCTGAAGCTTGTAATACTTCCGATCTAATCCACAGTTTCGACTATTTATAAGAAATTTCAACATATGTGATGAAGAAGTAAAGATTGTTTCAGTAGAAGAAAAATTTGGCATTTCTATAAAGTTAAATGAAGGCTTAGCAGCATGTCCAGTTTAAATGAAAAAAAATGATATTGAATTTTCGTTGGCTAGGTCTGAAGGATGCAATTTCGGGATTCTTGCACAATTCAACACTGCTTTAATAACCTGAAAGAGTTTTATGACTCGAAATGCTCTAGAATAGGATGTGCCAATAAATATTCTTTCGATAAGCCGTTTCTTATAGCCACATTCCTCAGTTTACTGAAGATTATTATTCTATCACGTCAGGGAGAATAGCATGTGAGAAACTGTTTTTTTTGTTTTAGAAGATGCTCATAAATAAAATGGCATTCGGTTCGAGAGAAATTAGCTTTGCTAATTTTCTCTCTCACTCATGGAATTTTATTTATAGGGTTAGGTTTTCACTCGAGAACTTCTGGACAGCAATAGCGGTTTAACTCTGGGGATAACCAGAGGAACCACTCCTCAGTCCACTCAAGATTTCGGGCTTTTACCTCTCAGCACATCCCACGGGAGGATGACCCTTAGGCGGAACACGCGCAGGAGCTGAGTCGAGCGACAAGGGCGACGGCAACGCGCCGGGTGAGACGTGCAGCAGGGCTGGTGAAGCAGGAGTTGTTAGAAGGCTTGGACGGGGCTGACCCGTGCCAAGATGGCTCGCCTACGTCATCAGTTTTGCCATAGGCCCTTTTGGGCTGCGGCACTAGACACCTTAAACACCAGATAATTAAGTAAGTAAGTAAGTTTTAGAAGATGCTCAAGATATATGCACAGCTCAAGCTTCGCCTTAAATAACTGACTATTAATATCAATTATTATCTTACACTAATATTTCATTTAATTCCCTTTCAAAATTAGCCCAAACAATCCTCATACCATACCTTTCAGCAGCTTACTTTTCATCGACTCTATGCCCGCATTCTTTTTTGTATCATTAACTTTATTTTTAATTTCTCTCAAATTGTTCTTATTGATTATTTTTGCTGCACCAATTGCATAATCAACAAAATACCCCATAAGGAATTTGCTTAAAATTGAAAAATCAGACGTTTCTTTGTCAGAAATATCACAAAATCCTCATTGATAAGATCGTCCATATTTAATTTTTGATTGTGTCTCAATTAGCTGTGCAGCAGAAATAACAGCAAATGGTGGGAGGGGCTGTAGCGGTGCGTTTGTGATTAGATGTTTGTCATTTCCTAAAGCACTCATGAAGTCAAAAAGTTTTATTTCACTATTAAAAATTTCGTTAATGAGATTTCTCTTGACGCCCTCTATTTCTTCTTTTGATTGATATGAGTCTGCCTTTGCAAGAATTGGAATAATTTGTACATATTTTTGAAGCTGGAACATAGCACGGAGATCGCGCTCTTTACATCTTGGGCCTTCAATAAAATATAGACATAGATGTACCCTGGTGTCTTCTGGCTTCAGTATAGATTTTTTAGCATGTTTATATTGGGTCGCAGAGTGAATTATAAAGTTTTTGATACCTTTTAGCCATATAGAAAAATTCTTAGCTTTTCCATAGCCAGGAGTATCAATCATATTAACTTTATAAGTTAAATCGCCAGCCACCTTTATAGCTGAATTTTGTTCTATTTTAATCGTTGGCCTACTCATTTTATTATCTAAGTCTTCAGGAACAAATCTATTAAATTTCATAGATAAAAAAGTATTTATAAATGAGGTTTTTCCGACCCCGGAATCCCCAACAACTATAACATTAAATTTGATCTAAATAGAAAGTACTGGCTCTAATAATTTTTTCTTTCTAATGTCCTCAAGGCATTTTAAATCAGAGTAGTTAAGCGATGCCTGCAATTCTTTTTCTGGAGACATAATCCCTTGAGGAGAATCAATATAATCAGATTTTATAGTTTTAGCATCTATAGCTGGTTTTGGAAAACAATTTCTATCATGAGATTGATGTTCGGCTTCAGGAGAATTATAGCCAGCCGCATGGCGCTGATCGTGTAAAAATTTGTGAAGAAATGAAAATTTTGGCTGCGAGTCCTGGTGTTTTCGAAGGACTTCGGAAGTAAGCGTAAATTTCTCGGGATCAGGGGAATCTAAAGATTCTTGTAAGCCAATAAAAGGATGAATGCCAGGCTGGTCAAAATTGCTGATCTCAAAAGGAGCGTCAAAAGGATTTGAATAGTCTTCCATTATAAACTAAAATAAAATTATTACTTCTGTATTATACTTAAAGGAAGTTAATCAAAATGGCGATTGAATTTTGGGCCTTAAAAAATATAAGAAAATTATTTATAGGGAAATTAAAATAGTTATAAATGTGCTATTGCGTTTTTCATCAGATGCTTAAATGAAAAAAATGTGGTCGTCCATTATATTAGTTTTAAGCAATTTGTATTCTTTAAAGATCGAAGAAATGATAGCTGCTCATAAAATTGAAGTTTAAAATAATTCTGAGTGTTTGAAAATAAACGCCTATATTACTATTAAACATATGCTAGTCTTAAATTTCAGTTGAACGATCATCATTTAAATTTTAAAATCAATACATATGGCTTCAAAGTGTTCTCCATAGACTTATATTATTTATTCTAAGTTTCCATTCTTCTCATATGAAAATTTTATTAATTCATAATTTATAATCAATATTTGTCTTAAATGGTAATTTTTAACTTAGCCAAGCTCACAAGGAAGTGTCCAATCAAAAAAGTCAGGTGCAAGCTATAAAAAAGTTTCAAACGGATCTCATGTTGATGAGTCTCTTTTTGGATCCAAAAAACAGCCATCTTCAAAGCCCGGCTCTCAAGCTGGAAAATCAGTTAAAATCTCTGATGCTGAATTAAATAAAATAAAAACCCAAGTAAAAACAGGATCGATCCCAGAAAATGCAACAGTAATTCCTCTTACTCGTTTACATTAAAGCAAATATAAATTATTTTATTTTATTAAAAAAAAATTTGTAAAGCATAATATTATCATTAAACTCGAAGAGATCTAGTGAAATCCAGAGAATGAAAGCAGCAGCAGTTTTAAAAACCAAAGACCAACTGCTTGCTGAGCAAACCGTTCTTGAAGAACAAAAAGAACAGCAGCGTGCAGCTGCCAAAGCTCGTAAAGAACGTATGCAAGAGCTTGAAAAGGAGCGTCAAAGAAATGCCCCAATGACTGAAGCTGAGCGTGAAGACGCGGAGAAAAAGAAAAAAATCCGTGAAAAGGCTGGCGAACTTCTAGATCGCGAGCATGATGATGTAAAGCATATGAACCAAATGGTCCTATACTCAAAAATCGTAACAGTCCGAGATGAGCAGCTAAAAGAGAAAAAAGTTATTGAAGAAGAAAAGAAAAAAACAGAAGAGCAGCTTGACTTGATGATGGAAATTGAAAGACTCAAGGTCATCAAATATCATGATGAAAGAGAACAAAAATGGAAAGAAGACAGAATCCAAGGAGCCAGAGTGCTAGAAGAACAAATAAAAGAAAGAGATTTTATTAGGATGAAAGAGCAAGAAATGCTGGAAAAAGAAAGAGCACAAATGCTCAGACAAATTGAAGCTTTGCAAGAAGAAGAAAACAGAATTGGCCAAGAAAAAATGCTGACCAGAAAAAGGGTGCCTATTTTTTTCCTCTAGGTATTTGGCAATGAGACATTTCCTCTGTGTTATTTGTTCGAAAATTTTTCCTCATGAGACATGCTTGAAATTTGAAGATTTTTTTGAGTATGTCTCACGAGGAAAAAAAAAAATTCCCAGGGAATGTCTCATTAAATTAAATGGAACAGAAAAAGCTGCTTTCTGAGGTAGAGCAGGCTAATAATAAAGCAATTCTTATCAAAGAAGCCAGAAAAAGACAAGAAATAGAAGAAGATGAAAGGATTATGAAATACAACTTAGATAAAGCTAAAAGAGAGCAAGAACTAATAGAAGACCAGCTGAGGATTAAAGCTGAAAAAGAAAGAGAAGTCCAAAGGCTAAGAGAAAGACAAGAAAGAGCTAAAGATAGACAGTCTGAGCTTGATGCACTGAGGGCTAAAAGAGCTCAAGAAGCCCAAGAGAGGGTTGAAAGAGAAAAAGAATTCCAAGAAGCCCAAAAGTTGGCAAAGATTAATGCAGAAATTGAAGAAGCAAGAATAAATCAAGCTCAAGAACGCGAAATAAGGATGCTTATTCAAGCTAAACAAGAAAGGGATGAATTTGAAAGAATTATCCAAGCCCAAAAAGAAGCTGCTGATAAGGAAAGAATGATAGAAGAACAAAAGGCTATGATAAGAAAACAGCACGCAGAGCAGCTGAAAGCTCAAATATTGACTAATGATGAAAAGAAATCACAGGATCAGAGAGAGTATTTAGAAGAAGGAAGAAAACTTAGGAATGAAATTGAGGACGAAAAACGCAAGCTTGAAAGAATCAAGCAAGAAAAACTTGAAGCGCTAACTCTGCTTTTATTTAGAAATCTAGAATTTAATGTAAATATTTATACCTAATTGCAATGGATATAAGTGGTCTACCCAAAAAGTGCTCTTAGCATGGCTATTTAGAGGAAATTAGCATATATTTTAGAAAATTTATAATTTTAATATTTAAAAAATTAAAAATTTATAAGTGAAGAGTAAAGAAAGAAGGAGTCCCTGAAAAATATACTGCAGAGCTAGCAAGGAAGAAAATAACAATTTAACTTATTATTTCTTAAAAATATGATTATCATTACTCTTTACCTGAAATCTGTGTTGACATTATTTCCATAATAGCTTCACGAAGTGTTAAACTTTCACTGCGAATTGACAGTTGAGCTGACATAGTTTGTGGGTCTATTGTCGCTAATATAAGTACTGCAACCCCTTTTTGTCCAGCTCCTAATAGCTGAGTTGGAGAAAGCTGCGGAATTTCTTGTGGAGTATAAATCTTAAAAGCGCCGCCAAGTGACAAATGCTGGCTTAGCTCTTGCATTGGGGTTGTCCGGAAAAATATACTCAGGGGTTTTGCCTTTTTTCTAATCAAATGACGGTAAATTAAAATTACTGACTTTTTCAGGAAAATATTGCTGTATAGTTTTTTATTTTAGGTATGGTTTGCAATATTACCATTTAGGTTTTTTCCAATAATTTTAATTTAGCGTCATTTGATTAGAAAAAAGGCATGAAAAAAACTATGATTTCCCTCAATGAGCCAAAAAAAAATTATTCGCCTCACGGAAGAGGGTTCTTTTTTTTATATAAATTTTATAGAAAATTTTTTTTTGAAATTTTAAAAAATTCCGATTGGTAAAAATTCAAAAGTAATTTATAAAATTTAAAATGCAAGTTTGTGTAAAATTTAAAAAGCAGTAGGAAGAGATTTCATTATAATAATTTATCACTATATATCAATTTTTTTCATCATAAAATTTTTATATCCAAAAATCTTTGTTCACTTACGGAGGGTATCTTTTTACCCAAAAAATAAGAATTTTTCCAATCGTTTTGCTCGCTCACAGAGTGGAAATTAGGGGTTTTTCCTGATTACCCTTGCATTGACCTGATTCCTTCCATTTGGCATGAAAACTTTTCCTCTTTAAATGCAAGCCTTTCTCATATTGGCCAAAATTCTTCAGGTGACCTTTGAATTCCTTGCAAAAACCTTGCAATTGTTATTGGTAAATTTAAAAACAATGTCTTAGTCTCTGACCCCTGCTTTATTTTTATGATAATTTTAGGGATTTTCCCAGTAAAATCTTTTAATGAAGCTTTTACCATACGGTTAGCTTGAGCTCCTTTTGTGATTGGATCAGTAGAAATAATTGGACTTATAAGCACTACTAGCCCTTCCTTTTCATAGCTGATTGCTTCTGTATTAAGCTCAGTAATAGGAGCTGGGGTTTTATTTCCTACATAAATCATCCCCATAACACCAGTTTCGTCCCTAGCAATTTGAATACCCACTTGTAAAAATTCATCATCATATAAGATGCCTCTGTCAATGCAATTGCAGATTCTATAAAAGAGCTCGTTTTGGATAGGGAAATTGTGAGCTTGCTGAGGGATGTCGTCAGAAGAATCACTGTCGTCAAAAGGGTTTGGGGAGGAACTGTAAGGGTCTGAAACACGAGGAGGGATTTGGACTTTAAGCTCAGGAGCCATAGAGTAAGGGTCTGGAGCACGCTGAGGGGGAGGAACCATAGAGTAAGGGTCTGGAGCACGCTGAGGGGCTGGAGCCATAGAATAAGGGTCTGGAGCATGCTGAGGGGCTTGCATTCTGATTTCAGGGTTCATAGGAAGAGAATGCTGTGAAAGGCTTGATTGGTGTCCGTTTGGCTTTTCATTCTTTAAAGACCTAATCTCATTTTCTTTTGCCTCCAATTGTCTTGTGAGCCTTTCTATATTTTGATTCGCCTCCACAAGCGAAGCATTCATCTGAGCACTAGCTTGCGTTAACTTTTTTATATTCTCATCCTGCATAAACATCTGCTGCTTCCCGGCTTCTAAAGCCTGCTTTAGCTGCATATTTTCTGTCATAAGCTGATTTATTTGGTTTATTTTATTAGAATCCTCATCCTGCCTGTGACTTATGACCTTTTTAAGTTTTTCGTTTTCTCTTTTAAGAGATTCTATAGCTCCAGCATCGTCTTTTGCAGAAGTAGGCAAAAGGGCTGGGTAATTTTGAGAAGCTGGGGATTTCATTTCAGTTGGCATCATTTGTAGACGAGGATTGTGGGTTGCAAAAGACATGCTCGAAAATGCAGCTGATTGAGAAACTGAGGATGCTTGAGGGTCATCAAATAAATCAAGGTCTAAGATATTGTCAATTTGCTGCTTTTTTTTAGCAGATTGAGGCTGCATTACAGGAACAGTTTCATAAGCTTTATTTGACTGTGGCCTTTTACCTATATCATGATGAGAGTCAATAAGCATTTGTAATCTGTCATTTAATTCAAACAGTCTTTCAATAGTTTCTGGGTTATCTGATTGCCCCACTTCTCTTTCTAGCTCACTTTTTAAATCTTTCAGCTGCAAAAAACACTCAACAATTGCATCGCCACCTCCTCCAGACCTTATTAGGTCATTATAAACATCCATGGCCGTTTCAACCCTTCCAATTATACCCCCTCCGCTCTGTCTCCTTGCAGGTCTTTCTGCATTAGGTTTTTGTGATGGTCTTTCATACATTAGTGGAGATGATTGTTTTGGGACTGCTGAAGATGGCCTAGGATTATCTAAACTTTGCCTTGAGCTGTCCAAGCTTAATCTTGGCTTTGAATTTCTCTTATTCGGGAATGATACGTTTTCTTTTTCAAGAGTTTTATAAGCTATAAAATAAGCACTTGACTTTCCATCTGGAGCTTTTCCAAACTGTTGAGCCCAAATTTGAATGTATTGCAATAAACAAATCAAAAACTCTTTAGAAGCTTCACGGTTTTCTTCAGATAATCCGCTTACCGGGCCAAATATATCATCTCCTCTGGAATCATCGTGAATTTGTTTTTTATGCTTGGCAAGAATGGTAAATCTGCTCATCACTTTTCGTTGAGCAAAAACTAAGAAATTTGTGTTAGCGACCATCATGCAAGCATGAAAAAGCTTTAAAGCGCGGAGTTTAGAAGGAGGAGCTGCATGCTTGTCTTTAATGATTTTTTTGATTAGAGCGATTACATCGCGACATACTGGCATCTGTGCTGTTTTTATTATGTCGGCTAGTTGAGGGGCTGATCGTTCATAGTCTTCATTAGATACACAGCCCATGCGGACTAAATCAAGTGGTTTTGCTGGGTTCATATTTATATCAAAATAAATCGGCACTTTGAAGTCTAAATATGAAAAAGATAATAGATTTGTCCAGATTATGCCTGAATAGATGAAATTTGAATTATTTAAATTTTTTCTCAGGATTATAATTATTAATTAAACCAGCTCTTAATATCTTTCCTTGTGAGATTATAGCATAAATGAAACTCCTTTTTCCAAATTCTCTATTCAATCTATAATTTTCACCATTTATCAATTTACTTAAAACTGGATTTATTTGGACTAACTAGCCCTTAAATCGGAGCAAAAAATTGTGTTCCATATTAAAGCGGGTTAATTTTTTTAACTCCCCCCCCCCCTCCGTGAGCGAACAAAACCATTAGAAAAATCGCCATTTTTTGACCAAAAACCCACCCTCCGTGAGTGAACAAAAATTTTTTTAATAGAAAAAATTTTAATGGAAAAAAAATTTTGATATATAAGTGATAATTAGTATAATGAAATCTAGAGCTAATTCTGTTTAATTTTAAACAAATTGCGTTTTTTAAAACATAAATTTTGCAAATTAAATTAATATTTGCTTCCCAATTTTTGCAAATTAGGATTTTTTTAAATTTCGAAAAAAATATTTTTTATAAAATTTATATATAAATTTTTTTTAAAAAAAAAAAAATTAACCCCCCTCCGTGAGCGAACAAATTTTTTTGTTCGCTCACGGAGGGGGGGGGGGGGAGTAAGAATTAAATTTTTCTTTTAAAAATTTTTTAAATTTAAATAATTTAAACGTATATTTTTGAATTTTGAATTACTTTATTAAGAATTTATTTAAGAAATTAACCGAAACAGTGTGAAAATGTTTAATAAAATTCTACTTGCACTTTTTCCGATAAATTAGGTCATTTACTAATTTTATAAAAAATCGTGTTTCATATATAAATAAATTATATTCCAATTTAAAGTACCAAAAACAATATTTTACCTAAATTTAGGAGAGAGTAAGGATTAGTTATTTAAGCTGTAAGAGCACGTAAAAGTCCAGGTGAGTGAAGTTTAAATTCTCCAGCAAGTCTGCCAGCTGCAATGAAGACATGGAGATCTCCAGTGGTATGTTCGGCGAGTTTTCCAAGGAATGAGAATACTGGTGGTGGCACTTGGTTCTTTAATTCAGCAAGGTTTGCTTGTCCTGCAATTTGTAGAGCTCTCTCTTTGACTGCATCTGGTAATTCAGCTGAGGTTCTGAATTTCAAGTTAAGGATTGCGCTTTGGTATAAGCTGAGTAACCCTATGCATATTTATACTGATTTTGCATTTTTCAAATAATCTATGCTTTACCAGACTGTATCTATATAATCCCCTTCTCTTTATAAACCCAATATAAAAACTTTTTAGTGCTTTTTCTTCATTCCTACCAAATCTTACTCAGCTTAACACAGCTTAAATTTCCCTATAACATTCCTAATAACACCCAAATTTATTATGTGGCTGCATAAGATGTGGAGAATTCCTCTTCCTGCTCCAGTTGCTTCAGCAACGCTTTGCAAATCAGTGAAAAGAGATCCTGCTCCATGGAAAGCAAAGCTAAGTCTCAATGAGTTCAAAGCGTCAATGATTTTGTTTTGGCTTGCAAGGATAGCTCCGATTTCGTGGCCAATATCGAATTCGAGGTGTACAGTTTGGTCATGTCCGAAGATGTGTCCAGCCATGCTGTGAATCATTTCTTGGATGCCTTGGGCTTCAGCTAATTTTTCTTCGCTTGGGAATCCGCGGACAATAAGTTTGGTTCCGTGGACTGAGAACTCGTGGTTAAGTTTTGGACCTTCTCCTTCAGGATCAACAAGTCCTTTGATCATTTGGGAAACTTCATCTGTAGCAGATCCAGATGTAATTCCTGTCCAAACTTTGGTGAAAAGGTTTTTCAGCTCTTCAGCACCTTCGGCTGATGAACAGTTCACAGCGGTGTAAAAGTTGAAGTCTGCAGGGGCTGTTCCGATCTCGGCTTGGATGGTTTCTCTGGCTTTTGCTGCAAGATTGTCTCCAGTAACGACGTGGATGTAGGCTTGGACGCCTGGCTGGGCTGGGACTTCTCCGATACTGACGCTGATCTCTGTTCTGCTGCTTTCCATATTATTTATTATAAGCCACTCTTTTATCAGGACTTAAATGTCGATAAAAGCATTTAATAGGGAAATATAATTAGTTACTTAGAAACTAATCGAGGTTGAGTTTATCCAGAGAAGTTAAGAGGATAAGGAAATAAAGCCTAAATTTGAGTAAAGCTAAGAATATCGTGAAAAATTAAATTAAGGATATGGGAAAAATTTGTTCTCCTAGTCGATATATAAAGTAAATAACAGAATTTTGCAAAAATCAAGATTAAAGGGAGACAAGTTGAGAGGAAAGTGTGAAGGGGTAAATGAAGGCATAGTAAATAATAAAAGAGCTTTCTAAATCCTGATAGATGACATTATCCAGCTATATTTTTATATTGTGTATTTAGAATTCTAATAGAAAAACAGGGAAGAAATTTTATGATGTCACTGAAAAGGAAGTGCTCAATGCTGGGTTACAAAGATAAGAGATGTGCAGAAATTATTAATATGGACTCTAGAAATTTTTCGACTCTAAAAACTATTTTGCCCAATGACTGATAATTATGCTTTATAAATGTATATGAATTTCTGATCACTTTGAAGTTTAAATTTATGATAATGATTTCGATCTTTATAGTTGAAATTCCAGTTATTGCTTTGTAAGATGAGGACCAAAATTTTTAATTTTTGAAACTGATTAATATCATCTAGAAAACCGAAGGACTTCCAAAATTAATGCATTAATTATTTGGTTCTGATATCTAAATTCTAGAAACTTTTTAAGATGTATATTTTAATAATAAAATGTTGAAAATATACTTCAAAAACATTAACGATAAAATCTGTAATTACCTATTTTTGATATAAAAGATATACTAAATTACAAATATTTTTCTTTTGGCTGTTTCCCTTGTGCTATAATCTTTTTTTTTTTTCTAAACATGAACGAACTATCTATGAATCAGCAAATTAAGCTTATAAAAAGTCTAGTTTTAAGATAAACTGATAATTAAAAATTTTAATTTTCAGGGCTTGCATATTTTCCATGCAGTCTTCTCGTATTTCCATGAACATGAGCTGGGTTGCACTCTGATTCAGCAAAGCCAATTTTATCATTTTCTCTATCAAACACAACATCTTGTCCTCTCATAAAATTTCCCCCCAACACACTTCCCCCTCCAGTATTGTAGATTCCTATACAATAAATATCTTGGTAATCTTGCCATGATGATAAATAATACTCAGGCAGCCAAGCTACATTAATATCCCCAATTGTTAATTCGATAGTTGGAAAAGTATCGAAAAAATGATACAAATCTGGATATTTTTCAATGTTATAATGGTAACATACATGGCCCTCTCCATTGACATGTCTCCTGACTCCATCACATTTCCCTTCTCCTTGGCAAAAGTTTTCTATAGCCTGCCATAAAGGATCATATATAGAACTTGTCAAATAAGTATAAGTCGTTCCTGAGTCAACAATAGCATTTGACACAAAAGTCCTCGAATTATCCCTAGAATTCAAATGCAATGCAGTTCCATTGACTAAAGCATTATTTATTGTTACCGAATAAAAAGTTTCATCATGCAAAGTGGCCCACTTTATAGGATTGATATGTAAAGAAGCATTGTAACCCCCAATTGTCATGTACCCATCTACTTTGCCAAAACAAATGGCAAAAATATCAGTAGAAATATCATGGTCTTGGAACAAAACATCGATAATAGATGGGGTTCTGCTTCTTGGAAATGCTAATCCCATAATCCCGTCAGCTTTTTGAGTTCTGAAAAGGTTGGTTTCTCTTTTATGGCAGCCAAATTTAAAAAGAACAGCTTTGGAGTGCTGGAAATCATCACCAAACATAACTAAATCTTCGACGAGGAAGCCTGAAATTGAGCTTCCTTCAGCATAGCTTTGTGAATATTCGCATTTTTGTTCATGGCAAGAAGAGCAAGAGGTTTCTTCGCAATTGACTAAACGTGCAGTTGTTGATTTTGAGTAATTAAAATAAGAATCCATATGTTGGCCACAGCTGTCACAACCAGCACAAGGGAATGCTGTAAGTCGACTTCCTGTGTCGACAATAACAGTTTGTTTGACTGCTGGGGTTCCGACCCAGATATCGACATAGTAGTAAGCAAGCTCCTCTGTGCTTCCAAATACAACTGCATGCTCTATTTCTTGAGAAATCACATGACTTAATAGTAGGAATATCCAGCCCAGCATTTTAATTTATTTTCAACGAAAATGAAAAGAAGTCAGTATAGAAAAGATGTCGCTTTGGAATAGATAATTTAAAAGATTATTGAGATGTGTATTTTTAAGATTATGATCAAAGAAAGCAAAAATATCAGAAATTTTGATGTTTTTTGCATTTTATCAAAATTGAAAATACGCATAAAATTGTTAGTGATGAGAGACTCATCCTCCATGTGTAGGTGTCTTATGTATGTATGAACGTTTTTTAAGCAGGAAGCTGCCCAAGTGTCTGGTTGGTTTCGAGGTGAGAAGCCCAAATCTATTTCTGCTGATGAGCATAGTTTTTTGGATCTTTTTTACCAGCAGTTTAGTTCCAGTTCAGGGTCCCGATAGAAGTAAAGAGGTTTACCTGTTCAGGTAACTTGGTTGCCTGCCCTGAATGGTTAGGTTGTTGAATTTTTCCTTTGGAGCTAATCCAGAGGAGAAAGGGAAGGCAGGCTTGACTATTGCTATAAAGAGTGAGCCTCTCCAACCTAAAGGTTTAATAAAAAGGGATCTGGTCAGCTGGCGCAACATAAGTAAAAGTTCGGGTTGAAAATTTGTTCCTGACGAAATTCGCTTAAGCTGATTGGGTAGGTAGAAACCGGAGGTTTCGCCCAGGCTCACGCTAAATTGGAAGCCGCCTACATGCGTCTGCCACCTAGTGTGTAACAAAATATCGTTACTATCACAGAATGATGCCTTTGGAATAAACTATAATGCCCAGTGTAATAATCTAATCAAATTGAAAAAAAAATCTAATAAATTATCAAGTAGACCACTCTAAACTTAATATGATTTTTTTAACAAATAAGCTGAATGAGGCTGAATATTAATCATCTTGTTTAACTACAAACAAATTTCATCATTTTATGCAAAAATTATTTTAAAATTTGCCTACTTAAAGCGGCTTTTGTAAACGTTATTAAAATTTATCATCCTAATCACTCTCCTCTTCCATAAGCTGATCTTCACTTTCAGAAGGGCTTTTAATTGCTTCTTTCTTCACTCCTTTTTCGTTTTCACTTGAGCTTTCTTCTATGGTATCATTATCTTCAAGCAGCTTTAATAAGCTTTCTGAAGGCTCGAATTTCCTTTCTTCACAATTCACTTTTTCAACCTCCTCTTGTTTAAGCTTCTCAGCCTTTTGTTTATAAATTTCTTTTTCCTGTTCTCCTGCTTTGTTTCATTCTTGGGAAACTAAAGACGAAAGAGTGCTCATTTTTGAATCTGAATTATAGTTACTTGAATATTCAGGGTTTTTCTTTAATTCGCTCATTTTTTCTTTAAGGAAGACTTGGTAGCCAGACTTGTGACGCTTTGTTTTTATTTTCCTTCGCTTTTTGCTGGATTTTGAATGGTCTGATGAATTAACCCTTCTTTGATTTACTATTTCAGCTGCGTCATTGAAAAATTTTGAGGTCAGCTGAAGTAATTCAACAATCTGAATGACCCTTACCATAGAAATTGAACTTTCTTCCATATATTTTTGAGGTTTTATTCAATTCAATAATGATATAATTAATATTATGTTAGATAATTTTCAGGTGTTGCATAATTTAATCGTGGCTAATGTTTTATTAACATTTTAATGCATAGAAGGAAATTATCTGACTATTAATAGATTTGTAAGTTAATAGGTAAAGATAAATATGGATTTATTGAGCCACAATATGTTTTGATCTATTGGTATGATCTACTAGCTCCCCTAAAAGTGCTAGAAAGGCCTATTTTTGGAAATTAACACCATTTAGAGGAAGCAAAAATATTTTTTCATATAAAATTACTTTAAATATGCTTTTATATATAATTAATAATCGTTTTAGCAAGACTTTAGCTAATTATTTTGATTTAAGATATGGTTGATTTTCTTTAGATAATGACAAATGCTCTAAGATCAGAAAATATAGCTACAATTTTAATATAGTGCCTTGAAAATATTTGATATACATTAAAATGGCGACACGTGTCAATCAGCCCTCTTGGCGCAGTAGTCCAGACCTTATGGCTACGGCGAACTGGGACGGACTCCGAGCTGAGAATCTAGTGCAGGCTCTAGAGGTGTGTATCCGGGTAGGTTTTAGCTGCTTTCCTGTGGTTGGAAATGGAGATGCTCGACAGCTTCCTTTGGATCCAAGGACCCATGGGCATTCCTCTACCGAGAAACTGGGGGTTTTCGGCCCAGGCCACAGGGGAAACAGTCTTTTTCCTGTAGCTATCGGAGAAAGGCACTTCGACACCCGATAGACTCCAAGGAGTTGATCCCTGGAATCGAGCTACTCCAATCGCCCGTAGCATGGCCGCAGAAATCCATAAGCCGCCCACTCAGACTGAAGCCTTAAGGCAAGGAGGAGACAGAAGGCACCGGAAAGGCACTCGCAAGAGGGATAGACCCTCTCTGGCTGGAGTCGAAAAGCGGATGAACCTCCCTACGGGAGGTCTTTGGTTACTGCGTCACCAATATGGCTAACGCCTGACTTTAATAATCCTAATCCTTGAAAATATTTGAGTAACTGGGTAAAACTAGTCTGCTATTCAGACTCAGAAATAGTAGACTAGTTTTGGCCAGTAGACCATTTACTAATGCACAATTATTTGCAAGGCATTATAAAATTAAAAATAATCTAACTCTTTTAAGAATAAACAAAAAATAAACTTACTCACTATTAAATGAAGAAGTAAGTACAAAATAATTATAATAATTGCAACATAGATAAATATCTAACTCCCCCCCCTCCGTGAGTGAACAAAACCATTAGAAAAATCGCTATTTTTTGCCCAAAACCCACCCTCCGTGAGTGAACAAAAATTTTTTTAATAGAAAATTTTTTTATGGAAAAAACTTTTGATATGTAAATGATAATTACTATAATGAAATATAGAGCTAATTCTGTTTAATTTTGACGAATTGCTTTTTAAAACTTAAAATTTTTATAAATTAAATTAATATTTGCTTTCCAATACTTGCGAATTAGGATTTTTTTAAATTTCGAAAAAAAATATTTTTTATAAAATTTATATATAAATTTTTTTTTTAAGAAAAAAAATTAACCCCCCTCCGTGAGTGAACAAAATTTTTTTGTTCACTCACGGAGGGGGGGGGAGTAAATAAAAATTTGTTTTATTGCTATTATAAGAATTTTGATTAAACTAAAATTATTTAGATTTGCTATCAGAATACCTGAATAATATCATATTTGCAATTATCTTGGAAATTAGCTATTATAAAATAGGTTCTAGTAAAGCCTAACCTGATTAAATTATATCAATAATCAATTTTTTAATTTACCAATAGCACTTTTTGTATGCTACATACAAATATAAATTAAGTTTGGAATGCTTTTATATCTCAGCCATATTAGCGGTAATCAATAAAATTAATTATTGCAAAATTTATATCATTGATAAAATAACAGTCTAATAAATATTTTAGAGCGTATATTTGGTTCTAAAAAACAATATTATTACTTTAATTGATAAGAATTCGAGTTAAATAATATTCTAATTTAACTCTAGGTGGCTAAAATATTATAAAACTAAAAAGAAAACAATTGACGCAGCTAAGGTCGATCGATTGTTATGCTGGCTTTAAGTCGTGAGCATATAAATGGTTAATTACAAAATTTAGAAGTTTATAAATTATCTAAAAATATGAGTATTCCAGACGAAACTTCAAAAGAAACCCCACCTAATCCTTCTATTTATTTGAATTTTATACAACTGAGAAAGTTACCAGAAGCTGAAAATGAAGTTGAAGAAGAAGCCTTATTTGTGTATCAGAATAAACAAAAAGAAAACGGCAGCGAAGGGAGTGAAATTTTTGCGAGACTAGAGGACGTCAAGTTAGTAAGTTAAAATTAATCTGTCCATAAGCAGATATCCAACTATCTCGGCTCCAAAAAGTCAGTCTCAATAGACCTCAGAAAATGGAAGGCTGCCATTTAGGATTTCCGAAATGAGCCACCTATCCAAAGGATTAGCTTCCTAGAGCAGATTGACCTTCTAAATGATGCCCTGATATTCCTGATAGACAAAACTTAGTGGGAGGTCAACCGTCTGGCAGGGACACCTGCTCCATAGAGAGTGCACCTCAGAGTCCTCTTCCATCAGCATCACCATTTTATTCTAAGAACGTCAAGGCGTTCAATATTCGGCCTCGTTTTGACTCCGCAGCTATAACTGAAGCAATTGAAACGAAAATTGTAAATATTATTTAGCAAGAAATTAAAAATACCCCACTTGATTACTACGAAATCGTTTTATACGAGTTATGTAAGAAGTTTAACTTGGAACTTTCCTCATCTTGTTTATCATCTAAATCTATTTCAAAAATCCATCATGTATATCGACTAAAAAGCATGGAAGATGAACTGTCAATTTCTCAAAGAAACTCCTTAAATGCAAATTTAGAGGCTATTCTGGACTCTCACCCACGGACTTATAATGAATATATATTATTTGCAGAGACCTTAAAATTTATTTCAGCAATGGCTATAAAATGGGGTATAGTTAGCATCGATAATTATGCATATAGAGTGACAGGAAGAGGACTAAACGTAAAACTTTTGGATTTGAAAGAAATTAATAATGATATCTTTACTATGGAAACACTCTGGCTGGCACTAATGGTGTACCGAGAACCTTTATCTAAAATTGCAGATGACCAAGTGAATCAATATGCGATGTTATTGAACGACACAATTTGTAAGCTTGTAAACGAATTTTTATCATTAAACCGTAATTGTGATTTTGAAGCTGTCAAAAGTATCGCAGGACTTGTAGCATCGAAAAACCCTGAAGTCACAAAATATACTGGAGTTGAGCCTGACTATAATTCGACTTTAGTGGAGTACCAAAGACTGAAGCTAAAAAGAGGAGTTTGGAGTTTATGCTTAAGCAAAAATGATGTAAACTTGATTAAATCTATAAAAGAATTGCTTACGGACTTCGAAATTGTTTATAGACAATTCGAGCGAAGTTTAATGACAAATTTACTGATGGCTTTTCACGGCAATAACTCATAATTACATTATTTTACTTTTTAATTTGATATTCTTTAAAATAGGCTTCAGATCTTTAATAGGACTCATAATTATTTTCTGATATTTCGACAAGAATGAGTTTGCTATTTTTATTGGCTTATCTTTGGTAAGAGCTATGTTATTTCTGAAGCTTTGCTTGTTATGAGTAAAATCACTCATAACCCTGTTGTGTGAAAGAGGGTTTAGCAGCTCTTTTGGCGTCTTTAAGTTGCCAGATGAGCTTTGGTCTATTTTAGAGCTTGATTTACTAGGATTTAATAAACTATTAGGTGTCTGTGACCTTTTAGAAAATAGCCTGAATTTAGATTGTGGAGAATTTGAGACTTTCTTTAGCATTGACTTGCTGCTTTGAAACCCAATGCTTGGTTTTCTTTCTTTTTGCATTGATAAAGGTCTTGAAAAATTGGGTTTTGATTTTATTTGGATTTTTAAGACATTGGAAGTGCTGATACTTCGGGGGAAAATATAATTTTTATTGGATTTTGAGTTTTGGTATTTAGATTCTATTTCTTTGCGGATATCGTAAGAGATATCTTGGTTAAAAAGAGTTTCTTTTAAGTATGAATTATTGAATTCTGTGCAGGAAGAACTGGAAAGCGCGTTTAAGTCTTTTTCAATGCCACAAGGCTTCATTAGTAAGGCGAGATTTAAGCTTTTCATAATTAATTCTCTTTAAATTTTATTTAAAGATATATGGATATTTAGTTGTGTAACTTATTTTAGTCAAATTTCCTTAAAAATATAAATATTTAGCATCAGCATTAAAAAGAATAATTATTTTACATAATGATAGAAGTTTCTATGCTATTCCAATAATATTCATAATAATTATGCTCTTCCAAGACAAATTTGCGAAGTCGCCTATTTATCTGTCACTTAAAAAACAATATGATTCTCCTCCTTCTTCACAGCGAAACACAAAATCTAGGAAAGCTAACTATGAAACCTCTCCCAAGATGAAAATTGAGGACAAGCTAATACTATCTTACCTTCATTATTTATAATACGTTTAATGTCCACTACCAGGTTGCTCGACCACAGCTATCCAGCACCACCCTGGTCGAATCTCGCTCCATTTTCCTCAGGGCCCGCCAAGGGTGTGGCGCCTTGGCTTTGATCTCCAATGAGGACGCCAGTTTAGAAATTTAGGCTTCAACAGCTCTTCTTTGAGCTCAGGCACTGACTTGTGTCTGAACAGCACCCTCAATGTCCCATCTCTACACTTCTGGAAAATACCATTCCCTAAGGTCAGGAATCCGGTAGGAAAACCACCCAGCTCTTACTTACCTAACAGCTGAGATAATTTCACCAGGGAAACCAAATCTCATAATTAAAATATATAAGAGATATAGTAATTGCCCGAGGATGGCGCAAGATAGCGCCATCCTCGGGCAATTGCAATAGATTTTCGGTGGATACCAGTAAATTAGAGTGAGCCATATTTTAATTATTAGGACAAGCTAATCAAAAAAGGTATCGAACTTAAGCTCAAAAAAGCTAAAGAAATAGAAAAGCATGTTTTAGAAATGCAAGAAACTAACCGCTATATTCCTGAGATTAATGATCAATCTAGAATTATTGCAGAATCAGCAACAGGATATAGAAACCCATCATACAATGTAGGTAGAAGCTCCCCAAGATTATGCTCACATGAGCAAGGTAATGCTGGAGAACTTATATCTCTTGTATATAGAGATTATGTAGGTGAGACTGCTGAGCCAATTAAGAATATTAAAAGCCCAAGCAAAAATGATAGGAATTTCAAAATAATTCCTGAAGAGAAATGAGAAAAAAGCCCAAAAAATGAAAAGACTTTGCTTAACGGAGCTAGAATAAGAGCTTCTAAAGAAAATATAGAAGTACTGGAACTGGAAAAGGAACACAATTTAAAAGAATTGGCAAATCGCGATAACTCAAATAGGGCAATCAAAACAAGAACTATTAATTTACTCTCACTTCAGTTTATAATCAGCATATTTTTTGAAATATAAGCTATAGTGAACTACACTGGCTGGCACGGGGTGCTTTTGGCTCAGTTTCGAGCCAAAAGCACCCCGTGCCAGTCAGTGTAGTTAACTATAATAATTTTTTTGAAATATTTTTTTCCTTTTCTCATCCTTATCTATTGATAATTTATCGTTGCACAGGCAAAGAAAAAATTTAAAGATTTTATCAATATATACTAAAGATATTAGAAATAACAGCATTAGCGGGCCCTCATGCTAATTCTTTTACAGCCTATTTGAACCAACAAGTTACCTAGAAGCGATGAATCAATACAAATTGATGAAATAATCCTTATCTCAGGATTTATCAACTTGGAGTTAACTTGCCACCTCTAGGTGAATTGCCGGCTTTCAATTTATCCAAGATAAAGCCAGAATTAGTGCCCGCAAACAGCATGCCTAGCTATATTGAAATCATAATTAGTAAATGTTTAATATTTTTATTTAAGTTTTATATTTATTAAAGCAAAATGCAGAAAGCTATAGACCTGCACCTTAATAATTAAATAGTTAGTCGATACCATAAAGCCTGACAATAACACTATCAAAAAAAAAAGCCGCCCAAATAAATACGTTGAGTTTATAATCAATTCCAAACAAAAATATGAGAAATCTCAAGAAGAAAAGCGCAAAATATTTGAGGATCAAATAAATAAGGACTTCACAAATCCTCATAAAAATTATCCCCAGTTCCAATCGCAATCCAATCTTCCAATCATTTCTAAAGTTATTAACTCTTATCTTTAAATTGAAGCAAATTGCTAGTAAAATTTCAATTAACTCGCTTTCAGTTGAATCACAATTTTTTTCTAGGTAAAAGCAACAATTTCTATCTGTGTCGGTTTAATAGCAATTTAATATTGCTGAAAGTGAAATTTACTTTTACCTTGCTCTATTTTAAAGGAATAATTAGACTGATTAGCAAAGAGCTATTAGAATCAAAAGTTTAAATATTTGAAAAGTTCATATAATTTATTCTAACTGAAAAATTCCATTTAAACTAAAATAGAATTTTTTATTTCAATTTAAAGTAGGAGTGAGTATACTCTGGATATTGATCCCCCCAAGGTTTCAAAAGACGGGTCCGCCAAGAATTTAAAAGACAAAACCTCAAAGCTAAAAAATAATGAAGAAAAAAAAATGGAAATAAAGCTGCAAAGAGATGCAGTTATCCCTAGAAACATTGCATTGATGTATAGAGAAATAATAAAGCAAAGACTTGAGCTCGATAGTTCATACAACTAATTTAATAATTCCTATTTAAATATATCGCATAAAACAATGCGCTTTTTCTCGATAATGTTATATTATTAAAATATAAAAAGGAAATGGGATGCTCAGTCATATATAGAGGCACAGTTAGAGATCTCTACATAAACCAGCCTGCACCACCACTTCTTCCACTTATGGAATCTAAAAATCAAATCCCAGACGTTTTCCCACCTACTGGCATTATAAATCGTGACGACATTCAATTTTTTGATCATAAAGAACTGATAAAGCAGTCCCAACTTATCCACATATATGGATTTATGATGGCTTAATATTATATTGCTTAAATAAGCATGTATTTTCTATAAAATTTAAGCTTATAATTTATTTTTAATATATTTTATCTCTCTAATTAGCATATATGATCTTACAATTTATTCAGAAGATTACATAAAAGGCTTTATAATTGAATACAATATTGATGGCTCTGTAAAACGAACATCACACATAAGAGGGCATCACGGGAAAGAAGACCGGCTTATATTAGGGACATCAGACTATATTCAAAAAATAGAAATCACATATGATAAATATGTAAATTCAATTTCATTTCAAACTGCTCAAGGGCAAAATTTTTTAGCACAGGTGAAATAGGCCTTAATAAATATGGCTTTTTGCCGGGCATTGCTTTCCAGCAATGCATCATTGAGCAACACTTATTTATGTCCGGCGAGGTTTGCCAACAAGAAATTGATAGTATGCTAGGTAAGCAATTCTGGTAATGTACAGAGCCTAGCTCTAGTCTGCTTTCAGGATTAGATTTTACCTCGAGGGAAAAGGGGGCTCAGATTTGGAAGGGAAAGCTCAGCAGCGTCTACAGGTAATACTTGACCAATCAGGCAATTTCTAGTGCGAAACTAAGAGTTACACATCAGGCTTTGAGCTTTTCCTTTTTTACAGAAAGTCTATTTTTTGGATTTTTCTGGGACAACCCTTTTCGCCATGCACATATTGCAGAATTCCATGGCAAACCGGAGCCCAAAACTTAAGGAGGAGACAGAAACATAGACCTCTACTAAATAGGCGTCATGGCACGTGGAGTTCGAGCTGATTTCCCAAGCGAATTCATCATCCCAGCTCAACAAGTTCTCTATCGCAACTTCGCAAAGCAACTGAATCCCCTTTAGAGACCATTGCTGGCTGCGTTACCATAGGCAGCAGCCAAACATGGACTAAGTTTTAAGTTTATGGGTAAAAAAGGCCCTGGATCTCAAATTCAAAATGTTGATTTTACAAAGCAAAAAAGAGGCGTTGTAGGATTTAAAGGTGAAATTTCAGAATTTTTAAGTGCTTTATATGTGTATTCTTGGAAATTAACTCCACCTCCGGTAAAATTTCCATTTTTTTGGTAGCCTCTTTTATAGTGGAATAATTAAAATAAATAATTTATATATAAATATCGCTAAAATAAAAAATTTAGCATAAACTTGCTATAATTGAAGTTGGGAAGTGCAAGTAGAATATTATTGAACAAGTTGGCATTTTAAATCTAAATTTTATGAAAGTTAAGAAAATGTAATATTATTTTTATTTCAAAAGAATAATTAATCCTGTATGAAATTGTTTCATTCTAATTTAATGGGGAAGTAAGAGATCGCATTGTTTAGTTTAATAGTGTTTTAATAACTTGCTCCTGATAGATAATAAGAGTTTGAATTTTCATTTACATATTAGTTGATAATTGTTAATTTTTGTAAATATTCAATGGAAAACATTTTTATTAAATTGAGGATTTAAAAATCTCCCAACCTTTGATTATTTATTATTTATCTAAAGTTTTTATCTATTAAGCATAATTTATATCTTGACTCCTACTTCTACAAATTTTTTTTTCATTCTAATTATCTAAAAAATTTGTTTAGATAAATACCGTATCAAGATACATTTTTTCAAAAAATTTCTTTTCTTTAATAAATAGTATTTATTCTAAATGCACCGTTAAATTTATCAGACTTTTTCTATTGAAATTATCAATATATTGGACTGTTAATTTCATTCAATTTCTGAATATTTTGTCACAAATATCGGCAGACTGGTTTTATTTGATGCAATTTGGCATGATCTAGATCAAGATATGAGTAAACATTTAAGAAAAAGGAAATAAAATCCTTAAAAATAGCACAAGAGTATCTAATCTTCTTTATTTGCTGGAGAAAACCCGTCATTTTTGTTCCTGAAAACACTGGAAAGATATTTATCATTAAAATTTAACGTAATTTACCGAATTTTGAATTGGTGTTGAATAAATAAATTGGATTATGGCTGAAAATAAAAAATCTCACTTACTTCCCCCCCTCCGTGAGTGAACAAAAAAATTTTGTTCACTCTAGGAGGGGGTTTTTTTAAAAATCTTTATAAAAAATATTTTTTTTTGAAATTTAAAAAAATCCTAATTCGCAAAAATTGGAAAGCAATTATTAATTCAATTTGCAAAATTTATGTTTTAAAAAGCAATTCGTTTAAAATTAAACCGAATTAGCTCTAGATTTCATTATACTAATTATTATTTATATATCAAAATTTTTTTCCATAAAAAATTTTTCTATTAAAAAAATTTTTGTTCACTCACTGAGGGTGGGTTTTTGGGCAAAAAATAGCGATTTTTCTAATGGTTTGTTCACTCACGGAGGGGGGAGGAGTTAATAAATGGTGTTTCGCATATTTAATTAAGAGTTAATGCATAAAGATAAAAGCATTCCGATGATAAACTGCTTAATTTCGCCCCTCAAGCAAAACCATTGAAAAATCCTGGTTTTGATTAAAATAAATTATTAAATACTTAATATACAAAACTATCATTTTTTCTTTTAAATATATTTAAATAAGCTGCTTTAGTAATATTAAATTTTATATATTCTTACCCCCTCCATAAGCGAACAAAACCAATTGGAAAAATACATATTTTTTGCTCAAAAACCTATACTTTGTGATTGAAAAACAAAATTTTATGAAATAAAATTTTGATATATAAGTGATAATCTAGTTAATTCTGTTTAACTTAAACAGCTTGCATTCTAAAACATAAATTTAAAAACCTCCCTCCGTCAGCAAACCAAATCTTTTTGTTATCTCATGGGGGAGTTAGAAAAATACCTCAGTGATAAGTAAAATTATTTGATTATTCATGGAGGGGAGCTAATACTTCTTATTAACGCTAAAAACTACATAATTATTCATAATTTAGCATTTATCCTATTTATTAATAAAAATAGAAGCTTAATCAAAATTTAATAAACAAGTAAATTTCATTAAATTTCGATTATTATTAATATACGATAAAACTGTATATTCTCTATACATAAATAAAATGGCATTCGATTCGAAGGAACTTAGCTTTACTAATTTTCTCTCCCTCATGGAATTTTATTTTTTTTGGGTTGGGTTTTCTCTCGAGAACTTCTGCACAGCAATAGCTGTTTAACTTTGGTGATAACCAAAGGAACAGCTCCTCAGTGCACTCAAAATTTCGGGGTTTTACCTCTCAGCACATCCCCACGGGAGGATGACCCTTAGACGGAACACGCACAGGAGCTGGGTCGAGACAAGGCAACGGCAACGCGCCGGGTGAGACGTGCGGCAAACGAAGGACGAAGTGCAGATGAAGGCTTAGCCGGTAGGCTGACCACCGCAATTCCAAGATGGCTCGGCGACGTCACTAGTTTAGCTATAGCTCCATTTTATGGGGGTGCGGCACTAGACACCTTAAATACCAGACGCCAAGTTAAGCTAAGTTAAGTATATCTCTATACTTATTTATCTAAAACTTGGATTTTGGAAAAACAAGAGAGATGATGGAGATGGACTTGGTTCGGCTTGTGTGTTTGGTCCCACTCCCATGTTATAGCACATTTTTATTTGGTCGGCCAGAGAAGAAAAGCCTAGATCATTAAAAGTATACGGCACAAATCCAGGGCTTCCACCACTTCTTGGAATTGGAGTTGGTACATTAAGAAGCGGATTTTCAGGCTTCGTTTCTTTTTCCATGCATTTTTTCTCGTCTAGCAAGAAATTTATAGGATCGGATCCTTTAGGACATATTTTTTCAGCTTTTTTGGACATGCTTTTCCATCGGTTCTTGACTTGATTTTCCGTTCTCCCATGTAGATTCCTAGCAATTTCGCTTCATTTGTTGCCAATCTCAAGCTGTTTTTCCAAAATATAAATATCTTCTTGAGTTGTCCAATTACCTTTTAAAAGCCCTGGATCTAAATGATTATACCATCTTTCTCGACATTGCTTCCCTTGTCTAAGGGGAAGGCTTTTATGTACAATAGAATTTAATTCTCTAGCAATGGACGTTCAATGCCTTGGTCCACGTTGCTCTATGAGAGCTCTTAAAGAATCATCTTCTATTAAAGTTCATGGCTGTCTTGTTTGTAATTTCTCTCAATCTATATCAGTACTAAATGGCTTGCAAAGCGGTTGATATATGTTGTCCTCTCTGTTGACAAAGCATGGTATCATCCAGACATCTTCTGTTATAGGGTAAGGAGTTAAATTAGGCGTCTCCATGTGGGTTTTTGTATAAAAATATAAAATAATTACGATAAAGGTTAGTAATTAATATTTAATGCGGCATAGTCAGTAATGCGGATTTGTTTATGAGTTAATGATGAAAGGAAGAATCAGGCATTTTAATTTTATTTTCATTAAATTCAAAATTGGAGAGGTCTGAGGGCTAGGTTTAATGCGGTTTATTTATTAATATAAGAATAAAGCTTAAAATTTGGATGGATAGAGAGGAAATCAGTTAATTTAAGGTTGGCGAACATTTTGGATTTATCGAAACAGAAAAATGGAGGTAAAACAAAAAAGGGTTTTGGTAAAAGAGCTAGGCATAGTTAAACAATAAAAATTGTGCATCAAAAATAATTAAACTACATATTAGGCTTTGCAGACATAAAGTGAGATTTTTTTATTTATTTAAAAAATAGAAAAACTGATAAGCTTTCTGACTTTTAAAAACTATTCAGTTAATCAAAATTACGATTTATTTACAATTATTTTCTTGTAGCAACTGTCCTTGATCTAAACAGTGCTTTTTTTGCTTTTTCCTGAGAAGTCTCTGAATCGCCTTTAATTCCTAATCGATGCTGTTCATCAAATAAATGCTTGTTTTGAAGTATCAGCCTCTTTTTCTCCCTGCTTTCCATCTTCATTTTGTTATTGATTTCTTCGATTTGCATATTTTTAGCATAAAGTTCTTGATCCAGTTTCGATATTCTTGCAAGCGCTTTTTCAAGATTTATTTCTTTCTCCTTCACACTAGTCTGCAACTTCTCCATGGACTTATAGCGTTTCAATGAAAGCGGCGAATTCACTATAATTTCATTTAAGCTTGCATCAAAGCTATCAGCGCCCTGTCTTGAATTAATTCTCCTTATTGCAATCTCTTCATTTTGCTCATCCTGCCTTATTTTTGTCACTTTTTCCCTCAATTGTTCAATTTCTTGATTTTTCTCATTAAGTCTTCCCTCGAGCAAATTCGTTTTTTCTTTATACTGCTTCTCAACTGCCTCAAACCGTGAAAACAGGTTTTTTAAAAATGCGCAGTCACTTTCTATTTTTCGCTTATCTTCAATAATATCTTCTATTGATTTCGTCAAGTCTATGATTTCTTTTTTAAGTCTTTCAATTTCTGCTTTAGAATTCTCTGGTGGCGCTACTCGCTTATTTTGGTCATCTTTGTGCTGTTCTGGGTCGAAATATTTAATAGAGTTTTCAATCATTTGGAAAAAGCCTGAGTCTCCTTCTAAAGTTCCCATATTAATTAATTCTTAGAGTTATAGTCTTTCTATGAATAAGGACATTCGGGTATCACCTCTGTCTACACTTAGAACTTTCATTTCTTGTTCACACTCAAGAACAACAGCAACTCTGCCTAATATGTCTGGGTTATTGTTTTCTACTTCACTCCAGGCTATATTAACATATTCAGCTAATGTAAGTATGCTTGGCAAAATTCTTTCAAATAGAGGGTGAGCGCTGACAGGAATACCTCTTACTATAATTAAAAGCTCATTGTGACATGCAGACGCCAATTGAACAGAAGCCAGCTTCTGTAGAGCTGAAAGCCTAGAGGGGATGTCCACAACGTTCATTCTTTCTAAAACTTGGATTCATAAAGCTTCTTCAGTAAGCAATGACCTTGCATCTAACTCGTAACCTTCAGAAAAATCAAGCAATGATAAAATGTCTCTAATAGGCCTTCCAGGTGGTGTATAAAACAGCCAAGGCTCGTCTTCTTGTGCATTGGTTTCTTTTGTGGCGTTATTAATTTCAATGCTTTCTCTTGACGCAATTGGAGGTCTTGGATCTTTGCGCACTTTTCTCAGCTGAGCAGTTAAATCTTCAACTTGGTCTTCAAGCTCACAAATCCTGGTAAGAAGGACTTCTCGCTCATGGGCTCCTTTTTTCTGGAGATTTTCTATGTAGTTGAGGCGTTGTATGAATTCTTCCATAAATAGAAATATATTAAAAAAATATAGAGATATAGAAGACTAAGCAAGAAAAAAAATTTGGAAGACCTAGGAAGAAATTTTGTAATAAGGGATTTATTTGGCTTCCCCCCTTGTAATATTTTAAATGGCGGGGAACGATAGCGACTCAGGCACAAGTACGATTGAGCAGATATATCAAAAGAAAACACCATTAGAACACATTTTACTGCGTCCTGATACTTATGTAGGCTCAATCGAAATGCAGGAAAACAAGTTGTGAGTGTGGGACTCTGAACAAAACACCATGGTGTTTAGACAAATACAATATGTTCCAGGGCTTTATAAAATATTTGATGAAATCTTGGTTAATGCTGCTGATAACTATCAGAGAGACAAAAAGATGAACAAAATCGATGTAACTCTTGACCCTGAAAGAGGGATGATATCTGTGTGAAATAATGGAAAAGGAATCCCAGTTGCAGTGCATCAAGAATACGGAATCTATGTCCCAGAACTCATTTTCGGCCAACTCTTGACATCAAGCAACTATGATGACACCAAAAAAAAGACCACCGGTGGTCGAAATGGTTATGGCGCTAAGCTTGCTAACGTCTTTTCTAAAAGATTTATAATTGAAACTGCAGATTCAGAAAGAATGCAAAAATTCTCAATGGAATGGACTGACAACATGAGCAAAAAGTCTCACCCTACCATAACCAAGCTCAAAAAATCTGAAGATTACACCTGCATAACCTTTTACCCAGACTTAGAAAGATTCGGTATGAGTAGTCTCAATAAAGATATCCTTGATCTTATGACTAAAAGAGTGTATGATATGGCAGGATCTACAGGTAAATCAGTCAAAGTTTTCCTAAACCAAAAAGAAATTTCAATTAAAAACTTCAAAGACTATATTGACCTTTACATCAAAGACCCCACAATGCCTAAAATTTATGAAAATCCTAGCGAAAGGTGAGAAGTCGGAATTTCTATTAGTGAAGGCGTTTTTCAGCAGGTCTCATTTGTAAACTCTATTTGCACTTCCAAAGGAGGGACACATGTAAATCATGTTGCAGACCAATTAATTAATGCAATTTCTGGAGCGATCCAAAAAAAGAACAAAAAGCTTGATATAAAAAATAATCAAATAAAGCAGCATTTGTGGGTTTTTGTCAATTCCCTGGTAGAAAACCCTTGCTTTGACTCACAAACTAAAGAAACAATGACGCTAAAACCTTCTTCGTTTGGTTCTAAATGTGAACTCAGTGAAAAATTCATAAAAGAAGTCGTAAATTGCGGCATCATTGACCATGTCGTGGCTTTTGCCAAAGCAAAAACTGAAGCACAGTTAGGGAAAAAAGTAAAATCTAAGAAAAATGAAAAAATTTATTTGAATAAGCTAGAAGATGCAAATTTAGCAGGGACGAAAAACAGCAGAGAGTGCACATTGATTTTAACTGAAGGAGACAGTGCAAAAACTCTGGCAGTCGCAGGAATTGAAGTGGTTGGAAGAGATAAGTTTGGAGCTTTTCCGCTGAAAGGGAAGCTTTTAAATGTTAGAGAAGCTTCACACAAGCAGCTGATGGCTAATGAAGAAATCCAAAATATCATGAAAATCGTAGGACTACAGCCTAAAAAAGAATATGAAGACTTAGGAGAGCTTAGATATGGGTGCATAATGATTATGGCTGATCAAGATCTTGATGGGTCTCATATCAAAGGACTTATAATCAACCTTATCCACTTCTTTTGACCAGGCTTGCTAAAAACAACTGGATTTGTCAAAGAGTTTATCACTCCTATCGTAAAAGCTACAAAAGGTCACGATAGCATTTCATTTTACACTCTTCACGAATATGAAGCTTGGAGCAAAGCTGAAGACAGAAAATCATGGAACATTAAATACTACAAAGGCTTAGGCACTTCTACTAGTAAAGAAGCCCGCGAATATTTTGGGAACATCCAAAGACATAGGATTGAATTTTTATATGATAATGATCAACGTGACGGAGATGCTATAGATATGGCTTTTAATAAAAAAAGATCTGATGACCGTAAAAGGTGGCTTGCTGCGTTAGATCCTGACACTTTTCTTGATATGAGTGAGCCTCAAATAAGTGTTTCCGATTTCATCAATAGGGAGCTGATTTTATTTTCAAATTATGATAATATTAGGTCCATTCCAAGTGTAGTTGATGGGCTGAAGCCGGGACAGAGAAAAATCATTTTTTCTTGCTTTAAGAGGAAACTGAAAGGAGAAATAAAGGTAGCACAGCTAGCTGGGTATGTAGGGGAGCATTCTGCATATCATCATGGAGAACAGTCTTTGGCTACTACAATTGTAGGGCTGGCTCAGAATTTCGTTGGATCAAATAATATAAATCTGCTGCTGCCGATAGGACAGTTTGGGACTAGGCTTCTAGGAGGGAAAGATATGGCTAGCCCAAGATATATTTTTACAAATCTCTCTCAAGTGACTAGGAAAATGTTTATATTAGAAGATGATTATTTACTAAATTATCAAAAAGAAGAGGGTCAAAAAATTGAGCCGAATTGATATGTCCCGATAATTCCGCTTGTACTGATAAACGGTGCTGATGGTATTGGAACTGGTTGAAGCACCTGCATCCCTCCTTATAATCCAATTGAGCTAATTCAAGTATACAGAGATAGGATTAATGGGAATTCTTTTGATGGAATTCGTTTAAAACCTTGGTTTAAAGGATATACTGGAACTTTAGATTGGATTGAAGGAAATGGAGGAGGCTATGAAATCAAAGGTGTATTTGAAAGACTTGATGGAAATATACTCAGAATTACAGAACTTCCTATTGGTAAGTGGACGACTGACTATAAAAAATTTCTTGAAGAACTAGCTCAAGCTGAAAATCCTATTGTCACCGATATAAAAGAATATCATACAGAAAACCGGATAGATTTTCATATAGAAGTCCCTACTCTGCAACATAAAATATATTGAAATGGCGACATGTGGCAACCTGCACTCTTGGCGCAGCATTCAAGACCTTATGGCAACTGCGAACTAGGACAGACCCTAGCCGATAATCAAGTGCAGCCTCAGAAGATGTGTATCTGGGTAGGTTTTGGCTACCTTCTTGTGGTTGAGATGGAGGTGCCTGACAATTTCCTTTGGATCCTAGAACCCATGGGATTTTCTCTACCAAGAAACTAAAGGGTTTCAGCATAGCAGTTTATTCCTAAAGCTGTCGAAGGAAGGCTTAATCTTAATCTTAATTATATGTTATTGAGTAGCTCCCGGCCAGGACCATAGGTCCTTTTCTGCCTCCTTTTGGTCGCCTCGCTTGCTTTCCTTGCCCTGCTCCCAGTGTATACCTAAGTGCCACAGGCTACCACTCGGCTCCTTCCGGTCATGGGGCTTGGTCATGAAATTCCGGAAGTAGACGGACTGGGTCACCATGCTTCACGTCGTCGACTAGGGCTAGAGCTAGGGATTAACTCCCTAGTTCTTATCGGCATCTGCTGTGCCGTCCGATTTGGCACCAGCAGTCCCTAGAGGAAAACCATTTTTTGTCCCATGTCCCGTCGGGACGATCCGAAAATCATCATTGCTGGACCGGGAGGGAAACCTAGCCGGTGTCGTCGAAGGAAGGCACTTCGGCACTCGACTGACTCAAAGAAACTAGTTCTTGGAATCAAGCACTCCAATCCCATCAAAGGGTCGCCCAGAAATCTATACGCCACTCGCACAAGACTGAAGTCTCAAGACGAGGAGAAGATAGAAGGCACCAGAAATGGCATCCACCTTTGGGGGGAAATTTTTTCTGGAGTCGAAAGCGGTTGAAACCTCCTGTAAATAAGGTCTTTGGTGACTACGTCGCCAATATAGCTAGCTTGTGCCTAAGTTTAATCTTAATTCTTACTCTGCAACATTTCTCAGATTCAGAAATAATGAAAATATTTAAACTGCAGTCTTCACTTAGCATGAACAATCTTGTCCTCTTCAATCCCGAGCGTAAAATCAAAAAATACCCTGGAATCAAAGAAATCCTAGAAGAGCACTACACCATCCGTGAAGACTTCTACGAAAAGCGAAAAGAGTTCTTAGTCAGTCAAACCACTGCAGAAGTTACCATAATTTCTAATAAAGTCAGGTTTATTTTGGAAGTAATTAACAACGAGCTAATAATCAATAAAAAACAAAAAGCAATTTTAATCACAGAATTAAAAAGAAAAGGTTTCACCACAAAATCAGAGCTAGAAAAGATTTTCAAAGACCCTAAAATCCATCAGGTGGAAGATAAAGAAACAGAGCAGGAAAATGACGAAGTAGTGGAGTCAGGGACAATAAAAGCAAAAGAATATGATTATCTGCTAGGAATGCCATTATGGTCTCTTACATATGAAAAGGTAGAGCAGCTTAAAAAAGAAGAACAAGAAAAGATACATGAATTGGAAACGTTGAAAAATACAAGCATTTATGATATGTGGGGGAAAGATTTGGATGAGCTGAAAAAGGTTATTGAAGAGGAGTGGGAAAATGAAGAAAGAGAAAGGAATAAAGTTCCTGCAGTGAAAGGGAAAACCAAAAAAACTGCAAAAAGGGCCACAAAAGTGCCTGCTAGGGAGAAAAAAGATATAAATATCTGTATTAATTACTGATAATATAGTAAATACTATTATACAGTCACATTTTAGTCTAATCAGATATAATTTGAAGCAAACTACTATCAAACCCCCCACAAAAATCATCACACAATCTGATGACGAAAGAAAGGGGAAAATCAGAAAAATTAATATCAGCAAAGAAAAAGGTTACGAAGTCATAGAAGACATCACAGCAGCCACCAGCGAGTCTTCAGACTTTAAAAACCCACTTGGTGCTAGAAAAAGAAAAAATAGCATCGAAGATACAAAAAACAAAAAATCCAAGCTAATGCCTAACGCAGAAATGATAATTGCTTCTGAGAGCGAAGATGAAGAATTTGAACTTTAATTGCTAATTAACAGAAATTAAACGCTAGCTTAATTATTTATGTTAGATTGGCTATATGATGGAAGATTTGATATTGTTGATTTCAGATCATATGTTCCTGGCCCTGGAGTTCCTGTAGGCTTTAAATTGCTTCTTCCTCCATACCCAAGTCCCCATTTCGGACCTTCAAGTGTACTTTTCAGCTGATAGCTTCCAGGTCCTGGAAAGGTGGATAATGATAGATCTGCACCTCTTTTAGCTTTTCCCATCTTTGGGGCTGGTAAATTGTCTATTGTTGATAAATTAGGACTATAGTGCCCAGGGCCTGGAGAGCTATTTTGTTTATCTCGTTTAGATCGCCCATACAAGCTATATGATGGCCCTTCGCTTTTAGGCCGATGCTCGTAACTTCCAGGTCCAGGTGTGTCATTAAGGCTGTTAATTGGAAGTCTATAAGATCTGCCAAATCTGCATAATAATTACACTGGTCGTCTTGCATTAGGAGTTACAGCCCGAGGAATATATGATCCTGGTCCAGGCGAGCTTTGCTTTCCTATGATCGAAGGTCTTGCCGATCTTCCAAATCCAAAATTTGGTCCTCCATCAAGTAAATAAGTAATTGGGTTATATGATCCTGGCCCAGGGACATTTTCGAAATGTTTATAATTTTTTCTACTAAAAATACTCCATGCAGGAGCTGAAGTCTTCATATAAATCTTTAATAAATTATCTAGAAATCATTAATTTCGTCTTTAAATTGGAGCAAAATACAAAATATAAATTCTCAATAGAGAATTTTTTTGTGAAAATAATAATTGCTATATAATAGCTTCGACACCAAGGTTAATCGAAAAATTACAAAATTTACTTATTATAAAGAGACAAGTATAATAGAATGCCATTGGATTATGAATTGATTAATTAAATTATATGAAAAATGCTATTTATTTTACCAATTTCAATATAATTTTTTTCTCTATGAAACAATTAGCATTCATTTAAATTGATAGATCTTTAGTTCCAATTTAAAAATAAGCGAGAGTAAGAAATAAACTGTAAAAAGGGTAAATGGCATTTCTTGATCTTTCACATACAACTTTTTGGCTATAGAATATGAAGAAGATGATTGAAAAAAATTTAAAGCATCTCAATTAATATTCAATTTGAGCAAAATAAGGTTGCTCTTTTATGATTTAAATCTCTTTAGCATATTGATTGCGAAAGATTAGTTAGCTTGGACGAAAAAGCTTTTTACTCCTCCCTCGTCCGTGAGCGAACCAAAAAATTTTGTTTCCCCACAGAGTAGGTTCATTTTTTTAAATTTAAAATAAGTTGAAAATTAAAAAAAATCCCAATTCGGAAATCAAAAATTAATTTAAATTGCAAATTTATGTTTTAAAATGTAAATTGTTTAAAAATTTAACAGGATTAGCTAGAGATCTTATTATATTAATTATCACTTATATATTAAAAATTTTGTTTTCTCATGGAAGATGAGTTTTTGGCCAAAAAATAGAGATTTTTCAAATGGTTTTGTCCGCATATATAGGAGAGAGTTAGAATTAAAATAACATTATTTTTGGTTTAAATATAGTTTTAATATGGAAAAGCACGAGCAAGAAGGCTGTAAGCTTGAAAAGGTCATCAAAGGTCCTTGCTGTGTATGCAAAGAAACAAAATCTGCTAGAGATCAATGCCTCTTACTTAAATCTGAAGACTAGATTAAGTTAAATTCTAGCAGGTCTCTGGTGATTATTTCAGCCCCTCACCGTCCCAGGCCAACTTCAGGCTTAAGTATCCCTAAGCATAGGCATAACTCCATGCCCTTTACCTGTCAACGTCATATCTAGGACTAGGATTATTCACAAGTCACCCTTGGCCTGTTCATCTCTCGCCATCTTTTAAAAATGTAAATCTAAAGAAGAATGCCAAAATGAGATAAATCTGCACAATCAATGCTTAATAAAAGAAGGTTTCGATCCAAGAAAATAGTATTACCATAACACATTCTGAGTAAATTCATCTAATTTTGTCAAGTCTTTTTATCATAAATATATAAATTTTCTATTTATTTGGGGAAATATCAATCCAACACTTTAGCCTCTGCTAAAATTGATAAGACTTAAGTTAAAGAAAAAGATTGTGTTAGGTAAAAAAGAACCTTAAGTTAATCTGCCTTTCGTCTTACTGAACAACCAACTGTGAGCTTGCATTTTCCTCCAGAAGGCTGTGCAAGTATTTGTTGGCATCCTTCACATGTGATGACGCTTTGTGCATGGCTGAAAGCAGTTGTTAGTGCATAACAACTTGAACATTTGATGTCCATGAAGTAGCTATTGGGACTTTGCACCAATCTCTTCTTCTTGTGGCATATTCTTTGCTGTTCTGATTCTGGGTGCAGAAGGTCAATCTCCATTAAAATTTCTAACCCTATTAACTTAGTCAATTTCTTAAATAAGAATTTACCTAAATCCATAATTTTGCAACACTTTTCTTTGGCAAAATTCCTTCTTTATATTGCCTAGATTAACCACAAAATTTTCTATCGTTAAAATTTACTCATCACAAAAATCTGGCTCCTTACACTAAATTTAATTCTAGTTCGTATCTTTATGAGATACTTATAATTAAATAATTCTTACTCTGATTCCTATCGCTCCCATTATTACCTTATATTTTAACAATAATTTACGCGCAATAGATGTACAGGTTTGCCTCATTAATTAGAAGATTTACCTTCAAACAGCTACCGCAGACTTTTGTTTCATCTCATTACCTAATCTCTAATGCAGAAATACAAGACTTTTTCCACCGCCATCAGTTAGAATATAAAGAAAATTCTAATGGTTTTCAAGTAAAATATTGCCCTTTGTGCCCAAAACCTCATAATGAGGATAGAACGAATATGTATACTTTAGGCTTCAAATTAAACAGTGGGGTTTTCCATTGTTTCCGATGTGGATCTCAAGGATCGTGGTATGATTTCAAGAATTGGGTTGTAGGAGGCAGTCTAGGAGTCGATACCATGCAGAGCACAAATGTTCAGTACCCATCAGAAGAAGAGCATCTGCAGCATGTGAATTATTTAAGAGACAATAAATACCCTGAAATATTAAAATACTTAAAAGAAGTTAGAGGGCTTAATGAAGAAATTTTAGAGTACTATAAAATTGGTATAGGGAACAAAATTTATAGGGATTTGCAAAATGATAACTCTGTTGAACTGCCAAGTGTGTATTTTCCTATGTTTGCATCAATTGGCAAAGGACAAGTGAAGCTTATGAGAGTTAAAGCAAGAGCGATTTATAAAGAAAATAAACATAATATGAGACTGATACCAACTGGAGGAGGGTGAGGGTTATTTGGCCTGAATACAGTTCAGCCAGGGATAAAAACAGTCGTACTGACCGAAGGAGAATATGATGCTATGGCTGTTTATCAAGCTACAGGTCTTGCAGCTGTTTCACTGCCTAATGGGGCTTCTCATCTCCCTCTACAAATGCTTCCATGGTTTGAACAATTTCAAAAAATTTACTTATGGCTAGACGACGACTTAGCAGGCAGAGAAGCCGCAGCTAAATTTGCTAGAAAACTTGGAATAAAGCGCAGCTTTATAGTTTCAACTAAAAGTTTTAGCGGGGAAGGTCCAAAAGATGCTAATGAAGCTTTATTATCTTGTTCTCATGAAGGAATGAAGCAGTTTATTGCAGATGCCAAGCCTCTTGCTGAAGAAAATATTACAACATTTAGAGAGCTCCGTCAAGAAGTTTATCAGAAAATTATCAAGCACAAAGAAGAAACCGGGATTATGAGCAATTCTTTTAAGTGGTTTAATGAAAAAACAAAGGGCTTTAGAAGAGGAGAGTTATCAATTTTAACTGGAGGCACAGGTTCAGGGAAAACTACATTGTTGTCTCAATTATCGCTGGATTTTTGCGAACAAAACATTCCAACACTATGGGGGAGTTTTGAAATAAAAAATGATATTTTGCTGAAAAAATTGCTGCTGCAGTATGCGAAATGTGATTTAATAGCCCAGCCAGAGCTTTTTAATGAATATGCTGATAAGTTTCAAGAGCTGCCATTATTTTTGCTAAAATTCTTTGGTTCTACTGATGTGGATAAAATTTTGGACACTATGGATTTTGCGGTGTATGCTTATGATATAGGGCATATTGTGATAGATAACCTTCAGTTCATGCTTAGTGGTCAAGCTCAAGGGTCTAATAAATTTGATCTCCAAGATAATGTAATTGCAAGATTTCGTGCATTCGCAACTGATAAAAATGTCCATATAACCACTGTTATCCATCCTAAAAAAGTTGATGATGACTCTGACTTAAGTGTCTCTAGCGTATTTGGGTCTGCAAAAGCTACACAAGAAGCTGATAATATTTTTATTATACAAAATAGGCATAAGTATAGATTAATTGATGTCAGGAAAAACAGATTTGATGGTGAAGTAGGAAGGTCTGGCTTAGGATTTAATAAGGCAACTTCTACGTTTTTTGAGTTGACAAATCAAGAAATTTCAGAGCTGAGAAATAATGCAGAGATCACTATTAACGATATTATTAAATTAAGAGGTCAACAACAATAAAAAATCGTTAATTCAAAGTAATTATTTTAAAATTTGAGATTATAAATGTAAAGCTTTTATTAAATTAATTTGATAAAAACATTTATAAATTTAAATTAATAGGCCATTAATAATTCTCTTTATTTTTGTTATTAAAGTCAAATTGATTAATAAATAGATGTGAAACGAAAACTACTAACTCCCTCTCTCTGAGCGGAATAAAAATTTTACTACAGAGGAGGTTAATTTTTTTAAAAATATTTACATATAAATTTGAATGGGAAATTTAATTTAAATCGTAAAGCTTGTGTTTAAAAATGAAGCCATTTAAAAAATTAGCTAGATATCTCATATAAAAATTATCTTTTATATACTCAAAATTTTTATATTAAAATAATTTATCGCTTATAGAGAATAGAATTTTCCATTTGCTTTGCTCACTCGCCAAGGTTGGAGTAAGCTGAGTAATATTCAATAAAAAATGCTTATTTTGTTTGTAAAAATTTAAATATTTTACAAAACTCTCATCTTTAGAGAATCATAAAACTTTTAGACTGACGTTTAATAAACGACAGATTTGGGCTATTTTCACTTCGTTTTTTAAATACCTTCTTATTGATAATACTTTCTATTTTATTTATCCTATCAGAAGGCCGTAAGCACTTACTCGAATATCTTGTTAAAGATATTTTTTCATATGAACTATTATTTAATAGTGATTTTCTGCTTATTTGTTTGTCGAACGGTATACCTTTAATTTTCTTTTTCTCATTTTCAAATATATATGTAGATTCTACCGAAATATCGCAGCTTTTAGCTCGAATTTTTCTTTCATTTTCAATTTCTCATGGTAATTTTGCTTTCCCAAATATAACTTCTGGTGATTTTTTCATAAGAAATTCATTATTTGGGGTGTATCTTCCTATAGGAGGTGGCGAGTCACTGCTCTTAACAAATTCGCTTCTTTCTTTAACTAAAAAAGCAAAACTGCCTTTTCTCAATATTTGTTTCTGGCTTAAATTATTTTGAGAGAATTCTGAAGCTTTTTCAAATGCCCGTTGAATTCGGATTTCTACTGGAATTCTTTCTTTATAATGCATTTGTTTTGAGCATGGTCTTGATGATCTTGGGAGTAGCGCTTTTTTTAAATATTCATTCTTTTTGTCTTGAATGTAGCCTATGCTTGATATCATAGGCTTCATATATTGAAAATAATCAAATGACTCACTTCTCATTTTGAATAAAAATGAAAATTATATTAAAATTTGTATTATTTTAAGATTTATTAAGAAAGAGAAAATTGGACTTAGTTGGCGATATTTATAAATAAAGAATAAATAAGATTGCAAAGGTGTTTAGGATATTGAAAGATTATCAGGTATTTTTTATTTAAAGTGTTGATTTCTCCCTATTTAGCAGGCACATAATCAATAATCAGACAAAGAAAATGAAAGCGCTAATTTTTCTCACTGTTTGATCACTAGCATTTTTAGAGAAAACCCTTTACAACCAATTTCTGACAGGCATCTTAGAAGGAGCTGATTTAATATCAAAGCTTGATGCAGAAAATTGCCTTTACTCCAGAACTTTAGTTACTCAAGATAAAAAATTTTCTATTGATTGGAACAACCTTATACAAGATTTAACTGAAATGTCTATATATTGCAAATTCCAAGAAGCATTAAAGCCACTGAAAAACCTAAAAACGTCTGAAAATATGATGGCCCGCACTTACAAACGATTTGAGGAAGCAAAAGCTAAAAACCAGTTCCCGGTTTCGTCAAATATAACTAATTTTGGCAAAAGCCTTGGCAGCTGGCTTTCACAGTACATTAGAATGGCTTCTCCCTACGCTTTTATAGGCCTTCCTATAGATGGCGCGCAATGCGCCATCACCGAGCAATGTCGGGAGAGGGTTCCACACGAGGAATGGTTCTACGTGTGGAACCCTCTTTTTGACCTGTGAGAAAACTACTTTCCACGAGCCAAAAAGAGGGTTCCACACGTAGAACCATTCCTCGTGTGGAACCCTCTCCCGCATGGCCCGGTGATGGCGCATTGCGCGCCATCTATAGGAAGGCCCTATAAATTTTCCTATAACCCATCTGATGTATCTATCTATATAAAAGCTGCAAAAGCTCCTCTTCCTATCGCTTATTTTCATGGAATCAACGGAGCTTGCAAAGATGAAAGCTATAAAGAATGAGAAAATTATTTAAGAAAGCAATTAGGGGTTTATATAAGATGTATTGAAATAGGTGATGGCGCATCATCAAGCATTTTTATGTCAATGACTGACCAAACTAATGAAGCTTGCACCAAAATTAAGGCGGACTATCATTATAAAGGAAAATTTAATTTAATTGGAATTTCACAAGGTGGGATAATAGCTAGAGGAGTTCTTCAGAAATGTGCTGGGCTTAAAGTCAACAATTTAATAACAATTGGCTCTCCTAATATGGGAATAAATAAATTCCCAAACTGTGAAGTTGGAATTAAGTGCTATCTTTATAATAAAGCAGCCATACTTGGAGCATATTCCGCTGCTTTTCAAGCTCTTGGACCTGGAGGCTACTTTAAAGATCAATACCAATATGAAACATATCTTAAAGAAAGCAGCTTTTTAGCTGACTTGAATAATGAAAGAAAAATCAAGAAAGAATATACTGATCTGTATTTAGCCCTAGGCTATTTTGTACAGATTTACTTTTCGAAAGATGCAACTGTGATTCCAAAAGAAAGTGAAATATTTGGGTATTTTGCTATTGATTCTGAAATAATGCAGCCTTATAATGAAACATTGAACTATGTTAATAATTATCTGGGAGCTAAGACAATGGATTCCCAAGGGAAAATTGTTACTATCACTAGTGAGCAATAAAATACTTGCTTTAAATAGAGAGTTAATTGTTTTATCTGTTTAAACCAAAACTGTATAGGAAATATTTAATTTAATTAGAAAATTTACTTTAAATACAAACTTAATCAATTCAATAGAATTAGCAGTTGATTGATTATATATAAAAAAATACTATAAACAAATATTTTGGCTAAACTAAAGTTAATTTTAATTAGAACTTTGCTCGCATACAGATAGTAGAGTTAGGACCACTATTGACTCAGAGCATTGCAATATGACTCATGAAGAAGTTAATAAATATCTCATTCCTTATCTTCTATAATTATAAAAATATTTTTTGAAAATTATTTGAGTATTAACCATTACTTTTGCTTTATTTCATTGATTTAGCTTTCAGATTTTGGCAGAAGCCCATTCTCATCCATAAAGCTCTCAATTTGTGCAGGGACTTCATATAAGACTTCTCTGGCAAGCTCTTCTGGGTTATCTTTGAATTGTCTGAAAGGTAAAAACTGGACGATATCTCGCTTTGTTACCCTCCCTTCAGAATCCGTCAATGGTATTTGGTCTCCATCAAGCTCAATCATACTTTGAAATTCTGCTCCTCCGACCCCTACAATAATAATGCTTAAAGGCAAAACTGAGGCATCAATTATTGCTGCTTTGGTCTCGTCTAAATCTGATATATCTCCATCAGTCAAAATTAATAAAATTCAGTAAGCTTCAAGTGGAGATTTTCTTTCAGCAATTTCTTTGACCTTTCTTATGACTGGCTCCATGTTAATAATAATAATAAAATGACGTAGTTAAGGAAATTCATCTCCGGAATTTTCTTTCCATTAGCAATTTTTATTATTATAGGCTTCAGTTTCCCGGTGATACCTTATCCAACTACATCAGGCAAGCAACAGAGAAGGGTGCACTGATCCTGGTGCTTGGTGGGCACAGGGTTTTACTGCTTGACACTCCAAGGAGGGAGATCCATAGGCGGCACAACGCTCAGGAGTCAAGTTTTGAGTGAGACAAACGCAGCGCGTGAGATCTGGCAGCCAATCGGCTGTCACTTGCTTAGGATGTTCTCGACCCGATAAAAAGGGTGACGTCTGAAATACTAGGTGACATCACCAATTGGTGTCTACTGGGGTGAGCCCTTATGGCTTTGTTAAATCACTCTGTGAAGTTGGATAAACACGTTAAATACTCTAAGTAATGTTAATGCTAATGGCTCCATGTTAGTTGGAGCATTTAGATAACAAGTTTTCAATATATTTTGGTAGACTTCAATAATCCCATCCACACCATGCACTTCTGGGTTTTCTGGACGCTTATTTAATGGGAAACAATGATTAGGCTCCCCAGAATCATCAAAAATCCCTCCAAAGCCAAAAACAGGGTAATTTTTGTCACTGTCATAATTTTCTAATATAGAGCAGACTGATCGAATTGCTTGCTCATATTCATTTGGCTTAGTTGGGTTTATATAATGAAGGCTTCTAGGATTTGTTGCCTTCCCATTTGAAGCTGTGAAATCAATAGCCACTACAACATTTACTTGTGTGCCTGCCCTTAAATAATCCAAAAATGTGCTTGTTGAGTCACTTTTTACAAATGACTGACACGCAACAATATCAGCAACACCTGCTTTTACGTTGTTATTATTTAGCACAACTGATTTTCCACTTCTTAAATCAACTAGATTTGTAAACCCTGAGCCAATAATTTGACTTCTCTTTGTGTCAGGGGAATAATTGATAACTTCTATCTTCAAGGGCGACCTTTCTTGATTTCCGCATAAATGCTGAGACCTTATGGTAAAAGGACTCCATACGATATTTTCACTGTATTCTAAAAGCTCACTTCTATATGCTCTTATGTAATCTTTCCCTGGTCTCAGTCTCATTAATGAGATATAAAGACTTCTAAAGGGTGTATTAATTTCTGCTAAATCATGCAAGCCGAATTGCAGGGTGTAATACTCTCCAGTGCTCTTCACCTCCTCGCTAATCACCATTAAAAGTCCTTTTGGCTCATCCCCTTGCTCAAGGTCGATGTTGATTGTTTTATTACCTGCTAATTCCCCCTCAGTTAGAGAACAAAACCCATTTGAAAAATTCCTATTTTGGATAAAACCCAGCCCCTGAGAGTGAGCAAAACATTGTTATTGGAAAAATATTTTAAGTGATAATTATTATAATGAAATCTCTAGTTTAATTTACTAACAGCTTGCTTTTAAAAAATAAATTTTACAAATAAATATTTGCTTTAAAATTATTTTGAATTGGGATTTTTTTGAGAAAAATTTTTTACTTTAAAAATTATGTATAAATCTTTTAATAAAAGCAAATTAACCATTTTCCATGAGCGAACAAAAGTTGTATATTGAGGGTAAGCATGATATAGGGACAGTGGCTGATCCAACTTCATGCAGATTATCGTCGCTTTTGTTATAAATTGTAAACTTTAGTTGCTGAGGACTCTCAAAAATAAAGGGAACTTCGATAAATTGAGTCCAATCAGGGTTTTGGCTGTCTGGGCAGATTTCTGTAGAGCCTTGCTCAATTATAGAATCGCCTGAAGGGCCTATTAAATATACTTTGCAAAGAGCACTTGTTTGTGAGAGAGTGTCAATTCGCTTTAAATCTCTCGCTTTTATGCTGACTTCGCCTCTTTAATAAGCAAGCAAAGCCATTAGAAAAGCTCTTCTTGAGAATGAAAATTCTTTTGCCAAATTTACTTTAATAATTATTATAATGAAATCTCTAGCCAGTTCTGTTCAATTATAATAAAAATAAAAAATAAATTTCTAAATTAAATTAGTATTTCCCTTTCAAATTTTTGTAAATTTGAAAAAAAAAATTTATATGTGTAATTTTCAGAGAAAAATGTTCTTATAAAATTTATATTAAAAAACTTTATTCTTATGATAAAATATAATATTGCTCTCTCACGAAGGTGAGTAAGAGAAAGTTTTTGAAGTGGTGTATCAGAAGCCTCAACCATATTAATAGTTTTCAATAGGATACTTGTAATTAAAATGGGTTTACAAACTCTACAAATTTTTATATTAAATCAGCATATGATTCATTAGAATTTAATTTTTTTAATTTGAAAAATTATCAATACTATTTTTTTTAATAAAAATATAAAGCATTTAAGCTGATGCAGTAATAATTATAAATTCATTTTTTGATAATAAATATTCGATGCAGTTATTATTGACACTAATTTGATTTATTTATAAAAAAGAGTATTTATGGTAATTAAAAGTATTCACTTGCAAACTTACAACTTTTTTAATTATAATCCAAAGAGCATGATATCATAAAAAATGAAAAAATTATAATGATCAATAAAAAGTTGAGTGTTAAAACCTCGTATCTTAATCAGAGCTCTTATAACACTCATAAAGAAAAGCCATCTCCATTAAAGGCAGATCTGCAAAGAAAATGCATTAACGATTTAATTGGACTCACATCAAATTCCAAATCTCCAAACCCAAAATTCAAAACTTCTGAGCCATCTAAAACTCCATCTCCTGAGAAACCTCCGCAGTCCCCATTTCTAGGTCTAGGCTTTCCACTCTCCCTTTCTCCTGACAAAAACTCCCCATCTTCTTCAAAAGCTTTAACACCTCTTCCAAACATTTCCTCTACAATTTCCAAGCCAAATCTCAAAACCTATAAAATTTCAAATGAGCTTCATCAGCAATATTTCTCATATAACGATATTACCCCACAATCCCGCACAAGATCTACAAGTCCTCTACTAAAGCACCTTACAACAATAAAACCGAAATTACCAAACAATAACAGAGATTTATCAGATGCAGAACAGTCAAGTGAGATCAGGTTAAACGATACTGCAGATTTATCACAAAAATCATTAGTAAGTTTAACCAGGTGGTCTGTGTATTCTAAACTAAAGAAAAAACCTACTGATTTAGACAGCTCTGAAACTAAACTGCATTTAACAAGCTTAGATCTTGTGACTCCTACTATACTCCCACCAGCTTTTTCAGAAAAACATTTTTTGCCTAGAGTGAAGAGGCATTTTTCACCGTCAAGGCTTAAGAGGCTGCTTTAATATAAATAATTGCCAAAAATGTATTAAAATATTATAAATTATTACTCATTTCCGAAACCAAGAGCATGGTTATTCAGCACATAAAGCAGTCCTTTTTCCATAATTTCTTTGGATGGATATCTTGGCAGATCAAGCCTATTAAAACAAGTGTGAGCTCTTGGTAGCGTCAGTTTATTTTCTTCATAATTCATTGGCTCAAGCGTAAATCTTGCAGCATCTCCTCTTATAGTTCTAACTCCCCCCTTCGTGAGTGAACAAAAAAATTTTGTTCACTCACGGAGGGGGGTTAATTTTTTTTTTAAAAAAATTTATATATAAATTTTATAAAAAAAAATTTTTTTCGAAATTAAAAAAATCCTGATTCGCAAAAATTGGGAAGCAAATATTAATTTAATTTGTAAAACTTATGTTTTAAAAAGCAATTTGTTTAAAATTAAACAGAATTAGCTCTAGATTTCATTATAATAATTATCATTTATATATCAAATTTTTTTTTCCATAAAAAATTTTTCTATTAAAAAAATGTTGTTCACTCACGGAGGGTGGGTTTTTGGGCAAAAAATAGCGATTTTTCTAATGGTTTTGTTCACTCACGGAGGGGGCGGAGTAAGAGAAGAAAAACCTTCAACTGGGAGTCTAGGGGTTCCAGTGACGAACATTAATAAATCAGAAAGCTGCTCTTGAGTAAAGCTTTCTATGATTTCCCAAAATCATTTGACATCTTGATGATTTACTGAAAACTCATCACGGTATTCTGTAAACTCTTGTCAATCCTGGATATCAATATAAGGAAGCCCACACAAAGCAAGCTCTAACTCTTCGGCTGTGAAAAATATTATCAAAGGCTTTGGAATAACTGAATAGAAGCCTTGCATTATTAGTTCTAAGCCTTGTTTAATTAAATCTTGGGTTTCAAATCGAAATCGCAGGTCTATATATTCCTGCTTGCTTTCTTCAGTAACTTTTTCATTTTCTCCACCTTCTTTGAGAATGAACTTATCCTTTGGTTTTTGGACTTGAAAAGTTTCAAAAAATACGTCTTCAATAGGATTTTCTCTTATAAAAATCAAAGACCTGTATAGATCCTCGTCTACAAAAGTTAGGTCTCCTAACACAATTTCTTCTTCAACAATGTGTTTGAAAATTATTCTTGACAGCTGACAATTAATTGGGATATTTTCGAACAGAGCTTTTCCCATTAATTTCCCCATAAAAACATATTCGTCACTTCTTGCTTTATCGATCACGTCAGGAAAAGTATAACTCAAGCACTTTGAGTTAGTAAACTGAAATAGACCATGGTCAGTTGAAAACAAAGTTTTCATCAGTAATGTCAATCATTCTCTAACTCTTTCTAAACTGAGAGTGATCAAGATCTTTGAGGTTTTTTTTTTCTTTTGTGTAAAAAAATATATATAAAGCCAGCATAAGATTTAAGAGTAATAGCAGAAAAATTGCATTTATTATAATAATTAATTATATATAAATTTATTTAAATTAATTTATATATAAACATTTCTTGTTTATTCAAGAAATTGGCCATTTAGAATTATCAACTATATTTGCTCTTCAAGACAGAAAATTAAGAACCCCGCCAGCATCCATCCCTAATTCACCCTCAAAAGTAATCTGGAATTCTTTATGCAGATCTTGGATTGTATATGTAAGCAAATGAGCCATTGACGTTATCAAGAAATTATCTCTTTGTATTATTAGTTTCATAGACTCAGATTGCCATGGAATTCTGATCCCATTTATTTGGTCACGGAACCATTCAATCTTGGTAATATAAGGCGATTCTTTCGAAAGGTGAGAGAACTGTTTTTTCGGCGCTGAATTTGAAATTGGACCGTTTCTTATACAGAAAAGTAAGTGGTCGGTGAACCCTTGAAGAGTTATTGATTCACGAAACTCTCCAAGGCAATATGGACATATAAAATATGTAGGATTTTCGTTTGCTCTTGCACGGTGAGGAAGGGTACTTGAGCGAGGAAGTTCAGGAATCTCTTGTGTAGGCCCCCTGGATTGAGGTATTGAAATATGTATAGATTGGGTTCGGCCTGGTTTACTTATACAGCAACCCATTTTAATTTTATCTTTTTAATTTATTGGATATGTAATAAAAAGAATGAGTTCTAAAACAAAGACAGACTAATAAAGATAATGCAAAGACAGATCAGAAAAAGCAAAGCATTTTTTTTATTAACTAACATTTTTATGGATTTAAAAGTAAATTAGAGGATTTATCAGAATTTAGGGAGATTAAAATATTTTTCATATTTACTTTGGTAGAACAAAATCGTGATATTAAAAGGGCTGCTTCGCCAATTATAAATGGAAGAAGTATATGATGTAATAGTTCTAGGCACTGGGCTAACTGAGTGCATTCTTGCAGGATTATTCTCCGCACAAGGCAGAAAGGTCTTGCATTTAGATAAAAATGGTTTTTACGGAAGTTTTACAGCTTCCCTCAATTTATCCAATCTCTACAACTCATTTTGTCCAGGTGTTGAACCTCCAGCTCACCTTGGAGAAAACCGTGATTGGAACATTGACTTAATCCCTAAGTTCACAATGGCTAATGGGAAGCTAGTCAAATTTATCCTTCACACTGAATCAGTTGCCAATAATCTTGAATGGAAATCCCTTGATGGCTCTTTTGTTATGCAGACCAGTTCTGGAGGAATTTTCAGCAAATCTAGGCCAAAAATCTACAAAGTCCCTGGGAATGATTCTGAAGCCTTAAAAAGCGACCTAATGGGACTTTTTGAAAAGAAAAGATGCAAAAAGCTATTTAAATTCATTCAGAACTACGACCCTGAAAACGTAGAAACTCATAAAGGCCTCCAACTAAGAACCTTGCCATTCAAAGATCTTATTGCTAATTTTGGCTTGGAACAGAATACAATTGATTTTATTGGTCATGCTGTTGCTTTATACACTAGTGATGAGTTCTTAGAAATACCAAGCCATGAAGTTATGCTAAAAATTAAACTTTATATGGACAGTGCTGGACTATATGGAGATTCCCCATTCCTTTACCCTGTTTATGGTATAGGAGGAATAGCTGAGGGATTTTCTAGACTTTCTGCCATTTATGGAGGAACTTATATGCTGAATAAAGAAATTGATGAAATTATTATTGGAGAAGAAGGAAAAGTGGTAGGTGTTAGAAGTGGCGACGAAGTTGCAAGAGCTCCAATTGTGCTATGCGAGCCGACTTATGTGCTAAATATTGGGAAAGTAAGACCAACTGGAAGAGTAGTCAGAGCAATCTGTATTTTAAATCACCCAATTCCTAATACAGGTGATGCAGCTTCATGCCAAATTATATGCTATTTTATAATAAAATTTATTTATTTTACTAATTAGGTTAAATTTCATATATACTACAGTAATAAATAATTCCTCAACGTCAAACAGGCAGACATAACGATATTTATATAAGCTGTGTCAGCTACGCTCACTTTGTCTGCGCTGAAGGCTATTATATCGCCATTTGTAGCACCCAAGTAGAAACTGATTCTCCAGAAGGTGAGCTTCAAATTGCCTTTGATTTATTAGGACAAGTTCTAGAGACTTTTATAAGAGTCTATGACACTTATGAGCCAGTCGATGACGGAAGAGCTGATAATATTTTTGTCTCAAAAAGCTATGACGCAACTTCTCACTTTGAAAGTGCATGCGAGGATGTTCTTGATTTATATCATAGAATTACAGGCGAGCCATTAGATTTGGAGCAGCCCCTGAGGCCTTTCATTCAACAATAGTTTGTGGGAGGCTTAATTAAAAATCATTTAATTAGTTGGTGATAATAATTAATATGGAAAGAAGGCCTTTATTAGAAATCGAGGACGAAGATCCTTGCAGCAGAAAAGAAAAGATTAAGTTTTTCATTTTTGTAGTGCTTTTATTGGCTTGTTCGAGCTTTATTTATGATTTGCCGTCTGCGTTACAAGTTGAGATTATGGAAGAATGCAAAATGAGTGCTTTGACTTATATTTATTTTTACGTTTATACTTATTATGGGATTGCGTTTTCAAATATGTTTGGAGGGATTATTACTGATGTATTTGGATTGAGGAAAAGCATTATTATGTTTACAACTGGGATTATTTTTGGACAATATATAGTCGCTATCGGACTCCATAATCAAATTATTTGAGTTTGCATTATTGGTAGACTTATTATTGGTATGTTTTATCAAGTGCAATATCAGGCAGTTCTAACCCTTGTTTTACTATGATTTAAAGAAAGAAGAAAGTGACTTGTATTTTTTATGAATTTTGGGATGGGAAATTCATTAAGTTATATCATCTTGCCCATAATTTCTAACTCAGTCGGTTTAGTCCCTTCTTTAAGCATTGCTCTTATCATTTGCTCTGCTGGATTAATTTTTGGCTGCAAGTTATTCAAATATGACATGAAAAGAGATGACATGCTATGCGACTATTCAATTAAATCAATGTCTCCTGTCTATAGAGTTAGAAAAGAGCTATTTAGAATGAATAATCGAGAGTACTCGACTTTTAAGGTTGCTTTCTATTTGATCTATGCAACGGTATTTATGTTTATAAATATTTCTAATGGATATTTTCAATATACTTTTGAAATATCAAATATAGAATCCGGATATACTATTCAAAATAAATAGAAATATATGCGTTTGGATTAGTGAATTTTTTAATAAAAAAAAGAATAACTATTCGCAACAGGAGTTTTTTTTATTGATTAAAAATAGAATCTATAATTTGCACATTCCATATTATTATCGCAATTTTAGTCCCCTTTTTTGATAAATGAAATTCTTCTGGCTCAAATAGAAAATTAGTGCTTTTATTTTCAATTATTATAATTAGTTTGTCTATTCTTATTTTTGCTTTGGCATCTTGGTTGAAAATGCTTTATTTAGCTGTAATTGATATTTTCATTTTAGGAGTTGGGTACTCTTTATATGTGTCTTTTATGTGAAATGCTGCTTTACATGTTAGAGTGATCAGGAAAATAAACGGATACCTCCTTATCAATCAAAACGTTTTGACTGGGCTATCTTTTCTGATTATAATATGAGTCGAAAATACAGATAAACAGAAAGAATTTTATGATGTGGTTATTAGCATTTTCTTTTGTTTATCTCTACCTTTGTTAATTTTAACAGCTCTTTCGTTCAAATTTATAAAAAATTATCAAGGATTGTTAGATATAGATGAACCGTCGAATACAGAGTATAGCAATTTGTTGCTGAATGATAGGTTTGTTAAAGGCCCAGAAATGATATCACGATTTTATTTCGACAATATAATTAAAGAATCCTGCTGCACCCCTGAATTAAAATGAAAAATCAATGATGAAATTCTCACTCCCCCCCCCCCCTCCGTGAGCGAACAAAACCATTAGAAAAATCGCCATTTTTTGACCAAAAACCCACCCTCCGTGAGTGAACAAAAATTTTTTTAATAGAAAAATTTTAATGGAAAAAAATTTGGATATATAAGTGATAATTAGTATAATGAAATCTAGAGCTAATTCTGTTTAATTTTAAACAAATTGCGTTTTAAAACATAAATTTTGCAAATTAAAATTAATATTTGCTTCCCAATTTTGCAAATTAGGATTTTTTAAAATTTCGAAAAAAATATTTTTTATAAAATTTATATATAAATTTTTTTTAAAAAAAAAAAATAACCCCCCTCCGTGAGCGAACAAAATTTTTTTGTTCGCTCACGGAGGGGGGGGGGGAGTCAGCAATTTTAAAATAGAAAATAATGCGAAATCTGCCATGCTTAAAACCAATATAAATGTAATCACACTTATTTCTGAACAAGCTTTACCCTTAAACTCTACAAGCTATATAGAGATTTTTCACACAAATTTAGCTAGCTTAAATTATGAAGTTGAGATAGGCATTATAGAAGAAAAGCCCTTAGGCTCTATGAGATTTCTTTTTTCTGATGAAGAAAATAGTTGAGGAATTTTTATCAACCATAAAATGAATGCACGATCTTTTAACTTCCCTCAATTGCAATATTCTGGTAAAGGAGGAATTGTGGGGTTACTCGTTGACACAGCAAAAGGAAAAATTAAATTTCTTATAAATGGGAAATACTTTGGGGTTGCTATAAACGATATAGAAATCAGTCGAAAAGCACTCCATGTCGCTGTTTCTATGTGCCATTCACAAACAAAATGCGAATTTTTTGTTACCAGATTAGGATATTTAATTAGAAGAAGAGGAATTTTATACGTCAGGCTTAAATCAAGAAATTCTTGGATTAATAAGATTCCTGATGGAATGTTTAGAGAAATTGTTAGCTACTTATAACAATTTATAATAATTAATGTAAGATAAGTTTGATGGGGACTTAAGTAACAGTTTTTCTTTTATATGAATTTTTCTTCGCTGAATGCATAAGAATGGATCTGATTTTGCATTTTTTAAATTCTGCTCAAGCTCTGGGGTGAGAGATCTGTGTGAGTGACAGCCTTGGCTTATACTTTCTGAGGGCGAATTTGATTTATTTTTGATAATTTTTTCAGGTATCGCTATTATTTTGTTTCTATTATCAGGAGTTGGAAATAAATAATTCGAATTTCTTCGTTTGAGTCTCTTTGAATATATTGAATCCATAATTTCATACTTTTCTTTTAATTTTGGCGTAATAAATGATTTCTCTATAAAAGATCGACTATTCGCAGGTGTGCTTGATTTTGATACTTCTTTTATCACTGAAATTTCAGAAAACTGTGTTTTGTGGCTATTTAGATTTTTCAGAGAAGGAAATATATGATCTTTGTATTTATTTCTGCGGTGCTTTGATTTATGTTTCCTATCAGAGAGTTTGCTATCTTCTGAGTTAAGATAGTCTTTGGCAAGCTGGATAAGATGTCGTCGGTTTTCACGAGTTTCTTTTAAGTATTGCTGTAAATCAGCAGAGGACATATTGAATTAAATCATAATTCATAAATAATTAAATCAATATTCGATTTGATTGCTTTTTCTTTGTTTTTTGGGCTAGGATATCTAATGCATAATAAAAAAGCTTAAAGTTTTATAAGAATCAAGCCTTTGAGAAATTTAATTATATATAAAAGTCTAATTTCTAAGTCATCACCTTTATCACAATCTGCAATAAATAAGCAGCCTGAGTTCAAGTCTTATAAGCTTTCATTCTTCCTTATAACATTTACTACTATCTTAAGCTTTAATATTATAATATTCTTTATTAGTGCTTATTGAGCTTAAAAATTAAGCTAAAAAGCTTATACATATATAATTTTCAGAACTTCGTTCGAATCATTTTTCATACGGGGAAAGAAGGTTTATTTCATCATATTGAATCTCTATCACATATTTATTATAATTCAATATGAAGTCTATCTCCCAAAATGGACTTCAAATAAATATGGAAAACATATAAATTATCGAATTAATATTAAATGCTTGCAATTATTTTTACAATAATTTTGATCATTCTAGCATATGTCATTTTTTATCGAAGAAAAAATCATACGATTCACCAGAAACCGCAGCAATTTTTCAAAGATTATTCGATAGGCTTTTATAAAGATCATTTATCAAAGATATCGCCTCAGAAGAGATCAGAATTCAACTTACTTATAGATAATTTTATTACTCCTTATTCAAAAATTAATTATGAATTAAAACACCTTGATACTTCAACAATAATTTTAGTCACAGAAGAACAGCAATTTCATGAAGCATTAAACATATTAAAAAACTATGAAGTTTTAGGCTTAGATGTAGAAGAGCATAGATTAAGATCTTATTTAGGGTTTATTTGCTTAATACAAATATCTACTCCTGAATTCACTTATTTATTTGATGCAATAAAGCTTGCTCCCCCTTTAAATTGAAACAGCAAATCCTGTTCCAAATTTAAAGGTTTTTATTTTTAAACATTTTTTATAAAATTAAAAAAAAAATAAATTGAATGCAAATATTTTGGTTTTTAATTTATTTTTAGAATAATTAATTTAAAAAATTAAAACCATTCGGTGTGAAAGCCGTTTAAAATAATATTCTAGTTGCACGTTTTCCAGTAATTAGGTCAAAATTAACTTTATAAAAATTAGAATTTTCACCAAAAAAATTTCTAATTAAAGAGGGTTAAAGTACCCAAAAATGGAAATTTACCTATATTTGGTCCAATTTAAAGGGTGGGAAGTTCGGAAATATATCCCTGAGCTTTCAGTTGTTTTAGAAAATCAAAATATTTGCAAAGTTTTGCATGCCTGCAGTAACGACATACAATGGCTTCAACGAGACTTTGGGATTTGTATTGTAAATGTATATGATACACAAATAGCAGCGAGACTATTAAATTTCAAAAATTTAGGCTTAAATTCCTTATGGAGCGCTTACTGTAATTATCAAATGACATCTGAAGAGAAAATTAAATTTCAAACTTCTGATTGAAGGCTGAGACCTTTAAAGAAAGAAATGATAGAATATGCAGCTAGGGATTCCCATTATATGATATATTTAATGTCTATTACTACAAATTTATTATCAGAGGAGCAGCTGAGGATAATAAGGAAAGAAACAAATGAAATATGCAAAAACGAATATTTCTTAAAAGAAATTAATAGTGAAATATGTGAAAAGGCATTCAAAAAATATTGCAAGCAACCTTTAGATGCACAAACACAATATATTTTATTTGAACTTTTTAAACTAAGAGATAGAATAGCAGCTGAGCTTGATGAAAGCTGCCACTATATGTGTCCTACAGATATATTGGTTAATATTGCAGTTGAAAGGCCCAGAAATTTAAAGCAGTTAAAAAAATTAATCAATGATAGCGCCAAGATTCCTATAATAAAAAGCTCAGTAAATGATATATTTGAAATAATAGCAAAAGGTTTAGAAATTCCATACAAATTAATAGGAAATGATGATATCAAAAATCAAAGAAATAATAAAAAAATTAACAATAGAAACAAGCTATTTGGTAAAACCCCTGAAGGGACAAGAGACCATGAAAATTATGAAATCCAAGCACCTAATGGCAGTGTGCTTTGCTACGCTTCTAAATCTAAATCAAATTGATATTTAGAAAAAGGGCTTGCAACTCTTATCGAAAAAGACCCACAAATAATCAGACTAAATTTCGAGCCTAAAGGTAATGGATATTCTGACATATCAGTTCATCCATCAGCTTATACAGTAGAAAAAAAGAAAAAATGCGTAGTGTGTGGGTTTAAAGGAGACTATTTAAAGTATCACGTTGTTCCTCTATTATATAGACAAGCTTTTCCAGATAATTATAAGTCTCATAGATGTCATGATGTTGTAAAATTATGCATCCCTCATCATGAACAAGCTAATAAATTTAGCGAAATTTTAAAGCAAAAAATATCAGTTGAGTATAATGTTCCTTTATATGAAACTGGAGAAATGCATAAGATTAATAGAGACTTAAAATCAACTCAAAAAGTATGCATTCAGCTGCTAAAACATGGAGAAAAAATGCCAAATGATAAAAAAAATGAATTAGAAGCAAAAGTTATGGACTTTTTAAATGGAAATGAAGAGTATAAGCTTCTTGTTGAAGAAAAACTAAAATGTGATATTAATGAAAATAAGAATGGCCTAATTGAATTTTTAGCTCAAGAAAATAATACTCAAGAGATTTTAAATTTGCATGGAGATGTGAACTGAAAAAAGCAAAGTAGCAATATGCATGGGATTAGAGTTTTAGAAAAGGTGGGAGATTTGCAGGAATTTATTAATAGATGGAGAGTAAATTTTATTGAAACTATGAGTCCAAAATTTCTCCCTAAAGCATGGAAAGTTGATGCAGCTATTAATTTAGGAATTAATTTATAATTTCATATTAATATTTATTTCATTAAAATAACAGAACCATTTATATAATTTAGTCAAAGAAATTAATATTGAAATAGGATTCGATTAACATCTTATGCTATTATTGATTTTCAATTGCAAATAATAATTTTTGCATTATATATAGCATATCATCACCAGTTAAGATATTGTAATCCCACATCGTTATTATATGCAAAGTAAGCTGTGTTCTGAAGCTAGCTATCCCTAGTTGATATTTTTCTATGAAAGTAAGGCATGCATCTTTCATCAAAAAATCTGCAGGAATTTTATAGTTATCATGGATATGTGAATTTCAAAGTTTAAAAAACTCTTTGTCTTCGATATTCATGTTTTCATAGCTGTTGATCTCTTTTTCTTCACTTTTTCTTATTCATTCATCGTTTATTTCTTCTTCCGAGTCGACTTGTATTTCATTTGGATCAAAAGGTTCGCCAGTGATAGAGTGAAAATAGATACGCTTTGACATATTTTTATTTTTGGGCTTTTTGTCTTTTTGTTTTCCAAAATTTTTCTCTATTTTAGACTTGATTAAAGGTGGAATGGTGGTAGATTCTAAGTTGTATCTCTTAACAATTTCTGTGATTTTTATCAATAATGACCTTTTGTCAATTAAAACAATATTTTTTCTATTAGGTGTTGGGTTTGGAAGAAATAAATAAATAATATGAGGGGATATTGACATGTCAAAAAAACATAAATAAGTGTGTAAAGAATAATAATGAAAAACTAAGGCCTCAAATGAATTTAATTGTAAATTGCATAAGGTGCATTTTAAGCCTGTTATTCTTTTGGAAATAAATTTATCAGTTCTTTTTTCCATCCTAACTTCATATTCAGGAACTTGAGTCCCACGAAATCGAGAAGTTTTTATGTTTCGTCTCAAGAAAATCGGATTATTTTTGAACATTTTTTCCATTCTTCTTTCAACTATACTTTTCTTTATGGTTTTATTTTCTGATAAACTTGTCCTTGAAGAAGATTTATCACTCGAGCAGCTTCTATCATCTTGCATTGTAATTAATGGAAATTTTTTAATTTTGGGTTGGGGTAATAGAAGTTATATTTCATATTATCTTTAATAAATCAAAACTTTATAAAGATTTATTTTATTAATCTTAACACATCCAAACATTTTATAAGAATCATTATAAAAATTGAATAATTTATCTAAATAGACCATTTTTTACTTTTGATCTTCTTACTCCCCCCCATTTTAATAAACGAACATCTTTTTGTTCGTTATTAAATGGGATCTAACTTATAAAATTTTTGAAAAAAAAAAATATATAAAATTTATATTAAATATCAATGATTTTATATAAAAAATTTCAATTAAAGGGTTAATAATACAAAAAGTCAAATGATGACAACAGAAAGAGAAATCGCCTAAATGAAGGCGAAAAGATAACTATTGCTAACTCTCTCCCCCTCCGTGAGCTAATAAAACTATTAGATAAATCCTTACCCTCCGTGAGCGAACAACAATTTTTTTAATAGAAAAATTTTTTTTATGGAAAAAATTTTGATATATAAGCGATAATTATTATAATGAAATCTCTGGATAATTCTGTTTAATTTTAAACAAATTGCGTTTTAAAACATAAATTTTATAAATTAAATTAATATTTGCTTCCCAATTTTTTGCAAATTAGGATTTTTTTAAAATTTCGAAAAAATTTTTATGGAAAAAATTTTGATATATAAGTGATAATTATTATAATGAAATCTCTGGCTAATTCTGGTTAATTTTAAACAAATTGCGTTTTAAAAACATAAATTTTTATAAATTAAATTAACATTTGCTTCCCAATTTTTGCAAATCAAGATTTTTTTAAAATTTCGAAGAAAAAAAAATTCTATAAAACTTTTTTACAAAAAAAAAATTAACCCCCTTCCCGTGAGCGAACGAGATTTTTTGGCTCGCTCAGTGAGAGGGGGAGTAAGCACCAGCTTAAGATTATGCCATTAGTAACTTATTAGCTCTTATTTATTATTTTTTGCTCGATTATACTGTCCTTATCTTACTCTAACTACTTAAAATTAGTAAACTGTAGAGACTAATTAGCACATATAAATTTTATAGTAAATTTTTGTTCGTTATTAAATGGAGCCTAACTCCCCCCCCCCCCTCCGTGAGCGAACAAAAACCATTAGAAAAATCGCCATTTTTTGACCAAAAACCCACCCTCCGTGAGTGAACAAAAATTTTTTTAATAGAAAAAATTTTAATGGAAAAAAATTTTGATATATAAGTGATAATTAGTATAATGAAATCTAGAGCTAATTCTGTTTAATTTTAAACAAATTGCGTTTTAAAACATAAATTTTTGCAAATTAAATTAATATTTGCTTCCCAATTTTTGCAAATTAGGATTTTTTTAAATTTCGAAAAAAATATTTTTTATAAAATTTATATATAAATTTTTTTTAAAAAAAAAATTAACCCCCCCCTCCGTGAGCGAACAAAATTTTTTTGTTCGCTCACGGAGGGGGGGGGGGGAGTAAGGAAAAATTTTTAGGAAAAAAAAAACTGACGGTTTTGCTCGTTATTAAATGGGGGGGAGTTAGCCCTAAATCTAATCCTAAAGCTAACTAGTTTCAATTATTGATTACAGCTATTTTTCGGCATTTATTACATATCATTAAAATTCATTTTGATCCACAGCTCATTGCATTAAAATATTTTCAATATGGGTAGCTGTGTCGCGAAATCAAAACGTATAAAACCGGCCGAGATTTCCGACAGCAATGCTAGCAGAAATAACAAGCTTCGCCTTACAATGGAATTTTCCCAAAAACAAGTTGAGCAACTAACTGATGCAAACGATTCAAAAATCCCAACAAAAAGAAAAGTCAGAAAAAGGAAGTACACGCTCCAAAATGTTGAGCAAGGGGATCATGGCACTTTGCTATTGATTAGGCAAAGGTCTATGTTTCTTGGACAATACTCAACAGAAATTCAAAAAGGGTTTGAAGAACGAGGCATGAAAATAGAAGGCGAAATTCAAACAACTTGTTTACAAAGTGCAGGAATCTGGGTCAACTGCAGAAAAGGAATGAAGCCTGATCTGCCAAATCAAGATGACTACTGCATACTTATAGATGGGCCGAGCTATTTGCTAAGTGTATATGATGGTCATGGTCAGTACGGGCATGATATTTCCAATTTTGTACACAGCAGATTGCCAAACCTAATGATTGCTCATCCAGATTGAGCAGAAAATCCTAAACAAGCAATAAAAGATACATTTGTGTCATGCCAGCAACAGCTGATAGATGTATGTGACAAGCCAGAAACTGAGTTTAACTGCATTTTATCAGGAACAACTGCAACTATTGTATTTTACCAAAAAAATAAACTTATAGTAGCCAATGTAGGAGACTCAAGAGCCGTCCTCGCAAAACTAGAAAATGGGAAAATTATTGCTCATCCAATAACAAGAGACCATAAGCCTGAAGAAGCAGATGAAAAACATCGAATTGAAAGAGCTGGAGGAGAAGTAAAAAAATTAAAAAATGACTGAGCAGAAAGGGTGTATTTCAAAGGAAAAGACAGCCCTGGGCTATCAATGACAAGAGCATTAGGAGACACAATGCTTCAAAGCATTGGGATTTCTTCAGAACCAGAAACTTATGAAATTGATGTCGAAGAAGAGGATCAATTTGTATTAATATGCAGTGATGGGGTATGGGAATTCATCTCAAACCAAGAAGCTGTAGAGTATGTTTACAAGTTTAAAGGAGACGTAAGACAAGCTACAGAGATGCTATCTGCGCTCGCATGGTCTAGGTGGATAAAAAAAGACTCTTCGACTGTTGATGACATTACTGTAATTTTGGCATATTTACCCAAAAATTTTGAAAAAATTGTTTTTAGAAATTTTAAAAAAATTCTAATTTGCAAAATTGGGAATCAAATATTAATTTAATTTATAAAATTTATGTTTAAAACCAATTTGTTTAAAATTAAGCAGAATTAGCTCGAGATTTCATTATGCTAATTATCACTTATATATCAATTTTTTTTCATTTCTATTAAAAAAATTTTTGTTCACTCACGGAGGGTTGGCTTTTGGACAAAAAATAGGGATTTTTCAAATGGTTTTGTTCACTCACGGAGGGGGTGGGGGGAGTTAATGATTTTTGTAAATAAAATATTTTTTTATTGTTTACTGTAATTATTAAATTTGTGGTTTTTCAATCACTTGTATATCTACACTAACTTGAAATTGGTTAGGGGCTGCTCCAGCTGTTGCAAAGCTCTTCATTAGTACAGCTACTTCACAGTTGAAGTGGGGTCATTTAGAGTCTGAGTTCATATACTCTTTCAGTCCTGGGATTAGTCCTTTATATTTTAGCCTTCCTGTATTTTTTATCACTTTTGCTTTGATAATTAGGTCGGTTGTGCTTAAATTATAAATACACAGATGCATCATTTTATTAGTTGTCTTGGCTGCTATTAAAATTGAATACTTTTCTAATAGGCCAACAGAAAGAGGCCATTCATAGTTCGTATTTCATTCAGTTTCAGTTGCTGTAAATACAACTGAGTTTTCTATGTTCGTTTGATTTCAATTATGTTGTGTAATCAAATGATTTCCTAAGTCAGTAACAAATTCGCCACATCCAGAGATGCAGGTCAAATACGGACAAATAGGACAAAGTTTTTTGTGGTTCGGCAGAGTATATAAAGAAATGAGATGGCCACATTGCTGATTTGTACAGACCAAGAATGAGAGTTTTAAGAGTTCTTCGATTTGACTATTATGAAAAATCATTGAAGTCAAAGGACAAATGGTGCATTGACTGTTTTCCAAAGAGCAAGCACTGCAAAAAGAATGGCCTGCTTGACAAATATTGACTGGAGGAGTTAAATACTTTTTGCAATGACTGCATTTCATAAGTTCCAAATATTTCGGCTCGAGTTCCATTATTATATGACTTTTCTGATTATGCTTATTTTATAATAACTGCCTTTCATCCTTAATCAACTACAATCACTCAATCAAGCAAGTGATTTAAAGATGTCTAAAAAAAATAAAATTTTTTAATGACAATTTTTTCATAAAAATATTTTAGGCACGAGTGGGAAAAATAGAGCATGCAATATATTAGTAAACATGCTAAAAACTTTATTAGAATTGCTTAAGAGAGCCATAATACTGCAATTATCAAAATATATAGTAGTTTTAAGGGGTAATTTTCCGGGTTTTTTTGAAATTTTAATTGACACGTTTAATCAAGAATGAAGGAGTAAGCGATTTATTTACTAATAGAACAACTGTTTAGCTTTTATTTTATCGCAATCCTGGTCTTCTCATTAGATTTTAGAGAGTTCAAATCATCAGTCATAAAATTTGGCGAAAAAAAATTTTAATATATTCAAGGAAAAATAACAACATTTTTAGACTCTGCTATATATAAGATATGCATTAGAATAAAAGTCATCAATGCTGTTGAATTAGAATATATATGCAAATTAGTTGAAGAAAGCAATTATTTTAGTTAAAGATCATAAATAAACTAGAAATTAGAAGCATTTCGCCACTACTCCATGAACCCATACTATAAGACGGATCAAAAATTTTCATATCCAACGCACATTTATCAATTTCTCCAGAGCTATAAAGTGGCCAAGCTTTCTTAATTGATACCATGCTGCTATAATAATTATATCCATCCTGATCAATAGAATTGCAATAAACAAGTCTACTTAAATCATTTGCTAAATCCGTTTTTCTTCCATAGCTGCCAGCACAGTCTCCATTTGTGTATGCAAATCTCGGGTAAAACTTATCATCGAATCCTTTCAAATTAAAACTATTTGAAATTGGGCAATATCCTGTTGTGCTTCCTTTACCATCACATAAGCAGCTTTGTGTTCCTATAGTCGCTCCATTAAAATTATATTTGTAAGTGCAGGTATCCCCGACTGTGCATTTTCATGGATCTGAAAGCTTGTCTGATTGTACATAAATATCAGCGCTGTCACAATAGTTTTTATACATGAAGTTTGATTTGCAAAAAACTGCACTTTGTGTTGATGAGCCGTTATCTAAGGACCAATATCTTGTACATTCATTGTAATTGCAGCCATATCCAAGCTTGCACTGGACATCTCCAGTGCATGAGTCGCCTTCGCTATAACATTTTATGCATTCACTGCTGGAACAAAAATAATTGGGCTCACATTGAGAATCTGATGAGCAGGTTTGACGTGAAGGAACTCCTACACAATGCTTGGAGGAGTCACAATTTTTGCTGTAGCAATCTGAATTTTGGCAGCAGTATTCATAAGTATTTAGGGTATACTGCACTAGATTGAATAAATTATGATGTCTGAATATTAATAGTTTAATAATAACTGAATTCTCAGAAAAATAAGAATCCAATTTAACAGCGCATACCTGCTTTAGAGGAATCTGGGCATGTAGTTTCACTTGAGCTTGGTGAAGAATCAGGGCTACAATCTGCAGAAGTGTGATTAGCTGCTCCATAAAATTGACTATTACCGCCGCATGATGAGGCACTTGGGCAAGGGTTAAGAGTGACAGTTTTATCAGTCACAGTTACACAAGCTCCTGAAGTAGAACTTCCAGCACTGCCACAAACTAATTTTGAGCAACTTGAAGTTTCCATAGTCCAGGCCAATGAAGCTATGAAAAGTAGTATCAGGCTTGCGTGCTTCATTTAGCTATTAATTAATTAGCGTTCATTTAAATATTTTTCAACATATTTATTAGCATTCAAACATTTCTCTACTTTGATGCAAATAAAAGTTTTTTTTTACATTCTTTGTTAAATATATTAATTTTATGAAGAATAGCTTATTTTGAGCATTTTTGCATAATCGGACATTGCTTACAAAACTACGAGGCAAACAAAATTTAAACTTGGCTGGCCAAAAAATTCTCTTTATAGGCTATTCATAATAAATAGTTATAATAAATTTACTGTTAACGGTATCTAAGAAGAAGAAAAATTTAGCTCCATTTTTTGATAAGAATAATTTTGAATTTAAATGCCTCACTTCCCTCAAGAAATAGACTATTCAGAAAAGTATGAAGACGATGTCTATGAGTACCGTCATGTGCATTTACCGAAGAATGTTTATAAAAGAATGCCTAGAAGCCGATTATTAACAGAAACAGAGTGGAGGACTTTGGGAGTCCAACAGAGTAGAGGATGGGTCCATTATGCAATACATAATCCAGAGCCTCATATTTTGCTATTTCGAAGACCTTTAGGCACAGATCCTTTGACAGGTTTAGGGCCCATGAGACAATAATTTCTTAGAGATATCTTAAGATAATAATCAATCAAGTTCGTAACTAAAAATGGTAATTAAAAATTACTTACAAACACTATTATCACCAAGTACACTTCTTTCCAGATTCCCAAGCAGCAATTTACTTTTAGCATGGAAATCAATAAAGAAGCTCTGTATTGCTTCAATATCTATTGAAGACTTAGGTTTTATATTCGGCAGTGCCTTTGGAGATTTATGGCTTTTCGGCCTATTCATAGAGTGTCTCGAACTTAACCTCGGAGCTAGCATCTTTTTGCTTGGTTTTGACTTCATTAAATACGGTCGAAATTTTTCAGAGTTCTTAAAGCTTTTATCATGAAGAGAAATTTTTTCACGCGAAACATTTGCTTTTGGACTGGGCTGAGCTATTGAAGGTCTAGATTTCCTAAACTTTCGTTTGCTATAGACAGTATTTTCAGTCGACTTATTAAGTGCGTCGTTTACAACGGGCATGTTTCCCAGCATATCTTTCATTTCATTAATAATATTTGATAAATTGCTAAGGTTGACCGCGTGCTCTTCTTTTTCTGGCTTTAATTGTTTTTGTCTTGGCTGATTTGGCCTAATGTTTTTCATTCTCTGAGGGTAAATTTGTTTATTTTCTTCTTCAGGAGGTTTTGGGGAAGTTTTTCGAGAGTTTTCTTCAGAAGGGCCTTTTGTTATTGATGGCTTATGAGGACGAATTTTTACTGGAGGAGGGTTTCGGGGGTTTGAAGAAGGATCAGCTATTGGGATATCTCTCTATATAATCTTTACTCTTCTTATGAAGAAATTGTGCTCTTCGCGCTTGTCTTCTTCTGCAGGGAGTTTATTAAGAACTGATAGAAAAAGTGCATCTTTTGATTTAGGAATTCTGGGGGCTTGGGGCGAGTTGCTTTCTCGTCTGGAAGGTGCTTTATCTTGCATTTTAAAAAATGGTGTAAACGTTTTAATTAACTTATCTATTAAACAAAAAGATTTAAAATGTAATAAAAGTTTTAAATATATTGATCTTAATTTTTTAGCTCATTTAAAGCGATTTCTTCCTCTTTTGTAATCTAAATAAAATTATAGTATGAATAAAATCAAATTTTTCTCTTGAATAATAGCATTTAAGATTAATTTTAAGTGATTTCTACTTATCATTAAGAATATATTAAATAATGATGGTTTCGCGCTTATTGACACCACCATTTTTCGCAATCCAGTCATTGATAATTTGCCTTGCAAAGATTTTATTGTTGATGATATTTTGAGCGTCTTTCATACCGACATCATAATTGTACATCAACGCAGCGTGGGTGAAGTTTAAAGGCACTTTTCCAAGTGAAACGCTAGGCTGGATATAATATCTGAAATTCACATCTGGATACGCCTCCATTGCATAATAAAGCTCACTTAAACCTGAATCATAGCTGCGGATTTCGTCAGCTCGTAGCTTCACTTCCAATGATTTCAAATTATTCACACTTATAAATAGTCTGAAAATAACTGTCTATTACTAAATATATTATTGCATCTAAAATTTATTAATCATCGCCCTATTTCTCTGCACAAACTCTAAAAAGAGCATAGATTTTGCTGTATTTAATTTATCACCAAAGCATGCTAACGCATCAACAGTAATCAAAGAATAATTCCCAGTCACAGCATAACACCTCTTCACGGCATCAAAAATATCATTTGAATAAATCGTCCCCCCATCAACATAGTTATTTCCTTGGAAGCTTTGCATAGGGAAAAATCCTGGAATTGAAGACGAACAAATAGCAGCCTCCTGAATATTTGCATTTCCTACAGTTTCATTCCAAGTCATAAATTCTCCAGTGCCAATGTTGCAGCTTCCAACGGTAATGTTCCTTTTCAACGATGTGAAGTATTTTGCAATTGTTTTTCTCAATGGCTCGTTGTTATAAAGCCCACTTCTTAAGGTCAATCCTTCAATGACTCCACCTTTCCAGTCGATATAGACATCTTGGGCACCGTCGAGATTATAATACACGTTATAAATCAGCTGGGTTGCATTCAGCTCTTGGCCCATAGGGAATATTGCAAGGAGGAGAGAATTTAAGGATCCTGCTGAAATTCCAACAACTGCATTGTATTGAACTTCAGTAGGTGGAAGCAGGTTTACCATAGCGGTTAAGACTCCTCCTTCATAGGAGCCAAAACTTGCACCACCCTGCATTGATAAGACTCTGCACATTTGAGCCGACACATATGAGGTGAAGAAAAGAGAAAGCCACAACATTTTCTAATAAATGGGAAAATGGGGAAATTTAGCATTAATCCGTTGAATAGAAGAGACAAAACTCTATAAAAGAGCCGTGAAAAGCGAAACAATTTTTTTCTAGATAGGAGAAAATGTTCTCATTGAAAATTATAGTTGATTATAGAATTAATTGGAATTGAGATTTTCGCAAGCAAGATTCACTTATTTATTAGCACTTAAGATTGGTAAGCATTTTTTAGAAAACCCTATTCAAGAGTGCTATAACGAATAACCAAAATTAAGCCAATATGGAGGATTCCAAGCCATTTGCAATATGCTATGATTTCTCTATTTTTAGAACAATTGCATTTTTTAAAATATATATCCTTTGGGAGGCAGCCCAAATGAGCTTGTGATAAATCAAAAATTGCAAAAAATAAAACCAAACTGAGGTGTTTATTGAAGTGTTATGAGCTTTCTGCGCAAAGATATATAAAAATATTCTATTAATGTATGAATAGCTAAAATACATCAATAACAGTCAGCTTGAACTTTTGAATTATTAATTCTGGCTCTTTGGGAAAGTTTATAAAGAAGAATATAATTAAAATTAAGAGAATTATTAGGAACAGAGCTTAACAAAATAATTTTGCTTTTAAATTGATTCCTGGTAGCCTTGTATCCAAAATTAGTTTTTACGGAATCTAAAAATAATGGAAGCTGCTTAGTTGGTTATCGTTAGCTTTATGATTGGAGCAGTCTGAAGAACTTTGGATAAGTCATATCAAACTTAAATAAAAGCATTTACAGTTTATGGAAGCATGCAATCCAAAATAAAGAATCTGCTTAATTTATCTTACTGGCTTTTTGGCCAAGCTCTTTATATAAGTTCAATACTTCTTAGCTGGTATCCAAAGTCGTGCAGATTTTAAAAATCACCTCTTTCTTTGCTTTTATTCTTTAATAATTTTCGGTCTAAGTAAAATCTCTAACAGAACATTTTTGTCCTGCACCATATTAGGTTAGCATAAAAACACTTCAAGCGAAGTATCCGTTTATCAATATAATTTAAAGAAAAATGCAGGATCTCTACAGATGGGCTTCATTCGCTAAGACTTTAGGCGCAAAATCTGATAATTTGGACTCAGAGCTACAATGCCTCCAAACTCTTACTCAGTCAATCGAGCAGCAAATAGATGACTCAAGAAAGCGTATAGAAAGGCTTATTATGACTGACGAAATCACTGAGCTTGACTTCCAAGCACAGAATTCGCATATACACCTTATGGCAAAAATACTTTATAGGAAGAGAAGGCAAATCGTGCTCAAGATCACAAATCAATGTATTGAGCATCTCAGAATTGCACGATTTAGAATAAATCCGCAAAAATACGAAATAATTAGAAGGGTTTGCTGGGAGATTAAAGAACAAATAGAAATAGAAAAAGAAACACCAAAAACAATGACTGAAAATATAAATTTCGCAAGATTGAAGAAAAAGGTTGATCTCGCTTTGAGGGACTTGAAGATCGTGCCAGAAACTAAAATTGGCTGCATCAACACAATCAATGAAATCATTGCACAAATATAAACTGATAAACCATAATTAATTAAGCATAATTTTCCCAAAAAAGAGCCCCGAACTTATTTTAAATTTTAAAAAATCTAACTGACATTTAGTAAATGGAGACAATTCTGGGCATCCCTAGTTGAGATGATATAATTTTTATTAGAAGTGAGATGATTATTTAAAGATTCAGAAAGAGCTTTTATTCTGCGATTTTTGCATCTTTTTGGTTTTTTTTTAAGATTTGATTATTGATTAATATTATTAAGTAATGATTGTGGAATAAGTTATATTAATCATTATGATTTTTTATTTCCATTAAATCCTTTTATTTTAAAATGTATGATTTGACTATACTACAATGATTTCTTAAAGCTAAAAAGCATTTATAGAAATTCTGTGTAAAAGTCTTGAGGGATATGCAATATATTTGACCAAGCAAGATATTTTTTAGTTTTAATTAGTTTAGTTCAATAAAATCAAATTGTTTTCATAAATAATAAATTACTGTTAAAATCGATTTTTAATTAATTATTAACTGTTATTCTAATGCCTATCTCTTGATTCCACCTCTTCTCATTGTTTCGCTCTAAATGTTTAGATAAATGGATGCCATTATAGCATTTGTCTTTAAGGATAATAATGCAAGTCCAAGGAAAAGCAAGTAATCAAGGAGCTCAGATTTTTATTGGAGACCTTCACCCAAGTGTTTCTGAATCTGACCTATTTCAAACAACTTCAAAGTATGGCCAAGTGGTTTATATTAGAGTTCTTCGGCATATCGATACACGTATTTCATTAGGTTTTGCCTTCGTGAGTTTCACAGACCCAATTCAGGCCAACACAGCAAGAGTTGAATTGAATGGTCTTGACATCAAAGGAAAGCACATAAGAGTCATGAAATACTGCAAAGAGCGCGACCCAGAAGCAAATTTATTCATCAACAACCTCCCTGAAGGCGTCACAAGCAAAGAGCTAGATAACTTATTTAGTCCTTATGGTAGCATTTTGTCTACAAAGCTAGTTTATGACTCCAACGAGCGCCCCAGAGGCTACGGCTTTGTCCAGTTTGAAAAGCAAGAATCAGCCAAATTAGCATTAGAATCAGCCAAAAATTTGGAGCTTAATGGAAGCAGACTTATTGTTGAAAAATTCGTCCCAATGAAAGAGCGAAATGACCTATCAAACAACCGCAACCTATATGTGAGAGGCTTTGATTCCTCATTAACTGATGAAGATCTTCACAAGCGATTTTCCACTTTTGGAGAAATCACATCTCACGTCATCATGAAAAACGAATTCCAAGGCCAACCAAGATATTTCGGCTTCGTCTGCTTTGATACAGCAGAAAACGCAAGAAAAGCTGCAAGTGATATGAATGGAAGAGCTGAAGGAAATTTCACATGGTTTGTAGTCCCACATATGAAAAAAGCTTTGAGGCTGGCAATTAACAAGGCTAATTATCAGAAGAAAATTGAGGAGTGGAAAAGGAGAAATCTCTATATCAGAGGAATCCCTACCTCGATTGATGAAGAAAAACTGAAGAAAATCTGCGAAACTTATGGGCAGGTTGAATCAGTTTTGATTCCAAAGACAGAAAATGTGAAGTTTGAAGATGGGCGACAAATCAAAGAGATGACTCCGAGAGGGATTGCATATGTGTGCTATGTTAAAGCTGAGAGTGCAAATAAAGCACTGGCTGTTTTGAGGGATACATCACTAGAAGGGAATAAGCTGTTTGTAGCTCATTGGAAGCCAAGAGAAGAAGTCGCAAAACTGGTAGGAATGATGAAGATGAGAAAAATCCAAAGCCAAATGTGAGAGTATGGGATGATGGGGAACATGATGGGGAGAGGCAGAGGTATGAGAGTCCCTGGATTTGCAGCAGCTCGGCCAAAGGCAGAAGCTCCTAGCCAAATGCTCATAACCCAGCCTTTTGTTCATTACCCACCACCTGCTCAGCCTCAGCCTGTCCCACAGCCTCAGCTACCTTTTAATATAAGTGACTTTAATGCTGCATCTGCTGATATCAAGAAAAGAATGATTGGCGAAGCTGTGTACCCTCAAGTCCTTAAGAACTCAAGCCAACAGATTGCCGGCAAAATTACTGGGATGCTTCTTGAAATGGACAATGCTGAACTCCTTGGACTATTGCAGAACCCACCTCTTTTGCTTATCAAAGTTCAAGAAGCTATTGAAGTTCTTAGAAAGGCTTGGTCGACAAATCCTGATCTCTTGAAGTTGCTTGACGCTAAATAAGGCTAAAATGCTTTAAAATGGTAATAAATGTAACATCTTTAATCATCATATATCGATCCTCTGCTTTCTAGGTTATTAAGCAATACTTCTAACAAATCCCTATTTATAAATGAAGATTTCATAATAAAGTTAAAATGGATGAGGAAAATATTCAAACGCAGATTTCAGAAGAGTTGGACAGCGCGATAAGAACTGAAACAATTGAAAGTTATTATGATTATGAAAGCAGTGAAGTCTATAGCGATGAATTTGTTAGTGAAGAAAATGAAGAAAGTAAAAAAAGTTATGAAAGTTATGAAAGTGAAGAATATAAAAGCGATTTTGATTTTACTGAGAGTGAAGCTAAAAGAAGAGAAATAATTGAAAAAAAGATTGGGATGCTCAAGAAGATAAAATTATTAGAAAATAGGAAGCCTAAAAAGTATAACCCGAAAATGAAAATATTGAAACAAAAAATCGAATTTCTGAAGCTAGATAACCCAAAAATAAAAAAAGAGTACAGCTTAGCTGTTGACCCAGGACTTGTATCAAAGCTAAACTTTATAAACATTATGAGCAGAACTAAAATCGATTCTGATTCATCTAAATTAGAAAAAGAAAACGAACTTCTTTCTAAAAAGCAAGAAGAAGTCAGGCTATCCCAATTTATTAATAGACAGTATAATAAACTCACAAATAAGTTAGCAATTTAATCAAATAATTTATAATGGTAGTTCGATTTCTCCTCTTGCAGAATCGCCAAGGCAAAACCCGACTCTCCAAATGGTATACCTATGTGCCTCACGACGAAAAATGCCAAACAGAAAACGAAATTCATCGTCTCGTCATCAACAGAGACCAAAAATTTACAAACTTCATTGAATTCAAAAACTTTAAAGTGATTTACAGAAAATACGCAGGACTTTTCTTTTCAGTAGGCGTTGATATTGACGAAAACGAGCTCTCTATAATGGAAATCATTCATTTATTTGTAGAAGTTCTTGACCAATTTTTTGGAAATGTATGCGAACTTGATTTGGTCTTCAATTTCCACAAAGTTTATGGGATTCTAGATGAAATTATTATAGGGGGAGAAATCATGGAGTCCAGCAAACAAGTCATTCTGAATAATCTGAAAATTGGTGATAAACGTAATTAAATCAGTTTAGATTTTAGCTTAAACTATGGATTATTTAAATTAATCCGTGAGTGCAATCTTTTCTGGGTCTAGTATGGATCTTTCCCTAATTGCATTTGGATTGTTCTTGAAATATAAATTTCTGAGGACTCTTTGCTGGTCAACATCGCTGCTCTTTCCATAGATCTTTTCGTCAGAAATTCTATTGCTCCATATCAATCCTTTCTTGACATCATTAGGAATATCTGGGACTTGTCTGCTGATTAAAAACTTAAATACCAAAAGGACGTGCTCAATGACCATGAAATATCCCCACTTAGTAGCGAAATCAGTTAAATCGAAAATATTTGCTGTGAAAATAATGATTGCTGTATTGGTTAAAGCTCCTATAACAGAAATGGTTCTGACTATAGATTCCCACTCACCAATAGAATTTGCAGGGGTTGGATAAGGTCTTTTCATTAGGTAGCATAATTTATATGCGTCAACCCTGACTTCAATAATGTTCACGAATAATGCAATTAGTGGGACGATTGGGAAGGCTGCTGAAAACATAACGACATAGCCATAATCAATGATGAGTTCCATATAATCGTCTAATGGTGTCTCATATTCTGATAAGCTTGCTTGCTTTTCAGTAGAAGTCATTGTTTTTCTCCCTTTATGTCCAGAATCATGCATTGCTTTTAAATGTCTTTTTTCAGCTCTCTTTCTCCAAGCGTTAGAACAATAAGGAGCCCCTAATTCGAAAAAGTTGCAAATTACATTAAATACGAAAATGACTTCTAACTGAAGTGATAGCTCATCTAAACACTGTGAGTTGTCTTCATCTCCATAGCATTTAATGAATCCTAAATAAATAAGTGAGGCGTAACTGTTGACAAATTGGAACAAATATAGTTTGATGCATAAGGCATCGTTGTACTGAGTATCATACTCATATAATAAAATTCGAAATTCCCTTTGAGAACTATTCCATCCTCAGCGAAGTTTGTTATTATGGATTTCAGTTTTACCAGTTGACCTTTATCCAGCTACATTGGAAGGAAAGCTTAGGCACATAGACTAGAATTCTGTTCTTTAGATTTCAAGATTCATAGGGATATCTGCCTTTAACTTCAAAAGAGGGCGGATCATGCTCAGAGATAGGTAGCAAATAGGTAATCTACCCTATGAAGACTCTCTCACCATGTGGTGAGCCATTTGATGGAATTCTCAATGGCTTATCAATATAAAGGACGCAAAGGATATGGCTCCTAAAGTCGCTTTTTAGATTTAAAAGGTCAGGTCTAGGCATGTCTAAATCATCTGCTGAATAGAAGAAGCACGCTAATTAATAGAAAAGTCAGAGTATCATACTCATAGTTTTCCCACTCAGTGAAAAACTTCGCAACTCTTCTATAAATTAAATTTAAAATTCTGATTTGGAGAGCATTGATAACAGCACATGAAAGCGGACCCCATGAATAGCTAGCATAAATGTCACGATAAATCATGATCGCAGCAACAGCTACAACTGCACTTCCAATGCAAATGAAAACTACTGACATACTAATGCTTCTTTTGATTTTTTCCCATATTGATTTATTAGAAATTTTCTTTTTACGGCCAGTTACAGGATCAGTTCCATATTTCCCTTTATAAGTAGGACGTTGTTGTTCCTTACTTACTTACTTACTTACTTACTTACTTAGAATTTATAACGCTTAACGTCCACTACGGGGTGACAACCCCAGGTTTATCACTCGCCTTCGTTACACCGGGCCTACAAGGTCTCTGGGGACGACCCGCTTCGATCACCAAGATGTTCCTCGGGACAAGTGTCACCGACTTCGACGGCTCATAGATGAGCTACTTGCCTGTAACATGGGTTGCTTTTTCGAAAAACCCAAAAAAATGGATTTTTCTGGTCCGCTGTCGGGAAAAAGGGAAGCACGTAGCCTGGGACGTAACGCCCAGTTTCACGCTAGGGAGTTGCCCGATTGGCCCAAAGGACTTTGCTGAGCTTCCCCTTTCCAACTTCCGTGCCTTCCTTCCCCACGAGGAAAAAACCATTCCTGAAATTAGACTAGGGCTAGCCCTGCACACAGCCTGAATTGCTTACCTAGCATTGCTGTCCATCTCAAAAATGGCAAAACCTTGCCGGATATAATTAAAATATGAGTCGAGGCTACATGGCGGGAGGCTACATGGCCGGGAGGCTACATGGCCGGGAGGCCATGCCCAGACGAAGACGCCATATCTTAATTGGACGTTGTTGTTCCACTTCTTGGATATCTGTAGTTCCCCACATCCAAGAAAGCTGATTTTGACGTCTTATCCAAAGCTGATCCAACAGTGTAGAGCCTAATGCTAATGACAGTGAAAATATAAGAAGAGAAATTTCAGCAAGGTTCATTTTTTGATCCTTATCATCAAGATTATCCATAATAAGTTGGATAATAAACGTTACAAGCCCTATTATGGCTGGAGCAATAAGCCATGCTACATAATACCCAAGCCATGCAAAGTACATAGCGATTTTTTCACCGAAGTAATTTTTGACTTTTTGGAGTGGCTGAGGTTTCCAGAACATAGAAAATGATCCCCAGTTGCTTCTGAGGAAAGCCAGCTGCTCTTCATTATGTATGCAAAAATGGTTGATCAAGATGTCATTATCTAAAAGCTCACCAATGTCAATAACTGAACTGATCATTGCCAGTAGAATTCTTACTTTGTCTTTATATTTAAACATGGTGATCCCATTTCCTGTTTTTGCTTGTCTTTCATCAGTTCCATACTTCTTATAGTTGCTTTCTACATCTTTGATAACCTTTTTCTGGAGAACTGGGCCTGATTTTTCTTCGTCTTTATTTTTTTCAAATCTCCCATAAGGGCAAATCAGACTATAACCAGACCTAGGAATGCTTTCAGGTCTTTTCAACTGTAAATGATAATCCATCAAATCAGCTTGGACCTTAAAATTGTGCTCACTGGCGCGGATCTTGCAGAATATTTCATCTTTATCCCTTGAAAAGAACAGCTTTAAATCTAATTTAAGATCTTCCTGCATCACTCTGAGGACGCAAGTTATGATCAAGTTTAGGAATCTTCTGAATTCCACTTCTCCTTGGTTTTCTTTAGAAAATCCTCTCCACATCTCGCTGATCCAGGCGTGACGCTGTGGGATGTGCTGGCTTGTTTCTTGTTTAAGCTTCATTTCTAAGCTTTCAGAATGTCCTTCTTCTTCACTCAGCTTAAAAGTGTTGGCAAAAATTTCTTTGCAGAGAGAAATGCTTATTTTTTCGTTGAGTGGGGCGATTACAGCTTCGTCTTCAGAAAAGTGATTGGGGAAGACGAAAATGTATTGGTAGTCTTCTTTAAATGAGTCTTTTTCAGCTGCTGAACCAGACTTATGGATAAGTGGCTCAGTTAGCTCAGTCCCTTCTTTGACCATAATATATTATCGAACGGTTATCAGAAATTAAGAGAAATTTAGAAGTCATCAGGCGCATAAATAGGACAAATTATGTGATGATGTTAACTGAACTGGCTTTATATAATAAATGGGTATTAACAAAGAGTTAGTTTTTATTGGGTAATAAAGATATGGAAATAATAAGGCTGTGCTAAATAATTTTTAAAAGAAATGAAGTTAATTTATAATTTTAAATAATTAGCTAACGCCCCCCTCTATGAGTGAACAAAAAAATTTTGTTCACTCACGGAGGAGGGTTAATTTTTGTTTTTTAAAAAATTTATATATAAATTTTATAGAAAAAATTTTTTTTTCGAGATTTAAAAAAAGCCCACTTCTCGAAAATTTGAATGCAATATTAATTTAATTTGTAAAATTATGTTTTTTAAAAAACTCAATTTGTTTAAAATTAAACAGAATTAGCTCGAGATTTCATTATAATAGATATAGAAATTTCCCTTAGATGGCACTGTTTGCCCTTGATTTGCCCACTGAAAAAAATTTTTTGGTTCGACCAAATCGCTTTGTGGTCCGACCAAGGCATTGATTTGGTGCAACCTACCGATAAATTCCGATCAGAATTTATCGGCCTTACAGCGCCAAACATAGGAAACTTCTATATCACTTATATATCAAAATTTTTTTTCCCATAAAAAATTTTTCTATTAAAAAAATTTTTGTTCACTCACGGAGGGTGGGCTTTTGGGCAAAAAATAGCGATTTTTCTAATGGTTTTTATTCACTTACGGTGGGGGGGATTAATAAATTGATGCTTTAAATTACTTAAAGTAAAAGAAGAATGGATTAATTATGTGTATTGCTAGATATAAGAAGAAATTTATAGGATATGCAATTTATTTAATGCGTTTTTTTAATTTAGCAAGATACTTTAATTATCAGGATTAGTAAGATTTTGCCTATAATAAATAGTAGATTTATCAATTATGCGAAACAAACTATATATGTTTCCGGTATAGATAATTATTGCTCCAGGGAGGCGGGTGCCAAGATATTGAACATCTCAGCAGTATTCATTGGGTTCGAATCCCAACCTTGGACCTTTTTACAATTTTTTAGAATCTTGAAATCTATGCAAAAAGCTTTGCCAATAAATATTATTTAAATTTCTAAGTAAATAGTTATTAGTTCTATAATGCTAAAGAAAGCAATTTTTTAAAGTATTAGTTAATGGATAGCCAATTATGCAAATAAATATTCTATAGTGTAAATTATTTTATCAATGCAAAGAATTAAAGTATTCTCGATATTTTTTAAGGGTTACAAGGTTTCAATTTTAATGTAATCTTTTTAACCTCTGAACTTTTCGGGCATTTTTCCTATAAAGAAATCCCTTGATTCAGCTTTGAATTTTTATCGCAGCGACTTTTTGCTTCCTTAATCTCTTTCGTGCAATTATTCCTAATAAAAATCCTTTTACTTTATTTTGAGACAGTTTAATAATTTCTGCTCTTGCCTTTCAAATGCATTTTCTCCATTGGCTTTGAATTTTAATCGCTGCTTTTTCCTTTTGTCCAATTTTAATGCATAAAAATTCTTTAGCATCTTTCTTCAGCTCTTTGCAAATTCCCAATATTAGTTTCAATATAAATTTCTTGAGAAATCTTTGGCATGGGCTTAGCTTTCTTTGAACTATTAGGGATTTGTATCAGCTCTGAATTTTTATGGCTGACTGATTTTTCTTAGCTAACTGTTTCCTAATAATAATTCCAAGAAGGAACGCTTTTATTTTGCTTATTGAAGCATTCTTAGAAGAAATTTGCTTCTGTGTAATAAATCTTCTCCAACTACTTTGGATCTTTATGATCCCATCTCGGCAATGCTTGTATTTTTTTTTAACTAATAGCGCCTTTACAACACTCTGTGTGAGGATAACTTTTTGCTTCATTTCTTTAGTTTCACTGTAAGCTGATTTTGCTCTTAATAAAGATTGAATAATCAAAATACTATTTTTGAGATTTTTTACTCTTTTTCTTTCTTTATAGCCTTTGTAAATTTTTTGTATTTTGAGTATAACTTCACGATTTCCATTATAAACCTCACTTTTTAAATTTTTTATAGTGAGAATGGCTTCCTTCCTTCTTAGTAAGGATTGAAGTATCAAAATTAAGTCAGCAATGCGCTTTGTTATTTTACGCTGTTTGTAGCCTCTATAACACTTTTGGATTTTTATAACTTTTTGCTCCTCCTCATTATCGCGCACTTTTCTGATTTCTTGGACAGCTCATATTGCTTCTTTTCTTCTATATAAAGCTTGGAGTGCTAATAAAGCATATTCAAGCTTTTTCTTTTTTTCTCGGTCTCTATATCCTCTATAGCATCTTTGAATATCCAAAACTTTCATATTTTTATCTTTATAATCATTTTTCATTTCTTGCACACTCATAAATGCATCCTTTCTTTTAAATACAGCCTGAATAATCATTATGCTATTCTTAAGCATTTTGAATTTCAAATAGTCTTTATGTCCTCTGTATGATTTTTGAATTGATAAAATATTTTTATTCAGGCTTTTTATACCTCTAACTTTCAGAAATACTTCTTTTCTCCTAATTATAGATTGGATTAAAATAATGCTTCTTTTAAGCCTTGCTAATTTCTGTTGATTTTTATATCTTCTATATCAGTTTTGGATTTTTATTATTTTTAGAATTTTTTCACTGAAATGTAGTCTCCATTTTTTTTGAATCTTTTTTGCAGCGTTATTTCTAACTTTTATTGTCCCAATGTTTTCTACCACATTTTTCTTTGCTGGCTCAATCCTGGTTCTTGATTTTTCTTTTTTTGATCTAATTCTAATTTTCTCTTTCAGTGATAATGCAGGCTTATCATTGCTAATTGCATTAGTCTTTTCTAAATCAATTAAATCTTGCTTATTTGCACTTACAGGTCTTGGCTTTTTGTCGTTAGAAATTAATAGGTCTCTTCCAATTCTTTTTTCGCCTGGGCCACTAGAAGTCCCTGGCCTTTGATTTTTATTCTCTTGCGCACTAGAGTGAAGCATTTTAAATAATGGATGTGGAGGTAATGCTTTAGACGGAGAAATTTTAATTGGATCTTTTGTACTTTTTTGCATTTTTCCGCTATCTGAAGAGCTAATTAAGGCATTTTGCTTTTCAATTTTAGGCAAAGCGTCTGGCCTTTGTGGTGATTGGTCTTTCAGCTCTTTATAAAGCCACAAAACTTTTGTATGGACCAAAGGAAGTGCTTTTAAATTAACTTGTGCAATGTTATATGCTTGCATGATATAGCTTTGGGCTTCTTCTCTCATATTCATGTGCACGCATTCTATTGCAGTGTTATATAAGCATACAGTAATATAAATATTCACCTTATCATTTTCGAATCTGCATTTATTTGACAAAAGGTCTAAAGCTCTTTGATGAAGGTCCAATGCCCTTTTATGATCTTCGGACATACAAATTGCATAACCGCAAATTGAAAGGGCTAAGACTAATTCTTGAAAAGCGTTATTTTTTTCTGTCAAAGCAATAGCTTTTTCACAAGCTTCAATAGCTTGGTCATTTTTCTTTTCCTTTAGGTAATAAGCACCAGTGCTGGATATTTCTTACTAAATTTGAAGACAACCTCGTAATGTGCTACGGTCTTTGAATTTTAGCTTGGATTTGGGGTCAATTAATTTATTAATTCAGTTAATCTTAAGTTTCACGTGTCTATTCCACGTCACTTCTTTCGGATTTGCGCCGATGTCACGCTCTGGGGCTAATCTGCTCACTAACCCACTCAAAATTTAATCAAAATTTGAGGCTTCCTCTTGATGTTTGAATCCCTTAGATGGCTTCCTTCCGGCTCTCGAGCATGCCAGTATAGCCCGCTAGGCACTCTAAAGGTCTAAGCCTCCACCACCTAGTAGTGGTGGCTAATTCAATAAATTCCTTTCTCTAATAGCAGGAGCTCTATTCTACACGTCCCAGGCTCTTGTTTCCTTATTAGAACAGAAAAATCAGATCACACCATATTTTGAGTATATCAATTAGTTTATCAAGGACTCCTATTAAACTAAACGCTTGTGTCCGTTTGTCACTTTTTAGACTGTAAATAATTCAATCGCAAAGGATATTAGCGAACTGATTTGTTTGGTCAAGCATCTGAATATCAAATACATATGAAGGATGGTCTTTAAGATGTTTTCGCTTTAAAAAAAGAGTTCTGAGTCAAACCATCGCTGACTCTGTATATTTTTTCCGCTCTTCAAATGAGAGGGCTTGTGAATCGGCTTCTGAAATAGTAATTACGATCGATTTCTGTGAGGGGTTCTGGAAGAGAAAGCTCTTTGGCTATTAAAGAGATAGGCTTGATTTCAGTTAAACTCAATGGTTCTTCTTTCTGAGTGAATGTAAGAATATTTATTGGCCTTTTCATATTATCTAGACAAAACTATCTTTATTAATTTAGATAAGATATAAATAATAACTAATGCCTATTTAATTGAGATATATAGTGAATTTATGCTGTCTGCAAATATCTATATCTATAAATAAGCTAAAGAATATAGGAATAAATTTAACTAAAGATAAATTTATTAAAGAAAAAATATACAATCTCATTCTTATACGCTCTATAATTTCTTAAATCATAAACTTCATTAAATATGTATCAAAAACAATAAATTAAGATTTTTCCTTGAAGCTGTGCTTAATATAATAGTGAATTCATCAATAATTTAATTAAATTTCAATTTTTATGAATGATTTATATTATTGTTGCTTGAGGCGCATCATTTCCAAACCGCTCTCTCAACATTCTGAAATCTGGTCTTTCCTGGTAGCTAACTTTGAGCATATATAGTAAAAGCTCCTTAACCCAAGGAATCTCAACTTTTGCTTTTACATAATTGTCTATTTCCTCTTGATCACACGAATTATGACCTCCAGGACTTGATAAGGTAGCCATCTCAAGAATTGTCAGGCCAAGAGAGTAAACATCTGCCTTGCTCATCCTTAATCTTGCTCTCATTGCAAATTCTGCTCTCCTGTGCGTTGGCAGTCTTAGAGACTCTAAATATAAATTAAATAGTTCAGGGGCTAAATAATCTGGTGTCCCTGTTACTCCAGCTGATACCGTTTTTTCTGTTGAAGTAGTTTCTGAGGTGAATGAGACATCAAAATCCCCAAGCTTATAAATCTTTGTATCATCTTCTATTTTAATAAAAATGTTATCAGGCTTTATATCACGGTGATAGATTTTCATATCTGCCAATATAGAGCAAGCATTGATCATGCTTATTGCAAACATTTGCAGTTCTTCTTCAGAATATTTATTATGAGAATATTTTCTTTCTCTGATTTCATTAGTGAGAACCCCTTCACAATATTCCATTACCACTGTAAACTTTTTTCTATGGTTTACCACGTCGTGAAAAGCTCCATAAACTCTTAAGAAATTACTTGACCCAGATTCTGAAGCACTTGCCATTATTTTTGCTTCATTTTCGAATCTTTTTATTTTTGTAAAATCAGAAGGGAATGTATGAGACTTTGCTACAAGTATTTCATCATTATAAACAACTTTTTCGACATTCATGATCACATTGTTGCCTTTATCTCTAGGAGGGATGATTTGGGAATCAATTGATAATTGATCCCAGCTGTTTATTTCTAGATCTCCAAGCCTGAAAGAATCAGCTTCAGGACAAACAGTACTAAGATTGTCAATAGCGTTATCTGCAGTTTCCTGTGCCCCTAGTTCTCCCACATTATCTTTTGTTTCCTCGTCTAATTCTTCTTGATCTGTTGTGGTTTGGATTTCTCCTTTTAGTTCTTCTCCTGAATATTTAGACACTTTGTCTCTGATTGTATCACCTAAATCGCAATGCGAATAATCATAGAACTGAACGGTTCTTATAGACTCCTTTATATCTTCTTCATTTAAAGAGCTAACACGCTTGAATAATGCTTCAGTGTCTAGACCTCCAATAGAGGCATCTTGGATTTTTCTGTAGAGCTCATAATTATTTATAGTAGAAACCAAATTTCTGGTTGGAGTTGTAATGATATCTTTCGTACCCAGGTCTTCTAGGAACTTTACAAAAGGTTTTAAATGCTTTAACAACTCAGATGTCTTCTTAAGATCGTCAGGAGCCACATTTAGGCATGCTAAGTTGATATAAAGATAATGTTTTAGTTCTTGGCAGGAAATATCTACTTCTTCTAGCATTCTGATGCCTTCTGACCACTTTTCGATGGACTTAAGAAATTTAATGGGATCTTGTAACGCATTTTCTCCATCCTGAACAAGTTTTTCTGCCTCCTCTCCTTTGTTTTCTTCAGATATTTTTGCATTTGCAATGAAAAGGTCGTACTGATTTTTTGATACTTTGTCTGACCTCCGGCAAGATTTTGCTAACCCTGAAAGGACGGCAATGCTAGGTAAGCAATTCTGGTTGTGTTCAGAGCCTAGGCCTTAGTCAACTTTGGGATTAGATTTTACCTCGAGGGAAGGGAGAAGTGCGGAGTTGGAAAGGACAAGCCCAGCTAAGTCTACAGGGAATAGCTAGACCAATCGGGCAGCTGTCTAGCGTGAACTGGGAGTTACGCCCCAGGCGACGAACTTTTCCCTTTTGCCGAAAGGACACCAGAAATTCCATTTTTTGGGATTTTTGAGTGGACAGCCTCGTACTCAAGCAGCAAGCCGCAGAAGTCCATAGCCCGCCCAATCAACACTTGAGCCGCAGTTCGCTGTGGGAAGGAGTAGGCGTATGTCCTGATGGCATACCTTTATGGCATGTTTTGGACTACGCCGCAAAGCAGGTGAACCCTTTGGGGTCCTTGGTGACTGCGTTACCAATAGGGGAGACCCAAGACTAATTTCTAATGTTAATGATACTTTGTCTGACCAAAGTAAATAGTTTTTGGTATCCATGCGATAGGTTGTCCTTGGAATTGCTTGCCATTGAAGATATGACTTTTCTTAGGCCAACAATGTCTTCTGGCTCTATTTTGTCAACTTTATTGAAAAAGAACGTCAAAAAGAACTTAGAATATAATAGCTTTTGGTTTTCGTCAGCATGAGTGTATTCCTCGTAGGTTGCGTCGAACTTTGACTTTAGGCTGTTTCTGAGATCGCTGCCAATGCTTGGTGAAATTGAATCGACCATTTATAAGTTATAGAAAGGTATTTCTACAGATCATAGATAAACTACATTATAAAATTAAGTTACTATAGTCATAAATGATAAATAGCACAAATTAACCAAGGTTTATTCTTTGTCCATTTCTCCAGAGCTGGACTTCTTTTTGGTCGTCTTTAGAAATAAAAGTAACAACTCCATGAAGCTTGTCGGACTCTCAATATCCAATCTGTTTGGAATTGTCAGGAAATCTCATCACTCCATATCCTTGCTTCATGTCATCAACAAACTCGCCTTGATACTCACTCCCATCACTGTTAGTTAAAACTCCTTTGCCATGATGCATGTTGTGCTTTCATTCCCCGACGTATCGTCTTCCATCTGGAAAAATCATAGCTCCAAATCCATCTTTTTCGTCATTTTTGTACTCTCCTTCATAGATTTTTCCATTATGCCAGGTATATTTGCCCCATCCGTGGTTATCGCCATGCTTGAAATTGCCTGTATAGGTGCTTCCACTTGGTCATCTATAAGTCCCATGGCCTGATCTATTATTATGTTTTCAGAACCCATAATAGCTTTGACCATTACTGGTAGTTTTATTGCCATATCCATGCTTTTCTCCATTTAAAAATTCTCCAGAATACCTTGCCCCATCCTGCCAAGTCTGTACTCCTTTTCCTTCAATTCGTCCATCTAGAGTCCATTCTCCTGTGTATACAGAGCCATCAGGCAGCTCTACCGCATCTTTTTTGACCTTTGTAGTTGAGCTATAAATGATTGGTTTTTCATTATCTTGTTCATGAATAGACGTAATAGGACTGCTAAGGGCAACAATATTATTAATATTTTCCATAAATCGGCTTTGAAGCCGTCGAAGCATTTCTTCTTGTGATCTTGATGTGTTTAAAATATTTTGAAATTCCAATGTAGCTGCACATTTCAGTGAGCAAACATAAATGTCAGGAGTTGAAGGTTTTTCAGGGGTGGCAAATAATATCATATTTTCAACAGCTTCTTTTGTGTTGCAGATTGGACTTGCACATTTCTTGATGTCACAATTATAGGGGCACTCATCTTGCTCGTGTATTTCAATTCGACCAACTCTATCCACTTTTCCGCAGCCGTTCTTAGCGTATTTGCATCTGAGTAGTAGGTCTTCTAAGTTTGTTCGGATTATCCTGCCTGGTCTTTGCATTTCTGATTTTTCGCAGCGATTAGGACAGATGTATCCGTTCAGCTCTATGCAAGCTGCAATACAATCCCCACAGAAGAGGCTTTCACAAGAGGTGCATTCTTTAGGATTTTTTACGACTTCATGGCAAATAAGACATAAAAAAGAGTTTGGAACTTTGTCTACGAATCTTTCTACTTCATAGCCCATCTATTTTATCTCTATATAAAATATGATTACTGATGACTAAATTATTAATGATATTCATTATTATCAAGAAATTCCTGTACAATATAGATTAGCTTTCTCTTATATTGGTACATATGAGCTGCAAATATATCATTCTTAGGAGTTTCAGTGCCTATTTATTATTAAAATATGAAAGTCTTTATTTTTATGCTTTCTATCATCATTGTTATAAGTACTTATACAAGTATAGACAATGCTCAGGAGTTCAAAGTGATAATAGGTAAGATAACAAATGTTGCATTGTCCTCAAATCCAACAACTGGATACAGCTGGTTTTTGAATCTACCAAATTCAAATAAATTAAAAGTTCCTGACCTAAATGGAGAGTATAAATTACTAACTTTTCACTTTTAAGAGCAAGCATATCTATTAGAAAAATCTCTTTTTTGGAGATTTAACCTTCTTTTAAGAGTGAGCAAAACAATAAAAAAATATTTCTTTGTGTGTAGATATTTTTATGTTTAGGTATTTGGAACTTTTTAATACCACAAAATGATCTAGTGGTCGCAATCAGTCCTCTATTTACCAGTCTGAATAGGAGATTGGCATCGACCAATAGACCAGCTTACTGATGTTTAAAAAGCACAACGGCCTATATAATTATTTGTTATAGTAATGATAATGCTAGCTTATTCCATTAAATTTATCAAACATTAAATGGCGACATGTGTCACCATGCCCCCTGAGTGCAACAGTCCGACCCTTATGGTCACGATGAACTGAGATGGACTCCTCATCAAGAATCAAGTGTACAATCAGGAGATTTGTAACCAGATAGGCTTTGGCTGCCTTCCTGTGGCTGAAATGGAGGTGCCTGACAACGTCCTTTGGATCTGAGAACCAATGTGTATTCCTCTACCGAGAAACTTGGGTTTCAGCCCAGGCCACAGGGGGCAGTCTTTTTGCTGTAGCATTCAAAGGAAAGCACTTCGACACCCGACAGACTCAAAGGAACTGATTCTTGGATTCAGCCACTCCCAATCCCCTCCCACATGGCTGCAGAAATCCATAAGCTACCCACTCAAGACTGAAGCCGCAAGGCAAGGAAGAGACAGAAGGCACAGAAGTTAACACCCGTTTTGGGGGATATAGACCCTCTGGGCTAGAGTCAAAAGTGCTTGAACCTTCCGTATGGGAGGAGATATCTTTGGTAGCTGCGTCATCACCTGACTTTAAAGGCCTAATCTACTCCATTAAATTATATACTAAACATAAAGCTTGAAATATTCAATTAACTTTTTCTTCAAATATTTATGTTAAATTTTTAAAATAAAAAAATTTAGCTCATGCAAAAGCTCATTCCTGCTCTTGAATGGAGGGTAAGTGGATTAACTGGAGGAGGCGGAGTTCAAGTTTTCGAGATTTCTTGCAGTGAGTTATGTGAAGATGGAGAATTATTATCATTAGCATTCGAATATAAAAGACCATGGGAAGCTGAACCTATAAAAACAAAGGTTGTGACTGCAAAAGTTTTTTCAAATCCCGAGCTTTAATAGAATCATTAAGCTCATAATTTAAAAACTAATTTGGAAAAAATCAAACTTGAAGCATAGTAAAGGGCATCTCAAGTTTAGTAATAAAGTAAAATATGGTAAAAAAGGTTCCTTTAGATAATACAGAGGAACTTTATTTTGAGACTTTTGAGGATTTTATTGAGGATGGCGATAAAAATGCAGGATTACAAATAAAAAGAAAGCAAGAAAAGACTAAATTATTCACAAATGAGTTTGGTAAAGAGACAATAAAAGCTTCGCAGCAAGGAAATCTCAAACAACTTAGAAAGCTTTACTCAATTTTGTGTCATTGTGACATCGAAAACGCTCAGAAATATGATCTGGAAACACACTACCGCAACTCTTTAGATATTGCTTTGGCTGAAATCACCAAAGATTTCAAGACAAAATTAGGGAAAAAGCTAGATAAGTCAACAAAATGAAAATCATATGAGAAAAAAGTCAGAATTTTTTTAAAAAACACAGCTACCTTACTAAGCGGAGCTGGGATTGCCCCTGAAGTATACATAAATATTTCAAATTGTTTAAAAAAACTAGCAAAATTATTGAAATTATTCCCAAATCAAGCTCAGATTTTGGTTGGACAAATAAGTAGAATTTTTGTGGAACAATCAGCAGATGTAAAATTGGCCTTTTTATCATTTATCAAAAAGGCTGCATGCGTAAAATCAATTGAGCCTGGTTATGCTCTTGAAGTCTTATTTCATGCAATAGCAAAAAAGTGGAAAATAATGCCATCTGAAAGTCAAGAAGATATAGAGCTAATGCGAACTTATTTTATAGATTTATTCAGCGTAAATTTGGAAGCCGGACTACAGTTTGTTAGAAATTATGCTAATAAACTAGAATTATATTTAGCAAAAGCATCAAGAGGCTCAGCAAAATCAAAAATAATCTATAACTGGCAATTTTTCAATTCAATTTCCCTTATTTCTCACTTGATAATTTCATATCCCAAGCAGTTTTCTCAAATTTCACCTTCTATTATCCAAATCCTCCACAATTTATTTCAAGCAAATCAGGCTCAAAAATACAGTCCTTTGAAACTTCATATAATTAAACTGCTCATAATTCTTCAATATAACTTGGATAGGTACATTCCTGGTATATCATCTTATGTGCTTGAAATAATCACTAATCCTGCATTACAAAAAAGATCAAAAACTAACCGATGCACAGAATTTAGCCTTGCTTCAATGCTGAAAGTAAATAAAGAGCAGCTCACTAGTGACGTTTTTAAGGAAAAAATAATAGAAGAATCTTGCAGAGCTTTACTTGAGCATATTGCATATTTTGGAAATAGCATTGCATTTCCAGAAGTCTCGCTCCCTATCAAACTAGCATTGAAAAAGTCAATAAAAGACACAAAAAACGCTGCTATTAAAAATAAAATTAGCCACACAGTTAAATTGATTGAAGAAAATTCGCGGTTTATAGAAAAGAAGAGAAATGGAATTTTTGGACCTATAATGGCTGCTTCAAATAATATTGAAGGGAAAATCCCATTATCAACACACAAGCAAGGGGTAAGCAAAGATAAATAAAATATCTTGGACAGGAGCACTTAATTTTAATATTTAGCTCGATTTATTTATAAATTCCATTTGTAAATTAGCATATCATCAAAGAATCAATAAATTTTAATCATTATTGATTTATAAGCTATACAAAATTATAGTAAAATTCACTGAAAAATAAATTTTATTCTTATTAAAACTAATTAAGGAAATTCAATTCAATTTTGACTTCAAATGATCTTGAATGGAAAAGATCAGAATTCTAGCTTTTTAAGATTTTTGCATAAAAGTCAACTTTTCTTGAATACATAGGTATGCATCTCAAAAAAATATAAAAGTATAGACGCTATGATTCAAAATTAAGAGATGTAGCTTTTATTTTACTAATTATATATATAAATTGGCTAATGACATCGGACTGTACTCTCTGCAACGGATGCCTATGTATCCGGGCACGGCTTTTGAAGTTATAGGCTAGCTCAGCAACATTAGAAGCCTTAAGGTGAGAGAGGAGTCATGCACAGACCGCTGTTTTATGACCTAATCCAATGCAGAGCTACTTATGAGTTTTCTGCCAACATCACTCCACTCTTATGGATGTCAGAAATGGAGAAGAAGACTTATATGCTCGGGTTAGCTTCCCTGAACCGAAGAAGAGGTTGAGAATTTCGATTTGAAAAAAGGGGAGACCCATTAGATGAAGAGGAGCAGTCCCTCCAGTAAAGAACTCCAAGTAGAAGTGATCTGGCCAGCTGGGCGAAGGGAATAAGTTGGAAATGGTTGTGCCAGCAAAGCTTAGAGGGAAATATTACCCTCTACAGTGAAACCAGGAGTTTCAGCCTGAACTCAGAGGTGCGTGAAAGCCACTTAATTCGTTTGTGCTACCAGACAGCACCAAAGCGAGCCATATAGAGCGCGGCCTGTGGAAGAAGAGACTCATAAGATACAGCTAATTTTACTAATAAGAGTTATATATTTTTTTTATTCTAATCTGCCATTATTTATTAAAGATTAGAACATAAATATACGATGAAAACTAAGTTAGCAAGCAATGATTTTTTTTATTTGCTTTATATAGCCGCAAAAGAAAACTATGTCCACTTGCCAGTTCCTAAATCTCTTATTAGAGACTCAAGATTGAAAACTCCTATTCTCGTCGAAAAAACAGTCAAAACCTATATATTTAAAAATATTCAATCAGAAGAAATTGAGACAATTATAGTAAATAATTTCAAGGAAAAGCATAATTTTCCATGCGCAATCATCAAAACATTAAAAAACAGAATTCTTTGTTTTTCTGTACAAGAAATCATAAAAATCTGAAACAGTAGCTCAGAAAACTTAATTATTCAAGAATATTTAGAATGCAAGGGAGGAAAACCACATATTGTCAGAATAAAATGGAAGACTCCAGGACATATAAGAGCAACATATATATCATATGACGATGAAGAAGACACCGACAAGTTTATTCTGTCAGAAGCTGCTTGTGAGTCTGAAGTACTAATTACAGCGAGCACTATTGAACTTAATAAATATGCTGAAACATTGAAAAACATTTTGGAGTATTCTCTCTCCCACATAGATTTGATACTTGAGTTTTCAGCTGATTTTTTGCAAGATATTTCTGGCAGATGATATTTTATTAGTATTGATAATTACAGTCTTTGCAAAAATAGGCAGCTGCTATCATTTCGATCAGAAAAAACTTTAAGAACTGAAAGCTCAACAGCTACTAACCGCTCACATAAGCATTTACTCCCCTCCAAGAAAGAGACATTTTACAAAAATGTCTCTATTGGAAGGTGGGTTTTTGAAATTTTTTTTTAAAAAAAATCTATATGCAAATTTTTATATAATTTTTTTTAAAAATTATATAACATAAATTTAAATAAAATTCAAGAATATTGTTTTCAAATTTTATATTTAATCAAATGGAAGGTTAATTAAAATTCAATTTTAGCTCTAAATGTCATCAACACCTCATCCTTCTAATTCTAATTTTGATGGAAAATTTTCTATTGGAAGATGGTTTTTTTTACCCAAAAAATAGAAATTTTCCCCTATTTTTCCCAGTAAAAAATGTCTCTATCTTGGGGGGGAGTTAGATATGCTTTCATTTAACGGCAAATCTACCCCTGTAGTTAACAAATGTAATACTCCTTTGCCATTTAAAAATATAATGACTCCGAGAAATAATGCAAAAGAAGACTCTAAGGTTCCAGCGATTCCACATATAAAGTCTAAAAGAATTCAAAAAGAAAAAGAACTGAATTTTAATATTAAAGAGCTTATGGGGTTTCCAAGAAGTCGAGGAATTGCATATATAACATATGATCAATGAAATAAGAGGGTTTGAAACGGTAATAGAATGTCTCCAAATGATTGATTATACGCGAATAAAATTGCTAACTTCGCATACAGAGGGGGCTAATTTTTTTTTCGAATTTTTAACAAAAATCCCAATTCACAAAATTTTGGTTTTAAAATGAAACTGTTTTAAATTCAAAAAATGGTTCGAAATTTTATTATGCGAATTATCGCTTATATATCAAACACAATTAAAAATGTCAGTTATGGTAAGACTCAGGTCTACATCTGAGCTCAGTCAGAGCAGTTAGCAGCTTCTTGAGAGTCTCGGCTCAAGAGAATGGGCCTAAACTGAGTCTGGTGAAGAAAAGAGAGGTCCTAAGGGTCTTTGAGACAAAAACATTACATTGCATTATTATCTATATCGTTTAAGGCCCACTATGGGGTCACCTTTGTCCAGGGCTACCACCATATTTATGCACGTGATGGGCCCATGGACCTCTGGAACGATCCAATTTGTTTCACCAGGGCACGGGCAAATACAGAGTTCCGGCTTCGACGGGTTGCGTTCGCCTCGCGCTTCCTTTATTCAGTTCTTGCGCGTGTTCCGCCTAAGGGTCACCTTCCTCGGGTGTGCTGAGAGATAAAACTTCGAGCTCTTGATGCACTTGGAGCAGTGCCTCGGCTTATCTGCCAGAGTTAGATTGCTATTGCTGTACAGAAGTTCTCAGAAAAAACCTAACCCCATAAATAAAATTGCTTGAGGGAGAGAAAATTAGCGGAGCTAATTTCTCTCGAACCGAATGCCATTTTATTTATGCCTTTGAGACAGAAACAGATCGACAGTTAGTCGGCCTGCTGACCGTTATTCAGAACTTTGATCCAAGCTCAGGCCAAGAAGTACTAGATGAAGAGTTATCTTAATATATCAAAATATATTTTCATAAAAAAATTTTTGTTGCTCACAGAGGAGGAGTAAGCAAAAAAATTTCATGAAGCATAAGGTTGACAAAGCAAAACATAAGATGAGAAAGCTAATAGAAACCATGACGACACTGACCAATGGAGTACCTCCTGAAAGTGATGAGGATAAAAATCTCACAGTAAAACTTCCTGTTGAACTTTTAAACCTTAGCTCAGTCCCAAAAGAAGACCTTTTTGAAATTAAAGCCAAGCGCCAATCATTTATAGAGGCCCATGAAAAATTTGAATTTGGAGTTAAAAGGATTGATGAAATGCTTAAACGGATTGCCAAGACTCATGAAAATTAGTAGCTATTATATAAATTATCTGAGAACCAATCATAAACAGCAAATAATAAGTTTTGATTCTACTAAAAGCTTTTTATTTTTATAGCCCGAGCGTCTTTGCAGCTTGGGCTTTCCTATCTTTCCCGACGGGAAATCGAAGTTGGTCTAATCAATTACTGCTGGTTTGGCCATCACCCAATTGTAAAAATCCTGCGTCATGTGGTTCTGCTATTTGGGCAGTTGGCAAACAAACTTTAGTTGATTCAACCAACTCGCCTCTTTTCTGCCAGAAAAAACGTGAGAAACCCTGGCCATAAAGGTGCTACAGCTATAAAGACTAATTTTTGAATTTATATATCTCTCCTATGCATACTATTGTATTTTAATTCTCTATTATAAGCCTTAATTTTCTGCTTATTTAAATTCCATGCCATATTATTCATGCCATAAAATTCTGATAAGTCTAGCCGTTGCTCCATATTATTGTTGATTTCAGCTTCACATTAATTGTCACTTATAATTAAAAAATTCTGATGAAGCCGATCATTATCTTATTGTTAAGCTTAGTTTTACTTTCAGCAGCAAACGAAGAAGCCAAAGGAAGACAGACAAGAGAATTAGGTGGATATGGGCATGGCTCTTCAAACTGTGGCAAATCTTACGATGATTGTGATGACTATTCGCCCTGCAAGCCTTCAATTCCTATCCAGCCTACAAACACATCTATTAACACAACAGGACCTGCAAATTGTTCATGCTCCTGCAATTGTTCTTGCTGGACCTGCAATTGTAGCTGCAGTTGCATTGTCATTCCGCCTCCACAGAACACAACTCAACCAAACGTGACAAATTGCACTTGTCCACCAAAGCCTAGCTGCAGCTCACCTTGTGAAAGTGATGATTATTATGAATGTGGCCATGGGAACCACTGGATCGAAGGAGGAATCGATGCAAACAGAAAATTGCGAGATGAGCTTATAAGATTCGCCGTTCGCCTTGCAGGCTGGGGGATTTCCACCCCTTCACGTTCATCCCTCCCGAGCAGACGGACACTCTGCCTGTTGCCGCAAACAGGGAATTCGCTTACCAGTCTTGACTTCCATGGGTCCTGGAGTCTAAGGGCCAAATACCTAGGTAGAAACTCCCAGGTTCTTGTTAGGCAAATACCGTCTTAAGAGTCTGAGGATCATATTGCCCTCAAGCATTGGCCGACCTTGCCCTTTCCAATGCTTGTTCTGCAGGACAATGTCTAAGTCCAAGGATTAGCTCCTTGATACCTGAGGAAAGCCCAGCCCGACATACATAAAGGATTACCACCCCTTTCCACCTAAATCTCCATTACTGGGTCATTGCCTGCTGGTGCTGACTCCCCCCCCCCTCGAAGTTCGACCAAGATTTTTTGGTCGAACTTCGAGGGGGGTTAAGAAAATTTTTTTTAAAAAAAAATTATATAGAATTTTTTTTATATAATTTAGTAGTTAAAAAAAAAAATATTTATCATATTCTTCTGTATGGTTGAGAGGGTATAAGGGTTAGAAATAATAGTGCAAGATGGTTTTGTAACGCTTTTTTTAGAACTTGAATACAAAAAATCGCAAGCTCACCCCCACATAGTTTAAAATTCTTGAAAAATTGCTTAAATGTCAAAAAAAGCCATTTTTAATAAAAGTTTTGATGGAGCTGAAGCGCAAATTTACAACGAACTCTGCCAAAATTGAAATCATCGACTATTACTTTAGCCACAAGGACCAGGGGGTTACTATGAGAGAGGTTGCAGAGAAATTCCCATCTGAACTCTCATACCTCTCTAGTTGATTGAATCAAAAACATTGACAAGCTTCGGGAATCAGAGCCAGCCGCTAAAAGGGTAAAGGCAGAGCCTTTTACGCAATTTCCAATTCTAGAGAAAGAGCTGATTCATTGGTTGATTGCTGTGAGACAGCAGGGTCATACTGTCTTAAGAGTGACTATCGAAAAGAAAGCCAGAGAATTGAGCTTGCCGCGATTCCAATGCGGCCAAGGATGATGGGAAGGATTCAAGACAAGAAATAATCTGGCCTACCGTAAGGTCAACGCATCCAGTCTTAAGCCTCTAGAACGAGAGAAGCAGAACTTGTTAGAGACTATCTGGACGAGCTGATGCCTCTTCTCGACATTTATCCTTCCTCTACTATTTACAATTTCGATGAAACCAGATTCAACTGGGATGTCTGTAGCAAGTATACCTATGATTTCAAAGGTGCTCAAAGAGTTGTGGGTATCCAATCAGCTAAAGCCAAACACTCAATCACTGTGATGCTTTTGATCAGAGCAGATGGTAAAAAGTTTCCTGCGTTGTTGATCTTTCAAGAGAAAACTGGCAAGATTCCATTTCGTTTATATGAGCACTTAACTATCCCTAACAACATCGTTGTCAAGGCTAACAGGACTGGCTATATCACTGATGACATGATCAGCGACTATCTAAGAACAGTGCTGACAAAGGAAAGGCAGCTCATCATAATGGACCAAGCAACTAGTCATAAAACTGATAGAATTGTTCAAGCGCTATCTGACTTGCAAGCTCAAAGCATCATTATCCCAGGAGGATGCACAAAGCATGTCCAGCCACTTGATGTCATAGTCATAGCCAACTTCAAGAGAAAGACAACTCAGTTTAGGGTTGAGTACGAAACCGAGGAAGTTGAAAGAAGATCACAAAGAAGCGGAAACATCAAGGCTCTTGATAGACAGCAAATGATAAACTTGGCCTCAAAGGCTTGGGAGGAAGTGCATCCAGATATTATCATAACTGGCTTTCAATTGACAGGATCTTATGGAGTTGATCACCCCAAGTTTCTTCGCCACCGATCCATGCTTAAAAGAGTTAATTATTTAAAAAACTCTTAAAAAAATTAATTTAAAAAAAACACATTTGAGAAAATTTTTTATAGTGGTGAAGGGGTCAAGTTTTCGAGCTCTAATTTCAGAATTGAAAATTCAGCTAACTCTTTCCTTAATTAATCTACTGCCCTTAAAACAATTGGTCTTTTGAACTAATTCATAAGATCGAAAAATAATATTTTCCTAGTAAATTTATATAGGTCTTGGTCGAACTTTGAGGGGGTTAATTTTCCAAAAAAATAGGAATTTTCCCTATATCTTGGTCGAACTTCGAGGGGGGGGAGTGAAGAAACAGGGTCGAGAGCTCGGGTGGTATGCCATCACCATTTTTATGTATATGCGAGATGAGCTTATAAATGACGTAATATAAATATCATTTGACCAAAATCTTTTCCTTTAATAATTTCGTCCTAGCAATTCCAATAGGGATTCAAATATTTGTGGTCCATAACAATTATTTTCCATATTTTGTATTATTCATAGCCAGAAAATTCTGATAAGTATATCCGTTGCTCCATATTATTGTCAATTCAAACTCACATTAAATTCAATTTAAATAAGAAATTCTGATAAAAATCATTATTAATTCATTAAAATAGATTTCTATATATAAAATTTAATATTATTTATAATTTCACACAATTCTGATCAAGCATCATCTTTACAAATTCTGGCAAATCAATGACCCCGTCTCCATTCATATCAGCTTCTCTAATCATGTCTTGCCAAAACGAGTCATCATACTTGTGGTATTTTCCTAAAATTTCTTTAAGTTCGTCTGCAGAAATAGTGCCACTTCCATCTAAATCGAAAGCTTTAAAAGCAGCCTCTAGTCTTTTCCGTGACAAAAGATTTTGTCTGCTTAAACAAGCTGTGATAAATTCATTATAATCGATTTCTCCTGACCTATTAACGTCTGCTTCATCCATGATTCTGCTGATTTCTCCATCTATATCTTCAAAATCTGATCCAAAAATTAATTCAAAGCCATGTCTAAGCTCTTCACGTGACAATGTGCCATTTTCGTCAGTATCTAAAGATTCAAATAGCTCAACCATTTCTTCTCTTTCTGATTTTGTTGCCAGCTGTGAAGCTATATAGGCTAATGTGACTTTTTTTAGTTTTTGTTCTGCTCTGAAGCTTTTTAAGTTCCCCAAAGCAGATCTAGCTGCATTTTGGTCAATTTGAAACCGAGCTGCATTTAGTAGCCAAGGATGTGCAAGGGCTTCTCTGGCTGAAACTCTTCTGTCAGGGTCGATTTCAAGCATTTTTTCAATTAAATCTTTAGCTTCAAATGAAATAGAATCCCATTGAGGAGATGGGAACGAGTGTCTCCCATTTTTCACTTTAAGCAATATTTCATGGTCTGAACTACCTCCAAAAGGTGGAATCCCAGACAGTAAAATATACATATTGACTCCTGCGCTTCATATATCACATTTTTCATCATATCTCATTCTTAATACTTCAGGAGCTACATAATAAGGAGTTCCAAACCTTGAGTGGAGCTTTTCTCCTGGACGACATATTTGTGCAGTCCCGAAGTCAATAACCTTTAAATGTGAATCAGGCCCTGAACTATTTAATAAAAGGTTTTCAGGCTTTATGTCTCTATGAACAATATGTCTATCATGCAAGTATACTAGCACAGATAATAATTGCCGCATATAGCTTGCTGCTAGTCCTTCACTTAGATTCCCATCTTGAATAATCTTTTCAAACAATTCGCCTCCAGAACAAAATTCGGTGATGATATAATAGTTTTTATCGTCGTGATAAAACTCATAGATTTTCAATATGTTGGGATGGTCCAGCTTTGATAGCAAATTTACTTCATTATAAATCATTTCCCTCTCTGACTCATTTCTTATTTTCTTTTTATGAACAGTTTTTACTGCTCTTTTTTCATGAGTTTCACGGTTTTTAATTTTTCTGACATTGCTGAAGGCTCCTTCGCCTATTTTATTTCCAATTTTATAAAAATCCCTCAGATGGCCATCATGTTCGAACACAAAGTCTCTTTGTGAAACAGAAAAATCCATAATTGATATTGATTAAGAAATTATTTATTTTATCCATATTCAAAAGGACAGATTTTATTATTAAATGTCAAATCCGAAATCAAAGGCAAGACTATATTTCAAGGAGTCCCTGCCCAAAAATTTTACCCCTACAAGGCCAATACCGCCTCTCAAGCTGGCTTCTCTTAAAAATACTTCTAAAGTAATTTCCAGTACTACAGCTCGAATTAAAAATTCAGCGGACTCTTATAATGACTCTCAATCATTCCCAAAGCAGACAGCACCAACTTATGAAACTAAAATTAATCATCATAGATCTTCATCAGTTATTCACATAATGCCATCACTAAAAGCTTCAATAAGTTCTGTTTCCCAAGCTGTTTTAAAAGGTTCATGGAATTCAATGAGTCTTCCTATTTCAGCTGGAATGACTTTGCAACTTTTTCGCAGTGAACTTACAGATCTAGAACAAAGTGAAATTTTAAGCTTCCCGAAAGTATTTTTTATTGGATTTGGAGTAGAAAAACTGAAACCTGACAGAGATCCGCAGCATAATTTTGGGTTTGATGATGAAAGAAGTGATTATATTTTGGTCAAAGGAGATCATATAGCATATCGGTATGAAATTATTCAAATTCTAGGAAAAGGGTCGTTTGGGCAGGTTATCAAAGCTTATGATCACAAAGAAAAAGAAGAAATTGCTTTGAAAATCATAAGAAATAAACAAAAATTTCATAATCAAGCAAATATTGAGGTGCAAGTTTTAAAAGTGCTAACTCCCTCCCTCCGTGATCAAACAAAACCATTGGAAAAAACCCTTTTTTTGCCCAAAACTCACCCTCCGTAAGCGAACAAAAATTTTTTATGAAAAAATAATTGATATATAAGTGAATACTAGTATCATGAAATTTCTAACTAATTCTGTTTAATTTTAAACAAATTGCGTTTTAAAGCATAAATTTTACAAATTAAATTAATATTTGCTTTCCAATTTTTGTGAAGTGGGATTTTTAAAATTTCGAAAAAAAAAATAAATCACCCTCCGTGAGCGAACAAGATTTTTTGTTTCGCTCACGGAGGGAGGAGTAAGAGATAACGATTCTGGCGACAGCGGAGTTGTGCACTTAAGGGAATATTTTTTATTCAGGAATCATTTGTGTATTACTTTTGAGCTTCTCAGCATAAACCTTTATCATTATTTAAAAATTAATTCCTTTAAAGGAATGTCACTTGGAGTGATTCGAAATCTTGCCCATCAGTTATTGACTGCAATAAAGCTGATTCACGGTTTAAATATTATCCATTGCGACCTCAAGCCTGAAAATATATTATTGAGGAATTTAAATGACACTTTAATTAAAATCATTGACTTTGGATCTGCTTGTTTTGAGCATCAAAGGCTCTATAGCTATATTCAAAGCAGGTATTATCGAGCTCCCGAAGTTATTTTAGGGCTTGGATATTCCAAAGCAATTGATATGTGATCATTAGGATGCATTTTAGTTGAACTTTATACAGGAAATCCTTTATTTCCTGGGGATAGTGAACAAGACCAACTACTATGCTTTATTGAGCATCTTAATGCACCCCCTCAGCATCTCATAAATTTAGCCTCTAAGAGGCTTCTGTTTTTTGATGAAAATAATGAAGTAATTTTGGTGAAAAATCACAAAGGAAAAGTACGAATGCCAGGAACACTAAGCTTAGAAACAGTTTTGAAAGGAGCAGATGAGCTATTTATAGATTTCATTAAAAGTAAAATGTAATTAGAGTGTCTTGAATGAGACCCTACTCTTAGAATAACTGCATTTCAAGCTCTAAGCCACCCTTGATTAATAGAACCGAAGAAAATTATGCATCGGGCAAGTTTATCTGAAGTCAGAATTGACAAATCAAAGCCAAAAGTGCATATAGAAATTGCCTTTGAGTAGCGCGCTAAGCGCCCGAGACTTCCCGATGAGTCTGGGCGGTGGTTTGACCAGCTGATGTTGGTCAAACCAGCATCCAAAATGATAAATTCTTCTCATATAGAAGATTTGTCAAATTGGATGCTGGTTTGACCAACATCAGCTGGTCAAACCACCGCCCAGACTTCATCGGGAAGTCTCGGGCGCTTAGCGCGCTACTCAAAGGCAATTTCTATAGAATTAAGCGACTAAGAATAGGGCAGCCTGGGAAACATTTCAAGCAGCAATCGCTGTCTTCTCGATATAACGTACCTTATTACCCATCATATATCGTTTAAATTCATTGTAAGTTATTAAGAGAAAGGCATTACACATGTTAGTGATTTAGATACCAAAGATCTCTGTATGGAAGTTCATCTGGATTGTGAAAAACTGCTCAGTAGACCCAGCCTTCTCATTTTTTATTAAGACTCTAGTCTACTAGGAGGCTTGCAGATTATGGCCTTACGATGACTAATTTGTTGTAGCTTTATTACAAGGATTAGCTCCTTATAGTCTGTCAGATACCAAGTACCTTTTTTGCCATCTACAGGAAAAGACTGCTGTCCTATGGTTCAGATGAACCCCTATTTCTTGGTAAAGGAATGTCCAAGGGTTCAAAATTTTTTTGCGGGATTCTCCATTCCATCCACAGAAAGCAGCCAAAACCTACCCAGATAAAACATGCTCTTGGCTTGGCTTTAAGTTCTGAGCTGTTGTGCCAATCGGGCATATCAACACGTGTGCTCATTCTAATAAATTTAAATTCATCGTAATTGTAAATAAATTGCTGAAAAAGATAGTATTGATTAGAAATGTCTGTAATAAAATGAATAATTTTTCCAAAAGAGAAAAGTTTATAAATGCAGTTTTAGATACAAATGAGCCACCTCCAGAAAGATTAAAGACCCCAGATTTTACACCAAAGAATAAAAAATCATCTAACTCCCCCCCTCCGTGAGTGAACAAAACCATTAGAAAAATCGCTATTTTTTGCCCAAAAAACCCACCCTCCGTGAGGAACAAAAATTTTTTTTAATAGAAAATTTTTTATGGAAAAAAATTTTGATATATAAATGATAATTAGTATAATGAAATCTAGAGCTAATTCTGTGTAATTTTAAACAAATTGCTTTTTAAAACATAAATTTTATAAATTAAATTAATATTTGCTTTTCAATTTTTGCGAATTAGGATTTTTTTAAATTTCGAAAAAAAATATTTTTTATATAAAATTTATATATAAATTTTTTTAAAAAAAAAGTAATCCCCCCTCCGTGAGTGAACAAAATTTTTTTGTTCACTCACGGAGGGGGGGGAGTAAGCATAAATCAAAAAGGTCATGAAATGAGAATATAATTATGAATCAAGCTGAGAATTGGGAAGATTTGTTTCATAAAGAAAACGAAATAAGGATGAAAGCTAAATTAGTATTAGGCTCAAGGCCTATGCCTTTATCAATTTTCTCTCTTTTTATTCTCTAAATTTGGTTTATATATACTACTATATATTTCTGTGATGCATTTAGTATAAAGGGGTATATATAGAAATTAATACTGACAGATACAAAACATCGAAGCTAAGCCATTTGAAGAATATATTTAAATTTAAACGAAATCCAATTGATATCAAAAAAAAGGCAATAATAGGAAGAAGAATGCGGCTAAACTTTGCATTTCCTGACCAATTTCATCTCCCTTCTTTGAAAAAGATGGGCTCTTTTAATGGCTTCGGCCAATCAGATACATTGGATCCATTAGACATGCAAAAACTTATTATAAACCAAAGAAGTCAAAGAAGAAGTTTAGATTAAATTTTGGAGCTGTGCATAAATATTTTACATTTAGTATGCTATTGAAAAGTAATTAATTAAATGCAAATTTAAAATGACTGATTTAAATTCTATAATCTTAATTTCTAATGTTTTAGAAAAATTCCATCATTTTTAACAACTATTAAAATTTTATTTCTTTTAAGATAAGATAGTTTAAATCCATAGGCAAAATAAATAAATCAAATCTTAAAGATTGATTGCATGTATGATGCTACAAAATATTAATATTTAAATAAAAATTAAAAAATATTTTAATAGCATTAATTAATTTTTGTAATAAAATTATGAATTTTTAGCCTCACATGCATCAAATAAAAATATAATTTAAAAGATTTTTAAAAAGGGGGGATGTTCACAACAAGAGTTAAGCTCTTTTACCAAGATTCAGTTTACAGCTTAGGAGGTTGCCCAAACACTTATGACCAGCTAATCTCAAGCATCAGAGCAACAATCCCTTCTCTTCTCCAAGCCAATTCTATGACAATTACCTACCAAGACCGAGATCACGACACAATCACATTAACCACAACAGAGTCTTTACAAGACGCTTATAGCCAAACAGAAGGAGCTCTTCGACTAGAAATAAAAACCACTCAAGCTCCTTCAAACCAAGTTTCTCGGATTATTTCAGAAGAATCCATCAATCTCTGCTTAGGATGACAAAAGCTTCGTTCCCTTTTTAGTATCCATGTTGATGGGGAATGCCGAGGAATCGGAATTTTAATCAATCTCAGATTTGGAATGACTACATCAAAAATACTTTCATCTCATGAAGAAGCAGCCCGTGCTTTGATTTATTTTGAAGACTCTAATTTACCATTATATGCTGATCCTGAAGAATTTTTCATTATAAGTGACCCATTATCATTTTTTGCTTTTAAATCTACATATCCTTTAGTTGAAGTACAAGAGCATGATATTGATGGAGAAAGACATATTACGAGTGGAGCTGTCGCAATTACACTTGGACCTCCTCATGACAGTGATATTTTTGTATCTGTAAAATGGGTTGAATTAAAAGAAAGCTTGGGAGGCAGATATGTATACCAAACACTTGAAAAATGTGGGCTTGCTGGAAGTCCTTTATTTGATGAAAACTGGAATTTGCTAGGGATACAGCTTACTGGGAGCCAAACAAATAATGAAGCTTCAAGCTGCTATGAAATTGTGAGATCTTTAAAAGCACTTGGATACAAAAGGCATGTAGTTTTATTGATACAGTCCATGGAGCATGTTATTAGCCCAGAAAGCAATTATGTAAAAGTCCTACAGCAAACCCCAAATATTGAAGGTGATAGAGTTTATGGATTTAACCAAAGAAGAGACAAAGTAGCTTCTTACAACACCAAAACAAGCGAATTCGGAGAAATAAATTTCGTTGAAAAACTCAGTGAAGGCACTTCTCTTTGCACAATTCCAAATGGACTAATGATAAGCGGAGGACAATCATCATTAAGAAAAGCGTGAATTTGCTTCTTTCAAGGCGACTTGCATTGGTTTGAAACTGACATGCCACAAGGTCACCAATGCCATACATCAATTTTCTTCGAAAATAAAGTTTATTTAATTGGAGGCAAAAATTCAAGCCGACCTATTAAAAACTGTGAAGCTTTAGATTATCAAAGCCTTTCATGAGAAAATCTTCCAGTCCTCCGTCAAGAACGAAGCTACCCTGCATCATGCGTTTATCAAGAAAAAATTTATGTATTTGGTGGCACGAGCGGGCTAGAAGATCTTGACACGATTGAATATTTTGACGGATCCAGCTGAAAACTATACGAAATAAGAATGCCATGCAGGCTCTTTGGTGCAGGAATTTTACACATTGAGGACAACATTTTTCTAATATTTGGCGGAAAAAGCGAAAACACAAGATTTAATGTCAAATTGTTTTTCGTCAACTTTGAAACAGAAAAGTTTGAGGTAGACAGCGCTGAAAAGAAGCTAGGAGTTTGTAGCACAATGCCAAGCTTTGTAGGAGACGAAGCTGCTTATATATTTAACAATGAAGGTGAAGTCATAAAATACTGTAAACACACAAGACAGATATACAGAGAAAAGAAAAACCTTAATTGCATGTTTGATTAAATAAAATTAATATGGACATTAGATATGATATAAAGACTGCGCTGAATATTCTTCAGATAGCTCCTAGATTTAGGACTGAAGCTGATATCGACAAACTTGTCGGAGTCACAAAAGATTGTGAATTCTTCAGGAAAATAACTGAAGAACAGAAATCAAATGATGTCCATAGAGCATCATGCCAAGTCATGGTGTTAAGAGAATTCCAAGGATTCGACTATATTGTGGACTTTGGAAGCAAAGGTGAAGAGTTCTTCATCTTGCTCAAAGGGTCAGTTTCGGTGCAGGTTCCTACTAAAAAAAGACTTAAAGTCAAAAGGGAATTGTTAGACAAGTTCCAAAATTATTTCGGGTGCAACGTAGGATATAAATCAGCGTCGTATAAAGATGAAGGCATAGAATATTCAAAAACAAATGACAAAAAAGTGCAAAATGCTATTGATAATTTTATGTTTAATAAAATAAGACCAAGGGTTCATGAAGAAAAACCTGAAATCAACGACTTAGTTCAAAATGAAGAAAAGCACTTGACAAAACTTTTTCAGGAAAAATTTTTGCAAGAAAAGTTTGTAATAGATATATTTCTCGAGCAGCTATAGCTAGATCTTGCACCCTGACGGCTTTTTTTAACTGAAACAAGAAAAAAAAAATGAAAAATCTATTATCATGGATTTGGCAGGGGCAGAGAGGTGAGCCAAGGTCGATCTATAGCCGTGCTTGCGCTATAGTATTACAAAACTGAAAGAAACAAGTGATAAAGTTGAAATCGAAGTGGAGCAGCTGCAAGAAGTCAGCGTTTTGTATGAAGGAGACTCTTTTGGGGAGCTTGCACTAATAAGTGACAGACCAAGAGCTGCTTCTGTTCAGGCACTTGAAAGGTCCTTTTTAGCAGTGCTAAACAAGAGTGATTTTAAAAAAATCCTAGGGGTGGTCACTGAAAAAAGAATGAACCAAAAAATAAAATTTTTCCAGTCAATACCAATGTTTTCTTCCTGAACGAAAATTGCATTAGTTAAATTCAGCTATTATTTTGAGTTTACAGTAGTAAAAAACAAACAATATTTATATAAAGAAGGCGATCCAGTTGAGTTTGTCTATTTCATAAAGAGTGGAGAGGTAAGGCTGACCAAAAAAAATACTGAAAATTTACCAGACCAAGCAAGATTCCATAAAACCATTTTGTCAAAAAAAAAATCACTACAGGTTGTCATAAAAGGGGAAAACGAAATAGTTGGGGCTGATGAAATTATTGATGGAACTGAAAAAAGACTATTTTCCTGCAAATGCAATAGTGGTACTGTAGAAGTTTACATTATTACAAAAGATGATTTCAAAGCAAGAATTCCTTATCCAGACACATGAGCTTTTTTAAAGAATAAGAGATCACAGGATTTGATAAGAACTCAAAATCGGATTGAAGAATTAAAAGAAGTAGAAGAAGCCATCCTTAACCCAGAATTGCCAACTCTTGGAATCCATAAAAGATCAGAATCACAGAGACTAGCCAAAAGAGATGTGTCTCCATATAGAAACACATATAGCTGCCTGAAAAATAATCTGATGCTTGGGGCTCATAAATCGTCTTATAGCTTTTACCAAAAAGAACAATTTGTGCCAAGAGTAACCACTAGCATCCCTCGTCCTCATCCAAGCACAGCACCTTCTCCAACCACTTCTCCTCCCCCAAAGCGAATGGTAAAAACAGCTGACAAGAAAAAGCGAGAAAAGCATAAGCTACGAACAGGGCCTCCTCCAAATTTTTTACGACTAAAAAGAAGGCAAATTTTTTCAGGCGAAAAACTACTTATCACAGATGAATACGCATGCATGCCTGAATTTTAATGTAGTATTATAAAATTTTATTTTATAAAAGCAACTCAGTAAGGATATTTATGAATTTTTTATCTATTTTTTCAGCATTTAACTACTTTATTTCTTATGAAGATTAAATATGGGAGGAGTTTGTTCAGCTTGCATGAGCGATTTTTCTCGAAGTGAAAGCCATGGAGAAATTGAGTCTGTATATAAGCATCATAGTACCCGAAAAGCGCTTCCTGGAGTTATAAAAATCCAAGCATTATGGCGTGGGTATTCTACAAGAAAAAATATTTTATCTACTCATCCTGAATTTTTCGTTAAAAATTCTGTCAGAATTGAAAATCTTTTAGGAGCTTTTGATTATGGAAATATTGTTATTCCGAACACAGTAAAAAAGCCTGTATATAAATTCCCGAATCAACAAATTTATATAGGGGAATGGAATATAAAAACAAATCTTAGAGAAGGACGTGGAGTCAATATTTGGAAAAATGGCTCAAAGTATGAAGGATTTTGAAAAGACGATAAAGCAAACGGACGTGGCAGACTGATTCATAATGATGGAGATGTTTATGAAGGAGATTGGCTTAATGATAAAGCAAGTGGCAAAGGATTATATATTCATGCAGATGGCTCACGATATGATGGAGATTGACTAGAAGATAAACAGCATGGGCGAGGATCTGAGAAATGGCCTGATGGATCTTCTTATGAAGGTCAATATGAATATGGAAAAAAGCATGGACTTGGAAAATTCATTTGGGGAGATGGGAGTACATATGAAGGCCAGTTCATGAATAATAATATTCATGGGAAAGGCGAATATCATTGATCTGATGGGAGAAGCTATAATGGAATGTGAAAAGATAACAAAATGGAGGGGTATGGAGAATTCAGATGAAAAGATGGGAAAATTTTTAAGGGGCACTATAAAAAAGATAAAAGGCATGGTGAAGGGGTCTTGGAATGGCCAAATGGGAATAAGTTTGTGGGAAATTGAAAGTGTGGGAAACAGGTAGGGACAGGAACTATGATTTCTGCTTTAGGAGATGAAAAGAAAGGTGTTACATTGAATTCGGTACCTACAAACATGTAATTTTAATTAGCAATAGACGAATTCTTTGAATTTATATATCTAGTCTTTATATCAGCGCAATAACTTAAGATCGTTTATTTTCATTAGAAGAAGCTAATAAGATATTATTTAAGCATAATAATTAATATAATCCTATTTCTGAACTTTTCTAATCTACTTTAAATTTTTACAATTAAATTATGAATTAAGGGCCTAAAATATTATAAATATGGCTGCCATACTTTATGCCCTAATCAGTTCTATTAACTCTCCAACACCTTTAGTTGAATACTCATCAGCAAGTGGAAACTTCCAACAATTAGCCCTCAAAATTTTGAGTAAAAAAATAACAACCCCAACAATTTCTTATTCTTATGAAGATAAATATATCTTTCATTGCTTAAATATCGATGGCTTTACATTTTTATGCCTTGCAGAGTCTGCTTTTACTTATAGGACTGCATATGCGTTCTTATATGACATTAAAGATATTTTTATGGAAAAGTACGGAGAAAGAGCTAAAAATGCAATAGCTTTCAGCTTGAATAAAGATTTTTCTGATATTATTAAAAAGAGAATGATTTTTTTCAACACTGATAAAAATGCAGACAAGTTGAGAGCGGCAAGAGACAATATTGAAAAAACGAAAGATATTATGATAGAAAATATTGATAAAGTTATAGCGAGAGAAGAAAAAATTGAAATGCTTGTTAATAAAACACAATATATGAGCGAATCATCATTTGAATTTAGAAGAGAGGCTGTTAGAGTAAAAAGACATTTTTGGTGGAAAAATACAAAATTCACTTTATTAATCTTTGCAAGTTTTATGGTAAGATTTAAGCAGATTGTTTTGTTTTTTATTTTGGTCATTGCGTGTGGAGGCTTTAATTTCAAAAATTGCTAATACAGGTAAAATTAATCAAGGAAACGCTTATTATTAATATTTTTCTTTATAAATTCCAAAATTAATTTTTGAAGATTTTTTATATTAAATTATAGATTTATATAAATAATAAAATGAGCTGCCCTCATCTTAGAGAAGTAGATGAAAAAGTTCAATATCTCAACCAAGGCAAATCAGATGCAGCAGATGTGCTAGACAGGTTGGAGTGCAAATATAATAATTGTGGGGCTGGAGCTCCTGATGTCTGGAGATGCTTGTACACTTCACCAAGTTTGACCTGTCATATAGAAGTTTGCTCAAGAGACCGAGAAAGGCATGCAAGAGAGCCTGGACATACCCTCTTTTTCAATATAAGTACCCTTACTTCTTATTGTTTTGAATGCAAAAGTGAATCCAGAGAAATAACCTTGAGCAGAATGTTTAAAGTAATTGCGGAGTCACTTGGCTACGATAAAAGTAATCCTAACAAAAAGAATAAAAGGATCACTGGAATGAAAAACTTGGGAAACACTTGCTATGTGAGCACAGTTCTCCAATGCATTTCTAGAATGCTGCCAATCCAAACTTATCTCAGAAAAGACCAAGTTTTGAACCAAATACTTGATGATTCACAATCCAATACTTTAATTTATCAATTTAGAGAAATTCTTAAAGCTATGTGAAGTGGTCATATAGTGATTTCTCCTGATAAATTCATTAAATTAATTCCATCCCTCAATCCTGACTATGCTGAGAGAAAACAAAGGGATGCTCAAGAATTCCTACTGCTCTTTTTTGATAACTTGCGTACCTATCTCCAAGAGAAAACTGGGAAGAGATCAATAATCTCTGAAGCTACTGAAGGCATAATGGTAACAGAATTCAGATGCCACAATTGTGGATTTGAGCGTAAAAAAGAGGATAATTTCGGCAACATTTCACTAGCAATACCTCAAGATAAAAAAGAAATTGCAAGACTTGCACAAAGATCAGAGGCTTGATTAGAAGATCAAGATAGAGCTTACTATTTATCAAAAAAAGGTTCATTTTGGAAAAAACTGAGCAGGTAAATTATATTTAGTGATCAAATAGTTAATCTATATGATTGTTTGCTATTATTTTTCAGCCCACAAGATTTGGTAGATCCATTTTGTGAAGGGTGCCGTATAAAACATCCATGTGCTCAGCAATGCAGAATTAAAGAGTTTCCAGATATTTTGATAATTAATTTGAATAGGGCCAGTTCTTCTGGATCAAAGATTTCAAAAGATGTGATCACTCCATTTACACTAAAACTTGACGAATTTTCTGAAGGCGGTAGTCCAGTTTATAATTTATCCTGCTTAATTGAGCATGATAGTGCTGCAATGCTAAAAGGGCATTATCTTGCCTATTTCAGAGATTTTGATAATGGAGGAAAATGATATGAGTGTGACGATAAATATGTAAAAGAATGCAGTGAGGAAAAAGTAAGAGAAGCACAAACTTATATTGCTATATATACAAAGTTTCCTGTGAAGCGTCCTAAAATTATTGAAAGCGAGTCTGCTGATATTTATATTCCAAAAGAATGGGTTAATAGGTATTACTCTCTTTCAAACCCAGGCCCAATAAATTTCAATAAATATTATTGTAGTCATTCATTTTTAAGTGCAGATATACAAGAAAACGAGTTAATAGGAATCACTAATTGGCAATGGGAAGAACTAAAAGGTGATGTCGGCTTTAAAGGTGAGCCAATTGTCTCAAAAAATCCATGTGGGCAATGTTTGGAAGCCAAAAGGAGGCTTGACGAAAGAATTAATTTTGAAAGTGCCCTATATAATAGAGTCAAGAATGGATCAAATGGATTTCCAAGATTCTTCATACCAAAGCCTTGGATAAAAAGCTGGGAATCGTTTTTAACTAGGAAATCTTCAATTGAAGCTCCAAATCCTCCTGGACAAATAAGGAATAATCAATACTTTTTCTATGAAAATGGCAGCATGAAAGATGGGCTGAGGTCTGGAGAAGATTATGTCGATGTCAATCAAGAAATTTGGCTCATTTTAAACCAAGCTTATAGCTCTGATATGGCGATCATTAGAATCAACGGAGATATCTACTCAGATAATGCTGAAAAGGATGAATTAGTTCATATAGATGATGACACCGAAGAACTAATAAGTAGATTATTTAGTCTCTAAATAAATTTGATCATAAAAACATCTATATCAATATCTATAATGTTAAATTTCAAAAACCGATTATTTTTGCTCTCCCTTTACATAACTGCTTGCTTTTTAAGTTCATTTGACAATTATAAACTTTAAATATGCATTTGACATCAAGACCTGCGTGAAGTTTTGCACAAAAATATGCAAATAAGCTAGATTCCCGTGCCCCAGGCCCAGGAGCGTATTCTCCTAAAGCGGCGACTTATGAACAACCTCCACAATATAGAATTGGCACAAGCAGCAGATATGATTTTACTGGCAAATCAGCTGAGGCTCCTGGCCCAGGATCTTATAATCCTGAGAAAAAAGAGCATTCACCAGCCCCAAAACTGGGAACAAGCAAAAGAGATCCACTAAGCGACACCATGGCGAATCCTGGACCTGGAACCTATCAAATTCCTTCAAAGGTCCAAGAAGGTCCTCAGTATAGTATTCAGCGAAAATACTCTTCTAAAGGCTTTGGAGACAGTCCAGGTCCTGGATATTATGAACAAGATTTAAATGATTTTACTACAAAAGAAAGACCAATAAGTGCTAGAATTGGAACTGCTCAAAGAGATAATTATATGACTAAGCACGCAGCTGAATACCCAGGTCCTGGAAGCTATGAAAATAGACCTCAAAGTGCAGCACCTAAATGGGGATTTGGCAGTGAAGGCAGAAATAAAAATTCAAAAGCAGATGACCCTGGTCCCGGTGCTTATGAAATGGGAGGAACTTTAAATAGCAAAGGATGGAGTATAAGTGGGAAATATCCAGATGGAGCTGGAACTGATAAATTAAAAGTGCCTGGACCTGGAGCTTATAGTCCTGAAGGCCAAGGAAAAATGCCTTCTTACACAATTGGTCGTTCAGGTAGAAGTGATTTTACAAAAAATGGAGAAAAGCAGCCTGGACCTGGAGCTTATGAGCATACTCTTAGACCTAGTTCATCTGGACCAAAATTAGGAACTGGAAAAAGACAGCCTTTATCTTATCTTATCTTATCTTATCTTATAGAATCTATACGTTTTACGTCCACTACTGGGTAACCGTTTTCAGGACCTCCACCATTTTTACACGTGTCGGGCCCACAGGTCGCTGGTCCAACCTGCTTTGTTCACCAGGGTACGCTTGGAAACGATGTTCCGGCTTCGACGGCTCATGAGTGAGAGACTTCATCTTGCTTCCTTGACGCCGTATGACGACTAAAGGCTCCTTCGCTGCCGCAGGATGGAAGTGGAAAAACCATAGGCCTTTCAAGTTCCCTAAGGGCTGGCCAAACAGACTAGCCTCAGCCGGGATAGAATTCCCGTGTAAAACCAAGTCTCATAATCATAAAAATGCAGAATAAGTGGTGCCCATCGGCAGATCGGTACCGTACGAATGTCGCCATTTTATGATTAAGACAGCCTTTTATCACAATTTGAAAATACCCCTGGGCCAGGGACATATGAATTTAGAAATACAAATGAGGGACCTCAATATTCAATGCCAGGAAGATCAAGCAAAGGAGATCGGCCAAAAACTCCTGGCCCTGGGCATTATAATCCTGGAGGATCAATGACTGATCGAGCTTCTCCATCATATAGAATTGGTAGTGCAAGAAGAGATGATGATAAGCCTGATACAGTTCGAAATCAATTCCCTGGCCCTGGAAGCTACTCAGGCAGGCCACAGACTGCAGGACCAAAATGGGGATTTGGGACTGAGAAAAGGGATAGAAGAGGTGGAAGCACTGATATAGGCCCAGGGCAATATGAAATGAGAAGCAGCTTAGACCAAAAAGCTTGAAGTATGTCAGGAAGACATCCAAACTTGGAAGAAAAAAATCTTGGAGAGTTTCCTGGACCTGGAGCATATAATCCTCACTCCCGCTTTAAATTTGAACAAAACAATCTGCTCCAATTCAAATGATGTTAATTTTTTTGATAAAAAAAAATACAATCTAAATTTAGTTTTAAAAAAGAATTAATTTATAAATTTATCAATTTGATTAAATAGTATTAGTTGTACTCCCTCATTAAAAAAGTACAAGCTATAAGTATTTTTTTTATTTTTTAAACAAGTGGCTATCAAGCTATTTGTATATAAGTTATATTTTTATCTAAAAAATTAAATTTTGTTTTATTTTAAACGGAAAATCAGCCAAATTATGGAGCACCCAATTATGGCTTTGGAACGAGCAGACGTCCTCTATCTGGAAATGCAGGAAGCCCTGGACCTGGAGCTTATAATGTTGGGAAAGATTTCAATAAAACAGCACCTTTATTTGGAACAGGCAAAAGACAGCCTTTATCAAATGTAACAGATACACCTGGCCCTGGCGGATATAATGTCAAAAGTGGGCGAGATGGCCCTGCATATTCAATGAGTGCAAAAACATCAAAAAATGCAGCGCATACAACGCCTGGCCCAGGATCTTATAACCCAAATATAGGTGCATCAAACCCTAGCTGGAGTTCATATGATGGCGATGACTATATATGTCTTCGAAAACGATGCACAACCTTTGCCTCAAAATTATTTATAGCCTAAATCAAGATTTAACCCCTTTTAATTCTAAACCTTAGCTTTCCTTGCGCAGCTGTACGAGGTGGGCAAAACCTGGAAGTCAGCTAGTGATTACCTCTTTGGCCAGGTATTAGTTATTCGATAATTTTTAGACCATGGTTTTTTTCCTTTCCTATTCTGGAGGGAGTGTTTCCTTTGGCTCAGGTGACATCTCTTCTAAAGGTGACCGATAGAAGGCATTGGACTGACCGATACTTCATATTCTGATGGCGAGCTGACAGGAAATCTTTCTCACCCATAAAGACTCTTGGGGTCACAGTGCAAACACCGTTTCCTAGAGGTCCCACTGTTTTCAAATAGCAGTGAATATCCATCTGACAAGCAAGCTAGCGTTGGTCGTTAGTGTGTGGAGGTATCAAACCTGTAATACTTTAAGATTATTAATGAATAATTAATTAATTAGCTGGAGTGTAGGAAAAGACAAAAGGAATGAAATACACAGTTTGTCTAAATCCCAAAGTGCAGTTGGGCCAGGATTATACGATGTTAGAGGAAAATTAGGAGGCCCTAAATGGGGATTTGGCTCATCCCAAAGAAATGGTAAACAAAGATCAGACAGTCCTGGGCCTGGAAATTATGAAGTTCACTCTTCAATTGGAAATTTGCCAACTTATGCTAAAGCTGGTCGCTAAAACCAATTATTTAAGTCTCTTTAAAATTAACGATTATTTTAAACAAGTTGATAAGAGTAATAGATAAGAGCCTATACTGATAAAAACGAATATTCATTCATAATAATGTATCCTATATATAGTAACTATGATATTATTTGCTGACTGGTATATCTTATCCTTATATAGTAATAGGGAAATTGCTAACTGCTATTTATCGAAATATTCTTAAATTTTAGAATTATTATATGGCATCAGAGAAATTTTTGGAGAGGTTTAAGAATAAAGCATCTACACTAGGAAGAACAGGTGAAATTGATACACGTGAATCTGAAGCTGTTGCAAAGACACCTGATTTTTTAGAACGACTTAACTCAACACTATCAGTTTCTCCTTCTAAACAGCTGCCTAAACAGCAAATTCAAGGAATTAGTCAATTGAAACTTCCGAAGTTAGAAAATAGAGAAGTGAATGGAAGTTCTAAAACTCCAAGGCCAATTATAAAGCCACCTTTGGAGTCAACTTCGAGAATTTTAGCTCATTTGCGTCTTGAAGATAATATTAGCCCTCTGAGAAAGAGAACTCCTAATAAAAGTGCAGAAAGACTACCTGATGGTAGCTCCAAAAGCATAGTAAACTTAAAATCCAAAATGGATAAAATGAAAAACGCAATACAATTGAGAGCTAAATACGCTCAATCTACAGAGAGATCTCATACATTTAAAGAGAAGTTACTGCCTTCTATTTATAGATATCCATCAGAAACTAGGAGAGGAGATCATTCATTTTTGAAACCTTCGGTCTATTCCTCTTTTGGTCATGAGTAAAGAACAAAATTACAGTTGTATTAAAATAAATAAATTAATTATCTATAGTCAGGCAAATTGCATTGGGATTTATTTTTTTATGGTTTGATTTTATTAGAGGCTGTATAATCGTATAGATCTTTAGGGTTAATAAATAATTTAATATTTTTTTTAATAATTTGTCAAAAAAAATCTAAAGAATTTTAATCATATCTAAAATAATTCATAGTTTTTCATAGATCGGAGAATTTATAGATTGAACTCCAGATTCAGCTTAATTTATTTAAATATTTTATAAGTTATCTAAATCTATTATTCTTTAAAACTACTTTTTAATTAGTGAATTAAAACTTCTACTAAGAGATGCTTAATAAACAGCTTTTTACTTGCTCATAAGCAAAAAATCCAGTCCCAAATGAAATTAGTGATCTCAAAGCAGAAGGCAACAAGCCTTTCCAAAATCCTAAAGCTCCTCTACTTGATAAAATAAATTTTACAGTTTGGGGATATGTAAGTTTAGAACTATTAGTTTGAAAGACTGTCTTTATTGTATCTATAGGAAACACACTTATCGTACAAATAACTCCAGAAACAGAGCCAGCTAAAAAATACCCTCAGCTCGGGATTTTCTGATATTTATTTACTAATATTGTTTTCATATGCTCATAAGTACCGAAAAATACGGAAAATCCGACAAGCTCTCTTAAAAGGGTAATCTTTAAGCCTTGGTAAAATATTTTAATCCCGTGATTTTTATACAAAGTCTTTGCGTATTCAAGAGTCTTTAGTTTTTGGCTTGAGGTCTGAATAGAGCACTTGATTACTTCAATAGGGCATACAATTGATGCCATAAATCCTCCCGTAATAGCTCCAGCTCCTATACCGTTGTAAAAAGGCGTCTCGCATTTTAATCTATTTCGCGCATTGTTGTATAAAGCCAAAGACATTGAACTTCTAAGTGGAGAAGTATAAATCAGGCTACCAACTCCACGGTAAAATCCAAATAATCCGTGATTTTTGAAAGAATTTTTGATACATTCATTCACTGAAGAAAAATTTCCTGATTGCATTCTAACCTTTATTGTACTGTATATGATTTACTCTAAAGGATAACTGCTTAATGCCATCCCTAAACCTTGGAAAAATCCAGCCACGACTTCTGCCATATTAATTTTTGGATATAAGCATTGATATAGAAAATAACAATTCATAACACCTTTAGATTCAAAGTTTTAGTATCCAATAGTAAAATAAACATTTTATAAGTTTAATATTATTTCACTCCTTATATTGCCAATAAAATTGCTAACAGAGGAGCTAATTTTTTTTTCAAAAAATTTAAATATAAATTTTATAGTAAAATTTATTTTCAGAATTTAATATCCCAATTCGCAAAAATTGGAAAGCAAATATTTATTTGATTTGTAAAATTTATGTTTTAAAATGCGATTGTTAAAATTAAACAGAATTAGCTGGAGATTTCATCATTCTAATTGTCACTTATAGCGTCTGCATCGCTATAGATTGCCTTTGCAAGAGTTGTCCGCAGCAACTTGGAGCTCTGACGAGCAACCTAAAGGTGACAAGTCAACTCCAAGTTAACAAAAGCGTGCCCTTTTGCAAGGATTTCTCAACTTGAAATTGACTGTTGCCTTTAGGTGGCTCGTCAGAGCTCCAAGTTGCTGCGGAGAACCCTCCCAAAGGCAATCTATAGCGGTACAGACACTATATATATCAATTTTTTTTATAATGCATTGTTATATTAAAAATTTTTGTTTGCTCACAGAAGGTGGGTTTTTGGGACAAAACAGGAATTTTCCAATTTTTTTGTTCGGTCACGGAGAGGGATTAAGAAATTTTTAACTTTGCATTTTTTTTATTTGCATGTGTATCTATTTAACATTAGATCAGATTTTATAAAAAAAACTTTTTAAACAATTTGATATAATCAAAGAAAAAAGAAATTTGAAAAGTTGCCTTATTTGCTAATATAAATATATATACAATAAATATACAGCGATATAAAGAATGTGCATTATTTGATAAATAATTATACTAAAGACCATCAAATGGGTCTTTTTTTCCTTGTAGAAATTCATTAAAAAAGTCTTCGGTGTCAATTTTAACTTTTGGCTTCTCAAATGGATTATTAGTTCGTTTTGGACCTCCTTGAGTTTGAGAGGGAGGAGGTGGTGGCAAGCTGAATGGAGTATTTTGAGGTCCTGGGGCTTTAAATGAAAAAGCATCCTGTGGAGCCTGGAATTGAATAGGAGACTTTTCACGCTGAGGAGGTTGAAACTGTTGCTCTGTAAATGATTAGATTATCATAAGATTGTATTGCCTTCGGGGTTTATTTCAGCTCCTCTCCCTCATCGCCAATTTCAAGTTCCTCGCCATAGGCATCGGCTTGCACTTATGCCCCCTCTGTTGACGTCACCAAAATACAGTGATGTCACAATCTCCCAAGCGGAGACGCACAGAGGCACTTCTTGGACATCTCCTTGAGGTTGGCATGATCTATCCGGGATGGGAGATAGGTAAAGACCCCGAATACTCATCTGATCTCCATTACCTTTCGCATCCAGAAGTGAGGAGTTGTCACATTGACTCTGGTTTCCTTGTCTGTAGCATAGGGTAAAAATCTCGTTTTGTCCTGGCCAGGAAGGAAAAAAAAACCACGGACACAAGTTCCATGCCCCGGTCCTCTTAAACCCAAAGCCCCGAGGCTATGGGAGAAGGACGGATTAAATAATTCGCCATTTTATTTATGTGCTCTGTAAATGAAGATTTAAAGTTTTGAGGGGCAGCTGGGTAATTTGGCTGAAAAGAATTTTGACTTGGCTGTGGAATTTGATTAGGCTGTGGTGTTTGCTTAGCAAGCAACGGAGATGGAGGCCTCAAGGCTTGAATAGGTTTTTGACCCTGGTTTTTATTTAAATTCATACCGTTTGTTTTCCAAAAATCATCTTCATTCTGATTATCTTGAGTTTTCAAAGCCAATTTCCCAAACATGTTCCCAGAATTACCCATGCTTGGAGCTTCAAATTTCATAGAAGTGGGCGCCCCCATAGGATTTATTTGTTGCTCAAATCTCATCGAATTTGCTTGAGAATCTAATCTCATTGGATTTGAAATATTAGGAACACTTTGCTGTGGCTCATATCTATTTCCAGCATTCATTGGGTTTATCTGTTGTTCAAATCTCATAGGATTAGGCTGATTTACTTGCAGATTTGGCTGTGGATTAAAATTCATTGTATTATCTGCTTCAAATTTCATCCTTCCTGGCATCTCATATGAAGTTTGTGCTGGGTTTTTTGTGCTTCCTCCATAGCCTCCAATATTTTGGACTTCTTGTTTTTTAATTCCCCCATCAATTGGAGCTTCAAAAATCGGTGTTCCTCCACTTTCAAAAATATCATTAAAAACTTCATTAGGCTCTTCAGGCGGCTTATCTGCATCCGGATTCAGCTCAATTTTGGCATCTTCCACTGTTTCTTGCAATTCTCCTGATCTTGCATCTTTAATCATATTTATCATCGCCATTAAGCTATTGCTCAATCTTTCAAACTGTGATTTATTTACTTCTCCTTCAACTAATAATGGGACAAGGGCAGGGATAATATTAACAGCTGTCGCTTTATGGCCAAGCGATTTCGAAATTCCTTCATAAACATCTAATAAGTGCATAATCATATTCCCTGTGACATCAAGCTTTTTGAATTTTTCTAATGATGGCAGAATGGACTCGACCATTGTCGATCTGTCAAAAATCGAGTAAATTTGTGCCAAAGAATGAAGTCCTGCTTCTCTTACACTTGGACTTTTTGCATTTAAAATTCCACCTAGAAACCTTGGCAATACCTGAACCCTTACATACATATTGTCTCTTATTTTTTTGACCATCTCTGGCGTTTTGATCATAAGAGTCTCTTGAATTTGAGCCACTCCACAATCATATCCTTTAAAAGCAAGTGGCATCAAAATTTTTTTCCATTGTTCATCATCAGTATAATTCATAAGTACATCAATTTCGCTTAAAATCAAATAAAAACTCTGAGCTGGCATTTCTTTTCCAGATGACAGTTTTGCTATACTTGGCCATATGCTTGACTGGAATAATTCTTTAGAAACCTCACAGGTTTTTATTATGCTCAAAATATTTGGAAGAATAAAAGGGGTCATATTAGGATGCTGCATGTTTTGAACCAAAGCTGGGAGGAGCCTCTTATTCATAATGACTCTATCGAATTTGTCGATAATTTGAGTTAATCCTTTGAAAAATTGGAGCTTTTGTGACTCTTGCTTTTCTTGTAGGTGCTCAAGATAGTAGATTGCTTTTACAAAAGGGGTTTGAAATGCTTTGGAAACTGAAAGTTCATGCAAGTTAGAACGGTCTTGGGGATTCACATTAACCATTCTTAATACATTTTCTCCTAAAAAGTCAGGAACACAGTTCACAAGTGTAGGGCCCATTCTTTGGACTGTTTGGCATGATGCTCTATGGCCACTCACTGAATAATCTTCAATTGATAATAGAAAAATATCAGAAGATGTGTTAGATAGAGCTTTATAAATAGCAAAAATCGTGCAGCCAAGAGAAAATATATCAGCCTGCTGTCCAGATGATTTTGTACTGACAACTTCGGGTGCTGTAAAATGTAGCATAGGTGCCAATTTCTCAAGCTCAGCTTGATATCTCATAGTTTTCCCTGAGAGCACAATATCAAGTGAAGGATCCAAATTAGCTACCTGTTCTGCTGTTATTGAAGAAGCAAACCCAAAGCCGGCTAATTTCCACTTTCCTTTGATGGTGATATAAATATTATCTGGACAAATTGCAAAATGAATCAGTCGAGCTTCAGTGTGGATGAAAGCAATTGCTTGAATTAAATCAAGCAGCCCTAATCTGACTTCAGTATCACATAAGATGGTACTTAAAATGTGTGGCCTCCTTAATAAGTCACCTAAGCAATACTGCACTGGCTCTGTAATAAATGCTAAGGTGTTTTTATCTTCTAGTAAAGGCTCAACAACTTGAAGAATGCAAGGATGTCTGAGACGGACGAGATTAGTCACTTCAAGTTTTAGTCGATTAATTGTGTCATTTTTGTCTGGTTTCCTATCTATTGTTTTCTTATCGAACATAAAGATTGAAACAGGAGATTTTTCACGGTCTTTACGAGTTGCGCCATAAATTTTCCAAGGTCCACCGATACCTCCAAAGCTAAGTGGCTCTCTATCCACGTCATAGTTCTTGGTCAGCTGACTGCCCATTTAGAATTTATTATTCTTAAAAAATATGTTTTGAAAAGGTAACCAAATTAAATTCTTTACTCCTCCTGCGTAAAAAGCAAAATAATGTTCTTTGCTTACAAAGAGAAAATCTAATATTAAAAATATGTTTGCTTCTGAAAATTTTTTATACGAGGTGGGTAAGAAATTTTCAACATAAAATAAGTCATTAAAAATTGAAGAAAAGCTTAAGCTTTTATTAATTTAATAATTAATAAATCTATAATATGCATTCAGCTTAAAGAATTTAAATTATTGTTTTTAATAAATAATATAATTTAAGCGATTCTTCTATTAGAGTTTTTATTATTTAGATCAAAAATGTTAAATTCAGCCTTTGCACCTATGATATTCTTTTTTTAAACTTTTAAATAAATCACTTCTAATAATCATTATTTTTGACCAAAAAAATGGGATTTTTCCAATGATCTTGCTCATTCAGAGGGGGAGTTAGCAGGAGAGTCTATTTATTAAATTCAATTTTTACAATTGAAATCAATAATTAAATTCTTACTCCTCCGTGAGCAAATAAAATTTTTTTTTTAATATAAAAGCTTTTATGAAAAATATTTTGATATAAAAGTGATAATTATTATAACGAAATCTCTATAATTCTGTTTAATTTTAAATAGTAAAGCATAAATTTTATTAATTAAATAATATTCGCTTTTGAATTATTTTGAGTTTGGATTTTTTAAACTTTGAAAAAAAAATTATATATAAATTTCTATTAAAATAAAATAGTTATGAGCAAACAAAATTTTGTTGCTCGCTTATGGAGGGGAGGAGTTAGCTTATTTTTGGCAAGGATAGAATTCTAATCTGATGTTGTCATCTGTTATACAATTAATATTTAAACCTTCATGTAACGATACTCATGGTAGCAGCATTTAAAAGACTGACTATTCTAGACATAATTAAAATTTTTATCTACAATATAAATGCTGGCTGGACAAGCTCTCTCTATATTGCCTAGCTTGAAATAGTTTCTAATATAAAAATCATACTGCTCCCAATGTTTTCAAAACATGAGAATCTAAAAAGTAACTTTAATAATAAATTTCATTGGAAAATTAATGAAATTGAAGACATTATAAATTTGAAACTAAACGTTAAATTTGAACTATTTTATAGGACAAAAGTCCTGAGCATTAGGATTCAGCCTAAGCTTTGGTTGAAACTCTGGAACATTTGGATCGTAAAATTGGCTTCTCATTGTTGTTGGATTAATGCTTTCTAACGGGCTTCGAGGTTTACTTATCAATTCTTGGATTGATTTCTCAGTCTCTTTAAGAATAAACGATGTAAGTTCGAGATTCTTTCTTTTTTCTTCTGGCTTTGAAGCTGGCTTAGACTTCAAAACAATATTATATTTCGTATCATTATTTTGCACACTTGCTGAGCTTACATTTTCTTTATTTTCTGACTGGTTTATTGATTTTGGAGTATGAGTTTTTACTGTGTACATTTGTGTAGCTGGTTGTTCTACAGTTTTTGGCTCTTCTTTAGCCTCTTGAGATGGCCTTGGAATCTCATTTTCAACATTTTGAGATGGTGCTGGAGTCTCAATTGGTTGAGATGAGATAGGAATAGTCTGAGGTTGTTGAAGGACAGTAATAGCTTGAGATTTGGCTTTGATTTGGTTCTTCCATGTGAAGTATAGAGCAAAAAGAGCGAGCAAGATATAGAATGCTATCGAAGAAAACATTTTAAATTTTTTAAATATGAAAATCAGTTAGAAAATTATGCACAAAATTTAATAAAAATAAGGACTTATTTATGCCCAAATTTTATTTCATCTATTTAATTGAAGCTGGGTATAAATAATGGACATCAATTTAGCAAATAGCGAGCTTTAATTTTCTTATATTCTAGCATAGAGGATCATATTTATAAAATCTTAAGTTTTAATAGTTCAGTAAGCCATTAATAAAGCATAAATTACAAAAAGCATGAATAAATTTGAGAAGACATACACTCCTGTAAGAAAAATGACACCTCATGAGAATTACAGAAAGAATATAGGTGAGTTCAATAAAAAGGTGACGAAAAAAGCTGAGCATATTGATTCTAAAGATTCTCATAGTTCTGAGCTCAAAGAAGGAGTTGAAATCATGAAGTACACATTTGGGCTTTTATGTTTGCTTTTACGATATACATAAAAATGGTGACGACAGACCAACCCGACCTCTCGACCCTATTTCTTCAACACCTGCAGGCAACGGCCCAGTATCGAGGATTTAGGTGAAAAGGGGCCGGTAATCCTTTATGTATAGTTGGGCTGGGTTTTCCTCGGGCCCAGGGAGCTAATCCCTGGACTTAGAGTTTTTCCTCCGGTGCAACCATTGGAAAGGGCAAGGTCGGCCAATGTCTGGAGGGCAATATGACCCTCAGAACCTGAAGACGGTATTGCCTAACGAGAAACTGGGAGTTTCGACCCAGGTGGTTGGCCCTTAGACTCCAGGAGCCATGAAGTCAAGACTGGTGCGCGAATACCTCGTTTGCCGAAACGTGGAAGGGTGTCCGCCGGGATCCCTCAGGGATGATGAGCGTTTAGGGGTGGAAATCCCCGCCCTTGCGAAAGCGAATGACACAATCTAATTTAATCTAATCTAGTGTTTGCTTTTACTCTTAATGGTCTTTTATCTATTCTTCAACAATCTATCTTAAGCATAGAAGCTAATTAGTAGGTTTTATAATTAAATGTTTCTAAAATTGGAGGTTACTTGCTATTAGTTAATTTAGATATCTATTAATTAGCACTCCCTTAAATTGAAACAAAATATCGGTAAAATGCCATTTTGGGCAAGCTAAGTATTTGTTGTTAAATAATTATCTATTACTATTTAGCATACCACAAGTAGATATTGATTTCAGGAAAATTTTATATGAATTCATTTTCAATAAATTTTTAATATAAATTATACTTTTCAAGATTTCTTTCGAAAGCAGAATTTGAAAATATCCAAAATACATCTGTGCTTATTTATTATCATGCATTTTTATTATAAGTAACTATTATTCCTTTTAAAATATTATATAATTTTTGAGCTCTATAATGACTTCTTATACTTTAAATTAATTAAATTAAATTGTTGCGTTGTTTAAAGTCGACTGAGGGCTTAACCTTCTGCAAGCTCATCAACTCTTTAGGAGCTACAGCTGACACTGACTGCCTCGCCTATGCTTCGTCATATCCTGGGGCATCCATTCGCTATGGGCTAGCCTGGGGTGTAACTCCTAGGTTGACGCTGAGTGCCTGCTGCCCTGAGAGTTTCGAATTCGAGTAGTTGGGACCTAATCTCGGGAGCGATGACCGACTGTCTCTTTCTAACTCTGTGCTAGAAGAAAAAATCTATGTTCAGGTATTATGCCACGAGAAAAACTTCTACCCGAATACATTAAGATGCTGTTAATTTTCTCAGCTTTGTTCCTCCTGGGTATTGCCTGCAGGTATTGAGCCGAGAAGTCGGGTGGTAACCTCAACCATATTAATGTATATATATAATACTTTATATAATTTCCACAATTCTCAATAAGAATATTTATTATTATGTTTTTGATAATAAATCCAATTTTAAGGTGAATTTAATATAAAGAGGAAAATGCAAATTAATCAGAATGTAAATATTTGAAGGCTTTAAAGCTAAGTTAAAAGAAATTCTATCAACTTTAATAATTTAACATCTCTTAAGCACAGGCTTTCACTATAAACCCATAGCATTACCATTTGAGTCTATAACGTCTCTCAGCTATTTTTGATTCAAATCTATAACCTTTTTTTACCTGAATATTTCCAATAATTATGGATAATCCAGACACAAGCCACAATACTTCACTTTCACGAGCAGCTAGTGAAGGGGATTACGAAGGACTTTGTGAGCTTCTCTCTGCACCACACAAAAACGATAAGAATATCCTTAATCACTCTTTATATTTAGCCGTATGCAAGTCTCAATCCACATCTGATCACCTTCATTGTGTAGAAGCTCTTTTAAATTCCTCTGCAAATCCGAGCTATAAAGACTCAGGAGTATCATTACTTATGCACGCTGCTAAAATGGGACAAATCCAATTGGTAGATTTGCTGATCAGGTATGGCGCTCCAGTAGATGACAAAGACAACGAAAGCCGTACCCCTCTAATGTATGTTTGTGAAAGTGACTACGGAGACAACGTCGACGTAGTTGAGCTTCTTTTGAATTGCAAAGCACAAGTAGACTCAAAAGATAACAATGAAAACACTGCTCTACACAAATGTGCAGAAAGAGGGTATGTGAATTCTATGAGGGCTTTATTAGACAGTGCTGCATTTTTTAATGCACAAAATAAAGAGAAGGATACCCCTTTACATCTTGCTGTGAGACTTGGCCATGAACAATGTGTGGAGCTGCTGCTGAAATGGAATGCAAAGACGGATTTGAAAAATTTGAATGGGAAAACTCCATATGAAGAAGCAGCAGAAAATTTGAAAATATTGTTTACGCCAAATCCGGGGACACCTATAACGAAATCAGATATTAGCGAAAATGAAGAGCCGCATTCAGAATCTAGTGGATGCTATGAATCCATGCCAGAAGATAAAGAAATTCAATGCAGCAATTGTAATGCAAGGGCTGCAGAAATATGCAGATTTTGCTATGATGAAAGTATAGAAAAAAGCGAAATTAATGTGAAAAAGATTGAAGAGCTGTATGTAAAAAATGTTGAATTAGAAAACATAGTTAAGAAGCTGCAGGCAGATTTAGAAAAAAAATCTGGAAAAATTGAAAAATTGAAAAATAAAAAAGAACAACTCCAGCAATCTTTATTTGATAAAGAAAATGAGATCATTGAAGAAGCTGACAAATGCAAAAAGGATTGTGAAAACTCTGTCATTCTTTTACAAGATGAATTAGAAAGCACAAAAGAACAAATCTTGAATTTAAAGCATTCATTAAAGATAATGAATCAAGAAAATGAAATGCTAGTTCTCTCCCATCTAATGAGCGAGCCAAAATATGAAAAAAAATCCTTTTTCACCACTTTTAAATTTTTATATATAGTTAACCAATGCTGTAAAAATCTCTAGCTGAGTTTATTAAATTTTAAGAGTACGTAAGAAAAACAGATAATTTATAAATTAACTAATCAACTTACTTTCAATTTTGCAAGTTGGAATTTAATATTTAAAAAAACATTATAATTAGCTTCAAAAAATACTTTGCTCATATACAAATGGAGAATTAAGAGATAAGCTTGAAGAAGAAGCTAAGATACCAGATAAAAATGGGAAAAAGAATAAAAGGAAGGTCGCATTCCTTAGGATAAAAAATATTCACCATACACCAAAAGCAGAAATAGTGAATCTTCTGCAAGATGATATCATGAATTTCATGCAGGAGTGAGAAAGCTGGCAGCTAAGTCTCGAGCCCATCTTCAATGATATTTCCACAAAAATCAGCGTTCTTGTTGAAAAAACATTTCAAGGAGCCAAATTAGAATTGTATGGAAGCTATGTGACAAAGATGCATTTGCCTTCAAGTGATATTGATATGGTTGTGACACACGTTGAAGGTGACAAAAAAGAAATTTTGAGACTTCTGGATCAGGTTCTTCAAAGGCAACCATATGTAAAGAGCACTCAATTAATATCTCTAGCAGTTGTACCAATAATAAAGCTTAAGTGCGAATCAAGAGGAAAAACCATAAATATGGACATCACAGTTCAAGATATAAAACACACAGGCGTGCAGTGTTGCTCATTCGTCAATCGGGTGCAAGCAGCATATGGAAATATTAAACCCATTTTCTTGATATTAAAGCATCTATTCTACCTCTGTGGATGCAAAGAGCCTTACAACGGAGGATTGAGCAGTTATTCGTTGTTTTTGATGGTTACTAGTTATTTTCAATCCCAAAAAGAAAAATGATTGAAGAGAAATTCTAACACAAAAAAAAATTTAGGAGAAATATTTTATCAGATTTTGAAATTTTATTCTGTTGAGTTTACGTATATTACCCCAATATTTTCTTATGACCCCGAAAACCCAGTACAAAATCCATATCCATATCCAACAGTAAAAGTAATTTAGGAACAATTCCCCAAGCTTATAGTTGTTGATCCATTAAATCAGCAAAATAATGTTGCTTATAGCACAAGAGTTGAAAACATGATTCACATATTAAGGATAGCCTATATGAATATGAATCGAACAATTCAGTGTGACTGTTCTGAGTCGCGGAGTCCTCTATACAAGATGTTTTTCGATACTAAGCAATATCTCAATTTTTAGATAGATGTTATAATTCAAATGTTCAATAATTTGAAAAATTTTGAAAAATAGTTGTTTTATAAAAAACATATCAAATAGTTAGTTGTAATTCTCCCAAATAAGTTTACTTATAACTATTTAATACTCTTATTATTCTGTATATTAATTAAGATAATAATAACTTCTTATTTCTAAAATTGAAATATTTAGCATTTTTATGAAATTTTAAATTAATAATTAAAAAATGTATAAAAATAATTTTAAAAGTCAGACTTTAATATAAATTTTAAAAATCAGATTTTAAGCATAAGGAGATTAGGAGATATTATCTTAAATTTTTCTTTTTATAATGAATCACGAATATGATTGCAACAAAGCAATAGAAATCTTACAAAAAATCCAACGTCTAAGAAGCGAGGCAGATATAGAGCATTTGATGAGATTAACATCAAACATAAATTTCTTTCAAACAATAAACGAAATAGCAAACTCTATCGACATACACAAAAGCTGCTGTAAATCACTTACATTAAAAACTTTTTTAGAAGGAGAATCGATTGTTAAACTGGGAGATAGAAATAATAACTTTTACATTATTTTAAGAGGAGAAGTAGGGATTTATTACCCTTATAAAAAACCTCCGAAAAGAAAAACTCGCATAAGAAATTGTAAAACAGATTTATCTGAAAAAATCGACAAATCAGATTCAGATATTGATTTTAATCCTGATGAGTTCAATGATGACCCTAACCCTCCCCATTTTAAGGAGAGACCATATTTTTCTGTTCGCTTAAAGGGGGTTAATTTTTGTTAATTTCAGGTCTAATATTTGAAAATAAAAATCTTAAAAAATTATGTATATTAATTATATTTTAAGAATTTAATAGAATTAGCAAGAAATCTCGTTAAAATAATTAATAAACTAATTAGATATTAAATTTATATTAAAAGACTTTTTGCTAGACCTCCGAGGGGTGCTACTTCTCAAATATAGGCAATGGTCTTCTCTTAAAGGAGGGGAGTAAGGTAGAATTCAATATTAATATAGGCCAAATAAAAGAGCAAGTGCTGGATAAAGGCATTCACAAGTCAATAAACGATGTTCCCGGAAGCCCAAGCAAAGTGTCAAATGAAAAACTGATTTTGCATAGCTTGGAAGGATTCGATAAATGGCGTGGAGAGCCAACCCATCCTCTTAACTCCTGCAGCTCGCGCAGAGACCATGAGGAAAGGAGGATAACATTCGAGAATGTGTATCCAGTAGCTTTTCTTGGCTTGGTGAAGTGATTGTCGGATTGGCCGACCGCATGCTTATTTTTTTTGTCTCAGTGGGGTCAGGAAGTTGGAAAGGGTTCCCAGGGTATGAATAGTGATCTTCTTGATACTCCCCTGAGTGAAGCTGGGGTTTACGCTCTGGGCACGGATTTCCATCTTTGTTGAAGGTTTATCAGAAAATCAACCCTTTTTAAATTTTAATGGTTAAAAACCCTATTTGATGTACAGCACGGCGATACAACTCACTCAGCTACCAGGGTGAGAGTTCACGCCCTCTTGTGGCAGGAAAACCCATTATAAGCTTGTTGCAAAGTGGCGAGCAGGCGAAGGGAGTATAAAGAGTGGAGATATCCCTTTGGGATTATAGCCGCTTCTCATAAAGTCTTAATAACTAATTTCATAGTTTTGAAAGCCAAATCGAAGAAGAGCAATCAATTCTTACTGGATTGCTAATTGAGTATCCTAATTTAGAAACTGTAAAGATCACAATGTCAAATTTAAAAGAAAAATCCAGATTTAATGCTGGAAATGCATTTGGAGAACTCGGCATTATTAGTTCAAAGCCAAGAGCAATGACAGCGATCGCAACTAAGCCAACAGTCCTTGCTTATCTTTCAAAAAAAACTTTTAGACAAATTCTCTCAAAAATCACAGACACCCAATTTGATGAGAAAATTGATATATTAAGAAAACTTACTATTTTCTCAAAATGAAGCAAAGTAGCTGTTGCTCGGCTATGTGAGTCATTTAAAACTGCCAAGTATAATTGAAACCAACCAGTTTACAACGAAGGAGATCCAGTTGCAAATGTATATTTTGTAAAAAAAGGTGAATTTAAAATTACAAAAGGAGTCAAGAAATCTCTAGGAATTCTTGACTTAAGTGCTTATAACGAGCCATTATCCCCTGAAGCTCATACACAAACAATGCTGAAACTTGGAAATATGAGGAAAATTAACAAAAAAACCAATTTGCAGCTTGTCATAAAAGCAGAAAATGAGATGGTAGGGGGTGAAGAAATCATAGAAGGCCTTGAATATAGGGTTCATTCATGTCATTGCTGCTCAATAGAAGGAGAATTGATTTACATATCTAAAGAAGATTTCACAAGCAAATTCCCTCACCAAGAAACTTGGAATTATTTAAAAGATAAACAAAACTATGATTCGCAGAGATTTCTGAAAAGAGAAGTTAAGCTTAAAGAGATTGAGGAGATGAAAAGTACATTCGAGTTTAGCACTCCAGATTATAATCCTCGTCCAAAACTTTCTCCGATCAATAAAAAGCTCTCTTTCTTGGCTAAAAAACCCCAAGCAATACCTAAATTGACAAGTCTTTCACGATTGAGGACTGAAACCAAAGGTACAGCAAGTGATGAAAAGTCAATTTTAAATAAATCCCTTGGGTTTTCTTCAAATAAGTACAATTACTATTTATTAAATAGCCCAAAAACTCCTCGAGCTGGAAGATCATATGAAGCGATTTCCCCGAACTCCCCTCCATGAGCGGACAAAAACATTGGAAAATCCCTATTTTTTGACAAAAAGCACACCCTCCGTGAGTGAACAAAAATTGTTTATGAAAAATATTTTGATATATAAGTGATAATTAGTATAATAGAATCTCTAGCTAATTCTGTTTAATTTTAAGCAGCTTGCATTTTAAAACATAATTTTTGTAAATTAAATTAATATTGCTTCTTAATTTTTTCGAATTGGGATTTTTTTTAATTTTAAAAAAATTGCTATAAAATTAACCCCTCCACAAGAAAATAAAATATTTTTTTTCTCTCAAGGAGAGGAGTAAGAAAAATATGCTAGTACACAAAAAGACACCCCCACCTAATTTTTTGATTACATACCGAACAAGAAACTTAGAATCAAGAATTAAGAATTTATTTGAAATTGAATTAACCCCGACACCGCGGATTTCTCCAGATTCTCCAAAGAAGCTACTTTAATTCTCTTGGAGCATACAAATTTTGATTAACATTATATTATTTCGCATTTTGTAAATTTTCATCTATAAAATCATCCCATAACGCTACCGGAATGTTTTCTCTTTTGCATTTATCATACAAATGGCATATGATTATATCTCTTGCTGGGTGATTTTTCGAGAAACTCATCTTTTTCCTTATGCATATAGAATAAAAATATTTTTCTAGTTCTTCCTCAGTAAGACTGTGTGAGGATTGTTTTTCTTCTTTTTGTTCAGTGTATTCTGTAGCTTTAGAATATACTGAGCTGATAGTAAAAGTTTCTGATCCCATGTCACTTCTGATTTCATTGACGCCTTGAGGTCTAAAAGCATCAACTAGCTCAAGTAATATTTCTGACCTCAGTTTTCACCTTTCTAGCTCTTGCCTCTGTCTTGCCATTTCTTCTTCATAAATTTTGATTTTATCAGCACATATGCTTTTGATTGCACTTTCAAATGGTCCTTTAAGTTCAATTAAATGAATAAGCCGCTTTGCAAATATTGAGCATGAGAGTCCATCCCTCATCAGCATACAAGTTTTGACTAAAGAATCCAACTTATCTAGAAGAGTATAAGAGCAAATAGAAGCATCTAAAATTGCTTGGGCGTATTCTTCTAGGTCAATAAGTACTAGCAATACGTCTCCATAAGCATCTTGTTTTTTGAGCCTTATAGAATTCAATAGTTTTCGTACCCTTATTTCGACCGCGCAGTTGGAGGTTTCTTCAAGCACTGGCTTGAAACAGACTGAGGAATGTGAATCGACAGAATCGGCCGGTATACATTCATAGCAGTTTATACAAAGAACATCCACTTCTGATGCAGATTCAATGTGTAAGCTCTGCAAGGAATAACCAGTAGAAAGAAACTTTGGTTTTTCTGAATAAGTGGTGGATGGCTCATAAGGCGATAAAAATTCAAAATGTTTTTCGCTTCTGGCAAGGTCGTCATATTGTTTTATAGGGGTTTGAGATTGAGGAGTTTGAGGGCGAAACATCTCACAGTCCTCAAACTCTCTAACGGTTCTCTGCAGCCTACTATCGTATTCGAGATCTTCATATTGCATCATTGTATCAGAATCTAGTGTAGGTTTCTTTGACTCTTTTCGCTCGTTTTGCTTGCTGAGTGTAAAATCAAATGGTTGTGCACTATCACCTTCAAATGAGCCGCTCATAGAGTGTCGAGCTGACTCTGAATCGTAAGGGAGCGGTAGTGAAGTTAAATAAAAATTGAAGTCTTCAGGTGAGCATTGATTATTGGAGATACTTTCTTTAGGATTAAAACTAAACCTTGAAACTTCTAGCCCTTTACCTATGAGTGAGATAAATCTATTAAGATAATTATTTTGGTAAAATATTTTATATAATTAATAATTATTATTTAAAATTTTAGAACCCCTTCTTAAGTATAATTTTATTAATTAAACTTCTTATTGCTTTCAAATATGCAAACTGGAAGACTTGAAAACATACGAATTTATTTAATCTAAAATTTTATAATCTTTTGGCTTAATTTCTGATCGGCTCCCACGAGCCAAAAATGGGTTTCCGCGTGGAATTTCTGGATTTTCACGCATGAAATCCATCTTTGGCTCGTGGGAGCCGATCAGAAATTTAAACAACTAATTATAAAAATTAATTCTTGATTAGTAGAATAATTTTTTACATTCACTTAAGCAGGAAGGTAAGTTATTTTTGATAAAATCCTTATCCATTATATATAAATACCAGGAATATTTTCTTAATTACCAACTAAATTTAATTTTAATGGTAGGATCTTTTTTCACGAAATTCAGCAATTTTATTTTAGAGTGGCCATTGTCTTAAAAGAATATAAAGATAATTAGATAAAATTAAGCAATAAATTCTTCTGAAAATTATGGTTATGTTTTAAACATGCTTAATTAAATAAGAAAATTCACTTTATAAGCATTATTTTATATCAAAATTCTTAGAAAAATCTACTTCTATGGTACAATAAAAACAATAAAATTTCTAAAAATGATGGAAACTGAAAGCAGAATTGATGCTACTCTTAAAAAAATAAAGGAAAATTTACATATAGATGTAGCATAATATTTACCTTAAACCAATAGTCATTTCATAAATTATTAGCCGTTAGTATAGAGCATAACATTATATTTTATGACAAAACTATCTTTGGCAACAATATTGTCATATTTAGGAACATTTTGACTAGGAATTTTATGTTGTCAAGCTACAGTTAGTCTTGCAGCATGCTTATATGCCCTTTTATCATCTTCTAATGATTGTGAAGACCCTGTAAGAGCATGGCTCATAGTCCAAGCCAGTGCATTACCGGGATTATTGCTAATTTATCTATTTACGAAAAAGTTTGGACTTATTTTATGAACTTTGTTTATAATACCATGGGCTGCATTAGGAACTATATGGGCGATTGATGGAGATTGCAGCAATGATTTCCCTGAAGGATATGTTGCAGCAGGAATTTTGATAATCACAGACTACACTCTTCTCGGCCTTATTACTATTGCAGCGTGTATATTTGGAATATCTGCTTGCATTGGCCAAGGACTGCTGTCAGAATATCAAGAGATTAAATAAAGCTACTCATAATTAAAATTCATCGTATAATTTTAGCTTCACATATTAAATTAATTTATAAATATTAAAAAGCTTTTTAATCAATTCCAAACTTTTCTCATAAATTTTCTTATAAGCAGAAACTTGGTCACTTTCTTCTTTTAAATATTAAAGCTAACTCCCGCTCTCCGTGAGTGAACAAAAAAACTTGTTCGCCCACGGAGGGTTAATTTTTTTTGTTTTTAAAAAAATTTATATAGTTAGTGACACTGACTAATATAAATTTTATAGACAAATTTTTTTTTCTCGGAATTTAACAAAATTCAACTTCGCAAAAATTGGAAAGCAAATATTAATTTAATTTATAAAATTTATGTTTTAAAGCGTAAATTTTTTAAATTAAACAGAATTAGCTCGAGATTTATTATACTAATTATCACTTATATATTAAATTTTTTTTCTGTAAAAAATTTTTCTATTAAAAAATTTTTGTTCGCTCTCGGAGGGTGGGTTTTTGGGCAAAAAATAGCGATTTTTCTAATGGTTTTGTTCACTCACAGAGGAGGGGGGTAAGTAAATATGGCTAGAAGACCAAGGCTATATGCAGATATTAATGCTCAGTTAGGACCTGAACATTCTGACTATGAAAACCTAATAATTAGATGGGGTCGTCAAGATGACTATGAGATTATTCGAAAAATCGGCCATGGAAAGTATTCTGAAGTTTTTGACGGAATAAATTCCGCAACAGATGAAAAAGTGGTAATAAAAATTCTCAAGCCAGTAAAAAAAGCCAAAATCAAGAGAGAGATTAAAATTTTGCAGAACCTGCAAGGAGGCCCCAATATTGTGCGTCTTCTAGACATAGTTAGAGATCCCGCCTCAAAGACACCCTCTCTAATTTTTGAGCATGTGAATAATTTTAATTTTAAACAGCTTTATCCACAATTGACTGACTTTGAGGTTCGCTACTATATTTTTGAATTATTGAAAGCATTGGATTACTGCCATTCTATGGGAATTATGCATAGAGATGTGAAGCCTCACAACGTTATGATTGATCATGAAAAACGATTATTAAGACTGATTGATTGGGGTCTAGCAGAATTTTATCATCCAAAAACTGAATTAAATGTAAGAGTGGCATCGAGATATTTTAAAGGGCCTGAATTGCTAGTAGATGACCAATTATATGACTATTCGCTGGATATGTGAAGCCTAGGAGCAATGCTTGCAGGAATGATCTTTATAAAAGAGCCATTCTTCCATGGGCATGATAATATGGACCAATTGGTAAAAATTGCTAAAGTACTAGGAACAAATGAGCTGTATAGGTATTTGGCTAAATATCAAATTGAAATGGACCCACAATTAGAAGCAATGGTTGGGAGACATGAAAAGCAGGCTTGGCAAAAGTTTGTGAATAGTAAAAATTCTCATTTGGCTCATCCGCTCGCGATTGATTTCCTATCACATTTGCTAAAGTATAATCCAAATGAGAGAATTCTACCAAAAGAAGCAGCAGATCATCCTTATTTTGCTCCAGTAAAAGAAATGTGGGCTCAGATTGAGAGTAAAAATTTTACAATACAGCCTGGGAACCCTGCATATGAGACAGCTTTGATTTTGAAGAACAGATTAGAAAGAGGATCTTTAAATTAAGTAAAAAAATAAAATAGTCAATCTCATTATTAAAATAATAATTTCATAACTGGAAGAATGGCGCTTTAAAAATAAATTGCGACGCCATTGATCAGTATGCAACTGGTCTGAACTAAAGGACTTTGCAATTCTGAGTAGGGAAAGAAATTCTACAGCGACTTACTGCTTATATCAGACGTAAATTTGTGAGTTTTTTAGTTCTTATTGTTTATCTATATATCAACTCTTTTGAAGCATATTAAGTTTTTCCTGTCGCACTTCCCAAGAAGAACTGATGGGTCCCTCGGATTCACCGCTGACTATGTAACTTGATACGTCGCACAATCGCCTATCCCATATTATTTCCAGGCACCATCTGAAGAGATGGGCTATGAGACAGAAGGTGACTCTCAATCAATGCAGAGATAAAGACTTAGGACCTTACTGGGAGCTTCTTGATAATCCTAACTCCCCCCCCCCTCCGTGAGCGAACAAAACCATTAGAAAAATCGCCATTTTTTGACCAAAAACCCACCCTCCGTGAGTGAACAAAAATTTTTTTAATAGAAAAAATTTTAATGGAAAAAAATTTTTGATATATAAGTGATAATTAGTATAATGAAATCTAGAGCTAATTCTGTTTAATTTTAAACAAATTGCGTTTTAAAACATAAATTTTGCAAATTAAATTAATATTTGCTTCCCAATTTTTGCAAATTAGGATTTTTTTAAAATTTCGAAAAAAATATTTTTTATAAAATTTATATATAAATTTTTTTTTAAAAAAAAAAATTAACCCCTCCGTGAGCGAACAAAATTTTTTGTTCGCTCACGGAGGGGGGGGGGGAGTAAATAAAAATTAAGATATGCTTTATTAGCAAAAGTGTTTATAACATAAGAAATATAGCAAATTATCGATATTAATAATTAATATTTTTAAGAATTAAATAAATAAAAAAGTATCAATTTGATATTATCTAACTGAAATTACCATAGAGCAATCAATTATGTAATAAATATATATTTAGAGTGCCATTCTAAAAGGGATTATGAAAAAAAAACTGCTATGCAGCAATCTCAAAATAGCTTCTTATTTTTCATTCAAGATTTCATAAAGAGCTGGAAGACCATAAAGACTTTATTTCGCAAAATAAATTATACACATAATTTCCACTTCTTAAATATTATATACATTAAAATGGCGTGGCAAACCAACCCACCCTCTTAGCATCTGTAGCTAGGGATATAACCAAGGACCTTGTGGAAAAGAGGATGGTATTCGGTGATGTGTATCCGGCCAGGTTTACTTGATCTGGGTGGAGTGCAATACTGGATTAGACCGACCGCAGCTCACTCCCGGATAAAGGTGTTACCTTTTGGTGGAGATGGACTCGGCGTTGGAAAGGGAAAACCGAGCAAAGCCTAAGTGGCCAATACCAGTAAATTCGTTTTTCAAATTTTCTGGAAGGAAACTCAAGTCTGACAACGGAACGGTGACCCAGCCTGATCACACGCCGTTCGATGCGAGCCTAAGGAGGCGAGAAGTTTACCTCTAAAGGGTGGCAGCATGGCGGCCCAATAACGAAACAACTGGAGAATCTCACTCAATGTGCTACTGAGAGCTTTTCAATAATAAGTTAGCCTTAATCTTAGCTTCTTAAATATTATCTCTTTCATCAATAATGCTTAATATTTAATTTTATTATTTCCTTCCAAGGTTCAATAAATTTATTAATCTTTAGAGAGCTATTATTGAATACTTATTAAATGAGTGGAAAAGATAAGACATTCTGATAGTCTGCGATATTATTTAACTCTCGTTTTAATCAAGTTAAAAATATGAAATTTTTAATTTTTCCATAAATCCATTAAATCTCTTTTTTTAATTTCAGACCTATTTATAATAATTTTATGTCAAGTAAAATCTGTCAAAGCCGGATTTCGTATCCATCGAATTAAAATTATTGCAAAGGTTTTTTATCAAATCATCTCTTAAATGCTCAAGTTTTGAGCTTAAATACTGTACCTATACAAATAAAAATCATTTTCTGTTAATGATATTTTATTATTATTATGTGAAAAAGCTGATAGAAAACAAATGATAATTAAAATATGGCGTCTGGTCTTCCATCCGAAAATTCATCCACATTGGTGACACAGTCTCCAAAGTCACCAAAGACTCCCTACTGCAGGTCTACCGCTTTTCGACTCCAGCCCAAAGGGTCTTTCTGCCGAAGGTGGATGCCACTTCCAGCACCTTCTATCTCCTCTTTCCGGCTTCAATCTTGAATACTTATGGATTTCTGAAGCCCTGCTGGGCGATTGGAGTAGCTCCTTCCGGCTTCAGTCTTGAGTGCTTATGGATTCCTGCGGCCCTGCTGGGTGATTGGAGTAGCTTGACTCCATGGATCCTTGGAGTCTATCGGGTGCCGAAGCGCCTTCCTTGACAGCTACATTAAAAGACTACTACCCTGTGACCTGGGCCAAAATCCCCAGCTTCTCAGTAGAGGAATGCCCATGCGTCCTCGGATCAAAATGACTTTGCTGGGCGCCTCCATTCCCAACCACAGGAAAGTAGCCAAAAATACTCTGATGCACATCCCTTGAGTCTGCACTTGATTCTCAGCTCGTAGTTTGCTGTAGCCATAAGATCTGTACTGCTGCGCCAAGAGGTTAGGTTGGCACGTGTTGCCATTTTAATATATATCGTTCGGACCCACGTAAGCGTCTGAGCTCAAATAAGAGTTGTTTCAAGACTGGTATCATCATTGGAGAACAAAGTCCGAGGTTGCCACACCTTTGGTAGACCCTGAGGAAAATGAATTGAAATTCGCCCCCCAGAGCTTAGAGGTATCTGCAGTCGAGCAATCTGATAGTGCACTATAAACGTGCTAGAGATCAATTAAGATTAAGGTACAAAACAAATTAATTATAAGCATAGTTCTATTATTATCTATATCTGGCACTTTTCCATGTGGTCAACGAGCAGATATTTGTTATAAAATTCTTTTTCGCACACCATACATTTAACCCTTGTCGATTTTTCGTGAACTTGTTTGACATGAAATCTCACTGCATATTTATTTCTGAATTTTTTATTGCAAATCTGGCATCTAGAATGTTTATACTTGGTCTTATGGATCTTTCCAAGATGCTGCATTTTTCCTTTTCGCGATTTGAATGCTATTTTGCACTCTTCGCAGAAAAATGGCTCAAGCGAAGAGCTATCGTTTGTCGCAGCCTGATCTGCATTTAACTTGCGCTGAGGTTTTAAGTGTTCGTTTTGAGGTGTAAAGTATAGAATTTTCCCATAGATGGCGCAGTTTGCCCTTGATGTTCCCACTGGGAAAATTTTTTGGTTTGACCAAACCATATGGTACTGGTCGAACCAAAAAATTTTCCCAGTGGGAATATCAAGGGCAAACTGCGCCATCTATGGGAAATTTCTATATCTATGCATGCACAGGTCTTTTTGAGACCTGAAAACCAAATTGCAGTCTTTGCACTGCAAAGAAATTTTTGGCCTCGAATTGTAAGCAAGAGACAGGCAAACCACCGAGGGCAAAGATTTCGAAGCATTTGGGAATTCTAGAAGAGCTTCTTTAAACATTTTCAACCTTTAATATTTTTCAAAATAACAATTAAAAATAGTGATAACAGATTTTCATATTGGCTCCATCGAATATCTATTAAAAATATTAGTCTCTCGAAGCTTATTAAGATTGTATTAGAAGTAAGAATTGGGCCTTTTTTAACGATTATTGATTTTAAATTATTATCCACACATAGTTTTTAGAAAAATGAAGGTAATTGAGTAATTAATAATTATAAGTTTAAACGGGTGAAAGAAAATAGATATTGAGAAAAAGATATATCGAGATTTTTATCCAATTATAAATAATTCCTTTCTAGAAATTTTTGATCCTCAGTCTTAAAAATATATTATTTAATTTTCTTAAACCTGAAGGTCAGATGGCTAATTCAAATTTCTTAAGATAAATAGCCATAAGGAATTTTCAGAGCCCTAGTTGTCAGGTCAATAAAGTTCATTTTTATGGTTTTCAATCATCATTTTACAAGTTATTTTATTATTATTATTTGTTGCCATTTAATTATAAATGGATTATATATTAAAATGCTTTGCAAAGATAATAAAAATGAATGATGATTTGCTTAGTCTATCTAAAAATCACCAATGGCTGAAGAAAGGATCGAAGAATTATAAGAAAATGCCAGAACGAAGAATTGCATGATCATAATGGCTATAATGGATTTAATTACTTATTATTAAGACAATATGGTATAATCTCCTAATTTATAATGACCTAAAAAATTATAGTTAAATAGTGCTTTTTCAGTAAAAAAATAATTAGTTGGGCTTTAGTTTATTGAATTCCAATTGAAAATATAATAGTAATCATATTCGAATTTATTGTTTATCTATTAAAAAGATTTTAGTTTGCATATTTAAAATCCAATTTGAATGATGAGGTACTTTATAAATGGTTTCATTTTTAATTAACTAAATAAAAATGTACTTCAAAATAGCTATTTTCATGATTAAATAACAATATAAAATTCAAAGAAAATTATAAGATCATAAAAATAATCATTTATATTTATCATAAATAAGCATCAATAATGTAATTTTTAAATAGTTTGCATATTAGAAACAAGAAATTGGCTCTAATAATTAATATTAATTATTTAATTTACGGTTCAATACTTTGATGGATTGCAAAGCAAAATATTTAGCATTTGCTGAATAATCGATACTAATAATAACTGATGCTTTAAAAATCTATAAGGTCTATTTTGTTATTGTAAAGTAAGCAAATTCATTAATTGTATAGTTACCACAGTTAAACATGCAATTTTTTTTAAGCATGCCAATATATTTTTTGCTTAAAAATTAACATGAAACTGTTTAAGTAAGCTTTGTAGCTTTGTAAATTAAATCAATTAATGCTAAAACAATAGTAATATCCAGGAACGCAAAAGCTTTGAAATATTCAATTCGCGACATAAAATTATAAACAAAAAATAAGATTAATTATAAAATGTTTAATGCTTTTTGACACGAAAAATTAGAAAAGGAAAAATCAGAAGAGACAATCCAAAAAGAAAAAGCCAAAAGTGATAGAGCGAAATATAAGAAAAGACAAGATAGACTAAGTAATCAATCAAAAATGAGAATGATGGAATGAGCTCATAGGAATCTAGAACCAACTTTTACAAAGAGTAAATCATAACTAGGTTTAATTGATGGATCAATAACCTTAAATCATCCAGATCAAATGGGCTTCCGCCCTATAAAAGTAGACAAGAGAGTCACGGTTATAAAACAATACTCAAAAAGCCCAGATCCAATAGATGAAGCTAATTCAAGCAAGCAAGAATTATCAATAATATCTAGCTCAAGCAGCTCTAATGATTCATATTCTAGATTGGTTATAGTCGAGCAAAAACCTTTACCAAATATAGAAAAAAATAAAATCAAAGGATATGACGAATTTGACGCAGATAAATTCGTCGGAATAAGTTCAGTCAGGATCGAGCACAAAGATGATCGACCTTTTGTCAATTTTTCTAAGCAATTCAAGAAAGATGATGCCGCATGGCATCAAATGACAAGAAATCAGTCAGAGCCTTATATCAGAGGAAACTTAAACGCAGCTGAAATAGGCCGTCCAAGAGAGAAATCCAAAGAAATAAATGGCGATTTCAAACTATATAGAAGGCCGGACGTATGGGATAGTCTCATGTCTAAGCCTTCTTCAATCCGATCTTATAAATCTAATGAGAACATGGCCAAAAATAACTCCCCTTCAGGTTCCAGCCTGTCTTCCAAAATCTACAAGAAATCCCTTGAAAGCTTGATAATGAAGCAATACTTTTCTCCAGTCCGAATATTTCAAAATGCGCCCGCCAAGCTGTCATAAATTCACATATAATTTAATACAGTCTGTAATTAGCCTAATCTGTTAATTTTTTTAAAAAGGATAAGAGGTCAATATATTAAATAGAATGAATAATTCAATGCAGTCTCCTCGGACAAGAGTTTCAAAACAAAAAATCCTGCTACCTGGATCAACGATTAGAAAGAATCTAATCCCAATAAGCACCAAAATAAGGAACCCAACTTCAAAGTCTATGATACAAAGCGAATTGCCAACCCCGAAACAGCAAACTCCTTCAAATAGAAAACAAGAGCATTTTTTTCCAGATAAAGGGTCTTTAAACAATACATTGAACTCCCCAAACGTGTCTACTTTTAAGTTGAACGGCTCTTTCAATAGAAGCAATGTAAATTTAAGCAGAGACGAAGTGCGCACTGCAAAACCAAGTCCAAGGGCAAGCACAATTGTAAGGCAAAAATCTGCAAGCCACTCAGAGATTACTCCTGACGACTTGATGGCAAGTTTGCAGCTTCCTTTGACACCTCCACAAGTCTTAAAGAATTTTGCTAATTTCATGTCAAAATATGAGCAGGGTGAAATTTTGGATTATCCTGAAGTTTATTATTTAGGTTTAAAAGCTCAAAAAACCAAGCCAAATGCAGCAGGAAATAATCTTGGCTTTGACGATGACAGATCTGACTACATCCACATTATTGGAGACCAAATTGCTTATAGATATGAAATTTTACAAGTCTTAGGAAAAGGATCTTTTGGACAAGTTCTAAGATGCTTTGACCATAAAGCAAAAGACTATGTAGCATTAAAAATAATTAGGAATCAGAGAAGGTTCCATCGGCAAGGTAGAGTTGAAATCAAAGTTCTGAACCATATAAGGATCCACGACAAAGGTGGATGCTCGCACTCAGTAATAATGCAAGACTACTTTCTTTTTCGCAAGCATATCTGCATTACCTTTGAGCTCCTCAATATGAACTTATATGAACTGCTCAAAAACAATAAGTTCTCAGGGTTCTCTTTGTCGCTTGTCAGAAGATTTTGCCTCCAAATCATTCAATGTTTAGAATTCGCTGCGTCCCACAGAATTATTCACTGTGATTTGAAGCCAGAAAACATTTTATTGAAGCACCAGAATAAATCAAGCATAAAAGTGATAGACTTCGGATCATCATGCTTCGAAGATGAAAAACTATATACTTATATACAAAGCCGGTTTTATAGGGCTCCTGATATTATATTAGGACTACCCTACACGATGGCAATCGATATGTGGTCTCTTGGGTGCATCGCCGCAGAACTGCACTCAGGCTGCCCTTTATTCCCTGGAGAGTCAGAAGCTGAACAGCTCCTATGCATTATGGAGGTCAAAGGAGTCCCTCCAGACTCGATACTGGAGAGATCAACAAGAAAAGCGCTATTTTTTGAAGAAGATAACACTCCAAAAATTGCACCAAACAGCAGAGGAAAGAAACGCTTCCCAGGGACTCGAAATTTAAACGAAAGAGTGAAGTCGACTGATCCAGAATTTTTGAGCTTTATTCAGCGCTGCTTGGATTGAAACCCGGACACAAGAATGACACCTCAAGAAGCGTTATCACACCCATGGATGATAGAAGTAGAAAAACCGAAATCGAGAATAAGCAGCTCAACTGGGTCAAGAGGAGATGGAAGTTAAAAAAATTTTGTATAAAATTATTTTTACTCAACACTTGTTTTCTTCAGTGTCCCAACTGCTTAATCTAATGTTTGAGTAAGACCTTTTTCTTTCTTGTGTTGGCCTGTGTCTGATCTTCACATCGAAGTGTGGCTTGTAGTTTCTAAGCTTTTGAGGAAGCGAGTGGCTGATTGTTAGTTTTTTGGATTCTTTTGGCCTGATTGGAGTATTTTTTTCTGTTACGGCTACCTTAGGGATTTGTGGGATGCTTTCATGAAGCTTGATTTTTGAATTTGAAAGCTGAGAACTGCTTTCTAAAATTCTTGATTTAGGCAGGTTGGTAGAAGGAATGGAAAAAGGTGAATGAACTGAAAGTTTATTCATATAGTTTTTATTTAACTTTGTAAGTTTATTGCTGACTCTTTTGCATGCCTGAGTCTCTTTTCATTTGTCCTTAATGAATGAATGGAAGAAATTTTGTCTTGAATTGTTTTTGGAAGTATGATAAGTACCTTGGATTAGCGAATTCAAAGTTAAACTTTCTTGGCTTTCTGGATTTATACCATAAACATATTCATTAGGAGAGAAATTCATCGATCGATCTCTTATCAAACAAGGCTCTGGAGTTATTGCACAATGTTTTATTTCTGGAAGATTGCTTTTAGATTTTTTCAATGAATAAGCTTTGATGCAATTAATTAATGAAAAAGGCCTTGAGGTCTTCCAGATTTAATGCCTCCGCACGCTTTCGACCAAAGCTAATCTGCTTGCCTGGCAGAAATATTGCTGCTATTTGGAACAGTGATCTTTTCTAGGAGCAGGGCTTGAATTGTAATCCCCAAGAGTCTCAGCGGGTTAGGAAGACGCTCTATCAGTACGCCATTGAATACTATGGAGATAAAGGTTAGTCCAATACCTCCTGTCAGCCACCTTTGGGAGGGGTGGGCGCCCAGGAAAAAGAATCATAGCCCTCCTCACCGCTAGGGAAAGAACCGTTTGCCCAAAAACTATCAGGATAACTAATACTCAGACTAGAATGGCCACTAGCTGACTCCCAATGTTACCCACCCCAACGGCTGCCATACAACAAGCCTAGGTTTAGAATCAAAGAGCCTGAATCTTAGTTTAGGCTATAAAGCCATTTTGGCTCCCAAGATGGTGCGCCGGTAAGGACATATTTTTCGTCACCACTATATTAATCATGCTTTGATGCAAGGAAGCGATGGCTTCCGCTCAAATAGTTTTTGGGATTTGTGCCTGGTAATTTCTCGTAGAAAAGGCTGATGGCTCTCGTTTTTATAATTTACTCTTTGTTGGTCCATTCAAACCCATTTAAATTATTATGTTACTTTGACAGATATAATATTTAATCGAATATAATTATTTAAATGAAGTCTGCCAACAATGTTTCAGTGAGCAGCCTGCCATTATATAAATTCTATTATATGTCGTTATGAAAAATCTAGCCCAAGTAATCAGTAAGATGATTAAAAAATCATTTTATTTTAAGCAAATAAATCATTATTAAAGAAATTTTGTCCTTACTCCCCCCCACCCCTCCGTGAGTGAACAAAAATTGTTTTAATAGAAAAATTGTTAATGGAAAAAAATGTTGATATATAAATGATAATTATTATAATGAAATCTCGAGCTAATTCTGTTTAATTTTAGACAAATTGCGTTTTAAAACATAATTTTTACAAATTAAATTAATATTTGCATTCCAATTTTTATAGAAGTGAGAATTTTTTAAATTTCGAAAAAAATATTTTATAAAAAATTTATATATAAATTTTTTTAAAAAAAAAAATTAACCCCCCTCCGTGAGTGAACAAAATTTTTTTTGTTCACTCACGGAGGGGGGGAGTTAGCTTAATACTAGGAGAGCCAATAATCCAAAGAATATGGATTTTTCAATTGACCCACTATCATTCATATCCTTTAGTTTCTGGACAACATAGTAATAGTCTGCATTATAAATTTTTTCGATACAGTCTGGGTTTTGTTGTAGTAATGGATAGTTCAAATACATTTCCATATTTATTGCGTAATTATAATAATTTCCAAGTAATTTTGGATACTTTTCATAGCAATATTCGCTTAGCCTAGAGTAAGTGTTGCATTGAACATTACTTACACCCTCTCTGCTAGCAAGTAAAACAAACTCTATGAGTGAGCAAAAATTGTTGGTTAATTTATTTTATATATAATTATGGATTATTAAATGGAAAATAAAATTTTAAAATAGCCTGTATAAACTTTATGGTAAAATTAATTTGCCATTCTCAAATTATAATAGTTTTATTTTTTTTGGGATTTCACTTATAGAGAAGTGAGAATTAGCAAAAGAGTTCTTGCAGCGACAATTGCAGTTTGCAGGTACTGGTCGCCTTCAAAACTTGGACAGAATGAGAGCCCATTCGCATTATATCCACAAGTGCACGGTTTCGAATAAGTCCCAGTTGTGTCTTGACACATCGAATCTACCATACATGTCTTTACTGTAGGTGAAAGAGGTGCTTCTGCACAGATCCCAGTTGGAGGATTGGTTTGCCTATTAACTGCCGCAAAGCCGGTTTTGCATGCCATAGAAAAACCATAATTATTGACATTGTCAGTTTGCATGCCATTTTCTAAAGTAAAGTAAAGAGTGCAAGCTCCTAAGTTGCACATCAAGCCATTGGCGCAGTCATAGTCATCTAAACATGTCGCATCTGCAGTTAGCTGCGTTTCACAGCGGGAAGACCCAGAGTTGCAGTATAATCCAGGATTGCAGTCATATATGTACTCACAAGTATCGCTTTGAGCTTTTCCAACGCAGACTTTATTATCGCATTTATTTGATAAACAGTCAGAATTATCAGAGCATTTGTCTCCAGCATATCGAACTGCAGTTGGCGCATCTTCACATGTTGAGTTTGATGTCCTTGTTGCTGGACAAGTTTTTCCAGATGAGCATGTCTTTGCATAAAATGTTTCTTGAACGTAAAAATCGCTGATTTCTTCTTTATAAACTATGCATTGATCACTTGAAGATGATGAAGAACAAAAGTAAACAGGACAAGAGGAAATTGTATACTTATCATCTGATTGTGCAGCCTGAAGATCGTAATATTCTTTTGCGAGAGTTTCTTTGATGCATGGTGGGTTGTTTTGCAAAAGTGGCCACTGGCCTCCTACATAAGCGATATAATATTGCATGAAAGTATTGAAAGCCATCTCTGCATTTGCATTCTGACCTATAAAGCATTGATATCCCCATCTTCTCATTGTATTACAAGTACCAGTACTATAGCCTTTAAGCAAACCAATCCAGCTAGTAATCATGTTTTGAGCTACAGTATCTCCTGCAAATAGTGGGCAATATCCACTTCCTGATTCTGTATATCCACATTGACATGGGAGTGTATATTTTCCATCTGAAGATGTGCACTGAGATCCAGGAGTACATGCTTGTGTAGGGTCTGCTTTATTTGTAGGGGCAGCTGTACATGTATAGGTCCCTGCGCTTAATATTGCGAAGCCTGATGCGCATACCATATTAAAGCCTGTTGTTGAGTTGACCTGTAGTTTTGTAAAGGAATATCCGTTTGGCTGTGAAAAATAGCTTTGGCAAGTTCCTGAAAGGCAAAAATTGGTGTTTACGCATTCATCATCAGAATTGCAAGCCTTCCCTGATACAAGCTGAGGTTCGCATGTCTTTACAACTTGATCACAGTAAAGGCCAGGGTTACAGTCATAAAGATTTATGCAGTCATCTCCTTGGTTTTTGCCCTGACATATGTTGCCAAGACAAGACTTGCTACTGCAATCTGAATTCCATGTGCAGAATTCTCCTGGGTAGTTGAATGATTTCTCTGGTTGTAAATCAACGCAATGCGATTCTTTTGATGATAGATCTATCGGACAAGTGGCATTTGGAGAACAAGGGGATATTTGATATGTGTTAGTCTTTTTACTAAAAGACATACATTTTTCGGCCGTATCGCAGGTATATTTTGGGCATTGCTGAGCAGAAACTCCTAAGATTAATAAGATTAATGGGATCATGCAATTTATTCAACAGAAGACTCATTAGAAATGGTGAAATATATTAATCTAACAATAAATAAACTGATTCTTATTTATTTTAAAAGAAACTATTGCTATTGAAAGAAGAATCTCCCCTTGAATAAATTGATTTAATTTTTTTATTTGTTTTTATCCGAAGCTAATAATTTTTCGTGAAATTTATCGCTAAATCCCATACTTTAATTATCAAATGAGACAAAGCTTGAACAAAGAATATAGAAAATATATTGAATATTTTAATGAGAAATAAGATAGTTAATGCTGATTTAATATCCAACAATCAAAATAGCGATTCCAAGGCAAAACGTTAAAATGTTGCCTTTGCTATCATCGAAATGTCCTTTAGCTAGCCTTTCAAGAAGCCCATAATACTCAGTGTTGTATATATTGTCAGCACAATCAGGATTCTTCTGCAGATAAGGAAATTGCTGATACATCGTAAAATTAGTTGCATAGTAATAAAACTGCTTCAAATACTTCGGATACCTCATCCAGCAGTTTTCGCTTTTTCTTGAAAACGTATTGCAGCTGACATCATAAGTCATAAGTTTTTTAAATGCTGTTATAGCAGCTTGAAGATGTTTATCGCCTTCAAATGATGGGCAGTATCCTAACCCTTCACTGCTATATCCACATGTGCATGGCTTTGAGTATATATTTGACAAGTCCATGCATACAGAGCCAGGAGTGCATGTATATGCCCCTAATGCTGATACTGGAGCTGCTGCACAGGAGCCCATAAGTGGAGTTGTACTATTAATCTTTGCGAATCCTGTGCCACAAGCAAAAGATAATCCATTATAGTCTACAGCGTCAGTTTCTGCGCCTGTTCCAAGTGAGAAATATGGGATGCAAATTCCCAGATTGCAAATCAAATTATTTTCGCAATCATATTCATCAGAGCACTGCCCATTTTTAGAAACTTGTTCTTGGCATACAGAATCATCATTGCAAAATAAGCCAGGACCACAGTCATATAGATTTATACACGCATCTCCTTCACTTAGTCCTTGACATTTTTTACTTTTGCATGATCCTGAAAGACATTGGGCATTTTCAGTGCAATAATCTCCTGGATATGCCAATTGGACTTCAGCAGATTGACAAGTAGAGTTGGCAGTCCGAGTAACAGGGCATACTTGGCTCTCTGAACAATTTGATAAGTAAAAAGTTTCCTGTACATAAAAATTGGCAGTCTCTTGCCTATAAAGAATGCATTGATTATAGCTTGAGCTTGGAGAGCAGTGGTAAATAGGACATACAGAAGTGTTATATTTTGTACTGGCAGTTATAACTTCATTATAATCTTTTGTATAAGTTTCTTGAACACAAGGTGGATTATTTTGTATAAGAGCATAGTGGCTTTGATTATAAAGCATGTAGTCAACTTCCCAAGCATTATAAGCAGCTTGAGCTTCTCCTGATAAAGTTGCAAAGCATTCAAAACTCCATCTTCTAATAGAATTGCAGGCTGAGCTATATTTAGAGATAGCAATCCAGTTTGTAATCATAGATTGAGCAATCGAATCTCCAATAAACAGAGGGCAATATGCAGCTCCAGCTTCATTGTATCCGCATTGGCAGTTTTGTTGGCTAACACCATCAGAAGCTGTACATTTAGTTCCTAATTCGCATTGAATTGGAACAGCTTGTTTACTGACTGGAGCTTTTGCACACTGGAACACTCCTTCACGTTTGACAATAGCATAGCCAGTTGCACAAGCAAAGTTAAAGCCTGTATTTGGGTTGACATCTACATCAGTAAAAGCATAGCCAACTGCTTGAGAAAAAATGGGTTCACAAGTTCCTTTTATACAAATTGCTGAGTTTACGCAGCCTTCGTCAACAAGGCAATCTCCTCCTTCTTCAGCTTGCTCTTCACAAAGACCAGATTCTGGGTCACAAAAATAGCCTGGGTTGCAGTCATATAAGTTTATGCAGGTCTGAGGGGCAATCAGACCTTGGCAAACATTAAAAACGCAAGAATTACTTGTGCAATCAGAATCCCAGGTACAAAATTCACCTGGATAGCGAAGAGAGTAAATCGGTTTATTAAAAGTGCAGAAAGCTTCTTGACTGGAGCCTGCAGGGCAGATGTAATCGGAAGTGCAATAAGAAATTTTGTAAGTGGCGCTTTTACTGTCGTAATCTAACACCCTCATCTCCGTGAGCGAGCAAACCATTAGAAAAATCGCTATTTTTTGCCCACCCTCCTTAAACAAAAATTATTTTAATAGAAAATTTTTTATGAAAAAAATTTTTGATATACAAGTGATAATTAGTATAATGAAATCTCTAGCTAATTCTGTTTAATTCTAAACAAATTGCATCTTAAAACATAAAATTTATAAATTAAATTAATATTTGCTTTCCAATTTTTGCGAATTAGGATTTTTTTTTAAATTTCGAAAAAAAAAATTTTTTATAAATTTATATTAAAAAAAAAATTAACCCCCTCCGTGGAGTGAACAAGATTTTTTGTTCGCTCACGGAGGGGGGGAGTAAGCACTTTTCTGTAGTGGTTTCGTTTAAACACGTAAACTTGGGGCATTGACCAGCTGCTGACCCAAACAGTAGTAAAGAAAGAAATAGCATTTTTATTATTATCAACACAGAAATTCTGCTGATTTCATTATTTTAATGATGATTTAATAGACTAGCTAAAGATAATAATTATAGGAAAATGTCATAAATGAATTAAATTGCTTGAGAGAGCTTGCAGGGAATATTATAAGTTTATCTTTAATAATCAGTAAGTAGAAAAAATTGAAATTTTTATCAACTCAGAAAAAATTCAAATGTAGCCAGATTGCTGTATCAAATTAAATTATACGTTGGTTTTAGTGTTTGAATTATGATTATTGTTCATTATAAGCAACCACATAAAATATGTAAATTAATTTTATACCATGAAGATTACTGATTAAACTTTTTAAAGTAATTAAACAAAATTCCCAGAATAATTTAGAATTACGGAGTGGCATATAGCCTAAGATATCTATATTGATTGCCTAAATCATACTCCTCGATAGCCAAGGCATCTATAGATTTCATTAAAATATTTTTACCTAATTTCATCTTGCTTTCCAGAAATTATTCAGGATTTCTAAGATTACTCAATACTCTGCTATATTCAAGAAAATAGCATTCCAATAATTTTATACTTCAATTTTTAATAATAATGATATTATAAAGTTAAAGTATGACTGAATTGGAAGATTACTTTCTAAATTTAGTCAAACAAGCAGAACAAAAAGAACTTATCCCCAAAGTAAACTGAGAGCCTTGAATATTCTCGAAGCCAAAATTGAAAGAAAGAGGCGATCTAAATTCTTTTACAGTAATTAGAGTATTTCCTATACAGACTGTTCAAAAAATTAACAAAGAAACTGGCTCAAATATTGACCCACAGGAATGAGCAGAACACTTAATAGCTAGATCAGCGGATGAAGGCTACCCAAATGCAGTGTCTGAAATTTATGCGAGAGAAGGCTTCATTAATATCCGGCTAATCACATCAGATCATGATGAAGAACTTAAAGTAAAAGAAGCAGATGAAGATAATAAAGATGCTTTCGCTGTAAACTATATGCAGTTTGAGCCAATTGGTTATATTGAAAGCTGCTTTGGAGAAAAATTCGGAACTCCTCGTCAAAGTAATTATAAATTAGGCCAATATTCTCCATATGCAAGAGGATCTCTCACCCTTTCATCTAAAATAAACACTGATGCATACGAAGGACTTGAAGAATTCTCTCACATTTGGCTAATATTCGTATTTCATGCCAGTCATCACAATAAACAAATTTCAAAAATAAAACTTCCACGATTAAACGGTAGGAAAAAAGGAGTATATGCTACAAGAAGTCCACACAGATTTAACCCAATTGGGCTGTCAGCAGTCCAGCTACTGAAAATTGTTGATAGGACTCTTTATCTCCAAGGAATCGATCTTATAGATGGGACGCCAATTTTAGACATCAAGCCTTATCATCCTGCTGATTCTATAAGGAATTTCAATTTCCCGACTCCCCCCCCCCTTTAAATTGAAACAAAAAATTTTGTTTCAATTTAAAGGGGGGTTAAGAAAATTTTTTATAAAAAAAAATTTTATATATAAAAATTTTTTCAGAGATAAAATTTTATAGAAAATAAATTATATAAATTTAAAGAATTTCATGAAAAATTAATTCATAAATTTCTCAATCTCAAAGTGTAAACTTGCTGAAATGGTATTCTTCTAACTCTCCCCAAAATAGAGTTTAATTTTCTAAATCTTATATGTTTGAAGCATATTAAATAGGGTATTAACGTATTTACATATAAAATAATGATTTTTACCTATAAAATTTTCTATTATAATAAAATTTTGTTTCAATTTAAAGGGGGGGTAATTTCCCAAAAAAGTAGGAATTTTTACCTATATTTTGTTTCAATTTAAAGGGGGGGGGAGTGAGTATATTAGTGCACCTTTACAACTATATACTGTTGAGTTTCACTCATATGCTAGAGAGCAGCTATCCAGAATAATGTCTCAATACACTTTAAAATTTTACACACAAAATGATAATCTTGAAGAAATAATTTCAAATTGTTTGGGCCAAGATCCTAGCACAGTTCATATGAAATTGAAACATTCAAATCAAGGTTTATATGGTTTTAGTTTAGATAAACTCTCAATAGTATACGTACGAGACAGTGAAGAACTCAAGATTTTAGTCGTCACAGTTGAGCATGAAGAAGAAAGTCAAGGCCCCAGAGCTAGAACTGAGCTTTGGCTTGAAGAAACCACAAGAAAACTAAAATCCCTAAATATAATAATCTAATTTTTATTTGTGTTCATCCTAACTATTTTTTTGCCTCTAGCTTTAAAGTTTGTCCCATCATGTGCTAGCTTGCCTCTTATATACACTTTATAAATCCTGCCTTGGAGATTTTGAGAAAGAAATGGAGACATCTCTTTCTTTTCTGAATGAACTTCTGGAGCTAGCACTCGCTCATATGGCGCCCAAATCACTAAATCTGCGTATTTTCCCTTTTCTATTGACCCTCGCTTATCTTGTAGCCCTAAAATTCGTGAAGGATGCAATGAAAGTCACTTTGACATCCTGACGATATAATGCTCTAGTTGTGTATGACTGCTAACAGGGACATTTATCATAGTTCATATAGCTTGCAAGGTAAACCCGATTGCACAAATCCCATTTAGAGCCTTTTGGAAGTTTCCTGTGTCTAAAGATTTCATTGAGGGGTCTATATATGCGTGTTGTGATGTAATGCAGTCAATTGCTTTCATTTTCAATAAATCCCACAATAAGTTGCAGTTTCCTCGATTTCGAATTGGTGGGGTATTTTTGAAGATCGTCTGCCCATCTCCTATTGAATTGTTTGTAAAATAAAGCTGTGTTGCAGGGATTTCACAAGTCAAATTAGGAAAATGGTCTCTTGCTTGTCGAATTTTATTGATTGCAGCTGCTGAAGAAATATTGACGACGTGTATAGATATATTGCTTCTTAAGCTCTGTATAAGTTTTTCAACTCCAGAGACTTCTCAATGGTCAGGGAAATTGGCTAAATGATAGATGTAAAGTCTTTCTTTATTGTCATTTTCGCTTGATTTTTTCTCTATTTTTATTGGGTTTGGTCTTCTATTAACCATTCTTCTTTCATAAAGTGCTGACTTTGGAGCAGCTTTTACAGTTCCAGCATCGCTAGAGTCGCTGTCTGATTGGTAAGAATCAGCAGGCCCTAGTGATAAGCTCTTTTTTCTTTTGATTAAAAACTGTGTTGGTCCAGACTCATGATATGTGAACTGCTCTGCTAAGCTTAAGTTCTCAATGCTTTGCTGGCTTTCCCTGATCCTTCTGTCAAGATCGTCAAATATTGTGTAAATTGTCGATTTTGATTTATGGTTTTTTTTTCTTTTAGATTTTTTTGCTGGAGTCTGTTCTTCTTCTACTTCAGTGATTTCAGGGCATACTAAATGAGAAAGGTTTCTTTGGAAAGTCAGTTCATAATTGAATCCTTCTCCAGAAAGAGATCTGTCTTTTGTCCTTGGCGAGCTATGGATCTTAATGTGTTCTTCATCAAAAGACATTCTCTTGACGTTGTCTTGAGGAGACTCTTCAGAGTAATCTTCATCTTCCTCTTCTCCTTCACTTTCAATGGCATTCGAAAAAGCTCCTGCAAACACATTTAAATTTCCTGATGTTTTTGCATCATTTCTTGACTCCAGAGCTTCCATTCTCATTGGAGAGGCCATATAAAGCATCCTTGGATCTGGTAGAGTTGGGTCGATAAACAAAGGTAGGCCTGTTTTTTCCAAATTAGAATACACTTCAGTCATATTGTGAGGTAAAGCTCGCACAGAATTGCTCGGCGGATAAAAATAGCCTTTGAATGCTAGGCAGCCCTTACAAGCCTCAACTTCCATAGAATTCACGTTGGTGGCGTCAATAAGTGCTATTTTTCCTAAATCACAGAAGAGTTCTCCAGTTGGAGGATTATCTGTGTAATATCCATCTTCTTCAGAAATCAAAGTTACACCACCGGCGACTGCAGCTTTTGTTAAATGTGTGTAATTCTCGAACTCCCTTCTCACATTTATATCAATTAATCCAGGAATATAAATTAATATGGCGAGACTACCACCTGACCTCTTAAAATAATTGTTCAACACGCAATGCCTAGGAGGAGGATGAAAGTCAAATACAAAAATCTGCATCCATGATGTGCTCGGGCAGCGGTTTTTCCTCGCTATAGAAGTTGATACATGGGATTTTTCCTTTTGACATAGAGTTGTTAAAAAGCATAATCGGTCATCGTCCCCGAGATTAGGTCTCATCCCTACTTGAATTAGGGAACTAAAGATAGGTGCTTAGCATGAAATTGGAATTACGCCAGGCTACAAGCCCTAGCGAGCGGACGCCCCGAGATCTAGTAAGATCTGACGCTGTCGAAGGCTAGGCAGTCGGTATATATGCTAGTGTCCCTGAGCTTGCAGAGATGGAAATCCTTGGCAGACTTAAATGAAGGCATCTAAATTTAATTTAATTAACTTAAAGCCAGGAGATATATATAAATCCGAACAGTCTTGAGGATCTCATTCAGAGTATTTTTCAATAATAGCCTGAACAGGGATATTCTCATCTAAAAAGATGACGTCATGGATTATTTCACCATCGATAAGGATAATTCCGTATATGGGATGATGAGAATAATTTTGTGTGTAGCTACATAAAACAATATGCTTGCTGATAATAGCTTTTTTTCCCATAATATAATGGGTTTCATTAGTGTTACTCCATATTTTTAAAGCCTGGAGCGTTTTTTAATAAAACTTTTTGGCTAATACTGCCTGATTAGGTCGCTTTATAAGCCAATAATACTGAAAAGGAATCTTAAATTTAAATATACCAGTCTGGATATGCATCGACAGTTTTATTTTGACATTCTAAATTCTATGGTTAAATCTAAAATATTAAAAGTCGTCTTGACTGATAAAATGCGCAGAGAAATATAGCTAGTGTGCTATATAAAGCAATTGAATATCATAAATGATTATTAGGAGCTTATGCATGAGATAAATATTAATTTATGAAGTTAAATTAAAAATAAGTCTGTATGAAATCTAATATATTTTTTAGTTCTTATAAACTATCACAAAAATGTTTGAATTTATTAAAAGTATTAATTTAGCCTGTTGCCATGATATTCCAAACCACGAGTGCTTGATCTAAATTTTTGAAAAACATATAAAAGCCAACACTGATAGCAAAAAGATTAAAAAATATTAGAGCCTTTAAATAGGGCGGCAAATTATAAAATATGAAACCAAAGACAGGTGAAAAGAAGGAAGAAAAGAAAGAAATGGCCTCGAAAGACGCAAAGGTAGAAACTCAAACTCAAAAAAAATCATCCAAACCTAAATCTAACAGCTTTGTTATCTACATCCACCGCCTTTTAAAGCAGGTTCATCCTGATATAAGTATTTCAAAAAAATCGATGAATATAATGAGTTCCTTTGTAGAAGACCTATTTGAAAGACTCTCCACAGAGTCTGCAAATATTTCTAAATACACTGGCAAAAAGACTATAACCAGTCGTGAAGTTCTCACAGGCATCAAGCTCTTGCTGCCAGGCGAGCTAGGAAGTCATGCCCAAAAAGAAGCTGAGAAAGCTCTAACTCCTCAATTTAATTGCAAAATTAATGTCCACTTTTTATCTACATATTTTTCCTTAAATCCCCAATTTTAATTTTTAAATTTATGTTTAGAATGCAAGCTATTTAAAATAAAATAGATCTAGCAAGTATTTCATTATTCTAATTATCATTATATATCAAAATACTTATTCTACAAATTTTTATATAAAAAGATTTTTCTTACTCCTCCCCTCCGTGAGTGAACAAAACCATTGGAAAAATCGCTATTTTTTGCCCAAAAACCCACACCGTGAGTGAACAAAAATTTTTTTTAATTGAAAAAATTTTTTATGAAAAAAAAATTGATATATAAGTGATAATTAGTATAATGAAATCTCGAGCTAATTCTGTTTAATTTTAAACAAGTTGCTTTTTAAAACATAAATTTAATAAATTAAATTAATATTTGCTTCCCAATTTTTGCGAATTAGGATTTTTTAAAATTTCCCAAAAAAAAATTAACCCCTCCGTGAGTGAACAAATTTTTTTTTGTTCATTTACGGAGAGGGGGGAGTTAGCTAATTGTGGGTGATTTTCACCACAAAAAATAGAGATTTTTCCAATGTTTTTTTTTTTCGCTCACGGAGGAGGAATTATTAAATGGGGAGTAAGCAAGTATGAGAGCAGCGAATAAACTTAATTCCTTGCTCCTCCTCATCCTTAATTGAATTGATCGCAATTGTTTCATCAAGAATGAGGTTTAAAATTAATATAAATTTTTTTATTTTAATTTTTTGCCATATATCAAATTTAACCATATAAAGTTTGATGAACTGTTGGGAAATTCCAAAAATAAAGATGGGGGAGTTAGTATATATTTTCAATAATTTTGATTTAAGAATGATTAATTAATTTTTCGTAAAGGCTGGTTCAACACCTTGCTATCATTTAATGACTCTAAAATGCACTGAGTGATGATTTTATTAAATTGTCTAGCTTTTAAGACAAAAAATCCCTGCAGGAAAGCAATAATGAATATATAGGTCATCATCCATCCAATAGTCTGAATTGTATTTAATCCATATGCCGTTTCCCAATGTGCTCTAATTGAGTCGAAATTCGCGAAATAGTGAAATGCTAAATAAGCAACATAAATTGCTGCACATCCAAGTAAAGCTTTAGAAAACCTTTTAGATGTCCCTCTTGATTGGACTTTGACAGCTTTGAATCCTCCATAAGCTACTATAAGCCATAAAATAGACACTATCAAACTTAGAACCCAGTCAATTATGATTGGAATGCTCGATGTATCTACATCCTGGCTAATTGCAATTCGGTAAATCCCCAGTATGAAAGCGATCCCGAAATAAGTGCAGATAAATATCGAAAGAAGTCTCAAGATGCTTATGAAATTTTTGATATGGAGCTTGTAAATCTCTTCAGTCAGCTTATTGTCGCCTTTATCTTGGATTCGATAGTAACTCACAGTGGCTCCACTGCTGAACATTTAATGAATTATATTAATTCAGAAAAAACTCCTAGCTCCCTGTTTAAGAGCAGACAAGATTTTTCTGCTTGATCTTATAGAGTGTTAATTTTCTTTCAAATTTTAAATAAAAATTATTAAAAAAATCCTATATAATTAATAAAAAAATTTTTTTTAAAATAAGCTTTATTAAATTCATTATAGCTAGCTAGATATTATTATCAATTATGCAAAATTTTTGAAGTAAAAATTTTTTTCTTAAAAGGGGCTTAATTTCTCAAAATAGGTATTTTAATAATGGTTTTGGTTACTCTTAAGGAATGAGTGAGTAACAAATTATATCGCCAAATAAAAAAATAGTCATAATTTAATTATTATGCTTTCTTAGCCTTTTAATAGCTCCTACCTTTGTAGATCTTAAAACTCTTCAATTTTAATGGTATGTCCCCAAAAAATACGTTTTCTACAGCTCCATCTTCCTTATTTTCATCATCAAAAGTAAATAGCGCTACATGAAAATTAGGATTAAATTTTTATCCAATGGGTTAACTGCATTAATTAATTCCCCATGAGAAAGCAAAACCATTGGAAAATCCCTAGTTTTTGGTCAAAAGCCACCTTCTGTGGGCAAACAAAAATATTTTTTAATATAAAAGTGGTAAGTAGTATAATGAAATCTCAAGCTAATTTTGTGGGATTTTAAACAGTTGCCTTTTAAAAATAAATTTCATAAATGAAATTATTTTTACTTTTCCAATTTTTTTTTTAAAATTTAATATAATCTTTTTTTAAAAAAATTAGCCTCACCAAGGGAAGTAAGAATTCAGTTATTTGGGATAATTTTTAATATTACAAATTGATAATTTTGATATATTTTATTTTTAATTCAATTATATTAATATGAAAGAAATAGTAAATTAAGCTGCTAAGTTCTTTCTGATCTTTTCGACGACCAAAGCTTGATCAGATTGAACAGAGTTTATAATGAACTTAGGGATTGATCCTTTGATGTCAACATTTATCATGTAAACCATATGCGTTACTGTAGGAGACACAGGAGTTAGCACAAAACAGCCTAAATAAAGATGAGCTCTTACAAACTTGGTTTCTGGGCAGTTCGGATGGGTTGTTGACATTGCGATGGCAACGATTTTGCCGCCTTCTAAGTCGAACCTTCTTTGAAGCAAGCATAGATCTCGAGATGATACTGGACCAGTTTTTTTATATTTTTGGTATGCAATTTCCATTTCATCAGTTAATTTCTCAATGACGTAGCCTGATTCAAACATGTCATCATATTCTGCTTTGCGGTTGATATCTTTGATATATTCGATTACTTCAATGGCTGATCTATTTATATCTCCTTCACCTCTTACGATGTAAAGGCCACCTGCAGCTTTTCTTCTTGAACCTTTAACAGTGTTAACTTTTAATTTTATTTCTTCCCAGCCTTCACTATCAGCTGCTAGTTTTTCTGCTTCTTGCATAGCTTTAACAGCTTCATTATTTAGCTGTAAAATCATTTCTTTTTTCTCATCTGGGATAGGCTGAGTAATTGCAAGTCCTGGCCCATCGTCAATTTTAGTTTCTTCTTCCTCATCAGAGTCTGAGTCTACTTTATCAGTTGTCTGGTTTGAAACTTGTTGATTTGAAAGGTAAATTGTATTTGATTCTACATAATTCTTCAAGCATGCCAATAAACTTGGGTTTCCTACAATAGAGTTGTTTTCTTCAAAATAGCCAAAATGAGAGACAAAGCTCATCATTTTTCCGTATTTAGACTTTGACTCTACTTTGAAAATATTTTTAATCGTGTTGTCAGCTTTTTCAATGACATAAAAAATGTTACCGTCTTTCACGAATTGGCGAGTGACCTCTTGGGTAGCTTGGATTCCGTTAACCTCATAAGTAAAAGTCATTCGGGAGCCATCAGTACAGTCGTGGAGATAAGGCTCCCATAATGATCTGCAAGGAGAATCATGAAGGGCTGTTAAGGTTTCACCAGCACCTGAGTTGATAAGAATGGTCGTTTTGAATTGGATCTTTTGAGCAGCTGAAGCTGATTTACTTGATATCATATGTGGATAATAGACAGCTACAATAAGAGCAAAGCATAATCCTGTTAAAGCATTTCCTAAAGCAAAATGAGATATAAGACTAACAATCAATGCTCCAGCTATAAATCCGATCTGGCCATACTTTGCAATCGAACGGTTTTCAGCCTTATTACCAGCACATTCGGAATAAGTTCCTGAGCCTTCTGATCTGATTAAAACATATTTCTTTCCCACAATTTCTTCAATTTGTTGCTTTGTAAGATTAGGTATTTCGCCAATTGGTAGCTGCTCTATAAGTTGAAGGTTTTCTCTATTCATTTTTTTCCTTTCTTCTTGATGTAAACATGAGCTGGGTACGTGGTCTGGGTCTTCTTTATATTGTTCAGCAAAACTTGATAATCTCATGAACCATAAGTTATACTCGCTTTGGGATGGAAAAGCAAGTTTGATTGAGTAATGATTTGGCTTTGAAATGTCTAGGATATATTCTCGTTTTTCCACGCCAAGGTTATTAACTTGGCACCCGACTAAACTGATCACGCACCTTGGTTTGAGTGAAGCTGGAGTTTTGAAATAATAAAGCATTCCTGAGCTCAAGACCACAAATCGGTTCACCCACCTTCGTTTTCGTTTAAGCTTGATATAGTTTCTCAATTCTTCACCAATAAAACTAGATGTGCTATCCTCCATATCAATCTCTATCAATAGGAAGAATTGAAATAATATTAAGTGAAATTAAGGCATATTAAAGATGATGCCGTTTTATAGGAGATAATTCATTATTAAATTTGAAAGTGCTTTAAATTAAGGATTTAGTTAAGTATTAGCTTTTTAAGAAATCATTAATACAAATAATAATAAATCAAGAGACATTGAGCCTATAAACACATTTTAATGAATTAATGGCAAATAAAACTTACTAATTTAGTTTTAGATTATATTCTATATAAACTCAATCAAAGAATACATTTTATAAGCACGAGTTAATTATAAAGGTCTCAGATATTTTATTTCAGCTGTACTGTTTTTGTACAATTTCGTTAATACTCTTTTCCAGATCTTTAACTCTAAAAATCAAATTTGATTTTTCATAAGTAAATTGGCTTGCACATTCAATAGCTGAAATAAAAGTCTTCATGTCAACTCATACTTTATTTTTCAAAGGAACTAAAAGACACAAGAATACATTTTGCGACAAAACCCAGGAGTCAAGAAAAAACTGTATTACATTGGATCTGTGAATTTCCGGAACACTTTTATGTATTCGGGACCCATGATACGGTTTATGTTCGAAAAACAGTGACATAAAGTTTTGCTGCAATTGTATATACTCTTCTTTTGAATCTATTTTAAAATTACACGTTGTTTTGTCAGAGATTCAAAGTCGGTCTTCCATTGAAGTTGCGCTTCGAGTCATTTCAGGGAGCATTTCGTATTCTCTTTGCCTTGATTCTATGTTAGTAAATATTGAGTTTATTGAGAGATGTCGGCTGTCTTCAGAGTTCAATTCAGGGATCAATTGAACCGTCATATGTGTGACTCTTCTTTTAGGTTTTCGGATAGAAAATGAAGCGTATCGCTTTACTAGACAGGAAATGCATCTTAATTTTATACAATCGTCTCGGGAATCTTCTTCAAGCATGTGAAGCTGCTCATAACTAAGATCCATTTTTCTTGATATTTTTCCACTGTGTTTGCAACTAAAGACAAAGTTTTAAAAGCGGTAATAGCTTTAACTGACATTCCACCTTTTATTAAATGGGAATGAAATAGATTGAGAATTTAAATTTTATTATTGTTTAAGTTGCTTTAATCTTTAGATAATAAAAGCAAGGATAAATTATTGTGAATTCAAATTGAGTCAAAATTAATTTCGCTATTTGATCTTAATAGCAATAAGCTTTTAAGGGTTAAATTACCATAGGCGTTTCAAGAATTAATTTTTAAAAAAATAGTAATCATCATGAAAAATATATCATAATTCACCTGTATATTCTTCAATATGATTTTCCCATATTTTTAACTACAATTTTATAATTTTTAGATAATTTATATTTCTTTTTCCTCTGGTTTTTCTGTTTGTTTATGCTTTGATAGGGTACGAAAATGAACTTCTCTAAATTCTTGTGTTGATAAGCAAACACCCATACAGCAGCAATACATTAAACAGTCGTTAGCAAATGAGCCCTCAATATTATATTCATTTCGAAATTCCCTTCGATTCATTGCACATCCTATTGGACCTAAAATGCACGCGATACAGAAAAACCAGCCTCCACATTCATCATACATTTTGTTTGCTGTAAGCCCTTGAGTAATTGCACTAGTTGCAATGCAAGAAATGCAGCAAACTGGTAGAGCTTTAGTGCAATCGCATAATCCTGCTTTCCAACTGCTCATTTATAAACTATAAAATCTGGTGATATATAGACGACATATCTAATAATATGAAAACCTCTATTAAGCTAATTTATTGGTTCAAATCATTTATAGTCACTTCGTAGCTTTGATGAACATAGAATTCGCTACATAAAAAAACTATGATTTTATAAAACATTTACCTATTTTTACAAACTGGATAAATTGTGAATCCTTATCATTAAGTATTTTTCAATTCAATAATCTTTATATAGAAAAACTCAGTCAATTTTTTATGATAAATTATAAATTAAGAAAATAATAAATTTAAATGGAAGAAAGCAGATCAAGAATCGACATAGATGCTCTGATACAGAAATATAAATTAGAGCCAAGTCCTTATTCCTCAGCAGAATTTAAACCAACGTCAGTCGAAGAGTCTGATAGCAAAGAATATGAAGAAATAAAAAAAGGAAGACAATTAAGCTTTAATGAATCATCTTCCAAGAAGCCTGAAAATTTTCAGCAATCTGAGTCTGCAAATGATACAATAAAATCAAAAGCCATCACAAATGCTATGAAAGCTCTCCAAGAAAAAGTCAATAAACTTGAAAGTGAAAAAGACGGCCTTCAAGCAGAAATCGAGTACACTAAAATGAAACATTTAAGTGAAATTAATGAATTAGAAGAAAAATATAAGAATAAAGCTGCCAATCTTTCAGAAGACTCTGAAGGACTTAGCATCCAAAAGCTTGAAGAGCAGGTAGAGTTCTTACACTCCCAGTGCGAATTTGCGGAAGCAGAAAATAAAAGGTTAAGTGAGCAGTATACAATTGACAAAGAAAATTGGGCCCTACAATTTGAGCACTTAAAAAGACAAATTAACTCCAAGCCTCCTATCCCATCAAATAATAATTTGGTTGAAATGCTTAAGCAAGAACAAACTGAGCATAAGAAAACCTTAGAGCAATTGGAACAAAGAGAAAATGAATTTGAAGAAGTCAGTAAAGAGCTGGAGTTCTATAAGAAAAAGTGTGAAACTCAAAAGGATGAGTATCAAAAAAACTTTAAATATATTGAAGGAGAACTAATTCCTTCTTCCTGCTTAAGTACGAGCAAACCATTGGAAAACCTATTTTTGGAAATCAATTTCACTTTAAGAGCGAACAAACAATTTTTATATTTAATTAATAAATTTATAACTAAATTTCTTTTAATTCAATTAAATTAATAGAAGGCTTATATTTTTTAACTTACTCCCCCTCCCTCCGTGAGTGAGCAAAAAAATTTTGTTCACTCATGGAGGGGGGTTAATTTTATTTTTTTTTTTTAAAACAATTTATATATAAATTTTATAAAAAATATTGTTTTTCGAAATTTAAAAAAATCTAATTCGCAAAAATTGGAAAGTAAATATTAAATTTAATTTATAAAATTTATGTTTTAAAAAGCAATTCGTTTAAAATTAAACAGAATTAGCTCTAGATTTCATTATACTAATCATCATTTATATATCAATTTTTTTTTCCATAAAAAATTTTTCTATTAAAAAAAATTTGGTTCACTCACGGATGGTGGGTTTTTGGGCAAAAAATAGCGATTTTTTTTTTAATGGTTTTGTTCACTCACGGAGGGGGGGGAGTTAGATTTATTTTTTTATATATTTGTAAATCAGGATTTTAAAATCGTAAAAGTTTAATTTTGTAATAATTTTTTTAAAATAATAATAAGCCCTCTTTAAGAGAAAGCAAAATACCTTGGTCACTATTAAAAGGTCAGAGTAAGAAGAATTAAGCTTGAGCAAGAAGCAAGGATAGTCGATCTTGAAAATGAAAATAAGAAGTACAAAGAATTATATGAAAAATTGTTATTGGAAAACCAAAAAAGGGATTATAAAAAGCCAGCACATCCATATAATGAGCCGAAAACAACAACGCCAAGGCAATCTTTAGATATAAAAGCAAAACAAGCTGCAGAAATTAAAGCAAAATCTAAGCAAACCTCTGATGTAAAGTCCACCCCGAAGCAAGTAGTTAAAAAGCCAAGCATTTCCACAAATGATAAAGCCCCTATCCAAGTTCAAGTCAGAAATAAAAGAGAAAACAGCCTAAATTCTTCAAACTCCAAGCCACTTACAAGATCAAGCTCAGTTACAAAACAAATGCCTTCTAAGCAGGCTTCATCAACCGCAACTCCAGGGACTCCAACCCATAAATTCCTTCGAAGAAATGATTCTTTAAAGGACTCAATTCATACAGACCGAAGCTCAAGCGGAACTCCCAAAAATCACTACAAAACTCCTTCATATCTAAAGAAAAACAAAGAAAATGAAGCAAGTTTAGAAACGCAAATTCAAGACCAAGAAAAAGACGTTTCAAGCCTAAATGCAAGATATAAGCTATTATTGCATTTATCTCAAGACGGAAATCAAGATCTCAGTACAATTAGAAATGAGCTTGTCTCAATCTCTCAATCAATTGACGACAAGACAAAAATCATTTTTTCTCTGAAACAAAGACAGCAGGAAATAATAAAAAATAAAATGCTAAATGTTTCATCATAATTTATTATATAATTTAAATTCGCTGATATAGCAAAAATATTGATGGCAGTATAAGAAGAAAACTTATTCCGAAATTCAAGGCTAGGAAAAAAACTTCAATTGTGAAGTCTTGCAAAAATACTACTCCACACAAGAAATATATGAAAATTCCACAATTGAATATGAAGTAAGTAAATTTTTGACAGGATGTGTAGCATCTATATTTTTTTTGATCTAAATAAGTAACTGCTAGTATTATGCTCCCACAAACTGCCCATACCCCTATAACCCCCGCAGTAAATAATAAAATCTTCCAAAAGATGAATGATAATAAATCTAAAATTGTATCTGATAAAATTGTAATTTTGCATAAAAACAATATCGTCAAAATGACTATAAATCCCCAGCAATAAAGAATGTTTAATCCACAATAATTCCATATATGATTTTTATAGTCCTGCAAACAGTCCCAACAGAATTCATGCCTGCAGTTTATGCAGGTCATATGATGACATCCTCCGTTTTTTTCAATAGGGGAGTCACACTTAGGGCAATATTTCACCCATAACTCCTTCCAAGTATTACTTCAAAAGTCGCTTTCTCCTCGTATAATCCTAATAGCATCATCTTTAAGCCTATAAAACGCTGGTTTTAAGCTAGGATCTTTTCATTTAGTTTTACATTTTGGGCATAGCAGAGTATCCATACATGAAATTTTTGTATCAACCCATCCTACGTAATCACAATTCTTTGACGGGCATTGTTTGAAAGAGCTATCACGAATTAGCTCTCTTTTAAGCAAAAAATTCGCATAAACCTGATAATCATATTCAGTAAGGCAATTTCTTATATCATCTTCACTCATTGTATGGCCAAGAGTTCCTAGAGGGCATGTGATTTGGAAGTCAGCTTGATAATATTTTTCTATTTGGGTAAGAACCCATTGACTAATAGAATTCTTGCAGAAGTTGCAGCCACAAGAGAGTGTCATAAAAGCACTAGGCTCTTCATAAAGACAGCAGATTGCGCAATACTTTGACATATTTGCAAAAATGGTTTATGTTTTGTCAGACTAGGATAGTAGAAGTTTCAAACATGGTAAAGCAGTTAAGAACTTATGAGCCAAATCTTTTTAATTTAAAATTCTGTTGTAAGATTTAAGAGAACGAATTCATATAAATATTTTAAAAAATATGTTTACTCCTATTCGAGAAGGAAATAGAGGAGGACGAGGACTGTTTTCATGGGAAGATGTGAGGGTAATGTCCTATAAAGACAGAGAATGCTACTTGGGAAGCACAGTAAATTTGGGATTTCTTGACAAAGGAGGAAGATGGAGGAAAAAAGATTGGTGGGTTAAAGCTCCTCAGGATTTGGAAGCTGATGAAGCTGAAAAACAAAAAATCAGAGATGAAGATATGCAAAACTTAAGAGAGTCATTAGGATTGGCAAATCCTGGCAAAAAGAAAAAAGCCCAGCTTTCAGAAGCGGAATATAAAACTTTACTAACTCCCCCATCTTCTGTGAGCGTACAAAACCATTGAAAAATCCTATTTTTTGCCCACCCTCCGTGACCGAACAAAAAAATTTTTTGACATATAAGTGATGATTATTATAATAAAATCTCTAGCTAATTTTGTGTAATTTCAAACAGCTTGCGTTTTAAAACGCAAATTAATTAATTTTTACAATTGGAATATTTTTAAATTTTAAAACATAAATTTTCTAATTTAAAAAAAAATTTAATCTCCCTCCAAAAGGGAAAAAATTTTTTTTTTTCTATGGAGGAGAGGGAGTAAGCAAAAGAGGAGCCGAAGAAGGTTTAGATTTAGAAGATCAAGGACATAAAATTACTGGGCTTGGATTTGACCCAGCTAATAGAGTATTTGGCGGAAAAGGAGGAGAGTCAAAAAGAGAAAAAGAAGCTATCAAAATTGAAGCAGAAGGCATAAAGCATAAAAGCGATCATCAAAAAAAGCATAAAAAATCGAAGAAGCATAAGCACAAGAGACAGCACTATGATTAGCTTTATGATAAATTTAGATTAATAATCAGTGGAGTAATTGGGGTGATAAGAGTTATCTTTTTTTAGCGTTGCCTGTACCTATGGGTTAAGTATTCATCTTTTCTTCGTTTAAGATCTTCCACAATATTTTTCATTGCTTCTCTGTCTACTTCTGACTTCCTGTATTTTGCAATTGATTTTTGTAGTAAAAGATATTGAGAAGCCACACTTTCATTGCTATCGATGGCATTATGACTCTTTTTTAGATATGTCTTCCACATTGGGTTGATTTTTGAAGGTAGAAGCCTCTTCTCTAGCTCTCCCAACTTATAAAAAAAATTTAACTATTGGGGATGCATTTCAAACAAAAATTTATTGAAAAAATACACTATTTTTGAAAATTTTTAAAGATATTTAAATTAGAGATAAAGATAAATATAGCCAAAAGTTGTATCAAGTTAAAATTTATTTTAAAGCAATATAAATTTTCTATTTATTATTATTAACTGCGGTAGTAGATAATAAAATAACTTTTTGCTTGCCATTTAGTGATATTCAAACAAACAAAATTCTAATTAATAGATTAAAATGTCTGCTTTTTTGTATATTGTTTTTCATAAAATCATATAATTAACTTAAGGTGAGATGAAAAGCCTTCACCAAATCTGCAATTATTTTATTCTACAATTTCCTTCGTTATCTGTGCAAGTTATTTAAAACATTAACATTAATTAGTATTATGAGAGGCTCGTCGTATTGGCGCGGGTTTCCCCTACCATACCTTCACCCTTCACGCTTCATCCGGTTGCTCACCACCAATCGACCACGACCTTCAAGGCGTTGCTCCTACTGGACGAGGATGTGCACTCACTACCCGTAATTGGATGAGTTACGCCACCTAGCAGTACGTCAACAGAGGCTGCCCATTCCGAAAATTTGAAAAGCAAATTTTCTGGTAGGACTGTCGGCCAAATGGAAATCCAAAGCCTGGGACGTAACGCCCAGTTTCACGCTAGGGAGCTGCCCGATTGATCGGGAGGTACATTCCCGATGCTGCTGAGCTTCCCCTTTTCAACCCTGGAATCCATCTCCCCTGAGGCTAAACCCTTGGTGTCAGAATGAGCTGCGGTCGGCCTAATCCGACGTTGCGCTCCACTGTGCCAAGGTAAAAACCTAGCCGGATACACATTCCGAGCGCGTTTCCCTTCCACAAGGTCCCCCGCGAACGCAGGCTACAGGTGTTGAGAAAAAGGGCTGGATCGCCGTCGCCATTTTAATGTATGCAAGTTATTTAAAGCATCTCTGAGTATTTAGACTAGCAGCAGATCAATATTTTCTTCAATGTAAATTCTTTTACTTCAACAATTCCAATACTGAAAATATGCTAGCAAATAAATTTTTCATATATTACATCATGGAGGTGATAGATTGGGCCACATTTTTGCCTCTAAAATCCCAAAACTGGAATCAAAACCCTAAAGAAATCAGTAAACAAATTGAAGCGTTAAACCAAGTTCTTCTCTACATATCAAATGAAAGAAACATCCAACCTCTGCTACCTGCAATTTTGGAAAATTGCTTTAATTCTGGGGCACAGAGAAATATTCGACAGATAACTTATACCGATTTATCATGAATAGCCTGCCAATGGTCAGTTTTTGGTTAATGATTTCAATTGACTTGCCAAATTATTTTGTTAAGCCAAATCTGACTACTTTTTTATCAATAAAACGTTTGGCATGCCAAAAATAATTTGGCAAGTCAGTTGACATCTAACTAACAAAAAATCCTCCTTTGCAGGCTATTCATGGCTAATCGGTTTATTTAATTGTCAAATCCGCTGCCACTCTCTATGAGCTTCCATGAGATAGCTTATACGGCCCAATATCAACTGATATAGGAACATCATCAGATCCTGAGTTTCAAGTTTATGCAATGCGGATGCTATATTTGCTCCCTATAGAGCAAACTCTGGAGCTTCTCTTATCTCAAGAACAAGCTATATTAAGTGCCATGAGAGGCGAAAGTGGTAAAAACGTTCAATATGCATTTTTGGATGCGTTACCTGGAATTTTGGTTAGATTATGATGTGGATTAGGAGCTGAAAATCTGAAAACCCAAGATTTGATTAGAGAAATGTTTAAGTATTTGGTAAACCTGGTTATGAGTGCTGATGATAATCTCTGCATATATGGATTATCAGCGTTAAGAGTTCTTTTTGAAGAGAGCGAAATAGGAAGAATTAGAGGATTATCACAAGAGTTAGAAGCAAACGGTAGTGATGAGGAGCTGTTAATGCCTTAAACTTAAAATTAACTAAGATCATAAGAGAGGCTCCTTGTAAGACTTAAAAATCGGTCCATATTCATCTCATAACACCCCGCCACTTGCTTATCAATCCGATAACAGCCTCTCATTGATTCACTCCTCACGGATGAGGATTTGCACTCGCTACCCGTGAGTCAGAGAGTGGGTTTCCAAGTCGCACGTAAATGGGTTCAGCTCGAAAAGTCGTATTTTCTGGTCATCTGTCGGATAAAATGAATCTCAAACTCTAGAACGCAATGCCTGTACCGAGAAGGGGAAAGTTCCCGATTGATCAGTAGGAACCTCACTGGTGCTGCTGGCTTTCCCTTACCAACTTCCATTGAGGTAAAACTTTGGCCTGGATGTGAGTTGCGGTCAGCTCAATCCGACATTGTGCTCTACTAAACCAAGTAAAACCTGGCCAGATACAAATTACAGACACCATACTCCCTTCCGAAAGGTTTCTGGGCTATCTCAGCTTCAGTCATTAAGATGGTGAATTGTTTAGCCACTTTATTTTAATGTATCTGGAGCTGCTAATGCCCCTTATAAAGTATATATGTGAACCCTTATATCCGAACATTGAGCAAATACTCTCAAGGATGAATGCATTAGACCCAAGATATAGATTTCATACTCTATATCCAGCAGCCAAACTAGTAACACTTAGGCCTGAAAGCGAACAGATTCTGACAAAATTTGAAACGGAGAGTCTTCTACCAATGCTTCACCATCTCGAAAAAGGGGTGGTTTGGGGAGCTGCAAGGTGTCTAATGCTTATTCCCTCTCATTCATCTACTATTTGGATTATGTGCAATAAACTTTTAGCTTTATCTCTATATGATAAAACTCCTGCATCATCTCTTTTACTGGTCAGTGGCGGATTATCTCGCCTGCCAATTTCTCAGCAGCTTTCAATTTCTTTAAAAACTCTTGAATTTTCATGCAGAATTTCAGCAAAAGTTGATAGATTATCTGTGGTCCTTACTTGTTTGACTTCACTGGTAACTTTATCGTTGCAGCTTCTAGAGTCCAAACAAAATTCAGCAATTTATCAATTATTTTCACAGCCTTGGTTTGTAGAAATATGAAGCCAGCCATCTACTTCGAATTTCAGAGAAGAGTTATTAGCTTGTCTAGTAGAAACTTGTTTACTGCATAGAAATTCAAATGATTCATGTGTGACCACAACAATAAATGGTGTCGTCGAATAAGCTCTCTCAGATAGCTTTTCTACCATCCATTTATTATAGGGTCTAGTTTTTCCAGAGAATCTTTATCGTGCTGAATCAAATAAATAACTGTAGGGTGCTAATAGCCCTGAGACTGATGCATAGTGCTTACAAGACATATGGCTTAACTACTTGGCAAGTTCGAGGAGGATGGCCCTTAGGTGAAGCACACAATGAAGCCGAGTTAAGGGTGAAGTCAAGCGACCAATGAAGGCTGCCAGGCCTTTTTGGTTTAGATTATAATTAGAAGATAGCTACTGACATCAAGAATTATGGGTTACAAGGAAATTTGCTATTGCTAATTGCTGAAGGATAGTATCACTTTAATCATCTAAATTAACTCATTTGATTCATGAATGATCATTGCTTTTGAAGTGAGTGATATTTGCTTTAGGGTTATTGATTGGGTGTGCGGAGAAGGAAATGAGGAAAGGACTTTTGCCCCGGCTTATAATTTTATGCTGCTTGAAGAAATTGGAAGAGCTTCTAAAGACAAACCAGAGTTTGCTGGAAGGCTTCAAATGAGCTTGGAGCTTCTGATGAGAAGGTTTGAACAAACTGAGACTAATATTCCAAGCAGATTTTCTCGAAATTTGGCATTACTTATGCTTGCAAAATTCTGGACTCCTTCTTCAGAAGAAGATCTAGCTTTCCCTTCATTGAAATTTTAATTTTTGATTTTATTAATTTAAAAAATTGTTTATTTATATAAAGAAGATAAGAAGAATTTTATCGATAGTTAGACTAGAATTGTTCAGCAGCGAAATGCTTGGGTTTATCAGCGCTTCAATGACTGTGACGACAGCTCAAAGTTTAGAATTTCTCTTGACTTCTTGTCTGCATTTTTATTTAAGATACTCTGGGAGAATTGGAGATGACATTATAAGAATTTTAACCCAGTTTAGCGAGGTCGTTGAAAATTCAGCCACAAATAACCCTATTTTAGATCTTGCCCAAAAGGTTTCAGGGATTCTTGGAAGATACCAATCAGGAGAGGTTTTCGAAGTCGATGAGTTTTCAATTCTTATGGAGCGAAAAATCAATTCTAACATAAAATACACAGAATCAAGTTTTCACGATTATTTACATGCTGCTCTTAACATCTTCAACAAATCAGAAAGAAGACATGAAACTTTAAACAGCGACAAACCGATGGAACTGCTAAGAATAACAGCAATTCCTAAAGAAATGAACTGAAGATGCCTCTCTATGAATGAAATTTCTGGACTGGCAGATCCAGTTAGAGTCAAATGCACTCATGTCATTTATCCTCCCTACTCGCTTGTTGTGTTTTGTTTTAGGTTCTTCAATATGACAAAGTTTGAAATTAAAAACATAAAAGTTCAATCTTTGCTATCTCAAAACTTAAGATTTGCACTAAAACAGAGAACTAGCTCTATTATCCCATCAATTTCTACCTTAGGATCTTATGAGTGAAAAGTCCGAGCAATCATTGAAAATTCAGGAGAAATTTCTATACTTATTACCAAGAATAGCCCACTAAGGAACAGGTTTTGGTTGGCCGAGCAATAGCTGTCTTACCAAATTCATTGGCATGCCATATTTTCTGGTTAACCAAATAAGAATGGCGCACCAAAAAATGCTCCTTAATGGGCTATTCTTGGCAAGCTGGTATATCAGCTTACTTCTGTCAATTGAAGACAGCACTGTTCCTTTAGATCAAGGAGTCCAGTACTCATCTCAAGCATATATTGTCCCTTTTTCTGATTTTCTGCTCAAAGACATTTCCTCATTTGGGTCAATTACACAGTTTTTGAGTTTGTGGACTCGGCTGAATTATTCCCACATGGTGCAATGCGAACTGACAAAAAGCATTGAGGAGCTATGTGAAGCACTTTCCAAGCACATGGAAAAAGCCGTAAAAACAATTGATTCTGATGGATTCAGGCTTGGCTTTCAAGCAGCCACTCTTCAAGGTGATAGAATCGCTATTGTTTTAACAGGAACAAAAATATCGAAAACTGTTAGAAGCGAAGTGAGAACTTCTAGCATAGAGTCACATAATATCTTAGGTCAGTATTTAGAAACATTTTTGTATGATATCAGCTCAAGCATTCTTCGTGTTTTAGTGTAATAAGGTTTTATTAGAAACTGATACTGTCTATTGTAATAATAAATGGGTAAAAAGCAAGAGCAAGTCTTCATTGAACCAAACACAATTTTTGGCCCAGCAGAGATCCTTGAATGGTGTGCAACCAGCAAACCAAGTAAACAGGTAAAGGCAGTTGAAAGCCCAATCCCATTTAAAGATAACTTTAAGCTTTTCGACATATCATTTAATTTGCAGGGCCGCAGCTTCGAAGAAGATGCACTATACACTAAAGAACTGTTTTTGAGAAATAACATTAGAAGAGGAAACTCTGTTTTGATCCAGCTAAAAGACAAAAAAGATGAAATTGAGGCTGATACGCCATCAATGATAATGAATTATACCTACTCAAATGCCTGGTTCGTAAGAAGAGGCATGCAGAAATTTTTTGATTTGTACCCAGAGTTTACTTTTCAAAACAACACAAAAAACCTGAACACACTTGGAAGCTTTGCTGGGAATTTTCCAATAAGATATAACAGTCAAGATTCCCAAAAAGAGCTATTAAGGAAAATTATATTTTATGATGCTGAAGAGGCTATTATAAGAGAAGGAGCATCAGTTGAAGTATATAAAACAAATAAGGCAAATGGAGAGAATGCGCAGGTATCATATGCTAGACCACTTGATGCCTGGATAATTTCATCAAAAAATGTCAGCATAGCCGCAAGAAGTCAAGAAGATTTTGATTTATTGAATCTAGAAAGATTTAATTTTGCAAAACTAATTGGAGTCGAGTGGTTTAAGCACATCAGCACTTTAAGCAGAGATCTAATAGAAGATTTAAAAAGGGACTTAGATGGATTTACCTTTGTGGGTGAATACGTAGGCAATAAAGAATATCAGCATTTAGTAAAATACAATGAAACTACCATATTGTTTTTTTCCTATGTCGATAACAACTCTCCATACTCCTTTATGCCACCATTAAAAGCATTTTCATTGTTCGAAAAATATCATCTAAATCGAGTAAAAGTGGAATACATTGGGAACATGAGGACACTTGATGAATTATATAGAAACTTAGGCAATTTATATAATAAAATATCATCAGAAGCCTTAATAGATGAAGGGGAAGGAAGCGTTATTTATCTTCTCAAAAATCAAACTCCTGATAGCTCAGTATTATATGCTGCAAACTCTACAATTTTTGGCAATCAACCTAGTAATTTTACAGAAGAAGAGCTTTCGCAAGCAATTTTAAGCCAAATTGCTCTATCTGCATCAAAAATGAAAACTCTTGAATACAGGATCTTCAGAAAGCTGAGAGAAAAAATAAAAAATATGGTTTCAGAGAAGAAAAAAGTTTCTGCAAAAACAAGCTTAAGTAAATTTATAAATGAGACTCAAGAATTAGCAGGGGAAATTGAGCTACCGAAGCCTTTAGATTATTATTTCAAAATAGCTGAAGTCGCTTTTGCTTTTGTTGAAAAACAAAAAGCATTAGGAAAAAAATTTAAAGAAGGATATATTGATTTTCTTGATATGATAATCGATAGAGTCAATGCTGGCAAAAATCCTGAAATCCGTGACGAGGAAATTAATAATGAGCAATTTATCACAGAGCTAAATCCCCTTATCGTTAATATTATCACTCCACCTTTTGTGCTAGATAAATCTGAAAAGGATACAATATGCGAGGCTTTAAAACCCAAAAACATTGAGAAAAATTGAAACAAAAGAATGACAATAAAAGAAGGCTTGACAGTTTGCTTTCCTCTAGGATTTAGTGCTGTAGAAGATCCTGTCCCAAGCAATACTCTTTTTGCTTTTTATAGGACTACAGATGACGGATACCAAAAATCTGAAGAAATTATAGCAGAATGCAAGAGAGAAAAAAATAAAGCAATGCCTGATGGTATGGCTGGGTATTTAAAAATTGATCATCATAAAAAGCTGAAAGAATTTCAAAATAAAGCCACAGCTTCTCGACTGTTAATTGAAGAACATAAATAAAATGGCATTCGATTCGAGAGAAATTAGCTCTGCTAATTTTCTCTCCCTCATGGAATTTTATTTATGGGGTTGGGTTTTCTTTCGAGAACTTCTGCACAGCAACAGCCGTTTAACTTTGGGGATAATCACAGGAACAGCTCCTCAGTGCGTTCAAGATTTTCGGAGTTTTACCTCTTAGCACATCACCAAGGGGGAGGATGACCCTCAGGCGAAACACGCGCAGGAGCTGAATCGAGACAAGGGGCGACGGCAACGCGCCGGGTGAGATGTGCGGCGAAGTGTAGGTGAAGGCTTTGCCGGTGGGCTAGCCATCGCGATTCCAAGATGGCCCGGCGACGTCATCAATTTTCGCTATAACTCCATTTTTATGGGGTGAGGCACTAGACACCTTAAACACCAGATATTAAGTTAAGTTAAGTTAATTGAAGAACAAAGCAGAGATTTCGTGTTAGAAGGGTTTGATATTGATCTATCTGAGTTTATTTTAGCTTTAAAAATGAAAATTGATTTGCTGAGAAATAGAGTTCCAGAAGAAACAAAATCAGTTGAATCTACTTTATCCATTGATGTTGAATCCAATAAAATTTTTGTAATTGTTCCTATGGGTATCCCAGCTATGGGAAAATCATTCATAATCAAATCATTCAAATCAGCTGTAGAAAAGCACGAAGGGGTTACTTTTTCCGTTATATCATCAGATAAAATAAGAGAGAGTGAATTAGGGAGGATTAAAATGGGGTTAATTTCAGCCCCTGATCCAGTCTAGCTTCAGATTCACGCTTTTGTGGCGCTGAGCACTGAAGTCACCTACAGCCCTTTTCTGTCGAAGTCACTATTTTCGTGACGTCGACATCTTTCGGGGAGACTCACCCGCACACCTGCTTTGGCCAAAATTTCCGGCAAAGGACTCTCTTAACACCTAGTAGTGCTCAGGGTACTTGGAAATTGTCCAAAGCTTCCTTCTAACTACTTCTGCCATTTGCAGGCAGCATAATGCTCCTCCAGAAGTTATCGATTGGTGTTGCGCCGTCGGTCTTCTTGTCTTTGGGTTGAGGGGAGACCCAGTCAGCCCAAGTTCACACCCTTGCCACCCTGGCCCTGTGGGCCCTCAGGGCCACCTTTTCTATTCGGAAGCCCCAAGTTTTTTTTTGTTGCTGTCTCTCTAAGCAACTACTGCACAATTGCCTAAATGGCAATTTTAAAAATAAGAGAAGAATGCATGAAAGAGTATATGGAGAGCTCAAAAAATTGGGATAAAGATAACGCTTTTGAAAAAACCAATAAAACTGCAAGAAAAAAATTTGCCAAAGACATATCAAAAGAAATGGAAACAAAATCCAAATGCCATGTCATATTTCTTGACAAAAACCACCCTCCTAATTCTATTGAAAGAACCTTTGGTGATATTAATAAAAATGCACCTAAAAAAACCCAAATTCGAGTCATAGCTCTTGTTCCTGAATGCAGCACTCCATTTGTAATAAATGATAACAAAAGAGACCAAACTCTTACATATGAACTCTCTTTATCATTTCTAATACAATGTCTAGTCAGGGTAAGAAACAGAACCGAGCATGAAACTTTAACTGGAAGTCTTTCAAAAAGAGTTGCAGTGGTTTTAATGATGTATAACATGTATAGAGATGTTAGGTTTGACGATTATTTGAATAATGGATTCCATTATATTATGAGATTACCATTTACTGAAGAAAATGCTTTTGAAGTCGATGAAAATATGAGGTTTGTTGTATCAAAAACTTTGACAGCTTCAAGGCCTGGAAGTTTACCAAATGAAAATATAATTAGAGATCTAGTAGAATTAATTGAACAATATGCTGATAGGTTACCAAGAGTAGACCCAGTTCCTAAAATTACTTCAGAAATAGGAAAATTTTTTGATTTTATAAAGAAAGGAAATTCAGGGTTTGAAGAAGAAACTAAAGAGCCTACAAGAAGAAATGAGGAAGTTGTTAGAGCCAAAGTAGAAAGTACTAGGAGTGCAGAAGAAATCAAGCAAAGCTCAAAAAAAGGTAGGCCAGAGCCTAAAAATCATAAGCTTCCAATTTATATTGGAATTGATGCTGATGCATGGTTTAAGCCGTTATTAGTTCCAATAGTTCTTTCTTGCTTGGGAGAATTTGCAGATACTTATGAAAATAAGGACATTGTAAAAGATTTGCAAGATATCCGAAATGCTGCCATCCTAGGAATTGATCCAGAGCATTTTTCAGAAACTTGGAAAATTGTTAATGATCTACATATAACTACTCTTTTCTTAGGTGGGAATAGTAAGCTATCAAAATCAGTGGAATATATGGAGTTCGAGCAAAACAAAGAGATAGAATTTGCTCTTACGCACATAGTATATGTTCCAAGACATATTATATGCGCTTCAGCTAACAAATTTAATCGACACATAAAAATAGCGAATAAATGTCCGCACATGAGTTTATTGACTGGAAAATGGACTGCAAAATACAGCAATGACGTTTTATCATCCATTCCACTTGAATCTGGAATAAACAGGTATCAAATTCCATCCAAGCAAGGTCAATTAGAAGCATATTCCATATCATTATCTCCTAAAATAATGGTCAAAGGAATAACCAAGAATTATTATAATTAACCTATTAATTTAACCAATAGCTTAATTAGGATTAAGAACACTTTCATATCGCTTCAACTGATTCATAAATCCTGTGTTAGGCAAAACTGCATCTCTTTTTTCTCTAACATATCTAAAGGCATCAAGCAAAGAGCAATTTCTTTCTTTCATCACATATCCAATACAGATAGTCCCAGATCGACTTTTGCCTGCAAAGCTAAATAGCGTTTACCAGTGAACAAGAACTTTACCTTGAGCTCGTCCTTGGTCGATAAATTGAAAAGCATCAGTAAAAGTATCAATGATATTTGAATCAGGAGAATCCAGAATATTGATTTGCTTATAAATAAATTCCTCTGGAAACGCAGGGGCAAGCTGATCAGCTACAATTAAAATGTGAGTGATACCTAGATCTTTAAGATTTTTCTTACACATGGCAGCTCCAACACTACCTATATAAAGATTTTCCAAAACTTCTGAAGGCTGATTGTCTGTTTTAGCATATTTTAAAGCTAGAATCATTCTGATTTGGACCATTAGTTTCATCATTTTTTCATCATTGGGGACGCCTGGAAGAGGTTCTTCAAGGTTTTTAATTTCTGGATCTGCTGCTGATTCCATTATTTATGAATTTATTATTCTAAGAGTTTGAATCAATTTGCAATTTTTAAGATTTCTAACATTATAAGATCAAGACTTGATGGAATTTATAAATTGTGAGCAATAATTATTAAAATAAATATTTGGCCACCTTTTTGATTGGAATAGTTGAAAGATTTCCTTTTTTATAAGCCCACAATAAGCCCTTTACTCGATCCCATAAATAAGGATAATAAACTGATCCTTTGGCTCTTTCTGGAACTATTTGTAAAACTGTTTGATATTCTTCAGCCTCTAAATTTTTATAATCGAACAACTTAGCTAAAGCACACATACAAACCGCAATTGTTTCCTTATACCCATCGATGCTGGCTTGTCTAATTAACTTTAAAATCCCATCCTTGTCTTGTGGTAATCCTATTTTTTGCAAGATTTGATACTGTCCATGCCGAGCAGCAAAATTTCTCAAGTCCATCTCATTGACAATTTCATTTACTAGATGTGGAAATTGCTCAACAAGTTTTGTAACCATTTCTAGGTCTCCTCTTTCTGTAGCTTGGAAAACTTGATCTTTTAATTCAGACATTACTTTTATAAAATTATTAAAGAAAATGAAGCTTCAAAGAAATTTTATATTTAATCGTGCCTTACCAGTGCTTGTGGGCTCAGGGCTTGTTTTTGAAATTGGGAGACTCTGGTGACATAGGAGAATTATTGAAAACTTGAAGATATTGAAGCCAAAGCATTAAGATAATACAATTACATATATAAGTATAGTGAGTTTTATAACTCAATTACCTTTTAGAGCTTTATAGCTCACAAATCTTTAAAGACTTTAGGGTTAATATAAAGCATCATAATGTTTTATAAGAAAATATACAATCAATAAATAATTCGTAAAAATGCTTTGCATTTGGAGAGCAATAGAATTTTTAAGATTAGTCAATTTTAAACCAAAAATTAGCTTTATATTGATAGCCTAAGCTAAAGGGGTTCTCCTAGCAATTGCGCAAGGAAAATAAGAGAAATGCCTAAAAGTAGGCAAATCGATTTCTATATGATCATTTAAATTTATTTCAGGGGCATCCACAATTATTTCAAAGGAATCTCCAAATTGCTTGCTGCCCAGTAACGGTTCCTCAAGATGACGAGTATTGTTTTGACTCCGAATCTTTAAAAGATGCATGCACGGATAAAACAGTAAAAAGCAGATAGCAATCAATCCTATCAATGCCACTATAAGATGCCAAACTTTAAGTCCATTCTCTTCCATAAACTCCAAGACGATATCCGGTCTTCTTTTATTAGAGCTGCTCACAGGCTCTGGAATAGTAAAATCAGGACTTTGAAAGGTATCGGGACTGTTTTGGGCCATATCGCAAGATCCTACATAAAATAGTAGAATGAGTATTTGCAACTTTTGTCAAAGAAGCATTATTTTCGTCAGAATAGATAATTTGAATAAATGGATTGTCTAATTTTTTATTTATAGTCTTAGCCACTGCTTGAATACAAATATGGGAAAGGGCAAAATAATAATTATAATTCATTTCTACTTGACACAGTAAGTTTAATTTATCATATTTTATCTTAATTAGAAGATTTTATTGTTAAATGCTGAAAATGATCAGTAATATCAATTATCATGTTTTTCTCTCAGCTCAATCACTATAATAGCTTCCAATTCTATAATTAATACATGGAGATACTAGACTTCAACTAGTAATATTACTGAATTTCAATACTTATTAAAAACAATTTATACTCATTATTTTAAATGATAAATTTTTACATTAAATTCAAGAAACCATAATATCAAGAATGAGAAAAATTAAAAAGCATGCACTTTACTTGTGCTCAGTAAGGCAATCTATAGGAATATTTCTTAAAATAGTATACAAAATTAAAAATTATGCAAACATAATAAAATGGCAACTCGAGTCTTAATTGCAGATGATGATGACTTTTGTGCATCAACAGTGCAAGCATTGCTCTCGTCCTTATCCATTGAAAGCGAAATTGTTACCAATGGAATTGAGTGCTGTGAAAAATTAGAAAGCGAACCAGGGAAATTTCACATTGTACTGATGGACTTCTGGATGCCTGAGATGGATGGACTCGAAGCTACTAGATGCATTAAAGATCTTGGCTTAGGCCAAGTCAATAAAGTTTATGGAATAACAGCAGATTCTGATCCTGAGATAATTGCTAAAGGAAGAAATTCTGGAATGGATGATGTTTTTATCAAGCCATTAACTCTCCCTCCCTCCGTGAGTGAACAAAAACATTGTGTTCACTCACGGAGGGGGTTAATTTTTTTTTTTTAAAACAATTTATATATAAATTTATAAAAAATAATTTTTTTTCGAAATTTAAAAAAATCCTAATTCGCAAAAATTGGAAAGCAAATACTAATTCGATTTGCAAAATTTATGTTTTAAAAAGCAATTCGTTCAAAACTAAACAGAATTAGCTCTAGATTTCATTATACTAATTATCATTTATATATCAAAAATTTTTTTCCATAAAAAATTTTTTTAATAAAAAATTTTTGTTCACTCACGGAGGGTGGGTTTTTGGGCAAAAAATAGCGATTTTTCTAATGGTTTTGTTCACTCACGGAGGGGGGGAGTAAGTATACCTACATTGCGAAAAATACTGCCTTAGTATAGTAAATTGTCAATATTACCAAATGCAGAGATTCATTAATGATTCATTTGTTTCATCTCAACAATTAATAATAAATTTTAAATCTTGAGTTTTAATATAGGAAATAATTATCAGCAATTGGGTAGGCACTAAATATGAATTAAAATACTTATAAAGCAGCAAGAAATGCAGATAAATGTTTTCTTTGGTTATTTTATGATTTTCGTCATTTATTAGGCAAATATGATTTAAGTAATCCTAATATAAATTTTCATCATTTGAAATTATCTTACTTACTTTTACTTTAAAAATAAAAATCAAGTTTTTAAATTCATAAAAAATGCAATAGTTATTAGTATACCTCATTTTGTAGAATTAATAGTTTTTATATCCAGCTAAAAACTGCCAGGATTATGCACTGCCTCTTGCAGGAAGTATATTTTTATGAAAGAAATAAAAAGCCTCTTTTTAGCTTTATTAAAGAAAGATAGTTCCAAATCCAACCAAAGCCTCACCGAAGAAGATACGAAATCCACCAGCAATCCTCTGACCAGCATTTCCAGGACTTTTGACTCAGAATTTGAGGACTCTTTCTTCGGTTCCATAAGTGAAGGTAACGAGTCGATTCTAGTCCAAAAAATTCCAAGACGAAATATTCAGCCTGCCTCAGTTATTCCGCTCTCCCATTCTAACTCGATGAATGAGGCTCTTTGACAAGCAGCTCAGCAAAACAAGGCAGAACTATGTAGAGAGTTATTACAAAAATCATTTTACGGAGACGCAGTTGCTGACGTAAACTTCAAAGGAAATAATAACGACACCCCACTGCATGTTGCAGCACAAGAAGGGTTCCTAAAAGTTTGTGAGACCTTGCTGGACTATGGGGAAAAGGCCGATATTGATGCTAAAAACTCCAAAGGGCGAACCGCGCTTCATATCGCATGCATGAATGGGCATTTGCAATTAGCTCAACTACTGGTGAGGTCAGGAGCAGAAATAGATGTGACAGATAATGATGGAAACACGCCTTTGCATTTGGCTTCTCAAAACTCCCATAATGGGCTTATTATTTGGCTGTTATCTAAGAAGCCAAGCATATTTATTGAAAATAATCTAGAAAAAACAGCAGCTGAAGTATCAGGATCAGAGGAAACTGACAAGATTTTTCAGAAATATATCAATAAGACTGGCTCTCAAGCGTTATCCTCGTCATCTGGATCTCGAATTGAAACACAAAGAGTTAGTATATTATATATGTCTACAGCTGATGAACCTCAAGCACCTGAACGGGTAAGTCCTTTTGACTTTGAGCTTCTCCAAGAACTCGGAAAAGGCAGTTTTGGAGAAGTTTACTTAGTTAGAAAAACAGCTACACAAATACTTTATGCTATGAAAGTTTTGAGGAAAGATAGGATTATGGCTCAAAATTTAATAAAATACGCTTTGACTGAAAGAAATGTAATGAGCTACGTCAAGCATCCTTTCATTGTGTCACTCAACTACGCATTTCAGACACCAGAAAAATTATTTTTGATTCTAGATTACTGTCCAGGAGGCGATCTTGGGTCAATGCTTACAAAAGAAAAAAGATTTGCTGAAGAAAAAGCAAGGATTTATTTGTGTGAAGTCATATTGGCTTTAGAAGAGCTGCACAAAAAAGGAATTATTTTTAGAGACTTAAAGCCTGACAATGTCGTTATTGATGAAGAAGGCCATGCCTTGCTAACTGATTTTGGGTTATCCAAAGAAGGAGCTCATGACAATTATACAACAAAAAGTTTCTGCGGATCTCTTGCATATCTAGCACCAGAAGTTATCAGGAGACAAGGGCATGGGAAATCAGTAGATTGGTATTTATTAGGAGTTTTGCTGTATGAGATGCTTGTAGGAATACCTCCTTATTTTTCAGTGAACAGAGAAGAACTGATATCAAACATCCAAAAAGGAAAATTGAGGCTTCCTTCAAGCTTGAGTTTTGAGGCAAAAAGCTTGATTAAACAGGTAAATTCTATTTAGTTGCTTCATCGTGACCCATGTGCCAGGCTTGGAGCTAAAAGAGATTCTGAAGAAATAAAATGTCACGAATTTTTTAGAGGAATTGACTGGAACAGTGTTTTAAATAGAGAGCTGAGACCAGCAGCTCCTAATAGAAAAGTCATTAAGCAAGAAAATATAGACCCGATCAAAGTATATGGCGATCTGAGTATCCAAGAAAAAGGAAACGCAATTTCAGGATGGTCATTTGTATCCTGCTAGTGTGAATAATATACAGTTAATTAAGACATTTATTTTTATCTACAACACATTTCTAATTATATTTAATTATTAAAAAGAGAGAAATGCTGCTCATGCAGCGATAGATAGATTAATTAAAAAGATTTAATTATTTATTTCAGTTTATCTTTCCAGCATCCTCAAAAGTTCATCAAATGGACAAATAAGCCCGTTCCTCTCATCGAGAAAAGCCTCAGCTTCTTCTTCATCACACCATTCAAGTGCATATCTTTCATTATCTCTCTTTTTCCCTTTAACTTTTTTCAGCTCGTCCCCAATTTTTATCATTTCTTGTTTCAGCATTTCTTTCATGATTTGCATTTCAAACTGCATTTTTGCAATGGCTAACTTATTTTGCTTGCATCCTTCTGCCATTTTCAGACTATGGTCAACAGCTTCAGCTTCAAGGTGCTCTTTTATGTTTTTTCTTTCGATTTTAGCAGTGCAGCCAAATTCGCTATAAGGACACTCAATCACTTGTAAAGGGCAAAAATTTGAATGATTTTCGATATCTTTTCTTACTCCCCCCCCCTTTAAATTGGAACTAAAAAATTTTGTTCCAATTTAAAGGGGGGTTAATTGTTTTTTTTAAAAAAAAAATCAATATAAAAATATATAAAAATATATAAAAATTTAAAAAAAAAAAAATTTCAAAAACTTATCGAATTAGATCAATAAATTTGCTTAATAAAACGCTATTTACTCTTTATCCTTTAAAACAAAGCAAGATATAACTAAATTTTCATTATTAGTTAATACGCCACTATTAATTGTATCAAAATTATTTACACAAAAATTTTTTATTTTTATTGACAAAAAAAATTTTGGAAAGTTTATCGATCAAAGTGCTAATTTTGTTTAAATAAGATGCTATTTATAATCTATTCTTTAAAATAAAGCAAGAAATTAGTAAATTTTGAAATTTTATAAAGAATTCCTATTGAATTTATATCAAAACTATCCAAATAAAAATATCATTTTTATCAAAAAAAAAAAAAAAAAAATAATTTCTTCGGGACAAAATGGCGTTTCGCGCCAAAGTGAAAGGAGTTATCCTGAGTTGCTTTTGAGAAAAAGCAAACAGTAAAGGTGAGGAAATATGCGTCAGCATAAATTCTTGCAGTGATGAATTATTTTTTGGGCTTGAAAAGTTGTAGATGTGTAGTTTTTCTAATGGCCGATTTTGGAGGAATGCAAATCGGTGATTCATTGGGACAAAAACTCGGCCTCTGTAACCTTAAAAAGTCCTTCTGTTGTTTTTTTGTTGAAATTGAAGTTGATGTTGAAGTTGATGTTGATGTCGATATTGATGCTGATGTTGGCATGTGCTGATGCTGGTGTTGATGTTTGATGTTGATACTTGATGTGATGTGATGTTGAAGTTATGAAGTTTACAAAGTTTATGAAGTTTATGAAGTTTTAGAAATAATTGGTCTCTTATGAGGCGATAACCATTAAGTATTAGTATCAAAAAAAAACAATTTTTTTTGAAAATTTTGAAAAAAAAAAAAAATTAATTTTTTTTTAAAATTTACCAATTAAGGATAATAAATTTATTTAAATAAGATGCTCTTTATACTTTTTTCTTTAAAAAAGAGCAAGATATATAAAAAATTTTTAATTTTAGTTAAGAAGAAACATTTAACTTATATCAAAACTTTTTAGATAAAAATTATATATAATTTTTTATTATAAAATTAAATTTTGTTCCAATTTAAAAGGGATTAATTTACCAAAAAAGTGGAAATTTTACCAATATTTTGTTCCAATTTAAAGGGTTTAAGGGGGGGGAGTTAGAATTAGTTCAGAACAATTATTGGGGCATTGGATTTCTTTGAATAGGCAGGCGTTATCGTGATCTTGCACATATCTGTTTGAAATTCTTTGCCCACAGCCATTATTTAGACATCGGACTTTTCTGAATTCGCAGATTAAATGGTGCTCTTCTAGTTCTTCTCTCATGCAGCGGACAGGACATGACTGTCCGTCTGCATCTGTGAGGTTACACTTGATATAGGTATAGGGGCAAATCTGAGAAATATGCATTTCAGCTTCTCCACGTTGAATTAAGACTCCGCAGTCTTGAGGACAGTTTACTATTACGTTTTGGCAATCTGTTTCCAAGTGCTTTTCCATCTCACAATAAGCCAGCACCCTTCCGCATTCTAGAGCGCAAGGGACAGGCCTGTATATGCAGTCATCTTTTAAGTGCTTCCCTAGATCTCTTCTTAGTACTTCTCCGCACAAAAAGCTGTTCATGCAAGGAACAAGTGCCATCTGGCATTCTTTTTCATGATTGATTAAATCTGCCTTTCTAATTACAATATCACACTTAATATGCCTGCATTTTACCGCTAAATCGTCCATTAATCTTCGAATTGGGATATTCGGCATGCATCGGCCAAGATTTTTGCTACACAATGGGCATCTTCTGATATTGAAGATGCATCTCTCACAAAAAAGATTATGGCAACAGGGTGTTTCCACAGGATTTTCAAATAGCTCCAAACAGATAGGGCATAGCCAGCGGTCATCTCTAATAGTGCTTGCATGAAGATTGCTTGACAGGGAGCTCGTCAAGGTCTTCTCAATTTCATTTTCTTCACTAATTTGGCTTATTTCGACTTGGATTTCTTCTTTAATTTCTTCATCCCCGTCAAATCCAAAAATTGCATTCGTTTCGTGAGCTCGGGCATCCTCTTCTGGGATAATAACTTCTTCAATACCGTTCCATAATTCAATGTCCAGTGGTCTTGGGAATTGAATTTCGTTATCTTCTTTTTCGTCTTCTACTTCATGGTATTGCTCAATGTTGATATCAAATGAATGAATCGAAATGTTGTTCCTATGTCCAATTGGAGGAAGTGGACCAAGATCGTATGATTTCACTTCTTCTGATGATGCCATGTCTGCTATTTATTAGCAGATTTTGAAGAATTTAGCATAATAAAAACTTTTAAGCTAAAAATAGAGATGAGAAAGCGAGCTAGAAGAAGGTAAATTTATTTAAAAACAAATAAATTGATTATTTTTAGCTTGTTAATATTAAAAAATGGAAATATATAAGATGCATTATAGAATTTAGTTCTAAATAATTTTCAAAAATCTATGAAAGGCTTATACTTGCTAACTCCCATCTCAGTGAACGAACAAAACTATTGGAAAATTCTTATTTTTAAGGTAAAACTCACAATGATTAGGCGAACAAAAAAATGTTTTTAATATAAAAAAAATTTTTATCAAAAAACATTTCAATATATAAGTGACAATTATTACAAAGAAATCTCTAGATAATTTGTTTAATTTTAAACAGCTTGCATTTTAAAAACATAAATTTTACAAAATTAAATTAATATTTGTTTTAAAATTATTTCGAATTGGGAATTTTTTAAATTTTAAAAAACCCTTCCATGAGTCAACATAATCTTTTTGTTCGCTTACAGAGGGGGAGTAAGTTAATATAGTCTAGCTTATATAGAAGTTTCCTATGTTTGGCGCTGTAAGGCCGATAAATTCTGATCGGAATTTATCGGTAGGTTGCACCAAATCAATGCCTTGGTCGGACCAAAAAGCGATTTGGTCCGACGAACTTGGAAAGCTCCTGGGAAAATGTCTGCGCTTTTAGCGCTATATATAGAGGAAACCTCTATATCTTACTGCTTCAATTAATAGCTTAGCTTAAGATTAGGCAAATGAAGGCTGATAGGGTGAAAATAGCTGCTGAGCTATCGTATGCATCCTTAGCTGCTTTATAAGCTGCAGCTACATTTTCTAGAACGCACTCTTCTGCATTGTAAACAGCTGGATAGTTATTAGCTAGTAAGTTGTAGTATGTCCAGGCTTCAATGTTGCTCTTGTCCCACCAAGCTTTTTGGCATAAATCGTCAAGTCTTCCTCTAGTGTTGCATTTATTTATTCCAGAACTTGAAAACCACTTCTTTGTGTACTTCAAGTAAGACTGAAAGTGGCTGTCATCAGGGAAGAGATCGCAATAAGCTTCGCCAGCTTTATTATTTCCACAAAGGCATAAATTGGCGAGTTTAGTGCCTGAGATGCTGTCTTTTTTGGAATTGCATCCATCATCATATTCATTTGGGTTTTCGCATTTTATTGGGACACCGTTGTCACTCTTTACTGAATCAAGACACTTGAAGACTTCATCGAGCTTTGCGCAGAGGGTTGATTCACAGAGAAGAGTTTGGCCAAAAGTGGCTCCTGCGAGTATCGTGCAAGCGGAGATGGTTTGACCTGCCTTGACTGAGAGATATTCGACACATTTTCCAGTTGCTGCACCAACGGCTATGTCGCACATTGCGTTGTTGACGCAATCATAGTCACTTGTGCATGTTGCTCCTGCCTTCAATTGGTCTACACAAGTGCCTGCTATGCCTCCAGTTGTAGTGACACTGCAATATAGCTCATACCCCTTTATAGATTTCTATATCGAGCAAAATGTCCTGGCCTCTTGAAAGAGAAAAACAGACTCTCTCAAAGAGATGATCTCAATCTCTATATAAGTAAGTGCTAAAAAGTGACATGTCAAAAAATGGTGACAAGTGAGAAAAAATTTGACAAGTAAACGCATCAATTTTTTAAAAGGTCTTATAAATTAATAATAATGATAATAATAAATACATAAATAATAAATGATACATATAAAATTTATTAATAAAATTAGGTGCTATTCTCAGCTTCTCCATACTGGACGACATCTTGTATCAAGAATAAGTCTAAAAATTATTGGAGATTTTTAGAGATGTCTCAACAGAAGCAATAACTAGTGAAGACCTTTGATGGGTTAAAGGGGGGAGTCGCACACTTTTGAATTTTTTCTATAGAATATTTCAAGTCAGTTTCTCCATACTGGGCGCCATATTGATGACATCTTGTATTAAGCATAAGTCCAAAAATTATTGGAGATTTTGAGAGATGTCTCAACTGAAGCAAGAACTCTTGGAGACCTTTGATGGGTTAAAGGGGGGAATCGCACTTTTGAATTTTTCTCTCTATAAACTTTTTTCAAGTCAGTTCCGCAATACTGGTTGCCATCTTGAATCAAGCATAAGTCCAAAAATTATTGGAGATTTTAAAGGATATCTCAACTGAAGCAATAACTCTTGAAGATCTTTGATGGGTTAATGGGGGGAGTCGCACTTTTGAATTATTATCTATAGACTTATTCAAGTCAGTTTCTCTATACTGAATGCCATCTTGATGACATCTTGCATCTAGCATAAGTCCAAAAATTATTGGAGATTTTGAGAGATGTCTCAAACTGAAGAAATAACTCTTGGAGACTTTTGATGAGCTAACGGGAGGAGTCGCACTTTTGAATTTTTTCTTTAGAATTACTCATATCAGATTCTCCATACTGGACGACGCCATCTTGATGACATCTTGGATCGAGCATAAGTCTAAAAATTATTGGAGATTTTGAGAGATGTATCAACTGAAGCAAGAACTCTTACTCCCCCCCCCTCCGTGAGTGAACAAAACCATTAGAAAAATCGCCATTTTTTGCCCAAAAACCCACCCTCCGTGAGTGAACAAAAATTTTTTATGGAAAAAAATTTTTTTTGATATATAAATGATAATTAATATAATGAAATCTAGAGCTAATTCTGTTTAATTTTAAATGAATTGCATTTTAAAACATAAATTTTATAAATTAAATTAATATTTGCTTCCCAATTTTTGCAAATTAGGATTTTTTTAATTTCAAAAAAAAATTTTTTAGAATATTTATATATAAATTTTTTTTTAAAAAAAAAAAATTAACCCCCCTCCGTGAGTGAACAAAATTTTTTTGTTCACTCACGGAGGGGGGGGGGAGTTAGAGAATTTTGATGGGTTAAAGGGGGAGTCGCACTTTTGAGTTTTTTTCGAGGAATGAAAGTCGTAGATATTTATGATTTCATTATTTCTCTCCAAGATGTCTAAAAATGAAATGCTACATTTGTGTTTGATTAGGTTTATATCAGAAACCTGATTTATTGGGTGCTCTCAGTCTATTTGGGTATCTTAAATTTTAATTTAATTTAATAATAAAGCCATTTTTAAAATCGGCGCGTTTACTTGTCCACTTTTTCACGCTTGTCACCATTATTTGACATGGCACTTTTTAACACTTACTGATATAGAGATTGAGAGCTCATCTCTTTGAGAGAGTCTGTTTTGCTCGTTCAAGAGGCCAGGATATTATGCTCGATAAAGAAATCTATATAGGGGTATGAGCTATATTGTCCTGCTGGGCATCAATAATCGTCTCGTGCTGCATTAGTAATGCATGAAGTTTTATAAGCTGAAACACATACCTTTTCGGTACATGCTGAAGCATAAGTGGCGAGAGCAGTGCTAAAGCAGTGGTAGAACTTGCGCAATATTCCCCGATTAAAGCTTGGCCTCCAGCTGGTTGGTTAGCTATGCAAGTCCAGTTTGCAGAGTCAACAGCGCCTTGTGTGCACGTTTTTCCTGTGCCGCAGGCTCCAGATTCAGCATAGAAAGTGGTTGCTGCAACATCGTAAAAAATGCAGGTCTCTGAAGTGAAGGATTGCTTGGAGGTCTTGCAGGTAAATGGATAACAAACACTTGCTGCTATGATGGGCTCATCTGTGAATAGATAGGATTCTTGAGCTAGGCTCCCTGAAATTGAAGCTAGGATGACAACTGTGAGTACTGCTCGGTTGATGATCAGGGTCATTTTTAATTGCTACAATTAATGGCAATCAGTTTATTTGTTCTCTATTATATTCAATTTAATATCTTGCTTAAACTTTGAAGCCTCATAATTCCCAGAGATTCTCAAAATTAAAACAAGAAATATATCAATTTTAAATCGAAATCAATTATACTTACTTCTTATTTATTAATTTTTTTTTTAAATAATAAAAAAAAGATCTTTTATGAAAAATAAAAATTTTTAATTTACAATAATTTAATTAAAAGAGAATTGCTCAAATTTAAAGCAGCACAAAATTCGCCATATAAAGGTAAAATTGTATTGTAAATTTTGTCTAAAATAAAATTGCATAAGTAGATAAATAAACTATATAATTTAAAATTGATAAAGAGTAAGCCGAATTAGCATTTTTAAATTCTATAAAGACTTTAATTAAATCTATTAATCATCTTTTGAAATTAACCTCTTTCTTTCATCATAAGAATATATAGGCTCCAAATAATTAATATCAATGGAAGAAGAAAGTGGTAGAAGTCATGCCCAATAGTTTCTACCGAAAACTAAGCTAAAACACTTGAGCAATGAATAAGGAGTTCCATACATATCTTGTTGGCTTTCTACTGTTGTTTGATTTTTCGCAGCCAAACTTATGTGCTCTATCAAAAGCCCACCAAGGAAAAATATGAAAAAAGCTGCCAAAATTCCTACAATAGCTGTGAAAATCAGTTTTATAGGATCAAATGTCACATCTTCTTGACATTTAAAATACTCATAAACACTCATTCCAATAATTATCAAAGTTAATATCGACGCAGCCGTAGTATAAAGTAAAAATAGAATAAAGAACTTTTGGTTGTTCACTGCTATACAATTATTAACCCAAGGACAATGATGATCATACTTATGAAAGCATAATTTGCAAGCCCTACAATGATGAGTTCTTGGAGGTTTCCATTGTTCGCATTCATTGCAATACTTAATCAATTCCAATGGGATATCTCCTGGAACTTCATAAAATGGAGTAGCTCCAGGTTCACTGAGCATGCACCTGAAGTGGAGAGTTATTGCCAAAGCTATAAGGATCTGAAAAATTGAAAATAAATAAAGCCCAAATGATGTCAGTCCTAGGTTTCCATCACTACTCGAATATCAGGTAAAAATCAAAGAATATGAAACCATGAGATCACCTAGAACAATTGTTGCCAAAGCCTCTAAATAGCTACTACCATTAGGCTCATCATTTTCCCTGATGACTTCTTGTTCATATTTATCTATGATAATAAAAGCAAGCCCCTAATAAGTAGAAATGATTAATCTTAATATTTCAATCATAATTACTGATATTAAAACATATATAAACTATCATGGGAGCAGCACACAAAAAATCAATCGAGGGTCCACAGCTGAGGGCAAAGTGCTTAATTGTAGGGCAGCTACAAGTCGGAAAGACTTCTCTAGTCCAAAGATATAACAATGAAGATTTCAGTAGTGAATATAATCCAACTTTAGGCTGTAACCTTAAATCTTTCACCATTGACTATTACGGCCTTGGAGTACAACTATTAGTGATGGATTCCTTATCTGATATGGATCTCCAGCTTGAATGCAGGCTAAAATCAATTAAAAACGCTGATGCTATTGCTTTAGTATTTGATCTCTCCAATTCGACAACTTTTGAAGATATTCCTGCTAAGCTTGACTTATTTAAGAAGAATGAGTATCGGAAAAAAGAAGTCCTTTTGATAGGCACTAAAGCTGATAAGGAAGTGCGAGAAGTCAGCGCTGAAGAGGTCAATAAAGTTATTGAGACGGAAAACGACTTGAAAATCTTTTATATTGAAACTTCAGCAAAAAATGATCTAAATGTGGCACCGGTATTTATAAAAGCAATTGAAATTGGAGTGGGATATCAAGCTTTGAATTGGGAAAGAAGAAAATATTTCTTGTGGGTAGTTAAACATATGACTCCACCAGCAGCAGAAGAGGGAGGAGGTATTCACTGGGCAAACCTATGTGAAGCTATTCCAAGTATGATTTCTAAAAGAAATAGAAGAAAAGAAATACCATTGTATCAAATCCCAATAGAATTAATCCCGAAAATTGGAGAGTTTTTGTAATAAATTAAAACTCATTTAAATTATGGAATAAAGTAGCATAGATAGAACAGATGCAAACGATTTAAATTAACTTTCATTTTGATTTTAATATATATATAAACATTAGGAATTTGATTTGTCCGATTCATAGCTGATCCTTTGCTGGCTGGCCAAGGGCAATCGCTTATTATCCTGCAATTTCCTCTTGGCCAGCTCTTTACTAGGCCAAATTCAATTCTACCACCCTTGGTTTAGGGATTGGTAAGGGACTGCTTATCATAGCAGCCCCTATCTTATCCTTTACTTTTGTGTTTGCAAACTAAAAACTGTGATCACTTCAAGGGTAGTTATGAAGGAACATTTAAAAAAAGACTATTTTACGAATAAGATAAGAGAAGAAGATAACGAGGGGAAAAACCAAAAAGACCATTGAAAACATGTGATCAAAATGATCTCTACTATTTTTTTTGGTTTTTTTTTTATTGAGCCAAGCATTAAGACAGAGTAACTTAATTTGAAATTGATTCAATAAATTTGACTTATTTAATTTTAATTCTCACAATATCTAAAATGGCTTTCGGTTAAAAAGAAAACACAATAGATAAAGCGGGGGCTTAAATTATAAAAATAAAATGAAAGTGGAAGCAAAAGGTGCAAAAGGGATCAAAGGCAAAGGCAAAGGAAAAGGACTTGGAAAGATCGGAGGAAAACAAAAAAGGCGCCACGTGATCAGAGAAAACATCCAAGGAATAACCAAGCCTGCAATTAGACGTCTAGCTCGTAGAGGAGGAGTTAAAAGACTAAGTGGGCTTGTATATGATGAAACTAGAAACGTCCTAAAGTCATTCTTAGAAAACGTGGTCCGTGACGCCGTCACTTATACAGAGCATGCCAGAAGAAAAACAGTCACAGCACTTGACGTCGTCTACGCTCTAAAGCGCCAAGGAAGAACTTTATACGGATTTGGAGGTTAAGCTGCTTTAAATAAAAATTCTCAAACAAATGGCTCGTTATAATTTTGACTTATTAAAAATGGGTTGCTCTTCCTCAAGAACTAATAATCCAGATCAGGTAATTTTCCTTGGTTCTTCCTTATCCAGGCAAAAAAGTGCTCACGATTTCCCACAGGATGCCAAAATTACTAAACCTGAAACTAATAAAGACGAACTAAGGCTAGAAGATATAAGCTTCCAAGGAGAACTTCCAGCATAAATTAATGAATTTAATTTTGTAAATAATAGCAAGAATGCTTGTGCTTCAATATGTCTATGTTTATTCTTTATACACTTAAAGTTCAGACAGAGCTAGAGCCAGAGCTGCTAGGGTTGAATATCCGAGAAGCAATTACACTAAAACTTGAAGAAAGGTTCATAGGAAAAGTCCTTAAAAACGAAGGAGTCTGTGTCGCTATTTATTCGTTCGAAATCGAGCAAACATTTGTAAGGGAATTATATTTGGAATCTGAACTCGTTGCAAAGATTGTGGTTTTTAAGCCGTTTATAGGGGAAATTTTGACTGGGAAGATAAAAGAATCCAACTCTGAAGGAATCACAGTTTCCATGGTATTTATTGATGCACTTATACCAGCTGCGTATTTGGCTGATCCTTCTGGATTGTAAGAGATATTTAGCGATGAGCAAGAAGGAGTCTTTGTGTGGCACTTTGACGAGCATGACTTGTTCTATGATATTGGGGAAACTATCAGGTTTAAAGTGCATGCTTTTGCGCTGCCGTTCGAAGACAGTGCTTCTGTGCAATTGTTAGGACGAGCTAATGAGGACGGATTAGGGCTGTTGCAATGGTGGGTTACTAGTTAATTAAGCTTACACATAATCGCGATTAACTGATTTTCAAGTGATTTCATGATAATCAGATATAAATGGCTTTACATATTGAAGGATCTGCTCAGGTCTTATTAAAATCTGGGGTGTTTCTGAATCCAGCCCAGGTATTTAACAGAGATATGTCAGTTTTAGTCACCTCAGTTTACGCACAACGACTTAAAACGAAACTAGAAACTCAAGGCAGGCCATTTCAAGGATTAAACATTTTGGAACCAATGGCTGCAAGTGGGATAAGATCAATCCGCTATTATAAAGAAATCAATCAGCCAATCCAAAGACTTATTGCTAATGATTTGAGTCCTGAAGCTGTTGAAGAAATCAAACAAAATTTTGAGTCTAATAATGTTATGGGGGAAGTCACGCAAGCAGATGCATGTGAAATTATGTACAGAAATAAAGGAGTTTGGGATATTGTCGACCTTGACCCTTATGGATCTGTTGCTAGCTTTATAGACGCAGGGGTTCAGGCTGTTAAATCTGGAGGACTGCTATGTGTGACAAGTACTGACGTTTCTACGCTGTGTGGGAATAATCCAGATACCTGCTTCTATAAGTATCAAAGTATCCCTACAAAAGCTAAGCATTGCCACGAGTTTGCACTAACTCCCCCCCCTTGAAGTTCGACCAAGATATAGGGAAAATTCCTATTTTTTTGGAAAATTAAACCCCCTCAAAGTTCGACCAAGACCTATATAAATTTACTAGGAAAATAAGCAATTTTTCAAAAATTTTTAAACTATGTGGGGATGAGCTTGCGATTTTTGTATTCAAGTTCTAAAAAAGCATTACAAAACCATCTTGCACTATTTTTTCTAACCCTTACACCCTCTCAACCATACAGAAGAATATGATAAATATTTTTTTTTAACTACTAAATTATATAAAAAAAATTCTATATATTTTTTTTTAAAAAAATTTTTCTTAACCCCCCTCGAAGTTCGACCAAAAAAATCTAGTCGAACTTCGAGGGGGGGAGTAAGAGTTTTACTGTATCAGTTAAATGCTTCAGCTAATAAATATCAGCTTGTTGTTAAGCCTCTCCTAAGCCTTTCAGTTGATTTCTATGTCAGGGTATTTGTACAGGTAATATCATCAGCCCTTGAAGCCAAAAAATCAATAGCAAAGTCAGCACTTGTATTTCAATGCACACAATGTCCAGCTTATTATTTGCATTATTTAGGCAGAGAAGGAAGAAATAAATATACCACAAATGTATTTGAAGGGCATTCAGTATGTCCTGAGTGTGGAGGGAAGTTTTTGATTCAAGGGCCAATCTATGCTGGAAATTTACATGAAAAGGATTTTGTTGATGAAGTTATACAGACTCTGGAGGAAAGAAATATGAAGACCCATGACAAATTGAAAGGGGTCTTAGTCTGTGTCAAAGATGAACTCGATATTCCTTTGAATTGGGATTTGTCAATGCTCTGCAAGTTCTTTAAAAGCCAAGTTATGTCTCAAAAGCAATTTAGATCTGCAGTGAGGTCTTCAGGCTTAAATATATCGCAATCTCATACACATCCGATGAAATACAAAATCAATGTAGAGGTCAGCCAACTTTTTGACATATTTAGACATTGGGTAAAAATTATATAGAAAAAAACGATTGCAAGTGACCGATATATAAGTAATCTACCAGAAGATTCAGCTGCTGTTAGAGTCTTAAATAAAGAGCCAAAGTAAGTTTAACTTAGAACTCCTTGTCCGGACTTCGAGCAAGAATTAACAGAGCACGAACAAAGTGTTTTGAGCAGCATAAGATTTCCTCCTAATGAAGCTAATTGGGGACCAAAGCCAAGAGCTAAGAGGCAAGCAGACACAAATATTGATGAAAGCAAAAAGAAGAAACAAGAAATAGAAGATGACACAGAAGAATAAATATAAAAAATTGATTTTCTTGATTATATTGCTATAATAAATTTATTGTCTATAAAGCTAAGAGTAAGCTATAGCAGTTGCCCGATTATGGCGCTCAATGCGCCATCATCGGGCAACTGCTATAATTTATTTTTATTTTTTTTAAAAAATTCCTTATATCGTTTATAAGAGGAATAAAATGGAGGGGCTGATGGATTTCTAACTCCGAGGTACAATCCCTTTGAAACAAGAAGGGCAAATCGTGATCAAGCTGATAGCAGGGCCTCTACCCCTTTTTGGAGAGGCCTTCAGGCTTAGGATGCATTTCAAGCAGGGAAGTTTTGTTTCTCCCCCAAAGGTTTCTTTTTCTGCCAGATTGGCTAGGCAGCTTTTACCCACCACATGCTAATCTCTTGTAGGATAATTAAGGAATTCTACAAACTGTGACTCTGCTATGGAAAGCTGATCAAAATGCTGGCATTTGGAGCCAAGGTGGGTGACAGCTAGTGAGTTGACACACTTCTGCATAGCATATTCATTTAATTTCTATCGTTTATTTAAAAGCTTGCTAATAAGCGTGCAATTTTCGAAGAATAGTTCTAAATAAAAAATATGTCTATCTCATGTAGTTTCATTATAAATATATATGGGTTGGAAGTTTTCAATCGGATTGTTCGCACTACTACTCTGCATCAAATGCACTTCTGGCGACCACAAGCCTACAATGTTCAAAGGATGCCCTACCTTTAACATAAAAACTCGCCTCTCAATCATCGAGAAATCCTGCTTCCCGTGCTTATCATTTTCAACTACCCCATCCATGTCGAAACTATTCAGAGACACAGAATTCATATTCAGTATGATAAGCCCACATCTGCTTGACGATCAATTTTGTGATCTGCAGTCATCTGGAGAGTTTATGATGATGTTCCCTTCAGCAGTCTGGCTTCCAGAAAAAAAATATGTTCCTAACAGTAGTCTTAACTTAACTTAAAATTTACTTGTTTTTACGAAATTTAAGGGGTTGCCAGCATCGGAGCTTCCCACCATATTTCAGCACGTGCCGGCCTGCAAGCATCCCGCACGATGTATCGATAATCAAGGCACAGTCTGATATGGTGTTGCCGACTAAGGCGCGGCTCATGTGTGAGCTACGTCCCTACTTCCTTGACGCCATGTGACGACTAAAGGCTCCACTTCTGCTGTCTGGTGGAAGTGGAGAAATTATGGGCCTTTCACTTTTCCTAAAGTCAGGCCAGAGGGCTTTGACCACCCCTCCAAGTTTCTTAACTGACTCATCCTGGATAGAATTCCCTTGGAAAACCAAGCCTCATAGTTAGAAATGCAAATGAGTACTTCTGGCAGTCCAGTAGCGTACGAAATGCGCCATTTTTTAATTATGTTCCTAACAGTAGTTAGGATGAGTATTCGAAAGAATGGCTCAATGAAAAGTCTTTTATTTACAAGTCTATTTGATTCCCACTGAAATGAAGTAATAACAGAAGAAATGATAGGTGCCACGCAGGTGCCTGGAATAATCCCAATTGAAGTTTACGACTATAATATAGAAAATGCAGGGCCAGAAGATCCTCGCATTTTTACATTTGCAGGCGGAATCTATGTGATTTTTAATATGATTGATATTGATGTAAGGAGGAAGATGTTTCTTTTTAACTTTGAAACAGGAAAATCATGGCCTTTGAGGATTATTGAGCATAGCTTATGGTCCCATTATACAGAAAAGAATTGAACTCCTTTGATAGTTGATGACGAGCACCTTTATTTTGTGTATAACTATAAAAACTTCCAAATTTTGGATTGCACAGACACACACAAATTTAATTATTAGATTTTACATTAACACCCAATACCGTAGGCTTCCATCTCTCCTTCGGGGTTCCACAATCCACTACTGCGTCGTGCGTCGTCTGGCTTCACCTCTGAATGGCCCCTCTGCTTTAAGCATTTTGCTTTTGACGGCTGTCATTTAACTCTTCTGGTCTGAACATAGGCTGCTTGTACAAAAATTCCAAAAAATGGAATATCTGACAGCTGTCGGCAAAAAGGCAAAACTTAAAATCCAGGGCATAACTCTTGGCTTAACGCTGGAGAGTTGTCTGATTGTTCATTATGGCTGTGCTGGGCTTCCCATTTCCAAACCTCTCCTTTTCCATAAGGTAAAATTCAATCCTACAAAAGGACTTGGGCTAGTCCTTGCATGCTGCCGAAATTGTTTATTTAGCATAGCTGTCTAATTCTAGGTTGGCAAAGCCTCACCGGATATAATTAAATATGAACTCTAGGCTGCATGGCCAGAATGTCATACCCAAGCCTTTAATTATTTGGATTGCACTGACAAAAGCACTTACTGTAAAAAAGTTTCAGGATTATTTGATAGTGTTCCAGCAGGCTTAAGGGGCGGCTCTCCCTATGTCAAGTTTGGGTCCACACAATATTTTGTTTCATTTGGATATTCACACATAGATTACCGAAAAGGTAATCAATTCTGTGCTGTATATAGGCCTGCACTGACAGTTGTCAAAGCCAATGAGGAGTCATCTTCATTTGAGCTGATTTACCAAAGTGAGCCAATAGATTTCGAGGAAAAGCTTTTCCTTGAGCCAATTATGCCCTACAATTCAACTGATCAAGTAAAGATTTGTGAAGATGGAAGAATCATGATGGTTGCGTCAATAGCTAGATGGGATTTTGATGAAGATGTAGTTGATGCTACTATAAACCTTAATGACACAATACCACTTGCTATAAAGATAACGGGGTTAACTGATTTAGTACTTGATGCAATTAAGATGCATGAAGGTGGACTTGTGACTGGAGAGGAAAATTGTATTGAAAAGCTAGCTTTCAAGCATTTTGAAATTGATGATCCGTCATCTTCGAGGTTAAATTTGAGAAAAAAGAGAATGATGAAATATGTTGAATTTTAGAAAATAAGAACATCTTTGCTGATTTATCGTGGCTTAATTGGTTTAAGAAAATATGGTATCCGATGGCTAGTGAAAATGTTTTTAATTATTGAAAAAGGGCTTATGGAAATAATGGATAGACTACAAAGTATTATTTTAAAATAAATGAGAGCTTATTATTTAAGATAAGTTATTATTTAAACATTTTAGAGCTGTTTCAAATTTATTAGGCAAAATTCTAAATGCGTATATATTTTCAATAAGACTAGATTATGCTGGGCTAATAGAAAATTAGTTCAATTAGACTGAAATAGATAAAAGCGAAAAAATACGATGAAGCATGCAGAATTTAATTTCATTATTATATAGGAAAATAACTACTTAAATATCTCAAAACAATTTTATTATTTATCTCTCTGCTTAGCTCCTTATTAATAATTTTTACAAATATTTCTTAATTACTATCCTTAAAGTCTCATCAAGATTTTACGTTTTGCATTTCCACCCTTTTTCATAGATTTTCAAAATTTTATTATTATCCACTTTTATCATTTAAAAATATACACGAATATGGATTCAGAATCTGAAAGAATCGTTTCTGAAAGTAATACTTATTAAGGCGAGGTTCCTAGACTCCTGATTCAATTTACCGCAGAAGCTTTGCAGATGATAAAAGCAGAAAGATATAAAGAAGCTCTAGAAGTTTTGTCAAAAAGTGAAGAATTATTAGAAGCAGTCGTAACACAGGGAGGATGCATAGACCAAGATACAGTCCTTATCACTTTGCATAGCACAGCCCTCTGCTATCAAAGGCTTGATTTGCTTGAAGAATGTTCAGCTTATCTAGACGGATGCGTATTTAACGCCAAATACAAAAGTGTTCTAGCTTCCCAAGACCCTTCTACCAGAGTTTTTGGCTGGCATTTAGCTGATAAGCTGTTTAAATACAAATATCAGTGCAAAACTCATATCCAGCTATGTGCAACGCTGTCACAGCTGAATAAGCATGACCTAGCTCTACATCATGCTAAACAAGCAGCAAAGTTTGCATATTCAATTTTTCAGCACCTTTATAAAGTATGTACAGATTATGGCGTCAAAGGGAAAAAAACAAATAAATTATACTTTTCAGCCTTATTTTGCCCTAATAGTCTTAGAACAATAAATATACAGAAAAAGTGAAGAAAAAAGCATAAAATCTGCTGCAGACATTTCCTCTAATAGGATTTCTGATCAAAAAAATGAGCAGTTAATTGATGTCATTAGCAAAGCGATGCCTGCAATAGAGTATGTTTTTAACAAAGCCAGTGGAAAAACAGAAAAAAAGCCTGGAAAACCGTTGAAAATCGATATGAGATCTGTACTTGGAGTGCAGCATTATAACGATTGGATTCATTCTTACAATATTGGTGATCTAATGACAATTGAGCCTATAACACTGCAAGAAATAAAGATTTCAAATGGGATAATTGGAGAGCTGTCTAAAGACTCTATTTTTGAAAATGTCTGTCTTATTGTTGTAACATATTTTTGCATAGCTACTGAAATAAGATTTATATGCTCTGTTGAACACTCAGAGCTGAAAGTTGTAGAAAGCCAAGTTTGGCACTTCAGAGCTCTAGACATCGCAAAGGCTTTGCTGCCTAAAGTTAAAGTTTATACTCGCCATAAGAGGGTTAGCCCATTAGCGTAGCATCTTGGGCTCCAAAAGGTTGCCCTTTTGGCTAAAATTATTTAAGGGGCAAGCCTGTCTAGCCCATCTGGTAGTGACAGGAAACCTTCGGGGAGAAAACAAAACTTCCCTCTTCGGCAGGCATCCACAAATCCAAAGGCCTACTTCAATAAGAGATAGAGGTCTATTTTCAGCTCCATCGAATTGGATCCTACCTGCTCCACAGGTAGTGCGCCTAGAAGTCCAAAATCTGTCAACGTCACCGTTTTATTTCTCTTTGCTACCTAAGGAATCTCCACTTTTATCTCATATCAAGCAAAGCTACAATAAGCATTATCCACTAAAGCCATCAAAAGCCAAAGTTACTAAAAGGAAATCACAATTAAGATTAAGATTAAGATTACGCTGGGTATTTAAGGTCCTTACTACGTCCGAGGAAGCATTCCACGGTTTCCCGTGTGGTGGCAGAGCGTTCACCAAGCCCGGGCCGAAACCCCCGGTTTCTCGGTAGAGGTATTGTCAAGGGCCGTCTTATACCGGCTTTGCTGACCACCTCCATTTCCAATATGATCGTCGCCTAAGTTTACGCCAACACTGCAGCGTCGTCCGCCAGATCTGCCCATTGAACGGCACCTTTTCAATTGGAGAGACCCCCGTTTAGTTGTCTAACTCGCCTTCCCCTCTTTTCCGGTCATCCCGAGAAAGAACTCAACAGCTTTCGCCATTCGGGGCGAGCCACAAAAGCAGCTTAGGCAGGTAAGTCGCCCTGCCTCATTTCGGGCACTCACTGGGCTGAGCGCTGCTGGCAAAAAGAAGTCACGAGTAACTGCCCATGGGTCTGGTCGCAAAAACAGCGGCTTTCGCGCTTAGGCCTCTCGCTTCGAGGTCCCAGACATTGTTGGGCTAACTCCTGGCTCCAAAAACCATGCCCGGATATACATAGGTAACCACCATTGAGAGGGTGGGTCGGTCGCCATACGCCATTTTATGTATATTGGAATCACAATTAAAAATGGAATGTATGAGTTAGGGGTTCTGTCCCCTATACTTGTCCTAGTGAGGGAAGTTCAGTCTTCCTGAAGGAAATCAGCGTTGAACTGCTTCGGCAGCTCCAAGTGTACTTGAATCACATTCAAGGCAAGAAGAGAGACTCGTCTGGGCCATAGGCTAGTGTAACGGTTCGACGGTTAGGCCGATTCCACCTACCGTTGTTCAGAGCTGTACGCCAGTGGATGGAATTCATGAAGGGTGAGCTTGTATTGTTAGATCCTAAGATAAGTGGGGTCGACAACGAGTAATCGTAATCTTAATCTTATCCCAAAAGGAATAACAAGCTTGAAGTTTCTTTCACAAACCGAGGAAAATCACCACTCAGAGACCCTAGTGTTAAGAAAATCTATACAAGACCTCTTTCAGCTAAAAGAACACGGAATCCCCAAGAAAAGGTCAATGAAATTACCCCAATCAGAACAAGAACCCCAATCCGTCCTAACACTGCAAAAGCAGATGTACAAACTGCCACAAAAAGCCCCAAACAAAAGCAAGAAGCTTACACAGAAAGAATTCCCCAAGCCAAAAAAATTGAGTTAGTGAAAGGCAGCGATCACACAAAGAGTGAGCTTTCTATTGAACAAAAAAAATCCAAGCCCCAAGAAACTGCAGCAGCTGATACTTCTTCTAATGATTTTATATCTATTACACAGCCAGCTGAAAGATCATCAAGTTCTGAAGGGTCTTTTGATGCTGATTTCTTCAAGGAAAATTTTGTGATTTCTTCTAATGAGCTATATGGAGTCAAATCTGATTCAGAAGAAGAAATAGCTGATTCCAACATTCTACAGAGCAATATAAAGGAAGAACTTCAAGAGCCTCCTCGAAAAGAAAGCAAAAACGACTATATGCCACTGATAAGACTTCTAAAATCAGAGCCTAAAGAAACTCGAATTGTGAGCAGCACTGGAGGCCACAACTAGTGTAACTTAATTTAATTTTTAGCCTTAAAGAACGCGTCTATTATCTAGAAGCCTTTTGATATAGTAAGCCTGCCAAGCACTGACTGCAATCACTCCAAGGCTTTCTAAAGAGCTGAAAATAAAAACATTTCTGTTGGAATCTGCCACTGTCCTGTAGTGTGACTCTTGTCTGAGCTGAGCAAATTGGTTATCGACTTGAAAATCTTTTATTGATTTTTGTATCTCCACAAGTTGAGATTCAAGTGGAGTCAGATGTTCAGATTGAAGAACTTCATCAGTTGAATTGCCACAATTTAACGCAAAAGTCACTGTGTGCTTTTGTATTACTTTTGTATACAGTTCTAATTAAAATAAGTCATTGGCAGTTATTAATGATTTTTTTGTCCAATTTTAATAAATAAAATATATTTTTGAATTTAAATGTGTACATCCCTACTTGTTCTGCATTGAAGTAGAAAATTGCTTCTGGCTTTTTCTTTTTTTCAAACACAATTTTCATGTTTGGGTCCAAAATAGAGAATTCAACATCCTTAGATTCTTTGCTAGTGATGAACCATGCTCCACGGATTTTTGAAGGGATGATATCAATATTTTCAAAGAAAATTTCTTCCCCTCTTGCAGGCAGCTCAAAAGTCACCATATCTGAAGGAACAAAGCCTACCATGTGTTCATCCCACTCTTTCATCAATATTGCTCTCTCATCTTCTGCATTAACATCAACTGTATCTTCTCCTGTCTGTTTTTTCTTATCTTGGGCAAATGCAAGAGTGAAAATGAATACAAAAATAAAATTCATTTCTAATTAATGATTTTTTTAGAAATTTATAAGAATCATTAACATTATTTTATAAATTAAGCATCAAGAGATTCTCTTAAATTGGCCTCTTCAACATTTGGGCTTCCTTCTTGTGAGAGCATATCTCTTAATCGGTTAATTTCAACTTTCAAATAAAAGTTTTCTTCTTTTTTCTCTTCAAGATCTTTGGCGAGCTCGCTGATTCTTTGCTTGTCTTGTAAGTTGATAAGTTTGGATTCTGACTTACTTAGAATTAATCTAAAGCGTTACGTTTCGCTTAGAATCCACTATGGGGTAGCTGTACTAAGCTTCCACCATTTTTGCAGATGTCGGACCTACAGGTCGCTAGGCCAACATGCTTCACTTCTTCAGTGCACACTTAGTAATGGTGATGCAGACTTATACAGCTCAAGAGTGAGCGATTTCTGTCTTCCTTGGCGTTATGCAGTAACTAAAGGCTCCTTCGCTGCCACATGATGGAAGTAAAAAAAACCACAGGCCTCTCAGGCTCCTAGGGGCAGATCAAAGGGCTGTTAACTCCCCTTCAAGTTACTTACCTGTCTTGACCAGGATAGAATTCCCATGTAAAGCCAAGCCTCATAATCATAAAGTGAGTGGAGCCAACAGCAGATCGGTAACTTTCGAATGTGGCCATTTTATTGATTATTGATAAGTTTGGATTCAAATGGAGAGCCTTTGTATAATTTTCCTGTTTGTGTTAGCGATCGCGACTTAGCAGATTTGGCTCTTGGCTGAGGGATTGGAAGAGGTGCTATTGATGGAAGCTGAGCAGTACTTGGCTGCTTCCCTTGCATTTTCCCTTCTTTTCTTTCACTTGCAGTTATGGCTTGCTGGATAGCTTTATGTCTATATTCTAGCTGCTTTATCATGAGTTCATTTGATTTTTTAGTTTTCCTTAGGTCATGAAGCTCTTGAATTAGTGTGGAATTTTCAATTGTCCGCTTCCTCATGTCAGCTTTCGACCTTCCATGAGACTGAGAGAGTGACTGTTTCATGATATTTATTGACTTCGACATAAATCTTAGCTGCTCTTCCATTTCTTCTACGCACTCTGGGTCTTTTTTGCTAACTTTCCCAAGTTCATTTTTGACATATTTAATATATAGTTTTTTCATTTCATCAATCCAGGCTTTTTGCTCAACGTTATTTACAATATCGTAAATATCATTTGTAATCGCTCTTAAGCCATGGGCTCTATCATTAGTTTGCCCTTGCAGCACAGAGCCTTCTGCTCTTAAATTATCAACTTGCTCTTCTTTTTCCCCTATTTTCTTTTTTAAGTCTGTATTTATTTTTCTTTCTCTGTCACAATCATTGTGCAGCTTCTTTAGTTCTTCTTTCAGATCTCCAATTTCCTTATCTTTTGGCTGGATTTCATCAAGAATTTCTTTTTTTCTGGCGTCTAGAACGTGCTTTTTCTTATCCAGGTCTTTTACTTGATTTTTATAGTCCTGGATTTTATTTTCTTTTTGCACCAATAAATCTTCTTTTTCTTTTTTCTCAGCCTCAAGTTGGTCTTTATGTGCTTTGAGCTCAGCTATTGATTTATCTAAGGCTGAAATCGTGCTTTTTTTCTTTTCGTTTTTGATCCTGATTGCTTCTTTTTCTTCTGAAAACATTTGTTGCTCACTTGTCAAGGTTTCATTTTCACGTCTAACCCTTGTATTTTCAATGCTTTGCTTTTCAACCATAGCCTCATAATTTTTTCTCATTTCCTGGATTTCAGCTTCATGCTCGTCTTCTTGCTGAGATAGTCTTTCTTCATAAATCAATTTAAGATCTTCAGCAGTTTTCCTTGTTTCTTCATAATCATCCTGTGTTTTTTTCAAAGAGTCTTTAAAAGCTGAAGCAAGATGTTCTATTGCTTCATCATTTTGCTTTTGTAAAACAGAAATCTGTTCCTCATAATAAGATTTCAGCTCAGTTTTGTCTTTTTCCATTTTTCTATATTTTTCGTCTTCTAAAGTTAGCTTTTTTTCATAAAGAGTTTCTACAGTATCAATTGCATTATTGTGAGCCCTTTCGAGGTTTCCTAATCTTTCCACCCACTCTCTTTCCTTTTTCATCTTTTCATCTCTTATCTGTTCATATTTTGATTCTAGCACTTTATATTCCTGATGCAGCGCTTTTTCAAGCTCTTTTCTTTGTTCTTCAAAAGTCAAATCTTGCTGTTGGATATTATAGTCTCTTTTCTGTCTTATGTTCTCCATCTCAGCTCGGATAGTTTCCAGTTGTCCTTTGAACCATTCAAGCTGCGATTTTGGGATTAAAACGATATCAGCTAGTTTTTCATCAACGGTTCTGACTAGAAAATCATCTTTTTCTTTATTATCAACTTGGATTCTTTCCATTTGTGGCTGTAGGTCTCTGGGCTCTATTACGTGATATATGAAAATAACCCCGTCTTCTCCTCCTGAAAATACGTATCTGCCATCATGAGAGCTGCATAGCTTCAAAACACTCCCATTGTGCACAACTAATTCTTCCAAAAACGCATTTGAAGGACCAGGGCCATAAATTTGTACATTTCCAGCATAGCAACCTGATATAAAACATGGCGTCCCATGATATGATCTAAAATAATGAATTTGTGAAAGCTTGGGGCGCAGCCCGAACGAGTGGGTTTTCCAATCTCCAAAGTTCTGCTCCAATATAATTGAGTGTTGGGATTCAAGCCCACAAGTAACAACCATATCATTTTCGATAAAAGCTACAGATGAATACTCACTCCCTTCATTAAGATTTAGGATTTTTTTCTTGCTATTAAGGGGGTTAATTTTTTTTAAAAAATTTATTTTTAAATTATTATATATTGTGCTTTGTTAATATTTGAACATCAGTAAACTCGTCTACTTTCATGACCAGTCAGCTATTTCGCAGTTAAATAGCAAACTGATTTTGATCAGTAAGGCAAGTTTGCTTGCGCTCAAATATTAACAAAGTGCAATAAAAAAATTGTTTTAAGCTATAAAAAATGTCAAATTTATGAGTTTGAAAAGAAAAAATTAATTTAATATATAAAATATGCTTAAGAGTGCAAGCTATTTAAATTTAAAAGAATTAGATAGAGAATGTGTTATAATAATTATTAATATTATACAAATATATATACTAAAAATTTTATTATAACTCCCCCCCCCTCCGTGAGTGAACAAAAAAATTTTTGTTTCACTCATGGAGGGGGGTTAATTTTTTTTGTTAAAAAATTTATATATAAAATTTTATAAAAAATATTTTTTTTCGAAATTTAAAAAAATCCTAATTTGCAAAAATTGGAAAGCAAATATAAATTTAATTTATAAAATTTATGTTTTTAAATGCAATTCGTTCAAAATTAAACAGAATTAGCTCTAGATTTCATTATACTAATTATCATTTATATATTAAAATTTTTTTTCCATAAAATATTTTTGTATTAAAAAAATTTTTGTTTCACTCACGGAGGATGGGTTTTTGGGCAAAAAATGGCGATTTTTCTAATGGTTTTGTTCACTCACGGAGGGAGGGGGAGTAAACAATTTTTTTCGCTTTTAAAGGGGAAGTCAGTATTTCTTGATACATGCTCTGGGTCTTTTTGTCCTGTATACATATCGAAAACATAAACTCCGCCATCTATTCCTACAGTTGCGATTTTTTGGTCATTTTTAGACCATGCTAAGTCTTGAATTGCAGAGGTATGAGCTTTTAGCATATCAACTTGCTCCAAAGTAAAAGAAGTGTATATATATACCATCTTAGAAGAAACAGCTGCTAGCAGGTGCCCACTTGTGCTGAATCGCAAACATGTTGCGTTTTTTATATTGATTTCTCTGAAAAACCTTAAATCATCAAATAGCAAGTGAAAAATTCTGACTTTGTCTTCAAATCCCACAGCTATATAATAGCCTGATGGATGAAAAGCAACAGATAGCAGTGGTCTATTTATAGCTTCAGAGCCAGCTGCATCTTTATCATGTCTAAGCCTTTTAGCTACTTCACACTTAAAAGTGACATAGTTTCATATCCTAACTGAAGCATCAGTTTGAGAACAAGTTACTAGCAATGGTCGTATACATAAAATGGCAGGTGAGGAGCGACCCGTCCTCCCCGTTGCAGGTGTCCTTAAGTCCATCCCCAAAAATTTGGGTTAGCCTAGAGGCAAGAGTCCCAGTGATCTTATCAAGAGGCAATTTTTTGCATCTTTTTTGCCAGCACCGCCCAGCTAGAAGTAATGTCCGATAGAGGTAGGGAGACTTGCCTGCCAAGGCTACTTCATGGCTTGTTCCTAGTCGCGTAATTGTTGAGCTTTTCCTTTGGTACTGGACAGGGGAAAAAGGTAAGGCAGGTTAGATAGGAATGGTTACTTATGGGATGATCTGGCCTAAGCTGAGCAGGGCTGGTATATTTGGTTGCTTGAGCAGGAAATGGAAGTTTCCGGCAAAGTCCTCATGACTCAGAAATGGAAGGAAAATACCTCTACTGGGAAACCGGGGGTTTCGATCCGTTCTCAAGTTAACTGTGGCACGCACACCCCACGGCTCATCGTGGAACGCATGGTGCTCAGGAAGTGGAGACTATAAATGCATAGCTTTAATCTAATCTAATCTAATCTAATCTAAGGTTACCAGCAATGGTCTCTGTACTGCTACATCCATTGCAGTTATAGGTCCTCTATGAAACCCTTGGCAAAATATTTCCACTTTTACTTCAGTGTCCTCTTGGAATATTTTTGAAACATTGCAAGTTCCAATATCATTATTACTATGAGAAATTCCTAGGGTTTCTTCATTGTTTGATAATGATAAAGAGTTTATATGAGAACTTCTCCCAGTGCTTCATGACCTTACAAAATCAAATACAAAAACTTCTCCTTGTGGAGAATCATGCATGACTACACGATTCCAAAAAGAAATGGTCCCTTCGCTGCTTCCAAAAAAGAACCCTTTTGCATAGCAGTATAAGGAAGAGATGGTGGCTGATGCTGATGGCTGCATAGCATCGCTAGCTTTTCCAAATGGAAACTCAATGATTTGGATTAATTCAGTCCCCCTTGCAACAAAAGCTTCTCCATTGTCAGAAACAGCGACAACTGTATCATCATCGACCCAGTCATGATCAATATAATTCTGGGTCCTGTCCATCCCAGAAAACGGAGGCTGAGGCTTGAACGATTTTTCTTCAATTTTCCACGTTTTTCAATGATTTGGCCCAGTTGTGCAGAGCAAATAAGGATCTTTTGGGTTTATAGTTATCCTTGCAATTTTTGAAGCAAATGCATATTTTCCTATAAGTTTATCTCGATATCAGTCCCACACAATTCCAATATAGTCAGGCGGCCCACTAGTAGCGACAATAAGTCTTGAGTCAGATGAAAAGCCAAGACATTTGAACTCTTCTGCAGACATGTCTGGAAACCCTAACTGCCTCATCCTTTTGAAGTATGCGCCACTTTTCAGGTCAAAAATCGAGACAAGTGGGGTGTTTTCCATCTGGACATATTCTGCTACTGCTAGAAATCGCCTGGACTTTTCTTTAGTTATAGCCATTGCGGTGATTTTAGTAACTCTGTCAGGTTCCTAAATAAAAATTACCCTTATGTAGTTGATATCATCTGTTTCTAGGCTTCTTACAGCAATATGTCTTCCTGCTGGATAAATAATCGAATTTGTATCATCATCACTAAGGCAGACTGAATTTTTAATATCGGTATATGCAACTGATCCAAAAGAGTGCAAAAACTCTAAATGTACATGCTCTGGTCTTGCCATTTTATAACTGGAATCTTAAATATATATTATTTAGATTCAATACTTCCTCAATTTTTACATAAAAAACAAAGAAATTAGATTATTCATGCTTGTTTAAAAACTAGTAAAATTTAATATTGCCAACTAATAATTTTAAAAAAGCTTATTGAAGTTTAATTGGGCTTCCCTCCTTGTATTTGCATTTATTCACATGGAAATCGTAATGAGCTATCTCGTTTTCTCTTCTTATGTTTCTAGAAAACTTTGTTTCTTCATTAAATTGGGTTTTTTCTTCAAGATCAATTTGGTAGGCATTTGAATTCTTTCCTTGGATAATAAGTTTACTTTCAGAAGGATTTTTATTTTCTTTATTTTTCTTCAGGGACTTATAAGCAGAATATGCATTTTCAATAAGCCTTGAAGCTTCAGCTGTATAAGGCTTATATTTCCCACATTCATGCTGCCAATATCAATTGATTTCTTTTATCCCAACTGCTTTGTCTGCATCAAAATCTTCTCCTTCAGTTCTTCTTCTTACTGATCGGGATTGCAGCGTTGAATTTTTTAAGACTTGCCTATGGTCTTTTCCAAAGTGAATTGTATAAATAGTCCCATTTGCAGTAATATCAACACTTTGAAATTCTGGCTTTTTTAATGTTATAAATTTTTGGTAGCTGTTTTCGATTCGGTTTGAGGTTTCAGGCTCATATTTTTCTTCTTCTCCACTGTCATTTATGAAGCATCAATAAATTTTTTGATTTCTTTCATTTTTGATCATTTCTTCAAGCTCTTCTTTAAGCTTTTCACCTTCATTTTGTGAGGCTGAAAAATGGTATCTGTTTTTGCGAAATTCAATATGGATGTTTTCATATTTTTTGCTTAAGTTTTCTATATGACCTTTATGAGACAGACTGTTATGAATCTTTGGCTCACAATGAATTTTATAATATTGGGATATCAGAGGAGCTGAAGAAGCAAATGGTTGCTGATTCTCAATGAAAGATGCTTGGCTTATAGGATGCAATTGTATTACAGAAAGTGGATTGTTGACAATATTTTGCTCGTAAGGAGGATTTGGTATATGATTATTGAGATTATCTCTGAATTCTGAATAGTTTGTTTGATATTGTGGACTAATCAACTGGACTGGAATAGGCTCAGAATTATAGGAATAACTTTGAGATTGGCTATTTAATGGTATGCTGGCCTCCACTCTTTTTGGAATATCTATTGGTAGCTGATTTCTAGGAAATTGTACTACTTGATATGTTTCGCTTAGCTCTGGCTGTGCATTTGCAATTGGATTTGAATCATTACCAAGGTTTGACTGAGAGCCAACGAAATTGGTGATGTTCGAAGAATAAGGAAGCGATGATGAGGGAGTAAAAGTGGAATTGGACTCTAGCTGAATATTAGGCTGGGTCTGAAAACATTGTGATGAGCTAGCAGGATTTCATACTGGAAAAGGTTTTGGAGGCTGGCTAGAATTGCTAGCATTTAATTGAGGTTCAGCTGCATGCAAAACTTTTCTAACAGGGACTGATCTTGTATCTAAAGAATGTGTTGCAGTTGGATCTTTATTTCACGTAAAGTCTTTCTGAAAATCATTAAGGAAAGCAGAATTGCCTGCTGGATTAACTGATTTTGGTAAAGGCTCATTAAAAAATTGATCATTGGCGGCACCAGATGTGTCGCTGCCTATTTGAACTGCTTCCCTATATGTTACTACTTTTGGAAGATGGAGACGTTCAGAGCATCTAAGATGGGCTGGAATATGAAGTTCACAAAGATTTTCTTTGCAGCATTCAAATTCCGCGGGCATTATGCATTTTTGGCACTTCATTTTATATTTAAATTTTAGTATTCTACAATTTATTATGGGAGGCTGGAGATTGCTGCTTAACTTGGATGTTTGTATTTCTCCTAATAAAAATATCATCTTATCTAAGCATAAATCCACTTATACATTATAATAAGCTAAAATATATATCACAACCAATTATTTTAATTTGAGATAAAGACTGCTTACTTTCAATAATGTCTGTGGATTAACTATAAGTTAATTTTGAGATCTTTAAATAATTAATCAGAAGGTTATATGACTATTGCTTTATATTATATAATATTCAGAGAGAAAATACTTTCCATTATAAGTCAAGATCTATGATTCAATTAAAATAATTTAAATTCTTTTTGCTTTTATTTTAAATATTGAAATTCAATTGGATGTCGAAATAGTGGGCTCATATAAAATCAGCTAGAACCTAAAAGCCTGCTATAATCCTATAAATTTTATTTTTGTGAAACCTTAATGACCACATTTTCACTAAAATTTATTATTTATTAATATGCACATCTATAAAGATCTTTGATTTGGCCGTTATCAATAGTTTCTTGAAGCTCTCTTAAGCCTCCAAAATAGGTTCCACCCACAAAAATATATGGAGTAGATTGTCTTGAAGTGAGATTTTGCAGAGCGCCATATATTTGGCTATTATCATTCATATGATCTAATTCAAAATACTCAAAATCAACAGAGTTCTTTCTCAACAAATATTTCGTCAGCATAGAATGCTCACACAAAGACCTCGAATAAACCAAAATTGGATACTCTTTGGCTTGATTTTTAACAACTTCAGCAAAAGGCTCAATGAAATCTGTTCTAGCTTCAATGTGCTTATCATATGTCGAACATTGGCATCCCATTTTATTTTTAAATTCAAGAAAAATGCGCAAAAATATTCATCTAATATTGATAAGAAAAAGCCTTGAAAAACTTATTTATTAATCTATTTTATTCGGTTTGTTCTTATCAGCATAGTATTTTGCTAGAAATTCTCCTCTGTTTAGTTCTATAACTTTTCTTGCTAAGCTTTCTCCAGGGATTCCTATTTCATGAAGAGCAGATTTTATCTCTTTTGAATTATTACGAGGAATTCCTTTAGATAGCATAGCGATTAGCCTATCACGCTCATTTTTTTGGGATCTTGTAGAATGCTGAGGAGAAGTCATTGCAGATATTGTTCTTGCTGTTTTTTTTGGTTTTTCTTGAATAGGTGCAGGAGTTCTGCATCCGACTGATGATTCTGTGGATTTTGGAGATAGCAAGGCTAAAGATACATATCTGTCTGTCTTTTTTGGCGGGCTCAATAAGTGCTTTAAGTTGTTTATGTTGGTTTGAAATCTTTGCTTTGCTTTATCCTTTTCTATAAGCTGCCTGTCAGTTTCAGCAATTTGATCTTCCAACTCTTTCAGTTTTGTTCTTAACGCTTTATTCAATTCTCCTGGCTCCAAACTTTTGCTTTTCTCGTTTTCTGCTTTGATTTCTTCATCTGTTTCTTTGATTTTATTATAAAGCTTCATTATCTCATTGCTAGATGCTTCTAGTTGGGAGCTCAGCTCACTATAAATTCCTTGCAGTTCTACAAGTTCTCTATGATTTCTATCACTATCAAGCTCATAAACCCTCTGTTTTCCTCTTGCAAGAGTTTCTCGAAGTCTCCTTATACTTACATCAACCTGCTTTAAAGCGTTTTCAAGAGCTTTGATTTTTTGTTTTGCTTTTTCTTCTAAGGTTAGTCCTTGAGTAATATTTGAGTACTCATTTCTTAAATCGCACCTTGTATTATCCAGCTGACTGATTGCATTAATTAAAAGCTTATTATGCTCTTCAATCATTTTAATTTTCGTCATCAGGAAATAAACATTTGGGGCTTTCTTTTTAACCTGCTCAAGATATGCGTATTCTTTCGCGTTTTCTATCTCAACAGTTTGGTCTTTTAATTGGAAATTTTCTTTAAAAAGTTGATGCAGTTTTGATTGGATTTCTGGAAATTCAGCGTTTCTAATTATTTTCTTACCCTTCAGTTTTTCTTCTTACAATGTAATCATATTCTGCTTTCAGCTTGCGGTGGCTATCTTTTTCTAATATAAGTTCTCTGTTTAATTCTTCCAATCTACTATAAGACGCTTGCAAGGTTTTATCTAATTCTGCAATTGATACTTCAGGGGTGTCCAAAATTTTGCCTTTAAGAAAAGCACTTGTGGAAAGTTTTGTTTTAAGAAATTTTATCTGTTTTTTCATTGATAAAATCGCACTTTGCGAGTTCATTCTTGTGTCCATATTAAATTGGCTAAATTGGGTTATTAAATAATTTCTAAATACGAAGTGTCTTCTTCAGCAGACTTAGGACGTGGGGGAAGATGCTCTTTTATTAGTTCTAAAGGTCTTATTTTTCTTCCTTGAAGTATGGCAACGGTTAGAGGGCCACCATTGAATCTATGGTTGAATAAGTGATCAAAACTGTTTTGGTTCTGCTCAACAGTGCCTTCTGAGTTTTCTTCTTGGGTCTTTTCTTCCTCTTCTTCCTCTTCTACCTCTTCTTCCTCTTCATCTGAGTTTAAGATCCTTTCAGTGGAATTTTGATTGTTTTCTTGCACAAGGTATTTAAATGACTCTTCAACATCGAAAATCCCAATGTGAAGTTCTCTGCTTTCCTTATGGCTTTTGAAAAATTCTATTGCAACTTTATTCAGTAGATTTAGCTGCTCTTTATTAGAAGTGTGCAAGTCTAATGACCCGCACCAGAAAAATCTTCTGCTTTCAAATAGTGTTGAGTTCAGTTTTTCAGCAGTTTGCTCATGAAATCCTACAATAGCCCACCCTTCCGGAATTGGCTCACCTATTTTGCAAGGCTGATACTTATCTGAATAATGAGCCCAGGTGAAGTCTAATTGCAGCTCTTCTGGCGGATTTATTTTTTCACAAATAATAAAATCAGAAGGTAAAATAATAGGCTTTTTGAGTTCTTTTGCAAAATCAATGACTCTTTGTACAAATTGATTTAAATGTGGGTCGAAAGTTGAAGGGAGGGAGTTCATCACATGGAAAAATAGAAGGGCCATGTCTCCACCAAGGAAGATTTTGTCGACTTGATATAGAAGATTGTACATCATAACGACTTTGTCTAGAAGATTTATTTTGCTTGAATGGTTCCCACCTATAATAGCTAAAAGTGGTCTTTCTGGCTCATGGAAAAGTGAAGAGATTCCTTTGATTTCTTTTTCTAGATTTAACCCAAGTATTGCTTCTCCTTCGAATTCTGGGCATTCAATTGAAGAGCATCCTGGGTTTCTCCAACTGCAAGTGTCTTTAAATAAAGTTTCCATGCAAGTGTTAGGCCCTATGCAGTCATTGATATAAAGTTCATAATATGATGTAAGCTTTCTTCTAAAATTATTAATTTTATCCAAATCGACGTGATAGCAATTTTCATCTCTATCAATTGAATATCCAAATTCTGCTGGATGAAACGACATGTTTTCAAGCAAAATCACAGAATTTTCAGGCAAGTCTTCAATTCTTTCATCAAAATTTTCAATTTCAATTTCTTCAATGAATTCAATATGTTGGTCTAGTTCTTGTTCAAGCCATTCTGCAACAGGTAGAAGACTGTACTCTTCTCTGTTATTTCCTACTCTTGGCCCTAGATTTGCAACAATAATAACGCATTTAGCAAGATGATCTAAACAATACCTAATAGTAGGTACAGCATTTTTCAGTAAAGTTGCATCTATGATTTCTCTTGGTTGACAGTGCTTTTCTATTACAGTTACTGGGTCTTGCTCTGGGTCATTTTGTACTTCAACTTCTTCTTCCTCCCAAATTTCTTCTGATAATGGAACATCTAAATTTAACCTCAGCATTACTTTTTTGCCTTCCATGTCAGCTTCATTTATTCCATATTTTCTTGATAACTCTCCCATATTGACTTCATTCATAGTCTTAATGCTGTTTGATGCAATTTTATAATTAGCGATATTAGAATTTTTCATATGTTTATTGAGCCTGTTGGTATTTTGCAAAATTTTTGGTAACACGTTTGTTAAGTGCATGGTTTCCATATGGTTCCATAAAAACATATAAGGTTCTTCATCTAACTCTCTTCCTCCATGAGTGAACAAAACTATTGGGAAAATCTTTATTTTTTTGGTAAAAACCCACCCATGAGCGAACAAAAAAATTTTTTTAATATAAATTTTTTTTTGATATATAATTGATAATTATTATAATAAAATCTCTAACTAATTCTGTTTAATTTTATGCAGATGCATTTTAAAATATCAATTTTAAGAATTAAATTAATAATTGTTTTAAAAATTTTTACTATAAAAAACTTATATTAAAAATCAAGTAAACGAACAAAATTTTTTTGTTCGCTCACGGAGGGGGGTAAGACTTTGACAAATAGATCTATGAATTTTTCTTTGACAGATGCAAAAAGTCTTTCCTTGCAGGCTTCTCTATCTTTTGCCATCTCCTCACTCTTTCATTTAAAGATTGAGCAACCTTTTTTTGCTCTCTCTTAAAAAAGGGTTAATTTTTTTCTATTAATATTATAAAAAAAAAATCAAATAATAAATTGTGTTGAAAAATGGAAGGAGCTAGAGATCTTTATAACAAATATTATTAGATTTATAAGTGTTTAATACCAATAAATTTTATAGTAAAAGTTTTTGATCTCTCCAAAATGAAACCGTATTCCACAAGGGGAGTCAGCTACGTTTATTTTTTTGCCTTTTACCAGTTTGGCTCTTGCAACTTCTTTATCAGTTTTTTCCTTCTGAATTTTGTCGATTTCCTCTTGTGTTAGTTCCCAAGGCAGGCAAAATCTGTAATCTTCAATATCAAGCTCAGTTCTTATTTTTGAGCTTATCACAGGAATTTCTTCTGCAAGATCTACCAGTACTTTCCTGGCATCTTCCCAATAAATCGATCTATAGAGCGGTTTTTCCTTTGCCAGTTTCACGATAAAATTCAGCCTTTCTATATATCTATGTTGCAAGTCTATTTTCGGCACCAAAGAAATAAGTTCTTTCATATGGTCTATACTTAAGTTTCAAGGCTCAAAATGTTCTTCTAATGGAATATGCTCGACAACCCAGCTTTCTAACTGCCTCAGCATTTTAATCACATCAGTTGTATGCCAAACTTGATAATGTAGATTTTTTGACTCAAATTGCTCTTGACATTGCTTAGGGTCTTCAAGATCAGGAGGCGGAGGTGTTGGAGTTCTCACACTTCTAGTAATATCTGATAGAATTTCTTCACATGTATGCAAAACTGTTCTTCTAGTCAGCTCTTCTTCAAAGAAATGACGCTGGGCAATATACCCATCATTTTCATAGGCTTCTCCAGATAAAGTAAGCTGCTTTATGGGATGTGTAAGCAAAGGATCAGTTAATAAGTCTCATTCCTCACTCCTCTATAACAAACATAAAAAACTTTCTTGCTCATAGAAGGGTTAATTTTTTCATTTATTATTTAATAATTATCAAAATTTTAAAAAAAATCTCAATTTGCAAAGATTTTAAATAAAATATTAATTTAATTCATAAAATTTATGTTTTAGAACGCAAGCTGTTTAAAAATAAACAGGAGTGGTTGGAGAATTTATTATAATAATTAAGGCATAATATCAAAAATTTTTTAAAAAATTATATTAAATGCTTAAAAAATTAGTATTTTTTCAATGGTTTTGCTACCTCATCAAGGGTTGAGTCAGTGAAATTCCCAGGCTTTTCACTACTGAAAGTAAATACAAATCTCTTGGTCTCACCCGGAAGCAAAACATCGCGGCCATAATGGCAATAAAATCGATTAATCCCGTCACTGCGTTTTGCTTTGATGAAATCTGATCTATTAAATTTCCTTCATTCATAGAAAACCGCTGATGTCCCATTGTTAGTAACACTTACTTCATCGCCTGCTGTAGTGCTTATATAAGCTTTCATATAAAGATGAGACTTGCTAACTCTCCCCCCCTCCGTGAGTGAACAAAACCATTAGAAAAATCGCTATTTTTTTGCCCAAAAAACCCACCCTGTGAGTGAAAAGAAATGTTTTTAATAGAAAAATTTTTTGGAAAAAAAATTTTGATATATAAATGATAATTAGTATAATGAAATCTAGAGCTAATTCTGTTTAATTTTAAACAAATTGCTTTTTAAAACATAAATTTTGCAAATTAAATTAATATTTGCTTTCCAATTTTTGCGAATCAGGATTTTTTTAAATTTCAAAAAAAAAAAATTAACCCCCCTCCGTGAGTGAACAAAATTTTTTTGTTCACTCACGGAGGGGGGGGGAGTAAGCATTAGCTGAGGTCCTTGGGTAACTACAATTGGAGTTTGTAGCCTTGAAACAGAAATAGACATATTAATAATTTGCTAATAAAGAATTTCCTTATTGAAAGCTGTTTTCACTAAGATTTTAGAGCTTATTTATCTTACTGCAAAGTGTCTGATTTTTAACTTTTTCTATTTTTCTCAATAAATATTTTTCCAAAATGCTTAACTCATCATTAAAATACAGATCAACAACGCCAACTCAGTCCTCAAGGACCTCAGACGCCATTCCAAGACAGCGCAGAGCAATTTTAACGCGCTGGATAAATTCTTTATCAATTTGGCCTCGAATGCAAGAAAAAGATCTCCCTGACCAGATGAAGACTGGAACTTTTCTTGCCAAACTCCTTCCACTACTAGACTCAAAAATACGTTTTCTGGGGTTTTACAAAAACCCAGTCGCGAAAAAAGCTTGCTTGCATAATTTAGAACAAATTTTAAGTATCGTTTGGAAAAGATCCGTAAGAGCTCATCGTATGCCAACAGCAGAAGAGCTGTTAGTTCCTAAAACAGAAAAATCTTGGCAACTAATCAACGTAATTTTCGAAAGTTTTATTTTAAATGAGCTTAGAGTGAATGCAAAAAGTTGCTGAACTTGGTTCGAAACTGTGCTTGGGATGTATGGGAGAAACTTTGACATAAAAAATCCAGGGGCTGAATTTCAAAAAGGAACTAACATTGCTTATGTTTTAAATTGTTTCCACAAAAAGGTCGATTTAAGACAAATTTATTATGAGCCAACGACTAGGGATAAAATACTGCAAAATCTATGTGCGGTATTTTCAGTCATGGAATCGCTTCAGCTGAAAATGTTTGTAACCCCAGAAGAGTTTGCAGCAAATGCTGATGAAGAATTTAAGTTTAAGTTTAAACGAATTTCTCTTGCAATATTGTGCCTTCTAAGTCTTCTTTTCTATAGATTCAGCTACTATAACAGCTCTGAGAAATGGTAGGTGAACCGGCCGAAGAAGCGTCAAACCGTTAAAATTATCACGCCCTTTCAGACTTCTCTAGTCTGTGCTAGCCTCAGCACAGACCATTTCTCTTCAATCCGAATCTCTCAAGAAGCTTGATTTCTCTCACTGAGTTCGGTTTATGGGTACGGCCTGCTTGATCAGGACCAAGGACCCATCCCTAACTGCCATTTTAAATATTGTATGAAGGATTTAATTTATTGCAAATGTTTCAGATTTATAAAGCTTTTAAAGATCAAGTTCCAAATCCTGTAAACAACAATATGATTGTGTTTAAAGATGGAGTTAGACCAATAAGTTTGAATGAAAGTGCAAGCACCTGCTCTGTTTTTTCAATTGCATCAGAAAGCTTGGATTACTCCACCAGCACTATTGCTTTGTCCCAGCTTCCATCTGAAGTCGATTTGATGCCAAAAGGCTTTTTCTCTCAATTCACACCTAAATTTAGCTCAAAAGAGTCAACCAGTGATAGATGAAGTTTTTCTAGTAAAATTGAAGACTCCACCAAAAACACTTTTTCCAGTGATTCTTCAAGGAGAGACCCTTCGATGGAATTTAAAAATTCCATCAGTTTTGAAGTGGTTTCTCCTGCGAACACGAGCTATACAGATTCAACTACAGAAAAATTAAAAAGACTTGAAGAATTAAATGCAACTCAAGAGAGGAAATTAATGTATATTGCTGATTCAAGGACAAAAACAGAACAAAAAATAAAAACAAGACAAATGCCAAGTTTGACTAGAATTAAAGTTAAAGAGGATCAAAAGAAGAATGATGATTACTTGCTTCAGCTACTAAAGCCAAGATTTTTGAAATTAATTAAGGATAGAACAGAAAAAACCTATTGTTTTTGCTTGGTGCCAAATAATGAAAAATTCTCTTATGAAAGTGAAGATTATACATTGGAGTGGAGAGACTTATTAGAAATGAATTTGCAAGGCAAGCTGAATATCGAAGATATTTTAAGTATTGAATGTGTTGGAAGGTATATAATTATTAAAAGCAATGAAGATAATATGCAATTGCAATTTCCAAATGAATTTGAAGCATCTCAGTATGCTCAGAATTTGAACAGAGTGCTGCTTCGCTAATTATTGTATAAAGTGATTACTTTCATTTAATTTAAAATTTTTTATAAAAACAAAGAATTTCAGTAAATTAATATCATTATTTAAACCGCATGTGCTGAAACCATTTGCAAAGTTGGCAATATCGAGTATATAATTTTTCGCAGCCTGTAGAGCTCTTTTTTCTCTTTGTCCAACAACTTCCTTTCTTTCAGCTGATCTTCTTTTATTTTGTTGATTTTTTCATTGCCATCCTCTAATTTCTCTTTTATTTGTTTGATATGTTCTCTTTCATTTTTGATTACTTCTTTTTCTCTTTCCAAAGCTTCTTTTTCAGTTTTCATTATTTCAAAAAAGTCTTTTGAGTCTGGGTTTTTCAAGCAAAGGTCTTGAAAGATTTTTTCCTTCTCATAAAGTTCATTTTCTTTTTGGTTTAAGTAATCTGCTTTTTTGTCTAGTAAAGTTAAAGCTTTTTCGTCTTGGGGTATTCTAAGCTCTGGCAGAGGCCTCTTTGAAGAGCTTTCAGGACTTTCTGAAGTCGAAACATTCTCTGGGGTGTCTTCTTGAATTGGGAATAAAAATGCTCGAGCTCTAGGGGTTTCTGGTCTTCTTGCATTATTAAACGGGCTTAGAATAATTTTTGAGGCAATTCCATATTTTTTATATATTTGCTGTATCAAGTCTTTTCTTCTTTTTTCCTGATTTACTGAAGATTCCTTTTCCATGATTTTTACCATATGAGCCAATGATCTTGCCTGTTTTTTGGATTCGTAAATTGCTTTTTCGCCTCTTAAGTTCAATATTTTATTTTTGACATTGTCAATTTTCAGTTCAATTTTGTCAGGGTCTTCATTCGTTTCAGAATATTCCTTAATCTTGGATTCAAGTTCTTGTAGATGTCCCTGCAGTCCTGCAACTTGTTTAAACCTATAAGAAGGTGTCTGTGGTTTGGCTGAATTAGGATTAAAGCTTTCATCAATAGAGGTGTCTATTTCAAGCCCGTTTGGTATCGCTTGCTGAGCTCCAGGACTTAAATCTTCATATCCATAATTTTTAAAAAACACCTCTAAATGTCTCTTTAATTTGTATGTTTCTTGCTCCTGGACCCTCATTTGTTCGCGCCATGACACTTTTTCTCTCTCAAAAGCAGCTTTAGCAGACTTAAGCTCATTTTCTCGTTTAATAATTGATGACTTCTGATCGTTTAATTCTTTAAGCTTATTCATATAATGTGTCTTTATTTCTTCTACCTCTTCAAGTTGTAAATTTAATTTTTCTTGAGCAAGCTCAAGCTGAGGGTTTTTTCTTTTACTCCCCCCTCCGTGAGTGAACAAAACCATTAGAAAAAATCGCTATTTTTTGCCCAAAATTTGAGTGAACAAAAATTTTTTAATAGAAAAAAAAATTGATATAAAATTGATAGTCAGTATAATGAAATCTAGAGCCAATTCTGTTTAATTTTTAAACAAATTGCATTTTAAAGCATAAATTTCATAAATTAAATTAATATTTGCTTTCAAATTTTGCCAAATAGGTTTTTTTAAATTTCGAGAAAAAAAAATTTCTATAAAATTTCTATATAATTTTTTTTAAAAAAAAAACGAACCGGGGAGTTAGAATATTTCATTTCCAATTCAAGAGTAATTTCTGTCCTTAGTCTATCAATATCAATCCGATTTTCATGTGAAGCTTTTGATGGCAGATGCTTTGGAGATTCTTCAAAATGTGGTCGACTTACCCCACCATGCAGATTTTCACAGAGAACTTGTTTATCTTTCAGATCATCTATTTCTTTTTCTAGGTTTTCTATATATTTTTCCAAATATTCTTTATTTCTTATTTCATCGCCATTTTCATTCAAGATATCATAGCCTGACAAAATCTCATGCTGGATGTCCAAATCTAAAATAACAGATCCAAATGTTGCCTGTAAGGTTTCTATAGATTTTTCAGAAACAGCCTGCTTAAATTGGTTAATGCTGTTTAAAAGTTCAAGATCTGTGCATACAACTTTTATATGTTTTGAATTTTCCAAAGTCTGCATTTCAAATCCTTTGAAATCTTCAATGATCATCTGATAGCGGTCAAGCTGAATTAGCAAGTCTTCCAGTTTTTGCTCGAAATCGTCTTGCATGTAGAAAGAATCATACATTTGTGATTGCCCCTCTAATTGAAGACTGAGATCTTCTGCTTCTTCTGTGGTAAGAACTGAACACATTGATTTCATGATTTCAGAATTATCGATTCTGATTGAAGATCGGTTGTTTTCAATATCATTTAAAGCTTCTTCTAAAGCAGCATTAAGTCGGTCTATTTGGGTTTCAAGAAATTCAGAATTTTCTTTTTCACCGAGAGTGTTGTATAAATCTGCCATTGATTAGTTTAAAATCTAAAATGAAATAAACAAAGATCTTGAGTAAACAATTCTGGTAAATATTAAAAAAATAAGATGAAGGTAAATTATTATCGCATTTTAGAATAATAAACTAGGAATTTTTAAGAGGAAAATTATTTGTGTGAGGGTACCAATAAAAAACTGAATCTTCATAAAATTGTTCAAAAGTTAAATTAATTATCAGTGAAAATGCTCCTATTAGTCACTTGTAAGTTTCCGCTCTGTTATATTGTCGAATAAGATTCATCTTTATAGGGATTATAATATCTGTCACAACAATCACAGCACGCACAACATCTCTCTTTTAAAGGGTATCACCAGCATGAACAACAGTCTTTTATTTTGTCTTTGGTGTAAACGACTCCATTATAAGTATATTTGCAGCAAATTGCAATCCCTTTGCAAAAAGCCGAACAACATTCACCCATTTTATAATTTTTAAACTCAATTATGCGTTTTTGAGTTTCAATTAAATAAAAAGCAGCTTATTTTCATGTCTTTACTAACGAAAATATATACAGTTATTATTAGTAGTAGTGGATAAATGAATATTTTTTTATTTTAGTTTTTACGGATATGACCTGAAATGTAATTTTTCAATGATAATATTTCAAATTCTCAACATAAAATACTTATAAATCTTTAAATTGATTAATCCAGTGATATTTTTTTATTATATTTAGATTAGTACTTTTATAATTATAAACAATTTTTTAGAAAAGATCAAAAGCATCATTAGACTTCAAGCTAAAAATAAAAGTTTATGCATATTAAAAAGGAAAACATCCTGTGTTGTCTGCTTATTTTTAGAAATTATCTATACAATTATAAACTTCAGGTTAATTATTTGAATGCATCATTTTTATCAAAATCCATCATCGTTGAAAAGGTACCAGTAGAAAAATCTTGATACGTATCAATATTATTGTCACGGAACATGCTTCACATTGAGTCTGTACCCATTTGGTTAGGATACTGATGATATGCATCAATATCATGCGCCGGCATTGGCATGTCATCTTCCTCGCTTTCGCTTGATGAAGAACTTTCACTCTCAGACTCTTCATCTTTCGGCTCTGGCTGTGCTGGAACTTCAGTTCTTGACTTTTGAGCCAGTTCATGCAACTGTGAGTCTAAATCTGTCAGCCTATTAGAAGTGATTTCTTGAGCATTTTTAATTCCATTTATGTTCACCACTTGGGGTTTACTCTTCTTGTGTGTGCGATTTGCGTTTTGTAAGCAATTTCTCACATACTTGTCTAGTTCTCTGCATACTTTTGAAGGGAGCTTATCTATGTCTAACTTAGCTTAATATATGGTTTATTATGCTTCGCTACCTCTGCAGGGACGTTAATTTGCCTTTATTTGTCTGACTGGTGACATTATGGGTGATCTTCACAAGTTTTCCTAGCCTGACTTCACTTGTTTAAACGGCTATAGCCCAGCTTATCTATGTCAAATTCTAGCTCTTCCCCTTGGATATCCATACATTCTTGAACAATATCTAAAACTCCCCTCAGATATTTAGGATCAAGCTTCTTAATGCTGTTGCAGAGGGCTTTTTTATCTTGCAAACTCATAGGTTTTTCAAGTGGAGGCTTAGGCGGAGAAGCAGGCTTTGGCGGCTGAGCTTGAACTTTGCCTGTTTGAAGATCTTTCATGCCTTTGGACAGTTTTTCTAGTTTTTTATACAAATCCTGAATAATATCTTTTTTATCAACCAAAACTAAGCTTTCATTGCCTTTCATAAGTTTCTCGAATTCAGCACTGAGTGTCATAGTCATGTGATACAATTCAGAGCCGTTAGCATTATAATAAAACGAATTGCTCCAAATAAGGCGCATATCCATTGCAAATTGATAGCCAGTTTCGTATTCCCCACTTTTGAGCTTCCTTTCTACTGTCTCCAAATCCATAGGATCCTGAATCACGCTGTAATAGTCTGGAACTTGCTTGGGATCAACAGGGTGTAAGAAAGGTTCTGCCATAGGATGCCTTTTTATTGTCTGCAGAATTTTCTGAATTTTTTTGGAAGGCTCGCTTTGTTTTTGTCCTGAATCAATCTCGTCAAACTCTATCTTCTTCTTGTTGCGTTGTGGGCGAGATTCCGCAACTTGAGGTTCATAAACAATATCCAAGTCCATGTTGTCCACTTCAGATTTGCGCTGCTTTGACGGTCTAGGTGGCAATCCTTTGTTAACAGTTTGCTTAAGGATGAAGAAAGACGGCATTTTTGCATTGAGAGCTGCCAGCTGATGATTAGTCAATTCCACGTTCATTTTATATTTTTATTTTATTAATGTGAAAATTGAAGATTTAGGTTGATTAAGAGGCAAATAAAATATAAATGAAAGGTAAGCATTATGGGCTCTTCTTAGGCTTGATCATGCTTGTGCACAGTGTTTATAGTCTGATTGAGTTTAGACATCTAATGGAAGACTCTATGCATAGCATCCACATCGGCATGCCAAAAGACGTAATTTCTATTTAGATCCTTATTGAAGTCGTCATAGGTGCACTTATAGCTGTCTATTCCTGGGCTCCAAATGTCTCCCAGTTGCAAAAAATCATTATAGGGCCTTCCTATAGATGGCTCGGAATGCGCCATCTATAGGAAGGCCCTATATACTATTATACTTGTTGACCTCGCTCCAGACTTGACTCCTGTGCGTGTTCCACCTAAGGATCACCCTCCTCTCTGTGTCAAGCTGTAAAGCCCCTTTACGTCCTTATCCTTGGCCAAATGACTTACGTTATACGATTAGCAATATTTAGCAAGTTGCATAAGGTACATCAGATAAACCGAAGCCCATAATAATAAAATTCGCGCAGGAGGAAAGGTTTACGGGTCAACCATTACCGTGCATACTCATTTTATTATTATTAGCTAAAAAAAATCAAAGCTTCAGAACACTTTAGAGAGAAAAACCCTGAACAATTCGAAGAGAGGCCGTCATTCAGAAACTATTACAACACCAGAGGATCCTTAATACACAATCGTGCATCAAAAGACCTTGAAAAGCCAAATTAACTAGAAATAAAAATATTCCAATAAACTGCCAATCTACTATAGATATACTTTAAAATGGCGCGTCGAACCAACCCGCCCCTTATCTCCTGGTATCCACACAGAGCACGCAGAAACCTTAGGAAGGAAAGATGGCGTTGGGGATGTATCCAAACCAGGTTTTTCTTGATAGGTGATCTCAATGTCGGGTTGCCGACTGCATGCTTTACTCAATACCAATTTTTTTAACTCAGAGTGAATCGAGCCAAGAGCTATTAAGGGATATCCCAGCAATGCCAGTGGTGCTCATCCTGGCCATTGGCAGTGCTTCCCAGTTTGAAGCCGAATTTATACCCTTGACTTCGAATTTCCATTTTGACAAGAGTCGACCAGAAAATCTGAATTTTCCATGGTGGGCAACTGCTAACGTGTGGCACGACAGCGCGACACAACAAACTATTATACAGAAAATGCAGGCCCTCGTCCAGCAGGAGCAACTTTTTGTGAGGTAGCGCACAAACTGACGAGCAGGTGAAGGGGGCATTAAGGGTGATGGTAACCTTCAGGAATTACAGTAAAATTCTCTGCAATTTTAATAAAACTAAACTCAATCTGCTATAGATAAGCCAGAATTTAAATTTAAACGTTTTTGTCATAGAAAAATCTTCAATCAGGCACTAATTCTTTATGTTTAAATATAAGATCCAATGCTTATTCCATAAATCGTCATAATTAAAATCCACAAAGAATGATAAGCAAGAAATATGTAAATCTTATTTAGGGAGCATTTTGGTTGTCGCAATCTACTGGAATATCCTCAGATATCCCTCCACCCAAGCATCTTTTTGGGTCAGATTTTAGTATAAAATCATGTGCCGTTGGAATAAAAAAAGGAATTTGTTTAGCAGAAGATGGAAAAGTCTATGAAAAAGGCCTGACAAAAGAAGAAATCAAGGACCCCCCTGCAGAAATTTTTATCCAAACTGCTATTAAAGCAATAGCTTGTAATGATATGGTCGGAATCATGATAAGTAATCAGGGTGAAGTTTTCATCTGAGGAGTAGACAGCAAACAAAGCGGGCTCTTCATAGAGCCAGGATTATATTCATCTGAAATTCCTGTCAAAATTCCACAGCTTGAAGAAATAATACAAGGATCTATAGGGAAAACACATGCTGCCGTAATTGATTCTATGGGACATCTTTTTACTTGGGGAAGTGGGTCTCAAGGAGAATTAGGAACGCTCGGATTTTCGATAAATCACCAGCCTCCTATGATAGTCGAAAGCGCCAAAATATTTAAAGCTAAACAAGTTTTATGTGGGCCTTCTTTTACTTGTATATGCACTGATGGGTGCTATGTGTATTTGTATGGAGTTATAGGAAGCGCGCACAATTACATTAATTCAAGAAGGTCTTCTATAGTGAGAAGGCTCCCGACAGGGTCACCGAAAAAGGGTTCTGGGAATTACCCTTATACACTACCAGAGCTTGAGAAATATTCAATAACTGCTGTGAGCTGTGGAAATAGTTTTATTGTGGCTTTAACTGACTCAGGTGAAGCGTATATTTTTGATGATTGCATGGATTTAGTGAAATTGCCGATAAATTATGGAGATAGCATAACTTCTATTGCAAGTACACTTGATTTTGCTTATGGGTTTTCTAGAAGCTCCAGCTGTATATATGAATGAAGAGAAAAATTTCAAAATCGGTTATCATCAAGCACGGATTTTATGGAATGCCAGCTTACTTATTGGATTGGGAAAGTATATGCAGTTCATAATGAGCACAATAATCTAATCAGTTTAGTTTCCACCTGCTCACATATGGCTGGACTTTTATATGAAGCAGAGGAGCCTGGAACACACCAAATAGCTAGATATTTAACAGAACTAGCTCCTTATAAGCGCTCTGAATATGCCAATAAGCTGATTGGCTCAGTTTTCGACTCGCTTGATTACAATATGGAAAAAAATTCTTCTTTACGATCAAGCTTAAGAGGCTCTATAGATCTTACTATTACAAAAGGCCATGAAGATTTAGAAAGGCTTTATCCAAAAGGCGACAATGATAAAACGATAGAAAGAATAATTCAATGCAGAATAGAACATGATAGAAAAGAAAGGCTGTCAAAATCTATTTTCCCGCTTGTGTATCCTGTGCTAAAGTCTTGTTTTTCACAGATAAAAGAGTTTGCAGGGATAAAATGCATATATGATAAGACACTTGCTGCTGCTTTGATACCTGGAATAATTGGAAACCTTTATCATAGATTCAAAATTGAGTCTGAAGCTTTTGCTTTTCAGGCGATTAAAAGGTTTTCGAATTATCAGAAATTCAACGAAAACAATGAATACCCTATATACGACCCAAGGAAAAAGGAAGCAGCTAGAGGAATTTTGCAAGAAATATCAGCGTTGGCACATAAATATAAATTATTGGCTTTTACTTTGATAAAAGAAAGAGAAATTTTATGCTTACCTCTCCCTTGGGCGAGCAAAATCATCGGAAAAATCCCTATTTCAAACAAACAAATTTTTTAAAATATTTTGATATAAGTAATAATTATTATAATGAAATCTAGTTAATTCTATATTTAAACAGTTTGCATCCTTAAACATAATTTATAAATTAAATTAATTTGCGCATTCCAGTTTTACGAATAGTGATTTTTAAAAAATATTATTATAGTGAGCAAGCAAAAACATTTTGGTCGCTTACAGAGGCTAGCGAAGTTACAAAAAAAGACTGCTGCACTAACTCTAAAGCAGGCCATCAAAGACATGAATAAAAAAGCATTAAAAAGGAAATTTGAGAGGTGGCTTAAGGTTGATGCAAATGAGAGAAGTGATGGCCAAAAATCAATTGAAAAGATCCTTAAAAAATGCATTATTTTATATGAGAGGGCTCATTTCAAGCAAGCTTTAAAAATTTGAATAAATTCTAGTGACCCTGAAAAAATCAATAAATGGAAGCAAGACTATCAAAGAAAAATGAGTTCAAAAATTATTTTCACACGAATTTCTTCACATATAAAGCGCCTTAAGAAAAAGATTTTCAATAGGATTAATAATTATTCCCTTGGAGCTAATGAAGAAGAATCACCAATAATAAATCCTTCTGAGTTAAATTTTAAAGGAGTCTTTCAAAAACTAAAGAGTGACCGAGAACTAATAATGGAAGAGAAGCTCCAGATACTTGAAGACTGTCTACAAAAGCATTATTTAAACGTTTTAAGCGACTCATGAAGTAATTTAATAGATGACGGAAAATTGAGGACATAACCCGATCCTGCTTTGGATCGGCTTGACTGATGTCGGAGTTCCCAGATGGGAAGTTGATGAACCAACGTTTATTGGCAAAGCCAACTCTCCAGATGGCAAATCCTCTTGTTATTGGTGGTTTGTCATCTGGGGTGTTGACTTTGCAGCAAACGTTGGCTCGTCAACTCCCCATATGATAACTCCGATATCGGTCAAGTCAGATCCAAAGCAGGATCGGGCTATATATAGCATTATGAATTTGTCAAATACAAATGATGAAACTTCAAATAACACCCCAGAAGCTCTAAAGCAAGATGACGATATGGTCTTGATGCATTCAATTGAAAGCATGCCTAAGAGTCACTCAACTGTATCAGTGAATGTAAATCAATTATCAGTTTTCCCTGATTTGCATACACGCCTCTCTGAGCGAGACCAAGAAAAGCTTGATTTTGTATCACCATCTGATTCCGATGGATTTATTCTAGATTTGCCAGGTGAAAAAAGATCTCAGCCAGTAGAATTAGAAGAGTCTGAGATTTCAAGACTCTCTAGCACGACATTCACAAGGCATACTCCAACTATTAATCAAATATATAAAGCCCCAGAAGTAGAAATTGACATTGAAGCAGAAATTTCAAATAATTCAAGCAGGTCTAATCTTTATGCCAATCATTCATCTCAACAAAGCTTTGATTCTTCTAGCTATCAACAAAAACTGATTCAAAACATGATCTCTAGTCCTAAAATTTACAAAGAAAAAGACAAAGACAAAGCCTTAAAAATCGCTCTCAATTCAGGAAGACCACCTTGGAAGCCATCAAGTAAAAGTCCTGCAATCGCCCCAGTCCATAAAGCAATAGTAAGCCCTACAAATAAAAGACAGCAATATGATACTGAATTGAAGCAAAGGATGAGATTTATTGTAAAAAAGAAATCTGGGTTTATAACACCAAATTTTGAAAGGCTGAACGGCTTTTCTCCTCAAAATTTATTAGAATTTACTGATAGCGTGCCAACTGATAGCGCACCTACAGAAAGTGACCCTTCGCCATGCAGAGATGTGAAAAACTGTGTTTTTGATCCTAATATGAGTTTTGAAACTAAGCCAGAAGAAGATAAAAGAGTGAAATTAAGCTATCAAAAATTGATTAAATATCGGAAAGGTATTTCAGCTTTAGAAAAAGCAGTATCAAAATCGTTATCAAATGCTATATCTGAATCTTTAGCAAAAATCAAATTGAAGTCACCATCTAAAGTAGGAAATAAAGGTAGGGAAACTAACAGTAAAGCGCGCGATATACCATGGCAGCACCGCTTATACCTTGTCGCTTCTGATAATTTATTAAGAGTTATGAGGAAAATTTACAAGAAAGTTTTTGTTGCGAAGCTAAAAAGATATCGTTAATCTTTTAACTGATAATTATTAAGAATTTTGATTTGGCTCTGTATTTTCTTGCTTTTTCTTAATTTTCAGGATTTGAGCTTTTTCTCCGAGCTCTTCCAAGACATTTCCAAAAGTTTCACTAAGCTTTGCATATGATTCTGCAAGCAAAGGAAAAGTTTTGACAGTCCATGGATTTCCAACAAAAAATTGCAGTAAATAGGAAAAACTCAGAAAATCAGCAACTCCAGGGTGAGAGCCACCAATAAAATCTCCATTCAAGCTTTGTTCTAAGTGTCTGACTGCAGCTATAAGTTCTTTATTTGTTTTTATGGCAGCTTTCGGGCATTCAGAAGCTAGCTGCTTAAGTCTATAAATGATCCATTCTTCGAGATGTAGATTGGATGAGCCAGCAAAAGGAGATTGCTCCATAATGTATCTCATTATGCTTAGCTCTCCCATGACTTCAATTGTATTTCCTACGTTGTCTTGGGCGTCTATTTGCAAAGTGACAATAAAAGCATTATCAGCTCTTTTTTGGACTGTAAGACCAGTCCATTTGAGAGCTAGTAGGATTGCTTTCACACCTTCGTCAGGTGCTTGATAAATCAATCTCATTATGGATGTATATATTACATATAGGATTCATATTTTATGGTTTACCACTCATGATGTATATATCATGAAGTTAATGAAAATACTGACGAAAATAGAACTATCTATTTATTAAAGTAGAAATCTATGAACTAGAAATTCTTTAAAGTCTTGAATGCAATAGCATCCTCTGCAAATAGACATTATTTTTATAAAAATGATAGCTAGCCATGAGATCCAAAAGAAACAAGGATTGTCAAAACTATCTCACACAGAAACTGATGGCGATCTTACAATTTCAAATCAAGACGAATCTATACAGCATAGCGTAGTATTGGTTGAAAATGCACTCTCTGCTACTCGAAAAGAGATAAAGAAACTTTTCAGCCAATTCGGAGAAGTGGATAAGGTTTGGGTTAAAAGCAATTCAAGCGAAAACATTAAAGACACTTCATCTGGAGCTTATTGCGTTTTATACAAAAATAAAGAAGAAGCTTCTTTATCTTCCTCTCTTAATGGGCAAGATTTCAAGGGAAACATTCTTTCAGTATCAATTGTTAACAAACCAGAAACAGAATTAACGATGACCCCCCCCTCAATCTTCATGTCTGCAGCAAAAATTTTTCGAAAAAAATTTTCATGCCTATGCAACACAAACATTTTTATAAAAAAAAAAATGCATTTTTCTCTAGGTGAGTTTCTCAAAAAAAAACCATAAAACAGCGCTGCTGTAGGCGTGCCAATGACTTTCTCATCGAGATTTAGACGGCTATTGTGATCGCTCGCCATTTTATTAAATTTATCTATAGAAATTGTCCGAGGATGGCACTATCTTGCGCCATCCTCGGGCAATTATTATAGCTAAAACGTACGGAAAAATTTAAGATGCGCTCGAAAATTTGTTGCAAGAGGATTAGGATTAGGATATTACAGACAGGCGCTAGCCATATTGGTGGCGCAGCCACCAAAGACCTCCCATATGGAAGCTTCTACGGCTTTTTGACTCCAGCCCAGAGGGTCGATCCCTCTTACGAGTGCCCTTCCGGTACCTTCTGTCTCCTCCTTGCTTTGCGGCTTCAGTCTTGAGTAGGTGGCTTATGGATTTCTGCGGCCCTGCTACGGGCGATAGGAGTAGCTTGATTCCAAGGATTTGGAGTCTATTGGGTGTCAGAGTGCCTTCCTTCGACAGCTACAGGAAAAAGACTGTTCCCCTGTGACCTGGGCGGAAATCCCCAGTTTCTCGGTAGAGGAATGCCCATGGGTCCTCGGATCCAAAGGACGTTGTTGAACGCATCTATTTCCAACCACAGGAAAGCAGCCAAAACCTACCCGGATACACATTTCTTGAGCCTGCGTCTGATTCTCGGCTAGAGTCCGTCCCAGTTCGCCATAGCCATAGGTTGACATGAATTTACATACATGTTGTAAATTACAGTAAATTTTGCTCCTACAAAAGTGACTGTAAATTTTTTTTTACGAATTTTGCATGAAAAAACAACATCGGAAAAAAATTTTTTAAAAGTGTACCTGAATTTACAACATCATAAAATGTTTTGCCGTTTTTGCATGAAAAAACAGCATTCAAAAAAAAAGTATGAAATCGTTAATTTATAAGATTAAAAAGAGAAATTTCTGAATAAAATAGATTATAAATACTAGACTCCTTATTGATTATTAGGCTATATAATAAAGATCAAATGAATAAAGAAAGTATATTGCACCTAAATCAGGGCTTGATTTTGCTATTTAAAATTTTTATGCTTCAAAAAGTTGCATGAAAAAACCCGGAAAAAATTTTAAAGTTTATGTGATGTGCATACAATCGAGCACTCAAAATAATGTTTAATAACAGATATATACTCTTCTAGCAATTGTATCTTTTTCTTTTAAAACTAAAAGCGCTTTATTCCTAACAAATAATATAGGTAATGTTTAAAAAAAAAATTAAGCGCTTTCAATGAAAAAACCCGGAACTTAATTTTTAAAAAAAAAAATTTGCATGAAAAAACCCCTGTGTTGTTTTTTGAAGTCCCAAAAATTGCATGAAAAAACCCATAATGGATTTTTTTTCTTGAAAATTGCATGAAAAAACAACAATTAATTTCTTACTCCCCCCCCCTCCGTGAGTGAACAAAACCATTAGAAAAATCGCTATTTTTTGCCCAAAAACCCACCCTCCATGAGTGAACAAAAATGTTTTTAATAGAAAAATTTTTATGGAAACAAATTTTGATATATAAATGATAATTAGTATAATGAAATCTAGAGCTAATTCTGTTTAATTTCAAAAGAATTGCTTTTTAAAACATAAATTTTATAAATTAAATTAATATTTGCTTTCCAATTTTTGCGAATTAGATTTTTTAAAATTTCGAAAAAAAAATATTTTTTATAAAATTTTTAATGAAAAAAGGGAATTGAGGCTTAGCAGTTTTGATAATAATGAATATTTGTTTCTACACAATTTTAACGCAATTTCTAGCATATTTGCAAATGTATTACATACTTTATCTCTTATCTCTGGCAAATACTATTTTTAAGCGAGTTACTAAATAAATGTGCCTAATTTAGCTTTATTATATTTACTTTTAACATAAATCTAGCATAAATTGCTATAAAAACGGATAGATCATAAAGAGATCAATAATTATTTGTATCATTCTATTATTTACTAATTTTTTTATTTTTACATATTATTTATTTATTTAGAAATTATTTTTTACAAAATATCAATGGTAATTTGATAGTTCAATATCGGTACACAATCTATCGCTGATAGCATTAAATCAATGTATTTTAAATTGTTTATATCATTTATATATTTATAAAACCTTAAATGCCTATTTAAATTTATAATAAAATATATCATGTTGTAATTATAATTTTTTAAAATATATTGGATATTAGCGTCGATAGAAATTGAAGTTGATTATTTCTGATGCGATTCTAATTCTATTTATCATGTATTCGCTTATAAATAGCACTTTTGTCTCTCATGCGCAGTATTCATGTATTTTGCAAAAAATAATTTTGTAAATAAATAAATAATATGTAAAAATAAAAAAAAATTATTAAATAATAGATTGATACAAATAATTATTGATCTCTTTATGATCTATCCGTTTTTATAGCAATTTATGCTAGATTTATGTTAAAAGTAAATATAATAAAGCTAAATTAGGCACATTTATTTAGTAACTCGCTTAAAAATAGTATTTGCCAGAGATAAGAGATAAAGTATGTAAATACATTTGCAAATATGCTAGAAATTGCGTTAAAATTGTGTAGAAACAAATATTCATTATTATCAAAACTGCTAAGCCTCAATTCCCTTTTTTTCATTAAAAATTTTCATTAAATTTCCTAAGAAATTAATTGTTGTTTTTTCATGCAATTTTCAAGAAAAAAAAATCCATTATGGGTTTTTCATGCAATTTTTGGGACTTCAAAAAACAACAAGGGGTTTTTTCATGCAAATTTTTTTTTTAAAAATTAAAGTTCCGGGTTTTTTCATTGAAGCGCTTAATTTTTTTTTTAAACATTACCTATATTATTTGTTAGGAATAAAGCGCTTTTAGTTTTAAAAGAAAAAGATACAATTGCTAGAAGAGTATATATCTGTTATTAAACATTATTTTGAGTGCTCGATTGTATGCACATCACATAAACTTTAAAATTTTTTTCCGGGTTTTTTCATGCAACTTTTTGAAGCATAAAAATTTTAAATAGCAAAATCAAGCCCTGATTTAGGTGCAATATACTTTCTTTATTCATTTGATCTTTATTATATAGCCTAATAATCAATAAGGAGTCTAGTATTTATAATCTATTTTATTCAGAGATTTCTCTTTTTAATCTTATAAATTAACGATTTCATACTTTTTTTTGAATGCTGTTTTTTCATGCAAAAACGGCAAAACATTTTATGATGTTGTAAATTCAGGTACACTTTTATAAAATTTTTTTCCGATGTTGTTTTTTCATGCAAAATTCGTAAAAAACAATTTACAGTCACTTTTGTAGGAGCAAAATTTACTGTAATTTACAACATGTATGTAAATTCATGTCAGCCCATAGCCGCCAAGAAGGCAGGTTGACACGTGTTGAAAATTATTATTTTTTTTATATAAAATTTTATATAGTAATTGCCCGAGGATGGCGCAAGATAGCGCCATCCTCGGGCAATTACAATATTAAAAAATTGCATTTTTGTTGCAATAGACATGAAGATTGAGGGGGGAGGTCATCGTTAAAATCCAGCATTTTCATCAATAATTTGCCATACAATATAACAGAAGAAGAGTTGAGGTCAAAATTCAAAGACTTTGGACAAATCCGAGAAATAAAAATTCCTAGGGGTAAAGATGCACAAAAAGGGAAAGGGTTTGCACATGTGGTTTATTCGAACAAAAAAGAAGCCAAAAAAGCTCTTTCAATGAACAATTATATGCTATCAGGAAGAAGATTAAACGTGACGAGAATCAAAGATAAAGAAACTCTGCAAAAAGAAAAGAAATCCTTGCAGACAAAGGAGCCTGCACATCAGTCATCAAACCCATTTCTTAATCCAAAAAAACTAACAAAACAATCTGATTACACTGACCAAAGCTTTGATTCAGCAGAAATTAAATTGCCTCAAAAAAGAGAGAGAAAAATAGAAAAGAAACAGAATAAGAAGAATGGGAAAGACATGACGAAATTTCAACTCAAAAGAGAACAAAGAGGGGATTGGAACAAAAAAAGGATAAAAACAAAAAATAAAGTTAAAAATAATTAAGTATAAAAATCTTTATGATTTTGCATACCAAAGCAAGCTTTGGATAATGTAATTCCAAAAATCAATTTCTTATGCTAAAATGCATATTCCATAAAATATATTTTACACAAAAATAATATATTAGAAATTATCAGTTTGAAAGCAAAATTTATAATCTTATATGTAAAAAATTATAATAAACCAAAATCTAAACTATTACTTATAATAAAATCCATATCAAAATTTTAATTTGTTTTAGTAAAAATGAAAAATTTTCGAAATTATTAGGCATGAAATTTTAAAATTTAATAATCTCTACACACTAAAAAATCACAATAAAGCAAAGTCTTTGCCTTAATGAGCAAATAGAAAATGTGAAATTACTCGACAACTTTCTTTCTTACTTACTTACTTACTTACTTACATAGTTTTTTAAGGTGTCTAGTGCCCACACCCCTTAATGAAAAAGGGTCAAAGCGACAACTAGTGACGTCACCAAGCCATCTTGGAATATGTGGTCAGCCCACACCCAAGCCTTCTATAAGGCTAGTCGCCAGATAAATCGCCGCACATCTCACCCGGCGCGTTGCCGTCTCTCGTCCAGACTCAGCTCCTGCGCGTGTTCCGCCTAAGGGTCATCCTCCCGTGGGGGATGTGCTGAGAGGTAAAACTCCGAAATCTTGAGTGCGCTGAGGAGCCGTGCCTTTGGTTATCCCCAAAGTTAAACGGCTGTTGCTGTGCAGAAGTTCTCGAGAGAAAACCCAAACCCCATAAATAAAATTTCCATGAGGGAGAAAAAAAATGGCAGAGCCAATTCCTCTCGAACCGAATGCCATTTTATTTATCCGACAACTTTCTTTCAGTTAAAATCTTTCAATTGTCATTATTTTCCTAATTTTAGTTAACTTAAGCTATACGCTCGACAGTCCAGAAATCATTCTCATCTCTTCTATCATACCCAGTGATTTCTTGTTGGTCTCTGATCTTATGCCCATGATGAGAATGCAGAGAATGGTTGCTCTGAACATGAATAAGTCTGATATGGTGATTTCCAAACCAAGGAGTATTTGGAGGCTGTCCTTCGACTTCCAAGCGCCAGTTATCGTTGACATCTCCAACTCCATGCTCTCCAAAGGCACAAATTTCTTGTTGGTGGGATGATGGAGAATGAACTCCTGGCGATGAATGAAGGTTCTTACCCGTCGCAAGATGCTCAAGTCTGATGATTTGATGGTTAAGGACTGGAGTTCCGATTGGACAATTCCAAGGTCCGTTTCCATCTGGTCCTTTAACAATCCACCAATCATTATCATCGCGAGAACCAAAGCCTGTAACTTCTTGTTGATGGGTTCCACTTCCTAAAGCATGAGGATGCGAATGAAGTGAATGGTGAGTGGCGTGGTGAACAAGCTTGATAGGGACTCCGTATCTGATAGGAACTTCTGCCATATATTTATTATAGCCACGATTTTTAATTACCAATATTACGTGGATTTCAAAATGGAATAAAGACCAAGATGTTCATATAGTAACTTTTATAATGAACTGAATTTATGTTAGCCAATTTTATCTGAAATTGAAAGATTGAGTAATTAGTCTATATAAATAGAAGCTTACTTTTATGTGGCTGTTGCAGATTTTAAGGATTATATTGCTATTAGACATAACGACTTTTATAAGTAAGGATAATCTGATCCATACATTAAACGATGTAGAAAAGATAGATCACGCTATATGCTATGATTGTATTGAAATACATCAGAGGTGAAAAAATAAAAAATGTTATTTGTTTGCTCTAATAATAAATTTAATAGTTAAGGATCTGGCATATTATAAGTTATAAGAATTAATTTATGCTTGCTATTTAATATCTCTGATTTCCTCAGAAATAATAAGGGAATAATCAACGTTTATAGAAAATTATATAGCAACATATAAGTCCATTAATAATCTACACATAATTGCACGTAAAACCAATTTTTAGTTAGCTACTGCGAATTTTCTTTGAGGGAAATTAAGCTTTTTCTTCAGAATTCTAACTCCCCCCCCCCCGTCCGTGAGCGAACAAAAAAATTTTGTTCGCTCACGGAGGGGGGGTTAATTTTTTTTTTTAAAAAAAAATTTATATATAAATTTTTTAAAAAATATTTTTTTCGAAATTTAAAAAAATCCTAATTTGCAAAAATTGGGAAGCAAATATTAATTTAATTTGCAAAATTTATGTTTTAAAACGCAATTTGTTTAAAATTAAACAGAATTAGCTCTAGATTTCATTATACTAATTATCACTTATATATCAAAATTTTTTTCCATTAAAATTTTTTTCTATTAAAAAAATTTTTGTTCGCTCACGGAGGGTGGGTTTTTGGTCAAAAAATGGCGATTTTTCTAATGGTTTTGTTCGCTCACGGAGGGGGGGGGGGGGTAAGAGGAAGCTTCTTGGCTTGTTCTTTTGTTAATCTTAATCTGATAGCTCTGGTCTGTTTTAGTCTAATATCATAAGGAAGATACTTTTTGCCTTTGCTGTCAGCTTTGATTTGGTCTCTTTTCTTTTCATGGATGATAGTCAAGACTTTGGCTACGTCTTTTCTGAACACTTTGATCTTTGAAAGCTTTGATGGAGCTCCTCCAGCGACCTTCGCGACCTTCAAATGTGAAAGTTCAGTCTTGAGTTCTTCAAGCTGCTTCTTTAATCCTTCTTGATCCTTCTTTCTAAGCTCGTATGCCTTAACCTTCACCATTTATTACCAATTTATCAATTCCTAGCTAAGTTTATTCAGTCTTTTTATATGAAAAACTTAAATTCTTTATTTCCCTGCTATAATATCTATTAGCTTATATGTTTTTAAAGTATTGGAGATATGGAGGGGCTTCATGTTCCAATTCCACATACACTTTCTTGTAATCAGGCTTCCTATAATGCCCATTAGTTCTATTCCTTGCAATTTTCCCCATATGATTAAAAGTACTGACAGCTTTTAATTTCATCCCGTAGACTTTTGTAAAAACTTGTCTAAGTTCAGGCTTTGTGAGTTCTTGAGGACATCTGAAACAAAGGACGTTTTCTTGGAGTTCTTTTTCTGTCCTGACTAGGTAAATAGGCTTGTTAAAGAACTTATACACTTTTGGTTCAGGTCTGAGCAATCTAGGAATAAGATTAGGCCGTAGCTTGATTAATTTATCCATTATTATCAATGGATTCAATTCAAAGTTAATTCATTATGGGAGGTGGGCATTCATTAACTCCTGAATCTCTAGAAGTGCTAGCGTTGAATGAAGAAAAATCACACACAATTGCAGAGCTCAGAGACAGAAAGAAGAATATTTATGTCAAAATGCTTAAAAGAGTGCTTCAGGAAAGTGATAAAGCAAAAAAATCAGAAGTGAATTTGTGGATGATGCCGGACTCAGCGGTGCTTACTATCGTGATGTTTTTGGCTGGAGAGTATAAAATACTTATTTCTGTTTCTCCTTACTGGTATTTTAAAATCAAGGAGGTTTTGGACGCTACTTTTAGTTCGATTGAAAGCCATTTCGCCTTGACACATTCTCATCTTTTTATATTTAAACGAAGTTTCTTATACTCAGGGAAAATAGCGGTGAGCAGCAAGCATGGGATTAGAGTTGATAGGATTATGGTTGCTGAGCCTTTACCAATTTTAGCAAATCACACAGTTAAACTAAGATATACGTATCGAACTTATACGTCACATCAAAATTACAAGGCGGAATTCAAATTAGACTGTATTCCAAAAGGAAATAAAGCTGTTTGATTGCATAGGGATGAGTCAAGAGGTAATGAGGATACTAAAATTTATGCTTATTCTCAGCAAATTCCGTTAGTTTGTGTAGGTGATAATATTGAATTTGCGATTAATTGATATAATCTGCAAGGACTGCTAAGATTTGAAACTATCCAATGGCAACCCCCTTTGATACAAGATACTAGAGCAATTAAGAAGTCACATAATCTAGCTCCAGAGTATCCACCAAGCTACTTTGAAGAAAATGAAGGAATATCAAAAAAAATGTATTTATATAACGTAAACAGAGTCTGTGATGTAGAACTGGGTCAAACTGAGTGATATGACTCAAAATATTACTTTAAAACAGAAAATATTTACTTTTATGATCATTTTTTGCCATTTTTGAGGCTGATCAAGAGTCAATTTACAGGAGTTGATGTGAATGTCTCGAAACACACCTATAGAGCTGAAAAAGAAGGCATTGTCCCTAACAGTATGGATTTAATTGGAATAGGAATTGAAATCCACAATAAAAATGGCGAAATCACGAATGAGCTGAAAAGAATGGGGCTGCTTTATGACAGGCATTGTTCCTTGCATCTGAAAATTGGCGATACTCTTGTTCTTTATATTAGTAAAGGAGGGTAGTTTTGTATTAATGTAAAATTCGTAATTAGATTTAAATAAACTTATAAAATAATAATTTTTATGTTATAATCTGCAAAGGCTATTAATTTTTTTGTTGACTTTTTGAAACTCTTCAAATAATGTACCATGACTCGGAATGATGCAATGCAAAATTGCATAATTTATTTCATTTTCACTTAACCCGAACTTTTTATTTACAGCAAAGTCAATAGCTAATGACACGACAATTAATCTCTCATTTTTGTTTAGAAAGTTGAATTTTTCTATTAAAATCTCCATTCTTTGTGCCTTGAATCTCATTATGGATAAGAGTTCTTCAGGACTGATATCTCTGTCTGATGAAGGCTCAAAATTATTCATATTATCAAGAATAACCTTGATATCTTGGTCTTCTTGAAGATTTCGGATTGAATTTGTAAGGATTTCGTCACTTATTCTTTGATGGGCTAATATGAATTGAAAACTTTCTCCAATGGCTTGCTGTCTTTTTTGAAAATTTTCAAGGAAGCCCTTGCTAATTTCTCTGACTCCCCCCCCTTTAAATTGGAACAAAAAATTTTATTCAATTTAAAGGGTTAAGAAAATGTTTTTATGAAAAAAATCAATATAAAATTTTTTAAAAAGAAAAAAAATTAAATAAAAATTTAAAAACAAAAAATTTCAAAAATTTATCGAATTAGATTAATAAATTTGTCTAATAAAATCCTATTTACTCTTTATCCTTTAAAGCAAAGCAAGATATAACTAAATTTTCATTATTAGTTAACACGCCACTATTAATTGGTATCAAAACTATTTACACAAAAATTATTATTTTTATTGATAAAAAAAAATAAAACAATATTTTTCGAAAATTTATCGATCAAAATGCTAATTTTTGTTTAAATAAGATGTTATTTATACTCTATTCTAGCAAGAGATAAGTAAATTTTCATTTTTTTGTAAAGAATTCGCATTGAATTTTCTATCAAAATTATTGAAATAAAAAATATCATTTTTATCGAAAAAAAATAAAAATTTTAATTTTTTTTAAAAAGTTTAGCAATTATAGATAATAAATTTATTTAAATAAGATGTTTTTATATACTCTATTCTTTAAACAAGAGCAAGATATAACTAAATTTTTAATTTTAGTTAAGAAGAAAATTTAACTTATATCAAAACCTTTTACATAAAAATTATGATTTTTATATATACAATTTTTTAATATAAAATTATATTTTGTTCCAATTTAAAGGGGGCTTAATTTACCAAAAAAGTGGAAATTTTACCTATATTTTGTTCCAATTTAAAGGGGGGGAGTGAGAAGCCTTATGGGAAGCTCTTCTATAGAATTTCTCCTATGCTTTGATAAAAATTCAGTTGTAGTTTGCAAAAAATCGTCTCTAAGATCAGAAATTATAAGAGAAGCATAGCTTTTTGTGCTATTAAGCAGGCTTATAACTTGTGGTTTTGGAATTGGGCCTGATATGAATTGTTGAGGCTCTAAAGAAAAATCAAGAAAAACTGGATGTGGAGATACACATGTCGAATCAGTGTAGAGAGATTCTCTTCCGCTTATATATGAATGCTCGCTATTTCCCATTTATAAAACTACCATTAATTAATCAGATCTAATGTATTATTAAATTAAAACATAGGAAAAATATCTTTCTCATTTTCTTCGTCTATTAATTCCAAATTCTCAAATTTAGATTAAATAAATCTGAGTCAGGTCTAATATATAATTTAACTTCTTAAAAAATTAAAATATATATGAAATTACCCTTTTAATTAATAATTCATTTAGTTTTAGACGTAAAATAAAAAAGAGATCGCCCAGATAAAATAATTTGAGGATTTTTTATCTCGCTAAATAAAATTTATTGTGATTTTTAAATATTTAAATTATAGGAATGAACAAAAGAGACCATACATCACCAAAAGCAAAAAGCCAGTATGAGTTTAGCACGAACACTTATAAGCAGAAAATGAGTGTACTTAAAGAGAGAGATAATTAGGAGAGTTAAAATGAGGATTATTTCAGCCCCTAGCCATTCGAGTTTCACCCCTACCTTTCATATGGAGCTAGACACTGAAGCCACCAAGGCTCTTTTTCTCAGGGTCACATCGTTTGTCTGACTGGAGAGTCACCAAACCTACTTGGACTAAATTTTCAGCATAGGATTTCTTACTCCCCCCCCCCTCCGTGAGCGAACAAAAAAATTTTTGTTCGCTCACGGAGGGGGGTTAATTTTTATTTTTTAAAAAAAAATATATATAAATTTTTTAATTGTAAAATAATATTTTTTTATAAGTTGAAAATTATTTTAAAAATATTATGGGGGGAGAGTAAGGGAATTTCCCAAAAAAAAAAGAATACCATTTGATTAAAGGTAAAACACAGCTTAATTTTTCAATAATTTAATAATCAATAAAGCTATTAGTAATAAATATATGCATTCAGTTAAAATATTTTATATATTTTCTTATTTAATATAATAAGCAAATTCTCTATAAATCATAATATAAAAATGTACAAAGGGAAAAGAAAGTACATTGAAATTTGGCAGAAAGTTGAAATTGCTGAATTTTACATTCAACACCAAAATGAGATGAGCATGAGAGATGTTGCTGCAAAAGTTTCATGTCAACTCCTTTAGCTCGATTTCCGAATGGGTTGAATAAGCTTGATGAGTTGAAGAAATCAGTAAAATCTGATAAAAAATTAAAATTAGAAAGCTTCACTCAATTTCCAGAGCTAGAGAAAGAACTAGTTCATTGGTTTACTGCAATCCGTGAGCAAGGTATTCAGGTTCTCAGATCAACGATTGAGGAGAAAGCAAAAAGTTTGGCGGCAGAAAATGGGGATTGGCGCGATTCGGCTGTGGAGATAAATGGTGGCAAGGATTTAGGACCAGAAATAATTTATCTTTCAGAAAAATCAATGCCTCAAGCATTAAGCCAATCGAAAAAGAGGCAGAACTTGTCAGGCAATACCTAGATGATTTAGCGTCATTGCTTCCTCAATTCGTTCCATCTAACATTTACAATTTCGATGAAACGAGATTTGATTGAGATATAAAAAAAGCAAGTTCACTTATGATTTCAAAGGGAACTCAACGAATTCTAGGGCGTTCAATCAGCTAAAATGAACCATTTTATCACTGTTATGCTTATGATTAGAGCTGATGGAGAAAAAATGCCTGCTTTTGCTCATTTTTCAAGAGAAAAATGGCCAGATCCCGAACCTTGTAAGAGAAAGACTGAATATTCCAGAAAATGTCATCATAAAATCAAATAAATCTGGCTACATTTCTGACCAGATTCTTAATGACTACCTCAGAACAATATTGAGACGAGGGAAACCAACTGCTGATTTATGATCAGGCTGGAAGTCATAAAACTATCATGATTTCTAATGCAATTTCAGATTTAGATGCAACCAAAATTGTGATCCCTGGAGGGTGCACAAAGTATTTGCAACCACTTGACGCACTGGTAATTGCAAATTTCAAATCAAAAACAACAGATTTCAGAATCAAATTCCAAACAGAGCAGATTGAAAGAAGATCGAAAAGAACTGGAAACCTCAAAGCTCTTGATCGCCAGCAACTGATAAACATTGCTTCAAAGGCGTGAGATGCTGTAAGCCCTCAACTTGTCAGAAAATCATTTGAGTTGACGGGTTCTTATGGCGTTAATCATCCAAAGATTTTCAGCCATCAAGTTAATATGAAGAAGTTAATTATCTAATCGATTTCTTCTATTCATTTTTTTGTCTTAAATTTAAAATTGTTAAATTCAACCTTTTCACTTATGGTATTCTTTTTTTTAACCCTTTGAATAATATATCAAACAAACTTAATAATTATTTTTCAATATTATCCTCTTTATTTGTATTAAATATAGATATAATAAACTATATATATAAAATTATATGTAAAAAAATTTTTTGTTCGCTCACGGAGGGTGGGTTTTTGACCAAAAAATAGGGATTTTTCTAATGGTTTTGTTCGCTCACGGAGGGGGGGGGGAGTTAGCATCTGGTAGTGGTCATAGTATGAGGGAATCGTCCGATACCTCCTTCTGGAACTACCTCCGCCATTTACAGGCAGCAGAAACTCCTCTAGAAATGTTCGATTAATGCTACACCTTCGGTCTCTTGTCTGTGGGCCGAGATAAACCCTGCCCCGGAGAGTTCCTCCACCTCGAGCCCATAGCTCCTTCAAAAGCCAGCACAATTCACTAACCCTTGAAGTTCCAGGCCTTCTCTCGCAGCAACTCCATTATGCAGAAATTCCGCACTTAAAGAAGAAACTGAAAAAATTAAAAGCTCAGTTGGTTTTGAATTTATAACAGAAACAAAAATTAATGAACCTTCAAGAAGAAGCCTATCTCAAGAACCATATGAGACTGGATCTAAGAAAACAGAACTAGCCAAACGTAAAATTGCTGATCTCGACCGACAAATCGCTGAAATGCAAAGCAAAATAGCAAAACAGCGAGAAATGATAGGCGGAGTAAAAGGGAGCAAAGAAACAAACCTAATTATCAACCGAAAAATCAAAAGCTTAGAAAGCAAACTCGAAATCTCCCTTCAAAAATACAATGAATCTGTCGCCAAAAACAAAAAAATTCGTGATGAAATCGATAAAGTCAGAAGAGAAAAAAACTTTTTTATGAATATCTACAAAGAACTCGACGAAGATATTAAAAAGAAAAGGGAAGAAATGAAAGAAATCGTAGAAAAAGGAAATAAAGCAATCAGAGAAAGAGACCAAGCTAAAGAAAAAATAGAAGAACTCAAGCAAGAAGCTGAAAAAGAAGAAAAAGAGTTTAATTCTGATTGGAATAATTTAGGAAAAGTCATTGAAAAAGAAAAACAAATAAAGGAAACCCAAGACGCGATTTTAGAAAAAAGAAAAAATGCTGAGCTGGAAAATAAAGAAGCAGAGCAAGAACAAGAATTAATTAAAAAAATCACAAAATTGTCATGGAAAATTGCAAAAGATAAGGCTGCAATATTGGTGTCAAGCAGAAAAGTTGATGAGTATCAGCTTATTTGTGATAAGCTGCAAGAGTATACTGGAATAAGCGATATTGAAATGCTAATTAAGCAGTATCAAGAGACGAAAGAGCATAATATAACATTAGGAAAATATGTAGAAGAGCTCAATTTAGACTTAGAAGCAATAGAAAATCAAATTCAAGCTTTAAAAGATGAGATTTCTGAAATAAAAGCAAAAGGGAACAGTTCAGAAGAAAAGAGAATTCTTGCTGTAAATGAATTAGAAAAAAAATATTCACAAACTACAAATAAAACTAGTGACTATACCCAAAGGTGCGAAGAAATGACAGAAACCTTCAAATCAATTAAAAATGCAGTTGATTTATTATTCACAAAACTAGGCTGCAAGCCAGAAAGCGATAGACTTGTCTTAAACGATGAAGAGAGCTTAATACAAAAATTAGGCATTATAGAGCATAGAGCGACTGAAATTATTACACTTTTTAAAGAATGCCAATCAGATAAAAGTGAAATTCCCCAAAACTTCAAAAAAGACCTCAAAAATTCTCCTAAAATAGAATTCACTGCGCCACTTATGGCAGAAAAGGACCCACAAATAGAAGACGAGGATCTATCTATCCCACTATCCTGGGAAGATTTAATGCAAAGGAGTCAAAAAAGCTATAAGACCTTAAAGAAAAAGTAATAGCTAATTAATCAGTTAATATGGCAAAACCCCTTGAAGGAGATGGACTTATTGAAAACATATATTACTACGCTTGACAACGTGAAGGAGACGATACCTCATTTCGAGGTTTTTATTTACCACATACAGTCATTTATAAGCATCAACAGCCAAGATCATGGTTTTATTCATCTGGAGATGGGACAATTGTCAAAAAACCAAAAGACCAGCTTACTACCTTAAATATAGAGCAAGCATTTCTTCAGTCTGTTTCTAAGTCTGGGATTGTAGCTTATTTCACTTATATAGGTAAAGGTGGAATTAGAGAAATAGAATTTTTCGAAGCTGAAGAACTCAAGCATTTTTTGCATTACAGGAACAAGTCACAAGATGGAATTTTACAGAAATTTATTGACCCTAAAGGAATAAAAAATAGCCAGATCCAGATGGTGTGAAGTCCAAGTATCTGCTTATTTGAGATGAGAGAAAATACAAAGGATTTGTATGATTTGAGGTATGACTTGTATGAAAGAGCTGTTACTTTTGAAGGGGAGGAGTATCATAGCAGAGTAATGCCTTTGAGAGGCTTTGAAATAAGGAATTATATGAGAAATGTAGGGGAAGTGCTTGTCGAGCATGTAAAGCTTGTTACAGATAATCAGATGTCTATATCAAGAATGGTAATTCATTTTAAAATTGATGCTAAAGATAGACTTTGGCTATTAATGGCAACTTCAGTCCGCTGCCAGTCCAGCAAACCATTAGATCTTGTGAGCTTAACCAAGCTGCCTGACACTGTGAACCCTAAAAAAGTTTCCTCAAATCCTCAAAATCCTGTATCCCTCCAAAAGTCAGTTTTATGCAATAACTGCGAAAACCCTTGTGAAGTTGAAAGAATGTGTGATATTGCCTATAAGTTTGTGATAGATTCCAATTCTCAAGAAATCCCCAAATTAATTGCAAGAAATCACCCAAAAATGACTTTATTCGATTATCTCAAACATAAGAAAAATGTTGTTTTTCTTAACAAAAAAACACTTGTATGTGACGACTGCTACTTAAAATTCACTGAGCCAATTCATTATGCAGGTGCTTGGACTGAAAGACTTGACTATTCCCCTTCCAGACATCTTAACCCTACCAAGCTTTCAATTAGAAGAGAAATTACAAATTTAACAAAATCATTAACCCCAATTAAATCCAGGCATTTATCAACAGTAAAAGAAAAACCTAACTACCCCCTCCGTGAGTGTACAAAACCATTAGAAAAAATCCCTTTTTTGCCCAAAAGCCCACCCTCCTTAAGCGAACAAAAATTTTTAAATAAAAAATTTTTTTATGAAAAAAAATTGATATATAAGTGATAATTAGTATAATAATGAATTCTGTGTAATTTTAAAAAAATTTGCATTTTAAAACATTTTATAAATTAAATTAATATTTGCTTCCGATTTTTTTTAAAATTTCGAAAAAAAAAATTTTCTATAAAATTTATATATAAATTTTTGTAAAAAAAAAAAATAAACCCCACGGAAGGGGGAGTAAGCGCCTTAAAAGAAGGAATAAATCGAAAGAAAAAGTGAATTCAGAAGCCATCCTTTTATCTGGAAATAAAAAATTCCCTAAAATCCCTTTTTTGAATTTGAAGAGGTTTAGCGAAGACAGAAGCACAAATGTCGACAGCTTGGTTTCTTCTGCGAATTATTTCCAGCCTGAAAAAAGAAAAATTGTTGATGATATATTGAAAGCTATTGAGGATAACCGTTAAAGCCTCATTGGTTAATTGACATTTTTTGAAATAGTTAAATGATATTAAATATTTAAAATGGCCGTTAACAGTTTGATAATTTGTGCGCTTGTTGTTTCAGTAGCATTATCTACAAGTTTACGCTCTGATAACTTATTCAAAGCTTATTTTCTGCAAACAGAGTTTAATGAACCTTTGGAGTTTTCAGACACTTTACAAAAGAAAAATGATATAATTGAGCAAGGTGGCACTGCTACATATGATGCACGTGATGCAGATGAAGCTATTAAGTTCTATAGAGAATTACAAAAGACATTAAAGCCTGGAGAAACTTATCAGAAAGATGCTGACACTATTTTAACAATTGAAGATGTTGATGAAAGACTTGAGAACTTAGAACATATGGCAGAATTGGTCAAAGCAGGAATTAAAATTGATGCTAGCAGATTTAAACAACAATAATTAATTTTGATGAGGATAAATAATTATGGAAAGCAAAACGATTTGTAATTATCTAGATTCTCTATACCAATGGGGGATGCCAAACCAAACTTCTGTAATAAAAACACAACAGTCTGTTATTGATGATATTTGCCCTTTAAAAAGCCCTGTAAAAGATGAAGGGAAAAATTTTGATTTTTTTGTACCTTTTATAAAAGAAAGAGATGGGCTTGGGAGATTAATAACTTATAAAGATGAAAATTTTAAAGAAAAACGGGCACAAAGCAGCTATACACCTAGCAGAAAAGCTGTTATTTTGCCTCCTAAAAGAAAACTTTTAATGAAAAAATTGAGAGATGAAGAAATTGCGAAAAACTCTCCGACTGTAGGATCTTATTGTACGCCAATTAATTGAATAAAGCACTCATACTCCACGAAATCGTTGTTTTTTCCTAAAAGGCATCCAAGCCGTGGGAGAATAAACCAAAATCCAAATTTTTCACAAAATACTTCAACTGAAGTCCAAAAAAAATTGCTTGAAAACAGCATGAGATCCACAAAACAGTCTGCAGAAAGCACTATTGATAGGAAAGCGAATAAAATTAAAATTGACCGGAAAAAAGGAATTTGAGAAAGCTTGAAACTGCAAGGATCGGCTGAGGAGTTCAGAGAGAATTTAAAATTAACAAAAGAAAAAAGTGAAATTTTGCAGCATCAGGATAATATTAAGAGACTGCTCAAAAATATGAAGAAAAAAGAAAAAGTGGCAGATATAAGTGTAGTATAATACTGAATAGATAGAAATTGATTAGGATTTTGATTATTCAGTGTCTATATTTCATATAAACTTGCTAGTTATAAGCTTATGTTGTAGAATTAAATTCAGTATCTTTTAATAAATCAGATACAATATTATCCAAATATATAGTATGTGGGAAGAACGTTTTCACTGTATTGGCAGATAAATGCGTAAGTTTTAGTAAACATTAACAAATCCTTTATAGTTAATTCAATTAATGCTATTGAAATGGAATTAAGAGAGCATTTTGGGCAAGTATATCAAGTTTGCAATATAAACTTATATATGCGCTTTTTTATTTTTTCACTATTTTAATGTAAAAACAATGTCTAGTATGCGCACTGTTCATATAAAATCATTTACCTTTGATGGGCTTGATGAACTTAGAGCAAAAAACGTTTCTCCTTTGAGAAAGAATTTTTCCAAGAAAAGCTTGAATGTTCCCCAAACTATAAAGTCTTATAAGCACTTCAATGAAAATTTTCAGAAAAAACAACTAATCTACTGCTCAAGCGAGTTTATGCTGAATTTACTCCAAAAAAGACCATCAATTCCTACTAGCGAAAGAATTTCTAGTCTAAATTATAAATATATCAACCCTCATGGAATAATACCAAAATCTTTTCCGAATTTGAAACCTCTCAAAACAGATTGCCTCCCAAAAACTCCCAGAAACTCAAAAGAAGATTTTATTTCATATATAAAAGATAGGCCAAATACATCTAGACCTAAAACAGATGCAATTCAAGCACCACAGAGGCCTAAAACTGCCAGAATTTTATCAAAGCCCTATACTAATCCATTTTCAATTACGAAGGAAAAATCAGAAAATATCGAAGACACTGATATAAAAGAAAGAAAATCTGACCCGAGACCAATTAAAAGAAATAATCACGAAAAACTAACTCTACAATTAATTAAAAATATAAATAAAAATAGTATTTTATTATATCGGGGACAAATTCAATTATTTAATATCTTGGAGTAAGAATTGAAATAAAAATCCCCATGTTTACCAATACTTCTTCAGACGATGAAATCACTCCTTATTCATCATAAATATAAAGCCCTGAGGCTCAACACTTTGATTAATTACTATGTTTTCAATATTAAGTGTTATAAATAACTCTAAATGGAGGATTGGACAGATATAGTGTCTGAATCTGAAGCTGATCTTGATCTTCAAATCGAAGCAGTCACTGAAAGCTCTGAGTCTTCAGACGAAGAAGACGAAATTTCAAAGACCTACCTAATCCAAGGCAAAAAGCTCCGACTGCCTAAATTAATTGAGCAAGTAGATTTACTCGATGTTTTTACAGTTGACGTCTGGAGTGACTTAATCACTGACAAAGATCGTTCTGAGCTCATTTCGCTTCTTCCGTCATCCAAAGTAAATCAAACCCTTGAAGAATTATTCACCCACCAAATCTTCCATATGTTCAATCCTATTCAAGAATTCAGTGAAAAAATCTGCAAAGGACACTATACTTCAGCCCATAAACGAGTATCTAGGCATGCAAAAGCATTATTTGACGACGATTTATACCAGTACACAACCAAATTAAAGACCGAACTCCCTGAAAAATTAAAATCACTATCATATGAAGCTGCAAAAAGTGTCTGGATCAGAAGAAAATTGGCTTATCATGAGTTTGAATCAGACAGTTCTAGTGATGAAAGTGTATTTAGCCATGACTTTGATGAATGCACAAGTGGAGACTCAACCATTATTGATGAGGAAGAAGAAGCTTTATATGAGATTGCAGAGAAGCCGAGAAAAGGGGAGGACGAAGAAAAAGAAAATGAGCTTAAAAAAGTGGGGAACTTAGACTGGGTTAAGTACTCATCAAGATTTAAAGATTTAAATATACACAAAAATCAGCTCACTATTAGGATGTCTTCGCTAGAATGGGTTGAAAAGTATAGAAAGCAAGAAACTGATAGATATAATAACCCAACTCTCCCATGGGCTTACCAATTGGAAGATGGGACAATTGCAATTGTAGCTCCTGTGTGCAAAAAATTGACGTCAACTAATATAAAGCCAAGAGACCATCAATGTCTGAAGCCAGATAGACCAGCTTATTTGACACTGCTTTCTATTACAAGAGATGCTGCAGCAAGATTGCAAGATGGGGTAGGCACCAGAGCTGATATCTGTGCGCTTGTAAGAGACAGCCAGTTTATCGTAGAAAATGCTTCTGACACTCAGATTTCTAACTTGGTAAGTGGAGCACTTGACAGGCTACACTACGAAAAAGATCCTTGTGTTAAATATGATCCAGAGCGCAAGCTATGGTTTTACTTACACAGAGGAAGAGGGCTCGATTTTGCAGGCTGGAGAAGTGAGCTTCCCGTCAAGCGCGGAAGACCTGCAGTCACCCACGTCCAAGAAATAGCCACAAAAGAGTATTTGCCTCCATATCTTGAAGAAGACGAAGTCACCAAAAGAAGAAAAGGTAAATAATCATAATATAATAAATGAATAGATCTCAAAGTTACACTAAAGTTTACAGCAGATTTGGAAAAACTCTCGACGAAAAATTCACCAATGTAAAAGCCCACCGAAAAGAAATTTTTTTTGGACGCAAGCCAAAGCTTCCTACTAGAAAAACTGACAATTCTCCTCAAGAGGTTGCAAAGCCTGAACAAGTTGTAGAGCTTTTAAAAGAAATAGAAAAAATCACTCCTAAAAATAAACAAAAAACTGTAAAAAGACTTTCTAGTGCTTTTAAAGCACAAGGGAGAGATGAGTATTATCATTCCGTTGTAAACGTAATTTAGAGCAATAAAGATCATGTCCCGCATGCTGGGTATTATAATTTGTGTTTTGATATGACAAGACAAAGAAGCTTAGAAGCTTCAATACCAGAAGAGCCGAAATCTAAGCCAAGAGTCCAAAAAGAAAAAATTGATATTGATTTCAGAGTTGTTGACAAGCCAGGCCCAAAAACTGCTGGACCTATTAGTTTTGGAAAGCAGCTAAAAAGACAAGGGATTAATGTTTTTGATGTAAACGAAAAAAGATTCGAGTCTTTTAATGACAAACCACTAATACACACCAAAACAAGAAGAGTTTCTACGCCGAATTTTAACTTGCAATCTGGTCATAGATATTTGATACGAGAAGTTCTGAATTCAGCTATTTATTCCCCAAAGCACTCCAGTGTGTGAGTTGATACGACTAAACCAATTCTGAATTTCTCGAAGTCTCCTGAAAGAAAAACATTATCAAACCCTTGTTGGGTGGACTCGAATTATTATAAATTAAACTTTACACAAGTCGATAAAGATGTGCCTGTTGTAGATATAGGCAAAAATTTATCAAGACCAAATGATCCTCATTTTCCTGCATTTATGATTAGAAATACACAGTGGCATGTTCACCCCACAGCTCACGCCGAGGAGCACGTAATACCCAGGACAGTGGCATGTTCACCCCACAGCTCACGCCGAGGAGCACGTAATACTCAGGAAGTGGGGACTATAAATATACAGTTTAATTTTATTTAATCTAATGATTAGAAATACAAGCAGAAATGGCTTGAATATGATGACAGAAAAATCGCTGGAATTGAACCATCATTCAAGCTCACATTTTTTTGACTATCAGTCTGATTTCAAAAGCTGCCCAAATTCTCCAAAGAGATCTCCTATGCGCTCTCAATCGAGCAGCTCTGCATTTAATAGTCCTAATAAGCAGAGAAGACCTAGTGCGCTATTGTAAATTTATACATTAAATTAATTTGTGAGCCATTCATTCTTGACTAGCGAGTAGCCTAATCTTTGATAATTTTTTAGTGCCTTTATAATTACTTTATTACTTGATTGTTTATCCCAATTAAAATAATTATGGTTAGCCCACTGCAAACCTATAGATTCCTCCTGCTAGGTGTACTTGGATTCTCTCTGGTGAAGCTTGCTCAAATTTATTACTTAGAGCCACGATCTAAAGAAATGCCTACAAACTCCAAGAATCTTATCTACAAGAATACTCCTTTTAACTATATGAACCAGAAAGAAACCAACGATAAGAGATTTCAAAGACTCACTGAAGAAGAAATTATAAAAGAAGGTGAGCAAAGAGTCAAAGAAGCCATTATCTTAGATGATGATACATATAAAATGACTATGACGAGCGACCAGCACTCCTCGAGGTGGGTGTCCTGTTTATATCCAGATGTGCAAGAGCTGCTCAAGGGTTGGGTTAACCTTGAAGCGAGAGACCCCAGCACTATTTCAGCTGATTAGTGGCCTGGATTGAGCAGAAGTTTTTTGCATCTTTTTTTGGCATGCAGCGCCCATGCCCAGTTTTGGTGTCCGATTGAGGCATGTCAGCTTACCTGCCTAGGCTGCTCCTTAAGCTGTCCCGAATTGTGCTAGTATTTAAGCTTTCCTTTGGCGGCAAACAAGGGTAAAAAGGAAAGACAGGCTAGAAAAAGACTAAGGGCTAAGTCTCTCCATTTGAAAAGAGTTCCGTGACAGGGGCAGCCTGATCTAAGCTAAGTAGGATTGGGTAATTTCGGTTCCTTGAGTTGGAAATTGAGGCTTTATGACTCATGCCATGGAGGGAAATGCCTTTCCCGAGAAACCGGGGCTTTGGTCCATGCTCAAGCTAACCATGGGAACTCATGATACTTAGGAAGTGGGGACTATAAAAAAAACACAAGTTAATTTTAATCTTAGATGCTGGAGAACAAACAAGAATAAAGAAAGCTAAATAAATTCCTTACTAACTCCAACCCCTCCATGAGTAAACAACAATTTTTATGAAAAAATATTTTGATATATAAGTGATAATTAGTATCATGAAATCTTTAGCTAATTCTGTTTATTTTAAACTAATTTACATTTTAAAACATATATTTTGCAAATTAAATTAATATTTGCTTTCCATTTTTTGCGAATTGGGTTTTTTTAGAAAAGAATTTACTATCTGTAAATTTTTTTAAAAAAATAATCCCAAAGTGAGAGATAAGAATTTTTTTGTCTGCTCACATAGGGGGTAAGGAAATTTATTAATCTTTAGTAGTTTTCTCACATTAATATGAATTTCTATTGAAAAATAAGACCCTGGATTTTAAAATCCATAAAATTATTTGCTCTGATATATTCATCATAATTATTTAATATAAATTATAAGTTTGGAAATTCTTAATTCATTCAGTATTGATTTAGATAGAAAATTTTTCAAATATTCTTCTTTGAATATTTTGCAACGAGTGAGTCCGAACCCTATGTATTGAATAAAATTTTAAATATTGATTAACAGATATCAGACTCCACAAGCGAGAATTTTTTGTTGTGGCCTAATTTTGCAGAATATGCAAAAAAGTAGTTTGATGCTACTCATTAATCTTGTAAGAGCAATAATTAGCATGTAAATGCTATAAATTTTCAAATTAACTTCAGCCCAGCATAATAATTTCTAATCAACTCATTGTGCAATATCTAGATAATTACAATTTATATTATTTTAAAAATATGATTATTAAAACTTTTCTGATTTCAACTTGCCGCGTGAATAATAGTCTCCATCGCTATGATGGACTAAATTTTAATTTTTGTTAATAAGTTTCCGTGATATTTTTAAATAGCTGAATACTTATTATTTTATGCTCATCATTATCTTTAGTTATGGCTCCTAAATAAAAAAATTAATCCTAGCAAAAATGAAAGATAAAAAATCACAATATCCTATTGCTATAAACTGGGAAATTGATTTTAGGGATATGGCCATGAATGATTTTACTTAAAATGGGAATGATATAAAAAACTAAGAAAAAAAAGTGCTTTTGAATGTTTTAAAACTATGTAGAAGTATACTTAAGAAAAATTTCAAAATTATTCTTAAAAACTATTGATATTATACAACAAAATATAATTAAAATGGTTTTTCTGAATGTATTTAGCTGCTTACTCTCCCCACTTTAAATTGGAACAAAACATGCATTTTCGGGTACTTTTTACCCCCTTTAAATAGGGAAATTTTTTTTTTTCAAAGTGAATAGTTTATTTTTTTTAATTATGTCCAAATAAATATTCAAATTATTGCTCTCAATTTATATTAAAAAAAATTATATAGAGAAACATTTTTTAATATTTTTATAGCTCTACTTTCATTTGGAGCAGGAGATTTTTTGCCCGGTTTGAAAAAGGGGGGCTGATTACTCATTTCCATAAAATTAAAATTAAAAATAAATTTTACATTTTATTAAAATTCATCTTTTTAATTAATAAGCCTTAAAAGTGATGATTGCAAGATAATGATTCTTAAAATGAAGTTTATTTCAATAATAGTATATACATTAATATGGTAAAGTTGGCCATATGATCTCTTGGCACAATTTTCTTAACACCTGTAGGAACGCCCATAATTTATTTCCAGAAATTTTAATTTTCAAAATTAATTTGTGCTTGCCAGCTGTTTTGAAAAATGAAAATCTCTGTTTATGGTTTTAGGATGCCTAATCAAACTTAGACTGTACAAGGCCTATTTTTCTGGTAGGTAATCTACTAGGGTATAATGATATATTGTGGTGCATAAATATTACATCCTTAATGTATTTGTGCAGAGGCTTTCCCACACAACAGGGTATAATATCCGAAAGATGAGATTTTTTCTCCTGGTATAGAGATGAAAGGGGAAAAATCGGCTATTGCTGCTGAAAAGAAGTATGATCCCTACTAAAATATACTCGTGAGAAGATGAAAAGAAGATGCTGGAAAGAGGGAAGCCCATAAGTACTAGTAAGGCTCCTCTTGATAAATCGGGACTATTTCCGACACAGAATCAGATGTTGGCTACTAGTTTCCATTTGTCCGGCAGGTGGACAGAAAATTCGATATTTAAAAATTTCTGGAAGCTGAACCCCGTTGACTTACGCTTTGGAGACCCAGTATCTGTGGCGCACAGGCAGCAAGAGCAAGCCCTCATTCATGAGAAGCAACAATAGAATGGAGGCAAACAAGTCTGGCAAGCAAGCTAGTTGCGTTATGTAGATGATTTGTGGCTGAAATATGCCTGCAGGGGTCTTCTCTTGTAAAATTTGCGTTAATTCCAAGGCTGTAGGTCTTTAATGAATGAATACCTGGATAAAGTTCAGCCAATTTCAAGCAACGCACTAATTTAATAAGATTTAATTTCAATAATTACCACTAAGATAAAGGGAAGCGATTCTACTGCACTGACTAAGGTTGATGCTGATATATATACTTGCATTATATAATATCTTGGACTATTTATTATTTAAACCCATAAACGTGGGATTTTCTATTATTTCTTAATTCATCTGCATATATATATATGTAAAACTTTAATAATCATAAAGATGTCTCGAAACCAAATCTCTTTACTAAAAAGCCACAAAAAAACTGAGATAGCAGAGAAATTTGCTTGCCTATATGATATAAAGACACAATTAATTACTTTTTTTTCAAAATCATTCGGACGAAAATACTCCTCCAGATTAAATTTAAAAGGCCAAATGATATCTGAAATAGTACTCAATTCTGTGGTTACAATGCAAATGATATCAATTTTTTGATACCCAACCATGCCTATCACCAACTGAAGCTCATGAGCTACGCTATGAAAAATTTTAATCCCAGAAGGATTTTTTTTTAAAAAGTCTTTGATTTTTTAAATAATTTTTGACATGAGATAACTTGTAATTTTTATGCTAAAAATAGACTTAATAAGCCAAAATCGCCTGGAAAAAAATTATAAAGAATACGTTATGTAAGGATAGATGCATTTTGTGACTATTTTGGTATGATTGAATATTGCTTTATTGGTGCATCCTCAATTGTGGGATCTTGTGTGATATTTATAGTATTAACTAGCATTATTTACTGACACAGCAAGAAGTCATTAGGCTTTTTAAATGTAATAGTTCGTAAAGGAGTGATAGGAATAACTAATTTAGGCTGCATTCCAATACAAATTCTTTGCTGTGTTGTCTTTAAATACTCAACTTTTAATGCCTCAAAAGTTCAAGAATATGAAAACTATGATCTGCATAAGCTTGATCTCGGAGTAGCTGGGTCTATATTCAGCTTTCTAACGTTAGTTCTCTTGATTATTTTAGCTTACCTTGTTGAGCTATTTGGAACTGATATTCGTCATTCTGTTGTAGGAAAAAATATTATGGCAAAGCCAAATTCAAATCTGGATTTGACTTTAATTACTCTTTCTACTATCCAAGTCTTGTTTTACGTTTTTCTTGATGAGCAGTATGTAATTTACTATCAGTTGATATTTCTTTTCATAACAATAGCTATTTGCTATAGATGGATAAATGCAGTCCCTTATTATAGTTCATACGAGAATATAATTAAAATATGCAGAATCTCATGCAAAAGTATAGTCCTCATAGTTTTCTTATTAGGCTATGCAATGGATAATTCACTTGTAGTATCAATACTATCTATTGTTATCACTCCATTAGCGATGGCTGCCATTTCTATGAAACTTTATAGGAGATGTGATTTATTATCACCAAGGAAATTTTTTTTTCTCTCTCAAATGGAGTTTGAACAGTCCATTAGGCATTTGCTTGTTTCTGAAAACACAGAAAATAAGGATAAAGTTCTAAATTTATTTTCTGAGTGCTATAAGCCAAGGTCATTCAGAAAAAATAAATTATTATCAATATGAGAAGCTAATTACTGTTTATTTATATTGAAAGATCCAAGATTGGCTCGAGTTAAGCTCACAAAATCTGCTTTTACAAAGCCGTGCCTAGAAGGAGATATTCAAGAAGACAAAATTTACCAAAAATTAGACAAAAAAAAATCTGATCTCCCTGAAGTTGAGTATCTCGACTATTTATCTAGCCTTGAAAGTACCAAAGATAAAGACGAAGAAATGTGCTATATCCTTTTAGACCTATGAAATGAGATTGCTTCTCGATCTCCTAGAATATCAAAATTAACAAACATGTTCATAAAAGTGAATGACCTCACAAAAACGTTGAAATCTTCATATGAGTCCTTGGCTTCCAAAAATAAACGTTCTGATGTTTTTGATTTATATGGGACTTTTTTAGAAAATATTTTAGGTGACTATGAAGGAGGGGAAATTGTGTTGAAGAAAAAAGTGAAAATTGGATCTTTAGATATGATGATTGGCTACCAAAAAAAGCTAGAGGATTATGATGAAACTCTATCAATCATATTAATTTCAGCAAGTTTTGACTCGTTTGGAGTCATTTCTTATATTAACTCAAAAGCAGCACAAAATTTGAAAACCCAAAAGTCTGATGCAATAGGGATAAATTTTTCGAGTTTTATCCCAAAGCCTTATTGCAATGACCATAATGAAAATATGAGAAAACTTTATATGAACTGCACAAACACTATATTAGATAAGCCTAAAGATTTTTTTCTCCAAGACCAAGAAGGCCATCTCTTTGAATGCAATATTCTTTTCAAGTTTACAAATTTTAATTCTAATCCTTACATAATCGCAACTCTTCGGCCTGGTAATAAACTAAGGCAAATAATTTTAGTTTCTGAAGAAGGAGATATTTACAGTTTTTCAGCGCTAATTCCTCATGTATTATCTATAGAAGAGCAAAACTTAAGAGGGTCTAATATAATGAAGTATTTCCCAAGTCTTGTTGTTAAAGATATGCCTCCATTTCAACACAATTTAAAATGAAAGTTATAGGTAGAGCCATGGTCCTAAAGCCGAACTCAGTGAGAGAAGTTTACACCTTCCTGAGGGTTTTGGCGTCAAGAGAAGCGTTCCAAAAACTGAGGCTGGTGTGGCTAGAGAGGTCCAAGGGACTTAGGGATATAGAAACTTTAACGATTAGGCCGGTCTTACCTACCGTTATTCAGAGCTATCAATCCAAGCTAAACCGCAAGACTCTGTAAAAGAGTAATCTTATTAGCATTAACATACCTCCATTTGAACCACAATTTTTGAAATTCCGAGGAAAGTTATTAGGAATAATCCACTCAATAAAAAAAGTAAAAAGTACTACAATTCATTTGCTGCTAGTAATCAATGATAAAAAAGAAATAAAAAAATGGAGAGAAGGACAAGCTGAAGAACAAGTTGAGTATTTTGGAGGAACTGCCAATGTTAAATGGAAAGCAGAAATGATTAACGACGAATCAACCATTTCTAGTGTAAATTTTGAAAGAATAAGAACAAGATTTGCCACAAATTATATTGCTTCTATTGAGAAATTCCGTGAGGACGCACAACTTCTGCTAGCTTCAAAAGAAAAAAGTGACGAAGAAGAAGAGGAAGAAGCTGATATAAAATCGCTTTCTGTTGTACAAAGTAATAGCCAAGCAATTGGCATAAACCGTAAAACTAATTTAGGATTGGCCATAGATCATCTACAGAAAACAGAAAGGTCAATTAAAGTGTATATATATGTTCTATTAATTTCTGTAATCCTTATACAGACTTTAGTTATGATTGCTTTAAATGCTGGGATTCTAGCACTTATTTATATACTTATATACCAAGATAGCTCACTAAGAAGCATTTTTTGGTTGGCCGAAACAAATAGTTGGTTTACCAAATTCGTTAGCATGCCTTATTTTCTGGCTAACCAAATTTAAGGATGGCGAACCAAAAAATGCTCCTTAGTGGGCTATTCTTGGCAAGCAGGTATAAGTTCGCCTCAAACACAAATACTATGAAAGTTTTTACTCATCTCAGTAATATGATGTACTTGGTGGGAGGACTCCCTGATCTTATGAGGAATTTATTTGTAGAAATCGCTGTACCAGGCTCTTATAACTTAACAGCAGACATTATCAATTTAAATAACACAATCAATGGACTTGACTCAATGCAAGACACTTTGATGCAAGATCTCAACACTTGGACCTATTGTGACGCTTCATGGATTGTGACAAAGCAGATTATCCCTGTGTGGCGATTTGATGATCTCCCTGTATTGCAAAAGCATGACCTTATGCGAACTCTGGATTTATTTAAAAAACATGTACGAGCTATTTAGGGGTACAGAATGATTGATACATTGACTGAATCCACAAATTATAATATGCTGGACTATAGATTTCTGTGATTAAACAGTCTGACTTTTACATATGATTATTTAAATCATGCTCTAGAACAGCTAGTAGAATGTGAAAGAAATAGAATTGTGGTTTCAGGAGAAAGTATACAATACTTTTTAATATGTGGAATTATTGTGCTTGCCATGTGTGTTGTGATATTAATATTCTTTACATATCTTGTGAAGCGCAAATATGATCTCTTTTGAAGACAAGTAAAAAAGTCTATTCATATTGCTTATATACAGCTTAAACAAGCGGTAATAGATAGACTGCTGCAAGTTCATGGTGCAGAAATGACTGGCTTCTCCCTGTAAGCAAGCAAAATCATTGGAAAAATCGGGAAAAGCCACACTTCAATAAAGAGCAAAAATTATTTTAAAAAAATAATAAGTGATAAATATTATTATAATGAAATCGCTAGATAATTCTGATAATTTTAAGCTGTCTGCATTTTAAACATAAATTTTTATATTCCAATTTTGCAAATTTTTTAATCTCTAAAAATAATTATTCCCTTTTGTGAGAGGGAGGAAATTTTTTTTTCTCGCTCACGGAGGGGGAGTGAGGAATCTAAAAAATTTATAAAACTTAAAGACTCCAAAACTTTTGATGTAGATACCAAAATTGTATAGCCCGCTCCCGGCTATGGCTATAGATCCGGCTATGCCCAATCTTTGCCGGGACACTCGAGGAGTTGTCTGCGTCAATTTTGGGTGACGAGTCAACTCCCGAGTTGGCAAATAGCCACCATATAGTGATTTGCCAGCTCGGGGAGTTGAATCGTCACCTCGAAGTGACACAGACAACCCCCCGAGTTTCCCGGCAAAGATCGGGCATAGCCCGATCTATAGCCGGGAATGGGCTATATTAATATTTGGGCGGAGGCTTTGCTTTTTTGTAGTTGTCTGCTTAACTTATTATTTCTTAACTGAATTTTATTTATACGATAAATGTCAAACCTCGCTAAAAGAAAGACCCAAAATTTTGGAGAATTTTATTGTTAGAAGAGCAATGCTAGCTAAGGTTGGATATTACGCTAGAGAAAGCAGTGGAAGCATAATGCAGATCTTTTTTCCTGACTATTATGATATTCCGAACCCGAAAAAAGAATATTTGAATTTAATAGGTGAATATAAAGCAAAATATAAAAATCTATGGGAAACAGAGATTTTTAATACTTTGTCAGGGGAATTAAAGTCAAGGCTTTTTGAGCATTATGATACAATAGATCGGCTTGAATACTTTGGGAATATTCCTGCAGCTAATCTTATACTTTTTGATTCATATTATATAAGCTCTCCAGGAAAGAAAGGAAATTCCGATTTATATACATTTTTTTTGAATTTAACAAATTTACAGTCTGGAATGGCTACGGATTACAACCTTGCAGATCGAGACTCAAAAGATAGAATAACTGCTAGATTGAATACAATCATATATTGAACTATTGCGTTTTCCATTGGTCTTGCTCTTCTATTTCTGCTATATTATTTGCCATTTTTGTGTAAAGAGTTAAAAATTATGAAAAGTGCACAAATTTTGCCATCATTGGTTCCTAAGTTCAATGCGTAGACGGCAATAAGCCAATCTTTTATAATTATAATTTATATTCCATTAAAGTTAATAATTAGCTCAATTACTGAAGTAATCTCATCACCAATATCAGCCATATTAATTCAAAATAAAAATTATGATTAAGCTTTATTTAGGTTGTTTTATTTAGAATTGGCTTTGTATCTTTCAAAAACGCGCCAGCTATTCCACATAAAATCATTGCTACTGCATAAACTGATAACGGTAGCAAATGGTTGTTGTTAGAAATATCCATTAAATACCCTGCAATTGCAGGTGAAATAACTGCTGCAACTCTTGCAACTGTATACACAAATCCAAGCCCAGCTCCTCTAACCTGCGGCCCATAACTTTCAGGCCCAATTAGGTTTTTCCCTGCAATCCCTATAAGCATTGCAAAATAATATGCAGCTCCCAATAAAACAACCTAAATAGCCCTTACAAACTGGAAGTTCGTAGAAAGCATAAAAATCAGCAGGAGAATTCCAGACACAATGAACCCTAAAGCTAGCGTCCATCTTCTCCCAAGTTTGCTATCAACCATATACATAGCAACTACTAATCCACAAATCCCACTGACTTGTTGAATTCCTAAAACCATGTATCTTTCTCCCATATCATCAACTTGCAAAAACTTAGGCAAGAAAAGCAAGATTCCATTATAGCAAAAATTGAAAAGGCTGATTGAAATTGTCAGGAATATTGTAGCTCGAGTATAAGGAGATTTAAATATGTTTCCAAACGGCAGATGAGGGACTACTTTGTATTGCTCTTCGTCGTTTTCTGACACAAGTAGAGGGGCACGGATAGCAAAGCTGAACCTTTTGTTTTCTTTGGCGATTCCGACCATGACTGAAACAAACTCTGTGTTCCTGTTTCCGTATAAGAAAATTGGGCTTTCAAGGATAAATTGTCTGATGACTAAGACTATAAGAGTAATGATAAAAATAATAATTGCCATAATTCTCCACCTCTCCATGATTGATTCATCCCAGTATAGCGTCAAAAGAATGGAAACCAATTGAGTTAATAGAGGTCCAAGGCAATATCCCATATTCATAAGGGCAATTCTTCCTTTCTTGCTAGGAGGGACACTCTCTATAATCATAGTTGGCGCACAAATGATATCACCGCCAGTGCCCAGACCAATAAAAAAGACAGCGATTAAGACCATTACATAATTCATTGAGCAGATCAAAAGCAAGGCTGAAATTGTGGTAACTATTATAATTTTCTTAAAAATATAAGCTCTTCCATAGCGGTCACTCAGCGCCGAAAAGAATATTGAGCCTACAGCTGAGCCAAAGCTGGTTGAGATGCCCAAGATTGTATGCTCATAAACTGTGATATCGCTTAGTTCAGCCATCACATTTGCAACTGTAGTGTTCCACATGGTAGCTACAAGCCAGCCCTAAATGAAGTTTACGCAGCAGCAGTTAAAGAAAAGAGTGTTTTGGTAGCTTCCCCAGCCGATGTCTTCAAGGGCTCTTTCAACTACAGATACTCTTTTCATATTAAATTAAATTTGAAAGGTGTGAATTATGGAATTAAAAGTATGCAGATCGGGTTAAAGGGATTATTTGGTTATTGTATAATAATTGAGTTATTAAATTGTATATTAATTATAAGATAAATCCAGTTTTATAGTGCTTTGAAGATCTATCTGATTGGAAGGTGGAAAATGCTATTAAGCTTCTGACACTTTTTGAGCCTTTATAGCTGCGCTTTTGAGGAAGCTTTAAAGAATTTAGCTCAAAGTTCCCTTTTAATCTGCAATAGATTCTCTCATCTCGGTCCAGCTCATCTTCGACTTCATTTGCGCCTCCACTTTTTATGATATCAATATCTGTGATAAGATTTGGAATATGTTTTACATTTTTTCTTTTGTGCTGCTGCCCATTATCATCTAAGTTCGTAAAAGTTTTTTTAGGCTTTCCTCCAAGCTCAACAGGCTTATTTTTCCCTCTCATCCTCAGCATCCTTTCTTTTTTTCTTTTCTTTTCAAAATCCCTAATTCTCTTCAACTGCGCTTCATCAGGGTGCTGTTCTTCAATTTCACTAGAAAATAATACACCATTTTGCTTTTTCGCATATGCTTCATAAGTCGGTAAAAATTTCGACAGCTCATAAAACCTCTTCTTTAGCATAGAAGCTTCAAAGTTTTCCTGGTCTATATTAAAATTCGCCAGCTCGATATCGTTTACATCAGTTTCTTGATTTGCGTCAAATTTCTGTGGGAATTTAAATTGAACTTGTGGGGTAAACACGAATTTTTTTATATTTGTGGTCTTCCCTGTAAACATACTTAGAAGCTCTTCGTCTACATCTAGGGTATTGGCATAGGGATCAATAGGCTCTTCATCAAACTCTTCCTCTTCTGGTGCATTTGTTGGATCTGCTTTTATTGGCCCTCTTGATTTGTGTGTTGTGTCGTTTGGGACTAATTTTTTAAAAAATTCAGAAACTGCTGGCTGAGCTAAAATTTGTGGCTTTGCAGGTTCTTCTGTGCCTGCTAAAATATGCTTAGCCATTTGGCTTACTAAATTGAAATTTTGGAGCTCATAATTAACACTAGCTCGAGCACGGTCATATGCAACATTTAGTGGCTTCGAGCTCACTATTTCTAAGCGTGCTGTATCAGTTCCTAAGCTGCCTTCAGACTCATCTTGCTCAGTCCCTGACTCTTCTGTTTCTGATTCAGAAACAATTCTGTTTTTTGTAGAAGAATGAGAAACTTGGACTTTTGACATTAAAGCTTTAGAAAAATATTTGGAGGCGTTTGATATCCCAAAGTTTGATTTTTCTTTTTCTAACCTTGGAGGGGCTTCAGATGCTTTTCTGGAGTCATTCAGTTCTTTAAAGGTAGAAGATCTTTCTGGCGCATATGATTTTGCTTTGATGAGTTCAGCTTGCTCTTGTTCTTTGTCTTCTTCATTGACATCTTCAAGTTTATTTTCAGTTTTTCTTTCTTCTGGTAAAGGGGTTTCATTTATTTCTTCATCTTTTAAAACAATTTGTTTTTCTAGCTCAATTCGGGTCTTTTTTCTGATTTTGTTTATTTTTCGAGTAATTTTTTTTCTTCTTGCGACAATCTCATAGGGGTCAACATTTTCCAGAAGTGGCTCAGCTTTTTGTAGCTCATTTTTGAGGGTTATAACCATGATTGAAACAGTTTGCAAAAGACTTTTTGAAAAGTTTCGAACAAAGCGGTCCATTGGCTTCATCCTTGGGGTTGGCTTTATATCTTTTGGTGGGCTCTCACTTTTTTTTATAATGGTTTTTCTTTTCTCTTTAATAATTGGGCTGCCATTTTCATCTAAAGGCGTTCGATCTCGAGCTGGACTTGGGCTATTAGATCCCGCTTTTGATATCTTACTCCCCTCTTTCTATTAAGGTTGTGCATCAAAATTTTTTGATAAATTTTTTTGGTAAAATATTTTATTCCCTAGCAGTAAAGTTAAAGTATGCAGTTTATATAGCAATTGCTAGAAATCGCATTAAAATTCTGTAAAGCGATTTCAAAATTTTATCTCTACGATTCATTACTATCAAAGATAGGTAAGCCTACTCCTTTTTTTTGCTTAGGCTATAGTTAGATTTGTGGCCAAGTAGGAAGCGGTTTTCTTTGAAACATTTTGATAGTATGAAATATAAGTTTTTCCCATGAAAAGCGCCATTTGGCCATGAATTTGCCACGGGGTTGCTTTTTATAGGAAAAACTTATATCTGATTAGTAAATTTGGTCAAATATTTTTATAAGACATTTTGTCGAAATCTTAACAATTTTTCTTCGTCTTGATATCAGAATTTTCAATTAATTCCATCGAGAATGTCAATACTATCAAACCATTTCAATCAAATGACACGCTAACTGGTTTCTTGCTTGACTATATGAAAATCGTTCAACCAAGGATGGTGCTTTTACCATTTTAGGAAATTTTCAATAGTTTATTTCAATTTCTTAGAAAGTGAAATAATTAAAAATATTCTATAATTCACTCGATCGAGGATAAAGCGGGGTTAGCATTTTCTGTATTTTTCGCACTTTCTCTCGAAATCCTCGCTTTTGAATCAGTTTTTCTAGGACTTGCATTGCCTTTTTCGCTTTTTACTGTTTTTTGGCTTTCCACAGATTTCTTACTTCTATTTGTTTTTGGAGCTTCTCCTTCTAAAGTTGGAGACTCATCTTTATCAATTTTTTCATTCAGCTGCAATGGCTGAATTTCCATGTTTTCAGACCATTCAGAAATTAACGCTTTGCCTTCTTCATTTTCTTTTTCAACTTGCTCTTTGTTTTTTTGCTTTTGCTTTTTATTTTTCTTTTTATTTTTTTTCAATTTTCCTTGAGGCATAGGTGATGGAGCTTTAGACGTAGAAGGCGACTTCTTTAATGAAGGGACTCTAGATAAAGGTGGAGATTTTGATAGAGAAGTGTCTGCAGGCGATTTAGATGATTTTTTTATTTTTTTCGAAGTTTTTTGAGACTTTTTTTCGTTAGTATCAGTTCTGATGTCGGCGCTAAGTCTTCTTTCTGGAGCAGGATTAAATGAGTCTTTTCTTTTTGGGCTCAAAAATTCAGATTGTGCTCTTCCTAAATCAGGATTAGGGGCTTCTAAAAATTCAAGCTTAGATTTCTCTTTTTTGGCTTCCTCTGCGATTTTTTTTCCTTCGGCCTTTTTTTCTTCTTCTCGCTTTGTCTCCTCCCTCCTTAATCTTGCTTTTTTAATAATTTTTTCAATCATTTCTCCTGTTTCATTATCATATACAATTTCCTTTTCTTCAACTTCCTCATACTCTTCTTTTGCTTTATAGCGTCTACATCGCTATAGCGTGCCTTGGCGATGTGTTTTCCACAGAAGCTTGGAGATCTGACAAGCCAATTAAAGGTGGCAAGTCAATTCCAAGTCTGCAAATCCCTTATACTTTTTTTCAACTTGGAATTGACTTTTTCACCTTTAGTTGGCTCGTCAGAGCTCCAAGATATGTGGAAAACACAGCACCGGGGCACACTATAGTGTTGCAGACGCTTTATGTATTTCTTTGGTAATTGTTTTCTTCCTGTCTTCTTCTGCTCATTTTTCTTTTAATCTTCTTGCTTTGCTTATTAATGATTCTCCTTCTTCTTGCCGTGGAGAAATTTTTTCTTCTCTTTCTGCAGACGGTATTAATGTAATTTCATCCTTACTCCCCCCCCCCTCCGTGAGCGAACAAAAAAAAATTTTTGTTCGCTCACGGAGGGGGGTTAATTTTTTTTTTTAAAAAAATTTATATATAAATTTTATAAAAAATATTTTTTTCGAAATTTAAAAAAATCCTAATTTGCAAAAATTGGAAGCAAATATTAATTTAATTTGCAAAATTTATGTTTTTTAAACGCAATTTGTTTAAAATTAAACAGAATTAGCTCTAGATTTCATTATACTAATTATCACTTATATATCAAAATTTTTTTTCCCATTAAAAATTTTTTTCTATTAAAAAAATTTTTGTTCACTCACGGAGGGTGGGTTTTTGGTCAAAAAATGGCGATTTTTCTAATGGTTTTGTTCGCTCACGGAGGGGGGGGGGGGAGTTAATGCTTTTATAAGTATTTTCACGTTGTTTTTTGCCAGAAAAGCTTGAAGATCTTTGCCTATTCTGAGGTGAAGGCTGCCTTTCTTCTAAAGAATTGTTTTGAATTTCATTATGAAAGCTGCTGTTTATATTGATGTCAATTTCTGAGTCTGATTCTTCATTTTCATATTCGATTTTATTGAGATCAGCAAAATTTGGCTTAAGTTTTAGCTCAGATGCAGGGATTATTATTTCAGCTTTAGTTGGAGTTTTTATTACAGTTTTCCTTGGGCTTTCTCTTATAGAGTTTTCTTCAATTTCTGAAGGCTGATGGGGCTGGATAATGATATTTTGGCTTCTTTCAGGAGATAATGTCCGCTCTATATCAGAGTTAGGTGATAAAACAAACCTTGTAGCTGAGCTTGAGCTTGAATTCCCACGAGATTGTTTTACAATTACAACACCTCTGCTCAGCTCATTATCAATAAATTCTTGAGCTTCTGCCCGATTTCGAATTTCTCCTGTGATTAAAGCTTTGAGAAAAGTATGGAGAAGAGTTTTCTTATTTGAAGGTGTCAGCTTAGCTGATGATTTTCTATCAGCTGGAGCTGCAAAAAACAGTTCTTTGAACATTTCTTGTTTGAATTCTTCAACCTCATCTTTTCTAAATGTCGTTTGAGAATCTGAGCTTCTTCGAATTTTTATATTTTTATCAAGCTTCAGCTCAGGTGATTGTTTATATATTTCCATAAGTCTAGGATTGTCCGGATATGGTAGCTTATGCTCTTGAGGAGAGCTAGGAAGTACTTTTAAATCAGGCTGCGAGTATGGCGTTGGGGACTGTTCTTCATCTTCTGGAATAGGCCCATAAGATAATTTTTGAGATTTTTTTATTTCATTTTTTCCTGTCGAAGGATCAGTTTTTGATGAAACAGTCGTAGTAAATTGCGTTTTAAAAGGATTTGCAGCAGAATTTTGGCCAAATTGGAGCTTCCTATCTTCGTTATTAAGAGTTAGATTTTGAATTCCTAAAGATTCGGTATAAATAATTGGATCTTTTTCTTCATTTACTTCGAGAGAAATCAGCCCTTTGCTTGATGGCCGTTTCAAGCTGAAACCATATGTAGAATTTTTGATAGGAGGAAGAGTTGCTTCGAGGGTGCTTTGGGTTTCTAAAGCACTGTTTTGAGTTTTTCTTAGTTCTTGGGGTTTTATATCAAACGGAGATGATGCTTTTGATGCAAAATCCTCGTCTACTCCTCTCATTTCGTGGGAAAATGGACGAAGAGCAATTAATTCAGGTTTGGATTTTATTTTTGGCAGCAGAAGTGGAACTTCTAGCAGTCTTTTTGATTTTTCGTGACGAGGGTACATGGGAGATGCATTTCATTCTCTTTTGCTGTTGACAAAAGGTGGAGAGCGAGACCGTATTGATAAATCAGATTCTTCGTCCTGAATCTGAGGTCTTTCGCCTCTTCATCCTGGGAGCTCTTTTGGATTTGCTAATTGCTCTTCCTGATAAATATTGAATTTTTATATAATTTGTGTTTTCTTTTATGGGTTTAAAAAAATCATTAAATGTTGTTATCAAGTAGAAATAATTAAATCTTATTGTGAAGAGGAGTGAGTGAAATTTTGTACGTAAAGGAACTAATAAAGGAGTTGATAAAGATGATGCTAATGAAGCTCACTCAATGTCTTCAGGAACCATTAAGCCGCCCAGAGATGAGTTATTACCTTTTCTTATTTCGCTTTCAAAATCTTGAGTCATTTTTTCTGCTTATTTTATAAATCAGTTGTGAGATTTATATAGATCATTACAAAGATTCTAAAACCTCTGAAATTTGAAGATAAATTATGTGGAATTTCTCATTATATTGAATAGAAATTATGCCATATGATGCGAAAATTTTTAGACAATTTATTTCAGCTTAAATAATACAAATATCAGAATCAAGCATTATAAAATTTATCAGCATGCATTTAGTTTATTTATTGAAATCTTTTATATCTACTCACTGGTACTGGCTCTGGCTCTGCTTTTAATCTGCAACTGCTGCATAAATATCTTTTGCTAATTGTCCTTGGGCAGGTGCATGAAATATCCATTTTGAGGCACTTATGACAATACTTTATATATAATGGTTTTTTATAGCAGCCTGAGCATGAACTTACATCAATGTCTTCTTTTCTTTCTTCCTGTTTGCTCTTCATACATTTTTCACATTCTATTTTTTTAGGAAGGTTTTCAGTCCTGCATTTTGTGCAACGCCAAATTTGTTTTTGGCAATCTCTGCAAATATAATTCCCTGGGTATTCTGAGTGTTCACAGTTATCTGTTGCTCTTTTGCAAGGCCAGCAATACTTATAATTGTCGGATTTAATTTTTGATTTACAACTCATGCAATTAAAATCTATTATTTCTCGTCGCAATGGGGCTTTATTTGATAAACGCATACGCTGATTAATTGAGCAGCTTATACATTCTTTGTCTCAGCTATAATTTACCTTCGAGCAAGTGTCGCATTTCCATTTATCTGTTGTTTTTAATTCCTGACAATTTGAACATAAATTATAAGAAGAGACGTTCACAGTGCCACAGAGAGTGCAATTTCAGTAATCATTTACAAGGGGTTGTTCAGCTAATTGATTCTCAAAGCATACATTGCATCTATTGCTATACTTATTATAATTAATAGCTGTACAAAATTTGCAAGCCCATCCTCCTGATCCTTCTTTTATTTTATTGCATTTTACGCACACTTCCCATGATTCCTCATTATCTGCTCCACAGGGGCATTTTCAAGAATTTTTCTTTTCTTCTTCTCTTAAATCATCCAAATACCATTTTTTTTCTTTTGGTGTCTCCTTTTCAAGTTTCGGCCTTCTCAGTTCCAAAAATTGATCTTCTTTTTTCATTTCTCCTATTGTTAAATTCTTCATTCCCAGATTATTTTGTTTTTTCTCTTCTTCAAATGCGATTCCATATTTTTCAATTATATCTTGATAATCAGTTTTCACTGAATTTGTAAATGGATTTTTTGTTTCTTTTGGCTTGACAATTTCTAAATCTTGGTTAGTTATTTTTTGTATTTCTTCACTTAAATCTACGTACTCATCTTTATCAAGATTTTCATAATTAATGACTTCCTGTTGTGGCTTATTGATGATTTTTGCATTAGTCTTTACTTCAGTCAGATCTACATCTCCTTTATGCTGTTCTTTATATACTTTGTCTTCAACAGCCAATTTCTCTAAATTCAACCATTTCAATTGAGACAATTCAAGCCCTCCACCTACTTCAGAAGCTACATAAGCCAATCCAGCAAGGCGTAAATTTTTAATCAAAACTTCTTCAATCACCTTTTCCCATTTCACGATTATATTTTTTCTATTTCCTTCTATAAATTCCCATTGATCATTTTCACGTTTAATAACAAGAATGCAGCTTTTTTCTCTATAAAAAATTAAGTAACTCAGCTGATAATTATCTCTTGAAGGTGTTTCAAAAATTTCACTTAATGCTAAATTGTTCGCTATTGACGATAAAACTTGTAATGACTCCACGCTATCTAACTCTTTTTCTTTTTCCCATATAATACTTGACAGAAAGCATTGAGGAGGATTCGATATTAATTCAGCTTTACGCTTACTTATTTTAATTTCACAATTTTCATCTTCACATTCGTTTGCATCTATGCTTTCCCATTGATATCTCATAAAAGAAGGCATTTTCTTTAGGAGCGGAAGAATTGAAGAGGAGGCTGAATGGTCCATAAGCCTGTATTTTGGGACTCCAAAAAATAGTTTTGAGGATTCAGCTGGGAGCTGTTCTATTATATTCAAAATATAGGTTGGGTATGAGAATTCTGAATAATTCCAGGTATAAGAAAAGGTCTTTAGGCACTGGCATTTCATTATTTCTTTTAGACGAAAGTCACAAACCTGGTGGCCTGGGCATGTTTCCTTGCAGAGGATTGTTGTTGCAGGATTGTTTTCATCAGCATCTGTTTGGACATAAATGTGATGCAAAATGTTTAAGGTCTCTGTAATTACAAACATTACTTCAAAAGGAGGAGTCTTTTCGCCAATGACAGAATCAGTGATATTTGATATCTCATTGTAAAAATCTGACACGTCGACTTCGTAAGCAACTCCTTGATCTCCTGAAGCATTGGATTTAATGCTGAATTCTTCAAAAATTCTTTTCATAGCACATGATAGGCAGACGTAGCCTTCTTGATGTTCACGGCAGCCAGAATACCCTTTAATTATGTTTTGAAATAGAGGCTTTATATAGCACCTAACTCCCCCCCATCCTTGATCGAACGATTGACTGTAAAAATTCCTAAAAATTGTGAAAATTAACCCCCCATCCTTGATCGAACGATTTTCATATCATGAAATTTTTATATACATAAAAATATATTTTGCTATCAAAAGCTTGGAAAGATGTACATAATAAAGTTATTTTCAGAGCTTTGAGACGACAGAAAGCTATGAAATCAACTATCCGAAGTGATCTACTCATCAACCCAGGCTTAAAAACTCAATAATCTAAAAAAATAGAGATTCTAAAAAATTTAAAAAACAAATTTAATTCAATAAGGAGCAAATTAAAATTTCTACAGTTTAAAGGAGTAACTAATAAATCAAAATATTAAAAATTGGTATTTTTATAAAATTAATTCAATTTTTTGCTGTAAAAATAATTATTAAATACTCTTAACCCTCTTATTTAAAAAATAATATATATATATTTTTTTATTTTATAAATAAAATTTTTTTCCTAAAAAATTTTTTTTTAACCCTCATCCTTGATCGAACGATGGCGAGCCGTTCATCAAGGATGGGGGGGAGTAAAGTAATTTTTACAAGGTATAAAGTGCTGTATTCACAGCAGCAGAATCTTCACCTCTTTTGTTCCTGAAATAAACTTTGGTTTGCATTGGAATATCTGTATCTTTAGATGCTCTTTTATTTTTCACTCTGCAGGTTCTTTGGTGGTAAGCAAAATCATAGATGGACTCATTACAGAACTCGCACTTTCTATAATTTGACATATTGATAAGTATAAACATCATAGATTAGCATGATAATATAGAATCTCGATTAAATATAAGTAAGATTTAAATTAATTAGATTTTAAAAATTGAAATTTGCAATAAAAAACTTTTTCTTACTTAATATCAAATTTGTTATCTATATACATTAAATTTACTATTTATTTGATGAAATTATGACTGCAAACTATTGATTATTATGAGATTTTTTCTTATCCGAACATTATTTTGGTTACTATCGATCTTTGTCTATACACTTCTGCCATTCCTTTTGTGTGTGAGTATTGATTATCTTTTTCAAATTCTATGTGCTGAGGCTTTGGAGTCAAATTTGGATATTTTATGTCATTTAAGGTATTTTCCAGTAGCAGCTTTATTTGTGTAGGAATATATCGTGACACTTTATGCTTCTTTTTTTCAATTTTCGGCTTAATTTCAGGACTCCTGCCTCTAATCGGGATATTTATATGACTTTTTTTGTTATTGAATTTCACTAATTCTTCAGAGGGAGCAAATTCTCGCATTTTTCTAGGGGTTGAATTTGGTGAATTTGAGTTACTATGTGATATGGGATCGGTTTTTTCCACCTTGTAAATTTTTATATGTGCAGTTTGAATCTCTGTATTGCGGGGAGGAGGAGTATAGGTTCTTATACCAGACCTACGGCTTGAAGAAAGGGACAAAGTCTCGGGACTTAATGGACTAAATAGTCCTATTCCTTTGCTTGATGGGGAAAATTTATACTGCTCGGGAGTACTCACTCTTTTTCTTGATTTTCTAACTGATAACGGATCTACGATTTTCGGATTTAAAAAACTATCTCGATGGGAAAACTCACCTTAATAAAAGTTACTTACTCCCCCCCCCTCCGTGAGCGAACAAAAAAAAATTTTGTTCGCTCACGGAGGGGGGTTAATTTTTTTTTTAAAAAAAATTTATATATAAATTTTATAAAAAAAATTATTTTTTTCGAAATTTAAAAAAATCCTAATTTGCAAAAATTGGGAAGCAAATATTAATTTAATTTTGCAAAATTTATGTTTTAAAAACGCAATTTGTTTAAAATTAAACAGAATTAGCTCTAGATTTCATTATACTAATTATCACTTATATATCAAAATTTTTTTCCATTAAAATTTTTTCTATTAAAAAAATTTTTGTTCACTCACGGAGGGTGGGTTTTTGGTCAAAAAATGGCGATTTTTCTAATGGTTTTGTTCGCTCACGGAGGGGGGGGGGGGGGGAGTTTAATGCTCTTCTATTTGTCTTCATTTTTAATTTATATTTTCAACTGTCACATTAATTTTACTTCAAGCTTTCATTTAGATAGCAGACATCAGTTTTAGCTACCTACTACAAATAATCAAAATTTAATCATTGCTTTTAAAAAAATCCTAAAGTTTAATATTTAAAGCTATTGAGACATAATTAAAGATCGTTAGTCTCTTGTTTATAAATTTATCAATATTTATAGTTATATATATTTATAAAATTCAAAAATAATCATTATCATTTGTGTCATTATCTTTAAAATGGTTATTTTCCTAATTGATAATTGACATATCCACAGCCTCAAGCAAGGCCGCACAAATCCGTAGACTGCCTACTCAAAACTGAAGCCGCAAGGCAAGGAAGATACCCTGGCTGGCTAAATGGTAGGCCCGGTCGCAAAGCGATTGAATTTCCTAGGATATCCTCGGTGATTGCGTTAAAATTATGGCACTCTGCCTGTCTGCTAATTAAGATTAAGATTAAGATAATTGACATATCCATAAGAGTCATGAATAAAAAAATATGATAATTTTATTTACAAATAGATCAAATGATGCACAAAAAGCTGCCCATGACATCAAGAACACACACTTCTACTCCACAAGGTGAATTTGGTGAAATTTTTGATAGACATTATATACCTCAATCTCCGACTCTCCCAGATCTTTCAAGCCCAAGATCCCTAAAACTAGCAATCACTCCTATCGCATTAAAAACAAAAATGATGGCAGACATTGCTAATGCTAAATTAAACCGTGAACGAATCAAATCAGACAAAATTATCGACGGAGAGAGAAGCCCATCATATAAAAATAAAGGAAATCGTGAAGAAATGGCTGATTTAATGGAAACTCTGGGGTTTTTAAAAAGCACCAAAGCTATGAAACTGCCTACATCTATTGATAAATTGAAAGAAGTTGTAAGTGATAATATTAAAATTTATGAAACCGAAGAAACAGATAGATTGGAATTAGGGCGGCCAGTGAGAAGAAGAGATGTCCATGCTCTAGCTGACTGGCTAGATATGATGCTTAAACAAGTTTTGTCAGAGCAAAATGAGGATATTGAGCAACTTTTTGAAGGAGCGCTTTTGATTTATAATGTATGCTTTCATGAAATTGTAAGACAAGTAAGTGTGCAATGTGTCGAAAGAGGAGAGCTAATAAATAGAGTCTGAAAAGCCTATCTAGGAATACTTGAAAGAGCTTTAAGAATTGTAAATGTAAAACTTTTAATGCAATCCCAAGAATTTTTACATGAAAAAGAAGAAATAAATGCCCGACATTTAGTTGAAAAAACCAGGATTTTAAAAGAAAAGGATAAACTTTATATTGAAAACGAAAAATTATTAAGGCTTATAAAAATTAAAGGGGATGAATCAGATAAAATGACAAGAAGAGAAGAGAAAATCATTAGAAAGCTAGAAATACTGCAAAAGCAGTATGAAAATGCAAAAAAAGAAATTTTATATTTAAAAGAAGATAATAGAGTTTTGGAAGCAAAATTAAATAATACAGATGTCGATTTCATTGAAAAACCAGATGGGGTGATTGAGATGAGACCTAAAAAAGTTTTGAAAATCAGAAGAAAAAAAGCAGATGATATTGATGAAATTTTAAGAAGAGACCCTTTGGTTAGCAAGGTTAGCTTAGTTGAATTTGGAGAGACTGAAAAAATTATTGAAAGCATAGAAAAAAATCACGATTTTGAAGCTGAGCTGTTTTCAAGGCCAGATTTCAGAGATCAAGAAATAGACGCCCCTGTCATTTTAGTAAATGAAGCTGAGCAGCAAACTGATGTAGTTGACTTATGTGGAGAATCAATAGGAGAAAAATATATAAAACTAGCAGCTCCTCATAAAGAAGAAAGAAAAGCATCAAACTTCAAACTTGTAGACTTAATTGCCCAACAAAGGCACGTAATTTATGAAGAAGATGAGGAAGAAGAGGAAAGTGATGACGATATGCTCTCGCAGCTTGAAAAACAAGGCAAAATTTCAGAAGAGCAAAAAGAATTCGTTTTGACTTTTCAAGACAAAATTGACCAAGTAAATAGCTTAATCATCAAGATGCGAGAAAATTTTATCGCAAATACCCAAGACAGCACTCTAGCTCAATCTTTACTTAAATCAATTTCAAAAGCAATTACAAAAGGACATGAACAATTAGATGCCCAAATTGCTCCAAAACCAGTTGAAGCCCAAACAGAGCCGATAAGAAGAAGAGGTCGGCTCTATACAACTATTCAAAAGGTTAGGGCAATCAAAAAACTTTCAGCACAAAATAATGTGGCTCGGCAAATTACGTATAAAGTTCTTAATACTCCAGTGTACAAGCTAAAAAGAATTATGATTAAGAAAATGCTCCTTAGATTTATAACACAATTTTATGATGTAGCAGTTATGAAGAAAATAGACCCTGAAACGAAAACTATACATATGCCGGATATTGTGATTGACGCTTTTAATCATAAATATGGGATGCCAAAAGTGGTGGAAACTAAATATCAGCAGCTTTTGTCGTCTTGTATCAAATATAAATCCATAAAACGAATTTATATTATTTATAGAGGTTTATGAAGCGAGTTAGTGTTTTTCAACTAATTTTCTACAATAAATAAATATGCTTACTTACTATTAAAAAATCTAGTATAATGAATTGGCATATATTTTTGGTAGATTTTTGAGATTATATGATGATTTAACTGATGACGACTTAATGATTTATGCAGACTGTCTCAACTTTATGAGGGCTGGAGTATATAAAGATATACAAGCTGACTGAGCAGAAAACTTATATATTCCATATGAAAAAGCTGTAGAGTACCATAAGACATTTTGAAATAAACTCAGCCTAGAAGAAAATGACGGGCTGAAAAAAGATATTGAAAAAATAAGGCAGCCTGACAAACAAGCATATGTAGATTTTGATGCTTACTATGAACAAATTATAGACAGGATAGAAAAAAAGAGGGAGGTTAGAATGAATTTTATTAAATGCATATATGAAGCTGCAGATTTTAATGGTGATGGATTTTTAGAGTATACCGAGTTTCAGCTGCTTGTCAGGCATATTTCGGCTACTAACATGACAGATAAACACTCTCTAGATTTATTTAATAGATTTTCAGAGCTATTCACAGGAGAACAGGAAGAAGAGGTAAAAGCCTTATCATTTGACAATTTTTCACATTTAACATTGGCTCACCAAGTTTTTACTATAGAAAGCCTCAATAAGTTTGCAAAGATTTTCCATGAAAAAGGATCACTTGGGCACCTTCAAGAATTATCAAGCCATATAGATGAAAAAATTGAAGAATTTAGATGAAGACTGTCTAAGCGCCCAGATTGAAGCCAAACATGTGAAGAATATGAAAAAGTTCTTATGAATTTAGCAAAAAAAGTTAAAAACCCTACAGTTTCTGACTCAGTATGGGTTGGATATCGATTGATGGATGAAGAATCGAAATTTATTTGCATACAGAGTATGTTGTCCACACTTTTGCCTAAATGTAGTGCACTTATGTATAGATTAAAATAAAAGTCAATGTAATAGATTTCTGCTATAGAATAAAGGTAAATTTGGATTAAAAAAAATAATTTATAACAAAAGCTTATTATTTCATAAGAAAGAAAAATATAAAAGAACTTTGGACTTAGAGAGAATTAAATTAATGAAAATTAAATCCTTCTTTAAAGATGAAATAATTAGATTTCAGTCCATATGGCATCAAAACAAAAATACAACCCATGCGATTGTTCTATATTTAATGCAATTGCAATGAAAATACAGCCCCAATTTGACGATTATGCTTTACAAATCCGTCAGTTTTCGCAAGAATTGAACTTTTTATTAACGATTGCTGAAAGTGACCGTGTCTTTGCTGAAATGAGTAAAAACGACACAAGGCAAGTTAAAGAAGCCCTAGACAGATCGTCTACTGCAGATATTAGATTAACTAGGAACTTTATGACTATTCATGCACTTGCTAAAGAAATTGATGGGCAACTACAAAGAACATGGAAATCTTTAATTTCTTGCCAAAGTGATACCAATAAAGTTTATTTTCTATTAAATGATTTCATTCCTGAGGAGTCTGAAAAGCTGACATTAAAAGTCCAAGAAGTCGCAAATGAATGCAAAATCCAAAACTCCCAGCTAATTTGAAAAGAAGAAAAAACTGATGAAATTTTCGACAAAAATATCTCCAAAACTCCAAAAATAATGTTCAGTAACTCTATTAACTCTTTTGAGTGCAAGGACCAAGGGGATGTCACATTTAATTGTATTAAAATGCAGATGCGAGGATCTCAAATATGCAAAAAGAGCGCTCAGCATGTGCTTGATGTTTTTAATTATAACTCACAAGTCCTTGCAAATTTAAATAACCTGCAAAAAGTTTTGCTTTATTTGAAATTGTCATTTGAAAAGGTCGAAAATATTTTCCAGACCATTATGAGCCAAGCCAATATAAAACTTAAAATTTTCAACCACATACCTGGGGTAACTAAGGCTTTACTATTTAATGATGATAATTTTGCGATTTTTCTTGATAAAATTACGAAACAAGAAAATAAGGTCAACGAAGAACTGGCAAAATTGAATACTTATATTATGTATTTCCCTATACAATTGCAAACTTCTGATCAAAGCTGCCTGCCAATTCATAATATTTTGAATCAAGGGTCAGGAAAAAGCACGTTTTTTGAAAGGCTAAGACAGGTATATTCACTTGGAAAATCAATTTCAGGGTTTCTAAAGATTTTGTGTGAGCAATCAAAAGAGATGCATAAATGTATGATTGTGTGCATTTAGAATAATATAAATATTACTATTTGCATTATAATAGTTATATAATTAAGAATAATCAATTTTTAATTAAATTCAAGAAAGCAAATAGAAGAGTTAGCAAAATTAAAATCAGCGAAAAAGCCGATAATATTGGGTTTGCTGTAGAAGTTTCTTTGAGAAGACTTAGCCAGCTTAAAAAAACAAATATAGATGCAAATAAAGCTTTCTACTACAGACTGAATAATAACGTTCTTTACCGCCTTCTCCATATGAAATCGACTATATTAAAGAAATTTCAGCCTCACAGTATTGCAATAGGCCTAGGTATCGCTAGAAATCGTCTTACCAGCTTAATGAAAGCTTATATATCAGATCGCAAAGAAGATCCTCTAAACTGAGAAAAAAACATCCGAGTCCTTACATTAAAGCGATTTGACCTAGCGTCAATTGAAAATAAAGTCCACCATTCCTATACACTAAATACTGCTGGATGTCACTCTTATGAGTCAAGCTGAGAGTTGCAATGTGTCGGAGACGATAAATACATCCCTGAAAAATCTGATAAAGAAGAGTCCTCAAATAAAAGTTCTTCATCTAGCGGTTCTTCTTCTAGCAGAGTCTCAGAAAGCGAGCTCTCTTATAATTCAGATAGCGACAAAAGTCCTGAAACTCCAGATCTTACAAGATATCGTAATAAAATCAGAAGCAGCCAAGATATCAATTTAAATTCTTTAAAAGAGCTGACTAGAAGCTTAAATAATGAAGTCAGGTCAATTCATCACAAAGGCTTGATTGGGTGGAAAAAAAATTTGAAAAATCTGAGAAAGGTGGAAGAGAAATCCTTGGTAAATAATGAAGTCAGAAAAAAGTTTATTGTAGAAATGGAAAAAAGAAAGGAATTAAGAAACAAAACATTAGAAACTATGATAGAAAACGCAAAAGCCTTTACCCCTGAAAAGTATGTAAGAAAACAGGCTAAGAGCCAAGACTTAAGATCTATAACTCCAGAACAAAATTACTTGACGCAGAAAACTGATAGAGAAAATGCAAACCAGAATGATCAGTCTATGAAATATTCTAAAACTGTGGATATAATCAAGCATGTGCAAAGCAGGATTTATAACAAGTCCTTACAAGATGTGATCTCTAAACTAGGAGGAGGTAATGAAGACACAAAACCAAAGGAAACTCGAATAGACTCTGCCAGCAAGCGTCTTGGTGAAAAACTGATCAATCAAATTTCTGAGCTGACTTATGTAAATGGTATGGGGATGCGGAAAACTATATCTTTAGTTACAAGACAAAAAGGGGGATACCTCCAAAAACGAATAAGTGCTATCCAGCAAGACCGCTCCTTATCTCCATTTCTCAAGCTAAAAAATATCCAAGAAGAGTTCTCACAATATGGAAATAACCCAAATTCTGCATCACCGCCAAGACCTGGGTCTTCAATTACCAAAGTCAAAGGGAAAAATGTTTATTTAATGTCTATGAGCTAATGTAAAAATTATTATTTTAATTATACATCGATTCTGGCCCTGATTCTACTCCAGGGGATGCTGAGCTTCTACGAGAAGAATGCGAAACAGAAAGATTAGAGCTTCTTCTTGAGGCGCTATTTGAGACATAGCTAAAGCTAGTTCTTGATCCATGGGAGTCCATCCTTGTTTGAAGCATTTTTTTGACAGCGAGTTCGCCCTGCATTTTCATCTGTGCCTTTGAAAGAGTCGTTTTCGGGGTTTTTGGAGTTGCTTCTCCACTACTAGCAAAAGATACCCGACTAGACCTTGGAATATAAGTTGTTGTTCGGTTTTTCTTTAAACTAGAATCTATATTTGTCATTTTTTCAAGTTTGTCTCTGAATGAGCGTATTTTATGCAAATTTGAGTATTGGCTTGCTACAAATTTTCCTCCCATTTGTTGGTAATTTCTTGCATGAATTAGATAATTTCTCATCATAGTTAATTTTGAGTATGCAGTTTTTGCGACATCGCCTAGCTGGTCCTCTAAAGATGAAGATGCTTGGCTATGCAAAATAGCTTTTCTATATTTAAAATGCTTTAGTTCTATATGAAAACTAGCAACTTCTTGAAAACTGACTTTCCCTTTTATCCTTGACAGCATAAGTCTCCACCATTTCTGTATTACTTTAGTTGAGATAGGCCTCAAAAATTTTGCGATTTTATGTTTATATTTCATTTTTTTGTAAATGACTATTTCTCTATCATCTAATCTTACCTTGTCGTTAACAGTGATGATAATCATGGAGTACATAAATAAGCCGTAAACTGCACTTATAACAGAAATTAGCCTCCCTATGTGAGATAAAGGAACATAGTCTCCATATCCTACTGTTGTTTCTGTTATACAAATAGTCCACAGCGAGTTTCAAAAATACTCAAACATGGTATTAGGTACCCCTTGCTCATAGGTCCGAAGCAGAGTTCCAAACAAGAATGTTATAAGGCATGATACTATTAGAATAGACCAAAATTGTGCAGCATGGTTGATGCACTTTAAAGTAAAACTGATCGTGAATTTGGTGTTTTGAAGAGAACAATAAAATTTGGCTTTTGGACTATTGTATGGTATAATTTCATACAAAAATTTGATAATATGAGTAAACCTAAAAAAGGAGTAACTAAAAATAACGTCATCTATTGAAAGAGTAGTATAAGTATTAAGTTGGTGAAATCTGGTGTTCCACTGAATAAAAGGTGGGATAAAAGGTACCGAGATAAGCAATTCTAAAATAATTTGCTTTTTAGTGTGGGGATCTTGAAAAATCGTGGTACTTTTGCATACTTCTTTATAAGCTTTTTTAATTTCTAGATGATTTGAATAGTAAAAAAAAATCAAAGCATCTTGTATAAATGAAGAGATCTTCTTACTTACTTACTTATTACGGGTGATTTGAGTCGCTTTGTTTACTCGGTTATCAAGGATCCCACCAGGGGATTCATCCGCTTTGCGGTAATGTCTACTTCCGATCGCCGGAAATGCGGGTTGCCTGGCCGTCACCTCCTCCTTGCACAACGTGGTAGCTCCAGTCTTGAGTGGGCAGACTATGGGTTTCGGGTCTGCTTCAGGCTGCTGCGAACGAGGTTGCCTACACAGAATATCCATAAAACTGGATTTTCTGGCCGATTATCGGCAAAAAGGAAAAACGTAGCCAGGGACGTAACGCCCAGTTTCACGCTAGGGAGTTGCCCGAATGGTCCAGAGGGCTTCTCTGGGCTTCCCTTCCCAACTTTCGTGCCTTCCTTCCCTCGAGGAGAAACCATCCCTGAGATTGAATTAGGGCTAGGCTCTGAACACCGCCAGAATTGCTTACCTAGCATTACCGTCCATCTCCAGAATGGCAAAACCTTGCCGGATATAATTAAATATGTGCTCGAAGGTAGTCTGCGAAGCCGACGCAAAGCGCTGAGACTCCATATTTAATTATGGATAAATGAAGAGATCATGATTATGAAACGGTAAGAATTGACTTGGCTGGTTAATGAATAGTTATTTGAAAAATATGTTTCAGCTGAAATATAGCTAAACAGCATTATCATAACAGCTAAAAAGGCTGATAATGCAGAAATTACTTTTTGTTTCTTTTTAAGATGAATTAAATTTTCATCAGGTAGAGTGATGCTCAGCTCACTTGGAAGTGGCTCAACTTTGATTGAAATTGAGCGTGACTGAAAAAGTTGATGCTTTGGGCTGACTTCTGAAGGCTTTTCATCAGAAATTGCTCCTCGTCTAGTATTTGATCTTTTGATTTCAGGATTTTCTTCCTCAAGAATACGAATTTGCATATTTTATGTTTTAATTCATTATCCAATCGCCAGCTCTTTATTTAGAAACTTAAAATGTGGGGTTTTTCTTTTACCCAGTTAAAACAAAATATTTTTAAGGGTTCTATTTATAACAAAAAAGGGTTACTGTTTGATGCTTTCTAACTATAAACTGACAACAGAAAATCATTACCAATATATATTAATAGGAATATTTATTCGTTTTTCACAGAAAAGAAATTAGCTTAATTTATAGTTAATTATATTTAACATTCTTTAAAGGAATGATAAGTTTAGAGGCTAAATTTTTTTTATTATTCCTATATGAGATAAATGGCGAAGTGTCTAACTTTGATAGTTATTTTTAATAATTTTTAATTTTTAAGAGAATTTGTGATATATATCTCAATGCTAATTTTAGATGCTGTCTATATACATTTTATTTAATGTTTAGGCTCTTTAAAATGAGTTTTAATTTGATATTTAGGTTGCTCCATATTTCCTTTCTTTAAATCTCGTTGTAAAAGGTTTTTATCTAAGCTTAGCCTATTGTCAACTGTTCTTTCTATTATATTTTCAAGATCTTTGTCCACTTGTAGCACATCATCTGTAATTTGACTCAATTTTTGCCATGTATAGCGCAATGGGTTTTGACTCAGAAGCAATTTTTTATCACTATATCTATGTGGAGTTTTCGACTGTAGAGGTATTTTTACAAATTTTTTCGTTGCTTTTACTTTTTCAATCTTCTCTAAATCTTTTATTTTTGGAGTATGAATATTTGGTAAGGATGAATGCTTACTATTTTTTTCAAAAATTTGTGTATAACTTTTTTTCTTCAAAATTTAAAAAAATTCTAATTGTAAAAATTAATTTGATTTATTAAATTTATGTTTTAAAATGCAAGATATTAAATTAAAACAGAATTAGCTAGAGATTCATTATACTAATTATGACTAATATAAAATTTTTTGCTCTCTGACAGAGGGTGGGTTTTTAGGCAAAAAATAGGAGTATTTCCAATGGATTTGTTCGCTCTCGGAAGGGGGAGTTAGGAAGTTTTTTTTCTGAACTTTTAGTCTCAGGTAATCCCTGGACTCTGAAGTCAATTTTTTCTTTAGAAAAAGGCAATCCAAACCCTTTTGCGATTTTTTGAATATAATCTAAATCATATACTTTTAAATAATCATACATCTTTTCCATTTTTGCTTCTTCAGGCTCATTCTTAAATAGCTTTTGAGCAATATCTTTTAAAGCTGCTTTAAATTGATCTTCATTCATTTCTCTTCGGAAGCTTGCATTAGCTTTAAAAATATTTAGGAGGTCTTCTCTTTTTATTTCATCAAGTCCAAAATCTTTACAAAATTTCAGGAACTTGGCATTATTTCATATGGAATTTCCATGCTCAATATCTGCAAAGCTTGGAGCAACTCCTGGGAATTGTTGCTTACTGGAATAAAAATCATAGATCTTCTTTAAGCCTTTAGAAATTATATGACAATTTTTGCTATGAGGGGTAGATTCCGCTGTTAATTTGGCATAGCTTTCTTCAAGCGACTCAATGACTTTGTGTATTTCTTCAGTGTTTTGATTTTTCTCTTCCATGTCAGTTGCAAGAGCTCTGAATTCAGAGAGTGATTGAAGAATCTGTTCTTCTAAATTTGATGAGAGTAAACCAGCATTCATTATGATTTAATTATTTTTTCTTTAGCTTACTGACAAGTTAAGTTAAGTTATTAAGTATCCAGCCATAAGCGCTTCCGTAGGCTCTGACCATAGCCCCCGTCTCGGCTCCAAAATGGCATCCGAGGACGCCATTTTGGATTTCCGACCTGAGCCACCTGCCAGGGGATTAACTCGCCCTGGAAAGAGCCGCTCTTAGATAGCGCCCCGATTGTCCCGATGAGGAAAGACCATGTGGTAGGCAAAACCTGTCTACTCATCTGGTTGGTCAGGGAAAACCTTCGGGGGAGAAGTAAAACTTCCCTCTACAGCAAGGCATCCCAAACCTGAAGGCCTACTTCCACCGGGACAGACGCCCTACTTTCAGCCACCAGAATGGGTCCTACCTGCTCCATCTTGAGTGCACCTCGGAGTCCAAGTTCTGTCAACGTCACCATTTTATTTCTACTTACTGACAAGAGATGATTATTTTATATGTAACCGTCAGTATAAATTTTATAAAACACTCAAAGGTTTAAAGACTTATTCATTTAGCTCTATTCAGATCTTCAGTGAAATATAAATATTAATAAATTTTAAATTAAATTAGAATTTTATTGGATAAAACATCTAAAAGATAATTGAACTCTACAGAAGACAACAAGTACAGTAATCTTCTCTTTCTTTTGGCGGTGCAGCTCTTACAGGCTTGTAAACTGTCTCATACTCTCCGTCTTCATTAACTTTGACCCCAAGAGCTCATACTTTAAATATGGCGTCTCAACTTAGGCTTGGCCTCCCGGCCAAGCAGTCTCGAGCCCTATTTAAAGTATATCCGGCAAGGTTTTGCCAACGAAGAAATGGACAGCTATGCTAGGCAAGCAATTCTCGCAGGAGGCAGGAGCCTAGCCTTAGTCCGCTTTCGGAGTTGGTTTTTCCTCAAGGGTAAAGGAGGGTTGAAGTTGGAAAGGAGGCGCCCAGTTATGCCTGCAGGGAACACCCAGGCCATCGGGCAATGCTGCTAACGAGAAACCAGGAGTTTCGCCCTGGGCTTCAACTTTTCCTTTTTGCCGAAAGTTCACCAGAAAATCCATTTTTTGGGTTTTCTGTGTGGACAACCTTGTATCTCACAGCCTCAAACAAAGCCGCAGAATTCTTAAATCTGCCCACTCAACACTGGAGCAAGGTTGTAGCTTGCAAGGAGGAGACGTTCAACAGAACAGGCTAGCAATTAAATTGGAGTCCTGTAGGCGGCGTCGCAAAGCAGAGGAACCTTCGGGTCTGGGTGACTGCGTTAAAGATAACAGCTTAGCAGTTGATAATCTCGTAATTAAGATTAAGACTCCAAGAGCTCTCATTAGTTCATCAACAAAATCTTCTGTTTCTTGTTTTTCATTTAATTGCTCTTCACTTTGAATTAAATGTTGGACAAGGATTTCTTCTCTATCTTGTTTTGAGAGCTTAAGGACAGCTTCTAATTCAAAGCTATATTCATTGAAATCTCTAGAAAAATTATTTTTAAATTCATCAGCACCTGCAACTCTTAGATAGTGTGTGTCTTCAAGAAGACTTCCTAAAAACAGCTCGCAAACTCCTAATAATTCTCCATCCTTATAAGCTTTTATTTCAGCAGTGTTCTTTATACTAATTTGTGATTCAATCTCATCACCAACATCAAGATTTCTTACCTCATCTCCTAATCAAATAGATAAAGATATAGGCTCGCCTCTGCATTGAGCAGTATTCACTTTCAACTTTATTATTGTCTCTCCTTCTGGCAATTGCTTAATTTTGTTTAAACTTACTCTAATATCAATATTTTCCTGTAGCAAAGATGCTCTGCTGATTTGAATATTTTCTAATTCATTTCTTTCTGCTATAATTATAGCTGTAGCCTTTTCAGCAAATCGCTTTGATTTTCTATTGGTATCAAATAATAATTGCAATAGCAAACTAGAAACCTTTTCATTTTTTGTGATATTGAGAAACCAAGGATTTTCAGGTAATCGGCCCATAGGGTGCTTTAAACTGCAGTTGGATAGAATGACTTTACAAAGCTTAGCATACTCTTGATTCTTGGTTTCTTCCATTTATACATCATTTTAAGGATTAACTGTTCTCATTTTGTCATTTGTGAGATAGGTTCATTATAAATTCTAATAACTGTTCGATTAACGCAAAAATCTAAATATATTTTTCGCAATTATAGAATTTTAAAAGAAAGCCAATTATTTGCATTGTTTTTATATTATTAATAGCTAGCTGCAAATAAATGCTTAACAAATTCAAATTCTTGGAGCTTGATCGTTTTTATATTAAAATTTTTAATGCTAATTTTTGGTAATATCTAGAAATTGAAATATTGATTTAATATGGCAAACAATAAAAATTATCTAACTTACTGACTATAAGAGAATAAAAAGCTAATTCTTATAAGTTCTATTTTAGTAGGATAAATAAGTTCCTCGAATCATTTCGGGATTATATTTGCTCCCTTATTATTTTCTGTTCATAAGATTTCTAAGTCGCTATTTTGAATATCTTATGCCAGAATATTAATTCATCCACAAGTTTAATAAAATATTTAAATGCAACTTAATTAAAGTAATTTTTGCACGTTATGGAACTTAAACAAGAGTTGAGAATTTGGAAAATTTTCCAGAAGACAGACTCTGGGTATTTTGTTCTATAAGCTTGTTTTGCAACAATTAAGCAATAATTGCGCGTGGTTAATTACTTAATTGTGCATTCTTTTATTTTTTATCGAGGAATCAGAATTCAAAAATATTAATCCCTGTGAGCGAAAAAAATTTTTGTGTGATCATAAGGGAGTTGATGTTTTTTAAAAAATTTATATATAAATTATTTTTTTTCAAAAAATCAAAATTAGAAAGCAAATATTATTTTATTTTGTAAAATTTATGTTTTAAAATGCATGCTGTTGAATTATCTAGAGATTTCCATATAATAATTATCTATAAAAATATTTTTCTCACTCATGAAGTGTGGGTTTTGCCCAAAAACTAGGGATTTTTCCAATGGTTTTGTTCACTCACAAGGGGAAAAGTAAGTAAACTCTAAGCCTACACTCATAAGTCCAATGCAGGGTGTGACGCAAAATAGCTAAATTTAAATTATTAGTAAACAACAAGCTATTTCTTCCAACTCTATTTAACTTATAAAAGTTAACAGTAAATCCAGCTTTTCTTGATCAGAAGAAGCAGCCATTACTGAATAATCCTAATATAAAATATGAATCAGTTATACCAGCTATCATAACCGATAGTTGAAAAATATAATTTCAACCAGCATCGGGACATTTTAAGATAATTAGCATTCATCCTGACTAGATTTAACGTTATCAGTTTCAATTTTTACTACTTTTAAATTGGCATTATGCATGGATTATAAAAATAAAATGGAAATAAAAAAACCTAGCCTTTACAGACTTTATTCAGTCAAATACGAAAATCAAATTACAGCAAGACGCCAACAGATGCTAATGAGAATTGCATTGAGGAATTCTCTATACAGCATTGCCAGCAATGAACACTTGTTTGAGGTTTTAAATCGAGTGGCCAATGTACTTCACCTGGAAGACATAGAGCTTTGTGAACTGGCAATTTTGCTCGAATCCTGCAAAATTTCGTGCAGTTTTACATGTGAAGAAATAGTTATCTTCACCGCTTACACTCAAATAAAATGGCTGACTATCCGAACCGGCCTTCTCCTACTGCCTCCTGGCACGTTGGGTCTCAGAGCGACAAGGCTCGGAATTTGTGTTCGGGGTGGGGTTTTACCCTTATCGGACTCCAGATAGAGTTTTTTACCCTGACTTAGAGGCAAGGAGACCAGAGTCCATATGATAACCTCACATTTCTGGAAGCTAGGGGTAATGGAGACCAGAAGAAAGGTATGGAAACATCCAGCCATCTCCCATCTCCGGGTTGGCCGGGCCCAGCCCATTAGAGGTTGTCCAAGGAAGTACCTGGGCGTGTCTCCCCGAGAGCTGGCGACATCACCATTTTTTGGTGACGTGTGCAACCTGAGGCTTAGAGCGCAAGCCTGAAATCGGAGAGGGGGCTGAAATAAACCCTCAGAGATCTTTATAATTAATCATCACCGCTTACATCGTCAAAGCGAATTTTACAACAAAAATTGGGCTCTATGAACGGAAATTGGCAAGAGCCTATAAGGGTTTTCACTTGAAATACTCGAATTTTGTTAACTTAAATCCTTCGTTCAAATCATTCAGCACATTTGAAGTAGTCAAAAAATTTAAAGAATTAACAGAAGGCGCTGTTGTTCCGAAAAGGAAAGCAGATGAGCTGGAGGAAAACCTAGAAGTCATAATGATAACAGGGTACAAAAGAAAAGAGCCTTCGTTTAATGAGAAAGATGAGTATGCAGTTAGCGAGCATCTAAAGAAAATGAAATTCGAGTTTTTCGAAGGAGAAGAGCTGGAAGATTTAATCTGTTAATAAAGCTAATTGAATACTATTTGTAGGAAAAATGAATTAAATAAGAAATTTGAAATCAAGAATTAAAGAGTTTGAAGGTTAATGCTAATAGAATATTAACCATAGTGTACAGAAGATTTGAAAAATCATCAATCATTAAAATTTGGATAAATTCTGAGGAAATCATTATTGGGGAAGAAATTCTGAATAATCGCTGCAAGTAAACTGATGATCTTTATTTATGAAAACTCTTTTTCACTTCAAAAAAATAGCTTACTCCCCCCCATCCTTGATCGAACGATTGACTGTAAAAATTCCTAAAAATTGGGGAAATTAACCCCCATCCTTGATCGAACGATTTTCATATCATGCAAATTTTTATATATATAAAAATATAATAGTTATCAAAAGCTTGGGAAGATGTACCTAATGAAGTTGTTTTCAGAGACTTTGAGACGATAGAAAGCTTCGGAATCAACCATTCAAAGTAATTTAGTCATCAACATGGGCTTAAAAACTCAATAATCTAATAAAATAGAGATTTTTTAAAATTTTTAAAAAAAAATAAGTAACAAATTAAATTTATATAGTTTAAAGGGGTAAATAATAAATTAAAATATATAAAAAATTGGTATTTTATGAAATTAATTCAATTTTTTGCTGTAAAAATAATTATTAAATACTCTTAGCCCTCTTATTTAAAAGTAAATAAAACAAAATTTTATATATATATTTTATTTTATATATAAAATTTTTTTCCCAAAAAAATTGTTTTTAACCCCCATCCTTGATCGAACGATGGCGAGTCGTTCGATCAAGGATGGGGGGGGAGTTAATATAAAAACATATAAGTCCAAAAGTTTATAGAGAGGCTTATTCCTTACTCGATTCTTAACATAAATTTTAATTGATTCTAAAGATGAGTCTATAATAAAATCCAAGTTTATTATAGTGAATAAACTTTTCATGTATTGCTATATATTTTTATGCTGCCAAACACCTTTTTAAATAACTTTTTATATCAAGTTATTATAAAAATGCTTCCATCTTCTGGTATCGAAGGAAATGAAAGTGAAAGCATAATAGCAACAAACACAGCTGAAGAAATGGTAAAAATTCCAGATATTCCTAATCCATCACAATCTAAAACAATATCTCAAAAAAACACACAAAACAACGAAAATTCCAATCCTAAAATCTATCTTGCAGGAAACTACTTAAAGTATTCTCGTCAAATAAGCCAAAGTCCATGACTTGTCGACGAAACAGCAAAAATTGAAAGCTTGGAGGAAATCATTGGGCATCCCTTAAAAGAAATTTCCCAATCAGCCAGCGCCATTTTGCATGCATCCGTAAAATTCATTTAGGGCCGCGAAGATGTCGATGTAAGGATGCTGGGATGTGGCCGGCCATTCATTATCGAGCTTAAAGATCCCAAAGTCCCAGTCTCAAGGTAAATTTTAAACAGTGAAAATATGGAAAATCTCCAAAGCCACATCAATTCCATCAATAAAGATGTACAAGTGAAAAATCTCAGAATAGTCGACAAAAAGTACTTCGAAGAAATAAGACTCGGCGAAGAAGGGAAACTCAAAGCTTATTCAGCCATTTGCTGGCTTTCAAAACCACTTACACAAGCTGACATTTCTTATATAAATTCAATCGAAAACTTAGTTTTAGACCAAAAAACACCTATCCGCGTCCTTCATCGTCGTGCTATTAAAGTTCGATATAAATCAATTATAAAAATGCATATGACTTTAATTAACCGACACTTTGCAGAGCTGAGGGTCATTTCGTCTGGAGGGACTTATATAAAAGAGTTTGTGCATGGAGATTTTGGAAGGACAGTTCCTTCTTTAGGAACTTTATTGAACTGTAAAGCAGATATTTTGCAGTTAGACGTACTTGGGCTAGGATGGAATATTGGGGAGGTTGAAGATTTATTGATTTCTGAAATAGAGTAATTTTATATCCATTTTAGGCTGAATTTAGTATAGAAATAATGATATTAATTTTGAAAAAAATATATATAATATAAAGAATAATTAAATATGGGTGTCGTGAAGCTTCATCTTCCAAGAAATGTTTATTGGAGACCCTGGCTACCTGAAAACCGAATGTGGAAAAGAAATGGACTCTTAGCTGCTGCACAAGGATTTGTTCTTTCTTATTTATTATCCTCATCACTTGCACATTGGGAATGGGCGTCTCCTAAAAGAGGCTATCAACTTGTAGATCCTAATGCTGACTACGCAAAGCCTATCCGCCTGCTTTAAGGCTAAGCTAATAGTTTCTTATAATATTTGAAATCAAGATAAGGCGCATAAAGCCATTTAAGTTTTATGTTTTTTTATAAATTATGATATTCTCTGAAGATCAATTAGAGTACAATGAATGCAGTGATTTTGATAGCTTACTCAAAGTATAATTTTTAGCCTAAATTAACCCTATTACTATAATAATAAATAGACTAATTATTTTTATTATCCTATTCAGCACAATATGATATAAATTCTAACTAGTCAGAAGAAGAAATTGCAAGCTTGACTACAAATGAAAGCTGAACTGATGGGCAAAGAGCAATTTTTATTATCAATGAAGGAAGAGTTGATCAAAAAATCGCGATTTTATCAAACTTAGACTTTTATATACAGGAATCCACATGAAATGAAATAATTAGCAGCGTCATGCAAAATCTTCGACGATGGGAAGAAAGCTTGCAAGGAGCCACTGGTGATGGATTTATCAAACTGCTTGATTGTCCTTTACTTTCAAGTCAAGACTTTGAAAAAATCATGATTGGAACTGTAACAGTCCTTGGGATATGGACTCCTGAAATTATAGACTCTTGAATTGCAGTTTTTGGGAAACTTTGTTTAAAAGCAAGCAGAGAGCTGATACTCAAACATTTTATACAATTTGTGATAAACCAAGCTGATAATTCTCAGCATTATATGACAAGGGCTAATGCGGCAATACTAATTGGCAAGCTAATGATGTGCAACTATGATTTACCATTAAATCTAGCTGACACAGCTATTAAATTGTCCAAAGATCTGAATGATAAAATCAGGCTAACAATTACTGAGCAGCTACCACTTGTGATTAAAAAATATAGCCGTGAGTATGAAAGTGCAATTAGTGGAGAACTTTTGAACCTTGTTAATGACAAAGTTTTGGAAGTTAAGCTATCCGCGATTAAATCTTGTATTGAAGCTGGAGAATTTATGCAGGAAAATAGAAAAAATAATTTTATGAATATAATTTGTTTGGAATGGTTCAAAACAAATAATTCTAAAATTTTTGAAGAAATTGCGAAAAATTTCGGAAAATTGGTTTATAATTGGAGATTTCAATTGAAATCTGAAGAATTCAAAAATGAAGTGATTTCATTACTTCACAAAATGTCATCTCATTCGTCATCTACTATCAGGAAATATGCATGTTACAATTTTCCTGCAATTTTACTTTCATTAGGAGCTCAAAGCTATTGCAATAAAGTTAAAGATTCTTATGAAAGATTTTCAAGAGATTCTAACAATGATATAAGGAAAATATGTGCATCACAGTTTCATGAAGTGGCAAATATTCTTTCACCTAAAATTTCTCAGCTATTTCCAACTTTTCACATTTTGATAAGAGATCCTAGTGCTCAGTGAAGCTTAATCCCTAATATACGTCAAGTGATGAAGAATATTACAATCCCAGAAACCTATTTCGAAATTTTGAATTGTTTAATCCAGCTACTAGGTGTTCAGTCAAATTGAAGAGATGTCAAAATTCTGCTTGATCAGCTAGGCAGCCTTCTATCAGATATGGATATGAATGTAACTTTAAACTGCTTAGTCCCAAAGCTTATGGACTTAATGCATCATGGATCCCTGCCCCTGAAACAGCACAGCTCTCAGCTTCTCCTTGAAATTTTTAGAAAAATCCATCAAGATGAGCTCAAGCACAATTTTTCATCCTCAATTGCCCAGAGTTTTGCTAATTCTTCATCATCCTATGACAGAATTCTCTATATTGATTTTTGTTTACAGACCAAAGGAAATTGCTCAAGAAATATGTTTAAAAATCATTTTTTGCAAAATTTATTGCAATTAGCTACAGACCGTGTTGATGATGTCAGATATAAATTCATAAGAGAATTTCCTGGGATTCGGGAAAGGGTTTCTACGGCTGACCGTGATTCTTCTCACGAGATTGATGCAATTCTTGATGAGTTTGTAAATGATCGCTGCAAAAAAATTAAAGAAAAAGCGTATGAGATCCAACAAATCATACTAAATGAACGATATTGGCAGTTGATTGACTCCCCTGAAGAGTTAGCAAGAGGCTAGGTTAGGCTATTAAAGTCAGGCGTTAGCCATGTTGGTGACGCATCACAAAAAATCTCATGTGCAGGAGGTTCATCCGCTTTTCGATTCCAGCCCAGAGGGTCTTCCCCCCGAAAGTGGATGCCACTTCCGGTACCTTCTGTCTTCTCCTTGCCTTGAGGCTTCAGTCTTGAGTGGACAGCCTCTGGATTTCTGTGGCCCTGCTACAGGTGATTGGAGTAGCTTGATTCCAAGGATCCTTTGAGCCTATCGAGTGTTGAAATGCCATCCTTCAACAGCTATAGGAAAAAGACTACTCCGATGGGCCGAAACTCTCAGTTTCTTGGTAGAGGAATGACCATAGGTCCTCAGATCCAAAGGGCGTTGTTGAGCACCTCCATTTCCAACCACAGGAAAGCAGCCAAAACCAATCCGGATGCACATATCTTGAGTCTGCACTTGATTCTCAGCTCTAGGTCCGTCCAGTTCGCCGTAGCCATAAGGTGGACTGTTGCGCCAAAAGGGCAGGTCAACACGTGTCGCAATTTTTATGTATAGCAAGAGAAAGACAATTGATGAGTTTAGAAAATGAAGTGAGGACAGAAGATGCTAAATCTAAGGATTCCCCAGCAAAAAGACAAATAGCTAAAGAAAAAGAAAAAAAGAAAAACTCGCCTGTGTTGCCAAAGTTAATTCAATCAAAATCAGATACTCCAATTTCCAAAAATGATGGGCTATCAAAAGTCCCTAGTCATCAAAGTTTAAGTTCAAATAATAAGCAGCCAGCAGGGAGAAAATCTGTGGGATCTAATAAAGGAAATTCAAAGCCTTTACCAAAGCAGATTAGCAAATAACGGCTATCAAATTTTAAATAGTTTCTTAAGTGATTATGTTTATTAGAAAATTATTTGGAATTCATATTTGATATAAGCTAAAATGGGGAATAAAATCACCTCAAAATTGGTAATTCAATACTGTCTTAAAATAGCCCAGTAGCCTTTAAAATAAACCTGGCTATGCTAAAATGCTAATTTGGTTAAATTTAATGACATCAGTATATCTGATTTAAAGTTGTGTATAAATAATAATCCTAAAAATTATTTAGTGATGCATCTTAATTGAGATTTAACTGCAAGCATCCAAAATTATATTAGATCGTCAATTAAGATTTATTCAATATGAATTATTTAATTATGGCTCTTGTTTTAAGAAACCACTGCTCTCTTGATGACTCTTAATCTTAAGATGATCAATCAAATGGCCTTTGGCCTTGAAGCATTTTCCACAGTTATGGAATGGGCATTTATAAGGTCTCTCACCTGTATGAGTTCTCATATGGGTTTTTAAGTTACCTGATTCGGTAAATTGTTTCCCACATTCTAGACATATATATGGCTTTTCTCCTGTATGAGTTCTGATATGAATTTTTAAGGTACTTGGCCTCATGAATTTTTTGTCACACATAGGGCAATTAAAAGGTCTTTCATTTGTATGCTTCCTCGTATGGTCTGTAAGGTGTCCTCGTGTGGTGAATCGGCTGCCACACAAAGCACATAGAAATGGCTTCTCTCCGGTGTGTATGCGCATATGGGTCTTTAAATTCCCATTCTCACAAAAAGCCTTGTCACATATTTTACATATAAAAGGTTTTTCTCCAGTGTGCTTTCTCATATGAACCTTTAAGGCACTTTGTCGGCTGTAAGTTTTGTCGCAAACTTCACAGCTAAAAATATGTTTGCTTGAGACTATTTCAGGGATTATCTGACAAATGTCAGCTGTAGGGGCCACTGACACAACAATAATCTCGGGTATCACAAAATCGTTATCGCCCATGCAATATTTAATAATTTTTAACCACAATTTGAATTTTAAAGTATTTAATTTTTGGGACGAAAATGGTGGGAATCATTACAATGTTTACTATACGCAATTTAAGAAAGGCTGAAAAGAGTTAAATGTTTATAGATTCTTGGAATTTAGCACTAATGAATTATTTCATTTTATTTTCCACATTTAGTCTGTCAGGATTGTTCTAGATTAAAGAATATAAATGAATTCTTTATGATTTATTTTTTGTGAGCAATAATGCATTATCAAATGGTTTGTTGCGCACTTTTATTATTTTAAAGCAGTAAACTAGGTTTATTTTTGTTAAAAATTATAAAATAAATCGCTATTTATTACAAAATAATTTATATATGGAAAACCGAATAATTTTCAGCCCTTCTATCTAGGTACTTATTTTTGTCTTTCGAGCTGCCTTTGCTATGTTGTAAATCGTCCTCACTTGTATCATATATTGGAACACAATCCATCTGCCCTGTGAAATCAAAAGATGGTGTCACTTCCTTTTTTATCCTAGTCAATTCACTTGAAAAATAGCTGTCTATTGGCTTTCCATATTCCTTTACAAGTATATCGAAATCCATTGACGTCTCATTACTCTCTGGCTTTGGTGCTTGCAGCGGAGGCACTGTGTCTATTGTAATGGGGTGAATTTTATTGTTTTCTGATTCCGGCTCTTCTTCAACGCTTTCCATCGCAGTTCCACGTCTGTTATAAGATGGCAATTTGTTCGATTCATTTGATTCTGAAGAAAGTTCTTCATCGACTGATTTTTTGGACTCTTGGTAGTATGAATAAATTAAATTTTCTCTTAATTTTTTCATTTTTGCCTCATCATATTCTCGTGCTAAGGTCGAAGATGATTTTCCTTCGGTTCAGGTCCAATAATCGTTCACTTTTGATAGTGTGCATTTCACCGAAGTCCATTTGGTCAAAAATTGGATGAAAATTTTGATAATAGACATTTGACCGAAAAAAAACGTTAAATTTCGACCAAATGTACATTATTTAAAATTCTTCAACCAAAGTACTTCGATGAAATGTATACTATCAAAATAAACTGTCATTTGACATGGAGCCTTTTCCTTCATCTTCTTCACTTCATGATCTCATAGAAGCATCAATGATTAAGCAAGCATTTTTATCTGAGCATTTCTTAAGCTCGATTTCATAGCTTTCTAGCTGGAAATCACTATTAAGAATCACTGAAATGTCAAGTCTAGCTTTCCCATTTTTTATGATCTTTTGATCCTTTATCATCATAAGATTGAAATAGATTCATTTCGGTAAATATTGGTCTTTTTTTTTGTACATAGTCACCTTAAAATGAAACATCTGATCAAAGAGGCCTTCTTGCTTTGATGGGTCTCAGTCGACTCTTGGGGTATTGTCTCTTTCTCCAGAATTTCGCTTAATAACAATAACAAGTTCTGAATGATCTTGCAAGCCAATATAAACTTTTTGAATGATAAGTTCAAGCATAAAAAACTCAGGTTTAGCGCCTAGTCTCTCTAGAAATTTCATATCTCTTATAACTTATAAAATTGAATTTATAAAGATGCTGTTTATTACCTAAAAATGCCAGCTTGCAATTGCATTTTATGTGATTATACAATGGCATGCTTCTCTAGGCTCTTCTGGATTTCATTTCTTCTCAGATGAGGCTTCATTTGGTGGTGCATAGGCTTGGATACTGGCTTTGGCTGCCATCACGCTTTCAATCAAACTGTCTCTTCCTTCTGCCCTCAGCCCACTTATAATTTCGTCCCTAAAGGTTCTTTTAATTTTCTTCGCACAATCGTTACAAGTGACCGACCTCAATCTTCCATACGGAATATACGATTTTATTTGCTGGTTCAATTCATTAATTTCATCAGACAATTTATCTTGGTTTTCCTTCTCATTGTCGACTATTTGGCTTTTTTCACTAATTTCTTCTTGAAATGTTGATAATTTTTTCTTTCACATTTCTTCAGCCAATTTCGAATTTTTTAAAGTGGCTTCTAAGCTGTCAATTTCGCTACAGGCATAACAGTTAATCTGTGTTTCTTGGTTTATTTTTTTCTCATAATTAAAATATGGCGTCTTCGTCTGGGCATGGCCTCTCAGCCATGTAGCCTCGACTCATATTTTAATTATATCCAGCAAGGTTTTGCCGTTCAGAAATGGACAGCAATGCTAGGTATAGAAATTTCCCATAGATGGGCTGTTTGCCCTTGATTTGCCCATGAGAAAAATTTTTTGGTATGACCAAACCATATGGTACTGGTCGAACCAAAAATTTTCCCCAGTGGGCAAATCAAAGGCAAACAGCGCCATCTATGGGAAATTTCTATAAGCAATTCTGGCTTTTTACAGAGCCTAGCCCAAGTCTCTTTTCAGGGTGGTTTTTTCCTCGTGGGAGAAGGAGGGCACGGAAGTTGGAAAGGGGAAGCCCAACAAAGTCCTTAGGGCCAATCTCCAACTCCCTAGCGTGAACTGGGCGTTACGTGTTTTTCCTTTTTACCGAGAGCCGACCAGAAAATCCAGTTTTGGATTTTCGGAAAGGCAACCCATGTCCACAAGCAAGTAGCTCATCCATGAGCCGTCGAAGCCGGCAACACTTGCCTTAGGAGCGTTGTTGGTGAAGCAAAGCGGGTCGACCCAGCGGCCTGTGGGCCCGACGCGACGAAGGCTAGCGATAGACCTGGGAACGGTCAACTCCGTAAGGGATGTTAAGCGTTATTAATCTAATGTTATGTAATGTTTATTTTTGCTCAAGCTGTGCGATTCTTTTCATATGTTGATTTTCGTTATCTTTGATAGATTCAGACCATTTTTGTATGATTTTTGTTTTGATTTTTAAGTCTTCTTTGATTTTTGATTTTTCAGTATTATTTTCTGAAATATCGTCTCTGTAGGCATTTAATTCTCGTTCTAACTCAGACATGGTTTCTGTTTTTATCTGAATTTTGAAGCAATCTACACAAATATTGTCTGTGGAATCTTTATTTTTTCGGAGATGATACTTGCAGAAATTGCGATTGCAAGTGGAGCATTGCATTTTGGCGGGGCTCTTTTTAAGTGGAGCATAACAGACTTCACAATGTGCGTGGCCTGTGTTTTGTTTAGTTTTAGATCTTTGGATAGGGTTAGCCTCGCCATTAGTCTCATTCATTTTATTTCGTCATTTTAAGTGATTATCAGGCTATTAAAGGTAAAATTATTTAAATCCTCGTAAATTTTTATAGGAAAACCTTACTTTTTATCATTTCCATTCGCAGACACAGAGTTATCTACATTAAGAGCAGTCGATCTTCTTACCTTTACTTTTTCGTCCCAAAATGATAAATTCTTTTTCAGCTGTTCTAAGCACACCTTGTTTATTTCTTCATTATTCAAATATGAGCACCACACTTCATATAAAGGCATACATATATTCTTTATAAACCCAGACTGAGATTTAGGGACTTCTGTTGTGTCTCTATCACAGTACATCGAAACTTGTTGCTTTCTTTGTTTTTCTAAATCGCCTTGTCTGAAAAACTCTTCACAAACTAATGAAGTCCATTTTTCATGCAATTCAAGAATCTTTGAAGAATGGCCTATGTCAGCACATTTTAATCCCATTGATAAAATTAAAATTTTATCGTCTTGATTTTCCAAAGCGAGATCAGCCAAGTTGACAGCTCTTGCTCTAAATCTTCCTAGAATCTCAAAATGCTTCATCATGTCAGTTTCTAATATCATTTGGATGATTAATTTTCTGGATTTCGACCAATCGTCAGCATCTAAGTTTTCAAAAATATTGCAGCCTTGTTTATTCATAATAGAGTATGTCTTTGCTATGTGCATATTTTCAAGGACACTATTATCATTATATTGAAATGCAAGCTCATCTCGGTTATTTATTAAAAATCTATTTGTCAATGCTGGGTGTCCTACATCATGTCCAAGGCAAGCAACAATAAGGGATATGATATCAATAGGATTCAGATTTTTAATCACATCAGAAGTAGATAAAAAATAAAGCAAAGTATGCAGGACATCAGCAGCATGGCATGCATTATGATAAGGGTTTTGATGATAATTCTTTTCTAAAGTCTGGAAAAACCTATCCACTGTGTCTTCTGGAATGCTAAAAGTTGTGCTTAAGCTCCATTTTTCAAATAAATATTTTCCAACTATAAAAATGCTATGCCCAGTTACCTGATATACAAATCATATATCAAAATTCCAATTTTTCCCTACACTAAACAGCACAGAGTCTAGCTCTGCAACACCATAGGTGCTAAATGGGAAAGAAGGGCTAATTTCTCTTACGTCACCCATCGTTTGGTGTCTGCCTCTAGCTTTATCACTTGATATTTTATCCATACAATATTCTGATATAAAAACCTTGTCATCTTCATCTAATTCTCCATTTCCATCAAGTTTCACATCATGCATAGCTAGTCCATGGGCAATTCCTCGCTTTACTTTTTCTATTTCAGTCTGCGCAGTTTTCAGCTTAGTTTTTACATCTTTATACATGATAACTGCGGCGGCTTGTTTGATATTTTGCTTAATTTTATCACAAGCTTGAAGCAAAAGCTCGACTTCAGTGTTAATTTGTGCGTATGCCTTGTCGCTTTCTTCACCTTGGCTTGCCATAGGGTCTAAAGCTTCTTCTTCTTGTTCTCTTCTCCAAAATAACTGCCGGGCTCGATATTCTACCTGATGGCAGTCAATTGTTTGTAAAAGCAAAAAAATAAAGAGAACTAGATAATCACTTAAAATCGCAAATGGCGATAAAGTCGACAATGCTAGTAGCAAAGCTATTGATGAAGTTAATGTAAGAGTTGTAAGGACTACGAATAAGAAAAAGCTATCAAAAACTACTATTCTTATCATAACCAAAAAACAAGCTAATATCAGTGTATGGTTTTGGCTGTTTTTTTCATAATCTTTGGAGAAAATTGCTGAAAGGACTCTCTCATCACATATCACGAGATATGAAATGAGGGCAAATGATAAAACTACAAAAAGCTCTTTTGATTTCATCAAAAACTTGTTGGATTTGAAAATTAAATAAGCGATCGAGTACCCTAAAAATAAAATAACACCTAAAATAATAAGCCGAGTAATTAAAAGCTCATCTTTTTGGTTTCCTTCGTTGTACAGGAGCAATGAGGTGGTAATTGTAATTACGATATATGATGTCAAGAATATATAAAACATAAGCAAGTTGTTTTTAAATTCTTTTGATTTGTCTTGATTATTACCTTTTTGGCATAAGAGCGATAAAGAGTACCGGTATTCAAGTACACTATCTCTGAATGTCAAGACGTTAGGGTTAATGGGTATTCGCTGATTTTCGCAATTTTCGTGCTCTAAAACGCTGTATATAATGGATTTGGATTGTTTTGATATGTGTATATCAGCTTCGCCTTCGATTTTACTTTTATTCATTTGAATTATATAATAAATTTGGCATTTAATATGAATTTACTGTTCTGGATTGAATGCGCGAATTCATATGATTTAAATAAATGATATATTTTTTTATAGTAAAAATATAGCCTAGGCTAGAATATCTTTAGATTTTAAATTTGAACCGAATTGTTAAGCTTATCAATGGTACACTTAATTGAATTTATTCAATTCCAAAGCCGAATTTATGGTTTCTTATAACATACAGAAGACCTTTTTTTAAACTCTGTCGACTTGTATATTTAGGTAAATCCAACCTGTTGAAGCAGGTATGAGCACGAGGCAAGGCATTATCATTTTCACAAGGAATAGACTCTATAGTAAATTTTGCTGGGTCTCCTCTCATGGTTTTCAAAGATGAAAACCCTTCAACTGGAAGCCGAGGAGTTCCAGTTACAAAAGTAATTAAGTCTGATAATTTCTTCTGGCTGAAATGTCTTAAAATTCTTCAAAACCACTTTATTATTCTGCTTTTTCTAGTAAAATCGCCACGATATATTGTGTTTTTTCTTCAATCATCTAACTCAATATAAGGCAACCCACACAGTAATAGTTCAAATTCTTGGGAGGTAAAAATAGAAACTAAATTTTTAGGAATCACTGAATAGAAACCATGAAGGAGATACATCAAGCCAGCTTGGAGATTGTCAGTTGTTTCAAATTTTCATCTGAGATTGGCATATTCCGATTTATTGTCATCGTCTACCATAATTTCAGATCCATGCTCTTTTAAAGAATATTTAGTTAAAACCCCTTTATGTTCTTTTTCTACAGTAAATGTCTCAAATATTACATTTTTCACAGGATTTTCTAAAATATATAGCAATGATTAGGGTTATTAGAAGTTAGGAGCTAGTCACATTGATGATGCAGCCACCAAAGACCTCCTGTGGAGGAGATTCAACCGCTTTTCGACTCCAGCCCCGAAGGTCTTTCCCCCGAGGTGGATGCCACTTCCAGTACCTTCTGTCTTCTATTCGCCTTGCGAATTCAGTCTTGAGTTGGTGGCTTATGGATTTCTGCCTCCCTATGGTGGGCGATTGGAGAAGCTTGATTCTACTAATTAGTTCCTTGGAGTCTGTTGATTGCTGAAGTCCCTTCCTTTATAGCTACAGGAAAAGACAGCTCTCCTGTGGACTGGGCCGAAACCCAAGCTTTTCGGTAGAGGAGAGACAATGGGTTCTTTGATCCGAAGGACATTGGCAAGGCACTTTCATTTCCAACCACAGGAAGGTAGCTAAACCTAGCCTGATAACATCTAAGGTTACACTAGATTCTTTTCTCGGAGTCCGTCTCCAGTTCGCCGTGACCATCTGGACTGTTTCGCCAAGAGGACAGGCTTGCAGGTATTGCTATTTTAATTTATCTAAATATATAGCAGTGAGTTATAAAGCTAAATAGACTTTACTTCATAGTCAACTTGAGAAAGATCTTTAAATTGAATTTCTTCGTCGACAATATGTTTAAAAATGATTGGTGTAAATGGACAATAAATAGGAACGTTTTCAAAAATGGCTTTTCCTATTAGTTTTCCAGTAAAAATATATTCATTAATCCTTGCTTCATCTATAATATTTGGAAAAGTATAATTTACGCATTTAGTGTTCGCTAATTTAAATAACTCTGTTTTTTCTGAAAAAAGTTTTTTTGTTAAAATCGTAAATCATTCTCTTAATAATCCACCAGCATCCATTGCAAGCTCTCCATCAAAATTGACCTGAAACTCTTTGTGAAAATCAATAGTAGAAAAGCCAAGAATATTTTTCATAGAAGTTTTTATAATATCTCCTCTTTTCACTCTAAATTTCATATGTTCAGAATGCCAATATATTAAACGGTTAAACTACCATAAGCGAGCAAGCTGCCTTGTCTCGGCTCAAAAAATAGCAGTCTTCATCGTCCTCTGAGTTCAAATAAAAAAATGGAAGGCTGATATTTGAATTTCCAACCTTATCCATTTGTCCAAGAATTCAGCTCCCTAAGGTAGAGCCACCTTCTGTAGATAGTTCCGATGGCTTCAACACGAAGATTATGTGGTAGGCAAAAACCTATCTAGCAATCTGGCAGGACAGGGAAAACCCTCAGGGGGAAAAACAAAACTTTCATCTTCGCAAGGCATCCAAAGCCTGAAGGCTATTTCAAAAGGGACAGAGGCCCTCTTTTCAGCTTTATCAGGGATAATTCCTATCTGCTCCATAGGGAGAGAGCCTCAGAGTCCAATTTCCATCAGCGCCGCCATTTTACTTCTATTCCAGAATGTCAAGGAATTCGGATTTTATTTATCTCATTTCTAAGTCATTCAATTTTATCTCCATATGATGAATCCTTTGATAAATCACAATTTAAATCCTCATTTACAATGAAATTGCTGTGCCTTTTACATACTAATAAATGTTCAGAAAATCTGCTTGTCGTGAGATCGTCATAGAAATCTTGGAGACAATAAGGACAACGAATAAATGTTGAAATATAGCACCTCCGCGCTTATGAACCTCCATAATCTTGGCGTCTCGAGGAGATCCAAAGATCGGTAAAACTAATCCTCAAATTGGCAAATCCTTCTGAAATTGTAGATTTGTTTTGAGCATGCTTTCACTGCATAAGTTGGTAAAGCCGATCCTCAAATCTCCTCCGGAGACATCGGGGACTATGAGAGTCCTTAAGGATGGAGACACTATATCTTCAGTTTGGCTATTATTACCAGCAAATCTCGATAATTGGGTGGAATGAGGTTTATTGCTGCAGCAGCCCATTTTTATCGGGAAATTGTGAACAGAATATTTATTTCAATTTAATTTTAAGAAAAAGTTATAAGCAAGCCACTTACTCTAATAATGGTTAATGTTTGAAAATTACGCAAGTTTATAATAGAAAGTAGTCAAAGAAAGCAAGAATAAATTTCTATGGATTTTCTCATTTATAAATAATTTATAATGATAATCAAAGCAAGTTCCTAAACTAAAACAACTTTAAATTTTATAACAGAACAAAACAGTATGATGAGAATCTCTATATCTCTGAAAAGCAACATTTAAATCATTGCCATTTATATAGGCTTCTCAATAAGTGAAATTTTGGTTTGTAAGTATATTTTTATCTTATTAGCATAAAATATGATGAAAATAACTTCTAAACGCTTCCAACAACATAAATAAAAACCCTGAAGGTGGAAGATTTCTCATCAAACTTATTCAATATCCTCTATAAAATGCTTGGATTCCTTCATTTTTATACATTTCAAGAATAGAAACAAAAACCTTTCCTGGCTTCGCTTGCAAGATTGTCTGTAAAACTCTATATGGATAAGTGCAGCTCATGCCAATAAATTTAGAAAAAATCCCGCAGATTAAAAAATAAAGGTAAATCCCACTCATGTTCTGATCAACTTCTACCAAACCTCTGAGTTCTTGGTACACAAAAAACTGAATCATGCCTTCTAATAAATAAAATAATGATATTGAGAATCCTGAATACAGCTTAGGAACACATTGTTTATTAATTATGTCATCCAGAGCATTCATTATTGAGTTTTCATATCTTTTTTCAACAATTAATTTTGTTTTAAGTGTTGTAAAAGGAGTGATCATAGTAATATATCCAGATGAACCCAAAAATGCTATTTATATCATACAGCAAAGCATCACAGTCTGTCTATCAAATTTTTCTGGGCCGATATAAAAGCTTGTAATCTCAAATATTAAAAAGAAAAATCCTCATGCAATTGTGTGTCTAAATTATTTTTTTACCCTAAAATGCTGGCATTTCCTCCTAAATAAAGCTGATTCATACCACCTTTACTGTATTCTTGTTTCAGGCCTAAAATAATATTTCTGGTTTCAACAAGTCGTAGATGCATTGATGTTTCTAGATATTCCAAAGGATAAAAGATTAATACAACAAACCCTCCAGCTAATAAACCCGTTATAATATTTATTGCAATTGTCATAAACTCCTCTTGGCTCAGTATTTCTTTGACACACTGACTTGTATTCATTTAAGTCAATGCTGATTAGAATTTATAGTAACTTATTTCATTTTAAATAGCCAGAATAATATTTTAAATCGAAGTTAATTAAACCATCAATTTAATATTTAAATCAAACAAACAAGCAATTATTTTAATTTGATTTTTATATTTTGCATATCTATCTTTATATGCTGGGATTCTTTAATCCACTTGCTTACTCCTCCCTCTGTGAGTGAGCAAAACCATTTGGAAAAATCCCTATTTTTTGCCCAAAAAAAACCCTCCGTAAGTGAACAAAAATGTTTTATGAAAAAAATAATTTATATATAAGTGATAATTAGTATAATAAAATCTCGAGCTAATTCTGTTTAATTTTAAACAAGTTGCGTTTTAAAACATAAATTTTATAAATTAAATTAATATTTGCTTCGAAAAAAAATTAACCCCCTCCGTGAGTGAATAAAATTGTTTTGTTCACTCACGGAGGGGGGAGAAATATTTTCAATTATCTAAAACCAAAGCATTAATAAATATAAAATCAAAATTACCAAGGTAAAAATAAAAATTTCATCAACTAATATCAAACAAAATTTATTAGTTACTATTAAAGTAAGGTAAATAATTAAGCATAAATTTCTGCTTCTTTACATATTAAACTTTTTTTCTAAGTGCTGGCATAGATCTTGTTGAAATTAAACTCCTAATACATTTTTTATTTTCTTCTGACATCATAGGAGGCATACTTTCTTGGTCTTCCTTTTGATCAGGAACCACCTCTTCTTTTGCTTTGTATTTTGAGTGCACTGATATATTTAAAGGATTCAAAATATCCACTTGTGGTAATAAGTCTTTAAAATTTGATGGGAAATCATGAGTATTTTGAATTGGGTTCCCTTCTAGGCTCAATACTTTTAGCTTAGTCTCCCGTACAAGCGGCTCTATACCTTGTAATTGTCGTATTAAATTATGAGATAAATCCAATAAATATAAGTTTTCAGTCGGCAAGCAATGAGCAATTGTTCTTATCTGATTATGGCTGAGGTAAAATTCTCTCAAAGAGCTTATCGATGCTATTCCTTTAATATTCTGTATAAAATTTCAGCTTAAATCTAGATATTCCAGTTGCTGAAGTCCCTCTAATTTTGGGATATTTGAAAAATGATTATAGCTTAAATCCAAAATTACAAGATCATCTGGCATTTTTTGGTTTAAAACAGCCATTCTTCTTCCAGACAAATTAAAACTGGGTTTTTGATTTTTTTTTTGAGGGGTTAAATTGTCTGGTAAAGAGTCCATTGTTCTTGTTCCTAATGATCTTGCTGTATCCACCTGGATTGTGGACAAACTCAGCTGAGTATTTATAGTTTCTTTATTTTCGTGCTGCGCTTGAGGTATTCTTAAATCACTTAATCTTCTGGATCTTACCTCAGGTTCTTCCACTTCTAAAGAATTTGAACTAAGCTTGGTGTTAATAAAAACAAGCTCATTTAAATCAATACTTCTTGGGCTTTCTTGCCCTGCATCTTCATGAGGCTTTAACTCCTTCTTGGCTAGAGATTAGAAAATTCCATTTTTTTGGGAAAATTAGCGAAAAAAAATTTAATATAAATTTTTTAAAGCAAATATTAACCCATTTGGTTAGCGACAAGCTCTTTTCTCGCTAACCAGATAAAGGAGAGTAAGAAAACTACAGCGTTTAGGACATAATCTCATGTGAGTGCTTGGCCGAACTGTGCTTCAAAGCATTCAAAAATATCACGAAAACTTAAATATTGAACTGAAGATTTATAGTCTTCTGTGGAGACAAGTGGGAATTTTGATATGTTTTCTATAAGAGTATCGAGAAATGCTTCAGTTTTAACTGATAAAGAGGATGAATGGAGTGTATGACATCCAGCAGTGATGTTGAAGACTAAGCGGAGATGGTTAAGTCAGTCCATGCGGTCCATAACTTTGTCTTTTTCGTTTGATGAGTAATCTGAGCCTTTAATTTGGTTCAACTGGTCCATTTTGGAAATATTAATGGATGTGTTAGCTATGGAATTATTTAAATTCATTTTTAAAGCTGCTCAAATCAGATAGCTTTTTTGATAATATCCAAGATCTAGAAAAATTCATTATCCACTATAATATATATATTTTAATTATAATTAAGTTAGATAATTGTCGAATAAGACTTATTTTTGTAAGCTAATAAATGAGCATGACATATATTTACTATTAATTGTCTAAAAATTCTCGTAATTGTTTCATATCTAAGCTATTGCTCAGATCTAGGCTTTCATTTTCTACTACCTGAGGTTTCCTTTTATCTTGAAATTTAAAATTCTTTACTGAAAACTGCTGCTTTATCCCAATTTTCTCCAACTGCACAAGCTGCTTAAAAGACTCCCTCAAATTTGGATCTAAAAATGTAGGCTTATCCATAATGCTTTCATAATTCTGTGATATTTGATTTGTACTATCTTCAGAAACTTCTTTACTATCTTTAGTTGTTGAAATTTTTGAATTTTTTGCTGTTTTCTTTAAGGGTTCAGCAAAATTATAAACAATTGGATGGTTTTTCGTCGTTTGTGGGAAAATCTTTTCCTCAATACAATTAGCAGGCTTAATCGGCTTATTTGAAAATGTCTGAATTCTTCCTAAGTTTCTAGGATTTTTCATAGTTTTTTCATATTGAGGGTTCCCTTGGAAATTGAAAAAATTCGTATTTTGAGCTGAATAAAATTTAGGCGTCTCACAGATTTCCATCAATTTTTCTGTAAAAGCAGAAGTTGAGTTAAATCCAAAGCCTTGGGCTTTTATTTGTTCAAAATCCTTCATTAAAGAAGATTCTGAAAAAGTCGCATTCAATGTATCTTCTTTTAAGTTCGAATTTCTTTCATAAGGCGATTTCTTAGTAATTGAAGGGCTTTCGTTTAAAGTGTTATCGGTAAAAGATGATGGCTCTTCAACATCGTTATCGCCCTTTAAATTTTTAGGACGAACCATCAAAATTTGACTTTCATTTGCTGTTTTGCTGAATGGTGCACCCGGCTTGATCATTTTTTCGGCAAAAGCAATAAAACTTGGCATATCAAAGTTCCCTTCTGTTTGGATACCGATACTAACCTGGGAAAAACATCTCCCACAGGTTTGGCACTGACATATATGACCACTCTGCTTAGGCATTATTATTATAATAGTTGAAACAGTTTTTTATTGATTTCTAAGCATTTTTTGAGGTTTTAGAATATAAATTTTCTAATTATATAGAAAGACAAGATAAAAGATTTAAATTTAAATGAAATTAAGTGATATTATTAGAAAATCTTAAACATGCATTTGAATTTAATTCAAAAAGTAGTTACTACAGAATGGCTTATTAATTTAATAAATAGTATAAGAAATAGAAGAAGATTAAATTTATCATGATTCTGTTAATACTGTATATATAATAACTCTCTGAAGCAATGAATCTGTAATATGCATTAGATTTTACTAAGAAAAATTATTTAATATGAATTCTTCGAACATTGAAGATAAGCAATTATCAGACCAAAACGTTAAGCTTAGCTTTCTAAAAGAAGAGCTGATTGAAATGAATTACGATGTTAGACTATTTACTAAGTTCGTTGAAGATCTAAGGCGCACAAATGTTGATGAATGATCATTTGATGAGCTGTCAGATTGCATCTGAGCCTTTAAAAATAAATATAAGCCTGGACAAACTTTGGAAGAAGTAGTTGAAAAAGAAAAGGTTGAAAAGGAAATAGAGAAAGAGCTCTACGAAATAGTCAGCCAAAAGAAAAACTATGAAAGGAATCGAGAATCTGACAAAAAGAATAGAGATATCCCTCCTAAGCCAGAAAAGAAGATCAAATTTGAAGAAAATGGGTTTGAGTCTTCCCCAAAATATAGCGTAAGCGGTGAAGAGTATGAAATAAAATATTTTATTGATGAGCCAATTGATAATTCTTCAGAAAAGTATTCAATAAAGCTCCCTATAATGCCTGACAATAAACAAGCTACACAAACAAAAATATTTGACCAGATAAATTCTGAGCATTCTGGACTATTTTTGCACGTTGATGATCCAATTCAAGAGTCAGTGACTCCTCAATTTTCAAGAACTGAAGCAGGCTACAAGTTCAGTACATTATCATCTAGCGAAGAAGACATTTTAGCAGAAATTTATGGAAAAAATGAAACTCCTTCTCAATCTCCTGAAGAAGAAAGTATTGGTAAATCATCATCTTCAATGCCAGCATTTAATACCTCTTTGAAAAACCCTACTCTTGAGCTAAATAATGAAAAAAATACTCAAGATTTAACTACAGTAAATCATGAAGATAAAGGAAATATACGAAAAGACGATGAAGGTATTTTGCGCGGCTCCATGTCAAATGACAGTGGATTTTTGACAGTGTACATTTCATCGAAATACATTTGGTCGAATATTTTTAAATAGTGTGACATTTGGTTGAAAAATTAATGGTTTTTTTCGGTCAAATGTCTCGCTATCAAAAAGTTTCAACCAATTTTCGGCCTAAAATGGGCACTATCAAAAAGGAAATGTCATTAGACTTGCACCCATTTTGCGCTACTTCCAAAGCTTTACCTCAACACTTGAAAAATTTGAAGAAAAACTGGAAAAGCTATCTAGTAGAATTAGTGATATAGAATTCAAAATTGATAAAAATTCAAGCGATTATATCGAAAAAAACAAAATTTTAGCTGAAGAAGTACAAGCTTTAACAAATGAAATAAAAGATATTAAAAAAAGTAACGAAATTGTCCTGAATAGTGTAGAAATGATAAAAGAGCTGCCTGAAAAAGTTAATGCATTAGAGAATAAAGATAAATACAGATCAAAACTGCTTGAAGAGCTGGCATCTGAAAGCAGTTCTTTCCGTGAAAACTCAAAAGATCTTGAATCAAAAATAGACAAGCTTGAAATTGGTATAAAAAATAAGCTGAAAAATTTGAAAAATAATTCAATGAGTCGTAATGAAATTTCTGATATAAGAGAGTCTCAGTCCTCAATCACAGCAAATATTGAAAATTTAACTAGTGATATTTACCATGCAAATGAAGAAATTATGAAGCTTCGAAATCAAATGGACACTCATTTAAAGTCATCAATTAAAATTTCAAAGTTAAAAGCAGACCATGAGAAATTTTATAATGAAATTAGCCAGAAAATTGAAAATCTTGAACAAAAAGATGAAGAAGTTAAAAAAATTAGAGTCATCACGGAAACAATTAAAAGCGATTTATCTGAAAAGTTGAAGAGTTTAGAAGAAAAAATTAGAAGAGAGCATGAAAATGATCCTGCTAAAGAAGCAACGCTATATTCTATTAGCACATTGGAAAAAAAGATGCAAGCACTTGATGAAAAGCTAGCTAAAGAGCTTGCGAGTGTAAGAGATTTTTCTATTTCAAATATAAAAGAATATCAAAACTCTCACCCGGAAGAAAGCAAAGCTTTCTCTGAAAAAGCGGATGTTAAGATAATATTTCAATCTGAAAATGCTACTAAAAAGCAAACAATCCAAGAAAAAAATTCTCCATTAACTATATCTCAGCTTGAAAAAGACCAGCTTTCAAAGCCTACAGTCCCTAGATTTTTCTATAAAACAAAAAACAAGCGAGTTTCTTCTTCAACCCCAAAATTAAAATCTTACCAGCCTGAAAGTTTTCCACAAACAGTTAAAAATAAAAATATTGAAGAAGAAAAAATTCTCAACGTAGAAAATGAGCATGAGCCTATCAGAGATTTACCAATTTCTAATAAGAGAAAGTTAATTGATCGTGAATTATTGAATGAAAGAATAACGAGACTTGAAAATCTGAATAAAAGAGCAGTCACTACAGAAGTAGGAATACAATCTGTAGATAGAAACTCTGAATGCTCAGTTTCTGGGGATTTGGGAGATTTTGTTCCTGGAGAAACTGAGAGCATCCTTGTTAGCACTATTTTAGAGAAGGCTAATAAAGCGAGAGCGACTGACAGCTTTAAACAATTGTATAGGCCATTTAAAGGAATAAGCCCACTTTCATCATCTATGATGTCAATTTCACAGTATAGCCAAAAACAGTCAACAACTAATAGTGAATTTGGCGAAACTTTGCCAAGCCAGGAGCTGCAAGAACATTTGAAGCTAAGAGGGTTTAACATTAAAGAAAGCAAGCCCTTCGTATCTCGTCAGAAAGATTTATAATAACATAGTAATTTCATACATTTTTTCTTACTCCAGAAAAATTAATAATTACATAAAATGGCATCAAATAGTTTATATTAGCTAATTTTCAAATTTTTTGTGGCATAAAGTTATAATTATTAAATTAATGTCTCAAAGACCTCGTCAACGTTCTAGAAGTCGTTCTCCAGTCCAAGGTATGAAACTTCATGTAAAAAACCTCCCAGTCCAATACACTGAAGAAGCCCTACAACAAGTCTTCGAAGCCTACGGCGAAATCAAGGATATCAAAATTATCCGAAAAGGCAATAATGGCCAGCCCCTTCGAGAATGTGTCTATGGTTTCATAGTAATGCCTTCTCCAGAAGTTGCTGAAAGGGCTATGAAAGAATTAAACGCCAAAGGTTGAAGCATAAACTACAGCAAAGAAGCCCTCCAAAAACCACCAGCCCCAATTCTCCCTCAAATCCCTCAATCAATCCCTAAAGATTACTATTCCTACACAAGTATTCCTCAAATGATCCCTCAAACCCCAAGAGTCTCTGACATTATGCCAGGTGACCAATCTTTTCAACACAACGCACAAGCTACAAATATTATGCTGCTTAATAATGCTAACCCTAAGCCAGGGCAGCCTATGGACCGAGGGATGCTAGAAAGGCTACTCAGTGAGCATCAGCCTTCGGCTTTTAATATTTCGGGCGTCCCTGAACATTTTAAAGGATTTTTCTTAGTCAGAGAAGTATGGATTGGGAACATTTCGCCTGCGACTGATAAGCAGCTATTGTATGATGCTTTTAAAGCATATGGGGATATAGAAGGCATAGAAATGTTTTCGTCCAAAGGCTTTGCATTTATTAAGTACCGCAAAGTGGTAGCTGCAACAAGAGCTTATGAAAGAGCAGATGGGACATTGGTAGATGGCCGGCCTGTAAAGGTAGCTTTTGCCGACCCTACACGCCGAATTGATATAGTGGGAGACTCTTTGATACCTGAAAACCCGAATTTTAACCCCATTGATGACGAGCATTTCAAAAACTTATTTTTAGGGTATCCACCAGGCGCTACAGTTCCGCCTGAGCATGTGCTGAGGGAAGTATTTTCCCGATATGGAAGAGTAAAACGAATTTCTATACGCCAGGCTACATCAAATTCTCGTCCCTATGCTTTTGTTGATTTTGAAAGAGGTGATCAAGCATCAGAAGCAAGAAAACATTTATATATTGAAGATTTTGATGGCTCCCGTAGACGAGAATTATACTTTCTATATATAAAATACTTTGCCAATTTTATTAATAATGGCCTATTTTAAGCATATGAAATAATTTATTTTAAAAGGTATAGGCGACTCTGGAGTCGAAATTTCTTTTAAAAATACAAATAACATCGTATCTAAAAATGGAACCAAAAATGGAGTACGATATCAAGACAAGTCTGGAAAGGAAGAAATATCAGATATAGCTAAAAAACTAATGGAACAGCCAGCAGCTTTACAAAACTTATTAAGATTTCAAACTATGTTTTCTATGGGTGGGCAGCCACAAATGTTTCCTAATATGACAACACAATATCCTAATCTTAATATGCAGCCATATCCTAATACAAGCCCAGCACCTAGCTCATCTGGAAGTCCAGCAGCTAAAGTATCAAGTAAAGAGCAAGTTCCTGAGCCAGATGATCCACATCTTGGCTCTGTGATTTGGTCTGGCTTTATGACTAGAAGTAAAAATTATAGGGTAGGAATTGATGCTACTTTAGTTAAAGGAAAATCTGAGTGTTTTCCATCTACTCTTTACCATATTAATATTTCACATAGAGTATATCATAATTACTAAATAATGAAAAATTATTAATTATTTAAAATAATAATCCAGTTAAGGAATATAGCATAGCTTTTCAAGAAATTTTTAAATTTTATCAATTAGCACTTGTTACCTTTGAAGCGTCTAATGAAACGCAACAAGAGGTATTTAAAGAATATGTTAATTATTTTTCTCAAAAACAAAGGGCTGGATATATTCAAATGAAAAATTCAGTGCTTTATATATGTCCGCCTATTGAGGAAATTAAAAAAATATATCCTAAGCTTGAAGATGGGCAGCTGTTAGGAGTGTTTGTAGATCCGACAAAAAAAGCTGAAAAGCCTAAAGATTCTAGTAAGATACAAGAGCTTTTGGATTTGCTTAAAAATCATGATGTCATCAAGCACTTTAATAACAAACCTTCTGGACCGTCACCAAGTGATCCAAGACTTGCACTAAAACAGCAAAAATAAAAAAATTCTTCATATTGTGTATTATAATAATATTTAAAATATATTCCATTTATATGATGCTGCAAATAATTTTTCTAAAAATACCTATTTAATTATTTACTCCCCCCCTCAGTGAGTGAACAAAAAAATTTTGTTCACTCACGGAGGGGGGTTTATTTTTTTTTTTTTTTAAAAAAATTTATATATAAATTTTATAAAAAAATTTTTGTTTTTCGAAATTTAAAAAAATCCTTATTCGCAGAAATTGGATAGCAAATATTAAATTTAATTTATAAAATTTAAGTTTTAGAAGCAATTCGTTTAAAATTAAACAGAATTACCTTTAGATTTCATTATACTAATTATCAATTATATATCAATTTTTTTTTTCATAAAAAAATTTTCTATTAAAAAAATTTTTGTTCACTCACGGAGGTGGGCTTTTGGGCGAAAAATAGGGATTTTTCTAATGGTTTTATTCACTCACGGAGGGGGGGGAGTTAGTATTAAAATTGCATCTTAGTACCAATAATATTAGCACATAATATAAAATGGGTGCAGGCCAAATGACTTTACCTTTTTGATAGTGTCCATTTCACCTAAACATTTTTGGCCGAAAATTGATCGAAAATTTTTGATAGTGAGACATTTGACCGAAAAAACCCGTTAATTTTCAGCCAAATGTCCGCACTATCAAAAATTTTCGACCAAATGGATTTCGATAAATGTACACTGTCAAAAATCCACGGTCATTTGACATGGAGCCAATATAAAATATAAGTAAATAGATGAAATCTTTCATTATTTTTCCTCAAAGTAATGTTTTGAAACTTTCTGTTTCTTGGCGAACATTTCATTAATATTTATTTTACGTCATCATGGACTCATCAAGCGATGAAGAAGACTATTTAGAAGCAGCTGAACGTAATGCCAAACGTAACTTCTTAAAAGAAGAAATCGTTGATATGAATTATGATCCACACTTATTTACAAAATTTATTGAAAATGCTAAAGCAGCTGATATAGATGCATGAACTTTTGATGAACTTTCAGACCTTGTAAGGGAGTTTAAAAATAAATACAGGGCTGGGCAGACATTGGAAGAAGTAGACGAGCAAATGAGGATTGAAAAAGAAAAAGAAAAACGACTATATGAAATCCCAATTAAGAAAAAGCCACAGCCTTTAGAAGAAAATCAGCAGCAAAGTAATAAAAATGAGAAAAAACCTATACTATTTAAATTAATTGTAGATTTCAGAGAATTTATTATTAAATATGCAAAATCATACTGATAAGAATAAAGAAAAGCCTAAAATAATAGAGCCTACACCCTTACCCCAAGCAGTCAAAGATAATGGACGTGAGGCTTCACGCACTATTGAAACAATGAAAAAGAAACTTTTAGACTCTTCTTTTAATGACATTGTCTACGAGGATAAAAATAAACCAAAGTATTATGCTGAAACCCCTATAGTAAATGCTATAAGGAATGTAACTCAGTCTTCTCAACAACCACAAAATCCTCCAAAAGAGGAGGAAAAGAAGTATGATGCTTATCAACCAAAACCTAAAAATGAAATTGAAGGACCTTTAAAAATCACAAACCCAAAAACAGAGAAAAAAACCAATGAGCCAGCCATTTCACCTAAATATGATGAAGATTATGGGTATAAAAGAAATGACACCCCAATAACTCAAACAGACTCTGATGCTTCAGATGCTAGCATAGGTGGAGAAACCTATGATATACCTGCACAAATAGCTAAAGAAACAGAACTTTCAAGAGCAGCAAATCCCTCTATCAAAATTTCTAGCTTTGAAATAATTGAAGCCGGAATTTTTAGTTCTAATTATTTGGTTTATAAAGTAGTAACAGGCCCACTTGGCTGGGAGGTCAAAAGAAGGTATAGTGAATTCGCCTTGTTAAGGGAAGTCCTTGCAAATAGCTATCCTGGATATTATATTCCGCCACTTCCTCAGAAAAAAGCTACAGGAAAAACTCTTGAAATGAATGCTATTAAGCGGCAAAAATTTTTGCAGAGATACATGAACTCCATATTAGCTAACCCAATGCTAAAAAGATGCACATTTCTAGTACAATTTCTAAAAGAATCCAATTTAAGTGAGTGGAAATCGATAAAATCACAAAATAAAAAGGTAAAAAAGTTAGAGGGACTGAAAACATATCCGAGTTTTGATGGTTATTTGCATTGCAACACTATTGATCATACTCCGATAGTCGCAAAAATTAATGATCATTTATCATATTCAGAAGCAATTAAGAAAAAATTAAAAAGGCATTTTGAGTCAGTGGTTGATGATTTTTTAAAAATTTCGACATCACTGGCAGAATCCGCTGATTTACTTAAAGAATTAGCAGATGTACAATCTATATTAAATTTTAATACAGACCAACAGTATGTTTATGATAGTTTAAATGAAGTTTTTACCCAATGGTCTAACTATGAAAAAGAACAAGGGCTGCTTATTTCTGACTATTGCTATAATTTTTTCAGATATGGGCATATGGAATCCTGTGCACTAAAAGACTTATTAAGAGAAAGAGAAAATTTAATGTGACTTTTATCGTAAAATTGAAAATTAAGATTAAGATTACGCTGGGTATTTTAAGTCCCTGCTTCGTCCGAGGAAGCATTCTACGGTTTCCCGTATGGTGGCAGAGCGTTCACCAAGCCCGGGCCGAAACCCCCGGTTTCTCGGTAGAGGTGAAGGTCAAGGGACGTGTCATACCGTCTTTGCTGACCGCCTCCATTTCCAACTTGGATCGTCGCCTAAGTTTACGCCAACACTGCCTCGTCGTCCGCCAGATCTGCCCATTGAAGGGTACCTTTTAACTGGAGAGACTCCCGTTTAGATGTCTAACTCGCCTTCCCCTCTTTTTCCGGTCATCGTAAAATTGAAAATAAAAACAAAGGGGCAGACAGAATTAGAGACTTGTTTGGCTACCATAACACTCTTAGTGTAAGCGAATGTGAGAGGGTTATTAACCAAACTAAACAGACTGCCTGTGAGCATTTTGGGGATTTCGCCAGAACTCAATCAAGCCATGCAGGAAAAATTAAAGTAGTGTGGGACACTTTACTAGGAAAAATGATAGAAACTAGTGAGAGGATTAACAAAACAAGGTAATAATTAAGAATTCATCAAGGTATAAAATTCTTCATATGTAATAATAGAATCCAAGTCTTCATCCACAATGTCAAAAAATGTTTTTATGTCAGAATTTGCGATTGATTCGTCAGATTGCTTTAATGTAATTAATATAGGGCTTTCCCTTAAATAGCCCGATAACGGGCTGGCTTCATCCCGTTATAGGGCTATTCAAGGGAAAGCCCTATAAATCGTCTGGGGTTAAATGGCCATTCTTAATTGGATCCAAAATAGAAAAAATTAACTTAATTTCGTCTTCTGCTAAGTCATGTCGATCTGTCATATTGTATTTGGATTTTTTTACTTTTTGTATTTGAAATTTCCGTGATTGAATTGCTGCATCGTCTGAAAAAACGACACTGTCTGACATTCTTCGTGGAATTAAGACCGCTACTAACCCCCCGCCTTTTTTATTTGAGCAAAAAAACCGTTCCAATTAAAGGGTTATTTTTTTTTGAAAAGAAAATTGATATAAAATTTTCATAATAAAAAATATAATTTGAAACCAGCTATTTTTAAATTTTTAATGAAGAATTAATTCAAAAGATTAATTGATTGAGTATGCTAACGACTGCTAATATAGCATTCTATTTGCATTCCTCCCATTAAATTAGTTGTATAAAATATTATTTTTACATATAAAATTTTCAATGAAAAAACAAAATTTACTCCAATTTAAAGGCAACTAATTTACCCTAAAATTGAAATTTTATCAATATTCGTTCCAATTTAAATGGGAGAGTGAGTGGGATTTAGAAAATGACAACCGTCTGTCCATTTTTTTATGTATTAATTAATTAAGCTGTCCATAGTTGAATTTTCCCATAATCGTCTAAAATTGATAGAGAATCCCTATTAGGTTGAATTGAGATTTTTGCTATTGCTAAACCTTTTACATCTAAATTATGTAAAAATTCACCTTGCAAATTAAATATGTTTACCTTCCCTTGATTTGCAATATATACGAATTTTCCTAAAGAACTGACATCGCCACTTAAAACTTCTAAGCCTGTCTCAAAAGATTTAATAGCTTCTCCTTCATAACTATAAATTCCAGCATTCCCCTGTGCACAAACTACAAAAATTTCATTAAAATTCATAACTTTTATATAAATTATTTGGTGATTTCCAGTTTGTATGATATTTAAAGTTGAAATTCATGTAAATCTTTTCAAGTCATATATCACAACTGTCCCATCTCCTCCAGCAGAGAATAATTTATTCCCTTTTATTTGTAAGCAATTCACATATGAAGAGTGCATGTGATATTCGCCTAGCAAAGTTTGGGCTTTTAAGCCTAGAATTTTAATGACGCCTTGAGGGCTTCCAGCTACAACTTTGCTGGAGTCTTCACTTCATGCTAAAGAAATTACGCCTGATTTGTGTATTGAGGGAAATTTAATGGAGCATTGACCTGTTGCTATTTTTCATATATTGATATCTCCTGAGGAGTCGCCAGCTGCAATATAGTCATTTAAACAAGCCAAGCTTAAAATGGATTCTTCATGCACCATGAATTCTTCTACTTGTTGGTATAATAGAGAAGTCTTTAATTTGCCTGTGTATGGGTCTCATACTTCAATAAATCCATCATTGCTGCCTGTAATAAGGCAGTTCCCGTCTGGCGTATATGAAAAACAGTTAATTTTCGAGTCTTCTTCAGTTTCTAAGTATCTATCAAAATATTTTATATCAATTTATTCTTACTGAAAGCATAAATAATTTATTTTAAATAGATTGAATTCATTAATTTTTAAAAATTTTTAGAGTCTTAGTCATAAATAATCGCATACAAACTCTTCACTTTTTTTAGATTCCCTTGCTTTTCCTTTCAACAAATCATACTCATTTGCAGCTGGCAGCTGCTTTTGTATTTTCATATATTTCAAAGCTTGTGAAATAATAGTCAACAGTCTTTGCTTTGGCACTTCTTCAAGATATTCCTCTATTTTTCCAGCCAAAAAAATTTTTCTTTCAGCCATCCCAAAAGATCCTGCATAAATATCATTGACTTCATGCCGACTCCCTGCAAGTTTTTCAAGCCTCATAAACCTCTCTGGATCTTTATCTTTAAGTTTCCTTAAAACTTGGGAATTAAGGATCCCTAAAGCATTATCCCATTCTTGTTTTTGTATTAATTCAAGGAAAATTGTTTCATACAGGTAAAACAGCATTTCTTGTTCAAGCTTATAATTTGATAGCTTTTCTAAGACGTGGTCTCAGCTTCCTTCTTTAATTTCTGATTGGAGATCTTCAATGCTGTCTATTCCTGACCAATATATATGGGATTCTTCTTCAAGAGTTTTGAAGGATTTGGATAGCTGGGTGTCTTGAAGGTATTGAAGGATAATTTTAATGATGTCTGAGTGCTCCACTTCGTGGGATAGAGGACCATGCTCATGAGTGGATTCAAAATCGGTAAATTTTTCAAGCTGAGCTAAAAGAGCTGAAGAAGGGCTTGCAAGGTATTGATTTCGAAGTTCATAAGCTGATTTTATGGAATCTTAACTTAACTTAGAAATTAGAAGGCGTCTGCCGTTTTGATTGCGCAGTCACCAAGTATCCAACACTGGGGTTCACCTGCTTTGCGCCGTCTTCGGATCCACCTTGTTTGAATTGGGGCAATGGTTCGCTGGCCAAGTTTAGCCCTGACACTGCCTTTCTCCTTCTTCAGCTCCTGGTGGCTTGATATTCTGAAGTGAGATTTCCCTAGACGTCTACTCCTCTCCTTGCGGCTATGGACTTCTGCGGCTTGCTGCTTGAGTTACGAAGTTGACCTATCAAAAATTTCAAAAAATGGAATTTCTGGTGGCCTCTCGGCAAAAGGAAAATCCAGATCCTGGGGTGTAACTCCCAGTTTTACACTAGGTAATTGCCCCCTTGGTCTAGGTACTTCCTGTAGACCTTGCTGGGCTTGCCCTTTCCAAAACCTGAACTCTCCTTTCCTCCGAGGTAAAAACCCAATCCCAAATTTAGACTGAGGGCTAGGCTCTGAACCATATACCAGAATTGTTTATCTACCATTGCCGTCCATTTAAGGTTGGTAAAACCTTGCCGGATATAATTAGATATGTGCTCGAAGGAGTCGGTGTTGCCGATCGAGAAGCGCTGAGATACCATATTTAATTGTTATTTTATGGAATCAAAAGCTTGGATTTTTGCTTGGTCATTTTCTACAGAGAAGAGAGTTTTGTGTAAAAACTGTAAAAACAGATCTTCCATGGTTAATACTCTTTAAATTAATTGTCTAAAGTATTTTTCAAGTGAAAATGTGATGGATTATTTTATAGATATTTTCATTACTTCTATAATAGTAGCTAAACGTGTTATTCTACCTTCTAATTTAGCTACTTGGTATGGAAAAAAAATAAAAGACCATAATAGATTGTTTTATTTGATAATTTTTTTTCCATTTTCTAAAATTGCTGTATAAAAATTCTAACGAAGTTCGTCAGAATTTGCCATTTATGATAATAAATCCAATGATCATAATTTAATATACATTTTAAATATGAGTGCTAAAATTAGTCTATAATATTATAATAGCAAATTCCTTATGCTTGCAAAAGAAATAAATGATGATATTGACAGAAAATGGATTCCGAGGCGAGCAAGCAAGACATATCCTGATGAAGCTTCATGCTGGGGGAAGCCTTGCCGAAGAGGGAAGTTTTGTTTCTCTCTGAAGGTTTTCCTGTCCCTGCCAGATGGACTACTAATACATGGCTTTCTCTAATCGGGAACATTAAGTCACTCACAGGTGATGGCTCTGCCGTATGGAGTTGATCTATGGACAGCTTGCTAGGGTAGAAAATCATAAAGGGTCACCTTTGGAGCCAAGATAGGTAGCAGCAAGCGGGTTTACCTGTTTATAGCCTGCATAACCTTTAACTTAACTTATTCTTGCAAAATAATGCTATTTATTCTAAAACAAGCAGCTTTAATTATATAAAAAGTCTTATTAAATAAAAAAATGGGAATCAATGCCATTGTTATCTTAAGCGTCCTCAGCATCGCCTTCTCCTTAGAATGACAGAGATGCAAAACAGTTTATTGCGGAGTCAAAAACTCAACAGATCGCTGTGTATCGGTCAGTGTTCAAAGGAAATCTTTCTTTCTTACTTAATTATCTGGTGTTTAAGGTGTCTAGTGCCGCAGCCCAAAAGGGCTATGGCAAAACTGATGATGTAGGCGAGCCATCTTGGCACAGGTCAGCCCCGTCCAAGCCTTCTATCAACTCCTGCTTCACCGGCCTTGCTGCACGTCTCACCCGGCGCGTTGCCGTCGCCCTTGTCGCTCGACTCAGCTCCTGCGCGTGTTCCGCCTAAGGGTTATCCTCCCGTGGGGATGTGCTGAGAGGTAAAAGCCCGAAATCTTGAGTGGACTGAGGAGTGGTTCCTCTGGTTATCCCAGAGTTAAACCGCTATTGCTGTCCAGAAGTCTTCGAGTGAAAACCTAACCCTATAAATAAAATTCCATGAGGGAGAGAAAATTAGCAGAGCTAATTTCTCTCGAACCGAATGCCATTTTATTTTATGTTCAAAGGAAATCAGTCGAAATTAATGTATGTGCCGCCGGCTACGAATGTGCAAGTCTATCACAATTTTCCAACACAACAGGGAACTGGGCAAACGTAAGGTGTAATAGAGCTCTCCTAGGGAATTCTTCGGAAACTCATACTCCAAATCTCACCATACCCAATAACTCAGTACCAACAGGCCAAAGATGTGAAAATGATACTCAATGTATAAGCAACAACTGTTCACAAAACATCTGTCAAGGTCTTTCTCAAGGCGCTAACTGTTCAGTCGATGATGAATGTGAGCCAGATTTCTTCTGTGGAGTCGAAGCTATTATTAATCAAACTAATACAACCACAACTACCAATACTTCAAGTTCGAATTCCTCAAGTGGAAATGCATCTAATGTAACAAGCAGCAATGGAACTAACGTCACAGTTACAGGAAACAACACGAACGTAACAATTAATACTAATAGTACAGGTACAAACATTACTATTATAAACTCCACAAACGTCACGGTCAATACCAATAATACTTCATTACCTTCAAATTCTTCATTAAGAGGCAGAAGGCTACAAGTAACAACGCCTCCAAATATAACAATAGTAAATTCCACAAATGTTACAGTTACAAATTCATCGACTAATTCCTCAAGCAATACTTCTAGCACCAATACTTCTACAACTACTACAAGCAATACTTCTACAACTACTACAAGCAATACTTCTAGCAGCAATACAACTAATGCAACTTCAAATACAACAAACCAAAGCACACAAAACGTAACGTATATCCAAAAATGTATGGCAGCTTCACGCGAAAATGAGTCTTGTAGTAGAGATCAACAATGTATGGCAGGGCTTGGCTGTAATTTAGGAAACTGCACCAAATATTTTTCATTGCCGCTAGGAGCTAATGTATCGAAGGCTGAGTTCTGTTGGTCGAATTTCATGAGGAATGGGACATGCAGTGGAATCGAAATATATGTGAATCGTACAAGGTCTCTTTACCCATTTTCATGCAATATAAGCAGCAATTGTTCTTATCATCATTACAATTCATCAGATGTCTTTGCTTCTGAAAGATGCCAATGTGATGGAATTCATAACGAAACTGGATTTTGTCCAATAATAGGGTCTGTCATAGGGTTCTGGGACATTGTCTATCCTAAATTGCAGTATTCAAGGTCAAACTGTTCTGGACAAGCTGCACACTCAACTAACTTTACCGTATTGCGCGACTGTGGGTCTATTTCAGATGATGCATTTAGTTATTATGAAGCAATGGAGCAAGAGGCCAAGTACTGGACTTTATACCAATCAGGTGCCATAAATGGATGTTCTAGAGAGCTCGGATTATTCGACCCTACCATGGGATTAAACTCATTTAACTCTTCTGGATATATCGTCGCCATTTCATTATTATTTTTATTATTCTTTTAGTAGGTAAATTAATTTTTATTATTTTTATTTACTACAAATTTTTTCAGCAATTTTGTTGCTGACCTATTAGGAGCATCTCGAAATTGCCGAGCTTGAGGTGTTACACTGATTTTTGGAAGCTCAAGTGAACTTCTATTAATATTCCTTTTAGGTGGAAATAAATGCCCTGAGCTTCTACTTCTTATATTATTTGTTATTTTATTCTGTTTTAAGTCTTTTTTCATCTGTTTTACTTTTTCTTCTAAATTTTTCAGCTGCAGCAAAGTATTTTCTGAAAATATATTTTCTGTGCTGAATAATTTTTTTATATAAACTTCATCTTGAAATGCTTCGTTTCTTTGATTAGAAAGGATATCTTTTAGGCTCACTTTATTGCGGGAAATCGCGTCGAGTTTTTTATTTAAATCTTCATAATGTTCTCATATTCCTGCAGGAGTGCTATGTGGATTTCGATGCTTTCCAGGTGAATTGTTGGGGATTGAAATTATTGTGCCTGAATGATATAGAGCTTTTCCTTCAGTTTTCTGCTAGTCTAAAGGATAATAGAGATAGTTAATTTTTTAAATATCAATGATGATAATTGATGGGAAAGCTTTATATTTTCTTCGAAAATTTGGGTTTAGGCTAATATTCATTATATGCTTCTTATGAGGCATTGGAGTATTTTCTGTAACCATTTCAGCTGCATCATGTTTTTTGTTAATTTTGGAGATCGATAAATCAAGTAAGCTATTTTCTATGAGTGAAGCAGTTTTAAGAGCTTCTGGTAACGGATCTGGCTTTTGTAGAGCAGAAAGGGGTTGAGTTCAAGTGTACTGAAATCCTCGAGCATTTTTAATAGACAAGTTCCAGTTTGAGACTTTTTGAAAATCATATAAATAAGTTTCTTCTAATTTCGAAGGACGATCCATTAAATTAATATTTAATTCCATTTCCATAATTATTTTAAAGAGTCAGGTTTTAAGGCAAGAATCTATCTCATAACTAAACTGGCATAAATTTTATATAAAAATGAAAAATAAAGTTGCCAGTAAATGATCCACGATGACTTAAAACATAAATACAATTATTGTCTGTCAGATTATCCTTAATTATTAATTAAATTAATGATTTTTGATTTTTTATAATAAAGTACCATTGTATTTTCATAAAACATGCTATTTTAATAGATAATTACAATATGAAAAACGACGTGGAAATTATAAGTCAAATTAGTGATGCTCCCACAATCCAAACTTTCGAATCTGACACAGAAGTCCCTGAAGATCCTGTTGAGGAGCCAGTTTATCTAGACCGAAAACGATTTGGATTTTACAAAATAATAGAGTCTCGAGGGGAAGGAATTGACAAGCCAGGGACGATTGATGAAGTCATAATAAGAATGTGTGATACTACAGAAGAACTGAATGAACTTGGAGATCCAATAGAAATCAAGCTTGGCTGTGGAATGCTTCCTGCAGCGCTAGAAAAAACCATTGTGTCAATGAAAAAGGATGAGATGGTAGAAGTGCATATTCCTGCAAAGTTTCATGATGGAGTTGATAGGCTGCATTTGTTTATTTTCTATGCAAAACTATTGAAAGCTAAATTAATTTTTTTTAAAAAATGATTTTATTCTTTTAAATGTGATGGAAATTTTAATTAAATTTATTATAAAAAATATAGAGTTCACTTGCTAACTCCCCCCCCCCCCTCCGTGAGCGAACAAAAAAATTTTGTTCGCTCACGGAGGGGGGTTAATTTTTTTTTTTTAAAAAAAATTTATATATAAAATTTTAAAAAATATTTTTTTTTCGAAATTTAAAAAAATCCTAATTTGCAAAAATTGGGAAGCAAATATTAATTTAATTTGCAAAATTTTATGTTTTAAAAAACGCAATTTGTTTAAAATTAACAGAAATTAGCTCTAGATTTCATTATACTAATTATCACTTATATATCAAAATTTTTTTTTCCATTAAAATTGTTTTCTATTAAAAAAATTTTTGTTCACTCACGGAGGGTGGGTTTTTGGTCAAAAAATGGCGATTTTTCTAATGGTTTTGTTCGCTCACGGAGGGGGGGGGGGGAGTAAGCTTTTTAAATGTGCATGATTTAAGGGGAGATGGAATTTTGATAAAGCGAGTTCTAAATAAAGGGTCTGGATATGATAGAGTTGATGAAAAAGATGAAATAAAGTTCAGCGTAAAAATCTGGCAAGGGGATTCAGTTTTTTATGAAAATCAAGAAATAGATACTACAGGAAGCTCTGAGCTGATTTGCCCTGGGCTATTTGAAATACTAAAAACTATGAAAAAAGGCGAAATTTCACAAATTATTGTAAATTACCATTATTTCATAGAAAATTTCACAAGCATAAATAAAGAAAACCTCCTGCAATCTGACGTAAAAGTTGACATAAATTTAATGGAGCTCGTAAAAATCAGAGACATTTTTGGTGATGGATTTTTCTATAAGAAAATTCTTGAATATGGGGACAGATCTAATGCTTCCCAATTAAATGCAAATATCGAGGTATTTTATAAGCTCGTTATAGAAGACCAAATCATTATTTCCAATTTTGACCAAGAACCCTTAGAATCAAGACTAGATGAAGATGAATTCCCAACTCTTTGAATCCAATGCATAAAATTCATGAAAGTTGGAGAATATGCTATGATTGACTGCAATTTGACTGGACCCAATAATAGCTACATGAATGATGGGCTTAACCCAATCTTAAACCCCGAAATTCCTGAAAATATAAAGAAAGCTCATGTGTATTTAAAACTTTTTTCTTCAGATTTAGGAAAAACAAATCATGGAATGGAGGTTGAGGAGAGGCTTGAAGAAGCTTTGAGACTAAAAGAAGTAGCTCTTAAATATTACAAACTAGGAAAAATAGAAAAAGCTTTAAAAAAATACGATGATGCCAAAACATCAGTTGAGCCAATTAAAGATGCGCCTGAGGACCATAAGCCGACTATTGTAATACTTCTGAATAATATTGCCCTTTGCAATATTAAGCTTGAAAAAATGAGAGAAGCTGAATTAGCTGTAAATAAAGCTCTAGAAATTTTCCCTGAAGACATAAAATCATTGTATAGAAGAGCTACCGCAAGAACAGGACTTTCAGACTATATTGGAGCTTTAAATGATTTAAATTTGGCAAAAGAAGTCATTATAAGAAAAAATGAAACTGATATGCTAGCTACAATAGAAAACGAAATCAAAAAAGTGCAAATACTCAATAAAAAATATCATCAGAAAGAAAAAGAAATTTATAAAAAATTATTTAGATAGCATTTCCTATATAAATATTTATGATTAGCTTAGTTTTTGTCTTTTGGAGATAGCTTTATTAGACAATTTTAAGTCTTCTTCAGAGTTTCTAAGGTTATATCTTACAAACTTTAACCTTCTACAGATTAAAGGTGAAAGACTTTTATCTACACTAAATTCTTTAGATGAGACTTCTGTATCAGAGGCCTCAGTTGCCTGAGTTTGGCAAAGCTTTGAAGGGTTTGTCTGTGGTTTTATGTTTTCTTTCATATTCAAATTCTCGCTTGAATCCATATTCGAATTTTATTTTTATCGAAATTAACGAACCCAAAAATTGGTTGAGTAAATTATCAATTTTTATATGATATAATTCAGCTATTTGCTGCCGACATATTCATATCAATTTTTTTGAAATTTATTTTGGTTGGATGCAACTGAGAAAATCGACATATATTTCTGTATATAAGGACAATAGATTGAGAAGGAATGGTGTAAAATTTTTATAAAAATTGGATTTTGATAAGTTCTGCCATATACGCTTATAATTGTAAAATGTTCCGAGATATTTTAAGTTTCAGAGGCAGCGTGAGAGGTCCACGCTATGTTTGGCATGATATGAAAAGAATGGATGAAGCATTAAAGATTAATGCACCTAAATATTATCAGACTCAGCAGAAGAAAAGTACTCAATTCTACGGAAGAGATAGATACCCAAAATTGTGGTTAAAAACAGCATAGATTTTGCTTAATTTAAGATTGTGAGTTTTATTCTGACTTATAAAATTAAAATAAAATTCCTATTTTGAGTACTAACTGTCCTAGGTTTTTTGCTTGCTCGAAAAGTTGGGTTAATTTTTTTTATAATTATTTTGAAAAGATTTATTTTTTATTTTAAAATTTAAGTTTAGTATAGTAATATGTAAAATTAATAAAACTAACTGAGATTTCAACATGATAATTATTAATTATATAAAATATTGATATCCAAAAAAATTTATTTTTCAAAAATAAATTATTATCCATAATTTTTGCGGTTAAAGGGGAAGAGTAAGAAGAAGGGAAAGGTCTTGCAAAAACTCAATTAATTCACCTTTAATGAATTTAAAAAAGTGAATACTTTCGACGAATATCCTGAAAACTAAGCTTTATTTTACAATTTTTCATGTTGATGCATTAATGCCAATCAATTATACAAAAAATTAAAATAGCTACCCTAAAAATATTGAATTAATTTTAAATAAAATGATGAGTTTTTAATTCTTGCATTTCCTTTAAAATATTGTGTGGGGTCGTTCCAATATTCCTTGCAATCATTCTCTGCAAAGGTGCTGACAAATAGCAAAAAGAAAAGACAAGTGTCAAATCTAGCACACTTTTCCTTTGCCTTTCTCTTTCTTGAGTCGAGCAAAGTCTATATCCTCTTGGATTAAGCCCAGCGTTGTATGGAAGCACATCTAATAAAGCGTTTTGTAAAGTGTGCATCTTTTTATAAAGCATTTCGTTTGTGGCTGTCAATACAGAAATTGCACCTTCTTGGCTCATCATTAATAAAGCTTCATCACATTTAGCAAATGTATAAACTGTTAGCCCTGTATGCAAGTCTCCAACTTTCTCGATTTTATCAGAATCAGATCTGCATAAGAAAATATGGATATTTCGAAAACCATCAGCAATTACTTGGCGGTTTGCGTTAAATGAAGCTGCTAATGGGAATAGCTCGCGGAAATATTGACCTTTTAATTGCAAGTTCTTTTGGCTATTGGCTTCTTCATATGAAAGTATGATATTTTTTATATATTTTCCATATAAATCTCTTCTATAAAACTGATGGACAATTATAGGAAAATCTCTATATATACATTTGGTTCATAGTATCAGTACACAGAATCATATTATTTTCTATATCCATCCCAGTTGCCATCGTATAGCCATAATAAAAAGAAATCGGCTCCAACCACTCTTTTCCTTCCTCATCAACAAATATAAATATTTTTATTTCTGAGCCAACACCTACCAATAAATACCCATCAATATTTCCTAATGAAGAAATCGCACCTTTTAGCCCAGGCTTCTTATGCAAGGGCTGATATACAAGCTTATTCTGGTCTAGAGCAAATAAAATAAGTCTCCCTTGCGTTGTTGTATCTTCAGTCGCAGCCATTCCAGTCCCTATAGCAAGATACTCAAAAGGTGGATTTAATTTTCTTGAAAATTTCACAATGCACATTGACAGGATAATTTCATTTGCAGAAAATTGCTGGACTGAGCTCACCTCAGTAAGACCAGTTTCTTCATTCTGCATAAAAACTCTTAAATTATAAAGAATTTCGCCTTTATCAGTAAAAAAAGAAACAATTATATAAGCCTTTTATAATAATCACTTACTCCCCCCCCCTCAGTGAGTGAACAAAAAAATTTTGTTTACTCACGGAGGGGGGTTAATTTTTGTTTTTTAAAACAATTTATATTTAAATTTTATAAAAAATATTTTTTTTCGAAATTTAAAAATCCTAATTCGCGAAAATTGGAAAGCAAATATTAATTTAATTTATAAAATTTTTATGTTTTAAAAACCAATTCGTTTAAAATTAAACAGAATTAGCTCTAGATTTCATTATACTAATTATCACTTATATATTAAAATTTTTTTTCCATAAAAAAATTTTTCTATTAAAAAAATTTTTGTTCACTCACGGAGGGTGGGTTTTTGGGCAAAAAATAGCGATTTTTCTAATGGTTTTGTTCACTCACGGAGGGGGGGGAGTTAGCAAAACGTATTTATTTATTATCTATTTTTATTGCCATTTTTTATTCAAAACTGTATAATTTCCATACTCAATTATGTGTCTAGGGGTTTCCGAGCAATTTTTTCTTATCATAAGAACTTCTTGGTTAAGTGCAGCACTAATAGAATCTTCAAATCTTCCTATGACTAATATATCATTTTCTCTATATATAAATCCATTAGGACAATCCGCATGATTAAAAGAGCACATTGCTTTTATTTGCCCATTAAATAAGCTTGGGTGAATATGAACTCTATCTCTTTCCTGATTTACAGTAACCAAAAAATTATTAGAGCTGCACGCTACAAAAATTCCTTGGGGTAAAGAAAAAAAATGCCTATCATGATCCCATTCTGCTGGACCTAAAAATAGTGAAGAAGTTACCCTTGAGAAATTAAAATTTCCAAAACTTTTATATATGAGAATTTCACCTGTATTTACCATCCCACACAACACAAGAATATTTCCAAAAGCCCTAATGTGAATCTCTGATATATAAGCATTCTCGAACTGAGCAAAATTTTGCACCTTTCTTGAAAGATCTGATATTGGAATATCAGAAGTTTCTTCAGAATTTATGATTGCAGGGCCTTCACATGCATGGTTTGCTCATAGAAGGAGTTTGCCTGTAATAACGTTAAATAGTTGTAAGCCGCCATCAGATTTGGCTATGGCAATAATTTTTTCGTTATTTAAATCACACATAGAAATTGAAAATCCTTGTCCTTCAATACTAGGCAGCTTTTCTTCTCTGTCTCTATATATTTTAAAGCTTTCTACAGTCCCGTCATCTTATTTGTATTCATTAACTTAGATTTTAATGTGTTTCCTTTTCTTCAGCAGGATGATTTAGGATGCCTAGGCCACCCTTTTAACTCAGAACTGGTGACCATGTAAGACTCTATCAAAGCAACGAGCTGGATTTCTATGCCAGGAAGTGTAAAAAAACTGACATATCAAAAATTGGTAGACAAGTGTAAACAAAATTGACAAGAAAAAGCGCCAATTTTTAAAATAGCTTTATTATAAAAATTAATTTTAAATTAAAGATTTTTTTTAGACTGACACTGCTGAGTATCTTACCTATTTTTTCCTTCTTTTTTAAGACACTAAAGTAAATTATAATCACTTCCTTAAATGAGCATATAACTCCAACTTTAATATTACTTTCTATGGGAATTTTAAAAATCAAGCTTTTTATAGTCGATTTCAATTGTAATTGAAACATAATTATTATTCTTATAGTGCTCTTTTAAAGCTTTAAAGTGTGATATCGACTCTTAATTTTTATTTGAAAAAATTTATATGTAAAATTTCTTGCCATCTTTATATAGCTTTTAAATTGAATTTTAAAAAGTCAAATTTTTAATTGACGATTTTCGATGAGAATTGCAACATAAGCATCACTCTGCTAGTTCTCTTTACTGCTTTAAAGTTCGTAGCGACTCTTTATTTTTATTGAAATAAAATTCCTAATGATGCAATGCCATCTTTATATGGCTTTTGTATTGCACTTCAAATATCCAATTTTTAATATATAGTTTCAATCATAATTGAAACGCAAACATTTCTCTATTAGCTATCTCTCTATAGCCTTTAAAGGTCGTAGCAACTCTGAAATTATACTAGGGAATAATCTATCGATATCTAATTTTCTATGATATATAATAATATTTAATTCAATAAAAAATATGAAAAATATGGTAAGATGCTCATCAATGTCAGTCTAAAAGGCATTAGTTTAAAATTAATTTTTATAATAAAGCTATTTTAAAAATTGGAACGTTTTCTTGTCAACTTTGTTCACATTTGTCAACAATTTTTTGGGGCATGTCACTTTTTAACCCTTCCTAGTATAGAGATCCAGCTTGTCTCTTTGATAGAGTCTGACTTGGTTATTCAGTCGTTGCTCGATAAAGAAATCTATATAGGTATGGGCTATAGTAAATTTTATGCGAATAGTTTGATTTTTGCTTATTACTGTGGTATTTGAAATGCATTTCCCAGTGATAAGCAAATTTCGATTATTTATATAAAATTTATTATTTGAAAATTTTACACTAAAAACGCCATGAATAAGAAAGAATTTACTTTTTACTGGGGTGATTGAGGGTTGAGTTGCTCTCGGAGAGAACTAATTCAGCAATTCCATTTTATTATTCATTCAGTCCCATCATCAAATAAAAATGTTAAATATTCATCTACTGAAGTAACTTGCCAAACTCCTGCTTTTTGAATATCTCTAATAATTAAACCTTCATTATTTAGCAGTCTTAAGCCGCCTGCGTGACATTGATAAATAATTTCCTCATTTATTCTTCCAGCGCCTACAGTTTCTCTATCAGTAAAAAAATCTTTATTGTCACTGACTTCTTCAATACTTTCATCTATCTGTAAAATAGTGGATTCTGTTATATTAGACTCTTTTTCTTGCTTGTTTATTATACTTAATTACAATGAATAAAACCATTCATGACGATGAGCTTTTATCCTATCTTATATAAGTTTGATTGCTTTATATTCATTATAATTAGATATATTATATAAAGATCTCTATTAGATCTTGGGGCACTTATGCTGGACAATCTGACTATTTTTTGTATATCAGGGAAAGTTTCTTCGTCAAAAGTTTCATATTTAAAAGGCTGAAGTGTTAAACTCACTTTTGAAATATAGCTATTTTTGCCATAGCCATGGCAGACAAAAAGCTCTTTTACAGTTTCTCCATCACTTCTGTTTCTTTTAACAGCTAAAGAACATATAGCTCCGCTTAACCCAACAAGTTCATCACATTTTTCAATTGAATAATTCAGCTGGGCTATAGCGTGCTTTTTTTTTCTGATTTCTTCATCTTCGTCCATATCCACATCTTTTATTTGTTGATTAGAGAGCTTAAATAGAAAGGAATCATGGATTTTGGAAGCTATAAATAAGAATTCGTTTGCAAATAATAGCTGGGAATCATAAGCGTTGTATTGGCACTGCAATTCTAATGAGATGATGCTTTCAATTATTTCTGATTTGTCGTCAAGAATATAACCATCATCTCTTTCCATATAATTTAGGGATAGTAAAATAAGTTCTCCTGTGCATAGCAATAATAAGAGCTTGTGAGGGTTTATATACTATTTTTAGTTGGGTTAAGAATAAGGAATAATAAAAAAATTTAATATATTCTGATGATAATTAATGGCTACATTTATTTATATTAGAATAAATTCATAAGTGGAATTATAAAGATAATAATTCATATTCGACTCTCTCTGAGCGCTTTCTCCTATATAATGAATTGACCTATGCCCAAGTACCAAAACTCCTTTTAAAGGTGCATGCAGTGGAATCAAAGTAAAACAGTCGCCAGGCAGCCCTCCCACTTCTTTTTGCAATGTCACTTCTTTTTTCTTCAAATTAATGCTCAAAAATTTCACATGCATGGCCAGCTCTATTGGTTTTGGGCTATGAAGAACAGCCAGCACAGGGTCTACAAACCCTTTGAGCATTGCCATACTTTTAGCGAAAATCGGGATATCAATGATAAACACTGGCTTATAATATTCATTTCCCAACAAGCTATGTGTATACTGTTCTTCTTTTACAACAGTTTTTATGTTTTTTACAGGAATTACAAACATTCTATTTGATAATAATTTCCCAGCCACACATCGGCTGTCAGGATCCTGCATGATCCTGACTTCTTTGATGCCTTTTTCATTCTCAAAAGAATGCAAAGCGACAATTTCAAAAGAATTCACTTTTTCATTATAAATTAGTGTAGTTATTTGGGCTTCTTTACAAACAATAATCACTAAATCCGTTTTAAAGCTAGAATGGGCCAGTTTTGTTAAGGAATCCACTTCGCCTTGTAAAGGAAATTTGCATATCAGCCTAAGTGGGCAGGCATATGTGTAAAGCTCCAGCAAATTATTTTTTGCTACCAAAAGCTCAGAATTCTCTGAAGAAAAATTTCCAATAAGGGCGTTTGAGATCCCTGAGCAAGGAATTGCTTCTTGGTAAAAAGAAAAGCTTTCCATTTATTATTTAAGGCAGATTTTTAGCATAAAAATAGGCTAGTTTCATATGTAGATCAGACTAAAATAAATGGAATCAAGCTATGACGTGAGGAGTGGAACTAAAAAAACTGTGGTAGAAAATGATAGACAGAATTCTGCACAAAGCTGTGATGAGAATGCAGAGATTGATACTAATCGATTAAATGCTATTTTAAATGCTGAATACTTGGTTTCTGAAGAAAAAATCGAAGAAGAAGTAAAAAATCAAAAAGATGTTTTTGAGCTCAAAACTACATTGGATGAATTGATTGATGAAAATTCGCACAAAGAAGAACGCCTTGGGGAACTTTTATCAATTTGCCAATCTTTTACTGGATGTACGACCCCTGTGAAGTCGAAATCGTCTTCTTCAAGACAGTCACTAGACTTAACCGGGATCGGATTCACACATGGAACGGGAGTTCCATGTGGGATCCGATCCCGGTTGGTCCTGGGGATAGCGTATTCCGCGCTATCCCCAGGAATTTTCTATATATAATTTAATTAATAAAGTATGCATCAAAATTCAAATATATTTGCATTGCTTTCTCCAAAAAGCTCAACACATATTTTAGAAAACGAAGTTACTGAACTAAAGTCACGATTACACGAAATTGACATGAGGAGGTCTGAAGAAGCATTTGTTACAAAAGAGTTACAAGAAATGAAAGCTAAAGAATGGAAAAATTTGCAGATATGAAAAGAGAGGGTGAAAGAAGCTATAAACTTGCAAAAAGAAATTGACCCAAAATATGATGAACTCCATAGTTCAAAAGTTGTGGCTAACTCTTTCAATATGAGAAGCCTTGATAATTTTTTTCGAGATGACACTAATTTATATTAAATTATTATTTTAAGAAATTTTTTAATGGGATAAGAATAATTTCATATTAGCTCATCATCAAACTACGAATTATATAAGCCTATCTAAAAATATCAAAGCTGAGCAAGATAAAAAATACCAAGCCCAATCAAAAATCCGAGACGAGCTTAGAAATGAAATAGCAGAAATAGTTGAAAACATAGGACAGCAATCAATAATTTCTGACTCCCCCCCCCCCCCTCCGTGAGCGAACAAAAAAATTTTGTTCACTCACGGAGGGGGGTTTAATTTTTTTTTTTAAAAAAACATTTATATATAAATTTTATAAAAAATATTTTTTTCGAAATTTAAAAAAATCCTAATTTGCAAAAATTGGGAAGCAAATATTAATTTAATTTGCAAAATTTATATTTTAAAACGCAATTTGTTTAAAATTAAACAGAATTAGCTCTAGATTTCATTATACTAATTATCACTTATATATCAAAATTTTTTTCCATTAAAATTTTTTCTATTAAAAAAATTTTTGTTCGCTCACGGAGGGTGGGTTTTTGGTCAAAAAATGGTGATTTTTCTAATGGTTTTGTTCGCTCACGGAGGGGGGGGGGGGGGGTGAGAGAAAAAAAGTAAACTATCGAGTAATGATAGCCACTCTTAAGCTTGAAATTGAAAAGTATGAAGGAAGTTCAGTAAAAGAAAAAGAAAATATCCAAAAAGTAGTGAACTATAGAGAAAAGCTAGAAATTATAAAGAAAATTATTAAAAATTATGACGAAACCCTTATAATTGTAGAGCCTCTAGATGAAATTTCAATAAAAAATATTATTCAGGTTTATAATGAGATGTCATTTCAAGAATCATCTTTAAGTGAGCTATTTCAAGAACTAACGGCTGAAGAAATAAAGAAAAATCAAGCTTGCATGGATATCTCTAAACAGCTTGAACTATTAAAAGCAGACCAAAATATTGGGATCTCTCCATCAGTTTTTTCTTCTACTTTTAACCAGAAAAAAATGATATTGGATGACAAAGATTTAATAAATTTCAAATCAGACCATTTGCATGATATAGCCTGAGCCCCTTTTGGCTCAGGCTATGCCGACGTCTTCTGAAATCAACTGGGGAATTTATTTTATCAAACATTTCTTGGTAAAACTATGATAAATCCACTCACCACTGGAGATTGCCATCTGGGGAGTTGGCTTTACCAACAAGTGTTGATAAAAAAAAACTCCCCGTTGATGTCAGAAGACATCAGTATAGCCCAAGCCAAAAGGAGGCTCAAGCTATATAGAAAAATGCTTATTAAAACTTTTCTTTCTCGTTTTAAACTTTGGGTCATTTTTATGCAATTCGTTTACAAAAATCACAAAATATTCCGAAAATAATGAGCTTGACAGCTATACGATCCAAAAAGCAACAAAAATAATATCTGACCTTAAGAAAGGGTTTGGAAATCCTGTAGGTGGAAAAGGAAAACGAAATAATTTGCAAAAAAGATACACATTGATGCCAAATAAGCATATTCATAACTTTTTTAAGACTGACAATATAGAAGCTTCTCCTGTTATAAGAGAAATCGCAACAGTTCATTCCTTATTATCCGCAGGAGAAGTCTCTAAGCTTTACAATCAATATTTTTTCGATCGTAAGCATGGTAAAAAACTGTCAAAATTTTTGACAAGTAATCCAATAATTTGCTATTTTTTAACTCTAAAGCAAATTGATACTTATTTTCAAGACCAGCAGTCCACAAAAGATATATTAGACAATATCTGACAATTAAATCAGCAAGCTCATTTAAAACTTCTAGAACAATTCATGAGCTTAAGTGACATTACTCGAGATTTAATTTGGCAGACAAGTAAAAATATAAGTTCAGCTAAAACTGATGAATTTCAAGAAAAATCAGCTCTTTTGGATATTAAAAAATACCGAGAATCTCAAAGAAAAGACACAAAAAACCAAAAATCCAAAAAAAATGACCAATTATCTCGAGAAGAATCTATTGAAGGATCTCAAAATAATTTAAAAATTAATGAAGCACAGAAAAACGATAAAATAAATAGAGGAGAAGACGAATTTGAGCTAGCTATATATAAAAGTCCACATAAAGATAACAAAGATGATGATAGTTTGTACACTGAAGTTCAGAGTATTTTAAAATTTAGAAGTCCGCCACCGAAAAAGATTGAAATAGGTGGGCTTAGCAATAATGCTGTTTTACAAGAAATGAAAGATGTCAAAAATAAATTAAAAGAAATTAAAGGCATGGAAAGAAAAGCTAACAAAATTAATGTAGAAAATACAAAATTCTTCTTAACCACTAAAACAGTGATGTTTGGGATTGGACAACAAGCTGAAGAAATTGCTAGCACCCAGCCTACAAGGCCTTCAACGTATTCAATATCTAGTAGAAAATACAGAAAATTAATGTAATAGCTAACGAATTAATGCAAATTTGCTCGAAAAGTAGGACATTTCTAATATTTTTGAAGTAAGTAAAATAAAATCCGTAAATTATTCTTCTGGAATATTTTAAAAATTAGTACAAATAATCATTTATATAGCTTTGAGAATGCAGGAAAATGAGTCCATATGCACATCTGGGCTGCCAAAGATTGAATGATATATAAGGACTTGAGTGTCATTGGGATCTAAAAACGATAAACATTTATATTTTGATAATAAATTTTTAAGTTTTCAAGAAATAAAGGCTATTAGATATTGCATAATAGCTGCCGTTGCGAACATAATATTGCCAGCTTTTGCCAAGAGTGAAATATTACCCATTCGAGAATTTCACAGCTTCATAGCCAGACACAAAATATAAAATTCTTCGCTACCTTCTCTTTTGTTTTCTTAAAACATCCGATATTATTCAAAAAAAAATGGGTGTTTTCGATGCAGCATTTGTAAAATTTTCATGATTTTCTTTAAAACAAAATTAAAAAAATTTGGAAATTTAAATAGCAGCCCATTTCAAGAAATTAATTTAGATAATAAAAAAGAGAAAAATATCTGAACTAAGGGAAGGAGCTCTAATATTTTCCATCACACCAGAAGTGAAAGATATTACAAACATCAACCATAAATAATTAATGATAAAATGATATTGCTAAATATCTAAAATTTTATATAATTTTTGTATTTAAAATTTATTTGATAAGATCATAATAAAAGAAAGGATAAGAAAAAATAGCTAACAGAATGTAAAAACGCCAAATGCAACTGCGACTAATCAGTGCTTTTGATCTGCTAAAGCACTGAGGAAATAACTACATTCAGTTCAGAAATCCACTAAAGTACTTGGTGTCAGGTAGAAAAGACAGAAAATTAATTTAACAGTTAAGTAAAATAAATTCATAAATTATTGATCTGGGGCAGTTGGAAAGTCTTGGCTGTCATGAGGGGTCCTTAATGTAGCCAGTGCCTTCTTAAAGTTAAACCTCTTTTTCGGATCAATAGTAAGCATCCCTTTTAGCATATTAGAAACTTGGGGAGGATTATAGTGATCCAAGTAATTATTCATATAATTTTGATCAAAGCATTTATTAATACCTATGATAGGCTGCAAAAAGTAAAGCTGCAGGAATGTCAATCCTAAAGAATAAACATCAGCTTTTCCACGTTTATATTTTATGTTCCTTGGAGCTGTAGGGTCGTTTTTCATATTATCCATTGCAATTTGAAGCTCTGGAGCCATATAGCCTTCTGTTCCTTGTATAATTTGTGAATTGGTAGTCATTCATGTAGATTCGGGGGCATCTGCAAATGATGAAATGTTGAAATCCGCAATTTTGAGCTGCCCACTTTTAGAAATAAAAATATTATGAGGCTTTATGTCTTGATGATAAATTTTTAATCCTTCAAGAATTATGAAGCCCTCCAAAAGATTTTGAACATAGTTAAAATAGGTATCTTCGCTTATATAATATTGCTGAGACCCAGCGCGGAGTGACATATCATCCATGAGAGAGCATTCACAAAGCTCCATAACTAGATACAAATGATGATACTGCTCACTGCCTTCCATGACACTTTCATAAAACATCCCATAATAGTCCAAGAATACTGGGTGCCTTCTGTTCAGAGTTTGCATAATTTGGCCTTCGCTTTCATATTTTCTTACTTTTGCTTCGTTTTTACTTTTATACATTTTAATGGCAACCTCAGCCCCAGTGCTTTTAATTTTCCCTTTCCATATGATCGTTGTTATATCTTTTGAAAAACCTCTTTGCATGCAGTAAATTGGGTGGTCTCTATTGATGTCAATTTCTGTATGAGGGTTTACTATCAATACTTTATCTTTTTCTTCTTCAGGAGGGATTGGAGGAGGTGGAGGGTTTGGGTCTTCAATACCAAATAGAGCGATCAGTTTTTCAACCCTCTGCTTTAGAACTTCACTGACAATATTCATCTTGCTGATAAACCAAAGCATTTTTTTTGGTGTTTCTTTATCTTCGCTTCCGACTGTGCCTTCTACAAATTTCGCCATTCCTAAAACATCGTTTGTGGCTTCGATCCAGTCGCAGGCTTTGCCGATTTCTATGTATTTTAAAACACGGAAATCAGTCCCAATGCTTTCAATTTTGCTAACTCCCCCCCCTCCGTGAGTGAACAAAACCATTAGAAAAATCCCTATTTTTTGCTCAAAAACCCACCCTCCGTGAGTGAACAAAAATTTTTTTAATAGAAAAATTTTTTATGGAAAAAAAATTTAATATATAAATGATAATTAATATAATGAAATCTAGAGCTAATTCTGTTCAATTCTAAACGAATTGCTATTTAAAACATAGATTTTATAAATTAAATTAATTAGTGCGTTCCAATTTTTTCGAATTATGATTTTTTTAAATTTCGAAAAAAAAAATTTTATAAAATTTATATATAAATTTGTTTTAAAAAAAAAAATTAACCCCCCTCCGTGAGTGAACAAAATTTTTTTGTTCACTCACGGAGGGGGGGGAGTAAGCTTTTCGAGGCTTTGCAAGATGACTTCTTTGTCTGAATTGGTAATATGATGGTAAATACTGAGCTTGGCTCTGAGTTCATGAAGTAATCTGCCGCTGGAAGTCTCTTCGTTTGTGCTTTGGGAAGGGTTGTCAGCTGAACTTTCTGTAGGGTTTGAAATTATTGATGTATGGAAGGTGAGGAATGCATCAACAGGATCAACTACTTGAGCATCTGCCATTTAATTAAATTATAAATAGGCTATTAATTATCTACTAATTTGAGAAGTAGACGTGAAAATTATATTAAAAATCTAATAAAAAATTCCCCATTTAGATGTTTAAATTTTATGCTGAATTGTAAAGAATTGATACTCATAATAAAGTTTTCCCTATTAGAATAAAATAAATTTAGTATCAAAAATAAAAAAAAATCAGTATGATTTGGTATAGATTAAAAAAGAAATTCAGATCCCCATAATAATGAGTCAAGCCCAACTCCACAATTTATTTGCGACTGATCCTTTATTATTTGAAAAGATATGTGAAATATTGAAAGAAAAAGAAAAAGAGTTAATTCATGGAGTCACCACTGTTATGGGAGGAGATTTTGCAATAAACTTATTAGAAGAGACCTTTAATGTAAAAGATAATAGCATATTATTAAAAAAGGATGGAGAAAAACGGACTTTGGGAGGTGTTTTTCTGCTTTTATTAAGGCGAAATATTACACCTGAGCAGAAAAAACAGATTTTTAATCCTCATGCACAAGAAAAGAAGAAAAGACATAGAGAAAGGAGAAGACTAGAAAAGCAATTAAAAAGATTATCCACAAAAGATGAGGAGGATGAGGATAAAAGTAAAAATGTTCATTCATTGGAAAATAGATTACTTACAGCTTCTAATGAAACTCCTGTTTTTAAATTGGCAGCAGGAGTTTTGGTAGTGAAAGAGCCAATAAATAAGCAAATTCAATGCGCCAATACTAATAATTTGAATTAATTTTTAAAAATAGCTTAATTATTTAGAATTATCTCAAATTAACTCAATATTTATAAATAAAATATTTAATAAAAATTAATTATATAAATAAAAATAATTTGCCTAATATCTCAATATTTATTTATTTTTTACACTTAAAACTCATAAAGATAGTCGCTAAAACTCTATAGCTTTTTAAATATGAAGAATAATTGAATTTACTTAATTATCCATACAATAAGTCTACATGAAGAGCTCATCTTGAGAATTGTATGGCATCAGGAACACCTCGTCTGATATAAACGGGTCATCTGTCCATACGAATTCTACTGGAGCTTCCTCAAAGTACACAGGAGATACAGGCGGTGGGAGTGGTATTTGATGGCCTGTAATAATAAAATCCGTCTCTTCCAGTGGCAAATCTGGCAAGCTTGGTGGGGACTCTATCATATTTTCGTCATTCCCATAAAACTCCTCTTTAGCCTTGGCGAATGAATTTGCCCTTTTCTGGCGATTTTTTTTGTGTAGTGCTGCCAGAATGCTCATTGTGAGCTGTTTGTCGTGCTTCCTCAGCTGCTCTCTGGTGCCATCGCTACCCTTTAATCTCCTGTATTGTTTTCTGAGTGTCGAGTAAAAGTGATTTTTAATTGAATTATAATAATTTACCTTGAATTGGCAATAAAAAATACAAATTTAATTATAGAGGAATTTATGGAAAAAGGGAATATCGGTCCTTCCAGGCAGGAATTTTGAAATTTCTGCCCATTTATTGCCAAGGCCTTCATGGTTTTCAAATAAAATCAACTCTTCTTCTAAACTTCAATCATCTTTATTTATCCCCGGGTTCAGATGATTGTGTCAACGTTCCCGACACTGTTTGCCAGTTCTACCAGGAAAACTAAATAACTGGTTTAGTTTTTCTGATATTACGGTCCATTGCTTTGTCCCATTCTCATGTATAGCATATTAATTTGTATTAATTATTTATTTTCATGAGAAATAGATAGCTTATATATAATTAAGCACTGTATACAAGCCTTTGAATTGCATCATCCTCCTTAGGTGTCCAAGGTCGCCTTTTTCCTAATTTATCTTTTTGTGGTAGGGAATTCAGGCTATCAGTTTTGGACCTCCTTGGCTTGGAGTGACTGGACCTTTTGTGTCTCATATGTGAAATTTGGTTATAAAAATGTGAAACTGTGCACAATATGGGAATTAAGCCAAATTTAAATGTCAGTGAAAAGATTTAAATAAAAAACAGGAAAAAATTGATCAGAGATTTTAAAGGAAAAAAATATAAATGCATATTCTAGATCCCTGTATAATTGATGACCGTTTCTTGCTATATTCGTTATAAAACGTTTATTTTTGGGGTTTTATTAGAAAAATTGAAAATTGGTTTATTTATTTAAGAATAAAGATATAAAATTGTAAAATAAATTTGAATTAAATTCTAGTTAATATAAGAATAAATCTTATTAAGGCTCATATTTCGACACAACCAAAGAGCTATTGATTCCTCCGAATCCTACATTGTTCATAACAACGTTTCTTACATTTGTATAGACTGGCTCTCTTACATAATTCAGCATTTTTCCGTTAACTGTAATAGGATTTTTAAGATTTTTAAATATACTGCATTTTATAGATTTAAAAGACATGACAAACATGGCCATTCTTTTTTTTAGCAAATATGACTTATTCTTATAATAAATAAATTAAATAATAAAATTAATTCAAAAAACTGCAGCATAGGTGGTATAATTCCATGTGTGATACTCAAAAGACTTTCAATAGCATGGAAAGTACCAACTGTGCACATCATATGTCCAGTATTTCCTTTGCATCCAGTGATATAAGGGTTAATGTCTCCAAATAGCCTGTCAATTCCGACCATTTCAGCAAGATCTCCTTCTCTAGTTCCTGCAGCGTGTGCATGAACAAGTGTGATTTCAGAAGGATCAAGTCCTGCCATTTGGATGCTGTTAGACATAGTTCTATATATTCCTTCTCCTTCTGCAGTAGGTCTTGTTAAATGGTATCCATCACAGTTCATAGAAAATCCTTTAAATTCACCATATATTTTTGCACCTCTTCTTAAAGCATGCTGAAGTTCTTCAAGGATTATACTGTTTTCTATTAATTAAATAAATATAATAAATATGGCCTATATGAGCTATTTATATGTAATAGAATACCCCGTCTCCGCCATCACTTACACAAAGCCCACCTCTGCTCTCATCCATAGGCCTAGGAGCGCCTTCTGGATTATCATTATCTTTGGTATTAATGGCACCTAAGGTAGTAAACCCTCTAACTCCATAAGGAATAACGACATTTTCAGCACTTGCAGCTATTACAACGTCAGCTTCTCCAAGCAAAATATTTCTATAGGCTTCTTGAATGACTGCTTGACCTGTGGCGCATGCAGCTGTTAAGGTTCCAACTGGCCCTTTTGTCTGGAAGTATTTGCTAACAGCAGCCGTTAAGCCATGAATATCGGTTTCTTCTATATATTCCATATCATTATATCTAAATCTTTTTTTTAAGAAAAAACTTGTAATAATGCACTTTCTTTTAAGCTTTTTAATCATTTAATATAGAATACCCTCCATGCACTGAACTCATGGCAGCCCCAGCCCTGAAAAACTTATCATACATTCCAAAAATATTTCTGCCTGTTGATGTCCCAGTCCCCATGATACAGCCAAACCTTTCTCTCTCTGCTTCCGTTTGTGGCTTATAACCGGAGTCCATCATAGCTCTGTAAGCACCTATGAAGCCATAAGCATTTTGTTGGGTACGATTACTAGGCATAATTCGGTACCATTCTTCCAAATCCACGTCTAGTAGTCCACCAATGTCAACTGGCATTTCGTCTATCTCAGGGAATCTTGATTTAGGAATTTTACGGATCCCAGATTTGCCTTGAATAAGGCCTGCAAATACTTCTTCTAGAGTATTTCCTATCGGAGTTGCTAAACCCATACCAGTGATGACGACTCGACGGCCAGATGCTTGCTTAAGTTGTTGCCAATACATGTTAAAAAACGACTATTTATTTACCAACAGATTTTTGATAAAAATAGAGCAAAATTTATCATGAAAATTTAGGGTGAAGGATTTATTACTGAAAAGCTTGGAAAAAAATATTTTTAGGTTTTATTGTTAGGGATAAGAAATTTTAACGGATTCAGATATTTAGAAATAATGAAAGATAAGAAAAAATATTTGAAAAATATTTTTGGCACAATAAGAGAAGTCTGAAATTAGATTCAAAATGGGGAAATAATAACAAGACTAAATGTTACCTGACATAAAATATTTTATATACTTTAATAATAAATCTATCTCTTGACTTTACCGAATTATTTCATATTCATTCTTTGCTTGGAAGTCATCATGTTTTATGTTAATACTCTTAAAAAATTTATATATATCAATATCTATCACCTCATCCTAATTTTGGCTCACTTTTATCCCATATTTATAAATGAACAGACATCCCGTAGATAATATTCTCCTCCAATGCAACTATCCAATCGATTCTCGTCAAAGAATCAAAACCGATATAATTGCTATTATTACCAAAAATCCTCAATTGAATCCTCGTGTGATACGTGTAGTTGAGCAAAATCAGCCTACGAACGAATGCTCCTTAGAAGGCACAATCCCTATTCAATATAAAGGTGTAAATTACAACATTCTGATCAATTGTATTCTTCCGCTGTATTACCCACATGTAGCTCCTATTATTTTTGTCGTCCCATTAGAGAGAATGGTTGTCAAAGCAGGGAACTTTGTGGAAGCTGATGGAAGAGTAAAACACCCTCTGCTAACCAGCTGGAATATTAAGAACTCAAGCTTAGGTGCTGTTCTTGCAGAGTTAAGCAAAGTTTTCTCCCAAGAATGCCCAGTCTTTAAGCAAAGTGATAAAAAGCCTGCAGTTCAGCCTCAGCCTCAATATCAGTCTGCTCCAGCACCAGCTCCTACAGGCCCAGCTCCTAAACCTCAAAATTATGAGCCTACTACATCTATAAGAGAATGCAATGACAGATTAATTCAGCTCTACAGAACGGTATCCTTAGACATAACAAGAGAAAATCAAGAATTAATTTCGAAAAAAGACCAACTGATGCACCACAAAAACGAGCTCTTGAGTCTCAAACAAAATGCTATAGAGGCTATCAAAACCATCAAAATCGACCTCAAAGCCCAAGAAGGTGCCGAACAGAAAATGAAAAGTTCAGCCCAATCCTCAGAAGAATGGGATTGCTTATCAGAACTCACCCCAGAAATCCCAGTCCATCAACAAATATAGTGTTTTCCCATGAATGGCGCTAATTTGGCCTCGATTTTCCCATTGGGAAAATTTTTTGGTTTGACCAAACCATATGATACTGGTTGAGCCAAAAAATTTTCCCACTGGGAAAATCAAGGCCAAAACAGCGCGATCCACAGGAAATCGCAATACTTTTACTTGTCAGCGAAGAACAAGCTTACGAGCAAACCCTCTTACTCCTCAGAAAGCTCTTCGAAACAAGGAAAATTTCTGCAGATTCCTTCGTCAGAAACATGAAAGAAATGACCAATAAGTACTTTTTAGTATCCAGACTCCGTGAAAAAGCTGTTAAATCATTAATTAGATAGGAAATTCTTTAGCATTGAGATTCATATGTGGAATAAATGATAAAAAAGTCCACAAATGGAAATAACTAAGTATGACTTATAATAATTGTGGTCAAACATGGTTGATTACAGAGTTAAAGACATCACCTTAGCAGACTGGGGACGCAAAGAAATCAATCTTGCCGAAGTCGAAATGCCTGGCTTAATGGCCACAAGAGCTGAATTCGGTCCTTCACAGCCTCTAGCTGGTGCCAAGATCTCAGGATCACTCCATATGACCATTCAGACTGCTGTCCTTATTGAGACCCTTAGAAACCTTGGAGCTCAGGTCAGATGGTGTTCTTGCAACATCTATTCCACCCAAGACCACGCAGCAGCAGCTATTGCAGCCGCAGGAACTGCTGCAGTCTTTGCCTGGAAAGGTGAAAACTTGATGGAGTACTGGGAATGCACAGATAGCGCTATCACATGGCCAGGTTCAGATGGTCCAAACCTCATTGTTGATGACGGTGGTGATATGACTCTTCTCGTCCATGAAGGAGTCAAATGGGAGCTTGAGCATGAAGCTGACCCAACCAAGGTCCCAGTTCCAGAAGCTGAAGAAAACGAAGAAATGAGAGCTATTCTTACCATCATCAAGAAAAACCTCGAAACCAACCCAAGAAAATGGAGAACCATGGCTGAGCACATCAGAGGAGTTTCTGAAGAGACCACCACTGGTGTCATGAGACTCTACGAAAGAGCTGCAGCCGGCCAACTTTTGTTCCCAGCAATTAACGTAAATGACTCAGTCACAAAGAGCAAGTTTGATAACATTTACGGATGCAGACACTCATTACCAGACGGAATCATGAGAGCTACCGATGTGATGATTGCCGGAAAAGAAGTCGTTGTCTGTGGATATGGAGATGTCGGCAAAGGATGTGCCGCTGCTATGAAAGCTGCAGGAGCCAGAGTTGTTATTACTGAAGTCGACCCAATTTGTGCTTTACAAGCTTGTATGGAAGGCTACAGTGTCAGAAGACTAGAAACCGTCGTGTCACATGCTGATATTTTCATTACAGCTACTGGAAATAAGAAAATCATTATGGCTGCTGATTTAGCTAAAATGAAGAATAACGCTATTGTCGGAAACATTGGACATTTTGATAATGAAATTGATATGGCTGGATTGACCAAGTACCCAGGAGTTGAGCTTGAAAACATCAAGCCTCAGGTTGATAGGTATAGGTTCCCAGATGGACATGGTGTCATTATTTTGGCATCAGGAAGATTACTTAACTTAGGCTGCGCCACAGGACACCCAAGTTTCGTCATGAGCTGCTCATTCACCAACCAAACTATGGCTCAAATTGACCTCTGGCTTCACAAAGATGACGGAAAATACGAAAAGAAAGTCTACACACTTGAAAAGAAACTTGATGAAAAGGTAGCTAGACTCCACTTAGACGCTCTTGGAGCTGAACTTTCAACTTTATCAGAAGAACAAGCTTCATACATCGGAGTTACAGTCCAAGGACCTTACAAAAAGGAAGCATACAGATATTAAATAATCGGATTTCTTATAATAAGTCATTTATTAATTATTTTCAAAAATGTTACAATAAAAAATAATGATTTTGGAAATCGGGGTCTCTATAATTGGAATTGTACTTACAATTTCTGCACTTTTTGATGATTTATCAGACACTTTTGACTACACAAAGTGAAAAAGCTGAGTTAAATTTATCCCTCAAGTTCTACTGATATCAGCTTGTGGGTTTCGATTTGTAAAAAAGCTTAGAATTGAAGCTTTGGCAACTTCAATTGTGTCGTTAATTGGGTTTTATTATCTGATTTTATTCAATACTCGTGAAAGCTCAATTCTTGTATGTGACGAGTATTCTGATATCTGTGCAGAAAAAGTCGATGTGTTGTATACAGGGGAAGTTTTAAAAGCTGCTACAGCATTGCCTTATCTGATTGGCTTGGCTGTATCAATTATTGGAAGCACTTTGCTTGCAAGAGAAACATATTTCATGATAGAAAACAATAAAATAGGTGTGAAAAAATAATAAAAATTGATTTCTTGAGAAATTAGCTGAATTTTTGGATATTTTAATAATAATTTAGATAAAATGAATATGAACACGTATTACAATTTGCAAGTGAAAAGTCCAGTCTCAGCTCGTGCAGAAATAATTTTGCAAGTCCCACCAACATGAAATGTTTCACGAGTGAAAGAGCTTATTCTCCAATATCATCCTGAGTCTCCATCAATAAGATGTCAACAGCTTATCCATAAAGGAAATATTTTGCATAACAATACACCTTTGTCATCAATTTTTGGTCAAGACCGTGACCAGATCATATATTTAGATATTCAACTATTACCAAATCCTCCAGATCCAGAGAAAACAGGCTTTAATTCTACTGCATTTAAAGAAAGAGAAATTGAGTACCTTCACAAGTATGATATAGTCAAACAAATCCTTATTGACACCAAACATGCAGAACAAAGCTCACAGCTTATCCCAGAACATTCAATATTAAACACCTTACCTTTATGCCATCCAGATATAGGGAAAAGGATTAAACATATGATGGATAATGAACAGCCTAGAAGAATAAGGCTGCAAGGGGTGCCTTTGTCTGTGTATTTTGATATACAAATGCTGATGAGATGAATTCTATTTTTATTTATAACCCAATTGTATTTGGGATCTAGTACAAATTTAGACTATTACTTGTTTATTTTTGTTTTGTATTTGGTTAATGTTAGACTGAAAATTGAAAAACATAGAGAAAAACAGCTGCAGAGACTCCCAAGAGAATATTTAGCGTTTATTATGCCTGAAAAATTCGGAACTGTACCAAGAGATATGGATAAAGCGAAAAAGATTTATGTAAAATGCTGGGAAACTCTAAGGAGCTTTGGGATGAGCTTTTTACCATGGTTTGATCCAAATGATTATGCACAGATGAGGGCTAGAGCTTTAAATGGATAGTTAATTTTATATGAAAATAAATAATTCTATTTTAACGCTTTCATATTTAAATTCAAATGGCGACTGAATTTTTTGACAATTCTTTAGCTACTTGTACAATCTACGGTCTTTTGATGGCAGTCACATTATTTATTACATATATGTTCCAAAAGCATTATTTTGCTTATTACAGACCAGAAGAATCGTCAAATCTTCTTGAATCGGATCCTTCACATAGTGATGGCAACCCAAAAGAAATCAAAACAGAACCACAAACACCAGTTAAAAGATGCTGCTCACCTCTCTCACCTATAAAGACACCTATATCATTTAAAAGGAAAAAAACTCTGAAGACTCCTGATGTATCTGCTAATAAACCGAGCATTTTTAATCAGAGAATCCCTCTTGTATCGATTAATGCGAATACTTTGGAAGCTACCGCAAGACTTAATATGGAGCTTAATCAAGGATTAGGTAGAATAAGGATTAGGATTATTTAAGGCAAGTCTAGCCATATTGGTGGCACAGTCACCAAAGACCTCCAGTACAGAAGGTTCATTTGCTTTCAGAAAAACTGTCCAGTAGGTCTAGCCATGATTGGTATAGTTGACCCTTCATTGCCTTGTCCTCAGTTTGAGTGGGCAGCTTATGGATTTCTGCGGCCCTGCTGTAGGTGATTGGGAGTAGCTTGATTTCAGGGATTAGCCCCTTGGAGTTTATTGCGTCTCAGAGTGTCTTTCTTTGGCAGCTACAGGAAAAAGACAGTTCCCCTTATTGCCCCAGCTTCTCGATAGAGGATGTCCAAGAGTCCGAAGGACATTACTAAGCACCTCCATTTTCAACCACAGAAAAGCTGCCAAAACCTGCCGGATACACATTTCCTGAGTCTGCACTTATTTCTCGGCTTCGAGTTCGTTCCAGCTTGTTGCCACCTTAAGATCTGGACTGTTGTGCCAAGCTGGCAGATTGACACGGGTCTCATTTTAATGTATATTAATCAAGGATTAAGGTAGTGTAAATAAAATTTAGTTTAGCAGAGAGCGTTTCTATAATCATTATTTAACTGACATTTTATTGAGAAAATGGCTTAATATTTCCATCAAAAATATTTTTCAGTAGCAATGATAATCAAGAGGCTTATGAATAGGAAATATGATTAAATAAGCTTTTAATAAAATGTAGAAGGAAATAGTTGTTTTTCGATATTTTTAAAGCCTTTTTAAGTTTTTCTTTTATTAATGTGTATTAATATAAAATGGGAGCATGTGTAGGCTCTGGAAGTAATACAAATAGAACAAACCAATCAAGCAATCAGCCTAGAAACCAAGCTCAAAACCAACTCCCGCCACGAGCAGCAGCAAATCCTCCAAATCAGCAGCCTATTTATAGAAATCCTCCACCTCCTCCACCTCCAGCAAATAGAAATGCTCCAAAAGGGCCAATCCCATTAACCAGTGTAGAATCTCAAGATAGGGTGCATTTAGAAGTTTATTTACGCAAAAATTCTTTTGAATTAGTTCCAGTCCCGCAGCAGGCCGGAAATTTTTCATTAACTTTCGAGTTTGATTCGCTTTGTGTCTGCATAATCGACATATATTATTTTGCAGTTGAGAATTTGGATCAATTATGCATTTTCCCTTTATTTTGCCTAAAATTGAAAAATTTAAATAAAATTATAATTTTTAGTGGGCAAAATAAAGCAAAAAAATATAGGCAAAAATACATTAAACTTTTCAGTAGACACCAAAATGTTCCCTATTCCTCAATCATATCGCTTTAATGCTGGAATGAAACAAAAATTCCCACCAAATGTATCTTTAATCATCCCTTCAAAATACCCACCTGATTTATTGCAATTTAAAAACAAAATCCATATCCCAATTGTTGTAAATATTAGAAATGAGGATAAAACTAATATGCAGACACAGACTTGCTTTTTGGCTATTGAAAATGAAGGGGGAAACTATAAATTGTCGATTCTTAAACAGAAAATTAGCATAAGGCAAAAATGGTTTATTTTGAATGAAATTTACAATTTAGAAAAAAGTGAAGGAGAATGTGTGATTTGTTTAGGAGATAAATGCACAGTTACAGCATTGCCCTGCAAACATTGCTGCTTGTGCGTCATTTGCTCTGAAATGATAAGAAATGATCCACAGATGAAGTGCCCAGTATGCAGAGCAAAAGTGGAGAAATTTGTAAACATTGAGTTTAATGAATAACTTTATGTATTTTTGAGAAAAATAATTAGATTGGTTTTCTCATATAATTAAATATTATTTTCTATTAATCTATATATTTTGTATAAAATAGGAAAAATAATGCTAAACTGTGTGGAGTTCGCTTTCCTTCTTCCTAATGCATATGAAAAGCATATAATTTAAATTATCATATTATAACTCTATAGCCTCATCATTGGTAACTTTTTTGTTATAGTCCCTTACCCAAATTTTGGGAGGCCTCTGACACATGGAGATATCCTCCACATGCCATAAATACTTCCACATGTGAAATCTCAAAAATATAGTGACTTCATATGTGGAAATATTTCTGGCATGTGGAGGATATCTCCACATGCCAGAGGCCCCCTAAAATTGGGCAAGGCGCTATAAAATGGTTTTGTGGTGATTTTTTGCTTTATAATTTATTTTTAGGAGAACATAAATCTACATATTCATCGCAATAAATATAAAATATTTACATCCCAAAAGTATTAATATATTCTAAATTTCTAGCCATTTCTTAGCATAGTTTCTTATTTTACTATTTTGATAAAAGGAAAATAAATTTACGACATTCACCACAAAATTTTTAATAAAACCTCGCTATTTATTTAATTACTAGGAAATCCATCCTTCTAATTTAATGGAACTAAGTGACATCTTTCTAAACAAGTATAAGATTGAAAGTGTTTTGGGGAGCGGTGGATTTGGAAAAGTTTACAAAGCAATTAACACAAAAACAAATAAATACGTGGCTATAAAAACAGATATAAAAACCCGTGGGGTGGTAATTGCTGAGTCTCGTATACTTACAAAACTGCAAAATATTGAAGGAATACCAAAAGTGTATGAATCTGGAAGAGTGGACGAAGTGACTTATATGGTCTTCGAATTACTAGGTCTTAGCTTAGGAAATGCGATAAAGCAAAACGGGGGAAAACTGCCAATTGCAGCTTCAATAAAGGCTGGCCTTCAACTGCTAACTAGGCTGGAGAATATTCATACAGCTGGGGTTATCCATCGTGACATGAAGCCTCATAACTGTTTATTTGATATGAATTATGATTTTTTATATTTAATTGACTTTGGTCTTGCAAAAGAATTTATGATTGGAAACCATCATCAATCTGAGCAAACAGGATGCTCCTGTGTTGGAAATTCAAGCTTTGCTTCTTTAAATAACCATATGGGATTCAGACAATCTCGAAGAGATGATCTTGAAAGTTTAGGCTACATATTGGTTTACCTTGTGAAAGGAAGACTGCCATGGCAAAAATCAGCCCATAAGAAATGTATGGGAAAATGGCAAAAAGTTTTCGCAATAAAGGCTGCAGTCACTGTGCACGAATTATGCACAGGATGCCCTAGTGAATTTGCAGAATTTCTAAATTATGCAAGAAGCCTAAAATTTGATGAGAAACCTAAATATGATTATCTAAGAAGTCTATTAGAAAAAGCGAAATACAGCTTACTCCTACCGAATAAAAAAAAAAATTTCTTTCATGGAGGTGGGTTAATCTAATCTTTTTAATAATTTATATAATTTTTTTTTGAAATTTAAAAAAATCGCATTTCGAAAGAAAGCTGTTTAAAACTAACTTACTAATTATCATATATATATCGAATTAATTTTTTCATAACATCAAAAAATTTTATATTAAAAAAATTTGTACAAATGATTTTTCTTAAAAAATAAGAAGAGGTTTTCCAATGCTTTGTTCTCTCACTGAGACAGAAGTTAGAAACTCCGGAATATACTTTTGGCTGGTTAAAAGACTCTTCAGCTGTCTTGGAATCAACACCAAAACTTAGGTGTAGAAGCAATTACCGTCGAGACTCTACAAAAACTCATGCTAGACGTTCCAAAAGGAGCTCAACCCATACAGTTGGGCTAAGTCCTGAAGTTCGCCATGAAATCCTTGACGATTTTAAACAGATGCATCCAGCTAAAAGAGCCAAACACCACCGCTCCAAAACAATCCACCCTAAAAAGAACCATCCTACAGAAATCGACCCTCCAAGTCTTCCTACTCTGCATGAGGCAAAATCTGATTTTTTCCCTGAGACGATACACGAAATAATTATCCACGAGCAGGATTCCATAAACGATATTGATACACAAAATAAATCTTCTCCAGAGGACGATTATTCTTCACAGCTTACCGAGCGGAATGAGCCTCCAGAGATATTCCCTTTTATCTCCATCCATTATTTTACCTATAAAACCAATTTTTTCCCAATATTTATCAAAATTTCATATAATAAACCGCTCAATAATAATGAAGCTTAAAACCCCTTCACCAGAAATCCCTACAGAAAAGCATATCCGAGAAGAGAAAAATTGCTGTATAATTTAAACTAATTCTTGCAATAAATATAAAAATGAGAATGATGGGCAATTTTGGAGGGTCTTTTTGGGCCAATTTCAGAGGTTTTCAAAGCTCGTCACAGATTGACGAAATTTTAGAAAAAGAAGAAACAACCCTTGCCCAGTTGCTGGATCAGGATGAAATTTTGCAGGAAATGAGAAACCAAAATCAGAAATTAATTGACTTGTAATCATTATGCAGCTTGAACAGAGACAGAATTATGGAATTGATTGAGTATATTTCAGTTTTCCCACCAGATGACGCTGACAATAAACGTGGGCATAAGTTTCCATTCCTTGCCTCAGAATTGTTTGCGTGTGAAATTCCAAGTTTGTTGGATAAGTTTTATGATGACCAAACTTTACTGGAAAAATTATTTAGCTTCTTTGTAGAGCCATTGAATTTGACATTAGCTGGATATGTAAGCAGACTTGTCATAAGCCTTTTTATCAGAAACCCGCCTGAACTGCTCAAATTTATTATTGAGAAATCTTGGAATTCCTGGTTTGTGCAGCACTTAGAATATAGAGCGGTATTAGATATCATAACAAAAATAATTCTCGTAGAAAATCCTTCAGAGACTTTTTATGTTATTCAGAGGAAAGAAATCGTCCAAAATTTGATATAAAGTTTTGTCTGAATGTGAAAATTTTAAAATAAACAGTCGGTGTCTTATTTTCTTTAAAAATAATTTCTGATCAGAAATTTTAAGAAAAATGACACTGTAAATTATATAAAAAATTTAGCATCCTCAAACCCCAATGCCGCTTTAAATTCCAGTCAAATCTTATGTGAGCTAATATCAAAGCATAACGACGTAAACTCCTGGCCTGAGCTCGCTGGAGTTCTTACACAAAAAGAATCCTTATATTTGCTTACAGAAGGCCTTACATCTCAAAATAATTATAATATAAACGCAGTCGTCACTGTCCTTAGAGCCATCATGGCAAGCAGCTCTCATACCGATTTATTGACATTATCCAAAAAACAAGCCACAAATCTTGATGAGGATGCCTCTACCCTGCTTGAAGACGAAGAATCCCCTGAATTTATTGAAAGTTTCGTAACAGTTTTGCCAAAATTAAAAGAAATTTTAGAAAATTTCCATGGCGGGCAAATTCAAACGACTTTTAATGAAGATATTGAGGCACTAGGAGAAGGGAAAATAAAGATAATTGAAGTAATTGGGGCAGCTATCAAGATGGAAATTAAAGAAATCCAAGCAAAAATTGAGGAAATTGAGGTGGTAAAAACCATTGTGGGGATTTTCTTTAAATTTGAATGGAATTCAATACTCCATACGACTTTTGAGCAGTTTGTGAATGCGATTTTGTTATCGTCTTCACAAGTTTTGAAGGAGCAGCTATTAAATACTTCAGGATTTTTGGCAAAAATTATAGAAAAAGGACTAAACCCGGGGCGCCCAGGTACAAGAAATCCATCATTAAAGCCTGGATATATGGGACATATTACAAGAATTTCAAATTTAATAGTAAAAACTTCTGAAAATCGTCCAGAAATTACAGAAATTATATCAAAAACTGAAAGATGGGATGAGTTTAAATCCTCGTACCTAGAAAACACAAATTTCTTAGAAAATCGACACCTTGGAGGGTATCAGCCTCTGTCTTTCGGAGACCATTTCGCTGAAGAAGATGCCAGAGACAGTGAGGAAAACTCAACAAACCCTTTTTCTTCCTATAGCAATAATGAAAATTCTAATGAGGAATTAGAAATTCCTGAAGAAGAAATTGAGACTAATGAAAAGCCACTGACTAGCGAAGACTTAATGTTTGATTTGAATGAAAATGAAGAGAAAAAAGAAGAAAATAACGAGCCGGATCCTGAAAAAGAAATAAAAAGTGAAAGTATTGGAGAAGTGCAGGGCGAGCCAGATACTTATTCAGACGTTAATTATTGGGCAACACCTGTTGTGATTGAAGAATTAGAAGAATTATAAGTAGATAATTACGGATTTCTTATTTTTCAATATTATTTAATGATTTTTAAATTAATTTAAAAGATTTGTTGGCTATAGCGGGAAAGCCCACTAGCCTTAGCTCACCTGTGCCCTTTTGGATTTCAGGCTTGAATCACCTACTCAATGGATCAGCTCCGAGAGCAGAGCCACCGCCTTAGAGTTCCCAATAGTTTCGATGAGAGAAGGCCATGTAGTAGACAAAACCTCTCTAGCCCATCTGGCAGGGACAGGAATACAAGCAAAATTTGCCTATTCAGCAAGCACCCCAAACCTGAATTCCTACAAAATCTGGCACAGGCTCTGTTTTTCTCTTCATTATGATGGGTTTTACCTTCTCCATAGTGAGTGCGCCTGAAGTCAAATTTCCACCAAAATCTCCATTTATTTCTAATGATTTTTAGTAATTTCCATTAAATAACGATAACATTTTTCTCACCTGATACATTTTCTTCATATTTTTCTTCAGGCACTTCTTTTTTAACCTTAGGCAGGGGTTGAATAGGGACTGAAGGAATATCAAGCTCTAAAACTTCTAAATTGTCCAGTTCTTCTAAAAGTTTATTATCATCATGGACTACTGCTTGCTGAGACAATGCTTCACCAATTTGTTGCTGGTATTCAATGGCTTCAGCAGTTTCTTCCATAAGCTTTTCAACATCATCAACTGTTAATTGTTGATTTATGCATTTAAGAAACTCAGTGCCTTGCTTTAGAGATTCATAAATATTTTTCTGAATCTGGGCATTTTCCACGTCACTTATGAGCTGATCAAGATTTAACTGTTCTCCTCTTGCAGTTTCTAAGTTCTTTTCTAAATATTTTTGCTTTTTAAGTGCTAGCAAGGCTTTATCTTTTTGCTTATTTTGGATGCAAGTTTTTATTGCGGATTTACAATGGTCGATGCAGTTTTCAAGTTTTTTAATGTAAGCTCTGACTTTATCTCGAGTAATTTTAAGCTCTGCAATTGCTTTATCATCTCTATTTACTCTTGATTCCGCGACGTTAGATTGTTGTCCATGTCCTAAAATGCAGCCCATTATAAAAATATTCCATTTGCATCTAATGAGACCTAAATTATTAAAAATAATAAAGCTCATCCTAATGTTTTTCTGCTGCTTTCTATTAATATAATTAGAAATTAAGCATTAATAGAGAATTTTAGAAAAGACCAGTATTTGTTACCTTGGCATGGATATCTCATTCATCAAAAAAATGGAATTAGCTTTTTAAAAATATGTAGATTAAATTAATTACTGCATATGAAGCAAGAAAGGATTTTATTTTAAATTAATTATCAATATTTTGGCTTAGCACTTTTTAATAGTTTTTATAGAAGCCAGAATTCTATAATATAGCTTTTTAATATTTTCAAATAATTATAAATTTTCTATTAAAAACATATTTTATATCTGATTAAGGCTACGCATCTGATATTTTAAAATGATCCTTATTTTCTTAATCAATTGGCTCAAGTAAAATATTATTAGTTAATTAGCTCGTGCTTTAACCTTATTAACTCGCTTATCTTTTTTCTTTTTTTAGGGTCTGAACGAATCATATTTTTCAACAGCGTTTTAAGCCATGAAATTTTAACTTTGCTTATTCCATTTTTAATATATTTTTTTCGATCTGAATTTCCTCTGGAGGTCATATAGAAGTTTTTACATAAAATAAAATCATTCCAATAGAAAATACATCAGCACTCATGCTATTTATCCTGAGCTTTTTGTCGTGATTCTCAAAACATATTAAAACCTCAGGAGCTGTAAAGCTGAGATTGCCAGTTGAGCAATAGAAATCAGTAGTTTGGGAAAATCCTGCTCCAGTTGAAGAAATTGCAGACAAAATGTGATGGCTATCTATTTTCAATATAAGCCGGCCCTCTACTTCTTTTACAAAATCTTACTTGGAGTAATGTTATTAATACTCAACCCATGTTGATGAAGCAAGAGAATACCATTAAGCAGTGAATCTGCAAAATCGCTAAAGGCATTATCATCGCAATTAAAATTATCTATATATTCTTCCAAAGTGCCTGAGCACTTTTCCATCAGAAGGTTAATGCAATATATTTTTTCTTTTTCTTTAGTTTCTCCAATTTCTTCTAAAAATAAGCCGAAAACCTTAGTATAAATATTTGTTTCATTAATTTTACTAAGATAGATTGCATTTGCAATCTCATTGACAATTTTTTTAATTTCATCTTTACTACTTTTAGTATATTTATATTTTTTTATAAGTGCATTTTCATTTTTGTAAATGCATTCGTAAAGAGAGGCATTCCCTCCATATGCATGACAAAATTTCCTTATATTTTCTATTTCTCCTTTATTAATTATTTTGAGATTTCTAGCAATACCATTAATCATCAAATTTTTGCTTCTTCTCTTCAAAGAATTTATTTTTCTATATGCACTAAAAGTTCAGTGTTGAAGTTTGTTTTGGAGGTTTTCAAGGAAATCTTTTTGGCATATTTCAAGTTTAAATCTATTCTTTTTAATAGCACTAATCATAGCTTTCATTCTGGAGTTCAATCCTTCTTTTCGATAGTTAGCTTTTAGCCATTCCAAAGCTTCGGATCCTAATTTGCATCCATTTTCCTCTTTGGGGCCAATAAATTTATTCAGTATTACCAATAATTTATCATTTTGAACTTTTTCTTCTTTAAAGAGATTCATAAAACGATTACAAGTTAATATTATTGCATCAGTCATTTCAATATTTTTCCATTTAATGCTTATCTCATGCGCTATAAAAATTCATCCAGTTATTTCATCTTTTGACGTTGACTTATTTAATTGATTAGCAATATTTATCTTAAATTTGTCTATCAAGGAGTAAGTTTCATATTTTGGCGAATGTTTTTGAATAAAAAATCTATCATCTAATAAATCAAGAACATCTCTTGCACGACTCAAGTCAAAATGTTCATCATCTTCGACTTCGACTTGACTATAAATTTTATAAATTTTTAAGAAAATTTTGAACTTATCAGTATTTTTATCAGATATTCTTTTAGAGATAGCTTCATATTCTTCAATTTTCGGATTTGTTGATGAATCGTTAACTTTTTTGAATTCTTCTTCAGATTCAAAAGTTGAATAGTAAGGCTGAAGCAAAGAAAAAAAGTTATATTTGCTCTTTTGTTCACATGATTCACTTGAATTCAATTTTTGCGATTTTTTTTCTTGTAGATTTTGACTGTGATCCTTTCATCTAGCTTTGAAAATGTCTTGAAAGTCTATGAATTGATATGTTAATTTATTATTCACAATATCTTTTCTGTTTATTTCATTGCCTTCCAATAGTAATACAATATACTTTCAAATATCAGTGTTTGTAGGTGCTGTTGTTGATGTCTCTATATTTGATGAGCTTTTTGATTCGCTTATTGAATTAGGAGATGGTGGAGTGCTTTCATCTGATAAAATTTCAAGAGGAATATTTTCTATACGTTCTTTATTGCTCGAACTACTACTTGATCATGATTGAGCATAAATCTTATGTTGCTCTTCAATTATTGTATCTTCGCTAGAATTTGCTGGTGTTGGGAAATTTGCTTCTCTCTGTGGTAGAGTAATTTCTCCTTTATTTACCATTCTATAATTATTAAGAACAGCTATTTATGCCAATTATATTTTAGTTCTAATATTCAAACATTTCTAGTGCTTATACATAATAATGAGATAACATCCATAATGAAGTCTTATCGACTTTAAGGGGAATTTCTGTATTGCACAGATTCATAGCACTGTATCCCGACCTATTAATGCAACAGAAAACACTTTTTTCTATCAATATTATATAATCAAGAAACAAAATCATCAAATCTATTAGGTAAAGTGTAAACTAAGTCATGAAAGTTGGCTTGATTATTAATTATTTACTAAAGAGATGAAATTGCAGAAGAATGCCAACATGCGACTAACTTAACCCCCTTTTAATTGGGGCTAATTTTTTGAAAAAAAAATTATATTGAATTTTATCTATTTTTTAATTTGAATTTATTTTATGAAGAACTAATTAAACAGATACAATGTGAAATAGTTTAATAAAATTGTCTTATTAAACAACTTTTAAAGGAATTGTTTAAAGTACTCAAAAATGGAAAATTCTATCGATTTGTTGACCAATTTATATGATGGAGTTTATGCTTAAAAGGCTGATCACATCAAACACAGAATAAACAGAAATAAATTGCAATAATACTTAAAAATAAAAATTGATGCAGCAGATTATGCAATATATAAGTAATTTATAGTAAATGGCACCTCGTCGAGGAGTAATCTCTATGCCGCGCGATATTATTGTACTAAAATTCAAGTCAGAAGATGAATTACGAGAAATGATAAATTATATGATTGAGACTGATTCTATAATAACCAAAATTAAAATAGAAGACTGTCATCTAACTAAAAGGGCATTTGATTTGTTGGCAGAACAATATGGGCATAAAATAACAGGATTAGCATTTACTGGCAATAATTTGCACGATTCTGACTTACAACAAAAAATATTTTCGCTCATTGAGGAGAGTTTTTTTTTTCGAAATTTAAAAAAAATTTCAATTCTCAAAAATTAGAAAGCAACTATTAATTCAATTTGTAAATTTATGGTTTAAAATGCAAACTGTTTAAAAATTAACAGAATTATCTAGAGATTTCATTATACTAATTATCACTTATATATCAAAATATTATTTTTTTTTTCATATAAAATTTTTATAGTAAAACATTTTTGCTCGCTCACTGAGTGCGTGTGGGCTTTTACCCAAAAAACAGGGATTTTTCCAATCGTTTTGCTTACTCATAGAGTGAGTTAGAAAGCCTTTTTAAACTTCAGAATTTAACATCTTTGCATATTGGAGAAAGATATATAAGAGATGTCAGCAAATATTACAACTTTGTACAAAATAATAGAATAAGATTGCAAATGAATACCCTTCTGCAGAAGAAGTAAAAATAAATAGCCCTAAATTTCTCAAAGTGATCAGAAATCAATAGCATACAGTAAATTATTTTATTAATAGTAAAATTGATGTATGCCTGGTATATTTTTATGATGTTTTTGGACTTTTAAAAATTATCCAAAATCATATTAATTTATATATAAGTAGACTTTTAATATAATTTTATTCTAGGTCATTAGTTATTATATCTACTGTATTAGCTTTTTAAATTTAATTATCCCTCAAATCTTAAGTGTTTTTCTGGGATTACTCCTAGCCATTTTCGTCAATAATTTTTTCCAATTTTAACATTTTTCATTTCAGCTCTTGCATAGTCTTTTCTATCACTCCTTCAGGAGGCCGCACAGATGTTTAATCAGAGCAGAGTCAACCAATAGAAATGTATCAGTCCTCATTCTATTTATTTTCGATTTATATATTTTGGCATCTAGAAATTTTCGTATCTCAGGGAGCTGCGAAATTATGATCCATTCATACTGGATTGAGGTATTATAGAAAATGCTGCTGCAGATTAAGAAATCATAGATGAAATATAATAGTTTGCTATTTTTAGCAATTTCCCCCCATTTTTACAACTAGATTGTTTTCAGGCTCATTGTCATTGTAAATGATGCAGCATAATAAAAACGATTTGAATTTTTAATCATTTTTGGTTGCAAAAAAAAGCATAAGAAAATCTAACAGGGTATTTTTCATCAAAATTCATATCAATTGATTTTCATTTCCTCCTTATCTCTTCGGCAATAATAATCCATTTAGTCATTTCATCAACATAACTTCATTTTGATAGTTAGCATGAAATTTTATCTTTTGATTCCTCAATAAAGAATAAAGGAGTGCGTTTCATATTCTGGTAAGTGTAGTGTCCTTCTAATAATATAAATAAAATGTTACGCAACTAGCCCACAGAGCTGTCTCGGCCTTAGCACGAACGGTAGGGAAAAGCCTTATGATGTTGGCTGATTTTATACAGTTGATTTTTTGCTGATAGCAACTCTAGAATGCTTGAGTCACAATCGACTTTTTAGAGCATTTTTACAAGACTATTATAAAGGAAAATTTAGCTTAAAGGAATAGAAATTGGAGTCTTTAGCTTAATTCGCAAAATAGTGGCCAATCCACTTTGCTGCATAGTAGTGTGCTAGCTAACAGCAAGACTGAAGGAGAATCGCAGCACAAAAATTGCAGAACAGTAAAAAAGATAAAGGAGCATCAAAAGCTTATAGGGACTTCTTAAACTTCTAATTAAGATTAAGTCCTTCAATGAACATATCTTTTGTATTCTTTATAACCTGGAATTACGGGAAATTCATATACTCTTTTGAATTATTAATTCTCCAACATTTTATAGTACCTATGAAGTAAAATCAGACATGCCTAGCTTTGATATATATTATTATTCATTATAATTTCTTATGTCTCTACAAAAATTTAAAAAACACCTATCTATAATAGTAAGGGAATAAAAATTTTAACAAAATTTTTTAAGGAAGTCACTAAAAGAATATTATTTGGAGTTATTTGGAGAATGATGGTGAACTTTTAGCAAAACTTAATAGGGAGATTTAATAGTATATAAAATAATAGGGGGAGAGATACTCAATTAATAAAAATGATAAGCATTTTCGTTGGAGATTATACAGAAAATATGAAGAATTGCATTGGACAAATGGGGTTATCAAATTTACTTAAAATATCATGTTTATAAGACGAGAATATATACTTTTATTCATGCAGTTTAGAAGTTTTATGCTTATGAATACTTAACTTTTTGCATTTAAATCTTCGATTAATTTCGGAATAGAATGATTTGCTAAAGGTTCTTCATCCCTCACATTGATACTTGACCATGATTTTTCATAAATTTCATGTTGCTCTTAAGTAGAGTATTAATGTTAATTATATTTAGTCTAAATATTCAAACATTTCTGGTGCTTTGTACATAATAATGAAATAAAATGCATAATGAAGTCTTATTGTCTTTAATAGCAATTTCAGTATAACTTAGATTCATATTCTGTATCCCGACCTATTAATGTAGCAGAAACACTTTTTTCTATCAAAAATTATATAATCAAGAAATAGAATCATCAAGTCTATGCTTAAAAGGCAAATCACATCAAGCACAGAATAAACAGAAATAAATTACAATAATACTTATAAATAAAAATTTATGCAGCAGATTATGCAACATAAAGTAAAATGGCACCTCGTCGAGGAGTAATCTCTATGCCGCGCGATATTATTGTACTAAAATTCAAGTCAGAAGATGAATTACGAGAAATGATAAATTATATGATTGAGACTGATTCTATAATAACCAAAATTAAAATAGAAGACTGTCATCTAACTAAAAAGTGTATTTGGTTTGTTGGTAGAACAATATGGGCATAAAATAACAGGATTAGCATTTACTGGCAATAATTTGCGCGATTCTGACTTAGAAAGCCTTTTTAAAACTACAAAATTTAGCATCTTTATATTGGAGAAAGGTATATAAGAGATGTCAGCAAATATTACAACTTTGTACAAAATAATAGAATAAGATTGCAAATGAATGCACTTCTGCAGAAGAAGTAAAAATAAATAGCCCTAAATTTCTCAAAGTGCTCGGAAATCAATATAGCGCTTTCCCGAGGATGGCGCGGAATCCTCGTATTAGCTTTTTAAATTTAATCAGCCCTCAAATCTAAGTGTTTTTCTGGGATTACTCCTAGCCATTTTCGTCAATAATTTTTTTCAATTTTAACATTTTTCATTTAGCTCTTGCATAATCTATTCTATAACTCCTTCAGAAGGTCATACAGATGTCTAATCAGAGCCAACCCCAGCCCCCATTCTATTTATTTCGCTTTATATATTTTAGCATCTAGAAAATTACTATCTCAGGTGCTGCGAAATTATAATTCCCTTGCATACTGGATTGAGGTATTATAGAAAATACTGCTGCAGATTAAGAAATCATAGATGAAATATAATAGTTTGCCATTTTTAGCAATTTCCCCCCTTTTTTACAACTAGATTGTTTTCAGGCTTATTGCCACATAAATTATGCAGAATAATAAAAACGATTTGAATTTTTAATCATTTTTAGCTGTAAAAAAAAAGCATAAATAAATCTAACAGGGTATTTTTTGTCACAATTAATATCAATTGATTTTCATTTCCTTCTTATCTCTTCGGTAATAATAATCCATTTAGTCATTTCATCAATATAACTTCATTTTGATAGTTAGCATGAAATTTTTATCTTGGGTTCGTCAATAAAGAATAAAGGAGTGTATTTCACATTCTGGCAAGTGTTCTTATAATAATATAAATAAAATTCTACGCAACTAACCCATCGAGCTGTCTCAGCATAGAGCACTAACTGCAGGGAAAGCCTTATGATGTTGGCTGATTTTATACAGTTGATTTTTTGCGGATGGCAATTCTAGAGTACTTGTCTCACAATCGACTTTTTAGAGCATTTTTACAAGACTATTATAAAGGAAAATTTAAGCTTAAAGGAACTAGAAATTGGATTTTTTAGCCTAATTCGCAAAATAGTGGCCAATCCACTTTGCTACATAGTAGTGTGCTAGCTAACAGCACGACAGAAGGAGAATCGCAGCACAAAAATTGCAGAACTTAGCTAGCTGCTAAACAGACAAAAATTTATAGGGAACTTTTTAAACTTCTAAATAAGATTAAGTCCTTCCATTAATATATTTTTTGTATTTTTATAGCCTGGCATCACTGGAAATCGATATAATCTTTTGAATTATTTTTTCTCCAACATTTTATAAATACCTAGAAGTAAAATCAGAAAATTCCTAGCTTTGATATATATTATTATTCATTATAATTTCTTATGTCTCTACAAAAATTAAAAAAGAGCCTATCATAATAATAATAAGGGAATAAAATTTTAACAAAATTTTTTAAGAAAGCCACTAAAAGAATATTATAAAGAGTTATTTGGAGAATGAGGGTAAACTTTTCAGCAAAACTTAATAGGGAGATTTAATAGTATATAAAATAATAGGAGAGAGATATTCAATATAAGCATTTCGTTGGAGATTATACAGAAAATATGAAGAATTGCATTGGAAAAAGGGTTATCAAATTTACTTAAAATATCATGTTTATAAAACGAGAGAATATAAACTTTTATTCAGGCAGTTTAGAAGTTTTATGCTTATGAATACTTATCTTTTTGCATATAAATCTTCGATTATCTTAGCTGCTTCTGGGCATAATTTTTTCTTTTAATTTGATTAATTCACCAAATTTTTTTCTTTCTCTTGGATCATAAACAAGCATTGATTTCAAAAGTTCTGCCAATCAAGGATTATCCAAATCCTTCATTTCGCGTTTGATGTAATCTTTTCTATCTTTTGGCCCAATTGGAGGATCCTTTTTTATTTTCAACCAAAGAAAGACAATCCCAAGTGAAAAAACATCAGCTCTTAATTTATTTATTTTCATAACTTTTACTTTTCTTTTATATAATTTTTGCACTTCTGGAGCCATAAATGCTGCTGTTCCCTGGACTGCAGATACTGTTTTATGTACAGATGCTCCAGCATTCGAAGAAAATGCTGAGGAAATGTCATAGTCAGCAATTTTAGGTTGAATTTTATTCCCGATTTTTTTTATAAATATATTTTGTGGCTTGATGTCATTGTGGGCTAATCCTAAATTATGAAGCAAGAAAAATCCACCTAATAACTTATCGATTATTTCATTTAATAGAGTCTCATCTACTTTATTTATATAATCATATAAGGTTTTATCACAGTCTTCCATTAAAATTCCTATACAATACCTATTTTCTTTTTTCTCAAAATATCAGCCAATATAATGCATAAAAATATTAGTAACATTATTTTTGCTTACTCCCCCCTCCATGAGTGAACAAAAAAATTTGTTCGCTTAATTTTTTTTAAAAAACAATTATATATAAATTTTATTGTTTTGTCGAAATTTTAAAAAATCCAAATTCGTAAAAATTGGGAAGCAATTAATTTAATTTATAAAATTTATATTTTAATACGCAATTTTTTTAAAATTTAACAGAATTAGCTCGATGCTTCATTATACTAATTATTACTTCTATATCAATTTTTTTTTCATAAAAAAATTTTTTCTATTAAAAAAAGATTGTTCACTCACGGAGGGTGGGTTTTTGGGCAAAAAATAGAGATTTTTCCAATGGTTTTGTTCAATCGTTGAGTGGGGGAGTTAAGAAAATTGAAATTGCTATTTCCTCGCAAATACCTTTTATTTTGCTATTATCAAAATTCTCTACTTCGTATTCTTTTAAGACAGCCTCTGATATTTTATAGTTGCATCGAAAAACTTTTAGTTTTTTCGAATCATTTTTTGCAATTTCAGATTTATCCAAGATTTCAGATTTGGAAATTATATTAAACGTCTTGGCTTTATTTCCTTTTTTATTAATTCAATTTTTAATCATTTGTTGATATCGTTTTATCTCATTTTTAGTATCATATTTTCAATATCCGACAGCGTTTTGTATTTCTTTTATTTTTTCATTTTGAACAGTGCTAAATTTATAAGGGTTGTTCTTTAAAGCACTTAAAATTGCTTTGCATGTTCAATGGTCTGCATCATAATGGGTATCTAGCCAATTATAGGCATAGATTGCTAAATGTTGTCGATATTTTTTATCTCTGCCAATGAACTTATTGAGCAAAATCAGTATTCTTGAATCAGCTATTTCTGTATTCCCATTATAATTCATATAAAAGTTGCAGCCTGATTTCATCAATGACTTCATATCAATTTCTTTCCATTTATTTCTTATATCTTCACTAATCAAAAGCCATTCAGATATCTCGTCATTTGAGGTTGATTTAGAAATTTGGTAAGCAATATTTATTTTAAATTTCTCTATCAAAGAAAAAGTTGCATATTTTGGTTGCTTTGAAGTAGATTTTTTTTTGGATTTGGGATTTTCTCTGAAAATATCATTATTTAGTGATATAAGGACTTTTTTTGCGATTTCTAAAGTAAAGTCTTCAAATTTTTCGACTTCTCAAAAGATCGCATATATTTGCAGGAACTCATAGAATTTTTTGATTTTATCCCAAGATATTTCCCCCACGATTGTATTATAATCTTCAAAGGAAGGCATTATCTGCGATTCATTAACTCTTCTGAATTCTTTTTCACTATCTAGTTCTTCGTAATAAGGCTCAAGCAAAGACAAAAATTCTCAATTTGGATTAATACTCATTATATAATTTATAATTCTATAAAATTTGTCTCAAAAATATAAACTTGCACCAAATTTGATATTCAAGCATTATCTATCTAACTTGAAATTTATAAGCACATCAGATATAAAAGAAATAAATTAGCGAAGCCTTGCTTTCTCATCAAAGTTGATTCGATAAAATTTATTGCTGCATATTGAAGCCAACCTAAAGATAAAAGAAAAGAAAAATTATTTCAATTTAACTTACTATAAATTAAATCTTCATTATCTTAATCCATAATTTGCATCTTCTTCAATTTTATTATTTCACCGAGCTTTTTTCTTTTCTCAGGATCTCTTGGAAGCATCCAGTTCAAAATATTTTTTAGCCAAGAAGTTTTTACATTCTCCTTTTCTATTTCTATGTAATCTTCTCTATCTAATTTTCCTTCTGGAGGTGGTTGCTTAGTGATTAAGTATAAAAATACCATTCCGAGGGAAAAAACATCAGCTCTCATTCGATTTACTTTCATAAATGAGTCACGATTATTTAATGGGTCTTGGACTTCTGGAGCCATGAATGAATTTGTCCCTTTGACAGCTGCTACTGTTTTATGTAGAGACGCTCCAGAAATTGAAGAAAATGTGGAGGAAATGCCATAGTCAGCGATTTTAGGTTGGATTTTAGTCCCCTTTTTTTGGATAAATATATTTTTTGGTGTGATATCATTGTGGGCTAATCCTAAATTGTGAAGCAAGAAAAATCCGTTTAATAGGGAATCGACCATTTCATCTAAGCAAACATCTCCTCCATTATCTATATAAGATTGCAAATCAGAATCGCAATCTTCCATTAAAAATCCAATGTGATACTCACTGTTATTTGTTTTAAGATATAATCCATAATAACGCAAAAAAATCCGAGTTTTATTGTGCTTGCTGAGATAGATTGAATTTGCTATTTCATTAGAAATCTCCTTTATTTTTTCTTTTTGAAGTGCTTTTAGTTGATATTCTTTTATGACTGCTGCTTTGTTTTTGTAAGTGCATCGAAATATTACTACTTGCTTTTCTGGTAGAAGAACTAATGGTTTTATCTCTGAGATTTCTGATTGTTTAGTGATTTTAAGGCTCTTTGATTGCTTTTCAGTATTATTAAAAAAAGCGACAATCCTTCTTCTGTATATTTTTATCTTCCTTTTGGCATCAAATTTTCAATAATTTAATCTATTTTCAATTTCTGTTAGCATCTTATCACCTTTACTAATAATGTAATTGTTTTTTGATAAAGCACTCAAAATTGCTTTAGTTATTCAAGATCTTTCATCATGATAAACTTTTAATCAATTTAAAGCATTCTTTCCTAGCTGTTCACTATAATTTTTATCGTTGCCTATAAATTTATTGAGTAAAATCAGCATTTTTTGGTCAGTTATTTCTCTTTCACCATTATATTTCATAAAAAAGTTGCAGCCTGATTTCATTAAGGCTGTCATATCGATATAATTTCATCTATTTCTAATCTCTTCAGAGATTAAAAGTCAATCAATAATTTCGTTTTTATTAGTAGACTTCGAGAACTGATAAGCTATATTTATTTTAAATTTCTCTATCAATGAATAAGTGGCATATTTTGGCTTCTTCGGGGAAAATTTACTTTCGTTGAAAAGGCTATCATTTAGTAAATTAAGGACTTTCTTTGCTGTTTCTAAAGTAAAATCTTCAAATTTTTCGACTTCTCAAAATACTTCATATATTTTTAAAAAATCAAGGAATCTGATACAATTTTCATATGATATTTTCTCTGCAATTGCTGCATAATCTGTATAAGAAGGCATTATCTGCGTTTCATTAATTCTTTTGAATTCTTTTTCTTTATCTAGCTCTTTATAATAAGGCTCAAGCAAATATAAAAATTCCCACTCTCTTTCATTATTCATTATATGGACTCTACAAAATTTTCATCAAAAATTTAAAATTTTATTGTATAAATACTTTAAAGGATTCTGAGTTTTCTGCTTCTAATCCCTAGACCTTAGCTTTTAAGCATTTTAGATCTCAATCAGACGTATTTGGCATCTATCTATTTGCTGTTATTAGCTTAAATTATTACCCTTATAAATATTTAATTTTTTATAAGCTATAAATTTTCAAAGATGAAGCAGTATAGACTTTCTTAGTCCTTATCATACTTCCATATTTAAAGAAATACTGATTGCTTATTATTTGCTCCTCCCGAGGAGACCGACCGCTAATTCTTCAATACTAAGTTTTCCATCTCTATTCGTGTCAAAATCCCTTAAAATCTCTTCAACATGGTTTTCTTCTAAGCTTTCCCCGTTGGCTCTTAGAACACTTTTAAGTTCTCTCGCATCAATAAAGCCATTCTTGTCTGCATCAAACTTCGCTATTCGTCTCATCAGATGCTGTTTAGATATTTTCGTTTGTGGCCTAGACATTCCACAAAGCTGACTGAATTCGTCTATACTCATCTCGTTTCTATGAGAACGGTCTACCGACTGCAAAATTTTTTCAACTTGACATTGAGATGGGTTTAGTCCCATTGCACGTAAGGCATGACCTAACTCTTCGGCATTTAGGTAACCATTGCGGTTACTATCGAATAGAGAAAAACAGTCCTCAAGCTCCTTGTAACTCTCGAAAAACATATACGTTAATTATAGACTTAAATGAAGAAGTAAAATATGGACGACAATCATTTGTCTGGCTATTATTAATTTGACTCTAGGCAATATTTTAATTTTTGCTTTAATTTCTTTTCTCCACAGAAGGAATAGAATTTTGCATTTGGATAGGCTTTTACGATAATTTAAAGCAAGAAAAATATTTTTAAGAAAAAATATTTTTTCAAAAAAAATACTTTTAAAAGTGAGGATAAAAAGATGCCTTTCTCCATTGTTTTAATAGAAATCTTTTCTCTACTATCTTTAGATGGTCTTTATATTGATTAATTAGAATTTTACCCAAACAGTGCTGGCTTGTTTATGGTGGCACTTTGCCTTTTTGTGCTTAGAGAAGGTAGATGGTTATAATCTCTTTAAACATAGAAACGTGACTTCCGGCTTTCTAGGAGTGAAATTTATAATACATGTGGCATATTAAAGCTTCTTTGGATATGGTTTCTGAGGTTCTGGGAATTCTGAATAGATTTTGTTTTGTTTTTGCTTTTTGGATCTTATTTCTTTTTTTTCCTTTCGAATTAATTCTAGTGTTTGGCTTATTGCTAGTCTCAATTTCTTATTCTGGAATTTCAGAGTCTTTTAGTATTTTCATTGCTGGTATAAGATAGAAAATGTTTTTATGGACTTCTCACTGTCACTAACAGCTTTATATTTGAAATAATCTCTACATTGCATAGACTACTAGTGTCAGCTTCTGTTTACTAGATATGATGATTTAAGCTTGCCCCTCCTTCCAGTTTGTAGCAAAATTTCTTAATTTCTGAGTGATTTCCAGAAGGTTTTGTTGTTTTATTTGAAGGTTTTGATAATCCAACTTACATTTCAAGTTTTATTTGTGAATTCCTTATACCTTTATAGCTTGCATTTATCTTTTCTTCTATTTTAATCAAATACCCTCTTTTAATAACTGCTAATTCAAATTTGTGATAAAATAGAAAAATCCCATTCACAAGCTGCTCAAAAATCGCATAAAGTATCGAATTTTCACCATAATCATAAAATGGAACTCCAAATAAATCAATTCGATTTTATTGATTTTTTAAATTTCCATTTTCATCGCCTCAATTATTTTCACATTTCATGGAGGTTTTTAAATTACTTAATTACATATAATAATATATACTAATAACTCCCTATGTTTTAATAAGATATAATAAAAGCATAAAAATTCTCATTCAGTGTTAATATTTCTTATTTCATTAGCAGGTTCTAATAAGTATACATTAAAAATTATATTGAAATAATCATCTATCTAATTCAGACTTCTTTGAAATCAGTTTTTTTAAATTTAAAACCTTTTTGATTATTTTAGCTTCAACTTATTCTGTAATTCTATAACCTTACATCTTATATTTCTATCAAGCAAGTCATATTTTTCTTCTAGTGTCTTCTTTGACATCTGCTACTTTTTTTGTTTTGATTACCATTAATTCATCCTTGCTTTTTTATGCCTTGAGATATTGATTCATATATTTCAAAAACACTTTAAAGCTTTTCTATTTAACTAGGAAAGTGTAGTCATAAAAACTTCTCAATTCGCCTAATATAAGCTTCATTTCTATCTTGATTGGAAATTTTAGACTGATTTTCTTTTAAAAAGAACTAAATGATATTTTTATTTCAATTAATCGAATAAATTTGTAAAAATATTATTTTGTTTGCCTTAATGGTATTGCTTTTATCAGTATATAGCCAGGGCCAAACTTTTCTGATAGCTTTTTCAGTGATTGAAAAGTCTGATTAGAGCTATTAATGTCTTAATCTGACTCTTCCATTAAATAATTTCTTTACGGTTGCTTATTTGAATAATTATCTCTATATAGATATTTTTTATAAAATTATTCATTTTAAGTCGCATCAGTTATGCTTAGCTTATTCCTTATAATAGCTCCATATTTATGTTTTTTATTAAAAACTGACTTAATTATTATTTACTCTTCTTAGAAGCCCTACCGCCAACTCTTCAATGCTAAGTTTTCCATCTCCATTTGTGTCAAAATCCTTTAAAATCTTCTCAACATGCTCCTCATCTACAGAATCGCCATTGAACCTTAAAAGATTTCTAAGTTCTCCTGCTTCGATAAAGCCATTCTTGTCTTTATCAAACTTCGCGATTCGCCTCATCAGCTGCTGCTTAGTTATTTTAGGTCGTGGCTTAGTCACTCCACAAAGTCGGCTGAATTCTTCTATATTTATTTCGTTTCTATGATGCAGGTCTACTGACTGCAAAAGTTTTTCAACTTGGCTTTGCGATTTATCTAGTCCCATAGCACGTAAAGCATTACTCAATTCTTGGATGTCTAGGTACCCATTGTGGTTCCTATCAAATAATGTAAAACACTCCTCAAGCTCTTCATAACTTTCAAACAACATTAGTTTATAGTAAGCTTAGCAAAAAAGAAAATATGGACGACTTATCATTTGTCTGGCTATTATTAATTTAACTGTTGTGGAAATAATTTTTTTAGATATTTTATTTCTTTTCTCCACAAAAGGAGCAGAATTTAGCGTTTGGATAATATCTTTCTCCACAGTTATGACAAAAGACTTTCTCTGTACTGTCTCTAAATGGCTTTTCTGTTTGTCGAAACTCTGGACTTTTAGCTGGCGAATTAGAGTTTCCTAATAGCGCTGGCTTATTTATGATGACACTTTGGCTGGCACTTTTAGCTTTTTGTGCTGGCGGACTTGGACGATTTACAATATCCTTACATTTAGGTATATGCCTCTCAGCTACTTTCGGATCGAAATTCCTGGTGCAATAGGGGCATTCTACAGTTTCTTCAGCTTTTTTGGGTTTAGGAGTCGTTGATCTTGCTGGCTCTGGGGATTTTGAGTAAACTTTTGCTTCTTCTTTTGGTTTTTTATATTCTGTTTCGGCTTCTCCTTTACAGATTTCTTCATGCTTTGCAACTCTATCAGGATTAAATTTTCTGCCACATTTAGAGCAAGGCACTCTGCTGTCTTCTTCAGGCTGAAATTCATAAGAAGTTTGATTTGGAGCTTTAACACCCACCTTAGTTTCTTCCAGACTTCCTTGAATTGATTTCGGTCTTAAAATCTGTGAAATTTCTTTACTTCTTATAGTAGATTGCCTTAAAGTTTCTTCAATAGTTTTTATTTCTGAGTCTTCAATTTCAGCTCCTTTATTCGCTGATCTTGGAATTTCTAAACTTTTTATTTCAGAAGGAAATTCATTGATTTCTTGGGTTTTTAGTTTAGATTCTGACATATATTTATTCTATTTCCAAAGATTTTATCATATTTTTATTAGTTATAAGACTCGTTTTCTATTAAAATAGAATAATAAAAATTAATTATTTATAATTAGCTATTTTATAAAGAATATCAAGAATAGATTGCTTTGTAGGTATTCCTTGGGATGATGCTGAATTTGACGATACAACTCTTGAAGGCTTAAAATTCATTGATTGAGATGTGATAGGAATTGGATTTGCTTGAGTTTTTATAGGCTCTTCTTTAACTGGAGTTATAGGTCTAACTGGCTTGCATGGATTTTCTGATGTGCAGCTTCGCAAATGGACAACTAAGCGATCTTCGAGGAATTTTCTTGCGCAATTAGGGCATTGTACCATTGATTTACTTGTATAAGCATTAAATGCGACTTCATTAAACTGGTCTATACTATTAGAGCCTACAGATGCAATCTCAATCTCCTTAGGGGCTTCTGGAACTGGCCTTCGTTCCCTTTTAGGTTTTAATTTTTCTCGCTCTTCTCACAGTCTTGCACAATTTTTTTGATGAATTGGCAAAGAAGCTGTCCCAAACTCTCTTCCACAAATATAACAAATAAGTGCTTTGGGTTTTAGTCAGGGTTTTCCACCTCCTCCAACAGTGTCCATTTTAAATTTACTTCGGGTTTTACATTAAATTTATTTTGAGTTTTTATGATGTTTTCCCTATTAATTTTCTCATAAAATAAAGCCTTTTATTGATTTACTTAATATTTTAGCAGACCTTTAAGAATTTTTATATAAAGAGCCAATTACTTTTCTATTTATTTGCGATTTGTTATAATAATTTAGCTACCATTCTTAATGTCAGTTTACAGTGGTTTTTCTACCCGTCTTCAAGAAACACAATATTACAAGCTTACTGAAAATTTAATTTACCTGCTGCAAGCAAAAATTCTTTCTTTGGCAAAATTAATCTCTCATGAAGATGAAGATTGAGTCAAACAATTCAATATCACTTATAGCCTTAATTAATTACTTAAATTAATCAGAAGTCCCCTGCAGGCAAATACTAGCCTCCGCATAACGTTCCACCGTTTGTTCCCAATGAGTTTACAGGCTACAGATTTAAGAGAACAGGTTGGCTCACAACGCCATTTAATGAATATACCACTTATAACCAAATGGCCAAGCTGGAGTTGCATAAATATTTAGAGCCAAAGTTTTCAGACTCCTGCAAAAATTTAGCAATGCACTATTCAAGCTACTATCTAGAAGATGAATATAATAAACAGCCGAGTGTTAAGAGTATATCTAGAGAAAGAAGCTTAAAAATTGACAAACATGAACTAATTTGCTTTACTAAAGAATTGAAGGAGAGTTAGTAAACCAGATGTCTAGGACCGAAAGATTCATAAGCCAAACCCCACAAAGAAGAACTAAACCATGGCTACTGCTAAAATCCATAATAATTTTTAATCATTTTTTATTATTTCTATATATTTTTGCAAAATAAAAACCTCTATTAGTCTTTAATTTTCTATTTTTTATAGTATTCTACATATTAGAAACAATTTTAAATATAAATCTCCATTGAAAGTAATATTTTCCAAAAAACAATAAACCAAAAATCCAAACAAAAAAATTTCATCGACATTCCTATCAAAACTCTGAAACATTAAACCAAACTCCAAGCCAATCGAGATATTATAGCAAAATTATGAACTCCTTTCTAAAAGGAACTCCCAAAAATGCAGTATCAAAAAATCCCAGCAGATGGAGCAAGAAAAAGAAAAGAGAAGAAACTCTGAACTTGGATTTACAAGACTTCTGGCTAATTGATGACAAAATTCAGCTCATTGATTAATTATAGAGCTTTTTTTTTAAATTCTCTTTCTATATATAGAACAATTTTATATACCTAATTAGGCATTTTCTTATATTATTAAGAAATTACAAGACAAATAATTAACACCTATCAATTTTTTCATTAATATTACTTAAAAAATAGAAAAATCCCTGATCAACTATATCCAAATTATTATTATCTATTAACGTTTTCTGCTATATTTCTTCTCCTCAGAAGAACGCTTGACACAAGGTTTAGATTTATAGGAGGTTTTGTGACTGGTTTATCTTGAGTCACTATATTTATAGGATTTCTGATAGCATATACAATTTTCCCAGATATAGGTTGAAAATTATCCCTTGGAAGAAAGCAGGGGCTTGGGGTTTTTATTTCTTCCAATACTTTTTGCAATTGTGGGTGCATTAATTTAGGCACTCGAATCCCTGGGCTGAAATTTTCAATTATCTTTTTATCGGTATGTGTTCCATCTTCTTCCATGTCTTTTTAATTTTTTCCGACTATCTTTATTTAATTTAGATTTTAAAATTTGCAAAAAATAAATAAAAATTAGTGAAAATGATAAGAGCAGCTTTATGGCGCTTTAATTAGGATAAATTATATAATAATTTATAAAGACTAAATAATAAGAATTTTTAACTATTTGAGGGTGTTTAGCCTATATAAATAGGGATAGAGTTGAGTTTAGCATTTATAAATGGAAGAATTCAACAAGACAATCTTTAATACTGCTCATAGCCTTTCCCCAATAATTTCTGAAGAAAATGAAGAATCAAACACTTACAAAAGTTCCTCAGAAAAAAAATCCAACATAAAAATTAGGAAAAAAGAAGATAAGCGCGTTTCATTTGGAGGGAGAGTTGAGTTTGTTATAACCCCTAGAGAGTCTCAAGAAATTGCTGAATTGCCTACAGCTCCAAAAGAAAATTACCAAAATCCTTGCTTTATTGAAATAGATACACTTTCCTGCAGTACAGAAGAAAGTCTGACCCAAACGATAAAAAATTTTAAAAATGGATATAGAGAGACTTTAGATTGTGTAAAGTCAAAACTTGGGATTCATTCGATGGCACCTACAGATATTGATATAGAAAATTTAAAAGCTGATAATGTCTCGTTACAGAGAAAGCTAAGAGACTTAGAAAAAGAGCTGGAAAATATAAATGTTCAAGCTGAAAATGAGATTAAGCAAGAAAAAATATATTTTATGCTGTATTGAATATTCTTTAAAATAATCATGCATTGATTATAGAATTTTTCAATATAAAAGGGATACTAAAAAAATCAAAATAAATATAAATATTTTTTATTTTGGCTTAAAAATTTGCATTTATTGAGATAATGAATAGAAGAAAAAAGTCTGCAAGACAATTTAAACGAATTCAACAATAATATAGAAGCCAGCCTAGAAGGTTTAAATAAGAAAAATGAAGAAATCAAAGAAATCAACAAGGTATATTCATCGATTTTAAACGTAAATGTTGAATGTGAAGGCAATTCTTTTACTTGCCAAGGTAGAAAAAACAATGCAGAATACATTTTTAATATAGAACCTTTTAATAGAGGTATCCGCTATAAGCCAATAAAGGTAGATTTTCCTTCAGGAAATTTATTGAACTGTGAAATTCATGATTTAATGAGACATGAGCTTCCCTTACTTTTTATACGAATTTTTCGAGCACTTAACCCTAATTAACCTATCCTTTATAATCTGAATTTATTATTTTAATTTCTATAAAATAATATATTGTTTCATCTAATATAAATTACAATAAAATTAATCTAAAGTCTCGCTTCTTCAGATGCCCTTTGTGCCTGGGTTTTTGGCTGCTCAGTCAATAGTGGCGCATCTTTTTGTTCTCCATGACTCATTTTCCTTTCAAATAGCACTCCTAAAGTAACAATTATAACAACAATGAGGATAATCACTAATAAGCTAATCCATCCATAATGGGCATCTTCTTTAGGATTTTTGGCAGTCACTGCTTTTGCAAGCCCAACTCTTGACTTTTCCATATCAAATTGAATGTAGTAGTTCCTTATAAAAACATCACCTAAAACCCAAAACGGAGCTTCAAAAGGCATTAATAGGGTAAAGCAAGTTTCATTTATTTGCATAAAATAGGAGCTTGGAGGGATTTCAAAGGCATGATCTCCTAAATTAAATTCAAGGCTTGGATATTCGTCTTTTTGTTCTATTGGTTTAAATATAAAAAATGACGTCTCAGCTGGGCATTGTTGGGGCAATATTTTCTGGTAATGTACAGAGCATAGCCTTAGTCGGCTTTCAGGATTGGAATTTACTTGAGGGAAAGGAGATCAGAGTTGGAAAGGGGAAGCTTAGTAGCATCTACAGGTAATGCCTAAACTATTCAAATTAATTTGTCTTTTCAGAGATGGCCAGAAATTCCAATTTTTTGGAATTTTTGTGTAGACAACCTTCGTTTGCCTAAGCACAAGCATTAGAGGTTTATAGCCCTCCACTTAATACTGGAGCCGGCAAGTTAAGGAGGAGATGGAGACAAAGAGCCCTATCTCATAGGTGTTGATATCTCGCAGTGAAGAAGAGGAAAGATGGAGCATAGTCCTATTCTTGACAAGCTAATCATACAAAGTTCTCTCTGTTGAAGTTGCAAAGAGGGTGAATCCCCTGGGGATCCCTGGTGACTGAGTTATCTATAGGCGAGCCAGCTAAGACCTATAATTTAAGTTAAAGTTCTATTGTTTCACATGGGCAAAACAAAAATCCAAAAAAATCAAAACACTGAAATTTCTCCTGAAAATAGCTAGAAATTTTCTCAAAATCTTCAAATGGAGCTAATAATAGGCTAGTCCCAGTATCAATAATAGCAGTTGTATCAGTCATATTATTAACTACGGTCCCATTGAAATTTATATTAGAAATTTCTACTTCCCAGTAGAGCGCTGAAACTAAGTCTACATATTTGAATTTTTTCTCAGTTGAGTATTTTCCTAATCCTTACCATGAGCGAACAATAATATTTTGTTCAATCATGAGGGGCTAATGCATTTTTAAAAAAAAAAATATATATAAATTTATAATTATTTTAAAAGCAAATTAATTTAATTTATGTTTTATAATCAAGCTGTTTTAAAATTTAACAGAATTACCAAGAGATTTCATTGTAATAATTATCTATTATATATAGAAGCAATCGCTACCTAATAGCCTTTACTACCATGCTTTATTCAATCCGTAATTTTAGCTTGTTTCAGCTCTGTTTTGTTTTTCAACTTCTTTTTTCTTCTAGATACTCGATCGCCTTTAATAAGGCATTATAATAATTACCCACTTATATATTTCATAAAAAATTTTGTTTCCTCATAGAGGGTGAGTTTTTACCCAAAAAATAGGGATTTTTCTAATAGCTTTGTGCGCTCACAAAGGGAGGAGTAAGTTATATCCATCTATCATCATATTTGATTTGGGTTCAATATCGTCATCATTTTCTTCAAATCCAGCGTCATTTAAATAAATTGCGAAATTTGCATTGCGGATTACTCCTTGCTCTTTAAGGGTCTGAATTAAAGGACTTTTGTTATTACTAAGACCAGAAAACCCTAGGCCAAGAATCCCATCTGCTTCTATACTATATTTTGAAAAAATGATTAATAATTAGCAAGAAATAGCAATTAAAAATTTCATTATAAAAGTACATAGATTATCAAAATCCATATCTTGTACAACGAGAACGAAATATATCAATTTCAGTAAATTTTTATTTTAATTTTTTTTTGCTATAAAATGTATATACACCTTTGTGCTTCAAAATAAATATTATAAAAAATCCATTCAAAGCCTATTTAAAGCAAAAAATAAGCTGCAGTTATATCAATCATAATTTTATTTTTATTTATATTCAGCTGAATTTATATATTCAATATAAAACATATTATTGATTCATGGCTTTCAAATCTGTATTATCCCCAATAAAAACATTATCAGTACTTACTAGCCCAAATGCAGTTCCTTGCCCATAGCTCAAAATAATTTCCTCATCATTTGAGCTATAGCTTGTCGACTTTAACTCATCAAACTGCTTGGATTCATGACAAAGCTCACAGCCTTTACCCACAACCCACAGCCAAGAGCTTCCGGTATCAAAAATCATCTTAAAAGAGACTGGAGGAGTCCCAATTTGTATTTCTCCAAAATATTGGGCCTAAATAAAACCTACATTCACATAATTCGTAATTTCGCTTTTTGCGGCTCCGTTTGATTTGTATAAGCTTGAATTGCGAATATGCATACTAAATTCTTTAAGATCGTCAAAGGTCTCTTGGGAAGATTTCTTTACTTTCTTAATGTCGATAGAGACTGAAGCTAAAACGACAGTAGCCAGAAGAATGTTCCAGTGCATTGTAAAAATAAATATGCTGGATAATATTAGAATAATAGCAGTAATTATTAGATTGGTTAGGCAAAAAATATTTATTTATATTATAATAGATTTGTTTTAGGAAAATTTGATTTATTTTAAAAGTTTTGATACGAAATGAAAAGATTAAGTTTTTGAGGAGAAAAATTAGTGAATAGATTAGTGGAAGAATAACGAAAGACAAGTTTTGGCTTGGCTATATCATTATAAGACTGCTGAAAAGCACTTTATAATTAGCGATGAAGGTTAATTGTTAAAGTGTATTTATCAAATTAATTATATACATAAAATGGCGTATGGCGACCGACCCACCCTCTCAGTGGTGGTTACCCATGTATATCCGGGCATGGTTTTTGGAGCCAGAATTAGCCCAACAACGTCTGGGACCTCGAAGCGAGAGGCCCAAGCGCGAGAACCGCTGTTTTTGCGACCAGACCCATGGGCAGTTATTCGTGACTTCTTTTTTCCAGCAGCGCTCAGCCCAGTGAGTGCCCGAAATGAGGCAGGGTGACTTACCTGCCTAAGCTGCTTTAGTGGCTCGCCCCGAATGGCGAAAGCTGTTGAGTTCTTTCTCGGGATGACCGGAAAAGAGGGGAGGCGAGTTAGACACCAAAACGGGGGTCTCTCCAGTTGAAAAGGTGCCCTTCAATGGGCAGATCTGGCGGACGACGAAGCGGAGTTGGCGTAAACTTAGGCGACGATCCAAGTTGGAAATGGAGGTGGTCAGCAAAGCCGGTATGAGACGGCCCTTGACAATGCCTCTACCGAGAAACCGGGGGTTTCGGCCCGGCTTGGTGAAACGCTCTGCCACCACACGGGAAACCGTGGCATGCGACCTCGGACGTAGTAGGGACCTTAAATACCCAGCGTAATCTTAATCTTAATCTTAATCAAATTAATTAATCGATGAGAAATTCTAATAATTAGACTGAAAATAAAGATATAAAAAGGATTTAGTGCTAATAAATAAGATTATTCCACAATTTATACTAATTGAGATTATTTCAACAAATTCTAGGAGAATTAATTAGAAATTTTTTTACTAGCTCCTGCTTTTTGGGCTATATCAGCTGCTTATACCAGAATTATAAGCTCTCCCATATCTAAATATCATTTATTGATAAATGCTTTTACTTTGCTTCAGTTTTCCTTTTAGACTTCTATTAAAATGGAATTTTCTCATGTCGATTATTACAAAATTACCTAATTCATAATAAAAATCCTATTAAATATTTTGCAAATTTCTATTATTCTCAATCTATTCTCTCAATAAAAATCTCCCATTGCACTCTTAATTCCTCTAATTCTTCTAAAATAGCCTCTTTCTTACATAAATACTCTTATCTAAAAACTAAAACCAAAATATGGTCACTTAATTTTTTATCTTTAATAGTTGTCGAAAAATTAAAAAACCATATTAGAAAAATGTGGGAGAGGATTTTTATTAAATTTTCTTATTTAGCTCAAGGTAAAAGTGACTCCCCAGCAATTTAAGAAAGCCCCAGTTGTGCTTACCATTTTGACGTCAACCCCATACTTTCCATTCGGCGCAATGCTAGGCAAGTATGCTTTAAAGGCTAATGCATAGTATTGTCCTGCATTATAAGACCCGTCTTCTGGGATAGTTTCTTGATAAAAGTTAAGCCCATTAAATGTGACAAAAATTCCCATCCCTTTCAGTGTGACTGGAGCAGTCATAGTCCCATTCATTGATAAATTAAGCCATTCATTCTTTGAAGGTGGCCAAGGTGTGACTACAAACTTGTTAACATTATAGGTTTGAAGGCTTTGGTCACAGTTAGAGCCTGTGTTACCTCCTAGCATGTCTCTGACAACGCCTCCTGCAGATGCGACGGCAGCAAGTGAAAGTAATAAAGCGATGACTTTCATTTTAAATTATGGCTATTATTTTCAGCATTTTATCCAAACATAAATGTCACCTACTCATCTTTGTTTGGAATTTTTAGAAATTTAATTAAAAAGGGAAACGAAATTAAAAATAATTTTAAACAGGATGGGGAGGTTTTTAGGGAATTATAATCGTGAGCGCTGACAAAGACGATTTATGAAGACATTTTATCAAGTTTTATGAATGAGGGATTAAAATTTAGGCATTTCGTCCTCTTTTTCCTCTTCTATATTGTGCTCTGGAAGCAGTCCTCCGATTTGAGTAAATGCTGCACCTTTTCTTCTATTTCTGCAATAAATATAGCATCCAATTGCATTGCTGATGACTACAACACAAGACCCGACCACTATCAAAATCAAAAGTCAGTCATAATGTGCTTCTTCGTCTGCTTTTTTCCCTGATGGTTTTGCTTTGGCAAAACCAATTCTGGCTTTATCCATGTCAAAATTTATATACCAATTTCTGATAAAAACGTCACCTAATACCCAATACGTTGAATCAATCGGCTGAATTAAAATTTGGCAAGTATCGTTTGCCGCTAATACATAAGTTTTTCCTGGGACTGCAAATGGGTAATTTCCAAGGTAAAAAGTCAAGTCAGGGAAATAATTTGATAGTTTTTTGGTGTTGCAAGGGCATTCTAAAAACCCAAAAGGTCCATTATAACAGCCAAAGCTTTTCTGGAGAGTATTATAAATTGCTGCTACATCAGATTTTGGGCCAAGCAATAAGCTTTCTCCGGTTGAGATAATTGCTGTTTCTTTTTTTGCAATTGTGTTTGAGCCGAAATTGAGTGATGATAAAGGAACTTCCCAGTGGTAGCCTTTTACTAGGTCTATATAAGTGAATTTTGTTACTGTTGAGTATTTATGGAGATCAAACCCATCAATGATCATAGCAGAGCGTGGGCTGACGTCTTCTTCCTCGAAATCATTATCATTTAAGTATATAGAAAATCTAGCATTTCGGATCACTCCTTGTCTTCTAAGAGTTTGGATTAAAGGACTGGTTCCTTTGCTGAGCCCTGAGAACGCTAAGCCTAAAATACCATCTGCATGAAGATTTTCGAACTCGATGTCGAAGACAGCTAACCTTTTTTATAAAATAAATTGTATTATAAAAAAATTATATGGATTTTTAATTAAAATTTATATAAAAAAGATAAGACAAAATATTGGTCAATGGCTTGTAATGCGGTATTATCGCCAATCCTCACTCTTTCGGTGCTAACTACTCCATATGCTGAGCTTTGGCCATAATCTAAAGTAATATAAGTATCGTTCGAAATATAGCTGGATGATTCCTCATAGTCAAATTGCTTGCACTCGTGGCAGAATTCACAACCCTTGCTTGTGACCCAAAGCCAAGAACTTCCAGTGTCAAAAAGAACTTTAAATGTAGATGAAGGGGTTCCAATGTGAACTTTGCCGTAATATTGAGTCTATATGATTTTTACATTTAGGTGATTTGTAATGTAACTTTTTGGTGAGCGCAAAAGATCTTGATTGAATTTAATTAATTTATAATTATAATTTCGTGCTCCTATCAATCCTTAGCTTAATTGCAAAATCCTATTATAAAGCTACTTTGACCATTTTATTTAATTTTTATCTTGATTAGAGATTCTTTGCAATTTTTCATTGGATTCTTTATAGTCCAGCAAAAGCTCGTCTATTGGTTTGTGGATTTTTTCTATGTCAATTGAAATTGAAGCTGAAGTTAAATGCAATATAAAAAGGCTCCAATACATAATTGTAAGATTAAAATAATTTTAGTTGGAAATTCCTTTTTATGATATTATTTGAATATATGCATATTACCAAGGATATCTTCACAAGTCGAAGCTAAATATGGTTGAAAATAAATCAATCAAATCATCTGCATTATCGAAAATGACGAAAATCCTTTGTAGAAAGCTTTGAAAGTCTTCTTTGTGTTTCAGCAGAGATTATCATTTTTATACTATTTTTAATAAATCTGATTAATTTTAGGATAATAAATAAACTATTTCTCATACAGATTTATATATTAATCTAGGACAATATTTTTAAATTAATTCAGTATTTCATGCTATTATAAAATCAATATTCTAAATTTAACCCTAAAACTATTTTTTTTAACTTATCACTAAAATTTACCTATTTTCCTTTCTTATTATTACCAAATTTATGCCAGAAACCTTAAAATATTGAGGCGATTTCGACTTAATCTTTTCTTTTCGAGAATGCTTATGTAAGTTTCAATAAAAATATGGGACTCTGTATTACCAAACAATCCATAAAATTACAAGACACCAAGTCAGAAAGTGATGAAGCGACGAAAATTAAAGCGATGAAAAGACAAATTTTGGTTAATAAAGCACGGAGAGCCCCAATACTAAGACTGGATGATAACGATCTCTATAAAAGAAGGCAACTGACGAGAATAACAGAGCCAGATGCTTTATTCCTGATCTTTATTTTTGTGTAGATTCTGATGTAATAAAATGCTTATTTTTATAATAAAAGTTATTTTTTTAAAAAAAATTGAATTATTAGAGAGCTTAATAAGGCATAAATTATGTTTCAAAATCAAATGAGCCTGTATAGCAAGTTTATTTAAATTTTAAATATTTCAAATTTTTATTTTAAACAGATATGAGATTTTTCGCCACCACCTAGCTGAAAATCGACAAAATAAGAAAGATGGACTCAAATCCTCCATATATAAAATGATTCATTTTTAAAATTGCCAAGTTAAAAATGATAATTTTTCGTTGGCGATAAAGATTTACCTTTATAGATTAATTTTTCAATTGAAAGCAAGCTAAAATTTTTATAGGTAAATAACGCTAAATTATATATATATTCTGCATGCTTTGTTATTTAGACTTTAATGTGCTGTTTGGTTTCACATGCACCCTTTATCGGAAGTATGGAGCCCTCCTAAATGCACACACGGCTTTAGCGGCTTACAAATCACATGGGTGTGATACCTTGCTCTTCACTTGACTTCTACGCCTGCTCAGCCTAAAGATCTCCCTTTTCCAGTAGCAAAACTCTATACTGTAAAATCCAGTGCTGGATATAGAGTTACTGTAAAAACTGAACCCCATAATATAACGATGACCCCCCTCAATCTTCATGTCTATTGCAATAAAAATTTTTTGAAAAAATTATCATACCCCACTGCAACACAACATTTTTATAAAAAAAATAATGCATTTTCTCTAGATGAGTTTCTCAAAAAAAAACATAAAACAACGCTGCTGTTGGCGTGTCTATGACCTTCTCATCGAGATTTGGACGACTATTGTCATCGCTCGCCATTTTATTAAACTTATCTAGCTAAAAACTACGGAAAAATTTAAGATGCGCATCGAAAATTTGCTGCAAGAGATAAGTATTATTACAGGCAGGCGCTAGCATATTGGTGATGCAGTCACCAAAGACCTCCCGTACGGAAGGTTCTACCGCTTTTCGACTCCAGCCCAGAGGGTCTATCCCTCTTACGAGTCACCTTCCTGTACCTTCTGTCTCCTCCTTGCCTTGCGGCTTCAGTCTTGAGTGGGCGACTTATGGATTTCTGCGGTCCTGCTGCGGGCGATAGGAGTAGTTTGATTCCAAGGATCAGCTCCTTTGAGTCTATCGGGTGTCAAAGTGCCTTCCTTTGGCAGCTACAGGAAAAAGACTGTTCCCCTGCGGCCTGGGCCGAAACCCCCAGCTTCTCGGTAGAGGAATGCCCGTAGGCCCTCGGATCCAAAGGACGTTGTTGAGCGCATCTATTTCCAACCACAGAAAAGCAGCCAAACCTACCCGGATACACACTTCTTGAGCATGCGTCTGATTTTCTGCTCGGAGTCCGTCCCAGTTCGCCGTAGCCATAAGGTCTGAACTGCTGCGCCAAGAGGGCAGGCTGACACGTGTCGCCATTTTAATGTATATAATTTGTTGCAAGAGATATGAAAATTAATATTTTTTTTTATATAAAATTTTATATTAAAAAATTGCATTTTTGTTGCAATAGACAAGAAGATTGAGGGGGGGGGGGGCATCGTTACATGAGCAATCATAGACTGTGGAGAGAGCTAACTTTAGAGATACCATTTTAATTTTACTATATATTTTCTAAAGCAATTAACCTATTTTAGTTGTCATTAAAATTTCAAAACTTTTGAAAAACACTGTTAAATCTACTGTTCTTTACTTATATATTTTTTTGGCCTACCTTATTATCATATTTTCTATCAAACTTACTTATCGATATATATTTAACCTTAACTTCTAGATAAAGATAAAACCGCGCATCTCCCCAATGCTGCATTTAAATCTTCTAAAAATTCTTTTGTGATGTTTTCACCTACAATTTGTCCGCTTGCAAGCTTCTCATAAACCCTTAAAATTGAAAATAAGCTTTGCTGGTTTATAATGATCCCTCTCTGCAAAATCTCAAAACCATTCTCGAAAATCCTTGGGAAAAATTCTTCTGGGGCAGTTTCCAAGACAAAAAAATCGATCATTTTTGTGGCTGCGTCATCTAAATTATTATCTAAAATAGCTTGGCAAAATTTGGTATATTGTTCTAAAAAGTTTACTACAGAAGAACTGTTTTTTACCTCAGGAATTATTTCTGATAAAAATAATTCAATATCTCTTGTATTTTGATATATAATAAATTAAATTAAATTGGGCCTTTATTATATCAAAAAAAAACCAAATGTTTTTTATAAATAAAATAAGCTTGCTAACATACTAGCTTCCTCAATCTTCTTAAGCATAAAGTAAAGTTTATAATATGATGCTCCACAATTGCTTTTAAATCTTGGTCATTTGTATTATAGCTCCAGGTCAACGCCGATATCAAGTCTTTATTCCCTAAACATTGCATAGCCTTGACCTTATAATAAACTGACAATACATCCTCAATTTTTTTTTCTTTCAAATAACTGATGATTTCTTTAGGGTTTTCTTTATTAATTCTATACAAAATGGCGGTCTCTATCATAGATGACAAATCAGGAAAAAACCCAATGTTATTTAATAAGTACTCTAAAGGAATTTTGAATGAGATATTAGGGTCACTCAAAATTCCTAATATGAAATGATAGAAATAATGCTCAGCGTAGTTTAAATTGTCGAATTCTTCTAATTGTTCTTTAGGAAGTTTGTCGATTATGACGAGGACTTCTATTATGTGAGCCATAAAATAGGAAGGAAATCATTCGCTGCAGGTTTGGGCGACATCATGCATATTATTGGTGCAGATTATTTTCAATAATATTTCGTCAGGGATGCCTTGGATATTGAATTTTGAGTCTTTTAGGTCTGATAACAGATCTTCTGGAGAATATATGGTACCTTGCATAAAAAAATTAAAATAGCCTACATATTCAATCCAGTTCGGCTTTGTCGCCATAAATGCTTCTTTATCCCCAGCCAAAATTTTTATTAAAGGCAGCAGCTCATTTTTTAAGTCACTTTTTTCTGCCCCTTCCAGAGTATTTTTCAACAAAATTCTCGATTCTCTCAAAATGGCTTGAAAATTATTCAAAAATTCATTCTGGTCTTTTGTCCCAAATTGGTTCCCATATATTCTTGAGGCTGGGTTCAAGCATCTGTCAATTAGTGAGAAAAATTCTTTTGTGGCCCGGCTTACCTCTTTTCTAGCATTTTGCTGGATTTCTGGGTGTTTGCTTATAATTATTCTTGCAGTTTCTAGGTCTCCTCTTTTAATGCACTCAAAAATGACTTTTAAGTAATTTTTCCTGTCAAAATAATAGTTAGAAAAGTCGTCTTTATAGCCAGAATATTCTTTGATTAAATGAATTATAATAGTCCATGGTGATTATTGTAAAAAAAATTTGCAAATTTAAATATATATAAAAAAAATAAAATAGCATAGGCTTGTCGAGGGATTTTGAGTGACAAGAAAAGCTTGAATTGTCCTTGTTATCAGAGCCATATCTTTGAAAATTTCTTCGTTTGTAGAATTAGATAGCTTATACAGCGAGTTTATGATATTTTCTAAATATCGGTCAAGGAGATTTAGCTGCTCTTCAGAGCTTGAATCTTCTAAGCTTTCTTGTTCAGAAATTCGACGCGTATAGACATTGTAAAATTCGCTGATGGCTTGGTAAACGCTTGGGTGCTGGAATTTATATTGGTAAATTTCTAGTAATTTTCTAGATGGCAAATGCTGAGTTTTTGTGATAGTTTGTTTAACACATGCAATTCATAGATCACTAGAGTCACAGACCGCCATTTATAAAGTATTTATTTACTTATTATGATTATTAAAAGTTTTGCTTCAGTTTAAAGACCATAAATTTTAAATTATTTCTAAATTATCATTATACCGCCTGCAGTTTCTTATTATTTTCAATAATAAAGCTATAACAGCCTGTATTAAAATCATACATATTGCCGTCCAGTTCCTTGTTTGAACATAAAATATCATAATGCCCGCTTCTTCTTACTACACAAATTGGGGGAAGGCTTTCTGCTGTCTCCTTAAATTCTTCAGGATATTTTGTGAGAGCTAATTCTCTGTCAAAAAAGCTAAATATTTGTATTTGTATATTTAAGCCTAATGGTAGCATCATTAGTGCTAGATCTCCTGCTTCTTCTCCGTGCTTTAAAATTTCTTCAATAAGAAAATCGAGATCCTCAAATATAAAAGGTTGGTAAAGCGGGTCGTCTTTTTTGTCAATTAAGGTTTGGGCTGCTATTGCTCTGCCTATTTCAAAGTTCAGCTTATCGAATTCTTGATTGGGTGAGGAAAAAATACTTTTTTTTAAAGATATAAGACTATCTGAATATATAATTTTGCTTTTTCGTTTTTAATATAAAAAGGGTTATTTTTTTTATAATAGCTAGAATAATAACGCTTTTAATGGATTTTTTAGCTTGATGATAATATATAAATGCCCTAATTTCTTGATCTTGAGTAAACTTATTAAATTCAACAAAAGCTTGAATAGGGTTAAGCGCTTTGATTCTCCTCAAATAATCAATAATATTGATAAATATTTTTTTTCTTTCACTGAAACCAGGTCGGTCTATAGTGATATTTTCAATTATACACTTTAAGACAGTCAAAAAACAATCCTGTGGAGAATTTGGTATGCCATGCTAAGACAGCATTTATGTCATAAAAAAGCTATTAAATATTTTAAGAATCTCTAATTTCTTCATTTACGTTTTTTTATTGTATAATTTCGGTAATTTGTCTAACCAAGTTTGTCAAATCTGGTCAGGATAACAACCGATTTTTATATAAAAACTAGGAATCATAAAAGAATTGATGGTATTTTTAAAACAGCAAGAACTATTTTTGCATAGCATGCCAAGCCTCCAAGGCACTGTTTTTCGGCTATCATCAAGAGTATAGCGTGAGAAACCTAGTTGCAAAGTGAACACTCCTATGAACTTCAAAAATCAGCCGAACATAATTATTCATAATTGCTCGATAGTAGCAATTTCCATCTCCCCTGCTTCTTTTTCAGCCAATAAATCCTCTGTTTTTAAGTTCTTCAACATTCCTCTGAAAACTTTTGCTATAGATCGATATTTGTTTCATTTCATCTATCGGAATTCAGTAAGGGGTTACAGTTTCTGGGTATTTTTCTGAGTTCATCTCAAAATTTAAAGGTTTGATAGAAATTATGATTTGAGGTTTGGAGAGATCTTCAATGTTGTCAACTTCTACTGACTCAGTCATAGGGATGCTATCGATTTTATCTGGAATTTTTGACGGATCCACGTAATCTAGAATTTTTTGATGCTGGCTTCTAATTTGAAGGGATTGTTGGTATTTATCAGGATTTTTTGAATCTTTCTTTACGAGCTGAAGAGTTTTTGAGCTTAATTCCGAAAATTTTGAATTTTCTACTTTAATTTCAGCTTCTTTTTGGTGGATCTCTTCATAATTTGAATCCTTTTCTTTATCTTTGGAGTCTTTTTGCAAATTTAAAGGCTTGAACGCTGCATTTTTGGCTACTGGCGATTTATTTTTTCTCTCTACAAGTTTTTGAGGCTTAGCATTGTTTTCAACAATTTCTGAGATTTCTTCTATTATCTCAGGGAAAGCTGCCATTTTAAGGCCAGCTTCTGAATTTTCTGAAGATTTTTGGCTTGCATCAGACGAATATGGGCTTGACTCTACAAATTCTTTTCCATCTTGAGAAGCCTCTCCAAAACAAGGATTGCTTTGGATAACTTCTTGGTCGTGAATTCTATTTGGTGGCCCTAAGCTATTATCAGCCTTTTTAGGGAATTTTTGCATTGATAAAGGATTTTGAAAATCTGATCTCGCTGACTGAGGGCAGTGTTTTTTAATTGGTTGGGACGTTTGAAAGTCTACTTTGTGAACAAGCGGAACCTCTTTGTTCACTGAGGATTTTGGATTTCTTATTGAGCCTTGCTTTGGCTTTAGTCGAGCTTGTTTCATTATAATTATAACAATATAAAAATTTTTGAATTAATTGTTGACATAAATTTATTTATAAACTTTATTGGTCTTTTCTTCAAATATGTCAAACATAAGGTATCCATTAGATAGCGTTGAATTTCAAGTTTCTACTTGGAATCGAGATTCCCATGGTCTCTTTGACTACGAAACTAAAAATTTAGTAAAAAAAAGCTTCAAAGCCACCGGCCCCTGCTGAATAATTCGCACACAAGACCAAATTACTGCAGATAATATAGAAGGTGAGCCCAAATTACCTGAAGAAAATTCCAAGGTCCTGGCCATGCTCACACAAACGGGCTCAAATTTTGTACTAAATCGCCCCTACCAAAACCACAAAGAAACAAACCAAACTTTCGAAAAAATGTGACTCGTGGTCAGCGGAATTAAAGGTTACAAAGGTCAAAAGGGCTATAAGCTATCAGAAGGCGATATAATTCGCATCGGAAGAGTTGTATTAAGAATCAACGAAATAAATGGCTCCAAAGAAACCAGTGAAAACACCCAGTCAGAGCTCAGATGTCCTCAAATCTGCAATGGAGGTCTAGGCAGCCGCAAAAGAACTGTCCTTACTGAAGAGCCTTTAAATGTCGACGTCGCGTCTGAAGGCAGCAGCCAGTGTTTAAACAGTCTAAACGAAAAGGCACAGTGCAGAATTTGCCTTATGGAAACTGCCTCAGAAGAAGACCCTCTTATAACCCCTTGTAAATGCTCAGGAACAATGGCACAAATTCATTTAAACTGTCTACGTCACTGATTAACCAGCAAAGTGACGACCAGAGAAATCAACAATTCCAAGTCGTATTCTTGGAAAACACTCGAATGTGAGCTCTGCAAGATGAAATACCCAGATAAACTGATCGTAAAAGGAGTGACCCATGACCTTTTAGGGTTCGAAAAACCTCAGTCTAACTATATTGTGCTGGAAAATCTGAATAAAGATAGGAGCAATTTAAGGACTATACATGTGATAGCGATGACTAATAAAAATAATATTCGTCTAGGCAGAGGACATGATGCTGATATCAGGATAACTGATATTTAAGGGTTATAATAATAAAATGGCTTAGGGGAAGAGGTAATTTGGTCCACCAATTCCTTTTAACTCATCAACTTTTATTAGGTTTCTACACATGGATTTCTGCACAAGAGGAGAAATGACGAGAAATTTTATATTTCACCAGTATTATGCAGCGTGTTTAATCTCTTTCCACTGCTGATATCAAAGCAGGACCCTTAGGCCGAATAGGCGTAGGAGGAGGCAATGTGCCAAGCAGCTATTTTTTTCCCATATTTCTGTATCCCAAATGGTTTCACAGGGATTAGGAGGAGCGAGCCGGACTGCGAATGAGAGTTTGAGAGTAGCTATAAGACGTAGAAAAAAAAAACTCTTGCGATGCTGCACAACTAGAGGCCAAAAGTGAGTTAAATTATGATATTTCAGTGTCAAGAAACCATGCTACTATAAGGCTTATTAAGAACAATTTGGTGTTAGAAGATAATGAAAGCAAGTTTGGGACGCTGGTACAGATAAAAAAACCGATATTTTTAGATATTGGATCAAGCTTGATGGTTCAGTGTGGGAGAAGCGTGATGGCAATTTCTGTCAAAAAAAGCTGAAGCTTGTTTTCATGCTTTGGGTCGTGCAGCAAAGCGGAGGAAGCGGAAATTCCTGAAATCGAGCATGAAGTGAGGGAAAATACGGATGAGTCTGATCCTAGCGACTCTTCTCCACAGTAATTACTTACTTACTACCTCTTTGAGCAGCAACAAAACCATTGAAAAATCCTACTTTATTGTCAGTTAAAGGTCAAATTGTTTTTAATTTAATTTTTTTAAATTCCAAAAAAATATTTTAAATAATAATTAACTCCTTTGCAAGTGAGGAAATAAATTTGCTCTCAAACGAATGAAGGAGCTAATATTTTGAAGATTGTATATCATTTAATTATGCTTTTTGGCTTAATTTGATAATGTTATATTTGATAGTCTTATAAATAATCAAGATATCCGAATTATCTTAATCTTTCTTTTTATTTTGATTTATCGAGCCTTTTTTATTTTCCTTTTTATCTTCTTCATTTTTTTCTTCTTTGTCTTCTTCTTTATTTTCCTCTTGATTTTCCTCTTTGTCTTCTTCTTTATTTTCTTCTTTTCCTCTTACCTCTACACGTCCTTCTCTTGTAACAAAATAGCACCCACAGCCTAAAAGAGTCAATAAAACAACTCCTACAATCAATAGCTCACTTGGAAAATTAGTTTCCTCTATTGCCAACTCAGGCGGCTTTAGGTTTCTCATTTTCTCTTGATTGGCTATTTCTTTTTCCAGTTTTTCTTGATATTCTTTTTCCATCTCTTTTTGAACTTCTGTTACCTCCTCAAATAGCGTAAAATGTTTCTGTGTAAAAGTAATTTCCTTATTTTTTTTGAACTGTTTTTTGTCCCATTCTAGTAGTTTTTTGTGCTCAGGGGTAAGATCAGCATATGAGGAGGTCTCTGATAATTCAAGCAAAATTTTATTTGTCATTTTGTCCATACAGGTCATCAAGATGTCTCCAATTATTTTGTTAGTGATTTTTTCTTCAAGGTCTTTAGGCATTTTTTGCAAGATTTGTTTGATAATAGGGTCGTCTTCTTGGACTTTGTATCTAGAAAGAGTCAAACATGTTGATAATTTTTGTTTCCTATATTCATCATTATCTTCAAGCTCTTCTTCAGGAAATTGTTCATTAACTCACCCCCCTCCGTGAGTGAACAAAAAAAATCTTGTTCGCTCATTGAGGGGAGTTAATTTTTTTTCGAAATTTTAAAAAAAATCCTAATTCGCAAAAATTGGAAAGCAAATATTAATTTAATTTATAAAATTTATGTTTTAAAACGCAAATTTTTTTAAAATTAAACAGAATTTGCTATAGATTTCATTATACTAATTATCACTTATATATCAAATTTTTTTCATAAAAATTTTTTCTATTAAAAAAATTTTGTTCGCTCACTGAAGGTGGGTTTTTGGACAAAAAATAGGGATTCTTCTAATGGTTTTGTTCACTTATAGAGGGGGGACTAAGCATTTCTTGTGACTGCTCAAACGCAATTTTCATGATTTCCATTTGCTCAGGGGTGAGTTTTACCTCTCCATAAAGATCATATTTATTGTATGATAGCAATTTGTCATAATCTCGCTTATAAGTCAATGAATTGGACCTTGATTGAATTTCATCTATTACATAAGGTGTTATGTCTTGGACACAATTAAGCACCATTTCGCCTACAACTTTATTAGTGACTCGTTCTTTTTGGTCTTGAGAGACATCTACGAAAATTTTTTCGAACCTATCTTTATCGGTGCTGATTTTTAAGTGTACGAGAAATAAGCAGGCTGAGATTTTTTCTTTTCTTGGGTCTGGGTAAGAACTCACTAAGAAAAAAAGAGATAAAAAACTGAGGTAAATCAGCATTTTTATTAATCTAATTTAGGTGCAAATAATATCAGCTTTAATCATAAATAACATTATCTGTCATTGATGATCTAGAGTTATTTTGAAATCTTATTTTGAGAATATAAAATTTTTATAAACTGTTCAGTTGGTTTACGCATAATATTGCTAAATAAGCCTAAAATTTAAACTAAGGAGTAATAAACTAGCAAATATTTTAAATAAAATATCAATAAATAAGCCATCAACAATAATGCTAAATAAATAATAAAACAAATGGGCAATTATTGTGCATGCTTGGCTGAAAAGCCTACAGAAGTGAAAACTATGAAAACTGATCTGACTAACAGTAAGGCTAAAATAATTAAAATATGGCGTCTCAGCGCTTCGGGTCGGCTACGCCGACTACCTTCAAGCACATATTTTAATTATATCCGGCAAGGTTTTGCCATTCTGGAGATAGACAGAAACGCTAGGTAAGCAATTCTGCGGGTGACAGAGCCTAACTCAAGTTTGAATTCTGGAAGGATATTACCTCGTGGGGAAGAAAGGCATGGCAGTTGGAAAGAGGAAACTCAGCAAAGCCCTAAGGGCCAATCGGGTAACTCCCTGTGTGAAACTGGGCATTAGGTCCCAGGCTGCATGCTTTTCCTTTTTGCCGATAGTCGGCCAGAAAATCCATTTTTTGGATTTTCTGTGTAGGCAACTCACGTTGAGAAGACTTACTTGCTTAAATTATGGCAATGCTTGACGCATAATCGAAGCCCTTAAAGGCTCTTTTTAAACCAATCTGCTATTTTCCGTTGTTGATCTTGAACCTGCAACTTGTTCATCTTCATCTCTTAAAATCTTCATGGCTTGTCCTTCAGGATTGCCATGTGATACTTCTTGAGCACTGTCAACAATGTGCACCAATCATCTCTTCCATCCACTCTGTAGCTGCTTCACACAAGTCTCGTATTTTGTGCAGTACTCCTCTTTTTCAATTTCTTGAACTCGACTCAAATTTAAGTCTGAATTGTTTAACACTTGACTTTTTTCTAATTTTTCAGTTTTTCCTGCAATAATTCGTTTGGAAGCTCTCTTTTCTATAGTTCTTTTGATTTTTTTTGGCATTTCTGTGCTCCTTGGCTTATCTGAGTTTTCTGAGTTTTCTGGGCATACTGGGTTTTCTGATCATTCTGAATTTTCTGAGTTTTCTGGATTTTCTGGGTTTTCTGAATTTTCTGAGTTTTCTGAGTTTTCTGTACTTTCTTGGTTTCCTGCGCTTTCTGGTCCTTTTGAGTTTTCAGGGATTTCTGAGTTTTCGGAGTCTTCTAGACTTTCTGATTCTCAGAGTTTTTCTAGTTGCTCTCAGTCCTCCAGACCTATTTTGCTTGCTTGAGCTTCCTTTTCTGAAACCACTTTCCTTTGCCTATCATTCAGATCGTAAGATATCGCTTTGACTGAATGTATGGCCAAAATTAGCTCTCCCTCATCCACGACATCTCCATCTTGCTTCTCTATTTAGACCTTGATTTTCTTCATCAGCTCTTTTTCTCGATCTTCTTCATCAATTTCATTCTCGCCCTCCTCCACATCTGATTCCCCATCCAGTTCATCTTCCATCAGAGTAATTTTATTACAGCTATCCAGCATCAGCTCAAGTGCGTGTTCAAAATTCCTCCCACATACTTCCAGTGCTTTTCCTGCTTCGTCTTTTCTGTAGCCTAAATCTATATCATCAAGTCCGCTTAATCCATCTTCATCTGAGTCTGAATTATAATAAAGTCAACTGTCGTCAGCTATTTCTAATGGGTTTTTCTCATCAGTGCACAATCTCCGCTGAATCCTGGAGCAGCTTTCGATGTGTATTCCCTACTTGAAAACGCTGCCATTGAAAAAAATAAAAAAATTCACGTTGAGAAGACAGTAACTCATCCATGAGTCGTCAAAGCCGGCAACACTTGCTCTAAGGTGCACCCTGGTGAAACAAAGCAAGTCGCCCCAGAGGCTTGTGGGCCCGATGCGTCGAAGAGTGAGGGGAAGATCTGGGGACCGTCAACCCCGTTGTGGACGTAAAACGTTATAAGCATTAAGTAAGTAACAGTAAGGCTAAAACTGAAGCAGAAAGCGAAGATTTTGAAATGGTTATCAGCAATATTACTATAACTCCGACTCCCAAAGATATAGGCCGATATCTCTTAAAAACAGCTGCAAAAGGCTATATGGAGAAAAAAGATCTAATAGAGGAGGAAGATGAGGATTTCCCTTTTGAAAACTTTAAAGAGCCAATATCAAAGCTTCTCTCATCAAATGTACAATATATTGAAATGGCTTGATAAAGTTTGCTTAAAGAAAATAACTTTTAGCTGTAAATTATATTAGTATTTATAATAAAATACATGTAATAGCTATAAAAGGCTTTTATCCTTATAAATTATTAATAGCCATTGAAAATAGATATGGAGAATTTGCTTTCCCTGATATAAAAATAGACTCAAACGACGTTGAATACAAAAGTGCAGTAATTCTTGAAGACGGTTCAGTTTATGAAGGTGAATGAGATTTAAAAACTCTAAAACCTCACGGAAAAGGCATTTTAATTGACAAAAATGGCACAAAATATGTCGGATTTTTCAGACAAGGCAAAAAAGACCAGTATGGGAGAACTATTTGCAGTGACGGCAAAATGTACGAAGGCAAGTTCAAACATGGGAAGCCTATAGGCAAAGGTTTACTAGTAAATGAAAATGGAGAAGAATTCAAAGGAAAATGCGACTCAGGCTTCCCAAACGGAAAAGGGATTTTTAAATATTCTAATGGAGATGTCGTAGATGGAGAATTTACTAATGGCAGAATCCATGGATACGCAAAATTAACAAAATCTGATGGAAGCTTCTATGAAGGGGAATTCAAAGATAATCACATTGAAAGAAAAGGGTTTTATAAATGAAGCAATGGAAATCAATATAACGGGGAATGAATTAATGGCAAAATGACTGGGTTTGGAGAATTTAAATTTAATGATGGAAAAAGATATGTCGGAGAATTTTATAGAGATATTAGGAATGGATATGGAGAATTTTTTTGGCCTGACGGGAGGATATATAAAGGGAATTGGGTTAATGGGAAACAAGATGGAATTGGAGAATTTACGTTTACTGATGTAAAAACTAAGCTCGATAAAACAATGAAAGGGGAGTGGGTTAAAGGAAAAAGAGTTAAGTGGCTATAGAGCCAAAATTTTTTATATATAATAAAACTTATCCAATAACACAAATTTAGAAGAGAAATAACTAAATAAATTCTATAAGTAGATAGGCTACAAAGAGATAATATAAATCGATAATAATTAAGACAAGCATTCTTTTCCATAAAGCTCTTCAATTTTGTTTATAAACCCTTCAAGCCCGACCATCACAACTGTAACATTGTCAGTTGTTTTTTTATTTAGTGCAGTGCTCATTACATTTTCCACTGCAATTCCACACAATTGATGTGCATTTCTGGTCTTCGAGTCGTAAATGCAAGACCACGCGCTTTTTATTACTTCTTTATTGGTCATTTTATCAAAAATCCCATCGGTAGCCAAGATAATGAAGTCAAAATCTTGGTGGATTCGGAAGGCCTTGATTTCTGGAGTTGATATCAAGACATTTGGATTTCCATTATAGCTCGGCATTTTGGCTTCAGAGAGATTATAATTTAATTTGGTTTTTAGGTTTTTAATGCAATTCCCAAAAGAGGGGATTGGCCTTGAGAACTAATGACATAACGGGTCATCCTGCTGCTTAAAATGGAGTACTACATGTGGCATTCCAAAACAAACCCCATATTGTGTTGAGCCACCCTTGCCAAACTTAGCATCTGTGAGTGCTCCACCTAAGGGTCACCTTCCTCATGCGTGCTGATTGCAAATACCTTGAGCCTCTTGACTGCACGAAGAGGACTTAATTTACTAGAAGTTATGCTGTTATTGCTGTGAGGAGGAAGCTCTTCAGAAAAAAATACCTTATAAATAAAATTATAGGGAGAAAATGTTTCCTGAGCCGAATGCCATTTTATTTATGATATTTTAGCTTCAATATCTCCAATAGTTCGAGATACTGAAAGACGGCCCGGAAAAATCCTATAAGGCCCTGCGATTTGGCTTCCTTGAACTTGTGCAGTAGACTGATAGACCTTTCCTCCATTATTAATAATCCTTTGTCTTTCTTTTTCCTCACAAGGTTTATGGTCTTTTGATAAAGGATAAATTTTTGTTCCGCCGTCTCCGCTCATCACAGCTCTTGAATCCCCTACATTAGCTACATAACAATTGTCTCCTACAATGAGTACAACATTTGCGCAGCTCCCTGATCTTTCTACGGGCTGATTCCTTTCAGCTAGCTCAAGAAAAGCTCGTTCAGCAGCTTCAAATCCATTTCTTATTGCTTCTTTTGGGTTGTGTGGGAAATAATGATTTCTTATTACATATTGATGCAGATTATCTCTTAAAAAATCAGCACAAGCTGCACCTCCATGTCCATCATAAACCCCAAAAAACGAGCAGCGTGGCCATGGTTCTCCACTTCGGTTAGGAGGTTTCATTATGTTTATGCTTTCTGCAATGAATCTGCCATTTTTATCATAGTAATATTTATTTAAAAAATTCTTAATTATTTAAGAATAAAATGATACTGACCCTATCTTCATTGTAATTTCTGATTAATCCTTGATTTGTACTTGCAGCATATGCTTTAACTGAACCACTTTCTTTTAATGAACATTTAGTTTGGTCTGAAGGTGTTTCAGAATTCCCAAAAAATCGTCTGTCAGTGCTGCGGGTCGTTAAAGCTCGTCCATCAGGCTCTGATGATCGGGCTGTTAAATTTTGTGTTGAGTTTTTCAAGGATTTAGTAGATCTTGATGTATGTGCACTTGAGATGCGCGGAGTAGATAAATAATCAACGGAAAGGGGAAGAAGAGATGGAACTGATGATTTTCATTGGAGATGGGGAGGAGTTTCAGGGAGTCGTTCACTGAGCCGTGAATTTGGGTTTGAAATAGACATTTTCTAATATAGATTTTGTAAAAAGGGGAAATAAATCTGTAAATGTGGAAAAAGCTGAGGATGAGGAATAAAATTTTGAAGAATTGAAACTTAATGATATGATATTAGGATTAGTAGCGTAATTTAATGTCTTTTTTTATATAATCAAATAGACTGCTAATTTGATAATAGTCTAAAGCTGTTTTTCCACAATTTAAATTTGAAATCATTGGAGGATGCATTTTCTGATGTTACCAAAATATAAAAATGCTGTTTAAGTTATGGTATAATACTTTGGCAAAATAAAAAAAATTATAGTAAAAGCAAGAAATAAATTTTCGTAAATTTTCCCACATAGATTTTCAATTTTATGCTTTATTTGTAACAGCTTGACGAAAGCTAGTTAATTAAATATTTTCAAGGCGTTTTTAGCATTTATAAGGCGCTTGATTGCATTAATAATAGAATAAGATTAAAATTAGAATTAAAAAAAAGTGTTTGCATAATCTTCACATAAATTTAACTCTATTATGAATTAGACACAATTAATATGAAAATATTTAAATAAAAAATCTGCCGGTTGGCTATAGCAATATTCGTTAATAATAAAATTTAATAATAATTCCATACATATCTAATTTGGAAAAAGAGGCTGCTCATGAATTAATCAGTATAAATGATTAATTTTTTATGAAAGATGGTACATGTATTTTAAATTGATTTATGAATGCCATTATTTGGTAATATATATAAATAGAATCAAGCGATCAATAATGATAAAATTTTAAAGAATTTTAAAATACAAAGAACTGAAATTGTTTGGCACTAAATCCGAATAAATTTCTTTTTTCAACCTTAAAGCATCCTTTAAAGTCTCTCATTTAGATAATAAGAAACAGCTTTAAGATTTAAGATTTAAGATTACGATAACACTTTGTCGACCCCCACTTAGCTTAGGATCTGACAATACAAGCTCATCCTTCCTGAATTCCATCACTGGCTAACAGCTCTGAACAACGGTAGGTGGAATCGGCCTAACCGTCGAACCGTTACAGTAGCCTATGACCTAGACGAGTCTCTCTTCCTTCCTTGAACTTGATTCAAGCACACCGGGAACTGCCGAAGCAGTTCCAGCGCCAATATCCTTCAGAAAGACTGAACTTCCCTCACTAGGATGACCTTAGGGGACAAGGACCCTAATTCATGCGCTCCATTTTTAATTGTGAACAGCTTTAACTAAGTGTTAAAAAAGCCTATAGAAGGTGGAAGTAATTTCATTATAAAAAAGTATTTTGACCCAGTTAAACATAAATATAGCTATTATAAATTATATAAGGAATGACTTTTAATTTGCTAAAATTCATATATAATTGAGCTATATAAGTAATAAAATACTTAAAATGTTTTTAGAATTTAATTAGCACTTATAAGAAATAATAATTTGCTTACCTTTGCTATCAAGCAAAACTATTAAACAAATCTAATCAGAAAAAGTAAAAAGTCAATAGTGATTAAGTAAAATTACTTTCCAACTTCCTCTTTATAAATTATTTCCATTTTTATATTTTTTCTGTTAAACTTACAGCAAAAACAGTATGGCTCTTTATTAAAACTAGCATAAATATCTCCCTCAAAAATGCTAAAATTCTTTTTCCAAGGATACTTGCCAATATCAAAATCAATATTCCCTATATTATACCATTTAAAGGGATTTTTGAAGCCACTTTCATAAATAGTGCCGTTTTTTATAATCAAATAAACCCTCTTTTGGTTAGTAAATAAAAATTTTTTCTACTTCATTTCCTCTAACTCCCCCCCTCCGTTGCGAACAAAACCATTACAAAAATTCCTGCCCAAAAACCATCCTCAAAAATTTTTTTTAAAAAAAATTTGATATATAAATGATAATTATTATAACGAAATCTCTAGCTAATTCTGATTAATTTTAAACAACTTGCGTTTTGAAATATAAATTTTGAAAATTAAATTAATTTTAGCTTTTCAGTTTTATAAATTTGATTTTTTTTTAATGTTAAAAAAAAACTAAGCGAACAAAGTTTTTTTTTCTCATCAGAGGGAGTAAAAATGAAATGACTGAAAGAGATTCAATTCTAAGATCAAACAGGAAAAATTTAGATTTAAAGTGATGGCAAATTAAAATATAGCCTAATAGTTATTTTGTATTTAATAGGCTGGTAAACTCAATAATTTGGCAAATGCATTTAGTATATATGTCTACTCCAAAGCTGCCTTGCCATCAAGAAAAACTATCAGGTATTTTTAAGCCTAGGGTTATTGTAAATTCCCATTAATAGAACAAATTGTAATTTTAGCAGGTAATTCACCGCTTATGTGACTATTCATAGGAAATAATTATATACAAAATCCTTCCTAGGCTATATAATTGCGATAAAGAATGCTAATAGCTAACCTTCAATAACACTAAAATGACATAAATAAAATGGATTGTGGGATGGCCTGCCTCCCCGTGGCGAGTGTCCTATGCATCTCTGGAAAATTTTTTGGGGCAAGGAGCTGCTGACCTTGAAGTGAGAGTCCCAGCACTATTTCTGCTGATTAGTTGCCGTGCTTGAGCGGCAGTTTTTGCCGAAAGAACCCAGTGTCCGATAGATGCAGGGTGGCTTTCTTGTCTATGCAATTTGATGGCATGCCTCAAAATGGTGTAAGGTATTGAGTTTTTATTTTAGAGATAATCCAGGGTAAAGATCAAGCTTGGCAAGATCTTAAGGGCTACAGTCTCTCCATTTGGAAATGGTTTGATTAAGAGATTATATAGCCTGAGCTAAGCAGGGTTAGGTAAAGCTGGCGCTTGGGTTGCAAATTGAGCCTATGAAAATCATAATTAAAGCATCAATTAGGGAGACCTCGACCGAGAAACAAAAGATTCTGTTCTAGTTCAAGCTGACTTGAAGAGCCTACCCCACAGCCACCCTGTGCGGAATACATATTACTTCTAGGGACTTAAAACACTCAATTTAATCTAACGAACACAAGGAAATTTCATTATGGTCGATATTTTTTTATATAGATTATACTTCAAAATTCTGAAATTGCTAATAATATATATACAATTGTCATAATAAATAAAAGGATATATTGGAAAATTTCCATAATCTTCAATTTTAAGATCAAGGTAAAAGCTAATTTTTCTGGTTCTTAGGTCCATTAAATATCCTTTATTATTTTTCCCGATGATAAACAAATGTGAGTTTGAGATCTTGATAATGCTGACTATGCTATCTAATAATCAATTATTTGCGCCAAATTTATTTGAAGCTGATGTGGAAGTTCTTTCATGGGTTTTTAAATCATATATATAAAGCTCACTTCCACGTTGTTTTATTAAATAATTGAAAAGGTAGTTGCAGTCTGAATTGTAATGATTCCTATAGTTTTTATTGTGGAATTTAAAAATTACTGTGGCAAGCATAGACTAAGTAGCGAAGCATTTCTTTTCAAATTCTTGGTATAGATATTTAACTTGGTGATTATTTTTACTTGCACTGATCTTGTCTTTTATGTGGGCTGGCAAAGGAGATAGCTCATTAAATTCATCTTGAAGCTGAATGAGGCTGCTAGATTCTTTTATATGCAAAGCAGCAAGACTTTTTTTAATTTTTTTGATCTTCTTAATTTTCTCTGCTAAAAATAAATCTGCTATACTTTATTATTATATTTATCTTACATCAGCTCAGCTATATATGAATAATTAACAATTATTTTTTAAATTTTGAATAATTATAAAAGATAGGTAAAACTATAGGGGTTATCCCTATATGGCCCGATAAGGGCTGTGGGTTCTCCGTGGAATCCCTCTGTTGGTCAAACCAACTCAGTGCGTTGGTTTGACCAATTCAGTGCGTTGGTTTGACCATCAGAGGGATCCCACGGAGAACCCACGGCCCTTATCGGGCTATATAGGGGAAAACACCTATAATATATAAAGGGATTTAATATTATACCACTTTGAGTAATTTACTCATTATATCTGTTCTGATTAATTCTGATCTGACCCATACTAATAAAAGTTTTTTGAATCTTTTGCCAATTTTTATTCATGAATATATTTTTTTTGTTGGAATTTCTCTATATATGAAGTCTTAATGTCTTGAAGCTCTAATTATTTAAATATCCAAGTTTGATAAAATATAACTGGAAAGGCCTAACATCAATATGCTTGTGATATTATTCGATTCTTATATTTGATCAACTAGATGATTTTGAGCCTAAGTACATTAACTTCTTCCGCATCAGTTACGCCGCTAAGTGCGAAATTGTCAATCAGACATACTATTAGGCAAGCTTGCTAATTCCCAATTGGTGTACTCATTTACAAGCAAGAAGTTGAAACCTTAATAATTGCATGTGCCAATTTATGCAGGCGCTCGCGTAAATTATAATAAACATTTAAAATTTTGCGTATAAAATGATTGAAATTATATTGAAAAAGGTAGAACTTTATTTTTAAGCCATAAACTTTTGTGGCAAATATTAGGTTAAGTAACTATTTACTAAGATTATCTATTGACTTCCCCTTGGTAAATTATTTTCATTGCTTTTCTTTTTTTATTAAACTTATAGCAATACATCTGCGGTCTTATAATAAGACTAGCATAAATGTCGCCCTCATAATTGCTGAAAGTTATATCAAAATTATGCAAATTTATATCCAAAGGCAAATCACGAATTCCAAAATCATTATTCCCTATTTTATTTCATTTAAATGGGTTATTTTCATCACTTTCATAAATAGAACCGTTTTGAACCCATAAATAAGCCCTAACTTGATCAGTAAATAAAAATTTACGATTTTTTACATGCTCATAAAATGCAATTTCTGAATGGGCTTCAATTAAAAGATCATATAAATAAAAGATTGAGTTATAAGAACTGCTTATTAAGACATAGTTGCGGTAAAGAACAGAAGAAATTCATTCCTTCAAGCATGGGAATGCTAATTGGTGCCATTTGTTTCGATTTATGTTATATTTCAGCAAGCCTGATTTTTCTGCATCCCCAAATATAAATAAATAATTGTCATAATAAATAAATTGATTGAAAACATCAAATACTCTTTCTTGGGTGCTAAAATTAAACACACCGGTTGCTGTTTTGGTTTTTAGATCCATTAAAATTCCCTTATGTAGATTTCTATCAGCTCCCATAATAAGCAAATGCGAGTTCGAAATTTTAGCATAGTTCGTTACTTTATCACATAAACGTCTCTTTGATTTGTAAGATTTTAATTCACATGTTGAGGTTCTTTTATGAGATTTAAGATCGTAAATATAAATTTCTGTTCCATTTAGATTTTCGTCAAAATTGTAAAGATATCTGAAATTTAAATTGTAAGAATTATAAGTGTTTTGCTTGTGGATTTCAAAAATTATTTTATTCAATAATAATTGAGTAATCTTGCACTGCTTAATGAAGTCTAAACATATGGAGGATTGAATGCGATGATATTCCTTTTTATAAATATTACTCATATCTTCCATATTCTCAGGCAGAGCAGAAAGAGTATTGAACTCAGCTTGGAGCTGTCTTTGGTGATTAAGGTCATTTACATATAAAGTTGAAAGCATTTTTGTAAATTCTTCAACTTTGAGCCTTTGCTCTTCTAAATATAAATCTGTCATTTTTATATTAATAACTATATTAATATTAGTTTCATATATAAATTGAAAATTAATTTTAGCAAATTAAGCTATTTTTGACAATAATAATTATTAGTTAATAGCGAGGACTATCGTAATCTGATTCTTCATCTTCTTCACTCTCTTCACTTTCTTCTTCAGACTCTTCTCCTTCATCAATGTCTTCATTGATTTCAAAGCTTATGCCTTCATCGCTCATTCTTTGGTTAGACAGCTCCTGCTGGACTACTTCATAAAAAAGTAAAGAAAAAGAGGCATAAATTTCATTAGAAAATCTTACTTTCAAAATTTCTAGCTCTTCAATTTTATAACTGCTTTTTCATAAGTCAGTGCGAGTGACATAAAGGCTAATAGGATCTTTTGGATCTATTCCTGCGGGCAGGCATCTCATTATGAATCTTTTGATAAAAGTTTTTAAATTTCTACAATCACAATGAGGCTTACTTGTATTTTTGAAATTTTCAATAGTTAATTTCATCTGTTCCATAATTCTCTCTCTGTTGGATCTACTTGTAGCACCTCTAGTAAAAGATTCAAGCTTATACTCAATTTTCATGTATTTTTCAATATGCCAAGGAAAGTAATATGATTCAATTTTTTGGTATAGCTTTACAATGTGAGATAATTTGATATCTGATATTCCTTCATCTTTAAAGAACGCTGCAAAATGTTTTAAGTTTAAATTTGAGCAGTAGTCTTTTATTGATAAATCTGGTGTTTTTGTGGAGTTCCTAAGAATGCATATAAGGTTAATTAAGTGTCTTAAACAATTTTTCAATTTATCACATGATTCATTACCATCTTGAGTTTTATCAACCTTTTTCTTATAGCTCCTGACTGCATCATTATCATTTTCTTCAAATTTATAATTTTGAGGAATTCTTTTTTCAATTTCTTCAATTATATCTGATTTCAAAATTTCATTCTGATACTGAATGCAGCGAACCACAGAAGTATCCAAATATTTTACAGATCCTAGATCTGCAGAAAGATTGGCTGATATTCTTTCATAATCATAAATAGTTTCACAACCTTTTCCAAAGGAAGGATTATTCAGAGAGCAAAAATAACAATACCTTCTCTTTAGACTTTTTATTTCAAGAATATTTTTTAGTTTAATTTCTTGAATGCCAAATTTCGCTTTATCAATATATACCATATATTTAGACCCTCTGATCGACCCACAAATTTGGGCAAGAATTTTATTTTGAATTCCAGCTAGTTCCGTTAAAGCAAATTTGAGGAGTTTGCCTTGGTTACTTGCTTGATCAATTAAAAAGAAGTTTAAGTAGCTTGAGCTACTAATTTGATTTTTTTCTATATTTTCCTCATTAGATACACTGCAAAGGTTTACAGATTTCCAAGCAGAAGTAAAACTTTCAAATAGATCTATGAAATGATTTTTTTCGTTTTCATCAGAAATTGCGTCTATTATATCACTAATTCTCATTTTTGTGCATTCATCACGTGTATAGCAATAATTGTATTTGTCCAAAAGATAATTAGTAAACTCAATTATTGGGTACAAGGCTTCTAATTTTTGGATTTCAGAAAAGCTTTGAAGATATTCATTTATTATTGGGTACTCTTTGGCAAGGTCATTCAGCCTGAAATTTTGTTCCATTTTGCAAAATGTTGGCTTATTGATTACTCTGAATAATTTTTCTAATGGTAAATCTGTAACTACTTTTTCATCAATAATATCAAGATCAGAAACCTTCTCATTAAATAGAAACCGAAAATTCCTTTGATAGTCAGCAATACTAGAGCTTTTTCTATGGTCAATATTAGGCTGTATTATTTGAATCTCAAATAATTCTTCAAATGTCTTCCTTATATCACTATTAAAAGGAAGATAATTATTTTCGTATAGAAATTGAGGTAATTTTGATAAAATATTGTACATCCAAATATGAGAATCTTCAGCTTGAAGCAGCTCCAGAATCATTTTAAAATCATTTTCTATGCTTTCTTTTAAATAAATTTCTGGATTTAATCCATTCGAATCAAATATTTTTTCAAGATTTGCTAAATTCAAGCATTTAAATCCATATATAGAAGTACCTAAAATGAGATGCAGTACTCTAGCTGTAATTTCCTTGCAATATCTTATATAAAGCGTTTTATTTTTGCGACTGAAAAATCTGCACCCTCTCATGTTATCTTCTTCAAGCTTCTCTTCATATGCAGCATTTATCATTATTTTTCTAGCTTCTTTGTGGCTAATATTTTTATGACCATCTCTCTTAAATAATTTTTTGTTTTCACCTCCACACATTTTATTGCATTTTCCACACTTAAAATAATGTCTTGGGTATCCATCTCCTGGTATTGTATATATATAACTGCAATTTTCAGAACATTTATAAGTGCTTCCTTTGAGCCACCAAGAGTGTGAGGGTGATATAAAATTAGATCAATTATCTAGTTTTTCTTTATTGTAATTATAACTTGGGGATAATTCTGCAGCGAAAACAAACATCTGATTTAATTGAATCGATATAGCCCGTTCCCGGCTATAGATCGGGCTGTATCCGATCTTTGCCGGGAAACTCGGGGAGCTGTCTGCGTCACTTCGAGGTGACGAGTCAACTCCCCGAGTTGGCAAATAGCCACCATTAAGTGATTTACCAGCTTGGGGAGTTGACTCTCGTCACCTCGAAGTGACGCAGACAATCCACCGAGTTTCCCGGCAAAGATCAGGCATAGTCCGATCTATAACCGGGAACGGCTATATGTCATTATATAAAATTTTTCTTTTATCGTTAAAGAAAACACCTGAAATTGGATTTTGGCAATTTCCAAATGAAACTGTTATAATAAAAATTGTTAATAAAATCAATAATTTCTGATCATTATTTTTATTTCTAATGACATTGAACTGAAAAAGTGAATCCTGAGGAAAACTGTTATTAAGAAGCATTTTAAGAAGAGAAAAAAACACCTCTCCAAGGTTTTCAGTTATCAAGCTTTCATTTCTTTCTAGTCACTGATTCAGATTATTAGTAGCACTTATTTCAAGTGGATGGTGCATAAATACTTCATTCAAAAATGCTTGGGCGATGGCCAATTTCACATTGGGATTATTCAGGCCTTCTTGAATTATAGAATTGAGGTCTTGGCAGTCTGAATTTATAAGGATTTTGTTTATAATATTAGTGATGTCTTTATAGTAATCAATACACTCACTCCCAAGTTATAAGAAATTCCTTGCTTATTCAGAGTATTTTTGCACAAATTTTCCAAATAGTAAATTTATATGAATAGATCAAAATTTGATTATTTTTCAGATAAAAGGTAAAAGAGCAAAATTTGGGATTTTAGTTCCTAACATATAAATTTCGATCTTTTAAATAAAATTTACTATTTGAAAATTTTGTGCAAAAAATCGCACGAATGAGGCTATGAGTCAGTATAAAATGGAAAAATTTCTGACTCCCCTCCCCTTTCATGTGTGAATGGGGCCATTTTGTTTATTTACTACTTTTTTTTATATATAATTTTGAAACAATTTTTTTTTGAGATTTAAAAATCTAAGTCTACAAAATTGGAACTAAAAAATTAATTTAATTTCATAAAAAATAATGTTTTAAAATGTCAGCTGTTTAAAATTCAGCAGAATTTGCTTGAGTTTTCGTTATATTAATTATCAATTATATATCAAATATATTTTCATAAATATTTTTTGTTTTACTCATTCTCATGGAGGATAATTTTGGCTAAAAAAGAGGATTTTTCTAATGGTTTATTCACTCAAGGAGGGGAGAAGTAAAGAATTTGATGGAGCAGGAATATCTTCGATTCTATTTATCCATTCAATGTGTTTATGGCTTTCTAAATAATGGTAAACCCCATCTTTATCTCACTTCGAAATTTGCTTCATCTGCTTAATGCAGTAAAACCTCAGAGTTTTACTAATAGGGGCTTGTACTAATATAGTTCCAGTTTCACTCATAATAGCTTTTTCAGGCTCAGTTAATGAGCCATTTCCTTTTAAAAGTAAATATGAATAGCTCTCCAAGAATATTCTTATTTGGACTGAATAAATAACTGTATATATTGGTTCATTACAATTTAATTTTTCTATATAAAATAAAAATCTCTTTTTCCAAGTTTTGAGAATAGTCCTATAATAGTGTAGTTTATTCATTGCGTATTCCTCTTCATCTATCTGAATTTTGTCAGATATTTTATAAATCAAGTCTGCAAATAAAACACTAAATTTGCTTCCATAAGTTGTATTTTTCTCTATTTCTTTTAAATATTCATTCCTTTCTTGAACTAAATTTACTTCATTCTCATCTATCATTTTATTCAAATTAGCAATTTTTGACTTTATATTTGATTTTTCATACATTTCTCTTAACAGTTTGGTAGAATGCCTCCATAAGCCTGTGGAATTTATTTCTTTGATGATTTGACTTATAGCAGAATGGTCTTTGCAAATGAGGATTTTGTAAAATGCAGCCCTAAATTTGAAGACTTCCACATCGTTTTCTTTTGGATTATTCTGAAAAATTAATTCGGAGTAGTCTAATGCAGCCTTAATAAATTCAGGATTAAATACATAAGTGCAATTGTTTTGAATTTTATTTTTTATGTCAGTAATCTGACCTTGAAAATTTGTATTATTAACCATTGCTAAAAATGCATGCCAAAATTCTAGAAGCTCTTGATTTTCAAAGACAATGCTTGGGCAGCATGCATTCAGGCTGATTAAATTATCAAGTATCCTACCTAAAATTGCTCTCTTCTTTCCATTAGGCTTCGTTAAGACCCTGTCAATTGTCTTACTAATTGCATGTTCAATTAAATTATTTAGAGGGTTTTCTGGAATACTGGAAGGTAAAGTTATGTTTATGTTAATTCTAGAGTATTTCACAATATTTGATATATAAATAAAGGCTGCTTCAAATCTTTTATAAGCTATTAATTTCTCACAAAAATGACTATTACTGATTCTCAGATTTTCAGTCATCGCCAAAATAATTTTTTCATATTCTTGATCGATTTTATTTTTGAATAAATAAATTTTAATCAAATCAGAAAAATAAAATTCCTGTGCATCGCTGTCTTCATTTATTGCGCATAATCTCTTTTTATATGCTGAATTTTTTTCGAATTCGCGCTGAAATATGCTCATTTGCAACTTTTTCTTACTTTGCTGGCCGATTTCTCCATACTGTTTATAAAGCTTTGATATCAGTTTATACTCATCGACTGAAAAAAGAAATGATAAATTAGGGGTTTTCTCCACCTCAGTATTGTTCTGGTAGCTGCTTACTGCAATTTTTTCGAAATTACTGTTTTCAAAAGCATTAAGCCAATAGCTGAAATCGGGTTCAGGTCAAAAGAAATTGCCTTTTTGATAGTGTCCATTTCACCGAAGTACTTTTGGTCGAAAATGTTTAAATAGTGTACCCATTTGGACGAAATTTAACGGTTTTTTCGGTCATGTCTCACTATCAAAAATGATTCAAACAAATTTTCCCCTATGAGATGTCGCACTATCAAATTTTCACAGTCATTTGGCATGGACCCGCTGAAATCGGCTTTTTCTTTTTTTCCTGACAAGTTTAAAAAGCTTTTTAATGACCCTTTATTTTCTAAGTGATGGAGAATCGAAGCCAATTCTTTTTCAATTTCATTTGAAAGAAATCCTTGCATATACGCTTTAAGATTTTTGAAGTCTTTCACGATTTCATTCTCAGATAAGATTTCAGATTTCCAATCTTTAAGATTTTCTAATTGATTATAGACTTTTGTTTTTAATAATTTAATAAAGTCTTGGCTTTCCCTAACTTTCTCTATAACAGTGCCTATGTGTTCATCAATATTTTCATCATTATATTTGAATTTTAGCATACAATTTATCGTAAGATCGCATATATTTGTTTCAAATTCAAATATTTCGTTTTCTTCAATCAGCTTTTTGGTATCTTTTAAAAGTAAAGCAGAAATGTCAAACTCAGACGTCCTTTTTATTTCTTCAAACATTTTCATTTGCCAATCTTCAAAGTAAAATATGAATTCTCGATATTCCAAATTGCTTATCATTCTACCCATTATCACAAAATTTTTCACTTTTCTATACTTTTCTTCTATCCCGTCAATAATATGTTTTACCATTAAAATGTGCTGATTTTCGCTACTGAAGTCTATCTCAAGGATATAAAGTTTCTTATTTGGCTCTTTAAAATAATTTTCAATACTTTTGCATAGCTCTGCTTCTGCTGAATAGTCATGAAACTTATTGATGCTGGTGCAAGCTAACAAATCTGGGTCTGTATCATTAAGAGTGCTCCAAATTTGAGCGTTATCAAATGTAAAAGCCAAGAGCTTTTTTTTATCACAATTATCATTCACCATCAAATTTAATGTACTTATAAATGAATTTTCTGCAGAGTGAAGCTTCATTCAATTATCAATTATAAAAACTTTTTCTTCAGTATCATTTATTAACTGATGACTCAAAATCATTACTATTGAAGAAGCAGAGTTAAGGAGCTGCAGCTTGCAGTCTTTTAATATTTCTTCTTGGTTTTCATATCTGCTTGAATATATCATTAAGCTGAGAGTTTCTGCACTATAAATTGGAAATAAATTATTTATTTTTAACAGTTCAGCTCGGTTTCCTTTCTGCTTTTTAAAAATTTTAACCCAATTTGTTAAATCTTTAAGAATTTCGATAGAGTTTTTATTTGATAATAGGGAGTTTATATCTAAGTAATGCTTTTCAAATCTGTTCAAAAAGGGAGGATCTGATTCCTTGGCCTCTTCTTCATCCAAAAAGACTATGGTATAGAAGTTGGGGTGGACAAAACAGTAAGAATTGTTTGTTGAACTCAAGGCCACTTTGCAGTATCGGCTTGGTCCTGACCATTGAAAATGCTGATTAAATAAATCGTAAAGGGCAGTATAGATTTGGTCCATACCTTTAAGAATCACAGTTCGACCTGTGCTCATATATAAAATTATATCAGTTAGGGATTGAAAAGCACTCTTTTCATTATTAATGTCGTTTTTCAAGCAGCTGCCTATCATAACTTTTCTTAAAAGATTAAGATTAAAGGCCTTAAGTCTTCCAGTTTGATATTTACACACCGGACCCTGCTTGCGAGAGTTGCTCAGCTGCCCGAGCCCAATCAACAATTGCCGCTCCAAGACCTGGGACTGGCACTGCATTCTTTGATTCTCGACGAGTTATAAACACCCCTCTTGCTTCAGGTCTTGCAGGTGCTATGGAGGCAAAAGTTAGCAGGATCCCTCATGTCGGACATCTTGAGAAAGGATGACACTCAGGGAAAAAACTCATGGCCCTCTGGAACTGACAGGGAAAAAATCCGAAGCCCAACAACCATTGGATAACTAATACCTAGACTGAAGTGGCCTCCAGATGGCTCCCAAGGGCTCCCACCCAATACTGCAGCTCTAGGCAAGTAAGGGTTATGATTAAAAGACCGGACCTTGGTTTAGGCAATAAAGCCATTTTGTGCTCAAAGTTATGCGTCGCCATCGCCACATTAATTTAATTTTCTTAAAGGTAACCGAGAGTTTAGGATCCTCTCAATTGCACAAATACCGAATCTTGAGTTTCCTACTATCATAAGATATCTTGGAATAATCCCATTTGAGCTTCCTTTTATGTGTTCATTTAAATTATCGTTTATCAAATCAATCGTGCTATATCTCTTCGAAGATTCTCATAAATAACCATTCCATGGATTAGATAAGGCTTCAATATGATTATCTTCATTTTTCAGCCCACCAAAGTTTCTTTCAACAGAAAGTTTCACAATTTCAAACACTTTTTCGTAATCACCAATCGGATTTGTTAATTCTTTGGAAACTCTTTTAATCAAGTGGTAAAAATCTCTAATTCCCCCTATGTGAGCGAACAAAAAAGCTTGGAAATCCTTATTTTTTTGGTAAAAACCCACCTCTTCTAATATAAAAATTTTGATATATAAATGATAATTACAATAATGAAATCTCTTATTAATTCGTTAAATTTTAAACATAAAATTTTTACAAATTAATTTAATATTTGGTTTCCAATTTTTGCGAAAATGCATTTTTTTAAAAAATAAATTACCCTCTCGGCTGACTAACTTTAGTTCACTCACGGAGGGGGAATAAGGCCATAAAACTCATTATTGCAATGCATTGGCTTAAAGTGTTCTTTAAGCTTATAATATCAATATGATAAATCTTCAATTATCTTTTGGTAAGGCTTTTCATTCGAATAAAATGAATAAATGGAATTCGCAGTATCACATAAATCATCCACACCTGGATCTTCACGAGCAAGAAATAGAGCTCTATTCATTTTTGAAGCATCAAGTTTCCAATTTGAAATCCCAACAAAGCCAATATGTATGTTTTCTATTTCCAAAAGATTATGCAAAACTTTTAATGGGTTATATTTTGATATCTCAGCAAGGCCGATTTCATCAAAAACAATTACAGGGATATCGGTAGCTCCTTTCTCTCTTGAACTATCCAGGTAATTATTAGCCTGGGAAAAAATTTCATTGATTTCTTCTGATTTGCATGAATCTGACCCTTGAAATGGGACCTCTGTTAGCACAGGCAACGTCTTAAAATAAGGATCATATGACTGCACTCCTTTTAAATTTGCAAAAACAAGCTCGATAGAAAGAGATTTGCTGGACCCAGGCTTCCCACAGATAAGTAGAGGAATTTGGTTAAGAATGCATACAATCATGCAGAAAATGTTTTCTTTTAGCGGCTTATTTATTGCGATGCCCTTTGTCAATTCCATTCTTGCAATTAAATCATCTTGCTCACTTTCTAATATTGATAATATTACATCTGTGGTTAGAAATTGGTCCAATCGTGGATACTCAATTTTCAAATTTTTATCTCTATTTAATTGATCTACAATATGCTCAAGAAATGCTTTTCTGCTTTTTTTAGAGAAAATTCTTAAGTAGTAGCAGACACAAAAAGAAAGAATTCCTGCCCTGAGCTCTTCGTCAATCTCAAAATCCTTGATTTTTAAGTTATAGTTTGTTTCGTTTGCTAAATATCTTGTATTTTTTAAATATTTGCGTTTTTCTTCAATTGACTTAGAAAATCATGATTTAATTTTGATGAACCTTGCGACGTCTCTGAGACTTATACTTTCATCTTCGGTTTTAGGTAAATATTCGTGAGCTTTACAAATCATTTCAACAAGTAGATTTTTGCTTCCACAGAGCAAGTCATACTTCCATTCCAGCATATTTTGGTATTGCTTTATTGCATTTTTGTATAAAAATGGATTTTTTGGGATTTTTAATTTTAGAAGACATATTAATTTTCATATGAACTGGGTGAAAACTGTTTCTTGGTAGGATACCTCGAGCATAGACAAAGTGTATTGTTTAAAATCTTCTTTTGTGAGAGAGCCAAAATCCCAAGCATACTTCAGCATTGTCATTGGTAAAGGTTTTACATGATGGACTAATTTTAGATTTTCAGGATCGACCCTTTTGCTTTTAATGCCGATATTTTCAATTTTTTTTCTTGATACTCGATATGGGTTGCATGTACCGATAAAATTAATATTTTTTGGGAGGTTTTTTCCTTCGAATTTTCTGCTGCACATAATATCACATATTATTCCAACGTTTTCTGTGGTGTTAAATTCATCAAATAATACCCATGTATAGTTCCTGAATTTTAATAGATTATTATTGACCATCTATCTTTATTGTTAAATATAATTTGTGCTTGTCTAATTTTTTGAGGTCTAAAAACGAAAATAAAAATTTCTGTTTATTTTTGAGAAGCCTAATCAGACTTATAAGGCAAGAGCTCTTGATCATTTTTTTCTGGTCAGTATATTGCCTGTCCATAGCAATCTATTAAAGTGCAGAAGCTATATCTCAAGCAGGAGTGTCAGCAGCTTCATGCTCAACCTCTTCAATACTTTGTTTTATCATTTCAATGGTTGTTCCATTGTGAATATCAATTTTTTTAAAATTTTGATTCACCAGAATTTCTGTTACCAAAAATTTTATTAAAGCTGATTTCCCACACCCTGTATCCCCAATTATTATGATTGGAATTTTTGCTGCAGCCTTTAGATAGATTAACTCCCCCCTCCGTGAGTGAACAAAACCATTGGAAAATCCCTATTTTTTGCCCAAAAACCCACCCTCCGTGAGTAAACAAAAATTTTTTTATGAAAAAAATATTGATATATAAGTGATAATTCTGTTTAATCTTAAAAAAATACGTTTTAAAAACATAAATTTTATATAAATTAAATTAATATTTGCTTCCCTATTTTTTCAAAACTTCGAAAAAAAATTTTCTATAAAATGTATATATAAATTATTTTAAAAAATAAAATAACCCCCTCCGTGAACAAAATTTTTGGTTCACTCATTCGTGAGGAAGTAAGTGCATTTTTAAATAATTGTCAGGTGTTAGCACATAATTCTTATAATAAACTGAGGAATTTTCATTTCTAAAAAACTGTTTAAGCTTGGCAAGAAGCTCAGAAGAAAGCAATTTAGAATAGTTTTCTTTACTATATAACCCTTCCTTAAATCCCTTAATTACATTTGAAGCTTTTTCATTCTGATTAGAAAGAGCATATTGAAGTTTTCAAACTGTATCTGATTCTTGAGCAGTATTTTTTGACAAAATTGCATAGTTTCCTTCTTCATTGAAAATTATTAAAGATTGATGATAAGATTGCCAATTTAAAATATGTTGACTACCAATCTCTTCTTGATCTTGGTAATCCAGTTTTGTTTTTTTATGCAAGATGTTTCATTCTTTAGACTGTTTTCTTTCAATAATATTAGCGGAGCTAAAAGCCAAATCCTTTGCAGTTTCTAAATAACCTCTAAAAACTTCTTTTTTTAACTCATTAATTTCAATCGGTTTCTCAGAATTCATAGAGAAAATGCTTCTTCTTTCTTTCTGCCCTAAGGGTAATATTTTTTCAAAACCTTTGTCAAAATTATTAATAAGTGTGCTTAAAAGAGTAAAAAACACCTTTAGTTGAATGAGCGGCAAATTTTCATTACTTCCCTCCCCATCCTTGATCGAACGACTCGCCATCGTTCGATCAAGGATGGGGGTTAAAAAAAATTTTTTTGGGGAAAAAAAATTATATATAAAATAAAAAATATATATATATATAGATTTTTTTTATTTACTTTAAATAAGAGGGTTAAGAGTATTTAATAATTAGTTTTACAGCAAAAAATTGAATTAATTTTCATAAAAATACCAATTTTTTAATATTTTGATTTATTAGTTACCCTTTTAAAACTGTATAAATTTTAATTTAAATTAAATATTTTTTTAAAATTTTAAAGAATCTCTATTTTATTAGATTATTGAGCTTTTAAGCCTATGTTGATGTCTAAATCACTTCGGATGGTTGATTTCGCAGCTTTCTGTCGTCTCAAAGCTCTGAAAACAACTTCATTAGGCACATCTTCCAAAGCATTTGATAACTAATATTTTTTATATATATAAAAAATTTGCATGATATGAAAATCGTTCGATCAAGGATGGGGGTTAATTTCCCCAATTTTTAGGAATTTTTACAGTCAATCGTTCGATCAAGAATTGGGGGAGGGGAGTTAGATAATAGATTATCATAATTTTGCCAAAGTCAGCGAATTGCTGTGCGATTAAAGTCTTTTTCTCTTAAATCAACTTGGTATCAATTGTTCCATGCATATCGTACAAGATTATGCACAAGGCGCTCGCATTTCGGAATATTGCTCTCCACATCTAGATGTTCAATTCTCAGACTCACAGTCTTAGTTTCGCAATATTTAAGATAGTCAATTGATTCATAGAGCCATCCATTATGCGTGCTGGCAACTTCAATATATATATCTATTTTATCAGGAAAAACTATAAGATAATCAGAATAATTCAAAACTCTAAAAAGGCAAATGTTTATTAACTCTCTTCCCTCATCTGTAAGTGAACAAAACCATTAGAAAAATCCCTATTTTTGGGTGAAAACTTGCCATCTGTGAGCGAAAAGAAATTTTTTTCATATGAAAATTGTTTATGAAAAAATGTGTTGATATATAAGTGATAATTAATATAATTAAATCTTTAGCTAATTCTGTTTAATTTTAAGCAAATTGGTTTCAAAACCTATATTTTACAGATTAAATTAATATTTCTTTTCAATTTTTGCGATTTGAGATTTTTAAAATTTGAAAAAAAATTTACTATAAAATTTATATATAACTTTTCGCTCACGGAGAGGGCAGTAAGATTTCATTAGCAATTTCTGGATTACTGATATGGCTGATTTGAAAATATAAATCACTCTCAGAAGGCATTTTAATTTCTGAAAGCCTTTTACATAGTTTAACTATGTTTACATTTCCTGCTATATTAAATGTAACAAATTTCTTATTAAAGTGTTTTGCAATATTTCTGATTGCAGTAGTTTTTCCAATCCCAGCTCTTTTGGAACAATAAACAAAAGCCTTCTTTATATTTGATTTTTTTATTGTGTTTTCTACCTCATCTTGCTTTATATCGCAATCAATAATATTAGTTTTTGATGAATTTTTAAAATAAGCACCAATTGAGGAGTTGTCATCTAGTGATATAGCTCCAAACTTGAACTTTAATTGAGAATCATTTAAAAGTTTATCAAATAAGATAAGAAAAGCATTCTGGACCCCAGTACGTAAATTCTCACAATGCACAAGAATATGCAGTCTTTTATTAGGATCTGTCACAGATCTATAGACAAAAGAAATAATGTCTTTTCATTCTGTAAATTCGTGGCAAAATAAAATTTGAGATGCAGAAGGAACTGAATTTTTGAAAATTTTTATAATCCCATACAATGTTTTAGAGCAGACTATGAATGGAAAGTAGCGCTGAAATTTATTTGCCTTGGTGGGCTTTTCATTATAAGATTCAAGTATTTTAGAGAGATTTTGAAGCTGCTTGTTTGGGCTGCCTTGGATTTCACAGTATTCTTTGACTTTGATATTCATAAAACCCATTAAGTGCATTAGCTTATGTGATATTTTTCCTGAGTTAAAAAAGTTTTTAAAAATCCAAAAATCTCTGCCTTTTAAGAAAGTCAATAAATAGCTATTTTTATAGCATTGCTCTAAATCCCCCTTTGTGAGCGAGCAAAACCATTAGAAAATCTCTATTTTTTGCCCAAAAACCCATCCTCCTTGAGCGAACAAAAATTTTTTTATGTAAAAAATTTGATATATAGTATAATGAAATCTCGAGCTAATTCTGTTTAATTTAAAAAAAATTACGTTTTAAAGCAAAAAATTTACAAATTAAATTAATATTTGCTTTTCAATTATTGCGAAGTGGGATTTTTTAAATTTCCGAAAATCAAATTTCCTCTAAAATATATATATAATTTTTTGTTAAAAAACAAATTAATCAAGCTCCGTGAACGAACTAGATTTTTTTTTTCGCTCACGGAGGGGGAGTAAGGTATTTAGCCACTCACTATATCTATCTTTCAACATATTTTGATAATCCTCCACACATATTATCCCACTGTTTTCACCTTCTCTGCAAAATACTTTTTCCTCTTCAATTTCAACTTCTGGTGGTATTATTTCTTTAAGAAACCCTAATCCATAAAGAGAGTTCAAATAAAATAATATTTTCATACAATCCTCTATCAAGCATGCAAATTTCGAATATTGATTTTCCTCATCAACTTTACGGTTAAATAAAACTGCTCAATCTTTTACATCAACAAGAGATCGCTGATTAAATTTATCTGAGCTTGAAAAAAGTATCATATGAAATTCATTTTCCACAAAATTAAACTGAAGTGTTGACTTAGCGAGTATGCTCGAAATTTGCTTTATCTTGGTATTTTCACTCTCATATAAGCTCTCTTTTAGCTTGCGTAGAAAATTCAAATTGATTCTGCAATGGCTAATAACTTCATCAATTAATTTTGTTTCTTCAATTGAGTTTTGAATAGCTTGAAAAAGCAAAACATATTTATCAGGAGAATCTATAGATGATAACTTGTAAATATTTGTAAATAAATTTCACATAAATAAAATGGCATTCGGTTCGAGTGAAATTAGCTCCGCTAATTTTCTCTCCCTCAAGCAATTTTATTTATGGGTTTGGTTTTTACCTTGAGAACTTCTGCACAGCAATAGCGGTTTAACTCTGGGGATAACCAGAGGAACTGCTCCTCAGTGTGCTCAAGAGGTTCAGGTCTTTACCCCTCAGCACACCCGAGGAAGGTGGCCCTTAGGCGGAACATGCGCAGGAGCTAAGCCCGTCGAAGCCGGAACATTGCAATTGTCCCGTGCCCTGGAGTAACAAAGTAGATCGATCCAGAGGACCATGGACCCGACACGTGGATAAATATGGTGAAAGCCCTGAACAAGGTAACCCCGTAGTGGACTTTAAACGTTATAGATAATTAATGATAATAATGTAAATAAATTTCACGCTGTTTCAAGATCTAAAACTATTTGAATAGAGTTAAAATCTTTTCCGAAAAGATCATATTTTATTTTTAGCTGATTGATAACTCCTCTTTCAATTTCTCTAATCAAATTCCATAAATCTGGCGATTCTACCATTTCTTTAATTACGCTAAATACTTTGCTATCATCTATACCCATAGTTAATTTTTCGTTTAAATTTCTTATTTCTTCTTTTTTTTCAAGTAAATCAGATAAGCTTTCATGATTGTATATTGAAGTTGGCAAGTCTAAATATGATAAAAATGTATTTTCTTCTGCAATTATTATTATTTCAAGCTTCTTAAGTAAGTCAGATTTTTCCATGATTTTTTCTCTGAGTTTGAGTAGATCTAAGCTTAGCATCAATTGCTCAATTTTATCGTGTTCTTTTTTATCAAATAAAAATAAAAGAATTTCGGATATTCTATGAGAGTCTTCACGAAGCAAATATGCAACATCTTTTCCTTTAATTAATAAACCTAATTATAATGAATAAAAGCATTCATACTATTAGACTTATCCTATTTCGTATATGAAATAGGATAATAGCTATCAATAGGCATATTTTTATTCATTATAATAAGGTATAAGTTTGGAGAGGCGTCAATGATTGACCGTAAGCTTTCTTTCACGTTTTCTAAAGCTTCATTTGCTATAGAGAGAATGCTTGAAGAATTTATTATTCCTCTAGAGCTGATTAAATTCAGGTACTCATTATTATATAATTTTGAATCAATAATATTTTTGGTTTTCATAGCAAGCACTCTCAAAGGTTTCGATTTTAATGAAAAGGAGAATTCAGGCAAGCTTTTTTCTGTGTATTTTTCATATTCTTTCTTCATCAAGCTTATCTCCTGCAAGTTTTTATCTTTACACAGAAAATCAATGAGCTTGTCCATCCATACAACTGTTTCAGCTATCTCATTATACTTGCAAAGCCGGTCATTTAAAATTATTTCAAAGTTTGCTTCAGTCTGATCTTGAAATTGATTTATAAGTCAAAGAAAATGATATCTTTGCATGTCATTTTGATGGGAAATTTTTCCGAGACTATTGATTTTTATCTTATTTTCATTAATTAAGCTTCATAAATTTGAAATAATTTGGGATAGTTTGCAAAATTCAGCTGTATTTTGTAAGTATTCTTTATAAGTTATTAATTTGAGCAGTGCATGATCACTAATTATCCCTGCAAGTATTTTTTCTTCTATATCAGTGTCCAAGCTGAATTCCAGGTATTTTTGGAAAATTTTAAAAATTTCTGACTCCCCCCCCTTTAAATTGGAACAAAATATCGGTAAAATTTCCACTTTTTTGGTAAATTAACCCCCTTTAAATTGGAACAAAATTTAATTTTATAATAAAAAATTATATATAATTTTTATCTAAAAAGTTTTGATATAAGTTAAATGCTTCTTCTTAACTAAAATTAAAAATTTTAGTTATATCTTGCTCTTTTTTAAAGAAAAACGTATAAAGAGCATCTTATTTAAATAAATTTTATAATCCTTAATTGCTAAATTTAAAAAAAAAATTAATTTTTTTTTTTAAAAATTTTCAAAAAAATGTTTTGTTTTTTTGGTAAAAATGATATTTTTTATTTGGATAATTTTGATATAAATTCAATAGGAATTCTTTTATAAAATTTCAAAATTTTTACTTATTCCTTGCTTTATTTTAAAGAATAGAGTATAAATAGCATCTAAATTAGCACTTTGATCGATAAATTTCTAAAATTTATTTTTTTTTAATTTTTTTTATCAATAAAAATAATAATTTTTGCGTAAATATATTTGATACCAATTAATAGTGGCGTATTAACTAATAATGAAAATTTAGTTATATCTTGCTTTGTTTTAAAGGGTAAAGAGTAAATAGCATTTTATTAAACAAATTTATTGATCTAATTCGATAAGCTTTTGAAATTTTTTTTTTTTAATTTTTATATATTTTATAAAAAATTTTATATTGATATTTTTTTAAAAAAAAAAATTAACCCCCCTTTAAATTGGAACAAAATTTTAGTTTCCAATTTAAAGGGGGTGGAGTGAGTTCATAATATCTTTGGTGAATTTATCCAAATCATCTTTTGCGAGATTGTTGATGATATTGTTGCATACAAATGAAATATATTTGATCTTGATTAATTTTTCTTTGCAATTATCAAAATATCTTGCTAGATTTACTAGCTCAGTATTTCTTTCTTTTTCTCATTGGAGTTTATCACCAAACTTGATAGAAAGCAAGAGTTTTTGTGAGCTATCCTTTATAAGACAAAAAAATTCATCAATATCTAAAATTAAGATTAAGATTAAGATTAAGATTAAGATTACGATTACGATAACTCTTTGTAGACCCCCACTTAGCACGGGATCTAATAATACAAGCCCCTTCTTCATGAATTCCATCCACTGGCTAACAGCTCTGAACAACGGTAGGTGGAATCAGCCTAACCGTCAACCGTTACAGTAACCTATGGCCCAGACGAGTTTCGCTTCGTTCCTTGAATGTTGCTCAAGTACACTTGGGGCTGCCGAAGCAGTCCCAATTCTAATTCCCTTCAGAAAGACTGAACTTCCCTCACTAGGACGAGTATAGGGACAGAGCCCTAACTCATACATTCCATTTTTAATTGTGATATCTAAAATTAATTCACAAATATTTTCAATTTTCTTAAATTCATAGTTGTTTAACCAAAGGTCAAATAAAATTTGCCAATCGCCTTGACTTAGTTCAAAATTTCTAAATAACTCAGAAAATGAAACCAATTCTAAGCTATCTGAAATAATATTATGGCACAATTGATAAGGGCTAAGACCGCATAATGGTTCATTTGATTTCTTATTGAAAATGTCTTTTAAGTATTTTATTTTATCTTTTGAGTATTTGAAATACTTAAAATACCTTTGGATAATAATTTTTAGATTTGATGCGAGAATTAATAAATTGAATTTTGGACACTCAAGGATATGAAGAGTTGAAAAAATTTCAGAAATTTCTTTGAGTTTTATTTTATTTGCTCCAAAATACTTATTAATGCTTGCTATTATTATGTTTTCTTCAATCTCTTTATATTTTTTCATGAATAAATAAGCTTTCTTTAAATAAATTGATGGGCTGAGTACCAGAATATTCAACTCTAATTCCAGTCAAAGCCTATAATCTGGTGAAAAATTTAAAATTCTATTAGCAAAAACATCGTATTCGTCATCTTGAAGTTTTATTTTATTTTTATCAAACAATTTGATTAATTTTAGAAATTCATTGGAGTCTTCTATGAATTGGCAAAACTCTATTCACTTTGCTGACCTTGATTTAAATGCCAAAGTACAATATTAAAAATGTCAGTTAGGAATAGGTCCTAACTCCTGTTAGCCAGGTAAGGGCGAGCTTAGTGAGAGAAGTCAAGCTTCTTGAGAGTCTCGGCTTGAAGAGAAGAGGTCGGTGCTGAGGCTGGTACTGATTAGAGAAGTCTTAATGGGCTTATTAGCTTTAACGGTTCGACGGTTAGGCCGGTCCACCTACCGTTGTTCAGAGCTGCTAATGTAGCAAAAGAAGACTGATGGCAATTTGCTAGAGTAATTCGTTAAACTTAAACTTAATGCTAAAGCAACCAATGAGGCAATTCCACAATCAATTTTTGGTCTTAAATTTTGATGAATGGCTGGCGTCACCATGCTAAAAAGTATTTCTTTTCCAAAAAAATCAAACTTCAAGAATATATCGGTTGGAAGGCAAGAGAAGTAGCCAAGAACTATTTCGAGTTTTAATTCCAAAGAACTTGAGCACATTAAAACTTTTTCCAAAATAAAGAATAAAAATCTTATAGTTTCTTCTATATGCTCATCTTGATCTAAATGGTTTAATTCGCAGTCTCTTTTATAGCAGTCTAAAAGAGTAGGGACTGTTTTTTCCCAGTCAGTTTCACTAAATAGATAAACTGAGAAGTAGAAAAGCATTAGCATTAACATTAAAATTAATTAACTTATATAGAAGCCCGCCGTAATTCCGAAAGACTACATCCACCCATGATGCTCTACTTGGCTGCCCGCCACCAATCGTAACACAACCTTCAAAGCTTCGCTCCTACAGACGAGTGCCAGCACTCGCGACCTGTATTCGGATGAGTTGCGCCACCTTGCCCTACATCAACGGTGGTTGCTCTTTCCGAAAATTTGAAAAACAAATTTTCTAGTCAAGCTGTCAGTTAAAATGGAAATTCAAAGCCTGGGACGTAACGCCTAGTTTCACGCTAGGGAGCTGCCCGATTGATCAAGCAGAAGCGCTTGATGTAGCAGAGCTACCCCTTTCCAAGCTTGCCTTCCACTTCCCCTGAGGCAAAGGGTTGGACTACTCCGACGTTGCGCTCAGCTGCGCCAAGTAAAACCTAGCCGGATATACTTTACTGAGCGCTAATTTCCCTTCCCCAAGGTCCTCGCCGCTCGTTCAGGTTTTGGCTACAGGTGCTGAGAAAAAAAAGCTGGCTCGTCGTCTCCATTTTAATGTATAGAAGTAGAAAAGCATATAAAGGTTACTTGACCTAGGTCTCCCAGAAGGCTTATTTTTTTTATTTTTATTTGAGATATCTAAATTAAATACAAATTGATAGGATGACTGATCAAAATGCCTATGTCGTTCATCTGGCAATACCAAATTCTTTATCGATCCGGTCTTAATAAATTTTAAGGTAAATTCACTATCAAGATTTTGATGTTTTAAAATAAACAGCCTTAGTTTGTCATTGGTGCTGAATAGTTTCTTATCATTATTGATGTATTCCAAAGCAAATCTCTGCATTTTTCTTTCTCTTGATACAAAAGAAGCGACTAGTTTAAAATCTGCAAGCCATTTATCAGGTAGATTGTAAAGGACGAACACATATTTATATCCATTCAAAGTTTCTTTATTAAATTTTATAATTTTTTCAGAGTTTTTCACATCCTGAGAATGTATATCAAGAAATTCAAACGGTATCTGCTCATCACTCATGCCTTTCTCATTATAGTACACATTGCTAATGACTGAGGAAATTTTTTTGGCTGAGTTAAATACCATTCTACCTGCTGATAGCACACCTGATAATACACCAGAGGAAAATTCTCCTTCCACATTATTTTTTATATCAACTGCACTTTCTTTGGTTTCAGAATCGGCCTCCATATTATTATACTTCATTAATTTTTCCCGAATTTATGCATAAAAATATGGAGATTGATGAATTCTCGTTTACTCGTTTGCTTCTCAGCTTGAAAACAGCCACTTTGATTTGATCAAAATTAAAAATCGTATTATTTTACAATATACCATACCTTAATAATATTTATTATTTTTTTATAAATGAGTATAATTTCTGTGCCTAATTTTGGTTTATTCTCGAAGACGAGCATATGTTATGGTTGTAGCTAAAAATCTTTAAGGTATTTGGTATATGTTAAATTAGTGGAGAAATTAAAAGAGGTTAAAAATAAAAATGGGGCTACCTTACATACATTAAGCTTAAAATTTCGGGAATTATAAAATTTAGGGAAAGCAAATTTCTAATCTTCATAAAGACGAGATAAAATTAAAACCTTATTCAGCTTACATATTTTAAATAAAACACAACTTAATATCATATAATATAGCATGAGCGCAATTTAAATTTAGCTCTCTAAATCCGTGCTTAAAATTTATAGTCTGCAAATATTATGAGGCTGCATTTCAAATGTCTGATAAAATTATCAGCTATCTTTTATTTAAATAAAATATGTTGATGCAGTCTTTCCAGTCATATTGCTATTATTTTTGAAGATCATGAATTATAGCCCAAAGTGTTGTTTGGATCGTATCGGCCCAGTAAACTGGTGGAGTTGATTATGTCTGCAATTTTTAAGTCAGCTTCACCAGTTGACAAGTGAATTGCCAATTAGTGGAATTTACTTGGCAAAATTGCAGCCTGCACTTTGCAGCCCAAGGTGATCCAAACGAGGCTTTGGGCTATATTCTCAAAATGAAGTTTATTAAAAATCATTCAATATTGCGACACTCGTTTCAATCCTTTTAGGTATTCATCTTATTTATTCGCAGAAATCGATAAGTATCTAATACTTACATTTATAATTTGCTTTTTATTCTAAAGTTGCTTAAGCTTCAAACAAAATAAATTTATTTATTTTTGGAAACCTCAATTATATTTACTTACTTCTCCTCTGTGAGCGAGCAAAACAATTGGAAAAACTCCTATTTTTTAGGTGTAAATCAATTAATATTTTGATTTAGTGATAATTATTATAATAAAAATCTCTTAATCCCCCCCCCCTCCGTGAGCGAACAAAAAACCATTAGAAAAATCGCCATTTTTTGACCAAAAACCCACCCTCCGTGAGTGAACAAAAATTTTTTTTAATAGAAAAAATTTTAATGGAAAAAAAATTTTGATATATAAGTGATAATTAGTATAATGAAATCTAGAGCTAATTCTGTTTAATTTTAAACAAATTGCGTTTTAAAAAACATAAATTTTGCAAATTAAATTAATATTTGCTTCCCAATTTTTGCAAATTAGGATTTTTTTAAAATTTCGAAAAAAATATTTTTTATAAAATTTATATATAAATTTTTTTTAAAAAAAAAAAATTAACCCCCCTCCGTGAGCGAACAAAATTTTTTTGTTCGCTCACGGAGGGGGGGGGGGGGGGAGTTAATAATTTTGCCTAATTTTAAACAGCTTGCATTTTAAAATATAAAATTAAATTAATTTTTTATTTAAAATTATTTCGAATAAAACAATTTACTATAAAAAATTCACAATATTTAAAATGGCAGTTAGGGATGGGACCCTTGTCCTGATCCACCAGGCTATACCCATAACCGAGCTTAATAAGAGATCTCAAAGCTCCTTGAGAGTTTTAGCATGAAGCGAATTAGTTTGTGCTGACTAGAGAAGTCTGAAAAGGGCTTGATAGCTTTAATGGTTCGACGGTTAAGCGCTTTACCTAGCTTTGTTCAGAGCTGTTATCGTACCTGAAACTAAAGTAAAGAATACCTAGAAATCACTAAATGTGCGAGAGAAATTTATTAAATCTAAATCTAAATCTATAAAAACTAATTAAAAAAATTAAAACTCAATTTATTTTCTTTCTCTACTAAACTTATAAAAGACATACGCTGCCTTATAAGAAAACAACCATAAATATTCCCTTAAAAATGTTGGAAGTTATATCATAAGGTGGTAGACAATTAATTCCAAAAAAATTATTCCCTATTGCTTCGTTTTCATAAATAAATCTTTTATGCATCCCATCTAGCCCTTATTTGATAAATAAATAAAAGATTTCAAATATATAAGTACTCATAAAAATAATAAACTCTACCTTATGAAAGAGGCTCTTTAAAGGTGTATCAGGATTGCAGAAAAAAATTTAAAAAATCAGAGGATCGCAGCTTGAAACAGTTTTTTTATGGAGATTGGTGAAAACAGATATTTTTTATTTGAACTGACAACTGAGGAAGCTCTCTTAAGCATTTTAGAAGAAGCCTTGAAAATTCAAACCCAAAACGTCTAAAAAGTATCATATTTGAAGATTCAGAACAAGATATATTTTTGAATAGAAAACTTCATCATTATATCCAATCCTCTATTCAATTTATAAGCTTAATTAGTTAAGATTTTAAGCTATTTATGACCTTATTACTCTTTACCCTCTTCATTAGTTAAATGCCATAGACACTCTTACCGAGTTATCTTCACTTATATCATTTTGGTTCCTAAACGTCACTTCATTAAATGTTGGAGAACTTTCAAGGTTAAATTTCCGAAGCTGGTGAATTATTTTTTGGGCGTCCACAACACTGCTACTCTTGAAGGCGAATTTATATAGCTTTTCATTTTTATCAATACCACTGCTAAAAGGCCAATATAAATTTCGAGATTTCTGGTAAGCAAGACCTCCAAAGCATATACAGCCCCAGCCTATAGATAGCAAAGACAGTCAAAGAATGGTGCTTTCGGCTTCCATAATGTAATAAAGAATTCCTATAAGATTAAGCCAGCATAGGGCGATCATACTGAGTATATACCAAAGATTCAAAATTTTAAGGTTATAAGGCTTTATAAATGCAATGATTCCGAGATATAAAATGCTCATCATTGTGAAGAAGCCCAGGTAAATAACAGGTAAATCTGTATTTACGATTTTTTTAATGACAATAGTGAGTGTAAATAAAAGAGATTTTATCGTCAAAAAACTTGGAGATAAATGAATATTCTGCTCAGCTTCATTTGATGCTTGCCATCTTGGTCTTTCTATTACTGATAATAAAACGTAAAAAATGATAACAAAAAAAGAAATAATAGCATAAATCAAGTGTGTCCCTTTCCAACACATAGTAAAACAGTCAAAAATTAATATTGTCTCATCAAGTTCTTCACCAACCCCATTCTTACATACAAATACAGCATTTTATTAAAAATAAAAAAAAATATTTATTTTCAAAAATTGCATTTTACTGGTTAAATTATTCAGTTAATATAATTTTTTTTAAAAAAATACTGTACATTAAGAAGTGTCGACAAAATCGCAACATAAAATAAATCCCACACACTTGACATGATAATTTTCACAAAAGGTACATGAATTTTCATAATATAAGCAAATCTTATTATAAAAGATGCACCTAAAGCTCCAAAAGCAGCTTGCATAGAAATCCAAAAATAAGTTTTATCGAGTATATACATTTTATCTAAATTCAAAGACAAGGAATTTCCAACAAATTTTATCATATTAAAAATTGCTGGAATTGAAGGAGCGATCCCTACTAACTGAAAAAATTCGATAAAAATCCTACTAATTGCTACCATATCATAAAATGTCATTTCAGTTTTTTTTAAAATTTCTGAGTATTTTACGTCTTTTCAGTATTTCCATGTACAAATACTCGGTAAAATAGCAACGAATAAAACAATTAACCCTATAATGCAGACCATTACATGCCCAGATGTGGATGGCTCAATTTCTGAGTCATCATATGGGCAGCTTTTAGGTATCGGGACATCTGGAGGAGTTATAGGAGTCCCATCTGGCCATATAATATTATCAGTATAACTAAAAACTTGGGAGCCAGTTGGTGAATAAACGCCAACTATTTTTATTTCCCAGTTATTTTCTGATATTTCTTTACAATTGTATATGGAATGATCCATCACTGCTCTGTCATTTGTGTTCTGCTCTATTTTAACTAAACCTGTAGCACCTGTAAATCTGAGATTTCTTATAGCGCTCATTAAGACATTAGGGTCATTGTAGTCTTTTCCTTGTACAATGACCTGTTCAATAGCATAAGCAGAAGCAAGAATTGAATCAAATGCAAAGCCTGTATAGCCAATCGGATCAGTCTTATAATTATATGTATAATCATTATAGACCTTTTGACCAAATGCACCAGCATAAGAAACAGGGAAAAACATCAATGACCCTCTCAAAGACTCTCTTAATATATGAAGCTGGGTAGCGTTATAAGAAGGGTCAGACTCATTTTGCATGACCATGCTTGTTGCAAGCCATCCCACAGCTATAATTACACGATTATCTCCATGGTACCCAAGCTCCCATAGTCTTGTAATAATGCTCGTTGCGTCTTGGGTATAACAAATCATCAAAATAATTCTTGCTTCACTTTTTCCTAAATTTATCAAAGTCGGATCAATTTCTTCATGCTTCCATGATGGGGAATTATCAGGCAGCCTTTCTTTGCCTTCATTTACAATTTTTATCTGTTTTTGCTTGCATTCGTCTGCAAATGCATTAAATACATTTGTGGCAAAAACATTATCCAGGTACAAAACACCTACATTTGACCACCCAAAATAGTTCAAAATTATCCCTAGGACATATCCTATATACCCAGAAGCCATATTCACCCTTGAAAACATAGGAAAACTTGTAGGCGACGACAAAGAGTCAACGGTATTAGAATACCCAATCATCGGCAAGCTAACTGAATTATTATGCATAGTATAATACAAGTGAATGGCCACGTCTGATAAGGCAGGAGCTATCATAAGGGTTTTTAACTGTCCTTTGGCTTCATTAAATGTGCTTTCCATAAATGTTTTATTGTAATATAAGCTTCCAAAGTTATAAGTATTTCTTTTTAGCTTGAACCCTGTGAGGATTGTTGAGTTATTGTTGACATAGCTGACACCTAGCTCGTTCCCGTGATAAGATGGGGCTAAAAATGATATATAAGCCCCAGCTGCTGAATAAAGCCCTGCATCTTGGGAGATAGATATGGTTTTTTCTGTTATTGACCCGTGAGACCATTTTAGTGAGTCTGATAAGCTGCAAGAAGAAATAGTGGCGTTTCCTACGTTTATGTAAGAGGAATTTTGGGTGTTTAGAATGGTGTAGTTTGCTAATAATTGGTGATTTTCGTCAAAGTCAATGGATTTTTGGAAGCAGTCAAGTAAGCCAAAATTGGCTTCTGAGCATAAATTTAATGAAAAATAGAGCAGAGTTAGCTTGGATTTTAAAGAAGTGCTGGATGAGTACATAAGAATTGGCCCATCATTTTCTAAGGAGGTATTTTTTGAATAGGATATTCTTTTAATAGGAAATCTATAGATAGAAAAACTAAATTAAGAGCATAATTTTCTATAAAATAAGCAAATAATGGCTAGTATTATAAGAAAAGTTATATTAATTATTATAAATAATCAGCAATTGGCATTAAAATCCAAACAAATCCTAAGTCTTCGAAATCAGTCCCAGCCACTTGTAAAACCTGCGCTGCCAATTTTCCAGGCAGCAGTAAAATTATAGTATTAACAGAGGAATACCTGATATATTTATTTAGCAACGTCTTCAGATATTCATCACTATACTCATGTGGCAGTATCAATGCCACATTTGCAGGATTTATAATGTCGTTATATTGTTCTTTGTATTCCTCCAAATAAATAATGCCATACGAGTACAAATTTAGGCTGTTTAAAAGCTGGCCAGCTGATAAAATTTCATTTTTCACTGGTATGGCTAATGTGAAAGAATTTTTACCTGACGTCAAGTAAAAATTGTCAACTTTGACATGCAGCAGGTTTTGACGTTCTGAAATTTGGGAAATTATTTCAGAGTAAGCTTATTTATACTAAATTTACAATAAAAAATAGATATAGGCTTTAATATAAGAAAATTCAATAGAAAACACAGATATAAATTAAAGAATTCGTGAGATCCAATACCACTTGGTCTTCGTAATAGCTTAAATAATCCGTCAAGCCAGATGACGAGTTTGCGTTGTAGAAGTTTAGATCAAGAGAATTATAAGGCTGAGTGAAAGAATATGAGTCTAAAAATGACTGGGTATATTGTGATCTTATGATTGTGATGTCGACCGCACTAGATAGTATCATAAATACAGAGTAGAACGAAAATTTCCTCATCTGAAGATTATTACGCTAAATAGATATCTAAAGGATCTGCGTATCCAAAATGGATACTTAAAAAGCTGTCCATTTTGTATAGGATTTCATTTTTATTGTTTAAGTCAAAAATTAAAATCCTAAAAGATATTTTAATGCATAATGATAAGATTTTTATTATTTACATAAAAATTATTACATAAATTGGTTAGTTAAATACTTTTCTTTAAAATTGATGACTTTGGAGATTGCTTACTCCGTCTGAGCTAAATTATTAGAAAAATCCTAATTTAAAAAAAATTAGCGAGAAAAGACTTTGACAAATAGAAAAAGTTAAAGAAAATTCTTTGGGTATTCATCAAAGGGTCATCCAACTTTGTTGGAGTCATAAAAGGTCTTGAAATCACCATCGAAGAACTTAGTTCTTTACTGAGTGTTTCTCTTTCAAGACATTTGGTGTATTTTAGTCGTTCAATGATCTCTTCTTCCATTTTCTCTAGTCTCTCGAGTTCTCCTTCTTGCAACTCTTGGGTCTTTTGCTCATATTCTAGCTTCTGGATATAATTAATTTCTTTTGACTGAAAATCGAGCCTTGCGCTTAAGCTTCGCTTATGCTTGGTCATTTTCTCTGCCTTGTACATCAACTGAGCTTTTTCTTTATTTTCTGATTTTACTTTTTCCATAAAACTTCTCGTCAAATTTTCATTAGTTTCTTGCTGCTGTTTAATTTTCTGCTTTGCAGTTAAATTTCTTTGCAGCAAATTATTTTTTGTCTCATTCAGCTTGTTTTTCCTATTTTCATTTTCTATTGAAATTCTTTGTTTTTTAGCCTCAAGGTCTTTATCTCGTTTTATTTTTGTATCAATCTTTAATTGGACATGGTTTTCATGATTTCCTCTTACATTTTTTCTTTCGCCTTGTCGCTTATTTGACATTTCAATAACTTTTTTAGCCTTACTCCCCCCCCCCCCCCCGTGAGCGAACAAAACCATTAGAAAAATCGCCATTTTTTTTGACCAAAAACCCACCCTCCGTGAGTGAACAAAAATTTTTTTAATAGAAAAAATTTTAATGGAAAAAAATTTGATATATAAGTGATAATTAGTATAATGAAATCTAGAGCTAATTCTGTTTAATTTTAAACAAATTGCGTTTTAAAACATAAATTTTGCAAATTAAATTAATATTTGCTTCCCAATTTTTGCAAATTAGGATTTTTTTAAATTTCGAAAAAAATATTTTTTATAAAATTTATATATAAATTTGTTTTAAAAAAAAAAAATTAACCCCCCTCCGTGAGCGAACAAAATTTTTTTGTTCGCTCACGGAGGGGGGGGGGGGGGAGTTAGTTTCTTCTTTTTCTAAGTGTTTGATTCTGTTTTGTATTGCCTGGATTTTTTTATACTTATTTAAAGAGAATATAATTAAAATAAGGCTTCATTTTTTGATAAATAATGATTATTAATAGGTATATCAAGTTCTTTTCTAGATTGGACTGCATTCCACATTTGCTTTCCTTTAATTTCTTTTGACTTTCTTGGGCTCATGTTTTCGATAACAAAAGACTTGTCAGCAGTGGATTGAGATCTTTTGTGATAGCTTTTTTTAGGAGAGTTTGAAGGTTGATCAGGCGTTTTCTCATCGGAAACGTCTACTATAGGGTCCGTTAAAAGTTTAGCCATTTTTGATTGCAAGAAAGTAAAAAAATCAATGAACTGACCATCCTTATCTATAATGATTATTTTCTGTTATATAAGAAAATTACTATATATTGCTACAAATAAAAAATTTTTAGCTTTATTTTCTATAAAAATAAGCATTACTTTTATACTTATTTTAAGCTAAAATTATTAGATAATATAATAAAAAAAGTCTTGGGAACACAATTTATTATAAAATAAAAAATTTAATTTTTAGCTAAATTTATATTTTCATAATCCATATACATTTCAGAGAATATCTTTATAGTTAAATGTCCATAGTGATTATTAGTCCTAATAAGATACCCGCAAATCAAGATGGAATGCATAAATTGCCGCAACACAGAATTTTTTGAGCATTCTTCTGGCTATTTAGTTTGCACCATTTGTTTTACTCAAGCTCCAAGATTTAACACTTTAGTGGATGAAACCTTTTATTCAGCTACTCCAACCCCTCTTAAACGTAAAGTGAAATACGCTACACAAAAATCATCGAAAATAAAAGATACAGATTACAGTAATTTTTATATAGAATTATCATGGTTTGAATATACACAAGCTTATATTCTTTTTTTATTTACCATTTATATAGCATAGACAATGTTATTTTAATTTTACTTACTCCCCCCCCCCCCCTCCGTGAGCGAACAAAAAAATTTTGTTCGCTCACGGAGGGGGGTTAATTTTTTTTTTTTAAAAAAATTTATATATAAAATTTTATAAAAAATATTTTTTTCGAAATTTAAAAAAATCCTAATTTGCAAAAATTGGGAAGCAAATATTAATTTAATTTGCAAAATTTATGTTTTAAAACGCAATTTGTTTAAAATTAAACAGAATTAGCTCTAGATTTCATTATACTAATTATCACTTATATATATCAAAATTTTTTTCCATTAAAATTTTTTCTATTAAAAAAATTTTTGTTCACTCACGGAGGGTGGGTTTTTGGTCAAAAAATGGCGATTTTTCTAATGGTTTTGTTCGCTCACGGAGGGGGGGGGGGAGTTATAAAACTGTCTTAATTTTTATAGATTCCTAATGCTATATTATTTAAAATACAATAAATCGCTAATAGAAATCATGCTAACTGCCCTAATAAAAAACAAAAATCTCAAACAGGAACTCAAAAGCAATGCTAACATAATTTGAGAAAAAATTTTAGAAAAATTAGAAAATCGAGAGGTTAGGCCTAAAAACAGAAGAAAAAGAGATCGAGAAAAGCCTAATAAATATACAAAGACAGAAATATTATTTGACAAAAAAGTCAGACAGGAAATCGAAAAAGTGTGTGGAAAAGGCCGCAAAGGAAGACGGCCAGACAGATTTGCTGATGGGGTTTCCACACGAACCTTAATAAATGAATGCAATAAAAGACGCCTTGACCCTAAGAACTTTGACAATGAGCTAAATATCAGGGATAAGGCAAGTATCTTAATCTATATCTACGAAGAAATGAAAAGATCTTACCCAGTCGTTTTTGAAAAAATCGCTGAAGAAACAAAAATTGAAAATAAATTGGTAAAAACTTTTGAAGAGCTCAACAAAGAGCACTCAACAACAACTAAAGGCCTTTCATTGAAAACTCCGATAGAGTTGAGTAATATTTTGATTATTGCTTATATAGCAATGCTTTATACTTATGCTGAAAATTCAGCTGTTTTTGTGACTGATATATTGGAGGCTGCTTATGATGGGACTTTACCATATTTTACATCATACCAGGAATTATACTTTTTAAAATAACAAAAGTTTCTATAGAAAAGCCAAAATTTTATATAAAAAATTTTTTAATTATTGATCATCGCATAGATATTCCAGAAAAATTTTGTTCATTATTCCGCCCTCTCAGCCTTCCAAGTGAGCACTGAATTCGACTAACTCTAATTGAATACCAGCAAAAATACGATGTTGATGTAATCTCAACTTTCAGATCATATGACACCTTTGCGTTCAATCTTGCTATAGCTGAATGCAAAAGGCTGAGTCTTCCTTCAGAGTTTTCTCAATTATCCTATAAACTATATAAAAAGTTTTCAGAAGAATTCAATACAGAGTGCTTTATCCATACATTAGCAGTATAATTTATACAGGAAGTCCTTATAGCAGGATGCGTATTTTTAGTTATCAAATTGATATATGGGCTAAATGATCTGCCTTACTCTATAGAAGTTTATAAAGACAGCAGTGACGCTTTTGACGCAAATACAGCTGAAAAAATGAAGGAAAACCAAGATGAGTTAGCCCGAAAAATAAGCAGCTTTCCAAGCTTGCAAAGGCTGTTTATGCTGTGGCAGGATGAAATAAATGAGAAAACTCATGCAAATCAAGTTTTTAATTTAACTGAAGAAAATTTACAAAATTATTATTCACATTTACAGCTAGCGCTGGATTACAAGCCAAACCCTGTGTTGGAGGTAAAAAGCATAAAAAGTGAAGGAAAGAATTATTTTCCTATAAAAGTCTTAGAAAAGCCTAAATCACTATGCAATTCATTTTTAAAAGAAGAAATTCAGCATCATTTTTCAGAAAATCCAGAATATCCACTGCCATGCTGCGATTTTATTGTCCAGAAGAAAAAAAAAGCTGAAAAGCAATACCCATCAGAGTATATATACGCTTTACATTGTGTTGCAAAGCTGGGAGGGAATTTTCACACAAAGCAATTGCATAATGTTGTAGATAAGTTAGAAAGGATTATTTTCAAAATAGACTAAGCTATTAAAATATCTCTAATTTTTTATTTATAGGATGATATTTGCTGTGTGCTTTTACTTTTGTCACTTTTAGAGCTTGGAGAGACTTTTAACATTATAAAACTTAATAAATTTTAATGGATTAAATCATAATTATAAATATTAAGCTAGAAAAAGGTGAATATATGTACAAGTACCCAAAACGGTGCATATACATTAAAATCATGATAAGTGGCAGCCTGCCCTCTTGGCACAATAGCCTCAGATCCTAAGGACGTTGTTGGCACCTCTATTTCCAATTGTAGGAAAGTAGCCTAAACCTACCCGGATACACATCTATTGAGTCTGCACTTGATTGTCTGCTCGGAGCCCATCCCAGTTTGTTGTTGTCATAAGGTCTGGGACCCATGAAATTCCTCTACCGACAAACTGGAGATTTCTGCCCAGGCACAGGGGATTAGTATTTTTCTGTAGCTTTAGAAGGAAGGCATTTCAAAACCCGATAGACTCAAAGGAACTGACCCATGGAATCAAGATACTAGCAGGACCGCAGAAATCCATAAGTACTCAAGACTGAAGCCGCAAGGCAAGTTAAGACAGAGAATACCGGAAGTGGCACTCACTATTGAGGAAGACCCTCTGGGCTGTAGTCAAAAAGTGTTTGAACATCCATACAGTAGGTTTTTGGTCACTGCATCACCTATATGGCTAGTACCTGCCTAACCCAAAACGACGCAATGGCAGCGGCACATGGTCAGCCTCCACAAGTGAAAGCGAAAACGACAGGCGAAATTGCTTCTTCAACGCCAAATGGCTGAAATCTCCAGACCCCTCCCTTCTCCCTTTACCTAGCTTCTGTGACACTTTACCGAGCACTAAACAAGAAATAATACGATAAATATTTTTGCTTAATCATTACAGTAATCGCAAATCAACTTTCTCATAATTAAATATGTGGAGATGCCTTTTTCGCTCTATTAAGATAAATTCGAGGGTAGAAGCGCTTTGTGAAGACTTAGTATTTCCAAAGGAATTCAGCGAATTTTTTTCAGAATCTGAAGTTGAACAAGACAGCAATAAGATCATTATTTACAATGTGCCGAAAAAAGCTACTACAAGCATGCTTAGGGAATTAATGCCTCAAGCTGAGTCAATTAGAATTCTTAATGAAAGATGTGAGGTAGAATTCCAAGATTTGCTTGATGCACGGAATGCTTTGAAGCATGTGAATGGGTATGAGATTAATGGAACAGCACTTAAGGCAGAATTGGAGGAGGCCTTATGACGCCCACACCATAAAGACTTTATTTTTAGCCTTTTTTAGCCTTTTTTTGCCTATTTTCCAACTATTTTTGGTCTATTTTTTTAAAAATTTTTTTTTGGCTTATTTTTTAATTGCTAAAAATTTTCTGTCAAAAAATAGACTAAATTTGATTGAAAATCACCTCAAAAGCAAATGGACGAAAAATGTTTCAAAAATAATTAACTCCCTCCCCCCCATCCTTGATCGAACGATTGACTGTAAAAATTCCTAAAAATTGGGAAAATTAATCCCCATCCTTGATCGAACGATTTTCATATCATGCAAAATTTTATATATATATAAAAATATATTAGTTATCAAAAGTTTGGGAAGATGTGCATAATGAAGTTGTTTTCAGAGACTTTGAGACGACAGAAAGCTTCGGAATCAACCATTCGAAGTGATTTAGTCATCAATCAGGGCTTAAAAACTCAATAATCTAATAAAATAGAGATTCTTCAAAATTTTTAAAAAACAATTTAATTTAATAAGAAACAAATTAAAATTTATACAGTTTAAAGGGGTAACTAATAAATCAAAATATTAAAAATTGGTATTTTTATGAGATTAATTCAATTTTTTGCTGTAAAAATAATTATTAAATACTCTTAACACTCTTATTTAAAAGCAAATAAGAATATATATATATATATATATTTTATTTTATATATAAAATTTTTTTTAACCCCCATCCTTGATCGAACGACTGCGAGTCGTTCGATCAAGGATGGGGGGGGAGTAAGGAAAAAATAGGCCAAAAAAAATTTGTGGAGTAGATATCGTGTGAGGTTTGGAATTGGATGAATCTAATGCTTCAGATCGTAGAAATCATTGGGATGAGCAAAGCCAGTTGGGGCCTAAGGACGAAGTTAAGGATTTTAAAGAATATGCAGGATGGGAGGAAGATAAGGGGAAAGGTGAAGAAGAAGAAGAAGAAGGAGAATTTGAAAGAGAAGTAGCAGATGCAGAAGAAGGACAATTTAAAAGAGAAACAGCAGAAAAAATTGAAGAAAAACAAATTAACGAAAGAGCAGATGGAGAAATTGAAGAAGGAGAAATTGAAGAAGGAGAAGAAACAGGAAATTTTGAAAGAGAGGAAGGAGAAGAAGTGGAAGAAAAAGAGCTTGATATAGATCAACAACAAGGACTGGAAGAAAAGAGAGAGGCAGAAGAAGAGATGAGAGAAGAACTGGAAGAAGGCTTCAATAAGGAGGCAGAAAAAGATTTAAGCGACAAGACAGAAGGAGAAGGAGAGGAAAGAGTAAGAGAAGAAAAGCTAGCGGATGCAGATAAAAAAGAAAGGAGCTGGAAGAACAAGAATGCGTTTAAAAATCCAAGACATTCTCAAGTTTTCCATATTAGGGATGATTTTAGAATCTAAAGACAGAGAAATTTTAAGTTAAAGCCAAAATACCCAATGATTTCTTCTCTAAATTTATAAAATGGCTTAATATCGCTTTTAATCTCTGTTTTATATATTTTGCATAATAGCTTGAAATTTAATTTTCTGGCACCTGAAGATTGCTCAAATAAATGAAGCCATTAATTCAAATCTGAAGCTATAAAAATAAAATTGGCTCACCTGAAATTAATATTTTGTTTAATTTGGTATAATATCTATTGCAAATATACTAAAAACCAATAAATCTTCAACCATCTTCAGAAAACTTAAACTTAAGCATTGACACATATATTGTGATTTTTTTTCCCCAGCAAACATTTTTTTGTGGCATTTTGCCGATTTTTTTCCGTCAGGCATTTACTAAAAAAACAATTTGATTTAAAGCTAAAATGTCTATTTAAACAATTTCAGCAAATGGTGCTAGAATATGCTGCAGAATAATGTCCCAGAGAAAAAAAATGTAGCCTTGACGCGCAAGACTCATCAGAATTACTATAAAAATCAATGAACAATAGACAATGAAATATTACCATTTACTAAAATAATTGAATAAATTGATTATAAATTAAAAGTATTGATAAAATATATTTGGCTTTTTTATTTGCATTTATAACTATACCCATTCTGTCTACCAAAAATCACTAAATGGTTGCTTTCGCCATCTCTACTTTTATTTTTCAAAATTAATCGAATTTATTCAATTATTCTGGCCACAGACCCTAAAATTTTGCCAAAAAAATATTTAAAGCCTAAATAATCTATAAAAACCCATAATTATTATTTTTAATCCAAAAACTGCTTATGTTTAATATTTATACAATTTCAAAACATATTTAAGACGACCTTTGGAAAACTCATGATTATTAGCCATAATCTAAATATAAATGTCAGAACCAGAAGTCAAAAAAAGAGGCAGACGTGGACGTCCTCCGAAACAACCGGAAAAAAAACTAAAATTAGAGTCCGATATGAAAGAGTCTCAGCAATTACCAATAAATTCAAAAGATAAGCCTCTTGAAAAACCCAAACACCAAAACGAGCATCTAGAGAGTTATAATAGCATACGCACCTGCTTCGTCAATAGCGGCGTCTCTCAGCAAAGCCAATTATTAATCAGGGAAAGATTAGTTAGAGATTAAATAGGATTATTTTAGCCCTAGAAAGGCGAGCTTCACGCTTCATGTGGTGCTAAGCACTAAAGCCACCTAACACCCTTTTCCTTCAGGTCACCAAAAATGGTGACTTCGAAACTGCTTGGATCAAAACCTCAGCAAAGGATTCTCTTAACCCCTGGTAGGTTGGGGTATAAGGGGAGCGTCGAATGACTCCTTCTGGAACTACCTTCGCTATTTATAGTAAATGCTCCTCCTCCAGAGGTGCTCGATTGATGCTGCGCTGTCAGCATTTTGTTTGTGGATCGAAGGGAAGCCCAGTCAGTTCAAGTCTGCACATATCCAGGAAAAATCCTTCATCTCGAGCCCATGATCCCTTCAAGTGACAGCAGAAGACTGACCCTCGAAGTTTTATTTTCTTCTCGCGTGAGCACTCCATGATGAAGTAATTATTTTTTAATCAGAAGAATCGCAAATAACCTTTCATCCTCAGGCGATTTCAGCTCTCAGCCCTTGCTAAGGATGCTTAATGATATTCTTCAAGAATTGGCTATGAATGAGCTTGAAGTTGTATCATGGGCGCTTGTCCTTGATAAATTTCCTTTAACTCTCCCCTTTAAATTGAACAAAATATCGTTAAAATTTCTATTTCCGGTACTTTAACCCTTTATATTGAACAAAATTTGTTTCAATTGGAAAATTTTACTAAAATTAATCTTGAAAATATGCTATTAGGATATGTTTTAAACAGATTCACAATAATTTTTTAATTTTTATTTCGAAAAAGACTATTTACCCTCTTTAATTTGAAACAGGATTTTTTCCAATTTAAAGAGGAGATTAAGAGACCCCACTTTTCCACTGCTGAATACTTTGCTATATACTGCATACGCAGTAAAAAGCTACCTAAACGAAGACATGTCACCTTATAAGACTTATTTGCTGTCAAAAAATCAAAGCTTTATTGAAGATTATCAGGTGTGAATAGAGCCATATAGGACTCTATTAAATATAAACGCAAAAGAAATTAACTGTAAATTTCGAGACCTAAGCAAGTTAGTGGGAGTTCCAGGAGACTCAAAAGCTGTGGATTACAATTACTATGTTGATGAAATTTTACAAATTTCGCCTCCCTATAGTCATGATTCAAATAAAGAAGAAAATAAAAAATTGCAAGTAAAAGAAGAAAATTCTGAAGCTTCAAATTATGAAAAAAATGAAAATATTCAGAATCGACTAGAGGAAGAAAATAATTCGATGAGCGAAGGATTCAATTCAAATTTATTTGGGATCCTTGAAAATGATGAGAAGAAAAGTGGATAATTGTTAATGTAATTATCTAATAGTTATTACAATTGATTTTGATGTTTTAGATAATGGTTTAAGGAATAGATTAGCATTTTTTAATAGGGGTTTATATTTAATTATTATTAGTAGATTTGGTAGCTTGTAGAAGATAAATATGAGCAGTAGCTTATTCAAATTAATAATTTATATCAAATTTTATATACAATGCTATTTTTATAGCAATTATTGTGCTGCTTTATGATCTAAACGGAAATAAAGATTTTTATAAGACAAATAAAATTTAATACAAAAATTAATTAGCGCTGAATATTAGATAAAGAAGTAATTAATTAAATCTATGATTATATGCTAAACTCACCCTTCTCCCTTTGAAATTAGGACATTGGGGTAAAATTTTTGAAAAGCACTCACAAAATAATATTATAAATATTATCTACATAAAAGATTAAAGAGTTTTATTAATAAAATAATCAATGATCATAAGTAGGATAAACTAATTAAAAATTGATTATACCCCTAGAAAGAATATTTAAATAAAAGTTGTAATTTAAGTAAAATTTAATTTTATTAATTTATTTTTTAAAATATAAACAAATTACTAATATTTATTGATAATTCATAAAATAAATATCCCTCAAAATAATTGAGTGATTTTACCCATTCTTAAAATAATACTCTATATAAAAAATTCATACCAAATCCCTCGCAAAATAATAGATAAGTATAAAACTTTGTAGTAATTTTTTTTATTCCTAAATTTAAAATTTAATTTGTAAAATTATTTTTTAAAATGCAAGCTTCAAAGAAATTAGCTAAAGATTTCCTTATAACAATTATCGCTTATATACCAAATATTTTTTCATAAAAAAATATTTGTTTAATCACAACCCAAAAAATAGGGAATTTTCCTATGTTTTGTTCGCTCGCGGAGGCGTGGGATGGAGTAAGCTATAAGATATAAATTGAATTTAATATTGAGACTAATCGTTGGCATCGATTAAACTTTACTTTTGAATTACCAGAATAGAGAAGTTATTAAAATTAATGAAACAATTGAAAATGAGTACTTTGCTTTCAAGTTGTCTAAACTTAGCCATCGGGCAAATATTATTGATATTTAATAAACAAGAAGACTATAAACCCAGAGCAATCGTAGTGTAGTGGTTATCACATCTGCCTAACACGCAGAAGGTCGTGGGTTCAATTCCCACCGGTTGTACTTTTTATTTATAAAAATGAATTTAAAGATTTTTTATCCAAATGAAATATTTTAACGAACTTCTTGTAAAAAATTTGATAGAAAACAAGAAATTGTAAATATTTATCTTTATTTTACACATTAAGTTTTGGAGAAAAATAGCTAAAGAAATTTTATCATAATTATTTTATTTATAAAATTGAATTCTTTTTCAGTCTAAAGGTCCTATCAAAGCCTACGAAAACTTATTATTCTAATGCTTTATCAAATAATATACACAAGTTTCATCTTCAACTTAACAATTAAACCTTCTCAATTAAATCTGCTTCATCTTATCATACATTTTAATAGAATAGTTATTTTATTAAATAAATATTTTAAATTATTTTATAAAAACATAATCAATATAATTAGGCTTACGAAAATCAAAAAATCTTTATTTTATAGGTCTCTAAATTCGTTAAATATTTATAATAATCCATTTGCATTAGAAATTCACTTACAGTTTCTCAAATCCTTACTATTATCAATGTATCTGTTATAAATCTAACCTTAAAATGGAAGAATTCGATTCTGGAGACTACCACGACAAATTCAGTTCTTTCTACACCTATATCAGAACGATCGGCAAAGGTTCTTTCGGAAAAGTCGTAAAAGCCATTGATAAGTACACAGGAATCACATGTGCTGTAAAAATTATCAAAAAGAGTTCGTATTCAGATGAAGTCCTCTCGGCTCTTCGGTTTGAAAGCGAAATTTTGTCTAGTCTAGACCATCCTAACATTGTAAATCCTCTCAAAGCCGCCATGCACATTTTTCTACATAATTTTTTATAAAATTACCAATATTTTTAGTCTTTTTATATAGGTATAAAATTTTTACATGTCAGGGAAAGTGATAATAGGATTTTTATCGGAATGGAATACATTCGAGGAGGAAATCTTTCAGATTTAATACAGAATAAAACCATTTCTGAGTCCAAAGCTGCAAAGATCATGACTGGGATTTTTAGAGCTGTGGAGTATTTGCATAACCGCGGAATTGTTCATAGAGATTTAAAGCCAGCGAATATACTGATTTCAAATCCTAACTCCCGCCCTCCGTGAGTGAACAAAACCATTGGAAAAATCCTATTTTTTGCCCAAAAACCAACCCTCCGCGAGTGAATAAAAGTTTTTTATGAAAATAAAATTTGATATATAAGTGATAATTAGTATAATGAAATCTCGAGCTATTATGTTTAATTTTAAATAAATTGCCTTTAAAACTTAAATTTAACAAATTAAATTAATATTTGCTTTCCAATTTTTGCAAATTAGGATCTTTTTCAAATTTCGAAAAAAAATTTATATATATAAATTTTTTTAGTGAGTGAACTAAATTTTTTTGTTCACTCACTGAGGGGGAAGTAAGGATTTGACGACGGTAAAAGTGGCGGATTTTGGGCTATGCACACAGTTGGGGATTTTCAGCAGAACTGATGAAAAGTGTGGGACTGTCATTTATATGGCACCTGAATTGGCAGCTGGAAAAAATTATAACAAAGAAGTCGACATTTGGAGCTGCGGAATCATTATGTTCAAGCTCCTCTGCAAAGGAAAACACCCACTCTACCGACAAAAAGACACCAAAGATTCCTATTTCGCCAAACTTCAAAATCCCAAATGAGTTTTCCCCAAAAACTTTTCCCCTCTAGCCCAAAATTTATTTTTAAAATTAATGAAAATTCCCCCTATAGAGAGATATACTGCAGGCCAAGTCTTAGCCCACCCTTGAATCTTGCAAAAAAACATTGCAATTCCTTTGACTTATCTTGAAAAAATGCGACAGTTGGATTCAGATATGAAATTACGAGGATTTGTATATAGTTTATTATTTGCTTCTTTAATATATCCCAGCAATTAAGTTATTTTAACTTAAGTTAATTAAAATGCCATTTAAAAATGAATAATTTACTCAAATTATAGTTATTTATAGGTAAACAAAGCTTTTGCTTGGTGTATCCTAATTCAGCTTAAAGGTTCTGCCTGGAAAAGGTGTTATTGCTTGTGGGCGCTTTCTTGAAATTTCGTTTCTTCGGGCTTTGATTTTGTGGACCATTGCGTGTGGGCTTACAGATTTATTATAAGCTCTTTTTGTATCTATTCTGAAAATAATTGGCTTTTATTAAAATATTTTATGATTTGGCTCAAATTTGTCTAGAAAATAAAAATATACAGAAAAAAATTTAATTTTAATTTAAAATAAATATATAATTACATTAAAAGCTTTCTGTTTTTTTAGCTTGATTTCAGGTAAAAATTGTTGTTTTTCTTCAGGGTCTTTTTTTGTCGGAATTGTTGGGGTATCACTTCGTTTCGGGTTTAAGACATTGTTAGCTTTGCTATAAAATTGGTTTCTTCTTTCAATAGGACTTACACGTGAGCTATATGATGGGGTTTCAAGGGCAAATAAGAAATGAATAGGTGTTGTAGAAGAGTATGAGTTTACTACTGAGGGATCTTGAGAATAATAATTAGCCAAGCTTTCGTCTAATACATTGTGCTCTGGATTTGGGTCTTCTTTAACTGTTGATGGGGTTTTCATTGCATTTATATCATCAAGTTCATCAAAAAGTGAACTCCTCGCAGAAAGATTCAAATGATGGTTTCTCCTTAATGTCGGCTTATTTGAATCTTCTACATTAATCATAGTAAACGATTTTTTATGGTGGATAAAAGGCTCTGCCATAGTAACCCTCGCGTTGCTTATTTTCCTCGAAGTTGGAGAAACGGATTTTCTAAATGATACATTAATAGGAGACTGACAATTCGGCCTTTTTCCTTTGCTGCTATATAAACTTTTGAGCTTAATGCTTATACTTTGATCCATATGCAGTGCTAGAAGCTTCATTTTGGGGTGTTTAAAACTCACATCTTTGCTTCCTTTTTCTTTAAAATCCATTAATAAGAAATTTTATATGATTTTTTATGTAAAATTTACCTTTATTTTATTAAAAAATAAATCACATGAGAAATGCTTAAAATGCTGATTAATTTTATTACATTCTTATTCCTCAATAGACATAAAATAACTCTGTGTAAGCTGAGCTCGAAATCTGTCCTTATACGAGCTTGGATGTGTGATAGTCGGCGGCTTACTTTGGACGACTGACTTACATTTATTTTCGATAACTTTTTCCAGGGTGTATTTTTCTATATAGTCTATGATCCCTACAGCGACTTTTCGCTGCTGATGTGAGATTATTACTAATAAAGAATAATCGATCACATTCTGTTTAAATAGAAAATGAGTATCTTTCCAAACAGCTTCGTCAAACACTTTTTTGGCTTCTTTTGAAATAGTTATAGGAATCCCTTTCATATCTTCTAAAAAATTCAAATCCATTTTGGTCCTTTTTTGCCCTTCTTTTACGTATCTTCTACTGTTTGAAGAGCCTTTTAAATCATAAGTATACACGTCAAAAGGCATATTAAATTCCAAATTCTCCATCAATAAAGCCCATTGTGTGCGGTTTTTATTTGTGGTGTGATTTTTTATGGATATTTTAAAAGCGCCAATAGTTCTTACGATCCTTGAAGGCTGAGAATGGAAGAGATTTTTGCTGATATGCTTGAAATATGTAGGCACGAGGTCAATAAACATATGAAATTCTTTTTCTTCGACGATTTTCATAATATACTTTTTATTATGAGATTTTGTGAATGATGCTTTACTTTTGCCTAGTGAGCTTTCTTTTTCAAGATTCCTTGCAATTGATATAGAAAATGGCTTGAATTGGTAATTATTTTAATAAATATTAGCATTAATGGCTTTCTGATAAGCAAGTTAGGCTTATATAAAAGGGGATAAAATAAAATTTTCATGCTCACCGTATAAAAATGTCCTCATTGCTTGGAATTGTTTTGCGAAGAAAATTGTGATGTTAAAGGTTATGTGATAGCCGTATAGTCTTCTGATTTCTTCTTTGTCAATGCTTTCAAAGCTCTCGTCTTCATAAGTAGAAGCTTGAATTTGGAAATGCTGCTCTTCTTGTGATATTCTATATTAAGTCAAGTTTCACTAAAAAATCTGACTGAGATTAATAAATAAATTGATTATTTTTATCAAATTTAGCTAAAATAGCATAATAAATTAGCTTCAAGAGTATTTGTGATATTCCCATCATATATTTTGCTTGGTTCTATGATTTCTTCATAATATTTATTAGAATTCAAAGCATATGCTATTATTGTCAACGGATTTTTTTCATATGCTGGCACACAGACTCCTCCATGCCCTACTGGCAAAGTCAAATTTCCACTTTTGAGGCATGTAAAATGTCCTGTCTGCAAAAATTCATCTTCTTTAGAAATCGCATCAAATGGCTTAGCCACAATCGAGCTATTCGGAGATGTCGAAAACAAGTCCCTATCATCAAGAGTCACTTGTCTGCCTCTTGTCTGGTTAAAAAAGGTTTCATCATTACTTGTTTGCCGTTTCTCATCATAGCCCGTGCTGCTATGTGTAAGCACTGACTTTACGTTTTCTTCACTAGACCCGCTTGATTCTGACACAACACTTTGTGTTATAATTAAGCTTGACCCAACTTTCAGCCTTTTGAAATTTGTAGACCAATTTTGGATTTGGACTTTTATATTGCAGCATTGTAAAAAAATATTTCTTCGAAAAGTTTCTACTTCTATTGGTAATTATAAAGAATTTTCCTATAAAAATAAGATTTCGGCAGAATAGGGCAAATTAATAGGGATAGGATAAAAAATTTTGAAAATCCTCAGGCTTGAGCTCACATAATTTTACTAGTGATGCAGCTATTTGTTCTTTGATTTTTTCGATTTCTTCTTTTAGCGGCTCCCATTTAGCGTATTTTTCTGTTTCTTCAAGGATTCCTTCACCGTTTAATCTCTCAGCCATTTCTGAGCAGGATTTAAGCATATCATTTAGCACGTCTCCACCATTTGTTTTGAGTTCTTCAAAGGTTTCTCTGGTAGCGTTTAGATAAAATCTCGTCAGGTCTTTTGAGCTGGATGCAGGAATTAAGTCATAAATTGGGTTTTCTTCCCATTGGATATACACCTTGAAGCCTTTGCTATAAAAAATGAATTTTCCAAGCTTGAAAAAATCATGGTGGCACGCATTTTTGTGGATCACGTCTATATTGGTGAAAAAATTGTTAAGGTACTTATAAAAGCTATACTCCCAGCTAGATTTTGATAGTAAAATGCATTTTCCTCCTTGTTTGCAGCAGGCTGTGCATTCTTTTTCTATACAAATATCATTTGAAGTGGACGATTTTGAGTCAAGCTTTTTAGTGAAATTTATTTTGATTCTTCCCATGCTTTTTATGAAGTAAAAATTGTGCGAAATTAATTTCGACCCACAGTCAGAGTCGCAATTTCTTTCTGATTGCTGAATAAATGATAATAAAAAATCACCAATTGCTTTATCATTTTCTTGGTAAAAGTTTACACTGTTTTCTGCTGGTTTTTTACATAAATTATACCCACAGGTTACAAGATAAGTATAATTCATAAATAAATCGTTGAATTTTAAAGCCATGTCAGGGATAGGTTTTATGCCGGATTGGATAAAAAACTGTTTTTCTAGGACAGAATTTCTATATTCCAGTAAAAGTTTCCGGATAACTGTCCCGATTTTGCTGAGATCTGAAGGATCTGGCCCAGAAATTAAGAGACTTCCGACTAATGAGGTGTCTATTGGGTCCTTGAAAAATGCATAGGCTTTATTTCCGACTGTTTTTGGGAAAAATTCGCCACATGTACCGATGTAATTTCATAATTAAAATATGGCGTCTTCGTCTGGGCATGGCCTCCCGGCCATGCAGCCTCGACTCATATTTTAATTATATCCGGCAAGGTTTTACCATTTCAGAGATGGACAGCAATGCTAGGTAAGCAATTCTGGTAGCTTTCAGAGCCTAGCCCAAGTCTATTCTCAGGGGTGGATTTTTCCTCGTGGGGAAGGAGGGTGCAAGGTTGGAAAGGGGAAGCCCAGCAAAGTCCTCTGGACCATTCGGGCAACTCCCTAGCGTGAAACTGGGCGTTACGTCCCAGGCTTTGCATTTTTCCTTTTTGCCGATAGCCGACCAGAAAAAATCCATTTTTTGGGTTTTTTCGGAAAAGCAACCCATGTAACAAGCAAGTAGCTCATCCATGAGCCGTCGAAGACGTGGACATTTGCCCTGGAAGCACCCTGGTGATCAAAGCGAGTTTGTCTCCAGCAGACTGGTGGGCCCGATGCGACGAAAGGCGAGTGATAAACCTGGAGTTGTAACCCCGTAGTGGACGTTAAGCGATATAAATTCTAATGTAATGTAATGTAATGTACCGATGTAATTTGTGATCCTTGTAGCTTGGTCAACGTGGTCTAGGATTTTTCCTTTCGTTGCTCTTGATAGCTGAACCATTATTTTGGGTTTTACGTTAATAAATGCTGTAATATTAAGCCTTGACAATTCATTTAAAATTGCATTTGGGAGCCCCTTTCCTAAAATAACTATATTTGGCTTGATTTTCATCAGTTTTTTGATAAAAATTTTTGTATATGAAGCTTCTTGGTCAATTAGCTTGTCCATAGACACAATGTTTCTATCCCTCGCATAAAAATCAGAAGCCTCTTGCAAAAATAAAATCCTTGGGTTTATCAATTCTTTTTCCATTTTTTTGTGAGCTACGTTCTTTTTAAATACCACCCCATTCACAAACTCACTTGCACTAAAATCATTTCATTCAAATTTCACAATTCTAAAATATTTATTTATGTCTTGTTGATCATTTCTGTACCTTACAGATGGACAAATTGTGTTTACAATTTCTACGATAAATCCTATGATTTTACTATGCATACTGTATTTAAATAAATAATAGATTTTTTATATTTAAAATTGTTATTTTTTATTCTATAAAAAATAGAATAATTCTTCGGGAATCTGATGGGATTTAAATAAAGTTTTTGCTCTAGCATCTAAAAATTCTTTACTCCACCTGTGAGCGAGCAAAACCATATAAAACCCACCATCCGTGCACAACAAAAATTTTAAAAAAGATATAAGTGATAATAAATTGTAAAGAAATCTCTAACCAATTCTGCTTAATTTTAAACAGCTTGCATTTTAAAACAATAATTTTATAAATTAAATTAATATTTGTTTTAATAATATTTCGAATTGGGATTTTTTTAAATTTTTAAAAAAATATTTATATATAAATATTTAAAAAATTAGCTCGGGTGAAAACAGTTTATTTTTGCTCACGGAGGGGAATTAGTGTAAGAATCAAACATGATATCTCTATTTTGAAATTCCTGCAGCATTTCAGACACTTTTTCTATTGAGTTAAATTCCTCGCTCTGAATGAGCTTTGAAGAATCATAAATTTCCCGAGCCGCTTCAATTTGTGAAGGACCATCTCCGATTACAACAGAAGTTGTGCTAATATAAGATCCTTCAACAGCCCCACTGAATGTTGTGTGTGATAAATTAGGATAGGGTGTAAATAAAGATAAGCAATGCTCACAAATTCGATCTACTGTAAAACCACTTTATTTTAATTATTTATTTATGGTTTCTGAAGTATCAGTTATAGGTTTTTTTCCGTTGAATCAGTCTTTTGAATGCCATTTTTAATAAAAATTATTTTTTTATTATTTTTATAGGTAAAACCACTTGGCAATTTAGCTTTTCGATATGAGCATGAAGAACAAAAAATGAACCCACAGAAACGACAATGATGACGTCGACGGAAAAGGGTAAATGGTCTATCACATTTAAAGCAAGATTTTGCTGAGCTGTCTGGCATTCAAAATTCTTGAGATAGAGGAGTGCATTCAATTGACATAAAAAATGACTATTAAAAATTCAACAATTTTATACTATGAAAATTGCAAGAAGTTTCATTAAGGCTTTTGGGCCATTTTCTATATCTCAGATAAGTCGTATAATGACAGAAGAATAAAATTTCTTAGATGTGCATAAATTATTACTCCCTCCCTTTTAATTAAAACAAAAAATTTAAATCCAATTTAAAATGAATAAAATTTTCTCTATAAAAAAATTTTAAAAAATAATGCAATACTTTGATTTTTCATGATTCAGTGTGAAAACTTTTAAATTAGGCAAATAAAACATTCGTATTTTCACTTATAAAATTTTTATATTAAAAACAATTTTTGCCCAATTTAAAAAGTACCCAGAATGGGAAATTTTACTGTATTTTGTTCTAATTTAAAGTTGGGTTAACAAATATTCTTGTTCGGCTTATGATTTAAGCATTTATTTGAAATTATTTTACAAAAATGTGCATTTGTATGTAAGATGGGATTGATGCATAACTTAATGAAGCAATATTAATTTTTTGATGTTTTATTATGTGTTGGAAAGGGACACTCCTGGCATATGCTATAGATACTTTTTTGCTAACATATTTTATGTTTTTATCAGTGATAGAAAGGTATCAAATGAAACTGAGCAGAATATTCATTTATCTCTAAGCTTTTTCACGATAAAATCTCTTTTATTTACACTCACTATCGTCACTAAAAAAAGGTAAATTCAAATTTACTGCTATTTACCTGGGTTTATTCACAATAATCAGCATTTGTTATCTCAGAATCATTACATTTATAAGGGCTTACAGGAGAATGTTATGAAAGGAAAATCCTGAGGATTAGTGAATGCGCTAAACATAAAGATAAGATGATATGTTGGAGAAATTGTGAAGAGGCGAATCAGATTGGAAAAAGAGTTGGCTCTGTAAGAGAGCGATAACCGTAATTAAATAAAATAAAAATAAGGGCTTACAGCCTTAAGAAATATAATGATTATGTCGACAATAGATAGACTCCGAGACTCACTCCCTATGGAGTAGGAAGGACTCTTCCTTATGAATCTGCGTCACTTTTTGAAGTAGAACTTCGGGTTTGAGAATGCCTGTCGAAGAGTAAGTTTTGTATCTCCGTGAAGGTTTCCCTGTCCCTGCCAGATGTTTTATACGGACTTTTCTCCTACTTAGTTTTTGCTTATCGGGACTAGCGGGGCGTCCACAAGGGGTGGCTCTAACCAAGGGAGCTAATTCTTAGGCTAGGTGGGTTTATGCCAGATAGGCAGGCAAGTGGTCTAAGGTCTATTGCTTATAGCCCTTGTTTACCCTACAACCTTAAAATTTATTTTCAGCATGATCGCCTTATGCTAGCTTAATCTCATAGAATCTGAAAAAATTCTTTGGCTGTCTTTATTATCTATTAGTTAAGGCTTGAGGTCTTGCCTCCAAAAATCTTGGAATTTTATATTGGCCTTTTATATTAATAAAAATAAATAAGTAAGAGCATAAGAAAAATTTATTAATACAGAGGATTTTATACTAATTCAAAAAAATTAATTATGGTGAAGTTTTCTCTTCAAAGTATATCCAAGCTGAAACACTTTTTGGTTCTTGGAATATAAATTTTCAAGGCTGCTTCTAAAAATATTGAGAGGTAATTTCCAAATTTCATCTCTATTCAAAACTCTCATTTGAGATTCACTGATTCCTTCTAAAAATAACTAATTAGAAGTTCAATAAATTTTATAAAATATTCTGGAGCTGTTGTAGCTGAATATTCCGTGTGCAACTCCTCTAGAGTAAATAAAAAACCAATCTTAAAAAATTCCTCTGAATTTGTTGCTTGATCGATATTTGTATTTGCTGCTATAAATTTCGAAATCTTTTTCCAAACTTTAGGCAAAGATTGAAAAATCAATGAAAACATCCTATCTCTATTTATGTATTCTCTAACATGATTATAAGCATTATCGAAAAATTTGAAGGCGAACTTCATTGCTAATTCTTCAAACTCTTCATAAAAACTCTGGCTGACATAAGTCAGCAGCAAAATTTCAAGCATAATTTTTTCAGCATTCAAAATATTATTATACCAGCTATCCATTTCTCACACTTTTGAGAAGTACTTTTTTAAGAAGTTCAGGTCACATGAGTTGCTTTCTATTTGATATGTAGCTAGTGTACTAAGGCTTTCTGTTCATAGTTTTGGTGAATCAAACAAATTGGAAAGCTTAGATTCTCTGATGATAAACTCTATATTTTTTTCGTTTTTTATTATTCATGTACCAATCGAGTTGATGCATGATCTCTTGAATATAGTATGATACAGCGTTTTCATTATTAATCATTTCTATTGCCTTTTCCCTATAAAAATTTATACAAAATGATACTCAGGATTTACTCTTTCCAAAAAATGCATATTTATTAGAGTTTACATAGAAGCAGTTACCTAATTGGTTTTGCTTTTGAAGAATAAGCTGAAGGAGCTCCTCGGACTTTCTTTTTTTGAGGTTTTTTAATTCTTCCTTACTTTTAGCTTCTTCTTCATCGAACTTTGAAGTTATATTAAGATACCAATTTAAAGCAAGAAAGATGTAGTTTCATGTTTCTTTTGTCAAAATAAGCTCTATCACTTTTTTCCAAGAGTCTAAATTCGTCAGCAAATACTTTTTTTTTAATATGGAAAATTTTTATACAGAGTATATGATATAAATAATAATATTTATTATAATCAAACAGGGCTTTTTCTATAGGATAGGTTATCAAAAAAAATAGGGTTTTAAGTTCTATTTTTGAATTCCTTCATGCGCCCCTACGCAATAAATTTTTTTCACATGCTTTAGCAATCAAGCAAAAAATCTAGCAAAGGAGGGAGTTAATCAAAGTCAAAGTTGTAATTTTGAACAAGCGCGAAATTCAAAAATTGTAAAAACCTCCTTACTCACCCCTCCGTTAGCGAACAAAATCATTGGAAAAGCCCTTTTTTGGGTAAATCACCCTCTGTGAGTGAACAAAAATTTTTAAGGAGAAGAAATTGATATATAAATGATAATTATTATCATGAAATCTCGAGCTAATTCAGTTTATTTTTTTAAAACATAAATTTTACAAATTAAAATAATATTTACTTCTCAATTTTACAAATTTTAGTTTTTTTAAAAAAATTTTCTATATAAATTTTAAAATAAAAATTAACTAACAAAATTGTTTTGTTCGCTTACGGAGAGGGAGCTAACAGCAAGCCCATATATAATTCTGGGGTATCTTCAGTAATAAATTTGAAGAAGTTTGTTTGGAAAAATGATATGATTGTTGTAAACATTTCTTGGTTAAAAAAATTATTGTCTAATTTTGCAGCGAAGCAAGAGAGTGAGAGAATCTTTATGACTGCATCTATGCAGCATTCACCTCTAATTTCTATTAATTTTATAATCGAGCCAACAAGATCTGGCAAAAACACTTCTAGTGACTTCAAAAAATCTTCTTTAATCATGTTATGGTAATTTAGCATTGATCCCAGACAATAAAGATCGGATTGGCTTTGCAATTTTTGTGTTTCGGAGAGTTTCAAAAGCAAAGATTTTACAATTTGATCTATTTGGGAAATTTCTGGCTCACTTAATGTTTGCTCGTTCCAGGCTTCTGACGACTCTGGATTGCTTTTTGACAATCGTGAAATCAAATTTCTTATTATTTGATAAAGATCAGACTCTGATATACCTTGATTTTCATTCGTTTGCATGGGTCTTCTAGGAATTAATAATGGATAATTAGTATTATTAACCCTGATTCTATCTAATATTGGCAAAATAGTCTGATGTAATGATTTTAACAGAAAAAAATTAATAATTAATTTTTTCTTAGAGCGTCGAGCCTCAATGGAGGATAATTTCATTATTTTAAAAATTTCAAGGGATTAAAAATATATAGAAATTAAAAAGATATATTTAAATATGGCATAGCAATAACCTTCCGGCTTCTGAGCTTCGAGCACATACTATAATTATATCCAGCAAATTCATAAGGGGTTTATATTTTTTGAAATAAATTTAAAAAATTCCAATACACAAAATATGGAAAGCAAAAATTAAAATTATTTATAAGATTTATGTTTTAAAATATAAGCTATTTAAAATTTAACAGAGCTAGAAATCTCATTTATTAATTATTAATTATATATCAAAATATTTTTTCATAAATAATTTTTATATTAAAAACATGGCAATGCTTTTGGCCAAAAAACAGTGACTTTTTCAATGGTTTTGTTCGTTAACAGAGGGAGGAGAGTAGTCATGGGTTCACTCTGATTCTCTGATTTAATTGCCATAGCCCCTTATATAATAGCATCATATCAATTTTTAAAACCTTTGGCTAATCACTCTGATACCAAGCAAAATCACATTATTTTTTGTTTAATTGACCTCGATTAGCTCAGCTTCTATATCATAACATTTGCCAATCTAATGTTGGTATAAGTGTTCTATTTTTTGCCTTGTTATAGTGCATTTATCTTGCTCAATTTTTATAGATTAAGTTTAATTTTATTATAGAATGGCAGATTTATATTCAGAAGAGCACGAATGAATTTATAATAAGAAAATTTTAAGGCAGAGCCAAAACTCGCTTCTTTAAGCTTTAAGACCTTTATTACTCATTGCCAGCGACATAAGACGATTTATCTTCATATCTCACCCACGTTTTCTTTGAAAAATTACATGTTATCGATGAGATTACCCAACTAATAGCATTTCATTATTGGAGTGCGATGATCTGCAGATTGCATCTATCTTGCCTCAGACGATCCGCATTTCTACTTGGACAGCATCTACTACTCCTTCTTGCCACTCACGCTTTGATGCCGACCCATCTTATCAGACATCCTATCTTAGAAGTCAAGGTATGATCATATTATAGTAGAGCTTGGCTTGAAGAAACTCTCCTTGTCAGCTGAGCAAAAACTTGACTTCAGAGGGAAATTAGATTAATAAATGCAGCTCTTTATATTGATTTGAGCTGCCATATTTTTCTATATTTAGAAGTACAAAAGATAAAAGTTGCAAAATTTTTATTAGAGAAAAGGATAAAAATTGAAGAATTTTGAGTAACGCTTACAACTTTATATATAAATGACTCTGATCGCCATAGACAGTTCCAAACTGAGTTTAATATCATTTCTGCTTCGCAAAAGAGTATAGAGGGTATGATTAAAAAGTATAAAGATGATCTTCGAATTCAATGCTTTTATAGAGACTTAGCTGAACAATGTCGCATTACTCAAATTTTATTGAATAAAAAAATTTTCAAAATCCATAAGCAAAACTATAATAATTCTTACAACTCAGATTTCAATTATCTTTACAATGCTGACGAAAATCTAAATGGAACAGAAATTTACATTTATAATCTAAAATCTCATAAAATAACTTCAACATTTGGGCTAAAATCTTATGAACCAAATAGACGTTTATTTAGCTTGAACGATCTGGACTTTTTGCTAGTATAGAGTTTTCTCGAGAAATTTGGTCCAAAATTTTTGATAGTGAGACATTATCCCCGAAAAGTCAAATTTTGATAATATCACATGAAGAAAAAATTCAGAAATACCCTGGAGAAATGTCGCACTGCAGGAAAAAGTATGCACCGACGTTTACTTGATAAAATAACAAACTATGTAAAAATTTCGAACTCGCATTTACTTATCTTGGGATCTGTCCAAGAAAGATATAAAGGATTATTAATGGATCTAAAAACTAAAGCAATAACTGAGATGTTTAATTTTACTAGCCTATATAATGAATTTGACACTTTTAATCAAATTATTTATTATGAAAATTATTTATTTGTATTTGGGGATTTAGGTAGGTCAGGCTTGGCAAAATATGACATAAATCGGAACGAGTGACAGAAATTGGCATTTCCACAGTTGAATAAAAGAGTTTTTGCTGTTCTTTTCCGCAACTATGTCTTATTAAGCAGTTTTTATAACTCATCCTTTTATTTATATGATCTTTTAATTGAAGCTCATTCAGAAATTAGATTTTATAAGCATGCAAAAAGTCGTAAATTTTTATTTACTGATCAAGTTAAGGTTTATTTATGGATTCAAAACAACTCTATTTATGAAAGCGAAGAAAATAACCCATTTAAATGAAATATCATAGGAAATAATAATTTTGGAATTCGTGAGTTTCCTTTTGATATGACTTTCAGCTATTTTGAGGGGAATATTTATGCTAGTTTTCTTATAAGACCGAAGATGTATTGCTATAAGCTTAATAGAGAGTGTAACGAAATAGAATTAATTTATGAAGGTGAAGTCAATAGATAATTTCAGTAGACAGCTTAAGCAATCCAAATGATGGCTTTAAGTAAATATAATTTAAAAATAAATATTAAATATTTAAAGCAGATTTTCCATGTCTTTTTTAATATGATTTCAATTGTTTACCATTTTGAATGTTTGTTTTTAATTTCTATGATATGTTGAATTGGCTTCTCTTATGGGGGTATTGCTTAATTACATTAAAAATGTTTCTTGGACTCAATCACAGCCGGTTGATCAAATATAAGAATTTAATAATCTCTTAATTTTCCACTAATTTACTCGTGTTGATGTGCACTCTGAAAATATATACCTAAGTTGGGCATTTAAACACATTTTAAAGCTTGAAGATATTTATGTTTAATCATGGGCTCACTCTGATTCAATTGGCATAATCCCTTATATAATAGCATCATATCAATTTTTAAAACCTTTGGCTAATCACTCTGATGCCAAGTATAATCAAATTATTTTTGTTTAATTGACTCGATTAGCTCAGCTTCTATATTATAATCTTTACCAATCTAATGTTGGTATAAATTCTCTATTTTTAGCCTCGCTATTAGTGCATTTATATTGCTTGAAATTTAAAACTTAAGTTTAATTTTATTATAGAATGGCAGATTTATACTTAGAAGAGCAAAGGATAAAGACTGAAGAATTTTTAGTAGAGAAAAAGATAAAAATTGAAGAATTTTCAGCAATGCTTACAGCTTTATATATTAGTGACTCTGATCACCTTAGACAGCTCCAAACTGAGTTTAAAACCCTTTCTGCTTTGCCAAAGAGCATAGAGGGTATGATTAAAAAGCATCAAGGTGATCTTCGAATTCAATGCTTTTATAGAGACTTCGCCAAACAATGTCGCATTACTCAAATTTTATTGAATAAAAAAATTTTCAAAATCCATAAGCAAAACTATAATAATTCTTACAACTCAGATTTCAATTATCTTTACAATACTGACGAAAATCTAAATGGAACAGAAATTTACATTTATAATCTAAAATCTCACAAAAGAACCTCAACATGCGAATTAAAATCTTATAAACCAAATAGACGTTTATTTAGCTTGAACGATCTGGACTTTTTGCTAGTATAGAGTTTCCTCGGGAAATTTAGTCAAAAATTTTTGATAGTGAGACATTATCCCCGAAAAGTCAAATTTTGATAATATCACATGAAGAAAAAATTCAGCAAATACCCTGGAGAAATGTCGTACTGCAGGAAAAAGTATGCACCGACGTTTACTTGATAAAATAACAAACTATGTAAAAATTTCGAACTCGCATTTACTTATCTTGGGATCTGTCCAAGAAAGATATAAAGGATTATTAATGGATCTAAAAACTAAAGCAATAACTGAGATGTTTAATTTTAGTTGCCAAAAAGGTGTATTTGACACTTTCAATCAATTTATTTATTATAAAAATTATTTATATGTATTTGGGGACTTAGATAGGGCAGGTTTGGTGAAATATGATATAAATCGGAACAAGTGACAGAAATTGGCATTCCCACAGTTGGATAGAAGAGTTTTTGCTGTTCTTTTCCACAACTATGTCTTAGTAAGCAGTTTTTATAACTCATCCTTTTATTTATATGATCTTTTAATTGAAGCTCATTCAGAAATTGGATTTTATGAGCGTATAGAAAGTCGTAAATTTTTATTTACTGATCAAGTTAAGGTTTATTTATGGATTCAAAACAACTCTATTTATGAGAGCGAAGAAAATAACCCATTTAAATGAAATATCATAGGAAATAATAATTTTAGAATTCGTGAGCTGCCTTTTGATATAACTTTCAGCTATTTTGAGGGGAATATTTATGCTAGTTTTCTTATAAGACCGAAGATGTATTGCTATAAGCTTAATAGAGAGTGTAAAGAAATAGAATTAATTTATCAAGGTGGAGTCAATAGATAATTTCAGTAGACAACTTAAGCATTCTAAAAGATGGCTTTTAAGTAAATATAAATTAAAAATAAATATTAAATATTTAAAGCAGATTTTCCATATTTTCTTAATGTGATTTCAATTGTTTATATTAACTATTTTGAGTCTTTTTTATAACCTATAAATTACCCTCATAAAATCGGCATGTGCTATTCTAGGTTTACAAGCTCTTGCTTCGAAATATGACTAACAAATGGGAAATAACAAGTTTGTCTATGATATGTTGAATTGGTTTCTCTTAGCTGGGGGATTGCTTAATTACGTTAAAAATGTTTCTTGAACTCAATCCCAGCCAGAGTTGATCGAATATAAGAATTCCATAATATCTTAATTTTCCACTAATTTACTCGATATGGCATATTGATGTGTACTCTGAATATATATACCGAAGTTGGGCATTTAAACATTTAAAGCTTGAAGATATTTATGTTTAAGCATGGCTCACTCTGATTTATTTGTCATAGCCCCTTATATAGCAGCATTATATCAATTTTTAAAACCTTTGGCTAATCACTCTGATACAAGCAAAATCATATTATTTTTTGTTTAATGAACTTGATTAGCTCTATTTTTACCTAGCTGTAGTGCATTTATCTTGCTAAAAATTTAAAGCTTAAGTTTTAATTTTATTTTACAAATTATTATTATAGAATGGCAGATTTATACTTAGAAGAGCAAAGGATAAAGACTGAAGAATTTTTAGTAGAGCAAAAGATAAAAATTGAAGAATTTTCAATAATGCTTACAGCTTTATATATAAATGACTCTGATCATCATAGACAGCTCCAAACTGAGTTTAATACCCTTTCTGCTTTGCCAAAGAACATAGATAATATGATTAAAAAGTATAAAGATGATCTTCGAATTCAATGCTTTTATAGAGACTTCGCCAAACAATGTCGCATTACTCAAATTTTATTGAATAAAAAAATTTTCAAAATCCATAAGCAAAACTATAATAATTCTTACAACTCAGATTTCAATTATCTTTACAATACTGACGAAAATCTAAATGGAACAGAAATATACATTTACGATATAAAATCTCATAAAAGAACCTCAACATGCGAATTAAAATCTTATAAACCAAATAGACGTTTATTGTGCTTGAAATTTGATCTGGATTTTTTGCTAAATTTGATAGAAAATTTTTTGATAGTGAGATGTCTGCATGGAAAAATTCAATTTTGATAATATGCATGAGGAAAAAAATTCAAACATACACCCTATAGAAATTCGCACTAAAAAAATTTCTGACTAATGAAGAAAAAGCATGCACCGACGTTTAATGAGTAAAATAGCAAACTATGTAAAAATTTCGAACTCGCATTTACTTATATTGGGAGCAGCTGAACAATACAGCCGTAAAGGATTATTAATGGATCTAAAAACTAAAGCAATAACCGAGATGTTTAATTTTAATAGCCAAAAAGATGTATTTGACACTTTCAATCAATTTATTTATTATGACAATTATTTATTTGTATTTGGGAACTTAGGTATGTCAGGCTTAGCGAAATATGACATAAATCGGAACAAATGGCAGAAATTGGCATTCCCGCAGCTGGATAGAAGAGTTTTTGCTGTTCTTTTCCACAACTATGTCTTAGTAAGCAGCTTTTACAACTCAACCTTTTATTTATATGATTTTTTAATTAATTCTCATTCAGAATAATAATAAAAATGGGGTTGTCGAGAAGATTTTTCTCTGAAGAATTTCACTCCTTTGGCCAATTTATCATTATAGGGTTCAGTTTTCCCGGTAGGGTCTTATCCAGCAATATCAGGTAAGCAACGGGGAGGGTGCACAGCCTCCTGGCATGATCCTTGGATTTTTTTTTGACATAGGGTTTTACTGCTTGACACTCCCGAGGAGGGAGACTCATAGGCGGCACAACGCGCAGTAGTCAAGTTTCGAGCAAGGCAACGCAGCCCGTGAGATCTGGCAGCCAATTAACCGTCTATTGCTTAGGATGGTTCGTCGGCCCGATAAAAATGGTGAAGTCGGAAATGCCCGTTGACGTCACTAGTTGGTGTCTAGGGAGACCCTTGTGGCATTGCTAAATCACCCTGCGGAGTCAAAGAAACATGTTAAAACCTCTAACTAATGTTAATGTTAATGAATTTCATTCGGAAATTGGATTTTATGAGCATGTAGAAAATCGTAAATTTTTATTTACTAATCAAATTAGGGTTTATTTATGGATTCAAAACAACTCTATTTATGAAAGCGAAGAAAATAACCCATTTAAATGAAATATCATAGGAAATAATAATTTTGGAATTCGTGAGTTGCCTTTTGATATAACTTTCAGCAGTTTTGAGGGGAATATTTATGCTAGTCTTCTTATAAGACCGAAGATGTATTGCTATAAGCTTAATGGCTACATCTCATTTGATCCAAAAATTTTGACAGGGACTTTTCTAGAAATTTTTTCCCCATAGGCATTGATTTGGATTAAAGTTTTTGCCAAGCAAATGTCTCACAAGGAAAAATTTTCCATATAATTAGAATCAGTCCACCTTCTTTCCACTTGCAGCTGGTAAAACGCCAGGGATCTTGTGAGGATGATGAGTATTTGGCTAGGTTTAACTTAGTTTGATGGAGCGAAATTTAGGAATAGGCTGATGCATTCCAGGTCAAGATCTTACCTTTGGGGGAAGATTCAAGCTTGTTGTAGAAAGGGAAGACTCAGCAAAGTCCTTGCACCAAAGCTTAATAGAGAAAGTAAAGAAATAGAATTAATTTATCAAGGGGAAGTCAATAGATAATTTCAGTAGACAGCTTAACCCCCCCTTTAACTTGACACAAAAACACTAGTAAAATTAACATAATTTTTTGGTAAATTAACCTCCCTTGAAGTTGAAGCAAAATTTTAATTTTTATATGTAAATAATATAAGAATTTAAGGCGTCTTGGATGCGGTAATGCATAAATTATTATTATTATATGTAAATAATAATACAAAAATAACAATTTACCTATAAATGTTATATTTTGCTAACACATAATTTAAATTGATAAATTATATGAACAATTTTTTAAAAATAAATTAAAATGATTGCATTTTAAAAAACCGATTTTTATCAGGGGGGTTTTAGCAATCTATTGCTCTCAAATTATGACTTTTAAGTGAACATAATTTAAAAATAAATATTAAATATTTAAAGCAGATTTTCGATATCTTTTTCAATATGATTTCAATTATTTATGTTAATTATTTTTAGATTTTTATCGTAATTTATAATGACCCGCATAAAGCGGCATGCACCATTCTAGGGTTTCAAGTTTTTGCTTATATATGCAACTGCCAAGTGGTAAATAGCAAGTTTGTCTATAATATGTTGAAATGGTTTCTTTTAGTTGGGGGTATTGCTTAATTACATTAAAAAAGCTTCTTGGACCTCTATCCCAACGGTCGATTGAATATAAGAATTCGATAATATCTTAATTTTCCACTAATTTAGCTCGATAGGGTGTATTGATGTTCACTCTGAATGTATTTGCCGAAGTTGGGCATTTAAACATTTAAAGCTTGAAGATATTATTTTTACTCCTCCCACACTCCTGAGCGAGCAAAACCATTTGAAAAATCCTTTTATTTGCCCAAAATCCACCCTCCGTAAGCGAGCAAAAATTTTTTTAATATAAAAATATTTTGATATATAAGTGATAATTTTTGTAATGAAATCTCTAGCAAATTCTGTTTAATTTTAAACAAATTGCATTTTAAAACATAAATTTTTGCTAATGGGCGAATATTTACTTTCCAATTTTTACGGACTAGGGATTTTTTAATTTTTAAAAATAAATTACTATAAAATTTATAATAATTTTTTTTAATTATTTTGATTGCTCAGATGAGGAATTTAATTTTTTTAGAAAAATATTCATTAAAAAAGAATATACAAAGGATCGGCAAAATATTTTTATAATTTACTCTCAAAGGTCTTTACACATCATTTCAAAGTGAAAATATTCCTTTTCATAAGCCATCAATTTCAGTCAATTAAAAAGCAGCATAAATCAAAATCCTATAAATTAAATATCTAAAGACTTATCAGACTTTTTACCCGATATATCTTGAGCTAATTGATACCTCAGTCTCAAAAGCTCTTCATCCTTAAGCGTCAGCAGCTCCTGATACTCATACTCTCGATTCTGCATATATCTTCTTTTACTTTCTAAATCCTTCAAAAGGCTTTCAATTAAATCACACTTCTGATTCAATTCTCGCTCCAAGTCTTCTCTTAAATCTTTTTCTTCATAAAACGCTTTAATAATTTCATCTTGATCAAGATAAGACCTATCTTCATCAATCCTATGATATTGATCCTGCAGCTTATTTTGTAGCATTTCTTTACTTTCTTTATATTCCTTAATTAACGCTTGCAAATGCTTATTTTCTGCTTCAAGTTCATTGCGCTCTATCTGTCGACCTTCGCTTATCCCATATTGAATTCCTCTCTGGTAGCTATCATTAAGGGCTTTTTCTTTGCTATTTCCTGATTCTTCAGCTTTTTTAAGCCTGTCTTTTAGCAAAGAATTTTCATCCTGCAAACCTTTCATTGATATTTTCAATGATTCTATTTGTTTTTTCAGCATAATAATTTCTTTTTCAGACTCGTCTAAGGACTTAAGCATGCCCTTTTTTTCAACCACAAAGGAATGTATAGAATTTAGATATTCTTCTTCTTTTTCTGGCCAAACTTTGGCTCCTGTTGTGTGGTCATTTTTATAAGCATTAATAGAGGACAAGATAGCTTGGGCGATAGAATCAGGGGAATTTTCGTCTATTGAGGCATCTTTTTTGATAGGGATAACCAATGAGATTTTTTCTAATAAATCAATTAAGCTAGATTTCCATTTTAGCCATTCTTGCTGAAGACTCTTGTTTAATTCATTTTTTTCTCTTGTCAGCTCTCTTAAAGTTCTTCTCAATGTATCGGTTTCGCTGCTCAAATCCCCTCCTTCTTTATCCTTCATATTTTTCAACGATTTTTCTAATTTTTCAATTTTTTCTTTCGCCTTGTCTAAAACTTTATTAAATTCGTTTTGCTCATGAATTTTATTTTCCAAGTCTTTTGTAGCTTCTAATAATTGAGCTCTGAGCCGGATGACGTCTCTTTCTGAATCTTGCCACTTTTGTAGAGCCCAGTCATTTATCCCTTTAATGTCTTTTAATTTTTTAAATGTTTCTTCGTCTTTCGCTCCTTTGTTTTGTCTATCCAAAAGCTCTTGCTTTAGACTGATATTTTCTTGGAGTAGCTTTATAGCTTGGGCTTTTGCTTTGTTTTCTGGCAAAACTTCTAATCTTGATAGTAAAATGTTAGCTTTTTCTATAAAATCTTGGTTTGTTTCTTGGGTGTAATCAATAAAGGATGTAAAGTCGCTTGGGGATACTGAAAGTGGCTGGTCTTGGGCTTCTATAGGTGGGGATCGAAAATCTTGGGAAAATAAAGTTTTGGCTTCATTATAAAATGCGTCGATAAATTTTGAGGTTTCTTTAACTGGGTCTGAAGAGCGATATTGTGAAGGCGAAATTCGCTGGATTGCTGTTGATGAAGTGAACTTGCACCAGTCAATATATTTCATTTTAACGTCTTCAAGCATTTTCCTTTGTGATTCTTCAGCTTGATCATATTTTTTCTCTATTTCTTCTACCTTTTCATTTAATTTTTCAATAATCCTGCTATCCTCATTCTGTTTTTCTATTTTTTGAATTTTAATCTGCAAGCTGTGTATAATTTTTTCTTTATTATTAATTTCATCCATCAGTCCTTTTACCTCTTTTTCACATTTTTTGCTAATTTTTCCATTTTCTTTGTTTTTTTCGTCTAAATTTTCTTCAAGCTCAGAATTTTTTTGAGAAATTGTTTTGCTTTGTTGTATTAAATCGGTGATTTGAGCGTATAAATAATTAAAATATGGCGTCTTCGTCTGGGCATGGCCTCCCGGCCATGCAGCCTCGACTCATATTTTAATTATATCCGGCAAGGTTTTACCATTTCAGAGATGGACAGCAATGCTAGGTAAGCAATTCTGGTAGCTTTCAGAGCCTAGCCCAAGTCTATTCTCAGGGGTGGATTTTTCCTCGTGGGGAAGGAGGGTGCAAGGTTGGAAAGGGGAAGCCAGCAAAGTCCTCTGGACCATTCGGGCAACTCCCTAGCGTGAAACTGGGCGTTACGTCCCAGCTTTGCATTTTTCCTTTTTGCCGATAGCCGACCAGAAAAATCCATTTTTTGGGTTTTTCGGAAAAGCAACCCATGTAACAAGCAAGTAGCTCATCCATGAGCCGTCGAAGACGTGGACATTTGCCCTGGAAGCACCCTGGTGATCAAAGCGAGTTTGTCTCCAGCAGACTGGTGGGCCCGATGCGACGAAAGGCGAGTGATAAACCTGGAGTTGTAACCCCGTAGTGGACGTTAAGCGATATAAATTCTAATGTAATGTAATGATTTGAGCGTATAAAGAATTTCTTTCTTCCATTGCTTCTGCTAATTGCCGCTTTAATGCAGAAAATTCTTGGGATAAAGACATATAACGATTTTGCAGATCTTTGAATTTTGAAGCTTCTGACATTTGGAATTGCTCGTTTAATGATTTTCGTTGGAGCTCTGACTCCTGAATACGTTTTGAGGCGACTAAATCATTTTGGGCATCTTGGAGATCAGCTGAAATTCTTTTGATTTCTTGTTTTAGCTGCTTTGTGGACTCTTCGTATAATTTGATATTGTTTTGGAGGATTTTTACATCAGATTCCATTCGTTTTTTATCTTGGAGCTCAGCTTCGTTTATTTTGGCTTGCTCTTTAAGCTCTTTTATTTCCCTTTGGTATTTTTTTATTTTTTCTTCAACGTTATCTTTTGTTTTTATTCTATAGTCCTGATCATAAATTTCCCGTTGCATGGTATTATTTTCCCTTTCAAGCTCAGCCATTTTTTCATTTTTTTCTAAAATTTCTTGTTTATTTTTATTCATAACGTCTTCATACTCAGTAACTTCATCTTTTAAGTTTTGGATTTCTTTATTTTTTTCTAATTCAATTTCTTGGATTTTTTTATTTAGCCTTGTCAATTCTGTATATAATTTTTGTTTGGAGTTTTCTACCTCAGCTATTTTATTATTTAAATCTATTTCTAGCTTTTCGTGATTTTGAATAATTTTTATATTGGACTCAATTTCTTTTTCAAGCTGAAATATTTTTTTATTGCTGCTTTCTAAAGCATTTTGGGCATCTTTTAGCTGGGCAGCTAATTTTTCTGTGTCAAAAGAAACTTTGGAGCTTAGCATTTCTTTGGATTTTTCATGGGAAAATTTTTCTTTTGCAAAAAGTTCAGCGAGCTGCTTTTTGGTATCATGTTCTCTTTTAAGCTTATTTGTGAGATCCTGCACGTCATTTCCATGCTTTTCTTTGAGATTTGTGATGTCTTTTAAGTATCCTGAAATTTCTTCTTGAAGCTGCTTTATGAAGCTTTGAAGTTCTTCAATTTCAGTTTTATATACTTTTTCTACACGATTGACATGCTCTCTTTTAATCTTCTTCCACTGCTCAATGCTTGATTTGTCTTTTATTTTCTGCTTTATATCAAGCTCAATAGCGTTTTCAACCTCCAAAAATGATTTCAGTCTATTTATCTCAGAATTCAGTACTATAATTTCAGCTTCTTTATTTAGTTTTTCACTTTCTATTTTTTCCACATTTAATTTCATTGACTGCACAATTGATGGGTTTATACTGTCTATTTGTTCAATTATTTTTGACTGAAGGATTTCATTGATTTTGCTATAAACTCTGTCAGTTTCTTCATCATTTAAGCTTTTTCCTTTAAAAATATTTTCTATTTCATTTTTTAAGTCAAAAATATCACTTTTGGATCTTTTGAGAATTTTAAGCTGAGATTCCAAATAGCTTGCGTAGGCTACAGCTTCAGAATAAGCTTGCTTTATAGGCTCAAATTCTTGGTCTGGGTTAAATTTCAAGCCACTTGACCTAAACAGTGACTCTTTATCATCAACTGCAAGAGGCTCATAAACAGTCCTTAGCTCATGCGATTTTTGGGCAACTTTTTCTCTCAGACTTATAATTTCATTATCAGTCTGCATTTTTTCCATCCTTAAATTATCAAAGCTTATCTGCAGTTTTTCATATTCCAATAGCAATTCCCTTATTTCTGTTTCTTTTTCCAGCACATCTTGTTCGTATTTTTCCAAAATATTTCCGTCTCCATTATCTTTGCTTAATAGCGTATTCTTAAGCAGCTCTATTTCGTTATCTTTTTGTTCGAGCTCAGCGAGAATTTCTGAATTATTTTTTTGTTTGTTTTTTATCCTTAAATCAGCTTCTAATTTGGCGATTTTGATGTCTCGCTGCTTGACGACTTCTTGGAGGATTAAATAGTTATTTTCAAAGTCTGTTGTGGAGAATTTTTCGTAGCCAAGCTTTTTCCAGAGCTTAGAGCCATTTTCTAGGTCTCCTGATACTAATCTGCTATAAAGGATTTCTGACTCAGAGGTACCTAAAAATTCATTGGCAAGTTTTCTTGATGGGCTTGGTGATTTAACACTTCTTGATGGGCTGGATTTTGAGTATTTTGGCCTTATAGGGGTTTGTTTTTCACGAGTTTCCTCACTCCTCTATCTTTGATCGAACCAATCGATATTATTGATCAAGGATGGAGTTAATTTTTTAATATAAAAATTTATGTGTAAGCGATATGAAATATATTAAATTTGAATAAAAGGTTATTAAGATTTATCCTTATCAAATATAGGGAGTAGATCTGAATGCGAAATAGGGAGAGACTTCATGCTTGAATCTATTAAAATTATTCTATCAAAGAAAAGGGTTTAATTTTCATTAAAATTGTTCGATCAAGGATGAGAGAGTCAGGAATCAGATTTTTCAAGGTCTCTAAAAGTTGGTCACATTGATTTTTAAGCTCGCCTTCTCTTTGCAAGCTTGCTTCAAGAGCTTTAGTTAATTGGCTTTTCATTGATTGGTCATCATTTTTTAGCAGCTCTTCTATAATCTTCGCCTGGTTATTTGAATATTTTAGCATATCACTGAAAAATGGTGAATCCATTTTATATTTTTTAAGTTCAAACTGCAAAGCCTGAATAAGAGAATCCTTAGCATACAGCGCTTCAGGAGAAATTTCAGACTTTTCTGTACCTTTGCTAGCACCATTATCATCTTTTTTCTGCTGAGATCGGCCGAACTGCTTCGCGCAATAATCATAATCAATTTTTAATTTTTCAAAACTATTGGAAATTGCTATAGAATTAGCTAAATATATAACAAAATCCTAGCATAAAAAAGCTATATTTCTATATAAACATGTCTAATTAACAATTTTAATTGTCTCTAATTATTTTGTTTAATAATAAATACTTATTTTGCAGTATTTCATTTTCTTTTTGCAGCCTCAAAAAAATGCCTCCAATTTTATTCCCTGTCAGCCACGCATGATATTCCTGAATTTTCTTCGCAAAATTGTTGTTTTGAAGTATCAAAGTATTGACCGCGTGATTATAGCTTTTAAACTCTTCCGTCTCATTAACTAGCTCAGGGAAAAGTTCTCCTATGTTATTTTGGATCATCATGAATTCACTATAAGCGGTGCTAAGCTCATTCCCTATACTTGCTGGTACTTTCTCTTTAAGATAAATAGGCTCATAATTTTTTTTTATTAAAAAAGGCATTTTCTCGTAAAAATTTTTTGCCTTATTCCTGAAAAAATCCATTAGAAAAAATTTAGCTTATATAAAGAAAAATTAAGGCAAATAGATCTATTACAGATAAAGACTAGTTTTCTGTGCCATTTTTAATCAATTGTATCAAGTGAAGAAATATATAGATGACCAATAAAGGAATCAGCCAAGATTTCATCAATGATGTCACTCAGAGGATCTATAAGATCCAGGAGTACTCTAAAACGACAGGAGATGACGTAACCCATCTGCTATTGCAGAATCTTACGCATCTAGAACTCTCGCACCAAAAAGAAGAAAACGAACACTCTAGATCGCTTGCAGAACTGCCAGCTGGTATTCCTCTACCACAGGATTTGGAGAAAAATAAGTTTCCCGTTGACGAAAGCTTGGTTTCTGATATAACCTAGAGTTTCTTATAGCTTGAAATTAGCTATTATTAACTTTATAGCTTATATATTGATCTAGTAGTAGTGAAGCCTTGCTTGGCAAATTCCTGTTGTTTTATATCCTAGAGAGAGTTATAAGCAGCCCTGCGTTATATTTCAGATCTAAGCGATCGATCTCAGTCGCATATTGACACTGCAATATCAATCAAAAAACAGACCAAACAGATGTATAAAGCATTAACATTAATTTAATATATATAGAAGTCCGCTGTAATTCCCACCTAAGGGCCTACCTTCACTCGTAACGTTCACTCGGCTGCTCACCACCAGCAGGCTCATAGCCTTCAAACTGTTGTTTCTTCTGGACGAGGATGTGCCACTACTCGAAGTTGGATGACTTGCGCCACCATGGAGTATCAACAGAGTTGTCCATTCCTAGAACTGTCTGCAAAAATGGAATCCCAAAGCCTGGGACGTAACGCCCAGTTTGACGCTAAGAAGTTGCCCGATTGACCAAGTGGAAGTTCTTGATACAGCTGAGCCTTGGAAGCCATTTCCCCTGAGGTAAAAACCCTAGCATCAGAATGAGCTGCGGTCAACCAAATTTGATGTTGCCCTCACTGTGCCAAGGAAAAATCTAGCCGGATACACATACCAAAAAGCACCAAAATCCCTTCCACAAAGTCCCGCCTCCCTGTGGGACGCCGGCTACAGATGTTGAGCCATCGCTATTTTAATGTATATGCAGATGTATAAAGCAATAAACGAAAAATTGACTGCTTTTAGAGCTGCTTCACAAAATTTGGCGGGATTTACAAATGTGGACTCAGATAAAATTTCGGTCCTTTTTTCCGAGCTTGATAATATGAAGAGGACTATTTTTGAATTTATTGAAGACTCGTCAACAATTAAAAAAGCCCAGTCTGCAAGCTTGTATCCCGAGTTTGATGAGAGCTCAATACCCACAATTCATCGAGAAAATCATAGTATTATTCAGGTTATAAATCTTAAATTAATTAAATATAGCTTCAACCCTTTATTTAGCAGCAATAATTTTGTTTATTTTAAAAGATACATAAATGTCAATTTTTCTAACAAATACTATAGTGATTTACACTATCTAGAACGGGGCTTTTTTTGATAGTTCCAACAGCAAAAAAGCCCCGTTCTAGATAGTGTAAGTCACTATATTTAAAATTGGTAAATTGAAAATTATAACTCATATTAATTGCAGTAAAGGTAATTGTCAGAATAGATAATGAACTAGGAAGGCAAAGAGGCTGAGGCAACTTAGAAAAATTAATTAAAAAATTAAGCCAGGTTATGAGCAAAATTAATGAATTACAGAAAGAAATGCACAAAATTTCTGCACAAATGGTGTGCAGTGAAAAAGAACTGCAGTTTAAAGAGGAAGAAAATTTGATGTTAAAAACACAGTTGAAATCCTTATTCCAACCTCCGTGAGCGAACAAAAAAATTTTTGTTCGCTCGAGGAAGGGAGTTAATTTTTTTTAAAAAAATTATATATAGTCAGTGTCACTAACTTTATAGAAAATTTTTTATTCAAAATCTAAAACAATCCCAATTGCAAAATCGGAAAGCAAATATTAATTAATTTGTAAACTTTATGTTTTAAAATCAAATTGTTTAAAATTAAACAGAATTAGTCTAATTATCACTTATATATTAAAAAATTCATAAAAGATTTTTATATTGTTCGCTCACGGAAGGTAGGCTTTTGGCCAAAAATAGGAAATTTTCCAATGATGCAGGGGATAGTTAGAAAATGTGGCTCAGACATATATAAAGTTGGAGGAAGCGAAGCCAAATCTAAAGAAAACGAATTGTGTATGCGCTTTGTTTTAAGCAAAGAAAATTAATTACTATAAATTTTTATTAGATTTAATTATATAAAAAGATTTTTCTCTATAGCTATTTTACTGTAAAAATTCTGCGCGTTTTAACTAAAAATAAATTATTATTTTTATAATAAATATAAGAATTGATAGTATTTAAATATAGCCCAGTGTCTACTTTGAGTCACTCTGGGCTAGTCTTTGCCGCCTGACAAGTGTCACTATATTTTCACTTATCAAACTGTAGGTAAAACTTGGCAATTGCTACTGTCTAAGCCAAACCATAGATTGAGGCAGCAAGGTGTAGCCCAGGGCGATCCAAAGCAAGCTCTGTTCCATAATTTATCTTGATAAATAGTGATATTTTGGCGTATATAGATTTCCTGGCGAAGTTTCCTTTACAAAATGCTCAGGCCTGGCTGATTTCCCCATAGAAACCCTAGGAGAGCTTGCCCTATTACTTGGCTTCGGGTTATAAGTCCCAGGTCCGGGTATCGCTGTGGTAATTGGCTTAGATTTCGGGTCAGTTCCAAAAGAATACCCTCTCCCATAAGAGAACTCTGACTAATTTTTTCTTACATTTAATTCTTCCTTTCCCAAAGTCCTCAAACTTTGTTGTGAGATTGAACTTTTCATGCTTTGATGACTCCTTGCAGAAGTTACACTATGTAATGGCATAGACATTTGCTGGGTTTCTTCATTTGGAAAATGCTGCACTGCCGCCATTTCTTCTCTAGGCGTGGACTGCCTTGACGCAATCCTAGCTTTTTCTTTAGAAATCCAAACTTCGTCTACTAGCATACTTGCAATTACTTTAAATAAATCTTGAGAGTCCTGGTTTTCTTTTAGCTGGTCATGAGCTGCAGAAATTATATCATAGAGAGAGCTCATTAGGCCTGAGTCTTGGATTTTTTGGAAGGTTAAAGGCATGTCTTTGAATTTTTCAGAATCTTTAAGAAGTCGTTCAGCCTATATCTTTTTTACCATGGTGTTCAAAATCTTTATACAGAATTTGAGAATTTTGGTAAAATCATTATGGGACTATCAAAAATTAAGCGAAACAGAAAAACTAATATCTCGTTATTAAAATATTTGCCAGACCAAGGCTTTAGCATTAACTAGTTTAGGCTACAATATGAATTTTATTTTTCAGATGCCCAGTAATACTCCTTATAATTTTAGGGATTAATTCTGGAATCCATTTTGCCTTTCAACTCCACGAATTTGACTGCATTTTCAAAATATCTCATATTTATAAGTTATTAGCCAATCATGCAACTTGCAACAAACACCACAAACAATAACCCTTTTCTTCACCGTAATCCAAATTTAACTAATTAAGGCCTTTCAATAAGAAAAGTCCTCATAAAAAAAGAATTATATAGTCGAAATATGAATAGTCTTAAGCATTTATAAATATTTACATATAAAATAAAGACTTATAATTTATATATATAGGGATAATATAATAATTTATCATTATGTTTGATCCCAATTCATTCTTAGGTGAACGTGATGCCTTTGAAACAGATGGACAGGAGCCGCCTTTTGTTCCACCTGAAATGGCCCAAATCTTTTTCCCTGGCTTCTTTCTTGACTCAGAAAACCCAGAAATGCCCAAACGAGAAGATATGATTGACAACTTTATGATGCCAGTACCCGAGATGGAGTCTTGGGATCCAAATTTTCTTTTTATGCTGGATCCCAGCCTTATGGGTGGCCCTGAAAATGCAGTGTGCATTTTTTATATTGATTTTTACTGTCAAATTGACCTTGAAATTTTTAAAAGTAAATAAAAATTTCGGAAGAAAAAAAAATCTAAAAATGTTATTAAGACTTATAGAAAAGTTCTTTATAATCCCATAAGGACTACCTCCACCTATAGCGCTTCTCTGCTTGCTAGACAGTTCGAGTTTCACGAAATTGCGAAGGCTACTCCTGCTGGACTAGGGCCTGCACTCGCTACCCGGTAGTCGGATGATTTGCGTCACCGTGCTGTACGTTAACAGGGTTGCCCACCATTGAAAATTCAAAAGGATTGACTTTTCTGGTCGACTCTCGGCCAAAATTGAAATTCGTAGCCCAGGGCGCATTTCCTGGTTCCACGCTGGGTAATAGTCCCTGTTGGCCAGCACGATCGCCAATAGCTCTGCTTGGAGACCCCTTTCCAATATCTTGACCCATTTCCCAATCAGGCAGAAACTTGACATTGGAGTAAAGCTTGCGGACAAGAAAAATCCAGCCGAATGCACCTTCTTGAACGCCATCTCCCTTCCTCAAGGTCCCTGCGTACCCTTGGGATGTTGGCTACAGGAGTTAAGAGGGTAGGTTGGTAATCATGCCATTTTAATGTATATTAAAGCTGCTAAACCAATCTAAAAAATAATAAATAATATAAGCAGAAAACGCTGCAGAATAAACTAACTCCCCCCCCCCTCCGTGAGCGAACAAAACCATTAGAAAAATCGCCATTTTTTGACCAAAAACCCACCCTCCGTGAGTGAACAAAAATTTTTTTAATAGAAAAAATTTTAATGGAAAAAAATTTTGATATATAAGTGATAATTAGTATAATGAAATCTAGAGCTAATTCTGTTTAATTTTTAAAACAAATTGCGTTTTAAAACATAAATTTTATAAATTAAATTAATATTTGCTTCCCAATTTTTGCAAATTAGGATTTTTTTTAAATTCGAAAAAAATATTTTTTATAAAATTTATATATAAATTTTTTTTTAAAAAAAAAAATTAACCCCCCTCCGTGAGCGAACAAAATTTTTTTGTTCGCTCACGGAGGGGGGGGGGGAGAGTAAGCAAAAAGTATAAATTATTACTTGCTATATTATAGCCAAGGCCCTTCCAAACTTAAGGGAGAAACAGTGGCCAAGTCAAATCTGCCAGCTGGCAAGTCACACTATAGATTTTACTTGTTAACTTTTGGAGTTGACTTCACAACTGTTGATACCCTAGCCAGCACCGTAAGTTAGAAGGGCGACTTTTACGCAGGATCTAAGGTAATACTTTTTCTGGATAATTTTTTTTCGAAATTTAAAAATTCCCAATCTAAAATAAATTAATTTAATTTGAAAAAATTGTGTTTTTTGTTATGTGAGCAATTTAAATACCGTAAGCTGTTTAAAGATTAATAGAATTAGCTAGAGATTTAATTATAATAATTAAAAGAATCCACACTTTTCAGTCTTGAATGTTTTTTCACAGTTCGCACACTTTCTTTCATTAAAAAAACTAAGCCGTTAATTTGGTTGTAAAAAGCGAGAAAAAAAAACTTTGCGTTTTGTCAGGTTCACTTAGCCTTATGCCCAAAGACCCACAAGAAATGAGACGTCTTATGGCTCAATCTTTTGACTACTATCCTATGATGAACCCAGAAAACGTCGAGATGCAATTTAAAAATCAAAATGAGAAAGTTGATCTAGAAAGCCAGTTTTTGCCAAAGCCGCAAATTATATATGATAACACAAAAAAGATTGGGACTTTAACGCTAGAAGAGCGCAGATTGAAAATAGAAAAATATTTACACCTCTTATTTATTATAAAGAATTATATCAAAGATTTTATTATAAAATTATTAAATTTTGGTTTTGTTAAATAATTTTTCATACAAAAACAATAAATTATATCACTATAATATGATTTAATTGGTAAAAGAAGTTAGAAAAAAGAAAAAAGAGAACCTTTTCGAAGAGAATTGCTTATGCTTGCAGAAAAAGGGTCGCTGACAGCAGAATAAGAATTAAAGGAAGATTTGTCACAAAAGTTCAAGCTGAAGCGCTTAAGGGCCTAGAAAATGAAAGAAATAATGTTTCCTTGCCTCTCAGCAATGAGAAGCGAAATATATAAACCATCAATATTAGATTAATATCAACAATAGTCTGAATTAATAAGAAATGGGGTAAACCATGCTAAAAATAATAATAAAATCCCAAAACCCAATAAATTCTTAAAAGTAATTTAGTAATTAGGTAAAAACTCAGCTAATCAATTCTTTCAAAAGCAATCAAACAATGCATGTTCCCGCCCAGTTTTTTTCCTGAAACAAGTGTCTCAGACTGATAAGACTGCACTCCTAGCTCAGGCTTTCTTATATTATAAAAATGAGGATTTTGCTGGTCTATATCAAGCACAATATCATCCCATTTCTTTGCATGAAAGATTGGGCTGGTTTTTGAGCATTCTCCAATTATAATAAAAGGTCTTATGTCGCTAGGATTGATTTGGTTTAATTTTTTATAAGCGTCACTTGGTATCATTGGAGAAAGCTCGTATCCAATTGGGCACATATAATGGTTATAACAATGATAAATATAAGTCTTATTTGTAGATCTCAGCCCTTCTATAAGGCCTTTTAGCGCTTGGTCTTTATCAATTCCTTCAGTCCTATTTTTCCCATGGAGTTTCCAAAAGAAATGAGCATTTCCTTTTACCCCAAAATGCAAATTCAAAATATTGAACCAATTGATAAGTGTATTATTACCCGTAAAAGGCCCAAACCTTATATCATGAAAAGGCGGTTCAATTCCTAAAATTATTAGAGCTTTTTCTTGAGATAAAGGTTGCAGATTTCCATGTCCTAAATTGCTATATAAAAAGTTCCAGCAAGAGACTAGAGAAGTGATACCACATGATTTGGGGTATTGTGGTCTTGACATACAAAACCATCTTTTAGTGTCCATGTATTTTCTCAGGCTCATTTCTTCTGAGGTAATATCAAGATTTTCAGGAATTTCAATAACTTCGTTTACTTCAATTTTTCTTACTCGAGGATTTACGCCATCAATTAAAGGGTTACAGCTGTAGTTCGGGTCTAAATTTAAAATATCAGCTAAAGGGGTGAGCCCATTTTCATTTTCTTGCTTTTTGGCTGGCTCTTGTTTAGGAACTCTTTTGATTTTTCGTTTCTTTTTAAAACTTGATGAGTAGTCTAGTATTACATTAGAAGCTTCTGACTTTTCAACTGATTGATAAATAATCTGCAAGACGATTTCTTGAATTTCCATTATAATGGCGCCAGGTTATTATATTTAATTGGCAAAATTACTATATCCCTAAAAAAACCGAAATTTACAAAGGCAAGCTAAGCTCGATTTTCTACCAAAATGCCCTAAAATATTATATTATTTTATGAGAAATTAATATATTCCACACTTAAAATCTTTCCTATCGCAGTCATGAAGGTATCTTTCACCATAAGTCTAGTCCCAGGAACAATGTATTCTGGATGGTAAAGGAACCTTAGCTTCAAAACTGTGGCTTTGTTTGGGAAAATTTCGATAGGCTCTTCAGCTTCTTCACTAATCACCCTTGCGCACTGTCTAATAAATTGCGTATGAATTAAAGGGGTGTAATTATTGCTAAGCTTCCTAACCCCATTTACATTATCAATAGGAGTTATTTCACATTGAAACTCAAAAGCAGCCCGAGGGGTTGAATTTATGTGTAATAAGGCCATCCCTGACCGGACTTCTCCACAGTTGTAAACTTGAAATGCACAGAATTGGCCTGCCCTGACACTTGTGACAGGGACGTGCTTACAGTGAATGCTTTTTATTTGGACGATACTGAACCTTCCTTCATCATTAGGGCCCAGCAGCATTTTCTGGCCTTTATTAATGCTGCCTTTTACAACGACCCCTCCGAGTATTTTTTTCCCGTCCTTTTCTATGCCTCTTTCAATATAAAATTCTGTTTCTGCTTCAGATTCTTTGTCTCATGAATCTGAGACAGGCAAACAGTTCAGAAAATTTCCTAAAATGTCTATACCAGGCCACTATTAATAATACCATTATTTTCATATAAAAAATCTGCATTAATTCTTTTAATCAGCATAAATTCATCCCAGTCACACAGGAGACTTGAAAAATCGGGACAAGGCCAACTTCTGTGAACATTTTGCTAATCAAAACAATATCTTCATTATTAGTTATATGGGTTTTCAGGGCTTTTACATATATATCTAGCTGGTCTAGCGTTCGGTTGAGCTCTTCTTGGCTTGCTTTATCCACTTTAGTAATAACAATCATCAAAGGGAGTTTTAGTGCCTCAGCCAATTTTAAATGCTCCAAAGAAATTTCATCAAACCCAGACGCGGCGTCCAAAATTAGCAAAGCATAGTCAGGGATCTGGCTGCACATCCCAGACACCACAGCATTTGCATACTTTTCGCTCCCAGCCAGATCAATCAGTGTAATAATTTTTGAGGACTTATCAAGTATATAATTTGAAGAATTCCTGTATCCATGCGTAAAATTAGTGACATCCCCATGGCTGTCAAATCCTAAAATATGTTGGCTTACTGAACAAGTTCTTCCCATCAGTGCTTCATGCTTATGCTTACATATATTCATTCTTGCCAAGCCTTTCCCATTATCTTTTTTGCCTTGTGTCAAGACTCCAATTAGTGTGCTTTTCCCGTTTCCTCCTTTGCCAAGCAGAATGATCCTGATGTCCATGATGACAGTCTCCCTGTCTGACTTGCTGACCATGACTTCAGCAACTTCGCCATCAATGCCTCTTTCAGTGCGGAGGACTCTCATTTCAGCGTTCGCTGAAGAACTGATGGCCTCGATATTGCTGAGAGACTCTTTCATTTCTTCAGGAGAAATCCCTATTGGAATTCCGTCATCATTTATACCTAACATATAGTATGCAGTTCCTTTTCCTTCGCCAAGCCGAAAAATCATTTGGGTTGTCAGTTCTTGGATTCTTTCAGGGGTCAGGTCAATGAGTCGTCATTTGTATTCTCTATTTCCAGAGTCATTTTCTCGGCCAATGGGCTTGCTGAGAGTACTGAGATCATGGGCTTCTTTTAGCTCGCGGTTTTTCTTGCGGTAGTTTTCTCGATTTCGCTTACGTTTGGGCTGGGTAGGGTTTCGAAGCTCAATGTCAGGGTCATCAGCCACACCGTCTTCAATTTTAAAAAAGTCAAAAAGACCAGCCATATATAATCTGTACTAATTGAATTTATTTTTTATCAAAATAATAAGCATTTTCTTATTATCTTGGCTTATTATCATATATTTTTGAAATAGCAAAAATAATACTTCTATTCTATATAAAATAAAATCATTATAAACTGGCTGCTCTTTTATAATAAAAATGATCCTAATTAATCACATCCGACAAATTGTCTGCATTTCAGACTCTTACCAGTCTTTTAAAATTGGCACCGATATGTCAAACCTCCACATTATTGAAGATGGAGCCATTATAATCCAAGGAGAACGAATTTATGAGCTTGGCTCTTCCAATGACATATTGTCCCACTACAGTCCAGACAATTTCACAGAAATCTATGACGCCTCTGATATGTGCCTCATCCCAGGACTCGTAGATGCCCACACTCACGTCGTATTTTCTGGTGATCGCGTGCATGAATTCGCTATGAAGCTTGAAGGAAAATCTTATATGGAAATCCAAGCAGCAGGCGGTGGCATCACTTTTACTTAACTTAACTTAACTTATTAACCATCACGTTTAACGTCTCCTACGGGGTTGCTCTTCCAGGACTATCACCACACTCTCGTCGCTCGGGGCCACTAGTTGCTGGGACAACTAGCTTTGATCTCCAACGCGCGCCTCCTGCACGATGTTCCGGCTTCGACGGCTCATGATTGAGCTACTTTCTCTGCAACGAGGGTTGTCTGCTGGGAAATTCCAAAAAATGGAATTTCTGGCCGACTTTCGGCAAAAGAGGAAAACTTGTAGCCCGGGGCGAAACTCCCGGTTTCTCGCTAGAGATTTGCCCGAATGGCCTAGGGATTACCTGTAGGCGCTGCTGGGCTTCTCCTTTCCAACTCCAAGCCTCCTCTTCCCTCGAGGTAAAATCCTAACCCGAGAACGGACTGGGATCAGGCTCTGTACACTGCCAGAATTGCTTACCTGATGTTGCTGTCCATCTATAGCTAGGCAAAACCTTGCCGGATATAATTAAATAGGGCTCGAAACTGTCTGGCCGAGAGGCCAGACCCCAAGTTGAGACGCCATATTTAATTATGGGCATCACTTTTACAACTTCTCATGTAAGAGAAAGCTCTGAAGAAGAACTCTATAACTTATTGATACCACGACTTGACAGAATGCTCGCATTTGGCACAACTTTAGCAGAAGCCAAATCTGGGTATGGGCTAGAGCTTGACTCTGAAGTAAAAATGCTGAAAGTCATTAAAAAGGCGAATGAGGAGCATACAATTGATCTTGTGGCTACTTATTTGCCAGGGCATGCGGTAAATCCAGGAAAAACAGCACAAGAGATGGTGGATGATATAGTAAACCACCAAATTCCTGTGATAAAACAGTTAAAAGATAACGGTGAAATTAACCCAGAAATGATTGATGTATTTTGTGAAAAAAATGTATATGAAATAGAAGAAACTAAAGCAATTTTGGAAGCTGGGAAAAGGATTGGACTGGAGGCGAATTTCCATGGAGAAGAAATAGAGTATTTGGAAAGTGGGGTGTTAGCTGCAAGCGTTAAAGCGAGAGCTATGAGCCATTTAGAGAATTTATCCTATTAAGATAGTATAAGCTTAATAATAAATAGAAAAATACTGCTAAAATTTAAGGCAAATATATTTTAGGAAGCATAAGTGAACAAGCAATACCTCTTATGGCTGAAGCTGGAGTTATTGGGGTTCTTCTCCCTACAACTCAGTATCTATTGCACTTAAAAACTCCCCCTGCAAGATCTATGATAGCTAATGGAGTTCCTGTCGCAATTGGGACCGATTTCAATCCTAATATGTGGTGTTTGTCAATGCCTTTAGCAATGCACATGGCTTGTGTCAATTACAGGCTCAGTATGGCTGAAGCACTTGTAGCTTCAACATTAAATGCAGCAGCCAGCATGGGGAGAAGCCAAGAATATGGCTCAATTGAGCCAAGAAAATATGCAGACTTAGTCTTTATCAAAGCAGAAAGATGGGAACATTTAATTTACCAAATGGCAGACCCTCCTATAGCAGCAGTTTGGAAAAAAGGAAAAATAGTCATTGATAAATATGACAGATTTAGATTAAAATAATTATTTTTAAGGCTCAGTTTCAAGATCTATTTCTTTTATTTTCCAATTTCCAGCTGAAACAGCAGCTTCTGCTATTTCTTTGGATATCATTAATTGTAGCTTGGCATAATAAGATTTGCTTGAACTGTACAAAATGATTGATTTTTGCAGTGAATTTTTGCCGATTTGATAGATATTTACAAGTAAAAGTTTGACTGCGAGCGTGAAATCGTGATTTAGTATATAAACAGACTTGTTCGTAAATAGGAAATATTTATCGTAATCATTTGACTCAAAAATGGTTGAGCAGGCTTGGAAATTCAATTTCTTTTCACCTATTTCTCCGTATTTCATTATTATTTTTGCTAAAAATTTATCTTCTTGTGAAAATTGTTCAGCAAGCGGCTTATTCATTAAGTTCTCTAATTCGTTTTTAGAAGCAACTGTATTTCAGCTGATATAATTTCCTGTTATCTCATAATGAAGCTGCTCCATTGCTTTAATGATATCAAAATAGCTTTCACTGGATATTAAAATATCATCGTATTTCTCATCATTTGGGTCAATATGAAACAGTATGGCTATATCTTTCTCCGCTAGACTTACTGCTTTTATCGACTTATAACTTATTCTTCTAATGATATTAGTCCAGTCTTCCCGGTCAAGTATATAAATAGCATGAGTTGTAAACATTAAGGTGACCAGTTCTCCTTTCATATCAGCTTTGTCAGAAATCCCATCCAATTTTTCGATTTCTCCATCTTCTAATTCTCCTTGATAATTATCCAAAATTTGAATTATTTTTCGTTGATCACTTTTTCGGTAGTTTGAGGCTTCTTCTGACTCCCCTCTCATGAGGAACAAAAAATTTTTAAAGAAAGGTTTTTTTTTTTAAATTTATTAATATAGTAAATGTTATTTTGAGAATTCGCAAAAAAATTAAAGCAAATATTTATTTAATTTAAAAAAATTTATGTTTTTAAATGTGAGTTTGTTTTTTTAAATTAAACAGAATTAGCTAGAGATTTCATTATATTAATTTTCTTTTATATAAAGTTAAGAGTGTGGGCTTTTTTTATTTTTCCAATGGTTTTGTTCGCTTGGAGGGTGGGGGAATAAGTGGTAATGGAGCAATATTTCTTGGCTTTCAAAAGGGTCACTTTTAAATTTTTCTTCATTAGCATTTCTTATTGACTCAGTTTTTTCGAATCTTACATGCTTTGGTGCTTCTTGGTTTAACTGTTTCGCTAATTTTTTTAGTTCTAAAGAAGTTTTAAGGTGTTTTGGAGAAGATTTTCCTTTGAACTGCTTGGAAGGTCTTCTTTCTTCGAACGACTTGTGCTGAGATTTCTTTCTTTTGTGAGAAATTTTGCTGGTATTTTTAATATTATCTTTTTCATTGTGTAATGGGCCATGATTAAGCCTTCCTGTGCAGCATGTGTTTCCCATTAATAATATAAAATTAGCATTAAAAACTAATTTAATGATGACTGCAATTAATTATTTATATCAATTTTGCATTTTTCATTACAATTATGTGATGTTTTACTTTAATTATTTTTGATAGGCTTGAATTTTCTAATTTATTATTTTATAAAGCAATCAACAGCTTGATAAATGTTTTCTTCATGATTTTATTATAAAACACTCTAAATCAGCTGCTCATTCTTGTTAAATTAATTAACTATAAAGAATAAATTTTTCGTTATTATGATTAATTAAAATTCAATTTCTAAAAAAATATATAATTAACTCATTAAGTTTTTTTGTTTTTCTAAGCTTGCATGAAAAGCTCCTACAACCTCAATTGCGTCTTCAATCTTCTTTGCATGCAGCATTTCTATTTGCTGATCTTCATTTAGCTTTTTTATCCACTTTAATTTGAATTCGCTCAGTTCAAGCTCCATAAAGCAGTCAACTCCTCTACTTTGTATAAGTTTTCCCATCGAGTTTTGTGAATCTATAGACAACATCTTGCTAAAAATAAATTTTTTCAGCTCAGAAAGCTCATCAGAGTTCATAGCGTCCAAGCAAGACTCCATTTCATAAGGAAGAAGCCTTTGAGAAATACAAGGGGGGGCCATATACTCAATTAAAGCATTTTTCGCTGCAAAGTAAAAACATTTAGATGATAATTCAATAGAATAATGGCTCAAAATATGCAGGATTACTTGAATATTGTCTAAACTAACTGTGTATTCTAATGTTTCTAGTAAATTTTCTGTCTGGTTTTGTACCAAAGCTGTGCCTAGGTCATGGTAGTTTGAAATTATATAGTCTTCAAAATAATGGTTTTGAGCTGTTTTATTATAAAAATCCAATAAATTTGCTGTTATTATAGGCTCACTTATTGCGAGTAAAACTTGCATATTTTCAAGGCGCATTTTTGAAAGGGATTCTTCATTTGGTAACTTGTGGAGTTTTATCGGCGATTTCGCAAATTCTTCAGGATGAGGATGAAATATAAGTGTTTTTAATAAGGAGTCTTGGACAGCGCTATCATATTGGTCAGTCTTTGGCAATTTATTGAGTAGAATTAAATAATTTTTTGACTGAGATTCTATATACTCAATAACGTCAGCAATATCAAGCAGTTTTGCCCATTTCTCAAACTTTGATGGCTTTGCTGACAAAATATAATTTACTCTGTCTTTTTCATTAATATTCATTGCATCTTCTATACTTTCCAGCTCTAGCCCACACTCATATACCAATATCCAATATTGCTTATAATTTTTATACAGCATATTAAGCCCTGGAACTCTTTTTGCTATAGATTCTTTAATAACTTTCAAACACTCATCCACATTTCCAGTTTTCCTGTCAATATCCCTACACATCTTTTCTACCTCTTTTGCATTGCTCATATTTACTATAAATTTTCTATTTACTTAAGAAATTTCATATAAAAGACAACAACAATAGTCATAACCAGCAGAATAATGATCGCAATCATTATCATTTTATTCGTCAGAGCCCTTCTGTGCATTGCAGCTATCATTTTATTAGATTTCCCTAAATTTTCTGAAATATCTTGAGCGCCGTAAGAAGCTCTGTAAATCTGTTCTCTCTGCATTTTTAGTGTGGTCATAGTGTTGATTGCGATGGATTCAGACTCCAAAGCCATTTTTTTCCCTTGTTCTAGCCTGTCTCCTTGGTCTGCTAGCAGCTTATGAGACTCTGTCAACCTTTTGTCTTGAACTGGCTCATTTTTAAGTGCTTGTCCCATTAGGACTTCTCTGTTGATATTTTCTGCGATTTTTCGTTCTTCTTCTTTTACTCTTTGCATCAGCTCTTTTCAGTCGCCTTCATGTCTTTTGATTCTAGTTTGCAATTGAGATTTTGCTATAAAAGGCATCATTGAGGCTTCAAATTCCATCTGTTTTAGCAATTTTTGGGCTTCATTTAGGTCTTTGTGGAGCTTTAGGAGAGCGTCTTTGTCTGGCCTCACGATGATTGTTCGGCATTCTATTAGGATTTTCAGAAAGTCTTGCTCGTAGCTTTGCAGCATAATTTATGAAAATATTGGAATTAAAAACGGATTAAAATAAAATTCAAAAAATATTTCATTATCTTATAGTAGAAAGCCATTCTTCAAAGTAAGCATGGTCTTCTGATTCTGGATTACTTTTGTGCAGTGGAGCTTGACTGGATTTTAATTTATTAATTTCTTCTTTTAGCCTGTCGATTTCTTCTTGCAGATCATTTTCCCCTTCATTTTTTTGATTTATTTTGTCTTTGAGCTCATCAATTAAATCTGTTTTATTATTTATATCAATCTGCAAAATGCTCATTTTTTTATCAAAATCTAATATCACTTTGTCTTTTCCAATTACTGTTTTCTCAAGCTTTGCGATTTGAAGTTTTAATTCATTAATCTGCTCTTGAGATAAATTTGAATTTTCTGCCAATTTTTGGATATTGCCATTTTTCTTATTTTTTTCTATAAAAAAGGATATAGTTTTTTTTATATAAAATTTACCTCCAATTTTTTGTTTTCAGTTTCAAGAAAATCGCATTTTTCTTTCATTCTTTTCATTTGTGATTTTTGTTTTAATGCTAAATCTTTGCTTGATTTAGTTTCTTCTTCTATTTCTTTTTGCAAATCTAGCTGCTTTTTCATATTACTTCTTTCTTCTTCTAGCAGTTTAATCCTTGATTGGATTCTTTTGCTGTCATCAGTTTTTTCTTTCAATTTTTTTTTCAAAATATTGATTTCTTCTTGTGTTTGAGCAAAACTTTTTGTTTTTCCTTTTGAGTCAGACAAGATAGCAGAAAGATTTGCATTGCTTTCTTGTAGGGCTGAATTTGATTTTGTTAAAGCTGCTATTTGTCGTGACATGCTTTCGTTTTCACATTCTAATAAATGGACTTTTACTTTGTCATTTTTTTCGGGCATGCTTTCACGTAAAGCTTTAACTTGGCTAGAGAGAAGTTTATTTTATTAGTTCTTAGTTAAGATAACAGAACAACTCCATGTGATACATCGAATGGGTATTTTTCTCCACTTTGCTTCACGCTGCTTGCCGTTGTATATCGACTATGCTCCTCTAAAATGGGCTCGCACACTAATTTGGGTGCAGCTGGATAGTTCATTGTGTCGTACCCTGACTTGGGCTTGCCAGACTACCTTGGCTCCAGAAACTTCAGAGTGCAAATGGTGTAAGGCCTAACCAATATTCCGCCCTTTAGTTTTCTGGTGAGACTCACCTAACCTAAGGATCAACTCCCTAGATCAGAGCAACTCTCTATTAGATGCCCCGAGAGTCCCGATTGACGAAGACTATGTGAGAGGAAAAAGCTGTCTAACCCACCTGACAAGGGCAGTAAAACCTTCCAGGGAGAAAACGAAACTTCCCTCTTCGGTAAGGCTTCCACAAACATGAAGGCCTATTTGAAAAAGTGACAGAAGCCCTGCTTTCAGTTTCATCAGGATGGGTCCGATCTGTTCCACAGGGAATGCCCCTAGGAGATCATCTTTCGTCGACGCCACCATTTATTTCTCTAGATTGGTACAAAGGAATTTGCAAGGCTTTCCTTAACAAAACAAGCTTGCATCTTCTCCAGAGGCAAACCTTGAACAAGAGCAAGCTGCCTTCAGTCTGGCCTAGCATTGCGCTCCATCAAACCATTAGAATCTGGCCAGATACACACTACCGAACACCATTCTCCCTCTGGGTTTCCCAGATACAGGTGCTAATGGGGTAGGTTGGCTCACCGCACCATTAAATTATATAAGAAATTTATTTTCAGCTAGCAAATCTTCTTCTGATTTAATTCTATTGGATAAATCTTGCCTTATACTTGCGAGAGAAATAGAAAGATTTTTATAGTCCTCTTCTTTGTGCTGCAGCTGTTTTTGGTAGACTTCGTTTGATTTTTTCATTTCTTCTAGTTCTCTTTGCATGAAGGTGTATTTTTGGGAAATTTCTGTGTTTTCAAGGACTAGCTTTTCTATTTTTTTATCCTTTTCAAGAAGCTCCTTACTATTATCAATTATTGGCTTATCACTCTCCTTTTCCAAGTCGCATTGAATTTCACTATTATTTACTTCTCTGCTCATTTTTTCAAGCAAATATTGATGCTCCTCTGCTAATTTATCAGAAAATTCTTTATATCCTTTAGAAACCTCAGTCAGTTCTTCTACTTTATTCTGCAATAGACCAATAATTTCATCTTTTTTGCTCTCAATTTCTGCTTCATAATTGCTTTCTTCCTCATACTCCTCATTTGCTTCATTAAATTCATCTACAGCATTTCCAATAATTTCGCTGACTCCACACCAATACTCCTCCTCACCAACCTCTTGATTTTCCAAGCTTTCTTTAATTGATTTTAATTCCTCGTCTAAATCATTCATAAGCTCTTCTGTTTTTATTTTGAATTTCTTGCATTTTTCAAGCAATTTTATTGTATTTTTTAACTCAAACTGCATAATTTCCAAGTTTTCTTTTAAATCAGAATTTTGGGAAATTAAAGCAATATTGTCCTGTTCAAGCTTGGCAGCTTTATTATAGATAGAATTGTCTTTTGGTTCAGGAACTGTTTGAGAATACCGAGAACAACGTGGGATATCAGTCTCAATTAAATCTTTTACAGATAAATCCATAGGTTTTTGAGTTTTTAAATCAGCTTGGATTGAGGCAGATCTTACTGAGTTTCGTTTTTCGGTTTGCTGGTGGTACAAAAATACTAAAAAGTCATAAAGATTTTTGAACCTGATATAGAGCTCTTCTTTTTCTTTATCAGGCTCGTCTCACATCTCTATAGGAGTCCCAGCACTAAATGGGGAAAATGTGGATTTTGGAGTAGTAGGGTGGGTTGAAATAAGAGAAAGGTCAGATTTCCTTTGGTTAAGGTATTTCTTTTCTTGGGAGATTAAATTTTCAATTGTGTGGATTAAGGAGTTTGCGGCTTCTATTGGGATGTCTTTGTCCGCCATTAATATTCGTTTGGCTTGCTGGATTGTTTTTTTGTCTAAATAGGCTCGGTCTTGTTCTTCAAGAAGTGATTGAAGCCGCGAAAAAGTTTTGTCGTTGATTAACTCCCAGTCTGGGAATTTTGTGTCGAAATTTTCCTCTGAGGTGACGGTGCAGGTGGAGTTTCTTGAATTGGGAATGCTTGGACTTTTAAAATTTGCCGAATGCTCCAAAATTATTGAATCTCATTCTTCTAAAAACCTCCTACTCATAAATTTAAATATGTAAAAAATTCATATAAATAGGCAGATTTTATAAATAATATAATATTCAGAAGTGTTTTAGCTAGGAAACCTAAATAATCAGTTTATATAAACAAATACCGAAAATAAAGATTTGACTGTTCTAATTTAATTTTCTTATTAATTAAGCTATATCACTGCCTTTTCAGTCAAAATTATAATCCCTATACAAAATAAATTTTTATATTATCAATTGTTATTTTAAAATGTAAACATTTATTATCTGTTAAAGGAATAAATCTTTACTATTTATAGAGCTTTTCATTTAATAGCCCAAGAGCAAGTGTAGTGTAGTGGTTATCACATCTGCCTTACACGCAGAAGGTCGCGGGTTCAATCCCCGCCGCTTGTACTTTTTAATTTTTTAAAACAGAAATATTATTTATTATCCTAATTGAATATATACATAAAATGGCCGGAGACGAGCGACCCGTCCTTCCGTGGCGGGTGTCCTTATGTATACCGGACGTGGTTTTTGGATCGGAGAGCTACTCAAGGGAAGAGTTAGCCTCGAGGCCAGCCCAATTTCCGCTGATTTTGGGACTTGACCCAGGCAGCAGTTTTTCGCATTCTTTTTGCCAGTAGCGCCGAGGTCCAGACTCTGTGTCCGAAAGAGGCAGGGGGTTGAGTTCTTTCTTGGAGATGATCCGGGAAAGAGGGGAGGCGAAGCTCGACACAGATCTCAAGGGCACAAGTCTCTCCAGTCGAAAAGGGTCCCGATCAAAAGGGGCGATCTGGCCAGAGGCGAGCAGGGTTGGGTAGACATGGCCTCAAGTTGGAAATTGGTGGTTCCCGGCAAAATCCGTATGACCCGGATCAGGAGGGAAATTGCCACTACCGAGAAACCGGGGGTTTCGGCCCGGGCTTGAGTGCCTTAAGGGAGCCCACCCCGCAGCGGTTCCGCTGCGGAATGCGAAGACTTTGGAAGTGGGGACTATAAATACACAGCTTTAATCTAATCTAATCTAATCTAATCTAATCTAATCCTAATTGAATATGATCTTCATTTGACTGTTGTCCGTTCTCATTAATAGTCGATACAACTTCCCAAGTCTCATCAGGAGCTTCTTTTAACAGTCTCGTAATATTATCATATGCACTGACCGCCAGCACATTTCCAGCAACCGACCAACTAACCCTCCAAATCGGGTATTTCAGCTTCAGCACACACTTGGATTTCCATTTCCCGCTGTCACTCGAATTTGTCCATATCGCAACGGTCGCATCTTCGCTACAACTGGCAAACATATCCCTCGCCATCCCTAAACTTGGGCACCATGCGACATCTCTGACACACCTTGTATGCAAATCTAATGGCGTACAGTCATAATGTTCATCAGCCCATGTCCAAACTTTTACTAGATTATCAGCTCCTCCTGACACAAAACGCTTTACTAAATAAGATTCTTCACTTTCAAGCAAGCTTAAAGAGGTAGCTGGAGCCCAGGAGACTGCATAAACACCGCCTTCATGAGCGGTAAACTTCATGGCTTCCCATCTGTCTTCAGAAGTCCTGCTGATTACAGAAACAGAGCCATCTAAAGAACCGGCAAGAAGAGTCAAGTCATATTCCCAGGGTCCCCAAGCTATACAATTTATAGGTCCTTCGTGATTATCATATTCGTATACGACATTTCAGGAATTTGAGGACATTTCTTTCCAAACGAGCACCTTTCGGTCCACTCCACAGGAAGCTAATAGAGAGCCAAAAATTTAGGATGTGGCCAACGATTAAAAACGTCAGTTAGGGTAGGGCTCAGGTCCAATATCCGATCTCAGAGAGAAGTCCAAGGCTTCTTGAGAGTTTCGACTAAATAGAATAGGCCTATACTGAGTCTAGCATGGATTAGAGAGGTCCTAAGGTCGACGGTTAGGCCAACCCACCTGCCATTATTCATAGCTGTGGTCCAACCTGGGATCAAGAACTACGGGACTTGAAGAGTTATCTTTAACTTAAACTTTAGGATGTGACCATGAAAGAGCCAGGACTGAGCCTTGGTGATGTTGGAGGTTTGCGACTTGTTGCATTTGGTCATCTTCTTTTGTGAGGAATATCTTTATGTGTCCGTCTTGAGAGCATGTTGCGAGCTGTCTTCCGTAATAGTCGAACTGGGCATCGTTTATAGCACCTTCATGTCTTGTATCGAAGCTTCCTGACTAAATAGATTTCACCATTTAAGATTATCTGACTCAGCAAGTAAATAATTATTTAATAAATAGCAACTCTCTAAAATCTAATATTTATTTGAATGGAGTTATTTATTTTAATTTAATAAAGCTTTCAATTAGCAAAAAAATTAACCCATACCTTGGTGCTACTGGCCTAGATTGATAGTTAGGCTAAACCTAATGAATCTTATGATTATGCAATGTTTGAATTGAGCTGATTCAAGAATATTGATTGGGTTGCTATATATATGCATTATCAAGCAGTAGTCTATAAACAGAGTAAAGGATACTATTCTATTATTGGTGATAAATTACTAATACCCGATTTATGAGAGAGTTTTGACTCTACCTTAAAATTGTCTTACGAGGAATCTATTCACTGTGCTCTTTTAAATATAAGTCTGCCATTTATAATAATGAAATTATCACCATATGAATGCTCTTAGCAAAAATTAATTTTTTCTGTTAAAATCATTACATCAGACCTTGTTATTTTTATTAATATTAGATAGAATCAGGGTTAATAATATTAATTTTCCATTATTATTTGCTAGAAGAACCATGCAAACGAATGAAAATCCAGGTATATCAGAGTCTGATCTTTATCAAATGATAAGAAATTTGATTACACGATTGTCAGAAAGCGATCCAGAGTCGTCAGAAGTCTGGAACGAGCAAACATTAAGTGAGCCAGAACTTTCCCAAATAGATCAAATTGTAAAATCTTTGCTTCTGCAACCCTCCCAAGCTCAAAACTTGCAAAGCCAATCTGATCTTTATTGTCTGGGATCAATGCTAAATTACCATAGCATGATTAAAGAAGATTTTTTGAAGTCACTAGAAGCCTCTTTGTCAGATCTTGTTGGCTCAATAATAAAATTAATAGAAATTAGAGGTGAATGCTGAATAGATGCAGTAATAAAGATTCTCACACTCTTTTGCTTCGCTGCTAAAATAGACAATAATTGTTTTAACCAAGAAATGTTTACAGCAATCACATCGTTTTTCCAAACAAACTTCTTCAGATTTATTACTGAAGATAACTCAGGATTATATATGGACTTGCTGCTAAGGAGGTTTTTGCAATTTTTGAATTTCATGCTTGTCAAAAATCTCAATTTTGACTTTGAATTAGACTTTTGGAAAAAAGTGCTAGAACTTATTTCGGCAGAAGAAACATGAAACTACATCTTTCCTGCTTTAAATCGGTATTTTAATATAACTATAAAGCTCGATGAAGAAGATAAAAGTGAGGAAAAATTAAAAATACTCAAAAAACTCAAAAAAAGAAAGTCCAAGGAGCTTCTCCAGCTTATTCTTCAAAAAGAAAAGCAATTAGAAAGCAGTCTCTACATAAAATCTGATAAATATGCATTTTTTGGAAAGAGTAAATACTGTATGTCATTTTGTGTAAATTTTTACAGGGAAAAGGCTACAGAAATGATCAATAATGAAAACGATGTATCATATTATATTGCAGAAATTATAAATCTACTCCAATGATACATGGAAAATAAAAAACGAAAAAACATAGAGTTTATCGTCAGAGAATCTGAGCTTTTCAAATTGTTTGACTCACCAAAATTATGAAGAGAAAGTCTTAGTTATTTAGCTAGATATCAAATAGAAAGTAACTCATGTGACCAAAAGTTCTTAAAAAACTACTTTTCAAAAGTTTGAGAAATGGATAGCTGACATAATAATATTTTACATGCTGAAAAAATTATGCTAGAACTTTTGCTGCTAACTTATGTCAGCCAGAGTTTTTATGAAGAGTTTGAGGAATTAGCAATGAATTTCGCCCTCAAAATTTTCGAGAATGCCTATAATCGTGTTAAAGGATACATAAACAGAGAGAGGATATTTTCATTGATTTTCCAATTTCTACCTAAAGCTTGGAAAGAGATTTCCAATTTTATAGCAGCAAATGCAAATAATAATCAAGGAATAAAAGGAGAGAAATCTTATAAAGCATGGTTTTTAGAAACTCTCGAGGAGTTGCATACGGAATATTCAGCTACAAGAGCTCCAGAATATTTCATAAGATTTATTGAGCTTCTAATTAAATATCTGCAGAGCAGCAATTATTACGATTTATTTGAGATGGAATTTTTGTTTGAAATATATGCTCATAGCTTTCGTCTAAGTAATGTTGATTATAATGATCCGTATTACTGCGCTAAAATTCTTATGAAGATTTTCTGAGATACTGAATTTAGAGAAGCAAAGTTAGAAGAAGCTGAAAAATATCAAAAAATATATGAAGAAATGGAAAAGCGAAAAAATGAAGAGACAAAGAAAGAAAATAATTTTGAAGATATCAATCAGTTGCATGAATTACAAGCTTCAACAAGTCAATTTAGCCAATCTTTTGGTGAAAAAGAAAGCAAGGTCGAGCTAATTAAAACAAACAGGACATTGATCATCGATCTTTTAAAAGAGCTCAGAAAATCATATATTCTGAATATTCTTTTTGAAAAAAATAAATTTGAGCCTCAAGTCAAAAAATGGCTGCTTTCACAGTTAAAGAACTTATTTAGCCTAAGCTTGGAACGCTCTGAAAAAACTGTAAATTTTATTGCTGAAACAAACTCCTTCATAATAAAATTAATTTCAGACGATATAACTCAGCCGAACGAAGATCAAATAGATACTTTTAAACATTTGATTCAGTCAAATGTAGTTGCAGAGGGATTTAGTAGAATTAATCTAAATTTCGATAGTACGAAGCCTTATTATAATCAAGTTTATTTTGCCTCATTACCAGATGATTTAGCAGGTGTCACAATTTTTGGAGGAGAAATCCTTATTAACTCAAAATATAACAATATTCAGCCAATAAGCCTTTGCGCGCAAAAAGTAATATTCTTGCATGAGCTTGCACATCACATAAGAAAAATGGAACCAGGCTTTTATGATGTATACAAAAAAACGCCAACCCACGGAATGCAGCTCTGAAAAGGTGTGCCAGGAAAGGAGAAAAAAAAGACTTTAAAGTTTACTAACGAAGGAGGAGCACAGCTTGAAACAGAAATTTTCTGCTTATTCTTAGTTGGAATCAGTGAATCTCAGATGAACTTTTTGAATCGAATTGAAAGTTGGAAATTATCTCTCAATATTTTTAGAAGTAGCCTTGAAAAATTATATTCAAAGCACCAAAAAGTATATCAGCTTGGAAGATGTCATAGCAAGATATATTCTTTGAAGAGAAAACTTCACCATAATTAATTTTTTTGAATTAGTATAAAATCCTCTGTCAATAATTTTTCTTATGCTCTTACTGAATTATTTTCATTGAGCTTTGATCTTTATTAATATAAATGACAATATAGATTTCAAGATCTTTGGCTAACAAGACCTCCAGCTTCAATCAACAAATAATAAAGATAGTCAAAGAAATTTTCAGATTCTATGAGAATTTCTAAAAGATTAGGCCATCATAGGGCGATTATTCTGAGAATGCACTGTAGGTTAAACAAGTATTATAAGGCCATAAGCGAATAGATCTTAAGCTTAGTTATATTATAGAAAAGCTCTCTTTTGGGATCCGAACATCCAAAACGCTTCACTTGCCTTTTCAAAGAAAAGTTTCTAGCAGCCTTCGAAGTATGCCCCCTGGTAGTAGGAAAGTTTGGATCACCGTGTTGTATGTCAACAGGGTTGCCCACCATACAAAATTTAAAAAGGCTTGAATTTCTATATATATTTGAATTCCTTGCAATATTTAAAATTATGAAATTATCAGGCTCTTAGGAAAAATTAATTATTAATTTTTTTCTGTTAAAATCATTACATTACACCTGGCTACTATTTGTACCAATATTAGATAGAATCAGGGTTAATAAATATTAATTATCCATTATTATTTGCTAGAAGAACCATGCAAGCGAATGAAAATCCAGGCATATCAGATTCTGATCTTTATCAAATGATAAGAAATTTGATTACACGATTGTCAGAAAGCGATCCAGAGTCGTCAGAAGTCTGGAACGAGCAAACATTAAGTGAGCCAGAACTTTCCCAAATAGATCAAATTGTAAAATCTTTGCTTCTGCAACCCTCCCAAGCTCAAAACTTGCAAAGCCAATCTGATCTTTATTGTCTGGGATCAATGCTAAATTACCATAGCATGATTAAAGAAGATTTTTTGAAGTCACTAGGAGTGTTTTTGCCAGATCTTGTTGGCTCGATTATAAAATTAATAGAAATTAGAGGTGAGTGCTGCATAGATGCAGTAATAAAGATTCTCACACTCTCTTGTTTCACTGCAAAAATAGACAATAATTTTTTTAACCAAGAAATGTTTACAGCAATCACATCATTTTTCCAAACAAACTTCTTCAGATTTATTATTGAAGGTAACTCAGAATTATACATGGACTTGCTGCTAAGAAGGTTTTTACAATTTTTGAATTTCATGCTTGTCAAAAATCTCAATTTTGACTTTGATTTAGAATCTTGGAAAAAAGTGCTAGAACTTATTTCTACAGAAGAAACATGAAACTGCATCTTTCCTATTTTAAATCGGTATTTTAATATAACTATAAAGCTCGATGAAGAAGATGAAAAAAGTAAGGAAAAATTACAAAAACTCAAAAAAAGACAGTCAGAGGAGCTTCTCCAGCTTATTCTTCAAAAAGAAAAGCAATTAGAAAGCAGTCACTCCGTAAAATCTGATAAATATGCATTTTTTGGAAAGAGTAAATACTGAGTCTCATTTTGTGTAAATTTTTACAGGGAAAAGGCTACAGAAATGATTAATAATGAAAACGATGTATCATTATATATTGAAGAAATAATAAGGTTACTCCAATGATACATGGAAAATAAAAAACGAAAAAACATAGAGTTTATCGTCAGAGAATCTGAGCTTTTCAAATTGTTTGACTCACCAAAATTATGAAGAGAAAGTCTTGGTTATTTAGCTACATATCAAATAGAAAGTAACTCATGTGATCAAAAGTTCTTAAAAATGTACTTTTCAAAAGTGTGAGAAATGGATAGATGATATAATAATATTTTAGATGCTGAAAAAATTATGCTAGAAATTTTGCTGTTAACTTATGTCAGCCAGAGTTTTTATGAAGAGTTTGAGGAATTAGCAATGAATTTCGCCCTCAAATTTATCGAGAATGCATATAATCATGTTAAAGGATACGTAAATAGAGAGAGGATATTTTCATTGATTTTCCAATTTCTACCTAAAGCCTGAGAAAAGATTTCCAAATTTATAGCAGTAAATGCAAATAATAATCAAGGAAAAAAAGGAGAGAAATCTTATAGAATTGGTTTTTTAGATACTCTCGAGGAGTTGCACACGGAATATTCAGCTACAACAGCTCCAGAATATTTCATAAGATTTATTGAGCTTCTAATTAACTATCTGCAGAGCAGCAATTATTATGATTTATTTGAGATGGAATTTTTGTTTGAAATACATGCTCGTAGCTTTAGTCTAAGTAATGTTGATTATAATGATCATTATTACTGTGCTAAAATTCTTATGAACATTTTCTGAAATACTGAATTCAGAAAAGCAAAGTTAATAGAAGCTGAAAAATATCAAAAAGAATTTGAAGAAATGAAAAAGCGAAAAAATGAAGAGACAAAGACAGAAAATAATTTTGAAGATACCAATCAGTTGCATGAATTGCAAGCTTCAACAAGCCAAATTAGTCATCCTTTTGGTGAAGTAGATCTAATCAAACCAAACAGGACATTGATCATTGATCTTTTAAAGCAGCTCAAAGAATCATATATTCTGAATATTCTTATTGAAAAAGATAAATTTCAGCCTCAAGTCAAAAAATGGCTGGTTTCACAATTAAAGAACTTATTTAACCTTAGCTTGAAACTCTCTGAAAAAACTGTAAATTTTATGGCTGAAACAAACTCGTTCATTATAAAATTAATTTCAGACGATATAACTCAGCCGAGCCAAGGTCAATTAGATACTTTTAAAATGTTGATTCAGTCAAATGTAGTTGCAGAGGGATTTAGAAAAATTAATCTAAATCTCGATAGTACGAAGCCTTATTATAGTCAAGTTTATTTTGCTTCATTACCAGATGATTTAGCAGGTGTCACAATTTTTGGAGGAGAAATCCTTATTAACTCAAAATATAACAATATTCAGCCTATAAGCCTTTGTGCGCAAAAAGTAATATTCTTGCATGAGCTTGCACATCACGTAAGAAAAATGGAGCCAGGCTTTTATGATGTATACAAAAAAACGCCAACCCACGGAATGCAGCTCTGAAAAGGTGTGCCAGGAAAGGAGAAAAAAAAGACTTTAAAGTTTACTAACGAAGGAGGAGCACAGCTTGAAACAGAAATTTTCTGCTTATTCTTAATTGGAATCAGTGAATCTCAGATTAGCTTTTTGAATAGAGCTGGCAGTTGGAAATTACCTCTCGAGGAATTTAGAAGCAGCCTTGAACAATTATATTCAAAGCACCAAAAAGTATATCAGCTTGGAAGATGCCATAGCAAGATATATTCTTTGAAGAGAAAACTTCACCATAATTAATTTTTTTGAATTAGTATCAATAATTTTTCTTATGCTCTTACTGAATTATTTTCATTGAGCTTTTATCTTTATTAATATAAAATGACAATATAGATTTCAAGATCTTTGGCTAGAAAGACCTCCAGCTTCAATCAACAAATAATAAAGATAGTTAAAGAAATTTTCAGATTCTATGAGAATTCTAAAAGATCAGGCCATCATAGGGCGATTATGCTGAGAAAGCACTGTAGGCTAAACAAGTGTTATAAGGCTTTATAAATGTAATGATTTCAAGATAACAAATGCTTATTGTATAAAAACTGCTTCCTCCCTCCGAGCGCACACAAAACATTAGAAAAATCTGAGCTCATATAGGCCTAATTATTCAAAAAATATTGATTTGCTGCTATAGAATAATTACTTAAAGGTCTTAGAAATTTATATGATGCTCTTATATAAGGGATTATGCAAATAAATCAGTGTGAGTCCCTATTTAGGAAAAATTAATTATTAAATTTTTTCTGCTATAATAATTACATCAGACCTTTTTACTATTTTTACTAATATTTAGATAGAATCAGGGTTAATAATATTAATTTCCCATTATTATTTGCTAGAAGAACCATGCAAACGAATGAAAATCCAGGTATATTAGAATCTGATCTTTATCAAATGATAAGAAATTTGATTTCACGATTGCCAAAAAGCGATCCAGAGTCGTCAGAAGTCTGGAACGAGCAAACATTAAGTGAGCTAGAATTTTCCCAAATAGATCAAATTGTAAATTCTCTGCTTTTGAAACCATCCCAAGCTCAAAACTTGCAATGCCAATCTGATCTTTATTGTCTGGGATCAATGCTAAATTACCATAACATGATTAAAGAAGATTTTTTGAAGTCACTAGAAGTGTTTTTGCCAGATCTTGTTGGCTCGATTATAAAATTAATAGAAATTAGAGGTGAGTGCTGCATAGATGCAGTAATAAAGATTCTCACACTCTCTTGTTTCGCTGCAAAAATAGACAATAATTTTTTTAACCAAGAAATATTTACAATAATCACATCATTTTTTCAAACAAACTTCTTCAGATTTATTACTGAAGATAACTCAGAAAAATATATCGACTTGCTGCTAAGGAGGTTTTTACAATTTTTAAATTTCACGCTTGCCAAAAATCTTAATTTTGACTTTGATTTAGGCTCTTGGAAAAAAGTTCTAAAGCTTATTTTTACAAAAGAAACATGAAGTTGCTTCTTTCCTGCTTTAAATCGGTATCTTAATATAATTACAAAGCTCAATGAAGAAGATAAAAGTAAGGAAGAAGATAAACTTAAGGAAGAATTAAAAAAACTCAAAAAAAGAAAGTCGGAGAAACTTCTTCAGCTTATCCTCCAAAAGCAAACGCAATTAGTTAGTCATTTCTATTTAGACCTTGATAAATATGCATTTTTTGGTAAGAGTAAATCCTGAGTGTCATTTTGTGTAAATTTTTATAGGGAAAAGGCTAAAGAAATGATTAATAATAAAAAAGCTGTATCATATTATATTAAAGAGATTATGCATCAACTCAGTTGGTATATGAAAAATAAAAAACGAAAAAACATAGAGTTTATTGTCAGAGAATCTGATCTTCACAAGTTGTTTGATTCACCAAAATTATGAAGGCAAAGTCTTGGCGATTTAGCTACATATCAAATAGAAAGCAACTCATGTGAAGTGAATTTCTTAAAAAAGTACTTCTCAAAAGTGTGAGAAATGGATAGCTGGTATGAAGAAATTTTGAATGCTGAAAAAATTATGCTTGAAATTTTGCTGCTGACTTACGTTAGCAAGGCTTTTTACGAAGATTTTGAGAAATTAGCAAAGAAGTTCGCCTTCAAATTTTTCGATAATGCCTATAATCATGCAGAAGGATACACAGGTAGATATAGGATATTTTCATTGATTTTCCAATTTCTACCTAAAGCTTGGAAAAAGATTTCAAAATTTATAGCAGTAAATGCAAATAGCAATCAAGATGAAAATCCAGACGAATTAATTAAAAATTTTTTTTTACTTCGTCTCAAGAAATTGCACGCGGGATATTCAGCTACAACAGCCCCGGAATATTTTATAAGATTTATTGAACTTCTAATTAACTACCTACAGAGCAGCAATTATTATGATTTATTTAATGTGGAACTTTTGTTTGAAAAATATGCTGGTAACTTTAGTCTAAGTAGTGTTGATTATAATGACCCTTATTACTGTGCTAAAATTCTTATGAGCATTTTCAGAGATAGTGAATTTAGAAAAGCAAAATTAATAGAAGAAACTGAAAAATATCAAAAAGAACTTGAAGAAATGAAAAAGCGAGAAAATGAAGAGACGAAAACAGAAAATAATCTTGAAGATGCCAATCAGTTCCTTGAATTGGAAGCTTCAACAAGCCAAAAAAGTCAAGTTTCTGGTAAAAAAGAAAACAAGGTTGATCTAAATAAAACACACATAGCATTGATTATTGATCTTTTAAAAGAGCTCAAAGAATCATATATTCTGAATATTCTTTTTGAAAAAGATAAATTTCAGCCTCAAGTCAAAAAATGGCTGGTTTCACAATTAAAAAACTTATTCAGCATTAGCTTGAAACGCTCTGAAAAAACTATAAATTTTATGGCTGAAACAAACTCGTTCATTATAAAATTAATTTCAGACGATATAGCTCAGCCAACCAAAGCTCAAATAAAATCTTTTAGAAAATTGATTCGGTCGAATGTAGTTGCAGAGGGATTTAGTAGAATTAATCTAAATTTCGATAGTACTAACCCTTATTATAATCAAGTTTATTTCGCTTCATTACCAGATGACTTAGCAGGTGTCACAATTTTTGGAGGAGAAATCCTTATTAACTCAAAATATAACAATATTCAGCCAATAAGCCTTTGTGCCCAAAAAGTAATTTTCTTGCATGAGCTTGCACATCACATAAGAAAAATGGAGCCTGGTTTGTATGATATATACAAAAAAAACACCAACCCACGGAATTCAGCTCTGAAAAGGTGTGCCAGGAAAGTCGAAAAAAAGGCCTTTAAAGTCATCTGATGAAGGAGGAGCACAGCTTGAAACAGAAATTTTCTGCTTATTTTTAGTCGGAATTAGTGAATCTCAGATGATCTTTTTGAATTGAGCTGAAAGTTGGGATTCATCTCTCGAGGAATTTAGAAGCAGCCTTGAAAAATTATATTCAAAGCACCAAAAAGTGTATCAGCTTGGAAGATGCCATAGCAAGATATATTCTTTGAAGAGAAAACTTCACTATAATTAATTTTTTTGAATTAGCATAAAATCCTCTATCAATAATTTTTCTTATGCTCTTGCTGAATTATTTTCGTTGAGCTTTTATTTTTATTAATATAAAATTCCATATAAATTTTAAGATTTTTGGTGGGCAAGACCTCCAGCTTCAACTAATAAATAATAAAGATAGCCAAAGAATTTTTTTCAGATTCTATGAGAATTTCTAAAGATTAGGTCATCATAGGGCATTATGCTGAGAATGCACCAAAGATTCAAAATTTTAAGGCTTTATAAATGTAATGATTCCGGATAACAAATGATGATTATTGTGAAGAAACCGAGGAAATATCAGGGAAATTTGCATTTACCTTTTTAATCACAATAAAGAGTTTAAATAAAAGAGATTTTATCTTGGAAAAGCTTGGAGATAAATGAAAATCCTGCTTAGTTTCATTTGATGCTTCGTTTTGGTCATTCTATTACTGATAATAAAACATAAAATATAATAGCAAAAAAGAAGCAATAGCATATATCAGGAGTATCTCTTTCCAGCAAATAGTAAAAAATCAAAAATTAATATTGTTTCATTAACTTCTTCACCAATCCCATTCTGCAGCATTTTTGTAAAATACTTTCAAATTAATAATTAAATCATACGCCAAATAAGAATATTTATTAATAATTTATGCACATTTAAGAAATTTTATTCTTCTGTCATCCTATGACGTATCTGAGATATAGAAATTGGCCCGAGAGCCTTAATTAAACTTCTTGTATAAAATTCTTAAATTTTTAATAGTTAATTTTATGTCGATTGAATGCACTCCTCTATCTCAAGAATTTTGAATACCAGACAGCTCAGCGAAATGTGATAGACGATTTATTATTTTCCGTCGACATCATGTGCTCATATCAAAAAGCTAAATTGCCAAGTGATTTTACTATAAAAATAATAAAAATGATATTCAAAAGACTAATGTAGCATAAAAACCCATAATTGCTAGTTCAGAAACCATAAATAAATAATTAAAATAAAGTGGTTTTATAGTAAATCAAATTTGTGAGCATTGCTTATCTTTCTATCACACAAAACGTTCATATGGGCTGTTAAGGGTCTCTCATGACCCTTGCTTAATTTTTTTGCTTTATGCAAGGCCTGCTTATTTAGGCTATTCTAAATAGCTTATTATTTCCACAGCTTTTTTATTATATAAATGAGTATAAGCATTCTAGCATATTTTATTAGATTCATTTTAATATTTATTCTTTTATAAAATAAATTCAGCTCTATCATGATTTTTATTAATGAAACATATTTAATAATTTTAATAAGAGCAAGTGCTTAATTTATCAAAATAACTTAAAATATGGAAGACAAGAAATCAGAGTTCGAACTAAAAAGACACAGAGGAAAAGAAAATCTTAGCAATTCATCTCTCGTTTTAAACATTTTATTCACCTTGATAGTCAATTTTTCTTTTGTATTTTTTATTCAGATAATTGCAATTGCAATAGTCTTAGGAATTGATGATGGCTCTTGTGATAAGCCGATTAGGTAGTTTATAAATAGACAATGACTTATTGTAAGAGCAGTTGCTAATGTTTTTCTTATAGTAATTTACTCTATATCACAAATAAAGAAAATTAGTGAAAAAATCCGAAAATTCATGTTTAGTTATATTTTCATGCCTGGGGCTTTCTTAAACTTTGCATGAATGATCGTTGGGAGTGTATGGGAGTTTGAAAGTGATGACTGCTATGACAAGTTTTATAACGGCTGGGCTTTAACTTTGGCAATATTGATTGTTGATTATGTTAGTATCGGACTAGTTTGCTGCTTAGTAAGCTGCTGTATATGTGCTCCAGGAATGATTTTTAAGATTTTTAAGATGATCAAACTAAATTATGATGAGTTAAAAGAAATGGAAAAGGATTCGGAAAACTGTGTAAAAGAGCAAAAAAAGGCAGAACTTGAAGCTCAATCTAATGCAAAAGTTTAAAGAGATAAAGAAAAAAGGCAAGAAGAAAATAATTAAAATTAGCAGGTACTATTTAGATCAATAAAATAATATTCATAATTGAAAGATTTAGTTTTTGGTTAAAAACGCTTAAATATAAAAGCTAACTCCCCCCCCCCCCCCCGTGAGCGAACAAAACCATTAGAAAAATCGCCATTTTTTGACCAAAAAACCCACCCTCCGTGAGTGAACAAAAAAATTTTTTTAATAGAAAAAAATTTTTAATGGAAAAAAATTTTGATATATAAGTGATAATTAGTATAATGAAATCTAGAGCTAATTCTGTTTAATTTTAAACAAATTGCGTTTTAAAACATAAATTTTGCAAATTAAATTAATATTTGCTTCCCAATTTTTGCAAATTAGGATTTTTTTAAATTTCGAAAAAAATATTTTTTATAAAATTTTATATATAAATTTTTTTTAAAAAAAAAAAATTAACCCCCCCCTCCGTGAGCGAACAAAATTTTTTTGTTCGCTCACGGAGGGGGGGGGGAGTAAGAAGATTATATTTTTCTTGATATAAAGCTAGCTTACTTATAAATTTTAATTTCTGAAATAAATTATTAATTATACTCCTTATATTTTCAATCATATTATTAATTATTAATTAAAACAGGCTAAGAGATTAATAGCTGTATTTGGAATTCACGATCATAGAGAGTTCAAAAATATTTATATATAAATATTTTATAAAAACAAGAATTATATGAAAAATTCAAAATTTCTTACCTTATTTTAACTCATGATTATATTTAAATAAAATTTGATAGCTCAATTTGAATTTTAGTCTTTACAAGTTATTATTTAAAATAAATAATATATTAATTGATTTATTGTGAAAAATGTTAAAGAGAATTCAATTTCACTTTTTCAATTAAATTAGGTGAAAACTAGTTTTATAAAATTAGTTTTAATTTGTTTTAAATATATAAATCGAACAAAGTTTGAATTTTAATATCATAAAAATAAGAATTGGATAAAAAGATCAAAAAAAACTTTTTAATAATAGCTTTCTACAATCATTTTTTTCCATTAAATTAGGTAAAAACTAATTTTATTGAAAATCTGAATATGAAAAAGATATTTATTCATAAATACTAAAAGTTTTAAGCTGGAATTTGATATTTTACTTGACTCATTTTACAAATTTTTATTCAAATATTGCTCAATACTATGCAAAGCAGCCTATTCTAATTAGCATATTTATTTCGGAGCTTATTTTATCATATAAATGGATATATATTTCCAACGTATTTTATTAGATTCATTTTAATAATTATTCTTCTATAAATAGATTCACCTCTATCATGATTTTTATTAATGAAGCATATTAAATAATTTAATAAGAGCAAGGGATTTATTATCCTCGCTAAAAACATTTTTATGCTTAATTTATGAAAATAGCTTAAAATATGGAAGACAAGAATTCAGAGATCGAGCTAAAAAGAGCTAAAAAGAGCTAAAACAAAAGAAAAGCTTAACAAATCATCTCTCATCTTAAACAATTTTTGTACCTTGTTAGTCAATTTTTCGTTTGTATTTTTTATTCAGATAGTTGCAATTGCAATAGTTTTAGGAATTGATGATGGCTCTTGTGATAAGCCGATTAAGTAGTTTATAAATAGACAATGACTCATCGTATGAGCAGTTGTTAATGGTTTTCTTATAATAATTTGCTTTATATCACAAATAAAGAAAATTAATGAAAAAATCCGAAAATTCATGTTTATTTATATTTCCAAGCCTGGAAGCGTATTTAACCTAGCGTGAATGATCGTTGGGAGTGTATGGGAGTTTGAAAGTGATGACTGCTATGATGAGTTTTATAACGACTGGGCTTTAACTTTGGCAATATTAATTACTATGTATACGAGCGTTGGACTAGTTTGCTGCTTACTATGCTGCTGTATATGTGTTGGATTAATGAGTTCTTAGATGAGCAATTTAGATAAAGAACAGTTAGAATAAATTGGAAAAGAATTGGAAAACATTACAAAAGAGCTAAAAAAGGCAGAAAATGAAGCTCAATCTAAAGCAAAGGCTTAAAGAAATAAAGAAAAATGCAAGAAGAAATAATTAAAATTAACAGGTACCATTTAGATCAATTAAATAATATTCATAATTGAAAGATTTAGTTTTTTGCTATGAAACTAAATATAAAAAGATCTATATTTTGTTGATAAAGCTAGTTTACTTATAAATTTTAATTTCTGAAATACATTTTTTTTATATTTCAATCATATTATTTAATTATTAATTAAAACAAGCTAAAATACTAATAACTTAAAAGATGTATTTGGAATTCACGATAAGTGAGAGTTAAATCAATATTTGTATATAAATATTTCATAAAGATGAAGAATTATTGAAAAATTCAAAATTTCAAATGGCAGATTTGATTGGATTTTTTTGCTCTTAGAAAAGAAATTAACTAAAAAATTAATATTTTTAATATAAAATTTCATTAAAACTCTTAAATAATTGTAATTTACTGTTAATCTCTTATTATATGATATTAAGAAAATTTTGCTTAAACATGTCCAATTCACTTACCCTGCTTAGAAGCAAAATTACAGAACTTGGCTTAAATGCGTATTTTCTGCCTCATTCAGACCCTCACAGAAATGAGTATCTGTCAGCCCATGATAAACGCATCGACTTCATTACAGGATTTAAAGGCTCCAATGCGCATACATTAATTACTCAGGAGCAAGCATTGCTATGGACAGATGGGAGATATTGGGAGGAGGCTGAAAAAGAGCTCTACGAAGGTTGGAATTTAATGAAAATAACCTCAGGCGTCCCGACTTACTATGAATGGTGCATTCAGAATCTCCCAAAAGACTCCATCATAGGGTACGACCCAAGTATTGTAACTGCAGACGCAGCTATCACAAGAACCAAATATTTTGCAGACAAAGGCTATCAGTTTTTACCTGTTGAAAGAAACCCAGTAAACGAAATGTGGGAAAACAGGCCTGAACTAAGCCAAGAACCTATCATTATTTTTGATGAAAAATATGCAGGAGAAAGCTTTACTGACTCCTCTCTTTTAAATTGGAACAAAAAATCCTGTTTCAGTGGAAAATTTTAAAAAATATGAATTAAGCATGAAGAATTAAATAAAAAATTAATTAATTAACTCCCCGCCCCATCCGTGAGTGAACAAAAAAATTTTGTTCACTCACGGAGGGGGTTAATTTTTTATTTTTTAAAAAAAATTTATATATAAATTTAAAAAAATCCTAATTCGCAAAAATTGGAAAGCAAATATTAATTTAATTTATAAAATTTTATGTTTTAAAAAGCAATTCGTTTAAAATTAAACAGAATTAGCTCTAGATTTCATTATACTAATTATCATTTATATATCTAATTTTTTTTTCAATAAAAATTTTTTCTATTAAAGAAATTTTTGTTCACTCACGGAGGGTGGGTTTTTGGGCAAAAAATAGCGATTTTTCTAATGGTTTTGTTCACTCACGGAGGGGGGGAGTAAGTATGAAAACTTTTAAATAGTATTTTACTTCCACTTTTTTCTATTAAATTAGGTCAAAACTAATGTTATAAAATATAGATTTTTCATCTATAAAATTCTGCTATAGAAAATTGTTTTTTTTCCAATTTAAAGGTGGTTAAAGAACCTAAAAATGCAAATTTTATCGATGTTTTGCTCAAATTTAAAGGGGGGAGTGAGAAGATAGGAAGAATTGCCGCAGAAATGGGAGAAAAAAACTTTTATTTAGTAACAGCGCTAGATGAGATTGCTTGGACTTTGAATTTGAGAGGAAAAGATGTGGAGTATAATCCAGTTTTCTTTTCTTATTTAATATTAGAAAAAAGAGGAGAAGATAATAAAATTCATCTCTTTGTTAATGAAAGAAAAATTGAGAATATCAGGGAATATTTACTCTAGATCAATGAGAAAACTGAATATGTTTTTATATATTTTTTTTTCATATAATAACAATAATTTTTATTATTTTTCAAAAATTTATATTAATTTTCTTTAAAAATAATAATTAGCCGCTTCTAAACAAGCCTAAAATAATGGAAGGGAAAATTAGAAGGAAATAGAGTGCAAATTTATCCATATGAAGAAGCCCCTAGTTTTCTCTCAGCAATTGAAGAAGGTGTTATTACGGATTCAAGCAGCTGTAATTATCAATTATATAAAGCAATCAAGCACCCAGAGAAAAAAGAAAGCATTATCGCGCCTCTTAAAGCTATAAAAAACAGCAGAGAAATACAAGGATTTCGAGAAAGTCACATCAGAGATGGAGTCGCTGTCTGCAAATATTTAGCATGGCTAGGCAAAGAGCTAGAAGATGGTCAAATCCATAACGAATACGAAGCAGCACTCAGATTAAACCAATTTCGCTCACTCCTTCTCGTGAGCGAACAAAAAAAAAAATGTTTTTTTCACGAGCTTATTATTTTTAAAATCCCATTTAGCTAGAGATTCATTATCTAATAATCACTTATATATCAAAATATTTTTTTCATAAAAATATATAAAAAAATTTGTTTTGCCCAAAAATAGAATTTTCCAATGGTTTTTCTAATTCATGGAGGGGGATCAGAAGAAGACCTTAATATGGGTCTCTCATTTTCCAATATTTCTTGCTCTGGATCTAACGCCTCTATTATACATTATCACCCTGAGCCTGATAATTCATCAGAAATAAAGAAAGACCAAATTTATTTATTAGACTCAGGAGGGCAATATTTAGACGGCACAATTGACACAACTAGAACTATGCACTATGGAAATCCTTCAGACTGGGAAAAGGAATGCTATACAAGGGTGCTTCTGGGAAATTTAGATTTAGAAAGAGTCGTTTGGCCTCATGGGACATGGGGAATTACTGGAGCTGATCTTGATATTTTAGCAAGAAGAAGGCTATGAAATAAAGGTCTAGATTATCAGCATGGGACAGGGCATGGTGTAGGGCATTATTTAAATGTCCATGAAGGTCCTCAAGGAATATCAAGGGCCAGAAAAGTTGAGCTCAAAGAAGGAATGAACGTCACCAACGAGCCCGGGTACTACGAAAAAGGCCATTTTGGGATCAGAATCGAAAATGTAATGTTTGTCACCAAGCACCCGACAATAGAGAATTTCTTATGCTTTGAAAATGTGACTATAGTCCCATACGATAAAAACTTAATCCTTCTATCCATGCTTAATGCTGAAGACAAAGCTTACATCAACGCTTACCATAAACGTGTTTACGATACACTTTCACCAATCCTGAGTTTCAGAAATGACGATTTTACATTGAATTGGCTTGAAAAAGCAACTTCACCAATAGAATAATAATTCTTTAGATAATTAAATTAGGAAAATGTCCTTTCAAACTTTGAATTCTTCACAATTAGCAAGACGAATACATATATATTAAAATGACGTAGCGAACCATCCCACCCTCTTCCCATAGGGTGCAATACCTGGGGGAGTGAGCGCAAGCCCTCGTCCGGCAGGATCAACCTTCGTGAGGTCGCAGAACTGGCAAGTAGTCGAAGGAGCATTACGGGCTGAGGTAGCCCTTAGGGAATTACAATGGACTTCTAATGTAAAGCAAGACCAATAATGCAAAACAAGGTAATTAATATCTAGCTCAGCGAAGTTATTACAGACGCCTGCATAACTGAACAAGAAGGCCTCAGTGTAAATTTTCGAGGATTAGTTGAAATGGACACAATCCCAGAAAAATACAGAGAAATAGGAAAGCTTAATGTTTCTCATAATTTGCTTAAAAGTTTAGATGGGGTTGAGCAATTTAGAAAACTCACACAAATTTCGTTCACCCACAATAAAATCAGTACTTTCAATGAACTTTTTAAAATACCGCACCCGGAAAACATCAAAGTTATATCTGTGGCAGGGAATCCTTTTGCGCTTCATTTGAATTTGGAACCACTTTTGCTTCAAATTTTTCCAAATTTAATTGAAATTGATGGAGTTAAAAGTTTATTTACTTAATTGCCCATGTTTAAGGAGCCATTTTCTTCAGCAGGATGATTTAGAACGCATAGTCCACCCTTTAACACCGAATTATTGAATCTTGGGGTAATCTGAAACTTCTACGTGCTGCAAGTGCGCCAGAAATCTCATTGCGCCTTAGTCTCGCCCTGAACTATAGCGCCTTTCTTAAGATGGCGCATTGCGCGCCATCTTAAGAAAGGTGCTATATGGTCCTGCATGTGCTCCACCTAGGATAACTCTCGTGTGCCAAGCGGTTACCTCTCCATGTTTCCTTGGGTCAAATGCACTTACTGTACGCGATAAGCCATATTTGGAATTGTGAATAAACGTTCACCGAATCATAATAATAAAATATCATGAGGATGGAAAAGTCCTCGAGAGAACTTATTCTGACTAATCCATTTTATTATTATGATGGGTTAAAATCACTGATCATACAAGGCAAGACATAACTGACGCACTTATCCTTTCTAAAAGGATTTTATCGTATTTTTATAAGAATGAACAAATTCTTGTTAAGAGAGATATAGTCCTGAACTGTTTTTAGCTTGTCTGGGCTATGAGTTACCTTCTAAATTCAATTAAAAATAAGTGTTTGCAGGGTATTTGTTTCAGAGCTAAAAGCAGCCCTAGAGTATATAGAAAACAAAAAATACAAACTAAAAATCGAATTATTTCAAAAATTCCAAGGAAAATCTAACAAAAAAGAAGGGCCTTTTTGGGAAGAAATTAATGCAGCACACAGTAGGGAGCTTAGAAAAATTAAACCAATGCCAAGATTACCGAATTATAGCTATAATAAAGTGATAAGGCCATATATGATACTTAATTACATTGATGTGGCTGGAAAAGCTTTGCAATGAGATGTTGATGAAGAATTGAACGAGAAAAACTCAGCTGAAATTATCAGAGTTTTTAAATGGCTTTTTTGCGAAATTTTATTACAATTGCACTCGTGGGGGCACGACAAAATGCAAAAATATCTGCAGTTTAAAGCAAAACCTTCAGCGACTGTAGAAGAACAATTTGAAGAAGAACTGAAGCAGTTTTATTTATTAGGGCCCATAATTGAAGAAAACTCTAATCCTTTTTTGATGAGTCTTCATTTTTCTGATATTTTTCCTAATACAGACACTGATAATTTAGCAAGAAAATACGCTTTTCAAACAAATAACACTAGGCTCCAAAATTTAGAAACAAATAAAGAAGATTTTCTGCTTTACCAAAATTTAAATTTATTTCCAATTTTTGGATGCTATTCTGAATACCTTAAAGCAATCTTTGTGATACTGCAGAACCAAATTAACTCAATCCAAGACCTCCAGCAAGAAAAAGAAGAAATTTTGAGGCTTGATTTTTCTGCTTTTGGGCTGCCAAGTCTATATGCACCTCAATTTACTGAAGGAATAAGGTCAAGCAGTGAAGGTTTTGATAAAGACAGATTTTTAAGGCAGAGTGAAAAGCTAAAAAATGAAGAGTTAAGGATATCAGGGGACTCAGAAAATTCTAGCTGAAGTCAAAATGATGTAGATGAAAATGATGTTAGTAGGTATAGAAGAGCAAAACCTTTAAATAGAGGGAAAAATAAAGGAGAAATAAATGAAAAAAATAGAGCTCAAGGGTTTTTGATATCTAGAGACGAAGATTAGATTAGATTAGATTAGATTAGATTAGATTAGATTAATTAGTTTTAGCGGGTCACGGAGGTTTATTTCAGCCTCTACCCAGCGCTGCCAGCTTCAGGCTTGCGCCCTATGCACCGGCTCTGTTGCTCACTCCATTTTCTGTCGACGTCACCAAAAAATGGTGACGTCGCCATCTGACAGGGAGACTCACCCAGGTACTCCTTTGATCAGGGTCTAGTGACCCGGCGCCGTCCTTTCTGGGGAGGGGGAAAAGTAGCCTTCCGGAGTCTTCTTCAGGTCCCCAAGCTCCACTACAAGCTTCCTCACTTCCTTCTAGTCCTGAAGTGTGACTCCTGATTCTGCGGCTCTGGTCTTTCTCAGAGACGAAGAAGAAACAAGATATATAGATGACAGGGATAGGTCAGTGAAAAGTCAAAATAGGAGCGGTTCGTTATCAGAAGCAAAAACAGAAAAAATTAATAGTCCGAAATCAAGACAAAGCTATACAAATACTCCTGAAGCTGGCAATGATTATAGCTCAACCAAAAAAGATCATATTAAAAATGAAGGCTATTTTAATACTGAGGAAGATAAGGAGAAGCACGAGCAGGGGAGAAACAAAACTATCAAAGAAGGATATCATGAAAAGAAAAATAGAGGCAACCATTTTGATAAGCATCCTGAATTTGAGTCTGACATAGACCCTAATATTGATGAAATAATGCAAGAAGAGCTGGATCAATTTGAGCTAATAGATCATACTCCTGAGGAGAAAAAGCAGCATAAGAAACTGCTATCATTTTATCATCATCAAATTCAAAAAGCCAAAAAAGAACAGTTATTGAGGACTGCATTTTCAGCTTTGAAGAAATACAAAAATGATAAGGACAGGCTTAAAAACAAAGAAAAAGAGCTAAAAGAATGAAAAGAAAAGAAAACCCAATCAAAATTATTAAATTCTTTATCAGAAAGCATTAAAAAGAAAAAACAGAAGGATAAACTAGCCTTAGAGTTCCAACAAGCAAAATTATTTTCAAAGACGTTTAATTCAATTAGGGCTATTCTTGATGGAAAAAATGCTGGCTTAAATAAAGCTTTAAATTTTAACAGAGATGCGATATTAGGAAAAATAATTGCAGAATGAAAGGCGAAAGTTTTAAAAAAGGACAAAAGTCTGAAGGATAAAACAGACAAAAAGATAAAAGGAGCAATTTCTGACTCAAATGCAATCACAATCAAGAAAAAATCAGGTCAAGCCAATTCTTCTGAAACAAAACGATCTGCAGGAAAAGCAGAAAAAGCGCACTTGAAAGAAATAAAAGAAGCTTCAAAGGAAGCAGAAGCTGGCACTCGGAAAAAATCATCAAAAAAAGCCAGGTATGATAAAGAATCTGAAGAAATCAAAATTAAAACTGTATCTGAAAAGGAAAAAAATAGACGAAAAACTAAAAAATCTTTGACAGCAGAGGACAAAATGAAAGCCAAAGCGGATATTAATAGCATGCTTAATAGAATAGCAGAAAGTGAAGGAAGCATTGCTAAGTTGTGGGCTTTGGTAAGAAAACCTAGTACAAAATCAACAACACAGGAATGCAATTGTGGGAATTATTTATGTGAAATTTGTACACAAGAACGAGCTGATATTATTTCTAAAAAGATTTCTGACTTGCAGCAAGATATGAAGAAGCTTGGCATGAGTAAGAAGCTAACGAAGTAGTGCATGTATTAAAAATTAATTTAAATTTATTTAGAATGTAAGCTACTTACTCTTTCCCTTAATGATTGAGGAATATATAGGTAAAATTTTCATTTTAAGTAGGATAGCTCCTAAGAGATGCGAAAAACTCTATACAAATAATAATTATTAGTAAAGATGCTAAATTGGCATTATAAAATATAAATATAAATTGTTGGGCCCTTATTATCGGGCAAAAGACTTATCACAAATAGTTTTTGGATTTTTTTAATTTCTTCATCTATAAGTGGAGAATTAGAAAAATTTCTTCTTCCGCTTTTTCTATGTCAACATTGTTTTGTTCTAAATAAGTTAACTCTTCATCTTGTTTTTCATATAAATCATTGACTTGTCTTTGCAATTTTCTCAATAATCCTTCCTGAGTATTGTCTTTTATATTTTTAATCTTTTCTTTGAGCCTTGCTATTTTCCTATCATAATCCTCTATTTCTCCTCTAAACTCTTTCATTGTTTCTGCTACATTTTTAATTTTATCTCCAATGTCAGAGTCTAATCGAGTAAAAGGATCATCTGATTTAAATTTATATTCCATATTTAAATCTATTGTGCTCTTAAGTAAGGATTAATAAAATGCCAATAAATTCAGTATACCTCATAATATTTTATTTCCTCAATATCATCCTTTATTTCACTTATTTTTTGTGCTTCTAGAAGTTCATTATCATGTTTACTAAACTCCTTCTCTCAGTGAGTGGACAAAACCATTGAAAATCCCTATTTTTTGCCCAAAAACTTACCTCCGTAAATAACAAAAATTTTTTAATAAAATTATTTTTTAAAAAAAAATTAATTTTACTCCGTGAGAGTAAGCTTTAAACCTACATCAAGAAGAGTTTTGTACATATTTTCTTCAATCCTTTTTAATCTTTTGTGAAATTCACCAAATTTTCGGTTGCTTTCAAGAAATCTAGCTTCTTGTTGGTCCTTTTTGATTTTAGATAAATAACTCTGCATTTGAATAGCTTTTTCACATTGAGCGACTCTTTTTTCAAAGTCTTCAATTCTGCTGTAACTCTCAGCAAGTTCATTGATATCCATTTTAGACGTTTGAAATTGGCCAGAATCCATTTTATTATACTCAAAGATTTTCAGCTACTTTTTAGTCAATTTTACAGCCCAGATAGATTTTTTTCTACTATTTCATAATTTTTATTTAAATTTTAAGATTCAAATATGATTATTTGAATAATTAAAATAAATTAAACAACTGCATATAAATCATCTTTGTATGGGTTATATCGTTTATCACAACAAATATAACATGAAAAGTAGCATTCTTTGATTGGATACCATCAGCAAGCGCAGCATCTTAAAGCTTGATTTTTCCCATAAATCATATAAAGCATTGGCATAATTTTGGGAGGGTCTTCACATGTGGAATTCTGGTTCCACACATGAAAAAATTCTTTCACGTGTTGGAGAACCTCCCAAAAATTATGCCAGCGCATAATAAATTTAAAGAAGCCTTTCCAAGTATCTGTTAGTACTTTTGATAGACCTTCACAACAGTTTGCCATATTATAAATGTCAATATATGTACTGTGTCAAAAATATGATTAGGAAATATAATAATATAATAGATCTTCTATTCCTGCAGTTCTTCTATAACTCCCCCCCCCCCCTCCGTGAGCGAACAAAAAAATTTTGTTCGCTCACGGAGGGGGGTTAATTTTTTTTTTTAAAAAAAATTTATATATAAATTTTTATAAAAAATATTTTTTTCGAAATTTAAAAAAATCCTAATTTGCAAAAATTGGGAAGCAAATATTAATTTAATTTGCAAAATTTATGTTTTAAAACGCAATTTGTTTAAAATTAAACAGAATTAGCTCTAGATTTCATTATACTAATTATCACTTATATATCAAAATTTTTTTTCCATTAAATTTTTTTCTATTAAAAAAAATTTTTGTTCACTCACGGAGGGTGGGTTTTTGGTCAAAAAATGGCGATTTTTCTAATGGTTTTGTTCGCTCACGGAGGGGGGGGGGAAGTAAGCTATTTCTCCATCTTGAAGTCTGATTGGCTTGCTAAGTAAGCCATAAAATATTCAATCATTTTCTATTTTTTGAGTAAACTTTTCAATTTCTCTCCCATACTGTTTTTTACATTCTCTTCAACACTCAAAAAACCCTGCTCATTAGTCTCAAAAAACAAGATTTCTAGTTTAAAGCCAGTTGTTTTGTGCACTTTTTGCTTGTTATAATAAGTCTTAAAGTAATCAATCGCTAGATCCAGGTTAAAATATTGATTCCATTGGCAAACTATATTTTATAAAAGATTTTCTCAAACTTGTCCAAATGTTTTTATTGGCTCTTTCAACGCAGCCTTGGCTTTGAGGATGATATGGCATAGCTATGGATTAATTGAATGTTGTTTTGCTTTATCAAGTTTTCAAATTCACCTTTAAACTCTGTTCCATTAGCTATTTGAATGATTTGTGGATTTTTTTTCATGTCGTGCATATATTTTTCTTGTTGCTGTGCTGCTGTAGTTGCCTTTTTATTTGCCATTTATAGATTTTTATGTACTTTGAAAAGTGGTCAATAACGCTTATTAAATATTTGCTTTCAGTAGGTACAACTAGGGATTAATTTGTTTTGGGATTTTTCATAAATCAACCTGAACTCTTTCAAGTGGCTTTGTTGAGATTATTAACTCTGGTGGTACACTAAATACCTTAATATGGGTAATTGACAAAGGGATATGATGAGATTGCTATTTTCGTGTCATTTCGAATAGATTCTTAATAAAATCCATTTTCTTCAATAAAGCTTGACAGTTTCTTCAACAGCCAAATGCTGATTTAAGTAGTTATGAAAAGTTTTTATAATATTATTCAGTTCTTCTTCGTATGGGATTCTCTTTATGATATTTTTCAAGTTATAAAAGAGGGACGATTGACTTAATTCACACACATTTGAGAAGCAATTCACCACTATAAGAGTCGCTCTCTTCAAAAGAGTCGAAACTACCTGCACAATCGTAGGATTATTGATAGTAAAAATAACAAGTTTTATTTTTAAGTAATAAACTTATTAGCAAGGCTGACTTGGTCTATGACCTAAATTGTGCAGATGGAAGTGTTCTTGTAAAATTTTCAACTCGAAGGATAATATAGATGAAAAACTGGATGAATAGATAAGACTCATGGAAGCTAAACTAAAGAGAGAATTGAGGATGAAGAAGATGAAGATAGTAATGTGAAGGAAGATGAAGGCAATTGGGAAGATATCAGACTATAGACAGCGAGATAGGAAGAATCCTGGATGAGTGCGAGTTGATTTTGACCATAGCGTCAATAATCAAGTTTCGATCGAGATAGAGTGGATGAAAAAGCAAATGAAGAAATGACTACACTTCTCAATGCAAGATTTGAAAATTAAAGACACAGACTGCAAAGTTAGTAGAAATAATGCTATATATTATATTAAAAATTTCAAACAATGATTATGCTTATTTTACATAAATTCTATTGCTATCTTTTGATTTTAACTTCATATCGCCTATAGCAATCATGGCAATCTCTTTTTATATTTTATGCCAATATTTAATAAGTATAGCTTGATGAAAAGAATTTATAAGTAATAACAAGGAGCTAAAACTATTTTTTTATAAGCAGCATTATAAAGAGTTAAATAATAGGTAGAATATGGGAAAAGCATGCCTAGAATAAAATTTATTTGATTATGATTATTGACACCTTTCTTCTACCTGTGTGAACTATAAAATATTTCCCATCCTAAATAACTCTTACAATTGGGCTAAAATCGCTCAGCTTTGACTTTTCTTCTGTAACTAAGTCTCCATTAATCCTCAAAGCTTTATCTTTAAAAAGCCTTGTAATTGCCCACAAGTTTTCCGTAACTTTTATTCTTGCCAGCAGCTCTAATAGATTTTCATTAGTTTCTTCAGAAGTTACCTCAAACTTAATTGCGTCTTGAAAAACCATATCAATTTCTTCTGACTTCAAGTCTCTGTAATTTCTCCTGTATAGGGTATCAGAAGCTTTTTTTACTTTATGAAATTTATCCTCCCCATGAACTGCTGCAATAATTTCTTTCGCCAGCAATTTTTGACACTCTCTCTGTTCTAAAGGCTTGCTCATGGTCTCATTTATTTCTTCTTCACTTACAAAAGTCAGCCTCAGCAATAAATCTTTAATCCCAACATCAGGAAGATTAAAGCAATACTGATAGATTAAGTAAGGTGACGTTAAATTTTCATCCAAAAATAAGGCATTTCCAGCACTTTTTCCAAACTTCTGTCCATCAGCAGTTAATAATAAAGGCAAAGTGACGCCTGCTGCAGATTTATCTAACTTTTTCCTAATAAGTTCAGTTCCAGTTGTAATGTTATATCATTGGTCACTCCCTCCAAGCTGGATCATGCAGTTATGATTATTGCATAAATAATAAAAATCATAGGCCTGCATCAAGCTATATGAAAACTCTGTATACGTGATGCTGTCTTCTCTATTTTTTACGAAATCTCTGTTAATAAGTGGATTTATAGGAAAATAATACCCAACTTCTCTTAAAAACTTTATCAGGCTCATATCTTGGTAGAAATTTGCATTATTTAGTACAGTCAAAGGTAATTTTGTGTTTAGTAATTTATGATGAAGTGCACGAGATACCAGTCCTTCATAGACTTTTGAAATCTGCTTTTCAATGCATTTGGTGTTGTGCTCAATTTGGGCGTTTTCAAGCTGAGCTCTTGCTTGTGTCCTGCCTGAGGGATCACCTATTAGGGCAGTTGCGCCGCCAAGTAATGCAATTGGCTTTAATCCTGCAATTGAGCTGAGGACTAATGCGTTAAAAGTAGATAAATGTCCTACGTGTAGGGATTCTGCTGTAGGATCAAAGCCACAATAGACAGAGCTGTTTATGAGATTTTCAGGGATTGCTGTGGCATCTTTAAGCAAGGATCTCGAGCGAAGTATTTTCAGCAGCTCCATATTGCCTTTAATTTTAAAAATAAAATAAAATAATTTATGTTATTCTGACGCTTTTAATCAGAGAATTAGAACAATTAAAACTAGGCTTTAGAGATGAAAATTCTGGTAATGGTTCTTCTGACTATGCTTTGAGTTCTGGATTTTGAGGGAAAAACCTGCTCAGCTGGTTTTTCTGGCTGCTCTTGAGCTGCTTTGTAAGGCTCATTTGTGAATTCTTCTTTGGGAGACTCACATTCTTTTTCTTTAGTTGGCGATTCTGAAGAAATTATTTTTTTCTTGGATTTCATTTGAGCTTTATTAGTGCTTTCTTTGGGTTTCTCTTGAGATTTTTGCTTTTTGGTTTTCTCTTTAGGTTTACTTTTTAGAGCTTTCTTTTTTTCAGCCACTGCTTTAGGGCGTTTATTTTTCTTTGACGTAAATGATGTAGCTCTTGTTTGTTTAACCATTTATGTCAAAATTAAATTAATGGTTAAAAGGCTGCGTGAAAAAAGCTTTATTTAATATTTTGCAAGAGCATATAAGCTCAAACGATAAATTCCGATATGCAAAGGATCTTGGATACGAGAATACAAATTATTTCTGATCGGATAGAAAATCAGTGAGTATAATTTTTCCATGCTTAAAACTATATATAACTATTAATGCTTCTCTTGTTCATCATTTTCGATGATTTGGATATGTGAAGAAACAATTTAATTCAAACATTATTTTTTAAATAAATTACAGTATTTATATTTTAAACCGCTTTAGACTCTCTCTTGTTAGGAGTTTTAAATGGAGATTTGATTGGAGATTTTCTTGGAGATTTCTTAATCCCAATTATAAGGAACAAAGCCTTCAGATTTCTTTTTTATTTTTTTGCATAAAAACTGAAAAAGATTTTTTAATTTATGAAAATCCTTAAATTCAAATTTATTAATAATGACTTATAATTAGAAGGAATTAGCAGAATTAGTGATATCTTGCCCAATATCTGCGATTGAGCTATCTAATTCCTCAATGTGCTCAAGTAGCTTTTTGGTAGATCCCAGCAGCTTATTTGGCGAGCAATTCTGCAGGTCAGAATTTTCTGGAGGCACATAGACCTTTAAGAACTCTTCAATATACATATATCCTCCGCCTACCCTTACTACAAGTCCTCCGTTTTTGATAGAAATCCCAACTTTCTTATTCCCATAACAATAAACACCATCTGATAACTTCACAAAATTATTTGGATGTCCCCCAGCTATTAAATAAGCTTTAAGTATTTTTTCCACAATATCTGGGTCATTTTGATTATGAGAAGAAGCCATATTGACAATCTCCTGGCTAAGCTGAATTTTTTCCTCATTTGCTTTTTGTAGGTCTTTCTGCAAAAAGCTGACATCAGTCGCCAAAGAATCAATCTTGCACTGATAATTCGAAATTTCTTCGTTCAGCGAAAAAATTTGATTTGTTAATGCTTCTTTTTCTTGGGCTATTTCTGAATATTGCTCTCTACAGTATGCAAGCTCACGAATTTCATTTTGTAGGCTGTTCATTTCTTCTGTCTTTTTATCTAATTCCAAGTTTAGTTTTATTTTTTCTTCTTCAAAGTTCATGAGCTTTTCTTTAAGTTCTTCTATTTCAGTCTGATGATACTTGTGGACTGATAGCGCTTTATTGAGTTCTAAGTCTAGTTTGACCTTTTCGTCTTTGAGAGAAGCTAGCTTTTCGTTTAGTGTTTCAATTTCTACTTGGCTGTCTTTATCTTTTGACAAGGCTTTTTCAAGCTCAAGGTCTGATTTTATTTTTTCTTCTTCAAGGGCCATTAGTTTTCCTTTAAGGTCACCTATTTCAGTTTGATGGTACTTGTGGACTGAGGTTGCTTTGTCGAGCTCTAGATCCAGTTTATTTTTGTCTTCTTCAAGAGAAAGAAGCTTCTTTTTTAAAGACTCGATTTCGGCTTGGCTGCTTTTTTGGGTTGATGAAGCTTTGTTGAGTTCTGCGTCCAACTTATTCTTAATTTCTTCAAGAGAAATCAACTTTTTCTTGAAAGACTCAGATTCAGCTTGGTGGGAATGATATGCGGCATCTAGCTTTGAACCCAGCTTAGTTTTTTCTTCTCCAAGAGAAATCAATCTTTCTTCGAGCTCTTCGGTTTTGGCTAGGTAGGATTGATTGGCTGCTTCAATTTCAGTTTCCAGCTTGGCTTTTTCTTCTTCAAGTAAGCTCACTATTTGTTCTAATGCTTCTTTTTCAGATTGATGAGCTTGGCAAGTTGCTTCTAACTCAGAGTGCAGCTTGTTTTTTTCTTCTTCAAGCAAAACTAATCTATTTTCTAACTCTTCTGTTTCTGCTTGATGCTTTTTATTATTTTCAACTTGCTCTATATTCAAGCTAGCCTTTTCTTCTTCAAGAGTACTCAGTCTTTGACTCAGCTGCTCTTCTTCATTTATATGAGCCAAATTTGCCTTATCCATCTCTGAGTTGAATTTTTCATTCAATTCTTTTATTTCATTCTGGTATTCCTTATGTGCTTTCTCCAGCTTAATCCTCAATTCATTTTTTTCTTCTTCAAGAGTGCTCAGTCTTTGGCTCAACTGCTCGACTTCATTTTGATGGGCCAAATTTGCCTTATCCATCTCTGAGTTGAATTTTTCATTCAATTCTTTTATTTCATTCTGGTATTCCTTATGTGCTTTTTCCAGCTCAATCCTCAATTCATTTTTTTCTTCTTCAAGAATTCTTAATTTCTCTTCCAGCCCTTCTATTTCAACCTTATAATCTTCATTCACTCGGCTTGATTCTATTTCCGACCTTCTTTTTTCTTCTCCAAGAAGCTCAACTTTCCCTGTCAAATCTTCAATTTGCCCTAACTGATCTTTTTGTGTCGCTATGGCTTTATCAAGCTCCAATTCCAGCTTCATTTTTTCTTCTTCAAGATGCATCACTTTTTCCTTCATTGCTTCTATTTCAGTTTGATGGTATTTATGAATTGAAGAAGCTTCCTTTAGCCTCATTTCTAGCTCTTGGCTTTTCTTATTGCTTTGTCCCAGCTTTGCAGTCTGAATCTGTAGCTCTTGAACATTATTAAAATTTGTTTTCTGCAAATTATCATAAGTAACCACAAGTGATGATAATTGGTCGGTAAGCTTATCTATATGCAAATTCGGATAGGAACTCAGCACATTTGAGTACATTGTTTCTTTGCTTATAAAGAATTCAATATAAGACTCATAGACTTTGCTTTTTTCTAAAGCAGTTGTATGCTTGGAGCTTATAGTTCTGATTTTTTCTTGTAAAGAGTTATTTTCTCGCTTACTCCCCCCCCCCCCCTCCGTGAGCGAACAAAACCATTAGAAAAATCGCCATTTTTTGACCAAAAACCCACCCTCCGTGAGTGAACAAAAATTTTTTTAATAGAAAAAAATTTTAATGGAAAAAAATTTGGATATATAAGTGATAATTAGTATAATGAAATCTAGAGCTAATTCTGTTTAATTTTAAACAAATTGCGTTTTAAAACATAAATTTTGCAAATTAAATTTAATATTTGCTTCCCAATTTTTGCAAATTAGGATTTTTTTAAATTTCGAAAAAAATATTTTTTATAAAATTTATATATAAATTTGTTTTAAAAAAAAAAATTAACCCCCCTCCGTGAGCGAACAAAATTTTTTTGTTCGCTCACGGAGGGGGGGGGGGGAGTTAAGGGAAATGTTATCTTCTGCTAATTGTTCATATTTTCTTATTAAGGCTTCGTGAATTTTTTCTTGTTCTTCTTTTTCGTATTGGTGCTCCTGTAGGACTCTTGCAGAAAATTCTTCAAATTCTTTTGCGTAGACTTTTTTATTTTCCAGCATTTTTTCTAATTCCCTCCCTACCAACTATTGGAAAAACCTTTATTTTTGATTAAAAGCAGCAACAAAAAATTTTTCTGAAAAAAAATTTCTTGACATATAAGTAATAATTAGTATAATGGAATCTCTTTCTAATTTTAAATAATTTGCATTTTAAAAACATAAATTTTGCAAATTAAATTAATATTTGCTTTAAATGATTGAATTGGGATTATTTTACATTTTAAAAAATATTTACCATAAAATTTAAATAAATTTTTAAAAAATTAGCATCCTCAGTAGTGAACAAATTTTCTTTTATCGCTCAAGGAGTAAGCAGTCTCTTTGTGAAGCAATATCGTTACACGCGATTTTTTGGTTGTTGTACGCGATTTCTCCTTTGGCGATTGATAAACTTAGTTTATCAATTGTTTCTTGCATTTCTCGCTTGACTCTTTGGATCTCAATTTGATGGTCCCGATTGATATTTTCAAGGTCGAACTCTAAGTCTACGATTCTTTTTTTTAGCGATTTTGAGTTGTTTTCTTGGGTAAAATCAATTGATTTTCTGTAATTTTCAGCTAAACTTTCAATGTCTTCTTCATCCACTGCAGCTGTCTCAGGCTCTGAATTTTGAATAAGGCTAGAGACACTGGGACAAGTACTGAAAACCTTGCTACAATTGACTAAAATGCGTGGAGGCTCTACTTCATCAGGGAAATTGTCTATATATAAAGGTGGGCTGAAGATAGGAATATATTGGCAGACATTGTCTTGCAGTAATTTTGTAGGAAACATTACCCCTCCTGCGAGCTGGCTTCCTGAGACAAACTGTAAGGAGAGCACTCCATTGTGCGGCAAAAAGAGATATTGGTCTTTTAAGACGAGCTCTGCTGAATCCAAGGACGCAAGGCAGGTTGAATTGGAGATTCCTTCGACTTTTAAGATTTGAATCATAAAATTTTAACGGAATCAAATTATGAAAATGGAATCTAAAGCTTCTAGGAAAATCAATTTCGAAGCCTAACTAATATTTATAGAGAAATTCGTAGTTTCTGATAGCAGAAATGATTAATTAGTTGATTCGGGAAGATGAAAATATGTGAAGTGAATAATTTTTTATTTTTAAATCATTTTTACTTTGCTAATATAGTGATTGCATTTTCAAGCACAAAATTTCCATTGTATGCAGAGAAATTTACTATTTAATTAGTCTTCATAATAAAATTTGAATAAATCATCTGAAAATGTAAAAAAATAATATTAAGTATTAAAATTAGAAGCAAGAAGCAAATATTCAAATAAAATATGTAAATTTATTACTTTTTCTTACCCCCCTGATAATTTTTTTATTTAATTTGGCTATTTTATAATTTATAATTTTGTCTCTAATTTTAAATAGCTTCTAAATACTTTGAGACATTTCCCTTTTATTGAGACTAGGCGTTAGCTGTTGTTTCTTCCTTTGACTCTTCCATAATTTCGTCTTGGTTCGCGACATATTTGCTGATTTGTTTTTTGCTAGTTTCAATAATATATCCTCCCGCGATCATCTCGTCAAGAATGTAATAGGCCTTGTGAAAATTAAAAATAATGTCAAGTTCGCATACGTTTTTGAAGTACTTATCAAGTAATTCCACATAGAAATGCATGATATCGAGGGTCAGTAGCTCATTGTCGTCTTTATCAATGCAAAAAGCAAAATATAAGCTTGCATACCTCTTAGCTACGAGCGTATATTCTTGGAATTCTAACTTCCTCCTATTTAAAATTGTACGAAAGAAATTGTTTCCAATTTGAATAAGCTAAATTTTTTTTAAAATACAAATTTAATACAAATTTACATAAAATTTTCATAATAATGCTTATAAAAATAATCTTAAGTAGTATGATCCTGCATTTAGAATAGAGTAATTGATATCTAAATTTCAATTTGGCACATTACTTGGGTCTTAAAGCTATTTATATAGAAATTATTATTTTTTTACCTATAAAATTTGAAATTTTGTTCCAATTTAAAGGGTTAATTTACAATATTTAACCTAATTTAAAGGGGAGTAAGAAATTGCATAGCTTACTGTTTCTCCCTATCACCATTGGTTTGACCTCCTTCATAATCGCTTCTCTCTCTTTCTGTGAATAAGTAGTAAACCATTTGCTTACTTCCCCTTGTTTAAATTAAAACAAAATACAGGCAAAATTTACATGCTTTGATTCCTTTAACTCACATATAAATTTTTTTTCAATTTTATAGGTGAAAATACTAACTTTTATAAAATTATTTTTGGCCTAGTCTAATTGAAGAAGCGCAAGTAGAATTTTATTTAAACATTTAAACTCTAAATGATTAATTTCTTGAATTAATTCTTCATAAAATTAAGTTAAATTAAAAAGCATTGCGCTCAATTTTGCTTTTTTATATAATTTTTTTTTTAAAAGATTACCCCCTAAATTTGAACAGGATTTTGTTCCAATTTAAAGGGGAGTTAGTCTGATTTTCCCGTGTCGGCTGATGAGAAGAACGAAATGAATCATAATTATATTTAAGCAATATTTTAATTAAAATTTAATCAAAATAAAATTTGTTTATATACTCAGATTCTATCAAAATTTTGGCTCCAAGTCTTTATTATCGCAGTTTCTTTAGCATCCTCAGCTTGAATTTCCTTTCTGTGCCTAATATGCTGCAGTCCCACAGCTTTTTATGAATAATTTTATCTTTGCTGACTGCATCTGACACTTCTGCTTCATCCATCCTTGAAAAATTCATTTTCCTCGTTCTAAGATTCGTAAAAGTCTTTGCGCACTCATTCATCATTCCTGAGGTTTGTGAGGCAAGACTTGTATTATTTACTGACAGCTGTGTAAAACTGGCTGAGTCAGCTGGAAAGCCCAAGCTGAGAGGTTTGACTGCTGTTTTAAATGGACTTTTTGTGTCTGTCAAAGTTTGTTCGGGCGATTTCATTCTCATAAATAGAAGTGAGTTATTTCTTCGTTGATTGGCTTTTCTGATAGACAATAATTCATCTTCTCTCATTTCGTTGGTTTCTCATACAGAAAACCTGCTCCTGTTTCCGTGAAAAGACTTATCGAATTCTTTAATGTGTGTTTCCTTTATAGAGCTGGAAACCTTGTCTCTCACTAATTTTTTCACTTTATTTTTTTCGTTGAAATGAAGCAGCGAGTCTTCTGATTTTATCCTCCTCTTGAACTCCAGCTGAGAAATCACATAAATTTCAGCTCTAGTTGTATAGCATCTGCAGCTCATAATTCTTGGCAGGTTATCCATGACTTCTTCTTCGCCAAAAATTTCTCCTTTTGTTTTTATAGCTAAGCTGGCCTGATAAGTTCTATGCAATTTTCCTCTCAAAATTTGAATTTTTCTGCCTTTGTCGTCTATTTCGGAAAATGCGTTTTTTGAGACCACGATATCTTGGCTTAGGACAACTTCTCCACTTTTTACAATATAAACGCCGTCTGATGGCTCCCCCTGCCTATATATGATTTGATTTTTTGTATATGTGGCTAACGAAAAATAGTAGCTTAAAGCAGCCAAATGAGACTTGCTTCAGGAAGCAAAAGCTGGCAACGCTGAAAGAAAACTGATGAACTCTTCAAGTTTTCAGGTCTGGTAGTTTCCAAGAATACGTAAGTAGTCTTTTTTTCCGAGAACTGCAAAATGAGACTTTTGGGTGCACATAATCGTGGCTGCTCGGGGTTGGTCTTTTAGTAAAGCAAGCTCTCCAAAGGCTTTGCCTTCAGATAAAGTTGCAACTTCGGTCATAATCTCTTGATCGTCTTCGGTTTTGGTTGGGACAAAAATTTTTACTTCTCCTAATAAAATAATGAAAAATTGATCGCCGACGTCTCCTGCATTAAAAATAATTTCTCCTTCGTTATAGGTGCAATATTTCATATACCTATGATAGTTAATTTCCCACTATTCTATCATCTATAAGAAAATAGCCCATCTTTATAAATGTCATTGGTATATATTGGCAGCACATTTTGTGAGCATTTTCATCTAGTTCAGCACAAATATTTTTAAAGAAAGGAATGTCTCTTGTAAGATCAGCCAACGTATTTAAAAAATTCTGGGTCCTACTAGATGGGTTTGTTTTCAAAATATTCACAATTTCACAAATGGATGGAGGGATATATGAGATTCCATCAGTTTTATCGGCATTCGATCTTTTCTGCGTTAGTCTTCTTGATAATCTTCTTACCCCTCCTTGGCATTAATAGTTGTTAAAGGTCGATTTTCTCAAAAATAGGGATTTTCTCAATGGTTTTGCTAGGGCGAGTTATTTCTTTTTGGGAATATGACATTTATTTCAGAAGCATAAGAAGTGAATAAGGAAAGTATATTTAAATAAGCTTACATTGAAATTAATTAAACGAATGGAATTAATCCATATTTAAGCATCCCACAAGAGCCACCTTGGCTTTCATTTTCGTATACATTGAAATGATGAAGCGAATCCGCCATTCCTCCTAAGCCTGCAATTGGGGTAATCAAGAACCTTGAGGAAGGGATAGCGCACTCAATAATGTGCATTAGATCAGTTTTGCTTGATTTAGTGGAGCGCAATATCAATACCAACCTCATGTTCACGTCTAGGCCAGATTTTTCCTCCGGGGAAGATAGTTAGTTGAAGTTGGAAAAGGATACCAAAAAGAGTGCTTAGGACCAATTGAGCAATCCTTGGCGCGATGCCAAGCGTTAAGTCCTGGGATTTGAGTCGACCTTGACCCACGACGTGATTTTTGTTGGGAGAGCAACGCATTAACATGTACGATTGCAGTGCAATGGTTCATAAACTGCGCATCAAATTAGTGTCCAAGCCCACGTCGATAGGCAGAAAGTAGGGGATCAAGCGAAGCAAGAATAGAAAATTTACCTTCTGGTATACTGGAGCTTCTAAATAAGCTAAACTAAGGCTTTCATTTTCGTTGTTAATTCCAATGAGAACATACCCATCCATACCCCAATCTGGGCCCCACGAATTTTTAAACCTTATAAATTGGTTTTCACTATACCCAACAGCAAGCATAGCATGATTCAGTGGTGAAACCTTGCAAAGACTGTCGTTAAAAATTCCTGATTTATATGAAAAAAATTCTTCTGACTCCCCTTCCTTTATATTGGAACACAATATTGGCAAAATTTCTATTTTTTGGGTGTATTAACCCTTTTAAATAAGAACAAATTTTTTAATAGTAAAAATTGTATTTAATTTAATTTTTTGGAATTTTATAATTTTTTTAAAATAAAACTTTAAATTGGAACAAATTTTTTTTTCCTATTTAAAAGTGATGGAGTGAGTTTATATTAATAAAAACTGCGACTGGATTTTCTCTAATGGCTTCATATAATGCACTATAATTATTAGGCTGAATTTGCCTATATCCTGAAATGTTGAATAATAAATCAGGAGGCATCAAATTAAATCGGCAACGATAGCTGTTACCTTCATAAGGGTAAAAGGCTTCTATTACGTTTCCTTGAGTCTGCATAAAGTTAAACGGCTCTGAAATATTCCCCCCTTTGCAAGTTGCGGATTTATCACAATCAAGTATGACCTGCTCTGAAAATTCATAAAGGGTACCATTGGTACGGCCCTGGAGATATAGAAGAGACTCTACAGCTCCGACAGCTGCAAATATATAAGAACTATTGCATCCTCGCTCGTTTTTTACTTCAGTAACTGCGTTTGCAACAGTTCAATCCCATTCACTTGGGTAGCTTGCTAGTCTTTCTTCATTTTCATAACCACTATAAGGAATTTTCTCGTTATCATAGTCTGCTGGACTATTAAAAATTTCAATGTCAACCTCATAATCGATTATTTACTTTAGATTATAGAAAATTTCATTGTCAGACGTCAAGAAGGGTCCTTATTCCCTGCCATAATGCTTCTCCGCTTGCTAAATAGTTCGGGTTTCACGACATCGCAAAGCGTGTTCCTGCCTAACGATAGCCTAACTCGCACTGTCTGTGCCTGAATATAGGTTGCTTGCTTAGCTGGCTGTGAGCAAAAATGGAGGTTGAAAGCCCATTACGTTAATTCCGGTATCACATTGCCGATTGTCCAAGAGACTAATTTCTCAACTTCAGCTTCATTTTTCCCCATAAGGAAAAACTTTTTGGATTTATCTTTAACTGATCACCTCCAAACACCAGTCTCCTTTATTCGAGATTCTGATACCCTGTGTGATATTTGCTACATAATCTAAGAGTGAGCCGAGTGGCTCACCATTTTTAACTTATGTATTCAACCTCATAATCAAGCCCATTATTTTTAGACTGATCAAGGCCAGACATTTCTTTTTCTTCTGCTCCAAGAACTTGAGCAACTATAGCTCCCAAAATTCATATCATTTTTATAATAAACCAAATTCTTATATTAACTCAATTTTTATCTAGAGAATATAATTTCATATTTCCCAGAAAATTACAATGAATAAGGATGAAGCTGACAAATGCCGTGAACTTGGCTTCCAAGCTCTCAAAGCCAAAGATTTTGATAAAGCCATACGCTTCTTCCAAAAAGCAGTAAAATTCGACCCAAGTCATGAAAATCAAAGCTACCTAACTCTTGCTGAAGAAAAGAAAGCAAAGCATGGAGCTGCTCAGCAAGAAGAAACAAAAGCCCCTGAAGAAGCAAAAACACCAACATACACCCCACACCAAGAAGAGCTATGTCACAAAATCTTATCGAAAGAAGACTTTTATGAAATTTTAGGCGTAAACAAAGATGCTTCATTAGATGATATCAAAAAAGCTTACAAAAAATTAGCCTTAAAGCTTCACCCTGATAAGAATCAGCATCCTAAAGCGACTGAGGCTTTTAAAAAAGTTAACAGAGCTTTCTCGTGCCTTACTCCCCCATTTTACTATAGTCAGTCTAACTGCTTATGTAATTTTTTTCAATCTCTAAAATAAAAATTCTTTTATAATGTGATATTTATAATATTTTAAGCGTTACTAATAGCTTATATTTATATTATTTTGATTTCTTCATTCATTCAACTTAAATCCTTTTAAAATCGCAATAAGCCAATATTTGAAAAAAAAAATTAAAAAAATTAGAAAAAATTCATACAAAACTTTTATAATTGTATTTATTTTAATAATTTTAACGCTTTTAATTAAAATATTTAATTCTTTGATTATTAAAATTGCGCCTATATTTTTTAAAATAGTATAAATTTTGTTTCATAATAAAATCTTAATATTTTTATAATTTATGTTCATATTAATAATTAGCATAAAAGTGTTCATCATTAAATGGGGAGTTAGTGATGAAACTAAAAGGAGAACTTATGACCAGACCGGCCATGAAGAGACTCCACAAAGTGGGGTCCCTCAAAACTTCGACACAATGTTTGCTGACTCCCTCCCCCCTTTAAATTGGAAGAAAAAATATCTGTAAATTTCCATTTTTTTGAGACTTCAACCCTTCTTTAAATTGGAACAATTTTTTTAATGAAAAAGAGCAAGTAGAATATTTATTTATACACTTTTAACGGAATCAATTAATTTTTCGAATTAATTCTTCATAAAAATTAAAAATATTGCATTCAATTTATTATATAAAGGTTTTAAATAACTCCCTTGAAATAGGAACAAGGTTTTTATCCAATTTAAAGGGGATTGAGCACATTTTCCAAGAGTTTTTCGGAGAAAGCTTTTTTATGCCGAGAGGTGGTTTCCACTACACAAATGTCCACTTCCCAAATGGTAATGCTTATTATCAGCAAAGAGGCCAAAACCAACAAAATAGGCAGCGGCAGGGCTATTTGCCACTTCTTCAGCTTATGCCTGTTATCTTGCTTCTTTTAATATCAGTTATCTCTACTTATCAGTCACAAGGCGACTATTTTTCTTTCCACCCTACAAGGGAATATTCATATGAAAAATATACCAGAAATTTGAATGTGAAGTATTATGTTGAGCCTAGCTATGCAAGGGAACTTAGGCAAGATATGTCTGAGCTTCAGAGATTAGAAAGCCAGGTAGAAAAGACTTATTTAGGCCAGCTGAAAAGAGAGTGCTCAAATGCAAAAGAAAAGAAATCAATTTTACTTACAACCTCATCTCTGTGAGTGAGAAAAGTCATTGGAAAAATCGAAAGATATCAACCTCCATAATCTAAAATATTTTTTTATCAATCATATTGCAATATGTGGGTGATAATTATTATAATTAACTCCTTACTCCCCCTCTGTAAGCGAACAAAACCATTGGAAATCTCTATTTTTTTTGTAAAAACCCTACTCGTGATCAAATAAAAGTTTTTTTAATGTAATTTTTTTATAAAAAAAATTAATATATAAGAGATAATTATTATAGAATCTCTAGTTAATTCTGTTTAATTTTAAAACAAATTTTAAAAATAAAATTATATAAAATTTTTAAAAAAAATTTAACCCTCTTCTTTTGCAAACAATTTTTTTTTTCGCTTATGGAAGGGTGAGAGTTAGCGAAGGTCAGAATTTTTGAGTTGTACAAGGGGAGTTAATAAGGCGAAATATTATTCAGGAAGAAGCTCAAGCTATTATAAAGAGATGGCAGAAGGCGTTGATATGTGGTCGTGTGAAAAATTGCAAGAATTATTGAAGACTTAATAATAACACTGGGTTTATAATTAAAAACAAAGGGCATCATAATTTTTTTAATACGAATACGTTATAAAAATGCTTTGTTGTGTTAAAAGAACAAATAAGAATACTCGTCAAGGTTTACAAGATGTAAGGAAACAGGCTGGAAAACTACGTCCAAGACCTTTCGAAAACCGAAACAAATTTCGCTGCATTTTCTGTGGTGGGTCAGACTGTAAACACGAAAATTGAAAGCTCCATCCGAATCCTGCAATAAAAGGTTTGAACTCTGATTGGATTACTGACAAAATTTTAGCAACCCAGAGGCTTTCAAGCAGGCTCATAAAGGAGCACGACATAATCGGCCAATTTAAATCGCATGGAATTGCAAGTGTTTTTAATTTGCAACTTCCAGGGGAACATCCATACTGTGGAGATGGACTTCAGGCAGGTAATACGTTTTCATATCAGCCTGAAGAGCTTTATGAAGCTGGCTTGTTTTTTTATAAACTTTATAAGGCGAATTTGGCAAATATTTTTTATATAGGAATTTTGTATAAAAATCAATTAAAAAAAGCATAATATGGGATGGCCGGATATGCACGCTCCCAATATCAGCTTTATGGTAAGTTTGGTCCAGCTGATGAGTTTCGTTATAGATAATGGGAACAAATTAGCAGTCCATTGCCACGCAGGATATGGAAGAACTGGACTAGCTATTGCTTGCTATTTGCTGTACTCCTCAGACATGAGCGCAGAAGCCGCAATTTCAATTGTGAGATCCAAAAGGCCTAAATGTATCCAGACGTCAAAACAAAAGAAATTCGTGAAGCATTTTTACAGCTTTTTGACCAGAATCCGGGTCTTATTCCCAGAAAAACCTATTTCCTTGCCAGAGTTCCTGGCAAACCAAAGCGTGCTGCTTCATGGAAATAACGAAAAGCAACTAAACGGGCTTCCCAAAATAGTTCACACAATTTGTACAATTTTAAGAGAAAGAGCTGATCAAGAAGTCTACACAAAGCAGCAAGTTGCGAAAGCGTTTTATGACCCTGAGGATGCTTGCTTTAATAGCATGCTTTATGTAGCTTTTCTCAGATCTAGTCAAGAAGTCACAACAAGCATTGACGATACCTATATGACTCCGAATCCCAGCAGCACAAATTCAGCTATTGAGCAAAAATTGCACGTTTATAAGCGCCAGCTTAATTCTTATAACTGGGCTGAGGTAAAACAAGAAAAAGATGCGCGAGTTTTGGCATTTTTAATGCTAGACTGGCTAGAGCATAGCCTGCTAGAAGCCTTATTGATGGATATAAGAGTGGTTGAGTTTCTATGCAAATGGATTAAGGAAACTGATGATATTGTGTATAATATTAAGCTGAAACCGTATTTGGATAAGGCACAGTTTAGGACATTGGAGTGCTTAATTAGTAAAATAATAGCAATTACTGTGAATATTCAGGAGTGCGACCTTTTAATATGCAGAATAGTGATTGCTTTGATGGGAACCAAAGCAAGTCACTCAGTATTATTTACCGGAAGAAAACTAGGTGAAATTCAGCCTTCAGAACTCGGCGGAGCCGAGTACGAGCTCTTTTTAGCTTTGAAAAAATGGACTGCACTAATTAATCAATAATTATGTATTCATGCAAGTTTTGCTTAATTATTAATTTTATTTTGTATAAAATCTTTTTCCCATCATAAATTTTTTAAACTCTTCAAACTATTGCTTATTTTTCAGCTTTCAAATTATTAAAACATTTAACTCCTTGGAGAGTAAAATCTTGCTTATATATATTCAGATTTAAAAGTGTTGTGCTTCCCTTCAGCCGGATAGTGCATAATACCAACCTTTTGCATCATAAGTGGTAACGTCGCTGTTTTTATCTTTACTTAATTTCTAATCAGAATTCTGGCTGGTGTAATGATCTAAATTAATCGAGCTCACCTGAGGCTGTAGCAAGATCGCTCAGCTACTGCTGGACTTACTGTACGGTTTCCACACTCCAGGCTCCAGAGTATCCTCTCCGGTTGTGCCGGTGGCACGTGGACGTCCCGTGCCTTTAGAGTGTGTAGGTTTGGGACTTGCTCACCACCAGCTCCTTCTCAGAATAAACTGATTCTGCGCCAGCCACTTTGTCTTGACCCTCTGCAGGACACCCGCGGCCAGGTGTTGCGACGGAGAAAGCCCTTCTAGTAGGGAAAAGCCCTTTAAGGAGAGACAAGTCCACCCCCAGAGGGAGGGAAATGGTAAAGTCGGCAGCTATATTGTCTTGCAAGCATTCCATAAAACTCACATAAAAATCCGGAAAGCCTTCACAGGTGTGTTCATCATTGCCCAAGCCTAACTTCAGAGCATGCTCCACCTAGAGTCACCCTCTTCGGTTGTGTCAGGCAGAGAAAACAACGTTTATCCCTTCTTTCCTTGGGTCATCAAATTACCCTATTCAGTAATTCCATATTTATGGATAAAGGCCACGCAAAAACTGAACCCTATATATAAATATAGCGGAGGAAAGTCTTGTCGAAGAAAGCCACTTCAATACTAGCAATTTTATATTTTCCTTGAAGAGTAAAAACAAAATGAAATATCAATGTCTAGTCTCAAATCGTTTTGTTTCTATTACTGGATCTTGTTATCATTCTTCGGCGGGTGATTCTTGGTAACTCTTACTCAGACTTATATCGCATTTCTGTGCGCTTTCGACGTAAAAGACCTAGACGTCTCTGACAAGCCAAGTCACGCTCTTGGAGCTTTTCTATCTGCAGGTTTTTATCATTTGGTCTTCTTTTCTATTATCGGACACACCTACTATAAGTCGCGAAAGAACAGAAAATCCTTCCAGGACCCAAACGTATATGAGCTGCTGGTAATAGATCACTAATTATGCTTAATTGCATTACATTAATTTCTTAATCCTGCTTAAAATTGAGAAAACAAATCTGTTCAAGTTTAAAGGGATAATTTTTTTTTAAAAAAAAAGTTATGAAGACTTATTCAAAATATTAACTGATTTATTTCTCCAACTTTTTAAATAGCATTCTAATTGCTTTCCTCAGGCTAGGTTGAAGCTTTTTTCATTAGTATTTAACCTATAAAATTATAAATTGAAAAAAATTGATATGATTTAATTTGAAATAATCAATATTTTGTTCCAATATAAATAGGTGAGCTAATCATTTTATCTAAAGTCCTCTGTTGTACCAGAACCCTGCATTTGACTTAAATTCAGGCTCCAGCTTGTCAGCGTGCAGCATCTGAGGATATGCTGCAAAGCAGCATGGCAGCACTCCGAAGACTGATAAAGATATCACAAAGACTTCAGCTAGCACTTTTCCAATACCTGCAGTTGGGTAAATTCCCATCTTTCTCATCCCAAGCGCTGTAATAACAGGGACAAAGCAGACTGGGTATTGAAATCCGAAACGGATTGCTAAGGTCTTCGACAGCCCATCTTTTGCTGCGATTTTGCTTTTTCCTAAGTCTTTTCCGTTTTCATCATAGACACTTATTCCTTCATATAATTCTCTATATCGAATAACCAAAAGATTAAAGCATCCAGCCACCGCCACAGCTGTAGCAGGGCCAAGAGTGCGCAGCAGTACTGAATTTCCTGAATGGCGAGTGATAAATTTATCGAATTTCAGGCCAATAATAACTGAGCTCGAGGTAGCAAGAAGGTAGGAACAAATCAACTGCATATTTGTGAAAGGATTGTTAATGCTGCGATTGCAATAATTGAAGCCTACATTGTTAGTCTGATTAATGGCTTGCCAAAAAGCAATGTTGAATGGGGTCTTAGGCGATAAAAGCATTCCAATGCCAATTGGTATATTGACTGCTCCGAAAGCTGAAAGCCTAAAAAGCTTCATAATAGGCTCGTTAGTGTCTGGATGAAAAACAGCCTCTTTGAGCCATCTGGCATGCCATAATTCTTCGTCTGTGTATTGCCGTTTTAAGGTGCCATTCTTGTAATCTTCTAAGACCTGTTTGGCTTCATCTGCTTGAGCCTGGGTGTACAGAAGTCCCATAGGATTGACGAGGCTGAGGAAATACTTAAGTCTTCCATAAAATTTGCTTTGATCATACTTAGTTTCAGTTAGGGAGAACTTTCTCGCAGGACATCCCATGAATTGGTCAACGTAATCCATTTTTACCACAAGAATTATTCACCAAACGCATCTTGCATCAGGTTTAATGAAATTGAAGAAATATCTTATTTACAGCTGTAAAATAAGGTCTAACGGAAGAATAAGCCATTAGATATTAATAGATTTTAAAAGTGCCAAAATTAAGGTTAAAACTAGCTTATGCTACCTCCGTTCAGCATTTTTCCCTCCATTTGAAATTTTGGAGTAAAGCCCACTGAAGTAGTCCGTCTGTGCGATTTTGGCGATTTTTTAATTTTCGCTGGCTGCATCCCTCTTGTTGGGGTTGCAGCATTTCTAAACGACAGGGACGCTTCATATGAAATATAAGCCCTGTGATCTTCTTTAAACTTTTCAGGCCTCCTCGCTGACGAAAACAATTGATGCGCTTTACTGTACTTAATCGGTTGCCTTAGCTTGCTGGCATTACTGTAAAGATTTGGTACTTCGAGTACACAAACATTTTTATCGCTTACGAACGTTTTATACTGCGTCGTATTACTTCTTACAGCTCTCGGTGAGGTCTTCGGTAAAATGACTGGCTGATTTAATGTAATTTTAATCGGGGTAAGCCTTGAATTAGGAGAAATATTGTGAATCTTCTTACTGCTGCACTCCAGAAACGCACCATCTATTAGCGCTGACATCAATAATTGTAAGAAAGCTTAGAAATGGATTTTAAAAAAATAAAAAGACAGCTGCAGTTTACATTAACTTTCCTTTGTTTATAAACAAAAAATGGCGACTGGTGGTAGAGGACTTAATTTAAGAGGAAATTTCCAACGATACATCACTAATGCCACTTTTCATAGGCAGCATTATCCGATACCTCGTGAACAGACACCTTACGCCTTCGCAAAAATCGCGGAGTATATTGAAAAAGATCTGTCAAAAGCTGAGCAATTATATCGCCAAGCAATTGAGATTGGCGAAAGGCCAGAAAGTGCAGTCAAAGATCTGGCAGGGATTTTACATCAGCAAGGGAAAACCAAAGAGGCATGTGAACTGCTGCAAGACTATAAGCATCTATTTATTGCTGATCAAACTAAATACGAAAACCTGCTCAGGAACTTGCAAAAACAAATTTTCCCGTCACAAAACACGTTTAACAAGGCAGTAAAGATCTCGAACCTTAGCCCAATGTCTGATGAGCTAACTGTGAGAGGGCTTTTCTTGAATCCGACCAGGATCCTGCATATTGAAATGGGGGTGGAGTCTGATGGGAGAACTCGATACGCAATTTTAAGATTTGCCAGCCACTCAGGAGCAAGGAAAACTTTGGAAGGATATCAAGGGAGCAAGTATAAGCTAGAGTGGATGTCAGTCAATGGAGAAATTACTGGGGAAGTCAACTTAGAAAACCCACAGCAAGAACAATTTTCTTTATTTTCTAAAACAAAAGAAAAGAGGAATTTAGATGAGTCTTGGCTTTACACGTATTTACCTGAAAACAATGCCTCTCAGGGGTCCAAAGATCTGATAGATGAACTTCTAGAAAATTCTTTGTTTACATATCTCAGAAAGCCTAATTTCGAATTGAAAGTCTCTGCAAAACCCTTTGACCCTGAAGCTTAAACTATTCGAATTCGTCCAATAAGTTAAATAATCACCACACAATTATTTTATCATTTTGTGTTCTCCAATAATCTTAAAAAAAAATTAAAAGTTTTTGCTCTGACGATCAAATGTATTTGGGTAAGTGAGGTGTGGTATATATGGATCTTGGAATAATACAGTTGATATTTATAAAATTGTCACTGAAGCTGGCAATGCCATTTCCAAGTGTGTCTAGTCCAACATAACAGACATCACCCAGCGAAAATATGGGTCTGGATCATGCAAAAATAGTGAAGTTATTGTATTAGACTCCTATAACAACTTAATTGGGTAAACATGGATAAAATTGTGAATGATTGTAGTTGAAAATAAATTTAAAATTAATAGGGACAGCATACAATAAAGAAAAGAATTGATACATAAAAAATAAAAATAATACCATCTAATACCTTTGAGCGAAAAACTGATAATTACTATTTGCTAATTAAGTTATAAATAATGAGTCATTTTCAGGGATTCCATCTTATTTGCGGATCCATTTTGAATTTAAACGGCACCTTGACAATCTAATAATTCTATCTTGTATCTTTTTATAATCTTGAAATGCTTTCTTCTGTTCTTCCTTTGTGAAAACTTCATATTCCTCTATTAATGGTTTCTTACTTTCAATTACAAATGGTTTTACAGGCTGAGTTCCTAGCTCAAGAAACTCAGATTTCCTTCTAATATGGCTTGCTTTTGTTGTTTTCAAGCTCCTATCCGTCAGTATCTCAGAAGAATTTAATATTGACGCGTCAAGAGAAAGGCTTCTATAAGTAAGCAAAGGGGAAAATTTCACATTTTTAGCAGATCTCAAAAATTTCTGGCCAACTGGTTTAGGTCCTAGTGATGACTTGTTTAGATAATCAATTTTAAGAGTTCTATTTCGTTTTAAGGCATATGGTTGCTGCTTTTTTAGTTGGTAGAAAAAGTTTTGAGGTAATAGGTCAGGGTTAGTTCTTGCTGTATAAATATAAGCCTTTATTGGATTTTGGCCCTGAGACATTCTTTGTGATTAATTTAAAGTAAAAAATAAAAGCCGTAACCAGAGATATACCAATTAAAAATTATTTAATATTTCATCTATAATAATTAATTATTGAATATATCTTCTTTGTGGTATCTCCAAATATTGACATTTAAATCTCCTTCTTATTCGTTTCCATTTAAAACTTATATGACTGAGCCTACCATATTCGAATGCAGCATTTGCTTCAACCAATACAACGAGATTTCCCACCGACCACTTTCATTACCATGTGGCCATATCTACTGTGAGCGCTGCCTGCTGAAACATTCCAAAGGATATGAAATATCTTGCCCGATAGACAGCATAGTCCACAAAACAAGCGTCCGTTCTTTGCCTTGCTGCTACACAATTCTTGCAAACCTACCCCGATCGCCTTCAAAAGAATTATGCTGCACTCGGCATCCTAGAAAAAAGATAAAATTCCACTGTATCTCGCACTCGGTATTTCTCTGTTCAGACTGCATTATTCAACACACAGGAAACGGCCACGAAATTGAGTCTTTTAATCCGAATACGACAGCAATGAAATCAGAACTGTCTCGGCTGGATGAGCTTTTTAAAACCAAATGTAAAGAGATTGAGGAAATCCAGAAAAAAGCGGAAAATCAGGATTTTCAATTGGACTCTTATTATAAAGGGCAAATAGGAAAAATCAGAAAAGCTTATGATGAACTGATAGGAGTTTTGACTCAGAAAAAAAGGGAAATGATTGAGACTATGACAAAGTATTTTCATGATCAGAAAAAATTGCTGGATTCTTATAAATATAATATCAACAATACATTAGAAACGCTCTTGGAAGGAGAAAAAAACATCAATGGGATGTTGGAAAACTGGGGCAAGTTCAGCTGTGAGGAGTTTTATGGGCTAATTAGTACTGTCAAGCAGAAAATGTCAAAATGTGAAGCAGTTAAGCTGCCTGAACTGAACTATTATGTATTTAAAAACACTCTGCAAGCATCTTCGTATGGAGTTATCACTAAAAGCACCCAAGAAGCAAATAAAATGCCTCAGAATTTTAATTTTGATGAGTCTCTTACCAAACAAAAAGCGTTTATTCCGAAGTTGGACTTCGTGAACTCGATGTATAGCCCTCGCGAAGCAGTCTCTCCAAGAAATTTATATAATCAAAAAATCAATGAGCCGCCACTTACCCAAAGACAGCCTGAGCCTACCACAAAAGGAGAACACCTAAAAGGGCATAAGCATGGCTCTCACAATAATAGAGGACGGAGACTTCCTTCCCAACCCCCAGGAAAATCTTCTGATAAGAGATGGAGAAAACGGTCTCATTCTTTATAAGAATTGTATATGTAAATAATTTTCTTTTCAGAGAATTAATAAGCTCTGTATTTTACTCTCATTTAAATTGAGACTATAGAATCCTTAAAATTAAAATAAAAACCGCCAAATATTTTTCAATTTTAAATAATTTTTATAAAGAATTACTAATAAATATTAATCTATTCAGCTTTCAACTGTTTAAATAGCATTTTGCTATTAAAATTAGGTCAAAAGTCTTCTTATAAAGATTAGTATTTAATATAAAATTTTCCATAATTTTGTTCCAATTTTCTTTAACCAAAGATGAATATTTTATTCCCCATTTAGAGGTGAGGAGTTAGTATAACTTTTATATCAATAATTATCATGAAGTCTCTCTCTTGTCTCACAGCAATTATTTCTATTGCTTCTATTTTAAAGTCTATTGCTTCAAAAACTTATTTTTTCAAAAAAATCGATGCCTTTTTTGTTTTAATACTCCATTTTGATTAATTTTTAGAGATTATCAAATAAAGCTTTATATTAGAAAGACTCATTATGTACCTGAAAACAAGCCGCGGCCGAAGTACTTTGCAATTGCGTCGAAGCGGTCTGCACCTAGCTCTTTATAAAATGTCTCATGATTCATGCTTTGGTTTTTAAATTCATTTTTCCTTTCCAGCGCTCTCATTGCCATATCAGAGCATAGCTGGCATTCTCTTTCATTATCAGGCAAGCAGTGTTGGTGGTAGCTATGTGAGCACATAAAGTGAACACTTGGCAGTGACAGCTTCCCATCACAATTTGCACATTTATTAAACTGGAACTTCCTGCACTGTGTCTTAAGCTCATATATTTCTTTTTTCTTCTGCGAAATATTGACCATATTCCTTTCAAACTCTACCTGGTCTGACTCCATCGATTTCTGCTGCCTCTGCAGCTGCTTTTTCAAGTAATTTTTTACAGTCTCAAAAGTGATTTTTTTGCTTTTGCATAAAATTTCAAGGACAATTAAAGGTGTTAGGAATTCTTTTTGCTCAATTTCTTTCAAAATTTTTTGAATGTAAGGGACACCTCTTGGGTCATCCTTGCTGCAAAAATAAGTCAAGGCTTGTAGCCACAAATCGTTATCCTCTTTGCCATACTTCATGCAGGTGTTCCAGATATTTAAGACGTCGTTGGTTTTGATATAATGGAACATAAGCTCTTGTTGGTTGTCCATAAATTGTGACAAATATACAACACCTTCGCTGAAATCGTACATTTTGAAGAGCATCAAGACATAATGTTTATCATAGCGGTTATTGGCGCTTTCCAAGAGATCTTTGATTTTGCGGGCATAGTCTGAGGCTTCGAATTTTCGACTGTTGCTATAGAGTTCAACGGTGGAGCCTTGTCTGGACTTCTTCAAAACTTCTTGGTCCTGGATAGGCTTTCTTTGTTGTAAATATAGCTCAAAAAGTTTGTGGTACACAAATGGGTCAATGTCTGGGACTTTTTTAATAATTGCAGTTAGCAGTTCGTCAAGCACTTCTGGGTCATTTACCAAGCCACTCATAATTGCTTCCAATACTTGATGATAAGTTAAAGTAACCGGCTTTTTGGCGTTTTCTTCCATTAAGTAGTCTTCCGGCTCTTCTGCCTCCCTTCTTTGTTTTTCATCTTTTTCAGTCTCAGGCAAAGCGTTTGTCAAGTTTTGTTTTAAATTCAAATTATTTATCATCCTGAAAAGCATCTCTCGGGTTGCAGTTGATTCATTTTTTATAAGGACTTGGCCATAGTCTTTAAAAAGCTTTGCAACTCCTGAGTGTGACATGTCCGATTCCATATACCTTAACGCTTCTCTGAAATTTTTTTGTTCCTCAATAAGGATTTTTATATAAACTGAGTGCATTTTATGCTTGGCTGCTAAGTCCAGGGCTAGGTCGTAGCATTTTGCCCCACAACATACATCAATAGCTGTTTTCGGGTCAAAAAGCTCATAGTCATCATCAGACTGGGCTAAGAAATGGGCTAGCTCTTGGGTAGCTTTTAAATGGACATAGCAGTTCAGCAGCAGCGCAGTGTGCTCGTTATTAGCTTGATGCTTATTATGCAGATGCTCCAAATAGTTCGTCAAGTAATTGATTTTTGACGCATCCAGGAACTTAATAATCACATACGACGCTTCTAAGTGCCCAACTGTCTGCTTATAATAGTTAATGGCATTATCGAAATCTCCTTTATTATAATAATGATCCCCTTGCATCCTGCTGATTTCTGCTATAAACGACTCTTCATACCCTTCAGATCTTGCCATAGAGTAAGCAATATCATAGCTATTTTTCTTAAACAAAATAGCAAGTTTTTCTGAAGTATCCTTTTCCATCAATTGCTGTATTACAATCTCTTTTTTCGTGTTTCTCGAAATAATATAAATCCCATCTTCTTCACTTAAAACGTGGTCAATCTGTGAATAATTTTGCAAAAAGGCTATCAATTTGTTGTCGACATCATAAATCGTCAATTGGTGCTGGTTTTTTACTACAGAAACTACCACGACGTGATTTTTCGAACACCTGATCGTTGTTTTTTCTCCTTCAAAAGACCAAGTCTGCCCTCTGAATTCAGGATAAAAAATAGTGACCACGTCCATTCCAGCCATTCCTACAATAAGTCTTTCTTTCTTTTCATCGACATCAGCACACATATACGCACAGCCATCTCCTTCTTGTAGCTGATTATGGACCTCATTTTTTTCTTTTATCAGAAAAGATCCAACTGATTTCATGGTCGTGTAAAACAAGAACATTGCTCCTCCTTTATTTAAAAAAAACAAATTTGTGATAGGGTTCTTTGGGTCACTTGTATTTAGAACTCTTTTATTGAGACCTTTAGGCCCTGCGAGAATATCTCCCATGACTAAATAAATTTGTCCAGTGTTTAAGCCGACAGCCATCCTGGTTAGATCATCAGTGATTACAAAGCAAAGTGCTGCGTTGGCCATTGATCAAGCACAGATCCCACCCACACTCCAACCCCATGAGATCATGGATCCCACCTCCACCTCCCACCCTCCTCAATATCAAACTATCTAGTCGTGATAATAAGAAATATAAGACACTTTGTGGTATTTTCATTACTAAACCATTAAAACCGATTTATAGCATGCTTACATATATTATACTTTATTTCATATTTCTACTATAGAAAGGATTTTTAAATGGTAGATATTTTTTAAATAAGATAATTCATGTTTTATATGTTAAATAAGCTATTTAAAAATATTAAACCTGCTAAAAGCATTTATTTGTTCCTATTCATTATAAAGCAGAGTTCGACTGGATTCATGCTTAAAGTACGAGATAAAAGTGAAATCCAGGGTACTTCTGTATTAACTCTCTTATTCATTAGTGTAAAAACTTTTTACCAAAAAAAATTCTTTTAGCCTAGAGATATGAAATCGAGAATTGAATATATTTGTAAACATGTTATAAATAGTATTTTGATAACTTGAAAGCGAAAATACTGCAATATCTCATATTTCTTATTATCAAGACTAGGTAGTTTGTATTGAGGGGTGGGGAAGGGTTTGTGCTTAACTAGACAAGCAAGCTTACTGATTTTTAAAATGGCTTTATTATTAAAATTGTTAGTTAATGTGTGTTTTGTCGAAGGATCGAGCTTTATAAAACAAATGCCAATTTATTGATGAAGATTGAAACTCTTATTTGTAAAGTCTGTATTGAAGGAAGCTTATTAAATACGAAGTTATATGATGATTGCTAACTCCCCCCCCCCCCCGTGAGCGAACAAAAAAATTTTGTTCGCTCACGGAGGGGGGGTTAATTTTTTTTTTTAAAAAAAAAATTTATATATAAATTTTATAAAAAATATTTTTTTCGAAATTTAAAAAAATCCTAATTTGCAAAAATTGGGAAGCAAATATTAATTTAATTTGCAAAATTTATGTTTTAAAAACGCAATTTGTTTAAAATTAAACAGAATTAGCTCTAGATTTCATTATACTAATTATCACTTATATATCAAAATTTTTTTCCATTAAAATTTTTTCTATTAAAAAAATTTTTGTTCACTCACGGAGGGTGGGTTTTTGGTCAAAAAATGGCGATTTTTCTAATGGTTTTGTTCGCTCACGGAGGGGGGGGGGGGAGTAAGCAAAAGTTAAATATGGCTTAATAAGTAAAATTTAAAATTTATCAGTCATGCGTGTTTTTGGGGAATTTTATAAAAACAATCTGAATTGTTAATGAAAACTTACTCTTATTTGCAAAGCTTATATTGAAGGAAATTCTTTATGCGCGAAGTTGTTAAAAGCTCATATAGGAGTGTTTAACAAAAGTTAAATGTGGTTAAATAAGTAAAAATAAAAACTTTTCAGTCAATATGCGTTTTAGCAGAATATATAATTTAAAAAAAATTGCAAATTTTGTAGATAAAGGTTCAAACTCATATTTGTAAAGCCTGTAAACTCAACCATTTTTTGGCATGCCACTTTTTAATCCTTCATACCATTGAGATCCAGCTTGCCCATTCGATAGGATCCGTCAAGGTCTTCACCGCCTATTTTTAAACTAATCGATAGAGAAATCTATATGCCATGATTGCTAAATTAATATATTTTGTCTACCTATATAATCGGTGGTGGGGTTGGGATCTATTAGAGGGGTATGGGCTTGGGATCTATGCTTGACCAGGCCATTGCATCTGGGAGAGGTATTGAAATTATTTCGCGAGGTGAATTTGTGTCTGAAATGTCCCAGAATTTAATAAGAGCCCTTCGGTTAAAATCGCCTTCATCTAAGCCTACTGTGATTAGTAAAGGATGTCTGCGGGATTTTGCCATACAGTATAAGTTGTGGGTGTGAGCTTGAAATGTTGATTTGACCTCGTCGCCAAGACAGCAGAAAATCCTGCCTGAGGTGGTTCCGACCCAAAATATGCCTAAAATGTTGCAAAGGAATCTCATTCGTGTGATTTCAGATAAGTTTTTGATAGATTCTGGATCTGGCTCGGATGCTTCAGAGACTGCTGCAACACTTGTGGAACGGGCAGAAGAAGCAGAGCGAGAAGACTCAGAGCCTAGATTCTTGACGTCAAAGAATTGGAATTTCTTCCACTGCACTTGAGACATTTTAATAATTAGATTCTTTGTAAGAGTAAATCAGTTTAGTCAAAAATAATTGATTTTAAATATAGATATTATAATGTTCCTAATTAATTCCTGCATATATCATGCACAAAAATCGTTCTTAGTTAAGATGATAGAAAAACTCCCTGTGGCACCTCAAATGGGTATGTATCTCCTGCTTCGCGGTTCAATTCGGTTATGCACTCTAGATATGGGCTCCCATACTAACTGGAGCATAGTGGAATTGGCAACTGTGCAGCATGCCTGACTTGAGTAGCCCTTCCAGAAAATTTGAAAAGCATCTGGTCGAGGTGCTAACCAAGATGGAACTAGTTGCCCGGGCGCAACTCCTGATATCATATTAGAAAATTATCAGATTGATCCTAAAGTCTCTGCTGGGTTTTCCCTTTCCAACACCAAGCTTCCATATTCCCTAGAGGTAAAACTTTGATCTGGAACGAGCAGCAGTGGCCTAATTCGATATTTCGCTACACCAAGCCAATTAAAACCTGGAAATATACAAATCTCCGAACTCTATCGTCCCTTTCATAAGGGTCGGTGGGTTGATTTGAGACATCATTTTAATTTATATGACAAAAATCGTTTTATTTTATCTAATTTATCTAAATTAAGTCTTAAACCCCAGATTTTTATTAAATAAACACACTGCTATTGCGTTTAAACTAATAATCGCAAGTTATATCACTAAAAATGCATTAAAATTCTAGTTTAATTTGAATAACTCTATGCATAGAATTTGTGATTCCTATGATTTTTATTGACAAAATATCAATAAAATCACTCTTGCGTATTTATATAATTGAATTTTCACAAGAAAATGATTAAGTGGTCCATCTTGAAGAATGGTGTTCGAGTTCTCACAGAAAAAACTCCATTCCCGACATCTATCAATCTTGGTGTTCTTCTAGATGTTGGTACACGAGATGAGACCCCAAAGATATCAGGCACTTTGCACGCTCTTACTTCCCTTTTTAAATTTGAACAAAAATCCTGTTCCAGTTTAAAGGGTATTATTTTTTTAAAAAAAATTATATTAAAAGCCCCTCTATAAACAAATTTTTAAAAATATTTCTGAATTTTAACGAATTTTTATGAATATTTATTTCAAAAATGAACCGATTCAGTACGAAATCTGTTTAAACAATATTTGGCTTCCACTTTTCCCATTAATTAGGCTAAAACTAATTTAAAAATAGATAAAATTTCCATTAGAAAAAATTCGACCTATTTGTTTTTAAATTTAAAGGGTATAGTTAAGAAAATCTATCTCAGAACACATACTAATTCAGACGAGCAGAAAAATTATTGCACCGTCCAGATGTCTGGTGGCGATTTTTCAATGGACTACGATCAAGAAAAAACCTATTACCATGGAACCTGCTTAGCCCATGACACTTATGATTTCTTACAAATGGCCCGTGACTGCATTTTCGATGAGAAAAATGAAGAAGACGCAAAGATTGCTCATGAAAGGCTAAGCGAGCATTGGAAAGCAAACCAAAATGTGATGCCAGACCAATTGATCACCAGCTTTATGCTTCCAGCGGCATTCGGAGAAAATGGGATTGGCTTGCCTCTTGATGGACATGAAGGCGCATATCCCTTCATTGGATGCATTTTATTCTCTAAATTATTATCATTCAAAGAGACATATTACCCAAATTTTTTATATTTAGATAAGGCAAAAATGGCAAAAACGTCTAGAAAAAAATTGGCGAGATTTTTTAAAAAAGTCAAAAATCATGAACCACTTCAATTACACACACAACCATGAATGAATTTAGGAACACTTGCATTTCCCCTGAAAAAATCATTGTGGCCGCAGCTGGTGTAAATAACCACGAAGAATTTGAAAACTCAGTCAAACCTTATTTTGAAAATTTGCAAGCTCCTGAACATTTAAAGGCTAGAATTCCTTCACAGTATCTTGGAGGAGAATTTCGCCACGAAATCCAAAGCGATATGACTTATATGTCACTGTCATTTGAAGGCGTCTCATGGACTAATGATAAAATGCCTGCTTTTCAAGTACTTAGAACTGCTATAGGAGAAGGAGGAGGTTTTAGCACCGGAGGACCTGGAAAAGGAATGCATTCGAGGGCTTATAATACCTTTTTAAGAAAATATCCATTTCTAGAAAGCGTTAAATGCATTAATCAGCATTTCACTGATACTGGGCTTTTCACAATATTAATTTCAGGGCTGAAAGCGTATTCTGGGCACATGGCGGAAGCTATGGTTAAGGAAACCTTGGATTTACAAAGAATGACTGATATTGAAATTGCGAGGGCAAAAAATTTGCTGAAAAATCAAGCGTTGTTGACCTTGGAAAAAACTGGGCCAAGAATTGAAGATACAGTGAAAATGTTTATGACTTTTGGGAGTCAAAAAAATTATATAGAATTGATTGATGCAGTTACCCCACAGCAGGTGAGGGAGTTGGCAAGTAAAGTTATAAAAACTAGACCGTCGTTAGTGATTCTAGGGCAAGGAACAGAAAATGTCCCTTCTTTTGACAAATTTCAAGCTAGGCTATCTTAATATATACTTTTTAGCATAATTACATTATTAATTTGTATTTTTTTAATGTCCTAATTTATTTACAAAAAAAGTGATTTTCTTAAAATTTTTTTGCTACTTTTCCTTAGAAATAATATAAATTTTATAATTGATTATGAATTCAAAGAGTAGCTTCTTTAGTCCTACAGTCAGATTATCTGGCAATGAAATTCCAATTCAAAAATCTTTTAGTCCTCTCCAAATGCACAGTAACTACAATTCAAGTTTAGATCTGAGCAGAGCCGGTTATTTAATTTCAACCCAATCCTCGCCTATTCAAAACCTATCACATCCTCAATTCTTGAGCTATAATAGTTCACCGAGTTGACCTTATATCCCAAAGCCTTATCCAATAATTGCTCCTTCATATAATCACAATGCAATCCAGAAAAATTTTATTCCTTACAATCAAAATTACAATCCAATACAAAATAATAAAAAAAGTGACGAGAATGTCCCATATCAATTAATTGCCAGCAAGTCAGCTACAATTATAAAGCCAATGGCAAAGCACATAATTAAACCTTTGAAGCTGCCCAAAAGACCAGAAAGATTTGTTTATAAAAAGCCAAGCGTTCCACCTTTACTTCCTGAAGATAATCCTTTGCCTCCAAATTTGTATTATTCAAAGAAGCCAAGAGTAGTAGAATACAAACCATATAATATAGATGATTATAATCAAAATTGCAAAAAACCATATATTCTTCCTAATTTCCCACTCCATGAGCGATAAAAATTTTTACTCACTCATAGCCGGGGGTAATTTTTTTTATAGTAAATTTTTTTTTGAAATTTAAAAAATTCAAATTCGCAAAAATCGGAGGGCAGATATTTATTTAATTTTTTAAAATGCAAGCTGTTTAAAATTAAGCCGAATTAGATAGATATTTCATTATACTAATTATCACTTATATATCAAAAATTTTTTCTATAAAAATTTTTGTTCGCTCACGGAGAGGGAGGAATAAGGGGCTTGGCCCTGCTAATATAGGAGCAGATGACTGGGCTCGAAAATTTGAAAAAGAGAGAGTAATGAAAGAATACAGTCAATCTGTAAGAGAATTAAACTTCCGAAGCTAGCATAAAATACAAATTCAGTTATTAATAAAAGAAATATAAATATTTATTAATCTTTTTTATATAATAATAAATAAAGTAAACGATATTCCTGGTATTTGGCTTGCATGAATTACTATTTAGCATCACTCTTAAAAATCTTTAGAAATGTTTTGGATAATAGCATAAAATTACTTTTATTATTGGAGATAATTTAGTTTTGTTTTAATATCTTTGCTAATTTTCTATTTCCTAAAAGAAAGTCCTTCAAACCTTCCGTACTTTTATATTAAATTTATAAATCTTCAAAACCAATAAAAGACGATACTTTAATTGAAATATTACCCATATACATAAAATGGCCAGAATGAGTGATTAATAATTCTCCTAGTGGTGGGGCATCCTTATGTATCGGACGTAGTTTTTTTTGGTACAAGGATCTGCTCAAGGTTTGGGTTAGCTTTGAAGCGAGAGGCTATTTCCTCTGATTATTGGCTTAGCACTAGCAGAAAGGATATGAAGCAGCTGAGCGGATAAAGTCATCCTGCCTCTATCGGACACCTTTTTTGGCTGCTGGGAAAAAAAATTAAAAAAACTCCCAGACAAGCCAAGCATATTAAGCTTTTCTTTCGGAACTAGTCGGGCAAAAAGAGGTAGACGGGCTACACAAGATTTCAGCCTAGTCCCTCCAGTTGAAAAGAGTCTCGGAAAGAGGCAATCTGGCCTGAGCTAAGCATGGCTGGCTAATAGTGGATTCGGAGCTGGATGATTTTGCCCAGCAAAATCTGTGGTTAATCAAAAGGGCGTGCTCTACCAAGAAACTGGGGGTTCGGTCTAGCTTCAAGACTCTTGCGTTTGTCAGTCGCTGTGGAATACGTGGCGCTCAGGAAGTGGGGGCTTTAATGATACCGCCTAATCTCTAATTTATAATATCACCCAAAATAAATATTTATATGTTTTCTTATTTAATTTTATTTAATCCACTTATATATTAAGTTACTTTATATAGGAGTTAATGAACTAAAAATTAAAATATGAATGATTGATAAAAATAGAGACATTAGTAAAAATTTAATCCCTGATGTTAGGATAAAATGCAATTTCATCAATAAAAATAAAATTTAAAATTAAACCAAAAGAATGCTTCAAATGTTCTTTTTCATATTCTCCGTTTAAAAGTAGATATTTCGATGATAAAATGTAGATCAAAATTATTTATTGTTTCATTTATGTCGGCCGCGAGATGCTATATGACAAGCTGCGATCTATTAATTGAATATGCATGCTACTGCACCTCTCCACCAACTTACTCTTGCAGTTCTCACTGAGCAAGTCATTGCAGGCTAACTGGCAGGTCTCATAGGTTTGATTCATTTTTCTTACCTCATTTCGAAGAAACTAAAGCAGCACTTCTAAAGTTTCTTACAAAAGAAAAGTCAAAAAAAGACAGATTGAAGAAAAAGGCAATAAAAGCTTTCAACAATTCGCTTTCGAATTCAGAAATTCAATTCAGAAAATTTGTGAAGACTTTGGATTCAGACTCAACAAAAATAGACGACTATTTCGAAAAGATTTCCATATCTGAAAGAACTTGAAATTTAGAGCAAGATCCGTTTTTGAATCTTTTGACTTTAGACCCTAATGATACTATGAAGAAGGCTAAAACAATAGTCCAAACAAGCACAGACTCATATGAAAATGAGGAATTACTTTGGGGTTTAAGTAAAGAAATTGAAAAATGGATTGAATGCTACATTAATGATAGATTTAAAATCTTTTTAGACAGACTTTCAGAATTAGAAAAAATTGTTTCTAAATTGAATAAAAATGACCAGCTAGATGAAGTAGCTAAATATATTTTTGATTTAATTAGAAATGTCAAGAAAAGTAAAGAAGAACTTGAGGATAAGAAGCAAGATCTTAGTCCCTCCCTTTAATTGGAGCAAAAATCCTACTCAATTTAAATATGGCTAATTTTTTTTACATTTTATTTTAATTTTAAAATTAAAAAAAAATATGGGTAAGGTCTAATGATTTGTACTTTTAATAGTGTGTATTTCATTTGAAGAAGATTTGGTCTAAAATTTTTAAATAGTGTAGAAATTTAACAAATTTTTCGGTTAAATATCTCACTATAAAAGATGCTTTGAATAAAATTTTCCCCGAGGAAACGCCGCAATGTCAAAAATATACAGCCATTTGATATGGCCACCACAAAACCAAGTAAAGCCTGGCCATACTCATTACGAACGCCAAAACTCCCTTCCACAAGGTGCTTGGGTCTCCCTAGCTGCAGGTGCTATGAGGTTGGTTGGCTCGCCTTGCTATTTTTATCTATTGCATACGTGTCAGATTTTGTAGCTACCCACCCCATAATTCATATAATTACTACTATTTTTTCCTTAAATTTACTATTAAATTACACATAGACTTTCTCTTGGTTTTTGCTAAACTCTATAGCAGCCTGTATTTTTATGTTTTAATGCTTTCGGTGTCTCTAAAGACCTCACTCCTTAATTTAATTAAATTGCATGAGTCCAATTTAAAGGAGCGGAGTTAAAAAAAAAATTATCAAAGTCATTCTCAGAAGAGAGCTCCTGAAATTTTAAATCCTAATCCTACAGGAACACAAATCCAAGCAAGAAGTAAATCAATTATTCAAGAATTAATAAAGAAAAAATCTGAAATTTTAAATAAGATAAACGACCCATGGACTGAGCAAGATTTCAGGAAAACATGTGCATTATATGAGCATGACAAAAATCTTACTGGCTCTAATTCCCAATTTTTCAAGGCTTATCAGGAGTATAAAAGAGCTTATAATCAAACTTCGTCAATTTATCTGACTCGAGATAATTCTAAAACGACTTCTTTGTTTGTTTATAACACTGAAACTGAAAAAGAAGAAAATAGATTGTTACATTTTCCAAACTCATTAAATTCTGGGACATGTATAGCCCAAATTCCAAACGGAGAGCTATTTTGTTTTGGCAAAGCTGATCCAGTTTCTGGGACTGCACTGATAATAGATGGGGATTATAATGTTAGAATGCTGCCATCATGATTATCTTGTAGCAATTCATCCGCTATTTATTTCAATAGAAATATTTATTGCTTTGGAGGATTTAATGAAAATGACTTAACTCTATCAGGGAGATTTGACCTGGAAAAAAATCGATGGACTCAATTGCAAGCGCTGCCAGAGCCTGATAGCTGTTGCCATACTTTAATTTTTAATGGAGATATTTTGATTTCTGGGTACAGAAGTGCACATCTATTGAAATATTCGATTTCTAGCAGTTCCTTCACAGAAATCCGTAAAACTTTTGCAGCATGCAAAAATAAAATCCTAATGAATTTAGATAGGCTATATCTGATTGAATGTGGAGGGCTTATTTATGAGAGCGAAATAGGAAATGAGACTATATGGAAGCAGATTACGTATTCAATAATAGACTATGATAATCCTTTGCAAGTGTACTGCTCTTATAATAAAGGCTCTATATATATTGGAAGCAATTACAATGGGCAGCACTACTACTATAAATTTGATTTGAGTCAAAAAGAGATGATTAAAATTCAGTAAAACTAAAAGCCAATTTGAATTAATCATGTTTAATATTCATAATTTTTTAATCCTATTATTAGCTCGCTAAAAATACCACATGTTAAATTTATATAAATTCATATCTTTAGAGTAGCGTGTGAAAGAACGTTCAAAACTAGCTTGCAGCATAATTAATTCCGAAGAATAAAGACATACTCCTAAGGTATTCCAAAAATTAGGAAAATCAATTTTTCTTTCAACAGACTAGAATTAAAAGAGGGAAAATATTGATATGTTTCTTAAACTATTAATAAATCATCTATTATAAAAAACCATCTTTAAAGTTAAATTAGCAAATGACTCTAACCTATTGTATTGAAGTCACCGAGGATCTCCAGGGAGATTAGAACTGCCTTGAGACCGTACATTCCACCAGGGATGACAGTGTCTCCCTTGCCTTCCTGCTTTAGTATTAGCGGGCAGTCTTCGGAATTCTGCACCCTTGCTTGAGGCTGAGGAGCTACAAAGGTGTTCACCCAAAACTCTAAAACCCTAAAAAAATGGGTTTTCTGTTGACTATTGGTAAGAAATAAAATATAGCCCAGGACGTAACTCCTAGTTTCATGCTATAGAGTTTGCCAGATTAGTGTAGGCATCGCCTGCAGACCTTGCTGGGTGTCCCCTTTCCAACTTCCGAGTCTCCTTCTCCCTTGAAGTAAAATCAAACCCTGAAATTGTAACAGGGCTAGTTCAACACATCTTTCCTTCTCTGAGCTAGCAAAACCTAGCCGATATAATTTATATGTATATAAAACCAGCAATTTCAAAATTAAATTATTTGAAGTTTTTTATAAACTGATTTGTTTAATCAGCATAAGTAATTATTAATGCGAATGCCTATTTCTTTCGTGTATGAAAAATTAATCAAAAATGCCAATAGCGCTTTAGCTTTTTTAGCTGCTAAAAGAGATTGAAATATGATTTATAGTAGGCTATCATCTATTAATTAACTATTTAGTAAGGCATTAGTTACTTAGAAAGCTATTATAATAAATGTAAAATATAAAAGTATTATTAACTTCCCCTAAAATTTTTTAAGTAAGTTAATTCTATTAAATTTTAGCAGCGTGCTATTTAAAACTTAAATTATATGAACTAAAATGTATTTTTAATTTCAATTTTTTTCAAATAAGGAATTTTAAAATAAATATTTCAAATATAAACTTTAAAAAGACTTTTAACGCAATAATTAGCCAATACTTAGTGAGCAAAAGGTGTGCCTGCTCAAGGAGGAGAAGTAAGAAAATTGATTTAATTCAATTTATATTAATTACTTAAAATCAAGTGCAATTTTAATCCCTTTCTTATTTCTTCAGCTCTGATTTGATATTTTGAATTAGAAAAAACTAATTTACATTAAAAAAGCATATATATAAAGTGGTGATGGCTTCCGACACCCCTCTTGTGTGATGGTAACCCATGTGAGGTTTGGAAACTTGGCTTGAATTTAATAATAGGTTATTGAACTTGATGTTTAAAAGAAGTTTTTACTATTTAGCCTATTCTGTCGTGGATAATTAGGTATGACATGCAAACTCGCTTTTGGATGAAATGTCAAACATATTTGACAAATAATAATTATTAAAATCGACAAGAAAATTGGCTCTATGGAAAGCTATAAGGGCGGATTAATATATATTTGACATGATTTTTGGATGCAGAAATTACTTCTTCAATATCTGTTGTCTTGCAGCGAGTGAATTTAGCATGAATCTGCATATTTGTTGCCTGATTCAATGGACAGTTACTCGCGACTTCTTTTTAGCAGCACTCAATCCAGCGGAGGCCCAAAATAGAGCAGGGTAAATCACCTGTTCAAGAGGCTACGGTGACCCCCAGTATTTTGCCAGGGATTACCTAAAAAGGGAAAGTCTAAACAATAATAAGGCACTCTCTTCAGCTCGAGGGTTCCAAAGAGGGCAATACTGGCCAAGGATGAGAAGCAAGGACTATAAATACCCATCTAATAATCTAATTTCAAAAAAGCAAAGACATTCCTTGCACCCCAGCAGAGAATAATATGCAGGGGGTGACAAATCGAAGGAAGGAGGCTGGATCTCAGTAGATCGTAAGACAAGCTTACTCTCGTACGTACAATCCCTCGTTCCATGTAAGTGGTCTGCAAAAGATTTGTCCCAGTCACTATTTGGTACATTGAGAAGCCGTCTTCAGCATTTCGCCTGGACAAGGATCTCAGTTGGGAGTGGGATTATGGTTTCCATAGGTGACTGGCGGACGTCGCGTTCCAGCATTGATTCTGACTTAGAGGCGTTCAGCCATAATCAAACAGATGGTAGCATCGCGACACTTCCTTGTCAGGAAATCGCATGAACCAGTGATCTGACCCAACGGTTCCTCTCGTACTGAGTTGGATTACTGTAGCGACATCAGTTCATCAGTAGGGTAAAACTAACCTGTCTCACGACGGTCTAAACCCAGCTCACGTTCCCTATTAGCGGGTGAACAATCCGACACTTGGTGAATTCTGCTTCACAATGATAGGAAGAGCCGACATCGAAGAATCAAAAAGCAACGTCGCTATGAACGCTTGGCTGGAAATAATTATTTTTTTTTTTATAAGTAATTTCCTATAAGAATTTTTCTAAAAATATTTTTTGCCACCTTGGCTGCCACAAGCCAGTTATCCCTGTGGTAATTTTTCTGACACCTCTGGTTTAAGACTTTTAAAAAGCAAAGGATCGATAGGCCACGCTTTCGCGGTTTGTATTCGTACTGAGAATCAAAATCAAGCAAGCTTTTCCCCTTTTGGTCTACAAGAGATTTCTGTTCTCTTTGAGCTTGCCATAGGACACCTGTGTTACTGTTTAACAGATGTGCCGCCCCAGCCGAACTCCCTACCTGGCTCTGTCTCTCGCTTAGCAAGCAAAGCTAGAACCACGAATGGTCGCTACCTCACGAGGTAAGTAAAATGACATCAAGAGTAGTGGTTTTTCAAGGTCGCAGGGCTCCCACTTGTCTACACCTCCTACGCCATTTCACAAAGCCAGACTAGAGTCAAACTCAACAGGGTCTTCTTTCCCCGCTGATTCTGCCAAGCCCGTTCCCTTGGCTGTGGGTTCGCTAGATAGTAGATAGGGACAGTAGGAATCTCGTTAATCCATTCATGCACGTCACTAATTAGATGACGAGGCATTTGGCTACCTTAAGAGAGCAAGAGAAATACATATTTTATATAGTAAATTTACTAGGAAATATTTATGGAAAAAATTTGGTCCCAAAGAGAGTCATAGTTACTCCCGCCGTTTACCCGCGCTTGATTGAATTTCTTCACGTTGACATTCAGAGCACTGGGCAGAAATCACATTGTGTCAACACCTTTTGAGGCCTTCACAATGCTTTGTTTTAATTAAACAGTCGGATTCCCCTCGCTGCTCCAGTTCTGAGTTAGCCATTCGCTGTCCTGGGTTACTCCTGGCTCAACAGTCGCTAACGCTGGTCAGGTCGCCCCTTCCTGCGAAGCTATGAAGAGGTCAGAAGGCCCAAGACCTGGCCCTCAGAGCCAATCTTTTTCCCAAAGTTACAGATCTAATTTGCCGAATTCCCTTATCTACATTGTTCTACGTACTAGAGGCTGCTAACCTTGGAGACCTGATGCGGTTATGGGTACGGCCAGGCGAGCGATAAGATTTCCCTCAAATTTTCAAGGGCCGAAGGAGGTGCACCGGACAGCACAAAGGGTGTGCTGCTCTTCCAAACCGATAGCCCTCTCTCGTCGCAAAGACCTCCAGGGCAGCGATTTGTTAAGAAGAAAAGAGAACTCTCCCCAGGACCTCGCCCCGACGTCTTTGAGTTCAGTTGTGTTGCCACTCAATACCCACCGCCTGCTTGTAGAATTTTAACTACATTCCCTTTCGGCCTGGACGATGTCGTCGCGGGATTACCCCTGGCCTCAGGACCGAGTCACTCATGACCAATTGCTGTTCTCATGAAACCCTTCTCCACTTCAGTCTTCAAAGTTCTCATTTGAATAGTTGCTACTACCACCAAGATCTGCACTAGAGGTAGCTCCAACCCTGTCCACACAGAGCCTTCTGCGCTGCCTCCACGCCCTCCTACCTGTCCAACTGTCATCAAGCTGGACAGCAGGGTATCGGCTGGCTGCTTAGCGACATCCATTTTCAGGGCTAGTTCATTCGGTAGGTGAGTTGTTACACACTCCTTAGCGGGTTCCGACTTCCATGGCCACCGTCCTACTGTCTAAATGAACTAACACCTTTTCATCTCATTAGCTGCCAATTGGTCGCCTCAACCCTGCCTTAGGTTGAACCCTCGTCGCCAGTTCTGCTTACCAAAAATGGCCCACATGGAACACGCATTCGGCACAGAGTTCAATGAAGCAACTCTGCGTTCTTACCAATTTAAAGTTTGAGAATAGGTGAAAGTTGTTATTGGGAATTATAATATATATATAATTTAATAGGAATTGTTTAGATTTTTTCTTATATTTATTTATTATCCAATACAACTCCCGAACCTCTAATCATTCGCTTTACCCGATAAAACTGCACTGTTCCAGCTATCCTGAGGGAAATTTCGGAGGGAACCAGCTACTAGATGGTTCGATTAGTCTT